GAGAGAGAGAGAGAGGAAAAGCTTTTTGCTTCCTAAAAACCTGTTATTAAATAGACCGTGACTTATCACAGCATTCCGCAAACTCTTGCAATTGATTCTTAGTTCGACTTCCCTCTTACGATTACTATCTAAATGTGCTTACAGTTATTGCTAACCCGTATCATTTGCCTCAGTAAAAACACAAAGTCTCGTTTGGAATCTCCGCATGAACTCTCAGATGATTGCAATACTCTCCGTCTTCGCTGTCTTTCAGTTACGAAGTGATTAAGCTGTCTCTTCACACACGCATCATCAACTTTGAAAAAAGTCCATAATACTAAAGTTAAGCATATAATTGGCAGCATACAACGTACAATGGCTGGCAAATCGTCTAAAAAACAGGCACATGCCAATGTGCAGGTCTTGAAGCAGCTGTATACCATTTCAGGCTCCGTTTTGGGGCTCCTTCTACTAAGACTTTTGTTCTCATCCAAGAAACGATGGATTTGGATCATTCTATTCCATGCACCAGCCGCAGGGTGTGTATACATGCTTGAGAAAAACGGCAGACCCACATACGACTCTGCAGGGCATGTCGTTCGTGAGGGTATGGACTTGAACCAGAAAGGCCTTACAGAATGGATGTTTGATATCGTTTATTTGACATTATTTGCCGATTCTGGTGTCGTAGTCTTCAACACCATGAAATTCTGGTACATCATGCTGTTGGTGCCCGTGTATCTTGGCTACAAGATCAAAGGAATTGCTGGCCCCATGTTGGGAGGTATGAACAACGCCAAGGCACCCTCCGCGTCAAGCACAAATTCAACTTCTGCCGCTGCAAAATCCAAAAGACAAGCCAAACGTGAAAAGAACGCAGACAAGACGCGCTTCAAGTATAAATAATAGCCAGACTCGTAATCGATATTTTTCAAATTGCGAAAATTACACCTTATACAGAATCAACATACTTAAAAAATTAGTGAGCTCGAAACAGTGGGCAAGTATGAATGCTTGTGTGTCGTGCCTCCTACTTCGCGCCTCCCTTTCTCTCTCTAAACTTCGACCCGCTCTCCCTTAGCAGCAGCCGCTTGAAGTGTTCGACAGACTTTGACCCTTCAAGTTCACGTTGGCCTTGTCGTCTTTCTTGGCCGAGTCTTTGTGCTGCTGTGCCATGCTATCTTTAATCTGTTTAGCCATAGTCAAGAAAGCTTCCTCTACATTCGACGAGTCCAACGCAGACGTCTCCAAGAACGGAATCTGCAGCGAGTCTGCAAACTCCTTGGCCACATCGTACTCCACCATCCGTTTGTCCTGCAAATCACACTTGTTACCGACCATAAGTTTTAGAACCCCAGCGGTAGCGTAGCGATCGATTTCCTGGAGCCACATCTTCACATCGTTGAAAGAATCGTGGTCTGTCACGTCATACACAATGATAATACCGTGTGCGCCTCTGTAGTACGAAGAGGTGATCGTTCTGAACCGCTCCTGGCCAGCAGTATCCCAGATCTGCAGTTTCACGGTCTTACCGTCCAACTCAACGGTTTTGATTTTAAAGTCCACACCGATGGTCGAAATGTAATCGTTCGTGTACGTGTCATCTGAGAATCTCAGTAGCAAACACGATTTACCCACTCCGGAGTCTCCAATCAGCAATAGCTTGAACAAGTAGTCATATTCGCTGTTCATTATGTCTCTTGATATCGCTGCTAAGCTTGTATATGTTCCAGATATGTTCTTCTCAGGTTATTGACACTGATTGAGAGGGGGCAATTTCAGTAGTTTTCGAGTTCAGCAATGTAACCGTTTCGTAAACGATGATACGAACCATCACGAAGCGGAAGCGAGTTTGGAAGAGACAGATGTGAATGAGCAGAGTCGACCAAACTGTCTACAGCAATAACGGTAGACAATATAATATATTAGGGTGAGCTCCATCAGAAAATTTTGTATGCCTTTGTAGGAATCGCATGTTGGATTTTAAAACGCTTGATTTGACAAATCACAGAAGCAGGTACCCAGCTCTAAGGTTCACACCTATTTAGGATGTACAAGAACCGAATTGTGAAGTTATGTTGATCTGAACATCTGCTAAACTTGGGAGGAGGCGAAAGCCGTGAAGGTAATCATCATCAACGGTTTTGCTATAGTTCGCGATAAACTTGTAACGTACCCAGGAATTCATGTAATCGAACGCCATTGGGCAAACTAACGGCAAGCTTCTCTAAAGATAAAAGCTACTTTCAGCGCTGAAACTGGATCGGAAGACGTCAAAGTCGGTGAGTGTAACAACGACACCATAGTATGAAGTGATAAAGACCAAAAGTAACGTTAAGGCGACTCTTCAAGTCAGAGAAATGCTAACGTGGAAGCGTGTACACATGCTTTGTGACATGTGCTTGCAATAGATTAGTATTAGTTTATCTCTGCGCTGTGTGGAGTGTGTGTTGCAATGATATACTCATGGGGAAGACCTCACATTGGAGGGCAAGAGTCCGCGGTAAATTCGCTGTGGTGACACACGTCACTTCTTCACACTTCGCTTTCCGAACAATGAGCAGCCTGTTTGCAAAACTAGCAAAACTAGCCATTGGAATCGAAGAGTTGAGAAGTGAGCGATGATAGTGCCCAGTTCCATCATGACACAATGGTACAAAGTGATAAGAACAAAATAAGAGAAATTAATGCTATCTGGTAGTTTCAGACCGCGACCACAGAACTTAACAAGTGGTCTGGACTTTCCCGACTACCTTGAAATGCTCCTTCGATACAATCCCAGTCCGATTGTACCCCGATTTTTCTTGTCAACTCAATGGCGTGCTCATATCTCAGAAATGTATACCTACCGTTGGTATATTGTGACATTGATTTAGTACTAAAAAGCTTATGAGGATACTCACAGCCCATATCGACCAATGAGCATACTTAAATCAATTATTAAAGAACTAAACAAGAACGCTAGCAAGGTTTACCTCGCTGAAGCAGACTCGCCCCAATATTAAGTAAACTCCAGTAACTCATGCAGGTTACTAAAATTGCCACAGAACTACGATACTTTCTCTCTCTCCACACAGCTACGAGAATCCTTGGAACGTCTCATCTTTCACTTAACGTATCACACGCGTAACCACTCAGTGCCATCAAATCTTCGAATTTAAAACCAATAAAACCGGCTTTTCTCATTTCAAATGTAGACGCCAACGGTGAGTACATTGAAACCTTTGGTACACTGTGCAATCACATCCCATTCACCATTCTTGGTTCCAAGACTAATGCTTGTCGACTGTGTCGTCGTCTCTTCTGCTCGTATATGGTTACCCTCTCTTCTGCTCTTATACGGGCAAAATGTAAACACAAAATTCCTACAGAAGCCAGTAAAGGTCTTCTAGATATAATCAACAGTCGAGATCTAAGTGAACAGAAGCGCGAACCAAGGCTTTTTGGATCGATCAACGGGTCTTCGAACGAAACTATGAGAGAAATTGTATGTGTGAACACTTGTGATAGAAGACACGGGAGAAAGCTAGCTTTCTGGAAGGTGTTTTAGCTATATTTTCGGCGCGGTGTTTCGCGTTTCAAATGGCCACTTTTACTAACGTGTGTGTGTGTTCTTCAGATCCACATTTCGACAGGCCAGTGCGGTAATCAGATCGGTGCGGCATTCTGGGAGACGATTTGCGGCGAGCACGGGCTGGACTTCAACGGAAACTATCATGGCCACGACGACATCCAGAAGGCGCGTTTGAATGTGTATTTCAACGAAGCGTCGTCCGGCAAATGGGTGCCTCGTTCCGTGAACGTCGATCTCGAGCCCGGTACCATTGATGCCGTCCGAAACTCGCGAATTGGTAACCTTTTCAGACCTGACAACCATATATTCGGCCAATCGTCCGCTGGTAATGTGTGGGCCAAGGGTCATTACACCGAAGGTGCAGAGCTTGTAGACTCCGTTATGGACGTGGTCCGTCGCGAAGCCGAAGGCTGTGACTCGATCCAGGGGTTCCAGATCACACACTCGCTGGGTGGTGGTACCGGCTCCGGTATGGGTACTTTGTTGATCTCCAAGATTCGTGAAGAGTTTCCCGATCGCATGATGGCTACTTTTTCCGTTGTACCCTCCCCTAAGACTTCCGACACCGTTGTGGAGCCTTACAATGCCACTTTATCAGTGCACCAGCTTGTGGAACATTCCGATGAAACTTTCTGTATCGATAACGAAGCCCTCTACGACATTTGTCAAAGAACTTTGAAACTCAGTCAACCTTCTTACAGCGATTTAAACCACCTGGTATCGTCTGTGATGTCGGGTGTTACCACTTCGCTACGTTACCCAGGTCAGTTGAACTCAGACTTGAGAAAATTAGCCGTCAACTTGGTTCCATTCCCACGTTTGCATTTCTTCATGGTCGGTTACGCACCTTTAACCTCTATTGGGTCACAATCCTTTAGATCATTGACTGTTCCAGAGCTTACACAACAAATGTTCGACGCCAAGAATATGATGGCTGCTTCAGACCCTAGAAACGGTAGATACTTGACCGTTGCGGCTTTCTTCAGAGGTAAGGTATCCGTCAAAGAAGTCGAAGACGAAATGCACAAGGTTCAAACCCGTAACTCCTCGTACTTTGTGGAATGGATTCCAAATAATGTGCAAACTGCAGTCTGTTCAGTAGCACCCCAGGGTCTAGACATGGCTGCCACTTTTATCGGAAATTCGACATCTATTCAAGAACTGTTCAAGAGAGTCGGTGATCAATTCGCTGCCATGTTCAGAAGAAAAGCCTTTTTGCATTGGTACACTAGCGAAGGTATGGAAGAAATTGAATTCTCTGAAGCCGAATCTAACATGAACGATTTGGTCAGCGAATACCAACAGTACCAGGAAGCTACTGTTGAGGATGACGAAGAGCTTGAATACGCCGACGAGCAACCTTTACCGGAAAACTTTGAGTGATTGGAGTCACAACGTCAATAAATTTTATACCCCGGAGGTACCGACCTACCAAATTCAGCTTTCCTCATTCTTCTTGCTCCGACACATCGCTTCGTTGTGTCTCACGCTGCAAAAACATATGCTGCTAGTATCCCTACACTACTATACCTATAATCTGCCAGGCTAGCTGCATCTACAGTACCTTTTTTAATGTATTTTTTGAAATTTCGAGGTGTTCTATGCAACATCACAACGAAGAGAAATATGAAGTCCACATATGAATACCAATACAAGGCCAAAACTACGTATCAAGTGTATATACGAGAAATCTTGAAATTTTGCAGACTGAGCATCTATGCTTTGATTTCGTTAATGAGAAAAATCGTATACATAATTCCTTTAGGAGTATTTATGATAGAAAAACTACTATCCGGAATGTTTGCTATCTTGAAGATTCTGTAGATTAAGAGGTCCAGTGCTTCGACAAAAACTGTCGCTCATGTTATTTTCTTGTTCTTGTTCCCATATTACGATTCTTTTAAAAAAATTTTGAAAAATGCAGATTTCATATTAGGTGCGATGAGCTTAACAATTCTCGCAAGCAAGATAAATAGCGAACGATTTTATTCAGTTCAGTAGCTCTTCGCAAAATGTTGCGCTACTCAAGATCGTGTTGCCGATTTCGTGGACTCAAAAAGCTTGGCGGCCAGCTGAGGCCACTTTCACAGACCGCTCTTTTAGGAAAACCATCTGTGAACACTAGCAGCATAAGAAGCGAGTCCGCAAATGGGGACATAGGCTTTCTGAAATCGTCTGCAGTATCTATAACACCTACATTTGGACCATTTGATAATGCCCACGCCGCGGTTCAAGCTGGGCAATCGAGAGACATCATGAACCTTTGGTCATTACTTGAGGCCTGTCTGCATTCCGGCTACATGGACCGGGCATTTTCCATTCTCAAGTCGCTTTATGGACTCAGGTCACATCGAGCCTCGTTTATTGACGACTACAACAAGTATCTAATGAAATTCGCGGAGAATTTGACCGACATGAAGATTATCGACCGAAAGCTATTTCAAGACTTGCAGAATGTATTTCCGGAAGCCGAATATAACGACAAGACCTTAGCAATTTTGATCCATTATGCGCTCAAACTTTCGCCGTCAAGAGATGCATCTATGGAGCATTGCCGAACCTATTTGAAGATGGCCCTGGGCGGTTACAGGGGAATACTGAGCAACATCGATGTGCTATCTGTGCAAAACTATAGATCGTTAGTGCATGATTTCAAACTCATAGAAGTGCATGATTTACCAGCTGAGATTCACAGTCTTATGGAGGTCAACGGTGTGTCGCATGAAAACGCCGAGTCAACAGAGCCCGCGGTGAATGGGGGTAATATATCAGTAAAGGCGAAGAATGAGGAACAAGGAATGACACTAGATAAGGAAATTAAGCCCTTAGTTAAAGACGCCTCGGAGCTCCTGGCAGTAGATACCATCGGTATGAAAGTTGTACGACATACCTTGTTGGGACTTTCTTTGACAGATCAGCAGAGAGAACAAATAAACTCGTTCAATTTTGACACCGCTTCCAATCTGCTAAACTTTGAAAAAGACAAGGAGAACATTGATTTCTTTGAAATCTTTAGTCAATTAAAAACCGATGAAGAGAAAGAAGCTTTTACGAAAGCTTTAGATGAATTCAACCAAGATCGGCAACATCAGCTGGAAAACAGGGCTACGGACGCTGCAAAAGAGCGTTGGAGACATGATTTTGAAGAGGCTAAAGCAAGAGGAGATTTGTCGATTCAAAAGAAGCTAAACATCAAGCTATGGGAGTGGTTCAATAAGATGCTACCTCTCGTCAAAGAAGAAGTCAAACGCTGTGCTGAGCTCGCGAATAAAAGTTCCCAAGACCCTTCCCTATCGCCTCAGGAAAAGAAACAAAACAAGGCAAGACAGGACTACGGACCATACCTAACATTAGTTGATCCCGAAAAAATGTGCGTTATTACAATTCTGGAATTACTAAAATTGAACTCCACCGGTGGTGTGATCGAAGGAATGAGAACTGCTAGGGCCGTGATTTCTGTCGGCAAAGCCATTGAAATGGAATTTCGGGCAGAGCTTTTACTAAAAAACGAATCGCATGTGTTTAAAGACGTTAACAAAAAGTCTCATGAGTTTAAAGTTCTTGTGCAGCGCGCGAGAAATACTTTTAGGTCCATGAAAATCGAAGAGTCTAAGATTCTTTGGCCACAGGAAGCTCGTGCTAAGATTGGCTCGATATTAATCTCCATGCTCATCCACGTCGCAAGAGTTAGAGTTGAAGGTGTTGATCCTCTTACCAAGGAAAAGATTCAAGGCGAAGCCCCGGCATTTTCTCATGGCTATCAGTACCATAATGGCTCAAAGCTGGGCGTTCTTAAAATCCATAGATCCCTCGTACACCAACTAAATGGCGAGCGTTTAGTTGCAGCGGTGCAGCCTCAACTTCTTCCCATGCTTGTCAAACCTAGACCTTGGAAGAGTTGGAACTCTGGAGGTTATTATTACACACAATCAACGCTGATAAGGTCAAAGGACTCCCCTGAGCAGGTGGCATACCTCAAAGCGGTCTCCGAGGCTGGTGCTATTGATAACGTTTACGGTGGCTTGAATGTTCTGGGAGAAACTCCTTGGACGGTGAATAGGAAAATGTTCAACATTATGTCTCATGTTTGGAATTCAGGAGAGCCTTTCTTGGATATTCCAGGCAATCAAAATAAGCTTGTTTTAACACCGCAACCACCCAGAGATGCGGACCCAACTGTTCACAGACAATGGAGGTTGAAAAATAAGGCTCTTGCGAATGAATTTTCCAGTAACAGATCGGCCCGCTGTGACGCTAATTATAAACTTGAGATAGCGAGAGCTTTTCTTGGCGAAAAATTCTATTTTCCACATAACTTAGACTTCAGAGGGCGTGCTTATCCCCTATCGCCTCATTTCAATCATTTGGGCAATGATATGAGTAGGGGGTTGATGATTTTCTGGAATGGGAAACGGCTTGGCCCGACCGGTCTAAAATGGTTGAAAGTTCATCTTTCAAACCTTTTCGGTTTCGATAAGGCATCTCTTGAAGAGCGTATAGCTTTTACCGAAAGCCATGTGAATGATGTCATGGATTCAGCGGAGTCTCCCTTAAATGGCAAGGGCTGGTGGAAAGAGGCTGAGAAACCATGGCAAGCTTTGGCTACATGTATCGAGTTACGTGAAGCTCTGAAAATGGAAAATCCAGAGGATTTCATTTCTCATGTCCCAGTTCATCAGGATGGCACTTGTAATGGTCTGCAACATTATGCCGCTCTTGGTGGTGATGTTGAAGGTGCCACGCAAGTTAACCTCATGCCCAGTGACAGGCCTCAAGATGTATACTCGCATGTCGCCAAGCTTGTGGTCGCAAGATTGGAAAAGGTCGCGGCTAAAGGCGATGAAACAGCTGCTATTCTAAAGGACAAGATCAAAAGAAAGGTTGTAAAGCAAACTGTCATGACCAACGTCTATGGTGTAACCTATATTGGCGCTACTCATCAAATTGAAAAGCAGCTATCCAATGTCTTTGATGACCACAAACTTTCATACGAGCTATCAAAGTATTTGACGAAACACGTATTTGCATCCGTCAGAGAACTGTTTGAAGGTGCTCATTTGATACAAGACTGGCTAGGAGAGTGTGCAAAAAGAATCTCTAAGTCTATTAGACTCGATATCGACGAAAAATCCTTCAAAAACGGTAACAAGCCTGACTTTATGTCGTCAGTCATTTGGACCACTCCCCTTGGTCTTCCAATTGTCCAGCCTTATCGTGAGAACGGCAAGAAACAGGTCGCGACCAATCTTCAAACAGTTTTTATTAGTGATCCCTTTGCCGTCAACCCAATCAACGCCAGGAGACAAAAAGCCGGCTTCCCACCTAACTTCATTCACTCTCTAGATGCATCCCACATGTTGTTGTCAGCGTTGAAATGTGGAGAACACGGATTAGACTTTGCGGCGGTTCACGACTCTTATTGGACTCATGCTAGTGACATCGATACAATGAACGTCCTTCTGAGAGAGCAATTCATCAAATTACATGAAGTGGACTTAATCGAGCAATTGAAAAACGAATTCGACGAACGTTACAAGAACTATTTACAAATTTTGAAGATCGACAAAAAGGCTAACGTAGCTGTCAAAGTAGTGGAGCTAAGAAAGGAGCTGTCTCAGAAGCTCGGTCGGCAGTTTACTCTTGCTGACGAAATATACTTGGAAAAGAAACGCAGACAGTTGATGGAGTCTGAAGATCCCGCTGAAAGGGCACAAGGAGAAGCTATGACAACAACCGTATCAATAATCGGTGAAGTTGATGATATTGCGCCCTTGGAGAAATCAAGCGATTCGAGTTGCATAATGGTTCTGGCACCGTTAACATTACCTCCAATACCACCAAAGGGAGATTTTGATGTCAAAGAATTGGAGAATAGCAAATACTTTTTCTCTTGATTATCTCGAGGGAAAACTGCATAAGAACTCATGTATGAGTTCAGACCTGAAAACATTCTTGTAAATAGACAATTACCAACCTTTCACTTCTTATATATCGTTTTTGATTTAAATTATTATGCATTTTCGATTATTCAATAAGTTTGACTTTTCGACTTAAATAATCTTACCTTGCTTCTCCAAGTTCTCTATTAAAGGTCCCAATGGGTACATGTCTTTCCTGTCCACCAGGTTGTATTCCTTAGCAAAGCTGATAAAGTGAGCAAATAGAGAGTTCCAATGGGCCTCGAGTGATAAATGTATAATCTTATCAAAATGATGATGGTACATGTGGGCGAAAATTCTGAACATTTGAATTAATATTCTCTGGATGTCCTGAACGAAGTTAGGAGGAAATGCATACCCATTCTGTGTGGGAAATAGTACCTGGTCTGATACTTTGTTGTTTATCCACGTCAGCGCGAGGTCGATATACTGACCCGCAGGAAGTGAGACTTGTCTATTGTTGGCGTCAAGCCACATGTAGTCGGTGTGAGGCCCTGCGTTCATGGTTGGATACGCATCTGCAGTGACATACTCGGCAACGATTCCATAAAATTGATTCAGATTTGTGTAGAATTCGAAAATGTTGAGAGCAACCCATTCTCCAAGATCGACATATTTCGGGAGCTGAACTATTGTCTTGAAAGAGCCCTTCACCAGAGCTGTTCTTACGAAGGGTTCACTCAGAAATAGAGCTTGCTGTGTCTCCGGCCTCTCTGGTATTACAGCAGCAGCATTGCTTGGCTGAAAAGCAGGGGCCTGTTGGCCATCGTTGCCATTTCCACCACCATGATTGTTATTATTATGCGAAGTAGCCGAGTGTCTGGCGGGCGAATGCCTGCCAGGCGATTGCATTTGCATTTGCCTCAGCGACAGTTTAGAGTTGCTGCTATGTGAGTTGGAATATACGGAGTTCACAGGTGTATTAGAATTACCCACATGCTGGCTCTTGTTCTTTTTACTGCTTCTGCCAAATCCTCTAATTCGTGTGTTGGAAGTTAGTATGCTTGAAATAGCTTTTTTGAGGTAAATCTGTTATGAAAACATACTTGAACGTGTTGAAAAATGACATTAGTAGTGATAAGCTACAAAGTGGTTTATACCTGCTATATGAAGGCTATTCAACTTATCCGTCCATTCTATAATTCACAGTATTATGATTTAGAATACGCCATTTTTAAAATCCAATTGATCAAATACGTGTCATGGTTCACGAGGGTATTCGTCAAATCCTTTCATGAATCACTAAGAGTCCAGTACTGTTCCATCAAAATAACATCAATCATCAGTATCGGAGCAGTTGATTTGGTTACAATGTGTGACATTTTCATTTCTTTCTGTAGAGTCTGTAGAAAAATCTCATGTTTTCCACTTTCAATGGATAATCAATTTCGTCTTTGCTGCGATACCATAGCGAATCGTGTTCTTGAACCAAGTCCCAGGCACCTGTAGACTCTTGTCCTCTCTTCCCCAGAAGTAACGTGTCGATAAGGTACTGGATCGGGAACTTCTTGGTACCCACGGTGATGTGCGAGTAACTGCCAGCGCTTTCGACTATAAGTAAGTGACACCCCGACGCACAGTCCTTGTTGAGTCTTTGAAAGAATCTGATGCTGCTTGCCTTCTCTGCCATAAAAAGTTCATTGGTGGTGAATAGCAAAGTGATCAGGTTCAAGGACGGCAGATTTAGGTCCTCCGGGGCCATCTTCAGGACATCCTTATTAATTGACTGAATGTCCAAGTCTGCGGCGTGGTCAAATAGCCACGTCTCTTGCAGTTTTTCAGTAAGTCTCTGCACCTCTGTGGTCCAGTCGGCAATGTCCACAAGCTTGACCCGAAGAGTTTTATTCTGAAGTTCCGTTTTGTTGGTAGAATACTTGGCGTTGAAGTCGATAGAGGGCGCAAAGATACTCGCAATGCTAACAAGTTCGCCGCCGGCACCGCCTCCAATGCAGAGAATCTCGCTATTTGTGTTGCTCTGAACGATATCTCTGACCGCGTCCAAATGACAAAATAACGACGTGTACGCAATTGCTCTCGAGGGAGACCATCTGCAGCAGTATGCGGTTCTCTTTTCAGTCGAGTCAAACGCTGCAGCGTAGTTTCGGTTGTACAACTCCGTTTTCACACTTTGTATCGCATCGCTCAAAGTCTGACGGTCATCACGGTATAGTTCCTGATCAAACGTAACTTTAAACAGATCTATTACGTTCTGCGGTGACAAGCTGGACTCGTGATGGGCTGGAAGTGTCTTTATCGTGTCTTTGCTCATCGTTATGTACTTTCAACAGCTCATCGCATCGCTTGGAAAATCTGCTGCTGGTGATTTTAGCGCTGAAATTTGAGCAAATGTGCTCTCCAAAGCCGTAAAGGTGTGAGGGTGTTATATTGATGATATGTAGATAATGAGGAGGCATGAGTGCCCTGAATTCTTAGATTCCACACGTTTCGCGCACAAATAGTTCCTTTTACTATACATTACTGATACACGATGATAAAACCATTGAAAAACTCATCGAAACCTGGGATCGTGGATAAGCGGTCTGAATCAAACCGGCCAACCACATCCAATGCTGCGGAATCGATGATGTTGGGGCCTTTGGAGCCGCCCAAAGCCCTCCACATATTATTATAACATGCAAAATGAACACATCAAATTAAAACGGAGAAAAAACGGAGAGATAGAGTATTTAGTTGGGGGACGTCAATGCATTTACTCTTCGTCTTCCTCGTCCTCTGGAGTGACTTGGTAGAAGGCCAATTTGTACTCGTTGGTCTTGGTAGAGATGAATCTGATCCAGTCTCTCAATTGGTTCTTCTTCAAGTACTTCTTGGTCAAGTACTTCAAGTACTTACCGGAGAACTTGGTGGTGGAAACGACAGTGACAACAGAGTCGTTTTGTTCAACGGAGACGAGGTTACCCAAGTTACCCAAGTGACCGTCGACCTTGATGTGGTCGATCAAGTACTTGGCGTAAGAAGCTGGGTCGAAAACACCGTTCTCGGTTGGGGAAGAAACGTCGACGGTGAAGGTCTTGGTGATCTTTTGCTTTCTGGAGGTCTGCGAGCGAGACGGTTAGTACTTGGATGCCAAAACCTGCGAGTTACCATGTGCCTACTGCTATTAACAATTACAGTCGTGGAGAATCCGCTCCCGTGTAAATAATTAACAAACAGAATAGCCTGACGGAGCTATAAAAATACAGCTGTCCATCCTTCCCGAATTTGCCCACTTGTAAAGGTTTTTGCAGAGATACACTACTTCGTAACTGGAGAGTCCTACGGATTTCGCCAAATTTCACATACAACTGGAGCCATTATTGAATAGTACTTGATGCTTGACGTATATGTATGAAATTCAAGAGCTGTCAAACTGGCAAACTATCTAATGAATATCTCATCTCTAGTCTTCCAGCTTTCTCACAGAGTTGAAAAATTTCGGTCGTGTGCGTGGGTAGTGTGAGTTGCGTGATTATATATTATTCTAAAACTGAAAATTTTTTAACTTCCAAGAACTTTTTACACTTTTGAAAAGTTCTCACCAGTTTACAGGAAGAAAGTGTACAGGTGTTTGAAACAGTCACATTACGATGGTTCGTGAAACGCAGGGACCACTTCTTTGCATAGTAAAAGTCTTGGCACACGGAACATAACTCGAAATGGGACGAGATTCGTGTAGTTGGGGCTTGAGTTGTGTGAAGTAGGGAAGTCTTGGTAGGAAATATGAGACTGATGTGAGTTCGGATGATCTCAGGTGTTTTCTGTTTCATGGCGTGAATATTCAGAGAAAGGGTTTCGGCCCTCAGCTGTGTGTCAATCTTTTCCTTTTGATTTTCGCTTTTGGGCAGTAACAGTAGTAGCGGTTCGTATATCGCCGCCTCGGGTTCACTGGCTGCCAGCGTACGTGTCCGGCGAAGAAAAGGTCAGCAATAAGTGTCTCAGCTTCGGCATCTTTTTCGACGCTTGCTTGGTCGTTTCGCACTTCACATACATCGATATGCGGTCTTCAAAGAAACCCGAAACTCGTGTATACAGCGCTCTTTCGCTGCCTTAAGTCTTTCACATAAAGGCTAGCGGCAGACTTAAACACGTCCCAGAGAAAGAAAAACTCCGGAATGTATCGACATATGATGCAATGAGCTCAGCTCTCAATGTATTTAGTCACTGAATTTGATTCTAGAGACTTGGGTGACCCGCCTCACTGACGCTAGATCATCTTTATCCGAAACGCACATCGTTATTATGTGGCCTTGGGAGTGATCTGCTCCGTAATACATTTGTACCTTATTTATTACAGCGCCTTCCAGCATCCGGGAGAGAATGGAAGTGCTCTGTTGTTGACTATTGCGAAGACGATGATTCTACGATAGCACTTGTAACTGTTCGATGTCCTCTTCACCTGATAACTACTTTTGTCAGTAAACAAACCGTTGATTTTAGTCACTATGTGGGTTTCTGGAAATCAAGAACAACTGGTTCTTCCTGAAAAGCCAAAGCAATTCTTTTGCTTTCTCCATTGTAACTCATCAGTACTGACTATCTAGCTATGTCCTAGAAAATCCACTCGTTTAGGCTGAAGGCCATGCCACAACAACAATTGTATGTAACACACCCACGGTAGGTCTCAAATAGACCATATGCAAAGTATTAAGTCCTCGTCGATCTAATTGAAAACAACCTTTGAATCTCTCACAAGGTCCAAGCTCATAAATACGAGCCAAGAGATGAAATTTTCGCGTATCTAATTAGAACTTCTTCTGTCATTCTAGCAACAGTAAGGTTCAAGTTTATGAGAACGAACAAGGCTACGTGTTAACCTTCTTCAAATCAGCAAAATCCCTCCCCCCTCCCTCTCTACGGCTCAGCTACATAATCATGAAACTTGTATCGAAAGCATAGCCTCTACGTTGACCCACTGTCAGTTTCTTGATCGCGTCTTGGTGAAAACACCATTATTTACTGATATTCAATTCATAAATGTCTATCGCAATTATAGCCTATTGCAATTGCTGGAATTTCGAGTTTGACTTTGTTAAAGGAGGGGTCTATAGATGTAGTGATGGTGCAGTCCTCTATGACCGCGACTTAAGGACCGTGCTCAATCACTTCTCTCGCGTATAAACAAGTGCGATGAATTAGGCCTATACTCGATTCACCATATGTCCAAATGGATGGGAAGGCGTTGATTTTTATAAGCTCAGAGGGTTTCGATTTACCTAGTTCTAAAGGCGTGGGAAACTTTCCGATTATCAAAATTGAAACAATTCAAATAATGTTTTCTAATTTAAAGTAGAGTACACATCGAAGTTGCATGGATATAACACTTTGAATCGGCTTTTCCCGACTGAAAAATATGGGAGATGAGTCGGATAATGACTTTGAAACGGGATTGAGAGAACTTAATATCACCAAACGAGTTCGTAGAGATGAGATCAGTGCAGACAAGGCTCCCGAGTTGGATGTTGCGCTAATGATTGGCAAGCCTGGCAAACCCAAGGAATCCAGGAACATAGAGGCCAATACTAAAGGGGAGCAATCAAAAGATGAAGGGTTGCCTCCAAAACCCGATAAGGGATTGCAGAGCCCTGTAGAAATTGGAGAAATCTCCTCAAACTCACGCAACATCGAACTTCACGATGACCCGGGCTCAAGCTCGGATTCAGACTCATCCCATGAGTGGAGCGCTGTTCCAGCAATTGCCTCCTACGACATTTACAGCAAGAGCGGTGAATTGGCACTCGCGGCTCAGAATGAACCACCCAGTCGCGGTCCTTTAGGTGGCTCTGCAGGTGCCTCGTCCGATCGAATCAACATTCAAAAGCGAGTTTCCACGTTTGGATACACAAAGATTGCAGACGAAGAACAAGCCCAAAGATCGCATGCCACAAACCAGAGGACTGACTTTCTTTTCAACCACAAGGCTCTGAATGAATCGGTGCGATCTCTCGACGGGGCAGGACCCTCTACAGAATCGTTCGACGAATATGAGGATGCAGCAGAACCTGGCTCAGAGCTGAGTCCGGGGGCCCAACTTTCCTTCACCAAAACGTTATTAAGTGATCGAGAAAAGCTGGCCTATGTTGGATCCATTTCGGTTTTAGCCAATGAACTATGTACCCACTTAGCGTTGACCTGTCTCTGCACAAATGTGACTGGACGTAAGAAGCTGGCGCAAAAGCTTCAGCAATTACAGAAGGATATGGGCTTATGGAAGAGCTCTCTTTTGTCGAAGCTTTATGAACACTTAGAGATATCGCCTGAGGAAGTCGGCATGATAGAGAACCTTACCAGCCATGGTGTAGAACTCAAAGACTTGTGTAAGTGTTTGAAAGTTGCTCAGGTCGTGGAAAACCCTTGGGAAAAAAAGGATATTGGCGATACAAATCCAGAACTTCAAGAATCGGACGTGAAGAACCCACCTCCAACAAACATAGTACACCCGAAGGATCTGCAAACACAATCGGAGCTCAAAATAGATGTGGCATGGACGATTGTCTGTGATTTGTTTCTCTTGTTGCTTTCGGATAATCGATACGATGCACGGTCCCGGACGTTATTTATTAAGTTCGCCGAAGTCCTAAATATCTCACAAACTGAGATTTGTGAATTTGAGAGACGAATTATTGATGCACTAGATATGGAACAATCCACAGAAGAACAGGTGTGGAATGAAACTGAGCATATGAAGGCTCGTAGGAAGAAAAACAAAAGGCGAAAATTGTACTATGTGGGTCTGGCTACTATCGGGGGTTCTCTAGTTCTTGGTTTAAGCGGCGGTTTGTTAGCCCCCGTCATTGGCGCTGGTATCGCAGCCGGACTTTCGACCGCTGGCATAACTGGTGCAACAGGATTTCTAACGGGAGTTGGTGGAACAGCATTTGTCGCCGCTACAAGTACAGCGATTGGAGCCAAGATTGGTACAGAGGCCATGTCTAAAAGAATGGGAAGCGTTAGAACTTTTGAATTTAGTCCCTTGCATAATAACAGAAGGGTGAATCTAATAATAAGTGTATCAGGTTGGATGACTGGTAACGAGGATGATGTTCGACTACCATTCTCTACCGTGGATCCAGTAGAAGGAGATCTTTACTCACTGCATTGGGAGCCTGAAATGCTTAAATCTACCGGCCAGACTATCAACATTTTGGCCAGTGAGATATTTGCGACAACTGTCCAACAAATTCTGGGTGCTACTATACTGACAGCTTTCATGTCCGCAGTGCAAATGCCCATGATGCTTTCAAAATTGGGCTACTTAATTGATAACCCGTGGAATGTTTCCCTAGATAGAGCTCGGGCAGCTGGTCTAATATTGGCAGACACTCTCATATCTCAAAATTTGGGCCAGCGCCCAATTACCTTAATGGGATTTTCATTGGGTGCCAGAGTAATCTATTCGTGTTTGGTGGAGCTATGTAAGCGTAAAGCTGCTGGAATTGTCGAAAACGTCTACATTTTTGGATCACCGATAGTCTATAATCGCGAAGAGCTGGTCATGGTTCGGTCTGTTGTGAGTGGGAGGTTTGTCAGTGGCTACTCAGATAAGGATTGGGTCTTGTGCTACCTGTTTAGAGCCACAGGCGGTGGTTTCAAAAGTGTGATAGGTATCTCTGAAATTAATGGAATAGAAGGAATCGAGAATCTCAATTGCACGGAGCTTGTTGAAGGGCACATGGCCTACCGTAAAAACATGCCCAAACTACTGAAAAAATTAGGCATCTCTGTTCTCAGCGAAGAGTTTGTTGATATTGAAGAAGCTGCCGACCCCGAGCAAGTGCATCGGCAGAGACGGTTAGAGCATGATATGGATAAAGTCCAAAAAAAAATGATTTCTAAAAAGAAGCGCAACAGCTGGGTACCGCACTGGATGAAACCGAAAAAGGCCAAATGGCAAGAAATGTATGAAGAATCAGCTTTGACACACGAGAGCGAGGCTCAAGATGTAAGCTTGGATAAAGATTTCGGAGTTGACGAAGACAAGACAGAGAAAACAGATGAAGCCATAACTAATACGAGTGCATTAATGAAAGAACTCAATAAGTTGAAGAAGGAAGCTGCTGTCAAAAACGAAAAGGAGGCTCGGACCAGTGGTGAAGTTTCTAAAAGTCAAGACAACGTCACCTCTGAAGCCACCGATGATACATCAGGTCAGCCAACTGCGATGACTAGAAGTTTTCCACTTCTCGACGCTGGGATGGTAGTTCTTCCTGAAGATGAAGTGAGTTACAACAAACGGAGCCACGGACCCGTGAATTTTGCCTTTTCAGACGACTTCTGAACCCCGTAATACGTATCTACTACTTCCGTTGATTGTGTCTATAAGCAAGGAATATATACCCGACTAAAAAATTACAGGAACACCTCGGCGTTTAGCTCCACGTAAGAGGCAGCGTATGGTAAATCAAAATTTTTCATAACTTCTGGATGCAAAACACCCAAAGAGCCAATCTTCTTGGCGTCTTCACCTTCCTTTGATCTGAACATAACCTTGGCTCCTCTTCCGGGGAAATAGGTTTGTAAAGATTCGTCTTGCTCAATCCAGTATCCTCTGGTAGTAGAGGCCTTGCCAAAATCTGCTACCCACTGGGTTCTGAAAGTTTGCATTATTTTACCCAATAGGCCTTGAATTATTTCGAACCCGGAGTTTTTGCCGACGTATACTGCTCCCCAGTGACGTTCATTGTACGCCTTGCGCTCCAACTTGTCATTCTTAAAAACTACGTCACCAGCTTCAAAGACTTTGATGGGTAACGTGTGCTTCCTATTTTCTCTTACTGTTTTTAAGATACCTGGAAGCAAAGTAGTTCTTACCACTTGGTATTCGGAAGTCTTTGGATTTGCTAGCTTAACTGATTGAGTACCGTCATCTTCAACTCTCAAAAATTTATAGTTTTCATCGTGAGAACACAAGGTTAAAGGCAAGACTTCTAACCAAGATGCTTGAGCGGAAGCGGATCTGAAAATATCAGAAACTTTGTTGATTGGCAAAGCAGAAGCAACAAAGTTTGCATTGGAAAGCTTCTCGCCCTTTGGTAACTTGTTGTATCCGTATCCAATAGCAGCATCTTCCATAATATCACAAGGATGTAGAATGTCAGGTCTGGTGATGGGAATTTCGACCTTGAGGTAGTCCTTCTTCTCTGAAGGCGCGGCGCTTAATGACATTTTTTTCAAATTGGCACAGATTTCCTGGGGGCTAAGTTCTAAGCCCAGACAAGAGTTGATGTATGGAGTAGAGACCTCCATCGTCTTAGGCGTAAAATTGGGAGTCATGCGAGACTGGTCGTTGTGTGGGGAAACAATCTCAAGAGGCTCCACAGTAAAAGGCTCAGCACAGTAACGAGAGAACATAGCAACAATTTGGTTGATGACGATCTCCACTTTAGTTTTATCAGTAGCAGTGCATTCTATGAAGACGTTTTTAGTGTTGATTGAAATTTTTGAGTGCTCAGAGTTGATCAAAGGTGGCAAGGAGCAAACGGTACCTTCGCTATCGAAGACGACGGGGTACACAGGTGAGTTTTCAATGATGTGAACGAATCTACCTAGGTTGTTTTTCTGATCTGGTTGCTTGTATAACTCGACCAATTCAGCACCGTTGTATTCTTTAGTCTGGTTCAATGGTACAAACTTGAAGTCCTTTGGAGCAACGGCCTTGTAATAGAATGGGCCTTTGATGGTATCAGCGTCATGCGTACCCATGGCGACCAAACTTCTGTTTCTGCATAAGTTGGAGTGCAACTTGTCCTGGAGATCGATGAATGACTGGTAAGACTTCTCAGTGAAAGTGATGCCTCTGAGTATGGCGCCTGCTGCGTAAGGTCTAATTTGCTCCGTAGAAGGCTCGATGTATAATTTCGTGCTTGGTTTTGAGAGTTTGTACTCTGGGGTTTCCTTTTTGCCCAAAAATTCGTTCAATGACTGAGCAATACCCTCTGTGCATAGCAAGTCATAACGATTGGCACCAACTTCGATTTTCAGCTCTGGTTCAACATTCAGTTTCAAAGCTTCCTCGGTGGTGTCTTCATCTAATTCCACACCAAATTCGAAGCAAAGTTCGTCGAACTCGTCGTTCGAGTACTGTTTGCCAAGTAACTCGTAGAAATGTTGTTTAGGGACTGAGATGGTAGGCATTATGGCACAGTTTACACTCTTTCTAGCTTCCGGATTAAAGATTGATGATTATTTGATTCTCATGTCATTATTGGAAAAATTTTGACCTTCGTCTTGTGTGACGATTCATTAAGTCTTGAAGAACACTCAACGTTTATACCAAACGAATTCGGTGATACTCCTCTTTAATTGAGTCTTGTATAGGTGGTGTATGATTAAGTTTACAGCATGTTTTCGTCGACCACCATTTTTATTTAGTTAGGGTGGAGAAGCTACCTTCCTTCAGGTACCTTCTGCAAATAACAAACGTGCATCAATTCTTTTCGCTTTCAAAGCATGGCAGTAGTAATTGTAAGTTATCATAAATTACTACGATTGTGTATCCTCTTGCTATTATGCTAAACTATATCAATGTCGTCCGATATGGGGGCCAAATAAAACAGATTGCTCAATCTAGCGCATCGCCAGTATTTGCTTGAGCGAAGGGTACGTCCGGGTCGGCATCGCTAATCATCGTTTCGTCAGCATCTTGGCTTTTCTTCAATGTGTACTTGAGCAGCAATGAACGTAACTGTTGTACGCTAACAGGACGTTCCAGAACGTCGTCGAAAACACATGCCTGTTGGGCCTCTTGGAAAAAAGCAGTGACAGCCACGATTGGGGTTGTACTGTTGGAGCTGTTAGTGTTGCGGAGTAGCTTCACAATGTCAATGGCACCGAGTTTTGGAAGCTTGAGTGCAGTGAAAATTAAATCAAATTTAACGTCGCTGGTAGCTCTCCGCACCATTTCGTCCCCCATTGAGACGCTGATTACTGAGCAGCCAAGGGTTTCTAGATCTTTCGTTAGCTTGAAGCGATGTATGGGGATTGGCTCACAAACCAAAATGTCAAGATTATAGACAATATCGCTTATTCCAGAAGAGCTCTTGCGTTCACTGCGCCGGCGCCCACGAGTGCTTGCAGCCCGTGACAAGGCACGGAGCTCGTCGGACTCGTCTGTGAAAACATCTCCTAGACTTGAACGCTTTGATGAGGTGCGCGATTGAAGTCTGGCTCTGGAACATGTATTTTGCGGGGACAGCGACGATTTGAAGCGAGAAGCAGGCGATGGAGAACCAGTTTCATCGTAAAACGATGACGGGGAGTTCAGAGCATTTTCAACCATGCTGCCAGCACTCCGTCGATTTATAACAGCCATCTCATTGCTATCCCGTCTACTGGGCGAGTGGTGTTTAGCCGAGCTTGGCGACGCGGAGGTTCTCGTCGGCATGCCTGAGACTCCCGCAGATGTGTTTACGCTGCTACTCTTGGTGTATCTATGTTTGTTTGAAACATCAGATGAGGAACTTGAACCACTAGAAGCACGGTGGTGGTGGTGAAATCCTTGCTCGACCAAGTGCTCATTTTTGAGTCGATTAATGGCATCTTTATTAGCTCTGTCAAGAGCCGGCAAATTTCTAAAATTAAAAGAACCAAACTCAGTTTGAACCTCATTTAGTTTGCTCACTCTTCTTTCCCTCAGGTGTGGTGGGATGGCCATTGGTATATGTTTGGCCGTGGGAGAATTGTTATTGCTATGATCATCCTGCGAGCCAGATTCCAAAACAGATCCTACTGTAAGTTTTTGTACTGGAGTGGTTGACTGGCTGCTTCGCTCACTACTAGTTCTCTTCGGTGCTCTGTCCAAGTCACTGGTCAACAGTTCCGCAACTTTTGATTGCTCTGTGTCTGACTCACTGAAGTCTTCTAGCTGAGCACCACGTAAGTCAAAGTAATCCGTACTTTCGGGGTGTGCTACTTCAGGCACAAATGATCCTGTCTCTGCATATAATTGCTCCCAATCAACATCCTTGAAGTAAGGATGTTCGAATATTTCGTGTGCGCCATTTGCACCTAGTCGCTTACTTGGATCTACGACAAGAAGCCTCGAAATTAGGTCTTTCGCTTCATTGGATACAAACTCTCTTTCGGCTTCTTCGTCCGGAAATTTTGGCCAATCAATCATACCGGCAAGGATATTGCTAAACACTTCCTCAACTGTTCGAGCGTGGAATGGGGGGTAGCCGAAGGAAAACTCAAACAACATGCATCCTACTGACCACCAATCGCAAGCATCAGTCTCTCCAGTGCCTTCAATCGTTTCGGGAGCCAAATAATCTGGTGTTCCAAAAAATCTTTTAGCATGTTTCGAATCCTCAGGATTGAATAAAGCGTAATCTGGCGTCGGGCTGTTGTTTTCCCAGTTCTCTGAGATATTGGAGCTTGCTCGCTTGTGTAAAGACATTGGAGGGGGAGATCCACCCCCTGGAAAATCTGCAATGGAGAACGACAACTGAGACCCTGATCTATGCAGTACCGGTACTTCAAGAGCAGACTGTGAACTTGAGTTAGAGTTAGAGCGCTCAGTTTTGAATATTACGCCGTCTAAAGCATGACTCAATGTTGGGGAGTCCGATCTTAATTTCCATTTAAAAGCCCGGTCAACGTTTAAATTATCCTCTGAAGTAGCACTATCTTTGCGGCTGGCGTTTTGGCTCTCCTTTTGATCGGCCAGTGTATGTCTAGTGACCAATCCCATTCTGGACAAGCCAAAATCGGTCAACTTGAGATGACCACGGCTGTCGATTAGTAGGTTATCGGGCTTTAAATCATGATGAATTATACCGCTTTGATGCATCTCAGCGACACCATAAATTACTTCCGTAATATACTGTTTAGTCCACTGTTCTGGTAAATTTCCCATCATTTTGATTAAAGTTGCTAAATCACCACCGCTCAAATACTCCATAACGAGGAATAAGTTGCCTCTATTCTGAAACGTCGCAAAAAGTTGGGCAACGTATGGCTTATTGCTTTGAACCATCATTATAGCCCGTTCCGATTTCACATTTGTAACTTGATTTTTGACAATCATATCAGACTTTTTAAGAACCTTAATAGCGAAATACTCCCCCGTTATTCTTCTTTTTGCCAAATATACGCTACCATACGCCCCTTTACTGATCGGTTTGATGATATCATAGTCTCTTATGCTTGGCGTGCTAGCTTTCGCTTGGTTGGTGGCCAAGAGGAGTGGGGATAAAGGTTGTTTAGGAACAGCGACAGATTGAACTTCTGGCGTCAAATAATCTGATGATCCAGCGTAAGGTGATGTTATTGGGGACCTGTCAAAACTTCCGTGATTTCCGGGCCTAAAAATCGCGTTCTTCTGCAATGATGACAACGGAGTGTTGACCCCCCCTGAAGATGGGAGAGAATCTCTTCTGGGTGTGAAGTCATGATTGCCACTCGTTCTTGGATGGCCACTTGAATCAGGTAATATAAGCTTAGGTGTCCCGCCAACCGATTCATAAATCTTAGGTTGTTCGACATTTAATTTTTCATGCACGAAGTTTGATTCAGGGTGAGGCTGTTTTGGTGTGATAGACTGCGAGCATGATCTTGAGTTGTTCCGACTATCGAACTCTTCCATCGCGTCGTGATTTGAAGGACTCTGTATCTTTCGGGGAATTTCATCTGTGCCAACATACGCATCTGCGAATAATCCACTTGGTGCTTTCTGAGGCCGAGGTGATGCGATCTTACCTCCCGGCATGGTTGGCTCGCTCTCTTCACTTAGAGTTGAATTTGCTGGGGATCTTGCTGATATTCGACTTATGCCACCACTATGCATTGTATTCAGCTTATTACGTTCCAGCTTTTCCCTGATAAGTTGCAAAACGTAATTATCAATCTCGTTCTTGATCTTCAACGAGTATTTCATAGCATTGTCAAGTCTAAAAAGAAATTCAACCTTACGAGATGCTAAAGCCAATGTATTAGTCTTCAAAAGATCGAGCGCAGGGTTAGTTACCTCGGATTGGTGCTTCCACGTAATGATATTTTCAATATTCTTTTGTGTGCCAGGCGAAAACTCATATAGGACCTGTGCGGCATCACTGTGCTGCATGGCTGCTCCAGGAATTTCCTTCAGTTCACTAGTATTCGTATTGATTGCATCGTCGCACAGCTCTATAAGAGAGGCCAAAGTTTTAAAAGGAAAGCGCAACGTTTGGAAGATTGAATTAGAATTTTTACGGCCGTTCGACGACTTCTTAAAGATACTGAAAGCAGAGGTATCGTCTGAAACTAATGCGCCACAGGGGCTATTTGGCAGTGCTGTTTCGCTAGCTTTCGGCAGCGGTAAACCATTGTATTGAGTTATGCGACCATCATTGGCCTCGATAGACATAAACATCTCCTCGATGTACATTCGAAGCTCCACTAGCTTGTCGTGATGAAGCTGCACTACACTTTCAATTTTGTGTTCAACGATACATGATTCCGAGTGAGTCTCTAACCACCAGGCCGGCACAGGCGATTCGCAAACTCGGCAGAGCTCGTTTTTGGGAGTGGGCAAATCCAGTTCATCAGTTACCATTGAGTCCTCTATTTCGCTGAGATATTGTGAGAAGATTGTAGCGCCAAATCCCAGTCTTTTTACTAGATCCTGGGGTAAATCAGTTATATTTCCCATCTCACAAAAAGGCTTAACGATCCACATAGAGTGAGTAGGTAAATTGTTTATTCCAGCTGCTATAATTATGCCCTGAGCGTCAAGCTCAATTAGCTCGGGCTTGACAGTAGTAGCCGTTCCGTTATCAGAGCCAGCACTGGAGCTGGTTTGAGTTTTGCTATTGCCGGTGCTACCGGATTCAACCAAAAACCGAACTTTGTAGCTACAGTCCTCGCGGATCATCAAGTCAATAGCTCTTTGAAAAACTGACCGGTCCTGGTCGCTCCCTACCAGAATATCTGAAATCGACTGTCCCACTATGGCTTCAACGCTGGTCCCCACAATATGTTCCCAAATAGAGCTTAAATACCTTATTCTGCCATCCATGTTGAGCTCCAACAAGATACTAGCACTTGTATCAGTAGCTACCTTGAGATATTCATCATACGATAATGTAGATCCTGAAGGAGACGCTGGAGATAATATTTGAGACTGGGCAGAATCTGGACTGTTACTTCCCGAGTTAGGCGACGTTCGTGAATAATCCTCAATTGAAAGAGAACTGACGTTCATCTTATGCAGTTCAGAGCGTTTTGAAGGTAGTTTTGATCAATCCGATTCTTTGTACTTCGTAAAGTGTGAAAGCTGCAATAAGTAGTAGACAGGCCACAATTCTGTCTCGAAACGAAGAACTACTCTTCAAATATGTGTCGATGCCCTTAGTACGCTCCCAACACACTCCGGAACAATACAAGGACCGCCTTATTGCTTCAATGAATTGAGTAATGTAGATTTGCCAGAATTATAACTTCTGTTTTGAAAATGAAAGGGTTGAGTAAAGAAAGAGAGAACACAATGTAGACAAAGAAGTGCTGTTGGAGTGTGCGCTAAAACTGGCATGTACTAGCTACCTAATTGTAGCTGGCTTCTTTGTTTCCTTTTGCCGGTCTCGTTTTGATAGAATTATAGAATGATGGCTACGTTAAGGACGTGGGAGTATTCGCGAGGATTTTAATTATTGCTACTTCATGCGCCTACTTGCGAAACAACATGTGTGGCATGAATAAGTTCTACACTGTGGTATTGAAACACTCGATTGTACTTCAGGGTCTTTGATTATATTTGATATCACGCTTGTAGGAATTTTTGAGGGCGAAGCTTGAACTTAAGAACTTGACCTTCTTATTCAATAACTACTTCAAATGCGAGGATATATAAGCAGAGCAAGCTCATTTGGTTTGAAATCTAGAATTAGGCCCCGCAACCAGCTTCTGCAAACTGTAACATCCAGATTTGTGAATACCGAAGCTTCAACTAAGCGAAGAAACCCATATTTGACAAGTCGACCAATCGACAGAGTTAAGTCCGTTATGAGCACTGGAAACTCTAAAGAAGCGACCGTAGAGTCCAAAGATATCAGCAAACCTATTGTGTGGGTTGATTGCGAGATGACAGGGCTGGATCACACAAAGGACAACATTATAGAGATATGTTGCATCATTACCGATGGTGATCTGAATATCGTGGACGAGGAAGGTTACGAGAGTGTGGTTCACTGCGATAAAGAGATCTTGGAAGGCATGGATGAGTGGTGTGTTGACCATCACGGATCTAGTGGCTTGACGCAAAAAGTGTTAGAATCCAGCAAGACTACGCAGCAAGTGGAAGACGAGCTTTTGGCATATGTGCAGAAGTATATTCCTACAGAACGCAAGGGCGTGCTAGCAGGTAACACGGTTCACATGGATCGTCTATTCATGTTGCGCGAGTTCCCCAAAGTTGTGAAGCATCTATTCTACCGAATCATTGACGTTAGCACCATTATGGAGGTTTCATTTCGGCACAACTCAGAGCTGGCGTCTGTTTTCCCCCGCAAGAAAGGAGCGCACACCGCTAGAGCGGACATTCTTGAGAGCATAGCGCAGCTCAAGTGGTACAGAGAGCACTATTTGAAGAGCACTGACGAGACAAAAGAATTTGTGACTAAACGCAGGGCGGAAATGGAGAAGGACAACGGCGATAACGGTGGCCAGGACAACGGCGACTCGGGGGTTAGTGGTGTATTCAATGCCGTGAAGGAGTCTGCCCTACAAGCAGCAAGCTCGCTGAAAGCGGCCGCCAGCGAGGCTGCTTCGGCACTCAGGAACGATGAGAAAGAGGGCTCGTCGGCCAAGAAGCAAAGAGTGGAATAGTAAAGGTATGAAGAAGGACTCGGCGTAAAAACGTCACAGTGCAAGAAGGACGCAGTGCAATACATTTTCTGTCGCAAGGCTATTTCCGAGCGTGCTTTGCCAGTCTAATTCCCTTCCTTCCTACGTCAACAACCCGCAGCCAGGGTTGTTCACACCCAATTTACCTGACCCGTCTCGATCGAAATGCCTCGCATTTCTATCAAGCTTCTCTGCCGCGTTACGCATGACACCAATTCATCTACATAGAACCTAAACTTCCTAAAACAAATATAACGCATCAACGCCTACCAACAAGCCCCCGCTTCTACTTCACACCCGAAAAACTACGCCATACTTACTCGCGATTTTCGTGGTTCGCTAACACGATGGTATTCTGAACAATTTATAGAAGTGTCAAAAAAAAATTTCTTGAAAAGACTATATAAAGAGATCAATTTTCGAAACCCGGAGTTTCCAATTTATTAAATACACCAGTGGATCATCAAAATCACAGCTAACGCTAAAAAATTGCCTAAATCGGGTGGAAACGATACAGCAAAAAGCAGAAAGCATCTACAATCGCCATTCATGATCAACAATAGCGTTTCAGGACCGGGTTTGAGTGTCAACGACATACCCGTGGACTTCAAGTCGACTTTGCCACCGCGCAAAAGAGCGAAAACAAAGGAGGAGAAGGAACAGAGACGTATCGAGCGGATTCTGCGCAACAGACGTGCTGCCCATCAGAGCCGCGAAAAGAAGCGGCTGCATTTGCAGCATCTGGAGCGCAAAGCCGCGCTTTTGGAACAGATTTTGAGCTCCAAGAGCGTGGCTCAGCTCGTGCACAGCGACCGGAATCTGAGCACGATATACGACGAGTACCAATCGCTGGCGTTGGCCGCGGCAGACGTGGACGAAATGCCGGTTTCAGAGGCCCACGGGAGTCCCGAAAGCGCCACAGGTGGCCATCGGACCCCGGAGTCGCTGCCGGAACGCTCTGCGTCGCTGTCGGCCTCGTTTCCGGCGCTGGCGTCGAACCAGCTCAAGCTGACGCCGCAATCCAACTCTTCTGCCTCATCTCCTGCGCCGTCCCTGGCGCCAGATGTCTGTTTGAAACAAGAGATGGAGCCCCACCTTGTTGTGGCGGATCCTCTCGCCGATTCTTTCGAGGAGTCTTCAGCTCCTGCGGAAGTCACGTTCGACTCCAGCAGTATCCTGATGTCTCCCAACGGAGTCATCTCTACTGAAAATGATGCTGGTTTCGAACTATGCAATGACCTAGATGTGTCCAATTGGAACCTTCTACTAACTAATGACCATGACGAATACCCCCCACATTCCTACGACGAAGACGAGTACCCTGTCCTCGACAAGACTGATAATTCCTGGGGCCTTGACTCATTGCGTAATCCAGCCGTGATTAAGTTACTAATGAGAGCCTAGTTCAGAGAAGACGAAACACTAAAAAGATAACATTTTTTTTTGCAAAGAAGGAAAAGCTCCCCTCCCCTCCCTCATATTGACCACTCCGACGGGACCTCTTAATTGAGAGTCTCCTGTCGTGCTAGGATAGGACACCCTCCCATGCCTACATTAAGCTATCGTTTCCACCCGATTTACACGCAGCTCCTTCTTTAGCACAGCTCTTCGTTCTTTCTCTTACTATGCTGCTTGAACTGCCAGAAGCGCAGTCAGGTTCTACCTTGGAATTAGATGATTTCATTTCCATTCACTAGAATGGAAGGGTGTTTTTTTTTACATACACTCGTTCGGATTGGAATGGTGATCTCAATTTTCCTGGTTCAAACTTGTCTTGACATTTGAAACTCGCCCAATTTGCGGTTCCGTAACAACATGTGGCGCGCCCCTCCGCTGGGCTGCGACTGGTTGAGAACGTACGATGGATCCGCTACATTGGTAAGATTTCGCTTGACATCACAACTTTCAACCTCTACAGTTGAATCTCTCATTATTTTTATCACTTTCGTCGTTGGGTTTATAGTCGTTATTGGAAAAACGCGTTCGGACGTTTTGCGACTCTTGTACATTAGTTCTGTCTGTTGGGACATACAACATATATATGTATATATATATATATATCTTTAAAATTTTTGGGTCTTCATGGAGCAGCGCGTCTAGCTTTTATTAAACACGAACTTTTGATCATAAAATCGCACAACATCGGCACTGGCTCTTGTTAACAAACATGTCTGAAAGCAGCATACCGTTCCCTGATATTGATCCATACCAAGTGCTACAAGTACAACAATCGGTGTCGGAGACCGAGCTCAGAAAATGTTACCGAAAGCTGATGCTTCGTTATCATCCTGATAAGACCAAAGACTGGACTCCAGAGGCCAAAGAGAAGTTCCACAAGATTCAATTCGCGTTTGAGATCCTTGAGAAGTTCAGAGATGTCTACGACAAGACTGGCTCCGTGGAAGCCTGCTTCAACGGCACAGATCTCGAGAATTGGAAGGACCTATTCGACACGGATGTGGTGATTGACAAAGACACCATTGAACAAGATAAAGTGAAATACAGGGGAAGTTCTGACGAAACTCAAGACATTTGCGACTCGTGGCGCTCCAACGAACAGGAAAAGCCCAAGAAGCGGTACGTGCCTGACGAAGACCAATTCGCCCTGCTATTCCAAGAAATCCCCCACGTCGAAGCCAACGAAGAGGATGAAGGCTATATCTACGACAGAGTGTCCAAGATGCTGAAGGACGGCCTCATTCAAGACAACAACGGTAGTTTCGCGCGCTGGACGCAAAATCGCGCCAAATATCTAAAAGGTCTCCAGAACCGGCTCGCCAAAGAAGCGAAACTCGCGGCCAGCATGCTTTCCGACATGAAATCTAAGTCTCAACCCGTCGACGACGAGGACCAGCTTCGTCAGCTCATCCAGAAGAAGAACAAGACCTCGTTCGACTCTCTTATTTCCAAGTTGGAGTCTCAAGCTGTTGCAAAAGGCCAGCGCAAGGGCAAGAAGAACAAGAGAGCCCATGCCGAAATTGACGACGAAGAGTTCGCTAAGCTGAGGGCCAAAGTCACCAAAAGGCGTGGCTAGTGTGTCCTGGTTGGTGCCCGTGACCGAAATACGCTCGTTACCCTCTCGGTAATACCGTTCGTGGATTATTTGGTTCGTCGCTGACAGGTTTTGCTTGTTTGACCGGCGAACTCCGAACCGTGGGTAATGTTTCTCCTGTGAGGTCAGCAAAGCACACAAGCAGGCAGCATATATGTAAAAGCTTTTAAAGGAAGCAATACAGCCGGACTTTTGCCAGCATTCTTTCAGTTTGACAGCTCGAGCATCGCAGTGAGATTGAAAAGTTAAAAAAATGTCAAGCAATATTCTACTGATTCCCGGCCCGATTGTAATCAGCGAAAATGTTCAGGCAGCGTTGGGCACGCCTTCGTTGTCGCACACTGGACCTGAGTTCGCGGCGATTTTCTGCAGTACTTTGCAGAAAACCCGTAAGTTGTTCAAAGCCGGGGAAACTGCTCAACCGGTGTTGCTAGCCGGCAGCGGTACTTTGGGGTGGGATGTCGCGGCATCCAACCTTATAATTCCTGGCGAAAGAGTGCTTGTTTTAAGCACTGGGTATTTCTCGGACTCGTTTGCAGAGTGTTTCCAGACCTACGGTGCGAAGGTCGACAAGCTGACCGCTCCATTGGGCGGCCAAGTCCCGGTAAGCGACGTACGGGAGGCTTTGGCCAATGGACACTACAAGATGATCAGCATCACCCACGTCGATACCTCCACTGCGGTGTTGAACGATGTCAGGTCCATTTGCAGAGTCGTCAAGGAAGTGTCGCCTGAGACCTTGATAACCGTCGACTGTGTTTGCTCGGTCGGGTGCGAGAAACTGGAGTTTGATGCCTGGGGCATCGATTACGCTTTAACAGCCTCTCAAAAGGCAATTGGGTGTGCACCTGGTCTCAGCATCTCCATGCTCAGTGAAAGAGCCGTGGGCGTGGCTCTGAACAGAGAGGCACAATCTTCGTTTTTTGCCAGTTTGAAGAGGTGGATCCCAATCATGCAGAGCTACGAAAAGGGCTCGGCTGCTTACTTTGCTACTCCAGCCGTTCAACTGATTAACGCCCTGGACGTGGCCATTGGAGAGGTCTTGAAACCAGGTTTGGACGCACGCATCGCTAAGCATCGTGACATTAGCAATTGGTTCAAGAGCAAGGTTACTGAGGAATTGGGTCTGAAGTTGGTGAGTGCCAACGAGCGCGTCTCTGCTCACGGCTTAACTGCCATTTACGTAAAGAACCCACCAGAAGTTATCTCCGCGCTGAAAAAGAGTGGTATAGTAATAGCTGGTGGTATCCATAAGGACATCAAGGGCGAATACATTCGTGTTGGCCATATGGGTGAGTCTGCTTGTAACGATTCGCTGCAACACATTCAAAAGTGTTACGACGCTTTGAAATCGCTCAACTTGTGAGTTGACCAGGAGAAGCATGAGCGTACCAAATGGGTGGTTTTAGCATGTTATAGTTCCACCATCATGTGTAGCAATGTAGTAAATGAGACGATGATCTTGAATGTTTCTGGCTGGAGTGTAATGGTGGAGAGTCGAATTAGCGCCAGCAATGAAATCGGTTGGTAGAGGTGTGAGAAGTTTCGGCTTTGGTGATCGTGCTTCAAATGCGAATTCGAAATTTTTTTGCAAGAGCTATGGGAGCTAGCAGTGATGGGGGGTAGATTAGCTGATGATAAGCCATTAATAGAGGTCGTTCAAACCCTATAAGCATGGGAGTTGCTTTATAACAAATCAAAGCACGTTCAACAGATATTTACAAATACAGAGGCCAAAGTTCCAGCAAACCTAAAAATGAAATGGGTATTGGTTTCGTTGCAAATGAATATGACACCAAGTTTGTAAGCTGCAAGAGATCGGTTCGCGCTTTTAGCCAACATTCATGTTGTTAAAATACGATTGTAGTGTTCGTTGGAGCTGGATCAGTGCTATGTCGTAATAATTGTAATTTTGCCATACCACCAGATGCGTAGAACCTCAACTGTGGAATACGAGTCTCTTACCACGAGCTGGTGCTACTTCAGAGGATAACTAGCGAGAATTCAGGAGCTAGTGCTACTCCAGATTATACCCACACCTGCAGTCGGTATCTTGTCATTTTGTACTTTCATGGCACGTATCACGTGACTAGGCGTCTTATACTCCTGGACTACCGGCCTCCAACCAGTGTTCCAGGTTCGATGCTCTTGGCCATTTCGACAGATCCTGTCACGTTCTACAGTCTACTACCGCAACATCTCAAATCAACCCTCTCTTGCAGAAGCGTTTTCATGGCCTCTCCCCCATCGCATCCTATCGGCCACCTCTCTTTTTCCAGTTAGCTATCCTCCATCATCAATCACTTATCGTCTTGCCCGTCGCTAACTGCGTCCATCACATGGGTCCAAAGCCACAACTACATCAAACACCGAAGGTGCGAATACCGAGTCAGGCCACCTCACTCGCGAGTCACACACACACGGACGCCCAATCTACAAACTGCAACTATACACATTGCACAGAAAAAACCACCACCACCAACACCACCAAACGCGCGGCCAGTATTCAGCCAAGAGAATAATACGTGGAGAGAAATACGATTAACTAGGACTGCCAATAAACAGAGAAAAAAAATTTGGGAGCGACGGTATCCCGCAAAAGCCGAACTCACGGCGCTGTTACTCCTACTTCGTGAAACTGTGGTTGATTATCACATTGTCAGGTGAAATTCACAAGTAATAAAACTTGTAATTTGTAGATCGTAGTCTTTATTATCAGAAAATATTCATTAATTATGAGATATTGAAAAATTTTGAGTGAAAAATTAACAATTGGCAGCGTGAAAAAAAAGGATGTGTATATATATAAAGCCACTTCGATGCTGTAAGGAAGAAGAAACCTCTTTGTCTTGAACTTACGCTGTGTAACTCTGTGCTAACAGTTTCTAGCTCTATACATAGTATTCCCCCATACCACGCACCGCTAAAATGCCTTACGCCTTATCGGAATCCCACAAACAGCTCGTGTCCACGCACTTGAGCGAATCGGACCCTGAGGTCGAACAGATCATCAAGGCTGAGATTGAGAGACAAAAGCACTCGATCGTGTTGATCGCGTCCGAGAACTTCACCTCGACCGCTGTTTTCGACGCCTTAGGAACGCCCATGTGCAACAAGTACTCGGAAGGGTACCCAGGCGCCCGTTACTACGGTGGTAATGAGCAGATCGACAAGATGGAGCTACTGTGCCAGGCCAGAGCCCTAAATGCGTTCGGCCAATCTCCAGAGAAGTGGGGCGTTAACGTCCAGACCTTGTCGGGTTCGCCAGCCAACTTGCAAGTCTACCAGGCCCTCATGAAGCCTCATGAGAGATTGATGGGTTTGTTTTTACCAGACGGTGGCCATTTGTCTCACGGCTACCAAACCGAAACCAGAAAGATTTCCGCGGTTTCCACATACTTTGAGTCCTTCCCATACAGAGTCGACCCAAAGACCGGTATCATCGACTATGACACTTTGGAGCAAAACGCCATCTTGTACAGACCAAAGATCCTTGTGGCCGGTACCTCTGCCTACTGCCGTCTCATCGACTACAAGAGAATGAGAGAAATCGCCGACAAGGTCGGTGCCTACTTGATGGTTGACATGGCCCACATCTCCGGTTTGGTCGCCGCCGGTGTCATTCCATCGCCTTTCGAATACGCTGATATCGTCACAACCACCACTCACAAGTCCTTGAGAGGTCCTCGTGGTGCCATGATCTTCTTCAGAAGAGGCCTAAGATCCGTCAACCAAAAGACCGGTAAGGAAGTGTTGTACGACTTGGAGAACCCAATCAACTTCTCTGTCTTCCCAGGCCACCAAGGTGGTCCTCACAACCACACCATCTCTGCTTTGGCCACCGCTTTGAAGCAAGCTGCCACCCCAGAGTTCAAGGAATACCAAGAACAAGTCTTGAAGAACGCCAAGATTCTAGAAGAAGAATTCAAAAAATTGGGCTACAGACTGGTTTCTGATGGTACTGATTCTCACATGGTTCTAGTCTCTTTGAGAGAAAAGGGTGTTGATGGTGCCCGTGTTGAGTACTTGTGTGAAAAGATCAACATCGCTTTGAACAAGAACTCGATTCCAGGTGACAAATCCGCATTGGTTCCAGGTGGTGTACGTATCGGTGCTCCAGCCATGACCACTAGAGGTTTGGGTGAACAAGACTTCGTCAAGATTGTCAGCTACATCGACAAGGCCGTTCAATTTGCTTTCAACGTTCAACAATCTTTGCCAAAGGAAGCCAACAGACTAAAGGACTTCAAGGCCAAGGTCAACGAACTTTCTGGCGAGCTAGAGCCTCTCAAGAAGGAAATCTACTTGTGGGCCGGTGAATACCCATTGCCTGTGTAATTCTAGAGTTGTCGCTCGCTAAGGAACATCACGTCTTTTTTCTCACAGCCAACATACGACACCTTGATCTAGATTGATTCTAGTCAAATCTGCATTTTCAACAAATAACGGACTCTTAGGGATATTTTAAAATACAAACTTGTATAATTCACATACCAATAAATTCAACATTGTGTTCTTCTATGAACTATCCCTAAAACATCTCAATATGATTCTTTCAATTGGATCAGATGCTACTCAAAGTTGATTTCGATGAACTTATACATGTGTCATGCAGTCTTACGGCTTGACATCCTTTGGCATTTTCTTAACGCCGTGATTGCCAAAATGAATTTTCATCATTTACTAGCATGCTTGACCTTGAGCTTTTCGCAATTTGACATACGAAGGCACAGCGGCAGCCTTGAAAAATTCTTCAGCGGAAAACTTCTGCTTGACATGATCAGTACGCGCTGCACCGGTTCGCCTGACATTGCTCGTAAAGCTGTGAAAAGTAGTATTATTTTCAACTTTAAAATGAGAACACACCACTCTCGAACTTCTAATTCCGCAGGTAGTTCCTGTATCACGTTAAAGTTCAACGTCTAACCAGAGCATATGCGTCAATATGCACTCCTCTTCCTGATTCGGATACCCGTGAGTGCCTTTTCCCTTCTCAAAATCCTAAACGAGAGCAGCAAGACCGGGTTTAATTCGAGATCCGCGAACTACGACCCGATCCCAGTGCCTTCGGTCTGCAGATTCAGCTTTTCGAGCAAAGCGTTAATCGAAGTGCCACTTTTGTGTGCTGCTTGTGCATGGTGCGTTACGGGTTTCATAAGCAAATGACCCCCATGCGTGAATATGTAGTCGTCTAAAGCATAGCAGCTTGGATCCTGGAAAAGAAGATAGTAATACTTCAAATGCTTCGAAAACCAATCTGCAGGTAAGGCATCCAGTCGTTCTTTTGTGAACACGTTGCTAAGAGATGATATTTGACCAACGCCCTTCGCTCTGGGTTCATTAATCACTTGCATGGTATGCTCCCATAATTCTACGCCCAGGTCCCGCCAACACTCATTGCCCGTGATTCGGTAGAGGTAGAATACAGATTCGATTACCTCGGATGACAAATTAAATCCCGGATTCGCTCCATCAAAATATTCCGGCAATTCTGATCCGGTGAACCAGTAGTCTGATTCGTGTATGGGATCGAAAATCATCTCTTCTGCGAGGTAGTAGACTTTGGAAGGTTTCTCGGGAGGTGCATGCTTATCTGTGCTATAGTCGTTTATCTTAACGCCAATCATAGAGTCCTGTCTCGACGGTTTGGGTTTCCGGTCGACTATCTCTGCAGGGTCGAAGTCGCAAGCAGGTTCTGAACACTTGTATGCATGTACACTCTCGGGCATTACGCCCAGGAGTTTGTAGACCTGCGCACATCCTCTTGTTATGGACTCGGCGGTATCCATAAATTCTTGGTTGTCCGAGATTTTCCCCAGCAACGCAAAAGTTGATCCCAAAGCACAGCTAGAATGGTGCATGGTATAATCGGGATTTATCTTGACAATTTGCTCATTCTTGAGGATATCGTAGTACGACTCGGTGGATATCGAATTGACAAACGCCAACTTCTGCCTCTCCTTATTTGGTAGTGCAGGGCTAAATATCATTAGCCGGCGTATTCTATCGAAACTGTTGACCAAGAACTTGGTAAACTTCTGCTCGTCTGTCGTGTCAACACCAGGAAGAAACTGGTAGAATTTGACCATGTTGTTGTAGAATGGTAAGCTCTGGTGGGCAGTGAAAGTGGTCTTCATGTCCGGTGCTGGTCTGAATTGCCCCGTCTGGAGACACTGAACGTACTTGCCATCCATGATACTTTTCATAACGTTACCCTTAGCATGTTCTCCGGACTCGACTCTCTCCTTAGGTAGCAAATGACAGCCCGTCGCGTCAATAGTGGAAGGAAATAGGTAGTCGATATCAAACTGACCGACTGAGTCGAAAGCGGTGTTGTATATGTGCTCAACGGCTTCTGCATATTTGTCATCTTTGGTTAATTGTGTAAGCCTCATAAACTCCAGTGAGAGAGATCCCATTTGGCCAATGTTAGAGTCCTTAAAGGGAAATCTGTTATTCAACTTGGAATTCCACGGAAACTGCAAAATGGGAATTCTGTTAGGGGTGTCAAAGGCGCGTAACAGGAAATCTCCCAGCTCAGTGGCTTTTGTAAGCAGCAGTTTTTCTTCGTGGTTGGATAACTCATATGCAGAAATTAGGGCGCCCAGCGACCGTTCTACGCTTTGCGGAATATCAACTAAGGCTTCTGTGGATTTTGTAAAATCCATTTGTGAGATGTATGTCAACACCCTAGCAATATCCTCTGTTTGATTCAGCATGTATAGCATGTCCAGGGACTCTAGCATTGTCGTTGCTCTTGAAAGACCATTGGAGGCAGGATTTTTGGATAAAGGCTTCAGCTCATCGCTTCCCAATGCGAGTCGTGAATATGCTCGCCAAGACACCAGGAACTGCTCTTTTACGGTTTCTGCCATATTTTGCGCCATTGATGAGGACTGTGGGCTGAAACTAGGCGCTTGGAGCTGTGGGAGCGATTGCGCCGGCTTATTGAGCGCCAGCGGCCTTTTAAAAGACGTAGCATACCGGGAAGGGTAGCGGGGCTTGTAAGGTCCTGTATCTGACTGTCCGTCCAACTCAAGCTCCGAATATATAGATAGCGTGTCTTCTTGCTTGTGGATCAACGGAAAGAACCTGTTTTTGTCCACCAAGACTTTGGGATCCAGCAATTGTTCATCCACGTCTTGCGAGACGGCGAGTGGTAGGGGCGTCGCAGCATTTGGCGAATTTGCTGTATCTGTAACAGCTAAGTTCGGTACCAGCGGCAGCTGTTTGTTAATTTGCGGCAGTGACTCTGTCTCTGCATATGAGTTGAGAGTGTTGAGCTCATTTTGAAATGTGTAATAGAGAAGCAGAGTTACAGTTCCACATAACAAGAAGACAGAACGAACTCGTCGAAAGAAGGAAATGAATGCCTTCATGCCCCGAGGATATATTCAGACAAGAGACCTACAAAGGAAACTTATTGTTGGATCTATAATATGATTATTGGAATAGTCAAATCTTAGAAATTGGTTATACTGTGGGGAAGAAACTCGAGCGATGAGCAGAAAAGTACCAGTTACTTCGTGTATAATTACTCTGCATGGTTTGAAGAACAAAATAGCACGATAGAGAGAGAGAAAGAAGTCTCTCCAGCCCTCGAGGTGGACCGCTTTCTAGCGCCAAATTTCAGATGCGTTTTGTGATACTTTGCCGGTTTTTTGAGTTTGGAAATGCTAAAATATGTGGACCATGACCAAGAATAGAAAAGTATCAGTGCATGAGGCTAAGGTGCTAGGCACGCTAGAGGTGCATTGATCGTGCAAAATGTAGTGGGTAGTTTGAAAGCCGTTTGGATCGGTATTGTTGACTATTCGCAATGAGTTAAACTGAGTCGTGTGGAAATGGGCCCGTTATGCATGCGTAAGACGCTGCTGTGTCTACACAATTGAGCCTTCGTTAGCACTCTTTGACCAGATTTGGAGATAGCAAACAAGTAGTCGTAAAATAACATGGGGTCTTTTGTTTGTCTTTCGGGATGTGTTGATTGGATTCAGCACCTACCATACTGAAAGTTAAAGCTAACGACAACATCATTAATCAACACGACTTTACACATAGTAACATAACACAAAGTAACACAAAATACCCAGGCACTGTCGAAAAAGCGAGAATCAAGCGTCTCAAAAACTTGACATCAACAAATGAACATTGTATCTTTGGGCGTACCTGGCTAGACTCGAAAACACTTTCACTCAACTAGGAACCGCGTTATGAAAAAAGCGTCTTGATGAAGACTCAAGCATGAATCATTCCTCTAGTGATTTCTTAGACTGTGAAGATACGATGGCTTCTGTCCGGTCTCGATTTCATTCAATGAACGTCAGGTCAGTGAAGGCTGTTTTTCAAAGAATATTCGCGCGGCGCTCGTTGCCAATTGTTTCAGAGATAACCAACGTGTGGATCCTGGTATTATTATTGATGGAGTGGCTCACGAACATTCAATTTTATTCTTTCCAGATAATTAATTGACTGTGTCTACAATTTCATCCTCAAACAAAACCATCTAACCCTTGAATGAAATCAGAAAACAAATACAAAGGTACGTTCGTTAACAGGATTGAAGCACTATGTTCTTGAGGGCATTAGTCATGACATTTCGGGCTGAATCAACGTCACTTTGAGCTGCTCTCGATGCGTATTCATTGTTTTACTGCAAATTTGAAATGATTTTAATCTACGAAAGAGATGATTTCACTAAACCGTTACGTGAAAGAGATTCCAAGGGCGTGAGGACAGCGACGCTATTCTGTACCTGCAGCTACAGAGAAATCTTTGGTTGAATTGAAGCTGGCTCACGATGGTTGCTCGAACTTGTTTGAGCGGCTAATGTTCAATCCCTATTCTTAGTGATTCATCAACACCGCAAGAACTACTGCCTCTTAAAAATGGTCTTTTCTCCGCATTGTGATGCTCGCCTTGCAGCGGAAGCTAAGCCTATGGGATACACTACTTTCGAGGCTTATGGACTTGACGTACTTGGATATTTCCGCCTCCTCAGAACCGGAAGATGTGAAGACGATACCTTGAAAACCTCAAACAAGCGCCATCACGTTCTCCGCTTCTCAAGAAGAAGCTAACCCGCCGCGCGATCTTTTTAGCCCTGTTTCTTTCCGGGACTCTACGGTTGAACTCCGAATATACCACAGAGAATTCTAAAGTTCACTTACGACATCATGAAGCAACGCAGTCATTCCTGCCCGTGTTCATTGCCGCTCGATGCCAGCTAATATGTTCAGGCCGATCCTTGCGGTATCCACAAGCGTTGAGGAAGCTTTTTCTTTGACAGCAAGTCTGCCCACTTCCGGGGCGTCCGACGCGAAAAAAACATCAAATACGTGGTTAGCTGCATTATAATTCCGATTATTTCGTGCGCAAAGCAGGTGTTGTCCAGTACAGCGTAAAATGCCCCACTGAAACCACCGTGTTCAGCTAATAGTTGGAATCGTACCGTTCTTTTCCCATACAAGACGGCAGCCTAATCAGGTGCCTTGGCGACTGCTCAAACAATAGCGTACATATCGACGTCAATGAAAGCAGCACAACCGCAGAGACTACGGTGTTGTCGGCAGTGATATATCGCTGGACTGATTACGTTTTGCTTACAGTGAGTGCTTTGCTCTACTTACCCCATGCGAGAGATAACACTGTACAGTCTAAGGCTACTGTGACAAACGGCAACATTTTTACGTGATCATTTTCTCAAGATGGTAATTGCCTTTCCAATACGGGACGTCTGCTGTTGACAGAGCTCGCGGCCGACATGTTACGGTAAACATCGTAAACATGCGGTGTGAACTTTGACGTTTTCTATGGCCTATGAGTGCTGTTTGTCTATGGTTCAAGCCCGTACGTTCTTTTTTCTCGCTTTGCAAATGGTTGGCCAGCGGGTGCGACGCTGAGTTGGCTAATCGTGCATACACCGGTTACTTCTTCGGCTGAAGTTGAGTTGATAGGAAGTGGGATACAAGTTTGTGTTTATGTGAGAGATATACAATGAAAAGAAGCACGGGGAATGAGGTATGAAGAAAGGTTGGGAAACAGTGAAAGAATTTCGGGACCCTGTGGGAAGACTGTGTGCCAAGTACGACAAGACCGCTACAGAGCCCCAGCACTCATCAAAGGCCCAACAGGCGACAAGGATAAAAGTTACAAACTCAGCTTTCAGTGTGGGACGCGGCGCACTTGAGAAACTCGCGAAATTCTAGCTCGAAGAAACATCATTCACGTGATTCGGGTTCCTAGTATACGTTCACACACACGTAGACATTTGTATTCCAGTGCCCTGTAGCCCATGAACCATGCGCTAATGCGGAGGCCTGCGCGTACAATCTGGCGCAATGAACAAGACGTCCTCTTGGTGTCTCTGCTCACAGAGCATCGATCATTACTGCGAACTGCTTCGCAGCATTCAGGACGAGCCCGCAAGCAGTTTTGGGACCTGATAGCCCATGAGCTCACAGTGCGATACCACATTGTACGCAACGCGCGCCAGTGCAAGGACCGGTTTCGGCTCCTCCACACGCGAGGAATACGGAACATGCACAATGGGGTAGGCCCCCAGACTGGCGTTGATGCACTGTGCCTAGAGCTCAACCGAATGTTCTACTTGGACCCACGAAACAACATCGCGCTTACCGAAAGCCGACCGGAGACTGAACAAGACGACAACTATAGTGCCCATGACGAAGATGAGCCTAACGACAACGAGACCCACGAAACCAACGCTTCCAATGACGAGGCCGCCATAAATGAGCCGCCGATGAGTGCCCGCCCCAGCTACCCGGGAGACTGCTCCATAGACACCGAACGCCTCGTCACTCAAGAACTAATTAGAGATGACCCGAACAAACTTCACGCACAACATACTGGCGAGCGAACGCTTCCCATGTTACCGCCAGCATCGGCGGCTCCTGGATCGCTGGTTCCTTTCGCACCAGACTACTCAGACCCACAAATACAGCTCTTGATGGAACAAGTGCTAACGCTAGACCGCCAGGTTGCCGATCTGTATGCTCGCATGGACGATTTAGCTCGCAACATGGAGCATAGATTTGCAGAGCGGCCCGTCGAGAGTGATCTAGATAACGAATCACGCTCAAGTCGCGTGACGAGAAACTCGTCGACCACTTCTACCGCAGGAGTTGCGGAGCCAGCATCTTCTACAGCAGCAGCTGCTGCGCCTGCCACTATAACTCCAGCTGCAATAATACCAGATATGCCTTCGCTGCGGCCGTCATCTACGATCCAAGAGCCTCCATCGCTTGCAGCCTCGAGGCCCGCTGCTTCCTTACAGATGGCTACCCCTGGAGCGCCTATTCAACAGCACCCCCAACTCCAGCCGCTGCCTTCAGCATTCCGTCCTGCGTTTCCTCCGCCTGTAGCCCATATGACCAATCCACGCAATTCCAGACCCCCGCCGTCGCGATCTCAGCCCTCAGCCGGGTCCCGACCTCATAGCAGGTCCCGGAATTCACGCTGAAGCTAGCGAAACACTACCGCTGAAGAACACGCCTTCTATGCATCGAAAAATAGACACGCCCATTAAGTCGTCGCCATGAATACGAAACTTTCACAGATTTTACTACTTTGGGGCCAATCACAGGTCGAGCCCACACAAGTCGGCTTACTTCTTCTTTTTTCAGTCTTTCGCCACGAAAACTGCTTCGTTTCTTGTTCCTTCTCGAAGCCAACGAACCCTTCGCCTAAATTCCTGGAAGCTACTACCCGCACACTGCTCACGTTTATCCGACCCTAGCCACCCGCCTACTCTCACAATGCTCGAGAATTCTCTCAGTTTTCCCACCTTTCGTCACCACGAGTACTGTTTGAACCATCTAAATTTACCGTTGCGTGTAACCTGCACCATATCGGTGACATACAGACGTGCCTTCTGTGATGTTCGCGTCGTAATCTGCGCTCGAGTCGAAAAAATGCAGTCACGATGCACGCGCGCTTCGCTGCACGACTGAATAGGCACGGCTTCGATAACTGTAGGAATTTAAAGATACAGAGCAACTGTACGTCGATTGTTAGGCGTTCGTGTCAGGTTCGATGCTTTTTGCAGCTGGGTTCGGAGCGTATGACAGCGACTGGAGCAAGGTTGAACGACGTTTCGGAAAGAGAATATATATTGACAGAGAAAAAGTCCGTGAGAGTCGGCCCCAAAATCCAGCGTCTAAGGGCCCATCCTTCAACACCAAAAGTTCTCAGCCAATAACTCTTATTTTACAAGACATGTCCAGCGGCACCGGAATCATGACTCTGCCAGCCATGGCCTGCAGCGCTGAACACCATCACTTAGAAGACCGTCCTGCCGGCTCCACTACCGTATCGCTACCAACGACGGCATCGGTCTCTGCAAAGCTTGAGGCGCACTCGCCGCCCAAGATCAAGCCCGAAGCAAGCGCAACACCAGTAGCTTTGACACCAGCATCATCCTCTACCCCATCAGGCTCGATTTCCTGTCGCAGAGCGAGAAATTTTTGGTCTGTGCACGAGGACACTGTGTTGGTATCTATCATTATCGACAACACAACGTTCCTGAGAGGGCCAGCTAACACTAGACCGCGCAGTCGATTCTGGCTCCATATCAGCTTCGAACTGAAAGTCAGACATGGTCTGAGTCGTAACAAGCGCCAATGTCGTGATCGCTTCAACCTTCTGTTTTGGAAGGCTGTCCGAGACCACAGATCTAATCGCAAGGACCTAAAGAAACTAGATTCTCTGCTGGCACAGTGCTTAACGCTACTATACATTGACAAAAACAATGTTATCATGCTTAAGGAAAACAGAACGTCGCATGGCCTAGTGGGGGGCACGGCTACGAATTCAGCAACCTCACCTCTGGCGCAAATTGCCAACGAAGAAACAGGCCTGCATAGCCCAGCGCGCTCTGAGTTGAGTCCCACAATGTCATCCTACAGTTCCACGAGCGAGAGCCACGATTCAAACTACGAAACGCTCGCGGAGATGGCTTCCGCACTTAAACAACAGGTTAACACATTGACTCAACGAGTCGAGGATCTATGCGGTGTCATAGCAATGGAGAGGTCGAGGATCGACTTCCTAGTATCCTCGAGATCCACAAGGCTTGATACTCCAACTACGATATATCAACAGCCGATGAGACTTTCGCAGGACCCAATATTCCTTAATGACAGCACAAATTCGTTACAGTGCGGGATCAGTAACGGCTACGTTACAACATCTCAATATATGGCAGGTCCCTCTTTTTCAGACAACAACAATAACACCTGTTGATCTGTCTACAGGCCAAAATCATAGGCCAAAATCATAGGCCAAAATCACTCACTCCGCGCATAATCGATACTACAACTAGCATTTAGTCGAGTTTTTTAATCCTCGCATATACTTAATAACTAACTACCTATTCTTCAAATTATAACGACCCGGTGCACATCGCGAGCCTCAGACGTTCACCGACTTCGACTACAAAGGAGCTTGATTCGTATCAATTCCATCAAACATTACCGCGCGCCAGAATACGACTTTAGAGTACGATTCTATACCACATTCAAGAGCCTCGCCAGCAGGATTTCTCAACTGCCAGGTTTGCGTATCACTATCGGCAATAAATCGTCGCATAGCTTAAATCCACGAAAGATCAGGAGAGTTATTCCAAAAAATTAACAACCTCCAACGGGGGCAGCCGCTAATGGAAAGCTTTCTCTGAGAACGAGCCAACGCCTCGGAGTTAGTTGAACAAAAAGCCACATTTCTCCGAGCGTGCGGTCCTTTTCATCAACATTCCCCTCACCTGCATTACAATTAAAAAAGCACGCCATGCAGAATGAAAAGTCATCTGCAATCGAACGCTTAGTTCTCAAATGAGCGCGTGCCGGATACATGCCAACTAAAAACAGCTTGTCCCAAGGTATGACAAGACATGAACATGATTTGAATCTGGCTGAAGGGTAGCTATTCCCTGTATGGGCGCGGAATAATCCCAGTTTTAGTAGCTGTGGCAGCGACACAATTAACACCGAGGCTTAAATTGTGCGGCAAGAAGAATCTGCATCAGCATGCACACTGGGAGTTTTGTAGTGTCAGACTTTGGAATCCCAGATCCAGATGCCGTCTTTCCGGCAGAGAACCCTCATGACAGGGAAGAAAAAAGTGATCTGCATCCGGTAGCTGAGCTATACGACTCGTCCCATTTCAACTCGTTCGAATACTGTGCGGGTCAGCTTAGCATCCACCGGTCTGGCCGTGAGGCTTGGCGTTCGCTGGAATTAGTCCGGCGGATGATAGATCCGTGGATCAACCATCGCTGAACTCCAAAGTTCGTCTCCCAGAGATGCGTTTCTCAAGAGCATGTGGCACATGACCACTAGTCAGGCACGGCAACAACTGGTGCCTCTAATGCCTGCCTCAAAACGTCCCGATGCCTTCCTCACTGGGCAGATTCTCGTGGGGATGGCCGTTGCCAGCCACAAGTCCGTTCTGCATTCTCGACGCCTGTTTTCGAAACCTAGACTGCTCCTGAATTCTCCATCTCGCTCGGCGATCTCGCAACGACCACATGCGGACGGTTCAAAACCCAGAAATGTAACCGATCAGCCGTGCTTCATCTATGGCGCTCGCTCCCAAGGAGCAATCAACCAGAAAAGGAACAGAAATGTGCATATATCTAGTTGGTAGACGACAGGCTTCACTGAGCTTCACTGAGCTTCACTGTGCTGCACTTAGCAGCGCTTCGGTCCACCATGAAGTCGACACAGCGGCATCCTCGACCCGAACCTCTAGCTGCCTCTCCAGTCACTTTCGTTCCCAGGGACTAGAAACTTTTTTTTCACTATCTTTTCTTGCATCTGATGAGTTCAGCGAAAGGCCACGCACCATGACCGAACGTTCGTCTGCATTTACAGCTGGCACAATGTAGGCTTACTTGGAAGGTCTGCGGTTGTTCACGGTTGTTCACGGTCTCTCTGGTTTCCTTGCAGCAGCGTTGTGAGGAAGTTTTTCCGCGAACCAGGCTTTTTGGCGCCAGAAAATGATATCGGCCACGCTGCTGAACAAGCTTCATGTGCGAGAAAGGTGGAAATCTCCGGCATTTGAATTCGTGCCTACGCTTCGCAGCCCGCGAATGGTGGTTTTCGCACCCCTCTGCTATCTCTGGGCTTACAGTGGATACTGCATAGAGATAATCGACAGTGTGATCTTGCATAAGACGCTCAGCTGAAGACTTGACAGTAAATGGCTCAAAAGTGACGTTGGGAATGTTGGCAGTGCGCGACGAGCCGCTATGGAGAGGCGATCGAACCTTTGAGGGTGAGAGGATCTCATTTTCAAACACGGCGAGCGTCAGAGATTGTAGGGCTGGAGTGGTGCGGGTGCCTTGTGAAACCCATGGTGCAGTTTTCTCTGCAGGAACGCCAACCCACTTGTCCATCGTAGTTGTTGCATTCTCATTATATCTGCTGGATCGATCGCGCTCGGCGAAGAGTTCGGCCATGCCATGCCAAAAATATCGTAGATGTTCCCAAAAAGCTTGCTGAAAATTCCGGCACAAGGCGAGGAGCCGGCGGGTGGAATGTAGGGACTCCAGGAAACGACGCTTCACTCGCGGGCCCCCCTCAGCGCCAGTGCCAACAGGTCTTCCTTTCTCATCGCTAGACACCACCCGTCGCTAGTGACGTGGGCCTGAATATCAAATTGATCAAAAATCTTCTCTTGTTTGTTTTCCAGCAGTGGGATCTCAACAACTCGGGCCCGAAAGCTCTAGACCTAAAACCTCACCAACCGTAGCATATAGCATTAGCCAAACAAGACCTCTGTCTCCCGGGTCCACCAAAGTTCCCCTACAGCTTTCGCAGCCCGCTTTTCTCGCGGCCGCTGGCTGGCCTAACTAACACTTGCTCAATTCGCAAGGATTACCATATCTTAGCTCAATACCGGCCGCAAAACAATGGTCATGGCTAGCTGCTAATCATCAACGCACCCGCTCGTGCTTGCGCGTGCGTGAACGTGCGTGAACGTACACAACTGCGACCTTGGCATCACGCAATGGTCTTTGAATTTGCTAATTAACAATCGATAAAAAATTCTTCAGCAGTGTTGCAGAAAAGTTCTTCCGGTGCACTTTTTTGCAGCTTTCGCGTCGAGTCTGAGGAAGTCCAGATAGCCGTGCCCTCATCTGCAATGCGACGTGCAAGCAGGCAACCGAGATACAGTTCTGCTTGCAGAGTGCAGAGGTGATATATCGGTGTATTGGAATATATGCATCATCTAAAAAAAGTTTGAGTGGGTGTCTTGCGTAGCAGCAGCAAAAGCGCACCTCATGGCATTATTGGATCGCATGCCGTGCAAATTTGAGGTCGGCTTTGCCAGTTGTTCTTTGCGTCTTGCGTCTCGCCTGCCTGCGTAGAGAAATGTTCTCGCGTAGCATGTAGAGCGTGGATTTGCTTCTCACATTTGCCGGCCTTGCGGCTGGCTTCACCCAGCTCCAGGACAATCGTCCATGATCGACAGCCCCGCTAATCTGGCGCGATGAAGTTCCCTTTATACATGCACATATATATAATATGTGTTTATGTATATATATGGATCTACAGACCATTCGAAGGGTGGGCATCGAAATCGAAATTCGAGATTGATCCACACACAACTCTTCTCACAACGGACTACACAAGCACCGAAGCTTCTATGCACGCAACCGTCCCGCCCAACATCGATTCCTCGGCGTATGATTTTCAGGGCCTCTCTGAGGGAAACTATCTGCCCAACGCAACAGCATACCAGCATTTTCGCAACTCCAGCGAGCCGCTTGAGCGCCAGCACAGCAAGCCGGTATACTCCAGACAGCGTGCGCAATGGACCGACAAGGAGGACATGTGCCTGTTGCAGGCGGTCCTGGCCCAGTCGCACATCTTGGCTCGCGATATCAAGTGCAAGATCCGCAAGCTGTTCTGGCATCACGTATGCCAGGGTCTGACCGCGAGCTTCGCCATGTCCATGAACAGACGCCAGTGCCGAGACCGGTTCAAGCTTCTGTATCAGAGATCTGCATCTCGAACTCGTTTTGAGTCGTATCTGCCACCTACCACGGAGGTCGAAAAACTGTGTGACGAGTGCACTCGCACGTTCAGGTTCAACGAGCACAGAGAGCTCATTTTAGCCACTGACTACCAGGAAACTACCCATACGCCCAGGTCCCAGCCTTCCGCTCCAGTTTCTGGCCCAGCCACTGAGTTGTCAACGGTGTCATCGAATTCCACTCTACAAAGCCCGTACTCCACATCCGATTATCAAGATAAAGAGTTTTCGAGCAGCGCTGTACCAACTAGCCGTTCAGTACCCGCGCCCGTTCCATACTGGAACGGCATGTCCCCTCAAGACGGCTCCTCTCACACATCTCCTCTCCAGAATACTTCTAATAAATTTGAGCTTCAGGTTCCTGTGCCAGCTGCACCATCCTCGTGGGATACGCAAAATATGTTGTCGAACATTGTCGCCATGCAACGGCAAGTCAATCAACTGTCTCAGCAGGTCGAAGCGCTCACAAATATAGTCTCTCTTAATGGCGCCCAGTCGCGACTATACCAACCAATATATACTGACAATTGAGACTGTCAGAAAATTTACGAAGTAACTTTGGGTGTTACTTCATGTGGGCGTTAGTCAGGGACAACGCATTAGTTTTGATGTTATTTAAATTCAATTTCATATTCTTAAGCATTTCGTTCTGTTTATCAAGAACACGACTCGTGTATCTTGCGTCCTGAGTGGTGCGTGCGTAATACGAAATGACTCTGTCGTCAATTAAGCTCTACTTGGCTATGTCGGCTAGGAAATGGTTGCTACTGGTATTCCAAGGAACTCGTTGTTTCTGGCTACAGTCTCTTACTGATATGAACAGTTGTCAATGCTTTACTTTGTGCAAATGATGAACTTCCTAATAAGTTGAGATGACATCTCAGGATCCATTTCCATCAAATCATACCATTGTGATTGACTTCGAATACTCACGCAGGAGCCGGGCCTGCTTCACTTCTTGATGCAGCAATGTGTCGCATCTTTGAGCTAGAACCCATGATTCAAACAGTTAGTTGTGCCATCCTAAGCTCACCCGACCGCATGAGTTAACCGCATCGCAGACAAAACGATGAACAATACCCAAGTGGGCGCCTGATCCAAAACATTACGTAGTGAAGTAAGGCCATTCTGCTGTCATTAACTTCACCAACAAGTCTTCCTACTTGAGGAGCGACTTGGGAACGCAAATTCGAAGTCAACGCTCTACGAACTTCTAAAGAAGCTCCTACAAACTGGAAAGACTAAACTGGTAAGTTTCTATGCCCGTAGAATGCCAGCGTGTGGATTGGAGTGAGTTCACGCCCCGTTTCTGAAGCACAAACAGTGCAGTCATAGACATCGAGTCGAATCTGAGTGCAAAAATTGTGAAATCGAATTAGAATTGTAAGGCTGTGAAAGGATTTCGCTGTTATACTAAACTTGTCCTCTGTAACTTGTTCAAGCTCTCGTGGCTATAATTTGAACCTTACAGAGCCCGGGTTCCTAGAAACTTAGCACAGAGACACTTAATTACCCTCTTGTATACTCAAGCACATACGCGCCCTCTGAGCTTCAGTAGAATTTGCCATATACTGCTCGAAGTGCTCCTGTTTGCCTGCCACGATGTTATTTTTCTGTCGTCAACAAAGAAAACCTTGAAAATGAACGCGCAGTGTAGGAAAGACTATCAGAATAATCCCAAGACTTCACGCGTTCTTGTGAACATCTGATTCGCTGCCAGACTTTCCTATCCAATGTCCTATTCCATTTAACATTTCTCGCTCAAATTGTGTATGCGTACAGCGTGATTATGGTTCTAATTTCAAGAACTCATCATTTCTACAGAGGAACGTCCCCTACTTTCACGTTCGAAGTTCAACCAGGATCATCCAGTAGAGCCACCTCAGTCTCTATCCACCTCGTGTTCTGCACTCTGTTTCATGCGCATTGCTATTTGAGTCTGGCTACATTGTTTTAGCATACAATTTTCCATGGTATCTGATCGATATTCCGTTCTTGTGAACGATCATGAATTCCTCGGAGAATCAGTGCTTGATGAGAAATCTGTGTTGTATTTCCGAGAAGACGAACGCTTGACTTTGAAATCTCAAAACATTTCGAGTGCGATGGTTCAGGACAGTTTGGACGGTCTTGTAGCCCTAGGCAAATCCAAAGATGGGTTTGTTAAACATGCTTTGAGACGGCCGGTATGGCTCAAAATCCTGAAGTCGAGGCTTTCAATCGACGCCAACAATGTTAGCGAATCTGAGAAGGGTCTATCGGAGTTCGTGACACATAAAGATGAACATCAGGTTTCGCTTGACGTCAAACGTTCTTTTGGAGACATAAAAGATGATGTCGCCAAATCGTTTTTGCGCCAAGCTCTAGAACAGACAATCACTAAAGTGCTCAGAAGATTTCCTCAGCTCAACTATTACCAGGGCTACCACGATGTTGTAGCAGTTTTCGTGCTTGTGTTCATGCACACCCACAAGGCCGATGAAGAAGCAGAACTGAGTGACTCCACCAGCGGAACCCCGTCCACCGACGGATCTGATTACCACGAGACTTTAAGTTCAAGTTCAATCTCAACTAAACTGGCCGATGATTCTGTCCTTTTCATAGATAGCGACCAGCTGTTTGAGTCCGTGATGATATTCACCTTGCTTTATTTAAGGGATTTCATGATGAGCTCGTTGGCCTTTACGATCGACCAATTAGTGCTCATTCCACTTATTGTGAAGGACAAGGATCCTCGCTTTTACAGGACTTTCCAACTGAATGAGATAGACCCATTCTTTGCGCTTTCATCGGTCTTGACTTTGTTCTCTCATGATTTGAGGCCCCAAAGCAACGAGTCGCTAAGCATCGTTTTTCAGATTTTTGATCTTGTCATATCGTCTAACTCAATGATGGTGCCGCTTACAGTCTACAGCAACTTACTACTTGCAAAGAAAGACGATCTTTTGACCAGGTTGAAAGACAATCTCGATAATTTTGAAAACGATACTGATTTGATCCACGGTGTCATACAACAAGAGATGATCGTCGGGTCTAGTGTGCAACTTTGGAACGAAGTTCTTGAGACCACTCGGATCGCTAATAGCAGCAGTTTTCCAAATGCGAAGAAAACGGTAAACAAGTATAGTGTGCTGTTGACTGCCTCACATGTACCCACGACCATTGATCAAGCGTTAAGCTGGTTAGCGAAGGAAACTCGATTGAACGAAATGAGATCCTCACTCGAATCAGTGAACAATAAGGCAAAAACCCCATCACCGGCTATATCGAGGTGGAGGCTGATAGCTCGTAGCGCCGGCCCTAATTTGATCAAAATGTCTCTATTTATAGGAGTTGCCGCAATTTTAATGAAATTATACTTACGATCTCTGGAAGGTCATCAAGTGTATCCTCAAATTGCGTTGAAGTCATATCTCGATCAATTGAAATCTTTGAAGTTCTCGGGACTGAACCAGTCACGTCGAATTTGGCTCGATCCACTTAAAAACTTACTCAAGAATATAGGCAGGCCCTCTCGTTCCTAACAGCTTTATGTACTTTTCATAATCATTTGAATTTTACGTGGTCTATTTAGTGAAGTAATTGACAGCATTAACAATATCAATCTAATAATACAACTTGACTTTTTTATTTTGTATAGAAGATGAACCAGAAAGCTCATTCCATGTCTATGTCGTAAATGAGCGTTGCATCAGTTGAAACGCCTTGCCATCCTCTATCTCCACTTGTGCTTATTAAGAAGCGGCAGGTGGGATCGACGTACAAGTTAGAAATCATGCCACCATGGTGGCCTGGTACAATTAAGAATGGTACTTTCGACGAACCATACTGAGAGACGTCGTATATTCTCACATTGTCATAGGAGGCACATAGCACATGCTTGTTATTGGGCATAGTGCGAACACATGATACAGGACCTGAAATGCCAGGAAACTTTAATGTTTTTGACGGAGTTTTGGCCATTTTTAAATCAAACTCCTCCACCACTGCATTTCTTCTCCCCACGTATATTCTATCTCCATCCGTTGACCAGCACGCCGACAAACACCAAGGAGGAACTTGTGGTCCACGAGTGAGGCCGATTGCAGGTTTTGTTGAGATTCGACGATCCCATACCTGAACTGCACCGTTGGTGCAAGATGTTAGAAATACGTTATCCTCAAGAACCGTTTTGAGTGTCTTTTTCGATATTTCATCCCTTCCAAAATCTTGAGTTTTGCCGTTTTCCGAAGATTGTGTGTCCTGTTCCTTCTCTTGCGCCCTTCGTTTCTCTTCCTCCTCTTCATCTCCGAATAAGGAGTCCAAGTCGTCATCATCCTTTTTCACCCTAGTTTCATCTTCTGGTTCATCTTCTGTACTCGCTGCGTGGATTTCGACTGTAGAGAATAAAGGACGAAATTCAAGTGAAGAGATTTGCGCAGTCGCGCCCTTAAATTCGTTGACGTATTTCCCTGTCTGCAAATCCCAGTCTATTATCTGTTTATCCCAACCACCGCTGATGAATCTGTCCTCATCATTACTGAGTTTCAGCTGATTTACGGTGTTGGTATGCTTTTGAAAATAATGTGCGATGTGGCCTTCCATGAATCGACAGCCTTGCATGGTGATGCCACCGTTTTTGAGCCCGCTCAATAAAAACAGGCATTCACTTTGAACTTCCATAGCGTGTACCGGGGATACCACGGGCTCGTATTCCTTTCCGGTTTTGGAAATTTTGATGTCGTTACGGGTCTGCGGGACCTCGTTCTCCCAGTAAGATAGTAATATTCCTGCATTCGATATAGACTCAACCAGCGAGTGTTTTTGTAAAATGGTAAGTGATAGTTTCCCCTCAATGGTGTTTAGAAAGTCGTATTTTCTCACAAATCCATCTTCACCTCCTAGGAACAGATATTTGAGTCCCATGGACATGGCTATGCTGTGTACATGGGTTTGGATAGGAATTGCCGCGGTCGGATATATCGAGTATAGATCTGCGAGCTTGGAAGAGTTGTGAAGTTGCGTGTAGTATTCGTGAATTTTATCGAATGCTGATGATGGTCCACGAGATCTTGGCGCTGGGCTTGATTCTTTCGAGAGAGCGTCGCTTCTGGGTCTTGACTTGCCCGTGTTATCATCGTCGTCGTCGTCGTCGTCATCGTCGTCGTCTTCTTCTGCATCGCTGTCTTCGGCGTTGCCATTTCTGCGCGATTCCTCTTCATTATTGTCCTCGTCACCATCATCGTTCTCGTCGTTTTCATCGTTTTCATCATCGTCTGCATCCATGTCCTCGTCTTCATCTTGGTTCTGATCCTGGCTTTGATCTGGATACTCTTCCTGGTCGTCCTGGTTATCTTGGTCCTCTGGGTCATCGTCTTGGTCTCGATCCTGTTCATCACCTCTGCCAGCTATATCTACCATTTCTTCGTCCAATTCCTCATCTTCATCTTCCTCTTCTTCAGCTACCTGGTTCTCATCCAATATATCGTCAACTCCATCCATTATGAAGATCAATTGAACCGCAACTTGGGACTGTGAGCGACTTAATTCAAGTGCGATGCCAGTGATGATGAACTGAATCGTTATTTGAGAGAGAGTAAGAGAGATGTGATGGTCATCACATACGGATATTCAAAGTAACGCTTCAACTCGATAGGATTTTAACAACTACGACACAGCAGATATGGGGCAGCTACAGCGTTTACATATTAGCCGAAATAGCGATCCTGTAGACGCAAAACTCAGATTATTTTTTGGAGCTGTTTCGACGCCGTTGTCAAAATAATGAGAACTTAACATGGCAGATACAGGCTTGATAATTACGACACAGACAGGGGGCCAAGCTTGCAAGACATGTACAAGAATGCCGGTGCTTCATAGCTCCACGGTCGAGTATGGAGTTGAGTTAACGGCGTGTGCAATGATATCGTATTCGAGATACTCAAATGCTGCATGTGTGTTCAGCTGTTCTCATGTGGGATCTTAGCTTGATATTATCCAGCAATCTAGCGTATCGGGATCTGCAAATGTAGCATACGAGGGCCTAATTTAAAGTCGAGCTGGCGTCCAAATGTGGTCTGACGCCCGAAACCGTTGGCGAAAGCACAGTTCGCGAAGTCGATTTATTTTCCAGGCAGACTATAGTCATACTCAACCCGACGGGACTCACACTCGATACAATCCACCAGCTCTTAAGACAGATTCCTTGTAAAACACAATATTTCGTACGAAATGACAACACAGGACATCGCCTCAGCACCCTGGACAACACACATAGCTGGCTAATCAAACAACTGCAAACTTATGGCGATTCCCACAAAGATCCTGGCCTAGCAGTCTCCCCGTTATCGCCTTTCGTCTTCTCACTGGACGAAATTTCCAATTATCCATACCAAAAAAATAAAAGTACGATCTCGAAGACCTTCGAAACCTTTTCCAATTCCCGAATCCGAAAAATCTAGAGATCCTGGTATCAAACAGTCACTGCATTCGCTGTCTAACTATCTGTAACCACTAAACCGTCTACTACTCCCACTCCACCATTTGCTATTCCCTGAATTTTCAATGTCGCTCGCTGCTGAAATCAAAGATCTCACGTACCAATTCCCCGAAACCGAACAGGCTTCTTTATGGAACATTGACCTCGCAGTTCCCTGGAACACGCGGACGCTTGTGGTTGGGTCGAACGGCGCAGGCAAGTCGACACTCCTGAAGCTGCTGAGCGGCAAAAACCTGTGCCTGACTGGCCACATAAGAGTTAATGGCCTCGACCCGTTCAGCCCATACTCAATGCACAAGAACGAGGCCGACGAGTGCCAGATCACCACGTATCTGGGCACGGAGTGGTGCCACATGAGCTTCATAAATCGGGACATCGGCGTCCAGGAGTTGCTCGACAGCATTGGGTTCAAACACCATCGCGAGCGCGGCGAAACGCTGATCGACATCCTCGACGTGAACGTCAATTGGCGCATGCACCGGCTGAGCGACGGCCAGAAGCGCCGTGTGCAGCTCACGATGGGCTTGCTGAAGCCCTGGCGTCTACTGTTGCTCGACGAGGTCACCGTCGACCTCGACGTGCTGGCCCGGAGTCGTTTGCTCGCCTTTCTCGCGCACGAGACCCAGGTCCGCCGTTGCAGCATCGTTTACGCAACCCACATTTTCGACGGGCTCGCCGAATGGCCCGACAAAGTCGTGCATCTGCGCCACGGTCGTATCGTTGAGCAATTGTCGTGTGCGAACGACATCAAATTCGATTCCCGAGCCGCTAAAAACGTGACGCTCGATGCCAACGATAACTCCGTCACCATCGGCTACGCCAAGTCGCTTCACCCACTCGCGCTGGCCTGGCTGACCCAAGACGAAAACAAGCAAGACACCCAATTCTGAGCTTGCTCTGTCCAGGCCTACTGCCCGCTACACTCATCCCAGTTTGAATCTAAAAATCTCTACACCGTCCTCCCGCCCCGCGCTATCCATCCACTACATGAAACCCCATTGTCAAATGGCTCCACTACTCGTTTCTGATATTGAGTCGTTTTTCAACACGCGCTATATGCGTTCAAGCATCGATTTTCGTTTAGTTACGTTTAAGCGATACCGGAAAAAAAAGTTGACAAACGAGCATCGAAAGTTGAAAAGATATAAAAATGTCAAAATACAAGTATACATTCAGCCTCCAAGACAGTTGTAACAGCCAAGACATCGTACTTTGGCCGCTGGAACGCTGAAGATCTGAAGGAGAAAAGCTAGAGTATATATTTGGTGTGCCAGAAACAAAGCAGGATGGATTTAGTACTGGAGTTTTTTGACTCTTACTGTCTGGACTATGTGTATTCTAGAACTTTGCCCGCGTCGCTGGCGTCGCACGTCCCAGCGCAGTGGCAGTCGATGCTGTCGATGAACCAGGGTAATTTGACGGGTGTGGTGGCGCCAAAAGCGGCGGGGATCTACGGATACGCACCTTACCTATTCAAGATGAGCGAGTACACTGGGGCGTCGCTGTTGCCCCGCTACAACGTGTTGCGTCAATTTCTGTCGCTCGTGTCGATCACGACGGTGTTCGGCTGGTTGCTGTATTTCAGCGTGGCGTCGTTCTCGTACATGTTTATCTTCGACAAGGCGATTTTCAACCATCCGCGCTATCTGAAGAACCAGATGTCGCTGGAGATCAAACAAGCCATGTCCGCCATCCCTGTGATGGTCGTGCTAACGGTGCCATGGTTTCTGCTCGAGCTGCAAGGACACTCGAAGCTGTACATGAACATCGACGTTGAAAACCACGGCGTGCGCCAGTTTTTCCTCGAGTACGTTTACTTCTTGATGTTCACTGACTGCGGCATCTATTTGTTGCACAGATGGCTCCACTGGCCTCGCGTTTACAAGGCGTTGCACAAGCCCCACCACAAGTGGCTTGTCACAACACCATACGCGTCGCACGCCTTCCACCCAGTTGACGGTTACTTCCAGTCGCTTCCTTACCACATCTACCCCATGCTTTTCCCGCTAAACAAAGTCTCGTACCTGATCCTGTTCACTTTTGTCAACTTCTGGACCGTGATGATCCACGACGGTGAGTACTTGGCCAACGACCCCGTGGTCAACGGTGCTGCCTGCCACACTGTACACCATCTGTACTTCAACTACAACTATGGTCAATTTACTACTTTGTGGGACAGACTTGGTGGCTCGTACCGTGAACCTGACAAAGAGTTGTTCAACAAATCATTGAAAAAGAGCAACAAGACCTGGGAAGAGCAGATCAAAAAGATGGAGGTCATTAAGAACCAAGTGGAAGGTAAAGATGATGACAGAGTTTACGGAACCGAGGAAAAGCTACTGAAGAAGGTCAACTGATCTAGAGTAAACCACGAAAACAGTCTCTACGATAACCGCATATACATATATATATAACATTTGCTACATGACTTAACGTTTGTAATTTTGATAAATCATGGTTACACATGCTCGCGCCGTCTTTGATGGTTGGCAGGTTGATACATGTTACTTTATAAGAGAGAATGAAATGTACGTCTTGTGTGATCCTTATGAACACCACAAATCCTAATCACGGTTGAACTTTAACATCTGCTCAAAGTCGAGCCTGTAAGCATCTCAAACATGACGAACGACCTTGGTGAGCTCATTGTGTCGACCAAGTTCTCTAGCATTTATCGAAATGGTACTACAGCTGTAAAAGTCACTCCTATTGCATCAGTGGTGAAACCACACGATCCGGTGTTGGAGCTCGCGCTACTACGTAGATTACAAGCTAACAGGAACCCGCATATAATAGAATTAATTGCATCTAGTGCTGAGCACGGAGTCATCACGTTAAAGTTTCCCTATTACAAACAGAATATGTACCAGTACCTGTTGACACACTTCCAAAAACGCCGCTGGAATCCCTACCTTCTGAGTGATCAAGCATTAAGCAAACCGCAGCGGACTAATATGCTGCCAATCGAGCAATGCGTGGGCTTTTTCAAACAAATCGCCGAAGCGCTTCGCCACATCCACTCACAGGGAATCATTCATCGAGACGTGAAGCTACAAAATGTTTTGGTCGATGAACGGCCTAGCGACGTCGGACGCGGAACCCCCACTTTAGTTCTTATAGACTTCGGGATTGCATACGAGGAAGCACTATCCAAAGAACCTAAAGATTCAAAAATAATAGATGTGTCAACATCCATTTACAAAGCTCCGGAGCTTTTGTTCAGCGTGAAAAATTACTCGTCAGCAGTAGACATTTGGGCCTTACTCGTTGTCGTTTCACATCTTTTCCAAACCAGTAGTACTAGCGACAAATATGTTCCCGCCTTTGTGGAAGACGGGTTTGAAGAGTTGGACCAGGGAAGCGATATCCGCTTGATTTCATCTATATTTCGACAACTCGGAATTCCAGCGTTGCAAGAATGGCCCGAGGTCCGCGATTTCGGTTCGCCTGCATTCGAAGGTATGTTTGGAACTTCTGGTGATGGTCGTTATATCGCTAATCGAACGGAACAAAACCAGCGGGAAACTTGCATACGGCTCTTCCCGCGAGTTGAAGAGGTGTCGGAGCCTTCAAAAACGCATCTAATTAACTGCTTGCTGCGAATGATGCCATTTGAGTCCTCCCAAAGGGTTTCAGCCCATCAGATTCTAGATATACTTCAAGACTGCGGTCCTGTAGCTAGCTAAAGCATTATACGTCCCGTCTTCGTACCTTAAATTTTCTTTCTAGTTCCAAGAACTTCACCAGGCCTTGCAATCTCTGCAATTCCTTGCTTTCTATTAAGTGCTGTCGCGTCATGTCTTCAACAGTTATGTCTTTGTTCCTGGAACGCCTGGTAGGCGATAAGTTCTCTTCTCGTTTCATTTTCTTGTTTTGTGAGCCGTTTCTCAAGCTGGGAGTTGACGGAGTCGTTGGAGACCGCTTGTACATAGCACTGTCAGTCATCAATGCTTGGTAGAACAGTTGTTCTTGTTGATGTTGTTTGTTAGGATTTGAACGCTTTGTGGGTTCTTGACTACAGGAAGTTCACATCAGACGTGGAAAGCGATTTATAGCCTTTTCAGTTAGATTAAATATTATGAGGTCTAGCAGTCAGTTAATAGAATTGCTCCATGTTGGTCAATGTAATGAGCACCTGAGATTGGGAGCTTCGACTTGCTTAGATTTAAGACCTTTTTCTCGAATTCCCAATGCCTGAATTCAACAATAATTATTCATGTCACAATCATGCTGTGACAGCACTTGTACATACTCATGTTACTGAAAATTGAGCTGCCGTTAACGAGAAAGAATCTTAACTGTAAAAGCGTATGTAGTTTTATGAAAAAGATAAATTGTTTGGATTCGGAGATGCTCAACCCGCTCCGTGTCCCGAACAACATGCAATTTTTAACATTGATGGCATTATATGCTGACGGCATACTTCTACTTACTATGCGTCGTCATCTTTCCATCCTAGAAAATCCAATTCTTTCAAAACTTTGTCCTCAGACTGGATCTTTAGAATTTGCGTGTCCTCTAGGGTTTCTCCCAACATTTGTTTTTGTTTAAGAGCCTCGATGGCTCTCAATTTCTTAAGTAGAGAACGAATCTTTTTCTCTTCAGGCGAAGCCTCTTTGTTGACTTTTGGTGTTTCGACTGCGTCTATAGTAGCACCTTCGCCAACGGTACTGGAGTCCGGAGAGTCTTCCTTTTTGTTGTTTTCTCTTTTCTTTTTGTTCTTGGCAGAAGCTTTCGACTCTTTGCCAGATACTCCCGGAATACCACTTGCCATTCCTGGAATGCCCTTCGCTGGTCTAATAGCAGCCCCAGGAACTGTAGGAGCACCACCGGCTCTTCTAGCGTGGGGTGGTCTGTACGCGCCCGCTGGTTTGCTGGCTGTTCCTGCGGAGGATCCGTTTTTCAGGCGTTTTGAAATATACTCAGTAGCAGAAGGGTGAATTTGAACGTCGATTTTGCCCAACTTAGGGTCAGTAAACGGCTCCTCATTCGAGCTCGCAACGCTATTGATGACATGACTTTCCTCTAGCTTGGGAGAAATTTGATGTCTCCAGTCGACTTTTAGTAGCTCTTTGTATTCCTTGACAAAACACAAAGTTCCAGTAACATGCCAAATTTTGAGTCCGTTATCAACTCTAAGTCTTGGGGATGTGGTGGCAGTCAAAATGAATTCACCACCTGGGGACCATTTGCATACGGAAGTGTTCGCTGCATCAAATTTAGTAACGCACTTGAATTTGTCGTGACGGTCCAACACTTCAACCGACCCTTGCAAATTACCGAACCCTGCTATCAAAATGTATCTGCCTGATGGCGAAAACAGCATGGTATTTTTGGGCTGCTCGGGCAGAGAATGCACAACGTTACCTCTTAAATCGAAGAACGTTATCGTAGCTGGCATATAACCGTAAATGACACCAAATTGTCTTGAAGTTGGAGACCAAGTGAAGTCGTGAATTGGTCCCTCTTTTGATAGTGGTACACGGACGGACTTTCCTCCTAAAGAGCCGTTGGCGCCTTGGAATGATAACAGGTAAAGAGTGTTTTCACCATAATAAGATTTGTTTGACGAATCGAAATCCGTGATAGCCATGCATAATACGGCATTACCTAGAGGGTTCCATTTGAGTTGACAGGAGTCGGCTTTGAAAAAAGTCTTGGACGCAATTTTTTTATCAGTGATACCCTCTGCGATGGAATAAATACTCAAAACCGCTGGTTTACCGGATTTTTCAGGTGAGAATGTGCAAATCGTAGGGAACTCAGATGGTGAAATTAAGAAGCTCGAAATATGCTGTTCGGGGATCAATTTGCTGAAAGGCTTGTCGAAGTTGAACGTTGTGTTATCTTTGGAATCTATTTTCACGATTCTAATTTCCTTGCCAAATTGTTTCAATGCGAAATTGTCGAGCTTACTGAACTGCAAAACCCAGCCGCTTTGGACTTTGGCCTGGTATGCATAACTGGGAGTCTCAGGAGGCGTTTCGAGATTCAGGTCCCAGATTTTGACGTTCTTGTGATCTGGTTCCGAGATCGATGGCCTTTCCCAAGTGCTCAAAAAATTGCCCGATGGCGAGAAATGTAGGTCATAAACATCCTTTAAACTCACTTTCAGTAGTAAATGCGAAAACTCAACGCCTGTGAAAACTTGGACCGCATCAGAAGTGGAGAGCGCCATGAACCTCCCGCACGGCGATAAAAGCGAAACCTGGATTCTTTCTGCTTCATCTCTCGTCAATTGATCGAAAGTAGGATATCCCTGGAACAGGTTTATTTCTGTTGATGTCTTAGCAAAGAACTGAGTTGACATGACCTTGGATATATGCTTCTCTGGTGTAGTGTCTACGAGATCTTTAACTTGTACACTTAGATCTTTTAACCTGGTTCTGCAAAACTTTTCACGCTGATCAAACTGTACGACCTGTGATTGAAGTTCGTTCTGAAAGAAAGTGTTCAACCTGGCGCGCGCATTAAAACATTGGAACTGACGGCTTCAATAGACATCATTGGATTCATCATGTCTTGACAAATTCCTTCAAATTAAATTTTCGAGGCTTCCGAGATCAAATTCTGAAGCAAGTCTAAAAACGACAGTTATTCTAATAAAAGAAAATAAAATCGTTCTTAGACGCTCTTCATTAGACTACGCTGTGTAGCGTTTCCGCGATGCTTGCCATATATACACATGCCCGTGTGCCAATCGGTATTCTATCATTTTATCGACTATGTGAGAACACTTACTATAGGGCGGTGGAAACTGATAACACAAGTGAGCAAAGTGTAGCGTAGTAGCTGGGATACCGATTGCACGAACTAGCCTGTGTAACGCTTTCTGTTAACACGTAGGCCTGGGTTCGATGTTTTTAGCATCGACATAACCGTACTTCACGATCCTCCTTCTCAGCATTACACGCCGGCAATTTTACATTACGTTACGGAACATCATTCACTCACCTCTAAGAGCTCCCTATGCGACCCTTCTCGAAACGAATTTGCCGCCTTCCAATACAACGCCTTCTATACAATGACTCACAAGCCACTAAAGTTGCCAACTTAGGAGCAATGACCGAATATCTGAGCTCTGAAGCCGTTCCCCATATGTTAAGCCGGACTATAAAAACTGAGAAATTAGACCCGCAAATAAAACTCAGACTCCTGCCCACGCAACATCCGTATTTACCATCGATACAAGGACCAACGAAATACAAGCACTCCATAACCGCTATCGGGCTGATCATTCGTAGCTTTGTGCTTCACGGAAACGCTATTCTGCACGTGACTGGGGTTGAGACCATAACTGGCGTCAGCAAAAGTCAACGTTACAATACTATTACAGGAAACGACAAAATTGTTATACATTGGCACAGCTGTGATGCCGACGGTTACTACCATGCAAACTCAGGAAACTCCACTTCGCAGGCGAATTTGTTGTTCTCCAACGCCAAAGATAACATAAATCTGAAAAGGGAGACAGACTCATTGCCTTATGGCGATTTGCTACAATATATTATGAACCCTAGTCTGGGTTTATCCCGGGATACTATTAATGAGCAAACGAAGTCACTGGATGACTACAGACAGCAAGAGGGAAATTCCCGCAGTATCCATGGATATTTTATTTTCGAACTCAACTGTGATAATACAAAGATACTGGTACACACCATTGACAACGTAGAAATGCTGGATAAACCCAAGAAACAAGAGACTGGGGCCCTGGCATGCTGAAAATGATATTATCTGTCACAAACCGGATATATTCGTGGAGAGATTTGTAAATTGTTAAAATAGTGACTTGGACATAACATAAAAACTAAATTTGGGTGGCGCGACTCAGCTAGACTCGTTGCTCGCAACTACAGCAGCGATCCACGGTTGGTACCATGGTGTCTCGAAAAATTTCAAAAATAAACCAATTAACTATATAAGAAGATAAACATCAATGCAAACAATTCCCACCTGTTCTTAACACCTGATTAAGAGTAGACTAATAAAGAGAATAACCGCTCCACGGCCGATCAAGAAGGCTTGTATGACTTTTAAAGTTTTGTAATGCTAGTGTTCCACGTTGGAATCTGATAAGTGAGGGGGCCACGCCGTTAATACGCCTCATTGGATTTCGGAAGTATCCTTTGACACATGGCATTCCAACTCAGCAGACAGCCTTTTTGCTGAATTCGAATATTTGTCGTGTAGACGCTCTAAACCTTGGCTCTTTTGGCCAAGTTTAGGGACAGAACTAGCTCCGTCGGAACCAGAACTGACGTCAGATGCACTGTCACAGTTCGTACTTCCTGACATGCTATTCCCAGAGGCGCAACTGTCCGACGAAGCGCCACCTACACTGATCTTGCTTGAATTCAGGCTTTCAGATGTAGAGCTGCCTCCCACAGACGAGTTTTTATTCTCACCGTACATAGAGGCCACTGCTCCTGGATCTGTTACCAGGCCAGTAAAATAGAAGTCTGAAAACATGTCATCCCTTCCAGAGTTGATACCACCCGTGGATCCTTTCGGCTTTTCAAGGCGCGAGTTTTTCTGAGCCGGTGAGAGCAGAGAACTCATACGGACCAAAAACGCCCTCATATTGCGAGCAATGGGATTGACTGTAAGCAAGCAGTTCAACACGTAAGTCGCAAACAAAATTAAAAACTGTTCGCGATTCAACGACGGTTGTCCTACCTGCGGAAGACACATCCATTCGGCTGGACCTTCAACACCCAAACTATCCTTCCGCAACCTGCGTGAGCTTTTCGATGTTATGCCGCGACCTGCGCGCAAAGGTTCGAAATAGTATTCGGCGATGAACTGGTGCCCATTGGACACGAAGTGCGCGAAGTTTGGGTTGTCCGGGTTCTTGGACAGACACGCGTTTTTAAAAGGACACGCGCCAAACATGGCAAACATCAGAGTGATGCCTAGCGACCAGTAGTCAGCCAAAAAGGTGTCATGAGGACTGGTGTATGCTTCAGGCGCAAGGTACTTCTCAGTACCAATGCGAACGTCTTTGGAGACTCTCGTTCGACAACTAAGCCCCCAGTCGGCGAGCTTGACATTGCCGTTGCCATCAAGCAGCACATTCTCAGGTTTGATGTCTCTGTGAGCTATACCGTGCGCGTGCGCGTAGTCTATAGCCGAACACAGCTGAGGCACCAGCCTGGAAAAATCGACTTGAACTCGGGACTCACTGCGGGTCTTCCAGCTACGGATCACATCGTAGAGATCGCCTCGAGCGGCGAACTCCATAACAAACACGTAACACGTTTCCCTCTCGTAGAAGTCCAGCAGCGCACATATGTTGGGATGGCCTTTGCCCAGACTGCTCAACACATCGTATTCGCCGGCGACCAGTCGAGCGATCTTGGATGCGGCGGCAGCGTCTGCAGGTTTTTCCACAATCTTCAACGCAACTTCTTGCTCAGACTCCGAGTCGTAAGCCCGGTAAACGGTACTGAACGACCCACTTTGTATTTTTGAGAGCCGGATATACATGAACACCAAAACAACAACAGTTATAACAAAAACAACTCAACCTTTTTATGAACCTTTCCAAAAGTCAGACAAACGTAAAAAAGCGACCCGACCAATTATATACCCCTTCCGCTATGCGATCTTAAATCCTAGCCGATTTTTTACAATCGAGATCCAAAATTAGTCTGTGCGTGGCCAGCGGATCATGCGGTGCTTTATGGCAGTTTTCGAGAGTGAAATGTATGACTGTGTTGCGAGCTTCGATCCTGTCAGTGCTCCAACGCAACAATATGTTGAGCTGCTTCGCTGCTTGACTGTTTCCTCTTAACTCTGTTTTGATAAACCCCGGAATCGATCTCTTCAATCTGATCCTCTTTTCTTTGTCGATGCGTAAAACTTTCTTGTTATTACACTTCTTTATCTGCACAACTTTCTCCCACGATCAAAGCATTTACACTTATCCCAGAAAAATCCACGATGCACGCTGGTACGGACCCTTTTTCACCGACCCACACAAGTCTTTTATACCATTTTCACTGTTTTTTGCAATAGCAGGTTTTCTCAGTCGATACTTTCCCTACCTACAGGCAAAGAAACCAAAGAAACCGTTTGAAAAGCTTCAGAAATCCACCGCGCTAGCGACACCCTTGCTCGGCCAGAATTTGTGGCGACGCCCAATTTTTTTTCGGTTAGCAATGCCACTACCCGTACTTCAGCGTGCACACCCTTCGATCTGCGAGATTGGGTGAAAAAATAAAAGGCTTGCCAGCAGGTGATGAAGATACGATCTGGTGAAGGGCTAGCGACAGTGGAAATTGTTGCATATTGCTAGCATTTCATGCCTGGAATACGTCTTGGTGGTGTTCGTTTTTGATGGGATTTGTGCAGAGATTGGAAAGAACTGAATGATAAAGCGTCGAACAGGCAGCAGCTGCAGATGCGTCAGCTAAACGAACAGGCCTTCGCCATAGAGCCCGAGAACGGACTGCACGAACCCAACAACGGATATGCCAAACAAGACAGGAACTGGTGCGAGACAGCGGGATGAGTGGCACGTGACGGGAGGGTGATGGGCTGGTATTTCGGCGGGGGGAACCTCGACAGGGGCAGGGTTGGTTTGCGATGGGGTGGCAGCGGAGTGCTCGCCCAAATCGACCACGGAATCGTCCAAAGAGGAGGCCGTCGCGTCTGTCGCGTCTTCCTTCACGACGGACGAGGCTTCGTCAGCGCGGCGCTCCAAGGCTTGGCCTCGGGGGCACTTGCTGCGACACTGGCGGGGCCTCCGGAACCGCATGGTCGCCGCCATGTACAGACCCGAAACCGGAGTCACCAGCATCCCGTACAACAGGTATGGATGGCGTAAATGGGCCGGGGCACCAAAAAAACTCAAACCAAAAAACACCGACGAGATCGTGGCCAGAGAAGCGGCAATCCGAGCCACGATCTTGGCAGGCCCCATGAGCTGCGATTTGATCACATCCATGGGCGTGAAGCGCGCCAAAACTGCGGCAGAGCACATGGCTCCACAATATATCCCTAAACTGGAAACGGCTATGGTCTTAGTGACCGCTAAACATACCGACATCTAAGGTAAGTACGTAACGTAAATAGAAGAGCTGGCAACAGTAGACTATAAATCGGTAGAGAAAAGCTTGCAATTGCGCTGTAGCTTTACTTACACTGGTAAACTAGTAACACGAAATTTTCGCTTGACGTGTGCGGTCGATTAAATTATTCTTATTCTTGAAAAAGTGTGGGTAATTATGTACGGGAAGGTCTGAAAAGGTCCCGTTAATGCTATAAGATCGGTCGAACAAACGATATGAACCAGGGTGGATGACTTGCTACATTGTGCGGTAGTTTCGGTTGTTATTGCGGCTTTGCAAAATTTATTCTGTTTGCCTTTAGCTCTTTTCAAGTAGCATCCCAAATTTTAGCCAACAGCGAAGATGAGAAGAAAGCTTAGAAACGGATAGACTTTCAAGTCCATGTGGTCTTGTTGAGCCAGCATTTCTTCAACTGGCAGGTTAGGAGTTAGCCTGGTTTAATTTTTATCGGGATTATCACTTCGTCAGTAGCTAATTTATCCAGCACTGTTAACAAGTACTGTCACACAGTCAATGCTCGCAGTCCTGGTAGTTCGTGCACAAGACGTTGATCATGCGGCTAGCAAAATCTGAGCGCTTGAAATGAATTAATTTGCCTTCCCCCGACTCATTGCTCACTCAGCATCTTTCGTGTTTACTCCTTGGATTCTTAAGCAGCTAATTATAGTCAGGAACGCTTCATCTTTCATCCTGTGGTAACATTATAGCTCGTCCAGCTTGTCCAGTACAACAAATTGTCATGCCGCAAGCAGAACCACACAGAAGCAAATGCTCACTACCTGGTGAACTTGAACAACTAACATTCTTTTATACGTCCACCACTAACACCGAGGGCCATACGTTGGTATTGATTTGAAAAGACACTTGTGGGGCAGAATTGAAAGATCCACCGCCGAATCCCTGAAAGCAAGGAGCATCAGTGATACCAGCATGCGAGCACTCATCTTGGAGGTAGCGAGTTAGCAAACCGAAGGCGACAAACCAAAGCGAGGTGCCGAGAATGATTAATTGTTCATATTTCTTCCATGTACTTCGTCAACAAAGCTCAGTTGTGTTCCTGTAAACATTGACGCTGGCAAGTGGTACGATTGAAGCCACATGCCATTCCCCTAATCCCACTTTGGGCAGGACTGGAACGTAAAGAGCCACCATTCTCCAATCTAGAGTCGAGAAATCAAAGGCAATTACTTGTAGTATCAAAAAGAAACCAGAACTCACAGCGAAATTAGCAAATGAAAATGGAACTTGCATCGATGATACGTCTAATCACCGTATCAACATCATGAAAACTAATTGCCCTTCTTAAGATGCCCCGAAAACTGGCGTATGCAATATGATCCGCAGCACCCATCATAGGTTGTGGCGCATTTGGCGGTCTTCAAAAATGACTGCTAAGCGTCGCTGTCGCATAAATTAGTTTACCTCTACACATGCCGTCCCAACGGACTGCGTAAGCTTGTATTGTACAGCATAACCTCAACCTTTCTGACACCCGCATATTTATTTTGGCTCAAGGCTACATGGGCGTGGGTCACTTCCGTGCCATTGTTTCGTCGAAATTTCCGATTGCTTTGCACAAAATCATGAGTGCGTGAAGGAGCATAGCTTGTTGGCAGCTGAAGGATTTCGATACTTGGCGTTAGAGTGAGAACGAAAATATGGCCGTAGTTTAGGGGCACAAACCACAGAGACCAGCAGGATAATTGCAAGTGGTAGCCGGCCAACCTATGTCTCAAATGCCCGCTTTTGCATTCAAAGTTCATCCACGTTTTCTAGAGCCCATGGTTTCATTACATATGAGTGGTAAATCTAAACTCTTTGAAATGCAACAAAATTATGAGCGCCTAGCCAAGACATTCTATTCCATTTAAGTAACATGAAAAGAACAACAAACGAAACAGCCCTCGGTCATTCTTGGGAATAAATGTTACCTGAACACTGATAATTTGTAAAAATCACCGGCTTGTGTAATTCAAACGCTCACGAAGGGAGTCTGTTTTGCGTCCGAACAAAGTCGGTTCTCATCAAATCTCTAAGCACTGTCCATAATTTCCAAAAGAAGCCGAAAAAACGCCTATTATTCGAAACTTGGGTAAACCCTTTATTATTTCTGGCGGACTTGTTCAAATTGCTAAAAAAAATTGTACCTTTATAACTAAATTCCTAACCCATCAACTTCTCTTACTTGAAAAATCAAGGTAGAAACATTGAAGATATGGCGGTTCAAAAGATCATTAGAAAGAAGTCTAAGGCCAAAGTCGATCCTTTGGCCAGACAGAAAGTGGTATGGACCATTGGCCACTGCTTGACGCTTGGCTTGGGAGTCATTTACGCACTATTTTATTTGTACCAGTGCTTGACATCGTATCGGTACCGTTCTTGGAAGACGTTATTTTTGATTGCAAAGCCGCCGCACAATAAACCCACAACTTGGTCAAGGTGGTTATGGCGTTTGATGCCGCAATTGACGTACCGGCTGTCACTCGTGGGGGTGTTGGCGTCGCACGCCGTGACAAGCTACCAAAACTGGAGCACTTTGAACCCCTCCTGGTACGACCTTCTAAGCAAAGAGAACTTCCAGAGCATTTTGATTGCTACGCTTTGGCTGTTCAGCAGAGCTTCGTTGTTCAAACTAGTTCCCTTTGTCCTGATAAGTTTTCTCCATTTGACGGTTAAGGATCATACGGAGAATGCGCAAGAAGTTGAGGAGGAAAAATCCAAAGATGTAAAGCCTGCAGACACGACAGCTACCATTTTGCACATCATCGCTTATTCGGAGCTTATTGTTGCTGTCGCATTGATTTTCGATACGTTGACTCTCCGGGACGGTACTGCCGGGTTCGTGTTGGTATTGTATATGTCTGTTTACTGGCTGAGATTGAATTTCTCACCCTATGCGCAAGAAACGTTGCTAAGACTTGTTCTCAAGGCAGACAAGAACGTTCCGCCAAAGTACGAGCCACAATGGAAAGAAGTTAAGCAGTTCTTGTACTTGAGAATGGGCGAAAGTTGGAAACGTCAAAATTCAGTTAAGACCAATTAAGTAGTAATAGCGGTTTAATATTTGGCTGGCACACAATACAGATGTAGAGCCGACGAAGCTGTAGTATAGTAAAGGCGCGAGATGGGTCTCGACCTGCACTGCGCTAGCTGCTGAAAGAGCTTTGAAACTAGTCGGGGTGCTTATGGGCGGAATAGTCTTACATACTACGGGTTTTTTTCGTCTTGCGTATCAGATATTTGAGCTTTGGTAAGTTGGGTATCTTCCTGTATTTTCAGAAGCAGAACTGATGTAAGGTTATCATCATGCTAAGACGAAAGTTAGACTTCCACGAGCCGCTACAGCGTCAAGAGCGCGTCAACACTAATAATTGATTAATTTTCTCTAAGGTCAGATGGTGATGCATGATATTTATCCTGGCACATATTCATAGAATCATCGCCGGATGTGAAAAAAAGACGTGGTTAGTCGTTCATCGCTCGAGAAAGATAATTATATCCATTATTGAACTGTTGATCCATGTGCTCATGGATGCACGGGCCATCGGGGTGTTGTGTACATTTGAAGATGCTCAGATACATTCTTACCCTTCTAATTTCCAGATCATAAACGAAGAATTCCTTAACAATTTAGTCCTGCATGTACTTCCTCAGACTTGTAATATTGTTTTCATAATCATGTAAGAAGAAGAGAGTGGAAAGAAAAGTATCCTTCCTCAAAATCATAACAACCGTCCATGGCCCTGTTGTTCTTTATTGGATTTATGTAGTTAAGAAGGGAAGATCATTAATGAGGTTGAAAAGTAAGTTCTCTTTATATATTGAGAATTTGAAAAATTTTGCAGTCCACTATTAGGGCTTGAATAACCAAATTTTAGTAGCTACCGGCTTCTACGCCATCACAGCTTCACGAGGCTCCGCCATATAATGCATTCAAGCTTCGGCTATTGTTCCGCCTCGATTTCTTTCTTTAAATAACGATATGAATGGGGGGGTTGAATTACAACAGATTATATGTAAGACTCTCTCTCTTTATGTAAAAAGGGGGGAGCGCAACACTTCCGTGCGCGTAGTACAGTTTTTCATTAGATGAACCTATTGAATTCTTTAGGCAGCAGTAGCTCTGGCGTAGATAGCTTGAGTGGAGTGCTTGGAGATAGGCTTGATGACACCGTCTTGCTCCAATTGTCTCAAGACAATTCTGGCCAAAGAACCACCGAGCTTTAATCTGTCGACTAGGACGGAGACGGAAACGTATCTGTAGGTTGGGACTTCCTTCATGATTCTGTCGTACTTCTCCTGGTCCAAGATGATAGCGTGCTGGGCCTTGTCCTTGTGAGACTTCTTGGACCACTTCTTCTTAGACTTCTTACCACCGGCCATGGCGGCAGCGGCTTTAGCGGCCTTAGACAATTGTTGTTTTGGAGGCATTTTACTGAAGGCGATGAGTTAGTAACACGTAGACTCGCGATTGGTGTGGGATTCGAATCACAGCTTGTAGCCAAGCATTTTTGAGTAGACTTGTGGACTTTCCGTCTTCTGTTTCTCTTCATCAGGGTGTTCTTGTGTATCCAGTTTCTCGGTTGCACGCTACACGGACGTTGGTTTCTAAGTCAAAATGCTGAAGTTTACCCCTTCTTCTCCTTGTTCTTCTTCTATTCCTTTCCAAAGGAGACCCACCATCTCAAATTCACGGCTCTGAAACGCTCGCTGTTCTCAAACTATCCCCACACATGTAATATTCATCCAGGACTATGGTTCACATACTCTAAATTCCGTTGCTGATTTACCTAAAACCAACAGTGTGTGGTATACACTGATCTTAGAAGTTTTGTCTTTATTCAAAGAGGATTGACGACGAAGCGTTGCACAGGCGAAAGCGGACGGTGGCCAGGCCAGGAAGCTAGGCTGAACTGAGCCTGGAACCGTGAACAGAGCTCTGTCTAGAAATGATACAGATGTGGGTCTAGCTGAGCCTAGCTGCGGCGGAGCTAGGCAGAGAGCTGGGCTCGGCAGTACGGATTGTCGCAAAAAAATCGGCTGCTTTTTTGAAAAAGTGCTACCCACGCAAAATATATATTTCTGTCAATTATTTTGTAGTTTTTTAGATTTTTAGATTTTTAGATTTTATGAAATTTCTTTGAAAAGGGGAATATGTGTGGGTTGAGCAGTCCCGAGTGGTGAAACCCGGGATGTTTGGGCTTGGGGTTGCAATCGCTGTGCTGAATCTTGTCAACGAGAAGCAAGGCTTTCAGGTTGTGTCGTGTATCATGGTAGCGAAATGATGTATTTTATTTCTTAGATACGTGGTTCCTACTATAGCAGTTTTATATAATGTGCTGGCCTTCTCACTGTCTGTCATGTAGCACAAGGTGTTTAGCTGACGACTTCAGCCACAGGGAAGCAATCGCAGAAACATGTATTGTAAACGGGGCGCCTGTTGTGGTTAGTATAGCCCAGTAGTTTCGAATTGCAGACTTGTTTCCGTAGGTACACATATCGTGACAGGATAGTACAAAGTGATACCTGAGAACTGAAATGAAAGATGGCCAGCCTCACGCGCAAGTACTTGTGACAGAGCCGAGGTTGATCATTTTGGCATCCTGCAGATTGGCCGCAGGATTTTACCTCTGTGAAACTTGGATCTAAGCTGTACTATCTATGCTGCGATCTCCGTCTTTCCCTGGGAAAACGCTTCGAGGGCTCAAGCCAACGATTGCCGCTGGTACAAGATAATTTGTGAGTGAGCGTTTTCGATAATGAAAAGTTTTAATTTACGATATGGCCATAGCGGCTCTCTCTTTTGTCACGTAGTTGCGCGTAGGCTCAAATGATGGCCTATTTCCCAAATTCAGCAGTCAGCGATGTATTTGTGAATACTATTAAGAGACTAACGCCAGTTTAAAACCTCGTAGTCGAGAGGTTATCACGGCAGCTGTATAAAGGCAAGCTATATCAGTCTAAATAGCAAAGTTGCTAGCAGATTGATCCCAAATTGAACCGCAGAGTTGCAAAGTTCTTGGCCAATTCAGTTTTGAGTTTCCACTTGCTACAAAACCCGTAGATTTTAATCCAAGTGTCGATGCGAACTTAATATTGAGATTGGTCTCCATCGGCCAGACTCAAGTCTTTGAGGCTGCTTATAATGTTGTCGAGGAGTTCTTGATAGTAGGTGAGCGCTAGCTGAATAAATCTCTATGCGATTTTCTGTGTGAGAATATAATCTCGATAAACGGCAACTCGGACGTCTAAATAGGCTGGATTTTGAACACTGAGTATTGGTGACGCCTGTCATTTTTCCCAGAGGCAGGCCACCAAAGTATTTCACTTATATATATACAAACTAACTGAAATCAAAGCCTCCCAATTTTACGTTTTTCGGTATTACTCACCTATCCCAAGTGATCCCGTTTCCATTCGAGGAATATAAAATAGCCTTGGGGATGGAAGCTCCGCTCGTAAAAACAGCTAGGACAACTGAAAGGGCTGATATTTTACTGCCTTCACACTTCAAAGAGTTCCCGTGATTTCTCGTCTAGTATAGTATTGCACCTTTCGACAAGCTATTCATCAATATCCGATATGGTGTAACGGCTATCACACTCCGCTTTCACCGGGGAGACCGGGGTTCGACTCCCCGTATCGGAGTTTTATTTTTTCAATTTTAAATTTTTTGCCAAAGTCGGATGTCGTGGATAGCGATTGAATATCAAAATCAAACTGTATTGACCAACTACTTGTAAATTGGCATGACATCTCTATCAGAGTTCTGAAGTCGTGAAACAAGGCTCCGTAGTTGCTTCTGGATATTGTATTAGGATCGGTCTAATTTACATTGCATTCATCGATTCTATTTTAGTATTTTTTTTCCCAGTTTGGTTACTACGAGACACTTATAGTACATTATGGCCAAACGCATCGCCGACACACAAATGACCCGTGAGGCGTTGGATGCTGCGGGATCTGACGGCGACGAAAGAGATGTGGTTGATTCCCAAGCGGGTCTCCATAGAGCGACAAGTGACGTTATGCGCAAGCGGAAGATTGCGCAGCCAAGAAAACGGAAACAACAGTTAGCCTTCGGTAATGGCAACGGCGTTGGCAGTCAAGAATCTTCCATGGCAAATGCATTTTCATTTGGAAATGCAACAGGCACAGCGGCCGCCTCTACTGCCACTACTAATAGTGCCTCTGCCGGCGCTTTCTCTGGTTTCAAGTCAGCTTCCTCAAAAAGCGCAAGCACTCCATCATCCGATAATAATGAAATCGCTGCCAAGCGGAATGCCCTTAACTTGCAATTTCAAACCAAGATTGCCGAGTTCGTCTCCAAGGATCCGTGTGCCGACCTCTCCAGCGTCTTCGATCAATACAAACGCTATTTCCTAGACATCTCAGGCACTGCGACAAGCCCCACTACTTCTGTCCCTCTTCCAACACCCATCTCGAAACCAGCTCCTAACTCTCAACCGGAGACTTCGGATTCGGAGCCCGAAGCCGAAGTCAAAGTTGAAGGTCCAACTTTTTCCTTAGCCCAAAAGCCAACCACCAATGATTCAGTTTTCAGTTTTGGCGCCAAGAAAAATCAGAAACCTGATCCCAGCGATTCCGAAAGTGATATTGAGATAAAGGGCCCTTCTTTCACATTTCAATCGACTTCTTCTACAGCCCCCACCAAAAGTGTGTTTCAGTTCAAGTCTGAGCCCAAAAGTAAAGAAACTTCCGATGTGCCAAAACCTGCGCCCGCTACCAATCCCGCGAGTGTAACTGCCAATACAGCTAGCCAAGAAAGTAGCACAGCTGAGACAGTGCCAAAGTTTAGCTTTGGTTCATCCGCATCTTCAGCGTCTACTTCAACGAAGCCTGTTTTCGGCTCGAATGCTGCTGCTCAAACAGTTCCGAAGCCCACTTTCGCGTTTGGGCAACCTTCCAACGATATAAGCACTCCGATGAGTGTTGAATCAAAAAAGCCGGCGGCATTTTCATTTGGATTTAATGCTGCTAAGACCAGCGATAATAATAGCCAATCTAAGCCAACTTTCTCGTTTGGTCAGTCCGCTAGTACTAATACTGCTAACGGTACTGCGAAACCAAGTTTCACTTTCGGCACTCCTGTTACTTCCAAACCAAATGATACCGAAGACGCTTCTGCGTCAGATGATCCCAGCAAATCCAAAGGTGAGGAATCTTCCAAGCCTAAACCCGTCACTTTTGGTTCTTCCTTCAGTACCGGCAAGAAAGACGAATCTAATCCGACTTCTTCATTTTCCTTTGGTCAAAAGCCAGATACTGGTCTTGAAGATGGGGAAAAGCCTAAGCCTTCTTTTACATTTGGAGCTCCTGGTACTGCTGCCGCACCAAGTTTCAGCTTTGGTAAGCCAGCTGAATCTAAGGAACCACCATCTGGCGGATTCAAATTCAATCTACCTTTCTCCTCCAACGCACCATCCAACGACTCGCAAAAAGCCAATGAGGCGCCACAAGCAGAGAAAGATACGGAGACAGAAGCGCACTCGGCGACTGAGGAGTCAAATGGCATCACCATGTCGAATGGCGAAGAAGGAGAAGAATTGCTGTTCTCTAAACGGGCTAAATTGATGGTAATAAATTCTGAAACTAAAGGTTATGAATCTCGCGGAGTGGGAGAGCTAAAAGTTTTACAGAGCAAAGACGACAAGACGAAAGTCCGGATTCTGTGCAGATCAGACGGAATGGGGCATGTTCTTCTTAATACAGGTTTAGTTAAAAGCTTTCAGTATGTGCCCGCAGATGCTGATAAGGAAAACTTTGTGAAATGCCCTGTGGTTAACAGCGAGGGAAAACTCGAAAACTATATCATCAGAGTCAAACAAAAAGCCGATGGTCGTCAACTGTGTAAGTCTATTAAAGAGGCCCAAGACAACATGTAATATAAAAAAGGCTCAGCACTTCATACCAACGAGAATGGTATCATACTACGGTTTCATTGTCAGGTGTCTATTACTTTGAACAGTGTATACTTGTCTATCTAACCCATGCATTTCTAAAAGCTCTCGCCTCTCATTCCTTCTTTGATCAGTTGAGTGAAGTATGGCAAAGCCCAGCTTAGTCTTCTAACTTCCCTTTCATGGCCCTTAGTACCTTCCGGTTCGGTAATGAAAGTTTGGTATTTGAATTTCTTGTTCAGGAAGACATTGAAGGCAGCAAATATTGTAGAGCTATTTTCAAATTTTAAGCTATGATTAACAATTCTTTCAAAAATAGAACCTTCATAGTGTAAAGCTTTTTTGCCTTGAACCTTCTTCCTCACCTCACTTTTCTTCGCAACAGAAAGTAAAAACTGAAATACGAGAATCTCGATGAAGAGACTGCCGTCACTGTTCAGACCGCCCATAAGAGGGACGTGTTTGAAGGCCTCTAATTTTAAAACTTCCTCTGCCAATAATGCGCCAAAAAATCTACCTTGGCAAGATACCTTCTTGAGTTTTTGGTCCTCATTCAGATCATCATCGCGATCTGAGGGTGCATCCTCGTCGTCCGAATCATCATTGTTCTCAAATTTTTTGATCATATCCCAAAACATGAACTGGAAAGCCTTTGCGACATGGTGATTTTGTTGACTTAACTTGACGGCCAATAATGCGTAGAATGGATTGTACGCACCGGAAGAACCTTCCATAGCCAAACAATGCAGTAGCACTCTAGGAATTTCCAAACTCTGTTTATTTTTTAAATTCAACTTTTCGACATTGGTGAATGCGTCCATGAAGTCTTGTGCAGACATAACACTGACAAAAATCGCTCTCCTCACTTCTGTGTTCATCCTTTGAGATCTGGCTATTTCGCTCCAATCGGGTATATCATCGAGGATATTGTCCTCCACTATGATATTGTTTGCGGAGCCCTTTTTGGAGTTCGTAATCAAACTTTTCTTATCTTCAAACGCAGAGTCCATGTTGCCCTTCCAAGAGGCACCCACTAGCCACCATTTACCCTTGGTTTCAATATTTTGAATGTCATCTAGAGTAACTTGTAGTGGTTCGATCGCAGTCGATGAAGCGCCGCTGGTAAAATGAGAAAGACTCTTTTTTACACTTGCATGACTGGCAGCCAAAAGCGACGGTTTCAATCTATTGTTTTTCAGATCCGTCATGACCTCAAGCAAGAATTTCATTCTAGGCGACTGCTTGACATTTCGAACGTTGCTGAGTAGCTCCGATATAATCTCTTTCAATGCCTTGGGATCGTCACCACGGATTAATTGACCGGAAATAGAGATAATTCTTAGCAACAGTTCGGTGGTGAATTCATTTGGAGTTTTTATCAGCATTTCAATCACGTCATATATCAAGCGGCACGAAACAAGTCCGAAATTGTAACAATATGAGAGAAGAGCGACTGAATTATTGCACTCTTTGGACATCACAACAGGAAGGTCTTCGCCATTTTCTTCTTTCGTCTCCGCAAATAATTTCTGATCTCTTTCAAAATTGTGAAGTAGCCTTTCTACCCATCTTTGTATGAATGATGCACCAACTTCTGCACCTCTGAGCTTCCATAGACTGAAAACCACAGCGGCGTAATTGATGATGAAACTATCTAGCAGCTTATCACGGTGGGACACGACTTCTAATATCTGATTTGCAAGTGCGTCATTTACGTGCTGTCTTGGGTAAGAATCGTAAATCTGTCCCAAAGCACTCACGATGACTGTAATGTTAGATTCGGAAAGTTTGTTGAGCGATGATTTAACTTTTTTCCGAAGCTCCATTACGCTTTCAGACTCATTGTCTTCAAGATTTTTCTTTCTCAAAGAAGGGGGTACGTAAGCAGCAGGTTCTGACGCAACCGGAGCCACATAAGGATTTTCTCTTTTGGTGCTCTTTTCTGCATCGGAGCTCTCGTCTTCTAATTCTCGTAGTTGTTCAAGTTCTTCTTCGTTGAGATCATTTTCATCAAATTCATCAAAATCTCCTTCTGAGAGTTCATCATCGGAAGAAAACGGTTTGTCTTCATTCTTGGCAGAGCGCGAGATCTCTTCTTCAGACTCACTATCCACATTTTGGTCGTTGTAGGACTCATCCTCTTCCACTGTTTCACTCTCTGAGCCTTCACTGCCGTATTTCTCAAAGAAGTCAAGACCTTCGAGTAATCCGCCGATGGCATCAAACTCGTCTGAGGCCTTCAGTTTCTTACTTTTGCCTTTAATACCAAGTTTTTTAGCGTAATAGTCGTAGTCCCATTTATCTTTTTGGGCCTGTGCCAGTTCAGAAGGAGTAAGTGTGGGAGGCGCTACGGTTTCTGAATCATATTCGCTGCCAGAGGTTTTCTTGCTCTTTTTGTTAGCATTCTTGAGGGCCGCTTTCGTTTCAGAGATCTTTTCATTCGCGACTTTGTTTTTCTCTTGCTTGGCTCGTTTGAGAGCTGCCATTGTCTCTTCGACGGTCATTTCCTCTTGCTCGTCGTCAGATTCGTCCGTAAGTTCTTCGTCCATATCGTCAGCGAATTCTTCGTCAGATTGATCCTCTGATAACTCGGATTCGTTCTGCGATGTTCTATCAAGACCGGAATTCTTTTTACTTTGGGCTTTGTTCTCCTTGACACGCTTGAGAGCTGCCATTGTCTCTTCGACGGTCATTTCCTCTTGCTCGTCGTCAGATTCGTCCGTAAGTTCTTCGTCCATATCGTCAGCGAATTCTTCGTCAGATTGATCCTCTGATAACTCGGATTCGTTCTGCGATGTTCTATCAAGACCGGAATTCTTTTTACTTTGGGCTTTGTTCTCCTTGACACGCTTGAGAGCTGCCATTGTCTCTTCGACGGTCATTTCCTCTTGCTCGTCGTCAGATTCGTCCGTAAGTTCTTCGTCCATATCGTCAGCGAATTCTTCGTCAGATTGATCCTCTGATAACTCGGATTCGTTCTGCGATGTTCTATCAAGACCGGAATTCTTTTTACTTTGGGCTTTGTTCTCCTTGACACGCTTGAGAGCTGCCATTGTCTCTTCGACGGTCATTTCCTCTTGCTCGTCGTCAGATTCGTCCGTAAGTTCTTCGTCCGTATCGTCACCGATATCTTCATCAGATTCTTCTTGAGAAGAATCTCCTTTTGTAGCCGCCGTTGTCGCAAGTGCAGCGCGCTGTTTGTTTGAATTGCTTTTCCCTTCCTTTGCCTTTCTGAGAGCTTCCATAGTCTCTTCAACGGTCATCTCTGCAAAATCATTATCTGAATCTTCGTCGGCCGTGTGATCACTTTGCCCATCCTCTGATTCATGTTCCATACTTTGGTCGTCGCTGTCGCCTTGTTCCAGCTCCTGTAGCTGCTGCCACTCTTCTTGGTCAAGATCTTCGCTTCCGAATTCTTCGAAATCTCCTTCTGAAAGCTCGTCGTCAGAGGAAAATGGCATTTTGTCTTCTACAGCCTGCGGACGTTTATCTTGTTTCTTGGGCTTATTGTTTGCTACTTTTGGAGCTTTCTTTGCCGCAATCTTCTCATTGTTTTCCGAGCTTCTAGCCTCGCTGTTTCCTTTGCTCTTGTGGCGTTTTTCCTGTCTCTGTTGCTTTCGCTTTTCCTTTCTACCCACTGGCGTTTTCCGTTTCCGTTTATTTGTGTTGGTGTCAAATCGCGCGTCATTGGCATAATCTTGATCTCTCAACTCATCTAAAAGTGTTCCTGGAATGCGAATAGCATGTCGTTCACCAACCATAGCGTCTATGGTATATCAAAAGCTCTCTTTAAAGTCTATGGATGGTTAAATGTAAGTTTGTTCATCTCATCGCATGGTTTTGAAAAATTGAAATTTCATTAATCAAGAAATTAATTCAGTTCCTAGCTCATCGCATAAAGTTCAACAAAATCTTGAGTGTCAAAAGAATGGCGCGCAGTATCGACCTCAAATTTTTAGCAGACTTGTCGGTGCTTGTGGGCACTGGCCTTTCTGTGTACTATTTAGTTTCGAGACTCTTGAGCGAGACAGATGGCGGTCCACTATTCGGTAAATCGAAAGAGTCCCGGCAAAAACAGTCGCAGACTTGGGACAGTCTAGTTGCAGTTAGGCCGCAATTACGGGATGTTCGACTAAGCACTTACGAGCGCACTGTTCTGGCATCTGTGGTTTTGCCACAGGATATTGACGTGACTTTTGCAGACGTCGGAGGTCTAGAGGACATGGTGGAGGAACTGACAGAATCCGTGATTTGTCCGTTAACTATGCCAGAACTTTACGCCTCGTCGTCGTCCTCAGGAGCAGGGCTCCTTTCAGCGCCACGAGGCGTCCTTCTGTATGGTCCACCGGGCTGTGGGAAAACCATGGTGGCTAAAGCTCTTGCTAAAGAAAGCGGAGCGACTTTTGTTTCTCTTCGCATGTCTTCGATCTTAGACAAATGGTATGGCGAGTCCAACAAGATTGTCGATGCGGTTTTCTCACTCGCCAACAAGATACAGCCGTGCATTGTTTTCATTGACGAGATCGACTCTTTCCTCCGCGAGCGGGCCTCGTCTGACCACGAAGTCACAGCTATGCTCAAAGCTGAGTTCATGACTCTATGGGACGGGCTGACCTCTAATGGGCGCATCCTCGTTTTGGGTGCTACTAACCGCATGACGGACATCGATTCTGCATTTTTGAGAAGGCTTCCTAAGCGTTTTGCAATTCCATTGCCCGGCCCGCAAGAAAGACGTCAAATCTTGACAATACTATTACAAGGCTCGGAGCTCGACTCTGAAAAATTTGATCTAGGCGCCATTGTCGCTGCTACGCGTAATATGTCAGGATCAGACCTCAAAGAATTGTGCAGGGATGCTGCTTTAAACGCCGCCAGAGAGTACATTCGTCAAAAACGGCAATTGGCTAAGACGAATACTGCACAAGAAGACGCCCCACAAGGTATAAGACCGTTGAGAACCTCGGATTTCTACAAAAACCTAAGGATCGAATCTCGCATACCGTTGGCTTCAGCAGGTCTGGATTAGAGTGATAAATTAAATAACCATACCTGGAAGATATTGCTTTACGCCACTCAAATAACTTTTAAAGTATGCGCTCGAGCAAGACACTCCAAGCAGACCCCTGGTCGCAATCATCTAAAGTCTGCGTGTCATGCTAGATGATAGCGAGAGTCATGTATTATGCCATTTTGTGAGAATGTAGTGTTATCGCACAGTTGCTAAGTTTGTAAACAACAGATACATCGTTTACAGAACTCTCAACAAAAGCTTTTCCATGATAATACGCTGATCACAGTGAGAGCTAGTGACGACAGTTATCTCAAAAGATTTCTTGATCTTGGCCTAAACAAGTATGAATACCACACAGGAAGACAAGAATGAGAATCACTAACTAGAAATGTCCAGCACTCATGAACGCTATGAAACTCAAAGCAATAACCCTCATTTATTTAAAGCATAGAATATGCGCAACTTGGTGATTCAAAATGTAAACATATTTCTTCCATGTCACCAAAAGAGCCTGGCAGTACGAAATCCATAAAGCAAAAGGAATCAGGTATCACTTTTGATGTTTGCTTGAGATGCATTGCTTAATCTCAACTTGTCATCGCTACCGTTGCATTATTGTGATGTGGCTAAATCAAAGCAACTGATAAATGATACGTTATTCTTCATGAGGCAAATAATCTACGTTCACCGTGAACAGACACCAGTGAGCTCTTTGCACCACACGTAATTTGAAGGAACACGTTCGTGCTAGTCTGAAAAAGATGAGCTGTCAGGACTGAAGATTTGAATTTAAAAAATGAATGGCAACTATTGTTTAAGTAATAACAATTACTTCGAGATATAGTAGGCTGACTTGAATTAGCACAATGAGAAACACGATTAATCCAAGATTTATGAGAGATCTCATACGTATACATGTAAGCTTAAATAGCTGAATGCGACTAACGCAATTGTTTCGATAAGTCTGGCTCATAAAAACTGCCAACTTAGCAAATTTACGAATGCATCATTTCGCACAAATTTTCCATAAAACTAATGCTGATCCATCCATTCCTTTCATATGAACACCAATTTTGATATTTGCCTTGCGATAGTTATAAGATTTATCATTGTCTCCGGAGTCTGAAAATCATGTACTTAGAATTGAGAAATAAAAACGAGCACCCCAAAAGCCAATGATCGAGCCTTCGAAGAGCAGCAACCAGCCCGCAGTTGGGATATCAGGTCGTAAAATAGTCTACGACGAAGATGGGAAACCGTATGGTCAATTTTCTTTGATGTAATATATGAAATGTCTATATCTACTAACAAGCATAGATGCCGATCGTGTAACACCTTGTTGGACTTTCAGCTGGCCACAGGAAAAGTTAGCAGTGCTTCGAGTTTGCCTACAACAAAGAAATCAGATTCTAACACAGCCTCATATGCCAAAGTTGATCCACCAGACGTAGAACAATTGGGGCGCTCAAGTTGGAACTTGTTACATTCTATAGCTGCTAGTTACCCAAAGATTCCTACTACGACGCAAAAGGGTGAGATGAAACAATTTATGACTATATTCTCCCACGTATACCCGTGTACGTGGTGCGCCAAAGATTTTGAAAAGTTCGTTCACGACAACGCCCCAAGGGTAGACTCTCGAGAGGAACTCAGCAAGTGGATGTGCGAAGCCCATAATGATGTTAACCGCAAGCTCGGGAAGCAGACTTTTGATTGTAACCTATGGGAAAAGCGGTGGAAAGATGGTTGGGATTGACACGGAATAATGCAAATGAGAATTTCGATATATCTTGTAAATAGTCATGCAGAAGTCTGTCATCTTTCTTTACATTAACGCCATCGCAGTATGTATTTATAAACCCTTAACCTTCGCTAAATTCGTACCTCATAGCGTCCTTTCGTGTTCTTATGATTGTGCTTATTTTCAAGAGTAGCTTGCAAGATTCAATGGTACGCTACTGCCCCTGCCGCTGGGATACAATTTCGTTTTACTTGAAAATGCTCGCGGTTTTGGCAACTGAGAATTGTTGGTCCATCTAAAACGGCTATCATCAATTAAAATCTTGGAATGATCTAGTTTGACCCCAGTGGTTGTTGAGCTTCCACTGATGGTGAAATTGGTAGACTCGAACTCTGGTTGATTCGTATGTGGATTTATAGCATGGCTAGAACGCCCCGAATCATTGCTGGAGAAAAGCCTTTGCTTGTGGTTGTTCGTAATTGTCCCCGAAGTATCCGGAGGTGGTGGGGGAGGTGGCAGCTTAGAGGTAGATTCCCCGGTATGAGAAGGTTGAGAGACAGCTAAAAGAGGAGGCGCTGTGGGTGGCGGTGGTGGTGCACCAAATGTTGGTGGTACAAATGCAGGAGGTGCTGATGGTGGGGGTGGGGGCGCACTCATAGTTGGTGGGACAGGAGGTGCGCTCATCCTAGGCAGCGATGGAACAGATGGAGCCATCGTAGCAGGGGGGCTAGAAACTCCAGCATTTGGGCCACTTGAGCTGCTCACTACATGCGAATCGTCTCGTTTACGTTCAATTTCGGCAAGGAATGGTAACCCACCTCCAAGAGAAGACGAGGATGCGGGGGTTCGCGCAGAAGCATTTTGTGCTGATGGTGCTGGTGGTGCTGGTGGTGCTGGTGGTGCTGGCGGTGCTGGTGGTGCTGGTGGTGCTGGCGGTGCTGGTGGTGCCGAACTTTGAGGGAACGGTGGTGCTGAGGTAGGCTTAGGCGCCGAAAGCGGTGGAAGTGGAGGTGCCCCAGGGGCAGCAGCTTGTGGCAAAGGTGGTACCGCTGATGAAGGAGCAGAATGTTTCGGTATGCTTGGAGCAGCGGACATGGGCACAGGAGGAGCCCCGCCCACTGGTAGCGGTGGTGCTGATATTTGTGGAGGCTTGGGCGCGTTACGGTTGAGCTTCGAGCTCATTTCATCAAGAAAAGACAAACCTGGCCCTGAGATGGAAGTCTTCGGAGCTTCGGGCGCTTTTGTTGCTTTTATGGGTTCAGAACCTGCAGCTTGTTCGACTTGAGTTGTGTAGTTGGGAGTTTCGCCAATAACAAAACGATCATCCCTCTTTCTCTGAATTTCGGAAAGAAATGGAAGACCTTGAGATACAGGAGGTGCAGATGGTATTTTCTTTGATGTCACTGCTGGAGCTGGTGGTGCTGGTGGTGCTGGTGGTGCTGGTGGTGCTGGAGGTGCTGGTGGTGCTGGAGGTGCTGGTGGTGCTGGTGATGCTAGTGGTGTTAGTGATGCTAGTGGAGCTGGTGGAGCTGGTGGAGCAGGTGGAGCAGGTGGAGCAGGTGGAGCAGGTGGAGCTGGTGGTGCTAGTGGAGCTGGTGGAGCTGATGAAGCTGATGAAGCTGATGGAGCAGATGGAACGGGTGGAGCAGATCGAACTGGTGGAGCTGATGGAACTGGTGGAGCTCTGTTATTAGGTATCGAAGGTGCTGCTGCTGCTGCTGCTGCTGGTGTGCCTGGAGCACTGACCGTGGGCAGCGGAGGTGCAGAGGTTGTCGAAACGGAAGAGACATTCACGTTCCTCCTAGTGGGTCTTGATACCGGTATATGGGGCCGCGTGTTTGGAACATTAGGAGCAGCAGCCGCTGGAGGTGCCGGGGGAACTATTGGCGGCCTTGAACCCGGGATTGGAGGCGCTGAGCCAGGAATCGGAGGAGGGGCATGATTTGCAGAAATCGGATGTTGAGGTACCTTGGGCACGCTGGCCGCCGGGGCTGGAGGTGCACTTGTCGCGCCACTTGTAGAACGTAATTTTGGAAACCCCCCAGCCAGAATGTCACCCAATTGAGGAGCTAGACCCGTTGGAACTGGCGGGGCTCCAAATGTGGCGGCTGACCCAGGTGCTGGGGGTCTCGCTCCAGCAGCGTCCATCGACGAACCTGCATCTCCGACAAGCCCGCCACCAACTTTTGGAGCGCTTCTGTCATTCGTCTCGGCTTTCTTTAGTCGGGAACCATTTCGAATAGCGCTCAATAAGGCGTCTCTTCCAGCCGGCGCTGCAGGCGCGGCGGGGGGCTTTTTACCGCCTAAAGCTGCGCCAGGCATCATTGGAGGTGGAGGAGGTGGTGGTCCGGCCATTTTGATCGCTCGACTATAGATATTGGTCCTGACAAGAACCCTAGTCCCGCCAACTTTTCCAAAGTTCACAGTTTCTGAAATTCCCCTAAGATCTCTTTCCACGGCTTAGTGTTTATTAAGATATAGTGTGTTGCAGTGTGCTGTAGCTTGAGAGTTGGAAGCTGTCGATTGTTGAAATCAATTGTATCGGCGAAGGCGACGGAAGTGGATTTTACGATCTGGAATTCCGTGCCATCTTCCACATTCTTTCTAAGCTGCGACGATCGCGTGTGATAAAGATGAAACCTTCAAAAGAGTCTAGAGGCTGATTTCGAATTTCGCATCAACCTTTGAACTTATGAGAATCAAAAATAGCGACTACCTGAACCACCATGCTGTGGGGAGAGCTTCTTCTCTTATATTATCGAGGAATGACAATAATTTTATTCGATCCGGTTAATTTTGCTAAAGTAGCTCTGAAAAGCTGGGTCACACTTGGCATTAACCTATTTGCAATGCGCTCCTTATCCATGATTCAAAAGAGAACCTACTATATGCCATATCTCTTCAATTATTGAGGTCCAGTAAAGGGGTTCAGAAAATTATCCCAGCTGCTCATAGCACTACCTGCGGATCCCCTAAGTAGTAGCTGCTTCATCAGGGCCCGAACAGCTCCCTCAGGGCCCGAACAGCTCCTAGCATATAAGATGAGTGGAATCCTAATATCGTCACTCTATACCAATGTGACACCATTTCTTATCACCTTGTACGCGTGTACTTCGTTGGCCAACTATTATGATGAACAGAAAGCCTCAGCTTTGTCCAGTCAGAGCCCTTCTAGATTATTGTCGTACCTTCAGAATATTCCCCTAACGCTGTGCGCCCTGTATCCCATTTTTATAAACGTTCTTAAGTTTTATCAGTAACGGCGGCTAATTTCTTGAAATTAATGAGCGTTCTCGCTAACAGCCCCAGTACGTTTTCAAATCAATCTAGCCATTGAGCAACACTGAAAAAATATTATTGTGTAGTTCACAATATCCAACCAATCTTAATTTCTAAGTTTTCGACTAATAGAGATTGCAGATGATCAGACGCATTTCACGCGTTCAATCACCGAAAATTAACGCACGCTCTGTATCAGCTATCGCAACCTGATAGAGCTAAATTATATCCATGTTACTGAGGCTGCCAAGCTGAGAAAACATACATTTGTTTTGTGCTCTTTCTGACGATTAGAAGCCCTAAGCTCAATAAAAGATGGCTGATAGCTTGAAATTTGGATTTTACCGTTTTCGTTTTCAGTGATGACGTCGCTTGTGATGTGTAACTTTTCGTGAAAACTATAAAAGACATGAAGAATTGGACTTCTTGACAATAAATTTACTCTTATTCTTCTTTTGATCTTCTCTTTTTTTAAAAAATTGAAACCGGGGCTCTCTTCCTTTGGGAGAGGGCCTCTATGTCCATCATCGAAGATCCGCAGTTCGAAAGTGGGCTGTGGATTCAAAGCGATGTGCAGAAAAAGGTAAAAATGTCACTTGGGTCAGCATTGCGGGGACGTTACCACATATGGGAACCGCTTGCACTGCGATACTGTTGAGTTTATTTTGTTTGGCTATCCTAAAGGCTCAGTGGCACATTTCTAATGAAAACGTAAACTTTTATTTTCTTGTTGCGATACCTGGTATAATAGACAGTTATTTCTGTAAATATTGTGCTATCTAGGTGGTGCAGTGTGGCTTATTAGCGCACTCTTATGCTTTCTGCAGCTTCTGCTGGAGTAAAGTTAATAATGCTGGCCCCCATTCAGGGCGACGCTTGTACTGACCAACGTTCTCCTGCATGCCGGCTACCGCGTCGTACATGTCCTGCAGCACGCCGTTCTTTGAGTAGTGCTCGTCTGTCAAAAATTGGTCTGCCATGTTCCAAAGGTAGGTCTTGATCGAGAAACACATAGCCTTGGACTGAGGGCCGAGCTTGATTAAACATTGTCGCTCGGATCGATAGAACAAATCTCGACCACCGCGCAAATCTTCCAGAGATTTTGCAGAGATCTGCTCGTCATCCGTGCCCTTGTTGTCGTCAGTCACGTACATTTGGGTGTGGGTTTGAAATGAGAAATTGAGTCGCATCACTAGCTTGCCCATCTTGTGCGTTTGAAAAAACCTATTCATTTGAGTTTGGAGTTTCTGTTTGTATTCAGGAACGGGCCCATGCACCAAAGTCAAAGGCTTCAAAAACCGTTCTCGTGGATTAAACCCAGCTGCAAATGCAAAACACCCCACCATCAGAATGTATTCTTCGTTGAATTGACCACTGGAATTAGGAAGCAACAGCAGCAAATCCTCTTCCACTAACCTGGCCAGAGAGAGAATCAATTCGTGCGACCTTTTCGTCTCTGTACATGACATCAAAGATCGGTACCCGATGTGGTCTCTCTTGGCGTCAGTCGACGCTACATTTGCGGGTATCACATCAGTGTCTCTACATGTGTAGTTCACGAATTCCAGATCGTTCTTCGAGAGCTCTAGATATTTGCGCGGATCTACAGGATGGAACTCCCCCATTATCTTGTTGTGTAGAACACCTGGTGATTCCTCCGAGGGCGACAACAAAAGCTCGAAGTATTGAGGGAACCGCTTCAGTAGAAACCCGAGTACATGGTCGTAAAGCTCGCAAAGTGCTCTTCGACAGTTTTCCACGTCCTGCTCTGTAATAAGGGTCTCTTGATTCAATGCACTGTCCCCGCTTTCAGCACTGTTTCCCGAAGCTTGGTTGATCATTGCTGGATCCAAGAAGTAAATTACATCATCGTAATTTTCCCGAATGATTTCCCATTTGGCCTCGATTCTCTGTTTGTATGTGTTTTCTAACACTAACCAATCGCTAATGGGAATTGCTTTCACGCCCATGTTGAGTTTGTACTCTCCGGCTTTGAAAGGCTTGTAGGGATACGGTTTGGTGTTATCCCAAGCATCAGAGCTCGCTTCCACTTCCTTATCCATGAGCGATATTGGTTTCCATTTATCACCACCTTTCGATGACTCTTTGTTTTTGACGTTCTGAACACTAGCCTGCGGTTTATCTATCGTTAACAGTTCTTTATACAATAAGTACGAAAAACAGCACATCAGAGGGAACGTTATATGCTTCCCGAGTATTGGACTTAAATCGACCATGCTAAGAGATTTTTCTTTTGTCAACCCAAGTTGTTGCCTTTCTAGACTCAAATTTCGAAGCCCCTAGTCTCCACGAATGTTAGTTGCATTTACTCCGGGTTGTTAGATATATATCAACGCACTGAATTTGTTCACCATTTCTTTATCAGGATAGGCGCGCGCTTCCGAATCATGTTGTTTGCATACATCCAATTTTTTTCCGCGGTAATGAAAGCATTTAGTGCCTTTCGACTCACAGAGATAAGGTCTTGTGACAGCAGAGAGGAGCACCAGAAGCATACCGGCTTGATCGAGCGCCTGAACAGTGGCTTGCCGAGACTGGGTGTAGCCAATTAAGATAGGGGCTAAAGCCCATGTAGGTAACGCTATCGTACCCTATCGAGAAGATGAGTCACGTGCTCGCCTGTCAGGTTCACATCATTTGTCCTTCTGAGAAACGATGGATATTAGGATCGGTAGGTTGATCTTTCGGTCTAAAAGCTCGTTTCTGCCTGGCACAACGTTTACAAACCGGTCGAGCGTGTTTTTCTGTTCTAAATTCTCAAGCTTCGCTCGAGACTTGACCAACTCTAGAGTAGTCACTGCTCTTTGGATGTGAGACCCGTAAGAGTAAACCACGACAGTCTTTTTCTGAGCTAGTTGTGCTATCATTTCGGTGGCGTAGTCACCGGTCTTCGTGTTCTTGGTAACGTACCGAATGAAGCAGGAATCAAAGTCTAAATCTGACATCGCGGCAGGAAGGATCTTATCGCGTATGAATCCAAGACATTCGGTAGTTTGCGAGGCTTTCAGCCCCGTGGACGCATTCCGGTACAGCACATCACTTGATTGAGTCTTGAGGACAGCGTTTGGGCCGCAGCTAACGTCTAGTTTGGACATTGAACTCTTATTTTTGATGTTTTTGAGCCACTACGCTGCGGTTGGCATTGATTTTGATTTTTAGGCGATGAGCTACGAGACACAGAAAAGTACACATCAAAAAAAAAGAGAAGACATAGGCTGGAATCAGATAAGGTGTTTGAAGAGTGCGGGGGAAATTTGCCGCATTGATGTAGTGCAGTGTTGAGAAGTACTACAATTTCTCACTACTAGTGACGTGCTCAGTAATGCTACAACCTTCAGAATCTCAGTGCTTTTACAGTAGTTTAACAGTTTCATTTTCCTCTGTCACTCTTTGACGCTAGCAATGTTCGTAGCTGCAAGGAGCCGGCTTGTTTTTGTGCTGAGAATGACCGACGCAAGATTCAGATATACATCCTTGTTTGTAGGACGCCAAGTGGAGGGTGGCTCTAATATAACACAATATAAGGGCCGCCTTTTCAAGTTCTAATCGAGTAGCTATTTAGATCACCATAACTATTGGCTGTCATTTTTGTTTGAGAGTTTATGATTGTTGTGTAGTGGTGACATTGTTTGAAAGACATACAAATGCAATATAAGTTTTGGACGAAAAACAGCACTTTGAGACAGCACCTAAAAACGGAGGTGTATGCTGATAATATCGGATATTCTAGTATGTACAGCTGTCAGTGCACAGCAAAGCTACAAACACCAGCGTTTGGGCTGCCTTTGGCGATTATCACCTCTCCTCAGAGCGTTTTGGTCATTCTGTACTATACTGTCATTGTAGGGGTGCGGATGAGTAAGGTGACATAACGATGGGGCCACACGAATTGCATCCTGCGGGTGCTTCCGAATGACAAAGCCATCGCTCGTGACGTTCGACAGAAGATTGAGTTGAAAGTGTCTCCTTCTCTATAGCTAGCCAACACATATTTGCAGCTATAGAAATACTGCACACTAAGTTTAGCCGTTTTTCGCGCTCACGATTGTTTAGCCACCCACCACCGCTCGTAATTCTTCAATAGCGATACAGTCTCGCTCGCAGCACTCGCCATCTCCACTCGTTCGTCCACTCGTTCGTCCACCCGTTTCTCTGTTCCTTACTGTGACTGCTACCCACAACCCACACATGCGATAGCTGAGGACAGTTTTTTTCGATGGTAAAAAAACCTCGAAAATATTGCCAAAATTACGATTTCCGCTTCGGGGAAATCTCCACGTTGGGAACATTACCGTTTATGGAAGTTGCACAAAATCAACGTCCAGAGTGATACAGACGCACATCACCCGCAACGGTATTTTTTTTCACTCTCGCAGTGTCCGAAGCTCCAGCAACGAACCAAGCACCTTCTCTTCCGTAAAACTCTTCAATTAAGATCAGAAAACATTCATAATCTTCGTCTTAAGTCTTTTCGAAGTTCTCAGCAACCTAGGAAACCTTTAAACAACCTATCAACTACAAGTCGAAATGGGAGGAGTCCGTGAAAAGAAAGCTGAATACTTTACCAAGCTCAGAGAGTACCTCGAGGAATACAAGTCTGTGTTCGTCGTTGGTGTCGACAATGTCTCTTCTCAGCAAATGCACGAGGTCAGAAAGACCTTGAGAGAACGCGCCGTCGTCCTCATGGGTAAGAACACCATGGTCAGACGTGCCATCAGAGGTTTCTTGGCCGACTTGCCAGACTACGAGAAGTTGTTGCCTTTCGTCAGAGGTAACGTTGGTTTCATTTTCACCAACGACTCGCTTTCCGACATCAAGGAAGTCATTGTCTCCAACAGAGTTGCTGCCCCAGCCAAGGCCGGTGGTGTCGCTCCAGAGGACATCTGGGTCAGAGCCGTCAACACCGGTATGGAACCAGGTAAAACCTCTTTCTTCCAAGCTCTTGGTGTCCCAACCAAGATTGCCAGAGGTACCATTGAGATTGTCTCCGATGTCAAGGTCGTTGAGGCCGGTAAGAAGGTCGGTGCTTCCGAAGCTTCTTTGTTGAACTTGTTGGAAATCTCTCCATTCACTTTCGGTTTGACCGTCGTGCAAGTCTACGACAACGGTCAGGTGTTCCCATCTACCATCTTGGACATCACTGACGAAGAGCTTGTTTCCCACTTCGTCTCTGCCGTCAGCACCATTGCTTGTGTCTCTTTGGCCATTGGTTACCCAACCTTGCCATCTGTCGGCCACTCTGTTGTCAACAACTACAAGAACTTGTTGGCCGTCGCCATTGCCTCTAACTACATCTACCCAGAGATTGAGGAATTGTCTGACAGAATTGAGAACCCTGACAAGTACGCTTCTGCTGCTCCTGTCGCCGCTGCCTCCACTTCTGACGCCCCAGCTGAAGAAGCTGCTGAGGAAGAAAACGAGGAGTCTGAAGACGACGACATGGGATTCGGTTTGTTTGATTAAACAATCAATAATTCGCTGCTAGTAAAGGGAGTACTCAGATGAGTGTCTGAAGACGCTCGATCTTTTGCATACCTCTCAGTTTTTATTTTTACATACGTCAATCGGATTAGTTCACATAAGATATTGAAAAAGTCTGCAATGACAATACGCTTGTCAACCCCATTACTTGACTGCACGTCAAGTTAACGTATAATGCTGGTATTTGTGTTGACAGCAGCAGACTGATTGATCTAGTTAACCTGTCAAATGACATCAAAAGTTGATCACTTCTTCCTTTGCTGGCATCAGTATAAAAAACGATGCGTCCCATGCACTCACTATTTGGATTCGCGCATGCCGAGAAAGTACCATTGGAGTAACATGCTGCGGGACCTGATCATTGACGTTCATGTCGATGTTTTCTAATTGTCTCATCACCACATGTCAGTTAATAAATGTAAACATTGTCTCTGACATTTGCTACAACAGCAAACAGAAAACTGACATTTGTACTCTCAAACTTCCATGCGTTGCTATGCCTTTTCCAAATACACAATACGCTAACCATACTAATGTTTTCTGAAATAAAGGAGTCCAAGATGGGGCATTTTAGCTCTCTTCGCCAGTCTAATTTCCCCAAGCACTCCTTTGTCAGATCTTCGTCTCACGAAAGTGAACGTACAAAGACAATAAGTACCAGACCTTCTTTGTGTTCTCAGAGCTTTGAATCGTCCGGGAACAATTGTTCACTTCCTTTCGAGGATCTTGATGATAATGCTACTGAAAATGATCAGACGCCGCCTGAAAATGACACTACTGATGTGGAAACCATTGGCGTCATATCCATAAGCGGTAGCGTCATTCATTACTCTCTAAACTCTTCCGCAGGAAATGGAAAATCACATAGCCAGCTTCAACAGATATTTACGCCAACTGTTGTCGGGGACAATGGAGAATTAACTTTAAAGCTATTAAACGTTTATCTATCCCTGTTTATCACAGACGCTAATTTTGCACAAAGTTCTGAGGGTTGCGAGACCGTCACTAAATGGTCTCATAAAAAATTGCCGCCTTACGCTTTGGTCAACGCGATCCCCGACGCAATTGGATCTCTAGTAGATGTGATTGGATTTGTGGACCAAACAATACAAACAATTTCCAGTTTTTTGTGCAACGCCAGTTTCCAAGATAAATGTCATCGAAAGGTTTGGGCCAACGAGGAGCTTGCTGGGTTCCAATCACAGATCGTTCGCGTTTTGAAGACATTAGTATTGGAATATGCTCCGCAGACCAACTCGTCCCCAGTTTGCCACCAGTTCAATAAGGCGTTAAATGCGCTCAGACGAATCACTTCTGACACCGGCTATTGGAAACAGACCAGACGAGCAACGGCATCCGAAGAGGTCGGTGATGATTGGATTTTGCAGAAACTACAGAACCTCGAGTGCGTGCCGCTTACAATCGTTGAATCTTTAAAGTTTGATATTATTATGCCAACAATGGCAACGCCCTACGCTAACAGTCGGAAGAGTGAAATTGAAATTCTGGAGACCTTCACTACGCTGTATGCAATTTTGTTGATGGAAATCAAGAAATTGTTCCAATCAGTGGTTTCCATTTCCCTAGTCACCGGTATTCTTCCAAACTTGGAATGTTCCCTGCTTGTTGGTTGCCTCGAAGGTTTTCTGCACAACTCCTTTGTGACCGGTTCTACTGAACTGTTAGTAGACCTCGACAAGCTGGTATTAATTTGGACGCAAGCTCACATTTCGTTTAGAAAACAGACCGAGAACTGGGCCATTCGGTTCATCGCTTTATGGAAACCAGACCGCTCGGAACAAGATTTGAACACCATGTTGGGAAGTACCGTTAACACAGATGAAGTAACCAGCCCCGAATTTGACGTTGTTAGGCTGTTTATCAATGAAGTAATAGACATTTGCGCCTTGAGCACTGACCGCGGAACTGACATCTTGGAAGCGATGACAATGAAGGACAAAGTGCCCACGAGCGGTTTGGGCTGGTTGACTATTTTCCAGGACAATGACCTAAATACAGGCCATCTACCCAGTGCGAACACTCGTGAGATTGAATCGTTTTCGGGCGGCGAAACAAACGGGTTCCAGCAACTTCAGGCGCTTTATGGTGCAGAATTTTCGTTGATCGAAGAGGAAACCACCGTAAATGTTCTTGGAGAATCTGGCCATTTCTGGTCTCGACTTCATTTACACCACGAGTCGCATCAGTTCCGTAATTGGGTTAGACGAGGTCTGCGCTCGACAGACGTCAATCAAAAACATAGTTTACTCGATAAGTGCCACAAAGCTAAGGTCAAGCTTAGAACTTTAGCAGACAAATTCTCCCACCGTAGTAAGAAAAAGGAAGCAAAGGTCCAACCAGTGGCTGAATTGCGGCAAAAAACAACGGTCGCCGTCATTAGCGGCCCACAAACGGACAGCGCAAGGCCTAACGAACCGAAAATTACGTTGCTGAACGAGTGCAGCAGTTCTTACCGCTTCGAGGAAGCATTTGACAGAACTACTTTCAGTGGCACTTTCCATGATCCGCCGCCACCACGTCGTTACGAAAATTTGAGACGCAGAAAGGACCGATTCATGTTTTTGTTTTTCGGCGAAGAGAAGTAAGTGAAACTCTGCTGTAAGTATCTTCGGCTTCTCATATTAATTGACCAGTTAGGTATCGCATATGTAAGCTATCTTGCTCATTTCTAAAGACTTTTTCCACCATCTTCTTTATTTCCAAAGACTTTTTCCACCACCTCGTCATCGGAGCATCCCAGATCCTTGTTGCGTTTGCCCTTTGGTCTCTAATTTGGCAAAAAGACGACTCTTTAACACCCCGGAGACGCCTAATCTTCAGTAAATGACATCCCCGCTGACTAAACAATGCTTGCTTCACAGCAGGACCATTCTTTTTACCTCTCACTTCCCCGTCCTTCAAAGTTCCCAACGGTAAGGGTCCACGATTGTCGTTCACGTACACAATGCCATCAACACCCTTCTCACCCGCAAAAAAAAAGGCGATCAAAAAAATTAAATAATGGGGCTCCCCTCTTCTTCCCATTATCTAAACTCGAAGCAAGAAGAATCTTGAGTCTTGACCATTGTGTTTAAACACGCCAATTGCATTTCTCCTTCGAAGAAATATAGAGAAGCTGACAAGCGTTACGAGAGAAGAGACCAGTGTACGTGAATCTGCAACAAGACAACTCATACTGAACTGATTGAATCTGAACTTTTACTCTAGAGCAGTTTTATGAAATCAGCACTTGACTGTGGGGTCCGTTTTGTTCGCAATAGTCGCATTCTCCACACGCCAGGCAAATATGGGCTGCCTGTGACGAGTAGCAAGAGGAATATCCAACCTCCCGTTTCCGGGAACAGCCGATGGTACTCTCATGGCCCGCTTTTCGGAAATCACAACAACACGTTTCGCACGACGACCAGACAGGGCGCGTACGGCAGCACCGAGGTTTTGAACGATGATCTCGTCTCGGACAAGATCCCTCGTGTCAAGCTGGCGTACGAGGTGGTCACAGAGCACAGCTCGACGTACTTCCCGAAGGCGCCGGTGATCATCCTGCACGGGCTCTTCGGCAACCGTGCCAACAATAGGACCATAGCGCGGCTGTTGAACGAGCGGCTCGAGCGCGACGTATATTTGCCGGACCTCAGAAACCACGGACTCTCGCCCCACATCGGACGCCATGATTACCCAGCCATGGCCGCGGACGTGGAACAGTTTATCCAGGACCAACATTTTGAGCACGATCCGATCATTGTAGGCCACTCTATGGGTGCCAAGGTCGCCATGAGCGTAGTGCTGCGCAAGCCAGAGCTGTGCTCCATGCTTGTGAGCATCGACAATGCGCCGGTCGCGACGATGCCAACCATGTCGTTCCCACGGTACGTGAAGAAATTACTCGAGATCATCGAGAATCCGGCCATCCGGAGCTTCGCAGACGCCGATAAGTCGCTGTGCGACATCGAGGCGTCCCCTGTGGTGCGGCAATTTTTGCTCACGATCCTACAAAGGGTCAAAGACGATAGCGGGGCCTCTCCGTCTGGGTACCGCTTCAAGTCTCGGATTCCGCTCGGGATATTGAACGATGCGATTGTGAAGGGAAACATCGCCAATTGGGAGTTCAACCCTTGGGTCCACCGGTTCACATCCCCAGCGCTTTTCATCCGCGGGACCAAGTCGCACTACGTGTCAGACGAGTGCTTGCACGACGTGAGCCGCTTCTTCCCACGCTTCGAGGTCCGCGATATCGACGCCACGCACTGGGTCAACACCGAAAAGCCCAAGGAGTGCAGCGACTTGATCGCAGACTTTGTCGAGCGGCACGAAGACCTGTGACAGGCCGTGCGATGACCCGTAGTCAGTGATATATATATTTTTAGAGCGATGACAAGAAAATCGATGGTTGTATTAGACGAACAGCACGCGAGGAAGCGACGAAGCGATGGCCACGTTTCCCGAGGGCCATAAACCATATCGAGGGGGGTCTCACCCTCGAGTAAGCCATCTAACGCTTTTTGCAACGCGCTGGCAAAAAACATCGTCATGTCGTACGAGCAACAATCTCACAACGCGTCCACCGCACTCAGCATTTCGCCGGTTCCCACACCCCTCTACGACCGTTTTCAGACCAATATATAGTCCTTCTACGCAGCGCATTGTCAAGAACGGGCGCATTCTCTTACACGTTGCGTGTTTTTTTTAAGGCCCTGTACCTCTACTGCCTATTTTTATCTGTCATTCTCGAACCGCGACATAGTGTGAAAAAAAAGGTTTCCCTTCGCGTATAAACAATCCCAATCAACAACCACTTTGCTTAATACGCTTGTCTTAAAGACTCACTACAGACCGACAGAGGTCCCGTATATATAGTCTTCGGAGTTCGAGTAGATACACCCTCTATCTTCGACAAACACTTGGCGCCTAACACGTTGAATTTTCGCGCTCAGTTTTTTAACCGCCCGGATCAAAAAACACGGATTTCCCAGCCATTTGGCTTTCAAGTATGTACTAATTTGCCAGTGGACTACTAACGTGCTACAGCGGGTGCTGCGGACACCAGTAAAGCAAGAGTGTGTACAGACTCAGCTATCTAATTGGGTTGAGTTGTTTTGAGCTGTGTTGTGTTGTGCTATATTGTGTGTGAGTGGCGTTTTCGGGCTGAAGAGCGGCTTTTCGAATCCCAGTCGAGACGAAAATTAACGAATTGAAAAAGGGCACGTGGATGACACGTGGAGATGTTCTTCTTTCCTCACGGATACATCGCGCATGTGGTCTTCAGACAGTACGCGAAACTTAGCGGGCAACGCTACGGGCTTGTTAGAACACGTCCGCATCCGGGTTCGCGGCTTGGCCTTTCCCAGAATGGTGAATAGGTAAGCTCCTGGCAAGTGCCGGGCGCTCAATCGCTGATTGAACCTCGGATTTTCTTGTTCTGCTGTCTCTTCTCCAGTGGTTTCTGCGCTTCGTCCGGCGATATGATCGTTTTGGGAACTTTAATGGGCAACTGTTGATCACTATCGACCCAATAAAAATTTTTTCGTGTTGCCGAGCGACGTCTCCTTCTTCGCTCGATTTTCTTTTTCAGGACTTCTAAATCAGTCGCCACCACCTATAGTTGCTGTTTCCGATCAAGTTTTTTTTAGCATTTTAGCGTTTTCGAGTTTCCGTTGGGACGGATTTTGTGATTTAAAAAGAAGACCGGTCGCATACACGTTTGAACCTCCAGATTTCAGATCCATCAGAATCAGTTTTGATCTGAGGAAAGACAGAGACAAACGGAAAACCACAACTTTTAGGACTCCATCTCTTCGCAAATCCGGCTCTATCGCTAGCTTCACGAGTTCTTGATCCTGAAACAAACAACAGACTAAAAATAAGTTTTTTCTGTCGGTTTTTGTCAGATCTTTCGCTTGGTTTGTTCCCGCAGTTGCAACTCAAACTCACACAATCAACTTGCACACTCTCAGTCTCGAAGGTTTTCCAATCCACTCGCTCAAGCACGATACCTCCCGTCACTATCGCAAGTTACTAACTTTCGCCGAAGACCCTATTGAAACTAGTGTTGTTCTCCCTCGGGATATACTTTAAGCATGTCCTACAACGACCAGAACAAATACTACGACCAGCAGGGCCAAACGGGCCAGCAGGAGTATGCTGCTGATTCGTACCAGAACTACGGGCAACCCGCCCCGTTCGACGAGTACGGACAGCCCATTAATCCTCAGGATCCTTATGACCCCGAGGCTGCTGCCCACTATGACCCCAACGCTGCTCACTACGACCCTAACACTGCCGAATACTATGCCCAACAGGGCTACGACCCGGAGTCTATGGACTACGCCAACGGCAACGCCAACGGAAACGCTTACTACGAGCAGCCCCGTGGTGCCGGTCAAGATCCCGAAAACTTTTCGGATTTTAGTTACGGACCTCCTGGCACTCCAGGCTATGACGGTTATGGTACTCCCAGCGCCGGACAATACACACCTTCTCAAATGAGCTATGCTGAACATAGATCCTCCGGCACTTCTACGCCAATTTACGGTGGTGAAGGTTTCGATTCGTCTGCCATTGCTATGGCCCTACCAAACGAGCCTTATCCAGCGTGGACCGCAGACAATCAGTCGCCAGTCGCCATCGAACAAATCGAAGACGCTTTCATCGATTTGGCCAACAGATTTGGTTTCCAAAGAGACTCCATGAGAAATATGTTCGATCATTTCATGGTGCTCTTGGACTCCAGAGCCTCTAGAATGTCACCTCAACAAGCTTTGCTATCGTTGCACGCTGATTACATCGGTGGCGATACCGCCAACTATAAGAAATGGTATTTCGCCGCCCAGCTGGATATGGACGATGACATCGGATTCCGTAACATGAGCTTGGGTAAACTTTCTAGAAAGGCTAGAAAGGCCAAGAAGAAGAATAAGAAGGCCTTGAAGGAGGCGGACACCGAGAACACAGAAGCCATGCTAGATCAACTTGAAGGCGACAGCTCTTTGGAGGCTGCAGACTTTAGGTGGAAGGCAAAGATGAACAAACTTGCTCCGCTTGAGATGGTTCGTCACATTGCCTTGTATCTGATGATTTGGGGTGAAGCCAACCAAGTTAGATTCACTCCCGAATGTCTATGTTTTCTTTACAAGTGCGCATCTGATTATTTGGACTCGCCTTTGTGCCAACAACGCACCGAACCCATGCCCGAAGGTGATTATCTTAACAGAGTTGTCACCCCTCTGTATTTGTTCGTAAGGTCTCAAGTTTACGAGGTTGTTGACGGTCGCTTTATGAAGCGCGAAAAGGATCACAACAAAGTTATTGGTTATGACGATGTCAACCAATTATTCTGGTACCCAGAAGGTATTGCCAAAATCGTTTTTGAAGATGGCACTAGACTCATTGATTTGCCTGCTGAAGAACGTTATTTAAGATTGGGAGAGATTATCTGGGATGATGTCTTTTTCAAGACTTACAAAGAGACCCGTACTTGGTTTCACATGATCACCAACTTCAACCGTATATGGATTATGCATGGGTCCATATACTGGATTTACATGGCTTATAACGCACCAACCCTCTACACCCAAAACTATCAACAATTAGTGGACAATAAGCCCTTAGCTGCCTACAGTTGGGCTTCTTGTGCATTGGCTGGTACCTTTGCGTGTTTCATTCAACTCGTCGCTACTATTGCAGAATTGTTTTTTGTTCCTAGAAAATGGGCTGGCGCTCAGCATTTATCTCGTCGTTTTTGGTTTTTGGTTTTGATCACTGCTGTGAACTTGGGTCCTATCATTTTCGTTTTTGCTTATGATCCAATGGATGTCAAATCAAAGGCTGCTCACGTCGTAGCGGCAGTAATGTTTTTTGTTGCATTGGCCACTATCTTTTTCTTCTCGATCATGCCATTAGGCGGTTTATTCACCTCCTATATGCAAAAGTCTACTAGACGCTACGTGGCTTCTCAAACATTTACTGCATCTTTCGCTCCATTGAAAGGCCTTGACATGTGGATGTCATATCTCCTGTGGGCGACCGTCTTTGCCGCCAAGTTTTCAGAATCTTACTTCTTTCTAATCAAATCTCTAAGAGATCCTATTAGGGTGTTGAGTACCACATCAATGAGATGTACTGGTGACTTTTGGTTTAAAGCTCAGCTTTGTTCTGTTCAGCCTAAGATTGTTTTGGGCTTGATGATCGCTACCGATTTTATTTTGTTTTTCTTGGATACTTACATGTGGTATGTCCTTTGTAACATGGTCTACTCGATTGGTAGATCTTTTTACTTGGGTATTTCCATTTTGACACCATGGAGAAACATTTTCACGAGACTTCCAAAGAGAATCTACTCGAAGATCTTGGCTACGACTGACATGGAGATCAAATACAAGCCTAAAGTTTTGATTTCCCAAGTCTGGAACGCCATCGTCATTTCAATGTACAGAGAACATCTGCTGGCCATCGATCACGTCCAAAAGCTTCTGTACCATCAAGTCCCATCTGAGATTGAGGGTAAAAGAACCTTGAGAGCACCAACCTTTTTCGTTTCGCAAGACGACAATAACTTCGATACGGAGTTCTTCCCAAGAGATTCTGAAGCTGAACGTCGTATCTCCTTTTTTGCTCAATCTCTGGCTACCCCAATCCCTGAACCTCTTCCTGTTGATAACATGCCTACTTTTACTGTCTTGACTCCACACTACTCTGAAAGAATTTTGCTATCTTTGAGGGAGATTATTCGTGAAGATGACCAATTCTCTAGAGTTACTCTGCTGGAATACTTGAAGCAATTGCACCCTGTTGAGTGGGACTGTTTCGTAAAGGACACTAAGATTTTATCAGAGGAAACTGCTGCTTACGAAGGTGCTGATGAGAATCTTGAAAAAGAAGGTGAGGCAGGCATGAAGGCCCAAATAGATGACTTACCATTTTACTGCATCGGTTTCAAGTCTGCTGCGCCAGAGTACACTTTGCGTACCAGAATCTGGGCCTCGCTAAGATCCCAAGCTTTATATCGTACTGTATCCGGGTTCATGAACTACGCTAGAGCTATTAAGCTTCTGTACAGAGTTGAAAACCCTGAGATTGTTCAAATGTTTGGAGGAAACGCTGAAGGTTTAGAGAGAGAATTGGAAAAGATGGCCAGAAGAAAATTCAAATTTTTGGTATCAATGCAGAGACTTGCGAAATTCAAGCCACATGAGCTAGAAAATGCTGAGTCTTTGCTCAGAGCCTACCCAGACTTGCAAATTGCCTACTTGGATGAAGAGCCCCCACTAAACGAGGGCGAAGAGCCAAGAATATATTCTGCCTTGATTGACGGTCACTGTGAACTTCTCTCTAATGGTCGTAGACGTCCTAAGTTTAGAGTACAGCTTTCGGGTAATCCAATTCTAGGTGATGGTAAATCTGATAATCAAAATCATGCTATGATTTTCTACAGAGGTGAATACTTGCAACTGATCGACGCTAACCAAGACAATTACTTGGAAGAGTGTTTGAAAATTAGATCAGTACTTGCGGAATTTGAAGAATTAAATGTCGAGCAGGTCAATCCATATGCTCCGGGTTTGAAGTACGAAGACCAGTCTACTAATCATCCTGTGGCTATCGTCGGTGCTAGAGAGTACATTTTCTCAGAGAACTCTGGTGTGTTAGGTGATGTTGCCGCTGGTAAAGAACAAACATTTGGTACACTATTTGCTCGTACTCTCGCCCAAATTGGTGGTAAGCTGCATTACGGTCACCCTGATTTTGTCAACGCTACGTACATGACAACTAGAGGTGGTGTCGCCAAGGCGCAAAAGGGTTTACACTTAAATGAAGATATCTACGCTGGTATGACCGCTCTTCTCCGTGGTGGACGTATCAAGCACTGTGAATACTATCAGTGTGGTAAAGGTAGAGATTTGGGTTTTGGTACTATTTTGAATTTCACCACCAAAATTGGTGCTGGTATGGGTGAACAAATGTTGTCTCGTGAATACTACTATTTGGGAACCCAATTGCCACTCGATCGTTTCCTTTCTTTTTACTATGCTCACCCTGGTTTCCATTTGAACAACTTGTTTATTCAATTGTCGGTCCAACTCTTCATGTTGACTATGATGAATTTGAGTGCTTTGGCTCACGAATCTATTCTTTGTCAATACGATAGAAACAAGCCTGTGACTGATATTTTATATCCAATCGGTTGTTACAATTTCGCTCCTGTGGTTGACTGGGTTAGACGTTACACATTGTCTATCTTCATTGTTTTCTTTATTTCTTTCATCCCCATCGTTGTTCAGGAATTGATCGAGCGCGGTATTTGGAAGGCTACTCAAAGATTTTTCAAGCACATCATATCGTTGTCTCCTATGTTTGAAGTGTTCGCCGGTCAGATTTATTCCTCATCTTTATTGAGTGACTTGACTGTTGGTGGTGCTCGCTATATCTCAACTGGTCGTGGCTTTGCTACCTCCCGTATCCCGTTCTCAATTCTATACTCAAGATTCGCTGGGTCTGCGATCTATATGGGAGCAAGATGTATGCTGCTTCTATTGGCGGGCTCTGTTGCCTACTGGCAGCCTGCGTTACTATGGTTCTGGGCTTCTTTGACCGCTCTTATGTTCTCACCATTTATCTTCAACCCACACCAGTTTTCGTGGCAAGACTTTTTCTTGGACTACCGTGATTATATCAGATGGTTATCCAGAGGTAACAATAAGTATCACAGAAACTCCTGGATTGGATATGTGAGAATGTCGAGATCTAGAGTAACTGGTTTCAAGCGTAAACTAACTGGTGACGAGTCCGAAAAATCTGCTGGCGATGCTGCTAAAGCCCATAAAACAAATATGATTTTGGCGGATGTTATTCCATGTGCCATTTATGCAGCTGGTTGTTTCGTTGCTTTTACTTTCGTCAATGCTCAAACTGGTGTAAAAGATGCCGAACTGGTCAACTCTACATTGCGTATTGTCATCTGTACGTTGGCGCCAATCGCCGTTGACATGGGTGTTCTGTTTTTCTGTGTGTGCCTCTCTTGCTGCTCTGGTCCACTCTTTGGAATGTGCTGCAAGAAGACGGGTTCCTCAATGGCAGGATTCGCTCATGGCGTGGCCGTCATCGTTCACATTGTCTTTTTCATCGTAATGTGGGTTTTGGAAAGTTTCAACTTCGCCAGAATGTTGATTGGTGTAGCAACATGCTTGTACATCCAAAGATTGATATTTAAGATCATTACTGTTTTCATGCTCACGCGTGAATTCAAGAATGACAACGCTAACACTGCCTTCTGGACTGGTAAATGGTACGGAACTGGATTTGGATACATGGCTTGGACACAACCAGCCAGAGAGTTTTTAGCCAAAACCGTGGAACTCTCTCATTTTGCTGGTGATTTCATCCTTGGTCACTTCATTTTGTTTTGCCAATTGCCGCTCATCTGTATTCCATCCATTGACAAGTTCCACTCCATCATGCTCTTCTGGTTGAAACCATCTCGTCAAATCCGCCCTCCTATCTATTCGTTAAAGCAGACACGTTTGCGTAAGCGGATGGTGAGAAAATACTGCTCTTTGTACTTTGTGGTTTTGGTTCTATTCGTGGGATGTATTGTCGGTCCAGCTGTTGCTGGCGCGTTAATCAAGACCGATTTTGGCAAGAGTCTAAACAGCAACATCAACCAAGACATGCTACAGAACCTTGTTCAACCAAGAAACCAAAGCAACAATGACACTGGTGCTTCACGTCAAGATAAGAGTCACTTGTACTACAGCACCCCTTCAATGTCAAGCTTTTCCACCAAGGCTTAAGTAGTAGGCATTCCTTTATTGTCGCATCAGAACGGTTTTTGATGCTACATTACTTTATGTACTTTATGTTAACTATCCGAACAGACTAGTTTTTAGACGTTTTATTCGAAGTATTATTACAAGAAGATTGAATGAGATCATTAAGCTCCGTTGGATAAGAGTTAGTGAATGCGCGCTTTTTGTTCTGTTCAAAATTGTCTAAATCCTCAGCTTTGTGTACACATCGTTTGTGCTTGTGTTATGATTTCGTCAAGTTCATTGTTTCTAGCTATATAAAAAGCGACGTCTGTGTTGTTTGAGAAAGCGTTTTCCTGGCACTTACTTACACATACATATTACAATACTAAGCACAGAGCACTTAAGCTTAGATAGCTTTCCTAGAACATAATGAATTTTGCCGTTATCTTGATTAACATATTTGTCACTTACTTTATGTTTGCTTCTGGCATCATCAAAGCAGAGGAGTTCAGATTGGGTTACACGGTGAAAGCTAGCGACTTGCCTCCAATCGAAGCAGTTGGCAGCAAATTCTTCAATACCGACACGGGGGAACAATTCTTCATTAAAGGGATTGCCTATCAACCCAGCTATTCTATGAGTGACCTGGAAAGTTTTAAGGTACTAAGCAGCGACACAAAATATATCGACCCTCTCGCCTCACCAAATATTTGTCTCCGGGATATTCCTCATCTCGCTAAGCTCGGTGTCAACACAATAAGAGTGTACGCGATTGATCCAGCCCAGTCGCATGACGTTTGTATGGAAGCACTCATGGAAAGTGGCATCTACGTTCTGCTCGACCTTTCTGAGCCTGACGCTTCCATCTCTAGAGATTCTCCAAGCTGGGACGTTAACGTGTATCAAAGGTACAAAGACGTGGTTGACGCAATGCACCAGTATTCAAATGTGCTTGGGTTTTTTGCAGGCAATGAAGTTACTAATGACATAACAAACACAGACGCTTCAACATTCGTGAAGGCATCTATACGAGATATTAAAGAACACATAAAAGAAAAAGATTATCGGATGATTCCTGTTGGCTATTCCACAAATGACGATGTGGAGACCCGAGAAAATCTCGCCGAATTTTTCAGCTGCGGGGATTCCGTCGCTGACTTTTATGGCATTAACATGTATGAGTGGTGTGGGTACTCATCTTTCCGTAGCAGCGGCTATGACAAAAGAACTCAAGAATTCAAAAACTATCCAGTCCCAGTTTTTCTCTCGGAATTTGGATGCAACTTAGTTCGACCTCGACCCTTCACAGAGGTCGAGGCGCTTTATAGTAAGCAAATGACTGGCGTTTGGTCTGGTGGGTTGGCCTACATGTATTTTGAAGAGGAAAACCAGTATGGAGTCGTTGAGATAGATCTGAACAATGAGGTTGTCCCACTGAAAGATTTCGAGTTCCTGAAAAATGAATTTGCTAGAGCCAAGCCACAAGGTATATCCAAATCTGATTATCTGCAAAGACGAGGATCGAACTCGAACAAACCACCGAAGCGAGAGTGTCCATCCATGTCTAATATGTGGAAAGCTAGCGGTAAAATGCCTGCTACTCCAAATAAATCGAAGTGCTCTTGCTTGACAGAGTCATTACCATGCCTGATCTCCCCTTTTAATGATCAATCGAAATACAAAGAATACTTTGATTACGTTTGCGGCCAAGTTAATTGTTCGGATATTGAGGCGGATGGTGAGCATGGGCGGTACGGAGAATTTTCTGATTGTACCGCAGATCAAAAGCTTGCCTTGCAAATAAGCAAGATGTACTTTAGCGATTCCAATCTAGAACAAAATTGTCCAGTTGATGACAGGCATGTTTATTTCAACCCTCATAGCAAACAGACGTCAGAAGACCAACAATGCGCTGCAATAATAAATTCTGTAGAGAAGATATCGAAGTTGCGAAAGAATGATGGCCGCCACTGGAATCGAAGCAACAACGAGAAGACATCAGCTGCTAGCCGCATGACAATAGCGACGGTTGTAATACCTGCGGTAGTTGGAATATGGATAGGTTGGATAGTTTAAAGTTAATATAGGATAAACAAAACACGAATTGATTGAAGAATATGCAGATGTGGTTTTGTAAGTTACGAAGGGAGGAAGGAGTAGGGGCTATGCAAAGCGTAGTCACTCAGGAGATTGATTGGCGTTAATGTCTATGTTCCGAGATTTCAGTTACTTGCGTTTCGTTTCGTTAAGTTCTGGGGCCCCAGTTGACACCTAGGAATCCCTTGGGTTTGACAATTGCTGCCTGAGGTTTGATGAAATAATAACGTTTCTGGCCTGGCACGTCCATGTACATAGATATGAGATCCGGGGTGTAACGTTTTTCGGATTCACGAGCCTCTACATGGATAAGGGCGAGCTTTTGTTTGGATTCCACGTGGAAACGCAGGTAATAGTGTTCTTTACCGTCTTTACCGATTCTCCTGGTGGACGCAATGGGTCTATTTCTAGTCCATTTATCGTCGGTTAAAAGCTCACCGTAAGCTTTTAGTCTCTCCTTGGATTTCTCGGTGTCTTTGCACTGCAAGAGTTCGCGTGCGGTTGTGTCTGATTCGACCATCGAGACAGCTCTGTTGAACATCCGAGTATCTCCGGATGGCGAGAACAGTTCTTGAAGGAGCAGGTATATCACTAGGCCTGCAAGACCAGATGCACCCACTACCAGGAACCCGGAGATGGTGAAAGAAGTGAAGGACTTGATTCGGGGCCACAATGGTGAAGTAGCGTTTTTCGCAGACTTCTTAGATTGACCGTTGTTGGTTTGGCCCGATGTGGCATGTCCAGCGTGAGTCGCAGTGTATCCACGGGCGTGGACTAACCTAGACGCTAATAATCGAGCACTAGAGGATTTAACGGAATTCAGTCCTGCTGGTGTAAAAGAGGGCCAAACGGCCTGCTTTGACAAAAAACGGGGCAGCATTGCAAGGCGTACGCAGCTAATGTAGGCACGAATTTTATATCGATTGGCTACAGACAGTGGTGCAATTACTCCAGCAATTACTTTTAGTGTATATCTGTATAGTTCATCTTAATGGCACGATATAGTTCACATCGCCTAGCCTAAATTTCAAATTTTGTGCTTATGTAATAAAAAGCGTATAATATACTATGGGAGCTCGTATATAGGTATCTACGGACTTCAAGCATCTACGTGAAGTGCTTACTCCATGCTCGATGCGAGGGTGATTCAGGTCTTCACCCGGTAGCTCAAACACCTCTGTTTTCGTAACTGTTTCATGTACTGCTGGTTGTTTTGTTGTAATTTCGAATTTTGAGTTTCCTCCATGGTTATTTCGACATACAAGTCAGAAGCTTTGTCTCCCTGGAGAACAGGCTATTTAAACCACTGTTTATTGTCCTCTGTTTCTATTTAATTTCTCATCAATCTACTCCGGCCTTTATAGCGTCTTGTGCCATAGTATACCAATGAATAAAGATTAAATAGGATCGAGCGATACTGAGCACCAGCTTTAGTATGCAATCACGTAAGAATTTGCCTAGTCTAAATCACATAAGAAAACATAAGAAACTGGGAGAATAGAAACGTTGTGCTATATATAAAACTTGAAGCATTAAGCAGGATCCACACCATTCTTCGCTCTTGAATAATATAGACGTTTAACTTAAAGTACCCTCAAGCAAGTTTCTTCGCCCCTTTAGTGCAATGGTTAGCATGCATTTTTCCGGTGGATGTGATCCGGGTTCGAATCCCGGAAGGGGCTCATTTAAACTTAATATCTATTGATCTCCATCGGTAGATATTATTCTTTTTTGGCTTTTGGTAAGTGGTCCTCTCTCATTTTTGCTCATCATATGCACGAACTAGGCTACGTTGTAGTAGAGATTGATTTGTTCCGTGTGTCGTTGTCGAAGTGAATTTTGAGGCCATGAAAAAAAAAACTGTTCGCTCGGTTCGATATTAAGAATATAGAAAATGAATGTGTAGTCGTAACTTTTCTTTAGGGACACACGCTCATCGTAGACAGCTGGGAATTTCACCTTTTCCATGTGTACTTTTTTCTTCTACAGCACGCTGACCTTTCTGAAATGAACTATATTTGACAATAACTATAAAAGATTGCTCGCTTTCAGCTGCATCGCAGAAGCGCAAAACCCAGAAAAGCTAACATCAAAATTGCGCATTCTTCGTAAATGCAATTAAATTGTTTGTTACAGACTTTTGTTTTGTTACTAAAATAACTCTCTCTTAACTATCCTCCATGTACTTGGTGAAATAATTCTGTCATGGCTTTTGCAGATGCAATACATTTTCTGGCAACGCATAAGTCATTTCCATTTGCCCTTGGCACCTTGGTGACTGTGAGACCAAACTTTTATGATACGCCTGTGCTGCTAAATGTCCACGTATTTACTACAGCCCTTTCTTATTAACGCCCTGGTATCAGCGGCGACAGCTTTGGCAGATATTTCATACTGCTATTTTTTTTCTATCTCTTCCAAATAGACAAATGAAGTGCACATAACATCCCTTTTCTGCGCCACTCCAGTGTCTTAAAGACCCTTTCAGGACCTGTAGAGTCATAAACACTTTCTCAACAATTGTCCTACTATACCCACATTTCGCTTCCCGAAACCCTGTATACCTCGTTGGTGCTCTTGTTGGTACAGTTATTTCAGGTGATACCAAGCCAGAGCACAAGTACTTTACACAAATGCCCGAAATCTCTCCGAAACGGGCTGGTACATCTTGTTTCCCTGGGGTCTGCCTGATCGCTCTTGGCCATATTCAATGTCGCATTCGTATAAAAATACACAGCGAAAACCGCGAGACTGCTCAAAATAATAAACCCAAACATATTTTTATCAAATTCAATAAATAAAAAAACAACTGAAAAATAAACGAGAATCGTTTTTTTGCGTGGGGTCCAGGAATATTATATGTCTAGACAGACCACTGCCAAACTCCAGGCTGGTCCTCCGTCTAGCCCTCAGCCTAGCCTTCCGCCTAGCTCCGTCCCATACCGCCCGTCTAGCGTTGGTCTCCCCTGCCTAGCTCGGCCTATGCTCTCTGCCTAGACTCCTGCCTAACTTCCAAGCAGCAGGCTTGGGCCTAGCTGGTGGAATCTACCTGACAGACCAACGGAATATCCAAAATATCAAAAGTTCCATCTATTGGAAGCCAGCGTTTCACAGGGCTCTTAAGATCGAAAGAAAGGCAATACCAAAATGGCTAAGCAATCTCTAGGTATGTGGTGGGAATAAGACAGGAATAAAGTGTGGAATTTCGCGAGCCAGCAGGCATAGGTTCGTTTTGGCATGACTGGGACCGACAGGGCGTCGAAATAATGAAAAATCGTTCAATTCATAGGACAAAGTTGACCGTCCAGCTTGGGGAATAAACCGTGTGCAGCTTGTAGATAGAGCTTCTCAGGGATAAAAGCTGATCGCAGTATCATGGAAATATTGATTCAAATTACGAGACCAAACTAAAATGGGCAGTAGTCTGTCTGCGTTCGTTCCATCAAGAACTACATCGCGCGTGTCGCCGCACGAACGCAGCCCGTGAAATTACACCCACTTTTATCACCACTGACTTTGTTACTAACATCTTTTTCTCAGACGTTTCCTCCGACAGAAGAAAGGCCAGAAAGGCTTACTTCTCCGCTCCTTCCTCCGAGCGTCGTGTGTTGATGTCCGCTCCTTTGTCCAAGGAATTGCGTGCTCAATACAACATCAAGGCTTTGCCAATCAGACACGATGACGAAGTCTTGGTCGTCAGAGGTTCCAAGAAGGGCCAGGAAGGTAAGATCTCCTCCGTTTACAGATTGAAATTCGCTGTCCAAGTTGACAAGTTGACCAAGGAGAAATCCAGCGGTGCTTCCATCCCAATCAACGTCCACCCATCTAAGATCGTCATCACCAAGTTGCACATCGACAAGGACAGAAAGGCTTTGATCCAAAGAAAGGGCGGTAAATTGGAGTAAATATCGACAACAACGTAATTAATATCAACTACGAACCATAAAATATCACAGTCTTCTCCATATGTTTTACTAGCACTAGCTTTTTCTACATATTACATTTTTAGATTGTAATGTACATTGCTCAACAGGAAACCCGGAGTACGAAGCGGCTAAGACCATGAGCGGTTACAACATGACTGGACAATTTGACTATTGCAAACTATCAAGTGGACGATCTTGTAACTCTATTCAGTTATTGTAACGTTTATGTCAGAAGTAAATTCCGTCTATTACGATTATTATCGACGATTTAATTTGTGCGCTCAATTAACAATCGCGCCCCAGATTTGAAGAAATACTGTCGAGAGAACCGCTCAGTATCGCCGTAAGCTTCACATACTAATCATTTTACCGAGAGCCTTCAGTACAACAATGAGCGGCAATGGATCTGAGGTAAATATGGACTTGGAATCCACTACTGTTAATGCAGGAAATCATATGGCCAGAACACGCAGAAGATGGTCAAGCACTTCTAAAGACAAACGTCCCAAGCTCACAGATATGACCGATGGGGTGCACGAAGATGGTGAACTCGATTACATCTCACCGGGACAACTATATTCCACCGAATCGGGCCGTCTGTTCCACGCGGGCAAGATTCTAATCGTGCTGGTAGGGCTTCCGGCAACTTCCAAGACTCTATTGTCCGTGGCGATTACGAGATACACTAAGTGGCTAGGCGTACGCACCAGCTCATTCCACGTCTCGGAATATCGCCGTAAAATGATGGCTAGCGTCGACTACCACAATTTCCCCAATGATTACTTCTCAGCAAAACCCAAGACCTCTGAGGGACGCACTAAACGCAAGGAAATCATCGACCAGGTCCTGGCCGATATGTTAAAGTTCTTCAGCGAGGACAAGGGACAATTGGCGGTCTACGACGCTCTTAATATCTTGGTCGAAGAGAGACTCCAACTCGATAAACTCTTTTCGCAAATGAACACCAAAGTACTATTCATCGAGTCTGTCATGACCGATTCAGAAATGATCAAGCATAACGTCGATATGGCGTCTCGGTCCGCAGACTATGTGGGTTGGTCCCAAGAGGATGCGGTTGCCGACTACATGCATCGTTTGCAAGTTAATAAAGAATTGTACGAAGAAATGACCCCTAAAGAGCAACTGACTTACGTGAAATACACGAATTTTGGTGAAAAGTTGGTTGTTAATAATAATCGTTTTGGTTACCTCGTCAACAAAATCGTTTTCTTCTTGATGAACTTGAGAGATAAAAAAGGCTGCGTTTATTTTGCTCGTTGTGGAACGAGTGACAATGACAAGTATGTTGACGACGAGATGCTTAACCAAGAAGGGAATAAATACTCCGCCACATTGACAGATTTGATTTTGAAACTAGTCAACGAACGGCGAGCAGCTCAGTCCTCACCTTTCCCTCCATCCATAGAACATGCTGCCGGCGTGGGTGCTACTGCAAGATCACTAACACCTACAAATTCTGCCTTAGTAAATAACATCTCTTCTGGATTGAGTTCGCGGTCAATGTCACCATCTTTATCACCTTTGTTGGCCACACATGCATCACTGAGGAGAACCGAATCCACTGGTAACGCTTCCATGAGACAGCCTGTTTCAGGAGACGGAGGAGATGAGGACTCATTTGTAGTATGGACTGCGCCCAGGAAGCGCACTCACGACACCGCAAGATTTTTCGATGAGAAGGGCATAAATGTGAGACAAAGATCTCAGTTGCAACAACTTCATCCAGGCGTTGTAGCAGATATGACCGAAGACGAAATCAAGCAAAAGTACCCGGCGGAATTCAAGGAATGGATTAAAGACCCTTATCATTACCGTTTTCCACGTTCAGAGTCCTACCACGATTTAGCGGTTCGTATGGAGCCGCTACTATTAGAAATGGAAAGAATGCGTGGCGATATCCTAGTTATTGGGCACGAATCAGCTCTACGAGTATTATATGGCTACTTAATGGCATGTTCTTGCACGGATATCCCAAGCTTAAAATTTACCAGAGATGAGTTAATCGAGATTTCATTCAGTCCCTTCGAAAACAGGGTCAGGAGGGTACCGATAAATTACGAGAACTCTTCGTAATCAACGCAACATATATTCCACGCTTTTTGGCAAATTTATGTACTTTTATTAGTAGTAGTTTTCAAGCCATTTCGACCTCCCAAGCACTACATCTCCTTCCGATTTCTATAAGCTTTTCTTAGAAGAGAGTACTTTCTTGTGACTTGGACCTTCGCTTCTGAGCTTCCAAGCGTTAAATTCGTCCTGCAAGCTCAAGGGACAGCAATTGAATGAATCTTTTACCCACAACATTTGACATAGACGCCAGCTCAAAAGCCAGTCTAGCAACCCCACGTATCTAATAATGCCAACGGCCAAATAAAATAGTGAGCCTAACAGACCGCCCAGCGCCACGCCGACACTGACTTGAGCTAAAGAATGGTATCCCAGATAGATGCGAGAAACTGCCACCATAAAAGTGGTCAGCGCCATTGCCACGATGCTACCAAACTTCCGTGCAGTACTGATACCTTTCCAATGTAGCACAAGCTTCAGGGACCAATAAGCAAGGAAGAACCCCATAAATTGTGAGTGTGCGCTAGGCATCCCATGGGCAGATCTCAGTGTGTCTTTCTGAAAAGAGCTGCCGAATGAAGCTGGTCGCGCTTCCTTTATGATGTTTTTGATGATGTTATTCAAAAGCTCATTTGCCACTTGCCCCCCGGCGATGATCAGTGCTTCTAGCTCTCGCGTTGAGAGGAACCACGAAAAGTAAAAGATCAAGATACCTATCGGAAGTAGTGAATAGTAAACTAGCACATACGACAACAGATCAGAGGGATCATATAAGATATACGTATCATCAAACGGGACCAAGATAGGATCTAACGCTAGTTCAGTGATATTCATAAGAAACGCACGGTTGTATCTGCAATTTACTATGATCAAGCTTGCTTCTTGAAGCTCAATTTTCAAAAGTTCATGTCATCAAAAAAACGAACATTGACGATTCTACAACAATCGAAGGACTTTCAAGTGATGTCTTCAAAGTAAGATTTATAAGTTGGCGAGTAAAGTTCATTGATTAAAGTCGTGTGTATCATTAAATTCGTAAGAGAATGGAAATAAATGGTGAAAAAGGATAAAGATGAGGATGAGGACGAGGACGAGGAGGGAAATTCGAAGAGAGATTAAATTAGAGTAGGAGGAGTTTTAAAAGGGTAGGAGAGGATATAAAAGTACAGGAGAATTGGTATGCAGGAAAGGGAAATGAGAAAATAGATGCTTCGTAAATTGTAAAAAAAGTAGAGATGAGTGGGAGGAAGAGGAGGGGAATGAGGAAAAAGGAGAAAGAGGAAGAGGAGGGGGAGGGGGAGGGGGTATGGGAAGTAGCTCCGTGGATAAAAGTTGTTGCTCTTGGCCCAACGGTCGAAAAGAAAAAGATCCACAGTAGGACTTTGAAAAGTTTACCTTAGTCCCACTTGGAATTTTTGCTGTTCTCTGGCCCATCTGGCGGTGTCCTTGGTGGATTGGCTGAACGCAGGATTGCTTCTGGTCTTCTTGATAAACTCTGTAACCCAATCTTGAGAGTAGAACTGCTTGATCCTGCCGTCGGGGAACATAGCGGCCACATCACCGATTATTCCGACAGCCGCTCTGGCTGTGGTGTCCTCGCTGTTGAGCGTTGGGTTATCGGCAATCTGACTCATGAACTGAAACAAAGTCCCAATGTATGGAAATAATGCATCCGGGTTAGAGTGAAGACCTGCCACCGTCCCAACGTAGGCGTCGAGTACAGATTCATGAATCTTGACGTTGTATTCTAGAGCCTCCAACGATGCGTTTTCAGGCCTTGTGTTTTGAGCAGCAACGCAAAGAGCCATAACTTGGTTCAAGTATGGAATGAAATCGGGCCCAATGTTGGAGGCGATGTCCCCAAAAACAGATAACACCGCTGGTTTGAGCTCCTTTTTAGCATTGTTGGTGGATATCATTTGACCCAAAACATTCATGAACGCAGGCGCAAATTGCTTGAACTCGTCCTCCAAACAATTGGAAATGTCTGCAATTAAACCTACTGCAGTAATGGAGACTTGAGACTGGACTTGGTTCAAGGCATTGACGAGATATGGCGAAAAGGTTTCCAAGTACTTCTGAAAGTTTTTGCCCAAAGCCGCCGCTAGCGAAGAGATGGCGTAAAAAACATCGTCCTCCACATAAGAAGCATCTTTCTTGTCGAGTAGTTTGATGAAAAGGTCCATCAGCATGTCCGAAACGGATGTGACAGAAGCAGGATTCTTACGTATCACAGCTGACAAAACACTTAGGACGCTGGATTGTAGTTCCTCCAAATTCTGTTTGGCGTCAGTGGTCAATTGGGTCTCATCAACTGTCATAGTTTGTCCCAACTTGTCTAAAATAAAGGACGAAATTGAAATAGCGGATTCTGCAACTTGATCAGTTGAAAACTCAACCAATGTGGTCAGGGCAGAAAATGCCGACGCGCGAGCACTATTTTCGTTATCAGTACGATTGGCGGCTTTCATTAACGCTTCCACTAATATTGGGTAATAGTTGTAAATAGGAGAGCCTTGAATGTCAGCCATCTGTTCAACCAAATTTATAATCGTCCATGCACAGTTGGTGGCAACTTTTGGATGGTCTTCTAAACCTTGCAAACAAGCTTGTATCACGTCTGGTAGATGAGTTTGTGGGTCAATAGCACCGATGACTAAATCGGCAATTCTACCGATACACCAGGCTACCGTCTCTTTGACTTGTAAAGATGGGTCCTTGATCAACTGTAAAATAGGTGGAAGGGCCTGATGAATCAGATTCGTGAGTTGAACTTTATCAGGGCCATCCAAGATCGAACCGAATGCCATCACAGCGGCTTCACGGTTTCTCCAGTTTTCGCTCGTGATGTTGAGTTCCACATATCGCAGCACAGGATCTACAACGTAGTTACCACAGTTCTGAGCAAATAATTGCAAACAAGCACCGGCAGACATGGCGACGTTCCAATCATCATCCTCCGCATCTTCGTTCTGTGTTGAAAGGAGATTTAGCAAATTGGGGACAACTTCTTGAATGGAAGTAAGCGCAAAATTGAAACTTTGCAACGGAGATTGTGGGAATTGAGCCAATTCGTAAGCAATATCAATCTCTTCTTCGCATATAGTGGACCAAAACTCAACAGCCATGGATGCCACTTTTTCGTCCTGTGACTGCATGGTGGAAACGGTTAAGGCGTAAAGTGCTTGCTCCATGTACGGTTTCATGAGAAAATAGTACAGCGACATAATTTTGCACAAGCACCCAAAAGCAGCAGCCTGAATTTCAGAGTCATCAACGGTTTGGGTGGCTTCGCAGACAACTTGCATAAGATAGTTGCGTTCCCCTTCCCTTTCCATATTGTTTTTGATGAATGCAAGAGAATCGGCAAGCGCATTAAGGGCCGTCAGCCTTACAGCTCTCGACGGCTCGCTTGCCTGGGCGCCCTGAACAATGGCAATCAGAATGTTATTCGATTGAGCAGCCAAAGTTTCAGAACCTGGGTCTGCAGCTTCACAGATGTAACCCAAGGCCAGCAACGAGGCTCTTTTGACGTTTTCAGGCTGTTGAGTGGCGGTGTTGTCAACCATAATCTTCATGAGATCTGGCCAGTGATTGCGAGGCAATTCTATGGTGGCAATGGCGGCGATAAGTTGCGCAGAGGCGTTGGCTACACGGGGTTCGGGAGCCATTAGCGCTACCAGTGCATACTCGCGCACTGCCGCACGCGACGAGTCGTCGACTTGCGATATCCATCTCTGCGCCAGTTGCTGGGTTTTCACCGAGTCTTTACTCACAAGCTCGTTTTTCAACGTAAGCGCAGCCAAAATACGCGCTTCAAGACGACAGTTGCCGTCCGCGAGCACCTGAGCCAAAAGACCAACATACTGCAGGAAATTCTCGTTGGACAATTTCTTCAGTTGTGTTTCGCATTGTAGACGCACAGAGGCGTCGGGACTCAAAATAGTTTGTTCCAGCACTTGGGCCAGTTGGGCCGATTCTGCAGACATCTCGGGAGAAGTGTAAAGCAGCTAGAAAGCAGAAAACGGAAGAACAGGTAGCAGTGTAACTAATCAGAAGAAGCCGAAATCGGTCAAAATCTGTCTTCCTGGTATTTTAAACCTTTTCGAGCCAGGGGATATAGATACAGTTTCAGACCGCGATAAAAGCACTCTAACACTCAATTCTCGTCGAAAAATAGCCACACACACGCAGTTTCGACACAGCGCTTTTCAATAGCAGTAAGTAATCCAAGCCAAATGCCCTTTATCCTTCACAGTCAAGTGGCAAACTGTTTGAACGTGGTGAGAAGAATATATGGCTGGAGAGTTCGCCATCACAAAATTAAAAAATCTTTAAGCGTATATAAATGAAAGTCTGTATATCCGCTTGTACGAACAGTGATCGAAGCGAAAAGGCCAAAAAGTGGACTGGTGCTCGAATGAAAGATTCCAGCCAGCTTGCGATTTGCTTCACGGCTATCCACGACTCTCAGTAGTCTTCATGATATTATCCGTATACATTGGTTAATATATATCGAGTTTTTTCTTAGCAATGCGTCTGGGAGGCCTCTAGTTGTATTTGGCTTCGAATTCGTCGACCAAAGCGATGTACTTCTTTTCGGCCTCTTCTTGGCTCAAACCCTTGTTGCTCTCCCAAGAGTCCCACTTGTACTTGTCCTTGAAGTTCAAAGCACTAGGACGGGCGCTGGAGTTGTCGCCAATCGTGGCTTGCTTGTACAAGCCGTATAGTTGTAGCAGCTCGTCGTTGGAGGGAGTGGTTGAAAGGTTCTTGACGGCCTCGGCCTTTTGCTCGAAAACTTGCGAAACCATTGAGTGTGTATTGGTATGTGTAAGTACTTGTGCTAAGAGGGAAGAAGTGATGAATAAGGGTATAAGTTGGCTGAAGCAAGAGTCTTTTAAAGGCAGTAAAGTAAAAACGTTGGAAACGTGCAAGGTGATGGAGAGAAACAGGAACGAGATACGAAGAGTGGCAGCGTCCAAGCGAGCTTGCGGGATGAACGAAAACAGCCACGAAGATCGGTTGACCAGTTTGCCTGTTGGAAAGTGTTGGACAGACCACATACATTTTGACTGTGAAAGACTAAATCGCGATGTACGGCACTATTTGGTAAGAAGGCCTCAAAGGTCAATCCAAAGATACGTGCGCTGTCTTACATGGCTTTATTTTTTTCAATACACTACGGGGAGCTTATATCAAACGACGAGGACGTATATCTCTGAACTGGTAGGTGCCCCATTGATGTTTTCTGACAAGGTGGCCTTTTGAGCTGTGCGGAAAAAAAACAATGACAATCAGTACTCCGTTCATGGTAGGGCAGGCTCCGTCAAGATTAGCTCTCCATCAAGGCTGGGCTTTTAGATCTTTGAACGAGCTGGTTGGATTCCAAACTATGCTGCTCATAAACAGAACGCTCGCGCCACATCACTTTGTACCATAATGGCGCCAGACCCTACAATCCATATTCGCAGCTTTTATTTTCGAGCATTGAACTTACATAGTATTGCTAAATTTTCGTAGTCGTATGAATAGGTTCGTTCTTCTTTTTCTGCTGAGAATCCCACGCCGCAATCGTCCACCTTCACAAACTGCAATAAAAGCACAAAGTTTCAAGAGTCCTATTGCCCCACCCGGCCTGAACTCGCGAATATCGCGTAGGTAGAAATTTTGAGTGCTAACCGTCCGGCTTGGCCCTGTTCGAATCAACAGTTCACACACTCACGTGATATACTCTTTCTTTACCTGACCGTTAAGATAACCGTGCGACGATGAATACGTAAAGCGTCGGGCAGTTTTCCACGAAGCTCGACGTGCGATATAAGTTACGACAAGAAATACAAGCTATCGCTGCAGCTTCAGAATCACTAAAATAAACGTCAGCACTATCGCTTCAAATCGTGGGCACCGGCCGTATACACGCACTTCTTGCTCAATATCATTTATTGTCAACAATGTACTATCTTATGGACAAATCGTCTCTCGATAGTTCGATGCCGCAAATGTACCGTTCAATACTCGGCGAAAGTGACCGAAGTTAAACATCAATTGTTTATTTGTTTTTTTTTTTTTTTCTTTCCCACTAAGACAGGATTTGGACTCTGCAATCGGCCCAGCATTCAACAACAACCGCGTTGCATCTTGCCTCGTAATTAATCAAGCATCCACCCTCTATATTTCTTCTCTTTAGCATTGTAATCTCACTTCTGCTCCGTAGCATCCGCATGTCATCTCTAACGAACAGATTTTAATAATAACGGGACCCCCGCCAAGTGGTAAAACCTGGAAACTTTAACATTCCTAGTTGACAAGTGGCGAAATTTAGCAAAAGAGTATCTAGTCTTCGAACTTCCAGGCAAAGAAGATCAGGAGATTTGAATTAAAGTTCGGTCAAAGAACGTTTCCATAAGGTACTCTTTCCAAAGATCCTGAACACCCCATCTCCCATAAAAAGCCGATCAAATCTAAGCAGTATAATCCGATCGCTCATGTCTGACACTCTGTCACCACCATTGAATCGAGTTCCCTCGGGCGGAAGTACCGATAGCAAAATGGAACCAGTTAAAGACCGCCGCAGAAGAAGAGCCTCAAGCATCATATCGCATGTGGAACCGGAGACTCTGGAAGAAGAAAACGATCAGCAAATGCTGCCCAACATGAACGCCTCTTGGGTCGACCAACGAGGCGCTTGGGCTGTCCATGTAGTCATAATCATGTTGCTCAAGGGTTTCTTCAACATGCTCCCGGGAATTACCAACGAGTGGTCCTGGACTATCACGAACACCACCTACGTGATAGGTTCTTACGTCATGTTCCATCTGGTCAAGGGTACGCCCTTCGACTTCAACGGCGGTGCTTACGATAATCTCACTATGTGGGAACAAATCAACGACGGCATGCTATACACTCCCAGCCGTAAATTTCTGATCCTGGTGCCCATAGTCTTATTCCTCGTCAGCACTCATTACTCGCGTTACGATTTACAACTATTCTTGTGGAACTTCTCGCTCACCACATTTGTTGCCGTGGTGCCCAAACTGCCCCTAACACACAGACTCAGAATTACAATTCCATTTTTGACCGGCCCTGCCCAGATAAAATAAGAACTCTCTCAGAAGCGCATACCTCTACAGTCATATGGTAAAAGTACATAATTTATACTGAAATCAAACAAGCATTCTGCACTCGGATTGAAAGACTGCTATATCCTTTATCACTTTGCATCTGTACTAACGTCGTGGTAAACATCGAATCGAACCTGGTTTACTACGGGGATCATTCTTCTCATCTGTTGGATCTTCTCAGGGTCCAATTCAGCATAGATGATCTCCTCACCTTCACCTGCTTCGGCGATGATATTACCTTGTGGGTCGGAGATTAAACTGTGGCCGTAGGCTTGATATCCGCTTCCAGGAACTCTGGCAGGGGAACACAAGAGGGTGTACAATTCATTATCGACACTACGGGCCCTCGCAAGCAAATGCCAGTGCAAAGGTCCCGTAGTTGTGTTGAAAGCGCTAGGGTAAACCATAGCAAAAGCGCCTCTTCTGCCGCTCACAGCGGCTAACTCAGGGAAGCGCATATCGTAACAGATACCGATACCTAGTTTGCCATGTGGAGTGTCAACCGTAGTACATCTGTTCCCTCCTTTGAGAGTCTCACTTTCCTGAAAAGTGATGCCACCTGGAATGTTGACGTCGAACAAATGCATCTTGCGGTGGCGCGCAATCAATTTCCCCGTTTTGTCGAAGATGAGACAGGTGTTGTAAACACCATCGTTGACCGGATCGAGCTCCGGGATTGTTCCGCCAACAAGTGTGATTTGGTGCTTACGAGCAAGATCGCTGAGAAATTTAACCGATGGCGACGCATCCTGAATGACTTCGGCATTCTTACGGAACTCGCTGGTTGCGTAGGTAGAGTTAAAACACTCGGGAAGAACAACCAATTCGGTGTCAGGCTGTTCCTGCATGGCTCTGGCCACAAATTTCTGACAGTTCTGAAAGTTGACTACTTTTTCAGGCATCCCGCTGGCAAACTGGACCAAAGCCACTTTCACCTTGCTCTTCAAAACGCTCATTGTGCTTGTTGGGAATTGCTGATGGGTTTTCCTAATTATCGAAGTTCAATGTGTAGTTGAACCTTGATTTTGGTTGATCCTTCAAATATATCCAAGGTTCTTACCAATCACCGAGGCGATCTTGTATACACTTAATTCTGTACTTTTTGCGGAACAGTCGAAGCCACTTGCACGCTCAGTAGAGTTACCAAGAGGTTCTTGTTCTGTTTATAATCTTTGATTTCCTCTTCCCTCGCAATTTTATACACACTTATCGTACTGATAGCGAGCGATCATATGAACGAGTAGAAGAAAATAGAAAATTGAAAACCTGTAAAAGACGGCGTCCGAGCTGAAAATTGGTACAAACAAATAGGTAGGCACGCCCAGGGTAGCACTAAAGGGTAGCACTAAAGGGAATTGTCTGTCAACTGGCTCGCGAAAGCACGAACACAATTGCCCAAGTGTTTTCTAGCAGGAAAATCGGAGAAGTACAACAGAGCCGCAGTTTAGCACGATTAGCGGGTTGAGTAAAGAAACTAATTATGAGTCCTAGTTAATCAATGCTTTGACCGTCAGCTTTACCTCTTCCTTTATGTCTTGTACATTTTATTCGTCAGTAATGAGATCAAATAATCTTCTTGAGTAGAAATTTGGCTAGATGGCATGGCTCGAGCCATCAACGCGTACGTATGAAGACACAGGTTCATGAACACAATCGAAGTTTCTTATAGCGAATAATTTAGGTACTTCTAGCTTTGTATCTATCAATTCAGCGGTGCTTTTGTATGGAGAGAGCTTTAGATGGAAAGAATGACAAAGAAAACCTGGGCCACTCACACTACTCCTTCAGGCTACTTCTCGTTGCGAAGCAGCCTTTTCGATGACGGTTACACTTAAAAGTGTAATATTGAGCTCAAAAGCAGCAGTACAGTACTGTTCTTATCTTATAAATCAGCCAAGTTTTGGGTTATGGACAGGAATTAGCTGCCGCCTCATATAAATTAACACTGACACTCAGGAGACTTAGTACTAGTTCAAACAGCCAGATGAAGCCTCTACTATCTTTTTCGGTAGACCACGACATGAATACAAAGCAACGCTCTGTAGAGTTTTTGCTAAGGCAGGAACAATCGATTCTGGGCCTCGTCCATCGAATGTGAACAGTTCACAATTGATTCAGAGCAAGCACGCACCAAACGTCATGACATAGAACAAGATACCTAGCATTTTCTTGCAGCAAGCACCAGCACTACAAAATTCTCACTATCACACACCACTAAAGATACTCATTCGGACATCTAACCGAACTTCTTAGTGAACGCCTAGTCGTCGTCAACTTCTCCGTATACAATGCAATAAGTAAACTTTATTTTGCCGCGACGGTTTCAGATATTTAAAAATTGGAAATGTTGGCTGACTGTCAAAGAGCTTGAGCAGCAATTATAAGTCTGACTGGTACCAGGGACTGTTTCTTGTATCAGCTTAGACGCTTGTGACTACTTAGATTGGAGTCTGGGCTCGGTTGTGATTCGCCTCAATTCTCAGGTGCAGCTGGCTGGAATATCCCTAATTGGACTTTCTAAAGCCATCCTTGAAGAATCTGCTGTGTCAATTTTGATATTCAATGGCGCGAACCATCACTTTTGACATCCCTTCATGCTATCAGCTTGTAGAGCTTGTGGGCGAGGGAGCATACGGAACGGTGTGCTCGGCCGTCCACAAGCCGTCTGGGACAAAGGTAGCCATCAAGAAGATCCAGCCGTTTAGCAAGCCCATGTTTGTTACTCGCACTCTGCGAGAACTGAAGCTGCTCAAGCTCTTTCACAGCCACGAGAATATTATCAGCGTCTTGGACGTTGTCCGCCCTTTATCCATGGATAAGTTTCAAGCGGTGTATTTAGTGCAAGAACTCATGGAAACAGACCTCCACAAGGTCATCAATGGCGGGGGATCTAGGCTTAGTGATGATCACATCCAATACTTTACGTACCAGATATTGAGAGCCCTCAAAGCCATCCACAGCGCACAAGTCATTCATCGCGACATCAAACCTTCAAATCTGTTGTTAAACTCTAATTGCGACCTTAAGGTATGCGATTTTGGGCTTGCAAGGTGTCTAGCTTCAAGTACGCATTCCAGACAAAACCTTGTTGGTTTCATGACCGAATACGTTGCCACGCGCTGGTACAGAGCTCCTGAAATTATGCTCACATTTCAAGAATATACAACTGCTATGGATATATGGTCTTGTGGTTGTATTTTGGCTGAAATGATCACAGGAAAGCCGCTATTCCCGGGTCGCGACTACCACCATCAACTATGGCTCATTTTAGAAACACTGGGAACGCCGTCTTACGAGGACTTTGAAAACATCAACTCCAAGCGCGCTAAAGAATACATTGCCAATCTGCCGCTACGACAAAAGCTACCTTGGCAAGTTGTTCTCCAAACACAGAATGTGAACCCGGAGGCCATAGATCTTTTGGACAGAATGCTTACATTCAACCCAGACAAACGTATCAGCGCGTCAAATGCTCTGAGCCATCCTTATCTGAGAGTATATCACGACCCAGACGACGAACCCGAGTATCCACCCTTAGATCTTGAAGATGCGTTCTGGAAAATCGACAATAACCTCAAGCAACCTTCCGAAGAGAACGAACTTTCCATGGACACTTTGAAACAAATGCTTTTTGAAGAGGTTGGAAAATCACTGCATTGAAAACACATTTTAACAATTTTACTCAATTTCATTTACACCCTAAGCTATATATTTTGATTTAGAGAGCAGCAGTATCTGGCTCAGTTTGTACCTCATGTATTATTTTGACGTTTATATTTTCATAATGCGCGCTTAATATAAAGCACCTTTTTCCTTGAAACTAAAAGCGATGCCTACACCTAAGATCCCATAACTAATAAAGATTCAAGAAATAAAGCTATTTGAGTCATGATTTTACCTCCTGAAATAGTATATCAGGTACTCACATACCAATTTTATGATCTAATGTCTAATGACCACCCCAGTAGTCCAGAAAAGTTCCATTCGAACCTCCGAATTTTTCTGCGTAGTAATCTGACGGTTAACAAGACCTTCTACCACATTTGCAGGGTGCTACTGTACCGATACTTGAACTTTACGTCTGCGAGGGGATTCAACAAGCTTCTAGAGACCTTGAGGGGTCATCCCGAAGTTCTGCGGTATATCCAGGTCGCAGATTTCCAAGAACTAACTTCTATCGGCTTGGGACGATCCGGCCAAATGAATAAGACCATCAAGAACCTAACAAACGAGACACTGTGGGAATTTTTGTGGTACACGCGTGGTAGCCTTAGAGAGTTCTTGGCCAGTGAACATATCCAGGGAGATCTCGATGAGCGCATTATCCATTTTTTGCTCAAACCTGGAACTGTTTTGAGTGTCGTAGACTTTTGTGGGGGCTCTCAAGATGTGTTTACGAGCACGTTCACATCAGCCGTGGAACGCCTTTATGATAACGATCAACCTATTGACTATAATTACCAGATAACTTCTCTGGGACTTAACGATTGCACTACAATTACATCCAAGACGCTGGGTAAGTTATTGGCTACCCTTCCCGAACTTCAAAAACTCGATTTGACCCATACTTCCATCGATGATCGTACAATAATAAGCGACATTCCACATTTGAAGCATTTAACTCACCTATCTTTGTCAATGTGCTCCCAGATCACTCCGAGAGGGATTTTAGAGTTCTTTAGCTACCATCCAGCCATTACAGATAGTGCTTCGACACTTCAGTGGCTAAATGTTCAAGTGCATCCACATTCATCTTCATGGACAGACGTACAGCTCATGTTTCTGCTCAAAAAACTGTGCCGTTATGGCCACAACAAGACACTGCAGTATTTGAATATTGGAGGCATGCCAATGCATATCACGGATGATTTCACGATGGAAAGAACTGCGGATTACTGGCAATGTCAAGACACGCTGTATTTCATAAAATTGAACTTCCCTCAGTTGAAAAGTCTGAGCATCAAAAATAATAACATTACCATTCCCAGGTTGACGCAATTTTTGTCTCCTCTTCAAGATGACGATATACCTTCTCAGCAGTTGAAATACCTCAACATTGTCAATAACGTCTACATTAATAAATGGACTATACAAGACCCTGCACTCTTCTCACATTCCGCGTCCTTGTGCGCTATCGAATTATCATTCGATCCATGGCAACAAATAGAAGCATCTAATCCGAGGCACGAGATAACTTGCCGCATATTAGAAAGTAACGCGCTGATCCAGGATTATTCTTCCGCGGAACCTGCAAAGTGGAGGTGCTACATTGGATCAGCCTATGGAAGGAGACACTGGCTCTACAAAACGGATGAGTACTTGAATCGTGAGGATATTGAGACTCGAGGATACTTGACTTCATATGATGCAGAGGGCAACAAGATAATTGATATTGTCAAGCAGCCCGACTTTCTCAAGTTCGCGCAAAACAAGATTATGCTCGGTTGTGGGATAGTGAGACAAAGCCGAGTGCGATGCAATCGTACATACAGAGACGTCAAACCACCAATCTCTCAATTTTTTAATAGAAACAAAACGTTAGCAGTGGGTCCCACGGCTACACCCCCATTACAGAATCCGGTGCGACCTCCTGGTGGCTGGCGCCTCATCGACAACGAGCACAGCGTAGATTTGGAAGGGGCCCCATCGACTATCGCAGCAGCTGGCATCGATCCTCACGATCCTGCAGTCTCGACTTTCAATTCATCTCGTAGTGGGCTCTACTGGGACCGTTCTATTCCAAATCTAGAGCAACACATGCAACAAGTCGAAACCGACTCCGACTATCTGAACGATCCAGAGCTGCAGCGTCGCAGGTCAAGATTGTGCCTTTTCGGCGGGTACTCCGGGAACGAGAATTCAACAGCACGTATCAGACAAGGATCTGCTACCGGCCTACGATCGGACAGGCCGGACTCTTCCGACCTCCTGGAGAGGTACGACGATAGCAACTGCTTAAACACTATGTCGAAGATGTACCGTCTGCATCTCGATGTCGTGGCAGAATATACGGTATTTGGCTGCATAGAACGTGGTATGTACCGATACTACAGCTTGAAAACATGAGAACCACTTTGTACGTTGTGATAAGCCTAAAGCGCATGTTACCAGCAGCCTTCTGATTTGTACATTGACCTACAATATTGCATTATGTTTAGTATAACCCAAATTTACAATAATAAAATTCCATAAAAAGAATAATTTCTGGCCCTCAATCGAAGACGAGCAATATGGGCTTTGTCACTGATCCTTTACTTCAATTTTGAATGTTTGCTCATTTGCTCATTTGTTAACCTCTTTGGGCATTATCACTGCGTTTTGTTTGTTTACATGAAAAAAGTTTCCTAATCATCAAGTAAATCTTGAAAAATAGAACGGATAATATCAAGGAGAAGGGTCTTTAGAAGCCCAATTTTATCAAAATAGGGCTAAGGTACTTGCCTTTGTGGAGCTAGAAACATTTGGAGACGACATCGTCGTTTGTAAGGTCGAATCTCAGGAACAAACAGTGGCGATTTTCGAAGCATTCTCGAAAGCGCTTTAAACTGGACCATAACACCAGCACAAGCTCTCCAGGGCTCTTTAATACATTTCGACTATACTTATACTATAGTGCTACGTTTAGGAAGCACATAGTTATTGGCATTGGCCAAAACTATATACTCTCATGTCTGATCACCAGGACTCCAGCGCAGATACTAGTGGATCCTCGGACTCTACAGGGGGAAAAATCTGGTTATCGGGACGAGAAGCACCCAAAAAGCCGGATTCATACTTCAAAGAATCTTTCGAGCCATCAAGCGACTCCGGTGCACCGTCCTTAAGCGTCTACATCGACTATGCGAGATTTGCGGATTCAAGTCACAACTCAGACAGTTCGGGCGGTCACGACTCGACGTCCTCAAAACATTTATCCCTGGATAATGCTGCCCCAGATGGGCTGTCTGAAAATGTGGCTACCTCAAATAAAAGAATCGCCATCCAGAAGAGCTATCAAAGTTTGCAAAATCCTATCCTGGCCTCAAATTTCAAGTCTCAAAGCTCTGATACCATCAACACCGACGTGCTTTTGAGTTCCAGGAAAGCGTCTAGCAACATCAACGACATACCAATCTTGGGGACTCCTGACAGTAATTTGAAGAAATACGCCAATTTCGAAAATGGTATACCACTCAGACCTTTGAAGCATCACCCTGCTAATCAAGAAAGGGACAGTCGAAAAACAATTTCGACATCACTACTTGACTCAAACAGCATACGCAGATACTCTGACATGTCTGGGCCGGATGCAAGATCCTCTTCTCATTATGGAGATGATACCACCAACACTTTTAACCCTGCAACACCGTTAGTACCAATACACAACGAGATTGAAGAAGAAAGTGAAGAAAGCTGGGAGTACGAAAAACACTCAAAGCCATCCATTGAAGAGGCTGTCAAGCTTTTCAAACAAGAAGCCTCTGCCTTGCCACCGGTTCAACTGATAGATCCAAGTAGTCCCATGATTCAAACAAATACCGTGCCTAAAAAAGCATCTCAAAGCTCTTTACAAAGTCGTGTTAGCGATCAGACATCACGCTATTCACAAACGAGGCGATCGAGAAGAGGTCCGCAGTATCCCTCTTTACTCACTTCTATCTTAGTACCGCCACCAAACACTAACAGGAAAAAGGTAAAGAAAACAACAAAAGACGTCTCACCAACCATACCCGCACTTCGAAAGGTTTCTGGAAACTCCGAAAATTCCAAGACATCAAGTCAAGGCCAAGACATTGAGGTTGATAAACCAAGAAAAAAGGGCTCAAATACAACGCAACACATACATGCAACAGCTCAACTGCCGTATCGAGATGTTCAAGATGACTTGCATCAAATCTACCAGTATCGAGATATGCTTAATGGAAAAGACGTAGAAAAGGAAGCGTTTTACGCTCAATACATCGATTCGTCATCCATTTCATCACGAGGTTCTCAGCTGGGCAAGTTTCGAGATATTTTTAGCTTGTCAAGAATAGCAATGGTGCTACTACTTTGCATGCTTGTGCCACCGCTTTATTTCATTATAGGTTGGGGATCTGGAACGTGCATGTCTGACAAAAAACTCATGAAAATGATAATGAATAAAGAACATCGAGAAGGCATTCTTGCAGGTTTTGTATGGGACGTAAACCTGCGATGGTTCAGGAATATGTGTTTATTACTGGGATTGCTAGAAGTGCTTATAATATTAGCCTGCGTAGGGGTTGGAATAGGAGTAGGGCTGTCCAAAAGTTGACAAAGATTTCCGATAAGCACGAATAGCTTACGAATTGGAAAACTTGATCAGGGCATCATCCAAATGCTAGCATAATCAGTCAAGCGAGTCTGGGACATTGTGATTAGCTATGGCGCACGACAAAGAATATTATCCCAATAAATACAATCATTATTGGCAGAAGCACCACTGCAAACTACATTCACTACTTCATCAAAACCAGGAACATAGCTCTGTGAGCCATTGTATTAAGGGTCGCCTTCTGGTAAAGGCAAAAGAGAAATGCTGGTAAATTGTGGAATTAAACTCAAAGAGCCGATTCAGGCAGCCTTTAACTTTCAGTATGAGCAAAACATGCTGGTCTGATTTGAAGCACTTCAACCAAGTTTCTAAGGCATTCTGTTAAGCCTCATTACTACCACAGCGGAATTTGTGGCGACCCACTTTTGTAATGTATGCTCAAATCAGTCCCAAACTCTTTTAAAAACGATTGAAAGTAACTGGGTTTCCATGAAAGGCATCGGCATACATTGTGATAACCGATAACACACATATTTAATAAATAATTGCATACTTATACCATAGATAAATGATACAAATATTATAGAGGCATTTGAACATTAACCCCCTTCTAATTTTAGGGAGATTACAACAGATATCTTTAGTTGCATTAAGCTCAAGGAACTTGAAAAAAATACTCAGATATTCAATCGACAAGCATAGATGGAGTTAGAGGTGCTGATCAGGAAAGTTTAGTTGTTGGCATAAACTTGGACTTCTCCACACTCGTGCGGAGATTTGCATCACATACTATAAAAAAAGTTAATTACTAGTTTAGTTTTGAATCTTAGTACAGACGTGGTCCGATTGATGTACTTAGCATAAGTATTGTTAGAATGTTTAGAGTAAAATTCATGGTGTGAATAAGATCTAACAGTATTATAAAGGTTAGAATTAGCTCATATCAGGAATGGAATTGATCCTCGGAGCATTACGTTTAACAACTTTGTCAAGTTACTTATAATAGCTCAAGAAACGAGGACGATTCCTGTCGACAATGGTTGACGTAACAGTGTGTGTGTGCTTACCACTTTCTAGGTTAGCCAGAGAATGGCATACTTGATGTATTTCATCACGACAGATAACATCGCAATGCAGAGAGTCAGAGCAATTAATTTGTAAACATGCTTATAACACTTCTAAAACTTGACATATAATTTTGACTTGCGTATGGGTTTGAGATGGGCAGAGATCATTTTATGTCTCAAAAAACCCCAAATTAGCTTACTGTCGCTTACTCCTGATTGAGGAGGAAATATGCATTTCAACTCTCACAAAGCGATATAAAAGATTTCATCTTGAAGGAACGACTAGATTCGAATGAAGACTTGATCTAGTATGTCCATTCTATTCCTCACGAACATATCATTTAGTACGCATCCGTCGCCCGCAAGCATAATGAGAACTTCGATAACGATACATCGCGAATCCAAAAATAGTTGGTTTCGGCTGTTAGACTCACATTAATAAACTTTGAAGTAAGTGGGAGTTTCAAGGTGGTACTAGTGGTAGTCAAACTTCTCAACCCTTGAGAACGGTTTTCAACATCCATCTTTACTTTATACTGTGTCCGATGCTACGCGCAAAAGGGAGAAGCGAAGGAGAAGAGGCCGGCGTTTAGATAGGCGTTAAGGAAATTTTGATCTCAGTAGGCATTGAATGCTTTGTCGCGAATTCAAAAGTAGACATTGCTGAAATTTAAACGGTTACGGCCTTGTTTGCGTTGACGTAGTAGTGGAGTAAGTAGTAAGTTACTTCGAATCTGCCAAGCTAAAAAGATCCACCGGAGGGCAAACCTTCGAAAAGCTTCAAGACCGTACCGATAGTTCGAATTTTGGACGGTCATTACGTACAAAACGCCAAGTATTGAGCCTGATCGTAATTCTATATTATTAAAACTCAAAGTACCATTTACCTTTTCTCCACATTTAAATGAAGAACTATAGGTCCCTGTTTCCGAGCCCTGGTTGCGGGTGGTATGGCTAATCGTGGACCTCAGATTTCGCATGTAAGAGAATATTATTGCCAATATACGAATCAACTACACAAGAAACAAAAATCGTGGCACGATGGGAAATTAAAATATTATCAGTTGAACCAGAAGTTTCAGCTTTACACGATCGAAGGCGGAGTTTTACTTAGTAGCGGGTTTATCACAAATCTGCAGCGTCTGGAATACATTTTAGATGATTCAGGGTTCAACAAAGAAGAGCACAAGATTTTCAGCCAGTTTTTAGTGATCATCGATTGTCTGCAATGTGAATACGACCGGGATGTAAGCGGATTAGCAAACGACAGCTCAACAGCTTACAATTTGAAAAAATATTCAGAAGATGGAGCAGGGGCAGTGGGTGTTTCGAAAGTGAGCTGCAAAGTGCGAACTCAAAAATCTAAGCTTCCTAGCCATCATGACAGTTTAGCACTAGTGTTCAATAAGCCATTTCGGCGACCAAGAATCAATAAAGGCGCACAGGGTAGAGTGGAAAAGATTGGTGAGAAGGAGGGAGTAGCAGAAAAGGTTGGCCAACCCCGAAGTTCCAAACGAGACCCTGGGAACGTCTCGCTTGCTTTAGATATGTCGCGAGCCGCAGTAGCTGGCAGGAACTGTACTCAAGATAGACTGCGAATGGAAATGACACCAATTACACAGCAAAATGTTCCGAGGGAGAAACCACAAGCAGCGCTTGCTATAGCATCGCCGCGTGAATGTGACAAGATTCCAAGGCGACAGATAATTGAAACTACATCAGCGCGGCACATAGATAAAAAGCCTCCTACCCGAGAAGAAGTTGTGGCAAAAACCATGCAGAGCCAAGCTACGCGTCACAACGACGCTGGATTCCGCATTCACAAGAAAAGCATCACCATTACGCATCAACCTATCAATTTAGGCTAAACCATAAAGCAAAAGGGCCGCTGTGAGCATCATCAGCGAATGTGTACGTAAATAATGTCAGTTTTGCACGCCCGCTATTTTATTCAGACGGATGAGAATCGATAGTGAAAGACTATGATAAACCATTTAGCGCATCAGGATAACAAACAGCCATGTCCAAATAGGATGAAAAAGCTTATACGTGTATAAGACTAAGCAAATTTTATATATAGATATACACACACTTACTTGATCAATTGTTCATCAAAAATGTCGTTAAAAAATTCATATCCACGCATTTGTAGCCATATGCGCCATATAATTGACACAGACTTCTTACTTTTTGGTTTTTCTAAACTTGTTGGATTCTGGTTTCGATCAAATCGAACAAGGTGACGATGTCAGCAGAGAACTTTCTGATACCTTCAGACAACTTTTCAGTAGCCATAGCATCTTCATTCAGATCGAATCTGAAAGCAGCTTCGTCGTTGATAAAGGAGACCTTTTCATCACCTTGGGCCTTAGCAGACACTGGGTCCAAGACTTGTGGCAATGGTTCCTCGGAGTTGAGGAGTTGGTCTAGTAGGCCTGGAGAGATGGTCAAAAAGTCGACACCGGCAAGCGCACGGATTTCGCCGATGTTTCTGAAACTGGCACCCATGACGATGGTGTTGTAGCCGTGCTTCTTGTAGTAGTTGTAGATCTTCTTGACGGAAACCACACCTGGGTCGGTCTCAGCAGTGTACTCCTGCTTCTTGTTAGCCTTGTACCAGTCAAGGATTCTGCCGACAAATGGCGAGATCAACGTAACGTTGGCCTCGGCGGCGGCGACGGCCTGCGAGAACGAAAACAACAATGTTAGGTTGACGTGGATTCCGTGTTGCTCTTCCAGTTCCTTGGCAGCCTGGATACCTTCCCAGGTGGAAGCGATCTTGATGAGCACACGCTCTTTGCTGATGCCGAACGAGTCGTACAACTTGATGATGTGTAGCGCCTTGGCGACGGTGGCTTCCTTGTCGAACGACAAACGAGCGTCCACCTCGGTGGACACACGGCCTGGCACGATCTGCAGAATAGCCTTACCGAATTCCACCAGCAGCATGTCGACGGCCTGTTCCGTCTGCTCAGCGAGCGTTTTGCCGCTCTTCTTACCGTAGAGAACCGCGTTGTCGATCAGCTTGGCGTACGCTTCCTTTTGGGCCGCCGCTAGGATCAACGAAGGGTTTGTGGTTGCGTCCTGGGGTGTGTACTTGGCGATCGATTCGAAATCACCCGTGTCAGACACCACCGTGGTGCCTGTGGCCTTTAGCTGTTCCAAAGAGTTGGATTGCTTCAGTTTCTTATCTTGGTGAACCATGTTGTATGTGTGTGTTTGTGAGAATATAGACAGACCAGAATGTGAATGGTTTATTCTTGCTTTTCGTAAATGTGGTAAGCTCGATCCCACCCCTATTGTCCAGATCTTTGGCCTTTATATACCCAAATATCTTTTAATTTAATTTTTTTCTTCTGTTGGGTGTGTTCTTTGTTTTTCCAATAGCTTCGTAATACGCAATTTTCCAAAGCAAGACAATCGCGATGTGAGAACGTTGCAAAGTAGATGGTTACGGACAGTTTTTGGAGGACAGGTGCAAGCGGGTAGTGTCTGGGTAGATTTCTTTTGTAGATTGCGTTGAACTAATGGTGAAATTGTGCGCAGGCAACTTGAAAAGCATTGGCGTGTCACTTCCGACGGGCGTAGTTTTTGGCAGAGAGAGTGATACCTGGGGGAGCCTTGGTGTGGTTTCGAGCGTGTGCTGGCGGTGATGTGATTCTCCGGTATTAGACAGACGCGCCGCTGGAGACATCGGGCTCAGGCCTGGGCCTGTTTGGTGGTGGGAAAACGGTGTAATCGCTATGTACGAGGCTTGCTTACACCCATCAACAGAAACAGTAGATTCTGGCCGACGACGACCACCGAGTTCGCGACGGAATTTGTTCTGGGTGCGCGCTAGCTACTGGCGACGCTGGAAGACACAACGGGTAGCCTGGGAGAGCAAGAGAGAGAGCAAGAGAGAGAGCGAGTGAAAAAGCAAGGGAGAGAGATAGAGAGAGAGCCACGATTCGAGGACGACTAAAAGCCAAGGTTGATATTCACCCCGGCTCGTAACTACAACGCTTTCCTACATTCAAATAGATCTCTGCTCGAGACTCCAGGTATTGGATTCTGAGAATGGCACATCACGTCACACGAAATACCGTTGCACCATGCCTCCTTCGCTCTTCGCCCTTCGCTATCACTGACGCCAGCTTGCGGACGCGCCAAGCAATGCGGAAATTATGAGCGCTCTTAACTTGCATCACCGCAAATTAAGCTTCAAGACTGCCTCAAATTAAACACTCAACTTACCTCACTTTTTCGTACTATTGTTGTGTCTCTGAAAAACGCTCCGGATGCGTTCTAAAAGCACTACAAGCGTAGAGACTGGACAAGAGAAGAGCAGCCTCGGTTAGCCGTGTGGATTTCTCGTGCAGTTCGATTTGGATAGCCAAGTAACTCGGGTATTTGGCCTTTTTTTACCCGGTTACGGGATTTGCCCATTCGAGATTGGTGCCGGGTCTCGCTTTGGACGCAGGCGTCGTCAGTGGACTTTGTAGACTTTGTAGACTTGGTAGACTGGACTTGTTGTTCACAATTTTTCACACGTGCGATGTTCCAGGAGGGTCTTGGTAAGCTTTCCGTCTTTCCCAGACGATTACTCTCAGTGATTCACGAGCTGTTGTTGTTTTCGAAAAGCTTCCCTATCACTCCCCTTCCTGCTCTCAACCGAAGTGATTCGCTTTTCTCATCAAATTCTAAACAACTGAGCCCCGAAACCATCATGCGTTCAAGACCTGCAGGTGTTTTGGCTCCGTATTTCTCGCCCACTTCCTCTAGGGGCTTCAATTAATTCCCGCATCTTCAAGATACGAACGGCTTCAAAAATCTGGGGTGCTGAACGGCATTTTCAGAAACCATGTTGCATCGCAATCGTTAGCTCAAGGAAGTAACTGCTTAGATCCATGAACTAAAATTCCTTTGTTTGATGAGGAATAATAATATTGCACTACCTTTTGTTTAGAGTTGAAATCACTGGTTAGTGCGTTATCTACAGGTACCAGGCTACTATGCCTGAGAATGGCTACACGGGATGACTTTTCAAACGTGCGCTGAGTAAAGCATTATGTTTGTTTTTTTATGACTTTTATTTATCTGCGTCTCATTTCTGGCCACTATGACCTGCATTCGATTCACATACCGAACTCTCGCACTTTCTAGCTCTTCATTTTCTAGCATCACCAATCGTAAAACTAGCAAACTGACGCTCGAGGGAGCCTTGCTCCAAGATTTCAGCAGAGCATGCCTTAAAGGTTTGCTCGTATCCACATCATAACATTTTACCATGTGCACTAGGAAAGCTCCGCTAAACACAATGTTGAGCTTTTATCCATACAATTGTGTTGTCGTTCGATCTTTCGTATCCTACTCTCGCAATGTTCAGGGCTTCTTTCCTCCCTTACTCTCCACAACACTCGCTGAAGCTCCATAACGACATATTAGTACAAAGTGATAAACGAGCGCTCAATGACTTCGAAGTTACCAACCCTGCCAAAGAAGCTTACAATAGGTCTGGACTTTACTCATAGCTCATAGTTGCTCAATGGAACTAAAATGTGCACGGCATTTGCTCACCCCTTTTCCCCACTTCTATTGAGGCATATCCGCGTCGCTAGCAGTTAGCCTGCTGAGTTGGTCATCGTTCATGGTCTATCTGAATATTTCGTAGTAGGATATACGGTTCTGCCCATCTTTGCGTTAGCATTTCAATCAAGCTCTGCCCATTTATTTGCCGGTGCTTGTACAAAACTCAAGTTGAGTGCAAATTTTTTTCTAAGCGCTCTAGAACGACCATACGATACCCCCCTGCTACTCTCAAAGAGCCACCACTTGAGCTATCACACGAATTTACAGTATCGCCAGATCCACGTCTTCCCTTTGAGGCAACCGACTATGACGATCTGATGTCACTTTGTACCATTGTGTCACTTAGCGAACTCTTCTCAAATCACCAACCGTTCCAATTGGCCGTTTCGAGGAGACTCCCAAGGCTTCGAAACTTTGAATTTTGACGTGACATTACCGTGGCAACTTTTTCTCACTCTGTAAAAACACACCCTGTCCCAATTTTTACCGTTGGCGTTCCTGCAGCGATGACTCTTTACAATTTTACGAGAGTCTCTGCCCGGAGTCTTCATCACGCACATCACGCTCCCTTAATTACCACACTTACTCACACCAACCACCGCCCAAATTTTCCGCTTTTTCCTGTCTTTAACACCATCAATTTCAGTTTCCTGTTGTCCCAAAATACAATATTCCCTTGCACTCTTCTCGCTCTCCATGGGACGCATATTTGTCAGCCCATTACACTCGGATTGTCTTGCAATTACTCACCTCGTTGTTAAATCGCTCTTGAGCTTGTTTGATCCATTAATAACATGTGGTTTCGTCAGATGTGGCTCTTAAACAAATTCTTGAAAAATTACCAAATAAAAAGCTCGAGCCATGGATGTGAAGAAAAGCTGTGGATAAGCTTGTAGCACCGACCGGATATTACCGACTAATCGATTCTAATACCACAACTGCATCTAAAACTCAATGACCGTTTTACCCACCGACAAATTCGCCACTAAGGCAATCCATGCTGGCGCCCACACCGACGTTCACGGCTCGGTGATCGAACCGATTTCGCTGTCGACGACTTTCAAGCAGCACGCACCCGCACAGCCAGTTGGCCAGTACGAGTACTCGAGATCGCAGAATCCTAACCGTAAGAATTTGGAAGACGCCGTCGCGGCTTTGGAAAATGCCAAATACGGCCTAGCGTTCTCGTCGGGCTCAGCGACCACAGCCGTGGTGCTGCAGTCTTTGCCCCAGGGCTCGCATGCGGTCTCCATCGGAGACGTGTACGGCGGTACCCACAGATATTTCAGCAAGGTCGCCAACGCGCACGGCGTTGAGACCACCTTCAGCAACGACCTGGTCGAGGAATTGCCCCAGCTGATCAGAGACAACACCAAGTTGGTGTGGATCGAAACCCCAACCAACCCCACGTTGAAGGTCACCGACATTCAGCTAGTCAGCAACACGATCCGCAAGATCAACCCAGAGATTTTGCTCGTGGTCGACAACACCTTCTTGTCGCCATACCTGTCCAACCCACTTGACTTTGGTGCCGACATTGTGGTCCACTCCGCTACCAAGTACATCAACGGTCACTCCGACGTTGTTTTGGGTGTCTTGGCCACCAACAGCGAGGCCTTGTACACCAAGCTCCAATTTTTGCAAAACGCTATTGGTGCCATTCCCTCCCCATTCGATGCCTGGTTGGCCCACAGAGGTTTGAAGACTCTACACTTGCGTGTTAGACAAGCCTCCCTATCTGCTACCAAAATCGCCAAATTCCTAGCAGAGAGCGAAAGCGTCCAGTCCGTCAACTACCCAGGTCTTGAATCGCACCCTAACTACGATGTCGTGAAGAAACAACACCGCGAAGCACTAGGTGGTGGTATGATCTCTTTCAGAATCAAAGGTGGTGCCGAAGCCGCTTCCAAATTCACCTCCGCTACTAGATTGTTTACATTGGCCGAGTCCTTGGGTGGTATCGAGTCTCTACTAGAGGTTCCAGCTGTAATGACCCATGGCGGCATTCCAAAGGAGCAAAGAGAAATCAGTGGTGTTTACGACAACCTGGTCAGACTTTCGGTTGGTATCGAAGATTCCGACGATTTGCTCGACGACATTAAGAAGGCTCTTAAGGAGGCTGCTAATTAAGCGATTTGGATTGTATAGACTGTTTTATAAATAATTAATCCTATCGTTGTTATTCGGTTTATCTCTTTGTTCTCTCGAGGACATGACAGCTCATCAAGAACAACAAAATTATTTGGAAATAGGTATATATAAGAAATAACTGCATTTAGTGACGTTAGTTTGAGATCTGATATCACCTTAAAACCCCCAAAGCTAAGGGATTTTTGTTGCACATGCGCTGGATTGTATTCTGTCTTGCAGGTACTCTGGCCAACGAACTGGTGACACTTTCTCCGACTACACAAGTTTTGACGACAGGTTCGTCCGAACAAGACAAAGCTACAGACTTGCTCGTTGGCGACAACAGCATTTGCAACAGTAAGGAGTGCTACCCCAAGTTGTTTGAACCAGAGGCGTTCTGGAAAGAGATCAGACCATCACAGCACATCCCTGCTGGGTTGGACATTCGAATGAACCTGGAAAACGGACGCCGAGAGGCAAAATTGAACTCTGAAGCGAAACCACCATCAGGAGTTCTGAGCGAGGACTCGTCTGTTGAAAACCCCGAGGACTCAACAGCTTACGAGTTTAGCCAGGAATTTGCCAAAATAAATAAGCTAGCGGCTTCCCACGATTTCGCAACGATTGAGTCGATACTGGATGATCTGCTAGAGTTCTCTCATGATTACAAGCAAGGCTATAAGATCATAGTCCATGAATTCGGCCTTCTGAAAGAGCTCATCTTTAGTGAAGATACGCCACTCTCTACCAAGCAGATGTCATTAACGATGCTAACTGGCTGTCTACGTAACAATCCACCAGCCATATCATACGTTCAGGCCAACGATCCTAATTTCACACAAGAGATCTTTAGGGAGCTTACTGGATTGGTTCACCAGCCTCCAAAACCACAAGTGGTAGTTTTGGTGAAGCGATACTTGTCTATTTTACAAGCTATGCTTGGTGAAAATATTGAGCTTGACGAAGATGTTTTATTAAAGCTATGCCATTGGGGAGACCCTCAAATCAAGAGAAGAGCACTAGAAATTGGGTCCCATTTGTTCAGCGATTCCAATCATAGTGATCAATCAGGCCTCGGCAAAAGGTCCCCATCTGCTTACGAAATTCAAAAATGGGTTGATGAGTTTGCCATGGGCCTCCAAGATAAGAACGTTGATGAGTTACATATTCGAAACTTTTTCAACAGCCTGTATCACATAAAGCAAGAAATGGGCAAGAGTGTCAAAGTCGATTCTTCTTTTCTAAATTGGTTAAGTGAAGAATCTGAAAACAGAAGAAGTCGTCTTGAGAACGGTCTTCACGAGAGGGATCTTGAGCAAGATGAGTTTGATCGCAAGTTAGTCGACAGCAGACATTTGATTTTTGGCAACCCAATGGCCCACCGTATTAAGCGGTTCAATGATGAACTTTAGAGGGTCGTACAAATGAATGGGTGCGTTAATTTTCAAAGTTTATACTATCATTATATCGTAAATTAATGTCATTGATGCTAATCTTCGGTCACTTCATTTAGAAATTGACCGTCCTTTTCTAGCCTCATCTTAAACTTGTTCCACCAAGCGTCAAATGCTTTTATTGGCACATTTCCTTGCAGATCTAGAAATCCCGTTAAATAATTATGCGCATGCTTGACAATCTTGGCTGCTAGCTGTTGCGTCAAAATAGGATATATTTGGGCAAGTTGACCAGGACTTGTTATTCCGGCTTGGCTAGCGCGTGCAACGACGAGAGAGCTAGAGCTTTCTCCGCTCGCTTGTTGAAGTTTTATTTCTTGTAGTTTTGCTAGCGCTTGGTCTTTCGGTTCTATCGAAATTCCTATAATAATTTCGGATATGTTGCACGCAGGTTGCCCTGCTCCTGATATATCGTCCTCCATATCGATTTCGCCTAGTCCATCCCCATCATCTGCTGCACCCGAGTTGTTGGCGTTGGGAATTCTGACTTTGAATATGGCGCTAGGCTTTTCAGCACTCAGATAACCAAAAAGTTTGAACTCCTCTGTAGGGCTTAATTTGAAATAGACTGTACCGGCGAAGTCGGGCGGAAATGTCACATTCGGCAATATAAATAAGGAGATATGCGAGTAAGATTTGGGTTTCGTAGACGACAAAACAATGGTATGCTGAAGGCTGTTAGAGTTTGGCACTTCTGTCGAGAGTTGTAACGGATTTCCTGAAGCAATGGCAGCGAACATTTTTCTCTAGTTGTAGTTTTCCCTTAACTAAACTAATGCTAGCTTGGATAGACACAATTGATGCTGCTGTTTAATAAATCTCGAAAACTTCAGTTGTCCATTCTCATCTTGCTTTATCCTTTCCAGTAATTGCGAGATATTTCTATCAAAGTCTGTAGATCACGTAAGAAAACCGTGCATATCATGTGATGAACTTCAGGTCCCAGTAGATAAAGATAACTCCAAGCGATCCAGTGCTTCCTCAACTCTTGTATTGGTTTCTTCAGCGCCAAGGAAGTCTACTAGTAATGGAAGTTTAACTCCAGGGATCGAGGCTGCCAATGCAAAACGCGCGGCTTCAAAAACAACATTTTTGCGTATGCCCGCATTCTGAGCTATCCGATCAATTAATTCCAGCAAATCAGAATGCTCAGTAACTTGACCTTGTAGTTGCTGTAGTACGCTTTGGACTTGACGCAGATCTTGCTTCTGTATAAAGTCTCTGACAAATTGATTATTTTCAAATTGAGGTTTAGAAAGAAGATAGTGGAAATTAGCTTGGAGATCTTTCACAGTAGTCAAAGAGCTACCTACCAGGTTAAGGATCTGCTTTAGTCTGCAAAGTTTAAGATCGGGAAACGATGGATGAAGTTCTTGCAGCAGATCTGATGCAATTATGTCTGCCTGCACAGGATCCTGCAGTCTTTGGGACAGGTATTGTTTATTGAAAAACCAGAGTTTCTTTTCATCAACTTTGGCATTTCCTTTGGTCAGGTTATTCAAATTGAAGAGTCTGATTAAATCTTGCATCCTAAAACATTCGTGGTTTTTGGCAGCTTCTTCCCGGGGGGGCGACCACCCAAACAATGCGCTAAAGTTGATAAGAGCCTCAGGAAGCACTCCTTTCTCTCTTAATGTCATAACATCGGCATCGCCCTTTCTTTTGCTCAGCTTTTTATCACTGGTGGATGTTAGAAGTGGAATGTGGATGAATTCTGGCGGCGCCCAACCAAAAGCTTCATAAAGAGCTATGTGTTTAGGGGTGGATGGAAGCCATTCTTCTCCTCTCACAACATGGGTGATTTCCATCAAATGATCGTCCACAACATTAGCAAAATGGTATGTAGGCAAGGAGTCTGATTTTACTAAGATCGGATCATCAAAACGTTTGTCGATGGCATTGACCTGTGGTTGCATATTCAAAGAGCCGTGTAACAAATCGGTAAAGCCAGGGTATGTTTCGGGAGACTTTAGTCTTATGGTATATGGTGTTCCCCGCTTCAATCTCTCTTGAATGTCATTCTCCGAAATATGAGCACAATTTCTGTCGTAGCTGACCGTCGTAGGAGGCATCAAGTTTTGTGCACTTTCCCGAAGTCCGTCAAGTCTCTCCTTGGAGCAAAAACACCGGTATGCGTGCCCTGATGACAACAGTCTTGCGATGTACTTTTGATATATCGCTGTTCGGTCACTTTGTCTAAATGGCCCATGTTCTGCTTCATTAACGCCTGGACCTTCATCATACGAAATCCCACACCAACTCAGCGAGTCGTAGATGTTCTTTTCTGCGCCAGGGACTAGTCTTTTTTGATCTGTATCTTCCAGTCTCAGAAGAAACTGTCCTCCTGTGCTCTTAGCAAGTAGAAAATTGTAAAGCGCGGTTCTTAAAGAGCCCAAATGCAGCTTTCCTGTCGGCGAAGGGGCAAACCTTGTTCTAGCTGGTTGTTTAGGATGGATGTCCCGAATCGGCTTCTTTGAAAGGATTGATCTATTGCCCGAAAGAGAACAGGTCCTCGAAGCTGTTATACTAGACTTGAACCTAAAAAACGATACCGGACTTACCTTGAAAGTCCACATTGTTTATTACAATACTGTTATGCGGCAAGTGGGGCCCAATTAACTAATATCTATTTTACGAGACTAGCGAATTCCTTTACATGCACTCTAGTGATGAGATTATGCGCTAAAAAAATACTATCAACAGTCACGTGAATATAATACTTTGGCTAATGCTACATGCTATGGTGTCGCGAACTTTGATCGTTGTCCTCTAAACAAGGTCAAAGCTGATTTGCAGACTAGAATAAGTCATTCGAAAGCCTTTCGGTTGTCACGAGATCTTTCTTGTGCCCTAAAACAGACTTGTGGTCTCGGCGGCTAATCCAATGACTCTACATGGCGCTCCAAGATTACAGAGGAATTAGTTTTATAGTATGTAGGCTTTAGCTATGAGACAGGTGGATTCCTTGGAATTGCACAGTATGCATATCCAACAGTGAACAGTATTCAAAATACATATCTCGTAGTGCGTCCAAATTGAATTTTGTCATGATCAACAATGGGGTTTGGTATCCAAGCTCCAGCCATAACGCAATGTATCCGGACGTTCTCGTGATAGTAGAGCTGTGTCAACAATTTTGGTGTGATTAAAATATACTGTGAAGTATTTTCCACGCATGCGTTCTCGACCATGGCCTTGTGGACAATTCGTTCATTTCTCGAGTCCATGCCTTGGTTGATTTCGTCTACGACCCTGAATGGTGCGGAAGTGAACTCCTGCAGAGCAATCATGTATAGCACCGTCGAGACAGCTTTTTCACCGCCGGATTGGGTGTGTGAATCCAGTTTCTTAAGCGAAGCACTATCTCTAAATTTCACCATAATCTCTATTTTCCATTCTTTGTACAGTTCGTGCTTATCCAGTTGTACCGCTCCTGCGCTCCCTACGTTTTTGAAAAGTCTACCAAAATTCTTGGAAATTTTATCGATTGTACTATCAAGCATAGGCTCTAGAACGCTGCGCTTAGTTGCCATCTGAGAGCGAAGCTCCAATAGCGCCTCCTTTTTTTGTGGAACCGTGTTCCTCAGAATTGCTAGCTCGTCTTCCGTTTGACGCATGATTTCGAGCACAGATTCATCCTGATTTAGCACGGCTAATTCGGAGTTTAGTCTATCGATAGTGCCCAGAACAAAATGCAGATTAAAATTTCCACTAGTCTGGTGTTGCTCGGCCAGTGCTGCCAGCTGGTCCTTGTCCACATTCGAGTATTGTCTTATTGCAGCTATCCAACCTTGATACTCAGTGGTATCTTTCATGGACGCATAATTCTTTTTAGACTCTTCATATTCCTTCCGCAACTGCTCCTCTTTTTCATTAAAAAATCCAACAACATCGTTCATCGATCGTTCGCTATTAAGAGCCTCTATGAAAGCAATAGTTGCGGAATTCAACTCTTTCTCTACTGCCTGCAACTTTTCAATATATCTGGTGATTTCCCTCATATGCTCAACTTTTCCTTGCATGGCATGCTCTATGTTCCTTTGGCATTCCTTAATCTTTGTCTTGGCGTCCAGTCTAGATTCGTTTTTCAAACTTCCCAGCTTTTCTTCCAGTGTTTGTACAACACGCTTTGTTTTGGTGATGATAACTCTTTGATTATTGATGTGGGTCGCTCTTCCACGTAAAGATTTATCCTCTTCATTCTTTGAAATTATTTGACTCTTCTTCTCTTGGATGCTCTCCATAATCTTCCCGATTTCATTTTCGTTGCCTCGTATCTGTTCCTTGACATGAGCAATTTCTCTGTCAATTTCTGTCCTTCGTTCATCAGACAAAACATATCCTTGATAAAATTGGCAAGGCCTCACCTTGAAGTCGACCGAAAATATTTGTCTATTTCCATATGCCGATCTTTTAAAATCGTAAATATAATTGCCGGCAATTACTCTGCGAAATCGCAGGTTACCACTGCGATCTGGCGTTCTTAAGAATTCAAACATTCTGGGGCTTAATTCTTGCCTTGATACCGGAATCGTATGCAGTCTGTGCTGTTGGCAAAGCATCTTTAGAACGTTGCTATCACCAGTCAGAAAATCGGACAGGTAAGCGTCAAAGCCCATTTTTTGAAGTTCTGAATGTGGATAAGGTGAAGTCACTTGCTGAGGCGACAGCTCCCTCAAATTGACCCTGAAATTACGTAAAATTTCATCATTGAAACTATCGTACGCTTGAGAATCGACCATAGTCAAAGCTATAGCTGTCGAAAAATCTGTGCAAGTCCCAAGGTAAGCTGCATACTCTGGGCGTTTTGCAGAGACAGCCATGATGGGGGGCTCGAGAACTTTGCCGCTCATTTCAGGTCGGCTCCTAATGAATAGAACAGCCTTTCTGACTTCGTCAAACTTTCGACCCTTTCCGTGTAAAATATCGATTCTATCATTTGAATTCAGACTTTGCAGCTGTTTTTGCAAATACCTTTTACGAGATTCGATCTGATGTCGTATTCCATCAGCAGATGTCGATAAATCTCTTGTCTCACTTTGGAGTTCGAGAATGCTCTCATTAATGACTGCTCTGTCCGCTGTAATCGTTTCCAACAACGATTCATCTGGCGCATTCATGGAAGCTAATTTTTCTTTCTCGCTGCTTAACTGTTGTTTTGTCGCTTCAATACTCTTTTTTATCATTTCTGTGCGACCTTCATAATAATTGACTTTGTGTTGTATGGTTTCAATATCGTTCGTATACTTTTCCAATTTTGCCAGATACTTTGGAAACTTCTCCTTCGTATTTTTGAAGTTTTCCTCAAGGTCGTCTTTTACTTGTTGCTTCTCTGCAGTAACACTGCCGATACGGTCTAACGTGTTTTTGAATGGCTTTTTGTCAGATAACAAAGATCTCAGTTGTCCTTTAGTAGCCTCGCACAATTTCTTGTACTCTTTAATTCTTAGTTTGTGATCCTTCACCTTGACATAGGGCAGGAGCTTTTCATGAAGGGTGAGCTCTAGCTTTTTCTTTTGAAAAGTTTCCAAAGCTCGAACGGATGCCTCGAGTTTTTCACGGGTGACTGCCAACTCTCGCATTCTAGATTCTTTTTGTTCGAGTTCTTTGGTCTCTTCTATCCCTTCTTGTTGCAGCTCCTTGAGTTCCTCGAATATGTCAACCATTTTAATGTCCACTGATCGCACTGTCTCTATCAAAAGTTTATCGGACTTTAATCGTGCGAACTCTTGAACTCGTTCTTGCGACAAAAATTGGCAAAGATTGTCCAGTTGAATGTTAAGGCTCAAGATTAGTCTCTTAACCACCGATTCCTCGACAGGCTCATCATTCAAGAAGTATTCTGACTTTTTCTTGTTACGGTGCATGACACGCGTCACCTTCGTTGTAAAGTTCTCGTCAACGTAGTCTGCTTCGGTACCATTGGAATCTCTTTTCAGCGTTGTTTCAATGACACTCTTAGATTCACCGCTCTTGATGAAATCCTCAACTTTTTTACTGCGCCCGATATACTCAGGTTTGCCGGCTAAGCCCAAACAGACGCCGCACACGAATGTGGATTTTCCTGACCCATTGGGTCCGATAATCATGTTAAGCGACGGAGACATACAAAACTCTGACATTGCATAAGTGACGAAATTTACCAATTTCAGTTTCACAATAGATCCAGCTTTGAATTGGGTCAGATCTTCTGCTGCAATCTTCAACCTCTTTGGCCGCCTGGTATCATGCTCATTGTTGTTTGAGCCATTCATGACGATAGTTCCACTCACAGTGTGCTGTCAGACGCAGCTAACCACTGCTTATCAGCAATAAGATGGAATGGTCAGTAGGGTGAACTCAAATGTCTTACCTGTCGCGATGAGCAAGAAACGCCAAAAGTTTTGAGATATCGCCATATTTAGTACATAGTGATAAATAGATTAATTACGAAGCTTTAAGAAAAAGCTTATTTGAACTCATCTGCTCATCATCGTCAATTAAGATCGTAGAGCGACAACTGAGTCTCTACATCATTTGGCAAAGTGGGCTTTAAACAGCTTCATGTCAAGAAGCACTAGACTTAGAGCTCGAACGATCGCTTCCGATACTAATCGTGCTGCGAGAAATGCTAAAGACTCGGACGAGCTAGATACATATGGATTGGTGGAAGAAAACGGCGGTCGTCCGTTTCAGCTGATCGAAGGCCTTTCTTCTTCTGTCGGACTTCCACAGTACAAGGCTACGCTAACGCACCCGCTTTCAGTTAGAGACTCGGCGGTTCTGTATAGTTCTATGCTAAGCTCTCGCAGAACTTGGATTAGCTCCGAAATGTTTGATATGTTGTGGTCCAAGCAATTTTTGAGTCCGAGCGAAAAAGAACGGCTTGAGCAAGAAGGGCTTGATCCAGAAAGTGTAGACGCCAGTGCTGCACGGGAGAAAATGCACAAGTTATGTGACTGCGTAATGTTTGGAGGTCCGCACGCCTTTTCTGTACGGCTCTTCATTGTGAAGAACGAGGAAACCGAGAACAAATGGAACGAAGCCATCGAGCAAAAGAAGCGTAGTAAAGAGGATCGCAAGAAGCGGGAGTTGGAAGACAAGAAAAAGAAGCAAGAAGAGCGGAAACAACAGCAGTGGGTCAAGAAGCAAGGAAAGGATCAGCAGCAACCACTACAACTCAAATCATCCGTGAGTACTACTGGAGCAGGCTCTGGTTCTGCTTCTTCCGCTGGTAATGTGCATTCAGAAACTAAAAAACAACCTGTTAAGCGTAGGCCACGTAAAGAAGAAACTCCGCAACCTAGCAAAGCAAAGGCACAAACTTTACAAAACAAAAAACCTTTACCCCAGTCCACAGAAGATCAAAAGATGATCACAAACTTGAATCTGATGGCCCAAAAAAATCAAGAACTGAACTCTCTGATGATCATTGTCGCGGGGGGACGATCAACCTCAGAACAAGTAGAAGAATTTAAAAAATACATTGAGAAAGCAAGAAAGATGCCCACACCACCGGGCTGGAAGCCTACCACACCTGCAGCTTCTACAACAACTCCTGCTCAAAAGAGCTCCGAGCCAAACATTACAGAGAGAAAAATCGCGGATAAGAGTCGACCCATTATACCGCCTGAGCTGCCTACATCTCGATTACCGGATGCTTCGCTAGTGAAACTTGAAGACCCTTCTAAAGTTGCACGAGACGTCTCCTCAACTAATTCTACCTCCGAACCTAGGCAAAAACGGAAGTACACGAAGAGGAAAAACGTCGAAAATCCACCGGAGCCCGAAGACAAGTCTATGCAATTGACCACTTTTCAGCAAAAATACATGCACAATGCCGATATAGTTTTTGAATACGTCGAAAACCCAAACAAGAGATTTAGTTTTCCAAAAGACGCAATCTTAGAGCTTTTGGAAGACGGTGAATCTTACATTATGTCGTGGATTATTATTCATAATCGGAAGGAAGTCGAGAAATATAAAGAGAAAAGATGCAGAAACCTAAAGAAGACGACAAAAGGTGAAAGCGACGGTCAGGAGAGCTCCGAAGTCGCAGACGAGGAATACGATGTCTTTGAGGATTTACAATCCCCTGCTCCGCTATACACAACAATGACTGTGAAGCTTACCAACATACACAGAAAATTTCAAACAATTATGATTAACTCTGTTAACCCAGCTGATAAAGTGCGCAAGCGTATGTCAAATATTCTGGAACGCGGAACAAGACTTACAGGCTACAATTTATGGTTTCAGCTGGATGCATATGATGATAGTGATCTGGCAGAATCTCTGCGCAGTGAGCTGAAAGACTATGAAGCGGGCTTCAGAAGCAAGCGACAGCGCAAACAGTTCTGAAATATTTTTATAGTACATGTCAGAAAAGAAATGGAGCATGACTAAATCTGAACGAAAGTAAATGCGTGTTTGTTTATATTTTTTGATTATCGCGGCTTTTAAACCAGCGTCTCTGGCGTTTACATAGAGTACTGCAGCTGAACTCCAAACTTTGATGGTCTAAAGAAACTCGCACTCTTCGGCTCCTCGACAAGATTTGATGGAAGATCGAGTGGGCCGTTCGTGAGTTCGGTACCAGCAGAAATCAGAAACCCTTTGTACTTTCCCTCCCATAGAACTTTTAGATTTTTGTCCCTCAAACTTGTGCTGAGCCTCCAAACACTTGTGAAGTTGGCATCTATCAACGAGTTTTCAAATTTTTGGATGATCGACCTTTCTTTATTGATTTTATGCAATGATGAAGCGAAGGTTACGTTCAGGTCATCCAACAGCTTTTGAGAATTCAAGGACCCTGCCATCAAGTGATAAAACATGGGACTATCCTCTGCGTACTTTGAGTTACGTGTTGAAGCAGCTTCTGAAAGGTCTTCGTGAGCTTTGAGTTTAGATTTTTTATTACCACTCCTCCAGAGGTCGCAGCCAAACGAAAGATTGGACTCTATCGAGTACAGATTGAAATCATACTTTGAGCTAATAGTCGCGCCTGATGAGGCCTTAACAGAGTAAGTCGAGGAGACATGACCAAATAATGGATTCCACGACAAGGTTAGTGTCAATGGTTTTCCTGTATTCGCTGAGTGCGTGCAGTACCTGAGAGTTGTTGAACATGCTGGACTGGTATTCATCAGCCCAAACCATAGTTCACCACCTATTGACAGTGATGAGTTATTGTAGAGCGAGCTGTTCAGCTTAGACTGGCTGCCAATAAAGTTGTGCAATACACGGTAGCCAACGAGGCCTTCATTTGACGATGCTATCCACTCCTGACAATTTTGGCCGGAGTCCTTTTGCCAATACAAAGTCAAAACACTCGTATGTGCCAAGCTGCTGAGGCATTTAGCGACAAATTGGGTTTCAGGGCTCAATCTTTTGGCGACCATTGCTTCTAAAGTAGAGGTTGGGTAGTACATACGTCCGTACCATAAACTTGACGGTTCGAACTCCTTTTTGGAGTCACGATGCCGGTACAGCGGCCTGATTTGTCGATATGTTTCTGACGCATCTTGTAGTTGTATGTCGCGGGAATTGCTAATGTAATTCTCCAAACCTTTGCAATTGGTGTAAAGATATGCTAGAGATCCATTGATGAGTTTATTATTCGACAGTTCGAACGTTGAGTACGTGTTTGGTGTTGATTTGTTTGAAACTTGGCATTTAAGACCTGCAGGAACATCAAAATTTAGTAAATTCTCAGAGGTTGCAGTAATGTTTTCGTAGCTATTGTCTCGGCTCCATCCTGTGCATAGTTCAAAAGATCGTAGCACTTGCTCCATGTACTCGATCATGAGGCAGAATTGACATTTTCTTTAGAAGATGCCTGCTTTAATTATTTGATATAATTTAATAAGATTGAAAGTCCTACCTTCAAACGCTCTACGAAAAACGTGTCGATAAATCACAATTGGAGCGCCCAAGACCCCATTGCTGGCTCTTGCAGGCTTTTGTAATGGACCAGGTACACGAATTGAGTAATACACCGAGCCCAGGTTCTACCGACCTGGCCACAAAACAAAATTTGGAAGCCATTATAAGCGAGCATGGTTTTCCGGTGGTCAAAATAGAGGAGTATCATGAATCTGCAGATGAGACGCCAGTCAAAACGCGCAGAAGAACGGCCAAACCTGGCAACAAACCTAGCACGCCGCACACACTCAGCGCCGGTGGAGGCACGCAAAGTGGGAGCACTCGTCGTCGACGTTCTAGTAGCCGCACTTCGAGTAAAAATTTGAAGAGCACCACAGACATTTCGCCTGCTTCAATGATATTCCGGAATTTGTTGATCCTCGAGGATGGCCTGAGACGACAAGCGCGAAAGCAGAAAATTTTGAAATGGCAATTCACACTGTTCTTGTCTCTGCTGATAGGAATCGCGGCTTCTGTATTCTACGAGCTGTACTTCTCGCAGGAGACGGTGCGCGGAGTTTACAAAGTGGCGCTTCAATTTATTCTAATATTCATATTGGTCACAGTGGTATTGTTTCACTTGAGCGGCGAATACCGCCGTACCATAGTGATTCCTCGCAAATTCTTCACCTCCACAAACAAGGGTATACGACAGTTCAACGTTAAGCTGGTAAAAGTGCGAAACACGATCCCGGACTTGAGCATTGATCTAGTACGATGGATGTGCCGAAAAGCTGCCCTCGTGAACTTGGCCATGTCACGGAAGATCTTGCCTTCGAGAATGGTCGAGAAAAGCTGGACGTCGCGTTTCTGGAACTCTGTGGCACTGCGGTCTCAGCCGCGAATCGGCGCTATAGACGTAAAGATTGTGTTAAACCCTAGAGCTTTCAGCGCCGAGATTCGCGAAGGGTGGGAAATCTACAGAGACGAATTTTGGGCTAGAGAGGGAGCTCGTAGACGTAAGCAAGTAAATGACCTGAGTCCCTAGCTTTTGATTTCGTGATGTGCGAACAGATGCTGGAAAGGCGAATCAAACAATGTTCTTGATACGCTAAAATCAACTTCCGAATTAATAAAACTATATAAACGATAACGACCAAACTCTGACGATACATCTGCGGCCTCGGAGACTGGAGGAAAGCTTGCATATATCGATACATCTGGTATCGCATTTGAACTTCACCAACCTTTCTTTCAAATTACCCGCACTCGGAGATTTTGAACAACTTAGCTGGTCGAAAGCCCCTTTAGCATGAGCTTATTTCAACAACAAGTGGAAAACAAAACAGCAGGCGAGGAAAACTGAGCCCAAGATGATGCGAGGTTTCAAGCAAAAGGTCAGTTTTAATGTGATACATGCCAAAATTTTGAAAACGAGGACTTTTTACTAACAAGAATGTCGAAATAAAGCTGATTAAAAAAACCACTGGATCGAGTTCATCTGGAGGTAAGAAGAAGGACAAAGAAGAGACAAAGAAGGGCTCTTCGACATCCCATGGTGCCTCTAGTAGCGGCAACAATGTGGCAGCCAATCCCAAAGATGCAAGCGATAAAAAAACCGCGAGTCCCGGCTCTATTCCCAGCAATTCCAAACACTCTAAAGCCAGAGTGAGCGCGACATCGGGCAACGGTTCAAGTTCTGGTACCAGGACAGGTTCTTCCACTTCAAGCACTACACATCCAGAGGGTTCAAACACACCATCAACAAGCCAGAAAAAATTGGAAGTCATGGGAAATATCAACCAACCGTCAAAATCATCGCAACCTACGTTGATCGCCGCAGCATCCTTACCTCCATCTCCGAACGCGGCGAATGTCTCACTGGCCGTACCGGGTAGTGGAATAAGCTCGGCGTCTCACAAGGATAGCGCAATGTCCAACGGCATCGATATTCCTCGCTCTTCGCACTCATTTGAGCGTTTGCCAAACCCATCAAAATTGAATCCCGAGGCAGATCTGGACCTTATTAAAACCCCACAAAGACACTCATCGTCAAGATTCGAGCCCTCACGCTACACACAACTGACAAAACTCCCACATTTTGACGATGTCTCACCAGAGGAACAAATTTCACTCTTCATAGCTAAGGTTGACCAATGCAACACCATTTTTGATTTTGGTGACCCTAGTTTCGACATACAGGGTAAAGAGATTAAGCGTGTGACTTTACAGGAATTGATCGAATTTGTCGTCACCAACAGGTTTGCTTACACGGAGGAAATGTACGCACATGTGGTAAACATGTTTAAGAACAACTTATTCAGGCCTATTCCTCCACCCGTGAATCCTGTGGGGGACGTTTTTGACCCTGATGAAGACGAGCCTGTCAATGAGCTTGCATGGCCACATATGCAATGCGTTTACGAATTTTTTTTAAGGTTTGTCGAAAGTCCGGACTTTAACCATCAAATCGCCAAGCAGTACATTGATCAGGACTTTATCCTGAGGTTGCTAGAACTGTTTGACAGCGAAGATATAAGGGAGAGAGACTGTCTCAAGACTACTCTGCACAGAATATACGGCAAATTTTTGAGTTTGAGAAGCTTTATACGTCGCTCCATCAACAACATTTTCCTGCAGTTTGTTTACGAGACTGAGAGATTTAATGGTATTGCTGAACTACTTGAAATCCTAGGATCAATCATTAACGGTTTTGCGCTTCCCTTGAAGGAAGAGCACAAGGTCTTTTTGGTTCGCGTTTTGATACCTTTGCACAAGGTCCGTTGTCTATCGCTATACCATCCACAGTTGGCATACTGTATTGTGCAATTTTTAGAAAAAGAACCTCTTTTGACTGAAGAAGTAGTCATGGGTCTGTTGAGGTACTGGCCTAAGATAAATTCGACAAAAGAAATAATGTTTCTCAACGAGATAGAAGATATCTTCGAAGTGATAGAACCATTAGAATTCATCAAAGTTGAGGTGCCTTTGTTTGTGCAGCTTGCCAAATGCATCTCATCCCCACATTTCCAAGTTTCTGAAAAGGTACTCAGTTATTGGAACAACGAGTATTTCCTAAACTTGTGCATTGAAAATGCCGAAGTTATTCTACCGATCATTTTCCCTGCTCTCTATGAGCTTACATCGCAACTGGATTTGGAGTCACAAGGTGACAAAGGCGGTAACCGTACGTCCGATCCTTACGTGTTAGTTGAGCAGGCCATAAGCTCTGGGTCTTGGAACCGTGCCATCCACGCCATGGCTTTCAAAGCCTTGAAAATTTTCTTGGAAACAAACCCAGTGCTATACGATAATTGCAACTCCCTGTACCTGACCAGCGTTAAAGAAACTCAAAAACGTAAAGTCGAACGGGACGAAAACTGGCACAAACTAGAAGCATTTGTCAACAATTTTAAGATTAGTGGCGCGGCTGGCGTTGACAATACTAAAGATACCCACTAATTGTTCTCGCGTTCTCTCGTTGACCAAAATTCTACAGTATCATCGAAGCATTCTTTCCCAGCATTATGGACGGAACAGCAGCAGTGTCAACTGCCACTCAAAAGGTGTCAATACCTACCAAATAGTCGTTGATCGGTCATTGGAAACATACATCGAACATTTCCACAGTGATTATTTCCCATGCAAGATGCGGTAAGTAAGAAAATGGTGCACATCTCATTCATAATAATGCATCCTGTTGGTCTCTTGGGCCAGGGACATAAAAGCCACAAGTTGTTCTTTCGTGACAGCATTCCCAGAATTCGTACGTAAGTATATAGAGCATGGCAATATTCAAGGGATAATAAAAGCGGCTAGAATATATTATTCAAGCTATGCAAACAATTAGCATTAGCTGTAGAAATATTTGCATCGTTTCCACAGAACTCATCGAGCTACTTGCGCAACGCTTTTTTCGAGAATGAACTTTTTGAGACCCTTTCAATTGCAGAAGAATGTCGCTGTTCAGTTTAGAAAGCTAATGACTTCACCCACAAAGTTTGGAAAACCCAGATTTGCATCCACGTTTTGCTCGCCCACAAAAGTTGGAAATGCCCGCTTCGTTTCCCCAAGTTTGATTGGGTTTGCTACTGCCACATCTTTGGCACTAATTCTGCCACAGCTTTCTAGCAAACACGCCATTCGTAACGATACAATCCTGGGCGTCAAACAGCGACACGATATGCTTCCAGAAGAGGTTGGTCTTCCTTCGCAACGTAAAAGTTCTTTAGGTCGCAAGCTAAACTACAGGCAATTGTGTTTGGGCTCGATCATTGGGCTTGTTGCCGGGGTCCTGGTAGGCAAAATTTCTACGGTGCTGGTCTTTGTAACTGCTTGTGGACTACTCGGTATTCAGTGGCTTGAAAACCGAGGACTGGTAGATAAGAAATCAACTATTGGGCTTTCCAAGTATATGATCAAAACGGGCAAAGATTCTGTGGATTTGAATACCTTGGTGTGGGAAAAACCTAGTTTCAAGGTTCCGTTCTTGTTGACCTTTGTCTTGGCCGCAATCAATATATGAGATGTGCATTGAGCATATTTGGGGGTTCAAACGGAAACGGCGACCAGAACGCACTCAATCAACAGCTTGACGGTATAAAATCAGCAGACCACGTGACTCGTCAAACTGTACTTTAGTAATTTAAATAATTCGGTACAACTCACTAACTCTATTCTAACCACTTTACAAATCAAATAACCAACACCTCTTCTAAATGTCGAGAATACACGTAGATACCTCGAGCTACCCTTTTAAATTCGAACCCTTTCTTCGACAAGAATACTCATTCTCGTTAGACCCGGACAGACCGGTTTGTGAATTTTACAACGCTAGAGAGGGACCCTCATCATGTCCAAATGGTAATTCGTGTCCGAACAAACACGTATTGCCAATTTTCCAGAATAAAATTGTCTGCAAGCATTGGCTGCGAGGCCTGTGCAAAAAGAATGATCAATGTGAATATCTACACGAGTACAACCTGCGCAAAATGCCAGAATGTGTCTTCTTTTCAAAAAACGGATACTGCACGCAGTCCCCAGAATGTCAGTATCTACACATAGACCCGAGTACAAAGATCCAGGAGTGTGAAGAATACAAGATGGGATTTTGCCCGGCAGGAGTCCAGTGCAAGAAAAGACATGTCAAAAAAACGATATGCCCTCGTTATATCACCGGATTCTGTCCCTTGGGCAGATCCGATTGTGATTTGGAGCATCCTCCGTTTGTGATTCCAAATGAATTGAGCAAGCTGAGAATAAAAAACGACGACGAGATAAACACCAAGAAACTGGACGAGGAGAAGGAAAGACGTTTGAATGCTATCATCAATGGTGAGATCTTTGCCTGAGGAGGGGTGGCGCTGGGAGCTGGGACGCGGAACCCACGATCGCGACTGAAATAAGACACTGTATCTATCTGTTCACGAAAGGGCATTTCTCTCATTTCTCTCAACCCGCCAAAGAGCTTCCGATAGACAGCGAGTAAAGAACGAAAGCCAGTCTCGAATCGCGCTACGCGTGTATCGCTTGGTCCGCTGGCCATGAAATATATATCGGATAGGATTACGTACGCAGGCTCGAAAATTAATGCCTTGCACGGTTGTATAAGTTTTTCGGTTCCTGAAAGGGGCAGAGATGGCCGGTGGCCGGGGTGTAGAAGCTATTGAGTGACACGTCCGGTGATCCCGGACAGCGCAAGCGTCTGGTTCCGCGAAGATCCAGCTCCTCGTCCAGAGTGACCTCCCAGCCCGTGCGCCGAATGTTTATGCCTCCATGGCCATTTCCAATGCTCCCACATCTGCTCCCCGTCTGCTTCCCAGCCCTCAGCCCTGGCCAAGAATCCGTCTCTCTCTCTCCCTCTCCCAGCTCTATCTCATCGGACCGTTCGCGATATCTCGAATGCCACTACGTCAGCAACGACCTGCTTGCTCTCTGCATGCACATTTTTTTCTCTGTCCTGTGTAGAACGAATTCCATGGAACTACGTAATTGCGTTCGCCGCATGGGAGAAGAAGAGAAAAAAAAGAGATGGGAGGGAGACGCGGGTCACCATGGACGGGAGGACCGTGCGGAACTGCGCAAAACATTGCCGTTATGGGCCCCGCACGCAATGGGCGAGGGTGCGATGGTGGCCAGTTGCTAGTCGCTAGAGCCGCTTCGTATTCACAGCCCTCGTGCGGTCCCGCCTTCTTCGGCACTGCTGGGGAAATTGTATATCTTTTTTTTTGGGATGACGTTTCGTGCAGAGTGACCAGTCCGTATTTCGCCAATCTACAAAATTGGAACGGTCCCGGGGCGCACACAGGTGCGCGAGCATGCCTCTTCTCTGGCACCTCTACAACATTGCTCGAACGCTCGTCGAATGGCCCAGCTCCCGCATCGTTCTGTACTTGCTTGTCGCTTTTCCCGTATTGGGCATAGCAAAAAAAAAAATAAAAAAAAAGAATATATATAAATTATGCTTAATCGACCGCCCCTATTTTTTTCCCAAGCCGTCAGGGGTATATAAAGGGACGCGGAGCGAGAAAAAAGACCTCTATCACGAAGACCTGTTTTCCGAAAAAAGAGAGGGTCCAAGAAACACCAAAACACATCAGACACACGACATGCACAGAACTTACTCGTTGAGAAACTCGCGGGCGCCCACTGCGGCGCAGATCCAAAGCCCAGCGCCTCCTCCTTCGTCGACGAAAAACCGGTTTTTCGGGAAAGGCGGTTTGGCCAACTCGCTACGCAAAAACACCGCTGGTGCTTTCGGACCTGAGTTGTCGCGCAAGTTGTCGCAACTGGTCAAAATCGAGAAAAACGTGCTGCGCTCGATCGAGGTCGCTGCGAACGAAAGACGTGACGCCGCCCGCCAACTCTCGGTGTGGGGGCTGGAAAACGACGACGACGTGTCCGACATCACCGACAAGCTGGGTGTGCTCATCTACGAGATGAGTGAGCTGGACGACCAGTTCATCGACCGTTACGACCAGTACCGTCTCACCGTCAAGTCTATCCGCGACATCGAGGGCTCTGTCCAGCCTTCGCGCGACCGCAAGGCCAAGATCACCGACAAAATCGCCTACCTCAAGTACAAGGACCCAGCTTCCACCAAGATCGAGATTCTTGAGCAGGAGCTTGTGCGCGCCGAAGCCGAGTCTTTGGTCGCCGAAGCCCAGCTTTCAAACATCACGCGTTCCAAGCTGCGTGCCGCCTTCAACTACCAGTTCGACTCCGTTGTCGAGCATTCTGAGAAGCTCGCCCTCATTGCCGGATACGGTAAGGCCCTATTGGAGCTATTGGACGACTCTCCAGTGACTCCAGGTGAAACCCGTCCTGCCTACGATGGTTACGAGGCTTCCAAGCAAATTATCATTGACGCCGAGACCGCTCTTAACGAGTGGACTTTGGACTCTGCCCAAGTCAAGCCTAGCTTGTCTTTGAGACACGCCGACTACGACTACGAAGATGAAGAAGAAGAAGAGCACGACGTTGAAGAGCCACATCACACTGGTGAGCAACAATGGGTTGACGATGAACCTGTTCATGCCACTGCTTAAGCTTCCAGTGATGAAGGGCGGGCTTGCGTGGCAGGAAACCAGCAAAAAAACCCAAATAGATTGAAATTTGACCCATTTTTCAAACATAAAAACCCCCCAAAAAAAAAAAAAAAAAAAACTACATGAGGAATCAGGACTTTAACAGACTCTAAACCGAACCCTTATCAAAGAAGCATGCTACTTATCGCATAATCTTCTTTAAAGTGTAATTAATATTTTTAAAACAACTGAATTTAATTTGTGCCGAGAAAATTGGCTACGCGCTACGACAACCTTTGAAGTATCAGATATACACGCGGCAATTGCGCATATTACGTATCTTCAACGCCAGTAGATATATATAATTTCGCGTTCTTTCGAATTGTCATTCCACCCTCAACAAGCTCACTTATGCAAGGGCAATTGAATTTTGGTCGGCGTGAGGAATTTATCTTGATTACAATTGTGCCGAGCTATCACGTTTAGCTAGCTCACTCGCCTTGAACCGGAGCGCATTCGGCTCTGACTACTGTTAGCTCGCACTCATTTGCCTTTCAAACTTGTTCATCGTAAGAGCATTGTAACTTGTGGGTAACCATTTCTACTGCCAGATTGTTGGTATTCAAAAATGGTTCATGAGGCTTACTCGTGTTCTGACTTCTACGTTACCCATTGTGCAGCCAACAAGCTACCATCGACATGAAGCTAAGCAGAGCTTGGTTGCGTCTTGCAACGTTCAAAGATATTACTTTGTCCTTGATTCAATCTTGAGTTTTCTACTTGACGAATTGATAAATCTGGCAGAATAATTAATTAGATTTATTTTCAGTTTTCAATAGGAAAAACCGGTAAATAAATCCCGTATTGTGGGCTCACAATTGATCCTTGGATCTCAATTCTTCATGCTCCCCACGGATTCCCAGACTCTTGACACTAGGCTGTCTACGAATTTGGCCAAGTACCATACCGTACTATCCAAAATTTCGACTGTATCGCAGCTGGCAAAGTTACAAGCTGTGATCTCGAATGAGCATTCAACGACACTAAAATCATTGGACGATTACGTCCAACCTTCCCATACATCTATAAACCAAAACGTGCGTGCATTGGAACTCCAAAGAACCAAACTAACTCAGACGCTATCCAAGTTACATCATGCTTTGGAAGATATATCCATCTCCAGAGACCTGGCCCAACAAATTTCATCACGTATCAGATCAGTTGACAATGAGCGTCAGCGTGTGGCGCAAACCCTTCAGTTTGTGAGCCACGTCCAGATCTTGAAAAACAACATCTCCATGGCTCATGGTGCCATCGAGCGCTCGGATTATAAGCTTGCAGCCACTAGTATAGATGCGATATTAAAGCTCCCACCTACCATTATATCTTCCCGTTTCGCGAATAAAGTTGTGCCTTCCGCGGAAATTCCAGAAGACCCCCTTGTGCTTGTGGAACAATGGACCAATCAGCTCTCAAAAGCTTTCCAGGAGAAATTCGAGAGCGCAGCTCGCAATCAAGATGTCAGCAGTTTAACCTCGATTTTCCAGCTGTTTCCTTTGATTCAGAAGTCTAACTTAGGCCTCGATCTTTATTCCAGGTATGTCTGTGATATCATCGCCACGCAGAGTCGTAAACTCATGACCGGCGCAGCTCCTGATAACACAACATTCTACGCCAGAGCGCTACTGCACCTTTTCAAAATAGTATCAACTATCATCAACGAACATTCTAAGATAATTACAGAGTGTTATGGTAAGGAGCACATGGTACATATCATGACTAAGGTTCAACGTGAGGCCGACATGCAAGCAGGGCTTGTTCTAGATAGCTTTCTGGAAACCAGAAAGGTTGAAGAGGTCATACAGTCCATACAAAAGTTCGAGAAACTTTCATCGTCCCCAGATGAACCTGTTATTGAACCTCCTGCAGTGGGAAGAGTTTCAAACATAATAAACGAATACTCTATGATACTGCAAAACTGGTCTATGTACTGTAGGTTTTTTGCACTAAAATGGTACGAATTTGGTGGGGAAAGAGTGAATGAGGGAGAGTTTCAATTACCAGCTCCCATCTTCAAAGGCAATTTTTACTCGAAGATCCATAATTCAGGATTCTTGAGTAGTTTTCAGGCATTAGTGAGATACTACTTGTCTGCGTCTTTCACGAAAACAATTAGCCTCGAGTCCTTACCTTCCCTCAACCAGTATTTGACTAAGAAACCCTATAAACATGACGACGTATCCAGTTATGCATTTTCGTCAATTGTGGAGGACCTTACGCTAATAATAAGGAACTGCCTTATTGTAAATGTCAATACTGGTCAGAGTCAACTGCTGGGGCAGTTCCTGGATTTTCTGGCTCGTTTTCTGCAGAATGAGTATCTGATCAAATTTCTACAGCATAATTTGCGCCAATTACAGCCACGTTTGACCAGTAATATCATTCTGAAAAAACACGTACCTCCGATTGATTCAAATACTGCCTCGCGGGCGGCTTCTCCAGGTGTAGCAGATCCTTCGAAACTGTCAAATTTGAGATTCAATTTTAAAGGGGCTGCGTCAAGTGCCCTTTCCAATATTCAATCCAATATTCAAGCCGTTTATGCAGACGAGGAATCCGTACTCAAATTGCATGAGTATCTCATTTACGTCAATACTTTGAGTATTGGAGGTGTCTTTCTGCAAAAACTACTTTCTAAAGAACTTTTGCAAGACCGGCCCCAACTTCTAAACGACAATTTTCCCTTCAGCCGTGAAGCCCAAGTGTTGAGAGAAAAAATCGAAGCCACCGAACAAAATCTGCTAGCCCAAAACAACAAGCTTCTACAGTGGGCAGTGAAACAATTGTTCGAAAACTTATTACAACCCAGAATCCGGAAAATGCTGGGTGCTCTGTTTGTGCAGGGCCCGACAAACGAGTACTTTTCTAGTGCTGTAGATTTCGAGGATATGTCGCATTTGCACCAATTTTCAACCGACTGGACTGAATTCATGATGCCGTATGTCAACGTTTTGTACAAGTCATGTTATGCCCAGCTATTGAGTTGTATTGTAGATTTCATGGTTGCGCACATATCTTCACGAATCTGGTCACTTCAGGTGAATGAGCTTGGTTCCATCAAGCTTGACCGCGAGCTAAGTTCGCTCATAGCCCTTGTTTGCGACGATCAATACGTGCTACGTGAGAAGTTTATCAAACTCACCCAAATTGTGCTTATTGCTGGATTTGAGGACGATGACTTTGATCCGACCACTAAAGACCTTAAACGCGAAATTGTCGACAGCATAAACTGGGTTCTCACTCCAGCAGAAAGGATACGGGCTGGAGAGCTTAGAATCGATAAGCGCCGTTGAGAGCCTACCTCCTTCGTGCCATCATGGGCATGGTGCGCTGTCGTGGATTTGCGCTAGACGCCACTGATCTTCTATTGGAGCAGGTAGTTATCTCACTGCAGGAATTTATTCACAACAATATTTGTTGACAACACATAAGTACCTGTAGATTAGCCGCCGATACTCAATTAAATAGAGCAAAACGAAATTTGATCTAAAAGGAGAAGCCATCTTAATAACCGAAGTACTACCAAGATCATTTCGAAAGTCTTGATTCAAGAATAAGATGTTAGTGAATCATCCACGTCTTGAAATTAGTTTACTCAAATCCACTTGTAATTACCGCCTAAAACTTTCGTGTTCAACGATTACATATTAGAAAAATTCGATTGATGAGATATTCAGTTTATTGTATGTAAAAACAAAAACAATATCACAGAAGCTAGCTTTTAGGCTTCTAGTCGTGCAAGACTGAGTTGCAGGCCGAGCCAGAACTTTGACAAGCAAGTATTGTCATTTTTTGTTGGTTTCCGGTGTTTCCGCCATCATCTTACCCCTCACGACAACCTTCTTTATAAGGCTGCATAAATTGACGATAGCACCATTGTGAAGCCGGACAATTCCTGGATTTGAAGATAGAAATCCGGCCAGTAAAGAAGCTGAAAAAGGCCAAGATTCAGCTGATTAGCATTTTTGGCGAGCCCTATAAACATGGAATCTCCTGTTGATGCTACTGCTAGAGCTGTTGCGACCTCTACACATTCGGATCCAATAAGTCCAGCGTCTGACCATACATCGGATGCAGACCATCAACTGGAGCAACTCCCGCAAGAGCTGACACAGCACCTGACAGAAAGTTTAGCTGAGCAACCATCCCAAGGAAGCTCGCCGTCTGGGAGTCCATATAACGCGGAACAGAACGCCGAAGACTCGAGAAACTTAATTGATGATCCCGATTTAAAGCTGGACATGCAGGAGACCTTGGACCACGAGAACTTTTCCAAGTTGTTAGAACTGGATTCTAAGAACGACGATGATCTGTTCTCGTCTGCGGATTTATTAGATCACGAAATTCATGAGGACCTAGGTAAACTAGTTCAGGACACTACAAATGCCTTGCAACAGTCGGAGCACACTCATTCACAACACGAAAGTCCAACAACGCGACAAGGCGTTGATGGAGACATTGAGCCAGAGGGGCTGGAGGATCAACAATATCGCCATAACCAACAAATGCAACAAGAAGTAGAACAAGAGCTGCAACAATCTAGATCTACTCCCTCACATTCCATGAACGACCTGAGTCTCGACAGCGGCCAAGATTCCTCGCCGCTACCTGGCGATCCATCGTCCATTAAAGAAAACATATACAATTCTGGTACATTATCAGCTGGTGCAGGCACACGAGAAGATACACCCGCATCAATTTTTGAATCAAGAGATGAGCACAATTTTATTGACACTGAAAAGGAAGAGCCGCTGTCGCCGTCCAAATTTCAACCCATGTCACTCCCGCCTGCACCTCTTCCAGAAAACGCAGTAAACAAACAACCTTTAGCTCAACCAAACGAAACCTCACAACTTCCGATGATTGAGTTCCATGACGGGGCTCTTAATGAGGCTGAGCAGTCCAAAATATCAGCATACGCGCGCTTAGATTTTCAGAGCTTTACATTTTACGTTCAGACCTTACAAGTCATAATTGGTCGTCGGTCGGAAAATGACTTTTCCCACAAAGTTGATGTCAACTTGGGACCGTCGAAATCAATTTCAAGAAGGCATGCTCAAATTTTCTATAATTTTGGAACTGGTCGATTCGAGTTATCAATAATGGGTAAAAATGGCGCCTTTGTGGATGACACTTTTGTCGAAAGAGGAATCACGGTACAACTGAAGAACAAAGCAAAAGTTCAGATTGGACAGATTCCTTTTCAGTTTGTTCTCCCGGAACAAGAAGGCAAAGAGAAAAAGCCAGTTTATCCTGCCGATGCCGATCCACTGAAAAGTGCTTTGAACAATAACAACAAGTTAACTGAGATTTCGAGAAGCTCTACTCCTGTTCCTCTCGACGTCGGTGAAAGCTTAAATCCTATTTTAGAAGAATCAAAAGTACTGTCATCGAAAAAAAAGACTCCTCCAAAAAAGAAGGATAAGAAGGAGCCGAAGCCTCCGAAACCAGCGAAAAAGGTTTATACTTTGGAAGAGATCCCACTAGAGTATAGAACCAAACCTGCTGGCTCATATTCCAATCTCATAACCTCATGTCTTCGGAAGTATTCAAGCCCTAAAGGAATGTCTTTATCCGGGATCTACGCAGGAATAAGAGAGTTATTCCCGTACTACAAGTATTGCCCAGACGGCTGGCAAAGCTCCGTTAGGCACAATTTATCCCTTAATAAGTCCTTCAGAAAGGTATCAAAAGAAGGTAAAGGTTGGTTATGGGGACTCAACGAAGAATACATTGCAGAGAGGGAAAAGCAGAAAAAGAAGCAAGCGGAAGCTGCTGCGATGAAGGCTAAGGCAGCTCAGTTGAAGCTTGAGCAACAACAAGAGCAAAAGGCAAAGAAAGCAGCGTCTATAGGAGAACCGGTATCTGCAGTAAAATCGATATCAACTGTCCCAATGATGAGACCCAAACCCAGACAGCCCAATATTTCGCAAACCCTGGCGGCAAATAGAGCGGATAGAAAAGCAACGGCGGACGGAAATCAAAGGACAATGAAATACCTTCAAGAACAACTAATGATTCTCACTAAAGACCGCAAGGGTTTAGACAAGCACGTCATGGCTAGCATATTAACGCAAGCGCTTGCAATGACTATAAATCAGGTCACGCAGGCCGCTAAAACGAAAGGTATTACTGGCAATCCGTTAACCGCTTTGATCGACAAGAACCCTCAGCATTTGAACTTGATTTTAGCAGCTGCAGTTAATGCAGCAACTGTCAAGGTAACTAATGGCTCCGTAAAGCAGCTTGTATCCATGCCACCACCAACTGCTTCACCAGCTACTGGACATAGCAATCCACCTGTGAATTCAAGCAGTATTTTATCAACATCGAACTCACCTTCTCATTTCACGCCGCCAGCTTCTCTCCTCAATAAATCCTCAGACTCATTCGACCCCAGTTCTCTTTCTAAATTTTTTCAACCAAAACAACCGCCACGAATTGCAACTCCAAATCCAACTAAGAGCGTGGTGCCTTTAAAACGGCCTTCAAGTGAGACTGAATCCAGTTCAGAGGACGATTCAGGCAGTGAGGATGATAGCGATAGCGATGGAAGTGATGACAGTGATTCCTCGGATGGCTCAGGCAACGAGGAAAGCAGCAGTGGTAAAGAGTCGTCCAGCGATAATGGCAGTAGTGAAGGCGAGTAGTCGTCTTATGTAATGGCAACGTATGTGTATGCTCGTGGTGTAACAATATGATAATAGATTCTCTGCATGATAGTTACTGTGACGTGCACTTAGTTGTATTGACGATTATGTACTTTACCTTCGGAAGCAAAAGCTCAACCAATGACATTATTGAAAGACCCTTCTTTTTCTTTGATCTCCCAAAATAGCGTATCGATATTATGGTTGCCGTGATAGACCCAGCCTTGTTCTGTTACGTGAAAGAGGTTAACGGAACCACCTGAGTAGGCGTCTCTATGCGCTGCGGCCAATATCGACCGTTTCCCTAGATATAGGGCATCTTCTACCGATAGATCCCATTTGTAGTTTGAGTCTAGAACACCGTATGCGAAAGTTTGACCAGATCCTACACAAAACAGATCGCCCTTGAGTCTGGTACCGTCAGAATCCACGTAATAAATTGTGGGACCCTCCTTCTTGGTATAGCCGCAAATCATTGTTCCCATAGAAAGGCCAGCCCCCTTGTATTCGTACACCAGATTGCTTAAAATCTTTGAGGCGGCTGCTACAGAAACTCGTTCTTTTTCCTTTAGTTCGTGAAGTCTGCATTGTGTTCCAAGCCAAGTCTCCCAAAACTGACAATCGGCTGCACCACCTGCCATTGTTCCTAGCAGAAAGGGGTTGATCTCGATCACTTTTTTTACCGTTTGAGACGCTATCCATGAACCAGCGGTTGCACGCGAATCGACAGCAACTATGATACCACCCTGGAATCTAAAAGCTAAAGTAGTGGTACCGTGAGCGATCTTAATTTTGCAGTCTGGGTTCTGGGAATCATCTGTATGCGCTCTGAGAAATGCCTGGGGCGACGATATAGGGGGCATTGCGATTTGAGGCGCTAGTCGCTGGAAAAGCGCGTTACCATTAACAAAATCATTGTTTAAACCTTCCTCATTATCGTATTGTAGTTCGGTTGCCAGCGCGCTCTGCTGCGAGTATTTATCGGCAATAGCTTGCATTTTGCTTGTGGGTAAGTTGCGTTCGCTCAATCGCTCACAGTTTTGTTGCACCTATTGATATTTTTGCTTAATATTGTTTAACTTTACATGTTCAATAAAGTAAGAATTGGTTTGCCACCTTAATTATCAATGTCTATCGTTGTTAGCGATAATCTGATTTCAGATATGATTTAGCATCAGAGGTTCAAACTAAATAAAACAGCCGGCGGATTAGATAGTTGGGAAGTTTGTTCTGGGATTAGCTCTGATTAAGGTCAATTAGAGGCAATAGTTGTCTAGACAAAATTTGGAGTGGGGTGTTGGAAAATCGGATTAGGTCTCATATGGGACGAGGGCGTTGGCCTCAATCGAATCGGGTGTATGGGCAATTCTCTCTATCTGTCAGGGGTTCGGTGGCTGTTTTTATTACGGGAATGAAAACTTATATGGTCGTGGAGAATTTGGAGGGCGACATGATGGAACAAAGTGATTTGCGTAGACGTGGTTTATTTTTGGGAGTATAAGTTGGCATGGTAAGATGCAGGGTAAGGAATGCTGGTGCCGTGTTTTCAGATTTCGATTTTCGTTGCACTTTTGTGCGTACATATTGATTTTCAGGATTTTACTGTAATATCCTTTCACACATATATATGGTAAACGCCTTGTACCCACTCTTGGTATATATTGTGGAAGAATTGGCATCGCCCATAAAGCAGTCAGTAGCTATTTAGCAGACAAATTTGGTGCGTAACAAAGTACGGGCCGAAGGTCCTTATAGCGACAATATGTACGCACAAGAGCTGTTTTATCTATGAATATCATTCGAATGAATTGTTTTTCTTATTGTAGAGCTTGAAGTTGGTTCTTATACGCCAGAGAGATGGGGTTGGAATGCACCATGATACAGCTGTTTATTGGGCCAATTCGTCTGAAAAGAAAACGTCTCCTCAAATTCTAACCAGGGTATATACAAGTTGGTAGCTTCGATTCCACCTTCGATCGTCACTGATTAGTGTACACAGCCACACTGAGACTTTTACTTATCCAAGAGTGCAAGTACATTTTTAGACACGATTAAGTGGCATTCCTTGTGTGCCATTGCAAGAATCCGCAAAATTGCAGAAAACAATGAAGAGCCCTCTCTATTGTCTCAAATGCAACTCTTACATTCCAAAAACATCTCTTCCTAAAACACTGGTGGCCGAATGTGTAGCTCCTTTTACACTACTTGGTCTGTACTGACAAGCATGCTTCTTTGATCTCTTATCCCGTCCAATGCTAATTTCGTGCCAAAATACTAAATAGTGATAAACGATACAAATACCGAAAAAAAAAAGAACTACTCAAAACAGTTCTGCACGGTACATAGCTTGTCGGCAGATTACTCCCCGTTGAGCTCACCACATGGTTTGAGTCCCTGTTGCTTGTCAGGCCTCTGAAAACACTGTTATATCATATGCTGTAATATTCTGTTTTCATATTTCTTCCAACTCTCTTTTTAAAGCTGAAACTTGACCTGGATCAAATCTCGGTAATGACAAGCTGGTACAAAGTGACAAAAGCTCTGGGACACTTGCCTAGGGTAGCCACCCAGAGCATCAATAAAAAGGCATCGACCAGAGATCGTGTTGAGATTCACCGCACCTCCTTGTCACTGTGCCCAGAAATAAGGCTGGTACAATGAAAATCTATTCTAGAACATTTTCAGACCTTGTCGACTGATATTATTTTGCAAAGAATCATAGCCCACTCTTTCTTTCGACACTAAACTCGGTCTTCGACGATTTATGTTGCCAAACTCGTAGTCAGTAATGTTTATATAAGTGACACAGTGTTGCTATTGACCCTACTGTCAACAACAGCTTCGAGCTCAAATTGAGTAACGGTGAACCAAAAAGAAGAAACCGCTTTCCTGGAACTGGCTGTCCAAATCCCGAGTTGCGAAACTTGATTTTTTGTTACTTCCCTCCCATCTCGTTTTATTGTGATATCGAGCTCCTCGCTGTCAATGCCTGTTTGGGAAAAAATGATCTCTCATCTTTTCACAGTCAAACCCCTCATTTCTCTTGTCTGCCACCACTATCATCTGAATACTCACTCCCAACTTTGTATTTCATCTTGTGTTTCCTTCCTACAACCTCTACCCGACTTACACACTACGTTTTGCTCGCCCAGTATCATCTTCAAACGCGCTCGCCTTTTGCAAATACCTTAACTCACACGCCTCACAGTTTTATCCTACCTTAGCATATTCTACACTACATAGTAGCTCTACTATCGCCCAAAACTTCTTATCCACTGTGACAACCCTGATTTCGAACCTCATCTCAACCTCTTGTTTCACGTCACATTATTCAAAACTGTTGCAACTCGAAACACCGCTAAAAATCCCGAAGACCAGACCAGGGTATTGAACACCCTCTAATCTGTTATCAGGTCCCTGTCCTCCGTCCTTTGCGCCTCACCTCAATCGGATTCGAACAAGTGTCTCAAGCTGGTCCAACTTGCCCCATGCGCCTCAACACCATCGCTATATCACTTTTTCCCAACTTTGGCTTTGTGTCACAATCAAACGTGTTGGAATTACCATATTGGGAATTTAAAGGGAGGGATCTATACCACAAAGATGGGCGGCTAGTGTAGGTATATAAAGCAAGGAGATTTCGCGAAGTTGGCGCCTTTGACGACTACAATTTCGCCAAAAGACATATCAGCGGAATAGAACGAGAAAACCTAGTTAGCCAGCCATCGTAGCGGCAGCGTGGGTATATAGTTTGTTGATTGGTACTAGTTTAAGTACATATCTGTATTTAGAACATTCTCTAACTTTGTTTGTGTGACTCGTTGAGTGACAGTCCCAGTAAGCGCACAGCGATTGAGATGGGTTATTTGGGCACAAAAGTGGCTAAAGCAGCAGCGACAAATGCGCCGCCTGACGTGGACAATCCTCCGTTCTACATTCCCGTTAGATCCATTGAAAACAGGTACGCCCTGATGCAGGAGCTCGGAAACGGCAGCTTTGGCTCCGTAACGCTGGCGAAAATGCTGGCAGGTGCCGATTGCCAAGGCTGTAGCGAAAACGCGTCGTCGGTCTCGCAAACACAAGCCCAACACGAAAACTGCGTGTCGCGTCCGCAGTACCGTAAAACGCTCATGGAAGACGCAGCGATTGCCAACGTGGATCAAGAAAACTTTCACAACAAGCAGCGTGGCGTGCTAGCCATCAAAACCATGATGACGCGTCTGCCGACTTTGAATGACTACACACGCGTTAGGGAGATCAAGTTCATACTGTCAATGCCTGCGCATAAAAACCTGGTGCAGATCTTCGAGCTCTTTATCGACGACATCAACTACCAATTACACATTGTCATGGAATGCATGGAACAGAATTTGTACCAGCTCATGAGAGCACGTCGCAAGCGCATCTTTTCGTTACCATCGCTAAAATCCATCCTGACTCAACTTTTGGCAGGAATACGCCATATTCATTCTCACAACTTCTTTCATCGCGACTTGAAGCCGGAAAACATTCTAATCTCTCCCTCAAATCACTACTTCAGCAAAAAATGGATACTTGATGGCCATTACACTGATAACTACGTGGTTAAAATTGCAGATTATGGTTTGGCGCGCCACGTCACCAACAAAAGTCCCTACACCGCATATGTGTCCACGCGCTGGTATCGATCACCAGAAATATTACTAAGAAAGGGTTCCTATTCCAGGCCATTGGATATATGGGCATTTGGATGTGTTGTGGTTGAAGTCGCTACATTCAGACCACTTTTCCCCGGTTCAGATGAGATGGATCAAATCTGGAAAATTCTAGAAGTTCTCGGTACCCCACACACGATGCCAGAAAATAGCTTGAGCGGTTACCGGCCACACGGTGGATCTTGGGAAAAAGCTCAATTATTAGCCTCAAGATTAAATTTGAAATTTCCTTACGTTGAAGGAATAAACATCGAGAATGTCATTGATAATCCACACTTACAACCACTTTGTGATGTTGTCAAGGCATGCCTTACTTGGGATCCCAAAAAAAGAGCCACCGTTACAGAGTTATGCCAAATGCAATACTTTAAGAAGACTGAAGTGAGCATAAATACAGGGCTGGTCAACGATGAAAACATCATTAGAATACCTCAAGCGAACTCTCAACAACAAGAATGGGATTCGAAGCTCACGTTGAAAAAAAGCTTCGCCGAGCATCAACCCACAGAATCTTCGTCATTAGGTCCTAATGTTATTGATTTCAATGGTGGTAACTTCCGTAATTCCAAAGAAGCACAAATATCGTTCCAACAATTTTTGGAAGAGTCTGCAACTTCTGACCAACTTACCGATTCAACTGTGAGTAGCAGCATTCCGGACGAGGATAAAGTTGACCCCCATGACAACTTACTGAGCAACAATTTAATCGCACTACCTTTATCGGATCAACTGACGCAGGATTTACCGCTGTCGACTTCCGATCTTAATGTCCAAGACGAAAATGAAGTTAAGCCTCAAGAGATGATGGAGAGCTTTGCGGGATATTATTCGACCAAGTCCTCTGACTACGACGGACCTCATGTGGAAGCTCCATTAGGCAATATGGATTCGAACTACATCCACTATGAGGACGTCACTGATATACAACACCACCGCCGCTGTAATGTACTGGATGATATGTCCGTAGACTCCAGCACTTCCAATCATATCCCTCGCTCCTTCGCTGTCCCTAGAATCTCTGAAGAATGTGACACATCCTTGCAAGAGCATGACAGTCACAGCTTTTCCCACACACATAGTCTCACTTTCTGAAACTATGTTCCTTTGGTCTGGCACCAACGCATTTCTAAAAGTTTCAGTTCAAATCTTAATATTCCTTGTTAGTGAATAAATCATCATCAGGCTACAAAGGCCTGGTTGTCTTTGGTTCTGTCTCCCAGTGGTAACTTTTTTTTACCAGTGGTCTATATAACTAGCGCCGAGCCGAAGTCATCTTATGTATGGTTCAGAAAATATTCAAGAGTTCTTAACTCCTCGAGCCACGGGTTTTTGATAAAGCTTTGAAGTGATAGATCATGTCTGACATTGTTATCGTTGGAGGAGGCGTGTTCGGACTATCTACGGCAGCTCAATATGCACACTCGAGCAAAGTGTCAGTTATCGACAAGTTTGAAATACCCTCTCCGATTTCTGCTTCTACGGACTACAACAAAATAGTGCGTTTAGAGTACAATGATGAAATTTACGCGGAAATGGCCGTTGAAGCCATGAGATTTTGGCAGGGAGAAGGTAGTGACACATTGCCACCAGGGCTGTTAACAGATACGTATTCACATTGTGGACGAATTTCGGTTGTGCCTCCAGAATCTTCGCCTAGATACACGTTTGAGATGGAAAGCTTGACATTATTGCAAGAGAAGTTTGGTCGATGTCAAGATGTTTCAGAATACTGCAATGATTTGACCTGCAACGGGAAGTTCTCGCAATTTCGGGAAAGCCAGGCAAAAGGCAAGTTCAGGTATAATCGAGACTGTGGAATTGGAATTGCCGCGAAGTCGCTTTTAGTTATGAAACAGTACTGCAAGTCGCTGGGCGTCACTTTTATAGAGAACGATGGAGCCGCGTGCGTAAAATCAAGCGATGACGGCGTCGTGGTGAGTTTGGAGTCCGGTGCTCAAGTTAACGGCAGAAAAGCTCTAATTGCTTGCGGCGCCAACACTCCATCCTTATTGGACTTGCGGCAGAATGTGAAGTCTACAGGGCTTTACGTGGGTCACATACAGCTCACCGAACAAGAGTTTGAAAAATACAGAGACATCCCGGTGGTGTTCAACCCGGTCGTAGGGTACTTTTTCCCGCCCGATCCCGAGACGCGAGTCCTTAAGATTTGTGCAAGTGCCAGCTCGACGTACGACCTCGCAAGCAATGGACTTTTACCCCGTTACAAAAAGCTTGAGCCTGACACAGTAAAAAGCATCCCCATTCAGTCAGTGGTTCAAATTCGCACATTGCTGGCCGAGTATCTGCCTGACCTTTTGTACGCTGCTGACGGTCAGCTAAGAGAAATACAGGACTGCAAGATCTGCTGGATCAGTGACACCTCGGACTCCAATTTCATAATCGACGAAGTACCCGAAAACCCGAATGTCTTTGTGAGTTGCGGCGACTCCGGCCATGGTTACAAGTTTTTACCAAACATAGGTAGCTATATCATGGCTAGGATGGAAAATAATTTGTCGTCGAAATTAGCCAAGAAATGGGCCTTTCGTGAAAGTGTCTGGGACAATATGACCATCCCCTGGCGTATCGAGCACAAACGTAGACACGTTGACCAGATCCAATGGTATTGACTCAGAAATGTTGGTTACCAGAAGCACTCTTCCTCAGCGTTTTCCAACCGCTGAAGAACATTCGTGAATAGTGCCCTCATCGTTTCTTAAACGAAAACCGGTAAACCGATCAAATCTTCCAGGTAGCCGTACTAGATAGCAACAGCGGGCTCGATTCGCATAAAAACGAGGTTAAGAGATCGTGAATCGTATATTTTCTGGCAGGACCGAATAACAAAGCTCATTTTGCGAACTGTCGAAGCAAATAGTGTTGGATTTGGAGTGTTTTAGCATAATTACCCGAAATTCATCGAAGTTGTGGAAAGTGTCTCGTTTAGCTGCGAGTCTCTTGATCCTGTCTCAAACGTCAGTTGGGAAACGAAGTTCTGAGATTTTGAGCGTCTTTGAGGGTAGCTAGTGATTCGTATACGCCCAGATAACAAAGCTTTAGCTCCCAAGCGATTTGCACACTTGCAAGTTTCCCAAGTGTTACTGGCCAAGCAGTGTTTGAACGAAACCGTTATTTATAAAAGAGGTAACTATCTGAAGACCACAGGGACCCTCTTTGTGTGGCCATTGACATTTCAAGTTGCGAGGAAAAACCGTTAAATCCGAAATCTCAAATGACAGAAAACGGCGAAAGACCCTCAGCTGAAGATCGTTCTTCGATCTACGAGGACGCTTCGACGCTTCTCATGCTCTCCAGGGGCAAGGATGACGGTGCGCCCATCATCAACACTGGTTTTCAAAATACCGGTAGCACGCCCAGTGCGCCACATTCTCGGACCGGATCTCATTCCAATTCGGAGCCTCGATCCCCCATAGCCAAGGAAACTCGGTCTGACTCGCTCAAGCAAGATTCTAGCCTTGGTATATCACCTGTGTCGGCCTCGGCTATACTGCCGTCCAATCCAGATGGCAGTATAACAAGCCAAAAACGTGACAAACCGTCAAGTCCGTCTTCTCGTTCTAATTCAAGTAAGGGCATGGTTGCAGCTGCCGCACTGGCAGCCGCAGCTACAGTACCTTTGCCTCTCAGGAGACAAGATCAAGAACGGCGGGCATCGAAACCTCGCCGCAACACAAATGAAGAATCGACCGAGCAGAAAGATGCATTGAGTTGGCCAGTACCATCTTCATATGTAGTAGATCCTGATGCTGGTACAATAACCTGTATCTGTGGCTTTGATGATGATGACGGTTTTACCATTCAATGCGATCACTGTAACAGATGGCAGCATGCCATATGCTTTGGAATTCGCGACATTGAGACAGCACCCGATGACCACTTGTGTAGTACATGTCAGCCCAGGAAGGTTGACGTTAAGAGAGCCAAAAAGAGACAACAGGAGCGGCTGAACCCCAAAAACACAAAAAGAAGGCGAAAGAGTAATCAAGAAGAAGACCAAACCGGCAAAAATACAACCTCCGATTCAGTCGATTCAGCAAATACGTCTACGAATAACTCCAGCAATCATGAACTCGGCGCTGTTCCGGAAATTAAGGCCATGGATAAGTTGTTGACTGCCATGGAGCACTACTCTGTTGTTTACGTGCCACTCTCGTCTAATGATTACAAGGACAGGTATGTCCAGATGTTCTTAGAAAAGCACTGTGACGACGATTGGGTCATTCCATACACTTATAGCACCTTCCAACCTATTTCTTTGGAGGTGAGATCATATGCTGAGAACGCTCGCACGTTTTCAGGGTTACCGAAATTAGGTTTGTTCACTCAACAGGATTGCCCCTCCGGTACCTTCCTAGAGGAACTTTTGGGAGAAGTCGATTTCAGTAAAAAGTATTTTGAGGATTCTAGAAACAACTACAGAGTTTATGGGACGACTAAGCCCAAAGTGCTAATGCACCCTCATTGGCCTATCTGCATCGATTCAAGACTCAGTGGGAATCTTACAAGATTTTTGAGAAGAAGCTGTAAGCCAAATGTGGAATTAGTGTCCATCCGCTTAAATAATGACACTCCCAATGTCAAGTTTGTCCTGCGAGCTTTGAGAGATCTTGAAGATGGAGAAGAGTTGCACATTGGATGGCAGTGGGATCTGCGACACCCCATCTGGCAGCTCATTAAGGGTGAGAACAAAACCGTTGATTCGCTAGACGATCAAAACAAATTCACGTTGGTGCATTCCATCGACACGATTTTAGGCTCCACTGATTGCGCCTGCGGGAATAACAATCGGGATTGTTACTTGCTTAAGGTAAAGAAATTTTCGCAGTCATTGGTTAAGTCTGTCAAGTCGAAAATGAATAGTCGCTACAAACTCGGGGAGATTCTTCAGGCAGCTAAAGAGGGAACTAACAAAGTACAAACGCCCATATTATCGAGGCTCGCACACGAAGCAATTAGTAATGCCGAAAGAGCCAATGAGATCCTGGTCGATTTTCATGCTGCGAAGCTCAAGTACCTGAAAGAAGAAGGTGTGTTAAATGGCAGAAGTGATTCGAGGTCTAAAATAGATACTGTGGTCAGTGGCAAGCCTTTCAAATTTTATTTGATCGACAAACATTTCGCCCTTACTCGCAAAGGCGACGCAAAAAGTTCAGAACGCAGACCAATTGAGCACGCTGGTCATCTCAACGCTCTGCAATTCGATGAGTCCCACATATCGGATCTGAACGCACTACCAATACCTATCGAACTTCAGGTTCCACACATACCTTCGATTATCAATAATTCCGCAATTTCGAATGGAAGTGCCCCGCAAGATGTCTTGCTTGAACCTACTGCAAATCCGTTGCCTGCCTCGATTGCAGTTCCTCAGCCGGCAGTGTCAACCACGATACCAATCCTGGACTCTCATCAACAGTTGAAAAAGAAATTAAGTTTCGCCGACTACAAGAAGAAGATGAAACCTATATGAAGAGAAGTATAACTTTAGTTAGGCATATATTACCGATGTTTCAAGCGTTGATGTGTAGCAGTTTGCGGTAGGACCACTCTTTAAAATTCCAAGTACTTTAGTACTCGGCATCAATTTTCTAGACCTTTAAAAATTTTAATAGTTAGCGATGATTACATCGCCTCGACCGTGAAGAGAGCGAGAGAGACGTTATCCAAGGATTCATCTAGTATTACTTTCAGGTGTGTACATCATGGCTCATAGGGCTCTATTTCAGGTTATTTTTACTGGAGCTCAAGTTTTTGGAAGAGCTTTTACTGAAGCTTACAAGCAAGCAGCAGTTCAAGCAAGTAAGCCCGGGGCCAACGCGGCAAGAACAGGTGCAGCCAAAGCCGAATACGGCGGAATTACGCTTGATGAGAGTTGTAAGATTTTGAATATCGAGAACGAGGCAGACAGATCGAATTCAGAAAAGATCGAAGAGAGATTCAAGTACTTGTTTGATGTTAACGACAAGGAAAAAGGTGGTAGTTTCTATTTGCAAAGCAAGATATACAGGGCTGCGGAAAGACTGAAATATGAGCTTGCAGAGCAGGCAAAACAGAATGGCGACGGTAAACCAGCGCAGGACAGTTCAGAAAAGCCTCCGTCGGGAGGCTCATGAGTCGGGCTCGAGAAGCAAACTCAGCTTAGATTTCTGGTTGACAATGCAAGCTCTCCTCCGCAGAACAACTAAACGCATTCTAGCATAAGGTATTTACGACGTCCCTGGTTACAGCGTATTACTCTTCAATAGGCATCTCGCTTGTATATAGGCCTTTTTAAAAAAATGAATGAGAATCGGATCTACGAAGGAGTTTGGCTTTAAGAGTTTACTCCGCGAGGTGGAAATGCCAGCAGGAGAGGACCTGCTGCTAGCTGAATAAATTTGGTTCACAGCTGAGAATCTAATCTCAGCTCTACATGCAGATTTGCGGTGCTACAATGTCCTGGCATGAAAAGGGGCACAATAGGTAATTCCAAACTCTCAAAACGCATTACACATTTCTCTGGAAACCATGCTCCTACGGAGACTCCTTTTACAGAGTCTTACCGCACCTCTTCATAGCAGTTTTCAATCTAAGAAACCGGAAACGAAATGCGTTCTGTGGCCGCCCTGTTTGGGGGCGGTCAGCGCGCATTCAGCTATGGGTTATGACTTGAATCAATGGATCCCGTACCAGTATCAACTTTAACAGAGCCCCAAACCGGAACACAAGTTTCCGGCCACAAACTCCGTTTTGAAATACACAGATCATCGAAACATTCGGTTCCTATAAAAATTTTGGTAATTAATATTATCTTTAGATAGTATTAACCACTACTGATGATTGGTTTCTTTAAAAGGAACTTGTGAGAAGTAGATGAACAATAAGACCGAATTCTTGGCCTTTATATACTTTTGAAATTTGAAAATTTGTCTTTGCTGTTACCCGGCATTCGCTGAATAACTGTTAGGGCGTATCCAGTTTCCAGGAGAACTCCACGGATGCGAGGTTGACAGGGCGGGACGAGTACTCTAAAATACAAGCCTCAATAGTTGAAAGCCTCGAGAGCAGGCAGAGCTTGACACCAGGTTTAGAGCTTCTTTCTTCATTATTTACGTAATTATAGCTGCCCGAACGGCGGGCCTTGTTAAAGCTCGATTTAATCACATCGAACACATCGCTCGTTTATTCTGAACTACCTTAGCGGATCCGCCTCGTTGTATTATCTCCTCTTGCTCGAGGATTTTAGTTTGCTAGCCATCGGATCCTCAAAGCTTAATAAAATCCGCGTCGAGCTCATCGCCCGAATATTCGTAAGTCTCTGAGCTGGAGTGGCTCGTATCAGATTCGTCATCACTCGATGATTCCAACGGTAGGTGTATAGATTCTCTTGGTGCCGTGGCAGGTTCCGTTTTCTTCACATTAATGCATTGCTGGCTCGAACGCATGCCGTACCAGGAGCCCGCAGCAGCGCGCGGATCTCTTTTGCGTAGCGGTGGCAGCAGATACGCCTCGTTGGGGATGTCAAGTAGCGAGCATGTTTTTGATGGCAAAGTAGCGGCAGAAGCAGTGATTGGATGCACTTCGGAGAGCTCTCGGTGCGGGTATTTGCAATGCACCAGAAAACACTGGCCGCTGCTGCGCCAATCCGGGCACTCCATTAAGTGCGGGAACTGGCAGTAGCGACCCCGGTAGCAAAACGCCATGTGTGCGAACTGCCGGCAGAGCGGGTATTGCAAGTTCATGGTCTGAGAGTGAATGTAACGACAAGTGAGTGCTTCGGGCTGAGTTTCGTGCGGCTGAGTTCCTATCGGCTGAGTTCCTATCGGCTGAGTCTCCGAACCGACCTCGTACTCGCAATTGTGCTCTGTAAACTTTTTGCAATGTGGTTGCACGTATTCATTTCCTTGGGAGTGCGTTAACCTGCAATTCTGGCCGTACCTACATCGGCCTGTCGTCAAGAAATCTTTACAAATGGACACATTTCTCGGGTCATGAACAAATTTACAGCTTGGATTAGTGCATACGCCCAGCTTAGTGTAAAACTTGCAATAAGCTGTGTAAACGCTCAGGTTTCTAGTCGGAATGCATACTCGGAACGCATTTCCGGTCCATTGATACTTGTAGTTATTCCACGTAAGTTTCGGTAATTGTTCGAAGATCTCAGCCTCGCCGCATAGGCCTTTTTGCCACTGCAAAAAACTCCGAAAGGTTTCTTCCCTCACATTCATTGACTTCAGTGTGTCTCTGAATCTCTGAAAGTTCTCCTCCAGCACAGTTACTTCATTCACAGAAAGACTGACATTCTCCAGTATCGCGCCAAGTTTCTGAATTTGAAACAGCCTAATATTACCCAGTCTATCTGCTACAGTGCACAAATCTAGCTCGGGGTTATTCTGCAGCGATTCCCATATTTTGCGGAATCTGGATTCTGACAAGCTGTAATTCGTCCTGATGCCGCTTTTCCAATTCCGAACAGCTGCATTTTTCTCTGCGATCTTGTCAATTACTTTGATCTTAGGACCGTAGCGGACTAACCGATAACGCTCTTTGGCCTTCTCTAGGCTTAATTCGAAATAGTCATCGATCTCTTGATTCAAGTCATCTAGGCTGTTAAGTAATTCTTCTTTAGACAATCCCATCGCCATCAGAAAGCTGATCTTTTTTCTATGTGGGGCCACTTAGTATGCGTCAATCTTACTAACGATGCAAGCTCCATGGGTTAGGACGTTAAAGATTTTACGAATTTTAGAGGATCCATTGTTAATTCTATATTTCTTGATAATTACATATAAGTTTATAATCCTTTGAACTCTAAATCGAAGAACCGAGAAAATTAACAATGGGCAAATATCAGGCTATAGAATTTGGAGTTAAAGAGATTCCCAACATTATACCATTAGATAAAGATAGCGCTCGACAGTTATGTGAACAAATCTTATCATCTCATGAAAATGAGCCTGAAAAAGTGGCCGAGAGATTTCTGGAGATTTTGGGCTCGGAGGACATCTCGTTGAGCTTTGTGCTTCAGTTCAACGAGAAACTGTCTTATAAAGAACCCTCTAAGGTGGTGAAAGAACCCCCGGTAGCTCAGCCTGTGTCGAAGGCGTCGTACGAAAAAGTAAAAGAACAGGATTTGGAGCCTTTAAAACTAACCAATACTGCTCCTAAAGCAGCTCCTAAATCCTCGGGACCTAAATACCAATCACCGGCCACTAAGGCTGTCGCTACTCAAGAGAAACCCAAGAAGAACGCCAGGCTAAAGAAACTGCAAAACCTTCAAGAAATCGACGATGTGCTGAAGGTTTTAGAGTTAGAATCCTCCGAGTCTGATCCAACAAAATATAGTTGCCAATGCCAAGGCAATAGGCATCCGCTTTTCGAAGTGGCTCCTAATTGTTTGTCGTGCGGTAAAATTATATGTGCCAGGGAAGGTCTTAATTTGAATAATTGCACCTTCTGTGGGGCCGAACTTCTGTCCCTGGAGGAGAGGTCGAAGATAATAGAAGTTTTAAATCAAGAAAAACTCGACATGGCGACGTCGAAAGCCTCAGTGACTGCAGAAAAGCCCAAAAAGAGCAAAGGGTACAAGATTATGTCTGGGACGGGGACCAACTTGTTCTCGGAGCAAGATAAACTGTTTGAAAGAATAGAAAAGGAAAAAGAACGTGAACGCAAGAGGAAAGAAGTGCTGGATGGGCTGGAGAAAGCTCAAGAGGGACAAGATAAAGCAAATGCTGATGGAGGAGATGAAGATTCAGAGCTAAAGGTAGCCCAGGATCGACTTGAAACTCTCATGCATTTTCAAAGTACATCTGCTCAAAGAACCAAGATTATCGATAATGCTAGCGACTTCAGCATGAGCAATGAGTCGAACGTTTGGGGAAACGCTCAGGATCGGGCTTTGATGCTTAAGAAACAGCAGAGGAACATTAGGAGATCCGAAAAGCTAGAACAAGAGCGCCGTGGTAAACGTGACAAAGTTGTTATGGACTTGACGATAGGCAAAGATGGGAAAGTCATAATGACAGAGGCTACGAGAGCCCCTAAAACCGCACACGCAGGAGATGATGAGGATGTTGACGATATAAGTGACGAGGAGGACGCGAGAGACCTGAAAGATATCGCAGGCTTGAAAAATTCTCTTTCGCAAACAAAGAAAGACAAGGATGAAGAACTAGAGGCCAACATATGGGATCCAGAAAAAGATCGGAGACAATTCAAAAAGCCTGTCTATGTAGATTTGAAAAACCCGCCAAAAGAAAGTGAAAAGGAGGTTTCTGTAACTGGTGCGCATGGTTGGAAGAAGAGAGTCCAGATAAGTCAGGACAGCGAGAGTTCTCTGGAACAAAATATTCTTGCTGTGCTTTGAATTTCTAAGAAATTGTTATATGTACTCTTTATTCGTATATGAAATAACTTTTGGGCGGTTTGCATGCAATATTTGCTGGATAGAAACAATTATGTGGAGGCATCACCACTCAATAGCCATTGAAAGCTTTTGGGTACTGTCAAGGTAAATTGGGTTCACATTTCAGACTTCTTGTAAATAGTGATTGCCGTCCAAAATAAGACGTTTAATGTTTTAATCAAATCGCGGCACTTTCATAAGTCGACTAAATTATTCGTGGTGGTTTCACATGAGACGGCCTTATGGGCTTTATATTTATTATGCTTACAATGTTAGAAATTTCGCTCTGCAAGCCTTATGCAAATCCAAGCCCATTTGGCTTTTAATCATGACCGACCCGTTATGTAAGACGGGTTGTCGCTAATGTACATAGTGGTTCATATAAAAAGTCGAGTCACTAATAATTGAACTCACTTTGACCTTGACGTAACGCCATATTCGCCATGCGGAGCATTTTCGATTTTGCGTCTTCCTTAGGTCTTTTTGAAGTCTCTTCGCCATTTCTGCCTTTGGAACTGTTGCCGCCCATAGCTTTAGGCCGTTCCCTCAAGGCAAAACTCTTGGCCAAGTGACCCAAATGCAGGCACTTGACGTTAAAGTATTTCTTCTCTAGTGACAAATGAGTGGTATATGCCCTAACATGGCTTACGAAGCCCTTGACTGCAACATCCTTGAAAGCTTGATCTTCAAGAGCTCGTCTTTCCACGTTGAGATGCCAGGTAGTAGCATTGTTGTCCCATTCAACTGAGCCGTCCTTGTCGCTTCGCCTATCACTTCTTAGAACGTTGGAACCCATAAATGCAGGCTTCAAAATGTCTACGTCCGACTTCAGCAGTTTCCAACCTTGTGGATGATACGGTTTAATGAGTTCCATGTAGCCCTCTTCTTCACCAGGCAAGAGGAACAGAAGCGATTCTCCGCTCACACCCGCGCGTGCAGTACGCCCAATTCTATGCAAATGGTCTTCAACTGCAAAAGGAGGATCTAGTTCTATAACCGAACTCACCCTCGGTAAATCCAAACCTCTGCTAGCGACATCAGTGCAGAACATTATAAGATGCTTTCCGCGCGTAGCATCAGAATCGCTCGAAAAGCTTTGCAAAGTGGCCGTACGAATCTGCTGTGAAAGCGAACCGTGTAATTTGTAACAAACAACCGACGGAGCTGTCACTTGTGATAGACAAGGCAACGAAGTGGAGTTCCCCGATAGCGCTCTAACAGAATCACCCACCAAAGCCCGACTTCTCCCACTGTCATAGGAAAAGACATCGTAATGGAACTCTACACTATCTGAACATGACAGGAAAATAATTGTACGTGTGGTTTCCTTAGTCTCGGAGGAAATATGCTTAGCAGTCAAGTTACTGAGTTGTCCAGCTAACGTCACTAATCGCAGCTTCGGAGGAACAATAGTAATGCTTTGAACCAGTTGGTCTGGAACGGCGTCCACTTCGTGCTGTTTTTGACCACTACTTATAAGCTTGTAGTCTTCCAAAGCCACATTTCCCAATTTGGTGACTCCTCCCTTGAGCGTCGCACTGCATAATGTGTGAATTAGCCTCTTGGGAAGTTCCGGAAACTTTGAATGATCAAGGGGGACTTCGTGAATAAACTTGATAATATCTGTGATCGTCTCTTCGAACCCCAGTTCCATAAGTTTATCACCCTCATCCAGAACCAAGTATCTCAAAGATGAAGCGAACTGTTCTTTAATAACCTGAGTATTCTGTAAATGATCCAATATCCGCCCTGGTGTGCCAATGATAAAATTACACCCCTTGCGCAGTCTTGCCTTCTCAGATTTTTTACGCTCACCACCAATGAGCAAACATGGTACGAGGTAGTGGCAGCACTGAGTTAAAGTCAGCATTACCGAATAAATCTGCGAAGCCAACTCACGAGTTGGTGTGATGATCATGGCAAAACAACCAGACTGACGATCAACACGCGTTTTCATGGAAAGAATTCGCGTCAGAATAGGCAACAAAAATGCCAGTGTTTTACCAGACCCAGTTTGCGCGTGCACAAAGACATCGTTTTTGGCTTCCAAAAGCGTTGGAATACTCAGTTTCTGAACACGAGTTGGTTTCGAAATATGCATTTTTTCGCTAAGGTGTTGCAGAAGTGGAGACGTTATTCCCAAGGCTTCGAACGAGTCCTGCAATAATGGGGCATTCGATGGGTTGACCGGCAAACTCTCATCGTGCGCATTGCTGTTCACAGATGTTGTAATCTCTCGGTTTGCTGTGAACAGCGACGACACGTATTCAGTACCACAATTGCTCACCCCGCCATTGGTATTGGCAGTAGATTTCGCGACTTTGCGGTCCGGCTTTCCTGTTGCATTGCCTCCAGAGCGCTTTAGTGATCCTCTGCCATCTGCCTCTTCACCTTGCGCACCTTGAGATGGCCCATTTTGCTGTTTTTTCGCTCTCCTTCTGTCTTTCCATTTCCCGCCACTTATTTTGACCTTTTCAGGTGCAGAATCGCCACCAAAACTGGTGTCCAAGTTTAAAAGCATCATGCCATCATCTTCAGCCATTTTTAGAGCCTTCAAACCTAATTTATAGGCTTTGTTTCGCTATATTGGGTAGCGCGATGAGCTTAGCGATGAGCTTATATTTGAAGTACAGATCCAAAAATTTTTCAGTGACGAAATATTAAGCGGTAAGCTCGATGAGCTCTCATCGGTTCAATAAATATAAAGCTGAAATATCGACAGGAATCAATGTCTGAGACACCAGAAAGGTCTGAAAGTCAACTATTTGTGGTGGAAGAAGATGAAGATGTGGTCATGGGAAGTCCGGACGGCGAAAATGCTCCAGAAGACGACCCTATAGTTACCGAAATACCAATAAATTTGACGAATGGACCTTTCCCGCTTCATATACTACAGCATCCAAATAAACCACGGAAAACTGCACAAGATGCTGTGCTCAATCCACCCGTGAGCCAGGTAAGATATAGAACAAAGTCAGCGCTTTGGGAGCTGGATGTGCCGGTAAACACTGAGGTTTTCTACGACAAGAACCGTGCGGAAGATGACTGGGAATCTGTGGCGCACCAAACCCTCAAAGGCGTCAGCGTTCCAAGCGAGGGTCAGTACGTAGGGATGATGTCAGAAGATCAGCTTTATTTGATTCCTGTTCAGGCTGTCGCGCAGGTTAGACCATTTTTCAAATACATCGACACTGCGGCAGCGCAGTCCAGAAGAGACGACGACGACTCGAGGTCCCAACAATTCGCTAACCCACAAGCGAGAAAGGCCCAGGTGGTCACAATGTCTGTAAAAAGTAGTAGCGAAGCCAACCAGCCCCGGTTAGGCGGTTCTTTGCTGGCGCATAAGATCGCGGATGAAGAGAAATATCAAGAGCTAGAATGGATAGAGGGCACTTTCCCGCAATTCCAAGAAAGCGTCATTACGGAAGAATCTCGCATTAGACTGCAGTCTGTTGGAGACGAAAACGACTATTTATCAAAGGCTATTACTATGTAGGCGTTAATTTTGACAATTGGGTACGATAACGAACAGTTGTCAGGCTCTGCTCGTATCCTTTGGGTCAAGGATTCACAAAAAAATAGAATGGATTGCGAACTGATATCTTTGATCAATCGTACCACATTTTGATCAGTTCTTCAGATACAGCACTTGGTGTAAGTACGCCCAAATCTGTTATTAGAGCGGTGATGTATTCGTGCGAGGTATAATCGATGCCAGGTTCCAAAAGGGATTGCTCATAATTTTCATTGCGGGTGAAATCCAGAGGCCCCGCTGTTGCGGGCAAATCGTCTGGTGATAGCGGAAACATTCTTACGAATTTATGCGACTCACTCACCACATAGAATGGTTTATTAGCGTTTTTCGCTAATACCCCAATAGAGTAGGTACCTACTAAGTTGATTATACCACCCGATTCCGCTACACCTTCTGCACCGACCAGTACTTTATCAACTTTATGGACAATACTACCAACCGCACTGTCTACCACCATTTTCACCGGAATGCCTTTTTCCTGCAACAGCTTGTAAAGCTGAGCGCCTTGCTGTGTAGGTCTTGATTCCGTCACCACGCACCGGAATCTCACGAACCTTTCGGCGGCGTAACTCAAGACTGAGTAAACTGCTCTGGAAAAACCATGTACCAGAATAATATCATCGTCAGAAATAAAGTCAAGCCCAATTTGCGCTATGTCGTCTCTTGACCTTTTTGCTCTAGAAACAAAGAGTTGCCCATTCTCTATCAGATGTTTCTTACAACTTTCCCAATCACCATATAGATGTGTGTTTCTAAATACAAATCGCATGAAAATATCACAACCCGCTCTTAAAGACATAGAGTTTGGAATTGAAGTAGTCAACTTTTCTGCTGCAGACTTGATAGTGTTGATCATCTCGGCTGATGTCCCCGGTTGCTTGACTCGAAGCATTGTCACCAAGGATTCAATTGCTGCAATTGGCATGGTCATTTCGCTGTCTTCTTCCAAGAACTTCAGGTAAGTCTTGGTAATATCAAATTCCTCACTCATCTTGTATTATTTTTCGTTTGCAACAGCGCGACCAAACCTTCCTAATGGCTGTCGGTTGGTCTTTCAATATTTGATCTGAAATTGGTTAATCGTACTGACTTTTCACTTTTTCATTTTGATATTCGCTGATCCGATGAGCTTGATAAATGAATTTGAAAGTGTCAGCTTCGAAGGCATTTGGTGCCGACACGCTATCAACGATGTTCAAAATGCGAATGTTACGTCTAGAAATCGGAAGGCGGTCTTTTTCGTCGAAAACGGACGTTTCCGCGCTGAGAAATATTGGCATTATAGCCCACATTGATGCTGGAAAGACCACAACTACTGAACGCATGTTATATTTCAGTGGAAAGACAAAGAGGATTGGCAATGTAGATGAAGGTGATACGATAACAGACTTTTTACCACAAGAACGATCGAGGGGAATCACCATTCAAAGTGCAGCGATCTCATTTAGTTGGCAAAATAAATTCAGGATCAACCTAATTGACACTCCGGGCCACGCAGATTTTACTTTTGAGGTAATAAGGTCCCTGAAAGTTTTAGATGGCTGCGTGACAATTCTGGATGCGGTTGCTGGCGTCGAGGCTCAGACTGAAAAGGTTTGGAAGCAGGCCAAAGGCATCCCAAAGATATGTTTTATCAACAAAATGGATCGCGCAGGCGCTGGGTTTAGCCGTACCACAAAGGAGCTTATAGCAAAGCTGAACACACGAGTTCTACTTTTAAATGTTCCAGTATTCGCTAACACTTCAGGTCCTGGAGAACCCGTTTTCGAGGGTGTGCTAGATGTAGTAAATAAGAAGGTTTTGAGATGGACTCCGCAAGATCCAGAACGGGTATCAGTTGAAGATATTATATGCAATTCTTACTATTGGAATGATTTAGTGAAGCTAAGAGAGTGCTTGGTCGAAACATTGAGCGAGTTTGATGAAGAATTGGTTGAGTATTTTCTAGATACCGCTAATGGCGACTACATGATCGTTCCTCCCGAGTTGATTAATAAGTCTGTTAAAAAATCGTTGTTGGCCAACTATGCTGTGCCGGTTTTGTGTGGTGCTTCATTCCGTAACATTGGCGTGCAGCCTTTACTAGACGCAGTTGTCAACTACCTCCCTTCTCCACTCGAAGCAAAACTTCCCGAGTTCAATACTAATGTTCCAGTGGAAGTCAATAAGAAAGAAGGATCTGTTATTAACAACAACAAAAATCTTTGTGTTGCACAGGCCTTTAAGGTAATCACTGATCCTATTCGGGGCATTATGGTCTATGTTAGGGTTTATTCTGGATGTTTGAACAGTGGCTTCACCGTTTACAACTCTACGACTGGTGCCAAATTTAAGATCGGTAAACTGGTTATAATGCACGCCAACGTAGCAGAAGAAGTAAAGCAACTTAAATGCGGAGAGATTGGTGTTTTGACAGGCTCTACTGTATCAGAAAACGTTAGGACAGGCGACACTATCATCACGCATAGTATGAAGAAAGACGGCCTGAAATCCTTAAACAGAGTAAAAGAATTGGGGCTGAAAATTAATCCTATCGAGACACCACCGCCTGTATTTAGCGTTGCCGTTGAACCTAGAACTCTAGGAAACAAAAAGTTAATGGAAGAGTCAATTGCAACTATCATAAGAGAAGATCCAAGTCTTCATGTGAATGTGGATGAGGAGACTGGCCAGACTCTTTTGAGTGGGATGGGCCAATTACACCTGGAGATAGCTAAAGACAGGCTACTCAACGAGCTCAAGGCAGAGGTGGAGGTTGGAAAAGTTATGGTTTCGTTCAAGGAAACATTAAATGCGTGCACGAAGCAAAGCGTTTTGCAAACCGAAGATGGTTACAGGTTCTCAATAAGCGTGGAACCATTAGATGTAGCCATGGCGGCTAAGAGCTCTGACGAAGATTGGCACTACCTTTCAACTGACAATAATTACTTGATCCTCGAAAAGTCACCCGCGTGTGCCGGAAACTGGCCATACCAAATATCATATGAACAGATTGTCAATGCTGTTATATCAAGCAGCATTGTAGCTCTGCAAAAAAGTGGGAAAATTGCCAATTTTCCGTTGCATTCATGTGCTGTCAGGATAAAGAACGACTGGAGCATACCGCTCGATGCCACATCTGTGTCTCAAACTCTTGCGCTGTCTCGAGGTTTGATTTTTGAAGCGTTAAGAGAGCTTCCAGACACTGCCTTCGCAGTGTTAGAACCAATCATGCATATTAACGTCACAGTGAAGCAGAGCGATATGGGCCATGTTCTGCAGGATTTAACGGGCGCCCGCAAAGCTAACATATTATCCATAGATGATGAGCACGATCTCACTAGCGGCGAGAACGCTGACATACAGTATCAAAGGCTAGCCGAGGATCAATTTTTACCAATGGATGCCACGCTGGGCCTAGCAAATATATCGAGTGGTGCGACAGTAAATAAGACCATTCGAGCTTTAGTGCCCCTGAAAGAGATAGTTTCGTACATGAGTAAACTCCGGAGCTTAACAAAAGGCAGAGGCAGCTACACCATGAACTATCATGGAATGGAAAAAGTCACAAGTGATCGTCTACCTAGCATTTTAGAGGAATTCTGAAATCAATATTCAAGATCTCTGATAGATGCTGTTTGGCCATATAACCTGTAAATATTATTAAAAGTTCTGCCAAATGATGTCAAAGATATCAAGAACTGGTCCCCGTAGCCACCATAGCACGAGCTTCTACCGTAATGTTGAAAAATGGTTTGACTTGGACGGATTTGAGTAAGTGCTCGAATGATCTTGTAGAACACAAGAATAGATCAATTAACCAACGTGAAAAGTCCACAAGGAAGCATTGAAGCACATAGATAAATCAAGAGAGTCCAAGATAGACCACCCTTAAAATGCATACGATAGTCTGAACCGTAGATTTCAATAATTGAAGAAACGACAAGATGAAAGTGAAGGAGAGCAAGCAAACCAAAGTTCAGTAGAAGCAGAAAAGGATATTCGTCTTCTGACTACCAAAACATCCTATGATAGAAGATTGAAGACGTCTGAAAAGATAATAACTAAGGACAGCAATGACGACAAGAACTATACGATGTTGGCCTTCAAAACCTACAACGTTTGTCGAACTTTCAACAAGTCTTATTCCTCGTGGCCCAATGGTCACGGCGTCTGGCTACGATTGTATCCACTTCTGAAACCAGGAGATTCCAGGTTCGAGTCCTGGCGGGGAAGACTTTTTTTGCCATTTTCTAAGGCACTACTTTATGCTCAATTTAGCATGTAATACCATACTTACAGAGCACTACATTCTTATGAATGAGTTTTAAGGATTACAGGATGATTGTAGCGCATTTCTTCCATCGTCAGAATACAACAACGAATTGAAGAACTGCTGGCAGACGAATTTGAACATTTTCATTAACAGGGCAGTCCGCTGTGAGAGATGCTTGACTACGTATAACTATATCACCGGTCACGTTACGCGCACTCTGGAACCTGATTTTTGAAAAGGCCTTTATGTTTATAAGTAAAATATCTATATTCTGTTTGCCAAAAAATCGGCGATTTCCTTCCCGAGGAATTTCGATAATTCGCCTTTGGAATCGTCTAGATGTGTAATTCTTGACATCATCTTCAGCAAGTCGTAGTTGATTTCAGAGGAAAGCCTAGAATCCTTCTGATAGCTTGGATGATGAGTAATGTATTCACGCAAAAAGTTGGCAGTCGTTGGCAAGACGCCCGTGGCTCTATCAAAAACCAGCTTTAAGTAGTAGTACAGTCTTTTTTGACCAGCATCAGACGAGTTTTGGAGGTCAGTCCACGATGACGCCACAATGTTCTTGTGCTTCAGGATGCGATCTATGAATTGTGGGAAAATACCGAAGCCAGAGTTTTGAAAGATCTCTGCAAATGAATATTCACCCGTGGCCTCATTGGTGAAAGACTTCTTCCAGTGAAACTTTTCGAGTACAACGGCATCACGGCGGTGAGCCGTTTGCATATTCTGCCAAACCTGTGACATTGGCAAGTAAGCATTGATTTCGTTGCTGAACTTAAGCAAGCATTCCACGATCAAAAATAAAAAGTTAGAATAGGCAGCGTTTTCAAAATCGGTGACATGAATCTCCATTGGCCTAAACTCTACACGCCACCCAGGGGTGCTGTTGTTTCCGGGAATCGCAGCCTGAGTGGGAGGTTTGAATCGAAGAGTTTGCCAATTAGTGCTTTGAATGTTTTCAAAATGATCTGTGGAGTTCTGATTGTCTTGATCTACGCGCTCTTGGAATACCACTAACGGATCTCTTATAAACAAGTGAGAGAAATGGCGCGCCAAATCGTAATCCATAGGAAATAAATGATTGGTCTGTAGTTTTTCCAATGCGCTTTCGTTGAGAGGAACGTTTGTATCGTTATATTTGCGATCAAAGAAAGGATTGCCTCCCAAATACAAATCCACCGCACTGTATCTGGACTTTGGAATTCTTTGCGGATGGGCTTTCGAAGTATAGCCATGCCCGTTGTTATACTTAGGCAAGAGTGGCTCCTCACTGCGTTCGTAAGGAGTGCGATCGTCTACTGAGGCAGAGATGACGTCCCAACGAACATCTTGGTCTGCCAGCCAGCCTTTGAAGGCTGGTGAGGCAGCAGTGGCAGCAAGAAGCACGGGTGCGAAATTGACCAGAGAATCGTACAAATATCTCGCCTTGTCGACGTTGGGAGCTTGAAATGTAAGTTGCAAACAGCTAGAGCCCATGCCGAACCCCATACCATCCATGTATATGTGTCCTGGTTTTGACGCCAGCACAGCCTCCTGATCTTCGGGTGTGAACCAGTCACGCTCAACGACCGTGTCATCACCTTTTGGGGTCTTCTCGTCTTGGTACATGGGAACGTTGATGCACACCTTCTCACCTCGTCTAGTGCGAATGTTTGCTGTCAATGTCGGAAACCGAGCATGACGGTTGATCACTTGGTCCGGCAAGTATAACGAGCGTGACGCAGCGTTGTGAGAGCTCCACACTTGCGGGACGTCCGTAAAGCCTGGGCACCCCATTCGTGGAAACACTGCGAGCGACAAAAGATCCGCGCCTCGCTCCCGAAGCTTGCCTTCGGCCAACGCTCTTCTTTGTGCCATGTTTTCCTCGACGTATTGATTTACAAATCCGCGGTACGGTTCGGCCGGCGTGGCTTCGATCATGAACCTGCCGTATTCCGGATGGAAAGAGGCATTGTGTGCGTCGCACATGCCTTTATCCTCGGTATTCAGCTCCAAAAGCACCTCGTCATCGTCTATAGCCAAGACTGCGTTGCGTCTGGCGTCATCTATGACACAAATCATGTATTCGACCTCATCCCCCCAAAGCAGGGGATCTTCTTTTCTCGCATTAGCTGCGCGGAAGACATACAACAATTGCTCAATTCCGTTTTTCCTAACGTGCTCACTATACTGGCTGGATTCGTGCCATTCCAACGGTGTTCCAAGGGAAAGCAAACCCATTTGAACAATTCACTACGGAATGTGCTCACACCGGAATTCGATAAACGCAATCAAGGGTGTCCCTGGTACGATCCCTATCTCGTTTTCTTGCGCCTTTGATAGCCTGACAACCTAATATATAGTTGTCGATGCGTTGAGTGACGACGAGCTACCTGACAAATAGCAGCGGGAAAAGTTTTTCGCCAAGATCCAATGGTATCCGATTGGATTTTAATCTGATGTCTTACAAATGGCTTCGACCCTGTGGTTCAAGCACCGTTATAGAGCTCAACTGAACCGAGATTTTACTCGATGTGAGCTTGCTGTGTGATATATACACTTGCTGATTCTCAAGTTTCTCGAGCGACAGAGACAATACAGACTGGAATAATATCACGTGCTTCGGTAGCTTTCAAGACTGTTAGTTGTAACCTGAAGCCAAACGATTGTTTGAACAGCCCTGCACCTTTGCGCCTGCGAGGCTCTATTCTAGTGTTTCCTTCACAAGTGAGTAGGCTGAAATTTCAAGCTGCCCAAAATTCGCACCCGGAAAGAGTCTCACTGGACATGACTCTTTTGGTGCCTGGATCGTAGCGGCATATTTTTTGACAGCTGGGATGACAACGCTCACGCGTTTGCAAATGAAAGATTCCTGTGCTAGTCTTCTCGCGTAAATGCTATTGTTTAGCAATACTTCTTAGATTGGCTGTCTACTGTTGCTCAATAATCGTATTCTAACCAATAGCCATCGTGGAAAATAAGTGTTGGTTCCAAACGTAGAAACCTATTGACCTGAGACTCTCATTCTTGCCAGCAGACTAACCTAATCCTAATATGCCAAAAGTTCCTTCACACAATGCTCAATTCTGTGAATGAAACACTGACCGAAAGGATACGGTTCGTCCAAGAGAGCCGAATCATTTCTTCAGCTATTCAGATCATTATTTCGCTGGTTCAACAAATGCCAGTTGCTCATCTCGCTGTTTGCGCCATGAAATTGCTCCATTATATCTGAAAAAAGCCGGATTCCTTCTTTCTCAAGCTCACATCTTGCTTTCTGACGTTTATCAAGGCTCGAGAGCCGTTCTCATAGTCTAGATTTCGTCTCTTGCTTGTTCAAATTGTATGTGTCTCAGCGGCTCTTCCATCTAACTCGAAACCGGTAAAATTCTACACGCATTTCAGCCCCTCATTGAATCTGAAATCTCAAACAAAGATCCAGTGACAATCGATTCCCCTCATATAGTCGAAATTTTACTAGTTCAACCCCCAAGTAGTGAGTTCCGTGCTTATAAAGTACAGATCATTCACTGAGTCTCTCTTACGTTCTCTTTGTTCATCCGTGACTTAACACATTCAGACCAGTATTTGAGCAAGTTCAACAAATCCAACAATCAATGGCTCATCAGTCCGATCATTTGGCCAATGCTAATCAATCTGTGACAACCAATACTTATGACTGGCTTCAAAGTCGAGAGCAGGAGGAGCGGATGAGCTACTCTGCCCAGAATTCGGCTGCTCTGAAGAATATGGGACGGTGGTCAAGTTTTGTGTGGCATGCTGATGAAGCTGCAGAAGTTGATCAAAGAATTCGTGGAGATCCCTACGAAATACAGTACTCTGTTTTCGAACCGGTTGTGGGCTATACAAGATGGCCACCCCTGCCCAATAGGGATATTACGCGACAGAGCTTCCACGAAGTAGTCCACGATTGTACCGAAGCCATCACCAAGCACAATATCGAGCTGCAACGCATTCAGGCAGGATCTAGTGGGTCGTATTTTGCGTATGGGACTGCAACTGCAGATACTCCGCTTGGGGTATTCAAGCCCAAAGATGAAGAACCGTACGGACCTCTGTCTCCAAAATGGACTAAATGGGCGCATAGAACTTTCTTCCCTTGTTTTTTCGGGCGAAGCTGCTTGATTCCCAACCTAGGGTATATCTGTGAATCTGCCGCCAGTGTCATGGACGAACTCCTGGGCACCAATTTGGTACCCCATACAGAAGTTGTGTCCTTGATGTCCAAGAACTTCTACGACAAGAAAAGAGCATGGTTCTCTACAGAGCCACGCTACAGGCACAAAATCGGGTCTCTACAACGATTTGTTGAAGGCTATATCGGTGCAAGCGAGTTCTTGGAGGAACACCCATTTCCGGGCGTATATCGCGATAGACAAGTAGCGCAGCCCGAAGACGAATTCCACTGGAATGCCCAAACTTTAGCTTCCTTCAGATTCGAGATCGAAAAGCTTGTTATTCTGGACTATATGATACGAAACACCGATCGTGGACTTGACAATTGGATGATAAAGGTCCGCCAGCTTCCAAATAAGGAATGGGAGATCAAGCTGGCAGCGATCGATAATGGTCTGGCATTCCCTTGGAAACACCCCGACGAATGGCGCTCTTTCCCCTATGGATGGTTGTACCTGCCGGTGAATGTTCTAGGGCAGCCATTTTCCGAGGCAACGCGAAGACACTTCTTGCCGCTTTTGACTAGCACCAAGTGGTGGGAGACATGTTTCGCAGAATTGACGGCGCAATTCAGCCGTGACGCTGAATTTAAGTCAAGAATGTGGAAAAAGCAGTGGAGTGTACTTAAGGGTCAAGCTTTCAATGTCGTTGAGACCCTGAAAAATCCAACGCAGGGTCCTTTGGAACTTGTGCGTCGCACACAAACGCTTGTAATCGATGACATTATGCATGTTCCATCGAATACGCTACCTTTGGCTATCTTGAACAATGCAATGGAGGAGCCTATTACGGTATCGGCTTCATCTCCGATGGTTTCGTCCTCCTTACCAGAAGATGGTAGTCCTACAGACGCCTACGTGGCTCGCACCGCTACTAACCCACAAGATTCTACAGAAGAACCCCCAATATTTCCGAAAAGATACAGTAGTAAGAAGGTAGTTATAGAGAGGCTAATGTTAGTGAATTCTAAACCGCCAGTATTTACATGGTGGTGATTTGCGGTGCCTAAATTCGGAGTTATTACCTGACATCGTGTACGAGTACTTTTTTTCCTGTCTTGAACTTTTACACTCATCTTGACGAGCTAGGCAAACACTTGCCGACATCTCGAAAAGGCCATCCCAAACGTTCGAAGATTGATTCTTTTCTTACAGTCAATCGCGCCGTTTGGTCTCTTAATCAATTGTCGGATTGATGAACATCTTGTCATGGAGAAGGAAAAATGCGTCTTCCAATACGCTAATAAATGAACATCCCAAAAACGTTATGTTCAAAAATGACGAAAATCTAATACAGAATCTAGGCGAGAATCTCGAGCAAAACCCGCGCATCATCGAATTCCAGTTTGGGAAAAGCTTCAAGCTAAGGGGCCGGCTTTTGAGTAGCTTGAGCGGACTCAATCTGATCGGAATTGGTCCTCCTGACATGGTGCATGTGACCAAGTTTGACAAGTTTCGTCAAGTGGAAACCGGGGAGTATCATTACTTAACCGGGCTTGATACTTCTTCTGAAGTGATGCCAATTGCATACCTGAACATTCTGGGGCTAAATGATGGCTCTCAAGCGTCATTGGCATCGGGGTCTACGCCGTCGAAAAGTGGCCACAGGGTTACGACTTATTGCACCGCAAACGTATTTAGTAACGTTGACGTCAGGATACGTTACGAATCCCCGAAGCATTTTCAACTGACGGTTACAGACTTTCTTTCCGGATCCAGTAAATCCACAATGACACCCGAACTATGGGAAGAGACATTTGTGAGTGGCTTTGTGCGGGCAGTTATCACCAATACTGACAAAGAACGCAAGCTTCCAGGTCTTGTTGAGTTTCCTATAGCGCTGGAAAATGGGCTTGCTTACTCTGAAAAATGCGTTTCCTTACTATGCAAGTTCTTACCACGCGGGCCTGAACTGGGTTGCGATCTAACGAAGCATGGGTTCGCATCTTTCAAAAATAATTATTTGGTTGCATCCTTACTTACATTCTTGCAAGTAGCAGGGAAACTTAATATGTTTGTGGTGGAACTGCTTCATAAGCTGTGCGAATCAGACCCAAAAAACGAGGTATGCTACAGAACGGCGCTAGTCGCAGTAATGATGAATAGTGAAGCGCACGATTCTATGGCGATAAAAACCATCAGTAATTCAATGCAAAAGCTGTTCCCTGACGGTTTATCTAGATTGGAACAAGACCAATTAGCGTATGCTGGCGATTTTCTGAACTTGCAAGTTGACTTTCTTATGTCAAAGAACGACTTTCAACTTGCGTTGCCGCTTGTCCAAAAAACGACAGCTATATGTTCTGACAATTTTGAAGCCTGGAGTAAGCTTGCACAGTGCTATATCAAGCTACAAGACTACAAATCTGCTATGTTCGCCATCAATTCTCTCCCACCTCTTTTGTCATCAGACCCGTGTAAAGATGCTATGTGGAAAGAAGCATCTGAGGATAGATATTACGTCAAACCTCTTTGTTCACGCCCTGGCTCTCGCCTACAATCGAATGAATACAACTTCATTTCTACAACTCTCAAAGCAATTAAAGACCATGATTTGAGTTCAATGATCTACGGCCGGATTGTAATGCCCCCGCAAGCGAATCGAGGGTGTATCAAGGAAATTTGGGATGGACCGTGCATGTCATTGGGCCCTATTTATGGGCCTCAAAGTAAGAACCTAATAAACTTCGTGTCAACGCAGGAAGTTGCATCTTTAGAAGATTCTGACTTGTTGCAAAGAAACACTATGGCAAACCAGCTCAGTTGGTCGCTATCAATTGCCTACGACCTGCTGATGAATATCGTCTCTGATATAGGTTGGAATTCTTTGTTAGAGCTGCGATCGAAAATATTCGTTATGGAGCGCGAGCGCACTACTGATTACACAGGTACGCTACAGCCAGAATTTAAGACCAAACGTTTGTGCGAGAAGTGGCTTGACCAGCTGTTCCTTAATCTCTACGAGGACTTGAAAATAACCTGCAATGTTGAAGAGCACCGCGAGGAAATGTACAGTGGCTTAGAATGGGAGCTTCTGGGACTCGCTCATCTAAGGACATGGAACTGGGCGGATGCAGTTCCATGCCTTCGGACCAGTATCATGGCTCGCTTTGACGTTGTAAGTGCCGAAAAGTTGTTAGATCTTTACTTGACGCGGCAATACCCGGTTTCAAACGTGCTAGACCCCGACGTTTTGCTATCATTGATCGTTGAAAAGATAAGCTACGAGAGCCGCTTCTACAACTACCTACAATTACCCAATCTGCATGTCCTGACCCGCTTATGCTCACTTTCGGGGGTGGAGAACGTGCGAAATCACATATATGCCCTTCCCTCGGCACAGAGAGGCATCGTTGCCCTCATGGACAAGCTGCTGGACTACATACAAGAGCTGAACGATAAGTGAGCTCCTATAGATTTCAAAATGATTGCCATCCTGTGTAAAGCTTTGATCTCTTGCTAGGTTCCTATGGCGCCAAATAATCTTCTTACCCGACTTTAAAAATTTTTCTTGTTATATGAGAAATTCCATACAGAATGAATACTGGATAGGATTCCTAAATTGATTGAAGTGAATGTTGAAGTCGTTATAGTTCATTAGAGACGTGCGTTACTAACTGCTTATTGAGTCTACACCGCCGAAAGCCTGAAATTTTAAGAGCACAAGCTTTGATAGGCTCTTTGAACTGCTACAAACTGAGTTATTTGGCGTGGAAACATCAGGGGCACAACGGTATAAGATCGCTTGATACCCTACGCAAGAATTGAGAGGGATACCCAGATAAAGCATATTTGTAGGATGTCAGGGTCATTCTGGAAGTTTGGACAGAATTATGCGAGCGAATCACCATTGTCGAGACTGTTGAACCGAGCATTTGTGAAAGTAAGCAACAGCAACAACGATCAAGACACACACAACAGATCGCAGGAAAAGATCGACAGACTGCTGGCGTCACCTAGTAGTCATAGCTCGGAGGATGATAACGATGATCGGGAAAAAGACGAGGATGGCAGCGTAGATGTCGGAGATCGATCTCGCAAACCGAAAAATGAGAACGAAGATGATGACGATGACGAAGATGATCGGAAAAGTGACCACGAGAATGAGCTCCGAGAGTCTGGAAACGATCAACCAGACTCTGAATCGGATTATAAAGATTACGAGCCTGACATGGAGGTTCTGGACGAACTTTTGGACGACGAAGAGCTCTATACGGAGCTCATGTGCTCGAACTTCAAGCTTTTGATCTTTTTCAAATACCCCCAGGTCTTAGCGCGACTTGTAGATTATGTCACGAATGAGCACGTCTTGAGTGAAGACCTGAATCAGGAACTTGGCACCGCAGAGGGGTCTGAAAACCGGAATGCTAATGAAGATTCTGATCTCAAATCGGATCAAGAGCATGGTGACAATGACAGTGGTGACTCAAAAGCCAATGAATCCACCGGCGGCTTGGTCAAAGATCAAGACACCCCCGGCTCAGATCAGCAATCTGTGTCATCTGCTGAGACAAGCATAACACTCCCTCCGGACTCCGAGGAACAATCAGAATCCAGACGCGCTCGTATGGCTGCTGAAATTTTATCAGCCGATGTCTGGCCTATTTCATCTGCATTCATGGACCATGACGACCTATTGACTCGTCTATGGTCTATGTTAGATCACACGGCACCTCTGTCAATTGTCCCGTCTACGTATTTCATGAAAATTAATGAAAGGTTGCTGGATATGGATGTCGCTGGAATGTTGCATTTTATCCTGGCTCAAGACGACTTGGTTGATAAGTTTCTAAAGCATATCGATAACCCCCCGCTAATGGATTTTCTATTAAAAGTCATATCTACTGATAAGCCGGACACCTCCACAGGGGTTATTGAACAACTTGGAAGCCAAGATCTGATTCCAAAGCTTTTAGATCATTTGGAAACCGGAAATACTTCCTCAACGAAATCAGCCGCCGGTGATTTTTTGAAGGCGCTCATAACAATAAGCGCCAATTCAAACAACGAAATTGCATCGGCCATAGGACCTAATGGACTCACGAGAAAATTAGTCTCACCTTCAATGGTGGAAAAATTAATGAAAATTATGCTTTCTGGGGGAACCTCCCTCAGTAACGGTGTTGGTATTATTATTGAGCTTATAAGGAAAAACAATTCAGATTACGATTTCGTACAGGTAATGTACACCACACTAGAAACTCACCCACCTAATGATAGAGACCCTATTTATTTGGGTTACTTGATTCAGTGCTCGGCGAGCCATTTGGCAGACTTTAATAAAATGTTGATGGAAACAGAACTGCCTCCTTTAGAGACACCGTTCGGATTTATAGAACCGTTGGGTTTCGAAAGGTTCAAAATATGTGAGCTCGTTGCAGAACTACTGCACTGCTCCAATATGACTTTACTTAATGAACCGAACGGGGAAGAAATTATCGCCGAAAGGGACTCTGTCAGAGAAAAAACCCTACAACTGGAGGGAAACGAAACCGCTTATAACAGGAACGAATTAGGCGAAGACGGCGAAGATGTATTAGACAAAATGGCAGATCTAAGAATAGCTACAACAAATGCAAGTAATAGCAGCGATGATGACGAAAAAGTTATCCGTCCAAAGGATGAAGACGGAAGTGCTGGAAATGAAATTCAGTCCGAGGGCTCTACCGATGGCGAACTACCGGAGAAGGCTTTACGTGAGAATCCAGTGGTAGGCGATCACTTGAAGATAGCGTTACAAGATAACAGTGTCATCACTGCTATATTAGAGATGTTCTTTGCTTTTCCATGGAATAATTTCTTGCACAATGTTGTTTTTGACATTGTTCAGCAGATTTTCAATGGTCCTCTTAAAACTGGCTTCAACAGGTTTCTAATTGCTGATCTGTTTACAGGTGCAAAACTGACGCATATGATTATGGAAGGAGATAAAAAATGCGAAGATTATGAAAACGAAACTGGCTTGAGACTTGGTTATATGGGGCACTTAACTTTAATAGCAGAAGAAGTTGCAAAATTTGCTGCTTATGTCGACGAAATGAAAATATCTTTCAGCAACCCATCAATATTAGACACCTTAAGTGAGCCTCGTTGGAAGGAGTATACTGAAACTGTATTAGCGGATACTCGCGAAAATTACAGTTCCATACTCGGAGATTTTGAAGAAGAGGATGACCATGAGGATGTCGAAGTTGAAAACAATGAAATATCAGGTGCGGCGAATGACGAGGATTTGGATTACCGTAACTATGATCAAGACGAAGAAAATGCCGATGATTACGCCGAATACAACAGTGTTGACAGCCCCCGTTACTACCAATACGACGATGGACAGGGAAATAAGACAAATATTCACCTCAATCCTGACGTCGACTACGACATCGGGCCAGGCACTTTCATCGAAGGTGATACCCGTGACTACGATGACGACAATGACGGTGACGAGGGAGAAGGTAATGGCGTTCAAGAAAAGCATCCCGAGAAGAGCAAGGTTGGGGGCCAGAAAGAGCGCAAGAGCAAATTTAGCAATTACATGTCACATCAGCTGTCAAAGGACTTCAACACTTCGTCCTCATCTGACGACGACGAAGAAGATGTGTGGAATAATGCCGTGGCTGATAATTCAGAGCTAAAGGCCAAATCAGGATTAACAGAGTCAGGGGAGGGCGCTGCCTTCAACCCATCTCAATTTGGACTTGAAGATGAGGAGGATGATTACATGGACCCCAACGACGATGGCCAATCGTATGCAAAGCCACATCACCCCCTTTACGATAATATGCTTTCGCGAAACAGTCCTGGAAATCGCCACTACTTCAACCAAGAAGACACCAGCATCAGCAGCATTGCCAGCATTGCCGAAAATGATGATGACAGTGACGGAAGCGACAAAGATGACGCAGAGGAGGATGATGATCAATACTCTTTGTGTCGGACATCCAGTAAGGATAACATGGCGTGGGATAGTTCAGAACAAAATAGGATAATCAACTCAGCTCAGTACAGACAAAACCAACAGGAATCTGAGAAATAGAGCTGAGGCATTGTTTCAACTCTCGATTTCCTCGCCCACTTTCAAAACTCATTTCAAGAAGCCGCATATTATGTATCCAGCTTCTACCTTGTATAATAATAAGTAATGTGGTGTTAAGCTTAGAGTCATGGTGATTTGGCATTTAGAAATGTTGTGATCGTGAATGTAGTGGACCGCACTGTGGTGCTTTCACATTTGAACACCTTTGACGAGCCCAAACGTAATTGAAGACTTTACATTTACAGAGCTTATATAACAGTCGAAACCCTGAATTACTTTGAAACAGCAAAATTGAGACGCTTCAAAACCACCAATGTCACGGAAATTATCGCCTGTCAGTCCATTGGCACTCTACAATTTAATCTCTGCAGGCCTGTGGGGATATCTGCTGTACAAAGTCGTTGCGGTTTACCCAAAAATGGGCCAGCCCGCCTTTTTCTACGAAACAAGATCTGTTTTGAACGCCATACAATGTGGTGCCTTAATTGAGATCTTTAACTCGCTGTTAGGGATAGTGCGTGCGCCTCTTTTGACTACCGTTGCTCAAGTTGCCTCCAGGTTGTTGTTAACCGTTGGTATTTTCCAGTATTTGCCTGAATCGTACAATGCACACAACTACACCTTTGTGGCTCTTTTGCTAGCATGGTCAGTGACAGAAATAGTGCGCTATTCCTTCTACTATTGCAACTTGACTATATCGGCCGGCGCCCCAAAGTTCCTGATTCTCTTGCGCTATAATTTGTTCTGGATTCTTTACCCAATGGGAGTTGCCAGCGAGTTGTTGATAATTTACTCTGCTCTACCCGTGGCAGAGGCCAAATACTCAGCACATGCGAAGTTAGCTCTAATTGTGGGCATGCTGACGTACATTCCAGGATTTCCAATGCTTTTCTCGCACATGGTTGTGCAGAGAAAGAAAGTGATGAAGTCGTTGTTCTCCAACTCGAAAAAACAGAACTAAGGCCCAAGAATGACTCATTGTGGGGTTGCGAGACGCTACTATCGCGAGGCTATTTAATTCTATTCACTTGAAAAGACCTTTCTCAACGAATTTCGCCGTGAAGTGATTCCTCAATTGCTTGTTTCATAAATAAACACGAATTACTCACTGTTACATAAAGAAGGTAACATTAACACCCCGCGACTGTCGTCCTCGGTTGAATAAGAACCTTTTAACCAGTTTTTTGGTCCTGTTTTCAGATACTATCACTTTGTACTACAGTGTCGCAGCAGGGTATCAACAATCTACAATTACACTTTCAATGCCACATAAATTCTAGCTCGCGTTGTCGAATCCTCAAAGCTATTCAAAAGTGCTACTGAGTAGAAGAGATGTCTCTATTCGGGCTAAAGATTTTATAATAGTAACACCTGTCGTACGTAGTGCTATCGAATTTATAACTTATAGTCAGGAAAAATTCGCTATCGAATTCAAAAAGCTTGAATTGAACTAAAATACCTATTTTAGCGTTCGAATAATTCCGGATTCTGTTTCCGAGGCCACTGCTAACGCGAAATGAATGCCCTTTGTCGATTTTTGAGACCTACCCTGCCGATCTTCAGGCGCCCAACGTCCACTCTGAATCCTATCGTCAGAACGTTTACCTCCTCCAGAATTCCACTCCAAAAATTCGATACCACACCTTTAAAACTGTCCAACGAGCTCTATGCTATATTTCGTATTCACAACCGTCCCTACTTGGTGACGAAGGGCGACAAAGTAATTTTACCATTTAAAATGAAACAAGCAGAAGTAGGAGATGTGCTGAATTTGCAAGACGTCACGACCATTGGTACTAGAAATTTCAAGATTGTGGACTCTCCAATTGATTCATCGCTCTATAGCATCAAAGCTACGGTTTTGGAGAAAACAAAGCGTCGCATGAGAGTAAGAGAAGTGACTAAGCGTAGAAATAGGAAAGTACGTCACGCTGTGAGTAAACCTGACCTCACCGTGCTAAGAATATCGGAACTGGCGCTCACCGATTGAAAGAAAGATACGCTGTTTGTGTCCAGCTGCTTGATCGCCGAACGATCAAAAATATATTGCGAAAAGCTTCGAAGTTTTAAGATGCTTCTAACAGCAGTAAACATTCACGGAAGGAAAGCTAGATAAACAAGGTTACGTGTAAATAGACGAATAATTACTTACTTCCAAAACCTGCGAAACTTGTGCGTTGATTTTTCTCTTTTCTTGTGAGCGGCTTTTGAAGATCTTGAATTACTGAGGCCAAGTTTCGCTATTATAACATAGAAAACTAGGTCCCAATTCAGCACGAAAGAAAGTGTGAGAGAAGCGCTAGCTTTCAATTAAGCCACTTCCTCGAGTGCTTTACCTCCCAACGCCGGAAGTATGGCTTTTTTGAAGAAGAAACTGCCTAATGTAAACCATTCTAGTCGCTCGAGATCTGGTTCCGCCTCATCAAATAAAATATCCGCAGCAGTTTCACCATCCACTCCCAACAGTCCAGACATAAGGTTGCCAGACCTTCCTCCCAAATTTCCAATGGAGCATGTCACTGCCAAAGCGCCTGGGCTGCTCGCTGGCGCTGCAACAGCACAGTACACGGAGAGCTCGGTTGACGAACATACCTCATGCGCCTTTAGTTTTGAAGACAGCATGAACCAAGAACACCAAGCCGCAAACAGTGCCGGGCAAACAGCTTCTGCAGACTCCATCGAGGCAGGCGTTACAATGGCATCGCGAAAGTCGTCTGGTGGCAGTACCAGCTCTCTGTCAAACGACAAACTTCTTTATTCATGGGATGTCACCAATCCAGAGGAATGGAACATGATTCGGGTACTATCTTGGTTGCGCTTCAATGAGTTTGATGACTCTTGGCTAAACTACTTCAGAAAGCGTCAATTGCATGGCCACAAGTTTTTGAAGCTTATGGCCTACGACAACTATGCTCAACATGAAAACAGCCTCCCGCAAACTAAGTCCTCCACTTACCAACGGTTCCAATACCTTTTGAAGAGGACACTCGAACAAAATGTGGTGAATGGCCACATACGCAATAAAAGTGACAAGTCCACGGGGTCAAGAAGTTCTAGCGACTCCATGAAGCTAAGAAATAGAAGAAAAGATGAACATGAACAAAACCGAGCTATATCCGATAGTAATCCTGGGGCAAGAAAAGCTTCGGCAGATAATGCAGATGAGCGGGCTGTCGTTCAGACGCGAAATCACAAAAAGGCTAGCAGCGCCAGTTCATTGTATCGGCGAAGCTTCATTTCCTTAAGAGGCAGTTCTAATGCATCTCAGAGCAAGACAGATCCAAGCATTAACTTAAAGATACCTCCACGGGCTTTATCAACCGCTGAAAGCGCTAGTTATAACGAACGACAGCACATCAGAGTTTCGTCTTCCCCATTATCGCCCACATATTCGGTAAGATTTAGACGTCAACACAAAGCTAGCTCTTCTGAATCTTCTATTTTCAACACTCTTTTCGGTTCGAATAGTGGGCCTAATAGTAATCTTATTGAGGAACCGTCTGCCACTCAAAAAGCGCCAAAACCTTTCACAACCTCTTCACTCGAAAGTCTGCCCTTGGAGAAAATTGCCAAGATCGAAACACAAGGATTGTACCCAAGAAAATCCATACCTTCTCCTGAAGATAAAACTGGGTTGTGGAGAAAACTCAAGAGAAGGTCAATACAGCTCGACACCGATATGTCTCAAATAACAGGATCATCGTCAGAAGCTGACTCGACCGAATCTAGGAGTCTTGTCGGTAAAAAACCCATTGAGTCGAGTGACTTCAAATGGGATGCTTTCATTTTAGAGAAGAAGTATTATCCATTAAGAAACACAGGAGTTACAGACAAATACATTTTGATTACGAAGGACAACAAATCTTTTATTCCACTAAATGTCGCAGTCATTACAAATTTAGAGGAATTAAAAGATTCAATGGCTCTTACGCTTGGTATACGACACAAAAGCTACACAATTCATCTCACTGATTTTGGCTGCGACATTGGCTGTTCCATTAACGATGAGTTGCTCGAAACCATGCGAAATAATATGTTTTACAACGTTCCAAACAAACTATTTTTGAAGGACCAAATGAAAATACAACTACGGCCAGTCGTCAGAACTGCAAATAGCGAGGTACAACTTCCCATCAAGTCTGTTAGGAGCAAAGGATCAGTCAAATCAGCTAACAGCAGCGTGTTGAATTCCAACGATGACAATTCAACTGTTACGTCTTGTTCGGACGTAACGTCATTTGACGACATTGCACATGCATCCGGGCGAGCAGTCTATCCCCAAACTCCCAACTCTTACTATGGCGCAGTAGTCGCTAACGCAAGCTCTGATATTGACTATTGGACTTTTAAGGACTCGCGCAACGAGGACGTTGAGCCTCAAAGTCTTCCCAAAGTTCGTTCCAGAAATGCAAAGAGAAGACCGTCCGGCACTGGGACTCTTTCGAACTCAAATAATGATACCGACAAGAGTCATTCTTTTCAGATAATTAGGAAACAAAGTGACGACGAGATAAATTTCAATAATAGACGATCATCTCCTTACGCAAAGTCTGATTTCGCCCCCAGAAGAGAGGCTCCCAGACCACCCACAAGCTCACAGAACTCATTAATTTCACCTGGGCCAAGCAGCAGTCACAATTCACCTATAACACAAACGATCCGCAAAAACTCGACTATTACGCGAAAAAGCCGTCCTCCACCACCTGTCACCATATGGAGTCACCTGTCTTCACAACCTTCGACTGTGTCTCTACAGGAAACTCAAACCCCTACAACCAGCCCTGTTGAAACTGTCGTCCACTCCTATACTCCTGGATCCACTCAAGTTCTTGTTCCTCAGCCGTACAAGGGCAAAAGTAATATTACGACAGTAGGATTGGACGAGCCTACGATTTCATATCCCTACTTTGCAAGGGTAAGCAGATCGAGCTCGTTTCAATCAACAGCGAATTCTGTAATGCAATCACCGCCGCAACTTCTCAAGAGAAGTAGCACAAAACGAATCGTTTCATCTGCGTCTGCTGCTGACGTCTTTGATGAAAATGAGGTTTCATTTGCTGACGCACCTGCTCTTTCAGATTCTGACGGGGACCTTACCGAAAGCGATTCCTCGGATAACATAATTTGGTCATCCACGCTCAAGAACACTGACTCGAAAGATAAACTTGCTAATCCACGACTTGCCGTGCAGCAATCTTATTCAGAAAGTTTCCTTGGTGAAGATAATCATCAAGAGGAAGTTTCTAACAAAAAAGAGAGCTATCCGCTCGAAAGAAAGATGACCCTGAGGCCATCACCCGAAGTTGTTTACCAGAATCTGGAGCGCTTTTTCCCTAGAGCAGATCTAGATAGGCCAATTGTGGAAGGAACAACACCACCTCCATCTCCCCAAAATATAAAGCCAACTTCGCCAACCCTTCATCAGCCATTCAGAGAGTCACCGACCTCTGAACCCAGATCTCCTTTCACTTCGAGAATGGGAACACCGCAAACAATGATTAGCAAACCTACCCATGATTCACAAGAGGTTCTTGTTGCGCCATCTAAGTCTTTAAAGGTACCAAAGCGCGCTAAGACTATTAGAATTATCGCAAGAGAAGCAAGCGAAGCGAGAAGGAAATCCAAGATAAAAAGCGTCAGTAGGAAGAACACTAAAATGTGGGGAACCCGTGTTGTCGAGATCACAGATAAAAGAACAGTCTCGATCAATAAATCCAAAAACTCAAATGGAGAATACAAAGAATTTGCTTGGATTAAAGGTGAAATGATAGGTAAAGGATCTTTTGGATCGGTGTTTTTGGGTTTGAATGTTACTACCGGTGAAATGGTGGCAGTAAAGCAGGTTGAAGTACCAAGGTATGGATCTCAGGATGAAACAACACTCAGTGTTTTAGAGGCGCTAAGATCGGAGGTCGCCACTCTTAAAGATCTCGATCACATGAACATCGTACAATATCTCGGCTTCGAGAATAAAAACCACGTTTACAGTTTATTCCTAGAGTATGTTGCCGGCGGATCTGTAGGTGCATTGATTCGGTTATTCGGAAGGTTTGAAGAAGACCTCGTTCGGTTTTTGGCAGTTCAAGTTTTACGGGGTCTCTCATACTTACATTCCAGAGGAATACTTCACCGTGACATGAAAGCAGATAATTTGTTGTTGGATGTTGATGGGGTCTGTAAAATCAGTGATTTCGGGATCTCTAAAAAATCGAATAACATATACACAAACTCTGACATGACTATGAGAGGTACAGTTTTTTGGATGGCGCCAGAAATGGTTGACACAAAGCAAGGGTATAGTGCAAAAGTTGATATTTGGTCTTTGGGTTGCGTAGCACTCGAGATGTTTGCAGGCAAACGTCCTTGGTCTAATTTTGAGGTTGTCGCTGCGATGTTTAAAATAGGGAAATTCAAGTCAGCACCTCCCATTCCAGACGACACCCAGAAGTCTATTTCTCCAGAAGCAAAACAGTTTTTGGACGCATGTTTTAGTATTGATCCTGAAAAAAGGCCAACAGCCGATGATCTGCTCTTACATCCATTCTGCAATGTTGACAAATGCTTTGTTTTCAAGGACACGAATCTTGCTAAGTTCATTAAGTATAATGATAAATGCAATTCAAGCAAGCTGAAAGCTAATAATCAGAAATTCTGACTACCACAGCTTTCAACGCAGTGAAAAGAAAGACCAAATTACTGGTAGTAAATAAGATGCAAGAAACTAGCGATGTACACCGAAACTTCATAAAAATGTCCGCATATCAAAGCTCATCGGGGATTTACTTTTCCTCTGATTCTGTGCGCTTTTTAAGCAAACCTGTTATATCCACTTCTAGCTTGTTGAGCAGTGTATGCATGACATAACGCCGCTCATCGAATGGATACCGTAGTGGCGAGTTGTTCGACAGCCAAAAGTGGGGATCATCCAGAATTTTTCCTGTGTCATCACTGATGGAAGAAAACAATTGCATCCACTCATCAAAGGCTAGCTTTTCGTTAGGATCTCGACGAGAGAGGTGCCGCAACCATTGAACAACCTTGAGATACTCTTCTAGCTTTTCTGAGACAGGATCTACATTTGTCTTCGACGAACCATCAGCGGAATGTGCGTTGGCAAGGCTTCTTTGCTGCTCATCTGCATTGGCTTGCGCTTCACTTGACGTGTAAGGTGTTGGAATTGATTCTTCATCAACCCTGCTCATTTCGGAAGAAAAGGGCATAATGCTTTTTTCGCTCCACGAGGCACGCAGGCAATGGAACAAACGCTGGGGAAGATTAACTACCCATTCGGAAACCCTAACAATGCTAATGTCTAGACCATCAGCCATCACATACAAGGTGTCTCCGACCGTGCTTATCATGGCTGTCATTAGCGGGACAGCACAGAGTGCCCATACGACGAAGAAAGCTCTCCCGCATCCAGTTTTAGGTGCAAAGTCACCAAAACCGATTGTAATTAGACAAAGGAAGCAAAAGTACAGACTGTTGAAATATGTCCATTTTTCGGCATAATGGAAAATCAACGCACCCAGAAGCCAAAAAGCTACAAAGACACAGACTACAGCGAAAGTAGACCAGCTTTGTTGTTTCATCCTGGAAACACTTCTGACATGTTTGATGATATCAAAAGCAGTTTCAGATTCCATAGTTTGCTCACTAGCAATTAACTCTTCATAAATCTTACTTCGAGCATTTTCTACCCTATAGAAAAAGAAGATTGGGCCTGATGAAGATTGAATGATTGATCGTGTCAGCGCAACAATCAGACCCAAAATAATTACACCTGACAAGGAGTATACGAGCGTCATTATTTTGCCAGCTACCGTAACGGGTACCAGATCACCAAGTCCAACAGTCAGTACCACGACAACACAGTAATAGAGAGCTTCACCATACGTCAAAGGAACTATCTGAGAAAACATAGCAGACCCCCAAATAAACCAAAGCGATAAAATAAAAGTGAAGATCATAACATTGCGCTCACTATCCGTCAAATTGAAAGTAGCTGGGTACTTTCCCAGTTTATAACCTCCGTAGTGAATTAACAACAGTGCATTGCACGAGAGATAAAGTATCACTGTAAAAATAGCATACCAGAAACCTATTGTCTTTTCGAGTTCCGGTGTGTAGTCTCGTTTTCCGCAGATGACAATATCGATGAGAAGCATCAAGCCAGCCATTGTCCAGCCCACGATATTGATCAGCTGAGCCGTGAGATAGCTCACTTTTTTGGCAAAATGCAGTAAGAGCACGAAATTGGAAAAACACCCCAGAATCAAAGATACGACATTGACTCCGTATATTCCTCTCGGGTCTGGCTGTATCTGTCCTTGCTCGTCCGCCCTCCATTTGTCAACGACCCCTGCAACCGCAATCATGTTGGCAATGGGGCCCAAACAAGCAGTCAAAACCGGGAAATAACTCGATATCATGAACCATACCACGAACGCTCTACTAGAAGGATCTGCATTCAGGATGACCATTTTTTCTCGGTTGAAGGACAGAGAATCCTCGAGCAGTCTCTTGCGCACATCCTCCGAATCTATGCTACTCTTATTTTCCATTGCATCATTCTCTTGCTGTCAACTTTAAGGATTTGGTTAATACTTCAATCCTTTAACCTGGGGTATCGATGGTGTTAAGCGTGTTTTCATTCCATACAATTTATCACTTCATACGCTTCGCCAATTTAGACATAGATGCCCAATTGTAGAAGCTGCCCATAGTTCCCTTCAGATACGCTGAATGGATCGTAATTCGACCACTCAGGGTATCTTCGAGAGGCTTGGTTCGGGCAGGATTGTCTGAGACAAAAACAATGGTGAAAATCGGGCCTGTTTTCAATTTCGGCGGCTAATTTACTAGAAATAGGAGAGCGCTACACCTTATAGGGCTCCGGTTTGACAGACGTGCTTCAAAGTAGCGAGGCCTTTCTGTTGGATACGTGTGGGTAGAAATTACAACGCCAAAGGTAACAACAAATAATGCTGAGTTTTCGATTTCAAGGGCCTTGCACGAAATTTCTGAGTCTGTAATGCACATACTGAGGAACATCGGAGCATTTCATCCGCCATCGAGTTTGCCACGGAATAAGCAGGATTGATGGTTTGGCACATAATATATCTCGAGAAAAACACGAAAAGTCTCTGTATCTCTAATGGTCGCCAAAAGCTTTTCACTAGAGCAAATGCCATTGTCTCGCCAGAGATCCATCTCTCTCATTAGTTCATCTGCTTACTTTCAAACCTCATATTCAAGCTGACAAGTGCAGAGATATATGTCCTCAAAAACGCGTATTGTGCCAAAGTTTGTGCGCGCTTGGGAACTAGCAGAAACCTACCAAAATCCTCAACTTTCATACTCAATTCTTTGAAGATGCATACCTTGACATGCTGGCCTCAATGAGACTAATTCAACGGGCTTTTTAAGATATTAAATGAACATGTATACCTTGTTTTTAGTAACTTGATATTCACATAATAAATATTTTAAATTTCTCCCCATACGTGCATAAGACTAACTAGATTCTCCCCAAACCACACATCTCTTATAAACAAAGTTCGAGACGGGGATAAAACGGTTGCACTCTCCACTTCTGTGCTGATATATGGCGTGAGGTACAAGAATGGAGCTCGTCTTAAATTCTTTAAATGAAAAACAGCGAGAATCGGCGATTTTCGACTATACAAAAGCACTGCAGATCGTGGCAGGGCCGGGGACCGGTAAAACCAAAGTTCTGACAACGAGAGTAGCTTATTTGTTGCTGGAAAAGGGTATCAACCCTAGTGATGTGGTCATAACAACGTTCACGAAAAAGGCAACGCTCGAGATGATTGAGCGGATTTCGTTTCTGCTCGAAGGCACAGGCATCAACCCGAAGAGTTTATGGATCGGGACATTCCATTCGATATGTGCGCGTGTACTGAGACAGCATGGCTGGAGAATAGGACTTCCGAAAGACTGGAGAACGTTTTCAGACAGCGATACAGATCCGATCATCTCCACATTGGTAGAAAAGATTCCTGACCAAATACGGGACTTTGCGCACAGTTACACACGGAAAGTCAATCTTTTGAGGCCCAATTCTAAGCGAGACTGGGCTGTCCACCCAGCAGCTGTCAAGAAAATGATATCTTGGCTCAAGTCCGAGGGTGTGACGGCTGATGAGTATCGTGCTCGAAACGATCACGATCCGGCGCTTTTGCATTTCTACGATCAATACCAAGCCGAACTTAAATCACAACACGCGCTTGATTTTGATGATCTACTTCTCAGTGCTTTCAAGCTACTCTCAAAACAAAGATGTCTGCCCAACATCAAGCATGTGCTAGTTGACGAATTTCAAGATACGAACAGTATACAGCTGAACCTAATGTACCTTTTCGCTAGAGGAAACAGTTCGCAGTCACAGGGCATAACTGCCGTGGGCGACCCGGACCAAAGCATTTACGCATTCCGTAATGCATTGGCTGGGAATTTTACAGACATGATCACGCATTGTCCTATACCTTGCTCACGAATAGTGCTGGTTGAGAACTACCGTTCGTCTCAAAAAATTCTTACAACCAGTGAAATGTTGATAAAGCAACAACAAACAGGCCGCGAAGATAGACTTCCCTTACGTGCTCAATTCGACAGTGACTTTCCACCAGTTTATATCGAGTTTCCAGCGAAGTTTTTGGAGTCGCGCGCCCTAGCCAAGGAATTAATTTATCTTCGATCTCTACCCAACCTTTGGAACTATAATGATTTTGCCCTCCTGGTACGACACCGTCGGCAAATAAGACCTTTGGAGACATCCCTTATAGAACACCGGATTCCATACAAGATAGTCAATGGCCGCGCATTTTGGGAGCTCAAAGAAATCAACGGCATGATGGACTTGTTAAAGTGCGTTTATTCCAACTTCGAAAAGAATGCCATTCTAAGAGCGTTGCAATACCCTGCTCGGGGTATGGGATCCGCTACAGCTAAGAAACTCGAAATCATGTTCGTTGATTACAGATCTCCTTTTGAAGCTTTAAGCGATATCATGAATGGTCCGCAGAAAAACACACTTCCTCCAAAAGCGGTCACAGTGATAAATAACTTCATTTCTCTGATCGAAAAGTGCAGAGATCTTCTTACTGATGCAACCGGTGTAGAAATAATTAGTAGCATCTTCGATCAGCTCTACGAAGAGTCGGGACTACGTTACGAATATCAATACGTCGATGGCAAAAAGAAAGCTGAAGTCAATCCTAAAGGCGAACCTGACTTGATGAATAAAAGGCATCTCAACATTTTGATTTTGAGAGAGCATGTCGCTAATTTTAAGCCTATGGAGGAAGACTTGGCTCAGCGCGACGGACCCGTAGATGAAAACCCCGAATCTGACAAGTATGTCAACATACATGACTTACTTCGAGAATTCATTGACTCTGTCAACTTGTATTCGACAGAAACCGAGGTTGATGAATCTCAAATGTCAAAGAAGCAGATTCAGCAAAAGAAGAAGCGAGAAGAAGAAGGGTTTGTGACGATCTCCACTATTCATGGCGCTAAAGGGCTCGAGTGGCCCGTTGTAATGATCCCTGGTTGCGTTGAAGGGGTGATTCCTTGCGTCTTTAGCAACAAAGAAGATACCGACGATAGTGAAAACGAGACAGATTCTGGAACTAGTAAAACAACCGCGGCAAACAACAGCCCAAGGAAAATGCGACAAAAAAACAGTGAAGGGTCACTTGATGAAGAACGCAGGATGTTTTTTGTTGCGCAAACGAGAGCTAAACATTTACTCTACCTAACATCGACACTCAGCAACGATTCAGAGTCTAGATATGAATCGTCTACACCCAGCAGATTTCTTACGGCTGACCTAGTAAGCACAATGTGTCAAGAACAGAAACTTTTTGGAGACGTAAAATCTATCGAAAAGCTGTATCGAGCTGTAGGTAAGTCACTGCCGTCCGGGAATCCTGCGTTTTCAACGGACGTATTGATAAAGGATTACGAAATGTTCATTAATAACAGAAGAGAGAGAATGATATGGAGAGGTTCCACAGTTTTCGATCCGGCACGGTTGAAGCTCAGCGAGAACACCAATCAACCCCCTGCTAACTATGGTATCACTACTGCGGCAATGCAGCTGAAAAACACACCTACTAATATCAGAGGTCCGCCGCATTATTCCCAAAAATTAGCTCTCCCGAATAGTGCTGCAAGAACATCATCAGATCCGAGTGCACTTACTGCGAGGAACATGGCACCCAACTACGGGCTTGCAAGGAGTAATTCAATCGGTGCTCCGAAAAATTATGCACCAAAAGCCACATTGCACAAAGTAACAAAAACCCCACAGGCATCATCATTTGCTCCCAAGGCTGGCGAGGCTATAAAATTTAACGAAAATAAGAGAGATGTCTCGCCTGAGAAAGTCATCAACAAAGAATCCATCACGAAAGCACCCTTTGCAACAAGCAATAATATGAGTTCCGCTAACAAAAGAACAGGGCGCAGGTCGCGAAGAAAAATAGTAGCGGACTCAATCGATCTTCGTGGAATGCAATGCGACTATGATAGTTCAGTGATAAAAGGAGAAGTGGTAGATTTTAATGTGAAGCGGGAAGAGCCTGTATTCGATAATGCTTGCAATAAGACGGCAGGCGAACTGCTACATGATTCAAATGATTTAAGGAATGACAGTAGGCCAATCCTCACAAACGCAAAGTCCTTGGCGGATTCAATATCGAAGCCCGCTGGTAAGAGAATAAAAAGACCAGACGATAGTACCAAGAAAAAGGTAAAGTTGGAGCCTCTAAGCAGCAGACCAGACATCATGTCGCGCCTTTCACAGGCTAAAAAGAGGGCAGATGAATCAAAGGACACTGTAATCATCATCGATTAAGCTTTTCAGTATACAAATAAAATGCATGATCTTCTTCACAACTTTATGAACAACTCTTTGCGCTTCATAAATAAACCAGTTGAAGCTACAAACGACGCGTACAGGAATAGGACAAGAAAGGCGAGTGCTGGCTGTATGTCTATCGTAGGTATGGCCATATTTATCAATCCAGTAGTCACATTAGCCAAAAGGAACAAGAATAGCCCATTAGAGTTGATAGCTTCTAGCGCTGGTGAGATTTGACAATTCGATGAGGTATTTCCAAAAACTTTGTCTGCCAGGCAATAAATGGAAAGAGCGCCGGTGTTATACGACACAACCCACATAACGTAAGGGAGGTTGGCAAATCGCCTGGAAATGTCGAACGGGTGCCACGCAAAAACCATTTGTGTCACAGACAGCGAAATAAATGACCAAGTGAGCAAACCGCTCAAAGGAGTCTTAGACGTCAACTTATCCCACACACTAGGCTCCTTAGCTTTAATTATTGGCTGGGCTGATGCTTTGTACAAGTTGTTCTTGGTGGGAATATTACCAAGAGTGTAAAAGCCTGTGGTCTGGCCCCAGAGGAAAATGGAGCAGTATCCAATAAACGAAAAAATGCCTTCGCGGTTCGCCTCCACCAAGTTATTCCGTGGGGCAGTTATTAGAAAACTCATGAATCTTTCGTCGAATACCATGAGCAGGTCGCTAGCAACCGATATAGTAATAGCCACCACAATCCTCGGAACATACCTGGTGATTTCGTCAATAAAAACCAATACTAATGGAAGAAAGGCCAGCGTAATAAAGAAGTTCCAATGCACGCCGTATTCGGTAACGTGTTCCTGATACTCTAAGTTCTTCACAAAATATAGTCGTAAAAGCCCAAGTACTAATACAGTACCACAAGATTTCAGCGCATTGATAAGTTTGTTGGGAAAGCGAGTGTTACGACCGCTTAACTCGTCTTTCAGTATCGCTCTCGAGGACACAATCCCATTACTGAATACAAATGATCCAACTCCAAGATCCATAAGCGAGCTACCCCAGGTCTCCACTTTAGCAAACCTACGAGGGAAAATTTGGAAATCTACGGCGAGTATAGCCAAAACAGTAATGACCATCATACTACCACGATAAGCAGTAATAAAAGGTCGTTTTATAAGTGTCATTTCATCTTCGATTCGTTGTGGTTTTTCATGGCTTCTCTGGGGCTTAACCTTTGCCATTTCTGGTGACGTTCTTCGGGCAACAAACCAATAAGCCAAAGAAGGCACGAGAAGCAGCAAGTTCAGATACAACGGTGCGCCCGAATAAGTAGTTATGGCCAACAAAATACCACACCAGTTAAACATGAAGTCAATAATATATTTGACGCTTCCATCTCTTACTGTAGCATTAACTAGGTTCCAACAAATATATGCACAAAAGGCGACAGAAGTTACTGCATTGATCTCTTCTATGGACCCGCCTGTCAAACCTGAAACGAAGTCTTCTTTCCGCTGTCTCAGATCAGCCATTGAGCTATTGAATGGTGTGTTTGGCAAATATTGGGTGTGCTGATTTTCTAGATTGCTTGACAAACAGTAATAAGTCATTTTCATTGTAAACAAACTTTAATTTGAACTAAGATATATGGAAGAAACGACAGCGATGCCGCTTTGGTCTAATTTCATGAGCTGTAGCCATTTCTATGTAGTCTAAGTATCTATTTCTCGCATATGTTGACGTGTGATTCTCCTAACAGGGGCTTTTGTATCTGATTTTTGTTGAGGAGAGCCATAGGTTACTTGTGTGTGTGCAGGCTCTTCGCATTGTATAGCAGGCTCCTGGTCAGACTCATGATGATTTTCAGCTTTCCGCGCTTGGTCCGACAGCATTCGGCCCCAGCTAGAAGATCTTTGAATGGGTTGAAGAGGTTCGGTGGGTACTAATCTTGGGACCTTAGGTGGTGCAGAATACTGCGGAACAGTCAAAAAAGTTTCAGATTCAGTATGTGAACGCTTAGCCACTGTTTTTGATGATGGTGAAGCACCACTAAACCTTTGAATAATTTCTTGGCGGCTTTGTCCTATTGAGAGATGGCTTGTAGAATTAAATTTCTGTGCAAGGCCAGACTTTGCGGGGAACAAATTTTCTTTCACAGAACTTGCTGCATGTCTCTGGTGAAGCTCTAGATAATATTGGTCTTTCCCGCCTTTGGGACACGATATACACCAATTGAGGTCGTTCAGATAGATTTTTGCCATCGGTTTCCCTACGGTGCGACTCCTGTGCGCTCGAGTGAAAACCTCCATTACAAACCCGGCGGTGACTACGGGTACGTTGTGCTTTTGTTTGATGAACTCAATCTTACGCTTCATAGAATTGCGATGTACTTGATTCTGTTCAATTTTACGGCTCTCTGTGAACATGGACGCCAACTGATTTTGCCATAGTTTATGAGTTTCCGGGATGCTGCTCAAAGCGCCTAAGTTGATGACTAAGAAGTCGGTTTCTTTGTTTAAGGTCTGACTTAGCCTCAGCCCAGACGGTACCAATAAATCCAACATCTTGGTAATATGCAAAAGTTCAACACCTTGAAATCCCGTTATAGCCACATTGAGGGCTCGGGGCTCGTGTGTTTCTGAAGAAAGTTGTTGAGACGGAATAATATCGAATTCGGAAAAGAACGGTAAGCACCATGGATCTGGTGTCAGCAGTTTCTTATAATGCAAACATCTTTCGAAAAAAAATTCTGTAACCAAATGAGTGAACGATTTTTCCAGCAATGCTAGCTCGGTTACATATTGGTCGCTGGGCACAACCAGATATGAGGGTTGATCAATCTTTGATTTCGGGTCAAAGTCGTAGCATGATCCTCCATTTTGAGTGATAATCTTTTGAAGAATAGTTTTTTGTCTAATTGGGAAATGCAATAAATAGCAGTGCTTATCTTGAAACAAGCTTGGGGTTTGTTCTGCTCTTGCAGTCTTAATTATGGGTTGGTCATTAGCAAGGGCAGCTTTTGTTGTTGCCTTGTGCATCACGCTATTCCAGAGTCGATCACCGTCTGTTGCAAATTTATCCAAGACTATGCGCTGACTTTGTTTGGCGTTTATGTTATCATCTTCCGGCGCCTGTGGCTCTGTTGAATTCCTATGCAAAAACACGTCGTGCCAGCATGTACATGCACCTTCTCCAATGGCATCATAGTCAGTAGAGATGTTGTTTTCTAGAAGATAGAATGCAAAATCCAGTAGTGCACTTCTGTTGTAACAGTCCAGAATCCATTTGGGGTGCACGATGGGTAGTCCTTGGAGTCTAGCGGCGTCTACACGCGCCCCACGCGGTTGATCGGTCACGAAAACCGTCGGACGACTCCAGTGGGTCTCTTTGACGAAATGGCGCGTGTTGCAGGAATGAACGCCTTGTTGTATGCATAAGTTGTCCAAAGCATCCATACTCAGTTGACCGTCACGAGTGTCGTTAACGCGACCTATGAAAATGACAAAGTCCTTGAGTGGGCCAAGTTGATACCGCGTCTGTAGAACTTTAAGCATGCGGTCTTTGCCATTTGTTAGGTGTGCGTAGTTGGAATGCGACTCCATAGAGATGTCTTCGCCGGTAAGCCATAGATCGTAGATGGTGTCTATGACGCCTGCATCGATAAACGCCATATCAAACCGGTGCTGGACGGCGAACCGGTACTTGTTCGTGGCTATACTCCCAGCCACCAGCACATTTACGTTTTTGGTAAGGTCTTTGGAAAACCCACCGCCCAATTTCGATATCTTACGCGACACATTCCGCGACACATCTTCCGGCAAAGCCGTGGGACAAAACGTGAGTCCCTGGAAGGGCTTCTGCATGGTGGGAAAAGTGCAAACGTGGGGGTTGTCCGGCCTTGAAGCGAGATATCGTTGTTTAAAGTGTACGTAATTTTTGGAAGGTTTTTGACCGATATGACTAGCATGAAAACTAACAATAATTATGCTTTGCCGTATGTGAAGAGAAGATGAAGAGGAGGAAGAAGTTCCAAAATAATGGGTGGGGGGTTGGAAGCACACCGTTCGAATCGTAAAGAACTTTGGTGAGACGCTATCATATGTGAGAAATGCAGCTGGTAAATAGCCGAGGTGGGCTGGGTTTTTTTTGGTTTTTACTTTGGGACCAGTGCTGAAACCCTGCGTCTCTCGTGCCTTGCGGCGAAAGGGGCTCTCGGTGGCGGTCCCGATTCTGGGTCGCCAGCGCTGCCATCGCTCGCATGAGCCAAGCGGTTCCATGTGTGAGTGCGCGCGTGCCAAGAACCAAATACCCGTATGCAGGTGTGTGTTATGTAAGCTGACGGCGCGTCAAAGTGTCACAGCATGTTACATCAGCAGCGACGTGCATGTACACTGACTGCTTATGTCATTGTCCGCTTCTGGCTTTTTTTTCTCATTTTGGGTTTTGTGTTTTGTGTTTGTTTTTTTTTCTTCCCGTTTGCCGCGATGTCGGGCCAAAGGACTTGGAGATTGGGGGAAGGATATAATCGCTTGGGTGTGACTCCCTTTCATGCGCGCCGCGAGCCGCGGCTGGCCAACAAAAAACCCAAAAAACAAAAAAAAAAAAAACTAAACAAACTTTAGAAAAAGGGGTGCCGGTGTTTAACGCATCCCATCCGGCTCGGTCCCGACCTCGCTCCCACTCAAAATACGCGCACCCCGCCGTCTTACATTATCTGTTCCCCCGCACTAATGGAGAACAGAACTATACCTGGCTGACTGACACACACAGCCTTAAGGGAATAATCATAAGAATAGCCAATAACGCAAGTCCTGACAACACTTATGTGGAACAGTTCAGCAACAGCAGATAACAAACACGAGAGAATTTAGTTCTCATTAAAAGTAATCGAAGCACAAACTCTGAAACAAGGTCTCAAAAGAGCCTAGAATCGTTTTGCAAGGTAGATTGCAATCTTAGGCGGAAAACGGTTGTTTTTAGTATTTAAAGAAGGGGCCTGTCTGTCTGTTGGTCTGGTTTGAGGCCTTGGAGATATTGGCTCGCTAACGCATGAATAGTGAACTGTGAGATTCGGAGAACGCTGTGAGTAAGTGGCAACCAGCAATTGGAAAAAAGAAAAAGCGGTCGACAAACTAGAGGTTCTCGAGCTGGGAAGCAACGGTTCGCAAATATATATATATATACATATATATATAAATATCATCCCCGGTTTTTCGGACTGGAAAAGCCACCCTTTGGTCGTGCTAGAGTGCCATGTCGAAACGAAGATACGGAAGCCCCACTCTCCGCAAGGATTCGCACTTGCTGCTATCCAAAACCGCGCGACTGTCACAGGCCTGCGATCGGTGCCGGCTGAAAAAAATCAAGTGCGACGGCGCCAGACCTTCGTGCGTCGCCTGCACAAAAGTTGGTTTCCATTGCCAGCACAGTGACAAGCTCTCCAGGCGCGGGATCCCGAAAAATTATACCGACTCGCTGGAGAAAGAGGTGGTGCGTCTGCAGCAATTGCTAGGCGAGGCACAAGCTCGGTCTACCGCTGCGAGTCCCGGCGCCAACAGGAACTCGGATCCGTATCCGCCCTCTCTTTCCAACTCCCCATTTGACCTCCCATTTGTCAATGATACCTTTCATCTTTACAACAACCATGTCAACACCGAGGGCAGATTCGTGGGTCACGCTACCTGGAATATGTTGGCCAACTCTATGTCCGAATTGCCCATGGACACTCTGCCCAACGAAGACGAATGGTTGTTGCGATACCTCGTTCGCCAATTCCAGCTTTCTCAAGACCGCATCCCCACGGTGCTTCTCTCTAGATACCAACAAGATGCCATTCTATGTGAGAAACGTATACAGAAGTCTATTTCACATTTTCTCGACACTTCCATGGCCCTGATACCCATTTTAAATCCGGACTCCTGGCGCGACAGTCTCTTGAGGATACCTCACTCGAAAAATGTCCATCCCGCAGTGTTGCTTTCTTATTTGTTCATCTGTCAATGGCAATGGTCGTGTTTCAGCGATGAAAAGCTTTTCACCGCGACCAAGTTTGTTTGTCTCAACTCGACGAAACCTTTGCTTCGCCTACAGAGCCTATTATTGGCGAGTTTCTATTTCATGGGAACCCCGGGAATGTCCCTATTATCGAAATGCTCTACCGCGCCTTTTGCTTCTCAACTTCTGAGACTTGCGTATGCGGAAATGATAAACCTGGGGCTTTTCATCAATAGCCATCGATTGACCCCCATAGAGCCCCACGCCGCCCTCAATCACATTGAGCGATTGACAACTTTCTGGTGTTTTCAATTTTTAGACTCTTGGTGGACTTTACTGCAAGGGCTACCCAAGACAAACTTCACAACCGATGAATTTCTGCCACCAAAACTTTCAACTCTGAATAATCCCAAATTCAAACCATTTGAGCTACTAGTAGACTTCGTTGTTGGTTGTCTTGACGGCTGCAACCTTCTCAAAGCTCTATCGCAAGGTTCTTACAATACCCACATGGTCTACGTTTTGGAAACTTTCCGAAAACAGCTCTTCCAGTATAGTCTTTACCATCGCTTAGCTGATCATGACGTTCAGAGTTTTTCTGCTCTAATCACTAATGTTGATCAACCGTTGGCCATAGAGATTCAAATAACACTGTACTATCTGGTAATGTCACTGTTTACCAACCTCAAAGCCACCGAGACGACGATCATCAAAAAGGTTGCATTTGAGCCCAATTCTCAGGATGCCACCAAATATCAAGAAGACTATTCTTCGACAAAGAGACCTACGTGCTCAAGCAAAATAATGAAGGCACTTTCTTCACAGCGAGAAAATGCTTACGAAATTTTGACTCTTTACTACCTCACCATCGTTGATCACAACGATTCAAAAAACGTGGCGCCGCTACAATTCAAAGCGTTGCATCTTCTGCCGTGCGAGAACTTTGCGGTTATCAAAGTCTGCCTAGAGACTCTTGCTTCATGGGCGTCGTCGAAATTTGCAAAAGACGATCCTGAGTACCAACTGATATACAACAGGTGTCGCTCTACTGTTGAAGCTTGGTGCAACCTGTGGTACTTTGACGAACCAGAAGATGACTTGCTGACACGGCTGCAAACGCTATTTGACTTCAGTTTGGTGCTTCCATCGCCAAGAACTGGCCAAGTCTTCGATAAACTGTTGTATTTGCACTCCATGAAATTACAAAGTAGGCGGGCGTTGCTCCTCAATCAAAATAACGATACCCAAACTACGGGTAATGTGGAGGAGCCTTTGAGCTTGTTCGGTGGGGACAACATGGCGATGCGAATCCCAACTTCCGAAACCATAAATGCGCTATTTAACCCCATAGCCATGCAAGAGGAGGATGAAGGCTACGCCGAAGATGATGACGAAGACGACGATGCATTTTTGGAAATACCGATCGTAAAGAAAAAACAAACGAGTCAAAGGAGTGGAAGCAACCAAGCTTCTTCACTTCAGTATTCCCATTCTGGTTCTCTTTTTGACCACCGTAGGCCAGGGCCAATGCCGAGGCGCGTTTCGGATGGTATGGGAGCGGAACCAGATCATTTAAACGGCCTCTTAAAGGATGATAGCACTTTGAAGGCACCCGGAACCTTCGGTGAAAAATGGACAAATGAGCACTATTTGCTGGTGCAAGGGTATCAAAAGCCCTCTTCCATGGTAGGAACGCCGCGTTCTTTAGCAGATTTACTAGCACCTAGCTCAGACGTTGTCATTCCGTCAGAGGCAATAGATAGGTCCAAACTTTCCACCAATCAAACATAGGTAACTTACAGTGGACTGTTATTATTTAATTGTATAGGAAGGAATCATATGAAAATAGATCTGGCTTGCATTGTACTCTTTTATCTAAAGCTCGATTTTCATGCCTTGCTCAATTTTCGATGTCCTGTTTTTTTTGTATTAAACCCAAAATACTCTGAGGAAGCTAGCTCATCGCCAAGTGTCGATTTAATGAACTATACAGAAGGAAAGAACTGACGCAGATGTTTCGAAAAAGAGTCAAGCTGCAGGCTTCCGGAAGCTCAGATGCTTCCTCCAAGGATAACGGTCATACTTCTATTGAAAAAAGTCGGCGAAGAAATAAGGTCAAGATCTTGCAAAGTTATGACGACAACGATGAACAAGAAGATGGCCCGGACGTGACTCTTCGGAAGAAGACTAAGAAAACAATCAGATATACTGCTGTACTAGATACGCCGATTAAAGATGAAGAAGAAGAATACAAGCATGATATACCGTTTTCGACTGATACGAAACCGCAAATCATGAACTTGGAAGACATCGACGACGACGATGGTGATGATGATGAAAATGAAAATAACGAATTGCATGGTATACCATCAAACATAGAAATTGAGAGGATACGAAGGCAGCGAGCAATTTTACAGCAGACCTCCAACACTACAGGGACGGGTTTCTACAATTCAGCTCATAAGCCGCCCTTAGAGTATAATGAACGAGAATACGTCAAGTTGCTGAATAAAGAAGATAAAAATGATCTTTTGGAGGTTATCGGTGATCGATCAAGAGACACAGAGGACCATGACGCGCCTGTAGATGTGACACAAGGTGTATTTGAAGATGCAAGACTCGCACTCAGCAAAGAAGAGCTACGACGTGATGAATCTGAGCGGAGGCAGGAGATTATAAATGCTCTAGACGAGGTGCAAAACGATCAATGGGAAGCGCAGCAAGTCAACAAGATGGAAAAGGGTTCGAAAATTACTTCACTTCCTCTCCTACATGAAGACGATCTGGCTCTCGAAGCGTTGATATCAGAACTTCAAAACATCGCTCTCACCGCACAGAACAAACGAAAGATTATGTGCGCTCAGAAACGTTCTTTGAAAGCTGAACTCGATGAACTCACCCAACAGCAACAAGCTTTGGTATCGAGGCTAGAAAGAATCAGCTCTGAATAGTACGTTTCGTGGAAATCGTGAATAGCCCCCAGCTTGCAACGGGCGAAGACTGTATTGTTTTACTACAACTTTTAGGATCGAAGTCAAAGCTTGTAGCGACTTCCGAAACCAACGGAATTCGTCTGAATTAAATTTCTGACCGAATTGAGTTTTTGAATGCTTCATCACATTTTCTTGGTAAGCTGGCTTACAAGAAACTGACGGAGCTAGGATAACTCGTGCTTACAATACCAACCTACAAGCTGCCTGGCTTCCAATCTCGAGATGAATCAAATGTTTGTTCGTACGCGATGATGTTGATTCCACGTCACTTATAATCGAAACAGAACCATCATTTTTATCAAGCCTATGTTAAGTTGCGAATAGAGATTTCCAAACCCACGTACTATCCTGGGGCTAACTAGAGTTCAAACTTCAATGCTTTTTTCAAGATAACTCATATGAAAAGTACAGGATTCGCCGGATTCGTGATGCCACAATGTATCAATATTTTCACATTATGTACGAGGTTTTTTAACATTCATAACAATCAAAGATCTTGAGCTATGTCTGGAAGAACAAGTCAGTTGGCAGAGAAGAAGCATGAGCTATTTTCGGTAAGTGGCACCCAGCGTACAGCAGACCTTTGAATTTTTACTAACATTGAGAAATTGCAGAGAGAGCAATGGCTCACTACGAGCATTAGCGCTTGCGAGATTGGCACGAAACTCCAAAGCATGTGAAACAGGAAACTCTTTGGAGAAGCTTTTAGCTTCTTTGCCGGTGTCTTACTCTTCAAATCCAGTTAAATTGTTCTCAATCCCCTTGACTCTTAATGAATTGGAGGTTCTTCTGGCTATCTGTAAATCAACTCCCTCGGGGGAAATACAAGCGCGTTCTCTACTGAAAAAGTGTATCTTTCCATACTTTCTCGCTAGCCCAAAACAAAAATTCACGGACTTTGTGCTTAACAAATACAGGCAGCGTAATTTGAAGCACCCCGGCCAAGTGCTGTCTTTCGAGCTCGCAAGGTGCATAATTAGGGCCAATCGAATGTACCCGCAATTATTGCCAGAAACTTGTCGATTGGTCGATGAGTACCTGCAAATAGTGTCGGATGGTATGACAGTAGAGGGCCTACTCTCACTTGCAGGATTTTTCGAGGCTTTGATTCTCGAGAAAGGAAAATCGCTGACCTCCGTTCTCATAAGCACACTAAGAACTTTCCTGACTGAGGATTTTTTGCAAGCTGTGGAGATGACGACCAGGACGTCTTCCAGCAAAGATATTCTTATCTTTTATTTTGACCGCAATCGGGAGATTTCATCGCTGTTGTTCTGCGAATTAATCGAAAAGTTGCAGGTAGCATATGCTTGCCATTTATTGGCAGTGCCAGAAAGGGACTCTTTGGACACATATTTGTTGAAGCTGCAACATCAGCACACAAAGAACGATAAAAGCTCTTTGTTTGAGGAATTTAGTGACGCCTTGCTCAAGCACAAGGCAGAACTCCTGGAATTGTGCGCTTTCTCTTTCAAGCAAATGACAGAGATTGAGCAAGGTGCGAAATACATTGACTTTTCCAGTCAAAGCCGTCTTGAGTTTGCCTTGAGGTCCAAGTCGTACATGCTTCAAATTCTTGCCCTTGGAGTTTTCATAGGATTTGAGCTCGAGGAATTTACTGAGATTGTACGCGACTCTGTGGTTGATTTGCCAACTAACCACTGTGCTTTAGGTACTGACTTATTTGCTACTGTTGTTACAGTCGCGTCTTTACTGAACTATTTCACGGAGGCTGTGTCATCTGATCTATTGCGGGTGTTCCCTGTACTGGTGTCAACGAAGTCAATATCGAAGCAGCAAATCTTGGCTATTTCGACAAGTTTCGCCAGAGGATTAGTTCCTCTTACTGAGGATGCGATCGTCGGTACGATCTACACGATTAACAACTTGCTCGCATTGGCTCAAGACGGGCCCACAGTGAAAGGGCGTCGCTTGACAACCGCGCTAGGTAACGGGACCAACTTTGATCGCTTTCTGTCCTCTAGGCCGACTCGATCTAATACTGTAGCAACCTATCAATCTTTGCAACGATTGAAACTTTCAGAAATCAATATTGAAGGCCAGCAATTTAGCTACGAGGGCCAAGCTGCAAAGTTTCAGGACGAGGATAACTCTTCTCCTTATCACAATGAACTTTTTGAAAATGTCATTACAGCAACCACTACAATTGCTGCCATTTACAACGATCAGTCCATTACTGCGTTGACAATCACAATTTTAACTCAAAAGTACAGATCTGTTTCCCCTCAATTAGATAAAGGAATTTTGGAGGGCTTGGCACACTTGGCACTGACTGTAAACAAGTCTGAGTTTAATCTACTAATGAAGTTTTTCCACACGGCTACCAACCGCGCTTTGGAAAATAAAGATTCAACTATGACTTCGAGCCTCGTCTCAGCTAAGATTGTAATTGCAAATGGCCTCTCAGCTGAAAAGCCACGAGGCCCTTTGTTTCGAATTTACCTCGACTATCTGTTGGATTCAATCGTCGCACGAGGAGACGTTGATCGTTCAGAACACCATAGATCTCATACTGAAATTTCAGAAGTGGCTGAACAAATAGCACTTTATTTGAAGCCCCTAGCTGCTCTGCTTCCTAAACCAGGATCTAAGCCGATAAGTCTCATGCATGATGAAGCCTTAACTAACACATTTAGGAATGTTTGGTATAATGCAGCAGTCCACGGCTTTCATGGGGAGGCGCCTCTGAGTAGAAAGCATCACAAAGAGTTGTCTATAATTGCTTACAATTCGCCACCGCTTGCATCCGACTTCCCAGCGGTAAACCGCGAAACATCTCTGGAAATGAATACTATTCTTCGTCGTGGCTCGTCGAATCATAATTTGAAAGAGCAAAAGCACATACTGTCTGATTTTTTATCCATAAGTTCAGTTCAAGCCAGGACACTTTCCTCTTCAAAAATTATGTTTTTGGCAGCAACTCTTCTTCTAGAGAACTTAAGATGTGAGGCAGGTGATTGCTCTAAGGCTTTACTTTATTGTTCTGATCGTTCTATTGCCAAAAGTAATATCGACAAATTTGTGAGTTCGATTTCAATGGCAATGATTCAAAAGTACACTATGCTTGTCATACAGGGAACCTCCCAAAATTTTTGTGCAGAAAATGTTGCAAGGCAACTGAATAACATCATACTTTTGTTAACTCATAGGGACACTTCACTTCAGGATGCTGCTTATCTCTGCTGTGACAAATTCATTGAGAGAATTCCATCGAGTCTTTGTCATCGCGATTCTCTTTACACTTTGTTGGACCTATTGTCTATGCTTTTTGATAGCGTTGTATCTTGTGAAGCCAACAAGCACGAAGTCGTTTTTGAATTCACTTTGAAGCACTCTCAAAGGAAAGTGATGTTACCAGACTCGTATCACTGGCGTTCTTTGACCCTGGAAAAACTTCAAAAATATGCTACACGTTGGGTCACCGTTATTTTGAAGACTGCCAACCAAGATACCAAAATTTTATTGCAGTCCTATATTTCGGACTTGGGCAGTATTCAAAGACTAAATAACGTTGAATTTGGTGTTTCTTTTGCCCTCGAAATGGCAGCAAAAATATTACCCGTGGATAGGGAATTGGCCAGTATCACTAGAAGTGGGTACCGCCGGCCGGATAGTATGTCGGGCTTTTTATCGCAACATGCTTGGAGGTCTCGATTTATGAGAGAACAAAGTACTATATCCTCCTTCCATGATATCGACGTGGAGAGGAGCAGCCTGAAGTCTAGAATTGAGGAAGCTCTCGCAAAGAATAAATCCCTGAACTACAGAGATATAAGCGCATTTCTTGACCTATCAGCATCACTTCTCGTTCTAAGAAAAGGAAATGCAGCTACCTTAGTCTACGACATTGTCAACGTTCCCTTTATGGTCTCAACTTCCGATGCTGTAAAGATCGCGACAAACGTCTGGTTATCAGTTATGAAGGAAAGAAGCGATATTTCGTACTTACTTCTGTCAGAAATTGGTAACTGCTGGGCGTCCTCGATTGATAACAACGAAGGTCTTTTTTCAACTCATCATAATCTCGTGGTGGAGGAATTTCAACCAATGCAGTATGCTCCTTACAACAAAAAGGAAATAAACGCACGCGCACATAGCGCCAGTAAGTCTTTGCAGCCTCATATGTTGATTATCAGGTTTTTAACCTCTCATTTTGAAGGAACCATGTTTGATAGTCTGCATTTGCTGCAAATTTTTACCAAAATATGTCTCCAGGGCTTAACAAACCTCGTCAAGGCGAGCTCTCATCCTTTTGCAAGAATGGCCCGTAATGAATTGCTCAACTTTGGTGTTTTAGTGTTTTCGATTAATGTAAAGCATAAAACACGTTACGTTCCTGATATTAGTCGCGCATTGGTAAACGGAGCTTTGAGCTGGTTTGAGAAGCCAAATTCGTGGCCATTTGGAGCCAATGAGCTAAAAATAAGAGCAGATTTGGCGATGCTTATCGAGCTTTACAAGAAGTTGAAGAAAAACGAATCCGCGTTAAACGACTATAATCCCAGAGAGCTTACCCTGTTAGAGTACTTCATGCTGAGTGAAATCCACTCAGTAGAGAGTTGGTTACGACCCTTGGCCAAGCCTCAAGATATTACGAAACTACCGCTAGAACTCATTTCCTTTGCTTTCACGAAAAATCCTTTACTAGCACAAAACTTGATCGATCGCTTTCCGTCAAAGAAAGCTGATGAACTTTTACAACGCATGATTGTTGAAAGCCCATTGCAATGCGTGCATTCCCCAAAAAGTTTGGCGCCCTTTTTGGCAGGTGCTAAAGACTTTCATTACACACTTTATTGGGCTTCAACGAGTCCGTTACAATCAATTAATCTCTTCCTCCCACAATATGCTCAAAACAGATTTGTTGTGCAGTACAACACACGAGCCCTTGAATCACACGACGTTAACTTGACGTTTTTCTATGTGCCTCAAATCGTTCAATGTTTGAGAAGTGATCCTCTTGGTTATGTTGAAAGATTCATCATCGACACCGCAAAGATAAGCGTGTTATTCGCCCATCAAATTATATGGAACATGCTGGCAAACAGTTTCAAGGACGATGAAGGAGAAATTCCAGACGACTTGAAGCCTTGTCTAGATCGAATCCATGAAAAAATGGTCGCGTCGTTTAGTGACAAGCAAAGAGGCTTTTATGAGCGTGAGTTTGATTTCTTTAACGAAGTTACTGGTATTTCAGGTAAGTTAAGACCTTTTATCAAAAAGACTAAAGCGGAAAAGAAATTAAAGATTGACGAAGAAATGGCAAAGATTGTGGTTCGCGACGGGGTTTACTTGCCCTCCAATCCTGATGGCGTAGTAGTGGACATTGATCGTTCGAGTGGGAAACCATTACAAAGTCATGCAAAAGCACCCTTCATGGCGACATTCAAGATTGAAAAAACCATTCAAGAAGTTGAAACTGAAGAGCCACAGAAGGTAGAAAAGTGGCAGGCAGCGATCTTTAAAGTGGGAGACGACTGTAGACAAGATGTCCTGGCACTACAATTGGTATCATTGTTCCGCACTATTTGGTCGTGCATTGGACTGGATGTGTACGTGTTCCCCTACAGGGTGACTGCAACTGCACCGGGATGCGGTGTGATAGATGTCTTGCCTAATTCCATTTCGAGAGACATGTTAGGAAGAGAAGCTGTTAATGGCCTTTACGAATATTTCATCACCAAATTCGGTCACGAAAACACGGCGGAGTTTCAAAAAGCCAGAAATAATTTCGTGAAGTCACTTGCTGGATACTCGGTAATTTCTTACTTGTTACAGTTCAAGGACAGGCACAACGGTAATATTATGTACGATGACCAGGGTCACTGTTTGCACATTGACTTTGGCTTCATTTTTGACATTGTTCCGGGGGGTGTGAAGTTCGAAGCAGTGCCTTTCAAACTGACCAAAGAGATGGTCAAAGTAATGGGCGGATCTCCAGATACACAGGCCTACCAAGAGTTTGAGGAACTTTGTATCAAGGCTTATTTGGCAGCGCGCCCTCATATGAGTGCAATTCTGGAGTTAGTTAGGCCAATGCTTAGTAGCGGCCTGCCCTGTTTCAAGGGCGAGAAAACAATGCGCAACCTGGAGGCTCGATTTGTCCCACACAAAAGCGAGCACGAGGCCGCCGAATTCATGATGGGATTGATCAAAAAGTCTTACGAGAGTATTTTCACGAAAGGCTACGACGAGTTCCAGCGTCTAACGAATGGCATTCCTTATTGAATAACAATGAGCGTCTTGGACCGTTACTCTCAAATACTACAATTATCACCAGAGCTTTTTATATATTTCGTGAATCACTGACTAATAGCTAAGGGCTTGTAAGAGATTATGAACAAAATGAACTCACAGTCTTCCATAAACATGAGGATGCCAATCCTGCATATCGAATTTGCTAAGATTCGACACACATGGTGACAGAATCATATGAAGTGATATACAGCCTGCCGAAGACACCTCGTGACTGTCACGTTCTAAGGTCGCGTGCTATAAACAAAACCCGATATCGGCTCCGGGAAGTATACCTTCGCACGGGATCGGCGAACGTCGGCTCCGTAAGCTCATCGAAGGTAGGTCACGAACTCTCAGCAAGTCGGCACTGGCCGAAAAAAATGGCAGTATATATAGAAAGGGATAAGACAGTGGATCGGGATGGACGTAACAAGTTCTTGTTCTTGTTACGGATCTTGTATTTCCACAAAGGACGTAGTAGAGCTGTCAGTCGTTAATAAATTCGACTTGCTTCAATCTTCAGCATCCCTGAAAGCGTCGCCCAATGTTGTCGGCTCGCCAGATTGTCCAAAAACCCGTGGCTCGTGGGTTGGCCACGGCCTCAAAGTTGACCAGAGACTCCAAAGTACACCAGAATTTGTTGGAGGACCACTCATTCATTAACTACAAGCAGAACGTGGAAAATGTGGATATCGTGAGAAAGAGACTGAATAGACCACTCACTTACGCGGAAAAGATCTTGTATGGTCATCTTGACAACCCTCACGGGCAAGACATCGAGCGTGGTGTGAGTTACTTGAAGCTAAGACCAGACCGTGTTGCCTGTCAGGATGCTACCGCTCAAATGGCCATTCTACAATTCATGTCTGCCGGTTTGCCCCAAGTAGCCAAGCCTGTGACTGTGCACTGTGACCATTTGATCCAAGCGCAATTGGGAGGTGAAAAGGACTTGAAAAGAGCCATTGACCTCAACAAGGAAGTGTTTGATTTCTTAGCCACTGCCACTGCCAAATACAACATGGGTTTCTGGAAGCCCGGTTCCGGTATCATTCACCAAATCGTGCTAGAGAATTACGCATTCCCAGGTGCTTTGATTATTGGTACCGATTCGCACACACCTAACGCCGGTGGTTTGGGTCAACTGGCCATCGGTGTCGGTGGTGCCGATGCCGTCGACGTCATGTCCGACTTGCCATGGGAATTGAAGGCTCCACAAATCCTCGGTGTTAAATTGACCGGCAGAATGAGTGGCTGGACCTCGCCTAAGGATATTATCCTAAAGCTTGCCGGTATTACCACCGTCAAGGGTGGTACTGGTAAGATCGTCGAATACTTCGGTGAAGGTATCAACACCTTCTCTGCCACCGGTATGGGTACCATCTGTAACATGGGTGCCGAAATCGGTGCCACTACATCTGTCTTCCCTTACAACAACTCCATGGTTGACTACTTGAAAGCCACCAAGCGTGGTGAAATCTCTGAGTTTGCCGACTTGTACCACAAGGACTTGTTGTCTTCTGATAAAGGTGCCGAATACGATGAAGTTATCGAAATTAACTTGAGCGAGTTGGAACCTTATATCAACGGTCCATTCACCCCTGATTTGGCCACTCCTATCTCTGCTATGAAAGAGGTTGCTGTTAAAAACAACTGGCCATTGGACGTCAGAGTCGGTTTAATCGGTTCTTGTACCAACTCTTCTTATGAAGATATGTCTCGTGCCGCTTCTATTGCCAAGGACGCTGCCGCTCATGGCTTGAAGGCGAAGTCTTTGTTCACTATCAGTCCTGGTTCTGAACAAGTTAGAGCCACCATTGCTCGTGACGGCCAATTGCAAACTTTCCAAGACTTTGGTGGTGTTGTTATGGCAAACGCTTGTGGTCCATGTATTGGTCAATGGGATCGTCAAGATATCAAGAAGGGTGACAAGAACACTATTGTGTCTTCTTTCAACAGAAACTTCACCTCCAGAAATGACGGTAACCCAGAAACTCACTCTTTCGTTGCATCTCCTGAAATCACTACCGCTATAGCTATTGCCGGTGACTTGAGATTTAACCCTATGACCGACAAATTGAAGGACAAGGATGGTAACGAGTTCATGCTAAAACCTCCAACTGGCCTAGGTTTGCCAACAAAGGGCTACGATGCTGGTGAGAACACTTACGAAGCTCCTCCTTTAGAGCGCTCCAACGTTGAAGTCAAAGTTTCTCCAACCTCAGACCGTCTGCAGCTATTGAAACCTTTCGATGCCTGGGATGGTAAGGACCCATCTGATCTACCAATTTTGATCAAGGCTTTGGGTAAAACCACCACTGACCATATTTCTATGGCTGGTCCATGGTTGAAATACCGTGGTCACTTGGAAAACATTTCCAATAACTATATGATTGGTGCTATCAACGCCGAGAACAAGAAGGCTAACAGTGTTAAGAACTTCTACACTGGCGAGTACGCCGGTGTTCCAGACACCGCTAGAGCTTACAAAAAGCAGGGCCAAAAGTGGGTTGTTGTTGGTGGAGAGAACTTTGGTGAAGGTTCTTCCCGTGAACACGCTGCTTTGGAACCAAGATACTTAGGTGCTTATGCAATCATCACCAAATCCTTCGCTCGTATTCACGAAACTAATTTGAAGAAGCAAGGTTTGCTACCATTGACATTCGCTCAGCCAGAAGCTTACGATAGAATTAACCCAGATGACCTAATTGATCTCGTAGGTGTTAAGGGATTAGCTCCAGGAAAGCCAATCACCATGAGAATGAAGACTAAAGCTGGCGAAACTTGGGAGACACCTTTGAACCATACTTTCAACAGTGAACAGATCGAATGGTTCAAGGCCGGTTCTGCTTTGAACAGAATGGCCCTAGACAAATAATACTAACGATGCCATCAAACCTGGATCAGTTAAGGAAATTGTAACTGTTTCATTATTTATTACACTATCAGATATTTATCTTATTTATTCAATGGATTTCATGTTTTAATCAAAGCTGGTGCGTTCGAAAGATCCGCTACTAGAAGGAGGCGAGTGCAAGCTGTTAGCACATACGCCGGAAATCATTTTAAATTACGACGCCTATTACCGGTCTCAATGTTCAATGAATGTTTTGGGGGCACCAATAAACGCTAAGCATTGATTGTGAGGGTTATGATGAATTGGCAAAGAGAGATGAGACAGTCGATACTAACAATTCATCTCAGTGCAACATATTGTGCAGAACAATGGGGAGTCTCTTCGTGTCTACGTTTAGCTCAAAAGCATTATGTACGCATAATGTGTGTGTAGTTGTCCACCTCAACGGCATTTAAAGAATATTGAGAGATTAACTTTTACCGTTACTACGATCAAGCTCGGGCCGTATGAATTCGACGAACTGTGAATACGGCTTAAGGCCCTATCCAGATCAAACTACGAATGCGTTAAATCCGTGCTTTCTTTCAGCCGTCTCCCTAGGCCATTCCATGGTATTTGGCATTATAGGCATATTTCAATTAGTTCAACTGATACAAGAAAAGCGAGTTCCACCCAAATTCAAATACTCATCACTATGGCGCTCTATGTCCACGAAGCATATCATGCATCTATCTAATGTGGGTCTACAGGCAGTGCTGTTTCTCTGTCTAGTCGCGCTTTCCCCTTTAGAGTCGACAACCAGCATTGCTAAACTTAGCGCTCTTTCACAACTATTGTTTGTGCTGTTAATATCCGTACCAACCCAAACACTACAGTATTACAAGTCTACAGCTTCTCTAGCCGGTCAGCTCTTCTACTACTCAACACAGTTTGTTCTCTTCGGCTACCAAATTGGCCAAAGGGTAAGTCATTTCCCAGATACAAGGTTTAATGTGTATGGTGGTCAATACGGAGCTATACTCGAAATTGCATTAATGTTGAATGCGCTTTCCATATTTTCCTATGATTTGTTGTTTTTCAACCCCTCTAAAGAACTCATCAGTTACTATTCAGAGAACAAACTATACCCTGAATGCAATATCTTCGAAAACTTAACATTTACGTGGATGAACAAACTTATTGTTCAGGTTTATCATGACGGCGAGATCAAAGACCCTCACAAAATGCCACTTCCCCCAATCAATCTGAATGTCAAAGAAAAAGCCGGCCTTTTGAACGCTAAATGGGAAAAGGAGAAGTGGAAAGGCAGAAATTCCCTGTTGTGGGCTATCATACATGCTTTTGGCAAAACTCTCGCTTTAGCCTTAACTTTTGAGATTATAAAGAACTTTATGACTATCCTTCAGCCTCAATTGCTGAGATTATTCATTGATGAATTTAACCAAGATGAAAGTCGATCTCATCCAATGATAAATGCTGTGTTTGTTGCTATTGCCTTGTTCCTGATGAAACTAATCTCGACATGTTTATCCAATCAGTTCTTTATCACGATTTTCGAGGCTGGAATGGGAATAAGAGGCTCACTGATGACCATGCTTTATCAGAAATCTTTAACTCTTTCCGCTGAGGCGCGTGAAGAAAAATCGGCTGGTGATATTTTGAACTTAATGGCTGTAGACGTTTTAAGGATTCAGCGATTCTTTGAAACTTCACAAGACATAATTGGCTCCCCGCTCGCTCTTGTCACCACATTAATATCATTATACACATTCTTAGGGTATGCAACACTTGGTGGTGTTGTGGTGATGGCTGTCATGTTTCCAATCAATAGCTATCTTTCTCGAAAAATCAAGACCTACGTTAAGACTCAAATGAAGTATAAAGACGCTAGAATCAAGACTGTCACAGAAATCCTTAACTCAGTCAAAACTGTTAAGCTATATGCATGGGAGGAGCCGATGCTTAAGCGTTTGAACCATGTTCGTAACGATTTGGAGTTGGGTAGTGCAAAAAAAATTGCGATAGTAACAAATTTGACGTTACTTGCTTGGAATTGTGTTCCTATTTTAGTGGCGTCCTCAACATTCTTGATATACGCTATTACCATGAACAGGCCACTATCTCCTGAAATTGTATTTCCCTCTTTATCTTTGTTTGATATTTTGAACGATTGTATTTACACGATTCCACGTACAATCACGAATTTCATTGAGACCGGGGTGTCTTTAGGAAGGTTGAAAGACTTCTTTTTGGCTAAGGAACTTGACAAATCATTCATACAACGTGAGAGCCTACCAAGAGACTCGAAGACTCCAGTGATCGAATTAAATAATGCGACATTTCTAAGGAAAGCATTCTCCAAGCCTTCGAATGATGATTATGATGAAGAAGCTGCAATCGAAACCTCCCGAGTTGCACTAAAAAATGTTGAGTCCTTCAAGGTTTACAAGGGCCAGCTTGTTTGCGTTGTAGGTCGTGTTGGCTCTGGCAAATCAACATTCCTGCATGCCCTGATGGGTTTTTTGCCCTGTGTCAGTGGCTCTCGGCCTCAGCAGCCACCTAGTTTTCATTTCAGAGCTAACTCAGTCGCTCTATGTTCGCAGCAAGCTTGGATCATGAACGCGACATTGAAAGACAATATCCTTTTTGGCCACAGGTATGATGAAGCGTATTACAATGCTACTGTGAGGGCCTGTCAATTAGGCCCTGACTTGGAAATTCTTGCCGACGGCGATGAGACTTTAGTGGGAGAAAAAGGTATCTCACTATCAGGAGGGCAAAAGGCCCGTCTCTCTTTGGCAAGGGCTGTTTATTCTCGGGCCGATGTCTATCTTTTGGATGATATCTTAAGCGCTGTTGATGCACACGTTTGTAAGCTCATCATAGACCAGGTTTTGAGCAAAAGTCAGGGACTTTTGAAGAACAAGACTGTTATATTGACAACTAATTCCACCTCCATCTTGAAGCACAGTAACAACATTTACGCACTCGATGGTGGAGAGATAGTTGAAAGTGGTACTCTTGATGAAGTTTCTAAGCGAGATGCAAGTTCTAAGCTTAAAGCTTTGATAAGCGGCTTCGATTCTTATTCCAAACGAGAAGAAAGTGATGACACTTCTAAGGAACAGAAAGCCTTAGTCGCGGATAAAGACGTAGAGCACTATGATGTTGAGGAAGATATTGGGCTTGTAGATCCGGTTGAAGGAGAAAATGCAGTGTCTACGGCTCTTCAATCTCGGAAAGCATCTATGGCTACATTAAGGCCACGCAAGATTATCGATATAAACGCAGACAACAGAAAGACGAAGCAAAAGGAAGAGAAAAAGGAGCGTGGGAGAGTCAAAACTAAAGTATACGTTGCATATTTGAAGGCATGTGGCATCTCCGGGGCCGTGATCTTCCTGATATTTCTGATATTTTCAAGATCACTGTTGATTGGCGAAAACTTTTGGTTGAAGCATTGGTCAGAGGATAATCAGAAGAACGGCGAAAACGACAACATCGGATACTATGTGGGAATTTACATTTTCATTTCTTTGGCTGCTGCTTGTTTCAACAATGCTAAAAATGTAATTTTGCTTCTAGTTTGCTCTCTTAGAGCCTCAAGGAAACTGCATGATGCCATGGCCATTGCAGTTCTACGCAGCCCCATGAGCTTTTTTGAGACGACTCCTGTCGGCCGCATTATTAACAGGTTTTCCAGTGACATGAATTCTGTGGACGACAATGTTCAATATGTCATCAGCTTCTTCTTACTTTCGGTTCTCGACTATGTTATTGTTATAGTCGTTATTGGATGCCAAGTTCCTCTATATTTGGTCGTCAACGCTGCTTTGCTGGTCCTGTATTTGTATTACCAAGTTTACTACGTGACTCTAAGCAGAGAGTTAAAACGCTTGATGAGTACAAGCTTTTCTCCCATAATGTCGATGTTGAGCGAGACGCTTGCAGGTCATATGGTTATAGATGCTTTCGACCATTTCGAACGCTTCGATTACCTCAACCTTCAAAATGTTCAGTTCAACATCAATTGTGTCTTCAACTTTCGTTCCACTAACAGATGGTTGTCTATAAGGCTAGAATCTATCGGAGCTTTCATGATATTGACAGTAGGTCTGTTGTCACTAGCAACAATGGCAGGAGACAAGGCACTTACGGCAGGTATGGTTGGCCTGTTAATGAGCTGTGCTCTGCAAGTCACGAATCGACTTATGTGGATTGTGAGGATGTCAGTTCAATTAGAAACGAACGTCGTCTCAGTTGAGCGGATCGTGGAATATTGCGATTTGCCACCTGAAGCCCCTGCGGTCATTGAAAACTGCAGGCCTGAAAAGAATTGGCCAAGCCAAGGTTACATTCGGTTTGATAATTATTCTACTCGTTATAGGTCCAATCTTGATCCAGTCTTGAAGAGCTTGAGCTTGGAAATCAAACCTCAAGAGAAAATAGGAATTGTTGGAAGGACTGGTGCTGGAAAATCTACTCTATCACTTGCATTATTTCGAATTCTGGAGGCTACTGAAGGAGCCATTGTCATCGATGGCGTTGACATAAGCAAAATTGGGTTAGCTGATTTAAGAACAAACCTAGCTATCATTCCACAAGACGCGCAGGCTTTTGAAGGTACGGTTAGATCAAACCTGGATCCTTTCGAAGAATACGAGGACGAGGAAATTTGGAAAGCTTTGGAGCTCTCGCATTTGAAACCTCATATAGTAAAAATGGCTGCTGAAGAAGAGGAGGGGGACAAAAAAGGCAACCTTCTAGAAACAAAAATCAATGAGAATGGAAGTAACTTGTCAGTTGGTCAGAGGCAGTTATTGTGCTTATCTAGAGCGCTTTTGAATCGCTCTAAGATCCTTATTTTGGATGAGGCAACGGCTGCTGTTGATTCTGAAACAGACGGCTTGATTCAAGAGACCATAAGAGCAGAATTCAAGGACCGTACTATTCTCACTATAGCTCACCGTATCGACACTGTCTTGGACAGTGACAAGATTATGGTCTTGGATAGAGGCGAGTTGAAGGAATTTGATACTCCATCAAGTTTGCTAGCCAACAAAAACTCGATTTTTTATAATCTGTGCGCCCAAGGTGGGTATTTGCAGAGATCTGCAGAGCAACAATAAACTTGAATATATTCGATATAATTATCTTCTTAAGATGGTTTCTTAAACCTTTCTTTATCTGATATAATTTCTCTCTACTTCTAGAGTTAGAAACATTTATTTACACATTATTGAAGGGTTCCAGCCCTAACTTTGGTGGAATCGGGGAAATATTCATTAGTTTTGACCGTTGAACACTTTTTCAAAAGCCTGGTCGAAATCGGCAATGATATCATCGATGAATTCAGTACCAACAGAGACACGGATCAAATCTTTAGTAACACCAGAAGCCAGCTTCTCTTCATCACTCAGTTGTTGATGAGTAGTGAAGTAAGGAGCAATAACCAAAGTCTTGGAGTCACCAACGTTAGCCAAGTTAGAGGCGATCTTGAAAGAGTCAACAACTTGAGCGCCTGAAGCCTTGAAAGGATCAGATTCATCGGCAGCATTTGGCAGCTCTTTAACGCCAAAGGAGAGGACACCACCAAAACCGTTCTGTAGGTATTTTTTGGCATTTTCGTGGTGGGAGTGAGAGGGTAGACCTGGGTAAGAAACCCATGACACGTAGGGTGATTTTTCCAAATATTGGGCTAGCTTCATAGCATTAGTAGCATGTCTTTCACCTCTCAAAGATAAAGTTTCGACACCTTGTAGAAGCAAGAAAGCGGCAAATGGGTTCAAAGCTGGACCCAAATCTCTCAACAATTCGACTCTGACGTGAGCAATGAAAGCCAAAGGCCCAAGGGCGTCGTTGAAGACCAAGCCATGGTAACCTTCGGAAGGCTCAGAGAATTGAGGGAATTTCTTAGGGTAGTCCTTCCATGGGAACTTACCGGAGTCAACGATGACACCGGCAATGGTAGTACCATGACCACCAATCCACTTAGTCGCGGAGTGGGTTACGATATCAGCACCGAATTTAATGGGCTGTGCGAAATAACCACCAGCACCGAAAGTGTTGTCGACAACGACTGGAATACCGTGCTTGTGAGCTACGGCAACAATTTTCTCGAAATCTGGAACATTGTACTTGGGGTTACCGATGGTCTCAAGGTAGACGGCTTTGGTCTTTTCGTCGAAAGCTTTTTCGAAATCCTCGGGCTTGTCACCATCGATAAATCTGCTCTCAATTCCTAGTCTTTTGAAAGCGACCTTAAATTGGTTGTAAGTACCACCGTATAGGTAAGAAGTAGACACGATGTTGTCGCCCGCGTGGGCCAAACCGGTGATAGCCAAAGTCTGCGCCGCCTGACCGGAGGAGAGCGCAAGTGCGGCAGCACCACCTTCGAGGGCAGCAATTCTTCTTTCCAAAACATCAACGGTAGGGTTCACGATACGACTGTACATGTAGCCTGGAGTTTCGAGGCCGAAGAGCTGGGCACCGTGCTTGGAGTCGTTGAACACAAACGACGACGTGGCGTAGATGGGCACCGCTCTGGGGTTGTGCGCATTTTCCTTGACGTCTTCTTGACCAGCGTGCAATTGCAAGGTATCAAAATGGGAGGGCATAATGGAGTGTGTATATTTTTTTGGCTGACTCGAGTCTGATATCCTGAGACTAGACAAGTTTTACCGTTCCCTCCTGCTGTTTAGCCGGTCCATCCGGAGTCCTTATATAGGACAACATTGATGCCACTTAATTTCTCAAACACTACCACTTCCGCTTTCCACAAACTGTGGTTTCTCCCCTGAGTGGCCAAACCAAAATGCCACGACCGTTTGTCATTGGGTGTGAGCGGGAGAGTGTGTAGATGCCACTTGCAGGCTGTCCGTCTGTCTTTCTGTATGTGGGTTTTTCCAGCGGCACGACGCCCACGCGCGTGCCACTGGAAAAACTGCACGCTCTAACAACACACTCGATGCCACCACTTCTCTAAACAACATGGTAATAAGCCTGCAAATCAGGTGCAACGCAGAGATAACACCCGACCCAAATGGTAATGCCAGTGTAAAGTTAGCTCGCTAGCTACTTACACACCCGGGCGTCGATCACTTTTTCCGATTCTGTCGTCGGAGTCCTTTCCGTGAGAAATGTCACGTGTGAGTGAAAAATTTCAGCGATGCACCACAAAAAAGAAACCCTGATGTTATTATTAGTAGTGCCACAATTGTGGCGTGGGCCGCTGAAAATGAAAAAGAAAAAGAAACGGGCCTCGAGGCAGGCTGACGTAAGACAATGGGGATGAGGTAAGCTGGGAAGTTGTACACAAAAACCAAAAAATAATGAGAGCTACGGGATTCGAACCCGCGCATCCGAAGATATCAGAGAATCTGACTTATTTGAAAGCTAAGCCTAAATCTGACGCCTTAACCACTCGGCCAAACTCTCGTATTTGTTGAGAAGTGAAGAGAAGGGTAGGGTTTTGTAGGCTGTGAGGAGGCAGGTGTTGGCGCGACGCAAGTGGTTCTTTACTTGTGTTCGTGCGGCTCTGGGTTGTTGTGGTTTGACAAGAAATCGGATGAATCGGGTGGCTGTTGACGGGGGTTGTTGCACATGTACTCTGGGTCTCTATTGCTCAATGCCTGCCCTTTTGGTACTTGCTTGTGACCTTGGACGCAAACCTTCGATACACGGCCGGTAGGCGTAGAAGGAGTTTGGTCTTCGAGGATTGAACACGCACGCTAGATTGCTTTCCTGGTTGCAGTCAGCTTCAACTACAGGCGATGCAAGCTTTTACCGATATTAGAACCTAGTAGTATTTTGCCTTCTCTGTGGGTTCCGATATCCCCTATGGTGGCTTGACCAATTTCATGAATATTTTGATCAAGATCGATTTTGCTTATAACACCGCCGATTCCTTAATCATGACAATGCTCACTGGCGCTGTCGAGCTTATTGCATGTCCTCTATTTGGGTACTTGTCTTGTCGTGTGTGCACGGAGAAAGGTTCCATTTTTGCCGTACAGATTGGCTTGGGATGTCATTGCAGCTCTCATCAGTATTCTCGGTAAATGCCTGCTGGCGTTAGCTCACAGATCCAAGAATGCTACGCTGACAGGTGCCTACGTATTCTGTCAATCCCGTCTCCTTCATCTGTGTACTGTCGATTATCAGTTCCAATACGCTAGTTTACAGTAAGGAGTGGAGTGTCTCCTCCATCAACTTGGTATCTTACGCAGCTCCTAACTTGGCAGGTCCACAAACGTCTGTTCCAACTCAGGCGCCAGGCTTTACAGGAGCCACGATAGCTATATTGGTGCGTTACGCTGGATCAGTGGTAGCATTATCCATTTTGTCCCTTGTCAATTACAAAGAGAACATGAGAAGAGATGAAAGACTTTCAGATGATGTTGTTATCGAACTTCTGTAATTTGTCGATTTAACTGACGATAATCCACATTTTAGATACGCTCTTTGAACTTATAAAATAATGGTCCTATAGAAAGTGCAAGCGAAGAATACACTTTAATCAGTCCATACTTCTAACGAATGTCTTTAACTGTCTCAATCAAATCATATAACACAACTATTGAAGCGAAGTAGCTTACCATTAGTTGGCAGTAGTTGTTCTCATGCGTATTTCGCATTGGGTTCGGAGGCTGGTTTCTGAGAGGTAATTAAAGCTCTAAATGATTAACAAAAATGGGAATGTGATTTCGGAAGTCATTTAACGAAGGCGGAAGCTTACTATCTCCATGAAAGATTTTGCCAGCAACGTGGAATAACTTGGGCTATATACTTCTGTTGCGATGTGAGTGACACTGCTAATTGCCATAATGACATAATAGTACAAAGTGATACAAATAAATCATGACCACTTAATGATATCTGGTAGTTCTGAACCAAAGGTCAGTGATCAAAGAAGCTTTACAATTGGTCGCGACCTGATTGGTGACTTGGATATGCGTGAAAGGGACAAGTTGAGTGCTACAAGTGCGCCTCGCACCTCAGAGCTGCTGTAAATCATTGATTGTTATTTGAACACGACATTGATCTTGTACTAGAAAATCCTTGGAGAAATGCACAGTTCTCATCCACGAGAAGGCCAACCAAGTCAACAATGGAAGAACTAAACAAAGTATTTATAAGCTTTCTCTTTTTGACTCACATTTGCCTCAATCATTTTAATGTTTTCCCAATGAGACTAGACATTGGGTAATTTCACACTTCAGCTGGTATGAGACAGCGAGTGGCACCCACCAGTAAGTAAATGCACCCAAAATTCAAGCATTTCAGTCATGCAGCAGCTGCATCAATCCCACCTTTCTGCCCTTGCTGAAGAACGTGCGCATCATACAAACCTAAAGACAAAATAGAACATTTTAATGCTTCTACAATTTATGCGTTCTCGTAGAAAAAGGAAGCTAAACTATCTATTTTAAATAAGTGCTTGTGTAAACAAAAGCAGCGAGTAATATTTCTGATTGTCCCTATTGAACTTCGCTCGTAGAAGCCGCACAAGAAGACATACTTCAACTCGAAAACCACATTGAAGTTAGCAATCCCACCCTTTGAGTATCATAGATTTCTCAATAAACATTTTTTGAACTACAAGAACAATGTAAGTCTCATAATTTTTCGCTCAATAGTGCAACTGTTTCCCATTGTTTATCAAGTATAGCTAAAAGAAGCGGCGTTGACGTGAGTAAGGCTACGCTACATTCTGGAGGCTCTTAAGGTGAGAAACGCATTTAGCGGTAGGTCTCGATACCTACAGTACACAGCGTTTGTTGAACAAGTGATGGACCCAGCAACATCATGAACAACACGTTTGGTACGTAAAACGTGATTTTGAGATTCCCTTATATCGTGAACAAATTTTTGCAATTTCGAATAAAGCTTGCGTGGCGTAATGGCAACGCGTCTGACTTCTAATCAGAAGATTGTGGGTTCGACCCCCACCGTGAGTGTTTTTTTTGTACACAGTTAAATAGCTGAAACAAATGCAGGGTGCGAATTATGAGCGACGCATATTTCGCACTAGGGTCTTTGATGACAATGCTTGATATTTTATTGCAGAAATCTACCTATATAGATCAGATTGTTGAATATTTATTAATGCTGTGATTCAGCAGAGGGTCTTTTAAAATATCAAGTTGTTATTCAAGTCGCGCATTAATATATTTCTGTCAGTTTTGTATTTTTGAACTTCTTCCATTGTTGGGAAAACGGATAGGAATGCAGGAGGTTTTTGTTCGAAAAACAAACTGAGGTCACAGTCGTTGTCGAACATACCGCGATCGGTTAAGTGGTATCCCTTGTCGTTAGAATATTCAACACTGACCATAGGCAGCGGCGTTTTACGGCCTACCGATGCAAAAGGATCATCACTTTTCATCCCCGTGAGTATGCTGTCTATCAATGTTACGTCTGATAAATCCTTGGGCTCCTCAATGTCTTGATTAAAAGTTGACTTTATACCCCTCCACATTTCTAATTGGGGAATCGCGTGCTCTCTTGCAACAGCGAGAAAAACTTCACCATTGGCAGTTTCTTGTTCATCTTCATAGAATGGAACTATATCAGGATAATTATCCCACGATATGAGCTCATTCCTCAGGGAAACGATGAACTTCTCTTTCAAATTTCGTACTCTCCGGCTTTCGAATCTGTTTTTAGAGATCGTTTCTCGTAGTGGATCTTCGACGCTGAAAAAATTGTATAACATATAGCGTCGCCTTTCCATGAATGACAGGAGGCGTATCGAGAACTCTGCCATAGGCCCAAGCTCATTTTCAAGGTTCTCAAAAATCGCATTTAGCGTAAAGGGATAGAAACTTGTTGGTCCATAAAAGGGACGCGAGAGCAAGTAACACCCAGCTGGAAACAAGTTATTCAGATACGCAGGAATTGAGTGATAAAATGTGTAGAAGACTCGTTGAACACCAGACATTGAACCTGTTATGCAAAACGCTTCCGGAGGTACGTTCAATATCCACCGTCGATATATGTCGTACAACGTATCAATCGGGAGTGGCATCACCCCCGAAGCAAGAGGCAAAAGACCTACCAAATACTCCACATAATCAACAAGCTCTCCGTAGTGAAGCTCAAGATGATCGTCACCGGAAGCTGATATGAAGGGCTCGAAATCTTTCAATACCTCCAAAATTTCGTACAATAGATCTGTGGAATAGGCTGGGTGGTACAAAAGGGATAAGTAGAGGGGCATACAGCTCCAATAAAATTGCACAGCTCGCACAACGTTTTCAGGTCGATTTTTTCGATATATTTCCATGCACATATCTACCATGGCAATGTAGTGACTGTCATCATATTGCAGGTTGTTGTACATCTGGATGAACTGCAAAGCTGCGTTACTGATTAAAAGACGGGTGCCTATGAATTCGTTGCTGGCCGCGGACTCAGAGGTCAAGAACATAGATATGATCTGACGTACAAACGACAGAAGCTCTCCTTTATATCTTACCGCTATAGTTTGCAAAGCGGAGCGCTCGCATAGCAGTGATTGAGCTGTGCTCACTCGACTTCGCTTTCGTGAGATTTTGATCTTTCGAGATACTGAGTTGATTGTTCCGTAGATCGCTAACGCTACGAAAGCTTTTGAGGACAGGTTCCAGTCTTGGTTGGCGTTCAGCAACAGCTGCAAATAAAGCACTTTAGGAACTCGCAAGCTTTCCATACCGGCAACTGAAGTCCATACGGACTCCGGTAGCTCCACGCGGTCGTGCGCGATCATCACGATCTCTGACGGCTCATCTTCCGTCAAAGACCTTTCCGAATTGGTCCTACTCATGGATTCCATTTCTGAGAGTCTGTTCTGCTCCTTCTGGATGTTGAAGCTCTCAATGTCATCTTCATTCAGACTCAAATAAGAGCATTGCTTGTTCCCATGACCACCCTTCTTCTGCCGTCCTACGCAGTTGCGGCATTCTGGCAACGTTTCATCACACTTGATGCGTCGTCTTTTGCATTCGCTGCACCCCAGCCTCGAATTCCTATGTTTTCGTCTAGTGACTCGTCTTCTGGATTGTGAATAAGTGTTTTCTGTGGCCCCCGGAGTAGTGCTATTGGACAACTCCGACCCATAGCTTTCCCTATCGCTATTGCTGTGGCTTCGAGTATGATCTTTGGATTGGCCATGACTCGCGAAACTATCGTTACCAGGTGCACCTGAGCTCATTGTGCTAGAACATGAGTTTGACCGTCCATTCTTCAGAGATGAGATTGAATTAAGGTCGACTAAAAAATATTTGCCTAGCATCAAAGACTAATTCAAACATAAGAAGCAAAAATCTTCATCACGAAGCTAAATAGATTGGGATGAACTAAACGGCGAGCTTTTAACCAGTGCCATGCGCATTTCAGTTAGTTTGTAACTTTATTTGAATTTATAGACTTAGGACGCCTAAACATGCGTCAAGCTTCGAGGAATGTTCGCTGCAGATTACATATGTAAGGAAGCACTTAGAGGCACCAACAGGACACACCGAAGCAGTTAAATTGGAGTCCCTCAACCGGTTCTGCTATGAAAGCTCAAGAAACGAGGCGGAAACCTTGAGGATAATATGCTTTCCATCCCACGCGTTAATAAATTACGAGGTTGGTAATGCCGAAGCTTAAAACCGACTTGAGTAAAAAAATCCTCCTGTAGAGTGATCAGAACTTTTAGCATTGGCGATCGCAATATGTTTCGAGTATGCCGTCTGATTGCTCTCTTTGAGACCGTATCGTAACACTAGTGTTTTACTCACGTCTTGTTACCTTCAACCTCTGCTGGCATGATTCGGGCATGCGCCCAGACTTGCTCCAGCCCCCTTTTGAAAATATCCACATTGTAGTCAACAACCGTGAGACAGCTTTCCACGTCGGTGTCATCGGGTCTGATCAACGCTACTAGGGCCAAACCCCTGATCATCTGACGTAGGTAGATTACGACCCCATTGTTCAATGCAGAAACACTTTTTACCTCCCGCTGTGGCCCCATCTCGTCAGCGTCACTTTGGATCTTGTACAAATCGTGCAAATCGATAGTAACATCTACGAATTCCGCACACGTCTCGTATGTCACAATATCTACCGGAGAAGAATCGGTAGACACATATATCTTGGAGTTGATGTCAAACAAAAAACATTTCTCGATCTTCGAATGTTGAACCAAGTTGTCCAGCATGTTTTCCAAAAACGGCAACTCAGGTATTAGTTTTTGTACTATGCGTGAAAAGGCTTCGTATATCGAATGGTCAAAGATTGATGTCAGATAAAAGCTAACCTGGACTCCATCGAGACCGAGCTCTAAGAGCTCTTCACCCGTACGCTGCATAATATCGCGCTGCGTTTCTACTTTAAAGTCCTCACTCAGGCCATCAACTTTATGTATAAGCACCTCGATGTTGATGTCCGGGTTCACTTTGTAAGCATACTCCACAATAATGGCGAAGTTTGTCAGGGCATTCATGTACTCATCTTGCGAGTCTATAACGTAGACAAGGGCACCTACGCTTTTGAAAAGACGTTCCGAGTCGTAGTTAGGTTCGAAGTAGTTCAGCTGACCCGGCAATTCCATCACTGCCAGATCAATAAGAGTCGAAAAATGCTCCATCGTTGGATTTGATGTCGATTCTAAGTACAAAGTATCCAAAGGTTGCATGTTGTGGAAAACAACTTTACAAATAGACGATTTACCACCCCTGCACGTCCTATCGTTAGTATGAAGTCAAAACCCTGAAAAACAGCCCATTTTCTTCGGTACTAACCTTCTCAAACCCATCAACAAGATGGTGGCCTTGGAATTGCTTTCCTCGGCGTTCATTTTATGGTTTTAGACTGGTTATTTGGCTGATTATGGGAGAACGTCAAAGGTACCGTTTAACATCGTTGAATATTAGTTAGAAATCCACAAGACTATCATCTCGCACGTGAATGACACAACTGAATAAACGCTCAGAAAGTTAATGTAGTTCGTCAATTCAAGTTGCTCACAGCTGTCACCCCAACGATTGTAACATCGACAAGCTCTAGCAGCTGTTGATCGCTTGATTGAACTTTTACTTTTGGATTGCCTTTCGAGTAGAGTTTCCTATTCTTACAAGAAAAATAGTAAATCATTGATCATCTCATCGCGTTTGGCGAACTGGTTCTGTAAGGGATCTAATTTGCTTTGCGATGAGTCAGAACGCATTTGATCAGAAAAAGGAGCACATACTTGCTGAGATCCAGAGTGCTTCTCTGGATCTGTCTCCGAAGGGCACGATTGATGAGCTGTGCGTCCCAATTATGAAACTTATTAACTCTCACAAGGATATGGTGACCACTTCTTCATGTTCTGGCCGCTTGAGTGTGTTCGTAGAGGGCAATAAACTACACAATGACGGGCTAAAGTCTGGAGGCAAAGGAGAAGGCGGTAAATGGTTGTTTGTCACGCATGACCGTGATCAGGTAAGAAATTGGGACCACAGAATTACAGAACCCGTAGTCTACAATACTGACTTAGGAGGAGCTCCATTGGACTCATCGACCAGATACATTCTCTACAAATATGAACCTTTCATTCTGCATGTTAAGTGTAGAGATTTTCAAAGTGCTTCCAAACTCTTCAACACAGCCATGTCATGCGGTTTTCGAGAAAGTGGAATTGGCAGCAACAATATTGTTGCGCTCAGAGTGAACATTAAACTAGATGTTCCAATCGGCTTTATGGATGACTCCACAGGACAACTGGTTTTCTTCGTTACCCAAAACTACATCAATATTATCAATGAAATGACGCTAACCAAGTACACAGAAAATTCCAAGAAGATGCAAGAGCTCTACGAGAAAATTGAACTACAAATCGTAACGTCAAAGGAGCCTGCAAGCGACAAACAAGTAGAGACTAAAGAGGAACGCAGAGTGCGAAAAAGAAAAGAGGGATTGCTTAGAAAAGAAGCAGGATCACAACAAAAAGCTACCTAATAACAGAGGGATATAAACCTTGTTAAATATAATAGAAATATCAAACTAGCTTACAATATAATTTAAAATAGTAGCAAAATGCATGTTTATTTGTAAAAGACCAAATATTTTTGTTTGAGTAGTTTCTCAACTGATGTGAGTTACGCTAAATATACAGAATGTTGTTGTGTCCATTAAATTTGTGAAGGGGAAGATAGGCATTCATGACGTGTCAAAAGATTCGATAAGTGTAATTCCAGAAATAATCGAATCGTCTAAACAATTTTGATTATTTCGTTTATTCATCATCATCAGATTCAGCACCCATCAATGCATCGAACATGTTAACAGCAGATTTCTTTTGAGGCGTCTCTTCCTTTGCTGCATTTTGAACATGTCTCAAAGAGGAAGAACGGGTGGAAATAAAGCTGTCCTTAGTAGCCGAAACCGGCTCCCTTCTAGAATTACTTCTGTTACCCATAGAAGTATTAGAATTATTTCTTCTGGAACCAGATCTAGAGCTTCCCTTATACTTACGCTCCCTCTCTTCCATAGCCTTTTTGGCAGCTTCTTCCTCGTGAATTTGTTGGATTGTTTTAGGACCCTCGTCTCCCTTGGCATTGTTCCAGTTCTTAACCTCTCTCAATTCCTTCATGTCTATTAATTTGAACTTAATTCTGCTCGAGATTTCATTACCTTCAGTGACCTTATCCAACATGTAGAACAATTGATCAAGAACAGTAGAACCTTCGAGAGAGCCACTTTGTTGGACCAAACGGTCACCCTCAAATTGCTCACCCACGGTATTCAACAGCTCAAGAACAGATTCTAAAGTTTCCTCGGTTGGACTGTCAGCCAAGTCCTTCATTAGTCTACGGAAACATTCGAACATCATCTTAGCCGTCAATAAGTGAGAACGGTATAAGAAACCAATGAGTCTTACTAGACCCAAGCCTCTTCTCTTGGCAGCGGCCATTTTGTAGTACTCATCAGACATCATTTCAGGCTCTAGTGGAGAACCATCTTCTTTGGTAGGTAGCTTGTCGCTCCAGCCCTTCTGGAATTCGGCATGACATCTGTCAACCAAGTAATGCAACACCAACTTAGGACCTGTCTTACCCTCATTTCCTTCTTCCTTGATCTCAGGATCCATGTCTTTGACAACTTTACCACACAATTGAGCGTACATCGACGACCAATGAGGTTCATCACAAGCCTTTAGGAAAATTTCTTCAATAACGACCTTCAAAGTAACACAATCTGTCTCCCATTTAGATTGATCGGCAATTGCGATAATTTCATCAGAAATGGAATCGAATTTTTCTAGCGTTAACTTGTTCAACAAAGATTTCATCTTTCTCTCAGCTTCTTCCTTTTCAAGTAGTTCAGTGACACCATCTGGTGCCAATTTCTTTTCGACCTTCTTTTGTTTCGATTTGGGGACCCATCTATTCGCGCTTGGGATTAGTGGGGCAGCCTCTTCTAGAGCTTTGAGGGCTTCTTCCTCAGCCATCTTTTCGCGATCTTTTCTGGAGGTGTAGGCTCTGTTAGATTTTCTGTCGTCGCCCATCTTCTTAGATTTCCTCTTGGAGTTTGATCTAGAGTTTGATCTACCATCCATACCTCTCATGGACCCACTCTTCTTGAAATTAGCACCTGGTCCAAACTTAGAATCTCCTCTAGCTCTGCCACCTTGTCTTACTGTTCCAGGTGGGATGACAATCTTGGATGCCACGTTTTTCCTCCATTCAGCGTCAGGACGAATGTTTACTTTATCTTGAAATTGTAATAGGAAAGTAGGACCGTATGTATACTTGACCGAGTCCTTTTTATGCCTGGCGTCGGGAGCTTCGATACCTTCTGGATATTCGAAAGAATAAACGTCATCCACGGGTTTCATTTCGTCTAACTTGCTCAGAAGTTCAGTCATTGTCATTCTTCCGTCGTCAACATCAGCAGCGTCTTGTTCTTCTTCGGCAGACTTCTTTAGCTCATCAGCACCTTCTTCGATGTGCTCTTCTTTCGCTTCGGTACTTGTTTCAGCTTGCTCCGTAGGTTCATCAGCATTTGGCTCAGCTTCCTCTATAGCCGGACTGGCAATAGCTGGTTCTTCGATCTGGACGGATTCTTCGACCTTTAGAGGTTCTTCCGTATTGGCCGATTCTTTCATCTCGTCTTCTGACATGGCGGGTTCGGTCGCAGCTTGTTCAGTAGAGCCTTCGGGTTCTATAGCCTCAGTCTTGGCAGGAATTTTGTTCTTCAAACGAAGCTTTTCGGCAAAAGTCAAAGGCTTGGCAGGTTCAAGGCTAGCCTCTTCCTCCACAGGTTCACTCTTTTCCACTGTGTCATCGTGAATTGGCTGAGCTTCAGATTCTGGTTTCAACTCTGGCTTTTGTTGTGATTCAACTTCAGATTTTGGATCATGTGTTTCTTCTGTAGAAGTAACTTGTTCTTCATTGGCATTTTCAGGGAGTTTTTCTTCAAGATCAGCACTTTTCGTATCGGTAGCTTCTTCAACCTTTGAACCCTCTTCGGCTTTTGAAGCTTCTTCAGCTTTTGGAGCCTCTGCTTCTACCTTTGGTGCTTCTTGTGCCTTTGGAGCCTCTTCAACCACAGTTTCGATAGGCTCAGATGTTGAAGGCTTTGCAGCTTCTGGAGCAGTCTCTTGAGTTGGGGCAGCCTGAGGAGTTTCACCAGTTTTTTTCTGAGCACGCATAGCCTTCCTCAATCTAACTTGTTCCAAGAATCTCATCTTCAGCAACTCGTCAGCAGAAGGCTCTTTTGGAGGTTCCGGCTGAGGTTCTGGTGTCGAAGGAACTGGGGCGGCAATTTCTAAGGTAACGCTACTTGGAACTGGTGTAGGTTCCTTCTTTGGAGATTGCGGCATTGGATTAGGAGATCCTACCGAAGAAACATGCTGGCTGTGGATGGCATTGAGATCTACGTGTTCGCCGGATCTGTTTGTTATTTCAATTTTCTTGGATACAGGAGTGGTGCTAGAGGCCAAAGGCGTAGCAGCATTTTCCACTGGAGACGCAGATCCCGAAGGGGCTGCGGCACTTGCACCTGTATTTGGAGTGGCAGTGGCCGTGGCAGGGTTGTAACCTTGTCCAGCCATTGGTGGCATATAACCATAACCATAAGATGGATAAAACTGCGGTTGAGCGGCCATGTTGTACGAGCCATAGCCCCATTGCATATTTTGCATGTTACCACTATGAGGAGCATTATTCCTATTATTCTTGTAATGCCCATTCTTGTTGTACCTGTTGTTGTTACTGTTGTTGTTCCCGTTGTTGCCGTTGTTGTTGCTTGGGTGAGTCCCTTGATTCCCACTGTAGGGTTTCTGATTCATTCTAGGTCCTTTTGGATTGCTCGTCTTGGGACCATTGTTGTTACGTGGAACTTTTGGTTGTTGTTGCTGCTGTTGCTGCTGCTGCTGCTGAGGCTCGGAGCCTTCACCCGCCTCTTGCTGCTCGCTCATTTTTGGGTATTATTCCAACCGAGATTTCTCTATAAAATGAAAACCCAAAAAGTATGTCAGACGTGGACCTTCCGCCAGAAATTCTTCCCGTATCTAGTTCCAACAGATAATCACTCTCACTTACCGTTCAGTTAGTGGTGAGCGGAGCTTAGAATTGGATTCTTTGACAGTTTCTTTCGACTACAAAAAGTGTATAACTTAAATCAGATTTTAAAAATTTTCAATTTCAAGGCATCAAAAAATTTTTCAGAAGTAGTTTGTGCTGGAAGACGGAGATTATAATTTGGCTACAATACATGCAATGAATGGACCAGTCGATCGGCCCCCGGACCAGGACGAGGACGAGAGTTCATGATGATATACATTTATATACATATTTATGTGGGGCATTAAGTTGTAATTGAGCACTCAACGGAGGAAATGTACGCGTCTTCGCAATTCATGACTTCGAACGATCACGATCTTACGACACAATGATGCTGAGCTTCGTGATAGATCACTTTTCTGATCGGTGTAATATGGACAGTAATGTAGTACAGTTTGTCGGAATTAGCAGAACCAGAACCCTGTAAAGTTAAAATTAAAGCGCCAACCTCCAATTCATTTGAAGAGCTTGGCTACCGAAATGGCTGTTTCGTCGTTCTTATTCATCACTTTACCCACGGCAAGCTCAAAGTCCTCCTGTGTGACGTGAATTCTTCTTTCACGCAGTGCAAACATACCGGCCTCCGTACAGACACCCTTGACGTCGGCACCGGAGCATCCATTCATCTTTTCGGCAATTTTCCGCAGATTTATACCACGCGTCAAATTCATCTTTCTGGAATGGATACGCAAGATCTCGGCTCTTGCAGCAACCGTTGGAGGTGGAAATTCAATTTTCCTGTCAATTCTACCAGGTCTCAACAATGCAGGGTCTAAGATGTCTAATCTATTGGTGGCCATGATGATCTTAATATCCTTGGAGGTCTCAAACCCATCCAATTGATTCAGGAGCTCCAGCATGGTTCTTTGCACTTCCGAGTCTCCGCCGGATCCACCTTCCACACGGCTCGACCCTATAGAATCGATCTCGTCCATGAAGATAATCGAGGGCGCGTGTTCGCGAGCCATTATAAACAGTTCTCGCACCATCCGCGAACCCTCACCAATATATTTCTGTACCAACTCGGCACCACTGACTCTTATGAATTTGCAATCGGTGTGATGTGCCACGGCTCTGGCAAGCAGCGTCTTACCGGTACCTGGCGGGCCATACAAAATAACGCCCTTGGGCTGCGCAATCCCGAGACTCTCGAATAGTTCCGGGTGTTTCACGGGAAGCTCGATGACCTCCTTTATCTCTTTGATTTGCTTGGTCAGACCGCCCACCATGTCGTACGTGGAGTCCGGCACTTTTTCCACCATCATTAGCGACACCAGCGGATCCACCTTGTTTTCCAGGATTTTGTGCAGCGCGTAAGAGTCGCTCTTCAAACACACCCGCTGCGAAGTCTTGAGATCTTTCACGTTGATGTCCTTGGCGATGTCCACGATGTACTTGCCCTCAGGCTGGATCTTCACCAGCACTTTCTTGTCTGATACAACCTTGACCACTTCTCCCACGTAAGACCCAGGTTCTTGCAGTAGCCGCAGCTCATCTTTGATGAAGCGTACTTTGTCGTTCAATGCGTTTCTTTGCGCTTCCAAACGTCTCAGATTCTGGGTTCTGGATCTGATTCTTAATTCCGTTTCTTGAATCTTTTGATCGAAGTACGGCTTGATACCGCTATCGTGTGTGTTCAATGACACTTCGCTGACTGCAACGGCGCTCATAACTGGGTTTTTGACTTTTGTTTTACCTTTCCAAAGCTACACCGAACTTTTTAAAGGTATTGGATATCTTATTTAGAGGTTTAATTTGCCACCGATTTTGAAATTACAATGCGAAAAAGTGTTGATGTCACTACCGACGAAAACATACAAAATCCCAATAGCTTTTTATGAATATTACGAACTTTGAAGCGTTTGCCTGTGTTGCTAGCAGAGGTACAGCCCAAAGCATGGTTCGCACCGTCGTAGTTACGTGCGGGGCCACGGTGCCATTTCCAGATCTTGTACGGTCCGTCTTGGATGCGGGTTTCATCCAAAAACTTGAGCTGTGCAACTTCGATCGGATGGTCGTTCAGTACGGCAAAGGTTTCGGCACCGAGTTCCAGCGGCTTGTGGAGCAGTCTGGAATGCTGGATAACGTCCGTGACAAGAGTAGCAACCCACTGGAATCGCTGGGAATTGAACTTGGGATCCACGTCAAATTGGGCCATCTGGAGGTCTGCGGATTCGAGTTCACGACCGCGATTCAGAATCTGCTCCGCACGGAAGCCGATCTGGTGATCTCGCACGCCGGAACGGGCTCCATCTTGGACGCACTCCGCCTGCAAAAACCGCTCATTGTCGTTGCCAACACAGGCCTCATGGACAACCACCAATTGCAAATCGCGCTCAAGTTTGAGTCACGTGGCCACCTTATTTCCGCGCACGATTCAAGCGCCCCGGCGCTGGCGCAAGCTTTGGAAAGGACGCAAGCCGTCACTCTAGAACCACTGCCGAGCGGGGTCAATGCCCAGTTTGCGAACCTGCTGGCGACGGTGGCGAAGTCATGAGAGACGCGCCCGCGAAAAAAAATTATGTGTGTAGCTAGCTAGTTCGGTATGCACCCAAAGAAAAAAGAAGATTCCCAGCGCCTGTCCAGTGTCCAGTCCAAGCCCCCAACAGTTGAGAGAGTCCTTGAGCCTCGTATAGCTGAGCCGAAGGCTGGTTTCCCCGGATCCAAAAATAACACTCCGCCCAAAAAAAATATTGGAAAACATTTGATTTCGCCCAGGATCGAACTGGGGACGTTCTGCGTGTTAAGCAGATGCCATAACCGACTAGACCACGAAACCTCAGTTTTTAAAAGCAGCGTTGTCAAAACGACTAGTCCCTAGCCGTATACCACGCGCTGCAATCTTATCGCTAATCGCTCATAATCAAGATATCAGTTGTGCTACAATCGCACAAGACTGATCAGCAAATGCATACAAGAATGCTTGCAATCGCCAAGAAAGTCACTAGCAATTGCTGCATATCTTGAGACGTTATCGCGCATTTCGAAATGACTGCTTCAGCAACGTGAGTGCGTGTGTGTGGCTTAACTTATGGGGCACATGTTTCAGACTTTATCGCTAGCCGAAATCTAGACCTTTAGAAAGCATGGTTAGAGATAGCCGATTAATTGAGTAGTTAGTTACCAAAGACTTGAAACGTAGCAATAGCGCGAGGGGCGCAACCGGAACGTGTAAATTTAGTGCTGTTGCAAGCGTGTCAAGATTTAGTCATCTCGGTTACCTTTACGACGGAACCATTCCTGGCGTGGCCACGCCGTGCTAATCTCTATACGGATGTAAAAAGTGTTGATTTGCCAAAGCCACTCTACTATCGAAGAAGAGAGAGAGAAAGAGAGAAAAGAGCATGTCTGACAAACCATGTGCAGTAAGCTTTTGTTGGCATGCTCGCATGATCGCATAAAGATTACAGAGGCGGTGGTGCATACGAGTAAAGGTGCTATTTATTTATATATATAGAGAACGGCATCAGGCAGAGTGCCCCGGATCATTTTCAATGTGCGTAGAGAGACTAGACACCTTCACCAAATCGTAGCTAGCTAGTAAAGTCAGCATATACCAATTAAGCGTACAGTACACAGAATGGACGAACACCCGGTCACTGCCACAGGCATTGCGCTGTACAAGAAGCCATTGTTCCAATTCGACATGGAATCGAAATCCGGAAACCGTCGCAGCCGGGAGAGAGCAGAGATTCCCCTCGTGGATCCAATTGTGGCGACGCCGGACAAAATTTCGACGGAAACGTCAGAGTTTACAAAAGAAGACTCGCACTACACACACACTTCTCCAGCACTTAGAGACTCCCGACAAGACATGGTAGGTTTCAAGTCCAGGAAACAGGCCAGCAGCAACAGCAGCAGTGTTGGAAATGCAATGCCAGCATCAAAACCAGCCTTCAGCAAGAGTTCCAGTGGCAGCGGTGGGAGCACCAGTGGTGCTACTAGCAGACCGGCTCTAGCTCCACACACCTTGTCGTCGTCGTCATCGTCGTCACTACTGTCGGTATCGTCGGCATCGCCCTACAGAGCCAACACCAGACGGCTGTCGTCGGAGGAAATCATCAACGAAATGGAGAAAGAGCAGGACGCCATTGTTGTTCGTTTGCTGCGCGAAATCGACCAGCTCAAGGACGAAAACAACCGGCTGCGCAAAAACTTGGGAGCTGTGCTAAATGGCGATCCCCAGACCCCAGCCACTGCAGCAACCAACTCTACACTCCCACAACTGTCCAGACGCTCTTCGCTCAACAGCAATGCCAGCAGTGCCAGCATCGCCAGTAACAACAGCAGTTTATCTGGTGCCAACGTCAACGTCAACGGCAGCAACAGCACGAGCGTCTTGGCGCTGACGCCCAGTGGCACTAGTCCCGCTCCGTCGCGAAGACCATCTTCTTCTGCCGCGCCTATAGACACTTTGACTCCCACGCTTCTGCTCCAGCGGAAACGTAATTCGATACCATCCCCCAACCCGTTGACTCCTAAGAAAAGCGATGAATTTGTGCATCTGTATACTCCCGTCCCCAGCTCCAATCTGGTAAAGACAGACCCCGCTGCCGATCTTCCCGGATCCTGTGGATACCGCAGGCGACGGTTGTCAGTGAAGTCGTCGGAAGGGTCGAATAAGATACAACGATCTACACAGTGAAGCCCTCTCGCTTACGCCTCTCACTACTAGCATGTCAGCATTTCAGGAACCGGTTAGAATACATAGCAGATCTCGGATAAAGATACATAGTTTCCATTAGTTAGGAGATTTTAAAACCTGTTTGTTCGGTAACCTGGACCCCATTTCTACTGACAGGGTCGTAAACGTACGTACCTATGTTGGCCGATTCAAGACGAGAACGAATTTGTGAGCTCAATTATGACTATAGCGCAACCGTCTCACATTGGTCTTTTGACCATTAGTTTCGACGTTTCGGGTAATTTCTTCCCAGTCTTGAGTATTTATCTATTTTCTGATTTAAATCTTAACAAAGAAACCCTTAACATACCCAAAGTAGCTTTACTCACTCAGCGATCCGCTTCGAGGGTATACAAATCATGTATTGAGGTTTTATTGACACAATTCTTGGCAATGTGCAGTCCTCTCGATGTCTTTACCGTTTTCGGAACGACAATGGCCCTGGAATAACGACGAGATTTAACAGCGGGTAAATTTGGTCACTTGAACTAAAACGACTAGAAGATATAGAAGAATGGAATAGAATGAGGTACACATTTGATCGTTGGCAGTGCCATTCGCTACTGTTTCAATGTCAAACCGTCAATGTGAGGCACATACGTGTATCTTTTGGTATAAGAATTGATGCAGATGTGATTGAAATTGACACGAAACTGTAACAATTCTAAAGTGTCAAGATTCATCAGTGTCACTCGTTAGAAGATGTTTGCTTGGAAGATTTTATGTTCTTTGGCGGTGATTATTGAATTAGTGTGCAGAGTTTCTGCGTTGGGCACTACCACCATCAACACCACCACATTGACAACCTCATTCGTTTGCCAACAATGTACCACTCATTTGAGTGAAAACACTTTGTCCAGTATTGAAACCAGTAGCAGCAGCAGCAGCAGCAAGAGCTCTATTCCTACTACCACCATAGGTTCAACCATTACTTCAACATCCTTCGTGTGTCCAAGCTGTGTCACTAGTACTTGCCCCTCACAAATTTCCAGCATTTATTCTAGTATTATCAGCTTACACAGCTCGACAAGTACCACTACTCCGATTACCTCTTCGAGCCTGACTACTTCTTCCCGCGTATCGACATCTCTTTCCAGTGTGCCCTTCCCATCAACAATTACCGAAACAGAAACATCATGCCCAGGGCCTTGCACTTTAACAAGTTCGAGCTCTACAATGAGCTCTAGTTCCGCAAAAAGTTCCAGTCCTATTTTGAGTTCCAGTTCTACAACAAGTTTGGGTTCTACATCAAGTCCGAGTCCAAGTTCTATAATAGGTTCGAGCTCTACAACAAGTTCGAGTTCTACATCAAGTTCTACAACAAGTTCGAGTCCAAGTTCTACAACAAGTTCGAGCTCTACATCAAGTTCGAGCTCTACAACAAGTTTGGGCTCTACAACAAGTTCGAGCTCTACAACAAGTTCGAGCTCTACAGCAAGTTCGAGCTCTACAACAAGTTCGAGCTCTACAACAAGTCCAAGTTTCACAAGCAGCTCTAGATCCCTAACCAGTCCCAGCTCCACGAGAAGCTCAGGCTCTCTCACCAGTTCTAGCTCTCCAAAAGTTTCCACGTCGAGTACCAGTTCCACGTCAAGTACCAGTTCCACGTCGAGCGCCAGTTCCACGTCGAGCGCCAGTTCCACGTCGAGCGCCAGTTCCACGTCGAGCGCCAGTTCCACGTCGAGCGCCAGTTCCACGTCGAGCGCCAGTTCCACGTCGAGCGCCAGTTCCACGTCGAGCGCCAGTTCCACGTCGAGCGCCAGTTCCACGTCGAGCGCCAGTTTCACGCCGAGTGCCAGTTTCACGCCGAGTGCCAGTTCCGCGTCAAGTGTTAGTTCCGCGTCAAGTGCCAGCTCCAAGTCGAGTGCCAATTCCGCGTCGAGTGCTAGTTCCACATCCGCTAGTCCTTCTCCAAAGCCTTCTTTCAACCAGAGTTCTAGTTCCGCCATATTGACAACTCAGCCATCAATCACGACGGCAACAACGACGAGGCAGTCCGTGACGACAGAAACGGAGACGAGCTGCAGCTGCACGGATTCTTCAAGTACCCATTTGAACTCCTCCACCCCCGCAATAAGCTCACTGTCGACCTCGTCAAGCACAACCTCGGCTTCATCAAGTACAGCCTTGGCTTCATCAAGCACAACCTCGGCTTCATCAAGCACAACCTCGGCTTCATCAAGCACAACCTCGGCTTCATCAAGCACAACCTCGGCTTCATCAAGCACAACCTCGTCCTTGTCAAGTTCGCTCCCGACCTCGTCAAGCTCACTCTCGACCTCGTCAAGCTCACTCCCGACCTCGTCAAGCTCACTCTCGACCTCGTCAAGCTCACTCCCGACCTCGTCAAGCTCACTCTCGACCTCGTCAAGCTCACTCCCGACCTCGTCAAGCTCACTCTCGACCTCGTCTACATATTTCAGCAGCACTATTTCAGCTAGCTCTGGTTCCATCTTCAGCTCGACGGGTACTATCTCAAGTAGTGAGACTGCGGACTTGCTTTCAAGTTCAAGTACGTTTACGGTTTCTTTTTCAACGGCAAGCATTATTCCCAAGGTATCGACCAGCTCTGCTTTTAGCACACTTTCTGGTTCTGCATCTCGAGATTCAATAAGTGATACATCAGTAGGTGGCAGCACTGCAGTACCAAGCACAACTGCTTCCACCTCAAGTGCTAACTTCTTTTCTACCTCCTTTAGTTCACAGGTTACGTTTAAGATAGCACCCTCAAGTTCGGCTACCTCTGCTTCATTACCCACAAAATCCACTACGGTGCCCTTCTCCAGTTTAGTGAGCTTCAGCTCTCAAATCACTAGCTCTAGTGTTTCTGCAATCAGCCCTACTTTTTCAAGTGCAATGTCTAGCACTGCGATAGGTAGCTCCAGCATCCCCGCAATCAGCTCTACTTCTTCAAGTGCAATTTCTAGCACTGCGATAGGTAGCTCCAGCGTTCCCGCAATCAGCCCTACTTCTTCAAGTGCAATTTCTAGCACTGCGATAGGTAGCTCCAGCGTTCCCGCAATCAGCCCTACTTTTTCAAGTGCAATGTCTAGCACTCCTGCGACCGCCTCTGTCTCTTCAAATGCAAATCCCAGCATTGCTGCCGCCAGTATCTCAAACGCGACACCTAGCGCTCCCCAGATCAGCTCCAGTTCCTCTGTCTCGGGGTCACCTGCTCCAAGCAACGAAACCTCCGTTTCCAGTTCGTCCTACCCAATTACTTCCATCCCAACAGCCCTATCCTACTACACACCCTCATCCACAATAGTGACTACAACCCTCACGAACTCCTCCACAGTTTCTGGCCTATCGTCCTTCACCACTGCTGCTCCCAAGGCTTTCACAACTTCCTCGGTTGTTCCAACAGTACCATATTCTGGCGCAGCCAATAATCTTCAAGTTCCCAGCTTCTTCAAACTAATCTCGATGCAATGGTGAGAGACAGCTTATCTCGAATAAGCCAACAATTGTTTTGGCAAGAAGACCATCAATCAATATATCTCCCAGCTGGGCTGAAAGTAAGTGTCGCTGGGAGAGTGCCTTTTTGTGCGAAACAGAAGAATTGCAAGCCATGCAATGAGTGCACTCAACTAACCTTTTATTAACACCTTCAAGTCCATCTTTAGTACTTTTCTCTCACCGAATGTTTTCGATTGCCGTTTGTTTGATTCACCTCATCGCTTACGTCATCGCTCATCGGCGGCACAAACCGTATGAAACGACTACAATATGCCATTTCTTTCTTCTTTTGCTGGTTTCGCAGTCTGAAAAATTTTTCAGAGCTCATCGCATCAGCATCGCATAAATCATTGGCGGGTTTTGATGCTATAGAAAGAGCTAAGTTTCCAGAGACATTTCAGACTCCTACTTTCATTGACTTTAGTTGATAGTTGGACTTTATTTCAAGAGATACAAGTGCTTTCTTCGATTATAATAAGACTTATTCAGAATGGCGAAACAAGTTGCTAAGAAAGTGTCCAAGAAGGACTTGAAGAACAAGAAGCAGGAAAAGAAGGCCGTCGTGGAAGCAAGCTCAAGCTCTTCCAGCGACTCTTCTTCCTCCAGCGACTCTGAGTCTTCATCTTCCAGCAGCGATTCTTCCTCCTCGAGTGAATCCGAGGTCGAAGAGAAGCCAAAGGTGAAGAAGGAGGCCAAAAAGGAGGCTAAGAAGGACACCAAAAAGGTTTCCAAGAAGGAAGTGGCCAAGAAGGAGGTGGCCAAGAAGGAGGAGTCTGCCAGCTCTTCCAGCTCTTCAGACTCCGACAGCTCTTCCAGCGACTCGGACTCGAGCTCTGAATCCGAAGATGAGGTTGAGGAAGCTAAGCCAAAGAGCAAAGCTCCAGCCAAGGCCGAGATCACCGTCTCCAAGAGTGCTAGCAGCGGATCCGAATCTTCTTCCTCCGCATCTTCGTCGAGCGACTCTGAATCCTCTTCTAACGATTCCGACTCTTCGTCGAGCGACTCTGAGTCCTCGGCCTCCGCCGAAGCTCCTTCTAAGAAGCGTAAAGCTGAAGAATCTGCCTCTGAAGAAGAATCCAAGGATTCCACCCCAGAAGTCAAGAAAGCTAAGACTGAAACCTCCGGTGAACCAGCTACTCTTTTCGTCGGCAGACTTTCCTGGAGCATTGATGACGAATGGTTGAAGACTGAGTTCGAACACATTGGTGGTGTTGTCGGAGCCCGTGTTATCTACGAAAGAGGCACCGACAGATCTCGTGGTTACGGTTACGTTGACTTCGAAGACAAGTCTTACGCTGAAAAGGCCCTCAAGGAAATGCAGGGTAAGGAAATCGACGGCAGACCTATCAACTGTGACATGTCCACTAGTAAGCCTGCTGGCAACCCAGGAGCCGACCGTGCCAAGAAATACGGTGACACTCCATCTCAACCTTCGGACACTCTTTTCTTGGGTAACTTGTCTTTCAACACCGAGAGAGACAACGTTTTTGAGATCTTCGCCGAATACGGTGAAGTCGTTTCCGTGCGTTTGCCAACTCACCCAGAAACTGAACAGCCAAAGGGTTTCGGTTACGTCCAATACTCTTCTATTGACAACGCTCAAAAGGCTCTAGACGCTCTACAAGGCCACTACATCGACAACAGACCTGTGAGACTGGATTTCTCTACTCCAAGACCTCCTCAAGACGGTAACTCTCGTGGTGGTGCCCGTGGTGGTGCCCGTGGTGGGTCCCGTGGTGGTTTCCGCGGCGGTGCTCGCGGTGGGTCCCGTGGTGGATTCGGTGGCAGATCGGACAGACCATCTGGATCTGGTTCCAACTCTTCTCCATTGGGTAGACCAAGACAAACCGCTTCGTTCGAAGGTTCTAAGAAGACCTTCGATTGAAGACCGTGCATAGAACTGCAACAGAATTTATTTTGAATCAAAGTTCTGGGTTTTATTTCATACATATCTCAACGCCGTAAAAATGGCCCTTCATGTAAACTAGTAATTTAAATCAGTCCATTTCGCGCTAACTATGACCTTTGCGTCACTATTGATCTGCTGGAGGACACATTCCGTCGAATTAATTACAATTAACGCGGGGAAGAGAATTAGCGGAAATGTACACCGATATCGACCGTGAAAACCATTCAGTTGACAGAAAATTTATGAGATCACGACTGAATCTTTATGCTCGAAATGGTTTGCTCATAGGTATGCTAAGGATTTTTTTGTTACTAGTCCGTAACCTTCGTAAATGCACCGGACTTGACGAAAAACGAAATCTTCTGAGGAGTTGGGACTCAATGTTGGTGTCTAAAATTTAAAGAAATAAACAGCATTCTTCTTTCTTGGCAATATAAACCTGCCCTTTCATCTCGATCTTGCCGGTGACAGTAATGCTCATATGTCCCTATGCTGCTATTTGAAGTGGAGATAAATGTGATAACGTGAAACGTAGTCATATTGCGGTCGAGCAAGAAATCGAATACTCACAAAGCATCTAATCTTTCTTCAAAACTGAGGACACGCTTCTGGAATACGTTGTTGCACTGACGCTCTTTATCTAATCTGGTTCGTAGTTGGTGCTATTTATCTTAATGGGTGTCTCTATCCAGAAATGCCAAGAAAATTTGAATATCGCATTGTCGAAAGTTGAGTCTCGTACGTAAAGAAACAACAGAACGGGCTATAAGAGGGATCCAGCTTGTTACGAACCGTAGCGTAACTACTGACTGTCTGGGATCTGAGATTTGATACGGTGAGGCCACTAAAGCAAGTCTACTATGGGGTTACTAGCCAGGCTAAAAGCCACGGGTTATCGAAAAGAGGATGGTCTTAGGCCCAAACCAACAGAGTCAGTGGCAGAAACTGGCAAGAAACGCCGCTCATATACCACGAGTAGTAATTTCAAGACCACGAATCCTGCCAGAGACTTTTATATCGAGCAAGAAGCCCCGCATAAAATTTGGAAGCCCAACGAATATATCTGCGGAGAAGCGGTCCTGGTCTTGAAAAACGACATTGAAAACATTGCTGTAATGCTTTCCCTGCTTGGGGAAGTCAAGACGCGCGGCTTGGGACCTCGGACTCGGTCAGAAAAGCTTTTCGAAAGAACTACTGTTGTTTACGGTGAACCAGAAGAAGCAGAGCCTGGAAAAAAAGCCGTAATCAACGGACTCACAAAAGGCGAGCACAGGTTCCCCTTCAGACTCAAAGTGCCCTCCAAGAATATCTTCACATCAATTAAGTTCGAAAGAGGGTCCATCTCCTACTGCATTCGGTGTACACTCGAAGCTTCGCAAAATCGCTGCGTAGATAAGGTCATGGCTGTGTGTGAGCGAAACATCTCCGTTATGGTACCGCTAGACGTGAGCAATGTTCCAAAACCCAAAACTAAAACGGTAGTATTACAATCTCCCGCGGTTTTAAAACAGACCAAGACTGAGCACGATAGCAGTTCAAGCTTCACAAAACGCACCGGGGGATCCAAGAATTCCGGATCTACTATAGCCACATCGAATTCGTTCAAAACAGTGACGATAAATGTAGATCTCCCGTCTTCAGGTTACGTCATAGGAGAAGTCATCCCAGTCAAGTTAAATTTAGAACACTATCGAGAATACTCCCATTCTACTGGGCTAATAGCGACTTTAGTCAGGATATGTCGAGTGGAGGACTCTTCAAAGGAGAATGCCATCGAGACGTATCGAAAAGACATATGCCAAACTGTTTCACCCATCTACGTCAATCCTGAATCTTTGGAATGCAGTGTGACTGTATATTTGAAGGTACCTTTTGATGCCTTTCCTACGCTGCGACTTCCGAACCGGAGATTTTCATTTCAATATTACGTGGAGGTTCTGGTCAATTTGTCGCGCAAGAACCTCGCATTCACTGAATCTAACCGGGTCGTAGACACTACTTCCAACGCACAAGTATCAAGCTCACCAGGAAAATCTATAGAAGAGACGCTTGCCATTCTACAGAGGAAAATACAGTCCGGTTCCAGCACTGAGAACTTTCAAGATGACGACCGAGAGTCAATGATATTTTTCAAGGATCTGATTAACGTCGACAAATTGAAAAGACTGCGGAATGTTACTGGAATGTCCATCGAAATTGTTGTCGGTACCACAAGATTAGAGCCATCAAATACTGGTACCGCTGCGGAGACACCCGCAGAGAACGCTCTTTCACCAAATAACACAACGGCAGAAATTTCGCTTGCAGATGCAACCGTAAGCACAACACCACATACTGAAGTGGCACCAACAGATTACGTTTACAGCCGGAGTGAAAAACACACCTTACTTCCCCGTCCTTCATACGTATTCGATTATGAGGAAAGCCCTTTGTTGCCATTACCTGAATATACCCCAAATTCCCTGTTCAATGTGACAGAGGACAAAGACGAAATAGAACTTAAAAGGTTAGAAGAATTAGAAAGTGAGCCACCTATGGCGGCTTAAAATAAAGACCCCAGGTCTTGCCTTAAACCAAGTAGTAAAAACTATGTAACGAGAAACGAGTAGACAAAAATTTAAACATCAAGCTAATAATTCCTAGATGAGAAGATAGATAACCTCAAGCTCCCGTAAATCAACGCTACAAACGCCTATTCTTACAGCGATGAATATAACTGACAGAAGACGTATTTTAGGACCATCAAATGCCAAATCCCTGACTTTTGATAGGAGTGATGCCTCGGTCCAAGAAGATCAACCAAAAAACATATCTTCAGGCCCAAAAAACGACACTATGTACATTGAGAACGGGATTGTTTGCAATTCTAATGGGTCCTCGTATCTGGAGGTCAAGGACAGAGATAATGTGGAAAAGCGCACATTGCTTTTGACTTCTGTCTACGGACCAAGACCATCTCGAGGAGCGTTCAATGCTAAGGCCTCATTAAGTGTGCAGTTTAAGGAAGTCACACTAGAAAAAATCCCAGCAGGAGAGCTCAGAGAAGTGTGCAATTTTCTCACCAATGTGTTCAATGCAGTAATAATACTAGACCGGTACCCAAAATCTGGAATCGACATTTTCCTCAGTCTCATTCATAGCTCTAATGGGTCACAGGATTACGACCTCGAAACTATAATAACCGCATGCGTCAATGGTATCACTCTTGCGCTTATAGATGCTGGCATTGAGATTTTCGATACTGTCAGCGCCGGTCTCTTCGAAAAGAACGTTACAGTTTTCATGAAAAACGGAACTGAGATAGCTGGGTTTTGGAAGGATGACAACGGTTCTGTTGACGAAGACCTCTTGCAAGTTATTGAGAAATGCAGACAGCACTATTCACAGAACCGTAAAACAATAATAGACTACGTGGTACGAAGCAGGAATGGCCACAAATAATTATAAGACCAACCGTATAGATACGCATTGCCAGAATATTGTGCATTCATGAATTCTGATCTACAAAGTCCCAAGGGTTATTATTATGTACATATTGAACTTATTCTAAGCTTTCTAGAACTGTCTTGATCTCTTGCACACGCTGCGAAATGATCTTGATATCATAGTTGATTCTGCGCAGGAATTCTGCCGACAGATCAACTCCAGTAGCATCCTTGATAATTTTCTTAAACGTTTTCTCGGACAGATAATTGTTCTTGTTGGGCACGTATCGTCCACCATCATAAGCATGACATGCAATGAGAAATTTGGTCAAATCTTCACTCATACTATCTGGGCTATGGCAGTCAATTTGTGGTAATGATAGCATGAAGGGAGGTGAGATCATCAATACTTTATGGGTGTTTTGGCTGTGGTACCTAATTTCATAAATGCCCTCCTCGAAAAACATCAACTGATGATCGAATTTGATGCTTCCGCTAACTACTTCACCAGCCTTACTAAAGTTAATAACACAGTCTTCGGGGCGACCACTATAAGCGAAGGATCCTTTGGTAGTACCGGTCCAATGTCCATTTGAGGGCACTTTCGTTTTACGACGGTCGTTACCAGTTTCTAGAACCTTGTAAATCCCCACCCAGTCTGTGTCATGATGCAGTTTTTCTGGCAATTGCCAATGAACTTCAACCGGACCGGGAATAATAACTGTGTCGCTTTGACCATCGCCGACCCGTAATTCGCAGTTGGGAGCAAGATTAGCAGTGGCGCTTTGCAAAGCCTTTTGTAACAACTTCTCCCATTGAGTCTCATTACTAACAACACCACCCTCTTCCTCAAAAACAGGTTCACCTGAGGTTAAATGTTCCACAAGCTTATTTTCCATTTTGTCTACAATTTCCGAAAATCTTCTGATTGGCTTGAAACCCATCAAAGTCGTCGTAACACCGCTCTTGCGGTCACTGGCGCCATACACCTTGTAAACATGGGGCTCTTCCACGAGTTTGACCAACGCAATATTTGTTAGTGTCCAAACAGCAGCCAATGCCATGTTATATGGTGAGAAATCAGTAATCAAAGCTGCACCCCAACATCCTGCAACACCGAGGAACCTCTCGGGATTGCTCAAATACCGGTAAATGCCCTGTGAGTTCAACTTCCTGGAGTTAATGTAATTGGTCAAAAAGAAGTCACCATAAAACCAACCGAATTCTGATATCGCTGTTAAAATCTCATCATCGCACCATTTTTGCAAACAGCAGAGTAAGAACCCAAAGATTATTTGTGTATAGTTTCTTGTTTCTAGTGTCTTGAATTGAAAGAACGTCTGCAACATCAATAACGTGTAAGTAATTGTTAGAGAGTAATTGTAAATGAACTGCCATTGGTGAAAGGAGTGGACCTGCGTATAGCCGTTCTTGAGAAAAAGTCTGGTAAACCACTTGGAAGTAGATTGCTTGTAAAGGATCAATGAGAGAAGCAAAGAAGTACTCAACTTGGTGGCCAAAGTTGCAAAGAAAAGTGTTCTCTGAGATGGTCTAATCAAGAAGGTGAAAGCGGCAATAGCAACAGCACTGACCATTGTGAAATAGTCTGTCAACCTTAGTTTGTCGAAATTAGTAAACCAAAAACCTTTGGTAATGAGTGGTTTTGAGTAATTGCGATTTTCTTTGATCAAAAGCTCGTCGATTTGTGCGTTATCCGACTCAATAGTATCAGATCCGTAGATCTTTTCAATATGTGGGGTTTCGCAATATTTCAAGAACAGAAACTGCAGTAGATGGCCCGCAATCGACACCAGAAGAACTTTATAATCTCCTGAAATCAAACTTAAACCATAGTACCCCATGTACCCAATGGAATACATAGGATGAGGTGAGATGTTGAACACACCATCGAAAACGAGCTTGGAATCCTGGAAATAAAAGAAATCTCCCCAGTACCATGCGTAGTCCTTCACAACACGATGCGCGTCCACCTTGACCCACACGTTGAACAAGATCATGACCACCCCGAGAATGACGCTAACGCTACGACTGGCCAAGACAGTTCTGGGGATAGACAGACACACAAATAGAATGTATGTGGTGAAATCCTGCATCAAGATGAGATCGACGCACTGACGGAACAGAAGCCAGATGTTGAACTCTTCTGGGTACGATTCCAAACGATACGACGCGGGCATTTTCGACTCGATCTCGAAACGGCAGAACCTAGCCAGCCAGTGCTGGTTCTTTTTGCTGAATAGCGCCTTTTGTTTGGCGAACTTAGTCAGCGACTCGTACTTGGATTGGTAGTGCAACACCACGCCGATCCCGACGTTGTAGCACAGTCTCCAGAACACATATTGCCACAGGAAAACCCACTTAGTGAAGACAGCCCCGAAGCGCGACACCAAGAAGAAGCACAGACCCACGTTGGACAGGATCGCCAAGCTGATCAGCACCTCCAGAAACGATTTTTTCAGCGTGGGATCGAAAAGCGATCTGACCATGTCATGCGTTTTGGCTGGGGTGAACTCCACGTTGCTAGATCGTGTTCTCGCCACCGCCTGGCCCTTTTTCGCCTCCTTTGCCACCGGTGCCATTGCCTCTATTTTGACACTTTTTGTCGACGACTTTCGATCTTTCAGCATATAGCTTTAGGTATAACCTCAATTGAGCCTCTTCAAAGTCTAAACCTAGGTTGAACTAGAAAAACGGAACACCGAAAGCTGTGAAAAGGGTTTGAATATCAGAAACAAGTTCCGATAATTGATTAAGTTTTGTCAAGATCTTGAAATTTCGAAACTTATCTGCCTAAAGTAGAACTTTTCACCATGTGAAAGTAATCTTAAGCCATTAACACCATGTGAACAATATGAAAGTAGTGAGAACCTCAACTAGACGAAAACCTCTTGATATTGATAGCGTTGAGTTTGTTCTTGAGACTTTGAGAGAGAATTGGCTTCAAGAATCGTGGATAGCATGGCGCACAGACAATCGGTGAATTTGGCTTTCTGCAGGGCTGGTATGGGATGCTGGTTTGACTTGTAGAAGGTAAAAGACAGAGAATGCAGAATGAATGGGCTTTGTAGAGACTTTCAAGGCTTTAATTTGGTGTGGGCCCAGCCTATTTTGTAGGGTTAACGAATCTTGTGCGAGCCCGCGTTGATCGATCACTCTTGAAAAATCAAGTACTAGATATAGTAGAGACGTGAAAACATATTCATAACTGCCATTCTTTGTTGCACTGCCCGGCTTTATCGGAACACATCAATTATAGACAGATCTGATGTGTGTTGTGCTAGGTACAGAAACGGCCAAGGTGCGTCTCCGTTCGAGCTCCACACTTTCTGAGGGAACATATACTTTTAAAAACTAACATTATTGAAGAAACAGGCACATACCGCTGGCAGGGACACACCACTGGCAGGGACACACTACTAGCAGGAACACACCACTAGTAGGGACACACGAAACTACGCAGGGTTTAGATTTTGTTGCATTTTTGTATTACCAGTGTTCCAGGCTGCAGCCTGGAGCCCGCTTACAATATTTTGCACGCTAGATGGTGTGCCATTAAACCAAACGTCTCTTGCCTTTGCTAGACCTGCAGTTGCATGCCGAAAGCTCGAATTTGTGGCCACACTGCTCAATTATTGCAGAAACACAACCCTGTTACTTGTTAAACGTCACACGCCCAAAATAAAGCCCTTCGCCTTATATTCCCAGAGTGGAGCTTTTCGCGTCATCTTCAACTCTTTGGTGATCCAATGGGTTAGGCGCAGATTCGTAAACCGCCAGCAATGGAATTCCATCGTTGTTCTGCTTCTGCCCAGTTGCCTCTCCGCGCAGCTCCAAGTAAAAACACCGTGCCAAATCGTCCTCATCGTCGCTCCAGTTGTTCTCGATGAAGAAGGTAAGCGATTCAACATTCTGGAAATGTTGGCGAGGCAAATTGTGCTCTACGTATCCACAGTCGTCATCAACCGACGTTTCGCCATTGACATCGATCCCGACATTTTCTGGATTCTCTAGTTCGTGCTGCGGCTTGGCATCTGCCAGACTATCAAAATCAACACTCTTCTTGAAGTTTTTAAACACTTTGACGGTTTTGGGAGACCCAATACCGGTGTTAGATCTGCTGAACCTGAACAAGCAGGAATAAACACGACAAACGCAGGTGAACGGGATGTGGATGATCATCTGACAATCAGCGTCGCTCTCTAAGTATTTAGAAACGTCATACCTGTCTTCTTGAGACTTGATAAAACATGCGTGTAAGTCGTTAGATCCACGACCAACAGCGTTCAAACACAGCACATGAGGTGTATCGACATGCTGAAACAACGATTGTGCCTCTGTGGTGGCCAATGGCGGACTGTGATCGTGGCCATGCTCATGTTCGTGCTCATGTTCGCAATTATGTGACATGTTTGTATTTTATCAAAATATTGAAAGTTCCAAATTGAAGTTGATAATCTTATAACTACGCTAGCTTTCTAAACAATCAAGCATACTTTTCAATCATGCACACCGCTGAATTTTTAGAGGCGAATCCTACGCAAATTAGCTCAGTTTTAGCTGGTGGTTACAACCACCCGCTGCTAAGAGAATGGCAAAATGAACGTCAACTTACCAAAAATATGTTTATCTTCCCACTGTTCATTTCAGATGATCCAAACGAAGAAGTAGCTATCGATTCGCTTCCCAACATCAAAAGATTCGGCGTCAATAAGCTGGCCCAGTACTTGGCTCCGCTGGTGGCCAAAGGGTTGAGAGCCGTGATTCTGTTCGGTGTGCCTATGAAGGAAGGATGCAAGGATCCAGTGGGCACTTCGGCAGATGATCCAGCAGGTCCAGTCATCCAGGGCATCAAATTGCTTAGACGCGAGTTTCCGGACTTGTATATCATTTGCGATGTGTGCTTGTGTGAGTATACATCTCATGGCCATTGCGGTGTGCTCCACCAAGATGGTAGTATCAACAGAGAAGAATCCGTGCGTAGAATTGCTGCTGTAGCGGTCAACTATGCTAAAGCAGGCGCTCACTCCGTGGCACCCAGTGATATGATTGACGGGAGAATCAGAGACATCAAACTGGGGTTGATTAGGGCCCAACTGGCACATCAGACTTTTGTAATGAGTTACGCAGCAAAGTTCAGTGGTAACCTTTATGGACCCTTCCGTGACGCCGCTTGTTCTGCTCCATCGCAAGGCGATCGCAAAAACTATCAGTTGCCTTCTGGAGGCCGTGGACTTGCGCGCAGGGCTTTGAAAAGAGACCTAGGGGAAGGGAGCGATGGTATTATTGTCAAGCCTTCTACTTTCTACTTAGACATCATGGCGGATGCATCTGAGATTGCACGCGACGTGCCCGTTTGCGCCTACCACGTTTCTGGAGAATACGCCATGCTCCACGCCGCGGCGGAGAAGGGCGTTGTGGACTTCAAGACAATTGCCTATGAGTCGCATCAAGGGTTTTTGAGAGCAGGAGCTAGACTCATCATTTCGTACTTGACTCCAGAATTCTTGGACTGGCTGAGCCAGTAAAAAGACAATTGCAAGAACCAATGCCTATGCCAATGCCAATGCGGTTTGATTAATTTTTGTCCTATGCAAATGTGTATGTACAATTCCATTATCCCACCTTGTTGAATTACAAAGACTTTTGATGCAAAACGGTTAACATTTCGAAAGCCATACCTTGGAGGCTTCAACAATTACTATGCCAGTGCTCTCTCTCGCTGGGGCTCCGATTTCGTTTGCGTGCCAGCTCGCTCGTGTGCCTTATCCGGATCTTGTATTCTTGGCAGCTCTCCGGTGGATGGCATCTCAGGAGAGACTACCGGCTTGTCTGCTGGAACGTCAGGTAATCCTAGTTCTTCGCCTGCCCCAATTGCCGAGTTCTCCGGTACATTTACAGTACCATTCACCTCTTGGTCCAGTGCCTCTAGCTCTCTATCCAGTTCTTCTTCGAACCCTCCAACAACACTGGACGACAAAACTTGGTCTATTTCTTCCTGGTATGCAATCTGCTCAGCCACAGAATCCATCAAATCCTCGGCACCCTTGAACTCTCTATTCAGTCGTGTCAGTACCTCGTTTCCCTGCTTCAGACCAGCCATAAACTGACGTTCCACGAGCTTAAATTCGACTGTAGCTACCAAGTTTTCCAAGTTTATAAGCTGGTCAGCCGCTTGATCTAGCAGACGGCTCTGGTAGTGGATCTTTTTGAGCAGAATACGCGCTCTGGGATTTTTGGTTCCGCCCTTTGGATCTTCTCGCAGTAGTGATTTGAGTCGCTTCCTTTCGTTGAAAACCAAAGTTTCCGTATGCTTTGTATATCGGTGTAATTCATCCTTGGAGATCTTTAATTGCAATATAGCTTTATCAGCCTTCGTAACCTCTATTTTACTATTCCCCTGGCCCATTTACACTAGTTGCCAGCCTTAAATAATATATATAAGTTGATAGAATTGAGATATCTGATTCCCACAATCTTGAATGTCGGGTCTTAAGATTGTAAAAAACCGATGCACAACTTCAGCGTACTGGAATCCAAATCCACATAGATGTATCGAATCATCGCTCAACACTGGCAATCCCTTATTGTCGCGATAACATGCGAGGTTTTTTCCCCGTTTGAGCTAGTCAACGGATTGGTATAATTGATAAGAGATAGTATAAAGGAGGCGCGTCTTTCTCGAGGCTACTTGTTTTAAATGTATCGTCTTCAAGAGCAGGAGAAAACATGTCGCCGCTCACCTTTGTGTCACAGAAAAGTAGCAAGAAGTCGCACGGCAATCCAAAGCCAGTTCCGGCATATTTCCCCACGTCAAAAGATTCAATTCTGATTCCGGATGTTAAACTCTACGATGCTGTGAGGGAGGCCCCTAGAAGGCTGACCAATACTTACGATGTACCAATTCGTTCTGGAAAGGCATGGAAAGTGCCCAAGGGGTCTGTGGTCCGCATTTCAACTCCAGAGGGTCCTCAGGTGTGCGATTTTAACTGCTGGGAAGCAAACTCAGACTTCAAGGAGCACATGTGGGCTTCGCGAACTCGACAGTTGCATTCTGCACATGTTTCTACTTACGACAAATTGTGGTCCAACTTGCCTTATCTGAGACCTTTGCTCACAATTATCGACGATTCGTTAGCCACGTATGGACCCGACGAGCATGGCGGCCGTGTACACGATCTTTTGGGCACTCGCTGTGATCCGTATGTCGACAAGTTGTTAAGCGGGCAGGATAACGATTTCCACTGCCATTCCAATCTTTACCGGGCAATCCGCGAGTTTGGCGGGCAGGAGGAAAATGTACACGACGTGCTTAATATTTTCCAACTAACTGGGCTTAACGAACACGACCAGTACTTCATGGAGACGTGTCCTGCGAAGGCCGGGGACTTTTTTGAGTTTTTCTGCGAGGTAGATCTCATATGTGCTATCTCGACTTGCCCTGGAGGTGACCTTTCTAATTGGGGTTGGGGCGAGGGCTCTGAAGATCGCGACGGCAGTGATAACATTGGCGATATGACATCTGTGTGCAGACCACTAAAAGTCGAAGTTTTCCAATTGCATGACTCTACAGAGATATTGCGAAACTGGCACTCCCCGGAACCTGTCAAATACCGGGGCAACCATGGGCTATAAAGATCGAGGTGCTGTTCCTCGTGCCTTCGCCATCGTCGCTGACACAGGCTTTCAAACATCGCTATAAATCTATTAGACGCATTTTTGATAGCAAATAGTCACAAACAAAAACACCGCACCAGCATAGGGGCTAGATTACACAGCTTCACAAAAAGACAAGCACAGGTGGAGCCCAAAAGGATGTTGCTGCTACAGCTATGTGCCATGTCTATAGAAGCTGTCATTCTGTACGCACTGATTTGATGCCGTTAAGAACAAGAAGATAACAAGTCTGAACTTCATGTGGTAATCTATCCCAAATTTTCAGACAATTCCCACCCGTCTACTGGTGCAACGGCCGATCTAAGAGCTCACACAATTGTCAACTTTCTAGGAACACTTTTGACGAGATGAGTTCGCGATTGTTTAAGAAGTGAAGATTTGAATTCAAAGCTACGAGATCAACAATATAGCTACACTATCTTGCCATTAGCATCATCAAACCAGTGTTTCTTTCTTGCAAGCAACGAGCGACTTTTTCTGCGAGCGACAGCGTTGAAAAGTATGACCCAAACGCTGGAAATGTTGCGAAAAAAATAGCCAGCAAAAGCCGTAGGCCCTGTATATTTGACAGCTATATATTCACAAACATGAGCACTTCCAGGGCTTCAAAGAGCCTCTTTCTGGTAGATGACTCAAATCACTTCCCGTATACAGTGATCTCGATTTAGGATGTCACAGCTAACGAAAGATGTAAATTTGCACCTGTTAGTCGAACAATGCTGAAGACGCCACATGTAAATGAATCACACCACGAGTTGATAGCTGATTATAAGTCAAATTCACCCATAACCAGTCCCTGGCAATCACGGGCTTAGGTATCGTTTCGAGCCTTGCATTTGTCAGATCTTTTAGTACAAGAACCAAGCAAAATCGGCGTGTTTTAAGCTTTTCACTGTCTGTGCAAACCAAGATTAATCTTACTTCCAATGACTCAATACGACTCCCGTACGTCTGTTGCTGACCTGGTGGGAAACACCCCCTTGGTGCAACTGACCAAACTTCCCAAGGCGCTGGGCGTAAAGCCCCAAGTTTATGCCAAACTGGAGCTCTACAACCCTGGCGGATCCATCAAAGATCGGATTGCCAAATCCATGATAGAGGACGCAGAAGCGTCGGGCAGAATCCACCCTTCCAAAACCACCTTGATCGAGCCTACGTCAGGTAATACTGGTATTGGTTTGGCGCTGATGGGCGCGATCAAGGGCTACAGAACAATTATTACTTTGCCTGAGAAGATGTCGAACGAAAAAGTATCTGTTTTGAAGGCATTAGGCGCCGAAATTATCAGAACTCCTACAGCAGCTGCTTGGGACTCGCCTGAATCCCACATCGGTGTCGCTCGGAAATTGGAGAAGGAGATTCCTGGCGCAGTCATCTTGGACCAATACAACAACATGAAAAACCCAGACGCCCACTACTTGGGCACGGGTAAAGAGATCCACTACCAACTGGCCCAATTAAACGCATTCGAGAAGCTACACGGTGTCTTTGCAGGTGCAGGTACCGGTGGTACCATCAGTGGTATCTCTAAGTACCTCAAGGAACAGGACTCCAACATCAAGATCGTTGGCGCTGATCCTGTGGGTTCTATCTTGGCTCAACCTGAAAACTTGAACAAAGGTGACGATGCTGAATACAAAGTGGAAGGTATCGGGTACGATTTCATTCCAAAAGTGCTGGACAGAAAGTTGGTGGATACCTGGTACAAGACAAATGACTTGGACTCCTTCAAATATGCTCGTCAATTAATTGCTAACGAAGGTTTGCTTGTTGGTGGGTCGAGTGGTAGTGCCTTTTCAGCTATGATGAAGTACTGCGAAGACCATCCAGAGTTGACAGAGGAGGATGTATTGGTGGTAATTCTACCAGATTCTGTTAGATCTTACTTGACCAAGTTTGTTGACGATGAATGGTTGAAAAAGAACGAATTGTGGGATGACGAAATTTTAAAGCCCTTGGGCAGAAGCCAAGTCGATATTTTCAAGGGTGCTACGGTCAAACAATTGAACCTGAAGCCCGTCGTGTCTGTCAAGGAAGATGCCTCTATTTCGGAAGTCGTCAAAATTTTGACTGATAATGGCTTCGATCAATTACCAGTATTGGCTCACGATGGTAAATTGTGTGGTCTAGTGACGCTATCACAGCTTCTAAAGAAACTTTCTTCTGGCGATCAAGTTGAAAGTATTCAAAAGTTGTTTTTCGACTTTAGAGGGCTCAACAACTTCGATGAAGTCTCGTCCTATAACGAAAACAAGTCAGGCAAAAAGAAGTTTGTGTCGTTTACTGTTGACAGCAAGCTATCCGAGTTGAACCAGTTCTTCGAAAAGAACTCGTCTGCCATTATCACAGATGGCTTAACTCCTGTCCACATTGTCACCAAAATGGATTTGTTGGGGTCTTTACTTGGCTCTTGCTAGCTCTGAATATATATAATATAAATTGTATTTAATAAGTTTGAGATGTCTAGTACTTTTGGTGTGCCAAAGTTATTCTTTTTTCTCCATGCCTAGGACTGACATCAGTGGTCCCAGTTGGTCGGGTCCGAGCTCAATGCCTGACTTCTGCAGCTCTTCCTTGAATTCAAACATGGCTTTTCTCACATCCTTGTCTGTTAATATCTTGACCACCTTCCAAGGACCAGGTGGAGAATCGTCGCTAGCTAAGCCCTTTGAGACCATTATTTCACTGACTGCTCGTAACTTTAAGGCGACGTTTGGATGACTTTGGATATCGTCCATCAGTTTTTGAACTTTCAAATGGGCATCGATATCTTTATTGGGATGTTTATTATCCCACGATTGTGCATAATGCCTCCTGGATGATACTGCTAAAAGGGGTCTTCTTAAATTAGCCCCTAGCCTTGAGAAGTATTGGGCTGAGGGAGCAATGGATCTGAACAACTGCCTACTCAAATATGTTTGCATGGCGGCTTTCAAGGTTCGCTGATCTGTTTTCAAAGCTGAGATACGAAGAAGTCATCGGAAAACGCTTTATACAAAAAAAAATCAAGTAAGAAAGAAGTAGAGAGAGCAAACAAATTTAGAGCTCGAGCTGATTCTAGTACACGTACAGTTTATTTTAAAGGGTATATGAGAGTTTTAAATTACATTTATTATGCCGCGAATTTCACGAGAACTTCCATCTATTACCACAAACTTCACAGGTACAGAATGTAGTTAGCGGTTCATCTGCAGACCTCGTTTGCAATTGGTAGTACGACACTTTCTTCTCTTTACATTTGCCGCAAGTAAACCGGTCTGTTACAGATCTTTCAAGAGTTGCGCCTTGAGCATTAAACAAGTTTTGCTTAGAAATTTCTTCGAACTTCTTCTTTAAGTGCTCTGGTGCTAACTCCCTGGGATCACAAGAGACCAAGTGGTCAGGTGTAACGTCTCCGGCCGTAATTTTGTGCTTCAGATCTGGGTTGTTCTTGGAAATTACGTTTGAGTAAACGACTCGGTATTTGTCCTTGTAGCCCTTTTCGTTTGTCTCGCAGTTATTGAGCTTATTGAGCTCTTTTTCTACCGCTATAGCGGTTGTCAACACAGATTGAGGAGGATGTTCACTATCTTTGGCCAAGGCATCGTAAAATGCCCGGATGACCATATCCCGAAGCTTGTGATTGTATATGCTTGTGATAACACCGTCATTCTTGGCACTTCTGGGTTTGCTTGACACGTATTTGTCATGTTTTCTGGCCTCGGATGTCGCTCCATTGGCGGGATTAGCAGCGGCAGCAGAAGCGGTACCAGCAGCACTTTTAGACTGCGCTTTTTGCTTCTTTTCCTTTGAGATTGCGTCCCTCCATCCTCCTATCATTTTCTTGACCAATGATGCTATTTGTGCATTGCTAGACTTCTTGAACTGGTTTACCACCACACCGACTTTTGTTTCACGTAAAAGTTTCTCTGTAGGCTTTAGGTTCTTATCTAAAACCGTTAATATCTCTAGCACACTGTCATTATTAGCCTTGCTCTTTTCCAAGTTCTTGACGAGTGTTATGACTTCTTTACTGTCCATCTTTCGTTCTTCATGGAAATATATAAGTGATGTTGAACTTTGTATAAATTTCGATATTTCATCTTTTCGATCTTCAATTTGGATTAAAACTAGTTCTTGAACAGAAGAGCCACCAACCAGAGGCTCAATTCGATAAGAAGTACAATTCGCATCGTAGTGAATAGTCTGAAACTAAACATCAAACTCATGGCTCAATAGCTGACCGGATACTCGAACATTCAAGACCGCCCTACTAGACAACAACAAATGAACAGACAAGCGCATAATAATCCACCAGCCCGAGTAGTATACCTCGGATCTATCCCGTATGACCAAACCGAGGAACAAATCCTGGATTTGTGCTCCAACGTTGGGCCTGTTGTAAATCTAAAAATGATGTTCGACCCACAAACAGGAAGATCTAAAGGCTACGCATTTGTCGAGTACAGAGATCTAGAAGCAAGTGCGAGTGCCGTGAGAAACCTCAACGGCTACCAGCTTGGCAATCGACACTTGAAGTGCGGATACTACGGAGGTGGAGATATGGTTCTTGGCGGAGCTGGAAACGGTTCAACGCTTCAAAACGAAGAGGAGAAAAATCCTCTTTTCATGGGACTGCCGCCTGGCATTGACGTTAACATCAATATGACGACGCCTGCGATGATGATTTCCAGCGTGCTCGCAAAAGGCTCCAAAGAAGAACAGATTGACTTGTTGCGAGCTCTACAGAGCATGGCACAGAATAATGCGGAGCAGTTCACCAATCTGCTGGAACAATGTCCACAGCTCAGCTTCGTTGTTGCCGAACTTCTGCTGACTACAGGACTCAGCACGGTAGACGATTTGACGCAGCTAGCAGTACAAAATAATTCAACCAAATCCACACCTGAGGCGGTTCAGGATCCCAAAATTCAAGAGCAGCAAAGAGAGCTTCTAAGACAAGTGTTGCAGTTAACGGATAGTGAAATAGCCGTATTACCAGAAGACGAGAAAATGTCGTTGTGGGATCTCAAACAAAAAGCTATGCGTGGCGAGTTTGGTATGATATAATAGCCAAGAGGCTAGAAATTAATGCACATATATAGGGAGACTAATTTGTAGGGTCTTGAACTGAAGGTTGCAGTTTTAAATATTATTATTTTTTAATATTATCGGTTGTTCCGTATTATCGAAAAACTTTTGAATTTATACTCGAATATTATAACTGGAAAGAAGATAGTAATTAGCCAACATTGACAGCTCAATTAGGTTTGCGATATCTACGATTGAAGAATGTCAGATCCAAGAACGAGAAAGGCGCGACATTTGCTTACTCCTGAGCTCTTGTCGTCTTCCATCCTAATAACGGATTTGCCGGCAAACTGGAATGAAAGTACCATATCTTCGGTAGTGGCTGGGTCGGGACCAATTACGAACATTTCACGTAAAGTGGATCCACGCAACGGGAAACTTGTGGGTATTATAGTGGACTACACAACGAGCAAAGATAGTAAGCGAGCCCTGGAAGTGCTTCGAAAGATCAAGAAATTTCCGTGCGGCACAGAAAGAATCATCTCAAACACGCAGAAGAACAGCAAAGAGAAAAGCACTCCGTTAGAATTAGACCGCAATGCATTTCCTTGGGATTGTGGCTTGGAACTGCCTTTCGAAATGGTCTCGGAAGTACCCTTACCGAGAAGACCCACGAACCCTGTTCCAGTAACTTCGAATGGTAGCTCATCCGATTCGAACAGTCCTACGGCATTTCCTGACATTTTAAGCAAAGCTTCTAAACACTTGCCAGGGTTTGTTGCAAATTCTATGACAGCCCCGGACGCGATATCGTCAAATTTAAGCAAGATCGCACCATTACAATTACTAGAGATGATTTCAAATTTGAAGATATTAGCGAATCAAGATCCAAATCGAGAGCAGCTGACAAATTTTCTAGCTAGCAATCCGGATATCTCTATTGCAGTTTCACAGGCAATGCTCGAGATGGGATTTATTAATTATAATGTGGTTACTAAAGTCATTGCAGAGCAGCCCGGAGCAAGATCTCAGTCACCCAATCAACAAAACAGTACTGCACAGGTCTTCAGCAACAACAACACACCCGGTACTACACCGATGAATAGTAATGCGGCAATGAACACATATACAGCACCTGTGAGACAACCACAACCACAGCTTCAACCGCAAGTACAGCCTCCGCTACAAACACTCCCACAACCACCTTTACAGTCCCTCCAACAAACACAGCTGCAGCCGCCACAAGTGACCCCTATGGCGTTCAGTCCGCCACAGCAGCATGGGTTCGGTTACAACACAGCGCCCAATGTCGTCCCATTTGCTGCCTCACCAATGCCGGTAAAAGCTGCTGGCGACCGCGTAAACATGATGAAACTAGCTGCATTGCCACAACAGCAGCAAGATATGATCAAACAGGTTCTACAATTAACGGCTGATCAGATACGGCTTTTACCTCCAGATCAAGTGGCCATGGTCGAAAATTTCAAGAGAGAATATCTAATGTGAAGTATGTAACCAGATAATAAAAGATAAAGATAGCAAGACAGTTGAGTCAAAGTAGATAGATATAGTCGTCGTTTCAGTATTGGCTATAAGGTCAAGATGGTTAACACTGAAAAAAAATTAATGGTTGCTAAGAGATTCGAACTCTTGCATCTTACGATACCTGAGGATTCCACTGTTTGACAGCGTTAAGAAGAAAACTTCTTGAATCAGGCGCCTTAGACCGCTCGGCCAAACAACCGCTATTGAGATATTCAACGAACGTATGCATATAGTACTAGCCGACGGGGTTCATGATCAGGATGTGCAAAAGTCTATCGACGTGACAGTATCTTCAGGATTGAGCAGGGAATAACTCCAATTTGAGAGGCCGTTGTCCAAAATAGTAGGCTCGTTGACTTAATGTGGGAAATCTATCGCTCTGTTCTTCCTTCAATAGCATTCATGAGAGGTTTTTCGTTTTCGAAAGTAACCAGAACATCGGGAAAATTCCTTCTCGAACTACTATCAAGCGTTTCTGGTATGATTTTAGTAGCCTCGAGGCTCCTGAGTGAAGGAAGTAGTAGTTGACTACCAGACTAAATAGTTCTCTCAGATTCCTCGATCTGACTGGAATTTTTGGCCACTAATCTGTAGGTAAGACATAGATTACACCAGCCAACAACCTGAAAGCGATATATGCACAGGTAAAGTTCAGGCGTTACAGTACTGATCTACAGAATGCGCAATCTCAAGGTATGATTCTTGATTTTGTACATGTATACCAACTTATCTGAGTACGTTGAGGATATCTGTGACGTGACATATCTGAGTCCGTAGTGGCTGAACTGGTCATTCAAGTAGCTCATGGAGTGTCAATTTGATTTGTGTCAGAATTTATTACTTTATTCATCTCCATGATGGCTCAGCTATGAGGTCGGTCTTTGTGAAGGAACAACTTGTCGGTCTTAATATGCAAAAACACTGACTGAGCATGAACTTTACAGATCCTGGAATAATGACGCGGTACGTCGCGTAACATCCTATAAGTCATTTTTCAACCGTGAGACCATTTACAGTATCGTTGGCCTTTACATCGACAAGATGCATCAAATATTCAATCGACTAACTCCGTTTCGCTGATATCACTCTGTACTATTATGGCATAGTTTTTGGTTTCCGTTATGATCCTATCCAAATCTACTTCATAATGCGATTGACGCTATGTGAAATAGTATAGGGAACCTGACAATATGTTATACCTCTACTTAATACACTCGAACTAATATCCAAGTGTTATCCAACTGGCTAATTGGTGATATATGTCCTTCCGGGGTATTCAGATCGAAGAGTATCTTGACATAGGGAATGAACCATCGGTATTTATAAAACTTTCTTGGTCAACGAGAAGATGTTCTCGACTAGATACCATAGCATGATTTTGAGGAAACGTGATGGACCGCGGCTGTATCATTAGTTTAGGTTTTCGTAACAGCGCTGTGCTAGCTATTCGCGACGTTATTGTCACATTGTACCAATGTGTCACGGTCCCAAGTCGTCTAACACTATTGCGTTTTTAGTACTCCGATATGTACAAAGCGCTCTGGAAAACTTTGAAACTAGTCGACTGTTCAAGATTCTCAGAGGCCTCTAATATCAGGTTTAAATTTATGACCTAATTTTATTCCTGGTCATTTAATGTTGGAAATGTTTGACGACTCATCTTGAAGCTGTAGAGATTATTAATAAATATTAAAAGGGTGCTCATCAACAAGCATAGGAAGAACAAATTATTTTGTAGTGTCAGTAAACTCAGGTTATTAGTTTTCTATGCCAGACAATTGAATAAAACTTGTAATATGCACAGAACCAAGTTTATCTACGAGTAATAAAAAGTGAGGTGGGTAAGCCACAGTAGATAGGCATTAAAATCCCTAACCGATTTGTCGCCTCATAGTATTAATTAAGTAGACGATCAATAATTTATTATTTCGTTCACAGTCACAAGTGACTCTTTAAAAAAATACATATAAGTAAATGAGCCATCGCCAAGTAATCAGACTTAAGCCATTCTGAATTTTGAGATCCACCAATACAACTCTATTATCAATGTCTAGAACTTTATTCAACGATATTGACCTACTTCCACCTGACTCGCTTTTCAACATTAAGCAGCGGTTGTCCCAGGACTCTAGACCTGTGAAAGTCGATTTAGGTATCGGCGCCTATCGTGACGACAATGGTAAGCCATGGGTGTTGCCCAGCGTGCGCGAAGCCGAAAAAGTCATTCAAAAAGACCCAAGCTACAATCATGAATATCTGGGTATCGGTGGTTTGACTTCGCTCACTCAAGGTGCTGCCAAAGTTCTTTTGGGGGACGACAACAAAGCATTAAAGGAAAAAAGAGTTGTTTCCGTGCAATCTCTCTCCGGTACCGGCGCTCTGCACATGGCGGCAAGATTTTTCACCAAGTTCTGCGGTGACAAATTGGTATATTTGTCGGACCCCACTTGGGCCAACCACAACGCTATTTTTGAGACCATGGGTTTAAAAACAGCAACCTATCCATACTGGGACCCAGCAACCAAGTCTTTGAATTTGAAAGGATACTTGAGCGCTATCGAATCCGCTCCAAAAGGATCCATTTTCGTGCTACACGCCTGTGCCCACAACCCAACCGGCTTGGACCCTAATCAGGAGCAATGGGCCTCTATCTTAGATGCCATCATCAAGAAAGACCACATTGTTCTATTCGATTCAGCGTACCAAGGATTTGCTTCCGGTGACTTGGACAGAGATGCCTTTGCCGTTCGTTTGGGTCTTGAAAAGTTGGCGGAAGTTAGTCCAATTTTCATCTGTCAATCATTTGCCAAAAATGTTGGTATGTATGGTGAACGTGCCGGCTGCTTCCACATTGTTTTACCACGCCAAGACCAGTCTGTAAGTATCGAAAACGTGAAAGATGCGATCAACTCCCAGCTGGCCAAAATTACTCGTAGTGAACTTTCTAACCCACCTGCGTATGGTGCTAAAATTGTCTCCACGGTCTTGAACGATGAACAGTTGACTGAACAATGGCACAAGGACATGGTCACGATGTCATCGAGAATCATCAAAATGAGACATCAATTGAGGGACAACTTAGTCAAATTGCACACACCAGGTAACTGGGACCACATTGTCGGACAAACGGGTATGTTTTCGTACACTGGATTGAGTCCTGAGATGGTTAAGAGGCTAGAAAAGGAGCATGCTGTTTATCTTGTGGGTTCGGGTAGGGCTTCGATTGCTGGTTTGAACAGCGGTAACGTTGAATATGTTGCTAAAGCTATCAACGAGGTTGTCAATCATTTTAGTAACTCCAAGTTGTAAAGAGACTGATCATAAGCGTCAATGAATACTTTGAAACAGCTCCATTTCAAATTCTTAAATAGTTAGTATAATATGAACTCGTCGAATAGTTTGTAAAACACTTCACTCGATTTATTGTATTTATATCATATTTGCGTCAATTCCGTGGAACCGATGTGTGCAGGACATGCTCTCTTGTGAAGAGACTAGCAAAAAGGCCCAAAGTTGCCGCGATTAAGGCAAACCCAATGGCAGCTTGACTACCGAACATAAATGATCCAGTAGTAGTAGTTCTTAGTGTCTCATCAAAAGACGTATCGAATAGATTATCCTTGATAATCTCTTGGCACCATTTCTTCAATTGTTTAACGCCGTATTTAGAAAGAAGTTCTTGGTTCTTCAAAACGGTCTTGCTGAGTTTGTATTCAAGACCAGCTTGATAGAGTAGCCCCGCTAATGCTACACCAAAAGTTGAGCCTGTGGCTCTGAATGCGTATTGTATTGAAGTGACTTGCGCCTGATATACAAAATCGACACTTGCAATCAGGGCTAACAACGTAACAGTAAGCATGGTGGCGTAACCTAGACCTGGTAGGAACATAATGATGTAGTCCACATAGCCTGAAGGTTCACGCGCAAAGGTTGAAAGTAGAAGAGTGAACATTCCAAACACAAACAGAACGTAAAATATCAAAGAAAAAGTACGATACTTGCCCGTTCTTTTCATATAGATACCAGTTGCCATAGAACCGATAGAAATACCAATGAAGTTAGAAATGGAGCGTAGGCCCACTTGCCATGGAGTTAGTCCGTAAACACTTTGCCAAAAGACAGGCATATAGTACATGACAGCGAAGGTGGCCATTGTACAGAACCAGTTTGTAAACGAAGAAGACAACACAGTTCTGTTGCGCAACAAAAGATGCAAGGGAACAACGGGATTATCAACTTGGAGTTCGGTGCGAATGAAAATGGCAGCGGCGAGGACTAAAACCACTAGTAGAGCGGCCCATTTGGTGATTCCAAGGCTCGAGGGATCATTGAGGAATGTTATGGCAACCATCAGTATAAGCATGGTAGTTACTAAAGAGGCGCAACCAACAAAATCAATCATTTGCGGAATTCGCGACCACTGAAAGGATCCCTTTTGCTTGAGTTCGAGCCATACAACTCCACGGCCAGGAGAATGATCTGGGAGTCTAAAGACACGATAAACGAGAAATGCGCTAATGAGAGCAACAGGTACTTGCACCAAAAAGGCCCAGCGCCAGCCAACGGTTCTCTGCAAAGCAGCGCCAAGAATGGAGCCTGATGCACAACCCACGGAGTAAAAAATGTTTCCAATACCCTGGTAAAGACCTCGCTGTCTCATGGGAATTATGTCACTGACCGCGATGGTCATAAGAGTGGCCAAGCCGCCGCCTCCGATTCCGGCCACGAAACGCGCGATAGAGAGGGTCCAGATGTCGTGGGAAAAGCTAGAGCCACATAGGAAACAGCCAAGAGCGAAGATGAGGTTACAGGCAACCAAGAGCTCACGACGGCCCAGCACATCGGATAGCTTGCCGTACATTGGCTGGAAAGAACTGCAAGAGAGCAGGTAAGACGTCGCTATCCACGACATCTGGGAACTCGCCGACAGGTCCGATGCGATGCTTGGAAGCAGCGTGGAGACCACTGTCATATCGAGCGCCGCGAGGAAACTACCTACAAAGAGCGTAGAGACCATGAGTTTGGCCCTACCGGGACTCAGAGCATCGTCTTTTTGTACGACCGGTTCAACATCGCCGGATTCATTGTTCTCATTGGAATAAGTGTTGGAGGATCCAAGCGATGCGGGCGTGCCCGCCAGCTTCGCGCCTTCATTGAGCACCGAGTCTTTTTGTGCAAGCTGCTGGGCCAGCAATGGCTCTGTTTCACTCATGTCAAAATCGAGGAATGTGAACGAGTGTTTTGCTGTGCCAACTGCGAAGGATCGTTTCAATCGGATTCGTCCCGTCTAGGAAAATTCTATCCAATCTGCCAACACTATTGAAGCGTCTCGAGAAACTTGATTTTGGGACCTCAGTATCTTATACCATTGTCAGGGACCTGAACTGAACTTCTTCACATGAAGAATTAATTAATCTGATCAGTAAATTTGCAGCACAACAAAGCGAATTCGAATCTAATGTCTGCTGATAGCCCATGCACAAACAAGCCAAAAATGAAATGCGGGATTCACAACACTATATCAGTCATTGCTGCAACAGCATTTGATTTGATCTACTTATGATAGATAACGCAGTGTTATCGAATGTGTCGTTATGGACGGATACGGGTGGACAAGATAAGTGAGATATTCGTATCCATTTTACTATCTAGTATCGAAAAGTGATGAAGGCAAGCAGGTCAATGAGAACCATGCGGAGCTATTCATGGAAAGCATGTAGAGCAGTGTATTGAGTACTTAACGGGCTGGCTGTAGAAGGCTGTGGTCGAAATTGAGGTTCGAGGCGAGCCCAATTCAGCGATAGAAAAGCTTGCTTATTGTGGTTTAGCTGTTCCATAATTAAGTGAGGTCGCTAATTCGTAAAGTGAGGCTGTGGATAATTCCTCCGAGGTTTTACTAGACCTGAAAAGTCGCATCTCGACATCAAAATAAACCATCGGTATTTATACAACTATGACGAGTTCTCACTAGAAAAAAGGTTCCATAGTGGGTTACTGAATATGCCCCCATTCATATTTCGAGCCCATTGATACCGAAACAGTGTTACTAATGACACTATTCGAAATTGACTTCTAGCTCTGGGTCGAAACCTAGCTTTGTCACTCCGTACAATTATGTCATTATGCAAAGTCGTATCATCACTTGCATCCCAACTGCATCAAATTCTTGGCAATTTTATAGGAGCGGCGTCCTTTTCTGGCTGCGAGCTCCTTACGGTAGAATGAACAGACTCATTCTGTAGATTTGCATCTGAAAGGTCATTAACATTTAGTAGCTTCAGTTATAATAATCGCATGCTCCGGCATACGCTTTCTGCCTGTCTCTCTAGATATGTGCATACGTCTTTCTTATGGACCCAAAAACTGCTTATATTTACAAGCTCTCAAGTAGTTCTATATCAAATCATGTTCAAACCACTTATCAGCCATGTAGAACAAACGAGGCCTTGCTTTTGAATAGCTTGACTATTTGCCCTCTGGTGCCATTATGATGTCTAAAATTTACATATCTTCATTACTAGCTTTGCAAGCTCGACAGAGCAGCGGAGCTCTCGTTACAAGCCAAGGGGCCGTTTTACCACATACAAACAGCCATGTCTTCCTAAGCTTATAATAGTTCCTTAATAAAATCACATGACTCTCTTTATTGTTTAACTTATGTTGAGTCTGTAATGATTATTCGACTTGGAACAATTAAGGAGAATACATATCAGCAGAAAAAAGTCAGCGCTCGAGCACATTAGGCCATCTTTCCATCACATTTCACTAGCGAATTGAGTCATTCTAGGTTTGGCGCTACGTTACCTGAAACTTCAGTTGGAAATTCAAAAATAGCTGATAGAAACGATGCTCAACATTCGAGATAGAACAACCGAGTTCCAACGTTCGGTCATACAGCATAGCAAACGGTCTCATGATGTTGTTAAGAAACAAAGTACGGTGCAGAAGTCCCAATTTCAACAACAAGCCTCAGTTATAGCGCATGAAATTGCACAGACAGCCCAGTTATTGGGAAAACTCGCACAACTGGCAAAGAGGAAACCCATGCTGAATGATAACCCTGTAGAAATTGCAGAATTGACTTATGTGGTTAAACGCAAGATTTACGCGGTCGAACAGAATATGTTAGAGCTGGCCAAGATGGGCGGGAACCAAAATGCGTCATCTCAGCCTATTCAACATACCAGAAATGTGGTAAACTTACTGAATACCAAGATGAAAAACATCAGCGGTGATTTTAAAAGCGTGCTGGAACAACGTCAAAGGCTAGAGCTTGCGAATCGCGACCGATGGGAACAACTTAGTGCTCATACCGAGTCTGAACAGCACCATACCTACAATAACTCCAATCCATTTATGTCCTCAGTCTTGGACGAGGGAAACGGAAACGAGGGCCAGTTAACCCTTCCACAAGAGTCACAAATGCTTTTGCTCGAGGAACAGACTTCTTCGTCCGCCTATTTGCAGGAGCGCAATCGTGCCGTGGAGACTATCGAGTCCACAATCCAAGAAGTTGGAAATTTGTTTCAACAATTGGCGCATATGGTCCAGGAACAAGGTGAGGTTATTCAGCGAATAGATGCGAATGTAGATGATATCGATCTCAACATTTCAGGTGCACAAAGAGAGCTACTCAAGTACTTTGATCGCGTGAGCAGCAATCGTTGGCTAGCGGTTAAAATTTTCGCCGTTTTGTTTGTGTTCTTTCTAGTATGGGTTCTGGTAAATTGAATGTACTACGTATAGTGAGTATAAGGTAGAAATAATAGAGCGCTCAAAATCTCAACAGTATTAAAGGTGAATGTGGACTATTTAAGAGTTTGCCCCAATCAAAACGGGTATTGGAAACCTAAAAAAATTGCACGCCAGCGCGTCATAAGCCCATTTCTGCCTGAAGTTCGCGTAGCGCACGTTCGTCTTCGTCTTCCTCCTCTTCTTCTTCTTCGGTTCGCGTAGCTTCTTGCGGCCTGTCCCACTCGAAAACCTTGTCCTGAGGTACCGATGGGAGTCTTTGAGGTGGTACAACTTCTTGCTTGACGTTTTCGGCGGCCAAAGCCTCCAGTTCTTCGTCGATTTCATCCTCATCCACTTCAGCACCAGCATGCAAAGGTCTGGAAATGGCATCCGAGATTTCTTCGCCCAGTTCCACCTGCTCGCGGATCTCGTCCATGGTCTCATCAACTTTATCAATATCCATACCTTTGTGAATATTCTTCATGGCGGACGCACCTTGTTTCATGGCCTTCATCGTCTCCAAGTTCAAATTAGCAGATTCGATGGAGTGCAGCTGTTGCTCCAGAGAATCCATTTGCGCCTGGATTTTTAACAGTTGCGACTCATACGTCTTCTTGCGCTTTAACGCATTTTTTGCCCCAACTTTATTGTTTTTCCCGAGTAGTTGCCGAGCAGCTTGTTCCTGGGTGGTAACTTGTGTTTGCAAATGAGCTTCTTTCTTTCCCAGAAGCGTTATGTGCTCCCGCAGATCTAAGATGGCCTTTTTTGGGGCATCTTTATTCTTGTTCGCAGCTCCAGCACCAAACAGGTACGACCACATCACCTAGGTTTCAAATGATATGTCACACAGAAGAACAGCCAGAATATCTAAGTGGCCTTGAAACCGCTTCTATCGGATTACTATGCGTAAACTATATTTTATCTTTGGTCGGGTTGATAGTTTTAAGGACTTTTGATATTCAGTATAGATTGGTGATATACCTTACTACGAAGGAAATGTTAGAAGGGAAATCTCAAATGGAAGTCTCTGAGGTAGCAATTGATCTGTGTTGGCGACAGAATGGCGGATTCAACTTGGTCCCATTTATTGAGTTATGGAGTCATCAAAATTTGTTTCTCGTGCTTTGCACGTCAGGAAAAGTTCTGACAAGTAATTCCGTCGTTGAGAAGATGAACGATTGACGATTCTTTAGTTCATTTCATATAATAACTGAGATTACGACCTTAAGCTTAACGTTTTGGTGAGATCAGTGTTCGAATTCAAAACTTTAACCTGCCAAAATACCAGAAAATAAATATCTTATTATCTAAAGAAAGATTTGCAGGTTTACCAAGCAATTGAAATTGGTGGATAGGATGAGCAGACCTTGAAATAGCTCTGAAATTTTCGAATTCGTAGTACAAAACTACAGAAGCATCTGTTCAGGAGCCAGTTTGTCTAAATTGTGCGTTGATAGTAAAACGTTCCACATTTTGTATAGCTCAGCTGATAAGAAGCGGCTGACTTTACTCGAGGGCTCCAAACAATATATTTCTTCCTCACAATAGCTTATGAACAATTGAATGACGAGTGTCTGGTTCAAAATAGAAAGCTTGCTAGTAATTTTCCGTAGCTCCTTTATAATTGATCTAATTAAGTTAATTCGTAACTGAATGTTTTAAACAGCTTTTTGTCAATACTTGCCAGAGAAACTTCGTGGATTTGGATCTCTCGGAATCCTGTCTTCAACAGGTGGATTGATTAATATTGTCTTTTTGAGAGGTTTTCTTCTCCATTTTTTAGAGTTGTGAGTAATCTCATTGAAAGTGTAGCATCTTAAATGGCTGAGTGCTCGAGGACATTGACGTTTGTCCTGAGACTCTTGTATGTCTTGTAGGTTGCTCCATTTTCACTCCTGAACCATTGTATTCTTGAGTCTCAATACCACGGCAATTCACTGAAAAACACCAAGCTGGTGCAGTTTTTTTGGGTGGAGGTAGAGATGGATGGTGAACTAGGAACCCAAGGACCATCAATCAAACTCAGGTAATCAATCTGACGTCAAATCACTTTGTACTACGTTGTCGTGGGAAAACTCGATTCCGAAATTACTTGTGCGAAAAACCACTGCCATCGGGTTGGTTCTTTTCAAATCTGTTTGGATACATTACCGACTGTCAGAGGCTCGCCCGGCGATTGTCTGTTTTTATGGAACTTCTCATTTTTACGAATACACTTGTGTTTCAGTGACCCGAAAACCTCAAGTGTTCCTTTGAGAAGCATTTCGTACCTTCTTCAATGCTAGATGATGCTGCTAAATTGAATTCTCAAATCACCGCTGGTGCTCGCAATTATTGAATAGTGCTACGATCCGTTTACTCAGGCATCAGTACAAATTCTCCTTTTCACGGAAAGACACGACAAAAATAAGAAGTTTCGGAGAGCCAGAAGCATAAAAGCTTCAGCATCAGAGGCATAGCTGAAGTCTTCATGCATGAATTAGTGCCATAAGAATTGAAAACCCTTGGACGCCAGTGACGTGTAAACTGATACAAATATCAGCAATTGTTTCTTACATTTTTAATGCTCCCGAAGTAAATCTTGGCTACGCTGATGTCTTTTTTGAGCTCGGATTGAATTGTTTAACATCTGCTCACTATTTTCTTTTCCGTCTGTTAGTTTCCTTGGATCTTTTTATTGTTTTCCTTTTATCACGGTCTTAGCTAAAATTCTGTTCTACAATATTACAGTCGAAATATCTTCTCGAATTGCATCTCATCTCAAGAATCTTATCAGGATCTGAGAACAAAAAAGCCTGCAAACTGCGCTCTCGGAGCTCACTTTCAATGCATTCCGAGGCTAACTCGTCGCCGCAGCAGCGGATCATAACGTCCGAACAGTGGGTGTTCGATAGAAAAGGACCGAAAGACGATTTCAAGACGCATGGTGGGAATCGACCCAAGAGAGCTACTATATCGAAACAGGAGCGCGAAATGCGACGGAAGCAGCGAGAACTAGAGACTGAACAGCTGCAGCAGGAATACCAGACTGTGCAAAGCGAAAACTCGCGACTGAAAACGGTTGTGGCGAAACTCAAGCAGGATATCGACGTTTACACACGACTCGTCGTAGAGTCGTCCCGCGGAGAGTATGAAACACCTACGGCATCCTTGGTGGAGCCTGGGAGTGTGGTCTTGAATGAAAATACTACAGGTATGTCGAAGGACGAGCTGCCGCCGCTAGAGACCCTTTTGGTGAACTCATCAAAGAGACGCAAACGAGGCCGGAATTCTGAGCACACCCAGCCGGAAGCAGCCGATGGCCGGTCTGACATGCTCAGAAACAAACAGGCAGACGTGATGCTGGCGCCGGGAGCCGCAGACGTGGGGCCTGAAGACGTTGCTTTGATGTGCAAACTCAAGGACGTTTTGGCAGAAATGGAATAGGAGGAAAACTGGAAAAGCAGAAATGAATATATTCGCCTTGCCGCTCCAACCCCAGCATGTATCTTCGCGCAGTGTGCTTTGACACAGCCGACTGTACTCTTCCTCCCCCTCCTCCACCTCATCCACTAACGACGACACGACTTAACGACGATACCCGGTCCTACGCAGTGCCCGCCAACCAAATTAACGACAACACATTATTATTCGCACGAAAATATTCTACATTACATATTAATCATCTACCTATAGTCCCAGTCTCATCTCTTGAGCTTTCTGGATCTTGTCCTGGCGCCTGAGGCTCGGTCTTTATCGGGACCGGTAAGCTAGTTTTTCATAGTGAGCGAAAAAAGATTATTATCATCAAGAAACATCTGGGAATATATCTCGTATATTCGACAAAAAGCGAGTAATTGGGGACATTTCACCGCTTTGAGAGGACTAATTAAGTGGCGAGAAAGCTCTATTGATAATTCTACCTTAACGACAAATCTTCAGCCAACTTTCAACGGAAATTTGCGTCTCATTTTACCACACACAAACCATGCTTTCTTTAGGATTGAACAAGCCTTTGATGTGGGCCAAGCCCCTCAAGATGATGACCCGCCGCATGGTCTCGACTGCCAAGACCACCGTGAGCGAGCAAGAGAGTATCCTGGTCGCTCAGCGCAAAAACAGACCTGTTTCGCCTCACTTGACGATCTATCAGCCACAATTGACCTGGTACTTGTCGTCGCTCCACCGTATCAGCGGTGTGGTTCTCGGGCTTGGATTCTTCACCGCCACGATCGCATTCGGTGTCTCTACCGTATTCGGGCTCGGACTGACCACTAACAACTTGGCCAAATGGTATCACGAGAAAGTGCCCACCTGGATGGACTGGACTGCCAAAGCCAGTGGTGCCTACTTGTTAACTTTCCATTTTGGAAATGGTATTAGACACTTGATCTGGGACACCGGCAGGGCTCTATCTCTCAAGGGTGTATACACCACGGGATACGCCGTTTTGGCCGTAATGGTCATCGCTGGTACCTCAATTCTCACCTGGTGAAAAGTTCTGATCAGCTAAATTTGCCAAACTATTTATGCACTATTTATCGCGTTGTAGCGCCCTTTTAAAATTCTTAAGACCTATATCTCATTCACATTCCAGTCTCGAGCTCCCTATATTTTCAGGTTTCACTAGCTCATCGCTATGGGGAAATTTGACTTTAGGGTTGATTATTTAAATGTGAAGACTTCTATTATACCTTGGTGAGAAACAAACACGTAGAGGCCGCAAGAAACCGGGAACGATGCCAACGTTTATTCCATTCTTGGGCCGAATCTCATTTACAGACTATGTAATAGTGCTGCTTGTTACAATCGAGACTCTGTTGACCTTTTTGTTGAATTGTATTCCTCAGTCGTGGATTGATGTTGCGACTACAGTCATCAACGCTGTGACACGCAAAACGCTCAGTCCTGTTGACGACATGGCGCAGCAATTGCGGGATGCTAAAGATATTCATGAAATGGGTCAAATTTTTGGGATTGACATCGAGGACCATATTGTGAGAACAGAAGATGACTACCTGCTGACACTACACCGTATAGTACCCAATCCAGCTAACAGCAATGGACAGATTGTCTACCTACACCACGGTTTGCTGATGTGCTCGGATGTTTGGATGTGCCACACGGCTCGGGAGTGTAATCTGCCCCTGGTATTGTACTCCCTCGGATTTGACGTTTGGATGGGCAACAACCGCGGTAACAAATACTCCACACAACATCTGTATAAGCGGCCCGGCTCCCATGATTTTTGGGACTTTTCGATAGACGAATTTGCCTTTTTCGATATCCCAAATTCCATTGAATTTGTGCTCGCACATACCCATTCTCAGGAGCTCATATGTATTGGGTTCTCACAAGGCTCATCGCAGACCTTCGCGGCACTGAGTGTTCGCGAAGATCTCAATGAAAAGATTAGTCTGTTTGTGGCAATTGCGCCCGCCATGACCCCGCAAGGCCTTCACAATCGAATCATTGATACACTACTAAAATCCAGTCCTCGAGTTATGTATCTTTTTTTCGGAAACCGCATACTTCTGCCGAGTGCCACCGTATGGCAGAAAACGCTACATCCAACAATATTCAATGTTATTATCGACATTGCGAATCGTTTTCTATTCAATTGGAAGTCACTGAACATTTCCTCGCAACAAAAACATGCCTCCTATGCCAAACTTTACTCGACTACTAGCGTTAAAAGTGTCGTGCACTGGTTTCAAATCCTGCACGCCCAAAAATTTCAGATGTTTGAAGAGCACGACATTGTCATGAACTCCTGGAATCCTACAAGGTCTTACCAAATTACTACTTTTCCCACGCGCACGAGCATTCGTATTCCAGTTCTGCTCCTTTACGGAGGCTCCGATTCACTGGTTGACATTGAAGTCATGAAGTCTAATCTACCTGCTAGCCAGGTCTTTGACATTATGATTCCAGGCCACGAACACCTAGACTTGTTGTGGGGGCGCGGTGTCGCAGATTTGGTTATTCCCAACCTGCTGCGCTTCATCTGGTTTTTCAAAGACGTCAAAGCGCTAGAGGATGAAACTGCACTAAGCTCTGTTACTGAACTCGCCAGTCCTTTCACCAAAACATACAGTGACAGTTTCTCGACGAAAGGAGTATAAACCTCGCTGGTGTTAGCGCTAAAATTTATGCCGAAATGGATCAAGACTACATTCAAGGATTCAATGCTAATATTAATTAATCTATAGATGTGTAAGCATTCTAAGAACATTGCTCAATATCAATCAATTTCATCTTTCGTGACACTTCACTATGTCAAAATTGTTTTGATGTGTGTGCTAAGTAGGTTCTTCTCAGTAATTAAAAATTGTATCTCGCTAAGCTCAGTGAAAAGTGGAAACCTCTAATGCAAAAAAACAACATGCCCTTCAACCGTATGTGAACTACTAATGACATATTTGAAATCCCTAGTGTCAATACTAACCTAAAACGTCTTTTCAGAGCGAAAGAGCTTTAGAAAACGAGTAGGACCTCCTCCAAATGGCCCCTCGAATGCCAGCCGAATTCCTAATCGAAATGGAGCTCCTTTTGAACGCTCTAATGGCCACCGTGGGGCCCCACCTACTAGCGAGGGACCGGATATGAAGAGACAGCGCACAGGCTTATCCAGATACAGTGGGTCCCGCTACCAGGAATCCAATACAGTAGTTGCACCTGCGCAGAAAAACCATGTCAACGGACTACAACTGCCCACAGGCCCCAAGCTCACGAAAAGTCAATCTCGCTACGATCCAGGGCAAGCAAAGCCAAAGTTCACTCCTGTAAGCGTCATAGTTCGCGAGCAAGAATCTTCGGTTTACGAGCGAATTCAACAAGTAGGAGAAGGTACTTACGGGAAGGTCTATAAGGCAAAAAATATTGTAACGGGTCAGCTAGTGGCACTGAAAAGACTTAGACTCGAAGGTGAGCGTGAAGGGTTTCCGATTACATCGATCAGAGAAATTAAGCTTCTACAGAGTTTTGATCATCGCAACATAAGCACACTTTCTGAGATCATGGTTGAGTCTCAGAAAACGGTATACATGATATTTGAATACGCTGATAACGACTTGTCGGGGCTTCTCATGAACGATCAAATCCAGTTTTCTAACGCAAACTGCAAACATATTATGAAAAGCTTGTTAGAGGGCATTCATTATCTGCACGAGAATGGCATCTTACACAGAGATATAAAAGGTTCCAACATTCTCATAAACAATAAGGGACAATTGAAGATCACGGATTTCGGTCTGGCACGGAAAATGCGTGATGATTCGGATTACACCAACAGAGTGATCACACTATGGTACAGGCCGCCAGAACTATTGATGGGATCTACGACATATGGCACTGCGGTGGATATGTGGGGATGTGGATGTCTTTTAGTTGAACTTTTTCAAAAGGTAGCAATATTCCAAGGTACTAACGAAGTTGAACAATTGAATGCTATATTTGCGATTATGGGGACGCCAAGTGTTGAGCAATGGCCAAACTTATTCAATATGCCATGGTTCTTCATGATGATACCGCAACAAGGGCTCAAGTACGAGCCTAAATTCAGTGAGCTCTATCAAGATGTGCTCCCAACTAGCGCGGCAGTTGATTTGGCTAAAGGACTATTGTTGTATGACGAGGACAAGAGACTTTCGGCTCAAGAAGCCCTGAGACACCAATATTTCCGCGAAGAACCTCAACCGCAGCCACTAGATCTCGCAGGTTTTGACGGGTGGCACGAATTCGAAGCCAAAAGACACAGGCGGAAAGAGCGGGAAGAGCAAAAGCGACGCGAGAAATCTGAACCACAATCTACGTGACATCGCGAAGCTTGTCGGGGGGAAAAGCCTTAGAGCGAAGATTTTCCAGAGACACCGAAGCCACTTACGCCACATGCACTGTGTGCGTCTGTATCTCGTCACGTCACGAACAGCACGGACAAACCCAAACAAATCCAGCGACTCAACATATATATATCGGAAGCATTAGTTTTTAATACCATTTCATTTTTACACAACATTCATCGTTTTCCTAGCATTTCCTCCTCAAAGCACCTGTTTCCCCCAATAAACCAAGCAGCGTGTACTTTCCCTAGCTGGCCCACCAAGTGCTCGTTACATTGACGAGACATCGTCTCCATTTGTCTACTGGTTTGAGCCAAATTGGCCTGAAGCGCTTTCAATTGTTGTGACAGGTGCGCATATTGTCTGGCTTTAGTATCGTTCATGGCAAGAAAGGGTTGCCAGAAAGCTCACAGTCTGATTTTCGTAGTTTTTTTTGAGGGTGCTTGCTGGTCAAGATGTTTTGATTAAGTCTGAAAAATAAGAATTAAGTTCTAGTTGATTAAGAAGTAAACATGTCAAGAGATCAGCTTCTGGAGAATCCTATAGACCTTATAAGGGAGACTAGGAGCAATTTCTCAATCTTAAACGATTCAGAGTCCCTCGCAAATGTCCAAAAGAACTTTGAAGAACTGCAACGAATAGTCCAAGAGAAAGTAGATAGAAAAGATGGCGAGGTGAAACAGCTTGACTCAGCAGTAAGAAAGACAGAAAACAGGCTTGAGATGCTGCGGCGTACTCGGGACGACTCAGGAACGGCTGAAGATGGCAATTCCAGCTCCGAAGATGCGGAAAAACTGTTTCAGGAGCTTGAACTACTTGAACACAGATTGGTCACTTTGCGAAAGCAAGTTGATCTCGACATAAAAGAACTAGCTCAAGAAAGTCGGGAAAAAAGTGAAGAACTTGTGCAGGAAGCACAGCCTGTAGATCGCGATCACAAAACAAATATTTTAAAAATCCAGGTCTATCGCTCATTGGGGGTGGTTTTGGATCTATCAAACAAAAATGCACTACTGAACAAAGCTGGCACTTTGGATGTGGTGCCACTCGATGACCCGGTGAGCGATCATTATAAGACCAAGTATTTGTGGGACAGCATCTGAAACGCGCGTATGGCTGGTGTCCTGATGTCTGGTCTCGATATTCATTATTTCCTCATCACCTAGCGTATCTGTGTTATGTTATTACCAGCCAAATTATGTAGGTGCTTAATTTCGACTAGTTTCAAATGATTATATACATGGGTCGAAACGGATTCATTTCAAAAGAAATGTGGGTTTCTTCTCTGCGAGATCTTGGTCCATTTGGGCAGCTTATGGGTTCCTTTGCGGTATCCACTGGCCTGTTTGTTGAAATAAGTGTATTTGTCCCTGTAGGACATTTGCTTCTCTGACGGAAAAAGAGAATTTTTGTTCAACAACCGTAGCTGTTTAACACCTGGTTTCAGCAGTTTGGGGCTGTTTACTGCATTTTCATATGAAACTCCTTGGGCCATTTTCCTTGTGGTATGAAGTCCCAGGTTCAAGTTCTTAAGGACGGAATCCACATCCTGGAGTCTGTGCCTCTGTCTCTGTTTCTGGGGACGAGACATCTTCCAAGGAATCTTCCATAGCAGTCCACCCAGCAGTGTATTGGAAGCTTTGAAAGGGCCGAACATCTTACCGATCTACGATCGCTTTGATTCTCTACCTGCTTAGACTTGTGATGAATATATTTTAAATGTTAGAATTTAGTAACGAATGATGTTCAAATTTTTTAGATATGAAGAGTAATAAGGCTCGGCACATAAAAGCCAAAGAACGTCATCCAAGGTCAATTCTGTTTGCCTGATCGAGTTGTTACTCAGTCTTTTTGAACTTCATTGGTTTCCTTCATTCGTCCATGTCAGACGGCTCATCAACTCAGACGTCGCACAGACTTCCCATCTGGGTTCTTGGTCCCAGAGAAGAGAAAGAAGCTCGTCAAAACCTTAAAAAATTCGCGTACGGGCAGTGCTCAGAATACGTGAAAGCCATGGTTGAGTGTTCAAAACTCCACGGACTAAAACTTTTTCCAGCTTGCGAGTCTCAGCGAGACAAGATGGTTGAGTGTATAAAGTCCTTCCAAGGGGACGAATACTTGGACCAACAACGCGATCAGTTAGTGCAGCGCAAGATCGGTAAGCTAGAGGAACGACTACAGCAGCAGCAGCAGCAACAACAACAACAACAGAGTAAATAAGGGTATGACGCTACGACAAATACATGTAAATAAGTATTAGGAACAATGAAGTTCTTTATTAAGATAATCTTGACCAACCAAAATAAGTCAAAATAAGTCAAAATAAGTCAAGTAGATCCTTGGTGTTGCTAGACTTGGTTGTTGAAGATTCCGTTTTTGGTTTTAGTGACAAGTTTTGCATGGAGTCTTCTACAGGTTGTGGTTGTACAGGAGTGAAATCGAAAAGGTCATTCAAGTCACCGAGCACCGAACTATTTGTGACTGCTGTATTGGTAGCTGAGTTGGAGTCATCATCGAAATCCAGCAAATTGTCCTCATTCATATTCTTCAAAATCTCGTCCCTTGCTAAAAATTGTAGTTCGTCTAATTGCTTGTTCTTCAAGCCATTGTTGGAGCCCATGTTAAATTTAGTCATTGTCGCGACGGGTCTATAATAAATGGAGCTTAAAAGTGACAACTCTGCCAAAAGCGTTTCTAGCAACTCCGGAGAAAAGGTATCCAGAGTTGTGGCAACTTCCGGCAGTGAAGAATTGCACAACTCGTTGATAAGGTCATCGTTGGAGTCCTCTAGTGACAAACATCTCCAGTACATGATTGCCATATCTCGTACATCAACCTCATCCGTGCCTGTCGTTGCCAAGTTAAGCAAATTTTGCAGAACAGAACCAGAAAGACTAGCATGCAATCTCACCACAGTTATCAACAGTGACATCTGTGTCAAGCTCTCTTCCTGAGTGAACGAATCGATGAATACTTGAAGCTTTTGCTCAATATTACTGAATTTGGCTGGAAATTGGCCTAGTAGCCAAACGTAGTTACACTTTGCATAATCAGTTTGTAGCAAAGACTCTACCGAACTCCAAACTTGAGCTAAGGAACACACCTGTGTGATCATTTCATCTTCCTCGTGACCTGCATGTCTTAGTAGATTACACATTGATATCAAGCAATCATCCTGGAAAGAATCTCTGGTATTGCACAACTCAACAATGATGTCCAGCACTTTGCGGATGAATTTAACGTCGGAGTATTTGACACCCAACTGTGATAATGCGAGGATGGCGCGTGATACAAATTCTGGTTCGAATTCTAGTGCGTATTCTTTAAGCTCTGCGAGTAACAGAGTACATTGCTTGAGGTTGGAAGGGTCAACGAGCCTTACCAAAGTATCAATTTTCTCCAGCTTAACATATAGTGGGTCATTGAACTTGACGTAAAATATGCGTAGTTCTCGCGATAGAAGCTGTGGGTATTTTTCTAAAATGATCCGGATATTGCGTAGCGCCACATATTGCATTTCAGGCGGAGTTGACATCAAGGAAACCAAACCTGACGAAATCTTGGAAAAAATGGGCGAATCAACGTTCGTCTGAATTTTAGGAATATTTTTGATAACGACTTTAATAGATGCCAATACCACGGCAGCATTTGCGTGTTGTAGGTGCGGAGTGACTCTGTCAATTATTTCTCCCGCTTCAATTGAATCCTTGGCGGTATATTCTGCCAAGGCACCTAAAATGATAATTCGCGCCCATTCAGTGCACTCATTAAGAGCCAACAAGAACTGAGACACGTGCTGTTGGATGAGTTTAGGTAATGGTACTACGGAAGAGTCCGCACTGTAGATGTCTGACAACGCAGCAATGGCATTGGCGACCACCATTGGGTTGGAGTCTTCGAGAGCAAACACCAGGTCTTCAAGAACCCCCAATTCTTGACATAGCTCTTTGTTTAAAGCAAAAAGTTTGGCCACGCAAATCACAGCAGTCTTACGCACGTACGGGTTATCATCCTGCAACGTCTTGCGTAATGGAATCTCCACATACTCAAGAATCTTGTCTACTCTAATCATCGACATAGTTCTGATGGCCATGCACCGAATCAATGGATTGGAATCCTGCGCATCGCTGACAAAGGTGTTCACTGCGAGAATACAGAGTTCTGGGTGAGTTTCCGCGTAGTTCATCACGTACAGATACACCAGTTTTTTCTGTTCCACGTCTGAGGCGGCAATGTTCTTGAGGATATCTGGGAATAGAGAGGATACATCTTTACCTAGTGTCATTTGCTGAATGGTTTTCTTTATTGCGTCCTTGCGAGTTTGGGGATATTGGGAAACTAGACCATTCCTGAGCTCGAAAAGCTCCCCCTTCTTAGAGATCTTAGGAGCTACCCTAGTAGCATTCTGTAAGAACTTTTTGAGCTTTTTCTCCATTAGAAGCGGGTGCGTTTGGCTGGGATTATACTCAAATGATAGATATTCGGATTTGTTGATGTATTTACGAAATACAAACTCGTGTAGGAGGACAAAATGATTTGTATAGATCGCCCGCCCAGAGAATAATACACAGTAGGTGAGAAAAGACCTGTTTGACTGCTAATGTACTTTTGTTCATGACTTTTCATCTCTGGACCATTGATGTGAAATAATTTCAGTGATTGGCAATTAATCTTTAAAGATTAGTTGTTGGTTCGCTTGATACAGCAATAGTTCACAGCTTGCACTGCTCGAGTTTTTGATGGTGATGGTCATAAAATCCAAGACGGTGTTCGAGATTAAACAGGCTTTTTGCACCGCTCGCTGTGTGGATGGAAACGGGCTTTGCACGCTCATTTGCCATGATCAAAATGTATTCCTTTTAGCAAGGGGGACGCGTTTTAACACGCAAAGGTAGGCGATTTCGAAATACGCTCGTTGTGCGGTGTGGTTTATCCATTCTACAAAATAACGCTCACCTTTTAGGTCTAAGATTCGTTTATAGCTCGTCTTAATTTAATGTTGACTTTCTCCTCAATCTCATTAAAACTCGACGTCGAAATTTCATTTGGACTAATAATCCTTGAATCAGGCAAGAAAGATGCGATGGAACGTCGGGTGTCCCCATACTAGTTTTTGGATTATTCAACCGAGCCTACATGTCATATTTAGCTTACTCTGCTAAGACTCGGTTTTTATCACTGTATACTAGTGTGTCATTTTGAAAACCTGACAGAGCGGAATAGACGTTATGGCAGGAAGCAAGCAAGAAGCTCACATAAAGGGTATTTCAACAAGAGCACGAAACTCAATTACAGGCCATATAAATACAAGTCTTAGGACATCCAGGCATAGACCTTGTGATACTCTACAAGGTGACTTATGCCACTTTAGGTTGATCTAACAACGGTTTAAAAGCCCAAAACCTGACTATATGTAGCCGCCCATATACATGTGTAGAAAATTCATGCAAAAGCACGAGTGGAAATAAAACCTCGCGACTGCTTTTTGCTACCTGTCAACCTGTCGGAACTTTCTCCATTTTGGCGGCACGGCGACGAACTGAAACGTATCAGAACCGCAAAGACCACACGATACGCCCAGCCCGTTTGGCGTCCATGTGCGGTACGAACGCCTTGTAGAAGCCGCTCTAATAGAAGATGGTTTTATCTGAGCCGAGATCAACATCGTGCCATATTAGTAGAAAGTGATATGCGAACTTGAAAGAAGACGGGCATGCTTGTAGATGAAGTTAAACAGTGCAAGGTCTCATGGATCGATCCGGTATTTACTAGTCTTTGTCAGATTTGCAAATATGCCGACGGTTAATCTCGTCTACTGCGACGGGGGCCTAGCACAGACAACTTATCCTGTCACTAGGCACTCTTCGCAGACTCAAAAAGAGCTCAGCCCGGCAGGCGTAGACCAAACCCAATTGCGAATACCGTCCGTCACACTGAATAACACTCTCAGCAGCACATAACGGCCCCATGCACTGAGCCAGAGTTCTACCGTCTTACGTTTATCGTCTACCACTCCTCGGCACGTGCATACCACGCCTTTATAACCACGTGACACATCGTCATCCTCTTTTGTTACCCTCCTGGAATATTTTCCTTGTTCATTTTTGTACTGTTTTTTCAATTCGCTCAATTTTGCACACAAGGTGTTCGGATGTAGACAGTCCAAAGCCAGCCGTGCTGCATTTTGCGGTACACAATGTCCGCACCCTAACACCCGCCGGCGTAGATTTCAGCACGGCAAACATGTGATCTCCAAGTCGTGGATCACGAAATATTCGTAGGCGTAGAAACAGGTCCCGGATCTGGACTCAAACCTTCGTGGTGTTTTTGATTTTGTATACGACCCACGCACTGAAAAATTCATGTCAGGCTCACCAGCAGCGGGAAGGGAACGCATCGAGGCGTGGGAACATGGCTTTCTAGTGAATGGAAACTAAGTTTCAGTTTGGTAAAGTCTGGTATCCTTTCTTGTAGTCTTTGAAACTGCAATTACACCACACATATACACACGATGTCTTCTGCTGAGGTTCTAGTTCTAAGAGGTACTTTGGAAGGCCACAACGGCTGGGTCACTTCGTTGGCCACTTCCCCTGCCCAACCAAACCTACTGTTGTCCGGTTCCCGTGACAAGTCGCTAATCACCTGGAAATTGACCGGTGACGACCAACAATACGGTGTCCCAGTCAGATCTTTCAGAGGTCACTCTCACATCGTTCAAGACTGTACCGTCACCCCAGACGGTGAGTACGCTTTGTCCGCTTCTTGGGACAAGACCGTCAGATTATGGGAGCTTGCCACCGGTAAGTGTATCCAACGTTTCGTTGGCCACAAGTCCGACGTTTTGTCCGTCGCCATCGACAGACGCGCCTCTCAAATTGTGACCGCCTCCCGTGACAAGACCGTCAAGGTCTGGAACACCCTAGGTGAATGTATGGTCACCCTTTTGGGCCACAACGACTGGGTTTCCCAAGTCAGAGTTGCTCCAAATGAGTCACCAGAAGACGAAACCGTCACCGTCATCTCTGCCGGTATGGACAAGGTCGTCAAGGTATGTTTAAAAAATTTTCTGCGAGGTTACCACTTTTCCAATGGCGTTGCCTCTTTCGTGCCCCTTTCTTCCCTCACATTCACTCCGCTAAGTCCCACACATGATGTTATTCTATATTTGCTACTTCGGACGGGTCTTCGACCCGAATGAGACATATTATATCACCAAGATCTCTGATGTTGCGTTTTAGCGAGAGAATATGTGAAGAATGAGGTACACCGCGTTTGTTTTGATCAACGTTTACTAACTTTATTTCTCCCTACAGGTCTGGAACTTGCACTCTTTCCAAATCGAAGCCGACTTCATCGGTCACAACAACTACGTTAACACCGTCACCGCTTCCCCAGATGGAACTCTAGTTGCCTCCGCTGGTAAGGACGGTGAGATCATGTTGTGGAACTTGGCCGCCAAGACCGCCTTGTACACCTTGAACGCCCAAGACGAAGTCTTCGCCGTCGCCTTCTCTCCAAACAGATACTGGTTGACCGCTGCTACTTCTTCCGGAATCAAGATCTTCAACTTGGAAGAAAGAAAGGTTGTCGATGAGCTAAGACCAGAATTCGCCGGTTACACCAAGGCCGCCGAACCACACGCCGTCTCTTTGGCCTGGTCCGCCGATGGTCAAACTTTGTTTGCCGGTTACACCGACAACGTCATCAGAGTTTGGCAAGTCATGACCGCCAACTAAACTTCGCTATATAGAGAATTTTAGTTTGTGTAGTCTATTAATTGAACAATATGGTTTGTAATATAGTAGCTGTAACGCTTGAGAGAAAAACGGTGAACTAAGACGGCCTGTCGGCCTAGCAGTGGACCTGCGCGGTGCTTGGAAGCGCTGAAGATGAATGGTGAAATTTTGGGACTTGTCGGGAGGCTGGACGAGTCTTCGAAGTTGATCATTTTGTACCGCTTTGTCACTTTGGCTTTGGCTAAGTTCAATATCTGCAACAGTGCTTTCCCTTTCATACACACAAGCTGTAGCAGGAAAAAAAAGTATTGCAATGATAGAGTCGTCGCTTTGCAATCAGAGTGGACTGGACTTGACTCAAGGCGAGAATTGCTCAACTAAGGTGAGTACCAAAAGTTTTTGGAAGCTGCCAGACAGCTGGTTGTAGTCTTTGTTGTGTTCCTATGGGATCAGATAGACAAAGAAGCGACGACTACACGCCAATTCGCAAAACTTCAGAATGGAGGAGTGCTTACCACTTTGTCCGCGAAACGCCAAACTTTAAAATGGAGCGCTAACCACCTTGTCCGCAAACAGCCGTGCGTGCGTGCGCGCATGCGTTATGCGAGCGATGCTCAGCACACTGGCGCACTGCTGCTCAATGCAGACAGTACCAATTGGCCTATACGTATACAGTCGATGCCCATATCTTACCACCTGTCACTTTGTACCAGGCTGACACCGCCTGAAAATCCGAAGAGCTATTGGGTTTAGTTCCCACACTACACGCAGGAGAAACAAGAGCAGCGTGCTAGAACACGCCGATTTCCTCCCACACTATATCCACACCGCTCCTCCCAAAACTCAGTTTATCATATCTATCAGGAGGCCAAATGTGCAACGTAGACCATCAAAGCATAATTTAGTGTCCGCAATGGATTTTGTCAACAGGAGACCCCATTCATTAGCGCGCAAAGTGCAGTGGCAATTGAACGGATGGTAGCGGTAAAGAATTCGCAGGCGCCATTGCGATGTCTCACATTGAGTTTCATATTTAGACGGGCGACCATCAGAAACCTACCTATTCTATGTCACAAAACCCTTATCTATCGTCTCTCACTCGGTTCTCAACCGTTTGTCACCGTTTGTCACTCGGTTCTCGCTCGTTGTCACCCGTTCTCACTCGCCCCAGCTACCTGGAGCAGGTGCCTCTGCCCTTTTCTCGTAGTCTTGTTCAGCCGTGCTTCCCCGCTTCATACCACACCCACACCCCACACACTAAAACCCTTACTCCACCCACACCCCACACACAAACCCCTAAAGCACACATTCTCACACTAGTACAAAGATACCAGCAGCCTCATTCCTCTAATACTTCTTCCTCTCGTCATGCGTTCATATTGATAGCAGCACTTCTCCAACTTCTGTTTTATTGTGCTTCCGCTGGGCCAGAGACTCCGGTGATTGGTTGACTTCTTACGTAGTTACATTTTTGCATACTACCATTTGGCCAATATTTCTTAATTAATAAGATGCTGCTACTCCTCCCCTGGCAAATGGAGGTCAGGGGTTGATCCCTGGAGGAGGCTATATAAATAGACGCTACGACAATGGCAGGTTCCTATATCTTTCTATACACACCATCCAACCATACATAATTAAGACAGCATGGTAGGTTTATTCGACGCTTTCGAAGTGTACAACAAGAAAAAACACTCTTCTAACCCACAAATGCTGGGACACACCTCCAACACCGGCGGAACACGCACTGATTTTGTGTACTCCAGCGAGTATCGTGCGCCCAACCCTAAAAAAGTGAACAAAGATGAGCTACTCACAGCCAATCCAGCGGAGGCACAGGAGGCCCAGACCATGGCCAATAACGCAGGAGTGGCTAACATGGTGGACGTGTCGCGCATGTCGCAGCACGAGCTCGAGGACTTGATGAAGACTCTTCGCAAGGGCGAGCCCAACAACCGGGTGAATTTCTAGGAAGCGGCAGGGCCTGAAAGGCCCCAGTCACGTTTGTGTATTGTTTTAGAGTGGGCAGGTTTAGCATGTATGTAGCGTCTACAATAGTTTAACGACGGATTCATAATTGGAGAGGGGGTAGCGGCCAGTGGGCGCTCGATGAGACGGAGCGCTTTGTAGACGCCGTCAGAGACTTGGAAAGCACACCAGAACCGAGTTCCAGCGAGCTTCAGCGAGCCTCAGCGACCGTTGCCACGTTGATGGGTTTCGCGTAGAGCCAACTGGAGAGGCCTGGAGTCTAGTCCGAAAAGCTAATCACGTGATCAAGATACTACAAAGTTTATCCAAATCATGATCCTTGGCATGCATTGGCGTATTTGAAGTGCCGTAAACTCCAAGATTTATAGATGGCATTCTTCCCCTAAGCTCCTCGCGGCATTCTGCTTCTGCGCTCAAACTCACTTTTTTCTGGAGGCTTCACAAGCTTTTTAAAGAACCTTTTTTATAAATATCATAGCTGTGCTTGTAGAGGTAGTTTCTTTCTAGCTGCTTGTATACCTTACGGCTATTCTTTATCTGGGCTCAACTTGAAATGGTATAATCCCAGATGGGGCGTGTTTTCTCGGAGGTACGCTTTTTTTTTGATGGCTCAGAGTGTCATTGAGCGAGGTCACAGTTTAGGGCATACAATTGAAAGGACTGTTGGAGTTCTAGTCTTTCATTTGTTAGGAGCGAGAGTTCACTCGACGAAAAAAAGCGTATGTTGCAGGACGCCCTTGATGTATTAGATCAATATTCTTACAGATTATGTGAATAATGAACTTCGTGTCTTCGAAACAAGTCTTGATGATCTCACGAGATCTTTACATTTATGGCTAGCAATCAGGCTAAACAGAATGTAGATCTTCAGAAATCTAAATTTACACAATATTTCGTATGCTTGTTTTTTGCCTGGAATCAACTGCTATTTTCATTAATTCCAGCCGAAGCGTATTAAACTTGTTGCAGCGTTCTATTTCTTGATGCTCTCTGCAGGGAAAGCTTGCCAAGTGTCAGATGGGACCCGGTTTCTTCGATAGTACTACTCTCCTCTCTCGTGTAATTCACAATTCTACTTTTCTCTCACTCACCCATTTTGTCAATATCATGAACAGATATTAATACCATGAAGATATTTGGCGCCATGGCGGTTGCACAATTGAGGTCCCAATAGCTTGCTTTTTGTAGCCTCAACTGGGTTTCACACCCTCGAGATCCGCGTAAGATCCCATTTCGAGAATTTCATATCTTGAGAACTCAAATACCCTCAGCGTTTGTGTAGTTCCTCAAAGGAACGACGTGCATATTGTGGTTTGAGCTAGTCGCTGTACTGAAGTTCCTTTGTAAGCCGCCCCTCAGGATTGTAATCAGCACCCAATTTGCTTGCATTTCAAAGAATGGGTTGATAATTGCATCGGCATTTGGCAAGAAACTCAAAGGTCAAGAGCTGGCCAATATAACAAACATCCAAACACTTCGGCGTTGCAGTTACGAAAATAAGCCGCTAACAGTGAAGCTCGACGAAGACCGGTTACTTCTCATAACCAGAATTACTGTCACCAGCAGTTGCGGTACTAATACAAGCCTGATTTTCCTGACGAGATTACCAAACTCAGCCAAAAAAGCCGCTAGATCGTGCCCTCATTTGTTTATAGATGCAATCAAAGCGTCTTAGAAATGCGGAGTCAAGACTCGTAGTCAGGTAACTAAGCCAATAGCCAACAAAAATCTCAACAATAAAACATCATTACGCTCATCGAGCGCTTTCCTAATTCAACTTATAGCCAACAACTATCCTGAACTGCTCAACGCCGTAGCCATACGAAGCTGGTTGATCGAAAGTATCTCTCCAGTTCTTCGCTCCATCCTCTCCTCGAACTTCTACTTCCCAAAATGGAAACATGCACAATTATGCACAGAATCGTTCTCTGCATACACTCGACATGGAAAGATCACTACTTACGTACTTGGATATTAGAGGTTTTTAGCCATGACTCTTTCAAGCTGAAAAAATTCTGCTGAAAATTTTCAGAAAAAAGAATTTGGATGATTCATTGAAATATTAGTACGATGAGATATTGAGATTTATAAGGTTCACTATATATCCGGAGACCGTGGACTAACAAATTTGTAATCAGATCAAGCAGGAATTTTTATTTGGTGATTGATATTTTCCTCCCGTTAAGCCTGTTAACGCTCTGTTCATAAGTATCTTCGCTTTTCTGCCCGAGGTTACGATTTATCACAGACTCATCCAAATGAGACAAAGTGCCGGAAGAGTAGCGCTCAAACGCGGCATTTCAGCCGTCCGCGCTCCATCTTATGCTCGTGTGGGCATGCTGCGGCTTTACAGTGCCAGCGCAGTGCCTAATCCACACAAAAACCAAACTAGACCCAAACCGGCTCCCAGCTTCGACATGGAGCCCACCAAGGCCGTAGACGGTGCTAGACTGCGCTCCAAAAACGCCAATGCTGAGGACAGCCAGTCTCAAACCCCTGGAATGGACGACTCTTTCATCGGGCTAACTGGTGGTCAGATCTTCCACGAAATGATGCGCAGACATAACGTCGACACCGTCTTTGGTTACCCCGGTGGTGCCATTTTGGCCGTTTACGATGCAATTTACAATAGTAAATACTTCAACTTCGTGCTACCCAAGCACGAACAAGGTGCTGGTCATATGGCAGAAGGTTATGCTCGCGCCAGTGGCAAGCCCGGTGTTGTCCTTGTGACTTCGGGCCCAGGTGCAACAAATGTTATCACACCTATGGCCGATGCCCTTGCTGATGGTGTGCCCATGGTTGTGTTCACCGGTCAAGTGGCCACCTCATCTATCGGTACGGACGCTTTCCAAGAAGCCGATGTTATTGGTATTTCCAGACCATGTACTAAATGGAACGTCATGGTCAAGACTATTGACGAGCTACCCCGTCGTATCAACGAGGCCTTCGAAATTGCTGTTAGCGGTAGACCAGGACCTGTGCTAGTTGACCTTCCCAAAGACGTAACATCTGCTGTTTTGAAGACCCCGATCCCTGTAAATACTACGCTACCTTCCAATGCGCTAGCTAAGCTCACAAGGACTGCTACCCACGAATTTACTACCGCAAACCTTCAACATGCAGCCGACTTGATAAATATTGCTAAAAAGCCTTTGCTATATGTTGGTGGTGGCATCTTTGGGTCCGAAAAGGGCCCAGAGCTTCTACGTGAACTCAGTGATCGCGCCCAGATCCCTGTTACCACCACTATTCAAGGTCTCGGTGCCTTCGATCAAACTGACTCGAAATCTTTGGATATGTTAGGTATGCATGGCTCTGCGTTTGCTAACCTGTCGGTGCAAGACGCCGATTTGATCATTGCGTTGGGTGCCCGTTTCGATGATCGTGTTACCGTAAACGTGTCGAAGTTTGCCCCAGAAGCCCGTAGAGCTGCTCTCGAAAACAGAGGCGGTATAATTCATTTTGAAATTTCTCCAAAGAACATCAACAAGGTTGTTGAAGCTCAAGTAGCTGTTGAAGGTGATGTAAGCGACAACCTGGAAAGGTTACTACCTTTGATTAACTCGGTAGAGTCTCGCAAGAGCTGGTTCGACAAGATTGACGCTTGGAAAAAAGAATACCCTTATGACTACCAGAGAGAAACCACTGGTTCCAAGATTAAGCCACAAACCGTTATTGCCAGACTCTCTGAGATTTCTGGCGAGACCGGCAAGGATGTCATCGTGACGACTGGTGTAGGTCAACATCAAATGTGGGCTGCTCAACACTGGACATGGAAATACCCCCGTACTTTCATCACCTCTGGTGGTTTAGGTACCATGGGATATGGTCTACCTGCCGCCATAGGTGCGCAGATTGCCAAGCCTGATGCTTTGGTCATCGATATCGATGGTGATGCTTCTTTCAACATGACTTTGATGGAACTGTCCAGTGCCGTCCAAGCCGGTGCTCCCGTTAAAATCATGATTCTAAACAACGAAGAGCAAGGTATGGTAACCCAGTGGCAGTCTCTATTCTACGAGAACCGTTATTCTCACACTCATCAGCTGAACCCAGATTTTGTTAAGCTAGCCGATGCCATGGGCCTAAAGGGTATGAAACTCGAACAACAAAAGGACATGGACTCGACGCTGAGGGAGTTTGTTAACACCGAAGGACCTGTTCTTCTAGAAGTAATTGTGGAAAAGAAGGTTCCTGTACTACCAATGGTGCCCGGTGGTAAGGGCTTGCACGAGTTCATCAACTTCGACGCCGAAACTGAAAAAAACAAAACAAGCTACGTTTTGAACGTACGGGTGGCAAGCACTAATGGTGCAGTTTTCCGTAGATATTGCATTCTTCAAGTTGCTTGGCATTCCTTTATTTGCAAGAAAATGTTGAGTACTTGTTCAAAAAACTGCCAACGCGGCACTTAAATACAGTTAATACTCCTAATGTATCATAGACTAGGAGAACTCCAGTCAAGTAATGATCATAACGCTTAATTATTATGTATGTCTCCGTCTCTATACGAGGTTTTCCGATTTTTAATTGGACGTGTCAAAGGTTTGTCATCAATAACCTCATGTTGTATGAAGTGTTATCAAGACATCAGTATCAAATTGAACTCCGACAGACAAATCTTGGATTCATGTAAACGCCCATCTGGAAACGTTTGATTCCGCGAAGCTATTCCATCGCGGGATAATAAGTCAAGATTAACCTTCTACTTACTCGTTTTGAGAATGTTCAAGTTCAAAATTTTGTAATTGCAAGTAAGACAAAACTACCTGCTCATCGGTTCATGAACAACTTGAAATAGCGAAAATGGCTTCAAAATAGCTTTTGAAACCGTACAATGAAAATAAAAAAGAGTTAGAAGTACGTAGCTTAACTAGATGAACTTCGGCGGCTGTTTTCAAAAGTGTGCGTGGCTGGTGGCATACGCAAAAGGAAGCAGTACTATGATAGGACAAAATAACTATGGCCTAAAGTCGTTTCCGCTTCAAACAATGACACAACAGGCAAGAGTTCAAAAATGAACTGCAAGCCCACTAAACCAATTTGAGAACCTGGCAATCCCCGTAATTTGAGTACAATGTATCGCGTGTACTTCACTGAAAAACAAAGGAAGAGGACGACAAGCGCAACTAAGTCCGTCAAAATAACGTGTCTCGAAGAGCGCGTCTGCTTGCCTAGTTTTGCCCAAAAATAAGAAGATAGAGGCCTTTTAATTTTGTACAGAGACTGGGCCTTGAAATGACTTATTATTGGGTGCCCCGAAAAGATTTATATCTCTGGAGAACTTCATCCCATTGTGGAGTACCAAATGAGATCTTGAATGGCATTTTTTCAAAGATACGCCAATTTCCACATTTGTGTTGTCGATACCGAGATTCATCTTACTCGATTGCGAAACAACCAGTATGAAACCAGACCACCATTGGATCTTGGCAATCTGGTGCTCATCGGTAAAGAAGCCAAAACTTTAATTGAAGTATTGAGAGTAGTACCAATCAGTCATTAAACGAAGGATTTATCAGCGAACAGAATTCATAGAATACTGCTCTCAGATCACTTCGACAAAACACACTCAACGGAAGCCATGCCCACTAACATTTCGTCAGTCAGAATTCTTATATCAGAAAACTGCCCCGCGTTGTGGAAATCCACTTCATTATTGTCCAAAAAAAAAAATTCCTGTAGGGTTCCTAAGAAGATACGAGGTGTGGTATTCCCACAAGTGATTGAGCATTCTGCTCGCAGCGCTCATCTTAGTCATTGGCCAGGTTGCCCTGCTCTTAATAACGTACCAACTTTTCCGTATATAGTGCTTGTTATAGGGGCAATTTAAATGATCATAATGACATCTAAGTCTTGAAACTAGGCGTTGCACCAACCGCTTTTCCTACGATCTCGGAAGACCTTGTGAGTACTTCGCGCTTCACAACCTCCGCTCTCAAACATGGCAATAATAAAAAGGGGAGCAAGGAATAAAACGGCAGCGCAGCCGGCAAAAAGGTCGGGTCAGATCAAAAAGGCCACTTTTGATTCCACCAAGAAAAACGAAGTAGGAGTTTCAGACTTGACTCTACTTTCAAAGATATCTGATGAGTCTATCAATGAAAACTTAAAGAAAAGATTCCAGAACGGGACCATTTACACTTATATTGGCCATGTTTTGATCAGTGTTAACCCATTTCGCGATCTGGGGATCTACACTGATAGCGTTTTAAAAAGCTACATGGGTAAAAACAGGCTAGAAGTAGCGCCGCACGTTTTTGGTATTGCAGAGTCGATGTATTATAATCTAAAAGCCTATAACGAGAATCAGTGTGTCATTATTTCTGGTGAATCTGGTGCAGGTAAGACCGAGGCGGCGAAAAGAATCATGCAATATATCGCAGCGGCTTCTAATACACATTCGGACTCTATCGGAAAGATTAAAGATATGGTTCTCGCAACTAATCCACTGCTAGAATCATTTGGATGCGCGAAAACGTTGCGGAATAACAACTCCTCGAGACACGGCAAGTACCTCGAGATCAGATTTAACTCCCAATTTGAACCCTGTGCCGGCAATATCACCAATTATTTGCTGGAAAAACAGAGAGTTGTTAGTCAATTGAAAAACGAGAGAAACTTTCACATTTTTTACCAATTTACTAAAGGTGCTTCAGACAATTATAGACAAATTTATGGCGTTCAACCTCCAGAGCAATATATCTATACATCGGCGTCTGGGTGCACATCGGTGGATACAATTGATGATCTCAAAGATTTCCAGGATACTATAAAGGCTATGCAAGTAATTGGAATATCACAGCAAGAACAAGATGAAATGTTCAGATGTTTGGCAGCCGTCTTATGGATTGGTAACGTCTCTTTCATGGATAATGATGAGGGCAATGCACAGGTGCGGGACACGTCTGTTACAGATTTTGTCGCCTACCTACTACAGGTAGACTCCCAACTACTGTGTCAATCACTGGTAGAGCGAGTAATGGAAACTAATCATGGTATGAAAAGAGGTTCCGTCTACCATGTCCCTTTAAATGTGGTGCAAGCCACAGCTGTAAAAGACGCCCTTGCGAAGGCAATATATAATAATCTGTTTGATTGGGTCGTCGACAGAGTTAACGTGTCACTGCAAGCTTTCCCGGGTGCTGATAAATCCATCGGTATTCTGGACATCTATGGATTCGAAATTTTTGATTTCAACTCTTTCGAACAAATCTGCATCAACTATGTCAATGAAAAGCTGCAGCAAATTTTTATTCAGTTGACCCTCAAGTCTGAACAAGAAGAATACGCAAGAGAGCAGATTGAGTGGACTCCAATCAAATATTTTGACAATAAGATTGTATGCGACTTAATAGAAGCTAGAAGACCACCTGGAATATTCGCTGCTATGAATGATTCTGTCGCGACGGCACATGCTGACTCGAATGCAGCAGACCAAGCGTTCGCTCAGCGGCTAAATCTTTTCAACAGCAACCCGCATTTTGATCTCAGGTCGTCAAAATTTATCATCAAACATTATGCTGGCGACGTGACTTACGATATTTTTGGAATGACAGATAAGAACAAAGATCAGTTGCAAAAAGATCTAGTTGAGTTAGTTCAAACGTCTTCAAATACTTTTCTGTCATCACTTTTTCCCACCTCTGTGGATCAGGGATCCAAAAAGAGACCCCCCACCGCTGGTGACAAGATTATTAAAAGCGCGAATGAACTTGTTGACACCTTGTCAAAAGCCAAACCATCGTACATTAGAACAATTAAACCTAATCAAACCAAGTCTCCAAATGATTATGACGATCGCCAAGTTCTTCATCAAGTCAAATACCTTGGTTTACAAGAAAATGTTCGCATCAGAAGAGCGGGATTTGCATACAGGCAGACTTTCGACAAATTTGTGGAACGATTCTACTTGTTATCTCCCCAATGTTCATATGCTGGGGACTATACCTGGCAAGGGGATACCTTGGATGCCGTTAAATTAATTCTACGGGATGCAGCTATCCCATCTACTGAATATCAACTCGGTGTAAGTAAGGTGTTCATCAAGACCCCTGAATCATTATTTGCATTGGAGAACATGAGAGACAAATATTGGTACAATATGGCCGCCAGAATTCAGAGAGCCTGGAGGAGGTTTTTGCTCAGACGAATTGACGCCGCCAGTCGTATTCAAAGAGCCATAAAAGAAAAGAAGGGTGGCAACGAATTCGAAAAGCTAAGAGACTATGGTACCAAGCTTTTGGCTAGTAGGAAGGAAAGACGGTCAATGTCGCTGCTAGGTTACAGAGCATTTATGGGCGATTACCTATCTTGTAATGAAGCAAAGTCTAAAGGTGCATACATCAAAAGACAAGCAGGTATAAGCGACAAGGTTTTATTTTCTATCTATGGTGAATCTCTCCATACAAAGTTTGGGCGCTCCGCTCTCAGACTACGCAAGACAATAATCTTGACATCCTCTACTCTTTATGTTATTGGTCAAACAGCAGTACAAAACCAAATCACGTACTCTGTTGATAACAATGTTGACATCAAGCAGATCAAATTTGTCAGTCTTACAAATCTACAAGACGATTGGGTAGGAATTTTTGTTACAGGCTCGCTCTCGCCTGATCCCTTGATCAATACCTATTTTAAGACAGAGCTCATCACACACTTGAAGAGATTAAACAGCGGAATTGAAATCAGAATTGGTCCTACTTTAGAGTACCAAAAAAAACCAGGTAAAGTGCACCTCGTTAAATGTCAAATTAGCGAGTCAGCTCCTAAGTATGGTGATCTTTACAAATCTAGCACAATCTCTGTCCGTCGAGGCAACCCCTCAAATTCCAAGTCCCGGCCAAAGCCAAAAAAAGCTAGTACCATCAATGATCACGACGCACCTACAGCGCAACAGTTTACGCCTAGCAACGGCGGCTTTCAGGCTCAAACCCGAAACACTTCAAGCGCCGCAAGGAAGGCCCCTACAAAGCCTCCGGCACCGCAAACTAGACAAAAGAGAGTTCCTCCAGCCCCTCCCGCCAAAAAACAAATGCCTGCAAATGCAGTATCGCCTGCTTCTGCAAAGATAGCAGCTACTGCTGCTCAAGCCGCCTATCACCCACAGCAAAGTGCGGAACGAGAAGCCTCGGGGCAAGGACTCCGCCAAACTTCGACTCAAAATGCTTTCGTTGCACAACCACAACCCCAAGTACAGAGACAGGCAGTGACGCCTGCAAAACAACAGGCTGTTTCTTCACATCCTCCTCCTCCACCTCCCCCACCTCCTGCTGCCAAACCCTCTCTTCCTAGATTCGTAGCTGCTTACGATTTTGTAGGTACTGGTTCTCCTTCTGAACTTCCTCTCCAGCGTGGCGACGTCGTTTTTGTTTCAAAGCAGGAAGCAAGCGGTTGGTCGCTAGCCAAAACTTTAGACGGTGCCAAAGAAGGTTGGGTGCCAACTGCTTACATGACTGAGCACAACGAGTCTGGAACTGGCTTTTCCCAGCAGCCGCTCGAGACTTCCTCATCTAGCGCAACGAACATGGGAACTGTAGCGTCTGCGGCTGCTTTTGGCTCAAGTGCTACGGCATCTGCTGATACTTCTGCTAACGCTTCAGCAGATGCTTTGACGTCTGCTCTCGCTGCCAGAGCAAATAAAATGCGTTTGGACAGTGACGAGGAGGCTGCCGCAGTTTCCGAGGATGATTGGTAACAGATAAAGAGATAGATCTTAGATTGTCATATAACTTACGCATAACTAAACTGCGTTGAACGTCCTAACTACATTCACCGCAAAATATTCGAGAGGCCAACACACCCTATGTGATGAACCACTTCTGAAATATTTTGCTTCCTGTGATCGCTACTAGAGCAGCTAAAACTGCCATCATGACATACTTGCCAGATAACGTAGCCCTTGCGCCGTCTCTTCTGAAGCTGGGCTTCACTTCAATGGTGGCTTGGGCTAAAGAGAGCTTATTCGACGTATACGGTGGATTCCTCACGTTGTTGATGAAATCCGTCCAAAAAGGCTGTTTAATGACCGTTCTTTCGTGTGAAAATGCCGCAAAGCTCCATTTCCCATGATAACTTCCATGGCCAGATTCACGTATGCCCCCGAATGGAGCATCTGAAGCAGCTACGTGAATCATGGTGTCGTTAATGATACACCCACCAGACTTGACCATCGTAAGAATTTGATTGATTTCCTGCTGGTCTTGTGAGAATACATACAATGCCAACGGATTCCTATGATTCTTGATAACCTCTTCAATAACATTATCTAAATCACGATAAGTTATCACTGCTAAAACTGGAGAGAAGTTTTCTCCTTTCATCAAAGAATCCTGCCATTCCACATCGAAAATAACAGTAGGGGGAATAAATCTAGGAGGCAAATTGGCGCTCTTGTTAGAAGGCTGTATTTTGTTTCCTTTAGTGGCATCAAGTTTTTCGATTGTCTTTTCATAGGCTGCGTCATTAATCATAGAAGTGACATCGGATTCACTATGTAGTTGAGGCCAAAATTCATCCAGAACTTCGGCTGTGAGTTCCTTTACTTGCTTTAATTTGGACTCATGGACCAACATATAATCCGAAGAAACGCATGTTTGCCCGGAGTTGCTGAAGGCACCAAAAAAAGTCCTTTTCAGTGCCTTTTTCAAGTTACTTGGTGAAAGATGCTCAGTTATAAATACTGGAGATTTACCGCCCAACTCTAATGTTACTGGAATCAAATTTTTTGCAGCCTCTTGGGCGACAATACGCCCAACTCTTGTGGACCCAGTGTAAAATATTTTGTCAAAATTTGGGTTTTTAATCAACTGGGACGTTTCTTGAACTGCGCCTTGAACAACCTTAATCCAAGATGAGCTCACTGATGATACTAATATCTTCTCCAAAACTGCAGCCGTGGCAGGGGTCATTTCGCTAGGTTTCCAAACCACGGAGTTGCCGCATGCAATAGCTGCAGCAATAGGATCTAAGGAGAGTAATACGGGATAGTTGAATGGGGATATCACAAGCACAGAGCCAAGCGAAATTTGCTCAACATTGACTGAACTTAATTTAAACATCCGGCCAGACTCTGCAATCTTTTGAGGCTGAATGCGCTTGGGCAAGTTATCAATAACGTGCAAAATGTTATTGTAAAGGGGAATCAACTCAATCACAAAGGTTTCAAACCTACTGCGGTTGAAGTCCTGTTTCAAGGCCTCTACAATCTCGTCCTCATGGTCTTTCAACCCAAAGTAAAGACTCTGTAATTCTTTGAGTCTCAATTTCAAGTCTGTAGCCCGTGGATTTTTAGTCTGACTAAGGTGCACTTGTCTTTCATGGTAACATTCCTTGCTATGCGCAACGATAGAGTCGATCTCTTGTAGAGGCGTGTATTGTAAAGAAGAAGCCTCACTCATCGCGCTTCAACTTGATAATTTTAGAATAGATTGAAACTTGTTCTTTTGAGATTTGGTCAGAATCATCAAATTGTAAATTAAATACTTCAAACTTAGATCCCCTTCTTAATTTCCCGATCAGTACTCGAACATGAAGAGACAATCGATTGTAGGTGAAGAGAAAACATTAAAGTCGCTCCAGAAAGCCTCTGAAGCTTATTCGGCTTACTTATCGTCATATGTTGAGGCTTTAAACAAATATATTGGCCATCAACGTCGAATTTCTACGTTACGCTTCGAAAGAGCCACGTTAATAAAGTACGTCAAGAAACTTAGGTTTTTCAACGAAGAACTGGCGAGCCTGGACTTGTTGCACGATCCGAAGACCTTAGAATTCACTGTTTCGTCATTAGCGTCATCTTTCATAAGATGCCTCGAGGTCGTCGATCTTTTGAATTACTACCTCACGCAAGCACTCAAAAACGAGACCATCTCCAAGACCTTGAACTATGACCTGATCGTTGGTGAGAGCTGTGTCGCGTTCATTGATAATACGTATCGGCATTTCGTGAAATTCACGCAGTGGATGCTCGAAGCCCTAGACATACACGACCCGACCTTGACTATTGAAGTTCTGCAATTTGCCCGCAAATGTGCGCGAGAAGATGGTCTGAACATTGAAGACACGGAGGACATTTTACTGCAAGAAGTCGGCATTGTAGATGGTATCGCCGAGTACCAGTACTTGCTAGACGAATGGTGTACGGTGCTTTCGGAACAAGTCAAGTTTTTAAATGAAGCTTTTGAAGTGGAAACTGTGCGTTGGAGCAAAGTTTTTGAGACTCGTAAATGAAAGATGTATAAAATGCAATTATAAATTAAACCCTTAGTCCTGTTACGGCATTCTCTAATGCCTCACGTCTCGGGCTCTGACTATCATTTTCTTCTGAATTTGGGCCCGGATTAGCTCTTGACTCTTCTTCTAAGTCGTTTGAGGAGCTGCCTGGTTGTGTACTTTGAGTATCTTCGTTGCGCTTTTCTAACAACAGATCCCTTCTGGGTCGCGCAAACTCCAGTAATTGCAGGCTATAATCATTAGGCGTATCCATTTTCTTCGCCAGATATATGTATAATTGATTCAAAGTCATTCGCGTAGCCTGGCCGTGAAATGAGTTGTTTCCCAGTCGCATATTTTCCACCACCCGTATAGCTTTTTTTCTGGTAATGCCATCCGGCAAGTTGTATTTAGAGGGATGTTTTTTGATATCCACAATTCTGTTGATGATTTGCATTCGCTTGGCAAAGAACGAACGTTCCGAGGGCCGGCACCGCCAACTGGGTCCGAAACGCCTTTCTAATGCCATCACGGAAGGTTGGCCCTGCAACCCTTCAAAATATTCTCTAGCGACGTCTGTTACAGTTTTCAGAAGTCGATTCATCTTGTAATTGGCAGCTCGATCTTGTATATTTTCATTCTGATCTCCGGCATAATCAGAGCTCTCCGTCTGTGCTGAAGGAGCTGCAAAATCTGGATGATTAAGCCGGCTCCAGATGTCAGTATCTTCCTGTTTCAAGACATGGAGTGTATCTAAAGCTCTAGAGTCCCGATACATAACTGCCTCTTGTCTGCGTCGAACAGACTCATGGTTTGAGGACAGCAGTAGAGACTCGCTGATATTGGCGGCTTCCTGCGTTGTGACATTTTCGCCAGAATGATCCAGGAACCGCACTCTTTCGCCACTCATTACACCAACAATCTCTTTAAACACTTCTTTCATAGCATTAAGCTCATGTGCGCTCTTGTCCGCGCTTCTAGCACCCCTTTCCAGTTTCTTGCAAGTATCGATGTAGAATTCCCGTTGATCTTGTTCCAACTGAACAATACGTGTCTTAAGACCCTCGTTCTGTTCCTGAATCTTGGCCAGTTGATCAATCATCAGGGCTTGGAAGGCTGAAGCGCTGAACTCAGACGGTAAATTAGTGGATAGTTCTGGATTCGTCCCTTCCACATCGCTGTTTTGCGGTGAATGATCGTTGCTCGAGGCCATCTTCAAGCCTCTCAATTTAATCGGCAGCCAGGGTTGTTTAGGTTAGAAGCTGGAAATGCCTGTACGGCAATTTCTTGATTTAAGGTTCTGATTTGACAATGCAAAACTCGATCTTTTATTGAAACAAAATGTGAAAAGCTTGTCTTCAAATCCATACAAGTACATAACTTATGGCTTAAGAAAATCTTTGGACTTCAGCAAGTGGCAGTTGTACTTTTTGCCAGCAATTTCATGCTAAAAGAAGGTTTAACAAGATGCGTTTAAACACTCTGCTTCTTGTCGTTCATTATTCTTATAAACCCTAAACAATGATAACACTACAGTCGTTCTAACTGCTTTCTTTAAGCTCGTTTTCTAGTTTGTCAAATTGCTCTCGTATCTTGTCGTTGTCTTGGCCAGTAGCCCTCTTGTTCACATTTATCGGCAACAGTCTGGTACCTACGTTTTCGTCGAGATGCTTGATTTCGCGCCGTAGTCCAACAGTAGCCTCTTCGAGACTGTTGTAAAAGCTACGCGCATGGTTTTCAAATTGGGGTTTCATGTTTTCGTTTCCTCTTTTCAACTCCTCTATGGTTCCCACTGCTTGAGAAGCATGTAGTAAAGTTGCCAGAAGCAAATCATCGATTGTATTCAAGCTCTTGAGCCTCTCCTGGATGAATTCTGGCTGCGGCATTACACAAAGGTAGAGCTGTGTTTCGATCTATGGAAACGGAAATCCAATCGAAGGTTTTTGATCATTTTCGGAATATCCACTAGGTTGGATATATATCAATGATATATATACATAATCAAAATGTAAATTCCTGAACAACTTGAACTACGGTGTAAGCAAGAATGGCAATTGAGCTAGGACTATCAAGAATTTCGAAATTACTCCAACACCTTGGGAATCCTCAGAACAAGATAAACGTACTGCGTATCGCTGGGACGAACGGAAAAGGTTCGGTGTGTTCTTTGTTGCAGTCAGTCCTTCAAACAAATGCAAACTACCAGGTAGGCAAATTCACATCTCCTCACTTAGTGCATATTACAGATTGTATCACTGTCAATGGAAAATCTATAACAGTCAAGGACTACAACGGAATCAGAAGTCGTCTTCAAGAGGTAAACGAAACGCATAAGCTTGGCTGTACCGAGTTTGAAGTTTTGACTTGTACGGCTTTTGAATATTTCCAAATCAAAAAGTGCAATTGGTGGGTCCTAGAAGTTGGTCTTGGGGGCCGCTTGGACGCCACAAATTGTTCTTTGGGTGCTAATAAAATTTGTGGAATTACCAAGATTGGCATGGACCACCAAGGTTTTTTGGGAAATACGCTGGAGCAGATAGGTACCGAAAAAGCTGGAATTATTGTTCCAGGCGTCCAATTTGTGGCCGTTGATGGTACAAATGATCCTAAAGTGCTGGATGTCATCAAGAAGCGGACGGACATCGTGCATGCAACATCATCTTTGACTAACTCAATAGTATCCGATAATGTTATAAAAACTAAATCGTGGGGCAACATAGATCGAGATATTGTTCCTTTGAATGGAGACTATCAGATGTCAAACATTGCGGTGGCTCTCTCGTTGCTAGACTATCTTCAGGGCGAGAGAAAAGCCTCGATTTCCCTCCAACAACTCAAAGACGGTCTACAAAATGTACGGTGGCCAGGAAGATTACAAAACGTACTATACTACACAGAGGGCAAGCATGAACCTTTGAAGTTATTGATAGATGGCGCACATAATGGTGATGCTGCCATAGCCCTGTCGAGGTACATTGATCAACATGTTCGAGATGATGATAATCCCATAACTTTTGTGATTGCAGTAACTCAGGGTAAAACGTTAGAACCTCTGCTTTCACCTTTGATTAAACCACAAGACCGGGTCATTGTTACAAGGTTTGGACCGGTGGAAGGAATGCCGTGGATTACAGCCATGACTACGTCCGATTTGATTTCGCATGTTTCCAAGTATACTAAAAACGTCTCTTCTCAACCCAGCGTTCAAAAGGCGATCGATCAAGCCTCTGAGAGTTGCTCAAACCCCACAGTATTGTGCGGTTCCTTGTACCTCTGCGGTGAACTTCTCCGTACCAAAAACGTTAATTCATAACTGTTCAGAATTATCTTTTTGCTCGCTTTCTCGACGAGTTCCTGAGCATTTGAGTGACGTCACTCGTACAAGCTTTGCGCTTCGTAGCGTGCTTAGTTTTCCCAGAGCCTTCTGGCTTGTGCGGTTCACGTCTTGGTTCGGTTTCGTTTTCGAGCTTGGCATGCTGCTCCCCGAAAACCTGGTTCTGTGAACCATCTTTCTCACGTACAAATGGCTTCCGTTCTTCTTCTTCCTTCTCTACTTTTACACTATTGTCGCCCTCCTCGTTCTTGATATTAGGTTTGTCCTCTAACTTAGCCAGAGATTCTGTTGTTTTACCTTCTTGCTTGAAGAAGTTGCGTACTGCACTATTCGCAGGGGTAGTGAGGTGCTTTCCGTTATTTGATACTTTCCCAACATCTGGATTTACCTGCCACCACTCTAGCTCGTCTTCGTTGCACTGCGCCTGTAGAACAGACTGCAACTCCGTTTCGTCCCATTGGGTCTTGGAATCGTCAAGCCAGGCGTCCCATTCTTTTGAGCCGTCATTCAAGACAACCGGCATACGCATGTGAAGCCATTCCATGTTTGGGGGTGCTGGTGCAGTGATGATGGTGTAAGTGTACAGATCTTGGGATGGCACATAGTCGTACATCCCTGCCATAAACATAACCTCGCGGTCTCTTCTGGTTACATAATATGGGATCTTAGTCTTCCCTTTTGTTTGCCATTCATAGTAGCCACTAGCGGGAACCACGCATCTTTTGTAATTGGAAGGCGCGGTCCACATCTTACTAGTCGCAATATTCTCACAGCGGGCGTTGAACGTCTTGTAAGGTTGCGATTTTGAAATGTCTTTGACCCAATGAGGTATGAGCCCCCACTTCATATCTTTAAGGTCCTTATGGTGAGTATAAACTGGTGCTGTCTGGGTAGGGGCGATATTATAGGATGGTTGGATACCGGAAGTATATTGCCTTGTATTTTGATATTCCAAGCCGATCTCCGTTAAGCGATGCTCCAGCTCCCCGGCCGTACAATCCAAAGCATATCTTCCGCACATTATTAGGATTCTTGAAGCTGTTTTGTCTTATGCATATGCTTGAAGCTTAGACTTCAAGAATTGTCCGTATGGTCTGATGAATGTATTATTATGGGTACCTGTCTAACCCTATAAAACGATTTACGCGACAGAAGTTACACTCGCAGGATCTTCGACGCGTGACAAGACTGCTACTTCATCTTCGTGGCATTTGCTCAAATGTCACTGAAGCTTGATTCAATCCCAAAAAGCATCAAAGTCGTTGCCACATACAATACGTGGATTGAACTACCGAAATTTAAGCCAAGATCCTTTATACTGACACTTTAGCCTTTAACCTATGTAATACAAGTCTATTGAGTTGCATGTGTGTCCATTTTAGCTTTCCTTTGTCTTAATTCATTATATTTCAAGTCAACGTCACATATAGCACTTTTTAGGTCTTTACTTCTCACAACTTAAACAAAATTTAAAACTATCAAAAACAGCCAAAGGAGTGTCGAAATGCTGAGCATGAGATTAGTTGCGAGAAGTGTGATACGTAAATGCCCACCCTTGGCTTTCCGCGCCAAGCTTCCGGTCCGGAACGTTGCGACAAACGCATTTGCAGCAACTAAATTGAAAAAAGATACCTGGCAGAAATGGATGTATAGTTTAGGCGCATTCGGTGCACTATCTTTTGGAATATACTACTATTACTGGCCACGCCACACATTTCCCAACGGGGTAGCGAAGATCTTGAGGAAGGCACTGTGGGAAGAGAGTGACAAGAAAGAGCACGATTACCAGTCAGCACTGAAATACTACCTAGAGGCGTTAGACGAATGTGATAAGCTTTCTATGGATCCTGTGAGTGATGAATATACGGGCATCGAGCTGAAGGTCGCAGAGATGTACGAGAGACTCAACATGGATGACAATGCTCATGACCTTTACTTGGAAATGTTATACAGGTACTTTGACGCCCTCCATGCGCCTGGTCGCGTGCCGGATAATCTGAGACCACATTTGATCCAGAAGGACCTCAGGATTTTGATCAAATCCCTTGAACTGAATAAAGATATACAGATTGGCAAAAGGAACCTTCTAGCACACCTACTATTGGCCCAAGAAGAAGTGTTAAGCAGATCGCCGGAACTAAAAAAGTATTTTGAGAAACGTAAAGAGCGGGCCGAGAAATTGTTTCAGGGCAAATCGGCTGTCCAGTCTTTGAACTTCGAGAATTTCGTAACTGAAGACAACATCAAGCTAAATGAGGATTCCTACATGATCGTGGATATGGCCAAGAATAGCAGTGCATGGGAACCATTCAAAGAGGAATTTTTCACTGCCAGAGATTTGTATACGGCCTACTGTCTCTCGACCAAAGATATAAATTCTGCTCTGAGTTGTAAACTGACTACTGTGGAATGGATGGTAATGGCCGATATGCCACCGGGCCAAATTCTACTCTCGCAGGCTAATTTAGGCTCCCTTCTATACCTGCAAGCTGAAAATTTTGAGTCTAAAATCCACCAGTTGACGCTGAAACGCGAGGAACCTAATGGAAACTTAGAAGACAACACCTTGATAAGGGCATTGCGCCAACTGCATAAAAATAGAGACTCTTGCTTCGAGATGGCCAGCCAGTGCTACGAAAGTATCATCAAGTTCTCGAAAAAAAACAAAAAATTAAGATTCAATGCAAAGGACCTTATGGACCCATCTGCGTCGCAGGCAATTGCACTCTCTATCTATGGGATGGGTGTCATCAACCTCCACAAACGAAACCTAGCTAAGGCGGAACGTCTTCTTCATGACTCTATCGCTATGGCCGAGGAAACTGGATTCCAAGAGCTGCTTACTGAGGCCCATCAAGAATTGCGCAAAGTGGCTCTGGCAAAAGAATCAGACTCTATAACATCAACAACGAATGTCGTCGAGTAACGGATGACCCCGTCAGTGTAAATAGTATATTCTTACTTGACTTAATTGGGTCTTCTGATAGTCACGTGTGAAGATGTAATATAAGAGTCTAGGAACACCTTTTTGTATAGCTCATTATTATATTCAACTTGCAGGGAAGTTCGATATAGCTTTATCAAGACAATGATACTGCGATCTGTGGCCGTTTCTAGGCAAACACGATACACCCTGGGTAGAAACTTAAGGCTTTTTGCCTCAGTAGCATCTGTCAGAGCTAAGCACGATCTGAGAAAAGTATTCGATAACCAAAAGTATTGGCGGGAAATTAATAATGAAGTTTTCAAAAGACAAGATTCAAAGAGCAAAGGTATAATTGGTAGAATTACCCAGTCTGCTACTCCTCTGGAAACTGGGCTCTTTCAGAATCCATATTTGAAGTCGAGTCAAGGGCTTCGAAAATATAGCATGAAAACGTTGGAAGACGCCCAGCTTTTAGTCGAGCAGATGCGATCAGACCGCTCTGAAAACGGACACTTAGCTTATATCCAAAGGCTCGATAGGCTCAGTGATTTGCTGTGTCGAGTAATAGATCTCTGTGAATTTGTTAGGGCGTCCCATCCAGATCCACAATTTATTCAAGCCGCCCAGCTTTGCCACGAAGAGATGTTCGAGTTTATGAATGTATTGAACACTGATGCAACACTTTATGAGATATTGAAGTCTGTATTGCGTAACAGAGCCATCACCGCCCAGCTATCCAAAGAAGAAATCAAGGTAGGAAACATCTTGTTGGAAGACTTCGAGAAATCGGGTATTGACATGGCTCCTGAGGTTGGAGAACAGTTCATTAGCCTCTCACAGCAGATAAGCTTAATCGGCCAGGACTTTATCAATAATACTGATTTCGCAAAGTCTGAACATGTTAGAATTTCCTGTCAAGATCTCGATAAGAGTGGAATGAATAAGCTTTTGCTGAATCAGCTTTCCCGCGATGCTCATGGTTTGAAGTACAAAGTGCCAACTCACGGGTACGTTGCATTCTCCATCTTGAGAAGCTGCCCCAATGAAAAAATAAGAATGAAGATTTGGACAGCCATGCATAGCTGCCCTGACCAACAAATTACCAGGCTTAAGCAGCTAGCCAAACTTAGAGGATACCTGGCCTACATTATGGGTAAAAAAAGTTACTCTGAGTATCAATTGGAAGGTAAAATGGCGAAATCTCCCGCTTACGTTCGTGGATTTGTGCAATCGCTGGTTGATGCGACAAAGCCGCTGGCAGTTCAAGAGCTGAAATTACTTGCAAACTTAAAATGCACGCATTTGAATTTGAAGCTACCAGAGTCTGATGCCGACATATTGAATATGGTAAGGCCTTGGGACCGAGAATTCTATAGTACACTGAATGCTCTTCAGCAGCAGCGCAAGAGCTTAGAAAATGAACAGATTAGCTCTTATTTTTCAGTTGGTACTGTCATACAGGGCCTGTCAAACTTATTTCAAAGCATATATGGAATCAAATTAGAACCCGTGGTAGCCACTCCCGGTGAAACATGGTCACCCGAAGTTCGCCGTATCAACGTCGTGAATGAAAAAGATGGCATTATTGGTGTTGTTTATTGTGATCTTTTCGAAAGAGCTGGAAAAACAACCAATCCTGCTCACTTTACAGTATGTTGCTCACGCCAAATCTACCCCGAAGAAAAGGACTTATCCACCATTCAGGTTGGACATCTCAATTCGACGAATGAAAAGTTTCAGTTGCCTGTCATTTCACTAGTTTGCAGTTTTGCTCAGAATTCAGCAACTGAGCAAGATGTTTGCCTCTTGCAACTAAGCGACGTGGATACTCTATTTCATGAAATGGGTCATGCAATGCACTCAATGCTGGGCAGAACTTCGTTACAAAACATAAGCGGGACTCGCTGTGCGACTGACTTTGTGGAACTTCCGAGCATCTTGATGGAACACTTCGCACGCGATCCCCGAGTTTTGTCGAAAATTGGTCAACACTATATTACCAATAAACCTGTGCCGCCTGAGTTACTGAAGCTTAATCAGACTGAATCAACATATCTTCAGCACACCGAAACTTTTTCGCAAGCAAAGATGGCGATGCTTGACCAAGAAGTGCACTCCTCTGTAATGCTGACAGATACCCCAGTAGACATTGTTAAGATATACCACGATTTGGAAACAAAACTGGGTGTTTTAGCTGATGACCAGAGTAATTGGTGTGGAAGGTTCGGGCACTTATTTGGCTACGGCGCCACTTACTACAGCTACTTGTTTGACAGAGCCATTGCCAGTAAGATTTGGAAGCACTTGTTTGCACAGGATCCGTTTTCTCGGAATAGCGGGGAGAAATTCATAAATAGTGTTCTGAAGTGGGGTGGATCGAGAGATCCGTGGGAATGCATCGCAGACGCACTCGATAAAAAAGATTTGACGAAGGGTGATGAAATGGCTATGAGATATATTGGGAACACCGAGGATATATGATGTGTATTCGTAGACGAAGGGTGTCCTGTGGTTTAGCTAAAAATCAAGGCATTTAAACAAAAGGGCCTCTTGTTGGACTTTATACAATCTGCATCTTGTACATAAATTTTAAAAGGAATATCATGAGATTCAATGCATGCTCGCTAGAAAGTGTCTTCCTTCTCGTTACAGCGAATAACTACATAGAATATCACACGGCCTTATAGCCGCTCGAAATCGTGGCGACAAAATAATGCCTAGCAGTATCAAATATACAAGCCATGGTAGAAGGTGGGCCACTTCATTGAAATGGAGCAAACTCCAGCAAAAACAAGCCTACATTTTTCGGAGACATCAAGACAAGAAAGTTGGAATAGTTCCGATTAATTCGATGAGCAGCAAACGTCTATAACCTAATATCATGCTTGCATGCTATTTCCTACTAGCTATACTTTGAAATTACTCTAACATTTCAACAACAAATAAGAGCCTTGTTGGCGCAATCGGTAGCGCGTATGACTCTTAATCATAAGGTTAGGGGTTCGAGCCCCCTACAGGGCTTATTTTTTGGCTTTTAAATTACACAATACTTATTTATCAAGAGTTCAATCAATGATCTACATGAAGATCTTAGAGTGTCAAGGAACGTGTTTCCTTGTAAAATTGGTGGATAAGTTGTGCTGGTAGGCTGCTGCTTTTTTAGATAGATGGGAAGTGAAGCAACGACTTTCATACTGGATGTTTCTCCATCCATGATTAATATGGGGTATACAGAGCAGGCCTTTGCGTACCTCGAATATGTGCTGTTCATGAAGGCTAAAAAGCAGAGAAAGACGGATTGGATTAGCTGCTTCCTAGCCAACTGTGCCGAAACTCGTAACAACCATGAGACGGATAACGTATTCGAGCTACTACCGTTTACCGCACCCATATCCTCCAGTAGGATTATTGAAGCCCTTCGGGAATTGCAGCGGGTCATTGACCAGGATGTTAAACAGCAAACTCGCGTGAACTCCATGGTACAGAGTCTCTTAGTTTCTTCCGTAAGTATGCGAGATGAGTTCAAAAAACGCAAGATAAGGAAACAGATCATGGTCTTCACAGATGATCTCAACGGCCTTGACATGACGGATGAGGAGCTGCGAACATTGGAACAAGAGATGGACTGTCGAATAGTACTGGTGATTTGTGGGGTCAAGGAAGAGGAAAGCAAGACTCTGGGGAATACTACGTGGGAAAAATGCATTGAAATCATTCCAGGCTCCGTACAGACAACAATGACGCAGCTTTTACAAGAAATCACCACGCCAATACCCGCCACGGTAAAACCAGTGAGGGTCTTTCAAGGGAGCTTGCGCTTGGGTGCTCCTATCGCAGATGCCAAAGATGTAAAACAAGAGCATGATTCTATTTCAATCAAGGTAGAGGGATATCCGGCAACTAAGGCCGTCTCTAGTTTAAATCGTCGCGTCGTCGCCAAGGCCGATGATGGTCGATATGAGCCCGTAAAATCAATAATTGAGTATGAGGCCATCGATCATATAAGCGATGATGAAGGCGACAATGATGCGGACCAGCATGGTGATCATCATGACACACCTACAGTGTCAGTCGCTAGAGATTCCGTCAAGAAGGCGTATCGGTACGGGTCAGCGTATGTCGTCTTGCCGCAAGCCATTGAATCGGAACGTATTTATCATACAACACCGGGTCTCGACATACGTGGATTTGTCGGTAGAGATGATATTCCAAGGCATTTTTTGAACTCCGAGTCGACGTTTATAGTACCGTCTACGAGGGATGGAACGCGCGCTGATTCCTTCGCGCTTGCTGCGTTGGTGGATTCAATGATACGGCTTGACAAGCTGGCAATTGCAAGATATGTGCAGAAGTGTGACAGTGAGGTTCAAATGTGCGTGCTATGCCCACTTTTAGTTTCCAAAAAACGAAAGTCTAGTGGTGATACATCTTCTTACATGCATGCTCTTGTTCTAAGCAGGCTGCCGTTTGCTGAGGACGAGCGAGTTTCGGATTATCCTAAGCTGCGTAATAGCGCTAGTGACGGAACGCCTCAAACAACGGAGATCGATGCACTGATGAGCGATTTCATTGACTCACGGGACCTCGGACAGGGTCCAAAAACTACCTGGTGCTCTACGCCGTTATACCAATCCCTGAACTCTACTGCCGAGGCCACGGACCCCACGTTACCAATACCAATGGAAGGCATCACAGATACACCACGTGAGTGTGATGTTTCTGCCGTACCTGCGATAGGCATACACCGCCAGCAGCAAATTTTGATCGAGTACATGCACCAGCGGATTGTGCGTGGGTCTGAAAACTTCGAAATGCCGGACTTGCCTGCTGTCTACAAATGTTTACTAAATCCCTCTCACGACAGTGATAAAGATTCTACGAAGCGACTTCAAGAGCTCTTGGCAATCAAAATAAACACTTCGAAGTCTTCCAGTGTGGATGCTATGGATGAGCAGCAAGAAGATGACGAGCAATTTGATATACCGTCTCTCGAAAGCTTATTGGCTAGGGGCAGAGCTTGAGGAGGTGACGAAGAAGCCACTATGAACTCTACGTCACGTGTGATTCAAATTTTCATTCTCATCGGTAAATTCCAGTTCCTTTGTTTTTGACAAAAGTTTGAGGCAGGGGAGGGTTTCTAATTATTTGCAGGAAGCCTTTTGATCCAGTAAGTAATTCTTGTTTCCTGTTTCAAGAGACACAATCACTGGCGTCTTCGTGTTATTATCAACCGCCGGTCATCTGTTTGACCTATATACGCTAAAAATAAATCACCAAGAGGTATTATTAGTCGAGAATTTGAAACTAAGACAGCATCACAAGATCTTTCATAACTCAAAATAATGTCGGCCTCAATTGAAACTATTCCCACTAAAGCCTACAAAGACCAGAAACCAGGCACATCAGGCTTGCGGAAAAAGACCAAGGTCTTTATGGATGAGCCCAACTACACCGAGAATTTCATCCAGGCAATTTTAGAAGCTATTCCCGAAGGCTATGAAGGTGCCACGTTAGTAGTCGGAGGAGACGGCCGGTTTTACAACAATGATGTAATGCAACTGATCGCCGCAATCTCTGCCGCCAATGGAGTCAGGAAACTGATTTTGGGTCAAAACGGGATTTTGTCAACCCCTGCAGCCTCAAACATTATCCGGACTTATCATGAGAAATGCACAGGGGGTATTATTCTCACCGCTTCCCACAACCCAGGTGGTCCCCAAAATGACTTTGGCATCAAGTACAATTTGAGCAACGGAGGGCCAGCACCGGAATCCGTAACTAACGCTATTTTTGAGAAGTCTACTCAGCTCACGCAGTACAAAATCGTGAAGAACTTCCCACAAATTGACTTTTCCAAGATTGGACAGGATCAAAACTACGCAGGGCTCATGATCGATGTAGTAGACTCGACAGCGGACTACGTAGCTCAAATGAAGTCAATCTTTGATTTTAAGCTAATCAAAAATTTCATCGATACGCAAAGGTCTACTAAAGGTTTCAAAATCCTGTTTGACTCATTGAACGGTGTTACTGGTCCCTACGGTAAAGCCATTTTCGTCGACGAGTTTCAATTGCCCGCTGAGGAGGTTTTGCAAAATTACGTTCCTCTGCCAGATTTCGGAGGTTTGCATCCAGACCCCAACCTGACTTATGCGCATACCTTGGTGGAGAGAGTTGACAGAGAACAAATTGCATTTGGAGCCGCCTCCGACGGTGACGGTGATAGGAACATGATTTACGGGTGCGGACCTGCATTTGTTTCGCCTGGTGACTCTGTCGCAATCATTGCCGAATACGCGTCTGAGATTCCTTATTTCAAGAAGCAGGGTATCTATGGGCTAGCCCGTTCATTTCCCACATCAGCGGCTATCGACCGTGTCGCGAAGGCGCACGGCTTGAACTGTTACGAAGTGCCGACCGGCTGGAAGTTTTTCTGTGCTTTATTCGATGCCAAGAAGTTATCTATTTGCGGTGAAGAGTCCTTTGGTACCGGTTCCAACCACGTAAGGGAAAAAGACGGTGTCTGGGCCATCGTGGCGTGGTTGAATATCCTAGCAATCTATAACAGAGACCACCCGGGTCGTGACGTTTCGATCAAAACCATTCAGGACGAGTTCTGGAACAAGTATGGTAGGACGTTTTTTACTCGTTACGACTTTGAGCAGGTTTCTAGTGACGCTGCGAACAATGTGTTGCAGGTACTCGCGGACTTGGTAACTTCAAGAGACAAAGCGGTCGGAAAACCCTTCTCAGCCAATACTGATTTGACAATTTCAGACTGTGGTGACTTCAGTTATACCGATCTGGACGGCTCTGTATCTGATCATCAGGGTCTTTTCGCCAAGCTTTCTAACGGCTGTAGGTTTGTGGTAAGACTATCCGGTACTGGCTCATCTGGCGCCACCATCAGACTCTATGTGGAGCGCTACACGGATGATTCTTCGAAGTACTCATTGACCGCTGATCAATTTTTGGAAACTGACATCAAGGGGATTTTGAAGTTTCTTAAATTCAAGGAATTCCTTGGCACTGATAAACCCACGGTCAAAACATGAGAAGTTCAACAAAGAAATTGAATCATGGCCCAACTTTGTCGACTTTGGGACCTAGTCTCACCGGCCTCTTCTTCACAATACTTTATCCTAAACGCACATAACAATAAATTGCCAAGAGAAACATAGAACTACATAGCTACGCATCTACCAATCGTTCTCGTCAAGAGGATTACGCTCTATCACCTTTTAGTTTGTTGAGTTCAAGCGAGCACTTATGTCTTCTGATATCGTAATTCTGAGATTTGAAATAGACGGGTAACGGTTGAAATTCCCACACTTATGTTTTGTTGTAATCTCTATGCTTCGAGCAGAGGGAGCACAACATCAAAAGATCGAATAGACGCCCAACCACTTGTCAGTTCATTTGTAATTATACATGTATTCCTGGAAGATTGCTAACAAATTTCGATTTGGGCGCTCGAAGGAGGAAAAGGAGAAGGAGAAGGACAAAGAGAGAGAACGCGAGAAATCCAAAGATAAGGAGAAACATGGGTTATTCCATCACAAGAGCCACCGTAGCGAATCCCCATATATGGAACCACCAAGAGACTCAGTGGATCGCAAGGAGACCATAGTTGCATCTACATCATCGATAGCGCCTGTACGTTTGTCATCGGATGTGAACAAATTTCCAACGACTAATTCTTCGATTTCGACTGGTAGAGACTCACAAAGGACGTCTAGTGACTTTAACAACATGACTGACTCCACTGGTTATGCAAGCAATAACGGTTTTGGAAGCAGTGCTAGGAATAGTGGTTTGTATGGAGGAGATCCTGGGAACCCCAATGTTAATGACGAAACAACGAGTTCCCACGATGTCATGCCCGAATCAGAGCCACTTTTTTCCGGCATTATGACCATTAAAGTTTACGGAGGTGAGGGATTTAAATTGCCGGTCCCTATAACGTCCAATGTTCAGATACTGAAGAAACTCCTTCAATCTGGTGTCATCAATCCATCCTCGGAGGACCCTAGTACTGATGAACTTGTGTCTTCACTTTCGCAACTAGACTTGAGTGGTGGTAATGAAGAAGAAAATCTGATAGATGGTGATTTGGCCACACGTTTTATTCCAGCAACGATTACGCTGCCGAGCTCAACCGACCTAAATCCACTCCTATACTTCACTATCGAATTTGATAATACCGTGGCAACTATTGAGCCGGAATCAGGTACCATATCACATCTGAGCTTCAACAAGATTTCTACGTTTGATGTAACGAGAAAACTGCCGTTCTTAAAAATTGACATTTTAGCACGCATTCCCTCAATTCTACTCCCATCGAAGGCTTGGCAGCAATCTAACTCATCCGATCCGTACATTCGTGATATTCTGGACCGCATCAACAACAACCAGGACATTCATTTGGACTCGTACAATTTACCATTGACACTAGACTTTGATTCTGCTACAAGCTTCCGCCTCTACAACCATCAGTGGGTTTCTCTAGAGAACGGCAACGGTAAGCTTAATATTAGCGTTGATTATAAACCAGCGACTAATAGAGCTTTAAGCATTGATGATTTCGACCTTCTAAAAGTAATAGGAAAGGGGTCTTTCGGTAAGGTAATGCAGGTCAAAAAGAAAGATACCAACAAAGTATATGCTTTGAAGGCGATACGGAAATCTTACATTGTCTCCAAGTCAGAAGTGGTTCATACGTTGGCTGAGAGGACAGTACTGGCTCGCGTTGACAACCCGTTCATTGTGCCTCTTAAATTTACTTTCCAGTCTCCGGACAAGCTGTACATTGTACTTGCATTCATCAACGGTGGAGAGTTATTTTATCATCTTCAAAGAGAAGGCCGATTTTCGCTTTCCCGCGCCAGATTTTACGCTGCCGAACTATTGTGTGCGCTTGAGACGCTGCATAATTTGGACGTGATTTATCGTGATTTGAAGCCAGAAAACATATTGTTGGATCATCAGGGACACATTGCGCTGTGTGATTTTGGCTTGTGCAAACTTAATATGAAAGGTCAAGAGAAGACTAACACATTTTGCGGAACGCCGGAGTACTTAGCTCCTGAACTTCTGCTAGGTCAAGGCTACTCTAAGGTCGTAGACTGGTGGACATTGGGTGTTCTACTTTACGAGATGATGACAGGCTTACCACCATATTATGACGAAGACGTTCCCAAAATGTATAAAAAGATTCTACAAGAGCCACTGCGGTTCCCAGATGGCTTTGACAAAGATGCAAAGGATCTTTTAATTGGCCTTCTTAGTCGGGATCCAAAGCGCCGTTTAGGTTTCAACGGAGCAGACGAAATAAAGTCGCATGCATTCTTCAGCCAGCTCAGCTGGAAAAGACTTTGGACAAAGGGATATATTCCACCGTATAAACCACCTGTCATGAGCTCACTGGACACAAGCAATTTTGATCAGGAATTTACCAAAGAATTGCCGGTCGACAGTGTTGTTAATGATTATTTGAGCGAAAGTGTACAACAGCAGTTTGGTGGCTGGACCTACGTTGGGAGTGAGCAGCTTGGAAGCTCTTTAGCACCTGGTAGAAGCGTGCGGTGATGGTGGTGGTTATGACAAAAGTATGTTGTCGACTTATCTAGTAGTAAGTCCTATTTATCCGAATAGTCATGTCTAAAGCATATGAGCAGCACGTACGCATTTCTTTGGAGTTAAAAAGTTAGGCCAACCAAATTTGTGGGCATGGTTTTTAGGCATTGACTACTGACAATAATGGAAATGCTCAGTTTTTTGAGCGCGGGTCACAACCAAGAGGCGACATAAATGAGGGGAATTCATAACACAATCTGCCTGCAGTATTTAATGCATAAAGCTCAATCAACTTTCTCATCTCCACCTTTCTCTTACTCAGTTTTAACCACTCGCTGAATTCGTTCAGTTGAAGAGTTAAATACCCAAGACAGTTTTAAACTATGAATGGACAGCTTATCAAAGTGGATCTTGCTCTTTGTATGCAGTTGAGGGATCGCGTACTGAACTTAGCTCCTGGGAGCTGCATTCGTGACCTGTCACTTCATACTATTTTGACACAGTAAGATCAACAATTTCCGAGTTTTGCGGCTGCTATCCAAATAATTTGGACTACCAAACTGGAGCATCTTCCAGGTAAATAGGGTATAGCTATTTTGCGTGAAAGAAGTTTGCCCCTTTAATGGACGGAAACTTAAGAATGCTCTTCGGTATTTTCGTTGCTCGTGATGAACATCCATAGTGAGCGCGATGAAATTTTTTGATCTTGATGCCTGCTGAGATTTACATTAAAAGAAAGTCACAGAACCTGAGAACTAGAACGGTCCGCCAGCTTTCATATAACTGCTGTTTAGCTATTATAGAATGATGGCCATTGAGCAATCTTCAAAGAGAAGTGCCGATGGGCCGACAGGTGCTGTGGAGGCCAAAAAGAGACGGGTTGAATTTGCTGATGAGGTCATGATCCACAGTGAAAACGGCGAAAACCAGACCAACAAGGAGTTTTCAGCAAAACTTTACCGTAACTTTGTGCTGAGCGCCATAGATGATCTTGAAAGAGTATGTCAAAAGAAAATTACACGATTGGAGGTTGCTACTCGAGAGAGGCCTTATAGTTTCAGGAGTTCCTCTTTCACCTTCTACATTTACTAACTCTCGCCTCTTCGCGCGTAGAACGATGCCTCCCAAATAAATTCGTTAGCTGCGCAGATAGCGCTCCCGCATTCGAGTCCCGATCGGATTTCGCCCGAAAATCTATCAATCCTCCTGCGGACTTTGTCTTATAACGTCAGCAAGCTCGATACCCAACTGTGCACATCCCTAATCCAATCTGTTATCAACTTTGAGAAGTGGTGGGAACTGCCCGCCGCAACTCTAAGTACGTATATATTCTTCATTAAAATCCTCTGCTCCAGCTTACCAAAGTGGTGGCAGGATGTGTCGCGCCCGTTGATCGCCAGTTTCAATTTGTCCGTGGAAAAAACTGTCCAACATCATGAAATGCTGAAATACTTCCTTCGAACGATTCCTACTTCGACTGGGTTCATTGACTCCTACATTGCTCGTTTTTTCCCGAATAAAAACGACTCAAAAAAGAATTTAGTCAATTACATGGCCAATGTTTTATTACTGACCGACTATTGTAATGAACTAAGATTTCAATCTTGGTCGTTGGTTATCGAAAAAGTCATTTCCATTGACGTCGAACTACAAAATGAGCTCGATGAGTTGGACGATGACTTTGAAAATGGCATTGATGACGAGATCGAAGGTGATGAAGATACAGACCGGGAGAATCTAAATCTTGACAGCGCTGATTCCGATAATGAACTCGATGACGAAGACTTAATGGATGGTCAAGAAGAGTACAACGTGGTCGTCTCGCAAAACATAAAACAACTGTCGTCCAAATTAGACGCAATTCTTTCTCTCATAACGAAAAGGCTATCGCAATCTTTGACCGTGGAGAGCATTGAAAATGGTGACGGCGTCAGCATTTTCAACACCCTAATAAGCCTCTTCAAATCACACATTCTTCCGACCTACTATACCCGTTCCATTCAGTATATTTTGTTCCATGTCTCACAGCAACAATTGGAACTCATGGATGCTTTCTTAGTTACTCTCATTGATATTGCATTTTCCCCTAATGAAATGATCGAAAAGAGGATAAAATCTCTACAATACATTGGGTCCTTCATTGCTCGTGCTAAAATGCTATCAAACACTCAGATCATATTTGTGGCAAGTTATCTAACTTCTTGGCTCAACCGTTACGTCCTGGAAAGAGAAGACGAAGTAAGTCAGACAAATGGTGTCGAGAGATTCAAACATTTTTATGCTGCATTTCAGGCATTATGTTACGTATTCTGTTTTAGGCATGCGACTTTCAGAGACGGTGATTCTTGGGAGTGCGAGATTGACAAATTTTTCCAAAGAATGGTCTTGTCTAAATTCAATCCTCTGAAATACTGTAACGAAAACGTTATGATGATGTTTGCTCGAATCGCTCAACATGAAGGTGTCGTCTACTGTTTTGGTATCATTGAAAACAATAACAATGAAAGGCTGAAAGGCATTATGGGCAAATCAGATAGTCAAAACTCATCAGGTACAGTGAGTAATTGGTCCCTTGCGACTCGTCAACAATTCATAGACCTGCAAAGCTACTTCCCATATGATCCGCTTTTTCTCAAAAACTTCAAAAAAATGATGAAGGACTACTACATAGAGTGGAGCGACGTCAGTTGCGAATATGAAAGCGACGAGAGTGACGAGCTTGACGAAATAAACAGGGATATATAGGTTACCAGGACTACAAATACGTATAAATTAACACAGCATGCTAAGAATACTATTTCTTGGCCAGTTTTGAATTATAAAGACACCATCACTTACAGAACGCCCAATCTTGCTCCCCTTCAAGTTCTCTACTACTGTCTTTTTTGATAGACACAATTTGAGTTCAGCTTAACTTCAAAACTCTTCTCACAATGTCACCTTGTCCTTTACCGTTTATATATTGTACTTCCTATTTGTTTCTCTTACCTTTTTGTTCCTCTTACCCAGTTATGCTCCGTCGGGCAGTGCATTTTCACCATTAATCCTACGCGAAATGTCAGCGTTGTCTGCCAAAATATCACGACCATTCTCAACATTTGGTGTGCCTGCAACAGCGGATTCAGCTATTGAATCTGTAGTGCTGTGTACCTGATTTGGAGTGATTCTTCCGCTGCCGTTTGAAACTGTTCCAGCGGAGGACCCACTAACCTCTTGACACCAATAGCGATGGTAGTTCCATGATTGTAGTTGACACCCTCGCGAGCAATATTTTGTTCTCTTGCACCGTCTGCACTTTGCGAATCTCTTTGGAAAGTCTTCCCATTTACCACATGCAAAATTAGCGCACTGTCGAACTCCTGTCGTCTCGTTTTTCCTGCATGAGTTTCTCATAATCACAGAACTCCAGTAGGTCATATCTCTTTCATTTTCTTTCTTAATAGTAAATCGCTCCACCAGAGGGAAAAGGTTGAAATGCGGAGCATGTATGAGATGATCATAAGTTTCGTCGTCTAAGTCTTTAGGCATAGTGTCATAATTCCATTTGCGTCTAAATTCTTGTCTAAGATAAGCCATTTCTTCCGATCGTTCCAGATGCAGTTTCGAGCTCCTCTTGTGCGAATGCTGAGGGGCAGAATTATGGAATGAAAGCTCTTTTCCGATCGTTTTACAACGAGATTTCATATTAATCAAAAACGGATCATCAAAGTCGACTGTAGTCTCATCAGGTTCCGCTTCGAAATCTGATTCGTCTAGCTCTGTCGTGTTCTCGATCTCGGGTGAGATTCTTAAAGAAGATAAATCCAGCTCTTCATGTTTTTTCCTTGCTATCGAGAGTGCGTTTCGCAGAGAGAGCGTTTTGACCAAGTGGGCCTTTTGCAAATGCGGTTTCATATGTGTATACTTTGAAATAAAGGCCAAGAGCTGAAGAGACCAAATAACGTCGTCGGCTTTTGGTACAATTTTGCCCCAGAAGAAGTTTCGCGGTATCGATACTGTTATATTATCGTAATTGTCTGTTTCCAGATCATTGAGGCCTTTTTCGGTTTCCATTGTGGACTGCCATAGCTCGCTGAAGCTTGTATTTAGCTGCATTATATCAGGCTTGGCCAATTGCTTGTATCGCAAAATCAAGCTTTCAATGTCAACTTCTTGAGACACGTCGTAGTCATCACTGAAAGAACAGTTCTTCAGATCGAACTCTATCGGAGCGTTGCTCATAAAATCATAGCCCTTTTCCAGCAGCAGATAATTGTCGAGCACCGTAGCCAAGATTGGGATAACCCCGGACGATACGACCTGTTTGCGGATTTGTTCTGTACCTCTGGTACCCGTAAGCACTAAGCACTGGAATGCCAGTGTCCATTTCCAAGCAATCATGGCGAGCTTTCTCTCTCTCGCGATTTTCTCCACCATATTCAAGCCATCTTCCACTTGCGCATTAGGCCATTCGTCGAGCGTTATGTGGCAGTCGTGCAGAATAGCGACGAGCCTTATCAGTGCGCCATCGTCGGCCACAGTTTCTCGCACTTTAGCTGAGTTAGAGGTCAAATAAGTCAAGTGGTTGAGCGAGTTTATAAGTGGAATTTCCGAATTACAGTCTAAACCTCTTCGGTCATAAACAGTAGAAGTTATCGTCACGCTAGACCTGTTCAGTAACACGCATCTGTGATTTGAATCGCGCATTGATCACTTGTGCTCTAGAGCGACCTTTGCTTTGTACTCTGTGTGATCTTCGCCACCCACCTTCTATAAAGTGATGAGATACAATCAATGCCCTTTTTCAAACTATATTATCATATCATCTCTTCAAAAACAAACATATCAAAACTTGTACTATAAAAGAATTCAGAAGCAACTGAGACTAAGATGTTTACAATTAAATTGAATGAGCAGCTAGTAGCAACCTTAGAGTCGTTGAAGAACGAGTCTGTCGAAGTACAAGATTTCCTCGAAAGTGGTAGCATACCTATGAGAAGTCTCTTGGCGCTTCGCAATCAGTATCGAGAAGATGTGAAACTAACTCAACTATTAAGTCCTCTTGAGTTCTGCTTCAAACCGAGACCTATAAAAGGATCTGATTATAGTGAGGAATTCAAAAAGCAGCTTGGTCGTTTGCGATTGGAACAGGATGAGAAAGAGTACCAGGACATGGTTAGAAGAGATAAGTTAGCTACATTTCATGACGATGAAGCTCTCACGCCAGCTCAAATGAGCAAACAGGTGAAAGAGCAGATCACGACCGTCTTCAATATATTAGTATCCGTGGTATCGGTAGTTTTCGCCGCTTGGTATTGGTCCGGGTCGTCTGCGGGAATGAAGCCACACAACCGGATATTTCTGTGTCTCTTTGGTGGCATCCTCATCTTGGTAGCAGAGGTGGTAGTGTACAATAGCTATCTGAGGAAGATTGACGAAGCAAGAGTGCGGGAAAGGAGCAAGAAAGAGGTCAAGACCGTCGTCGAAAAACTGTGAGTAAAAGCAATTGTGAAGATTGCCGTTTTACTGGCGTAATACCACAGACACCGACTGCGGTGCCTCTGGTAAGTCCTCATAAGAGATCTGCTTGCGCTTGAAAGGGAGCAAATTATCCTTCAGGAAGTGCATTGTTTGAGATCTAAGCGAAACTTTGGCCAGCTGTCGACGCTGTAAACTGGTGAAAAAACTCCACTTCAGTAGCATAGAGAAAAACTCGATAAATGAAAAATCTGGCCACAGAGTGTTAGTGAATTCGACTACGCCGTTTTCGTGGACTTGCCACAACATGTAATCCGATAACCGCGTGTGGCCGCTGGTGCGAATCAGAAGATCACATTTATTGGCGTAGTCTCCCAAAAACATCCGTTTTGTGAAATTTTGGACATCAATATCGGCTGCCCGTTGGCCATGGTATTTGCAGCCCTCTGCGGCATCATAAACCGCATGGTAAATGTCGTTTCGGGAGGTGTACGGGAAACAAATATACAAAATCATGGATTCGCCTGCATCAGTCATTCTCTCAACACGCGTAATTTTGTCGTTCAGATTTTTTGAGATCATGGATCTTTCACCTATGACGCACAAGCGAAGTCCGTAAAGCTCACTGTTACGATCTTGCGCCCTGTGCGCAACTTCATCAAGCTTTTCGGCTAGCAAGGATGTCAAAACGTCGACTTCCTCGCGAGGTCTGTTAAAGTTCTCTATGGAAAACGCGTATGCAGAGACAGTCTTGATCCCAATACTTTTACACGCGGCGAGTAAATTCAGCAGCGTCACAGCACCAGCTTCGTGGCCAGATTTTGTGGGCATGCTCAAGGACTTTGCATATCTTCTGTTACCATCCATAATGAAAGAAACGTGCTTTGGCAATGGTCCAACTTGTAGGACACGAATCAATGTTTTCTGTACCTGCACGACTATCCATTGGATGCATGCCAAGTTGAGAATGCACGACCAAACCCATAACTCCAGTGCATGCAGAAAATGTCTCACAGCCGTGTAGCTGAGCAAATTTGGAAATTCGGGACGTTGTGGTTTAACTCGATTTTGTACCTGTTTCATTTCATGCTCGACCGCTTCCACAGCGCTATTCGCGCGATTTGTGCCGGTCATATATGTAGTTGCGCAGTATACAGTTGAGCTAGCTCTCTGGATCTCAGAAATCAAACGTTATACGCTTTTTATTCGCGTGTTCTGCACTGAAACCCTTAGCCGCCAATATTGTTTGTTTGATCTCCGAAACAGAACTTCCTCAAATGTTGCAACGATTCCTAGCACTAAACACGAAGACTTCAACAACGTATTTCGACCAATCACTACGTAAATCAAATACTAGTTCTCTGGCGCTGGTCAAAGGCTAGTTGAATATAATAAAATACTCGCACTAGCAGCAAGGAGTGATTTTCAAATGAGGGCCGATTATGTGCTTCCCTAGTTATGCCATAGCATTTCAAAGTGACCCGACTTCTGGAGAAATAAATTGTACATTAAAAAGACCCTGTATCCCAAACAACATAAGTCAACATACTTTTCCTGCTGTCATTTGCTACTCCATCACAGTGACTAGACATTTCCACATTCTTTTTGACTGTATATTCAGATCTTTTGATTCTCGTACAGTTTATGTCACTTTATACCAACGTGTCGTTGTTGAATGACGATAAGTTGAATTGTAAAACTAATTTAGATGTTTTACGCGCCTTTGAATTTGTATCCTACTATGTTCTATGTAATTCTTATCACAACTGTATTAATTTTTCCAATCATTGGTGATTACAAAGATCAAAATTGGGCAACGCGGCCTATGGGCAATAATATGGCCTTAATATACCGACTCGAGACGATTCAATTGCGAGATGCTGTCCCTGCAAGTGGACTCTTGACGGACGAACACCAGACACATTGAATTGTAGACGACAATGCCGTCTATAACCTATAAAGTATATGAGGCAACTGTTTTTGGCCGTGTTTTATATTTCATCGGGCGCTTACTTCCTGTTGCTCAGGTTTTCACAGCTATATTTCACTCTCAAACAATCTTGTAGATCATTACAATAAACCCGTAACTATTCTAGTATCTATTACTTGCTTCATATTTTCATGCCGTGAAAAGGCCACCAGCTTTTACTCAAGAGCAATGCCTAAATACGTCGTTATGAAGACATGTTTGAGGTCTCCTAAACCTGAGAAAATAAGGTTCTGGCTCATTACTGACTTCCACTAAAACCAGCGCTGGCCAAAGGTTCGCAGACTTCGAAATGAAGGTTCTGAGCATTAAAGATAATTTGAATCGTTTACGTAAAGTATTATAATTTTGCTGAATCACAATCACATTATGAAGGAGGGCCGCCCATGTTGCATTTTGGCAAGTCTATACGCCCTGAATCTTCTAGTGTTTCCAATGTGAAATATGCAATGGAACACATTTATGCAGTGAAAATTTGCTTCTCAACAGCATAAACCACCTTCATGGTTTGCTCCATGAAAGTTAAGCACAAGACCGTGTGGGGAGCGATTCTGAATAGCTGTGCTTCGAAACCTTTGTAAAGGGCGCTGATACCTTCGATACGGACTGTTTTGATCAAGCAATCTATAGGGCCCTTGTACAAGTTTCCCTTTTGGTTGTATACTCTGGTTAAAATGACATCCCATGGGTTCATCACTACACCAACACCGATACCGGACATGGTACTGGCAACTAGATGAAGACCAGTGCCTTCTTTCATAATGTCATGTTGGAGCAAGAATCTTTTAGCGGTGTTGTAGATTGGTAACTGAACAGAAGAGCCGGCACCAGTTCTCATGATGGCGGCGTCTACACCACGGAATAGACCCTTGACACCTTCGGCACGGTAAATGCTGGAGAGTCCGTTACCAATAGACGTATAGTGTGTCTGCTGACCAATTTGAACAGCACTCGAGTAGGACTGCATACGAGTCTTGATCAAAAACAATGGGGAGCCCATGATAGCACCGATTATACCGGAGGTGGCACCAGATACCACGTTAACCGCCACGTTTTGGACCTTGTGGGGGTCCTGCGTTGGGTAAAAAGTACTGTTGAGTAGCGCCCGGATAGGTTCATAGAATCCAAGCCTCGACCCGTTGAGCCCAATCTGGTAGATGTACGCGCATGACAAACCTTTCTGCAAGCCACGAATACCTTCGTTCTTGAAAATCATAGTTAAGGCCTGTAAAGGGTTCTTGTAAATTCTTTGCGCTTCAGCAGACATTTCACCTTGCAGTTGCATTCTAGTCTTCACTAACTCTATTGGATTCGTTACGGTCACCGCAATACATGCTGCCATGCCGCCTGCAATGAAAGAGCCCGTTTTGCTAACTTTTTGGGCCGCTGGTTTATCGGCATTGATATCAGCCATCTTTGTCTCCGGTTCTTTTGACATGTTTGCGATGATTCCAAAAGCTTGGTCAGTCTTGCGATACTGAGGATACTGTAAGTAACAATTATCTGTGAACTTTCCTGACGCACTCAACTGGATTGTCAAATTTAATATCGAATTTTTTTTTCAATTCTGCGCGATAGTACTCAGACCACGATAAAAGTGGGATTATGGTGCAACGCTTAAGACCGAATTCTTAACCTTAAGCTTGGTTTCCGCTGACGAACTCTGAAGACAATAAGAAGCTCAGACCTTGTAATCATCAAACGCGACGCACAACGGTTTTTCCATGAGAAACCTTCGCCGTTGAGGCTTATTAGAAATTCTGTAGTGAGGAACCGCACACGTCTTTCATCAAGTTTCTCGTGTAGATAAATGCGCCTTTTGTTCATGACGTATGTTCAAACTGCCCTCTTGAAGAGACAAATCAAGGGTTAATCGCGAAAGCCCCCAGAGTTTATCTATGTTTTGAAAGCTGTTGGCAGTTTTCACATCATTTCAAACTGTTAACGAGAGAGCTTTGAACTTCTTGCCAAACATCCGTGGGCATTCACAGGTAATTTGCGAGGTGAAAGGCAGTTTCAACAATTTCTTCGAATCTCAGGGCGCGGGAAAGGACGAAATTGGACTGTGACCTTTTCTCTTTTATATGGGTTGCGCTTGAGTTGAGTTCTCTTTGTGCATCCCTAGCTACATTATGTAGTGTCGTCTGCTCCTAGCTTTGACTAAGTTAAAGGCCAACTGTTTTAGAAAGCTTCTCTGATAAGTTGGGCGAGCTTTCCACTTTGTCAAGTACCCTATGTCCTACTAGAAAACATTGAGCGGCTATTTCGTCATTGATGATCCACTACAACAGGTATCTGATCTCTTGATGTTCAGTCTCTTTGTCAGGAAAGAATTGTGATACTTTGAACTAGATATGTTATTTGTCGTTATTTGGAATTGGCCGTTGGGTCACTTGCTCTCTCGCTCCCCGGCGAGAGGCTCCTCAGAGACCGAATGGACGTAGAGCTACCAAGTTGTCTCGACTTCGCCAGCGTAGAGTGTGCAACCTTCATCGTAGACCCTAGCAACCCCCCATGGTTTTGAGGTTCGCTGTCTTGATCGGGGTTTGTGGACCGGAAATGCTTAGCAGAGCATTTTAGTACTTTCTTTCTTACATTGGTAGATATGTCCGAGCGGAAAACTCGGATCACGCCCGAGCTGTCAGTCGATACCACGATGCTACCAATGGCTTCTATCATGGACGGAAACTTGCGTTCCATCAACTCATTGGCCTTTTGGCGCTGCTTTTTAGAGGGAACTAGAGGTTTGACTGATTGCTCTCGCATTATCGTGATGTCGTCTTCCGTCTCACTGAGGGCCATAGTGAGCTCACAGATTAGGTCGTCTGACAAGGCCAGTGTCTTTGCAGTATTTACAGGTCCCACAGCCAAGGTCGTCACCGTGTGGTGATGCGCATGAAATGCGACGTAATGGGAATTTTTGATGGCCTGGTCGCTTTTGAACTTTGAAGAAGGTGGTGAATTCCCATTTTGACCTGCGTTCTTCCCGCGTTTCGAGTCGGAAGAGTGGCTACTGCCTATGCTTAGACTCCTCCGGAGAAGGCCTCGTAGTGAGCCTCTGTGGTGATGCTCTTCACCTTCAGCGGTGTCTACTGATGTTGGAGTGGGAATGCTAGACTCAAGTCTCCAACAGTAAACCCACTGATTTTCGCTCGGTGCTATAACAAGTGTTTTCTTCTTGTTGGGAACAGTGAGTAAATGGGCACTAATTTGAGAGTGTGCGTTCTCAAAACCGCGGAGGACCTCTAGCAATCTGCGGCCCTTGATGCTAAATATGCGTACCCTCGAATCATTAGATGTTATCATTACTCTTAAATCGTTTTCCGGTTCAGATTTGAAGAATTCTATCCCAGTAATCTTTGGACCGCTTTCAGGGATCTTCTTCCCGTGCTCCTTGGCTTTCTCGAGTATGTGAAATGTGGAGATAAGCTCCAGTCCCTTGGTGTAAAGAATCGAAATATGACCATTGAAGGTACCAATGGCCGTGTATTTGCCATCGGTGAGAGAAGTATCGATAGCTGTAATAATGTCGCCACAGTAATATTCAAAGGACACTTTATGATCTAAAATAGACCACAATCTGCATGTATGATCCAAACACCCGCTTATGAAAAACCTATCGTCATTGGGGTGGAACTTGGCACATGTTACAAAGTCTGGGTGAGTGAATGTCTTGAGCGCCTTTGGGCGGTCACAGTGCCATAGCCGTGCGGTTTTGTCCATTGAAGTGGTCAACAGGAATCCGTTTTTAGACCAATCGAGATCTAATATATCTTGAGTGTGCTCTTGAAATGTACGATACGGCAGTGGATGGAAAACAGGTGCATATAGACTCATATACTGAGGCACAGCAGATTCGGCGTCATTTGAGGAGCGGCAACTGCTGTTGGTTACTGGCTTCCGAGCTGTAATTCTTGTGGCCTGTCCTTTCACCGTAGACGCTTGCAAATCGTTTCTCTCTAGTGGTGAAGAGATCACTTTCCAAACACGCAGGGTGCAGTCCTTACCGCCCGTCGCCATGAACTTTCCATCGCGGCTGAACTTGGTGGCCCAGATGGCACGTGAGTTGCTTTCCGCGAGGCTACTGAGTGTGTTGCTTGAGCTTGAAGTCAGATCGGCGCCACCGTCAATCTTCAGCTCTTGCGCAAGGAACAGGCGTCGGAATTGTTTGATCTTGGGCTGTTTTTTGTACACTCGGACGTACTCCGGTTCCTTAAGATATTTCTCAAACTGCTCACGATCGATTCTCCCGAAAACCGAACTGAGCGCCATCTGCATAGGCGTGCGCAGCTCCAGAGGAGCCTTTACATCAGGCTTGGGCACCGCTGGCGCCATATCCGAAAAGTCCGCTACATTAATTGAAGGTTTAGCGGTATTGAAAGTGACCGGACGGAGAACAGTTCCGTAGTCGTTATTGTCTCTACTCTCCCTGCTAGCGCTGCTATCACGACTATGCTTGCTATCTGACTCAAGTCCGGCGTTAAACAATCCGCTGCTTTGACTGGAATCCTCACTCTGCTTGCTCAACCGCTTGGACATGCTCAGGTCTTCGGTTGAGCTGTCCATCAGCTCAAACTGAGGCTTTGTAGCTTTCATTCAAGCGTCGATCTGGCTTGCCGCAATCGTCTTCTCAATTGGCACCCTATCCGATTGGTATCTTTATTCTACTTTGTAAAGGGCTCTTTTGCTGCTGTGTCGGTTAAGATGATATATATATAAATATATATTTTCTACGAATGGAGCGGGACGGACCCTGTTAAAAGTTAACAATCTATGAAAATATATTCTTGAAAACGAAGTTTCAGCAACATTTTGCGTCGTATTGAAGATATCTGGATCGTTCCAATTCCTGTCCAGTAACATATTGTCATGTCTTCAGGACGGCTGGATAGCTATATAACTAGTTCCATAGCGCTTTTGGAGGCGAACCCATCGTCCACGGTGGTTAGCATCAAGTATGAGAGTGGTGCCAAAGCTGGGAAAGTAAGCTTCCGCACGAGCAATCCACAGCTGCTGGCGCGATACAAATTCAGCACATCGAAATCTAAGGACGTTTCGAGACTTCTGAGTGCTGTTGGGCCGCGAGGTGTCTCGATCACGCCCGGGAAAGTGGCCAAACGTCGTTGTCGGGCCGCTCCAGTGATCGATGTGAATGGTATGAGCACACTTCTGGCCAATCGGGACATTCCGGAGGCCCGTGAGGAGGCGCCACAGCCCAAGGCGGCGGGCAAGAAGAAGAAGAACAAGAACAAGAAACGCTAGAACGTCTTGTTGCTTCGGATATACAACTAACAAATTAATCAATCAATGAACACCTATAAATATCAAAGTTATCCCCCAAACCCGCATTAGTATTTAGTTTTCCTTTTCAGTTTGTTTTTTTTTGGGCTCTACGACCGGTTGGCTCGCTTACCGCCTCGTTTCCCGCGCTTCTTACGGCTTCTTTTCTTGGCGTTCTTCGGCTTCTGCTGTTCCCCGGCCTCGTTGTTGTTTCTGTCGAAACTAGACGAGTCCCGCTCGTACCCTTCGATATCAACAGAGCTAGGTTCTCCTTCCTGAATCGTGATCGAGCTGCTGGGCATCGGTGCCAGCTCTTCGCTGGGATACTTAGGGGGCAGTTCTTCTCCCTTTTGCAACACCACATCCTTCTTGATTTCATCACCATTATACGCAGGCGGAACTCCAATATCTCCATACACGCTGCCGAATGCATATTTCTTCACGTTCGCTTCCACGTAAACGAATCCAAGTTGGCCCAAGTTAACGTGCAGCTCGATCTCATCCGATACCAGATCGGCCTCCTTAGGGTCATGTATCATTTCCAGCTGTTCATTGATGGCACGAGGAGCTTTTTGATCTAGATCGCTGGCTAGGATCCGTTCTCGCAACGAAACGTTATCGCAATCTTCCAGCAGGCCTTCGCGGGTATAAGTTCTCGTATAAGCCGCATTCATTGCACCAACGCCCACAAATAAATCGATGCCAACATTGTGCGTTAGATCCATAAGCTTTTTGCCATTATGGGTAATGAAAATGGCGCCGGTTCTGTAACGGTAGCCAAACCCAACGATATCACCTTCCTGGAGTTTGGGTAGCAGCGTGTTAGCATAGAATGGGTTGTTCATTCGCAGTTTACCAGTGGATTCATAAGCTATGGAAAACTGTGCCATTCCAGGCAATCGAAAGTAAGGATAAGGACATGTTACTAATCCGCAACTGAAAATGGAATTTGGCTTGCTTGGAAATTTGAATACCTTGACTTCAAAATACACCGCATCTTTCTTGTTATGAGGCAGCGGATAGTTCATGATGGTAGAGGCACTTTTGTTGAATTTAGTAAAGAGAATGTCGAGCTTATCTTGGACGATGAAACTGGGTAGGAAATTACCGAACTGGTCAACGTTATCGTTGATGGAGGGCAAAAAATAGTAACTTTGAATACCACGATCCTTGATAAATTGCTTATCGCTGACATTGGTGTACGTGCCAAACTCTTTGATGTTTGCGGGGCACATTTTTTGAAATTCCCTAGACCGTCGATACAATTCCACTTCGAATCTCGACATTCGAGGCAGCTCTGTAGCTTCTTGTTCCAAGAGTGCTTGCTCATCATCGAACTGCCCTGGTGCCAGGAAAGAGCCATCCAACAACACCCCACTGCGTTTCTTTCGAAAAATATTGGGCATCGCAGACGCGACTTCCCCGTCGTATTCAGCCTCGTCTGCACTGCAAAACGTCACATACACCGCTACTATGATCAGCATGACCATCAGGACGGCAAAAGTCACAGACAAACTGATCAGAAATACAAAGCTAATCGCCTCTCCATCTGGGTGATCTCCCAACGGAGGCTCAAAAATGGGCTCGACGGCGATCTTAAAGTCGCTTCGAGTGACTGAGACAGGATCCTGCATCTTAAGGATTATCTACTCAGACAGGACACGTCTGCTAAGCAAAGATAAACTGATCTTGAGGACTTGTCGATATCTAAGTAGTAGCCGAAGAGGAACATGCCAGAGCACCTTCTTGCTTGTCAATTCCAATGCGGAGAGTCGTTTGGTACGAGCTCTGTTTTCGGGATTTGAATCGGTTTCGTGGCTGATGGGCTATCAGAAAGCTACAAGTAGACTATCAAGCAGCCTGTAATTTATAACCTCGAAGGCCGTTGCCGGCCAGTTGTTCCAGCTTTACTCTTCAAGCGTCCGCGAAAACTACCCGCGTTTCAGAACCAGAATGTAAAGCAGATGGAACACTAGTGAGATCTGTGCACATGGGGAGGCCTTCACAGAACGATTCCCACTAAATTGATCGTCAAATTGGCTTTGTCTATGTGTCATCGAGACTGACGTCGCAACCGAAGATTGGCGACGGCGACGACGCAAACGTATCTAGTGATATACATATATACTTCTCAATGCCGGATGATTATCATTCGAAAGAAGCAACAGTTGAGGCCATTCCCGCTGCACTTCAATCAGCTTACTTTCGTGGTGTTCAATTGCGCACGCTCCTTGCTTTGAATACCACGGTCCCGAAACGGTGGCGTTCCTTGAACCTCAACCAGCCGAAAGAGACGCGACTCGATCGTCAAGCATTTCCACAGCGTCCTGAAAAGTACACATGCAAACCTAGAGCAGCCGTTGCACACGGGAACTGGATCCATCACAGCAGATCACATCTTTTATTTGAGCTGATACAAGTCTGCGCTTCCTTCCCTCAATATCAATTCGGGCGTGTGGCGTAGTTGGTAGCGCGCTCCCTTAGCATGGGAGAGGTCATCGGTTCGACTCCGGTCTCGTCCAAATTTTATTTTTTCTGCCCTACAATAATTTTTACCCATTGCTACATATATCGCATGAACAGAGAGGAAGATACAGGGGAAAGAGAATTAGCACACTGAGACTGCACTTTGGGCTTTTTTTGACCTGCCATAATAAATGGAGCTCTTCCTTGTTCTTGACTTTTCTAGAACGTTCTTATATTGGTCACTATTCACGAATATGCTAATGAATTATGTCAAGCCCGGTATAAATAGTGCGTTTTAAGTGCAAAGGGTTACTTGGTGTGCCTCTTGACAATTGTGCTTAAGTTACAACAAGTATCACTCTAAATCAAAGTTATATCCACAATGTCTCCAGCTCTCACACCAGAAGTTTTGTGGGCCCAAAGGTCCAGCAGTTCCGACATAGAACAAAACTATCTTCTAGTAACAATCATGATTCCAGACTGTGAGAATCCAAAACTCGAATTGGACAGCACGCATTTGGATTTCTCCGCTCAATCACCAGGCCATGTTGGTGACGAAGACGAGCACAAGTACCGCTTGCGTATTGACTTCTACAAGGAGATCGACGCCGAAAAGTCGCTCAGCAGAGTGGCAAACGGCAGAGATTATTTCCTAAAACTGTACAAGAAGGACTTGGACGCGGAGTACTGGCCTCGTTTGACCAAGGAAAAGCTTAAATACCATTTCATCAAGACCGATTTCAACAAATGGGTTGATGAGGATGAGCAAGAAGAGGAAGAAGAGGAAGATCACGGTTTCCCTGGCGCTCAAGGCGGTCAAGGTTTCCCAGGCGGACAAGGTGGTCAAGGTTTCCCAGGCGGACAAGGTGACCAGGCCGCAGCTTTGCAAGAGCTTCTGAAAAACAGCGGAGGTCAAGGTCTTGAAGGTCTAGAGGCTCTACAAGGTCTCGGCGGCCAGGGTCTAGAGGCCTTGCAAGGGCTCGGTGCTGACGCTGGCGCCGCTTAAATACCTATAACAGGCTCCTTGCAAAAAACACCTACGTAACGTAACGATTTTAATTTTTTAAGAAAAGAATTTGTACATTTACGATTCGAATAGGCTTATTGTTCTATCACAACACTTGGTAGTTTAGCTTGTCCTTGTAAAGTAATTGGTAAGCCTCCCAAGATTGACCCGGTTGTAGTTTGACGAAATCGTGGACATAACCGGGCTCAACGCACACCAATTCCTTGAAGCCGTCCTTTGGTTCAAAATCACCCATTCCTTTGGATTTTTCTACCCAAGGATTCCACACCACAGCGTCGGGTAGATTGTGTCTTTTGATAGTGTGAACCGGGTGGCCTTTATCGATTACCTGGACTAACCGATCGTCTTCGACCTTTTGGTAAATCCTGTCCAGCTCTTCGTGAAAGGTAACGACAGGTTGTTTATCCACATAGGATTCCTGTAGCATTTGGTCGAAGAGTTTCGTCCCACTCAAATTGGATACCATGGTATCTTCGATATCGTCGATCTTTAGATACGTATGAAAGAGCCAGTTGAACTTGAGTTGTTGGTCACTCGAAGTATTGCTCACCTCAATATGGGTTTTTAAGTGCTCCGACCCCATTTCCACAGTTAAAATCAAAGAGTAATCCATTGGCCATAGCTTGCTCAATTCAGGGTTTGCTATCTCAGGACCTAGCCCGAATTGCACCGTGGGCGGGTTGGCTTTAACTTGACCAAGAAACTCCCAAGTGGAATTTCTGGCCAGTCCGTGCTGGGGTAATTTGCTGAGGTCTTCATCGTCCTGGTTTTTACCAAAAACGGGGAAAACCAGTGGAATACCACCACGGACAGGTTTTGAACCATCTAGTTTGGCCGCTGAAGACAACCACAGCTGTTCTTGACCGTTCAAACTCCATGAAAACACTGTTGCACCATATTTCAAGATTTTAACAAAAGTTTTGTTGTTATCTGGATGCGTTAATATAACTTCCGAGGTTGTTTCTTCGACTGACATTGTTCAATTAGACCTCAACTGGAACAAATGAATATCTAAGTTCTACTCATTTAGAATACAAGGTTGTTGATAACCTTAAATTATACATTATGAAAACTTCTATTATACAATGTATGCACGTTCAGTATGATATTTCTCGGCCAGACAGTGACGGTCTCACTCTTGGGCGAGGCACTATAGGTAGCACCAGCAAGGTGGCCAGAATGGTTGGGGCTTATTGAATGAACTTAAGCGTAGGAACAATTTCATGCACGTACGGATTTTCGTAAATTTTCTGAATATCGAAACGCTGATTTTTGCGATTTAAACAGCTGGCCACAATCTGTTTGGCTGGCGAGTCCGAGTCTGCCAATTTTAGCCAGCGCCACTCAAATCTGGATATTCTATGAGCGACAGAGCTTCTCCTTTGCCTCTTACCAGGAACAGCAGTTGGCAAAGGATCAAACGGCAGTCTTTCCTCCAGTAGTGCATATAAGATCACGCCTAGCGCCCAAGTGTCACTGAGACGGCCATCATAAGGTACGCCCATAAGAATTTCCGGTGAAACGTAGTCCTCCGATCCGCACCTGGTAGTGCACATTTCTTCGGGTTCAATACGCCTGCAGAGACCAAAATCGGCCAGTTCAACGATATGATGTGACGCCAGGCTTTTTTCGCTCTCGTGCATCTCCAAGAGTGTTTCGAGGGGATACTTTATTAGAACATTTTCGAGTTTGAGGTCTCGGTGAACGATCAAATTTTCATGGAGATACTTGATCGCTAGGACCAGCTCTGTAAAGATTCTTCGTAGCAGCCATTTTGGCAACACATTCTGACTGGCTAATTCGAAAAGATCCCCACCGGCACAATATGACATGACCATTTCACAAGGCGGTAGACCATGCGTAAGATCTCTTGAGCTCAATGGTCTCTTACTATTGACGAAAGTAAGATCGTTTATTGCTAGTAATTCAATGATACATGGATGTGAAATACCGACTAGGGCTTCAATCTCACGCGTAAGTGAACGTTCGACTCGTGACAGTACTTCACGGTAGCGAGGCGATTTTGGCGAGGATGACAAGGTTAAAGCCTCGGGGTACTTGACACACTTGACGGCAACTTTCGACACGCTGGTCTCATTCAAATCAACAGGCTCGTACAAGTAAACATCGCTAAAGTTTCCTACTCCGATCTGTTCCATCTTGCGTAGTTTCAAAGCCTTTGAAGAATCTTTAATCGCATATGCGGTCAGAACTCCATCGGTGCCCGGGCTCAAGGACTCTGGAGTGTACGTTTCGTTTGCTGTTGACTCTAAGACCTCCTCGAGAGTGTCCAACTTGCGATCTTCGCCGGGCAGAGACGCTATTCTTTGCGAAAGACTGCTAGCAGTAGCTGGTGCTAAGGCACTGTGAGGAGCGTATTCGGACAGAATACGCTGTTTGTCTTCCAAAATGTGGGAGCGATTGAACATCTCGGCTGTAGGGGAGTTCAACATGCCGTAGTCTTTCTTTGAGCGAGCGCTGGTAGGCGCTCCTGGAAAGCTCGATTCCACTGGCGATCTTGTGGCCATATTGGGCGACGATGGCGTGTAAACTAGCGGCGTGGGCAACATGCTCATGTCGCCGCCCATGAACTGCTGGATGGTCAGCTTTGGGGGTGTGGACGCAAATAGCTTTCCATTTTCTGTGTTTTCTTTCGCTCCCACCTCAGGGAACTCTGCTTGCGCTAACTTGGGCGCCGGAATCGACTTTTGGTATAAGTAAGCGTCTCTATCGCTCATGGCGTTCACCGTGTATCGACTTAGGTTTAATAGAGGCCCTTTGTGAATCGTTTAGACACGTATCACGACGTTCTTCTTCTTCAGGGATAATAGCTTTAAAGCAAGCAAGGTACCATGTTGTTGATATCGCCGATTTTCAACATAATCTCCACGTGGATGTCACGTGGAGATAAAGCGCAAGCGTTGATTTGGCGCGATAGCATGGTTTGAGGCTTATTCCTTCTTGGTTCTGGCCTTCTTGGGACGTAGCTGGTTTGCAATGTCGGTTTTGGAGGTGCTTGACCGCTTAGTACCCTTTTTGGCGGTCTTCGTAGCGGTTTTTTTGTCAAATTTGGCCAACTGCTCATTTCGGGATTTGGTGCCGTTGGTATGTAGACTTTCTGATTTTGTGTCAAACTCCTGCATATCCTTCTCTTCACTATAATTTTCCAGCCACTCTAGAAGTTTGATTTCGTTGCCGTAGCCTTCGTCCTCGGGCTGAGGTGTCTCCAAAATAATGGGAATACCACGCAAAAATTCGGCATTTGCAACAAGCTTGAACACTTCGAGCCCCAAGAACCCTTCGCCCAGCTTTTCGTGCAGATCGCGATTAGCTGCCAGTGGGGCTTTTGAATCATTTAGATGGACTGCTGAGAGATACTTGAAACCTATGATGTCGTCGAAATTCTTCCAAAATTCGTCAAATGCCTCTCTCGTGCCGATATCGTAGCCGGCAGCGAACGTGTGGCACGTATCGATGCATACGCCTACTCTTGACTTGTCTTCTACCATTTCGATGACTTTTCCAAGGTCCGAAAGGTCGCTGCCCACCAAGGTTCCCGTGCCAGCCATGTTTTCTAGCACAATTTTCACGAATCCGGTCTCTGTGTGGGCTTTATTGATGTACGAAGCCAATTGCTTCAGCTGGGTGTCGTGATCTGCCTTCAACGATGAGCCGGGGTGAAAGTTGTACAGCCCGATCCCTAGCTGTTCGCAACGGCGCAAGTCATCCAAGAAACTATCGTAACTTTTCTCTGCTTTCTCTGGCTCAGGGTTGGCGAGGTTGATGAAGTATTGACCATGCGGCAGAATGTCCGTCAAAGGATTGTAACCTAACTCTTTGCAGTTCTTCTTGAACAAGTCTATCTCTTCTTGACTGTAGCTTGGTGAAACCCATTTTCGGGGGGATTTTAAAAACATGGCAAAAGCATTACATCCGATGTTGAAGGCATTTGTAACACTCTTTGAGATGCCTCCAGCCGTGGATATATGAGCACCAAACTTGTACTTTGAGGTAGAACACCTGGTGAACTGTGACATGCTTAATAGTTGACCTGCGATTTTCTCTCTGAAGGTTTCGAGATGGCCAGATTTTTCAGGTTGAAAAACTGACGGTTAAATAAAAGTACACAATGACCACGAAAATTGACGAGCTAATCCTTTATAGTCTTTTGATGTCCGATCTTGGGTAGCATAGTTTGAGTTAACGTGCTTGGTTGTACGAACTCTTCCGTTTGTCCTTTCTTGGATTTTAGGTCATAGTTATAGTTGAGGATTTCGATTAATGCAACTATACGGAATCTGAACGGTCTATTTCACATTGCCATTTGTCGGCTTGCATTATAAGCAGGGGTCGCTAGAATTGGTAATGGCAGTTACAGTAAATGATCAGTTCGCTATTTATTGATCTATTGTCACCATTCTTTGGTAAGGTCATCAAACGGTTCAAGATACACTGAGTCAGATTGTATTAATCCCAATCAATTCTTTTCAAATACGATGTTCTTTTCAAATACGATGTGTTTCACACATTCTAGTTTTCCTTTAGAAGATGAAAATTTGATTGAGAATTCAGTTCGTCACTCTTTTTCTTTATTTTATTTTTTGGGTCTCCCGACCTTGCCGATCTTACCTTTCGTTTTGGTCTTACCTTGGTCAGATTTCGCCTTAGCGTTGGCCACCGCCAATTGTTCTTTAGTCTTAGGTTTTAGTTTGAAAAACCCATCAAGACGACCTTGGACACCTGTCTTGAGACCCTTTTGCAACCGTTTAATGCCAGACCGAATTCTTTCTTCATTGAAACCTTTCTCTTTACACATGTAATCAATCAACTCTTGTTCTAGAGGCTCAGTCCATTTCAAATCGATTTCTGATCCCTTTAGGACATCAGGCTTCAAGAAGAGATCTCTCGCCTCCTGGTAAGGCCAATTTTCAGGAATTTTCCACTTGTTATTCGCGTCTCCGGATTCAATGTATGTTACAATGTTCTCTAGTGTCTTGTGTTCTTTGATAAGTTTTAGCGCCGTTACGGGGCCCACGCCTCTGATACTCTCACAATAATCGCATCCCAACATGATTCCTAAGTCAATCAATTGCTCGATGGTTAGATCTAGTCCCTCTAGCATGACTTCAACATTTATCTCATGAATGGGCTCTTTCTTGGCTTCAGAAAACGTTAAATGACGTAACAAATACGGCGTGCGGTAGCACAAAGTATCCATATCTTCACTCGCGGCCGCATAGACTTTCCCAGCTTTTGCAAGCTCCGCACACTGAGCCTCTGCTTCGCCCGGAGCGTTCACATATGGCAGCCCCATCAATCGCAGCAATTTCTTGGCCTCTTCATTGTGCTCCGGCGTAACTCTCACTAGTCTACGCTCGTGTTTCTGCTTTTCCGCCTCTTCAACAGCTTCTTTCAGCTTCTCCTCTGTAGTAGCACGCCTGGCGCTTCTTTTATCCAATTCGTGTGATTTCAGGATTGGAGGTTTCCCATCGAAGACGTAACATGGCTTGATACCGTTGTCAATCATCCGCAAGGTTCTATAAAATATACCCATTAGATGAGAAGTAGTCTCCCCCGATTCACTTGCTAATTGAACACCATCCTGTTGTCTAACGGCGATCAGAAACTGGTAAAGAGACATAGACGCATCTATGGCAACTTTACGACCAAAAAAATGTTTGATTTCGAGTCTACGCACCGCCGAAGGCGCATGTTCGGAAATGATAGCGTTCAAACCTTTAATACCCATTTTCGAAGTCTTTATGAGCTGGTTGTGTGAAAAGGATACAGCTATGGAGTTGGCGATGACTTAATTTTCAACTAATGGCGGAGAAGTGCAAGCGCGTGAAAAATTAATATATTCAAGAAAACGCGACGCGTAACGCGACAGTGAAAGTAGAATGGATGAGAAGTTAGATGAGGCTATGAGTTGAGCTCTTTGAGGTCTTGATACTCGCTCCTGAGTTGTCTTGACTCAATCTTAGCTCAAGTTAGGTTTTTTCGAAATTTGCCGCGAATCAAACTTGGACTAGTGACGCCGTTCATCGAAGCATGATTAGAGTCAACAAAAGACTCTTCACACATTTTGATCTCTTAAACAATAAAAGCCCTGTAGTTATTCTGTTATTCTTCAAATCTTCAATTAAGAATGACATAAAACAGACATATTTTTGTTTATAGAATAAATGTTTTTCCACCAAACTTGAACATTTGGATTGTGGAGCTGCTTTTGATATTTGGATTAAAATAACATGAGCGGACATGGTCGATTGTATTTATCTAAAATTCTTGTTTTAACCTTTTTATAACTACTCCTTTGGCTTAAGAGTTAACCACTTTACGAGTACGAATCAGCATCTGGGACTTAAATAGTTTTAATATCACCTAACGTGAATATGCTCAGGTTATTGACAATTAAACCTAAGAACAAAATAATCGCGGCTATTCTGATTAGAAGCGGCCGGCTAGTTGCCGCAATACCGCACTGCAAGTGGAATCAATGCCCTATGAGATATTCATTATATCTTCCATGTCTCTCCGTACCACTCTGACACATTGTGGAATCTGGAGAATATGCGTCATCTGCCAAAAACCTGCAGTATAGTGCGAACTGCATGGACAGAACTCCAGACTAATATGAAAGGGTCTTATAGGTGTGCACGGTGTTCACTCCAAGGATGGGACGCTTGTAATGCACCGAAAGTATCAAGTTATTGAGAGAAACAATCCTTTTACCAACCCAGGGTTGAATATATACCAGCAGGATTTATGGCCGACTTTATCTTTTCTGATGAGAGGATCAAAAGTGAACGCGGCAAACGAGCAGGAGTTAAAGCGACTACGTTGAATCTCACTTTACGCCCATCTTTCTCCACCTATGATGACTTAACCACAGAAATTCATTGTTTTAAGACGCTGAATGTATGTTTTTTCGCTTTCTTCTCATACTTGAGATGATGTATATATTCAGCTAGAGCTTACATGGTGCCAATTGATATATAATGTGCCCATTGAACGTTTTACTGGCAAACTTAAAAATTCGACAGAAGCCACCTACTACCAAAGATCCCAAAAAATGTCGAGAGCTAGTAAGAGTTGTCCTGAGACTGCTAAGATTGCGGCATGACATCCCAAGTGCCCTCGGTCCATGTAACCTTGAGAACCCAAGTTTTTAGCTTCCATGCTCCGTCAGCTTGCTTGACGATCTGTATATCATAGGTGGACCCCACGAGCAAGTGGTCAGCATTGGGCACTTGGCCTTGACCTGCACGGAAGTGCTGAGCCAAAGCGTTAGCGGTAACATGAGCTTTGTCAGACCCGTCTTTAACGTCCACGCGAACACTTGAGACCAGATGCTGAGTATCCATGGGGCCAATACTATCGAAGCCCGCATTGATTTTTTCTAGACCCGTGCTGACATTCCCACCTATGTCCAAAGTAATATCGGGGCTTCTAGCCCAAGCTGACTCCCAAAGAGCTTTGTCGTTGCTGTCAAGAGCCAAACAGACACGATAAACTACATCAACAATTTCTTCGCGAGTGGTGAGACCACTGAGTGATTTTGCATAGGCCATGGCAAAATTAGAAGATATTGATGTGGTGATCTCTTGGCGATAAATACCAAGAGGGCAAATGTCAACGACACTTCTCGATGGGATTCAATTTGATTTTGGTGATTCTTATAGGGAAAATGAAAGGCGGCTCAAGCTTGCCAAGCTTGCCAAGCTTGCCAAGCTTGCCAAGGCTGCCAAGGCTGCCAAGCCTGGATACCTCCGCTCTTGCCTTACAAAGGGTATAAACGGCGATTCATGAGAAGCTGCCTGGTCTTAGATTATGCCACCGGTAATTTCACGGACATTTTATAAAATGAATATCAAACAATTGCGAGCAAGCTTGCAAAGTGCGAATATCTTCATTCTTGCATATCAAAATGTATAAACGGCGATTTATGAGAGTTGCAAGATTTTCGATTAATGAGAAGGTGCAAGATTCTCGACCATACGAACGGTGATTTAACGGACATTTTATGAACCAGATTCTATTCACATTGCGGTTTCAGCAAATGCAAGATACTATGTGTTGATTGAGTTACGGATGCGAGGTCACCAAAACCGATATATGAGAAGTACGGTTACCAGTTTGGAAATGAGGTCCAAGCAAATCAACTGCAAGTAGGCTACGTCAAGACGAACAAGACCCATAGAAGAGGTCGCTGGGAACGTATCGACTTCAGGACATGACTGAACAACAAACTGGATTAAGGGCGGCTTGTAAGTATGACACGCCAAGTCGGCTTGTATAGCTAAGCGTTGCGAAGGCATATCGCGCATCTCTCTAACTGCGCCCAGTCGAAATTTTTTCATGTTCTCACATGTGTTCGAGCAGAGTTATTGAGAGTGGCCTCTATCAGCCGTATTCAAGTCATCGAGGTTCTTAGTATCGTTTTTGATGAATAAAATAAATGATTATTTTCAGCAATTAAGCTTTTGGCTGGTTATGTTTTTTTGACTGAGAGCATGATATCGCTATATACTGAAAAATCATCGGTATTCACCTTTCTCGGACGACGCAGAGCGCCCGAGAGCACCCGTCTTTTCAATCCAAGTATGTATTATTATAGTTGCGGCTATTCTGAAAAGAGGGAACCGGCTTAGTGCCAAAACATCGCGTTGTGAGTGAAACCAATGCTGTTCGGGATATTTCATTTATCCTTCCATGTCACTTCATACTATCATGACACCACTTAGATCTCGCCATTCATACAATAACTTCAGCGAGTAGCGCCCAAGAACAGGTGCGTGCACTCACAACAGTCTACCTCACGTAGTCGTCATACAATAAGTCGCCGAAAAGAAACAGCGATGAATTACTCATTTTTTTTTCGCACCTAGCGTTACTTATTTGTGACATATGGATAGAGGACTCATTAAGGCTTTCAAGGTCCGTGTTCTCCAAACGCTTGCGTGCCCGCTTCTTACAGCGCCAAAAGCAGTACAAGCTTACAAAAATGAACTGTGCAAATCCAAAGATTGTGATGGCCGTTGAGACTTTGTGCCGAAAAATGTCTTTGTCCGTTTGGAAAATAATCCTGGCAATGTAGATTAGGTAGACACAGCTTGATAATAAAAGTCCATAAACAAATTCCGGAAACTCACATACTCTTCAACTTTCCCAGCAAAACCCCTCTCAGGCCGTTGCTCTGGACACAGCTTTGTTGACAAATTCCATACCCTTCGTGGTCATCGTGTTGTAATAGTCTAACAGAGGATCGCAAAACAAGAGCGAAAGAACCAAAAAATTTACTTCAGTAAGCGACGTTTGCATAGTTCTAGGCCTTGTTCACGAGAACCAAGTAGCTCCGAAATTTGTGGAAAATGAAGTTTAGTTTTTCGGGAACTTATAGATCTTTCATGAGGTGAAGCTTCTTAGTAGGCGAAACGTTAGGATCATGACCAAAGTCGAACGCTGTCTATTGGCACCATACGAGTAACATCTTTTGATTGGAGACTTTCGAATATCTATATTTACGATGGATCAACTGAACAATTATCTGTAGCATAAGTCAAGCTTCAGAGATAATACGATACAGATTTGACTATGACACGTTGGTATAAAGTGACTAAAGATGTATTACTGACGTGCCATAAATGGCTATTACTTTTAACACTGCGTAAAACGATAACGAGCTTTTGACATTGTATTAGTCTCTACGCAACTGCACTTATCTGATATACAGCGTATTTTAGAGCGAGTACTTAGATATCCTCTCACAGTGTATGGTAAAGTCCTGTTCACGCAAGGGCACACAAAGGTGGAAGAATTGAAGAGATGCGTGTTATATAGGAGAGGGGTGATTTTGTCAAAAAGTGAACCTGTTGGATACGCGAACTTCTCAAAAGGGATGTATCTTGCCGTGGAAATTAGGCAACTGCTGAAATATCCTCTGTCATACAACCTAACGCCTTGAGTGTCAAATGGAAACTTCAAACGCGAAATGTCATCGTCAGACTTTTCAGTTCTGTACGAGCTTGTCATTCTTTGAAAAAGTCATCAATCACAATAATATGGCACCTCCACGATGATCCCAGCTTATACGTCCAAAAAACAACTAAAGAGCTTATCGTAATGGCGGGGCTGTTTGCTGATGAATTTGTCGCTAAGACAAAAAGACTTGTCGAGCATGTGGGTCGTTAAGTTGCGTGGCCGATGTCACAATAACCTTTATTTTTGCATTCCCGCGGTGGTAATGCTTTTAATAGCCGTACGGGGATGTCCATTTCTAATATCATTTGCTTCGAGTTCCTATAGAGTAGACAGAGAGCTCTAGTCTTTTAGACAGACCCACTTCTGTTTTAGCGTCCCGACCATTTTAACATTGAATGCCCACTTTTTACACCACCGAACGCACAACGATCGTACTGACATGGGATGAATAAAGCCGACTAGTAAAATTAACTAACTCGCATAATTAGGTAGACTTACAGCTGACACACAGGAAGAACATCAACGGGTGTCGATTCAACTAGCTCTTACTCTTTCGCTATCTTGGGAGAGCTGTCGTCAGGGAGAGCTGTCGTTAGGGAAAGCCATGTCATCGTAAGAAATCTCGTGCTCCAAATAGGATAGTCGCTAATATAGCAGAACGAAGGTGCGCAAAGGTTGAGCAAAACGAAGAGTAGACTACTTCAATAGTTGTAATCTCCACATTTCACGGTCTTATATGCCTAACGAAATTTTTTATGGGCAGTAAGAGGCTCACAGCTACAGCACCAGTTTCCAGCCTTTATAGAAAAGTTTGCTAGATCTGAGACCTATGAGAGTGTATAGTGTATATGTAGCGACACACCATATCACGGTCAGTTCTTCACCATTTGGTAGTCCCACTCAAACGTGGTCGCTAACAAAGGCTTGGCTCCAGCCCCTTTTCGCCAATTGCCCACCCTCCTTCCGCAAGATGGCGTAGGTCATCGAAACATGGAAGTAGACGTTATTCATATTCCGCAAGCCGCATGCATTTTCTCATAGGTATTAAGGTCTACTGCAGGCTCAGCGTATCCTCGACCTGAAAGCTTCGCCGCCAATGCCTCAGCTTGGAATGTAGCATAGTGAACCTGGAAAATGAGGGGCTTCATGTCCCCTGCAAGACGGGCTGTGAAGAAACCGGCTGAGCTTGGGTGGTTTTCGGCCTCGATGAGGATTCTGTTGAGAGTCGGGAGAGCGCCCTTGGCCATTACGATGGTTGCGTCGTAGAGAGTAGGCCATGCTGATGGGAAGGCTGCGAGGTGATGGAGTCACAAACCCAAAAAGTGGCTCATACCTACAAACTTGAAGATTTGATCAAGACGGCACGAGACGGTGGCTAACCAAACAGTGTCGGCTTTTGACTTTGACAAAATACTACAAAGTGACAAACATAGATCTACGATCCAGCATATAATTAGATTCAAAAATTTTAATGGGTAAATATGATTCAAGTTCAACCGTTATTCCAAGATCCACTTTTGATTGGACATAGTTCGATAAAATCAGGAAAATAGAAAGAAGAGCCAACGTTTTCCATCGATAACATAGGTGAATTCTGACAGAATGAGATGTTTGACATATTCTCAATTATGCTGAGATTAGCTTTCACGCTGATTGCACAAATAGTTTTAACTACTGTGGTGTTGGTAAGTATAACGAGATCAGTGATGTTGTCCGCGATTATACGCATGCCTTGATTATGGTGATTTGGATGCAGCGTTGGTTCTGCAAAATATTGTGGCAATCACGACAGGAGTCGCAGCTGAGCATCTTGGCCCTGAGTCCGAAATTCCCTTAAGACAGCATTGGGAAAAATGTCTGGTTTTAAGAAAAGAGACGTTACAATTACGACGAGTTTGTGAACGTGTATAAAGATGCGCAAGCTGCCGACGTTCTGAACATAAGGACTGTGTCATATGTGACAAAAACTCATCAGGCCAATGAGGAGAGAGAGATGTGTATGACGCGACTGAGGATTCGATTTCCACGCGCCCGAATATGGATTGTCAGCGATAGCCCGCGGCGCGCAAAGCAAGCAGAGGGGCTGGCTGTAATTGATGCGAACTTGTTAGTGGGTTCGTAGATAATATTAAGTACTGGGTGACACTGATTCAGCAAGCCAATCTTATCAGACATCGCACATATTTTATAAATACCGACGGTTTATTCCACTCTTCATATCTGGAGTAACGGTGGAGGATGAACTGTCAGAATCCCTGAGCTATTGATTGATAGTGCCAATTGAAGTAGAGAAGAATAGGATCATAATGGGAGCCTAGAACTATGACATAATAGTACAAAAGGGCAAAGCTGGACATTCGGTCCAGCATATCAATTCAGATATTGAATTAGAATGCTGGAGTCTAGACGATGATGTCGAGTAGTATTCGTAGTCACACTGTTTCGGTATTATGGCGTCCGAGAAATGGCGGATGGTACATCCAAATCAGTTTAGAGCAATTCGTTACCAGAAATCATAATCCAGAGTAATTGGATTAAAATCGGTGCATCTGCCGAGATTTTGCTCTTAAAATTACGGCGCCGAGTTCACGAACAGAAGTAATATATTTAGTGATATGAAATGTCCGTTGACGCTATTCCAGACCTCAAAATGCGAGGACAAACAGATGTAACAAACCGATTGTTACTGCGGATCACCCGGCGAGTTCCCCGGACGCTGATTTGTTCGTTTCTTCCGTCAAAATCCATAGTCATGGTGATAGTACAAAATGATATGAATTAAACAAAGGCGCTAAATGATGTCTAGTGGTTCGAGACGCTAGCCAGAGGTTTAGCAAGTGGTCTAGACCCTAAAAGTTATTCACCAGTGGTTTTCTGATTCAACCGCACCCCAGGTGCACCCATTAATTTATTATTCACATGTCGTATTCACACGCCAGAATTGTGTAAATACCGGTGGTTTATTCTCTATGTTGAGGTTCTATTCTTGACATCTCGAAAGACCACAGGGAGAAAAGTAGAATCCCAGATCGTTATACAAATTAATCAGATAAACCATGAATCACTGTAAAATGACCAGTTCAGCAAGCTACTGACGCAGATATGCCTCAATAATATTATGATATATTTTGGCTATATCACGTTGGTATAGAGTGACAAAAAGTTCATACTGGCGGAACAGGCCAAAGCAACCGATCTGAGCACTGATAGTAATCCATACATCTGTGACGCAGCCGCGGTTCACCGCAAGTTCTTACCACTGCCCCCAAGAATGAGGCTGGTGCAATTAATAATCCAGTCTGGAACATGTCATGCCAGAACTCGTAATTGTATCAATACCGATCCTTCATTCGCCGTGTTGAGATTCTACACTTTACATCGAAGAAAACCTCGGAGGAATACATATCACCGAGTTCAGAAACAAGTAAATAAGTAGTACTAACATAATGGCCTGATAATGTCTATTGAAGGTGTTGAGAATTACCAAACGGAAGTATCCTGAAAGCTAACAATTACCAAGTTACAGATGTATGTACATGTGTGCGTGGACTCTAGTACCGATCTTTCAACGTCGATGCGGCGATGCATGCTGTGTCCATGATGAATTCGCATCGTGTGCGACGCATGCGTCATTGGCTCTGCACGCTGTGGTTTCATGCACATCTGACGGAGAAGGAAACTTTCAGTATTTATATATGCATATCTAACCGTTGCTACATGTCAAGCTGGTGAATTCCGGCGATAGTGCGCATTGGCCCTGGGATGCAGTTTCACAAAAACTTACGGAACCTCGAAAGGCGTATCCGTCGGGGTTTAGCTTCCAACGTCAGCTCCTAGATTCTTGCCAAGGCTTCCTGCCCTGCCGCTCGACATTTTTTTCAATTACGTGCCCAACGTAAAAGAAAAACAACCCAATCCGCGGAACAAGGCACCAGTCTCTTACTCCTACAAACAGACATCTACGGCTGCACACTCTACGCCGTACGGGTTATCAATCAAGTCACCAGAATAGCTGCGCGTTCCTAAAAGCGAGTGTGGGTATCTGAGTTAAGGCACCGCACTGCAAAGTATATATAGAGCAAGGTTGTGTCACTTCAAGACTCAAGTAGTATCATATCCGTGGGACATTTTCTTTTATTTCTCCAAGATACACATCTTGTCCCATGTATCGCAGGTTATGCTCGTTGAATTAATACTTTCTCTCTGTTGTGCACTGTCGATTTCAGCGCTACCCTCTTTAAATGATGATGGAAATTTGGGAATACTGTCTAATACCACAGGGTGCATAGATTTAGATGTTAGCCATCTTCTCAATTATGCTGAGATTAACTCTCGGGCCAATGGCACAACTAGTGTTAGCTACTGTGTTGTTAATAACTACAATGAGATCAGCGAAGTTGTCCGCGATTATACGTATGCCTTAAACTATGGTGATATGGATGCAGCGTTGGTTCTGTACAATATTCTGGCAACCACAGGAGTCGCAACTGAGCAGCATCTTGACCCTGAGTCCGAAATACTTCGCGATTCCAAGGCAGCACTAGGAAAACTGTCTGGTTTGAAGAAAAGAGACGTTACCTACAGCAAATATGACGACTATGTGAATGCGTACAAAGATGCGTCACCGGCTGCCGTTTTAGACAAGAGGACTGTGTCATACACGATTACATGTGATAAAGCAAACGCACCTGGCCTAGGTGACTGCTATAACCTTGAATTTAGTATTCAGAACTCTCGCATCGACTTGAATGGAAATATGCGACGTGAGCTTCAATCCGGCACATGTTGGGCTTCGTGGAGCGTAGCTGGCGAATTCGAGGAGAGTGATTTGTATAACGCAATCAAGGATTCGATTTCCACGTGCGTGAAGTATGGATTGTCAGCGATAGCTAAGGGCGTGCAACTGGCAAGCTTACGGTGCAACCAGTGTACATCAAGCAGAGGGACTGGCTGTAATTAATACGAACATACGTATAGGTTCGTAGATTGTATATGAGTACTAGGTGATAGAGATCCAGCAAACCCAAAATTATCTGACATCAAATAAGTCATATAATATTGAGGCACATCTGCGTCAGTAGTGGTTACCTTTCTGAACTGGCCATTTAAGTTGTTCATCATGTATTAAACAATTTTTATTGGAATCTAGTGTTTTACTTATCTTTCCGTAGTTCTTTCGGATATGAGGATAATCCATCGAGTGGAGTTACTGGTCGGTGTTTATATAAAACCTGGCTGGGCATAAAAACTGTTACTCAGCTTATGATAATCATACCATGTATCGTAAGATACTTTAGTAATATCCAATAAGTCATCAATCAATTACCAGACCATTATAGGGCATCGTCTGGTACTTGTCTTCAGTTTGAGGGGATGCATCGAATAGTTCATCGACCGATCAATGTTTGATGATATCACTTTGTACTATTATGTCATGATTTTTAATCATGCAATTGGCGCTATCTTAGCAATAACACACAGATCCTGACATACCATAGAGTCAATTCAACATACGGCCCTTAATATAACGTTGGAAGACTTCAACTGCCAGCGGTTCTGTTAATATACTTGCTATGTTTTCCTCAGATTTCACGTATTCCACTTGAAAAGCAAGTGCTATGAAATCTTTGCTTTAAATACAGTTAAATCATCTACTGAATTCTTATTGCCTTATCATATTCTTGTCTAAGTCGAAATGCCTTATTGCGAAAGAACCTATTCCTGAACTTGGAAACATTGGTCTTTGTTATTGATGATATCAATGTTTGGCTATCGGTCAATATAGTGACTTGCGATTCGAGTCCCAGTTTTGCTACTATTTCTTGTAAATTTTTTAACTTAGGGATTGAACTGGACAAAGCATTCAATTCCACCTCTGTTGGTGACACACAGCTAATTATAGACCTGGATGATCTAGCGAATATGAAATGCCCATTAGATTTGTGGAAATATCCAAGTTGTGATTTATACTCAGCTTGTGCAGCACGAGATGCATCTGTTATTGAATCTATCTTGATACTTTAATAATTTTCTGATCTGATCCACGTCAGTTTTTTATGTTTGTTGTTTCATAAGTATTGTACGCATTGTTCCGCTAAGTCAAATACTTCTGGGCACGGAAAACAACGTATATTGTGCAAGGACGTTCACCTAATGTGACATCTCGAATCTGGACTTGTGAGTAATATCTTATAGTAATCCCACAATCTTTTTTGATTAAATTTGTTATAAAACTCTTCTTTGGACAAGTTTAGTTCTGTGTAAGATACAGCTAATATGTGACCCGGTTGTCCCAGCACAAATATCTCTTTCTTGCCCTGCAGCGGCATTCCTAATTTCGGGAGTTTCTCAATGATTGTCTTCTCCATTCCTATTAGCATTTTATAAGATCTTTTGTATTCGATTTCCAAGCCTAATATGTCGTATCTAGCGAATCCGTCATTTTCTGGTATTCCTTCCGCAACGTATTTGGTTTCTAGATTTTCTTGTAGATGCTTCAATAAATCATCATACAGTTCGTCTTCACTTGTCATGACTATCATGTCATCGACAAATAGATTACCACTAAGGTATCTTGTTCTTTTCTTCTGACTAGCACACAAGGCCATTTTTCAACTTCTTTCAATTGACATACTTCAGTTGGGTATTCTTTTATGACTTCATACCAGTTTGACCCCTATTGCTCGAGCACATATAGGAATTTCTTTAGTCTGAAGACCTTGTCTCTCAATCCTTAGTAAGGTGGTGCTTTCATATCCAGCTCTTCTTTTAATGGAGCGTATAGGTACGCGGATGTTATATCCAATTTTATGGCCCATCCTTGTTCTAAAGCAATGGCCAGACTTGTAGTTAATGCTTCGTGGGCGACTGTATATGTTTCTGCGTCCGAATAGTACCTTTCTGGCTTCTGTCTGTCTCCTCTCGCCACGCATTTACATTTTCTTCTACCATCTCTTTTGGTAGTGAATATCACCATTGAGCTGATTATTTTATCTTATGGTACCGATTTTTCGTCTATTGGATTAGTCAAATTCCAGGTCTTATGCTTTTCGAGCTGATCAATCTCTTTGTTGTGCGCTGCTAAATGTTCGCTCTTCTCTTTTGTGTGTTCTTATTCTTTGTGATTGGTTCTCTATACTGAAGCGCCCGCTCTGTTGCATTATTTACACCTTGGCTCTGATATAATGTATTCTTTTTCTTTTCCTTACCACAGACTCATTCTCGTTTTCGTTCGCAGGAGGTTTACGTTTTCTGCTCCCTCTCGGTAGAGGGTCTCCAGTAATTTCTGCATATATGTCTTCATTCGTAATAATGTGTACCTCCTCATCTTCCTCTGTATCTTCTCCATTTTCTTCCTGACTTGAGCTCTCTGTGCCGGAATCCATTAACGGTTCGATGTCGTTGCCAAAAAACTCGTTTGGTTCTGCCCCGTCACTACCACCCTCAGAAGAAATATGAGAATAACCCATTTCATGGACTATTACATTTATTGTGTGAATTTCGGTAATCGTTGGTGCTGATTTATCATGGTATGTGTTATATTGATCTTTTGTTTTATCAGTATCCGACTCGTCAGTACTGATATCTTCTGCAGAGTGATCATCGGTGCTGATGTCATCTGTGAATGGATTGTCACTTGAATGTGTCATTTCTGTGTTATCCTTTCCTTTGTCAGCGTCTGATACGTTGTGTGCATCCATTGTTGCGTCATTTGGTCTATATAGATCCAAATCATTATCCTTCTCCATTTATCATTTCATTGTGCTTGTCGATTTTGATAAAATTGCGTGTATCTACTACCCTATGCGCACTGGGTATGTAGATTAGAAATCCAAAAGATTCTTCTGATTTTCTAAGAATAAATTCGAGGACACTGCGAGCGTAAGGCTTTTTCTTCAGTGCTGTGGGATCATGTACCATACACGCCTGGCCAACTTTTGGCAACCTTTGTATCTGAATTGCAAAAAGTCCCAACTTAGATCGCGATGATGTTCCAATCTTGGGATTAAATAATGAATTTCGATGATGACATGCAGCTTTCACAGTATGGAACCACATGTGCCTGGGTAAACCAGATCCTTCCATGATAGCTCTGCAGTCATTAAAAACGTGAGGTTTAACCGTTCAGCTATCCCATTTGATGCTGAATCACCGACGGAAGTATAGTAAGCGTCAACACCTTTTTGTGCGAAGTATGATCTTATCGAAAAGCTTGTGTATTCACTTCCCTTGTCCATTTGGAAAGATTAGGATCATAACGGAAACCTAAAATTTTGACAGAATAGTACAAAAGGGCATAGATAAATACGGGCGCGCGCTATGGCAAGCCAGACTCGCCTGAATACATGTTTCGCTCGACAATGCTGTTACTCGTTCATTGCTACTCTCTGTATTACTTCCCTCTCATTGCCAGGGTGTGAGTGATGTGGTGCTGCGTAATGACACGAGAGTACAAAGTGATATGAACACGACAAGAGCGCTAAACGGTAGCTCCAGACGCGGAGTCTGGGATCAAAGAGACCAAAAGAAGGTCCAAATTGTAGTTCCTCACCGATCCTAATGCCTGGTGCAGCTGCGTTTCGATCAATTCGTATGTCCTCTTCATATGTGCAAGTGACAGACGCTATTCTTGTACACGAGAACCATGGAAAGGTGAAAAGAAAACCGTTAGACTTACTGTGCATGTCAGAATCCCTGTACTATCGCTCGATAGCGTCAGTAGATGAGAAAAACACCGTTAGACACACCATGCATGCCACAACGCCTGTGCTATTCCTAGATAGCGTCAATTGCATAAAAAAGAGCTATGTCAGATTAGTACAAAGTGATATCAGCAAGACATGGTCGGTAATTGGAATAGTCGACGCATCATCTCGAACTGAAGACAGGAGATACGGTAACTGGTCTCGCGCCGACTAGCTGTTCCATTCGATGTGTGAGAGACCTACCGCCACCGACGCAGATACGCCCATGGCTGCCATTACCCCGTACAAAACGACTAACTACTCTCCCCCCATTCCCCGCTTTCCCAGCCGTTTTCCGCAGATTCGCAGCAATCAGATCCCGCCAGAAAACTACTCCACAGCGTCCTGGCCACTCGCCACGGTCCCCATTAGCACGCCTGCGCCAAAACAATTACCGCCGTGCCGAGTGACACACCAACATTTCCGCTCGCTTCTCTAAATGCTTGTGATCCAGCACCTGCAATAACACCCGATCTGCCCTTCCCCAGCACCCCTCCTTCGCCGACTCCTCCCGCTCTTCCCACGCCCGCAAATCTCTCGCGGTCCCGCCCCGTTACCCTCCTTTCAGACTTTTTGCCCGAAAATTAAAACTAGTGACAAGTGACAACAAGTTAGAAGTGACAAGTTAGAAGTGACAAGTTTGAAGTGACAACAATCCCAAGAGATCACTAACGCGTCCATCGCACGTCCAACGAAATATATAGTCGGTACCCTCTTCTCGACTCTCACACGACATCGACAGCTGGAAATAGACGCCGAGCTTTCGAAACCGCACAGAACAACAGCAAGCAAGCGCAGCAAGACAATGTCGCTCTACGAATACAAACACCCGATCATCAACAAGGAGCTGGTGACAGGGCCGGACGCGGCATCGCGCAAGCAGTTCCCGACGCTGGAGGCGTGGTACGACGTGGTCAACGACTACGAGTTCCAGGCGCGGTGCCCGGTGATCCTGAAGAACTCGCACCGCAACAAGCACTTCACGTTCGCGTGCCATCTCAAGTCGTGCCCGTTCAAGGTGCTGCTGAGCTATTCGGGCCACAACAAGGACGGGCCGTTCGAGTCTGCGAAGGGCGAGGACGACGAGGACGACGAGGACGAGGACGAGGTGGATGTGGGCGACGACGGCGAGCCACGCCAGCGCCACCAGCACCACCAGCACCACCAGCACCTCCAGCACCATCAGCACGACGCCGGCGACGACGTTAGTGCGGCCATTGCAGCCGCGGTCGCGGCTGTCACCGACACCAAGCCCAGCGGCCACGGCTCGCCCTCGGGCGACGCCGGCTCTCGCTCCGGCTCCACCAACGGCGACGACAGCGACAGTCTCAGCGCACAACTCGCAACCGTGCGTGGGCCCTTCACCGTCACCAAGATCGACCCTTACCACAACCACCCGCTCGAATCCAACCTATCGCTCTCCAAATTCGTGCTCACCAAAGTGCCTCGGATTCTCCAAAACGATCTCAAGTTCGACTCCATCCTCGAGTCCCTCTGCAACGACGACGACAACACCGTTGCCAAGTTCCGCGTCTCCCAGTACGTCGAGGAAAGTGGAATCCTTGATATTCTCAAGGAACGGTACGGACTTTCCGACCACGATCTCGACAAAAAACTCTTGTCCCACATCGCACGTCGTATCACCACTTACAAAGCCCGTTTCGTGCTCAAGAAGAAGAAAAACGGCACCTATGGCGTTTCTCCCAATGCCATGAGCATGAGTGCCGCGGCCGCGGCTGCGGCCGCGATCAGTGCCAATGGAAGTGGATCCGGTTCTGCTACTCCTCAACAACACCATCACCATCACCACCCACAACAGCAACAACATCATCACCACCCACAACAACACCATCTCCACCACCAACAGCAACAACTCGGGTCTCCTGACCTGGACAAAAAACGTTCTTACTCCACCAACGAGCCTGTATCGGACCAGGATGACGACCTCGACACCCGCAAGCGTTCTCGTACCAACAAGATATCTACCGCGGTCAAGATGGGGACGCGGTCCTCGCTTGTCAATGACCCAGGTCTTGCCCAACTCGACGATGCCAACGACTCCGAAGACAACAAGTTGCCCCAGGACGTGGCCGAACAGTTGCGTCTACTAAGCTCTCATTTAAAAGAAGTTGAACAACAGCAACAACAACAAGAGCAAGAACAAGAACATCATCACCACCACAACCACGAGCAAGAGCCCCACGACCACGACCACGATCATGACCATCTAACCAACCACCAACACCATCTCCCTCACCATCAACAAGAACATCATCTCAACCATAACCGTTCACCTCGTCGTCAAGGTCATCTTCGCGAAGAAGACGATGAAAATATCCAACCTGAGCTAAGAGGGCAATGAATAATTGCGATATTGCCATCCAATAAGATTTCCTACTCTACCACTATTTGTCAAATCTTCAAAGTTGTAACTATAAATCCTCTTTTACCAATCTATCTTTATATGAACTGTGTGTCTGTTTGTCTATTATATGCTTTTTTACTAAATACGGTCTATCCTCAAGTTGTGAAAGCCCTCTTGCAATGCGCCGTCGGCCTCTACGTTGAATAGAGAGGCTACATCATTGTAGTCTTCACTTATTCAACGCATCTGACGAACGTCATTTCATATAAAAATGACCATTGGCTCAATGTGGATGCCAAACCCAAACTTAGTTACGTGTTTTTATCCAGAACTTGATTCTGACGCATACTGCAGACCCAACTATTTTCAAATGGTTCCTCCCGAGGTAGCCATTGAGTATATACATCTTGTGCCAGTGTTTATTTATTCACATATTCGTGTTCAATGTCATATGCTTTAAAACTTGATCCAAATTTCTACGCAGTTCAACAGCCACGAAAGTGAAAAGCGGTAGCAAAGATGCTTGTTTCCAGAGTTCCACGAGCCCTCAGATCCACCAGAAGCTGTTCAGCAGTATGGAATTACTATAACCAAGCTAGCCCTCTTTTTAGCGGCTTCAAAAGACTATATTCAAGCGATCCTCAGCTCAAAGTATCATCAGAAACTCCAGCAACCGAAGAAGCTGAGTCTTCAAATGGTTCAACAACTGCTACTGCTCAACCTTGGTACTTGAATGTAGTGAAAGATCAGATTCAGGAAACCTCATTTCAGCTCCAGGAGCTGAGTTTCCCACGGGACTCGCCTGAATCTCTTCGAGCTCTAACTACTTTCCTCAGAGACGATTTAGGTTTATCTGACATCATTATCTTCGATTTGAGGGAGTCGAAAGACTCTCAAACTACCGCAGTTGCCAGGATTAGTGATTTCATTGTAATGGCGACCGCACGGTCCGGAAAACATTGTCACAAAAGTTTTATCGAGATTAATGCCTTGTTGAAACAGAAATTTCAAACACTAGCGCATGTGGAAGGCAATATAAGTGCGAACGAGCTGCGCCGGCGGCAACGCCGACTTGCGAGACACACTAATTTGAGCAAGAATATGGGATCCCGGAGTCCCACCACTAGGAGCGGAGCGCAAACTGAATCTTGGTATATGATCGACTGTCATCTCGATAACATCTTTATCAATGTTCTGACCGAAAATCGAAGAAAGGAGCTGAATCTTGAAGAATTATACGCCGCTCCCGAGGACAAGCACTTGTACCGTCGTCAAGAAATGAGCTCTGAAGTCACTCCAGATGAAGACGACGACAATGTGTTAGCTGGGTTGAAAAGGTTGGCTGTCAGGAACCAAAGGAGATACTACTCAACGATTTCTGATAGGAGGCTAATTGTAACAGAGCTTTCGCAACAGAATTTTGAACGTGCATATTCTTTGGTTCGCAATCAGCCGTCACTGCATGTTCTAAAAACCATCAACTCTGCGCTGGAATCAATGCCTTCAAATACACCGCTACAAGTGGAGAACTGGTTGCAATTTTTCAATCACGTATGGTCTGCACAAGATGCCCAAAAGCCAGAATACTGGGAACTGAGGCTCCACTTTTTGCAACTTTTGAACTGTTCGAAGGCTTCTCAATTCGGTGCAGATGACATTTTCAGCAATTATTTACAATTCAAGCTGGCTAGTGGGGTACAAATTTCCAAAACAGATTTGACTGAATTTTTACGATTAATTTGTAACAACCTTCAAGAAGGTACAAATAATTACGAGGAGCTTGCGAGAACGAACCAAACTGTTGTTGAAGCTTTAAAGCTATACAAGGGCATTGACCCTCAGATAATACTAGATGAAGAGGTAATGTGTTTAGTGTTGCAGACCATGAGCAATTCCAAGACCTCTCTTAAAGCACTCAACGAAATGATCAGTTACGTCTGTGCAGAATTCTCTCCACAGATTCCCGGTTCTGTGATAAGCACTATCTTGCAGGCACTGTCGCAAAATCGAGAGTATCTGGGGATTTTGAAGTTTTGGGAAAGAGGCATAGATTTGAAAAAGACTAATGATTATAGGCCTTGGCATCTTTTTGTTAACACGATCGCAAATTCAGAGGACCAAAGTTTAATGAAAAAAGTTCTAAATGATGGCCATCTTTTATGGATCAAGCGCAATAATATTGAAATGAGCCCTCAACTCCGAAATGCATTAGACAAACTCTTCATCGCCGTGGACCCGGAAAATATTGCATACGAAGATCTAAAAGACTTTTTGGTCGATGGCCCCAAATAGTCATTTTGCCTCAAAATTTCAGAATATACTGCGTGAGATATTTCTGACATCTAAATATTATCCCTCCTTTTTGTTAATGCACTCCGATATATCACACTTTTTACATTTTGCTGGGTTCTTGCTCATTATTACATCTCTCTGAGATTTTTATTTAAGTACTCCACGAATAATGGACCCACACGTTCTTTCTCGAGACTCCTCAACCGATTCATAGCCACAAATTGCCGCCTTATACGTTGCAGCTGCGCCACCGTGACGGCTTGAGGTGGGATCTCCACGTATAGACACCTGTCATCGTTTATGTCTTGTACATCCGAGATTATAATTCTCGTCACACCAGAAACGACATTAGATTGCAACGCCGCAAGGATTTTTTTTACCATCACCGAAGTCTCCGAATCTAGAACTTGGAGCGAGTTAGTTTGCGTAGCCGGTTTCAGCATTGTGGCATTATTGGGCTTCATAGAGTTTAGCAGTTTATCCGTATCACGGTCATTATTTTCTCGGTAAAGCTGTGGAAACAAAGCTTTGTATACCGGTTCCGCCAGGGTTTCTATCGAATCTTCATCGGCCAAGACGGGAATCAGCGGCGAATCCCATCTAGTTTGCGGATTGGGTTCCTCGTATCGCTGTATTAGCTGGTTCAGAAGATCCTGCGTCCAAGGAATACGGCCATTAGCTTGAGACTCATTCCATTCCAATATCTTTGCGGCAGGACACATTACATGTAAAACACAGTAAGTAGTCGTTAGGTTTTTCACTTCACAATGCAGCTGGTACCTAAAACCTTTGATGTAGTTCAATGAGTCCACTATTACGATCTTTTGCCGCCCTAAATCTCGCTTAACCGCCGACATTATTTTAGAACGGAGCTTGCGCTCATCCTGAGACGTTACGTAGTCGCTGTGTTTAATTCCGAGACTTTCATCTGAGTGGTATACTACGGAGTATTTGGCTAATTCAGGTTCTTGTTCAATCTTTGACTTTAAAATAGCGCAAAGTTCTTGTGCCTTCGTAGTCTTGCCACACGCCGGGAAGCCACTAAATAGAACCAATGGCATGCTTCACTGAGTTTTCGTGATCTTCGAAAACATGCTCATCGCATCTTGTCAATTTTTCAGAAAAAACTATTATGTAAATGAAAACCGAAGGTGAAGAAAGCCGCGATCAAACAAAAAAATCTTCAGTGCTATGTTCCTCCATCGTCAGGTATTTAGACGACTGAACTCTACATTTGTTCCGCGCCATGTATTCCCAGACTACAGAATTGCTTTAACGGACTTTAAGGGCCACCAAATGCGTGCTATCCAGCGATTTCAACAACTCTTGCCTCAATTAAATCTCTTATTGGAACTGCGAGATAGTAGAGCGCCAATCAGCACCAGAAACGTAATATTCGATGACCTCATGGTTAACAGACGAGGCGGCAATACTAAAAGATTGGTGTTGTACACAAAATCAGACCTATGTCCAAAGGAAACCATCGAGAAATTACGAGTGTGGCATTCAGAGCTAGGAGACGAATTTATGACTTTAGACAGCCGGTCTGCGCGAGATGTACGGAATCTTATTAAGATTTTGGAGTGGAAGTATGACCAAACGATCGAACAAACCTTGGGGCATGTTGAGGGAAACGAAGGCCTACCGTTAGGTTACCGAATCCTAGTTGCTGGAATGCCGAATGTAGGAAAGTCGACATTGGTCAACACCTTAAGATTTGTGGGTGCTGCGAAAACCCACAACTTGAGCGAAAGTGTCCACGGATCTGTTTCACATAAAAGACGAAAAGTCGCCAAGACTGGAGGCCAAGCCGGAGTTACTAGAGCCACCAGTGAATGCATTCGTATAGCAGACCATAGAGGCGGCATTTATCTATACGATACACCAGGTGTCTCATTACCAGGACGTGTGACAACCCGTGAAAAAATGTTGAGTTTAAGCCAGTGTGGGTGTGTCAAGAATAATCTAGTTGACCCTATAATCCAAGCCGATTATTTGCTGTATATCATGAACTTACAGAATCCTGCCGCCTATGATCAATACACCAAGGGCTTACCGACGAACAACGTTTACAAAGTTTTAGCTGGTGTGGGTAAGGCGACTGGTATAAAAGACGATAATGGGGCTGCCATTCATTGGATTGACAAATGGCGCCAAGGAGCACGTCAAACCAAACAAAAAATCTCTTTCGATGTTGAAACTCTGTTAGATGACGAGAGTTTCTCATATAAAGACTTGGTAGCGCGGGAATTGGAACAGTTAGGCCCTTGGTTAAGTTCTGTACCACAAGATGGCCAAAAATCTGCGGGACAGAGACTCTCTAAACAAGCTTTGAAAGCCAAGAATAGTAATCAACTTTTTAACCTGTAACAATGTGGGCATTGGTAGACAAGAGAAGGAAATAACATAGGACAACTAAAAAAGATAAAGGTCATAACGCCTCCAGAGGTCGCTATTATATGCCAAACCCTAATATGAAATGATTTTGAAACTTTCGCTGGCCTCAGTCATTTAGTACACAGACGCCTTGGCGTGGAAAGGCGCCTTTTCAATTAAAACGATGTGCTATCTACTCTGTGAGTATGGCACCAGGAGCGGCGGTGGCGAGAGTGTGACAGTTGCATATTTCAGTAAGTCTCTGCCACTCTTAACACGCTTGCGCTTCACACTATGAAGTATCTCATTATCAAATAAATTGCTCTTTCCGAAAAGTAGATATACGGCACATTGAACAGGCGCTGCTTCAGATGCATCAACGGAAAATAACAACGAGGAATAATCATTTGGCTGACAGCGAATGGCAACAAGCTTAGCATATTTGCTTCAATAAGGCGCGCTTAGTACTAAATAAGCGATGTTCTGATTATTTAAGCAAGAGGATGTTTTGAACTCCCAAGGTTGCTACTGATGTACCGTTTACATCCGGATATCTGGATTCGAAATTGCAGCCCATTAAGCCACCCAAAACTAGTGGTCTAAAAATTTTTATAAGGATCACCACTTTAATCATTACAGTACTTTCTTTAATGAAACAATTGAATTAAAGGTGAAGCGAGCAGAAAATAATCTTGAACCGCTGGCACATAACCTGCCAAAAACACCGACATTTAAAAGAAATCAGTCAACATGGAAACAGACTGTTCCGTCGACAGAGTTATTAATGACATTCTTGAGAGCCTGAAGATATCTTCAGTAGAAAGCTCCGACTCAGATACCCCAAAAAATCCTTCTTTGAAATACTGTGACATTATTCAACTTCAATGTCCCTGTAGGGGCATCTTCTTAGAAAAGTATGAAGAGGTTCTAACGGAGATTCGAGTTTTAGGAGCATGGAATGAAAAAGAACCAATTCTGGCGTCGCTGGTGAATGAGGAAGCGATAATTGAGCTAGACTTTGAGTTTTATGAGGATCCCGAAAAAATTCATCGCTGCAGATTACTGGAGAAAGGCGTCAAAAAATATTTGGAAAACAAGAGATTACAGGAAATAAATGCACCTGCGGAGCTTGGGGTTTTAACCTGTCTATCATTGGCATTACAACTTGATTGGGAAATTGAAATTCTGCGAAATACTTGCATAATGCCGGCAAAAGAAAAATACATTAGAGCCCCACCTCACTGTTTTAATGGAGAAGTTGTGCTTCTTTTCAGACCCTGGAAGACTAAAGACGCTTTTGGTGGGTTAGGTCGTAACCTTTATCAAAAGATCAAAAAGTGTTTGTTGGACCATTTCTGTTTGTCAGAAGTGGAAAAGTGGCCCGATGTGTATACTAGAAGAGTGGCGAATGAAACTATGATCGTGATTTTACTGGAGGGCGAACTCGTCATTATGAGTCATGATAAGGGTTGGAACAGATATGTTTTAGAAAGCTTGCAAGCATTTTCAATGGTTTTGAAAGAAATATCTGGACCGCAAACACAGTCAAGGGCTTCCGTGCTTCTCCAAATCGCTGGAATGGAAATCGAGTATGTGAAAGGAACACTGATGAATATAAGAATAGAAACCAAAATTAAAGAAATATATTCGAAGCTCAAGTGCTTCAGCTTATACCAGAAGTTTGGAAGCCATAGTACACCTGTACCTGGAATTGGTAACCATGATGAATATCAAGAAAGCTCTGGAAAAACAGCTCCTCCCGAAGAAGTTTTGCGTCTTCAAGAATTAATTCGATTCTTTATTATTGCAAGTAACACATGCCGTTTTGAGATATCATTTTACGTGGATTATTTGCTCAAAAATTTTGACAAACCGACACGGGATATTATTGGTAAAGCTGGGGATCTAATGCAATATTTGTGGTCCACGAAACATCGGTGCCTTTGCTGGGAAAAATCAAACGTAGCTGGTCCTATTCAACTAGATGCATTTGCTGATGCTTCCTCCTTCGTCAAAAAGGATTGGTCTGATGTAACTCTTGGGTATTACTTCAAAATAAACAGCAACGCCATGGGTGGGGTATCTGAGAAAGTAACTTCAACTGAATGGACAATTGAAAAACTTGAAATATTTGCAATCTACAGATCTTTGACAAGACTTAATGATGTAAATGTCTTCTTACGACACTTGGGATACGATAACGTAACCAGCATCACTTCAGATAGTAAGAGCGCGCTTAATATTGTCAAATTCACCGATTTTGCAGTTCATGACAAATTCTATGAAGAAATACTTGTCAGAATTAAGGAGTTAGATCGAAAACTAAATCTGAGGTACAAGTTTATCAGGTCTAAGGAAAACTTTGCAGACTTACTCACGAAGCCTCTCAAAAGTGGCCACTTTGAGTCTTTAGTATGTGATTATTTTAGTAGTCACCGATAGCTTCGGCTACCGTGTTCGGGTGCTTGGCCGCAGTTAAAAACTCACATAGCTGTAGGGATTTCGTTTTCACGATCTACCGCGAGAGGCCATGGAATCAATTAATATTGCAAACTATTAAAGCGAACGCTTGGCGCGCTACGGAATCTTGAAACTAAATGGAAAAATTCACATTCCAAAATTCTAGCCACTGCCAATATCAAAATGTGAATACGAGGTTTGTCTCGGTTTTTTGGTAAGATTGCGGCATACAAAGATGAAATGTCTCTTCAATTACACATATTTGGTCTCTGAAAAAAGGAAAGTCTGCTTTGGTTGTTGTATGGGCTCCGAATCAAGTCACATTGACTGAGAAATACCGGTAACTCTAATTCAAGAAAGATTTTTTGTCTTTCTTGTTCTCTATCACCTAAGATGAATTTTGTGAAGCTATCTGTAATAACGTCAGGATGGTACGAAGAGAAATATATCTCATGCGGCGTTGAATTTATTCGCGAAGCGATGCTAGAGCTCTAAACAGGATCTCTCTCATCAAAACACTCGAAAATATACCCTGCATTTAATGGTAACAGTATAATCGATTCCAAAGGAAATCTTCTTGCTGGCATCTTCGAGAAAGAAGATGTTTGATTACTTTCATCTTGTTACATACATGAGAATAAGTGAAACAGTGGCGATTCTATTTGTCGATGACATGAAAGTCATGCTAAGCAAGCACGATCTTTCACTAAACCATTGCTACTCCTAAATAATCCACAATTGCATACACAGGAGGCTCGATAACCAAGCAAGGGAGAGATATCTACGAAGCAAACTACTGAATAAATTATGAAAATCTCACCAATAATATTAGCAAGACTTTCGTTGCTCCATCAGACTGGCAAGAGTAATATGCCAGGGTAGCCAACCTCCGGGATCCTGGGGAAAAGTAATGCTTTTAAGGTGGAGATTTTGCAGCGAAAGCTATAACAATCTTATACTATATATGTGGTTATGTCAGCGTCCAAAGACTAGAAAAAGAGTAGAATTAAGATATTTCCAAATGATATACTACAACCTTGTCTAATGTAAATGAGAGCAGCTTCATATATGATTTCCCTCACTACGCCAAGATTTTCGTATTCGTGTCGCCGCATACCTTTGCTGAATCAGACTTGCCAAAGTGTTGAACTGAATTGAGGCAACTTTGATTTATCAATAAAGCTGGCTTATAATTTTGCAAAACCACGTCACAATAGTGCGAAGTGATTCAGAATGTCGCAAATATCTTGCACTGCATTGATTATCCTCGCGATGTAAGTACGCCGGCTACATCTTATCAGAATGGTCGTAATTACTTTTTCATACGGGTTGGTTAGGCGGGCGCAACCAGCCGGCCAGAAATGCATCAAACCGACGAGTATCCTATATCGATATTATATTTTAATGAAGAAATTCACGGAGAGAATTGTCCAGCTAACGGTTAAGAATACTCGACGATGTGCATTGGCAACATCCACAAGTCGTCTCGAGACTAAGCTGGTCGATAGAAACAATTCTCACAAAGAATAAACGGTATTCATAAAAGTAAGGGAATGGTTCTAGGCCACTTTATGTATAAGCCTTTGTTCTCGGATTTGGAAGAGTGCGACTGTAGGCGCTACTTGCCGGGATATCTGTGCTGTTACTAGATAGCATCACTAGCATAGAGAAGATGTATGACAGAATCTGTGCTGTTACTAGATAAACATCAATTGCGTAGAGAAGATGTATGACAGAATATGTGCTGTTACTAGATAGCATCAATTGCATAGAGAAATTGTATGACAGAATAGTACAAAGTGACAAAGTAGGATGCACATATCCATTCAGATAGTGAATAAGAACGGCGAGATGTCCTAAACACCTAGCTCTTTCACTCTGACGATGCAACCTGGCGCTCTCAGTTTCTGCATCCCAAGAGTATGCCCATTCAGGGCATCGCCAACAAACTCGAACGCTTGACAGACTTTTTGAATAAACCTACGTTTTTACAAAATCCACTGAGAATATCGCAATTACAGGCACCAATGAGCAGAGCTTGTTAACCAAGCACCGATGAGCAAGCACCAAGAGCGCAGATTGGTCACCACAAGCACGAGGAGTAAAGCTTGTTATTTCACAGGCACGATTTTGGCAAATCACCGTAGTTCGGTAGTCATTCGCACGCACGTCTCCCTCGCAATTTTGTTATCGCACGCTTCTGACTCCTCTTCTCCACGCCGTACAAAACGACATATATTCATGACTCCTTCACAACCCAACCACCTAATACTAAAACACCCAGCCACCCATAGACACCCGCCGTGCAAAATGCTCCAAAAATCAACGATATTTCGGTTTTTTTTTTTATTTTTTATTGGCCATTTTTTTTTTTCGGTCCTTGGAAAACTCGCAAAGAATTTCAACACACGCTCGCTCTCTTTCTTTCAATTCTCATCGTTTAAACACCGCAAGCGTTATATCGCATAGTTCCAACCCCGGAAAATTCCGTTATTGGTAACAAGAACAATCCCTTCGCACTGGCGTGGCAAGAACCCGGGATCGCAATTATTAGTGGAAAAAAAAAGCTAGTTTATACCCTTGTGTTAGCCGTCGAACGAACCCGGGCGCGCTATATAACAGCGAGTTTTTGTTTTTGTTTCTGCTCGCACGCACGCTGATCGCGTGTGCTATTTATTCAGGCATCCGTTGAGCCTGGTCCCTCCCTCCCTCCCTCCTGCTTGCCTCTCGTACCGGCGCCGAGTGCCAGTTTCCGTTCGAGCTCTCGTTGTAAGATCTACCGCGGCAGCCTCCCCCCCCCACATCCTGGCATATCATATCCTATCCTATCACATCATGCCTCTCAAACACTTGCCGATCCAGCCGGCAAACGTGTCGATCGCCCCCAGCCCGCACCCCCACGGTCCTCGCGACTCCCGGAAGCCAGCAGGCCACGGATTGGTGATCCGGACCTCCAGACAGTGGGTGCTTCCTCCCAGACCCAAACCAGGCCGGAAACCCAGCCTGAGCGCTCCTCCAAGCCGTGCCACCAGCGACCATCCCAATTCCAGCAAGTGTGCTTCTGCCACGGCCACCAAACCCGCCGTTTCTGCCCTGGCGATGCCCGTCTCGACCGTGCCGGAGAGATCGGTTCTGGCGAAGAACTCGGATAGACCTGGAACACGTGTAGACCACGTGTCCGGCGAGCTCGAAAACTCCGGACCAACTTTCTCGTCTGAACCTAAGACAGCAGCGGCAGCGACAACGGCGAGCCAATCGTCACGGTGCTCGTCGCGGTCGCAATCACTCGCCCCCATCACCGTGCAAACTGCGGCTCAACGCAAACCCAGCGCTGCGCCCAATGCTCGAGACGCTGCTGCTTCGGCTTCTGCAACTGCTCCTGCAGTCCCTGCAGCACAAGCCTTGCCTTCCACGGAATTTCAAGAGCCCGTGTCTTCCTCCAAGAGTGCAGACTCCGCAGAAACCAGCACGACAACATCCAGCACCACTATGACAACGACAACGACCACAACCACGACCAATACAACACCCTCTCCATCCATCAGCAGCCCGATGCTCAAAAAACTCACCAAGACTGCGTTGAAAAAGGAGATTCAACAACTCAAGCTCGAAAACTTCAAACTCAAACAAGAAATGGGCCATTTGGTCGGAAACTTGCAAGACCTCAAACAAAAAGTTCCGTTTTTGAGTAATCCGACCTTCCGCGCTACTCCTTCCTCCAATCCTTATCCAAGTTTGTCCAAGAAAAGACCCTTTTTGGGCTCGGAGGACGACACCAAACAACAGTCGGATTCCACCGACAATTTCTTGAAATTCGAGGACGACGACGAAGAAGAAGAAGAAGAAGTGATAAATGCAAACGCAGTCATCTCAGGCGTGCCCATGAAACCTACCATGTCATTTTCATCGCAATACAGCTCGAAAACAAATCTCACGGATGACGAGGACCCCGGTTTTTCGTCATCCACGCCGAGCTCACTCTTTTCTGCCGAACTACAGAGATCCGTGACCAATAGCAGTTTTGCCAGTACTCAACAGTATCTTCACAACTTTCCCTGTGGTCCACACAATACGTCTGGAACTCCAGGATATTCTCCACACCATCATAGCAGCAACAGCCCTTCCAGTATGATCCCTGCCAAGTTGCCCGTGTCGGGCATTGATAATGTTAAATTCATTGATGATTATGAACACCAAGATTTTTACAGTAAGCACCGTCATCTGTTTGATAACAAATGTTCCTCGGCTCTTAAAGATTCAATGTGCACGACCTCCATGAATGGGAACTCGACAGCTTCACCCACGATCCCAAACCACCCTGGAGATCTGCATTTGGATGCCATCAAGGAAGAAGATCTAGATTTTAGACTAGATCATGATTTTGGTAACGATGACATGAGTATTTTAAATTTCCTAGAAGATCACGGTACCAAGAGTGTAAATGCTACCACTACCACAGCTGTTACGGAAACGACTCCAAGATGGGCGATGAAAGATGAACGAGAATCCGACATAAATATTTTTCAAGAATTCAATTCTGAACCACAATTCCCCAAACAAGAGTTTTACATGCCCCCTTCTTTGGAAGAATTAATGGGTGACCAAGATCCGGATCGTTTGGACACCGAAATCAAACGAGAAGATGATGGTATGTTAAAAATGGATGTTTTTGATTTTGCTTAACGACAATAAAAGATATACAGAGCACGCGATGATGCACTTTTCAATGTGATGATGTTACGAAATGATTTATGAAATCGGTCAAAGGTTCGATACAACACCTTTGGTCTGGTTACGATACGATACTATTCCAGCTTTTTTTTGGATTTTTTTTTCTTTTGGGATTTTGGCATGAGTTCTTTGGTTTAGAACTCGATATATATGAGGCTCCAGTCCCTCTCTAGCATCAACGTTGAAGATCACGAATTTCGTGTGTTTTCTTGATGCTGCTATAAGACTATATTCTTTTAATTTAATATTCCGCGACCCAACCCTTACACGGTCGATGCATTTGTGTGCTACTACCTGTGTGCTACTACCATTCAGGATCAAGCACTAGTCTCAGCTGTCGATATGATGCTGCTATATATTAGTGATCTTGGCTGTTCCCAACAGTGCTAATTAACGCAGCTGCATGTATTCCCCTCTCTTGCGCTCTTTCGCGTCTACTTGAAAGAGCATTTTCGACCCTAACAGATAATAGTTGCAACTTATTAAATACATGAGGTTATTTACCATCCGATTTCAGATAATCTGACACCGTTCGATTTGTTAATGCTGTCAATGCTTGTGCCAGCCATCAGATCACCCAGGTCAGTGGAGAATTCCAAGATTTTCTTAGGGTCTTGGTAGTGGGTGGTGGTCTGCACGATGGCTCTGGCTAGTTTGGCTGGGTTGGAGGACTTGAAAATTCCGGAGCCGACGAAAACACCGTCGCAACCCAATTGCATCAGTAGAGCAGCGTCTGCTGGAGTAGCAACACCGCCAGCGGCGAAGTTAACCACTGGTAGCTTGCCCAGCTGAGCGACTTCCTTTAGTAGACTGACAGGCACACGCAATTCTTTGGCCTTGGCCTCAAACTCTGCGTCCGTCTTGACGTTCTCCTTGACCCAGGCGATATCACCACGGATCTGGTTGATGTGCTTGACTGCTTCCGATACGTCGCCGGTTCCGGCTTCACCCTTGGTTCTGATCATGGCAGCACCTTCGTTGATACGTCTCACGGCCTCACCGAGGTCCTTGGCTCCACACACAAAAGGCACTTTGAAGTCGTTTTTGCGAATGTGGTTTACTTTGTCGGCTGGGGTCAAGACCTCACTCTCGTCGATGTAGTCGACCTCCAGCACCTCCAAAATCTGTGCTTCCACGACGTGGCCGATTCTGACCTTGGCCATAACTGGAATCGACACTGCGGCCATGATTTCCTTGATCATCTTGGGGTCCGACATACGACACACTTGACCCGATTTGCGCATATCCGCTGGGATTCTCTCCAAGGCCATCACCGCACACGCACCTGCTTTCTCGGCAATGACAGCCTGTTCAGCGTTGACCACGTCCATGATCACACCACCCTTTAGCATTTGAGCCAAACCGGCCTTTACTTTGAATTCAGACATTTCCTAGCACTGTTTACAATGAAATTTCACTACTGTTGACTAAGACAATAGATCGCTACAACCACTATTTCCTCAACTTCCCCGCCTCCTGTATACTACAAATACTACCTTCTTATATTCGGCAAAAAAAAACCCCATACCGGAGTAGATTTCAGAGTCATCGCCACCGAGCCTCCTCTACCACTCCTGCTATAGCGTATGCTTTTGCATCTGCCATTACATCAACACTGACATTGGACTCATCGCTCCGTTACTGAATTATTTCACATTTTTCATAATTTTTCACAGTATATCTGCTCGCGGGTGCACCCTGGGAATTTATCAATCCGCGCGGTTCGCTTTCGACTTCTTTACCTACGGCTACGATTACCTCGATGAAACTCTGACAATGGTAACGTTGCCAGCAATCAACGGAGACCTTCCCTGCGATGGCAGAGTCAAGCAAGTACTCGGATCCAGTCAGCAGAAAATGACCAGTAGCGACATAATCAGTCAGAATAGATGGTTATCAGCACATACGCAGTGAAAAAGAATTTGCCCCACTCTCTAGAGTTTCGCGCCGTGTGATATAAAGCAGCGCACTGAGTGTGCCAGATATCCAGCTACAACTAGCATTGCGGAGCAGAAAAAGGCCGTGAAAAAAAAAAAAGCCCACTGCCTCGTCGCCGGTATTGTAATTTGATACAGTGCTGAGTATTCCATTGAAATTCGTGCCCTTGGTTAAACAAACAGAGCAGAAAAGCCTTGCAAGTGAGCCAGTGAGCGAGTCATATCGGTTGCCCCAGCAGATAAAATAAATTTTTTTCCATCATTTTTGAGTCATCCAACGCTGACTCAAAAACTTTGCTGACGTTATCAAAGTCATCTGCAGCATCGTGCATACAGCGGTGCCTGTGAAAAAACGGCCTGGATAGCTCCAAATCGTCGAGACAAGAAGATACACACACACACTCTCTCCATATGAAACGCGTTGGTGTATTGGCGCTCCAGGGTGCCTTCAAGGAACACGCCGAGCTGATCGAGGCCTGCGTGCGTGAAAACAGCTACTCGATCGCAGTCTGCGAGGTAAAAACGGCCGAGCAGCTTGCCCTCTGCGATGCGCTAATCATCCCGGGCGGCGAGTCGACCGCGATGTCGCTCATCGCACAGAGATGCGGCATCTTCGAGCCGCTCCAGGAGTTTGTGCGCGACCCGACAAAGGCTATATGGGGTACGTGCGCCGGTCTCATTTTCCTGGCGCGCGAAATCACCAGCGACGCGCAGCTCGTAAAGCCACTTGGTGCGCTGAGCGTAGCCGTCCAGCGCAACGCATTCGGCCGCCAGTCGCACTCGTTTGTCGCACAGTGCGATTTTTCGTCCTTCATGGTGCCCAACCCCAAACTGCCCCAAAATGGTCCATTTCCCACGGTTTTCATCCGCGCTCCCGTCATCGACCGTGTTCTCGATCCCGCAAATGTCCAGATTCTACACGAGATCCAAAGTCCCGCGGGTCACAGTCTCGTTGTCGCGGTCAGACAGAACAACATTTTGGGCACCTCGTTCCACCCAGAGCTTGCAGACGACAACCGTTTCCATGATTGGTTTTTGCGTGAGTTCGTTATAAAAGAATGATGGAAGTTTCTTGCTTGGATCCACACCATTCAATCCGGCCGTCTTCGTACAAGGATCGCGGTAGGATTGGTGTTGGCTCGATTTCACCCACCTCGACCAATTGCATTCGATTCAGATGACCCATGGTCTCCCACATCAGCGCTTTGCAAGTGTGCGCAACAGCAACTTCTGCGCTTGTTGCATTTTCCACTATCCAAGTTTTTGGCTTCGTAACCTCATAATGTATACGCTCTCGTAATTCTAATTGATTTTGCAGTAACGACCTAATTTCTTCTTGATCCCACCACTTCAACATTCGAATTTTGTCCAGCCGCAGCCATCTACATCCGGGCGGCAAAACTGCTCGATTCAAGTCCAGCTGTGCTAAGCGACTGAAAGTTACTTTAAAGACTCGTTCCCATCGCGTAAGGTCTGCAATGCTATCGAGGGTACCTATTACGGTGCATTCCTTGATCTCAAGCTCTGATACTCTATTTTTGATCATGTATCCGACTGTATGGCCGGGATGGTCTCTAAACCCGTGGAAATTAATCAAGCGCTCAAACAATGTGTCCCCAGTTACTTTCACAACTTGTAAATTCTTTAAACTCTCCAAGATCGATATCATCTTCAAAATTTCGTCGCTTACACCAGATTCTTCATCTTGGCAAAAATGTACGCCTTGTACCAGGTCTTTGATTTCTTGATTGTCTAATTGACCGCTTAGCGTTTGTAGCTCATTATTGTACAAATGCTCCGTGTTCAACACTGTCGCCGGTCTTAACTCATCATCTATCAGTTCGCGATACGTTTCTGTTGAATACCAAAGCTGTAATAATCCACTTGGACTAAAAAAGCCCAGTTGTGGTTGTCCATCGATGACAATCCACTCCAAAGGCGAAAGTGTCCCCTCCAATTCTCTGTTGATTCGCATGTAGTCCAAGGCAACGCAATCGTACCTCAGGCAAGCAACGTACTGGAGCCACGAGTTTACAAAAGCTGGCATATAGCTGAAAAACTCAGCAAAGTGCTGAAGCCTCTTTCGGAGGTTCTTAAGCTGCTTACTCTTCCGGCTGGCGTTCTGATGCTCTATGAAGGTATTCGTAAAGAGCTGGTATGCAGACGGAAGGTTCAATTGAGTTAATTGACCATCCAAGTGCCAGTACACGCATTTGCGTAATGTTATCGGCTGCTTGAGAAACTCCAGTGGATCCCAAACCATGCTAGAAATCATCTATGGGTTCGGATTTTCTACTATTCGTCAACCGCTCATCGCTTTGAACATATTTTGAAAATCGCTATTCGGCGATGAGATAGATAAAGCCATGAAGACTTAGTTTCAAAACAGCTAGCTGCAAAAGCACTTCGTCTATGGACCAATTGAAGCTGGACCTTAAGCGGTTTGAAAGAAAGTTTGAGAAGAAGTACGGAAGACCACCCGGCCGCGAAGATATAAGAGCTTTGCCTGATGTTAAGAGCAAATACAAGCAATACGCTGCGTTCCAGATCGAGAAGCAAAGACAATCTGCTAAAGATCCAGTTGAAAAAACCCCCCAGAGAAATGAACCGGTAGAGCTCGGGCCTACACCTCAAATTTATGGCAAAGTCATCGGGCTCTTTGACATGAAAGTATCCCCGTTGAAGAACACAAGGATAATATCACCAGAGGCGTCATCAAGTCGCATACAAACAGAAATATCAGTACAAAAACAGCTTGAAGTGAAGAGGTGTCTTGATTTCAACCTTACACCCAAAATATCTCCTAAGAGATATGCATATGGACCGAACTCACCGCTAAAATTCGATGATATTCAATTATCCATACACACACCGAGACGCAACCTGCGCAATCTAATAGCAGAAAATGATAACAATAGCGCTGGGAGCCCATCTCCGATAATCAAACGACACTTAGGAAAGCCACTACTTCAAATAGCTCGTGAAAACGAGAGAATGATGAAGGAGACGGACGCCCTTAGTGATGATGAAGTGATTTCTAGCAAAGTTAAAGACGTGTTTGGAGATGACGAAGACGACGATCTAGACGCGCAGACTGAGGATGAACTCGGCGAGGAAGAAGTCATATTCAAGCGCTCTAAACGTAAGCATATATTGCGCCCTGCTAAGAGTGCTTTAAAGACTGTACAGCCTCTTGATGTGAACGTAAAGGAAGAAATGGCGAGGTTGAAACAACAAGCTATTGATGAATTTAATGGTGTTGAACCTACGAAGCCTCTTGTAACTCAAGCGAGCGTCGCTTCTGTAACAAAAACTACGCGAACAAAGAATAAGAAGTATAACCTGGTCAGTAACAATTTCCGTCGGCTAAAGCTCCCTAAATCCAAGGGCAAGGGAAATAAAAAATGGGGTCGACGGTAGATCTCATCATCTGAGCATACACCTCGAAAACAATTGCATTATGTTGAACTTTTTAATTTACATAGATTTCACCTAACGGGCTCAACTTACCAGTAATTGCAACATCCCTTCTATCTTTTGAGCCTCTTCAGCTCTACGCACTTCTTGCTTGACCTTGTATCTGAGAGCAACTATCATTTCCTCTAATACGGACGACCGAGCAATAAGGCCGCTATAAAGTTCAAGGACCACTGCAATCCAATCGGCAACAACAGCGGCACTTCTCACGTCCTCAACACCACGCAAGCACCAATTCAGTAAAGGCTCTAGAGATGATTCATCTCTTCCTATTAGTGCAACTCTAATCTTTCCTCTCTTGCGAAGCTCGTGCAAAGCAGTAAGTGTCAATTCTTTAGCCATACCGGATAGAAAGGCTGCGTCTAGGGCTTCGGACCATTTGAACTGGTTCATATGGCGTTCGAATGCCCGCAGTTTCCGCTGAGGGCGGGTTTTATCATTGTGAATTATATGCTCTTGATCACCCGTGTATTCAGAACCTCTCATCATCCTTTGAAAGTTGTTACTCTTAGCAACCTTTTCGATTTCAATTTTGCCAGTCTTTGCAGCCTTCTTCTTGGTTCTTATGGCCAGCAACCCGGAAGAAAGACCAGCTACCAAATGCTTGTTTCCCTGAGCGTCTCCTGGAGATACGGCACAGCACAACACAGGAGCTGAGAATTTCCAACCGAACTTGACTTTATAGCTGTCCAGAGGATCGAAAACCTTTACATGGCCATCTAACGATGATGCTACAAGTGTAGAGCTCATAGGAGAATCGGATTGTAGACTAACGTGATCGAGGGAAGTGACTGTTTTAGCAAAATTTGATCTCTCCAATAGTTGTCTTTGAGCAGTTAGATCCCATACTTTGAAGCTGGACCCGCCACACGAGACCAATTGAGTTGGTGAAACGGCAACAACATCTTCAACAGGCAGACCTTGGGCCAAAGTGGTAGGCTTCGAGTTAGAGCTTTGCCTGGTGTCGAACAGGCGCACATAACCATCGTAAGACCCTGTGACAACTAGATGAGGTGCTTGTGGCACCATGCAAACACTGCGAACATAGTCGGTAGCGCCGGTAAGCTCCGAAAGTGGCTGCTGGGCTTGAGAAATGTCCCAAACGCGAACCACACGGTCATCACTGGCAGTAACCAAAGTTTTAGGGTCCGTAGGGTGAAATTTCGCAACATGAGTGGGATGCGACGACGCCGCGATTGACACCAATTGGGTGCGTGGATTATAGGAGTCATATACTGAGACAAGACCTGTCGCGTCTCCCATGGCTAGAAGTTTACCGTCAGGACGAAAGTTTGCAGCATACACCACGTCTTTGAACCGTGAAAAGGTTTTGATGACTTGTCTAGTGCGAGAAGAAAAGAGCTGAACTCTTGTAGAAGCTGTTATCGCGAAGTCGTTAGGCTGCTGTGGATTGAAGGCAATGCTGGTTACACTGTTGTGTTCCTTCACCAACTGTGTGGCACCATATGATCTCCAGTAACGCTGTTCCGGTGTAGTTTGTTCCGGAAGCACTGGAGCCCGCAAAAGTGTGGCCCTAGGCCTTGTAGAGGACATTAAAATACAGGAATAAACGGTCGATTAGCGTATTATTTTAGCGATGAGCTCTTTCAACTAATTTACTTTTTCACTGGCTTCTATTTTTTTTCACTATTTCAGATCAAGTTGTATCACTTTTTAGCAAACAGTCACGAAAGCTTAAATGACAATATCGACATAAGCTCAGCAATTGAGCTATCAGATCGTGTTCATATGAGAGTGGTATCTGTATAGATATCTTCAAAATTGCTTCAACATTATGTTTTAAGTTTGAAATTAGAGGACCATGACGAAATTTGGTTTGACATGACCAGCATGAGTGTGCTCTCAGTATTAAATGGACTTCCTCGCTTGTGCTGACCTTGCACAAAGTGTCCTTTCTTGAGACTTCTCTTCCGAATTGCTAAGTCTGCTTTTATCATCGTATCTGGAGGACCCTTGATAAAAATATCGCCTGGTCCCAAATTGCGATCCTTCACTTAGTATAAACGGCAGACCATAAAGCCTTTGAGATAGTCCAATGCGCTTTCTTTGTGTTGAAATGTAGAAGTGTAGTTTAGGCCACGGGTTGGGGTTTAAATTAAAGATTAAGAGTTTTTTTACTACGCAAAAGAGTGGCATTCCAAAAACTCAGCTGGCAACCTCCATTCTTTCGGCATTTGAATCATTAATAGAGGGTAATATCTTCGACCTCAGTTGGTTTTTGAATCTTCACTCATATAATACTTCAAGCAACCTGCCGATAACACCATATACGTAGACACTCATTATTACTTCGGCGAAAACAGAATCTCGAGGAGATTTAACCTTCAAACATCATATTCTGTTTCAAGCATCCCAGAGGGCTCTACACGCCGGTCGATATGTATCAATATACAAATCCATTGCTGAGACTCTTCAACTCTTGCAAATAATTTTTGTACACCTGGACTTCACTTTTGGCTGTATGAATATTTGCAGTATTTTCCACTATTTTAATATTAGCGTTGGCCATCCAGAGGCTTTTCATTTACAACATACAGTGCTTCTGTTAAGGAAGAGACTGTTTTCATTCTCAATATTGTGAATTCAAAAATAAATTAATATCTATCTGAGTTTCGAACAAAAAGGAGAGAAAGTTATACAAGCATTATAAGAGGTTCAAATGGCTCAATTACAGTGGACTAAAACCCTGGCTCCTTTGCCTGCTACTGAACGTAATTTTTCGACCAAACTGTCATATGATAAGCATTCCAAGTGCGTTGCGTATGGATGCGGTAAATCTGCCTTCGTAAGGTCGCTCGATTCAGATTTTCAAGTACAGTTTACCGGTCATGGAACTGCTAAAGTTACTGTGGTTCGCTTCAGGCCCTTAGCTGGATCTAACTATTTGTGTTCTGGTGACGACCAAGGTCGCGTAATCGTGTGGAGTTGGTTGCACGACGAAGACGATAGAAGTAATGAGGCGGTCACTGGTACCTCTACAGCCATCAAAAGTGAGTTCCAAGTACTTTCCGGCCCTATTACAGATATAAGCTGGGACATGGAGGGCCGTAGGTTATGTGTTGTCGGCGAGGGTCGCGACAAATTCGGAGCCTTTATTTCGTGGGATACCGGCAACACTCTAGGAGAACTCAGCGGGCCCTCCAAACGTGTCAATGCTTGCCACATCAAACTTAGCAGGCCGATGCGATGCTTTACTGCTGGTGATGATGGTGCATGTGTTTTTTTCGAAGGGCCGCCTTTTAGATTTGCGGCAAGCGACAGAACGCATCATGACCAGGGTAAATTCATTCGTGATATCAAGTTCTCACCTGGTCCAGGGAACTATGCTGTTTCGATTGGTAGCGATCGTAAGATTGTTTCTTTCGATGGCCGGACTGGCGAATTTATCAAATATGTCGATGATCCCGAAGAAACTATTGAGGGGGGCTTCTTCGCTCTAGACTGGTTTGACGAAGGGTCTGAATCTCACAAATTTGCTACTTCTAGTGCGGACGCTGTCATACGGGTATGGGACATTGAGTCTGGCAAATGCATTAATAAATGGAGCTTGGAAAAGACGCTTGCACACCAACAAGTGGGCGTTGCAACCATCAGTGAAAACCAAGTTGTCAGCGTGTCTCTTGATGGAGCTTTGAATATATTTGAGATTGGTCAACATTCTCCCATAAAAACGATTGAAGGTCACAACAAAGGGATCACAGCTTTGTCTACGGGTCCGCTAGCTTCGGGCTCTTATGATGGCAGAATAGTTGTGTGGGGTAGTAAGGGCTCCCAATCAGCACAAATGAATAACTACCAGACTAACACAATTGCAGCCATAGATAACGAAAATGGAATAGCAACGACTTCCTGGGATAATACTATGCAGGTTTCTGGGGAAGTCAAACACACATTCGCTCACCAACCTAAAATAGCCTCCCCTTACAAAGGTTCCATGGCAGTGGTGTCTGTGGAAAATGAACTTGACATTGTGAGCTGTGATACTGGCAATGTTGTTACTTCTAAGAAGCTAACCTCCATTGCCTCGGCCGTTAATCTTGGGACGAAGTACGTCGCGGTTGGCTACGAGCAATCGAATACCATCGAATTGTTCCACGTTTCTGACTTGTCCGTCAGTTTCACGCTGAGCACCACCATGAGAGCGACACCTTCATGTTTGGCACTTTCTCCATCAGAAAGATTCCTTGCTGTAGGCGATGTGATGGGCAAAATCCTACTGTTTGATTTAGAGACGAAAGCTGTTAAAACGTCAAGGTGGGCTTTCCACTCTGGTAAGATAACTAGTATGGCCTGGAGACCTTTAAATGAAGAAGATGAAGAAGAAGAAGACTTGATCGCCACTGCGTCTCTTGACACGCATCTTATGATCTACTCAGTGAAAAAGCCCATGAAAAACATAAAGCAGCTGAATGCTCACAAAGACGGAGTTACCTGTGTGGCTTGGGATGGCCGTTCCACAATATTCAGCGGAGGAGCAGACTCCTGTATCAAAGAATGGAAGCTGATACTTGACTGAATGGAATATGCTCTCTACGTACCGATTTCCAACTTTTATCACCTCTCTTAATGCCCAAGACGCTCATACATATAAGTCACGTTAGACGAATGATTCAAGTTCAAGTTATTCGACTGCCTTTAACTAATTATATCAACACATAATATATATTTAAGCGTACGACAAAATTGGAACCGGGAAGCTTTACAGATCTTTACAACATGAGCATTGACTCTCCGTCTTACGAGCCAGAATCTCCCGCCGGGAGGAGGTCCATGTCTGCTACTGGAAGAGTAGACTACACGATTGAAGAGGACGATTTAGACATCAGAGAAGACGAGAAAGATGAAGACTACAAGGAAGACGCAGTTGAAGATGACGATAATGATGACGAGGTCATTGAGACAGAAAACGAGAAAAGCAAGCCTGTTGCAACCAACAATCGTCCAGTCATCCAAGAGGCGATTGTAAATGTCGCTAGATTTCCAACACAACCCAGACGCGGAAGACCACCAAAGCGGAAGAATATAGTGAATGTTGTCGAGACAGCGTTGCCAATTATTGATAGCTCCAAAGCTAACTCTGATGGAAATGGTGGTAATAATAACGGTTTCAAGAGGCCACATCTGTCTTTTCCTGTAGACGAAAGTGGTAACCCGTTACCAGTAATCAACGATGAATACGCTCTTCCTGACGACCCCGAAGGTGACACCAAAATAAATAGAGACGGTGATCTTCTTGGTGGACGGCAGTTTCTAGTAAGATCTTTCACAGTAGCTTCTAGAGGCGAGCGGAAATATATGCTTTCAACGGAGCCTGCAAGAGCTGTGGGCTTCAGAGATTCATATCTTTTCTTCCAGTACCACCCAAATCTGTACAAACTCACCATATCGCAAGAAGAAAGAGACGACCTAATTCATAGGGGTGTAATACCCTACTCATATCGAACTAGAACCATAACGCTAGTAACGGCAAGAGGTGTGTTTAAGGAATTTGGAGCGAAAATTATCGTTGAAGGAAAAAATATCACAGACGATTACTATGTCGGACGGCTACGCGAGGAAGGTCGCGTAGTTGAAGGTACATATGCTCGCGAACCTACCTCCAACCTAAGGGGAATGGGCGCAAAGGGCTTCAAAGTTTCGAGCTTAGGAGTAAATCCGTCCAAAAACGCTGTTGAATTCTTTGACAGGCGCAACCACAACATCACTCCAGGCAGTAACATTAGCTCTACAAACTGGCTGTACCAACATGCTGCAGCGTGTAGCAGGTTTAATAGTGATTTATTCTACGATAGAGAAAGAGTTCTTCTCATTGAGCACCAGGGCCTAAGAGATCCTTACACAAACACTTTACATCTTCCGCAGTCTACCCAATCAACACAAGTCTTGAGATACGTTAAGGATTCCAGTAATGTTCCTGAGAATAATGGCGTAGTCTACGAAACGCTCATAGAAGACAAAGATTTAACACGTCGGTGTATCGGCATCAAGGATGTGCCGCTTGATATTTTTGAAGATGTGGTAGATGACGATATTAAACTTGCAATACTAGAACAGCAGCAGTTCGAGAAGAACGTTTAGGATCCTTCAATAGACTAATGTATAAACATGGCATCAAATTGTAATATTGTACGATATCAACTAAGTATTGCGAGTGTTCTGGCTAACTCAATAAATGAGCTCCCACACCACTCACTTGTGAACATCTCACTCAAAAAGCAGCTCCTCAAGACGAAAAAGCTGGCGCTCATTTGGTCAACAAGAGAATTTGCGAGTAGTCCCGGTGATCTTCAGTTTTTGAGAGCTTTAGAAAGTCAAGTGGCAAATATCGAGTTCTGACCTTTACAGACCACCTGTGCCGAAGAAAGTATGATATCAGCGCTATTGAGACCGCGGTCCAGGTCTCTATGGAGCAAAGCATTATACGTAAGAGCATCACCCCGTGCGCTTTTTATTGCACCACTACAAACCGCAAGGATACACTCCGGTTCCAGGCTCCTGAACAAGGCTGCTAACGATCAAAATAACGATAAGGATGCCAGCGATGATGACCTAGAAAACATCAGGAAGGAAGTCGAACGCTATATCACTGAGGCTAAAAATGACAAGACTGGTACCTGGGAGCAGCGCAAGAAAAGAATTGACGATGGCATTAAGAGACTTGAGGATACAATGCTAAGGCAGCAAGAGACACAGCGTCGAGAAGCAGAGCAAAAGTCAAACGTTGCTAGCGAATCCACCGCATCCGAGCAAGCGCACGAACAGAAACCTGATTCAAAACAGGATCCTTTAGAAAATGAAAGGAAGCAGGCTTCGGAACAGAACAAGAAGATGAACGAACGAAAAAAAGCCGAGCAAGAGAAGTTTGACAAAATCTTGAATGACCCAAATGCTAAGGTTTTGGCCGTTAACATCGGTTTCTTGGAAATAGGTGTTTTGTTGTTTCTTTTATCCTTTATTTTGAACCGCCTTTACAACACTGAAGAGCAGAGAGAAATTACGTGGCAAGACTTCAGATCGCAGCTACTTGCCAAGGGCTACGTCGCAAAGCTTATTGTTATCAACAAATCATTCGTGAAAGTCATTCTCAATGAAAATGGTAAAAATCAACCAGAACACAGCGGACACGATTTCTACTTCTTCACAATTGGTTCCATTGATAGTTTTGAACTTAAGTTGCAAAAAGCTCAAGAAGAAATTGGGATCGCTGATGATTTTAAGGTTCCTGTAATCTACACACAAGAGGGAAATTGGGCCAAGGCTATGTATCAAATTCTTCCAACAGCACTAATGATTGGAGGATTGATTTGGATTACAAAGCGGTCCGCGTCTGGCGCTGGGGGCGGCGGTCCCGGCGGCATCTTCAATGTTGGAAAGTCCAAGGCAAAAAGATTCAACAAAGATACCGAAGTCAAGACTACGTTCAAAGATGTAGCCGGATGTGATGAAGCAAAAGAAGAAATTATGGAGTTTGTGAGCTTCTTAAAAGATCCATCTCGCTACGAAAAAATGGGAGCTCAAATTCCTCGCGGTGCTATTCTTTCCGGTCCACCAGGAACCGGTAAGACCTTGATCGCCAAAGCTACTGCGGGTGAGGCAGGTGTCCCATTTTTTTCTGTATCTGGCTCCGAATTTGTCGAGATGTTTGTAGGGGTAGGTGCCTCGAGGGTTCGTGACTTGTTCAAAACAGCCAGGGAGAACGCACCGGCAATTATCTTTGTTGATGAAATTGATGCTATTGGTAAAGCTAGACAAAAGGGTAACTTCTCAGGCGCTAACGACGAAAGAGAAAATACATTGAACCAACTTTTGGTTGAAATGGATGGTTTCACTGCTTCTGACCATGTTGTTGTTTTGGCGGGTACCAATCGCCCCGACGTGCTCGATCAGGCCTTGATGCGTCCAGGAAGATTTGACAGACATATTAATATCGACAGGCCCGAACTGGAAGGACGTAAACAGATCTTCGCAGTGCATTTGGCCAAAATCAAACTCGCAGGCTCTATGGACGATTTGAAAAATAGACTTGCGGCCTTAACTCCTGGGTTCTCGGGTGCCGATATCTCCAATGTCTGCAACGAGGCTGCATTGACTGCTGCTAGGTTAGATTGTAACTCTGTCAGATTGAGCCATTTCGAACAGGCAATTGAAAGGGTAATTGGTGGTGTAGAAAGAAAATCAAAGCTTCTATCACCTGAGGAGAAAAAAATTGTTGCTTACCACGAGGCTGGCCATGCCGTGTGCGGCTGGTACTTGGAGTTCGCGGATCCCCTGTTGAAGGTGAGCATTATCCCAAGGGGCCAAGGGGCTCTGGGTTATGCTCAGTACTTGCCTGGTGACGTTTATCTCTTGAGCGAACAACAGTTGAAAGATAGAATGACAATGGCCTTAGCGGGTAGAGTATCTGAAGAATTACATTTCCCATCCGTGACAAGCGGTGCTTCTGATGATTTTCAAAAGATTACGCGCATGGCTTCGGCAATGGTTACAGAACTTGGTATGAGCGACAAAATTGGTTGGATTAACTATCAGAGAAAGAGCGAGAGCGACTTAACGAAACCCTTCTCAGAAGAGACCGCTGCGATAGTCGATGCCGAGGTTTACCGACTAGTCCAGGACTGCCACGACCGATGCACAGCCTTGCTCAAGGAGAAGGCAGAAGAAGTGGAAAAGGTTGCCCAGCTTTTGCTGAAGGAAGAAGTGCTCTCCAGAGAAGACATGATTCGTATGCTAGGAAAACGTCCTTTCCCTGAGCGTAATGATGCATTCGACAAGTATCTTAACGACCGCGAGACAGAAAAACTCCGCAAGAGTGAACAAGACGCTGGAATGAGCGTTTAGTTTATTCCAAAAGGGAAAACCGGCACCAGTAAGGAGCTGAGCCCTTGGTTGCCGAAAATCGCTTATCTGTACACTAATAGCACTTGTAAATAAAGACAATCCATATAATCTGAGGAATCTGGTGAAGTAAGCCAAGACCCACGCTCGGGCCATTTTGTATCTAAAACCCGAGTGCCAATTATACGAAAAAACAAGCAGAGATTAATAATACCATACATAAACGTTGATTATCAAATAGACGAAATTCCGGTGGATCCCCTTTTGAAGTTACAACATAAGAAACATTAGTCAAGCACAAGACGTCAGCATTGCATTCGCATTATATTTAAAGGAGGTTGATTAATTCATGGTTATTCGCTGAGAACTCCTGCACGTGAAGTTTAAGAGTAGTTTATCTGCAATATGAGCTCCAAAGAACCGAGCGAAAACACGGCCCTTCTGGTACCAAACTCAGTAGATTCTACTGAAAATGACATTTCTTTGGAGCAAAGGTTCCATGAACACAATCTAAGCTTGCCCAAGGCTCCAATTCTAATTTCTTTGTGGTTAGGTTCGTTTCTGGTAGCCATAGACGGAACAATCGTGGCTAACATCACTAACACGATAGCTGCTGAATTTCAAGAGTCTGACAAGAAACAATGGATAGCGACCAGTTTCCTCTTGACTAACACTGCTTTTCAATGTTTGTACGGTAAATTGTCCGATATTTCGGGGAGGAAACCTGCGCTTCTCGCAGCTCAGTTTTTCTTTGGACTTGGGTGTCTACTGACCTGCTTCGCTCGCAATGTGACCGAATTCTCACTGGCGAGAGCTGTTTGTGGTATTGGCGGTGGTGGGATAAGCGCTATGAGCAGTATAACCGTCAGCGACATTTGTACAGCGAAAGATAGAGGCATGTATCAAGGCTATGCCAATATTGTTTACGGAACAGGCCAGCTTCTAGGTGCCCCAATAGGTGGGTTTCTCATCACCAGGCTAGGATGGAAGATGATCTTTGCTGTTCAGGTGCCTATGATTTTTATCTGCTTCTGTTTGGCGCACCGCAACGTAAACATAGAGCTTGCTCATTTGAAGCCCGCAAATGAGCGCTATACTCTAAAAAATTTGTCCCGTTTGGATATAATTGGATCCGGCACTCTAGTTATGTCCATCAGTGGGTTACTATTCCTTTTTTCCAGCAACCTCAACAAATTGGTAGTGTCTGTCATCACTGTCTTAAGCTTTGGCTTGTTTGTATACAATGAAAAATACTGGGCGTCTGAGCGTATTATTCCATTTGAACTACTTCGTGGAAATTTTGGTCTCACGTCTTTGGTAACCGTTCTATCTACTTTCGTTATGTTTGGAGACATGTTCAGATCGCCCATTTACTTACAGGTTGTCCAGGATATATCTTTGGCCAAGAGTGGTATATTCATCTTATTTGGATCAGCCGCATGCGCAGGTGCGTCTTTGATCACAGGGTCGATTATGAGGCATACTAAATTAGAACTAGTGAGATGTTCCTTTTTGTTAGTTCTCGCTGCTGTCTTTCTTCAATTGACAGGAGCCGTCACCACCGCCTTATTAACAAAGAATCTCGAGCCGAATCAAACACATTATGAAAGCGAGGGCTACTTTTCCATGCTACTGAAATCAAAAGGCTTTGCTTGGAAATTCATCTATATTACCTCTTCGGTATTTAGCGCATTCGGCTATGGCTGTGTACTAGTGTCAGTCTTAGTGAGCATTGTGTTCACAGTGCCCAAGTCTCAGCAAGCCACACTTACTGGCGTTTTTTATCTGTGGAGGTCGATAGGCAGTGTTTTAGGTGCATCGGTTACGTTAACGACGTATGACTTGTCGCTAAACTCTAAGTTGTGGAACTATATGAAATCCCAAGGCCTTTCCGAAACATATCCAAAATTGATACGCGATTCTGGGTATCTCAGAACGCATTTCTCGGGTGAAAAACTAGCTGCACTGTTGGAAATCTATCGTGACTGTTTTGTTTGGTCCTTCGGACCAGCTATCGTCAGTGGAATACTTTCCCTTGCGCTTGCATTTTTCCTTGTGCGGGGTTTCCAGCCAAGTAGAAACTAGGCTTGGGGCAATATATTTTCAATAGGGTCCTCATCAGCGTTATAACTCATAAGAGCCTCGCGATCAATTCCCAATGCAAAACACTCGTCCAAGCAATGGGCTGGAATAAAAGCGTCAAAACGGTAGCCCAGAAACTGCATAATCACCACCCTCGTTAGCTCAGGAGACATTACGTCGTTAGCAAAAAAAAGTCGGATAGCGAATGACATCGCTTTGCTGCAAACAGCTTCGGGAACCCCAACGTAGCCAGTTCCTAGGCCAGATGTCACTAAAGTGTCAGCATCCCTTGGACAGTGCACAAGCGCATTCCACATCGCGTCGAACACTAACCTATACCCCGTTTCTAAAGATCTGTCCGCATTGTAAATTCTATGCGCTGGTGCTACCACAGTAGGAATATGAATTATGTATTTAAAACCGTTTCGGCTCCATGGCCCCAACTTGACCACAGTTGCTGTTCCCACGGGCTTGTAAATCGAACATAGCTGCTTTTTAAAGAAGTTCTCAAAGTTATGACCTCCGAAGTATTGTCGTAACGCTAGGTCAAATCCTCCACCTAAATAACCGAAGCTATTGCCAGGTGAAATTACCGCAGCGGTCCCTCTGACCATTTCAGGATCTATCTTATTCAAAGATCCAGCAAACACATTAACGTATTTAAGACCTACAAGGTTTGACCTCCAGGCTTCGATCAACGTTGCATTCGTGTCGACGAGGATCACCCTCATTAGATTGTGTATTACCAAAAGATAAGATTTAAGCTACCTTAAAGTTTAAACCAAACTAAAAAATTTGGCAGTCTTAGTAAATGTACTTAAGCCAAAATTATAAGTGGGCAACCTTGAATCCATTGGTCTCTAAATTCGTTGCTTTCGATGATCCGACGTCAAATTCATAAAATTCCAGGATGTATACATGGCATTCCAAGGGCTCCACCAGACAAGATTTTAGGCCTCACCGAACAGTTCAATAAGGATAAAAACCCAAAAAAAACTAACCTTACTGTGGGTATTTACAAGGATAATTGGGGCCAAGTTACCACTTTTCAAAGTGTGGCTAGGGCCCAGATGATCCTAGACCAAAGCATTGAATTAAATACTGATTTGTCGTATTTGCCCATCAAAGGCTGTCCTGATTTCCAACTAAATGTCCTAAAATTCTTGTACAGGGAAAGCTGTCCAGAAGGGGCGGAATCCCTTGATCAAGGGCGCATTAGCTTCGTACAAACATTATCTGGAACGGGTGCCTTGGCAGTCACTTCGAAGTTCTTATCGCTCTTTATGTCAAGATCGGTTTGGATTCCAAAACCGTCGTGGCCTAACCATGCTAATGTATTTCAAAACAACGGCTTTGACGACATTCTCTACTACTCTTACTATAAGAATGGCACATTGGATGTAGACGGCTGGCTGGATGACTTAGAAAGAGGAGCTAAATCGCGAGATGGACCGCCGCAATGCATTGTATTGCATGCATGCTGCCACAATCCAACAGGTATAGATCCATCGCGTGAACAATGGCGTCGTATACTGGATAAAATTCACGAACTGAATATTATTCCGATAATTGATATGGCTTATCAAGGTCTGGATACCGGAGATCTCTATAAAGACGCGTATCTACTACGAATGAGTTTAGATAAAAAGCGCTACAACTGGAATAACGGGCTTTTCCTTTGCCAATCTTTTGCCAAAAATATGGGTCTTTATGGCGAGCGTGTGGGATCTCTTTCGGTTGTCACACCTGTCCGTCACAATAGTAAGGAAATAAAACGCAATGTGGACTCCCAACTTAAAAAAATAGTACGAGGAATGTACTCGTCTCCCCCTGGTTATGGTTCTAGGGTTGCAAATGTAGTTCTCTCGACTCCTCATCTTCGAGATCTTTGGCATAAAGACGTCAAAAATGTCGCCAACAGATTGCATTCTGTAAAAGCGAAAATGGCCGAAAGGCTTGAATGGGATTCACTCAAGGACCAATCACGTCAGCATGGTATGTTTCTATATACTGGACTCGACATGCGTAGTGTGGAAACATTGAGGGAGAAGTACTCTATATATTTGGTACAAGATGGCCGACTGTCGTTAAGTGGGCTAAACGACTCCAACGTAGACTACGTTTGTGATGCATTACAAAGTGTACATCGTGAGTAGTACTCTCAGTGCTGAACCCTCCCAACATATTGTAGCCTATTCAACTATTTGATATTAAAAATTACAAGTTTTGTTCTATAAGCGTTTTACTTTCTACCAAAGAGCTTTTTGAGTTTTTTACCGAAACTCTTCTTCTTTTTTGTAGCCTCCTCGTGTTCGGGTCCCGCAGCTGGAAGTTGCTCGCTAAAAAATCTGTTGTTCAGGTTATTGCCAGTTTTTGCTGGGGAGTTGTTGCTCATCGTGCTAGCCGATCTCAGCGACAAGGTACTAATCTTTTTATTGGGCGTGTTATGGTTAGAGTTTGGGGCTGTTGAAGATTGTGCGAACTTGGGTTGAGGAGGTTGAAAGGTATTTTCCTTTTTGCCTTTGAAGGAAAATGGTCCACTTTTTCCAGTCGGTTTCGAAGCATGTGGCTGAGGAGCGGAATATGAAGGTACTTCATCTTCAGAATCAGAATCTTGGAATCTAGAACTCCAATTTCCACCAGTTGATAATGGAGTTTGATGAGAATTCTGTGCAAGAGGTGCTTGCCCCTTTCTTGAAACAAACGTTTCTGGTTGAGGGTTATTACCGCTTAAACCTTGATCGTCTATTTCCTCTGCCATCGAGTCTCTCAACGAAAGCTTTTTGAAACCCATGTGGCTTTGGTCAGGCCTAACCTTTTCGAAACTTGACCTTTTCTGGGGTGGCTCTGGAGGATAGAACATTGATTTATCGTTCCTGGGCTGTGAGGTCTTCACTGTGCCCTGAGGTTTCGTAGTTTTGGTCTTCCTGACGGAATCAGGTCGTCTACTTGACCTAACTGGAGGCTGAACTTCGCCGCGAAGAGGCGCTTGCATTGACCGATGCTTTGGCTTATTTGTTGTTGGTCCCTCTTTTTGAAACCTAGAATCGCCATTTATCATAGAAGAAGGCCGCACCTTTTGAACTGGGGGTTGACGCTTGCTTTGCTCATTGGACAATTGAGCATTGAGTCTCGTATTTTCTGCGGTTGCCAAAGAAATGTAGGCGTCATGAGCTGTAGAATTTCTATCATCAGAAAACTTACTTTTCGCAGCGTTTTTACTCACTGTCTTTTTTAGTGCAGACTTCATAGGGGAATGGGTCCTAACTAATGAAGGAGTCTCTATGTTATCAGCGTTTTTGTCATTTGACGCATTGTCAAGATCTCCACTTGTCTTGATTTCTGCGGTTTCTTCTTTCAATTTTTCTTGTGCTTTGTTCAAATACTGATTAGCCGAACGCATGTATTTTGCCATGCTATTTCCTGCCTCATCGGCGGTCGTTAGTTTCGGACCTTGAGTCTCGGGATTTGCGGAGCTTTCAGGATCATCATTGATAACATCCTCGACTGTTTTTTTGGGTAGACTTTTTTCACCAGATGGCTCCTTCTTGAATACTGGCTCTGAATTTATTTCAGCATGTCCTAATATTGGACCATGCTCGATGGGGGGTGAGATTAGAACTTTTGGAGGTAAGGGAAACGCTGGATCGTTCACCCGAACATTAGGAATTGCATCCAATGCTTTTGAGGTCGAGGTATCTATCTTAACTTGACTTTCGCTATTTGGCTCAAGGGTTACAATCTCTGGCAAAGAAGGAGGTATGGAGATAGTTTTTTTAGGCGAAGACGGTATGATGATAGGATGGACAATGTCCTTTTGCAATTGTTCATCTGTCTCTTCCTTGACAGGCTGTTGTGCAAGAGGCTTATTCATCTTTTGATTGTCTGAACGACTTGCCATAAACTCGTGTTTCTTAGGTGCACCTCCATTACCCTGTTCGCCCCTCTTAGTGAGTGAAGGCTGGGATCCCATTGATGATTTTCTGTTCAAAGAATTGTTGCGTACATTCAAACCGCTGTTCATAGATGTGGAGCGTCTATTCAGGCTGGAGCGTCTGCTGGGAGGTTTTTGGACTTCAGAAATGGGAACCTCAACTAGTCTGAGCCCACTAGGACCAGGCACGTACTTTTTGACTGTCACTTGTTTGTTCTGTGCTTGGGGTCCACCAAATTGCTGAAAGGTGTCTTCAGCGTCGAAAAACTCGCTCTCGTCGATGCTGTCTCGTGCCTGTGGCTTTTTCATTTGCAGGCTCGAACTGCGTAGCGAATCACGCTTGGAACGCAGGCTATTAGCTCTTCCGCTCATAGACATGGCCCGTGCCATTGAGTTAGATCTAGAGATGCTGTTATAGCGTGGCAATTTCTCGACGTCCACTCGAGTTCCTTTTTTGTCCAGGGCTCTCCCAATTGCCGAGGCGGCTGCCAAAGCCTCGGAATCTATTACTTTACTCTCGCGCGACCTTCTAGAATGGAACATGGTACTTATGGCCCAGTCTCCGGGCCTTTTTGGTCTTGAATATAGTAAAGTGCGTGAAAAGGGGAGTTTGATTGAAAGCTTCGAAACATTTTGCATCAATTTCAATATGCCATGAGAGCACTAGCTACGAACTCATGGTAATTTCCTATTATCCTGCTAACAGTTTAGACACCGCTAATGATACATCAAAATATCATACTTTTGATGTATTTCGATATCCTAGCGGATATTGGGAATGCAGTCAACTGATTGCGTTATTATTGCTTTACATACTATGGAAATGAGCAGCCTCTAGTATCATTTAAAGCTGTTTTATTCTTCTTGATACTTGCTTCAATCTAAACGTCCCACATAATGTTTTCAAGATGTCTCGCGGACGTTTCTTTCTGTTTTCAGGATCTTATCAGCTTGGTTCGCGATTGAGGATGTCTTTCTGAGATTGGCTGCGAAATAAATTCGGCACCTAGCACAAATATCTCTTGATCGCTAAGACTGAAAAGATGTACGTAACGGCGCGAACGTCCCTCAAAATTCTTCAACATTGAATCCAATCGTGAATGGACCCCCCACTGGACTTGCAGCTCCACTGAAATTGTGCATGAAAAATCACTTGCTAGATTTTTTTGGCATTTATCGTAGGAAGAACCCCGCTAGAGTCGCCATCTCTTTGATTTGCCCTCGAAGATAGTTGTGCCCAAGTTTATCTGCAATATCGTAGGTTACGCAACCCTTAGGGCAAGGTATAAACTTTCATGAAGTTTGTTTCAACAGTTGTTCTCCCGAGCCCTCGATTTGGCGCACCGCACTACACACAATCACACACCCCGTGCATACTTTTCAAGTATATAATACCCAGCTGATACAAACGCTCATCGACGCGCATCGACGATCATATTCCGAATATCTTGTCAAGTTTCATTAGTATTTATAAATTCTATGAACTGATAAAGTGCGTCAGGTGGAAAGTCTCAAACCTTAGGTTTCTTTCATGCCCCGCAGTGTGTATTTCTTCGAAAGTAGCAGTAATTTTGTTATTATTCGTAGAATTTTGTTATGCCAATTATTAGCCGCAGCTTTTCTGTTCACTCCACGGTAACGGATTTAGCAAGATTTCTGGGGAAATCCACGTCAATGTTTTTGTTCACGGCAAGCCAGTAAGAGGTCAATTGCAACGGAACGATGTTAAGTAATCCTTGCAAACAGTCAACAGTCAAAGGTACTTCTAAGGTTACCAGACTAGTGTTGGCAGCTTTTGCGGTCCAAACTTCATCATTTTCGTTGCAAATAATGATAGGGCGCCCCTTTCTTGCAACAACTTGTTCAATGGAAGAAACAACTTTAGGGAAAAGGGAATCTCTGGTACCAAAAGCTATGATGGGCAAATTCTCGTCCACTAAAGCCAACACACCATGTTTCAGCTCACCTGCGAGAACACCTTCGGAGTGCATGTACGAGATTTCTTTAATCTTCAAAGCCCCTTCCAGAGCAGAAGCAAACTGATAACCTCTTCCCAAAAGTAATAGCGATTTTTGGTCTTTCAAATCATTTGCGCAGAGTTTTTTAATAAGAGGTTCCATTTTAAGAACAGTTTTTATCTGTTCTGGAATTTTCCTTAAGCCTTGAATGATCTCCTTTCTTCTTTCGATCTTAGACACTCTGTCATCAGACAATGACAATGCAAACATTACCAGTGCAATGAATTGAGACGTGTATGCTTTGGTAGACGCAACACCAATCTCTGGACCGGCGTTAATGTGAACACCGCAATGGGTCACTCTGGAAATAGAAGACCCTACGCTGTTTACAATACCCACTGACAAAGCACCTCTCTCCAAACAGTATTTCAGAGCAAGCATAGTGTCTGCAGTTTCACCACTTTGCGAGACAAAAACGCTAACATCATCTCTGAAAACAGGAGTTTTTCTATCCAAGAAATCAGAGGCTAATTCGACACTAACAGGAATCTCAGATAGTTCCTCGAAGATGGCTCGTGTAGCTAAACAAGAATGATAAGACGTACCACAGGCAATCATAATCAGCCTACGGGCTCTTCTGATAACTGGAAGCCACGAGCTCAGCCCGCCAAGCATGACACTATTGTTTTCGAAGTCTAATCTACCTCTCATAGTGTTGAAGGTAGAGTCAGGTTGTTCAAAGATTTCCTTTTGCATGAAATGCTTGTAAGGACCTCTCATGATTTGGGCAAGTTCCAATTCTAGAGTTTGAATAGATCTGGTGGCAGATTCGCCCATTTTACGTCTGGATCTGTGGATGTGCAACTCACCATCGTAGATGTGAGCAATATCGTCATCCTCCAAAAACAAAACTTTCTTGGTGTGCTTCACTACCGATGACGCATCAGAGGAAACGAAAAACTCTACCGGGTTTGGCGCGCCATCCTCGGACAAAAACGCTCTCGATTGCGAGCGTCTTAAAGCCGACTCGTTGGAGGCAATTGGTAGGAAGTTGCGTTGTTCGCCACGAATGGTATTCAATGGCACGTCAGGTTGGGCATCGTCCGAGTCTGGGAACTCGACATCCACAAAGTCGACTTTCAGCTTGCGCTCAGACTTGACACCGATCAGCAAGGGAGACCCCTTTCTGGTCGCTATCACCTCGTTAGGGTAGTGCACAGAGCGACACAGCAGCCCGTAAGAGCCGTCCAGTTCGAGCAAGACCTGCATTGTGAGCTCGTGGAAGTCGAGCTCCAAGCCGTTCTGCAGGTTCGTATCGTACATGTGCTTGAATAGTTTGGCAATACATTCAGTATCGGTGTCAGACTCGAACTTATAGCCCTTGTTCGTCAAGAGCTGTTTCAGCTCGCGGAAGTTGGTGATAATACCATTGTGTACGACGACGAAGTCGTTGTGCGCGTCAGAGCGGTGTGGGTGACAGTTCGAGACCTTAGGCTCTCCGTGCGTAGCCCAACGCGTATGTGCAATACCACAGTGCGTCACGAAGGTCACGTCTCTGTCCGGCTTCTTCTCCTTGATCTCTTTTTCCAGCGCAGCGACCTTCCCGATTTGCTTGTAGATCAGCGTAGAGTCCGGCTCGTCGCCGTCGATGGCAATACCAGTCGAGTCGTAGCCTCTATACTCCAGTCTCTGCAGCCCCTCCACTAGCGTGTCGATCACATCGCCTCTGGATTTCTCTACCAAGAAGTTACAATATCCAAAAATACCACACATTCTACGATCAGTTACGCTGCTTGTCCTTAAATGCTATCCCTCTAGCTGCTGATCTGATCCTCAACAATTCAATATAAGTCTTAAATACTATTATCGATCTGTTTTGTGTACTCGAACATTCCTACCTTTTTAAATATTTTTATTTATGGCGACGTGTTGAAATTCTATATTTGTCGATGGGGTCGCTCTGTACGAAACGTTGTTATTTTTGAGATGCCTTCCATTATTGAAAAATAATGATATTGTATGATCTCGCGATTGAAAACTTTACGTCTGGAAGACAGTGTAGCATCGCTTTGTAGAATGTAGTGACGTTGAATGATTGTCAATTATCGAAGTTGGCTTTGAAGCTTCATTTTCTGTGCAGAATTGTACTTGCTTCTGGCATCACTGGGTCTGTGATGGGTCTGTAGTTATGAAGCGGATGTTAGACGGTCGAGAGTAACGCTGGTTCTTGTAGCGGCGGATTTCGTCCAGCTCGCGTCTCACCTATGACGATGCGCTGTTTTTCTCACGCCGTCCAATTTCTAATGCAGTGAGAAAGACAGGGAACCAGGGTCCCCGAAAAAAAAATCGTACTGTATAGAACCGTTGGTTTTACTGAAGAATGCTTCACACCACTGCGCTAAGACTCATGGAATGGTGCTTCTGTCCCAGCACTTGCAATGCCGTTCGAAAGATAGCATTCTTTGGCTACCAAATACGCATCTACCATGTATGTCACACTGTAGTTTATAAGAGCCTGTCAACATCTAGGGGTTTAGAATCGGGTTAGAAGCAGGTCGCTGCTTGCGGGATGTCCTATAAGTAGACCCTCTGGAGCTTTGGATCAAGTTGGTAACAGCAGAAATCGTAGAAATTTTAATTCTGGAAACTTGACCTATGTTGTTATTCGAAATTCGCCTTGGCATCTAGTTGTTGAGACCTGCCCATCTGTCGCCAGGCCGTATTATTTGGGCCCCCGTTGGCTGAGTGTAAGTCCTGTAGTTTTAGATAAGAATACCAACCCATGGAAACTAAACACCCTTGAACAACAAGTATTTCAGAGTTGAGCATAGAAGTGCGGGGCAATTTTTGGCATGACCGGGTGCGCATTTTCTCAGCTTGCTTCTTTGGTGTTTGATGAACATCTAGCAGCAATCCACAGGATCCTTTAAACTCATGTCGTAGCGCTCTACTCTTTTCGAAATGTATTTAACTTTTGGTTTACGTAAACTTTTATGAGAACTTGAAAAAGCCAGCTACAGCATGCTTCTTTGGCTTATACTTCCTTACTCTTTCTTTCATAAATCGCCAAAACTGTCGTAAACTGATCTCCAGTTGGTAAAAAACCCTTTCATGAACTTGATAGCCAACCCAATGTCTTTTGAACCGGTAGCTGCGCGGATGCTATGCATCGATAATTGTGCAATACCGAGGTCAATGGTTCTGGCACCGGTTTGCGAAGCAATTGAAGGCCCAATGGTTCCTCCAGATCTAGAGTTGTTTTTGATCTGGAAATATTGGACTTTATCGTCATTGAGTCTTGCAAGCTCCTCGGCTATCGCGGTCCCAACCACGTCGGTGGACATGTGTAGATTCGAGTCCAGTGAAAGCGTCACACCGACGTTTGGCTTCGGTCTGTGGTGTTCCAAGTAAACCGATTTAAAGTTTGGATTGAACATGTGGTTAACATCGGCGGACAAAATGATGGAATTGGCAAAAGTAGTACGTAATGCGGCCGCGTCGCACCCATGCAGGTTGTTCACAACTCTTTGCACCACGCTCTCTAGGAGACCACCTTTAGCACCCTGTCTCGAAAGAGAACCAACTTCCTCATTATCATATAAAGTCACGACGTTGAAGGCATTTGATGGAATAGGACCCTCATTTGCAAAGTCGATCAATGATTGGATAGCAGAGAAGCTGCACAGCCGATCATCGAGTCTGGGTGCAAATAAAAATTCATTCTTTAGACCACCCAAGGTACCCTTTTGTACGTCAAATAAGTCAAGATCAAGCTGAATGATTTGGCTCACCTTAACTTTTGCTAAAGAGCCAATATATCTTAGCAAGCCAATTGGATGTTTACCATATAGAGGGCTTCTGGACTCGTCTTCTGTGTCATTCTCTTCCTCCTCATCTTCTTGGCTGTCCGAAGAAGCGTAGCCAATTACGGGGACCGCTTGGTCCTCTTTATCAAAAGGTCCTATCGCTGGCTCTCCAAAGTGGACAGCTAAGGACGGAATCTTAGCGATTGGATGAGGCGAGGAGTTGATCAACCGCGACTCGATTTTTCCCGTCGACTCGTCTTTAACAAGAACTCTGCCACCAACTCCAAGGTCTCTATCAAACCAGTAAGTGTTTAAAGTGCCGCCGTATGGGGCCACTCCAAGTAGTTGCCAACCTTCGACATCGTCTTTCTGAGACACGGGCTTCAATTTAACGCAGAGTGCGTCGATGTGTGAGCCGATAGCGCCCACACCAGACTCATACTTCCATTCTTTACCCAAAATGAACGCTGACAGGTTTGTTCCGTTTCTAATGGTGTAATACTTGCCGCTTTTAACGTCGCTCCATGTGGACTTTTCGCTCACGTACGTGAAACCTGCCTCATCCAATTTCTTCGAGAAATACTGCACCACATGGTAAATGGTAGGGTTCTTGTACGTAAATTCAATGTACTCTTGGGAACATTCCTCGAAGTAATTTTTTGACTTGACAGGCTTTTCGGTAACGGGTGCTTTTTCCAACTTAGTTTCGGTTGAAACTGGTTGCTGAAGAGCCAATAGGTCCAAAGTTTTTCTCAGTTGTACCAGAGCTTCCCGCGTTGGGTCTGACATATTTTTAAGGTTCGGTAGGTGTTGAATCTTGCTCTTCTATGGCCAGAATTCGTATGCAGAACCTTGAAATCCCTTATTCCTTATCATTTCACTTTATATACTTTTTCGAAAAGCCTTCGTATCGTGTCTTCAAAAAAATACCAGGAACGGCTGGTAATGCTATCTTTTGGGAGCCTAGATTAGCATCTTTGAACCACCTCGATACGATATAACACGAACGAGAACACGCTGGTGTTATGATGCTAAAAAAAAAAGGTGCTGAGTTTGATGCCAAAGCAGCGAACGGTTAAGCTGGGACGTGTCGTTGAGTTTGAGCAAGATGCATTGCAGTCTAAAGGCCCGTAATTTCAAGGTGGCCACTACATGTTAAGGGGGTAAAAGACCACCCTCTTGTATTATTTTAAGACGTGGAAGCGAAGAAGCGCGTATGGCAGGTTCTAAGATCCGGGAGCAAGTTGGTTTACCACTTTCATTTTACCGATAGGGCTCTAAATCCGGGGACGATGATTTATATGCGCCGCTCCTATAGTTGAAGCAGTGCTTTTCAAACCATTGGAAGCGCCCACAAACAGTTTCCCTCTCGTCGTTCCTTCAAGCTTCATTTTAAGAGCGCTACGTGCATTCCCTCGCTAGCCTGTTAGTACCGGTCTCCAATGGCAGTATAGACGTCTTTATATGCCATCGCTAGCAATGAAATGTTTCTCTTGGAGGGCATTATAAATAAGCTCTAGTCTTCGCGAATTCAATCGTAGCCGTAAACCACGTAATTAAAACCACCTTAATAGCTTAGCCGCACAGTTTTTTAGTGGCAGAAAAAAGCTTAAAACAATTCACTCGCCATCTCATATCAGACCAAGATCAATCTACTCTCATCTAGAGCACCCTGATACCTCAGCATGCAGAGTGCCCTAACATTTAAGCCTCTGTTGTATAGAAGTTAGATTTGCGTTTTTCGAGACTGTTGATGTTACTTCATACGAAACTACGATCGTTGTTTGTTTTGACCTTTCTTGGCGATGTGTATTTGAATTTCGCGTTCTTCTCTTCATTCTTACACTTCACTTACCATCAACAACCAGGCCAATGTCGATGGCTCAGCAAGCAGCTATGGCAGCCACTGTACCTTCGGGACACATTGATAGAGTGGTAAACTCGGTGACAGACGCTACAAAACGGCTTTCTCAGATTTCCTCTAGCACAACAAACACCACCACACAGTCCTCAAAACGACGGTCTCGGGACACTATTGGACCTTGGAAGCTGGGCAAGACACTGGGGAAGGGCTCCAGTGGGCGCGTGCGACTCGCAAAGAACATGGAGACGGGCAAACTCGCCGCAGTCAAGATTGTTCCCAAGGCGAAGTCGTCAAGGCCAAGCGCGCTGCCCTACGGGATCGAGCGCGAAATCATCATTATGAAGCTCATCTCCCATCCAAATGTGATGGGACTGTACGAGGTGTGGGAGAACAAGTTCGAGCTGTTTCTGGTCCTCGAATATGTGGATGGTGGTGAGCTTTTCGACTATCTAGTGTCGCGTGGACGGCTACCGGAGATTGAGGCTATTCACTATTTTAGACAGATTATAGAAGGTACAGCCTATTGTCACGGTTTTAATATTTGCCATCGCGATTTGAAGCCTGAAAATTTACTGCTAGACAAGAAAAACAAGCGCATCAAGATCGCAGATTTTGGTATGGCTGCGCTGCAAACCTCTAACAGACTTCTAGAAACCTCATGCGGATCTCCCCATTACGCGTCGCCTGAGATTGTTATGGGCAAATCTTACAACGGTGGCCCAAGTGACGTTTGGTCTTGTGGTATAATTCTCTTCGCTCTTTTAACCGGACACTTGCCATTTAACGATGACAATATTAAAAGGTTGCTTCTTAAAGTGCAATCCGGCAATTTTCAGATGCCTCAGGCAATTTCGGCGGAAGCAAAAGACCTGCTGTCAAAAATTTTGGTGGTGGATCCCCAGAAGAGATTGTCAATCAATGAAATCTTGATTCATCCGTTGCTCACAAAAAGAAGTAACAAACGTAGTAAATCCAACTCTGACTTACACATTTTGAATCATTCCTTGCCTCATATCGAAACCCCGAAGAATGAGAAAGACGTGGATCCCACAATCCTACAAAACTTGCAAATTTTATGGCATGGTGCCCCAAAGGAATTCATTTTGAGGAGGTTGCTTGATCCAAATTTCACTGAAGAGAAGACATTTTACTCGTTACTTTTGGCCTATCAACAAAGACAATTGAAACAAAGTCAAGCGCAGGCAACATCTACCATCAGTGCGCCGAAAATTATGCAAAAGTCACAATTCAGCGTTCCATCTATCAAATCAAAGTCCTCAGCTGGTAAAGAGCATGTCGCGTCGTCTTCTCGAATATTCAAATCGCGGTCCAAAAAGGCGATTCACGTTTCAGCTTCAAAGAAATCCTTGCACAGCTCATCGTCCAAGAAATCTTTGACGTCACTTGCGACCTCCATTTCTAAGAAAGCACCCAAACTATCTCTTCAGGATCAACCTCTTCCGTCTAAAATGTCATTGTATTCTTTGAACTCCATTTCCAAACGCTCCGTGAATTTGAAAGACCATCTTCATGAGGAAGAACAACCACCACTACCAAAACAATCAGAATTCGAAAATATTTGTGAAGAAATATTGTTCGGAACTAGCCTCTCTAATGAAACAGAAGATGAACAAAACCAAGGTACACCAAATACAAGTCAGGAAACATTAAAGATTGCTCAAAGTCCTTTGAAAGCGGAGCCAAAAACAAGCGTAGCACCATTCAAACATGAAGAAACTTTTTCGCAGGTCGAAAAGAAGCCATTGCCACAGGTTAGCAAACTCAAGCTTACACCATCAAGTCGAGATCTTAGAATTACGTCAGCACCCTCTGGTAAAGAAAGTGGATCCTTGTCCTTAGATCCGCGAAGAAATGTCTCGCAACCAAATTCTATTGAAATGTTGTTGAACAAGTACAGTCTGCGAGCACATTTGAAGTCTAAAACCAATCTAAAAAAGATGAGAAATAGCGGGAATTGGGAACACGAAGAGATGGATCTAAAACAAGCGTCCCGCGATTTTGATTATGATTCATCTGCGATCGATGCTAACGGCACGAAAGAGTTCATGCAGAATCAGGATAGTACAAATATCACCAACGTACTTGCACACTCTAGCGTCATCAAAGCGGGAAATCAAAAGACATCGTTAAATGCTGAGCCGCATGCGCAAAACAATGACACATATTGCCCAACATCTTTATCTTCCGCCAAATTCAATAGCTCCACAACGTTCAAAAACCTTAAACAATTCTTGCCCGATGGAGAAAACACCACCACGCGGGCGTCCTCTGTTGTTCACCGTCCAGTCACGAATTCAGTCAAAATCAATAACCTCAGTGTATCGCGAAAGTCATCAGCCAAAACATTTCAAGTGACCAATTTTGCCGGGCAAAGGTTACGTAAGATGAGCACAGTGAGCAATTTTGATGGTCGCTCAGACCTGCTATCTGATATGTCATTTGCTATGGACATCCCTATGGATACTTTCACCGCGCAAGCTTTCCATATCACCAACGAAGGATCCACGAAGCAGGCTGAACATGCGAAACGGCCGGTCCTACTTCAGGAAGAACTCTTGGAGGACGATATTAATATTTTTGAGGATGCTGCTTGTGATAATGCTTCCGTTGCAACCAGCTCCTCGGGGTTGGACTCTCAACCTCATGTTCACAGAAAGGCAACATCTATCGATACTTTGAACACTACAAGTGTTCTGACCCCAACAACGGATGTTAGAGTATCACTATATGCGAATAACATGGTATCATCTGCTAAGCTACCTAGAGAAACGACCGAGGAGATTATTTCGAAGTTCAGGCTTTCTCCCGAGAAAGCTTCCATCCCGCCCCAGAAAAGGTTTTCTTATCAAAGAGCTAGAGATTCCCTTTCTCAAAGCGTCATGTCAATGTTTAAAGATCTGGATGACGATGAGAACGGTGATGTCCTTAATGAAAATTACCTAGTTGAATTCAAAGGAATTGATGAAGTTCACGATTTACCGAGAGATGCTTCTGGTAGCTTAAATGAAGCTGTATTGAACAAAGAACAAGCCTCGAAGAAGCGAGTAACGATGTTATTTGACGATGAGACTGGTAATGTATTCAAGTCCTCTCCCGTAAAAGGTCAGACTACAAAGCTTGCAGATACCACAGCCACTAACCAAAATTCATCAATAACTTTGCCAAAGACCTTCACCAAAAGCAAGTTAGATCCGGTTGAGGAAAATGTCTCGCCAGTGTCAGTTCGACAACAACATCAACCTTTGAGGCCTGCCCCGCCTCCTCCGTCGAAAGAAACATGGTTTGCAAAGTTCATTCGCACTATCACCCCAGGTTCAACGGCTAAAGAAGCACTCATTAGAGACCATCAGACAAAACTGGAGTTTGAAGACGTTCACATAGTGATGTTGCGCGAATTTTCAAAGCACTCTATTGACTACAAACTAAAGCGCTTGGACAGGCGCGGCAATCATAGTCGCGCTGACTACAATTGTAGATTTGTCCAAGGCCAATTCCGTTTCAAGATACACTTTGATGGAAATAGCAAAGGTACAAACATTCACATCAAGAAAAAGGGTCAACAAGACAAGACTGCTTTCGAAAAGTTCAATGATGACGTTTCGAGAGTTTTGAAGATGGCGGAGTCGAAAACTTAAACTATCCAATAAGGACTAGTTTCACAAAATATGTATTATAATTATTACTCAAAATTAAACTGTTTTTACTTACTCATAGGGGGGTTTCTTATCCTTAACGTAGAGAGCTGTTCTTTTGCTCAACCACACTAAGCGTTTTCTATCCCAACTCATTCAATTTTCGTTATTTGCGCTATTCTAATCAAGCTATTCTACTCTATTTATTTCGAAGTGTCAACCACATATCTTCCTAGAATCTTGCCAGCGTCCATCAAGCCGTAAACTTGTGGCAGCTCCGAGAGACCTATTATTTTTATAGGCGATTTGACAAGTCCGCGAATAAAAAAGTCGATTGCCTCTCTGGTATCAGCACGGTTCCCCACATACGAGCCCTTGAGAGATATGGATTTCACCACATGGGAAAACACCTCTGATTTAACATACGCATTGGCAGGAAGCCCAACCAATACAACTGTACCGCAAGGTCTGACATACTGAGTAGACAAAGAAATGGCAGCTTCCGACACGGAAACATTGATAACACCATGAGGCCCCCCGTGAGTGGCTTCTTGGATTTCGCTTACAATATCCTTGGTTTTCTTGAAATCAACGAAAACATCACCCCCGAGCTTGTGGAAGAGTTGTTTTTTGTCTTCTCCGCCGTCAATTCCTAGCACTTGTAGACCCATAGCCTTGGCGTATTGTACCGCCAGTGATCCAAGCCCTCCAGCCGCGCCAGAAATGGCAACCCACTGGCCAGGCACCAAGTCCGCCGTCTTGAGAGCTTTGTAGACAGTGACGCCGGCACACAAGATGGGTGCCACTTCGGCCAGGTTCGTGCCCTCGGGAAGCTGCGCAGCCTGGACAGCGTCTGCGGTGGCGTACTGCTGGAAAGTCCCGTCGTGGGTGTAGCCAGAAAGGTCTGCATGTTCGCAGTTTGGTTCGTGACCCTGCTCGCACAGCTCGCACGACATGCACGAGCCGTTGAGCCACTTGATACCGGCCAGGTCTCCGATTTCGAAGTTTGTGACGTTTTCGCCCTTTGCCACCACAACACCGGCACCTTCGTGTCCGCCAACCAGTGGCAGTTTCACTGGCAGCTGGGTCCAGTCACCTTTCCAGGCATGCAGGTCGGTGTGGCAGACTCCGGAGTACTTGACGTTTACCAATATCTCGTTGGCCTTGGGTTTGGGGACCGGCAAGTCCTTGTACTGCAGCTCACCGCCGTGTTCATAGAATATCACACCCTTCTGAGTTTTTGGGATGCTCGACTTGAACCGCAGTGTTCCCACGAATCCTGTAGTAGGGCTTCGACGATATCCTCCCAGGCCCAAAATTGTTCTTTGTATGCGCGACGGCGTGCCTGCATATCTCTGCATGCTTCTCTGCATTGTTGTCCTGGTGATATTTATTCTTCCGTGTGTGGTGATTTGCCTCTTTTTTCTTTTCCCGGCCTTTAGAGTCTTTTAGCCGAACCGAAGTGATCACGTAGTCCCGAAATCCCGTTTCCTAAGACGTAATTAAAGTTGGATGGGTTGCCGTAGCTTAGTGGTCCTGAAAGATTATACCAACATGTCAGCCTTTATATTTATACCTGCAGCATCTGTAATATTTCTGGCACCCGGGCTATTGCTGCGGTCTTACGCACAATCAACGATGCTCGGATGATGAATGACTGGTACAACTCTCACACCACCTGAGCTCTTTTTATCTACACATAGCTTTCTAATTCCTGTACTGTATAGCAAAACACACCCCTTTTGCGAGTTCTTCACCCACTTCTTGCTCGCGTGGCCATGGAAAATCGTTACCTCGGAGATGTCAGGCGGGCGAGGAGGGGGGAGGGCCCGGGATGCTCCGACGGGCTCGCTCGTGCGAAAGCACAGAACGAACAAACGAAGAAAACCTATAGAAAAAAAAGTAGGTTTCTTACATAATATACACGTGATTACGACGGATGCGGGCACGTGAGCGACAGAGCACGTGCCCGTAAGGTGGGTAGGGTGGTTGGTTCCGGAGGGCTTAACGCTTGCGCTGTTTCTTCCACTTGAAGGCCACGTTCCCGTGGGCGTCCTCGACCTTCTTCTTCGACCCCTTCTTCATTCCCTCGCGCTCCATTTCCATGCGTTGCAGGACCCCCGAAAGCTGTTTTTCGCGGTCCTGATGCTGCTGTAGTTGCCGTAGTTTCTTGAGCCTCTTGCGCTCCAGGGTCTCGGTGTCTGTCCCGATCTGCTTGACGCCAGCTTGCAAGCCCTGGTTGGCCAGCTGGTCGCGCGTGAGTCTGTTTTCACGGCGGTGCAGCAGTTCGGGTGTGGTGTTGAAGTGTTTCGCAGCGTCAAATGATTGCAGCGACTCCTGGTCCTCCACGAAAACCGTGTGCGCACCTCTCGATTTAAACATAGTTGTTTGCGCCTGTTTTTCAAGCACCTGGCGCTCGTTTTGACGAAGCGTACGCACATAGTTGGCGTCTTGGGTCTTCAGCAGTTTCACCTGCTCGGTTGACAAACTCGGATCTTCGCCTTTGGATTGTCTGGACTTTTGCAGCAGGCCCTTGGAGTCCAAGGTCCTGGAGTGCATGCCATGGTAGAACTCGTCCGGGTTTCTTTGCTGAGCTTTCTCCCTCAGAATTTTCAGAGTCGCTTGTTTTTGGTGGTAATTCTGAGCTCTCTTTACGTAGTCCTTGTGCTTTTCCAGGAAGCCGAACCTGGATCGAGAAGATACCTGCGAACGCTCGCGATGCTGCTTCTTTTGGACGTTGTGTACCAGCTTAGCCATATTTGTAGTACTGCTTGTTTTCTATTGCCTCAACTTCAGTTTTTGTAGGTCTATGTCTGCTTATCTCTATCTCTCTCTCTCGCTTTCTCTCTTGTCTTTCTCTTTCGCTCTCTCTCTCTCTCTCTTCTCAAGCGATGAGCCTAAGCGATGAGCTAAAATTTTTGGAACTAAAATTCGATATCGTACTATACGCCAAGTACAACTCGGTGAGCTCTGAATTTACATGGACCAGGAAGTAGACAATCGTGAGGCATAAATACGTATATGCCCTAGTTGCATCGGTTAGAGGAACTCTATTGCTCCCGAAGACTTCGAATGGACACTTCAGATCCCTCTTTGCCGCCGATGGGCGCAGCTTTACCCGCATCATTAGCTTTCCGCAAAAATGTGGTGTGCTACACCAGCGATGCGAGTACCGTTGTGGAGTTTTTGCAAACCTTGCAGCTTCCATACAGCATTTGGGATGACTACGATTGTATAGAGGCGAAAAGTAAACCCGAAACCGGTATGGTGTTGGTTTTGCCCAACGTGGATAAGACGCTTGCCTTGCAACAAGATAAACTAGCCAAGTACTTGCAAGTCATGCGGTCTCAAGATACGCCGTTTTTCACTGCCATTGCTACTGTTTCGCCGGGCTTTGTACCTTACGCACACATGACCGCATATTTGAAGCGTCAGTTCTGGTTTGCGTGTGCTGAACCTAGGCCTCAGGACTTAGTGGAACTTTCCGAGGACGAAATAGAGCCGCTAAAGGTTACGCTACGCCAGGTCCACGTGCATCCGTCAGTCAGGCGTTATGTGCTCGACATTATCGTTCATCTACGAATTCATAGATTCGCCAAACAAGCTTCCGGAGGTGGCTGTTCTACACGTGCTTTGGGTGATATGCTTGAGCTTTGCCAAACATTGGCTTTGGCTCAGGATCGAAGTTTCGTAATACCCGACTTGGTGAAACTAGCGTCTGAGTGGTATTTCCCGTTTCACTTGGAGCTAATTCAGGATCCGCGCCACGAGATATCTCTACAATTTGGATCCGATCCTGACTTAGTAACGCAACTCATTGACAAGCTGCATAGCTTTTCGCTGCAGAGAACCCAAGAGACTCAATATCCGCTCTACTTCCAGTACATGGTACTCAGGGACGTGCTAGAAAAAATTGTTCCCGCAATCTAGAAAAGCTGGGGACTTTAGTTTATCAGCTTTGCTGTTTGAGCGCAAAGCTAAGCCAATGAAGCTCCTCGCATTTTAGTGTCGTACTTCACGTTTCTCTGCCAAGATAGAGCCAATCTTGTTACATTTCTCTAACGCCAATTGTTTTTACCTTGCTAATATTGGAATGTACATTGCTTTACAGAGATTAAGACGCTCACCCAAAAAAAACTCTCGCTCTTAATTAAAACTATACGTGAAGCCTAATGGAGATCTTTCCCAAGGATGCCAAGCAGCACCCTTACAAGCATCCATTGTTTATTTTTGGTATGATTATTGATCAAGAAAAACTACGTTATAGGGCCCTGGATGTGCATGTGAGCCGCGCGCTAAAAAAAGACATAAATCACCAGACAAGCAATCTCCAGTAAACTATAAAGAGTCGAGTGATCCACCAATCGGCAGCAACGCAGGCACTCTGCTGTGCGTCAGAAAAATAATCAAAGTTTCAAACTTCAACTCCACCTCAGGAAGTTTTTTACAACCTTTGCCGATACAATTTTTGCCTGTGATAATTTGATCGTTGCAGATTCCGAGGAGTTTGGTTTCTTGACCATAAGATCCGGTTCTTCTCTGCAGTACGCATCCGTTTACGTCGAAGATTTCAAGCTTTACTTCTGCAGCTCAACGGACAGCCTATCTGCAGTGATCACCGACGACGGAAAACTCAAGCTACTCGGACAACAAGTATGCCGCACTAATTCGAACGGCTCTCTCATCGAGAGTTTCGAAGATGATGCTGCCACTGGATTTTCCATATCCGACGGCTACCTTTCTTACGGTAAAAAGGACGGTTTCACTGCAATCCCGTCCGGGAACAGGTACTTGGTCTCTACTCATGGCTCGAGTTCAAATGACATTGGTGTGGACGTCAGAGCCGCTTCATTGACATCGGAATCCTCTGTCTCTGACTTCAGGCCATATTCCACCTCTTCGGTGAGTCTCTCCACTTCTTCCACCTCTTCGACGAGCCTCTCCAGTCCTGCCTTCCAATCTGCTGCCCCAGCAACGAAGACCGCCCCCATTTCTCATTTCAGTGACGGTCAAATTCAAGCCACGTCTGCACCTAGCAGTTCCAGGGCTATTACACCGTATCTACAGTTTCACAAATCTTAGACGGCAGATTCAAGCCAATACAACGTTTGCGGAATCCATTTCTACTCTAAAATCTACTGCAGCTGCTATATCCCAAATTTCTGACGGCCAAAATCAAGCTACTTCCGCAGTATCTACTTCAAGCTCCGTTTGCAAGTCTGCTACCTCTGCAGTCTCTCATATTTCGGACGGTCAAATTCAAAACCCTTCATCGGTCACAATTTAAGTACAATCGGAGAACGGCGCTCCTTAGCCTGCTCCAGGATTAAGCGCGGGACTCTTTGTCGCTGCTGCTGCTCTATTGCTCTAGGTGCCACCCAAGTTGGCATTTCTCAATTCACGGTTGCATCCAACTTATTCATTCATTGTATACCTGATAATCATACGCCTCTGATCAGCTAGCCCTGGTGAGGGAGACCCTTGTGCTCTTCCGCTGCTCGGATCATAAACAAATAATACGGCTTGTCACAAGGAATACGGTAGCTGGCTATCGTTCTGCATTCGCAACATATCAAGATAATCCATCCATTCTCTAGAAAGATCGGAAAATCCTTGGATTCAAATATTGGACAGATCGAAGGTAACGTTATTTATGTCCAAACTCTAAACCTCTATTCTCAGTGCGTAAAGACTTTAGTAAGAAACTGGAAAGTGGCAGTGCTCTCTGTCTTTCAATTTAGCATAAGAGCATCAGCCGCCTAATCGTTACGTCTGTCAGCAATGTAAAAAATGTGACACAATAGTCGAAAGTGATATTGATCATATATTTAGAAGAGGTGAGCGGTTATAGGAAACTCAAGACTTTCAAAACAATTAGACATGCCAGACTCATTTCAACCTTCCTTTTGGCTTTATCGAGCTCTCGCGATACATTCCCGTAAAACCTCCTCTACAATAAGCTCAAGTTTATTACTATATCGACGAAAGCAAGTTAATCTCCGGCTTTCTTTTGTGACGCTATAAACAGTGTTTACAATTCGTTTTTGTGTAACACACTTCGCAAAGTTGTGCCGTAAGTCGAAACCTGAATATGCGTATATAAATACGTGAATAAATTGGGGGCGTATCCAACGAAACTCTCTTATGCACCAGCCACAAGTTGATCAGTACCGCGCTTTACCACTCGCCAGCTGTTTATTATTCGTAAGGTTATATACCATATCTAAATTCATTTCAGTTATATCTGCTGCTGAGTTACAATGAAGTTCGGCGCATTTCTAATTTCCGCCGCAGCTTTGCTGGTCCAGTTGGCCCGTGCTGACTCCCAAACATTTGGAATGCTTGTGGTTCGCTCCGGGTCGCCTCTGCAATACGCTTCAGTCTTCGCAGAAGATGGCAAGCTGTACTTGGGTGGCGCTCGAGTTGGTCTTTCCGGAACTGTAACCGATGATGGCAGGCTGAAGCTCTCAGACGGCACGTTTGTGGTGTTGCAACGCAACGGTGAACTGGAAGAGACCAAGGAAGAGGCTACAGCTTCAACTGGATTTCTCGTTACGTCTGGTTATTTGGGCTACGATGGGTCAATTGGATTCACCGGCGAGCTCACTGGTGAAGGTTATCGCTTCTCTACAACGATGACATCACCAGATGACTTGGACGTTCTCATTAAAGCCGTTCTGCCTAACGGATCTTCGGTGCCTGACTTCCATCCTTCACCTTCCACAACTGATCCTGATTGTACCAATTACCGCAACACGACCGTGACAGTTACCACTACGAAGGAAGATACTACCACCGCAACCATCACCACTTGTGAACAAGGTACCACTAAATTTTCGAGCGGTTCAATAACACAATCGACTTACACCGTGCCAACCTCCATTTTACCATCGTCATCTTCTTACTCGAATCGTACCACTTCAAGCTCAACATCCCCATATTCCTCGACGAATTATGCAAACAGCTCATCGGTTATAACAATCGTTCCTTCAAGTTCCACTCTCGGTGTGACCACTTCAAACTTCAGCCTTCCAGTTTCATCAGTTTATCCAATCTCTAGCTCTTCAATCCAAGCTTCGAGTTCAAATGCAAATACGTCCTCTCTGACAAGCTCTACAGCATCAAGCATAGTCACAATTGTTCCTTCCTCGTCTAAGACTTCACAACCTTCAAGTGGAAGTCTAAGCTCGACTTTCAACGCTTCCACCTCTACAGTTCCATCTACCACTGTAGGTATTTCAATTTCATTTTCGTCAAGCATCGTCACAGTTATACCTTCCTCGACCAAAATTTCACAGTCCTCCAGCGGAAGAGTGAACTCCAGCTCCGGCAGCTCCACCCCTGCAAGCACCTCGATTTCTTCAACTGGTTCATCTACTGTTTTCTCTACTGCTCCCTCTACTGCGTCCTCTAATACACTTCCGGTTTCTTCAAGTATAGTTCCAACGTCAAAGAAGGCATCAAGCAGCTTCACAAATACATTGTATTCAGGTTCTACCACACTAGCTCCTTCTTCAGTCTCTTCCATTTCGGTGACAGGCTCGGTTCCATCGTCTAGTCCTGTTCCTAGCTCAGTATCTTCCACTTCAGTGACAGGCTCAGTTCCATCGTCTAGTCCAGTTTCCAGCTCAGTCTCGTCCATTTCGGTGACAAGCCCAGTTCCATCGTCTAGTCCTGTTTCTGGCTCAGCATCTTCCACTTCGGTGACAAGCCCAGTTCCATCGTCTAGTCCTGTTTCTAGCTCAGCATCTTCCACTTCGGTGACAAGCTCAGTTACATCGTCTAGTCCAGTTCCTAGCTCAGTCTCGTCCATTTCGGTGACAAGCTCAAATCCATCGTCTAGTCCTGTTTCTAGCTCAGCATCTTCCACTTCGGTGACAAGCTCAGTTATATCGTCTAGTCCAGTTTCCAGCCCAGTCTCGTCCATTTCGGTGACAAGCCCTGTTCCATCGTCTATTCCGGTTTCTAGCTCAGCATCTTCCACTTCGGTGACAGGCTCAGTTCCATCGTCTAGTCCAGTTTTCAGCTCAGTCTCATCCATTTCGGTGACAAGCTCAGTTCCATCTTCTAGTCCTGTTTCCAACTCGGTCTCCTCCAGTTCGGTTGCGAGCTCAGCTCCATCGTCTAGTTCGGTTTCTAGCTCAGTTTCTTCGAGTTCTGGAACTGTAACCTCATCCGTAATCCCAGTCTCTTCATCGGCGACTGCTAGCTCCAGCGCTATGAGCTCTGCTTCGGTAGTGTCTTCTCAATTTTCAAGTAGTGCAACTCCTTCATCGATGACAAGTTCAACCCAAACAAGTGGTTCTAGTATTTTAAGTGGCACTACGCCTTCGGGATCAAGCTCAAGCTCGACTTTATCGTCTCTAACTCCATCAACGACCCTGAGTGGTACCGCTTCCTCAACATTGACCTCGGAATCCACTCCCTCAACTTCTGCTCCGTTATCGTCTTCCTCGGTTACAAGCGCGTCGAGCGTTTCGAGCTCGATGAATTCTTCAGCCGCTTTGTCCTCAAGGGTCTCGTCAAGTGCATCTTCAAACACGGCTTCTACTCTAATTTCATCATCGCAAGCAAGTTCAATCTCCTCGACAGGGCAGTCCTCGTCCGCCTCGGTAACTGCTACTAGTTCAAGCAGCCCTCAGCCACCTGCGTCCTCGACAACCGCTTCTCAATCATCGACAAGATCCAGTTCAAAGAACGGTGCAGCAAACTTAGGTGCTACCAGCCTGGGTGCCGGCATCCTATTTATGGCTGCTATGCTAATCTAAGAAACCAAACGCGATCTTACTCAACAATGGAAGGTCTTGCTGACACAATTTCAATGCCGCATGTCCAAAACCATTTCGTACCTCTTTTTCAGTTCTTACAAAGTTGCTCGCCATATTTTACAAAACGCAGGAGTTTACTTGAGCTAAACCCCTCAATTGTTTCTGCATGCTAGTTAACTTTCTTAGTTTTAAAGTCCTTTTCACATAATACACCGCTTTCTTTCTAAATGTCGTTTTGTCGTTGACTGGCATAACGTATATATTATTTCAATTATGACTTTTTTGGGTTGAAATAGACTCGATGAGCTGCATGAACAAAAAGGCGAGACGATAGCTTCTACGCAAACACCAAAGTCGTTAATTCCTGATTAGTAGTCAATATGTCAGAGAGAAAGGTCATAAACAAGTACTATCCGCCGAATTATAACCCGCTTGAGGCGGAAGAGGCGGCCCGTAAACTATCAAAGAAGCTAAAAACCATGAACAAAGACTCGGTAACTATTCGGCTCATGACGCCATTCAGCATGCGATGCTTGAAGTGTTCCGAATTCATTCCTAAGAGTAGGAAGTTCAATGGAAAGAAAGAGTTGCTGGCAGAACGATATTTGGAAACGATCAAACAATACCGGCTTAGTATCAAATGCCCTAGATGCAACAATATGATCTCGTTTCGTACCGATCCAAAGAGTGGTGACTATGTCATGGAGGTTGGTGGTGTCAAAAATTTCGTAACCGAGAGCACAAAGTTCGAATCCGGTAAGAATGAGACGTTAGACGAGACACTTCAACGACTAGAAAGGCAGCAGCAGCAGGAGAATGATGAGGTTAAAAAAGACCCACGAGAAGACAAGCTTGAACAAATCGAAAAGCGTCTAGCCAAGATGCAGCAAGAGCAAGAAGACTACGAGAATCTCGAGTCACTGCGAAGAGGAAATATAGCTAAAATGAAACGAGCCGCGGCACTTCGGGAAAATCTGCGTCTTGCGGACGAGGAAAAAAACACTGGCGATGCAAAAAGGGCTGAAGAGGCCTTTCAGAAGTATCGAGACGCCTCGGCCGTGGGATTCAACGTCCTAGAACCATCTCAACCGGAAGCGTCAGCCCCTCTCGCGGCAACTACCATACCTCAGAAGATAAGAATGAAAAAGAAAACGAAATCGAACTCTTTGGGAATTGTGCGAAAGAACAAGAGCTAGATTTGATAGGATAACATTCTCACCTATCTGCAAAGTAATCAACGATTACCATAGCCGTCTAAAATTTTCTTTCGATCTGCACTTATTGTCAAGGAAGAGTGAATACTGGCGATTAAACACTTTTGATTAACTCAGCATGCTGTCTGCTTAGCATCTTGCGGACACCTTCAAAGTTTTGTAAAGAAAACCCTGGCGATCTCAATATCTGCCATCGTAACGGTTGATGTCGCTTCGCAGTGATTCGGCCTTCAAGAGTTTTAATTCCATCAGAAATACTACACTAGAAATTCAAGGAGAAGAAACCTGGTATGAAAGGTTCCCGCGTTATGTTCGTGGCAATCGACGAAATACCAACTCCCAGTGGGAGGTGTGTTATAGAAAGTCCGACCTTAGATCTGTCACCTTACTCACGTGATCAGATTATAACATGTTTTAGCTCGTTAAATGAAATGTAAGAGGGCACTGTCACAAAACTCCGATCAAAACAGAACAATACAATGTTTTTCAGATCAAGTTCCAAACCAGACCCCGTCCCCTTTCCCTACAAGTATTCTGTTGGCGATTTCGATAGACAAAAGCACAGCTTCAATGGAGCAGAGTTTGTATGTATGAAGCGTCCTGTGGCGTCTTCAGAAAACAAAAAGAATAAAGGTTTCGTGAAGGCCCGTGTGTTGATAGTACATGGATTCTCGGAACATACTTTGCTTTACACTCGTGTCATGGATTACCTGAGCCGCGTAGGTATTGAGTCGTTTGTTTTCGATCAAAGGGGCTCGGGTCAAACTTCTCCAGGAAAGCTGAAAGGTTTGACCGACGAATCGCATACTTTTCAAGACCTCGATCATTTCATCGAATGGAATTTAGAGGACAAGTCAAAAGAGACGCCACTTTTTCTTTTTGGCCACTCCATGGGCGGTGGGATTATCTTGAACTACGGGTGCAGTGGTCGCTACAGAGATCAAATCGCTGGCATAGCCTGTACTGGACCTCTTGTTATTTTGCATCCACACTCAGCCCCCAGGGCTATTGTGAGTTTTCTCTCTCCAGTTATTGCGCTATTGTTACCGCGGTTTCGAATCGATACCGGCCTCGACTTGAATGCTACGACATCAGACGCTCAGTATCGCGAGTTTTTGAGCCGTGATCCATTAACAGTCCCGCTCTATGGGTCTCTGAGGCAAATTTACGACTTTTTAGAACGTGGAAAGAGGCTAGCACGGGATAAAACGTACGTGGCTAAATTCCAAACGCCTGTTCTTATCATGCATGGTCAGGAAGACCAAATTAATGACCCCAAAGGATCGCAAATGTTTTACGATATCTGTACAGTATCCGACAAACAACTAAAGTTTATTCCAAAGGCACGGCACTCGCTATGTTTGGAAGAAGATGCGATTTTCGAGGATATGGCAGACGGCTTGAAAAGTTGGATACTTGAGCACGCGACACAGAGGCCTTGAACTTGTCGTTCATTTTTATGAGCATCTCAAAGCCTGCATGCTCACGAAGTAGCTAACCATTTTGGCATCGCAAGCACTGGTCTCTGAAAAGAATCATACTGATTTGTTTTAGACGCATGATTATTCATGCGAACCATGGCAATTGCCCATAACTTGCTGGTTTATACGGAGATTGTCAAGTCGCAAATCAAAACATCCCTCGAGTTTAGCAAGTATCGCTCTATCCCAGGTTTTATGTCAGTTCACAGGCAATCAGCAAATTTCTTACCACTCGGGAAATTTGTTGCAGCAGATCTTTGATTGAAAAACCATTATATCCTAAAAAAAAAGAACGGAGGGACAAACGATACTAACAGAGGTACTTAGATTGATTTGCTAGGAGCCCAAGGACCCTTCCGCAGCAAAAACAATTTGTGCCGGTTTGTGAACTAATCCCCAGTCTAAGGGATTTTAGCCATCACAACTTGGTATTCTACGAAGCTCACTGAAATTAAGACTGGCATATGCTCCGCTCCCTCGCTAATCATGGCAAAGCAAAAGAAGCTCCAGGGTCTTAACTGGTTTTCGCCCAATTGCCTGTAGTTAATACAAAATATATCATGTATCACGTGGCGTACCTCTCGACGGCACTGTGACGGTTTCTTTCGAAAAATAATGCCTTAGAGATCAACAAATAACAAATTAAAGTGGAAGGCAGATCTAGACCCTGGCCAGTACACTCACTTCCTATTTATCTCCCTTGTCTCTGTAATCACGAAAGTGGAAGCAAAAACTCCAGAAAGACTTCTGTGAGCTTAATCGGAAATAACAAGGTGATCTGAAATTTGTTACAAGATATCCTACATACTCTTCTCCAAACAACAGGACCACTCGTGGTAGGAAGATAGAAGAGATAACTTTCGAGACGCAAACAAAGTCTCGAGATGGCCGTGGATAGCACAGATATAGCAGAGACTTCTTTGCTGGCGGCTAGCTCCGCAGCTGTAAGCACCACGAATGGTACAACCGGCGCCGAAAATGTTGTTGGGAATTCGAGCCAGAAATACGAACTACCTAGGGCACCGGCAACATTGAACGTCAGTGCACTGCAAGATAGAGATAATGACGATCTGAGTGATAGTGCGGAAACGCTGGACTACAAGTCTATGGACCCGGGCAAACCTGAAGCGTCGCAGGTAACGGAAGTGAGCGAGATTTTACAATCGACGTCCCTGGACGATCCAATACAGTTCACAAGAGTCTCCTCCTCTTCAGCACTGAGCAGCAGCTCCTATGATGGCAGCGATGTCATCAGTGGGTCTCATGAGACAGAGACAGAGCCAGGCAACCAAGAACCTTCGCACCCGCAGGTGAAAAGCTCGAGACAAGAGTCAGGGTTGTTCGAGCTGCAAGAACAGTCAACGCTCGGCGACAAGACCAATTCTACGATAAGAGCTTCAGACCAGTATTATGCTGAGAGCACTGGACTGACGAATGACTCGATGTTGCTATCAGGTGGTAATGAAACTCCGATCTCGCAAGAATTCTCTACTCGAAATAGTTCATCAGCCAACATTGACAATCACAGTCACCTTAAGAGTAGTACGCCAAAGAGTGACTACAGTCGTGAAAACTCAAAGAAAGATGTTGTGAGGCACTCTCCTAATGGTTTTATAATGGAAGAGCCCCAAAACTCTAGTCCCGATGTTAATGGTAAAGAACCTGAAACTAGAGACACCGGTAAGACAAGGCCGGATTCATCTGGAGCTGAAAAGCAACCTTTGGTAACACCTACCATCATCCAAGGAGATTTCCATCAGCAACATCAACCAGGTTCTGTTGCTAAAATACAATCTCAAAAATCACCCTTCCAAGTGGTCTCATCACCTTTTAACAACATGAGGAAGGCTTCTCGGCCCGGAGATGTAACTCCAGAAAGTCCGAGGTCACAATCACAGACTCCTTCGCCAAGTCTGGAGGGTAAGAAAAGAAGAAGTGGAGGGAACAGAATGAAGGGCGTTTTTTCTTCGTTGATGCAAAATATGAAGAGAACCTCGCAGGGCGAGAAGAGACAATCCAACTCTGGTCTGAAAATCTCAACACCATATAATGCCAAGCACGTTCACCATGTCGGTGTTGATACCAAGACCGGTGAATATACCGGTTTACCCGAAGAGTGGGAGAAGCTATTGACGTCGAGCGGGATTTCAAAAAGAGAACAACAGCAGCACCCACAAGCTGTCATGGACATTGTTAAATTCTATCAAGATGTAACAGAAGCGAATGGTGAAGACAAGGTCTTTAAAACTTTTCACGTTGGAAACTCAGGAAAGAATATATCGAGTACCTCTTCTTTCAGAACTCCATCTCCACCATCTGTTAACAAGTTCGAAAATTCAGCGCCCAAAGCTCAGCCGCAAACCAGTCTGGGTCTCAACAGCACTGCACAGGAACTCCAGTCACCTGTAAATCTAAGAGAGGTACCAAGGCAGCATAATTTATCAAGCAATGAACGGTATATGCCAAGCCGCCCGGCTCCAAAACCGCCAGGAACCCCTACCAAAAACGATATTACTTCCCCACTTGCGCAATCAAACTCTGCTAATGTCTCTCCTAAAGTTGCCCGTACCGGAAGCTTGTCATCTGGAATCAAAGCGTTATCGCGCAAAAATACTCTGGCGAAGGCTGAGCAGGCAACCCCATCTCAAGTACAGAATAAGAACGTTTTGCCAAGCGCGAAGGCTAATCTAGAACCGTCAAAAATTGGGTCTGTAGTTAGGGCAGCTCCTCCACCACCTCTTCCTAAAGATGTGCCAAAATCTGAAACTGCACCAAGTGATATGCAGAAAGCTGTCGACTTGAAACGGGAAGACAGAAGGAGAAAAATTCAACAGCTCTATGCTACGCTTGCGGAAATTTGTTCCGAAGGAGATCCCAGTAAGCTGTACAAAAATCTCATAAAGATTGGTCAGGGTGCTTCGGGAGGCGTATATACTGCCTACGAAGTCGGCACGAATGCCTCAGTTGCTATCAAACAAATGAATCTTGAAAAGCAACCCAAGAAAGAGCTCATAATTAATGAAATTTTGGTTATGAAGGCAAGCAAGCATCCCAACATTGTGAATTATATTGATTCCTATGTTTTGAGAGGCGACCTTTGGGTTGTAATGGAGTACATGGAGGGTGGGTCATTAACAGACGTCGTCACACACTGCATACTGACCGAAGGTCAGATAGGAGCTGTAAGCAGAGAAACTTTGGAAGGTCTACAGTTTCTACATTCAAAAGGTGTAATACACCGTGACATAAAATCTGATAATATCTTACTTTCGATGACAGGAGAAATCAAGCTGACAGATTTCGGTTTCTGTGCACAAATCAACGAAACAAATTTGAAGCGCACAACAATGGTGGGCACACCGTATTGGATGGCCCCTGAAGTTGTTTCAAGAAAAGAGTACGGGCCTAAAGTTGATATATGGTCCCTTGGTATCATGATTATTGAAATGATTGTAGGTGAGCCACCTTATCTGAATGAAACGCCATTAAGGGCCTTGTATCTCATTGCCACAAATGGTACTCCAGAGTTGAAGGATGCTGAAAGTTTGAGTGATGATATGAGAGCCTTCTTAGGCTGGTGTCTGCATGTAAATCCTGACGAAAGAGCAACCGCTTCACAGCTTCTCATGGATCCCTTCATTACAGCATATGCAGATGATGTTCGTTCTCTCGCACCCCTTGTAAAACTTGCAAGGATGAAAAAGCTCGCAGAGAAGATGGAAGATGGTGATGAGAGTGGTGAGGAGAGCTCCTGATTGTTACGACCGCATCTCGCAAGTTTAACTTGCTATTTCTGCGCTAGTACGGCTGTGCACGATATGAGCCATGTGAAGTGAATGCGATATGAAGATTGTATTATATGTTTATAGACTTTAGTTGCTTGACCTAATAAACAACAAATTAGATTACACCGGGCGCTGTGTCATAACCCATGACAGCCAATCAACTTTGTGATATACTCATGTCGCTTAGCGACTTTCTAGGGTCTTTGCTCGTGTCTTCTTTCCCCTTCATCGAAGGCTTATCCACAGGTTCCGAAAGCGAACTGGTATGAGTATTGGGTATAGTGACCTGCACAAAATACATTTTGGCAATGTTTTTTCCTTTGTTAATCAGTGCATACTCATTGTAGGCGGGGATTTGAAAGGAAGACCCCTCAGTACATATCAATGTGTTTTCGCCAATTGTGATCTCCAGAACACCTTGTATCAGATAAAAATTGATGAAAACGTTATGAGAGTCAGATGGTTTCTTCCTCGATCCAACGGGAAGCGTCAAGAACCCGCTCGCAAAAGATTCCCTGTACTTGTCAAATAAAACTGTTAAGGAGTAATTTCCATCTATCATGTGGCGTGAGTGTTCAGGGCGAGCAGCAATATCAGAGTACGCCAACACATCCTCCTCTTTTTGCGTGTGATCAGCAGATGTGTTCACCTTTGCCTTGTATACGCCCTGTTTAACCCATTCGGAATGCCGAATTTGTCCTGTACTGATTTTGGCTATCAAAGTCTGGTTAGGATTACCTGGTCCATCCACCATGTCAACAATCGTGTCCTGATTTTTCCTGGGCCTACCGCGTGGCCTCCCTGAGGGAGTAAAGTTAAATGGCCTTTTTTTGGCCATCTTCCTCTTCCTAAGCATCTCCTCTTCTTCATCCTCGTCTTCCTCATAAGTAATGACTTTGTCAATTTCCAGAACCGGTTTTCTTGATTTGCGTTTATAAACCACTTTCTCATTTCGCCAGTACTCCAAAGGCGCTATTTTAACACGGTTCGATTTTCGTACGCCGTTCACTCTTGAATAGTTGACTTCCTGGCCTAGCTCCTGCGCTTGATCCTGTATAAATTCGTCATCGGACTTTTCATCAACAGACGATTCTTGATCTGAATTTACAAGTCCCTTCCTCCCAACTGGCCTGCCGAGTATACTTTGATTGGTATTCTTTAACATACCGTGCTCATTTGAAGAGCTGCGGCCACTTGCATTGTCTTCGTCTTCAGACTCACTAAAACCTCTTTTGGCACGGTACCTTTGTTCCTCTACATAATCACCATCTTCTTCACTTTGAAGTTCGTAGTCACGGTCCAGTTCGTCCTCAAGCAAGGCGTTGTCAGAAGTGTTAAACGTCGTATTCCCGTGCGACGGTTCATCTTCATCGTCTGCTACCAGATCTGGAACATCTCGGTAGCTTTCGTTGCCATAATCTGAGGCAGGGGTTTGCGGCAGAGCTTCGTCTTGAAAGCTTTCCTCATCTGTTCTATAATCTGGTTCGTACCGTCTTGTTTTGGTAGTTGGTCGTCTCTCAGAACGATCCACCTGAATGTGGCTTAACTCCTGTTCCTCTATAAGTTCTTGTGCTTCATCAAAATCACCGCCAAAGACATCCTCGGTAAGTGCTTCCCTAGCCGGTTCTTCAGCAAAGTCTTCGTAAATGGTCGGTATGCTGGGCGGTAGAAAATTGGAGCTTCTTCTCGATGTTTCTGTGAATCCTTCAGGTAAAATCGGCTGTTGTAGGGGCAGCAAAGACGACTTTCGGCTTCTCCTTCGCGTCGAAATGTAACTTTCGTCCTCTTTAAAAAACTCATCTACGCTCTCCATGGAGAACTCATCCTTGCGAATACCGTGCTGAATTTTGATCCCGGTTTTGCGCGCGGTGACCCCAAGATTCATGTAGTCCATCTTGATGTGATTTTGACGCTGTTCCTCAGCACATCTGAAAAGGGTGATGAGTTTACTTTTATGTTTTGTTGATCCGACAAAACACGAAATCTAATGGTAAGCACGTGACTCTTTCTTTACCTCTAAGTTAACGCTTTTTAGGTAATACGACTGTACGCTTTCCTTCGATGATAAAGAAAGAAGCTTCTTCAATGTAAGCGTAGCTGCTCTCTTCTAGAAATCTCTTTATCTTTATTCTCACTTTCGAGATACCTCCAAGACTGTGCAGCCCCCGTCCAGTTATGATTTTAAAAGACGCAACGTTTTGAGCCTTGATGAGGTTAATTCGGTGGGCATTAAGCTCGCGAAGATTAGACTCCTCGTCCCACCATCTCTTCAAGCACGTCTGTGCTATTAGGACGGCTTCATGTGGCAAAAATCCATGCAGATCTGCGGTGTAAGTCTCAAACATGGTTTCGCAAATGCGGAGTGCCTTTTCATAATTTGCGTCGCTGGCGAAAGAGTTTGGCGCTAGAAGATGATTATGGAGGCCTACGTCGGAAGGTATTACCGGGCTTTTGGATTTGAGTTTGCTTTCGTGATTTTCATTGGGAATAGTATTTGCAGAGGCATCGATAAACGTGTATTGCGCACAATTGTTTTCGATGATGTAGGCAGCCACCACTGTGGTCCTCAGCACATCTCCACGGTAGAACCTTAGTGCCGTTTTGAGAAAGTACGGGCTCACGGCTTTCAACAACGGATTACTTGTAACTATGGTCTTAAGTTCATTGAGCTCGTCCTCTAAATTCTGGTAGTCGGTGTCGCTAGTTTGAGGGGCGGGTACGCTCGTATTTTGCTTACCTTCAGTTTGTGTGCTCTCCTTGGCGTCAAAATTTGTTTGTTTGCTATGCGCCAAGCCCTGTGAAGACTGTACGCGGCCACCCACTTTCGTCATCGGATTTTCTACACCATGTTGACTCGCAGCTGAAGTAGTTTCAGACCGTGATTTTTCAAGCTCAGAAAGATATTCTTCGTAGTGGTATATAATATCTACGACCGCCCGCGCAGGATCCAAAGATCTCTTGTAAAAGGCTGCGTGTGCGGTGGCAGATGATACATCCGTATAGCTCACAATCTCACGGACGTGGTCGCCGGAGGTGGCCCAGACTTTCTTCTGGGATAGAGGCGCGGAAGTAGAGCCTGTGTTTTCTAGCTTCTGAAAGGAATGCACAGGCCTGTATAACCGCTTTTTTAAATTAACGGCACCTTTTTGACTCTCTGGTCTACCTCGACCGTTCCCACCTTCACTGCTGGGACAGCTGGGTAAAGTAGGGCTGCTTTCAAAGTCGCTCTCAGACAACTCTTGACCTTTTTCTCTCATTTGACTTATAGCTTCCTGTTCACTTAAAATCATGTTGCTAGCCATCTCAACGTCTCCGTTGGCGCTGTTCAAAGTTGTCTGTAAAATTGTTTCGTTCACATTAGGGAACAGGATTTCTAATGCAGAAAGCTGGTTTGACATGCTTTCGTATTTGTCCTGATTCAATATGTTCTTATATGTTGTATTACTTTTCGAGACAAAGATATTCGTAATATGACAGAATATATAAAATATAACGATCTAGAAACCCCTGCGCTTATGCAAAAACTACGTCGCTCCTCAAAACCCATTTGACCCCTCTGTAGACCTCTTGAGCCTCGTGTAACAGACAATCATCGCCATGCTTGTGCAAGAGAGCCATTCCAACCTGAGGATGGACCGCAGTGACATCGGTCTGTTGAGAGGAATAGAATATGGTATCCCCACCAACCAGTTGATCTCCACCAGATAAATATAGAAGCAGGGTCCAGTGAGTGCTACCCATTTTGGGCACCACAATTGATGAGTCGTAGTGTTTGGCAAATCGGTGTCCCTTTTCGTAACGATAAGCCCGAATCTGGGGGTTAAGGCCCTTAGCATTTATGAATTTCAGGTTATGCAAAATGTGTTCATTTTTTGCAATGCACTTATACAGCTTTTCCCACAGTAATTGAGCTACAGCAGCATCGTTTGTCGCAAATCGTTCATTTAGCCTCTCGGCATATTCCTTCGTGCCTTTCTGTTCAAATAGCTCCATAACGCCTGGTTGTGAGAGACTTGCACATATCTCCTGGCATACTTGATTGGAGAAGAACTTGTTGACGATTATAATCTTGTCATCCATCATTGATTCGGGTGTTGGCACGAATTCATAGTTCCGAGTTTTCGAATTAAGATTATAAATTGAGTCAGGGAACCTAAAAGCAGTGGCTGTGGTCTCATTTGAGGCACCTTTGTTGGCCTTTGTTGTCTTTTTGACCATCGATTACTCTCGTGAAAGAGTTTAGTGCTCCGCAAGTAAACTTAATATCGACGAGTATCGTTATTGAATCGTAACAGCATACGAATTACTAAGTACCTAAAAGTATTTACCGCCCGGCTCCCGATAGAGAGCATATCTGTGACCAAAGAATTGTAGAGTGGTTGAATTGCTCTGTACAATTCGTTTCGCAAGCCTTGGCTTGCGCTGTGTAATCCTGTGATTTCCATTATTGGCACTGTCTCACCAAATCGTCCACAACGTCCTGACGATAGGCTGGTCCATGGCCGTGGCAAATCTCCAGGCCCTTCAGGTTCTGCATCACAGAATAAACGTCAAAATCTTGATCCTGTGATACGTCATTCAAGTACTCCCAAGTTGCCGGTAAAGTGAGCAATTTGCGGCCGCCATGTTCATAACTCGTATTTAGAAGTGGGAGTTCCAACGGTACACAATGATCTGCAGCAGCCGACTCGATAAACTCATTCTGAGTTGGGAAATGGAACTTAGCAGGCTTTCTTGTATTTGCGAGCAAGTCGGGCGAAGGAAGTGCGTCGTTTTTACGCGAAAGCAGACGATTCTCAGTGGCTATTTCCAAATTTTGTTGCTTGAGTTCCTCAATTTCTCTGTGAAGTGCCTGCTTGTCACGCTCACTGGTTAAAAGTTTCGCTTCTAGTTCCTTCAGTTTGGCCTCTTTGCGTTCTCTGAATGCCTTTTGAGCAGCTCTATTTTGCGCTTTCTTGCGAGCCATAACGTCCTTCTCAGATATCGGCTCATCTTGATCTGCTTGTGTGGTATGATCGTGACTTTCGTTTATCTTAGTAGAATCGTCATTTGAGCCGTTCTCATGGGAAATTTCAGGCGAATTAGACAAAGGAGGGGTTATCGATAGAGCCTCTTCAGTGTTCCATGTGAGTAGCTCCTGAAAATTTGGGTTGCCAAGCTCCATTCCACTGAATAGAGCTTCTCCAGACTTCAAGCCGGCGCGAGAATCATTGTCAGCTGCGGGGCTATATTTATTGAAGTCAAAACCCAAGTTGTGGTCGATGGCTTGTTGACCTGAGCCACGTTTATTTTGGCCTCTATGTTCACTAGCAAACATATCGCAGTCGCTGCTAACGCTATTACCAGAGGTAGGCTCTATCTCCATCGAGCTGAACAACGCTATTTTTAATTTATCATCCATCCCGATTCCAAAATGATGTTTGAGGGATCGTCAAAAATGGACTAACTTAAAATTAAGATTTAATTACGAAGAGTGATCGAACAACAGCCAACTATAACTTTGCCAATATCCAATCGAACTCTTGAATTCGTGTGCATGTTGGAAAGCTGCACGGAGAACCGCAAAGTGTGGACTGATCGTTAAACTGGCGAAATGATCCGATTTGAAAAACCTTCAATGTCTACAACCTACGCAGAACCACCTATCGTTATGGGCTCTTCAACTGCTAGCTTCTTCTTGCGGAGCCGACTTCCTACGTAGAGATAAGTCACAAAGGCATTTTTACGATATCGTTCATGTGAGAGAATTCAGTTCGAAGAGATCCACCGCTGAACGTACTACCAAGCTACTAGTTGGCAAGTGCGCCAAGACAGAAGCGTCAATGCACTCGTGGATACCAGCAAAAAATGATTTCGCCCAGGATCGAACTGGGGACGTTCTGCGTGTTAAGCAGATGCCATAACCGACTAGACCACGAAACCAATTATGTAATTTGCTGATTAGAAAAGATATTAGTCTGCCTGAGAGTCACAAGATAATGGTTCATGGTATGAATGATGGTTCCTCGGCCCTTATGTTTCGGCGCTTTTTAACATGGAGCTTCTCTGTAAGATCACTGTACTGTTAGTTGCATTGAATGCACGGAAGTATCAGCCAAGAATTGCAATGGTTTCATTTCTTATTTTTAATATCCTTCTAAGTTATAGTTTTTCTCACCACTGCACACTTTCGATTGACGACGCCAGAAATGACACCGATTCCAAAATACCTCAAAACAAGCCCCTCCTTTTTAAGCTAATCAGGACAACCTTAATGCGTGTGGTGTTATAAAGATTATACGAAAGTTACCTCGTCTTGCGGGATGATCGAGTATTTCGGCTTCGGTATGCTCTGGTATCCCACATAGGGTCTTCATGAAATTCACAATAATTTCCTCGTGCCAAGGAAATCCCAGCACTAAGTATTTTGATTTAATCCGATAAAAGAGGTTGAATTCACAATAGTAGTATACGTATCGCCGTGGGTATCTACGATAATTGTTCATTGATTCAAGAAACTTTAGTTGATCCTTGATTCACCAATGAAAATTAGGAAATTTAGCCATGGAATGTAGGAATAAAGAAGTTAGCCGTTATGCACGAAAAACCTTCGCCATCCTTAACACTCAAGCGGCGCCCGTCGGTTCAACTTAATTCGTTGGAATTAAGTTGCACCGACAGCATATGCTACTTTTTGTATGCTACTTTTTGTATGCTACTTTTTGTTGCTGCGGTCCAATTCTAGGTCAAGCGGAAGTATGTCAAAACCTTTGGAGGATGATTCCTGATGTTCCCTCATTTCCTTCAACCTACGTCTAACCCAATTATCATTCCCACAGTGCATTCCATGTCACGTTCTTTCTAACAGCGTCTGAAAAACCTTCTTTGTATTTGATCCAAATCTTGATATGCTCTTGAGAAGATTGACCAGTAGCCTCCTGTTCTGAATAAAGAGGCGCTCCTTTTTTCTGCACGTTTGCGTACTGCGATCTAAAATAATCGGCAGGCTTGGACAACGAGGATTTCTGCCTCTTCCTAGCGGTCTCTAGGTCCTCTTTCTCAGTTTTAGCGTTCTCAATCGTCCTTTTTCTCACAACACTTTCTTGTACTTTTGCACTGACAACATTCAAAAGCGCAGGTCTCTTTGTAAAAACTTCTTTGACTCGCTTTTCATTCATTAATATAACTTTGTCAAATGGCGGCTCTATGCAAGTAATTCTTGGCAAGTCCGTATCAACCCGCTCACCAAATGTTAGGTTGAAACCGGTAATTGCAGAAACCATGTTACTAAATAGCGCATTCTTGACAAGCCCATTCCTGACTTTTGAGAAATCGGCAGCTATCATATGATCCAAAAGCGGTAGAATTTCAAGGGTCAACGCCTTTTTGTTCATATAAATCTGAGATCCTGGAGATGTGCGTCTTAGCGTGGCAATTATGATATCTTCGTTTCTTCGCAGTATTTCTCTTTGCTCAAATTCATTGTGCTGGGTTCTAACGTCATCCTTATTGGCGATATCACTGAAAAGATTAAAAAATGCCATAGGGACTGCTGAATTATACCGCAGTAGGTCTCCGTTGTGCTCAAACAGAGATTTAAACATAAGGTCATTGAAGTATAACCAATCTGCAGCTACGCTTGGTTTTCTAAGACCTTGATCAGAGTATTTGACATTAGGAAACATCAGAAAGCAACCATGAACAATCTTTTGATAATTAGAATTTGTCTCAACGTCTCTTAGAAGCTTCTCAAATTGGTATTTCACATCTACATGTGGGTTTTTTTGGAACATTTGATTACAGATTTTAAACCATGGCACTGTCATGTCCTTTAAGTGGTCACCAAAACCTGACGAATCCGTATCAGAAGCCAGAGTGGCCAAAAATTGCATGTTGTTGAGACAACTTCTTACATCACCTTGAAAGTTTTCCGTTAGTTCCTTCAACCTTTTCTTATCCATATGCAGTCTTTCCTTGTGGCAAACATGGAAAAGTCTCTCCACTATCGCGTTTTCTGAAGGCCTTTGAAATGTTATGATCTCGCAGTGTGGCCTTAATTTCTCTAATGCAGAGGCGTAAACGTTATTACAGATGGTGATTATAGGACGCGTCATGATCTGGCCTTGTGCTTTCTTACGCTGACGCTTGCCCTTTGATTTTATTGGGGCACCGCTTAACAATCTTTGTGTTGCTTTGAAATCATTGTTGATGATGTCAACGAGTACTTTGACAAAACCAGACTCTATGCTGCCATCTATTTCATCTGCAATCAGACAAACAGGTCGCTCGTCAAGTGTGTTAGAAAATAGAGCGTTATGGACACGGTCTTTGACACGCGGTCCCGCTCTTTCGTCGCTTGCATTGATCTCCATTATTGAGTATCCCGCTTGCTTGGCTACCACATGTGCTACAGAAGTTTTCCCTATCCCCGGTGGTCCATTGATCAGTAAGATTTTCTTGTGAGGTCTTTGAAGTGGATCCAAATGCTCCGGTGAGTCCTGAGGCCTCGTATTTGCTCCTCTCCACTGGTTGGAGCCCTTCGTTGGCAAAACCTCGCCAAACACCAGCGGCGACCATTGCCGAAGCCACTTCAAAACGCGTCTGTTGGTCTTTTCGTTGCCCACTAGATCAAAAAAAGAGCTAGGTCTCCATTTTTCGGTCCATAACTTCCCCGACAGGTTGCCAGTAGGCCTTGAAAGTTTCACGTCTTTGGAATTGCCGCTGTGGCTATCGCATTGATCGAGTAGCTGATTGATATCAATCCCGTAAGTTTCGTCATGCCTCCAGGAAGTGTCATGGGACCCACTCTTCTTCTTGCGTCGCAGCGCCACCAATTCACCATTTTGTGCAACAAAACTCAGCGTAGAGCCTTGCTGAGCACCAAAGAGCATGCTATCACCGAGCATGCCGTTTACACCAGCCTGCATATCTAGCAATTATCGAATTTCAGTAAGCTCAACGCATTTCGCACCATTCGGTTAATATATCTTTCACGAGACTTAAAATAGACATGCGAATTACCCGCCTGTCAGTTTTTTCTAATAACTGTCTGGCTTGATTTTAAAGAAAACGACTCAACGTATCAACTAAGTCGAAAATTGCTTGAATCATCGCCATTTAAGGTTTTATAATGGTGTCGGTATGTTTCTTTAAGTGAGAATCTGCTCGCTAAATAAATGGTTTTTGCTTAGTGTTCAGAGAGAGACTATAGAGAGGCCATGAAACATTGAGAGCAAACTCGAGCTCAAATTGTGCCTCGTGTGTTAAAGACAGGCAAAGAGAGATTCTAGTCTAATATGTCTTGCATCTGGTGCAGTTCTCGATCTCAAGAGGTCAATTGGCAATGCACAAAGAGGGGACACATAGTTTTCCTTTTAGAAATAAGACGTTAGGAACAGGGAAGCCCTATCTTTGCTCTAATCGCTATATGGCGTGCTCGGTGGGGGCGTCAAAAACAAAATAGTGTCTCTCTTGCGGAATTAATGGTTTCTTTATTTTGGTCTTTGCGAGTTTAGCTTTGCGAGGTTAGCTTTGCGCCACAAGCCATCAAAGAAGTTGGCTCAAGGTCGTGACGCAACAGCGTTTCGACAGCGAGCTTTGGTGTTCCAAACCTAGCTCGACTTTGCTAGCGGCCGCTGTTTTTCCCACCTAGTTCTGCCACTCTTGTCAGACAGCTCACACGTTTAACACTTACAGGCCCCGAACGATTACTAACTATCTTGCAGGAAAAAGAGCTATTGGATTCGTACCCACAAACGTGCGCCCCTGGATCTGTGACTGGAACTCCTGGAAATCTGTCTGATATGCAGCAGAAATCTCTGGCAGAATTTCGCGAGCTTTTGAGAAAAGGTGGTTTCACAGAAAGACTAGACGATTCGACCTTATTGAGATTCCTCAGAGCCCGTAAGTTTGATGTCACTGCATCTCAGACAATGTATGAGAACTGCGAAAAATGGAGGAAGGAATTTGGCGTCGACAAGATTTTTGAGGAATTTCACTACGAGGAGAAACCTTTGGTTGCAAAATACTACCCACAGTACTACCATAAAACGGACAATGACGGCCGTCCTTTGTATTTCGAAGAGTTGGGATCTGTCAATCTCACTGAGATGTACAAGATTACTAACCAAGAACGTATGCTGAAAAACTTGGTATGGGAATACGAGTCCTTTGTGCGCTACAGGCTACCAGCTTGCTCTAGACAGGCTGGGTATCTTGTTGAAACATCGTGCACCATTTTGGATCTGAAAGGAATTTCGATTTCTGCTGCTGCTCAAGTCCTCAGCTACGTTAGGGAAGCATCCAACATTGGTCAAAATTACTACCCTGAGCGCATGGGTAAGTTCTACCTTGTCAATGCTCCCTTTGGATTTTCTACTGCTTTCCGCATATTCAAGCCTTTCTTGGATCCAGTCACTGTATCCAAGATTTTCATTCTCGGTTCCTCTTACCAGAAAGAATTACTCAAACAAATTCCAGCTGAAAACTTGCCGGTCAAATTCGGTGGTAAATCTGAGGTCGATGAAGCAAAGGGTGGTCTCTACTTGTCAGACATAGGGCCTTGGAGAAACTCGAAGTTCATAGGACCTGAGGGTGAAGCTCCTGTCGCGTTCAAGTTGTGAGTTTCTGAAGAGATGAGCCTCAATTGTGAATGAATTTCTAACTACATAAGCGTATTACTATACTCATATTGTTTTAATTCGTCTATGATATAAATAAAGTGTCGCCGCTAGAATTCTTAACGTGGACGGTTTGTATGATCGGCGACAGAAAATAAAAATAAAGCAGCGCGTAACTCGAGAATATATGGAAGTTAAAAGGATTTAAGATCAATTGAATAAAGAAAACAAGCCATGGGCACCACCCAGCTGAACATATCAGATCCTACGCCCCTTCAGGATGGATCGTACGCACATGCGCTAGGCTCACTAAGGTCTGACCAGTCTTTACATATGGACGATATTAAGAGGTCTCTGATTTCCAAAATCCAGACAAACAGAGGGCTCTTCAAAGGAGAAGTCCAATGGTGCAGCAACTTATCGCTAGATGACTGGAAGACACATTGTCTGGAAATTGACAAAGCTGGTGGGCTTTGCCACGCGGTAAATCAGGAGAGCATTGCAGATTTGTCTGGTACTACCGCAAGACCTGCAAATTCCAGCAGGCCGATCATCAAGCACCTACAAGCATGCAAAGTACAGCTGTTGGAAAACTCCGATGGTGTTCATCCAGTTCTGAAGATTGAAACCTACTACTCAACTGTCTATCTAAGAGTCGCAGAAAGAGACACATTCCTCGATTTGTTTTCAGCGGTAATCTTCTGGAAAAGCTTGAAGGATAGAGGTATCTTCAACAAGTGCTCTGTGATTCAACCTATTTTCCCACAACAGCAAGAACCAGTGCATCTGTTGGTATGCCAATTTAATGTTTACTCTCCCATTCCCAAAAACAAAAATGTTCCTCTCAAAAGTGGTCTCGCTGATCCTCCGTTAATAGACAATACAGCACCAATTGAAGAGATGGGATGGTACTCTGCTATGGGTAGGCTAAGCTCAAATGGTAAACTGGACCTGCTTCTACAAAGCGATGGCTCTGTGCTGTGGTCGTTCGATATTTCAGAGCTATTACGTTCAGAGATTCAAATTTTGGATCCTTGTCTACTCCAAAACGACAATTTTCTTTACCTAGGAGTTATTCCGAAGCTTCGAAATCAGTTAAAGCTATCTGAGAATTGCTTGTTTCACTCTGCCTCGAATAAAGAGCGGCTTCCTTGGCACGGTATTCTGCTACAATTTCCTCTAAGGATTGATCTTGAAGACTGGTTTGTGGCACTTAATACTTTCACCAAAGTTGAAAATGTATCATTGATTGGAACTGATAAATCCAATGAATTGAGAATTTCGAATCGATTCAAAATATCCATTCTAGAAGCCGACTTTAGTGCGATAAACCTTACGAACTATGACCACGAGAAGCAAGAGGAAACTCCATCCGAATTGTATGCCGAGATATCGATATGGGATCATTGCTGGGCAAGAACGTCGATTGTATCCGATTCTAAGTTTCCTTTCTGGCGCGAGGAATTCGATTTCAACTTTTCTGTCAAGACTTCGCCTGTATGCATCACAGTCAAACTAGCTGTTGACGGAGAAAGAAAGTACTCGGCTTACGACAAGACGTTAGGCGCAATTGAAATAACACAGGAAATGATCAACGATGGAAGTCTGAGTGCCGAAACTAGGGTTCCGATTTTTGACGTCGAAAATAAGCACTTTCAGTTGGGCACCTTATGCATTAAAGTGGCTTCAAGTCTGAATGCAATTTTGCCGTCAGTAAATTTCACCAAATTAGAATCTATGCTCTGCCGGATGAGCCTCACGAAAATGACAGACTATCTATATGATATGTCAATTGCAGAATATTTGAAGCTTGAAGATTTGTCAGTGGTCTTTCTAGACATCTTTCAAACTTTGGAAAGGACAAATGATTGGTTTCAGGCTTTAATCGACAAGGAATTCTCCAACTTAGATAATTCCATTTCTAAGAACACTACAAAAAATCTCTCTTCTGCCAACATCTACAGTTCTCTCTTCAGAGGCAACTCAATCCTTACCAAGTCGATTGAAAGATACTACCATCGTATCGGACAAGAATACCTTGAAAAAGCAATCGGGGGTGTGATACGAAAGGTTGTTCTCTCGGATATGTGTCTCGAATTAGACCCCAACCGAATAAAGGAAGCCAACATCCAGCGGAAGCAAGAAATTTTAGAAGGAAACTACTCGCGCCTTCTTAAATTAGCAGAAGAACTTTGGTCGCGCATTTATAGAACAAGCAACGACCTACCATATGGGATTAAAGAACAACTTAAGGCTTTCCGGAAAAACTTGGAAGTAATTTACAAAAACGATGAGCTCAAAAGCACTTTGAACTGCGTCTCAGGGTTCTTATTCTTACGTTTTTTTTGCCCTGTTATTTTAAACCCAAAGCTTTTTCATATTGTGGAAAACCATCCAGAGGAAAGTCCGAAGAGGACTCTGACATTGTTGGCAAAGGTAATTCTAAATCTATCTAACCTCACGATGTTTGGCAAAAAGGAACCATGGATGACGAGAATGAATGATTTCATTTTAAAGCACGAAGATGAGCTAACTGATTATATCGATAAAGTGACTAATAAAAAACTCGACTTTTCTCCAAAGGCACTCAAATTAAGCAGCAGCGTTGCTCGACCTAAAGTTGCGCTTAATCAAAACTGTCGGAGCGACCTTCCAACTAACCCATATCTCATTGACAAATATCTAAGAGAAACAGAGCTGATTAGCGTTCTAACCATTTCTAAAAGAGACAAAGATGAAAGATTTGCCATGCCGAACAGTGTCAGCATGAACCGCCTTTCCAAAGAGCACCCGTCCACTTTGCCCAGTCCCTTAATTGGCCAATCCAGCGCGAATATCGGGGAGCTAGAATTCGAAAAGCTCACAGAAAATAACGCCGAGATATTCGGAGATGACTTAATGAAATATTTAGCAATTGAAACGCATGATAGTGTTGCTGATGGGACCACCCTAGGATTTAGATTTGAAGAAAAAGATCTTACAAAAACCTTAGAACAAGAGTCCGTACTTCTGTACCACAGGCTTGAGCATCTCACGGACGTTTTGTCGGACTATGAGCACCCAAACGATATAATTTTGGGCAAGGCTGAGTTTGCTCTTTACTTGATTGATAATTTGTACTTGGATGACGACTACAACATCAAACTTGATCTCACGGGCACCTTCGCGAAGTATGACGGCCTAATCAAATTGTGCTCCGACTCTTCCCCTTTTATAAGTCTGCTGAATAGGCGACAAAGTTCTCCTGTTGGAAGCCATTTAACGCGCAGTCGGACCGTGAGTCAAAAGTCTAATTCGAAGTTTGGTAACTCGAAATCGAGCTCGTTCTCAAGGAGAAAGACAAAGAGAGAAGAAACAAAACCGGAAAGCAAGCAAGGTTTCAAATTCCTGCGGCTTTTCAAAAAATAAAACATGTCGTTCAAAAACAATGTCAATTTTGAGAAACACTAAATTCGTGTAGATAATATCTACGCAACTTCAAAATATTTAATTCATCATCGCACACAACAAGATGTATCAACTTACAGGCATCTATATAGTCCTGTAAACTGCACAACCTATTACCAAATTACTTAAAAATGCAAACTTCTCATTGCATCTATCGTCTTTCCTTCTCCCTTATCGTCCATAGCATCCTCATACTTTGAGGCAGCTCCATCATAATTTTGTAACCCACGAGCAAGACTTGAATCAAATCTCAAATTTTCATCAAAGACATTAGTGTCAATACCATTTTGAGAACGTACTGGTTGGCCAAGAGATGGAAAGCTGTTCAAGAATGTATTCAGTTGATTATTACCGCCCATATCAAAACCTTCAACACCACCATACGACATCAGACTCTGAGTATCAAAATCACCAATGTTCAGTTTGCCAAAATCAGAGCTATTATTGAAATCCATTTTATCAAGATTATTTTTTTGAACGTTCCGCGCATTGGATGACCTGGTCAACTGTACGGTACAAAGCTGCAAGTTGTCTAAGGCACCCTCAACCAAGCAACCCTTCTCTCTGAAATAAACCAAAAGATGACTCCAGAGGCTATTTCTTGAGAGCGATCTCGGGTTACCCAAAATAACAAGTCCGTATTTCGAACGTGTGAGAGCTACGTTCAGACGTCTAGGGTCACTTAAAAACCCAATAGCCTGCTGCTCATTAGCACGCACGCACGATAATATGATGTAGTCTTTCTCACGACCTTGAAATGCATCAACAGAGGCAACTTCAACGTTCATGTACAAGTCTTTCTCCATAGAACCGCTCATTTGCATATACTGCACTATGTAAGCTCGTTGGCCCTCATACGGAGTGATGACCCCAATTTGGTCAGGCTTCACTCCATCTTTAAACAACTTGGTAATAACACGTTCACAATTCATCGCCTCAATCCTATTCAGATACGATGTACCATTTCCAGAAATCTCTTCTCTTCCGTAGTTCGACCAAAACATCATAGGTAAATCATGAATAGGCCAAGGGAAGGTGCTATTGGCCACCGTGCGCTGCTCGATGGTAACACCATTTTGTAGACTCCCTTCGTAAAACATATTACTAGGAAACTCACTCAAATGTGGATTCATTCGGTACTGGACTTCGAGACGAATCGGGACATGACCCAACGAAATGAGCCTCTCAAAAAGCGATTGTTTCAACCCTGCGTCTGCTGCTTTCCTGTCAAGAATTACCGGTCCTAATTGCTGATGGTCACCAACAAGAACTACTTGTTTGGCGCCTTTGACTATAGGAATTAAACACTCAGGCTCGGAAGCCTGTGTGCTTTCGTCGATTAAAATGGTCCTGAATTTCGCTTCTAGTCTTTTATCACCAGCTCCTACACAGGTGCAGCAGACGACATCTGCCTTCTTCAAAATTTCCAGCTCAGATTTCCTAACTTGCTTGACAAATTTCTTGGTATCAATAGATGACAACTCACCCACATCTTCTTTTAGTTTCAGGAGCTTCTTAAGCTCTCCTTTGGCAGAGCGCGACACCAAATTATGTAATCCCAAGTTGGAGACCGAGCTTTCAACGTCTTCCCTGCTTTTAGCTGTCAAGCGAACGACCTTCAGCCCTAAGTCACGAAGCTTAGCAGCTAGGTGATCCACAGCAACATTTGAAGGTGCGCAAACCAAAATCCGTTCTTTATGCAGTTTTGACAGATGATAGACAATAGTAGCGGAAGTGACTGTCTTTCCGGTACCTGGAGGCCCTTGAATCAACGATAGAGGCCGTTGTAAAACATGACGAATCGCATTAGCCTGAGAGACATTCAGCTGTGTGAAGTGTGGGATGGAAAATTGTTTAGGCAGATTTACATCAAATTCGAGATCTGGCACATCATGCCCTAAGATCTTGTAGTAAAGAAATCCTGAGACAGACTTTTTCACAACGGCAAACTTTTTCATTGCTTCTTGCATTCTGTCGTAAGAGGTACCCTTCCAAACAAATTCGGCCGTAAATCCCGTGTTCAAATTGGTGGGAGGGGCATTCTTATTGGGCTTCAGTTCAAGAGTCAACTGATCTTGGAAGCTATTAGGCAAGCGAACTATGTAACCACGCCCTTCCCATTCTGGATGCTGAACCCCAGAATATCTCAAAATCATTTCATCACCGACTGCTACTTTAAGCCCGTTGGATTCAAATGTGGATAAAGCGAAGGACGCTAGGTGTCTGTTATTAAGTGCCAATGTCCAGGATACAGAAATGTGTTCCAATGCCTGAGATTCTTTGAGTTGCTTATCATAGTCAGCTTCTATTTTTACTAAAGGTGCAAATGATCTCTGATATTGATATGCATCTGCGTATCTCATTAAAACATGGGGCACGTCTTCCTTCTCATCTGGTGCATCTACATCGTTGATAGTCGCGTCTTTATTAGATCTCCACTTTGCTTCAAGTTTCGAAATCTGGCTGGGTGAGATCATTCTTGCACGTAATAACTCTTCGTCACTAGGTTCTTCCGCAACCCACGACAGAAATTGTCTATTTTCTATCAACGATTGCCACTGATCTGTGTCCCAACTAACAGTCTTAGTTTGCGCACAAGGCAGTCGGCAAAGTATAACAACCACTGCTTCGCTCTTGGCTGACACAAATCCGAGTACGAACACATTCTTGCAACCGCAGTTGTAACATTCTAGTACGGTATCTCCTAAATCTGAATCAGGATGCAAAGAAACGCTATTGTGGTGAGATAAAACGAAATGATTAATGATGTGCGATGTAGAAGTACCGTTTTTGGAATTGCAAAACCACTTGTTACAAATATTGCATTTAACAACGCACCTAGAGGAGTCGAGGTTACAGTAGGCACAAGCATAAGGAGAAACAGGCGCCTCTAGAGCGTCGCCCATTTCCTCAATTTCATTCGCGTTGGAAATCTCAAATTCGTCCTGTGAGACGTAGTTTTCGTAGACAGGCGAATTGGTAACTCCTTGTGGTTCACCAGAATATGCCCCATGCTGGTGCGACTCCATGCGATTACCGTTTTCAGAAGTCATGTCGGTTCGAGCGAAGACTTGAATTAATTTTCTGTCGCGTTTGGGATCAAAGTGTCCCTAGATCTTACAGAAAACTGTCTTACTATTAAAAAAACTCAATCTATATACCACTTTATCAAGTGATACAGATCATGAATAAAACAGACTAGCGTGAATTATCTGAGAATGCACAGCTTTTTAAGCGGTAAAGTCCTTTGGCAACTTGTGCCGAGAAGGATCGATGCAATTCGCTTTGAATCTTAAAAAAATTTCAGTGTCGTACAAGAGGATGATATTATCCTCACGTCGGTATAAAAAATAATGATAGCTGTTTATTTAATAACCGGCCAGTTGAGAACGACTCAGCGAGAAACCAAGTCAGAGTGCCGTGAGTATGCCTAGAATGCGAGATGTTTGTTGTCGGCTACTTTTCTGAAACTGATATTAATGACTAGTACCCTTACTAGCGAATCCGTAGTTGTTTAATTTGAAAATAATGATATTTGCGCTTTTATGCGACATCCTGGTCATGACAATGAATTGAGTAGTGACAGCTCAATGGAAGAAACCCGAGACTTACGTTTAGACAAAGAGAAGGGAGCTTGTGAGTGCGCCTCTGGACTATTTTTGGCCGTGTTTGTCGATGAGGAGCTCGATAGCACACGTGAAAGCGTAGGAGAGCCGGGAGACCCAACAGAAGCGGTTGGTGACGTCGTTATGGAATTATGCGGAGCCGGTAAATCTTTCTTGAAAAAACACTCTGCAGCCGAGTCGAGCTCGCAGCTCACGAAGCGTTCGAGACAGTACAAGTGTGCCGGGATTGCAGATGATGCTCCAAATGAAGATCTGGAACGCGAGCGGGACCCGGTACAAGTAGGTCCGATCTCTACCGAACTGCCTGCTTGTAAAGGTTCTGACGCATCCGGCAGGGATTGGCGCGAAGCCTGGCGTGAGAGCTGCGACATAAAACTGTTCGTGCGCGAACAGCGCAGCACGGGTTCATCTGGGTCCTGAGCAGTGCTGCCCCTCGTTTTCCAGCGCCGCGTTTTGTGACATTTTGTGCAAACGTTTGGTTTTGTTGTTGACTTTGCCGTTCTGCCACCAAACCCTTCAACCCCTTCTTGGACAGCACCTAAATACTCGTCTTCTTCCCACTGCGAGGGAACGTCATCGTCATCTTCATCCTCCTCGTCTCCACCATCCTCTTCGTCAAGACCTTCCCACGAGTTCATACATGGGTCTTGTACAAACCTTTCAAATATGTCTAGCTTATCTTCACACTCGCATACTGTGTCTTGATTCCCAAGATCTTTCTCACTGCCTCCGGCCTTCTCGTCAATCTTGAACTTTTGGAAGTGTGATCTTAAGTCTGCAACTTCCATATTAAACGCAAAATAGACCTAGCAAACCTATGATGTCTACTCAGATAACTTACACACAGTACAGTTCAGCTTGGTGCTTCCTCTTCTGATCCTTGTGGTGCTCGCTTCTCTAATTTTTTAGGTGGCTAGCAAAATTGATGTTAGACACATTTTCGAGCCTTTGCCAAAGTTTATATATTAGTCATGTTACACGAGATTAGAGGGTATTGAACCCTAGACTTGGTGAAGACAAGTTTTAAAGTCCGAAAAGATGCACTTTTGAAGTCTCTTAGACGATGCTGCATTGAGAGGTATACTTGTTCATCATTGTCTCGAAACTAGTAATGGCCACGCCTATCTTATTAATCAACAAAGCTAACGTTACGTAGGATCCCAGCAAGATTTCGAACCGCTCACAAGTAGGTGCTGATCAAGCTGCTCTTCCTCTCGCACCCTGAAGAGGACTTTTGAAAGACTTGCCATACACTAGGAATATTGGTTGCATTATTTGCTCATCAAAGATTTCACGTTCGGCTAACGCACAACTTCCAGAACTCGCTATTTCTTTCTATGAAACCAGTTTTTTAAAACGTTTTAATGGAAATTAGCGTAGGACACCTCAAATTACTGTAGTTTTAATAGATCGCGGCTAGTTGGTTCCCGAACCCAAGCGATTTAGGAAGCATCGTTAAATGTTCGTACGTACATCGACAATACCATAGGAAAAGCCGTCAACTTCTTATGGCATGGGACTTCATTCCGATGATTCGCTTTATAGCTAACTTCATGAAAGCAAAAATGCACCCGATCCCTCGTTCATAGCTTGGTAAATCCTTGATCTTAAAACTTCTTTGCTGCTGTATTTTGGCAATTTCAGATAATTTGCACAGGTCATAACGCTTGGTAGGTACTCATCAGGTCCCATGTCTTCTTCTGTATGTTTACGAACAACCGTAAGCTTTGGGTTTAAACTCTTAAAACCACCAACTGGCAATTTGGGCGAGCCCGTCAGGAACTGTAAGAACAAACGCCGCTCATTATCTGAAAAAAATGACATCAATGAAATTAGATCACGCACTGTGCTTGAGTCCTGCGTGTAGCCATGATCAGCTTCAACGTTTGCATACAGTGTTTCTGCTGACCAATCTTCTTCTACTCTACCAAATAATTCAATAAGCTCGTCTGGAGTTAGAATGAGCAAAGACCGGTAAGGAAAAGCTTGTGAGAATCCTTCCATAAAGCTGCGTATTTGCTTTTCGACTCCTGATCCCAACACTTGGTCCATAACACAAGAGAAATACATGTCGAAGTTAGTCTTGGTGACAGCTATTTCCATCCCGTTTTCAATCAACTCAACGTCGTAACCTGGAAGGTAAAACGTCAATGACAGTGACTCTAAAACAGTGTCATCTTTGTGCACGTGCAAAAACCTCAGAGATTTGGCCAATTGGGGATCTACTATACTCAAAAATTGCAGAGCTGACTCTTTATCTTCGAAAGTAAACCGTTCCTCTGCTGCGTACAAATGCGCCAGTTCGAAAAACGCTCTGCTGAAGCGGAAATCTAAAATGCGATTGTCCAGCATAGATCTAGCAACAAAAACTCCAAGCTTCTTAAAAAGTTCTAAGGTTTTCTCGTGATCACCGGCAGCAAGTAAGGGAGATGGGAAGAGGGCTCCCTCAACAAATTCGCTCTTTTTGCATGAGCCATAGTCGTCAACCCTCCATAGCTCTAAAGATGCCCTCGTGAATTCTTTTGATGTCATAGCATAAAACTCCATTGTGGGCCCTAGCCCCGTTCCAACTTCGTCGAGGTACTCAATCTCGAGTATGTTAGGCGATGACCCATATTTAGACAGAATCTTCAAGGAACTTAGAAACAACGCTTCCCTAGATATCCTTAATTTATGCCTGGTTGGCCTACCCAGTTGATGGAAAGCACTGTCCCTCCCGTCACCTTTATCGCTACCAGCGCGGTTTTTCCAAATCTGTATAAGCCTACCATACCCGAATGAAGTACTTTGCAAAAAAAACATTCTAATATCTAACGGAAATAAGAATGGGTAATGTCTTGTGATATGCAATGTCCAAGGAGGAAGAGCGCCCCCTGATACAATAAGTGGCTCGTCTAATTGACAGGCAAGCTTCGAGCTCAGTTTTGGATTTATGAAACATTCATTTCCTATGCAGCTGTTCTTAAGCGCTTTTAACAAAATCAAAAGCTCATAGACCTGTTTCGTGGACTTATCATGATCAGCAACATCAGCGTACATATTGCCGATTATGGGCTTTTCCTGAATGTTTTTCGATTTTCTATACTTAACAACATGCAAGTCGCTCCAAATATGCTTATTATCCTTTTTTGTAGCGGAAGAACTACCAAAACCTTTGAGAATGGAGCCGAAAATGGTATCCTGATGACTGCATTCTGTACCTTGAAATGAAAAGTCAAACTTCCAATCATCAAGTTTGTTCATTCTTTCTGACTGAAGGGTGACCATTGGTACTGAAGAGCCCATTAATTGAGATTTTAATAACCTGTGTTTCAAGAAATCATTGAGAGATCTGAATGAAGCAATGCAGTGGATAGTAACCATGATTGATTTCAAATTTGAAGGAATATCATCATTGTCAGTATCTTCCTCATATTCTAGGTTCAGTTTAATTTGCTTACCCAAAGACGCCGCTTTTCCCTCCTCACCGTGTAATCCGCTGTCTATCAACGGGAACGACTCCAACCGTGTTAAAGCGGACTGCAATATTCGAACAAATGATTCCAGCTCATTTCCAAATGCATCTATCAGGGCTCTTTGACAAATCGAAGTTCTAGCAGCGCTACTACTAATAATTTTAGACATTTCTTCCGCCAACCCAGTCGTTATGAACTCGAAGCTGGATATCACAAAATTCGATGAGAAAAGTTTGGATTTGACATCCTTCCACACAGTTAGCCAATGATCATAAGTATCCGATTTAACATCGAGCATTTGCAGCCTCTTTACCAACGAGCCTATCTCATTCAACTCTCCCATCGCGATATTTTCTTTACTTGACATGGTCGAGACCTTCTTCAGGATATCATCCAATTCCACTTTGACGTACGATAGCCTCAATCGCTTCAAGATATGAAAAGTCATCTTTCGAGGTTTTATTTGACTAATACCATCGTATTCGTCTAACTCCATGTTGTAGTCATCGTCGCTTTCATTTTCGATCTCACTATCATCAGAATATTCTTCATCATCGTGGGAGTAATTGTCATCTCTTTCATCAGGTAACTCTCCAGGTATGATGAGAGACATTTGCTCAAGTAAGCCTTTCATTAACTCAAAAATGCCTTCTCGTCTGAATGCTGGCAAAAAACCAGATGGGTGTTTATCAATTAGGGTACTGGCAAAAGCAGCACAGCCCAGCAACAATGCTCCAGATTTCACATCTTTGAACTCACTTTCTTCGAAAAGGGATTTATTTCGAGCAAAGCTTGATGCGATCATGGATATAATTCGCTTATCGTTGTTACTCGTAGCATCAGGTCTATGAGACGATGAGATACGTGAAAGAGCGACGAGCACGAACCTTCTTATGTTGAAATCAACAGCATTGATATAAATCTCAATTAAAATTGGGGTAATGTCTTCAATCAATTGCTTCAGATCGCTTTCGATCCCTGTCAAATCCATTGCTTTGCGACAGTCAGCAGTAAAAACTGGACTTTCTTCGACAGGCAGCAAAACAGCAATAAACCGAGAAATGCTTGTTAACAAAGATTTGGGAACAAACATAATCCTTTCGTGCAAAGGGGTTTTCGAGGTCTTTTTAAAGTCACTGATGGAACTCATCAATAAATTCACAACTTTTCGAGATCTAATGACTTGCAGTGTTAATTGTTCAGAGCTTATAAATACTTGAGACAACATATCGAAAGATTTGAGTCGTGTTTCAAGATTCGTTTCTCCGTTGATGATTAGTTGCATTATTTTCTGAAGTAGTTCAAAATCGAACAACTGCGTAAGTAGTTTCGGTTCTTTTCTGAGTCCACAACATATCCCATAAAATGCATCAAGTACCTTCAGCAAAATCGTGTGGTCCGTATGAGTGGCGAATACTTGTTTGAGCACAGGTACGACGTCTGCAACCTTTTCAAAATCTTGAATGCGAATACGGGCACATGAGTTTACCACTATGATAATGGATTTTTTTTGTGCATGGGACGTAAAGAAGTCAAGGTACTGTAAACAAGCCAACAAGCTGCCAGCTTCAAGAATCTCCCGCCCGTGCAATTTGGAAACAATTTCAAGAGTTTCCAAAACTTGCTCCGCTAAGTCAATGTAGCTGATCTCTAAGAGCTTCTCGTGCAAAGTTCCAATAACGCCATGTTCAACCGCCACTGCTACGATATCGGGATTGACTTCGAAAAGATTATACAAACAACGGCACGAGATCATTTGAAGTTCGAGCTCGGTCTGCAACTGTGCACTCTCCAGGATTCGAATAACATTTTTCAAAAGTTCTTCTTGTGGTATAAGGCGCTCTGCTGTCAAAGAATTCATCATGAGAAGTTGTTCTGATATTTCGCGTAGACTTTCTTGCGCCATATAGGGGTCTTCGTGTGCTGCTGCTATATTTTGAAGAAGCTTTGCTATACGACCATTTGGCCTGCCCTGCGAAAAGACGTGTCCAGGACCTCCCAAGCCAAACATCTCTGGGAAGATGTCCGCGATATCCACTCTCCGCGACTGTCGATCATCTGTGGTGGCGCCAGGGTCCACATGCGAGTCGCGTGTTGCTTCATGGGTATCCATGCTTTGAGATAAAAAGCCCAGCAACTGCTGAAGCGACGCCGGAGGTCTGCGAGTAGGGCTAGCAAATGCCTGGCGGTCGATTCCGTCTGTACTCATTCTGTACGCCTCCTCCTCCGGATCGCCATCTTCATTATGGGAGACCCCGTATTCGTCCTGTGCTTCTGAGGAGTTGTTATCGCCATCTTCTCGTTCATCAACCTCATCTTCATCAGGATACTCGTATTCTTGTGGGTCGTCTGAATCCTCTAGATCGCTAACCCCATAATTCTGGGGCGATGCATTGGCGTGAATCACAAAATCACCATCCCCATCATAATCCCGGTCCATTGAATCGCTCATTTCTCGCTCGTCGTACTACTTAGCAATTCAGAGCCACGCGTACGCTCAAATAGCTGTGTAAGTCGCGATCTGGCGGTAATTTTGGAGATTAGATGAGAATAGTTGGATGCTAGCCATCTGGATAGTAGTAACCTTTAAATATACCTTCGCCACTTTCGTATCTCACGATACACTAATTCACGCGATAAGCTCGTGACTCAAAAAGTAATTTAGTCACTTAGAACGTCTTCGGTTTTGGGTTTCTTCTTCAGTAATTTTCAACGTTAATTGGAAAGCGATGAGCAGCGCAGTAAGAAGCGATGATGTTTACTGAAAAATTTTAGCTCATCGGTTACATTTGAGTTAAGATTGCAAGACGTAGAAAGGTGTGCGTGTAAGGCTTCATAACGTAAAGCATTTGAATTCATAAACAGGTCTTAAGCCAAGGTCTATACCATTGTTATAACCAGTCCTCCGTGAACCTCCAAGCAGTCATCACTTTACCATGCCTAGATCCAAACGTTCCAAGCTAGTTACTTTGGCTCAGACCGACAAAAAAGGCAGAGAGAACAAGGAAAGAATCTTCGACGAAATCCGCGAAGCCCTCGACTCGTTCAGATACGTGTGGGTGCTACATCTGGATGATGTGCGCACGCCGGTGCTGCAAGAGATTCGCTCGTCTTGGGCCGGGTCCAAGCTCATCATGGGCAAACGTAAAGTCCTAGGAAAAGCTCTAGGTCAGCAAAGAGAAGACGAATACAAAGAAAACCTTTCGAAACTAACCAAGCATTGCGCTGGGGTCACTGGTCTGCTGTTTACAGACGAAGAGCCCAAGGTTGTTCAGGAGTATTTCCAGTCATATGTCAGGGCAGACTACTCCAGACCAAAGTCCAAGGCGCCTCTAACGTTTGAGATACCAGCAGGCATCGTTTACTCTCGTGGTGGTCAGATCCCAACCGAGGACGACGTTGTGATGGTCCACTCACTTGAACCAACCATGAGAAATAAGTTCAAGATCCCAACTAAGATTAAAGGCGGTAAAATCTCCATAGAGAGCCCTTTTCTGGTATGTGAAAAAGGCGAGACACTTGACGTGCGTCAAGCGTTGATCCTCAAACAGTTTGGTGTTGCCGCTGCCGAGTTTAAAGTTAAGGTGGCTGCCTACTTCGATAACGAGACTGCCTCGGTCGAAAAAGTAGACATCAACATGGAATTTGCATAAATATTACATTGTATACTACATTTTAGTCAAGTCTAACAGGGGTGCTGAACCACGTCAAGTTCGCATATTTCTAGGCCAGAGTAGCTTCCGGACCGAAACATATCAGTAAGACCACGGCATTCTTCAGGTATTCAGCAAATCTCCCGCCAGTACTGCTCAAGCCTGTTAAGATCGTCGCATGGTCCAGCTCGACACGGTATAAATTGGACCTCCACCTGATATCTAGCTTTAACCTTGAAGGCGACATTATATATGAGGTTCGCAAGTCTGGTTTGCTCCACTGATAAGTGCTCATCTTTAAGACCTAGCGAATCGTCCAGCCCATAGATGACTAAATTCTTGAAAGTGACTCTTCCCTCTCCTTCTTCAACCTCGAACTTCGTCAAATACATGTACAAATACTGCAATTTATTCAAAAACAGAACATTTATATGATCCCGTGAATTCAACATAGCCCTAACGCTAGACATGGTCCCTAGTGAGCTTATAAGCTCTTTTTCAAAATATTCTCGCGCAACGCTACCTAGCGCGAATACTAAAGTGCTTGGAACTTCATCTTCTTCAAGAATTAACTGTGCCAGTAGTGTCTCCATAAATACTAAATGACCTAACGTAATTTAAAGCCCATAATCGCCTTGTCTCCGATATTTCGTCTATATGTTGTCTACCTAAAGTTGCCAAAACTATATCCGTTTTGTCCTTTCATAGCCCAAAAAAAAATTTGAGAATAGTGTTCAACATAAAAACAATAACTCACAATCAAATTCGTACTCATACAACAGCCTTCGGTTAATGTTTTTAGTTCGACGGACGACCGGGCGCTCCGTAAGATCAAGACTTGCATTTTGTTCACAAGACCTTACTAGAGGAATCACTACTGCGGACAAAACGAGCATAAACAATGAGAGCACACCGTCCGCAGGAACAAGCCCTGAAGAGCCACTTTCCGAGCCGCATGACGAACTATCCGTGTTGCGTCAAAGAGAGTATAATAACCAAGTGAAAGAAATTTTGCGGTCGTTTTCCAAAACTCCCACAGAGGAGATATCAAACTTTCACAGCTCACTTTCAAAAGATCTCGGTACCAGAGAAAAACAACTGGATGATGAACTTACTTCATTTCTCAAGCAGTTTTCACAGTTAAACAAAGTCATTGAACCCAAATCCGATCGCGTGGAAACTCAAGTATTGTCCAACCAGTCCCGCATAAAATCCTTTCCCTTCTTGGTACCATCTTCGAAAGACAAGCCATATTCTACACAAGAGCTTTTCCTTCGTCAAATGAAGCACGCTGAAAATTCCGGTAAGCTTGGTGCTTCGATTGAAAATGTTTATCTTCCGCATCGTGATATCTTCAACCCTCCCACAATTGACAGACTTTCAATTTCTGAGCTTCTCGCAGCGGGAGTGCATTTAGGCCAATCGACCTCTTTGTGGAGACCAAACACTCAGCCATACATATATGGAGAGTACAAAGGAATTCACATCATCGATCTTAACAAGACGCTGTCCAGTGTGAAAAGAGCTGCGGCTGTAGTTCAAGGCGTTGCAGAAAGGGGTGGTACTATCCTGTTCCTAGGTACCAGGGAAGGACAGAAGAGAGCCCTCCAGGAAGCAGCAAGAAGAACACATGGTTTTTATGTTTCTACTAGATGGATTCCGGGTACGTTGACTAACCCAACCGAGATCTCCAGCGTCTGGGAAAGACATGAGGTGGACTTTGCAGATATGCCAACCAACAGGCAGCTTAATGCAGACGAGGAGGCAGGGATTGTGAAACCAGACTTATTGGTTATCCTTAATCCGACAGAGAACAGAAACGCTTTAAATGAAGCTATGCAAGCGAGAATCCCTACAATTGGTATAATCGATACCGATTCGGAGCCGTCATTGGTAACATATCCTATCCCCGGCAATGATGACTCGCTACGATCCGTCAACCTGCTCTTGAGCGTTTTGGCCAAAGCAGGAGAAATCGGCTTACAATCTCGTCTCCAAAAGATTACTTCTCAATCTGCTACTTAGTAACTTAAATCTTCTGTATATACGAAAATCAATGAAGGCATACACACTAGCATGTCTAAAGTTTAAAACAGACGGAATCCTTCAAGCAGCACAGCAAATCCACCAAGCTGGAGGGAAAAATGGTCTGAGGGAGTATAAAAGTTGATGAAGGGTTAAAGTAAATTTTGCCGCTATCTATAGGCATTAAATAATCAATTTTCCTTCTTGTTCTTAGAGTCATTAATATTCACATCTTGACCTCCATTGCTAGCAGATCTTAATGTCTTAGGCTCTTCGTCCTCCGATTCGGTCTCACTTCTGTCGTCTTTCTGAATGCCTTTAAATAAAATGCGGTACAATATTCTCAAAATAAGAAAAAGCCAATATAAGTTAACCAGCTGTAGCGCGGAAATTAATACAAATACAATCGGAAGTGAGATCCAACACTTATACTGCTGAGTCGCATAGTTCAACACAAAATCACCAACAGTGCGAAATTCAGTGAGGACTGACCACAATATTTTTAAATTGACATAATGACGCAGGTAAGTCCAACTCGCCACGAACAATATGAAAAACGGAGATGTTAGTGAAGAGTCCATGTAATTTAAAGTCTTGGACAATGACAAAAAAAAATCAGAGACATCCATAGTGATGTAGATGGCAAGGCCCATTTTGGTGAAATGGAATACGTATGATAACCAAATCAGAGCTAGCGTAACGACGTGATGAAAGACTAATTCCTTAAAGTCTTTCCTCGGTTTTTCTAGTTGCAAAACCAAAACGCATGCTTGTTGAGTCCAGAAAGCGGCTTGGCCCAGGTAAAACACTTTCCACAAAAATTGAATATTAATGTCTGGGAAAGTCGCATACATGGGGGCAGTAGCGAAAAACCATTGGTCGCTGTGATACATGATGTACAGGCCGAACGGTCCCGATATACCATAGTAAATAATAGAGTAGGTCTGCTCCATGACGCGCTTCATCTTGTGCTCGCCAACAATGCCTAGGAAAGATGCCAGAGGCCGCAAGGCGATTTCCATCAAAAATTCACGCAGAAAAGTGAAGAAAACCATGTAAAATAGCACAAAACACAAATCACGAATTCCTTTTCCGTACATGTCGGTGTCACCAATTTGGTATGAAACTGCCACAAAGGAATGAAGAGGATTCGAGGCTGTTAAGTTCCCCGACAACAGGTAAGAACCATATACAACCGCCAATATGAGAAGTGGTGTTAGCCAGGTGTGTCGATAGCTCATTTCGCGGTACGTCAGTCCAAACTTTTTTAGTAAGTCAACGTCGCCCTTTGATGACTCGGAGAGTGCACGCATTCTAGCTTCAGCGGCTGTTTTGGAATGCTCGCTTTCTTTCATTGTTGAAAGCCCCGGAACCGTGGTATCACCCAGGTTGATCGCTCCAACAGACGAAGTTCGCCTCTGACGCACAGGAGGTCTCAAAAAGTTCGAGGACATGGTCGACTGATCGATTCCGAATGCCAATTCTCAATTTGCACGCTTGTTTTCTTGCAAACCAGTGATCAAAAACGGAACTGGAAGAGGCGTGGAAAATTCATTCCTTATAACCACGAAAGGGAAACTTCATTTTCAACGATGAGATTGGAACTTCATTTAAGGACAACTGAAAGATAGATTAGGCAAACAGCTAAAACCAATAGGGGAGAAACCCTTTGATCGTTCCCGATGGTCTCAGAATCACTACTTCGTACTGCAGTCTTCAAAGCCACTGATGGGAAATTGAGAGCTGATAACTGGCAATACATAATTGATGTCTGTGACGTTGTGAAGGAGGATCCTGAAGATGGCGGCCGATTGGTCATCGACATAGTTGAAGAAAGATTGAAAGAAACGGATGCGAATGTTATATTGCGCACTCTTTCGTTGGTGGTTTCGCTGGCGGAAAATTGCGGATCTCGTTTGCAGCAGGCGGTTAGCTCGAAGAAGTTTACAAAGGTGCTAATGGGTCTGATAAAAAGTACAGGCGTACATTGGCTAGTTAAAAAGGAGGTAGCAAAGACTGTTGCACAACTGAGTGACTCTTTTAAGAAGGACCCCTCGCTGAAACCAATGCAAGATCTCTTTTCGGATATTCGAGCCAAGGAGCCAGGCTTACTTGAGGAACAAGCCGTTCCGCGTAAGACAGAAATGAGCAACGAAACGAAGCGAAGCGAAGATAAAGAGCTCGAAGAGGCGTTGAGGCTGTCGATTATGGAGTACACAAAGACCGGAGGGTCGCAACATAGTCTTGAGAGCCAGAATAAAGCTCACGTATCTCATGCAGAAGAGAGGGGCTCTTCTACATCCCCCGGAAATGGACAGGCACCTTCCCCTGCGGTGGTGAGAAAAGTCAGGGCACTTCACGACTTGTCTGGTCGAGATTCTGAAGAACTATCGTTCCGGAAGGGTGACGTGATTACCGTCATTGAACAGGTTTATCGAGATTGGTGGCGAGGCAGCTTGCGCGGAAATGTAGGAATTTTCCCCCTCAATTACGTCACGCCCGTGGCAGAGAAGACTGTTCAAGAGATGGATCATGAGCGTGCTCAAGAAGACGCGATGTTGGCGCAAATCTCCAGGGTAGACAAGCTGCATCAGACAATGAGAAATGCTGGACACAACTTCGAAATTACCCAAGATCAAGAGGTTACCGATTTGTATAGCTCAATAACCCCTCTACGGCCTCAATTAACCAAAATGATTGGTAATTGCGCTCAAAAAAAGGAGGAATACTCTTCGTTGCGCAGAGTACTGGCCGATGCAGAGGCTTCCTATAATCAACTTCTCAACCGAGCTAGCCATTCGTATGCACTTCCGTCTATACAGCAGGCGAGGCCAGATTACATGCGTGGGGCTAGACAACCATCATACACAGGACCACTTGGGAACCATCAACCGCAGTCTGCTAACTCATACGTCCATGCTCAACCTTACCTTACCGGAGAGGGGGCACCTGATTACAACCAGCAAATGCAGCAACAACAGCACAGCATTGGCTCGCCACAGCATCCACAACAACGCCAGCCATCACAACAACATCAACTGCAATATCAAGGCTTACAGCAAGGTTTACTGCAAGGTTCACAGCAAGGACCAAGCGCAGGAAACAACAATTCAACATATCCAACACCTTACCCGATTAGCAATCAAAATACGGGTCTTCGCAAGGACTAATTACGTATTCGTGTACATTCTATGTCAAACGACTTCCTATTCATGATTAGTCTCTCTAAAACTTCGATTGTTTGAAACTTTTAAATGTGATTTCTTTCGAAAAGTAACGGAATGCACATTGACTTGCCAGCTTTAAACCGTATTCTATGTATATCTTCTCAGACGCCGGCATCACTTGAGGTTGTTGAAACAAATCTAATTCATGATTTTCAAAAATTGGTTCCCCTTTAACACTTGAAGGTGCAGATCGAAGCACTCAAGAAGGTTTCGCTCAGGTCCAATGCCTTCCAAACTTGAAGATATCATTCACTCCATTATTGCGAGTGCTCCATCTGGCGAGATCCAAGATGTATACAAAGATTTGAAAATTCTAGCAGGAGATGAAGCCGAAGAAGCCATTTCAGATGCGATAGCTCAGTACAATGTGAGCAACTTGATTCCCATTAGCTTGAGTGGGAAGTCAATAATCATCTCTGAGTTCAATAAAGAGGGCTCCAAGTTTTTTGATCCAGTCAGCTCCGTGCAATTTTCAGTGGACCATTTGAATCGCAAGGCTCTGGACGTGGAAAAGTGCGACAAGCAACTCGGGAATAATGAGAGAAAACTTTACGATGATCTAGAGAGCTACGCGTCGAAGCATTTTTGCGGAGATGTTTCTTATGCTGTTTACCCAAGAAACGAAGATACCCACGAAGTCGTTGTGGTGATAGTCAGCACTAAGTACAGCCCCGGTAATTTCTGGAATGGACATTGGAAATCCATATATCGCTACAACATGCAGACAGAGCATCTTGTTGGAACAATCGATATCAATGTTCACTATTTTGAAGATGGTAATGTTAGTTTTAAATGCTGTAAAGAAGTTGAGGATGGCAAAGCGCCCAATGCTATTCTAGCAATTAAAAAGCTGGAGAACGACCTAGAAAACGAGATCAGCGCATCCTTTACAAATCTGAATGAGAGGCAGTTCAAGCTTCTAAGAAGAAGACTTCCTGTGACCCGCTCCAAGATAAACTGGGGAAAGGGTATTGGAACTTACAGACTAGGTAAAAATTCGGCTGAGAGTCAATTCAATTAATGAGGAAGATAAATCCAAATGCATTCATTCATGACCTCCTAAAATAACTTGAATAGAGCGTATATAATGAAGAAAATCAGAAGCGATAACCCAATCATTCTCCATATGTTGTTCCCGGCCCTCATGGACCTGGTGAGTCGGGACGACGAGTTTTTAAGTTTAAGCATCATCGAGCCGAATTGATTCTGAAGCTGGTCCATGACTGAGGAGTCGGCACGGGCATCGCTTCCAATTTCCTCGTTTACTCGACGAAAGGTCGAGAGCTTGTTAGCAAGCTCGTCCAGCCGTTGATTGTTCTGTTTGTAAACGTTAGTGTCACGGCGGAGTCAGAGGAAAAATAGCAGCTGTTTCCAGCAGCCATCAAACATACCCCATTCTCAACTTGCGCATATCTGGAATTTGACATCAGGGCAGCTATGCTTAGCAAGCTGGCTTAGCCTTGAGTTGATGCTTTTACGCCTTATACCACAGAATAATTGTGCCCTTAAATATTCGTATCACATTACGGTTACATTGTCTGAGGGCTACGGAGACGCAAGTAAAATTAAAGGAGAGCAATCCTTGCAAGTTATATATTCTACGCGAGAAGAGTGCCGAATCAGAGTAGATCTTGGTGTTAATAGTTTTTGAGTTTTCATGGAAAATCAATCTAAGCGAACATTTATCATCACTTCGAAGCACAAGAAAGTAGGACGAAACCAGACGTCATCCCTTCCACTACATAGTACGCCTACGCTGATTTGTAGCAGACTAATCAGCGTTAAGCCCCACTCATCTGTCAATGATGGCCAGCTTCTTCTGAAGCTCGGGCCCACTTCCGCTAGTATTCGGTTGTAATAATGCATTGCACACTAGTCAGATAAATTAAGTTATCGCATGCCACAGGAATCCCTTAATGGAGCTAGGCATGCCCCAGGAGACCTGTTCTCAATCGCAAATTATATCATCATTGTGAGAAACACAGTAGTGTACTCCCACTCTAGCAGAAGTTTTAATCCATCGTTGTCAGAATGAGTTTCGATGCTAATATGGAAATCCACGTAGCTGACCATCTGATCTTGAAAGCAAAGAGGTTACAAAAGTTGGATAGTAGTTGAAGTCAGTAGTCCAAACTTATAGCCGTGCGATGGATTTTCCATTTGGATTTCATTTGGTATCCTCAAATCTCTTTCATCATCAATAGTGACTGCTATCTAACAATCCACGCCCATTCATCACATACTTAAATCCTTCTCTGGTACTACTTTTCTATATCCAAGTTTGGCTAACAGTCATTAATTGTAAAAACTTTTCACTCGGTGAAAAAAATGTCGAAAACTTTCACCACGCTGCTTCTGAGGGCGATGGAAAAGAATTGAGTTCCCACCCACGCAAAGTGCCAGCCTCGACGAGGTACCGACTCACAGCAGAGCTCATGTGGATGGAGCAGTGAGTGGTTGGATGAATGTGGAATTTCGAAAGAGACCTATTATACACTTGAGGTGGGTTCTTAGAGGTGTGATAGAACTTCCAAACTTCAGTAGAAGAGCATCAAATCAAAAATGTCCTCCGAATCTATTGTTAAGAACTCTCAATGGAGATTGGTTGAAGTTGGTCGTGTTGTCTTGATCAAGAAGGGCCCTTCCGCCGGCAAGTTGGCTGCTATTGTCGAAATCATCGACCAAAGCAGAGTATGTCAAAACAAAAATTATAGCGCTAACAGCAATAGCAGCGTCTGTCTGTGAGTGAGTAGCTGTGGGTGTGTTTGTGTGTGTTTGTGTGTGTGTGTGTGCCTGCTGACGTGCGTCTTTGCACGGTAGGCCAGAGAAGTTATGGCGCCGTGGTGCGCTAAACTAATGATTTGGACTTTTCAGATATCTCGTCGTAACACATCTCACACACGTCTCCTGCATCGTCTCTATTAGCTGCTGCTTTAACTCATCCATGTCCGTGCCATTTACTAACTATTTTTCACAGGCTTTGATCGACGGTCCAGAAACCGGTGTCCCTCGCCAATCTGCTAACTTGGGTCACGTTGTTCTAACCCCATTGACCTTTGCTTTGCCAAGAGGTGCTAAGACTGCTGTTGTCGCCAAGAAATGGTCTGCATCCGGTGTTGCCGAGAAATGGGCTACTTCCTCTTGGGCTAAGAAGATTGCCCAACGTGAAAGACGTGCTGCTTTGACTGACTTCGAAAGATTCCAAGTTATGGTTTTGAGAAAGCAAAAGAGATACACTGTCAAGAAGGCTGTTGCCAAGGCTTAAATTAATAATAAGCATTTCGCGATTTGACCACCATTAAATAAATAACTTCTTTTCACAAGCAATCTTTTCTCCCCGGGGCATGAAATATATATTATTTCAGTAACATAATGTATATCTAAAAACCTTTTACTGAGTTTGATACTGAGCCCTACCACTCGTGTTGGTTCATCACCCATATGAGATAATTTAGTTTGCCGTCGAAATCACCCAACTCTCATGTACTAGTATTACAACTATCTAGGTTACATCCAGCATATCTGTCCGGACTATGGCCACTACCAAAAAACTGTTTTCTTGTATAAGGTCTTTTTGATCTCTCAGAGACTTGAAATAGTTAAAAACCTTCAGGTCATCCCCCGCTGTGCATGGGATCACATAGACGTGTCGTACGTATTTTCTTTTGGACATGAGTGCCCCATAGCGTTGCCTGCTTTGTAGAAATTCATATAGCTCTTCAAACTGTCCGGAATCGTGGGCATTGTTCTGCGGCTTGAGCAGATAGGCAACAAAAGTTCTACTGGAGGACATTTGCTGCAGGTAACTTTCGGCGTCCTCATCCTTTAATCTTCCTTCCATCACAAAAGCACCATCTCCGATTGCGTCGCGTCGTACCGTATTGCTGATCTCTTCTGAGGACCCAATGTAATCGACAGTGCCTGAAAAGTCGGCGTGAATCTCTTTATACTCCATGCTGCATTTCCACGAATTTTCTGGTTCCGAAATTTTTCTAGGAATCTCACTGTTGTGTGCATTACCATCAGCGTCAACGCCTTGATTTTTTGATGTTTCTTCGGCTGGTGTATCTCCACCAACCGCATTTTCGGAATCTTTCATTCGTGCTTCCAATTTTGCCGCTAAAATGTCTTTATTGAATATGATGTCTTCTGGCTCATATGCGTTTGGATCTTCTATTAATTCTTCACCTTTGTGTGTTTTATGATACATTGGTTTATGCGGTTGTTCCACTACAAGCTGGTTTAATGCCTCACTGTCCACTCTTTCTCTGAAATGTTGGAGATCAGGGTTAACGAGTTCGTTTACAGACATCTTCACGAGTTTGCTGAACGATAGCACCTCATTGATGACAAGCGTTTTCATGTTGATATTCTTTTTATCTTTCAAATTGGAATAGAGGACCCTTACTTTCTCCTTATAACTGTCGTTCAAATTAGTCGTCTCTTGATTGTGGTTTGCCGCGTATAACTCTTGCTCAAGTTCACCTGCCAATTTTTCGGAAAGTTCTTTTACAGATGTTTTTGGAGGAAGATGGAATTTTTGAGCCGCGACGGTTTCTGGGATAACATACCTTGTGAATAGCTCGCCAAACATTTTCAACGCAGAGTCTCTTAGTTTGGACTCTTGATCATGGTTAGGGTGGAGTTTCTTTTTCCCCGATCTATCGTCCTTTTTGCGTTTAGTAGGGCGTCGGACCACTTCATCTGGAATGTCTTCTTGGTCGCCTTGTGGCTCATTTCCCTCGTAGTTACTTTCATCATCGTCGCGTTCGCGCACCTTTGCGCGGCTTTTCTTCTGCCACGTAGCAGGATCAATAACGTATTCCAAGTCTGGATGAGATGAAGGTGAGCACAAGCTGCACTCGTAATTGTCAAGACCTTCTGCGCTTTCTCCACCGGTCATGCATTTGATATGTTGCCAAGTATTACAAGTGTCACACTGAATCATGTCTCCGTTGGGATCGTTTTCCTCATCATAATTGTCGTCAGTGGTACCGCAGACAAGACATTTCACAACTTCTACGCCGCCCTCATTACCCTCGGTGTTGTCATGGTGTGCCTGTCTCGCTTTGACATATTCCAATTCCGCCAACCTCTGATTCTGCAAATACTTGTTGGTGCCTTTATTACTACGAGAAGATCTACGTATCTTTTCGCTCATTGTGACAAACGCAGTGAAATGACTGTCTCCTAGCGCTCAGGACTGCCTGAATGACCTTGTTATTAACAGATTTTTGGCGCTCGTGAAATATTGTAAATATTGAATTATGTTACTGTGTACGGTGCATGATAAATAACAACCTGGTATCAATACCTCAAATACCATTATACCATATCCTCATTAGTCCAATCAAACGCAGTAGTAAGCCGTGAGCTTTTTGCCTGGAAGGTAAATCATTGGACGTACATTGATTGAAATCTCGAGCTATACTCCACAGTCGAATAAATTTTATTTCATATAAATTATACCATCTACATTAAACGGTACTTCTCAAGTTCTTGACGTTCATTTCAACTACTGCGTCCAATAACTTTGACTGGCATCTTGCTTGAGAAGTGTGTTAGTACTGAATTGCAGAGGAAGAAGGTACAGACAATCCGGCACATACGTATGTACCTCTTGTATTGGCCCTTACTCTTTGAATTTTACACTTTAACATCTCGGCCACAAAGTAGCATGTTGGCGTCGGATAGCGTCAGTGAAAGTTTATTATTCAAAGTTTTAATATCAAAGTTAGTCGCAGTGAAGTGAAGGAACTAGAATAAAAATCCAAAATACATATTTCAATGTGATGAATCTATTTCAAAGAATCGTTTAAAGACTTTCAGGACACTGTCTGACTGTATTGTTAAATTGAGGTCTGTTTTGTTGTTTGCATGCCAATGGCCCCTAACTAGAAGAGACGATGGATATACATCTCGAAAATTCAATCTTCCTTTTCAATTTTAAGCTTCGGCTTCAAAACCCTCAAACACGACTGAGTCTAAATACCTGCAGAGATTCATGATCCTATCGTCAACTAAAGACATTTTGCACAGAAATGACCAAGAATCATTTTAACAGGAGCTGTCTGCAGAAGGGTAGCGACCAAGGTAAAAAGTTTACGAGGTATGTACGCTGGATTCAGAGAATTAGCAAAGTGCAATCATGCCTTATATGTTAAGCTGGTCTCGACCGTTTCGACAATATATGCATAGTGATTAAAGATTAAAGTGGAGGTCTTTGACGCTACTTTCTCCTTCCAAACTACGCCTCTGTATTGACTTGCCATCGAAGCATGTATTTGCTTAAGGTTTAATGAATATTGTACCGAGTTGTTCAAGCCACCATAATATATCTAGATAACCAACTCGGTACAGCTCGGTTGATCATGGTTTCTGAAGGTTCGGCATGATGAGAACTAAAACTTCATATTACATGATGAGCATTGCGACTCATCGATGTGCTTTCTTTCTTCACGAGACCTCTCGACACAATAGCATCCAACATTTCATATTGGACGCCTATGTAACCAGATTAAAGAAGGCCATTCATTGCATTTCACGATTGGCTCCGATCCAATCTGTTGATGTAACTTTGTACGCACTTTCACAAAAATTGAAGGCGAAATTTACATAATAACGCTACGAGCATCATCGTATGGACAATCAAATAAACCAAAGCTGCTATAAAAAATCACCTACTCCACACCCTTGTGTCGATATTTTTATTAATATTGATTTAAGAAAGATTGGAGTGGCTGGACGTGAATTATTGACCGCAAGAACGTCTCTCGCATCGTGTTGATTCGAATAAAAAAGAAATAGAGTCGCATTGGTCATCGTGATAACTTACACTGAACTTAATAGCCTGTTTATGTCGAACGTTTTCCAGAGAGTGTTTCTCTCTAGGAGGCCTGCAGGTTCTAGGGTGGCGGATCTTGAAACAAGCCTGGATCCATCTTTGACACTAAGAAAACTGCGAAATTATACATTATCAACTGCGGACGCTTGTCACTATGGGTTTCTTGGAAGTGTTCTCCTTTTTGTTTTTGTCATGAACCCGGCTGCTTGGATTGCCAAGATTGCCGTATACTTAGTTTTTGGTGTTCTCTTTATGCTTCCTGCCACTTCGCAATTTTTTTTCAACGCACTACCAATATTTACATGGCTTGCACTTTATTTCACATCTTCGTCGTTTTCCGCCGAACACCGGCCTCCAATAACTGTTCAAGTACTACCCGCCATAGAAACCATCCTATATGGTGACAATCTGAGTGATATATTGGCCGCTTCCCTCAACAAACCTTTGGACTTCCTAGCTTGGATTCCATACGGTCTCTTCCACTTTGGCGCACCATTTGTCGTAGCTATCATTTTGTTTCTATGTGGCCCACCCACAATATTAAGAGGTTACGCGTTTGCGTTTGGATACATGAACCTTTTTGGTGTAATGTCGCAAAATTTATTTCCTGCAGCACCTCCTTGGTACAAAATCCTCTACGGCCTGAGTCCTGCAAACTACGCCATGAAAGGATCCCCAGGAGGACTCGGTAGGATTGACCAGTACCTGGGTATATCCCTTTATACCGATGGGTTTTCTAATTCCGCTGTCATCTTCGGCGCGTTACCTTCATTGCATTCTGGGTGTTCGACTATGGAAGCTCTGTTTTTCTCATACGTTTTCCCAAAATTGACGCCACTATTCATTTTCTATGTGTGTTGGTTGTGGTGGTCCACCATGTACCTGACGCACCACTACTTCGTGGATCTTATAGCTGGCTCCGTGTTGTCCTATGCTATATTTCAATACACTAAATATTTCCACTTACCCCTCACGGAGCCTTCAGAGTATTCTCGTTGGTCTTATGCAGAAGTGAAGAAATTTAGTGTATGGCTTGCTGATCCATTGAACACTGATGCTAATGACATTGAGAACATTGTAGTTCCCGCACGTGCGGATATGGAGTTGGAGTTGAACTCAATGGAGAACAGTGAGCCTCCTTCAATTTTTGACCACGATAGGTCTGTGTCGCGATCATCAGCTACCTCAAATACCTCTGTCGAAGCTCAAAGTGAAGCAGTTCCTTCATCACGGCCCGCGAAACACAGAATCGATTGATTTTAGAATTTCAGCAAACCATGATTAGTTAGCGGAAAACAATTAAATGTTATAAAAGGATGCCAGAATTGATTTAATAACTATAGACAGGATACTTCATGCTACAATAGTGACAAGCAGGTATATGGGCTAGAAGACGTCTTTCTTCACTTTTTCAAGTATGGAACTGTAGCCTGCTGCTCTCTCGATGGAAGAGGCAACGTCAAGCTGTTTGGAAGTATTCATTTTAATAATAGATGATCTGATGACACGAGGATCTCTCTTCAGCGTTCTCAAAATTTCAGACTGTACAGCGGCGGATGAATCAAATAACATAAGGAAATGATAACCTTGGAAATGCTGTTCCTGGTCTTTTTTAATTATTTTTGGCAGTAGTTTGTTGCCAATAGGAAGTATTCTTCTAACAACACCTCTGTTTTGAACGATTAGCTTTCCAACTGTCGTCGCCAATTCTTTGGCCTCGGTATTGGCCGCCAGCGGATTAACAACACGGACTACGCTCACTAACTCATACAGCATAGCTTGTTCAAAGACTCGCGGTCAAGTCAAGACGATGGCATTCTACAATTTGGGTCTTAATTGGATATCATCTCTGAAATTTTTTTAGCTTCGTAACCGGGTAAAAATGTAACTCATATCTTTTCTTAAGGATATTTCAGCATATCTGAAGGTAAGCTCTATTTCATTCAATCAAGACTCCTGTAATCGGTCATGGCGCTGCTAGATTGGGTTTTCGGGAAGAGCGTGACGCCTCAAGAGCGTCTGAAAAAAGTAAGTGGGCTTGATATGTAGTTAAAACGCTGAGACTTTGTGAAACTGACCATTATCTTAGAATCAAAGAGCTCTAGAGAGGACTCAGAGGGAGCTAGAGAGAGAAAGGAGAAAACTGGAGGCACAAGAGAAGAAACTCGTCCTCGACATAAAAAAGTCTGCCAAAGATGGGCAGGTAAGTGCTGCGAAAATACAAGCGAAAGATCTCGTGCGAACTAAGAAGCATATCACCAAGTTCAACAACATGAAGACCCAACTTCAGGCTATTGCGTTAAGAATCCAAGCTGTTCGTAGTAGTGATCAAATGACAACGTCAATGAGGGAAGCAACTGGTTTGCTGGCCACGATGAACAGGTCTATGAACTTGCCGCAGCTACAACGTATCTCCGCTGAGTTCGAGAAACAAAGCGATCTCATGGATCAAAGACAAGATTTCATGGATGAAGCCATAGATGATGCGATGGGTGATGAGTTAGAAGAAGACGAAGAGGCTGATGAAATCGTCAATAAGGTGCTTGACGAAATCGGGGTAGATTTGAACGCAAAGCTTCAGAACACTCCCCAGGAAGATTTAGAGTCTCGTGAGGCGAATGCTACTGAAAGAATTGCTGAACCAGTAACTAATACTGGCGGCAGCGGAGCGCTTAGTGCCGATGATGAATTACAAGCCAGATTGAATGGTCTAAAAAGATAATTATCTATCTGAAATTATTATCTGAATTTACTTATGGCCCAATTCAAATAATGGACTCTTTTTTCAGGTATAAATAAATCTGCTCAGCGCACTCTTCGACAGTTTGCTTGTCTGTGTCCACGTGAATTTCGGGAGTCTCTGGTGCTTCGTATGGAGCAGATATTCCGGTGAATTCCTTGATGACACCTTCTCTAGCCCTTTTGTAAAGGCCTTTAGGATCTCTTTGCTCCGCCACTTCCAGTGGAACGTCAACGAAAACTTCAATAAATTTGAGATTGCTGTCTTTATGAAGAGCTCTAGCGTTGTCGCGGTCAACGCGATAAGGCGAAATAAATGAGGTGATGGAAATGGTGCAAGAATCTGCAAACAACCTAGATACTTCAGATATTCTACGAATGTTCTCGTTTCTGTCCTTTTCTGAAAACCCTAAGTCCTTGTTCAAGCCAAATCTAATGTTGTCACCGTCCAATCTGTATGCAGACACACCCTCTTTTAGAAGCAGTTGCTCTAGGGCACATGCAATGGTGCTAGATTCTGTTAGTATTTCAATATTGATTATCTTCCAACAAATAAACGAACCTTTTTCCCGAGGCACTAAGGCCTGTTAACCAAACGGTTGCACCGTTTTGTTTTCTCAGCTCCGAGCGCTCGCTGTAGGTGAGATTAGGGTGCCAAGTGATATTGGTGGCCATATTTTATGAATGTAGAGTTGTTGAGCTTAAAGGAAGTTAAAGAAACTCCAAGCTACTTACTATCAAGGACTCAAGTAAAATGAGTTCTTATATGGAACATAAACTGGGATGGGCAATCGTTTGGCAGACCCACCACAGTAACGTTCATCACATGACATTACATAAATTCTATTGCTTCGACAACTTGCTAATAAATAAGTACCAGTCTTGAGGGCAGCCTGGAGAGCCCTCGAGGTCGTATAATTATCGCTAAATAAAAGAGCCCTTCCTAAGGATGCTATAACTTGGAGAGTATTTTTGGCGCAGTTTCAGGAAATATCAACAACTAATTAATTATATCCAGTTTTTCATTATACTTGGTAATCTTGCCGCCAACATAGAAAGTTTTTATTTGTCGCTCGACTGCCTCGACTACCTCGACTCATGAAATATGTCCTAGGTAGTATTCGTATGCTACTTTATCGCTTTAAGTTGCTTAATTGTCACATATGAAGTAACAATATCTGACTTACTGTCATTCACCGCAACGAAAATGCTACATTGTAAACAAAATCGTACGTAAAATATAAACAAAAAAATATGTGATAATAAGAGTCATATGATACAAATTTAATAGGTTTTAGTAAATTTTTTTAATATTTAAACTATAAGCTACAAATTTTTAAATCCTTTTTTTAAAATTGCAATTTAAATGTGTTTTAGTTTTCCGATTGTAAAATATGTGTTTAAGTACGGTATAGCGGGTGTATCGTTTAAGACCAAAAATATCTTTTTTTCTCTTTAAGTGTTCTTTTACTCTTTCGAATTAAAATTATCTCTACTGAAGCTAGCCGCTTTTTGTCAATTGTTATACGATCTGAGACTAGTATGATTCAATTACTAAACTACTTATTCATTAAGCATGGAAGGTATACAATTAAACAGAAGACACTATTTCACTTGCGTTTCGTAGAATTTCTGTCATTTTCTGACATTCTTTTCTTCTCTGTATAGTAATATCATTTTCCTTCGTTAGCTCCGACATATCTTGGTTGCCGTAGAGCTTTTCAAGTAGGATCTTTTGAATGTCATTCTTGCTCTTAACAATTAGCTTGAACATTACTGCCTTCGGAATCACATCAGCTACTGTGCGTTTAACAATATTGAAATAACTCTCGATTAAAAGCTTAATTACCTCTGTCTCCATGGATTCGCGCTCAGTCATTTGACCTGTAGCTTTCAACACTGGAGGAGGAGACTCTAAAGCAGCGAGCTTCTTTTTATTCTTGGAGGAAAAGAAGCCGCCAAAGAATCCTGATTTATCATCGGTTTGCGGTAGTGGCTGGGGTGGCTGAACTGGTAACGGCTTACCAGTTTTTGGATCAACAGCAATTTGTCTAGGATGCAGCTTCTCCTCGATCATAGCCATCGCCTGTGATCCCTTCAAAAGATCTGGGTGCGCAGTATTGATGTAAGTCTGCTCGGCACTTATAATATCAGAAACGAAAGTATTCGTTGGAATTATTGCCTCCTTTAAAAATTGAACAAAATAATTTGACATCGCCTCTCTTAGCCCAGGGTACCTGCCGTATTTGGGTTGTGAAATTATTTGTTTCAGTATGCGGACAAGTTCATCGAAGACGAGGTTGACGAGACGCAAGCTTGGCTCTTCGAATCGGTTTATTTGTTGCTTCACCAAAACTTCAAATGCCTCAGTACCTACGAACAAAGAGGGAGCTGAACCGGAGCTATTATACATAATAGTTCTGATATCAGAATCTTTGATCTGATCGAATGGGTCTAAAGCTCTCACTCCATTTTTGTAAATCTCATGAAATACAAAAGATATACGTGCACCGCCAGAAAGTTCCTGACTGGACAATTCCTTAGCCTCTCCGTCTAAGATCCCGGTGTATTCTTTGGAAAAATCGGTAATCATGCTTAAAACAATCGAATTTGGGGAATCCATTGTTTCAGGGCCCAAAGACATCAACTCTGTTTGATATTTCTTCAACGTCACTTCGATTTTGTTTTTGATGTCCGGCAAAGTTTGTCGAATGTGATGGAGCAGGATTGAGTTGAGTTTCTTCGCCAAATAGGGCGTACCACAGTAGTGAGCCTTAGAGCTGTAGGATGAATGGTTTTCAAAATACCTTCTTTCGTCGTCTAATGCAGATCTGATTGTTTTCTTTGCCTCAATATCCTTTTGGCCACGATTGATGACTGGAATGTAACCATATCTCAATGGGATCACTCTACCAGCCAAAATGTCAATCACGTCGGTGCCCTGGTCCATCAGGTCGACCTTTGTCAGAACACCTATGGTACGCGTACCCTCGGGATCTACCTCCCTTGCTAACTTCAATCCATCACTGTTGGCCAGATCAGTGTTGGCCGCATTCACAGACAAAATGATAGCATTCGGTTTCGAAATATACTTCAAAAGCATGTCTTTAATCTGCTTCTCAATATCTGCGGGTTGATCACCTACGGGAACTTTGGTCAAACCAGGCAAATCAACTAGGGTTAGAGTCAGCACATGGGGCGAATAGATTCTCAAGTTGATAGGTACTGATGAAATACCGGCGTTTTTGCCAGTAGTTTTGTCCGTTTCAATGACAATTTCTTGTCTGATTTCGTCGAAATTGTAAAATTTTTTGTTCGGAATATGCAAGAATTCACCCCACTCGTTAGCATTGTCCTCAGATTGTCCTCCTTTAGATTGGTCATCATTGTGGATTTCCAGCAAGTCGTCGTTAGCCTTCTTTGGTCTTTTGTTTATCAATTGCAGCACCAGGGGTCTTCTAGTTACAATGCCTGTACCACGAGGCAAAAAGTCACGTCCGACAATATTTTCTAAGACAGAAGACTTTCCTGAAGATTGCGATCCTACTACTGTGATCTGCGGCAGATCAATTGGAGATTGAGAACCTCCTCCCAAGGGAGCCAATGCATCTTGCAATTTGTTTATAGTAGCGATCAAAGCCACATCCATCGTGCAAGTAGTTATTAATTCAAACTGAAACTGTTAACAGGCAACTTTCAAGCCAATGAATTGTTGTTAGAACGAGCTAGATATCTTGCGAACCCCTTTACGCCACCTACCGAGATTTCAATTATATTCATTTCGATGAATTTCAAATTTTATTTTACCCGGCTCACAAAGCTTTTCTTGATTTCACAGCACAAAATAAGATTTATGAGTTGAAGTGGTACTCATTAGCATCAGTTCCAACCTGTCGAGCATTGTATCCTTCAACGCTTCCGTTTTTCATAGCATTCGCTCAGCGTTTTTTGTGCTAAAGGCGAGAATCTTTATTTGCTACATTTAGATTGAAGAACCTGAACAAATCCAGCGGGTAGAATTAATTCAAAATAAGGGCCGATTTCCGTACTCACAGAGGGAAAACATTGAGCCAAACGTTTTCACATTTGCACATTGCATCTCAAGATCCTCAAGTACTAAACTCTACGTGCAATAAGCGTTCCACATACAGAAGCATGAGTCAACAACGAGTTTACGGTGTAACAGGCCCGATTTCTACAGCAGGACCTACAGCAGCAGAAAATCAACTTAATGACGCACTAATTCAGGAGCTTAAGAAGCAGAAATCTTTCGAGTCTGAAGACGACACGAGGAAGAGAGTGGACGTCTTGAAAATTCTGCAAGACCTGGCACAGGACTTCGTGTTCCAAGTTTCTAAAAAACGTAACATGTCAGATGGCATGGCCAAAGACGCCGGTGGGAAAATCTTCACATATGGTTCCTACAGGCTGGGTGTTCATGGGCCTGGTAGTGATATTGATACGTTGGTTGTTGTCCCGAAGCACGTCACTAGGGAAGACTTCTTTACCGTCTTCGACCAAATTTTGAGAACCAGATCAGAGCTGGACGAAATCGCACCAGTTCCAGACGCGTTTGTGCCCATTATAAAGATCAAATTCAGTGGTATTTCTATCGATTTGATTTGTGCGCGGTTAGATATTGCTCAAGTTCCCGCAAACTTGACTCTCTCGGACAAAAACTTGCTGAGAAATCTTGACGAAAAGGACCTGAGGGCCTTGAATGGTACGAGAGTTACGGATGAAATTTTGCAACTCGTTCCTAAACCAACGTCATTCAAGATCGCTCTTAGGGCCATCAAGCTATGGGCCCAAAGAAGAGCAGTCTACGCCAATATATTTGGTTTTCCTGGTGGGGTGGCCTGGGCTATGCTGGTTGCAAGAATATGTCAGCTTTACCCAAATGCATGCAGCGCTGTGATTGTAACCCGTTTTTTTCATATTCTCACCAAATGGAATTGGCCTCAGCCAGTCCTGCTGAAACCTATTGAAGATGGGCCTTTACAGGTGCGCGTATGGAATCCAAGAATATATGCACAAGATAGGTCGCATAGAATGCCTGTCATCACACCCGCCTATCCCTCAATGTGCGCTACACATAATATCAGCGAGTCTACCAAAAAAGTAATATTAGGAGAGCTTGAAAGAGGAGCTCTTGTATCGAATGAGATATTCACTGGCAAAAAATCATGGAGCGATTTGTTTAAGAAACATGATTTTTTCTTTCACTACAAGTTTTATCTTACTGTCATGGCGTCCACTACAGGTTCAGATGAACAACATCTGAAATGGAGCGGCCTAGTAGAAAGCAAATTAAGACTTTTGGTGCAAAAATTGGAAATCTTAAGCGGCATAAATTTAGCCCATCCTTTCACTAAACCTTTCGAATCTTCTTATGTCTATGACAACGAAGCACAATGCAAGGACATCATCGACAATTATGGAACTTACAAAACTCAAAACGTGCTAGAACAATACACCGAAGTTACTGACGAAAACAAAAATGCTGAGGATATTAAAGACAAGAAACAGGTTCACATCACGACAATGTACATTGGGTTGGATGTTGCTGTCGATGGGAAAAAACAAGTCGACATACACGTTCCGTGCTCTGACTTCTTTAATTTATGCCGCTCATTTAGCGAATACGATGACACTGAGATGTTTTCGCTAATGATCAAGTATGTTAAACTTTACGATTTGCCAAGCACTGTGTATGAAGAAGGGGAAGAAAGGCCAATCAAACATAGCAAAAGGAAAAAGCAGGATAGAGAAGGAAAGAAAACAAAACGGCCTAAGTCCAGTTCCCAGAAATCTGAAGAGTTGGCCACCCCTATCAGCGGCTCTAACGGCAAAAGCTCATCTCTTGACCAGAATGTAGCTAGTCCGACAGTTCCTGCTATGCCGTCGACACCTGCTGTCAACCATGCCAACGCTTCTGTAAACTAGGTCAAGAACATAAACTACGTACATTCTTCACGAATAAAATGCATTACAACCACTAAAAGCAATTCACTCCTGTTATGTTTACATCAAACTTCATTCGAAAATTGACAGTCTCACAGTATAATCTTGAATCCTCCAAGGAACGCGATTGCTACATCTCCTCTCATGTTAACTTGTCTCAACTAAAGACGCTGCAGGGTCGAAAACGAGTATTCCAAAGAAAGGAAAAATTTAGGGCTTAAAAATTAAATTAATAAATTACACTAATAGAAGTTTAAGTGCTATTCAAGCGACCCAGATAGCAAATACTGGTTAAACGCGGCAATTTTTAAATGCCACTTAATGTTTTGAAGACCAAACAGGGTTCTCCCTCTGCATCTTCAGCTAGTGATCCCAATACCGCTGCGAACGCTTCGAGCAAAAATGTGGTAGACACGGACGACATTGATGAAAATGATGAGTCCGGGCAGAGCATTCTGCTGGGTATCATCTCCCAGCTCAAACCTGGCTGTGATCTATCGAGGATAACCCTGCCAACATTCATCTTGGAGAAGAAATCCATGCTTGAGAGAATTACGAACCAGCTGCAATTTCCGGACATTTTACTAAATGCCCACGATGAAAAAGACGATCTACAACGCTTTGTAGAAGTTGTTAAGTGGTATTTGTCAGGATGGCATATTGCTCCAAAGGCAGTGAAGAAACCATTGAACCCTGTTCTAGGCGAGTTCTTCACTTGCTATTGGGATCTACCCAATAAGCAACAGGCTTTTTACTTTTCGGAACAAACTAGTCATCACCCTCCCAAGTCCTCTTACTTTTACATGATACCAGAATCGAACATAAGAGTTGACGGAACAACTATCCCGAAATCCAGATTCTTGGGCAATTCTACGGCAGCAATGATGGAAGGATTGACGGTTTTGCAGTTTCTTGACATTAAAGATTCGAATGGCAAGCCAGAGAAGTATACCTTAAGCCAACCAAACATGTACGCTAGAGGGATTCTTTTTGGCAAAATGAGAATAGAACTCGGCGATCATATGATAATTAAATCATCCAAATACAAAGTTGACGTGGAGTTTAAGACGAAAGGCTTTATTTCTGGTACTTACGATGCAATTGAAGGTATTGTGAAAGATCATGCAGGCAATGAATTTTACGAAATTAGCGGGAAATGGAATGATGTAATGTACATCAAGGACTTGAGAAACAAGACTCCTAAAAGCGTTCTGTTTGACACAAATTTGGCAACGCCACTCAAACCTCTTGTGCGCCCCCTCGATGAACAAGGCGAATTTGAATCAAGGAAGTTGTGGAAGAAGGTCACGGACGCCTTGGCTAATCGTGATCACACTATCGCAACAGACGAGAAGTTTGCCATTGAAGACAATCAGCGCGATATCGCCAAGAAGCGATTGAAAGATAACTCTCAGTTTCATCCGAAATTGTTCAGGCCGGCTAAAAATCCTGACGATGATTTAGAATTTTACATTTACAAAGACATTCCAAGTGAGGCCAGCCACGAAGACCAAATAAGAGCAATCTTAGAGATTGCACCAGTTCTGCCTGGTCAGCAATTCACTGAAAAGTTTATAGTGCCAGGTCATGAAAAGCACGAAGTTCAGAAGCAAGTGAAGAAAGGGGCTACATAATAGTTCAACTAGCTGAGCTTTTGAAATAATAAAATTAAAAAACCACTACCTGAAAATGAGATGGTGGCAGTTCCTAAATCATTGTGTGCGAACACGAGTCAATGACGTTCGCGAGCGTCCACACGACCTCTATATTCTATTAGCTTTTTTCGGGGCAAGAGAGACTCAAATGTTCTTCTAAGTAGCAGATCATCGCCAATCTCGTACATAGCCATATTGACTGACTTATCGTCTAATTTAAAATGCTTGCTTTCAAACAATTCGATATCAGATCGCCAACTTTTTAAAAACTGGCGCTGGTCTCTATGAGACATATATTGCAACAATTTCGCCAGGCATAGAAAAGGCGGCCACTCTCGCACTTCTGCTAATTCAATGAACTTCAGTACTTTTTGTGCATGATAAATATATTTCACACTGTGCGGCCCTAGGCTTGCATCAATGACATGCGGTTCAAACCCGAATCTCACGCGCAATTGATTAAAATGGCCAATTGAGTGCTTTTCGACTCTGTGATCGCTTGATAGTGTATGTCCTAATGCCCACCAGGCTGAACTGTCCTTGGGGTTTCTGAAACAAAAATTCCAAACGCTTTCTGACATTAAGGACCTGTTCTCAGCGTTTTCCACATCGTACATCCATCGAAATGTGTTCCAACAGTAATAGTTCGAAAAATGATTCGCGGCAGATCTCACAAAAAGATCGCAATAGTCAAGCTTCATAGCTGGATTTAGTTCTCGTGACAATGTGTACAGCTTTCTGAAAAGAAGCCATAGGGATGAAGACTTATTGACCCGCTTTAGATTTGACGTTAGAAGAAGTTTCACTACATGTAATTCGCGTTGAAGAAAACGACTCTCCTCTTCATGAAGTCTCCATTTGGTTTCTGGTATCTGTTTCAGATGTCGTAACAGTAGCTGTTCATGCAAGTTCAGGTTGTGACGATCTTCTGGAGTTGTCGAAAGAAGACCCACGGTGGCAATATAATAGCTATCGTCATCATTGTTAACTTTTTAGACTAGTTAGTAAAATCGCATGAATAACAAGCACAGAAATGCTTACATACTTTCCTCAAGTGTCTTGTTCGTTAAGTAGAGACGCGCTTCGCAAAACAGTCGCAAGTAGGTGGATTTGGAGCAGATTATTTCAGAACCGGTCAAATCGCCAACGCAGATAAAGCTGGAGCGATTATCGATAAAAGTACCATCTGGCGTCACCGTTAGTTTCACACCAGCTCTCAGTATTGAACCTATGAGCGTCTCGTAAAATTCCCTGCACAGCTTTAATGTTTTCATGTTTTGATTTTATATTTGGTCTTTCTGTCACTGGCCTTACCCTTCGACAACAAACAAATATATATTGATGTATATGTGGAAAGCAAGCTAATAATGACAAATTAGGTATTATGTCTTGTTGATTCATTCGTCACTGTAACTAAAGGCTTGAATCGCACGTATAGAGTGTCTTCTTAAGCTGAAGGTGGTACTGTTTGACCTATTTTCTGAGACGGATGCTCTATTGAAGGTAAATGTCTAGTAATCAGTACGAGAGTAAAATTGTAAGACCAGAAACTACAGATTGATCTTTGCAGACCATATTCACACAATTAATCAGAAAGTCAACTAAATTTGAAGACTACTTGGTCGACTTTCCTCCAGCACAGCGCCTGTATCCATCAAAACTTCGTAGATGTATAGTAGTTGTCTGGTCCCGTCTCACTTGGGAAAGGGAAAACGAGCAAATACTAAGATAGTTACAAGACCTAGAACAAAATCATTAGGTACTTCACAGTTAAACTAACTGAGAGAGCAGCCCAACATGGATATTTGGAGAACTCCTCTATGGGTATACTGAAAAAATAGCACCGCCAAAGAATGGGTAAGCTATCTACAAATATAAACAGTTGCCACGAACAGCATCGCACTATATCTAACGTTTCTACAGAACGCTCGGAGATATGCCCGCTGAAGTCTTATATTTACACGATTCGGTTTTTATGTAATGCAAAGTAAACCTGTCAGACTAAGCAGCTTGTCTGGCTTTTTCCAACGCCAGTCTGGCATTCTCACGTTCTAGAGATTCCACTTCCAGCAGTATTTTCGATAACCTCCTCCTTTGGTCTTTTGGTGTCACTGATTTAACAACTTGGATGCTCTTGGCGGTATATGAAGTGTCGTCAAGATCAATGGCATTAGGCTCTGATTCCTTGAACTTGGCCAGCTTCCCACTAACGACTTCTTTGAGGTAGAAGTCACGAAATTCCAAAGGCGATTGCAGCCGTGTTAGTTGGTAATCAGGTACTAGAACTCCGGTAGCAGCTTGCAGCGCCTTCGTGAAGTGGAACTTGCCGATGAGGTCGCGGAATGGCAATGCGAGACTCTCGTCTTCAACACTCGAAATGCTGATTTTGCCAATAGTGCTATTGTACGCTTGCAACAGCGAATCGTCCAGCGTCTTCGCAGATGCGACTTTCGTAGACGAGAGCCATTTATTAAAAGGAATATGCTGTACGGCTGCTTGGCGCTCGGCCTTGTTTATAGCGCCCAGTTCTTGCCCGATAAAGGAGTCCTCCGTAAGCCTCATTTTATTTTTGGAGGCTGCTGAAGCATTTTCGCCGGACTCAATTTCCTCAATGACCTGCTTCGTGTCTTTAGTTGGTTCTGCAGGTTTAGCATTTTGCCGGCGCTTGAACCAAGACATAAAATCTGGATTCCTCAGCGAGGAATGAAGTCCTCTTTGGGCACCCAATTTATTCGCACTTCGTGAAATCATAATAGCTTATGGTGTAATTACAACGTGAAGACTAGACGGCTCTCTGCACGCTGATATCCCGCCTCGATGCCACTTTTGGCTCAAATTTTTTAGAAGATGAGAAACTTCAGATCGACAAGTTACCCGACTCCTACAATCTCAAGACAAGAGCACGGGAGAGCAGGAACTAAGAGCGAAGGTCACTTTTGGCGCAAGGTTGAAGTAACTTTGAAAGTTCACAACTTAATACTCGAACTTAGATTGTTGAGAGGATGGGTGGTATTCTTAGCTGCTGTTTTGGTACTCGAAGCTCAGAAACGGAACCTTTAGTACAAGAAGCCCAAAAAGGCTACGGGTCGTACGGCAATGAAGACGATGAGGCTTTGCAGAGGAAAATAGAGCAAGAGGAACAGAAATTACTAGCGCGCGAGCAAGAGCTAACTGAGATTGTCAACAATACAAATGATAAGCTGATAGACATTTCGATGATGAGCAACAGTGGGATAGTGGTACAAAGCCACGACCTGGGCGAGGCCATAAGCAGTGAGAAAATAAACGGCGGCCAAGACACAAGAGCAGCGAGGTTGCAATCCGCGGGAGCTTCAGCAGTGTCGGAATCCCAACGCAAGGCAATAAAGGGTTTGTACAGTAGGTTTTTTGAAAACTTAGGGCAGCAGCTCCACCTTGATAGCGCCGACAATCTGATTGTAAATTTATAGCTCTCTGAAGCTGCCAGCTGCAGCGGAGAACTAGCAAGTCTGACTGTAAGAACTTGAGTTCCACGGAGCTCACGATGTACGTATAGAATTAGGTTAAATTATATTAGAAGTGACATTGGCATACAAGATATCTGCAACGGCGCTTCAAAACTAACTGCGGATTTTCAAACTGTTGCCCAATGGTCCCCAAAAAGAGAAAGACACAGGAACCAGAAGCGGTTGAAGAAGTAGTTGGCCCACAACGAAAATACGCTGCTGGAAAGCAGCCACGCCTGGAAGAGCAACTACCGCACGTTGATTATCATGTTCCATTAGACCCTGAGAGCGAGCTGTTCGCACAGGACGACTGGTTTATACCCAAGTTCAATCTGTTTATTTCGTTCACTCTCGATAACTTGGTAGAGAGCTACAAAGACATGTTTAAAGATTTTATCAAGCTCCCCAGTAGAAAGTTCCATCCTGGATATTTCTACAAAATCGATCAACCGATCTCGGTTAATGAGATAAAGTCAAGGGACTACGAATATCTCAATGGCCACAGAACATTTCTTTTGGATGTGGAGCTGATTCGCAAGAACTGTTTCTCATATAATGATCCTGAAAGTCTAATAGCCAAAAATTCTATGCAAGTTGTGAACTACGTCAAATACGAAGTATTGAAGGCCAAAAATGTGACACGTAATTATTTGATTAACAAAGAGGTAAAGAAGTTTCTCACAGATCTGTTGAACAAAGTGCTGAATGCCACCGACAGATCAATTGCAGAACTCATGGGAAAACCTGCGGAAGGGTTGGATGACACAATGCATATTTGCGAGCCGTTCATGGAGCTGGTGCTTCAAGATGAGCTTCCTGAATATTATGAAGTAATCCATCGCCCAAGTGCCCTGAAACTGGTAAAAAGTAACCTGGAGATGGACTATTACACCAAAATTTACGACTTTTACATTGATATGGAAATAGTCTTCGAAAATGCTCTGGTTTTCAATGAACCGGAAACGCTTATCTACCAAGATGCCGAAAAATTACTGCGGTTTTTCCGAAAATTAATGCGGGAGAAGTTCTTTGTTGATTTAAAGGAATACAGTGAGCGTGGGGAAGCTAAATTAGAATACGATAAAATTGAGTACGAACAGTACTTAGCTAATGGTGGAGATGAAGAAACCGCAGAGGCGGAGGATGACGAACCTGAGCTAGAGGACTACGACTTCAATCACTACGAAGGTCTAGGAAATGGCTACAATAGAACTCTCTTTTCGGGAGACTACTTGTTGGGACCGAATAGATCAAAAAGTGGCGAATTGAGCACAAAAAGGATAATATTGGAGCCAGCGGAAGAACTACCTGAAGAATCGAAGTATAATCTTTTCAAATCCCTTGGTTCTGATGCTGACATTAAGCTCGAGGATTCGAGCCCGTACACGCTCATTCAAGAGCTGACGGTCTCATCTTCAAGGTCATATTACAAACAAGAATCTAAACCTGCCCAAGGGGCGCTTCCCTCTTTAACTCAGAAATGGGTCGAATATGTTTTGAAAGGGGAGAATATGACCCAGAAAGAAAACATGTACTCATTGACCTTGCCTCCCGTACAAACATCGGTGACCATTACGACTCTTGTGGACTATCCTACGGACTCCAACTACCAATCCGTTCTTTCCGTCAACAAAGAAAAAACGAGCCCTAGCGTTTCTACCGATGAGTCCCCGGTGCAGGAGCGTTATGAGGTTCGTCTAACGGAGGGCAACAACTATATAGAATTTACATGCCAAGACCTCGATAGCGAGAAGTCCGAAGTTTTGAGGCTCTGGATTGTGGTATTGCCTTGAATCAAGATCGGTTTGGCAAGTCACCTCGAACTCTGTTGTTTAGCGCTTGAAGCTGGGCACTGCATAAAGATGGCAGCGCGAAAGCTGATACCGATAATTTTGGTCAAATAACACTTAAAAATTTGCCACGCAGTGGTGTATCAATAAATTTAAGTAATCGAATGAATTAAAAACTGTATTTTAGAGTCTTGCGCGGCAGAAGAATGATGAAGCTCTTCTTTCACTTGCGCAGAAACTCTACAATCAGATGACCCACAACCAATGAAGTCATAATATTTGGACGCGTAGATAGTGATTTATAATAAGATACTCGCTTTTTAATGATCTTGAAAATACCGTACGTAAGATACAATCAACATATCTCAGCAATCCAAGTCCAATAGCTAACAAAAATGGTCGCAGTATGTTAAATCGGAATACCCATTTGAACTGGAATTTTTACCGTTGAAATGAGTGTCTTCACGTCGGTAATTCATTTAATATTTTGCTCTAAAAGATACTAACAAATAATTGCAGTACGTTTCTAAATTGGCCGCCAAGACCGCTCCATATTATGGACAGTTGAACTTTTCCAACTTGATTGCTTACATCCCAAACCTAGCTCTCTGGGGTGGTGCCTCCGCTGCCGGTATGTTTGTTTTTACCGAAGGATGGCCAAAGTTTCAGGACACTTTCTACAAGAAAATTCCTATCTTTGGTACCCACTGGGAAGTTGAGGTTGCCCCTGAGGACCAACCACAATAAATTTCAACTAGCGCTTTTAGCTTCACGGGTATACTTTTTTATAACACTCCATCTCATGTCATTGGTCACCTTGAGAAATGCAGACAGCGTACGACTTACTACTAGATTTGCGGAGTAATTATGATCATCATAAGTTAGATATTCATTTGCACATTTAAATACTATTGAACTGAGAACGATTTAAGTGAAACTTTTCAAAGTCAATTATGCAATCCGCGACCCGCGCGCGGCATAAAACAGTCAAGGGCAATAGCAAGGATATCGAAGATATCATCGAATTGCCGTGAATTTCGCGGACAACTCTGCCGTGGAACCTTTCATAAATTAGCCTTACCGCCCACTAGCTTGAGAGCGGCGTTGTCAAGTACGACATAGTTTTTGTCAAGGTCAAAGGTTTGAAAGATTACAACCCCATTGGGCTGTTTCCATGCTTTCACTTTCAACCGATCTCCCGGGTAGACCACGTTTGTGAAACGAACTTTGAACTCGTCAAATTGACCAAACTTCTCGTACAAAACTTTGCCGGTAACTCCTAAAGTGCAAAGACCATGCAAAATCGGTCTTGGAAATTTAGACATTTTGGCAACAGTAGGGTCAATATGCAAAGGATTGAAGTCGCCCGATAAACGGTAGATAGCAGCTTGATTTATATCTGTAGTTATCTCAATCTCAAAGTCAGGCTTTGTTTCAGGTGCCTTAAAAGGCTGAACTGCGAACTTAGCCCGTGCGTTTTTGATTTGCTTAGCTTTGGGAGCATGGGCGCCTCTTATGAAAAACGTAGCTTCATTGTAGAAAAGAGTTTCATTGGTTTCCGCATTTATAGTTTGATACCCTCCAATTATAACAGCAGCTTTGCCGCCTTTATCAAGCACTTGAATCGGCTTTCCAATAGTCTTTAACTTACCTTTGGTTGGAATAGGAAATTTGTTTAGCTTGAAATATTGTTCACCATGTAACAGGAAGGCATAATTAAAGTTCTCAACCAAAGAATCCATTTTTATAGAGTTTCCACTCGACATGAAGGGAATGACCCCGAAGGTAGGAAGGACCTGAAAATTGGGATCATTTTCATAACAGTATTTCAATTCTTGGCTAGTGCAACCTAGCCCAAGGTTGTACAAAATCACGTCTCTTTCAGAATACTTGAAGAGTGCCTTAGAAGCTGCAGATTCAGTAGCTTGCGTAACGCTTTGAAGAATAGACATCGAAGAATCCTGGGTAGACGTTGGATGAGTACTTTGTCTAAAGTCAACAAGATTCTTCCAATTGTCGCGCAAAAATTCAGGAGATGGTTGCAAGCTGACAACACCTTTACTCCTTTGCCATCTAGTTTGACCACACCATCCACCTCCTACCTCAAACAATTGACCCGTGACAGGCTTCCCGACTTTTTTACTTAGCTCGTCCGTAGCCAACAACACGAAAAATGGGGAGACTTGGCTTGGATCAAAGTGACTTCCTAGTTCTTTTTCCGAGAAAATTGTTTTAGTCATCGCAGTTTCCGCGTGTGGCGCTACGATATTCACTTTTATGTTTGCTTTCAAACCTTCCAAAGCCAAAGTTTTCGACAAACCAAGTATGGCAGCTTTTGCTGCAGCGTAATTTGCTTGTCCAAAATTACCATAAATTCCAGAGGTCGAAGTAGTGTTGATGATGTAACCACCTCCTTGTTTGAGAAATACGGGCCAAACAGCGTTGCAAAGCCCGTATGTAGAGTAAAGATGAACTTTCAAGACAATAAGCCATTCTTCATCAGTCATTTTCACGAAAGACCTGTCTCTCAAGATACCTGCGTTGTTGATCAACACATCAACTTTTCCGTAATGCTTTATGGCAGTTTCGATAATTTCCTGAGCTTGAGTGACGACGTCATGCTTATCGGCTACAGCTGAATCTTCTCCGTATAACTTTTGAATTTCTGTAGCAGCAGTGTAAGGGTCTCTGATATCATTGATCACAACTTTAGCTCCATACTTGGCAAAGGAAAGTGCATGCGATTTGCCTAAACCCGCGCCTGCGCCTGTGACAATCACAACTTTACCCTTGAGGGATTCAATACGACCAGAGCCTTGGCTATTAGCAGGTAGTTGACGAGCTTTGGCGATTAAGGCATTATAATCACTCAATTGAATGGGGTGTGAAACTTTATTGAAGGGCTTGTCAGTGTAGTCCACGATGGATGACCACTTATCAAGGATAGCCTCAGCGGTGAAAGATTCGGGACTAGGATTGAAGATCTGGCCGGAGGACCGCTCCCAACGGATTTGACTGTAGAAGCCTGCGGCCAATTCAAAAATCGAATTTGTCACTTTGGTGGATTCATGACACAAGTAAAGAACCATAGGAGCGATTTTTTCGGGAGCCAAGTTCTTCAAAATGTGAGGGGGAATAATGCTCTCCGTCATGCGAGACCGCGCCAAGGGAACAATGCAATTGACATTAATGTTATTTTTGTAGCCTTCTTTGGCTAGCGTTTCAGAAAAGCCAACGAGACCCATTTTCGCAGCTGAATAATTTGCTTGTCCAAAGTTGCCGTACAGCCCAGCTGGGGAACAAGTATTGACAACTCTGCCAAAATTCTGACGTCGAAAATATGGCCACGCAGCCTTGCTGAGCTTATATGCACCATTTAGGTGCACGTCGACCACAGATTCAAACGCGGCATCCTGCATTTTAGCGAAACTGGAGTCCCTCAGAATGCCGGCATTGTTGATGATCACGTCCACACGTCCGAAACGATCTATCGCGGTTTGCACGATTCCTGCGGCGTTGTCAGTCACAGAGTCGTAGTTGGCAGCTGCCTCAATCTTGAACCTATCCTTAATTTCGGCTACTACGACGTCGGCCGCTCTGGCGTTGTGGCCTTGCCCGCCAAGGGAGCCGCCAAGATCATTCACCACAACATTGGCGCCTCGTTTGGCAAATTCTAATGCGTACACTCGACCCAAGCCTCCGCCTGCTCCAGTGATAACCACTACCCTGTTCTTAAAACTGAGATCTTCCGTCATGATTGAACCAAAAAAAAAATCCCTTTCTTTTATTCCTGAACTATGTTGGTGTTGAGCTCACTCGATCTAAATGTGTACTACTTCGTTGCTTGTCTGCTGAAAGATGCCTGCCACAATACATTACCGAGCGCTATCGATCTTATTTCTTGCTCCTTATATACCGCTCTCAACCATCTTATGTGCCATGACCACTCTCCCCTCTCCAAAGATGTCCGGTCACATCCTCTTGATGTGAAACATAAATTTGATCCCCAATCTGCCCGAGGTGACGGTAAATAGTAAAGTGATAAAACTAAAACGACGCACAAGGGCAGAATGATATGTCTATTTACCTTGCTTCATACGCTGATACCGTTTCCGCTCACCGTAAGTGATAGTCTCCAGTTTTAGCAGTATACTTGACGCCTTTGAATGGTGTCACATTGCGCGGTATACCTGATAGAATGTTTACAGATCGAACTTTGATGCCGCTTGGGAGCTCGCCCTTACACGAGAAATGAACGGTGAGATTCAAAGATTTTATTTGGTCGGGGCTGGCGTTCTCGAGACAGCCTCTCAAAACAGGCAGTGTACCAGTCGGCGTCTGCTTGTCGAAAATCCAATGACCCGAGGAGTTATCCACAGAGTTCTCGAAATGACCATGCGTGTTACGTAGAACTTTGATTTTGCATTCGGACGTCAGCGACGGCGCGTTGAAATTGACCGCGATGGCGAGATCATCGATGTGCTTGGTATGTTGCGAACCTGCAATGTTGACGCGGATCTCAAATTCATCACCCAGGGGGCCCAGTCTAGTGTCATAATCTACTGACACCAGGCCTATGTTTGCAAGTAGCTTGCTGCGGCTTTCAAACGCCTCAAGGTCAATAACGTATTGCATTAACTGAAATTTGCCATCAGGTGGGACAAACTGCAGTTCGTCCAACCTTTGATCTTGTTGGTGGCCTTCACAGCACTGGTGAAGTGATGGGATGCCTAAATCATGTCCGTGAAGCTCTAAGTTCACGGCGACAACCGGGTCTCCGGTCAATTGGGACCGGAAATCTATGGCTCCCTCTATCAAGCCTCGCACGACGTTCAAGTGCCCCGTTTTGGAGCTCTTATGTAAAACGAGGTGAACTTTCTCCATCATATCAACATATAGTTCGTTATTCGAATGCTTTGTACCAGGGCTTCTCCAGGGCACCACTTGATGCTCAGTGCGGTTTGCACCCACAGGCGGTTGTGTTGAAAAACCTGAGCTCTTTATCTGTGACGAGTCACTATTTTGAATGCGGTTGCTAATCGTCGAGGCAGTAGAGTTGAAAATCTTAGCAAGATCTTCACGGTTAGGGACCATCTCTTTCAGTCTATTGAGATTCAAAATTGCTGGTTCGTTGGCGTCAACCATGCAATTCAGCAACAGTGCCACTCGATCCTGATTGTTGATCAGCTTGGTAATGGCAAGCTGTTCTTTATCAAAATAATTTAGCAGCGTTGTGTCGAATGCCTCCAGAAACACCATCGGCTCCAGTGGATTAGGCTGACGCGTGACTAGACACCAGTATATTAGATCGCTTGACTCCGATTGAGACTTATAGACCTGTAGATTCTTGCCTAAATCAGCCTTGAACCAAACTTCCCCATTGGACGATTCTGGGGCCACTGATTGAACTTTTGTCCATAGCGATTTGAAAGAGGGTGAATCGTAGCTCAAAAGCTGTTGAAATATGAGCACATGTTTCAAATTAGTGATATAAAATGCTAGAAACATCACAAAGTTCAAGTGGCTTCAACAAGTGCTCGCAGCAGCAGCAATATGTGCAACTCTTATTGCGAACTGCTTTCCTTTAGTGAAAGGTTTATTTTGTCACCTGGCTTATTTTTGAATTTAGTCAAAATGATGAAATGAAAGTAGCTTCGCTAACATCAACATAAAGAATCTCAACGCTAGGGGAAAAATCTAACACACATGAACAATTTACAGACCAATCCATTTGCCAACATTGGAACTCCAAGTTTCAGCCTTTCTCAGGTACCACAACATATTTTACAGAATTTAACGCCTGTTCAGTTGCAAATGATTCAACAAAAGCATCAACAACTTTTAATGGAACGCCAGGCACTGATGCAGCAACAGCAACATCAGCAGCAAGACCTGGACAGCCAAAAAAATCAAGAGAATCATATGAGGCATCAACAAATGCAACAACTTCAGCAGCAGCAGCTTCAACAACAACAACAACAACTTCAGCAACAACAACAACTTCAGCAACAACAACAACAACAACAACAACAACAACAACAACAACAACAACTACAGCAGCAGCAACAACATCATTCAAAACAGTCTCCACCCCAGCAATCTTCAACGACCATGGCACCAAATAATATGCCTTCACAACAGCTGAACCTCGCGCAAAGAGCACAGCTTCTAAAGGCCAAACAACAACAACTGGGTACTCCTCAACAACAATTGAATGCTACACAGACACCACCACTTAACTTGCCACCGCAAATCGCGCAGCTGCCTCCACATGTACAGCAACGGGTGCTCGCCAACCTTAAGCAGCAAGCCATCGCCAAAAATAATCCGGCCGCGGTGGCGGCAATCACCGCAGCTCAGCAACAACTGGCGTCACAAGTTCCTATTCAGCAAAGTGCCGTATCACATAATAGCCCAAACTCACCTCAGACCGTGACACATCCTTCTAATTCACGGCTACCGACACCCTCAGCGGCTCCGGTTCCACAGATTCCGCTACCAAAATATCAAATCATTTATGATGACCCTCCCGAACAGCGTATGAACTTACTTACTCACTGGTCTGATCTGGTCAGAACCGGTGAAACCACACTCCAAGAACCGGATTCTAATCTATTATTATATGAGCAGATTCTTAGAAGGGACCGTGAAAATTCCGAACAGCTTGCCAAGGAGCGCAATGGGTATGAGCCTTTTAGCAAGTATGGTTTTAGTCACAAAGAGTACCTCATGAGGCTTCTTCAGGATCTTAACTATATTAAAGACTTGAAAGCGGCAAGAATGAAGTCAATCACTAATACTACTCAAGGTGTGGTTTCGAAAAGTATCTGGGGAGATGGGTATTCTGGGTACGGCAATGGTTTCAGCAACACAGTGACTAACGTGTCGACAGGCCTGGTGGGGCCTGACGGGCAAACGAAAATGACTTTTGACATGAAAGAAATTTATCAACAGGCAATGACGGAAACGCAAGAAGAGCTGGTACCGGTACGGCTAGAATTTGATGCAGAACGTGATAGCTTTTCGTTAAGAGACGTTTTCGTGTGGAATAAAAATGAAAGTATTGTCAAAATTGAGGAAATGGTCAACGAAATGCTGCGAGACTACAGGTTCACTCACAACGAACAGTTTTCTGAAACCGTCATTCAAAGTATCAAAGAACAAATCAACGAATTTCAATCGGATCCATTCGATGACAACGATCGGGATCAATGCGGAGGTGATGACCTTCGTATTAGAATTCAGCTAGACATCGTGGTCGGCCAAAATCAGCTCATAGATGCTTTTGAATGGGACATTTCGAATCCAGACAACAGCCCTGAGGAGTTTGCCGAGATGTTGAGCCAAGAACTCGAGCTGCCCGGGGAGTTCACGACGGCAATTGCACATTCTATTCGGGAACAGGTGCACACGTACCACAAGTCTCTCGTACTCACAGGATATCAATTCGACGGCAACGCTGTGGAAGATGAGGATATTAGAAGTCGGCTTTTGCCATTAATTACCCTCGATGAGGTTTTCAGAGGTTCCACGGAGTCCAAAGTCTACACGCCTAGTTTGTTGAAGGTCTCGTATACCGAGCTTGAGCGATTAGACAGAGACAAGGACAGAGACACTCGTCGCAAGAGAAGACAAGGCCGTTTCAACAGACGTGGTGCTGGACCCAGCTCTGGTGTGGCCCAAAGTGAGAATGCTCTTCCAGATCTTTCAGATATTCCAAAAACATTTCGTATTCCCATTCCTTCAACAACACTACCCGGCGGAGTGGATTTGGGCCCATCTGTTCATTCCTACTCTTTGGAGACTACCACCGAGTATCAACCACTACCGCAGGCGCCACAGCCCGTCCTGCCGTCAGGTTCTGGTTGTCGTATAATTGACAATAACCCCGGCCAATATCTACTAATAGGCATAAAATTACCAGGATCATTAGGGAGCGGGAGAGTTCAAAGTTTGAACACTCTTGTCTAGCGGCATGCATTGACATATATACGTCAATAACGATAATTAATATTATAAATAAAGTACTAGCTAGTAGTCCATCTTGTAAACGGATCTTATGAGGCGTCACTTCTTTAAAACAAAAGCCTACATCCAAGCACTTAGGTGTGCACCACAATCGTTTAGTGAATATTTTGATAGGGATGTCTAGTAGTGGCGAAAGAACAGGCGCCGTTGGAAGGTCTTCTGATGCGGTGGAGCAAGCAAGCAACGCAGAACAAGATGTGGCGCAGACACCCGTGAGCAGAGCAGAGAGTTTCAAGAAAGGTCTGTTTAGCCGGCTAAACTTTGTGGGGAGCAAATTTAACATCTTGGACAGGCTGTTTAACAAGCGCAATGGAACCATGGGACTGCAATATGGTGCCAACGCCGACGGCGTTTTCAGTAATTTGACGGCGAAACCCGACCAGAACAATGAAGCGGAAGTGCACGAACAAGACAAACCGCCAAATTATGAAGACGCTGCGTTAGATATGGCACCATCCTATTGCGGCATGGATGAAGATAATGCTGGTATGTACTACAACGAAATTTGTTTTGAAGGGCTACCTGTGGGAAACATTGTAAATCTGTTGTGGAACATAATAGTTAGTGTCAGTTTTCAATTTGTTGGATTTCTCCTGACCTATATCCTCCATACCTCTCATGCAGCTAAGCAAGGCTCGCGTTTTGGTTTGGGCCTCACATTTCTGGGCTATGGTTATTCAATGATCCCAAACGATGTAACTTCAAAAGTTGGAAAATCAAAAACTCTTCATAGACTAAAGCCTCTCAATCCAAATGAATATGACGACATACAGTACTCCAACAACGGCGAAAAGGACAGCTATGAGTCTAATTTAAGTCATGGGATTAACGAAGAATGGACCGGTATACCATTTTTGACATTTTTAATGTTCGCGAGTGGAGCGTTTATTATGGCGAAAAGCATTTATGATTATGTGAAAGTCAAGAGAAAAGAGAAGCGCTATTTGACACAAGAACAAGTGTAATTAATGCAGGTTTAGGATATAAAGTATGGTCTATAAAAATTTTGGAAACTTATCGTGATTATTTCACAATATTATTAGTGTTAATTTCCGAGGACAACTAGGACTTTTTCGTAGATGGTGAAAACGATACCACCGCTCAAAATCAGCCTACCCAGTCTGGGCGTAGCGCCTTTCCAGAATGTCTTTAACCCTTCTTCTTTGAACACGGTGGTGAAACAATTTAGAGTTGAGGTGTACTTAGAAGAACTCAAACTTTGCATCCTCGTCTTAACAGTGTCGATGGGCATGGTAGTGTATACGGTAACAATGCCACTAAATGCACCAACCACGAAGGTGAGACCAGAAGAGAGTGGTTTGTCCTTCGGCGTATTGGTGTAATCTTGAATAAGAGTCTTGATCTTGTTGTAACAACCCAATCTGACAGCCTGATTCGCGGCCTGTCTCATGGAGACGGGCAAAACACCGCGGTAAAGACCTGAAAGTCCTTGGTCTACGACCAGTTTTGAATAGTTACGAAACATACCACGCCCGTTGTTGTGGTATTTTGGTTGACTGCTTTGCTTGTCGTCGATTAAAGCAGTTTTGATGGCCTCAAATGGCGTCACAGCTACGACACTTTCCAGTAGACCTGCTCCCAGACCTGCGACGATACCTCTAGGACCGCTCAGTTCTCCTGTAACCGGATCTCTGAGAACGTTCTTAATGGCATCGAAACCCAGAAATCTTACACCCGCTTTCGCAGTATTTCCGACGATGAAGGCTGGGCAGCCCACGTAAATTGAACCCAGACCTTGTACCTTTGCAGTGTTGTAGATAAGTTTTAGTGGGTTCCTGGACGCAGTAGAGGATTTGTCGACCAGCTGCAATCTTGTCTTGGCAAACTCGAAGGGATATGTTATCGAGGCTTCGACAGCTCCAGCCAAAGAGCCTGCTAGGAAGGAATGCAGAGGATCCACCTGTCTTTTTTGCGTCATTTCAATAGCCTTGGTATATCAACCAAATGCATAAATTCGTCAGACAAGTATTTACTCAGGGTTCACTTCTTATATATTTTGGCAATGCACTTTTTTTCCCAGGGAATTAAACATGTATTAAAAAACAGACGATAATTTAAACTACACACTTCGGCAAATGAGCTAGTAGAATTGAGTAAAGCCGTGTAACCTAGCCGCGAGGCATTAAGGCTTGAGATTTATTGTTCACCTGCGTAAAGATGGACGACTGTATTCCCATCACAATCCCGTAAGTGCCTCAGGGCCTTACCATAAATGGAGCGCAAGCCGCACTTATTATTAAAGTGCTGACAGAAGCAAATACTCACAGCAAGCTGAAACTGCTTGGGATTTCCCAGTTTCGTTTACACCGCAGGTGTCAGCACCAGGGGTTTGGCCGCTCCATAGGTCCAAAGCTTCGCGCGCTTCGTTTTCGCAACGCGACCGCGACAACACAGCGGCTCGGTGGACCTTTGGTGTGTCTACAATGAGTGGTGCTAGGCGGAAGACATGATTGTGCGTGCTCTATCTTGTCGTTCTCTAAATTAACCGCCGAAGTCTCAACATCCGTATCCTATGACCAGTGAAAGCTTACGGTTCAACTTAGGCTTGTTAAAACTCAAGCACCAAGATGAGACATCTGCTCTTTTACAGTAGTGGAGGCAGTCTATCTGAATTGTTTTTTCTGCCTCTTGCATGCATCAACTCAGTCGAGTTAAAGAAGGGACACGAGCGGGGTCTTAAGATCTATGTGACCACCCATCGTTTTTTAACAGGCATGTCAGAACCTCCTATCAACGAAATGCAATAAGGCTTGTTCAAGATTGCTACAAGTGTCTGGAAGAAACAGAACTTTCTGCCAGCGCTCTTCGATATATGTTTCTGGAGAGGAGCTGAAATTAATAAGGTTAAAAAATTTCGAGTTATTCATCTAAAGAAAAAATAGACGCAGTCTTAAATAACAAACGGGCTCACCGCACTCAAAGTTCAACCATAGCACTGTATCGATCCTGACAAGCAGCACACATAGGCATATCTCCAGAAAGACCTTAGAAAAAGTTCTGGGCCAATGAAACATGACGATAACGATGGCGAGAGTCGTGTACCGTCAAAAATTCATAAAGTGGACAAACTGTCAGCGCACTACATCTTGAGATCAGGACTTGCAGGCGGAGTGGCAGGATCCTGTGCCAAAACTTTGATTGCACCTCTGGATAGGATCAAGATTTTATTTCAAACGTCTAACCCACATTACCTGAAGTATTCTGGGTCAATGCTAGGACTGGTCCAAGCGGGTGTTCACATTAAGACTCACGACGGAATTCGAGGTTTTTACCAGGGACACTCGGCTACACTCATAAGGATTTTCCCTTATGCCGCCATCAAATTTATTGCATATGAACAAATACGACACTTCATGATACCATCAAACGACTACGAAACGCATACGCGTCGGCTGTTAAGCGGTTCGCTTGCGGGTCTCTGTAGTGTTTTTATGACCTATCCCTTGGATCTCATTAGGGTTCGATTAGCATATCTCACAGATCACAAGCGCATCAAAATGTGGCCTGTTATCAAACGTATTTATTCTGAACGGGCTTCGGATTCACTCACATCAAAGCCTTTCGTACCTGAATGGTTTGCTCATTGGTGCAATTATTATCGCGGTTTCACCCCCACCATTTTGGGTATGATACCATATGCTGGTGTGTCCTTCTTCGCCCATGACTTGTGTGGCGACATTTTGAGAAGCCCTCTGATAGCACCGTACTCAGTCTTAAAAATGTCCGACGAAGAGCTGGATGTGCATGCAAAACAAGCTTACAATAGGCCCTTGAAGACATGGGCTGAGCTAAGTGCGGGTGGCTTGGCAGGCATGGCAGCACAGACTGCGTCATACCCATTTGAGATTATCCGGCGTCGGCTTCAAGTGAGCGTTGTTTCACCAACTGCTATTCATGATTTCCAATCGATACCTGATATGATTCGAGTAATATACATGGAACGGGGTTGGAGAGGGTTTTTTGTTGGGTTAAGCATAGGATACATCAAGGTTACTCCGATGGTTGCATGCAGTTTTTTCGTTTACGAAAGAATGAAATGGTATTTGGAGATTTAAGTAATTCCCAAAATCTTCAATTCTATATTCACAGATTTTTAAACAATTAAATTTAATAATATTCAGCATTATCTGAATTGTGAGTAGTGTTTTTCTTCATCGAGCCTTTTGGCCACAGTGTTGAGTACTTCCTGCGAATAAACACTTTGTAGGCTTTCACCTCCATTTAATACACGCCGCTCATGCTCGTTCTGCTCTTCTTTCGTCATAAGCACAACATTTTGCAAGGAAACAGGAATTGAAGGATCCCATTTTGATAGCGTGAGCTTGGTGGAGTATCCACTCAATGGAGATTTCCCCCGGAATACTTCTTCGCAGAGGTACCCAATATCCTTAAGAGCAACTGGAACACGTTGATCTGGCATACCAATACGAGACATTTGACTAGCCAAAGATTGATAAATACCATCATACACTTTGATTCTGTTCTTGCCTTCTATTGGCTCCATTGGGTACCCAGATACTTTAGTAAGGATCCACGTCGCAATAGCAAGACCAAAAACACCTGGCATTGTTCCTAAAACCGGTAGAATACGCACACGGAAATCTTTGAGGGCGCTTAGCTCATCTACTTTGCCCTTTTGAAATTCGTCCTCGGGCAATGGCAAAAGCGATGCCTTACGTGGATCGGGTTTTTCTGCGCTGAATACGACGGTTATTCCCTTGATAATTCCTCTTAGCTTCAACCGTCTCCTCACAGTACGTGCCAGTGGATCTTCTTCAGTCGTGGTCAGATCGCCGATATTGATTCTGGTTGGGTCGCTTTTGGTGGCAGCGCCCATAGAAGATATTACCGGTATATTATGGCGGTAGACAAATTCTAGTAGGTCAACCTTAGTGTCCACATTGTCAATACAATCCACAACGAATGTTGGATTTTCACTCCCGTTTTCACCAAATATTAATCGATCAGCATTTTCTTTGTTCCACAGTTCGTTTACGGCTTGAACGTCGCACCAAGGCGCTATTTCGCTGAGGTGCTTCTTGAGGCAGCCAACTTTTGAAGTACCTACATCCTTCAAAGTGGCACAGCTGTGCCTGTTCAAAGAACTTAAAGACACCTGGTCAAAATCGATAACTTTAATTTTATAAATGCCTGATCTAACAAGCATGGTCACGACCCAAGAACCTACACCACCAGCACCGACAACGACAACGTATTGATTTTTTAAGCTTCTCATTGCCTCTTCGCCTAAAAATGCATAATTACGTGCTAACTGTTCGCGAATAAGGCCATCATCGTAGCACATTTTCTTTTCATCTAGGGATTTGTTTGGACCCTTGGCTTCGCCTTTCGGCAGACGCGGATTACTGCCTTTGTAGTTTTGAATTAGACAGTCGATAAACTTTGTCGCAGCTGCTGCCAAGATAGCTGTTGTAACAATACTCTTCCACTGCTGGTCAGAGGTCATGGTGAATAAGTGCCGTGATAAATATCCGAGGGTCGACGGCACGTCCTCCAAAGTTGATCTATACAAGTGCTTGGGATGTGATGTATTCAGTATGCGTTGACGCTTAGGAAAAATTTGTAGTCATAGGTCACGAGGTTGCTTCTCTTAAACATCCTCAAAATCAGCATCAATGTCATCATCATCAATCTCTTCGACCTCCTTCGACCCTTGGCTCTTTACTCCTTCTCCTGTGGATTCTTTCTTTACGTTTGAATCGATATTTTGGACACTTTCCACGTTCTCAACCGGGATGTTATTGGTGGCATTGTTTCCATTTGCGTTCTCATTTGCGTTCTCGTTTTCACTCGCCACATCTTCAAACTCAACATCGAAGCCCTCTCCATCTTCTCCTCCATCCTCATCCTCGCCTTCGTCTTCTTCATCTTCAAGGGCCTGTTTCTTTGCTAATTGAGCATAGTAGTCAGCCAAAGTTTTCTCTGCCTCTCTTTCTTCAACCTCCTTCTGCGTGAGTGGGGGGGCAGGCTCATCATACTCCAACTCTACTGGGACATTCTCAGTATCACCAGATATTTGTGCAGGTATAGCTTCAGCACCTCCATTTGTTTGTGGTGGTACAGGCATATTTTCGTCATCTTTGTCCAGTCTACCTAAAGCGGCTTTACCCACAGTACTTTGCTCGTGCCAAGCAGGTAAGGCATTCTGCTTTCTCTTTTCCTCCATTTCTCTTTCTTGGCGTTCACTCCGAGCTTGTTCATCGCTAGCTGTCGTGATATTTACATGCAACGTGGCTTGAGATTTGGCGCCAGCACGTCTGCTGCTTGCGTTATCCAAGGCAGAGTTAACGTGGTCACCGGGCGTAAACATTTTGCTTTTCTTAGATCTTGGATTGACAGTGTAGGATGCAACGGAGTTGTTCTGAGGCGGAATCAACCTTGCTAACGAAGTCTCAAATGTATTTTCCTCAATTCTAGAGTCGTCGATTTTCTTCAAATAATCGATAATGGGTTGGACTTGATCCATGAGTCTATTCAACTTAATTTGTTTCTCCTTTGACTTCTTGCCCGAATCGTCCTCTATCAATGGCTCTTCGCACAAACTACACAAGAATTGTGTCTTTTCATAATTCAAAAGTGAGACAGCTTCAAGTTGCGAGTATTTAGTCTGACAAATGGAGCACATGTAACCTTGCGGAGCAGAGTTTTTGTCGAGATCGTCTTTAAGCATAGAGACAATTTGATGCACTTTCCATTTGATGGCGTCTATGGCTTGAGGATACTTGATGTAGTAGTAATATCTCTTTATGCTTCTCGTGTTAAAGTGAAATTCTTGCTGCGAATGAACTGCAATCATTCTATCTTCTAGTAGCTTTGTCAATAGTCCACGCAACTCGGGCCTCTTGATCCCCAGCAGGTGAGCTAAATCCTCTTCCGATAATACAGAGTGAAATAAAATACCATCTACCACCAGGACATACGCACCAGTATAGAAACCTCTCACGACAAATTTCAAAAGGTTTTTCACAATATCGTCGATAGGACGGTCCATATTTCAAGCAAGATGAGTTGCAACAAGCAGATTTAGTCCGTTGTGTAGAATAAGTGAGCTTCCACATAGTTTTGACCAACCGCCATTTTAATTATCAAACATTAAATCGTCTACTACGAAATGTATAAAGTGTCACAGTTCTCCCACAAATTAGTTATTATAGTTTGCAGGAGCCCAAATCTTGATCGCGATTGATTCTGTTAGTGAAGAAAGCTACTCGCTAGCATTCCTGCCCTGTTTTGACTTTCTCGTCAGTGAGATCGCCATTAGAGGATACATCATCAGTATCTTTGCTGACGTACGAAAAACTCAAAAGGCCCTTAGAATCGGTCCAGTGTCTGGCTTTCTTTCCATAGTGATACAGTGGGATAGCGAATAATCCCACAAATATTTCGACACATCCGTAAACAACAAAGGCAGTTTTGTAACCCTGCTGAGCGTTGAAGTTGGCATTGAAAAACGAAAATGCAAAACCCATGACGTTCTTTAAAACGTTCAAGCTCACTAATGCCTCCTGGGCGTATAGCTTGTACGAGTCAACGGTGTATGTAATTGCCGTGGTACTTGCCAGGGAAGACCCGAAGCCCACGACTCCCAAAAAAATAGTTGGCGCGATCCAGGGATCCTGATTATGAGCGCACCATCCAAAACCTATTAGTCCCAGGGCCGTCGATATACATGCTGGAAGTACCATGAGAAGTCTAAATTCTGGCTCGTATACGCCGCCGTTACGTCTAGCCATATTTCTAATCAAAATATCGCTCAGACCGCCTCCACATAACGAACCCAAGACGCCTCCAATAAAGGGCGAAAGGTAAACCAAACCCACAGAGGTCGCTGAAAAATTGTATGGTGCGGAAGAATATACACGATCGACAATCTGAGCAATCATTATAAGCCAAACAATAGCCAAAGAGTAAAGAAAGGCGCCAAATAGGACTGCTGGATACGCAAATAATACAAATGGACGCACCATGACCATGTACCACTTGTCTTCACTGTGTCTGCCGTGGAAAATTCCCAGGCCAACAGTCAGATGTGACTGAGTAAAAGAGGATACAGTATAACGGCGGGGTCGAGGGACGATTGCCGAGGCCACTTCAGGTTGTAATGGTTGAGGCGTGTTAGGTTGAATAAGGCTAGCATCGTCATCTTGCATTGAGGTGGGCAAGGTATGATCGACATTATGGTTGCTATTTGAATCAGCATCAGTGCTGCTTGCCGAACCTATAGCGCGTGCGATCGCGGTTTCTTGTAGAGACCGCTTACCGGGCACAGGTGCTCTATCCCAAAATGTTTCGGGAACGAAGAAGAGATGGAGCATGAAATTGATTCCCACAATAATGGTCACAATCCAAAACAGCCAGTGCCTATTAAGATGCTCGAAGACTAGTGATGCAAGCAAAGGCACTAAGTTCTTACCTCCCAGTAGCAGAAGTGTATAAAAACCTAGTCTATATGCTCTTTCGTGGGCAAAGTAGATTTCTGCGACCGTTGCAGAAGGCAAAGACTCGATAGTAGCAACACCAAAGCCAGACACTACTCTTGAAGCCAAAAGGCTCTCGTAATTGGGAGACACTGCACACCCAATGCTCCCAGCGAAGAAAACGATGATGCCTACAAGGTAAACGACTCTCTTTCCAAACAATACAGCGGTGGGAGATGCCACGACCGAACCAGCGGCCAATGCCAGCATCATAGCGCCGACCAGGTAAGATATGTCGCTTAACGAGCGGTCGAATTCTTTTGCGAGTCCCGAGGTCCCTGCTGCAAGTATGGATGTTTGGCCGCCGCCCACGAAACAGTGCCACCCAACAACAATCAGTGCCAAGTCGCGGCGCCAGATAGGCCAGTTGAGTGGGTCGCGCTTGCTTTCCGACGGCTGAGGATTCAAAATAATACCCTCCTTTGTGGTTTGCATTTCGGCTTTGCCTTGCTCGTCAGTGAACTCATCTTTTGTATGGGAATGTTCCATCATGGGAAATGTTCCTGTGACGCCTATGAAGGGACGGAGTTCCTGCTCATCGTCTTTTTGAGAAGTTTGATATGACGCAGGCTGTTTGACCCATAGTAAACTCGTCATATGTAAAGAAGGGGCCTGATATGAAATCGTCGATCACAAAGGAGTCGAGTAACGATTACCTTTATGTCAGAAATTAGAAGATCAATTCGACAAGAAGGAAAATCTGCAGGGCCCGCTTGATCAAAATGACATGTGTGTTAAAAACACTGTTCACTCCCTCACGTTGATGAATATGAAAACAAAACAAAATATAAGTTAAATCCGACTAAATTATTGAGTAGAAAAATGGCCGGATGACAACATGTTAGATTCTGATTGTGAAGTTGAAAAGTTCATAGAGGTCCTAGCTAGAACTACATGGTCAACATGTGCCCACTGGTATTCACAAACAGCTTGATTCTGGGAGCTGGAATCTCAATTTGTACGAGCAATGTCTGCCATGGTGTTGCAGTGGTAAAAGTAATGAAATTGATGCGCGAGATCAGTCCCTGTTGATGGATTTTTCGGTGGGGATTTGGAAACGCACACTTGATTTGAATGAGAAGGCTTTGAAAGCTAATGGATCAACAAGCAGGGAAAAGAGGAAAAGAGAAGGAAATAAAACTAGAGGTACCGTCATTCAAGAGGATTTAATGGCCTGTTTCTAGTACTCTGATAGATAGCAGCTGTTTGTATAAGTTACCGTTTAGCTACGTAATGTGGATACATAGTCACCGGGCCTTTATGTCACGCTGAACTTGATATGCCCATAAAATATTATAACCGAGATTGCGCATCTATACTTCGGTGGGCTGACAGCTCTCCTTATAGGCAAAAGCGACATAGTGTCATATACAATTTTTGCCCGCCAGGTAGGGTTGCATTACATATATCACATTGTACCATTCTGGCACGAAGCTGGTAAGGAAATTTATAGATGTCAAAGCACTCCTTTAACTTTGCGAACGTATAGCTTAGTTGCAGCACTCTTGACTTCGGCGACCTTTAAGCTTGATCGCTTTAGGATTTTTTATATATACACCACAGTGTTTGTGAGTTTGTGCAAACGTTATGTATAAAAGTCTTTAGCTTTGGTCAATTCATTAAAAAGCTCGAATAAAAAATAAATAATGCTGTTCGAAACTATCTAAATGTGCAATTTGCGGTCAGTTCAGTTAGCTCACCACTAGAATGATGGGCCATACCTGTGTCAGAAATAGTTAACTTGCTGAACTGGTCATTTAAGTGGTTCAAGGTGTGCCTAGTATTAGGATCCGGTCTTCTAATTGTCTCTCTGTGGTCTTCTTAGATGTAGAGACTGTGCACCTCGACATAGAGAACAAATCATGGTATCCAGACAATGATTTGCGTGCCGAGTATTGGTGACGACAGTGTTCTGAGCGATACGTGATGTATCAGCCTCCGTTACAAGGATCCTGAAACAGTGCGACTGCAGCCACTACTCAAACATCAACATCTAGACCTCAGCATTCCTATACACAATCTGAGTCGATATGTTGGAGTAAATACTATTTGTGTCATTTTGTACTAGTCTGGCACAGCCTTTAATTCCCGTTATGATCCCACTCTGATCCGCTTCATTGTGCAAATCTAGCAACAGCACAGAGATCCTGGCCTCTTTAACACCCTAATTATTTCTCATGCACACCTCAGCATATCCTTAGTGTCTCTATTAGTAAGAAGACGTTAGCCTTGTACAACAAAGAGATGAAACCCAACTAGCTCCATCAATAATGGTAGAGCCTTAGAACGATATTAGCAAGCTTTCTATAGCTGAGTCAGACTCTCATGGTGTTATACATCTTTGAAGCGGTGCGAATACAGCTCTTCAGTTTGTTGCAGTCGGGAAAGCAGTTGCAATTATTAGCCAAAATACGCCAATGCATAGAATCCCGTGCTTACCACGAAATGTGTCACATTGGCGCCTTTTCGATGACATGACGGCAATGGCAAATAGAGACAGATCCAGCAGCCTTCAATTTAAGAAATCACGAACGGCGAACCTGCTGATAAAGGTTTCGCCAACCAGACTTGCAATTTGAAGATATTCGGCAGCTGCGCTTGGCACATCTACACCTAATTCATCGTTAGCCAGCAAAGGACCCGAAAGACAGTTAACTACAACAACAGCGAGGCCCATTGCCTACATCCTGAACTATCGCCCCTTACTCAAATGCCCCATTGGCTGTTTACGACACAATCTCTCGTACCATGCTAAGTTTTGGAGACACTCGCATCGTCGCGCTGACACCTTCCCAAAACGACGTCCCACCCGAGTTTCGTGGTCGGTGACTGGGTATAGCGGGTATATACCACTTGTTTCCCACTTGTTTCCACTGCCCACTTGTTTCCAACACGCACCTGGGCTGGAACAGACGCGCCCGCCAGATTCCGTGGCGCGGATTCATTTCTCACGCGCATTTCCGACGGCGCATCCCATATGCAAGGCCTGCGCGTCATATGCAGCTCTGCTTAGCTAAGCCGCATTCTTTTTCTTTTTGTGCGTTTTTCCGGGCTTGTTTCTTTTTAGCTCTCTTTTTTTTTTTTTTTTTTAAAGCCATTCTCACCGGCGCTCGGAAAAAGTCGGTGCCGCGATTCGGAGAAACCTCGTCCAACCTGGCGCCGCGACGCCAAAGTTTTTCCGAGTCTACGTTTCTCGAGTCCCGTGTAGGCGTTAATTTCGGAGCAAACCGGGGCCAAGAAGTAAAAAGGCCCTGGGAATTATGCTAGAGTACAGGAGGTGTATTAACTGTATCAATTAATGCCTTAATCGGCTGGCAGCAGCGCTCAGCTATCGAGGAAATGATCGGTAGCTCAGGATAACGACAACAAATTAGAGTTCATTTATTTGTTTTATCGCTCTGGTAGGTCGCGGACAATAATCAGCAGAACCGATATTCCAAGAGGATACTGTTTGTTAACTATAAAGGTTGAGAGCTTTTTTTAACACCAGGGTTTTAATTAATAACGGTGCGAGACTTTTTTTTCACACAGCTGAAATCGATCGATAATCTGGAAGCTGCCTCAGCGATAGTACGCAACAGATATAAGAAGACTAGCTACAGGTTCCAAGTCGACGAAAACACGTCTTAGCCCGTCGAAACCAGTCCAACTGCAAGAAGAAGAAGAACAAAAGCAGCAGCAGCTACAATAACAACGACAAGAACCACACTTGGACGTCTATTATTTCATACAGCAAGACACTCACTCCCGGTTTTCCCCAGGCCGCTACACAATTATTCACACATCAAGATGAGCTGTCGCGTCGATCTAATCAAGCGCTCGCTCAAAATGAGCACGAAGACCCGGTTCTACACCACCAAGTCGCCCAGAAACTTGGTTTCCACCACACGTGACACAACCTTCTCCCACTCCGTGGACAGCGACGACCCACACACGCAAGTCAAGCCGGTCGGGCCGCAGGCCAAAGCCATGTTGGAAGACCCCGTTCCCCGCCAGACCCGTCTATTCGTCGAGGGCCCCATCGAGTGTCCTCTAGAAGGCTTTCAGCTGCTAAACTCGCCGCTTTTCAACAAGGGTTCTGCGTTCACCCAAGAGGAAAGACAAGCTTTCGGTCTTGAGGCATTGCTGCCACCCATGGTCAACACCTTGGACGAGCAAGCTGAGAGAGCTTACAAACAGTTGTGCTACCTCAAGACACCTTTAGCCAAAAACGATTTCATGACCTCCATGCGCACTCAGAACAAGGTCCTTTTCTTCGAATTGGTGAGACGCCATATCCGTGAATTGGTGCCTATCATCTACACTCCTACCGAGGGTGATGCCATCGCCGCCTATTCGCATCGTTTCCGTAGACCCGAAGGTGTTTTCCTTGATATTACGGAGCCCGACTCCATCGAGCGGCGTCTCGAGTCCTACGGTACCGGTAAAGATGTTGATTACATAGTTGTCAGTGATTCTGAAGGTATTCTTGGGATTGGTGATCAAGGTATTGGTGGTATTAGAATCGCCATCTCGAAGCTGGCTTTAATGACCCTTTGTGCTGGTATTCATCCTGGCCGCGTGCTTCCCGTGTGTCTGGACGTGGGTACCAATAATAAGAAACTAGCCCGTGATGAACTGTATATGGGTAACCGCTTTGCCAGAGTTCGCGGTAAACAATATGACGAATTTGTTGATAAGTTCATCAAAGCCTTAAAGAAAAGATTCCCCTCCGCCGTGCTACACTTTGAGGATTTCGGTGTTACTACAGCTAGACCTTTGCTGGATCGTTACAGAAACGAGATTGCTTGCTTCAATGATGACATTCAGGGTACCGGCGCTGTGGTGATGGCTTCTTTCTTGGCAGCCTTGAAGCACACAAAGAGAGAACTTGCGGACGTCAAGGTTCTAGTCTACGGTGCTGGCTCAGCCGGTTTGGGTATCGCCGATCAAATCACAAATCACATGGTGACCTACGGCTTATCCAAGGAAGAAGCGCGCTCCAAGATCTATTTGATGGACAAACGTGGTCTAATCATGGACTCGATGAATTCGACCTCTTCTCCAGCGCAAAGTCTCTACTCCAAGCCAGATCAAGATTGGTCTAGCGTTAACACCTCCTCTCTGTTAGAGGTAATTACCCAGGTGAAACCAACGTGCTTGATCGGTTGTTCCACTCAAGCCGGTGCCTTCAACAAGGCTGTCGTTCAAGAAATGCATAAGCACAACCCAAGACCAATTATTTTCCCGCTTTCCAACCCAACAAGGTTGCATGAAGCCGTGCCCGAAGATTTGATGAAGTGGACTAATTTTGAAGCTCTTGTCGCCACGGGTTCTCCATTCCCACCAGTCAACGGATACCGTATCTCAGAAAATAACAATTGCTTTTCCTTCCCAGGTATAGGATTGGGTGCGGTCTTGGCTCGTGCCAATTCCATCACTGACACCATGATTTCTGCTGCTGTGGATCAATTAGCCGCTTTGTCGCCCATGACCGAATCAGATTCCAAACCCGGCTTACTTCCTCCTTTGGAGGTCATCAATGACACATCTGCAAAGGTTGCTACCGCTGTTATCCTACAAGCTCTAGAAGAGGGCAATGCCCGCGTGGAGGAGGAGAACGTCCCTGGTAAAACCGAAAAGGTAAAAGTACCTCGCGATTTTGATGCTTGTCTAAAATGGGTTAGCAAACAAATGTGGAAACCGGAGTATAGACCAATGCTAAAGGTACAGCATGACCCTAAAGTCTTCACTCATCAATACTGAGGGCTATCGGAAATCCTATTTTGATTTTATAGACTATTATTATATTCATCGATATCAGACAATTTGTAACATTTCTAAGAGTTACTGGATTGACCCTTTTATGAATACCCGAAACGGGCTCCATTATTTACTTTAATCATGAATATAGCCACCTGGGCAGATTCCATACTTACTGATCCAGCCGGTTTTAATTATTCAACCTCATTATAAGCCTGAGCTGTAAAAAGTTTATCGTCTTTTAAGATCACCACCATTTATCATATCCAAACGTTTCACCACTTTTCAAAGTGTAGTATTTTTTGTATGCATGATCATAAGTATTTTTGTAAACGCTGTTCCCCCACCAACTCAGGCTACCACCAGGATACTGGACCGCGAGGAAAATAATAACTACTGCCAAAGCTACGCCGGTTTCAACTCCAGCGCCCATGACGAAGTTGTACTTGCCATACCAAAGAGGCCATCTTTTTCTAATAGTGTTCAAGGCGAAAGACATGGCAAAGAATAAGGTGTAGTTGTAAGGAGTACTAGGTGGAATGTTACCAGGCCCTGTGAAAAAAACGGGTGTATGCACAAACTTTAAAAAGGTATTTCTCTTGAAAAGCTTCTGCAATCCAAACACAATGAAAGGTACAATTAAACCAATCAAGAAAAACCACATTAATGGATTGTAAATACGACCGGGGGAAAACAAAAATTGAGGCATTGACCAAATAATGGAAGCGTTGAAAATTGCACGACCATTTGGACAAGTGAAACCATCGGGTTGATCTGATGAGCAAAGGCCCTTTATGTTCGATCTCATCCACTCTTGTATACCGACATTAACCAAACCTGAGATCAAAGAAGCGTAAATCTGAATTGCAAATATCAGTCTTGGAGAGATTTTCATGTACAGCGCAAGTTTCAAATCCCTGCTCATGTCTAAGCCATGTCTTTGGACGATAAAACCATAAAGCTTGAAAAGTACGTTAGCTCTAGGGTTTAAGGGCAGCATATAACCGCAGATTAACTCAGTAATAATATTCAGACCAACATGTTGATTTGTGACTGCTTCCAAGAGGCCTTGAGGAACAAAATTAACAAGGGATACCAATAATGCCACGACGAACCCCCAAGCAGGTAGACCAGAGTCGAAACCACATACAGTAGCAAATCCAAGACCCACCATGATTACCTGAAGAACGACGTACCACCATTCAGGGCAGTCCTTGTAATTTTTGGTGTATATTCTCATATGGATGTCAAGACCGCCATGATTCTTGTTTCTCATTTTCTTCCACATGTCTTTACCATGATACAAACCACAGTGAACAAATACCGCTATAACAGCCGCAAAATTCAACGCGTAACTCAATAAGTAGGAAAATGGCACAAACAAAGGTGAGTAAGCTATGTACTTTTCCATGTTGATCGAATAGTCAGGATTCAAAATTTTGTTGACATTGTATGTCTTCTGTGTGTTGTCAAAAGTAGAGGATGAAATCACTGGCATGTATTTTGCGTACCAGGTGTTCGTGAAATACAGGATTGGCAGAATGATGATGAAGAAGATGACCACTGAGACGCATGTGTTAGCTGAAACCCAGTATGGGGTTGCGAAAACTGATCCTGCCATAGCTTGAGAAACTTGAGTGTAGTCGAATGTAATGGGCAAGGCACCAAGGCCACTCTCAACACCAAAGATAGTATTGACAACAAAATTGTGTCTCGTTTTGGGACCCCAAAGAACAACGTTGAAGTAAGAAAGACCTTTGAATAGAAAACCGGGTACCCAGTACCATACAAAGCTTCCCCCAAATATAATCATAAAAAATTTATAGCGGGACATGGTCCATCCATTGGTTGCGGACTTATCAATTGAAGTATTATGCAGAGAATCGAACAGTGAAACGGAAATCAAAGTCTGAGGCCACACACAAGAAGCAGGAGAGACGACCCAACGACGACTTAACCCGGCGGCACCGTAACCCAGCATTTGAGTTGTCCAGACAAGCAAAATTTGATAGCCCGCGTTTAGATCCATATTATAAAAATTGGTCTGAGCAATCAAGATGTTCATGGCGTACGCTGTACTTGAAGTAAGAGCTACTGCAATAGTAACCACAGCATGTTCTTTCTTGGTGAAGGGGCCTGGGTTCAGGTTGAAAAAAGGAACACGAGGACAATCCCATTGAGGCAGAAGCGCTAGGACTTTACCAATTGGGTAGCACACTACTTGTGCGACCAGAAAGTTGATGGACAAACTTGGATACCTCAAGGAGAAAAACTGATTCACACCTGCGAAAACAATAACAAAGATGGTGACCAAAAACCAGGTTCTCCAGTGGTTCAGCACAATCGTAGGATCGTCGTAGGTAGAAACGGTGGCCCGCACCTCAGGGTACGGCGAATTGGGCAATAGTTCAACGTCACCTTCCCAGATCTCTTGCTCCGCAAGTTCTTTCTCTGAGGGCGACTCAGTCACATGCTCCATGACAAGTGCCTTGTGGTCTGCTAGGCCGAGAGTTGGGCTCAGCTGGCGCACGATCTCGCGGCCCTGCTCCAGGTGCGGACTGTCATCGTAAGTCACGTGTGCCATACGGTCCAGAGCCTCTTGAGAGCTCGAACTGCTCGAGTCCGCAGGTTGGCTCCAAACCTGGGATCTGTGCGTAAGTTTCTGATCAGAGCCGCTGGCTTTCTTTGAACCCATGCTCAGCTGGTCGTTGTTGTTTTGCGGTTCAGAATCTCCAGTCGAATCTTGATCATCTCTGCCTGTCTCCACCATGTTAGAAGTTTAATACCAAAGTTGGGAGACCTCCTGTGTAAAGATCTGCTGAGCAAGGGAGGGTATGATACTCTATCGCGTTGGATCGTCGGTACTAAATCTCGCTCGATACGTATCTCTTGGCCTTAGCTTATCGCTATCGAATGGACATTATCATAGCACCGACAGAGGTCCATTATTATACTTGGCCCACCTTTCTCGCATCGACAATATCTCTTGTCACTACCTGGCGCCACATTTATTTCACAGTCGAAACTTTACGGCGCTTGATATTCGTAAAAAGACATTCAATGGTGACAGAAACCGAAAAAAAATGCAGTACTACAGCGATTAAGACACCGAGGAGATGTGAACAGAGCTCTCTCAGTGCAAAGTCCAACACAACTACTTCCGGTACGGTGTTTCCGCTCTTACTTCCTTTACACTGCAATGTTGCCCCGGACGATTTCCTAACTTCTGTGATCTTGAAGATTAAAATCTGTCGTTCACGGCGCGCAGGGTCAAATTTTTCACGGGTTTTGTTCGATGCTTGAGATTAGATAAGAAATGAGAAGGAAAGGCTCGTAGGGGTTCTTCAAGCATATGAGGGCTATCCAAGAAGCTTGGACATGGTTGAAGCATCAGTCGTTGCCAAAATAGGTATAAGCGGTTCTGCAATATCTTAATTCCTATGGGTATATCGCCGGAATTGCGGCGATAGCCTTATCCTCGAGACACCGCCTATCTGATTTGCCGAAGGTTTCTGAGACTCCGTCGTTGCTGCTATCCACCCCTTTTGTCTTCCCATCTCTATCATATCACCGATGCTTGTTGTCGAGAATTTGAGTTCCCAAGGTCCTAACTTTACACCGCGAAAGCCCTCTCTCCATTTTTCAATGCTAAAACGTTGCGCACGTCGGTGGTATATCGTAGTGCCTCTAGGAGGGGCAGCAAATTCAAGAGATCTGTGTCCGTCGGGTCACTGATCCACCCTTCTACCTGGATAGCATTATCTACATGCATGGCATAGCTCACGGGACTGTTGTCGATGATAAACACATCGCTCAGCGGTGCGTGGGTGGACGAGAGTAAAGACAAGTCCTTGACGTAGCCCATCCCGTTCCGCAAAGTGCAGTCTTGGCGGTACAGACGTCTCGAAAACTTGCCCGGAAACGAGGCCTCTAGCCAATCGATTACGGGATCGGCGTATTCTTTCATAGACGCGGTAAATATCACCAAATCGTACCAGAGAGAGATCTTGGTCAGAAAAAGGTCGCAATAGGGTCTCTTGTACACGTAGTAAAGCGTAGAAATCCCACTGATGGCAAACTTGACCTCGACCATGTGGCCCTGCGACGAATTGCTCGAGGAGGTGCCTCGCGACATCGAGTGTATCAGCGTCTCATCCAGGTCCAGCACGAGCGTCCGGCGCTTCTGCCGATTCAGTACCGACTGAGGAATTAGTTTTTTGGGGAACAAGAAACGACCCATGCGTCGCGAGCCTAAAATCAAAGCTCCCGTACTGCCGTTGCTGTTACCAGAGCGGACGCTGGACGCCTTCTGCGACGATTTCGTGTTCTTTTCATGGGATAGCAAAGAGGGAGCCAGTAAGTCCTGGTCCTGGTCTTGCTGCTGCTGTTCTTGTGATGTAAGGTCTTGGCTAGACCTTTGGGCCGTGAGCGAACCTTTGACGGTATCCGGTTGTAGAATCATTTCGTCTCCGCCAAGATCGTCTTCTTCCTCAGTAATTGTATTGATTCGCGTTGAGGCAGGCGAGAAGCCAGTTGAAATGGAGACGGGAATCGCGTCTGCATCTTGCAGGGGCCCATTCTTTCCCTTTTCCTTGCTGGAGCGCTCGATGAAGTTCAGTGGGAATGTCACGACAAACCAAATGAAAAGTGCGGGTTTTACGAGAAGCAGGTTGGGCACAAATATCAGGACCGACCACAGGATTCTTCCCATACGTCTTGCTCTCGTTCTCGATTTTATGATGCTATCTTTACCAATCTTGAGATCTTCCGGTTTTTCCTCGACCTTTGACAATCTCACGGGCGAGCTGGTCTGATCTGCTATCCGATCGTCTGTCTCATGAGAATTGGGTGCTTTCTCGTCAAACTTGGGCGGCAACACCTTATTGGTGAGGTACGAGATGGCGTTCATTAATTGTAGGCCAATAGTCTATCAAATTCAGCTTTGAAAGCTCCTCCAAAGTGTCACAAGCCAAGGGATCAGGGAAGGAGAGACTGCTTTAGCTTTCCGAGAAGCTATCCAACTTTTTTTTGGACCTTGGGTTTTCAACAACATGCGATTTTGTTCATCGTGCAGCAATATTAAGAAGAGAGATACTTTCATATATTACACGTGAGGAGGTAAACCAAACGAACAAAACTGAACATATGAGGATGAAGACAGAAGTTGGCTAGAGTTGTTAGCACATGTTGTGAAATTGCGGTGTAGCTGAATCGCTAGTTCGGGCTTGCAAATTTGATGCCCAAATCTCGCGTCCAGTGTGTGTCTATAGTACCTTCTCAATACTTTGTATCTGGTAAAAAAATATACGCCGGCTCGCATTCTACAGGTGTTGAGAAGCGCCCGACGTAGGGCCACTCTGATATATTTTACTTATCGTATTATTTACGTGGCAATGCTAGAAATTTACGCAAGTGAATTCGCCTGACAGGTGCGTTTCCGATCTGCGAAGATATTTCAAGCGGTTGTGGATTGACTTTCGTTCACGTAACCGACGCAGGAAACGCACCTACTCACTGTTGAACATCTGTCAAGCGTCTTGAAGTTAGTACTTTGGGGCAAGTAACGAAATTGTGCTAGAACGGGCTTGGAGAGCCCTGCCAGGAACGGCCAAGGTTTTTGCAGCAAGCGTTGGTCAGCGACGAGCCGAACTACGGACTGCGGCAGGTTTTTTCTTCTCCCTTGTTGCGGCTAGGTCGGGAATTCATTGAAGCCAAGGTGAGTTAATTCTCTGCCACGATTACATTGTCATTGCGTCAACCAGAATCATGTGTGTTCGCGGTTTTAAGAATTTGAGCGTTCGGATTTTTGAGAGAACGATGCCGGGCGCCTCTCCTTCATTCTTTCCTTGTGTGGTTCCACTCACTCATGTAACGTACGTTCGGGGACAGTGAGGTGAGAGCGAGGCCCCCGTTCAGTGAGGACGAAAGTCGAAGACGCGAGGAGCAACCATGGCAACTAAGCGCAGTCCTCGAGCAAACGCTTGTTAAGAATACACGCTGGGCTAGTCCCTGCACGTCAAGATTAATCACAAGACGCTGTTCGCCATACCTACTTAGCCTTTCATGCAATGTGTGTAGCAGCCATCCAGTTCTCCAAAATGCTAATTCCACGCTCTACGTTACACACTTCGCACATCATTGTTTGAGGTGCATGCCATCGATCGCTGCGATGAACAACGGTCATTATGGTTTGCAATTATGCTTGTTTTACCGTTTGCATCAAGAATTTTTTTTCAGTACCAGCGGGCTACATCAGAAAAGATCACATTGCATTCCATGCAAATCCTCAAAGTCCACTTTTTGTGTTGTTTAGGCACCTCCCGACACCTTGTGCAGATTGGGCAACGGTTTGTTCTCAACGTTGGAGCCGTCAACGTTATAGCTACTACTGACTACAATAACAAAGACGGATTTACGTATCGCCGAGAGGACACTATGGTGATGACAACTGTGAAGCAGATCAAAAACGAAAGAAAAAACCGGATTCGCCAGCAAAGTCCAGGCAAGTAGTTTACGAGGCAAGTTTGTTTCGCAAAAACGGGATTTTCTGGGATTTACGTGGCAGTTTTTTTTCAGAGTATCGGAAATTTAGTTAGACTTACATGAAAAGTGTGTTTCAGAAGGGAATTTAGTGGGATTTACTATTACTATAATGCAGAAACTATAACTCTAATTATGCGTCTCGGCCTGCTAGGATCGTTTATAGAAATTAGTTAACGATATCGTCACAGGCCGATGAGTGAGGGTGCTAAAAGTGAAAAAAAAACAAGCGTTTAAAAAAAATGATTGTCTGCGAACGATTTTCATGCAGATTCGCGCCGTGGATCTTGGAATTCTCCCGCTTTCTTGATGTGTAACTTGTAGTGACGAACCATATTACTCTTGACGTTGAAAGTCTTGGTACAATCGGGATAGGGGCAACGGTAAGGTCTGTGACCTGAATGCACCAAAGCATGCGCTTGAACCGCAGTAAAACTGGAAAATACTTTGTGACACTGCGGGCACTGTCTTTTCGAGACACGTCGATGCCCCACGACAGAGGTCCGTGGATCGGACGACTGAGGCGCTGAGTTGTGTCGGGTCCATATCCCAAATTCCGATATAGACGAGGACGAGGAAGAAGAGGAGGACAGTTGGTGTGTTGGAGGGACGACGGAGGCTAGAAATGCTAAACTTAGAGGCGGATGAAGGCTCAACGGCGGTGTGTGGGAGTCAAGAGCGATGGAAGGGTCAAAAAACGGTGTTTCAAGTGGCTGAGGCGAATCTTCTAAAAAATTTGGCTCGGGCGGATACCGAAGGCTTTGTTGCAAGCTGTGGATGGGTGAGTTGTTAGAAGAGCCTTGCGGGAGATGCAAGTCGTGTATATGGTGGTGCAGTGGATGAGGGTGAAGATGACCTGGCGAGATCGGATCTCTAGGGTACGGATGCCCTGCAGGAACGGGGGTCTCCTGCTGCAATGCAGCCGGGGACGCCATCGCTAACGAGATGGCCGATGGCACATTGGAGTCCTGGAAAAATTGTGTGTAGGGGAACTTGTCGAGCAACGACAGCAAATGGGGACTGGAGCGAGTATGATTCGCGCTACTCTCGAGGTAGGAGGCGACACGCGTGTGCGAGCTTGAAGCCGAATGAAGGCCAGGCGAGCCGGCGTTCGAATCCGGCGAGGTGCTGGATTCCTGCTGTGGCTCGTCCAGACTGCTGTGACACCAGTGGGACTCACTGGTTTGATCTTGACTCATGAAAAGACCAATCAACAGCCCACACAGATATAAATTAATTGACACGCACGTAGCCAGCTAGCCGGTCACGATGAGTCTTGGCACTTGGCGGGTAAAAATCAAGTAAATAAATCAAATCGGAGTAGTTTGTAGCAAGGGACAGCCTGTCTTAAGAGCCGAGAGAGAATCTGGAGAGCCAGAAAAAAAATCGGGGACTTGAGGGTCCGTTGGTGACGCAAATACGCGGCTAATTTGTAGTAGTTTGAGAACCGGTGCGATGTTGTAGTATTGTTTGCCTGGCAACACAACGACGGCTCTTTCCGAATGACTTGTGTCACAATCGTCGGCTCGAATTCTTTTCCTTCGGGTTTCTGCCTATACCGTATTGCAGCGGGCGAGTTTTTTTTAGAGCTTGCTGCTAAGGCCAAGGCGATGCCTAGTTTCTTCCAGAAGCCTTGAAGTTGACGCACACCAAAGTTCGAGACACACCCTGCGCTGGCAACTTGTGCGTCAAAGATCACGGCTTTACAGAAAATTGGCTTTCGTTTATCTATCTCTCGCGCGGCCCACAACAACAACTAAAAACAACAAAAAACAGGGCGTTTGTTAGTACACTCGTACTTGATCACGCTGTTTCTGGTGGTGTCATCTATAGGATTGCTTGACGCGCAACTAGAGAATAATCAAACGGAAGCTGTGGATCGAGCAAGGCGCGTCTTGGTGTTTGTCACTCGTGCGAGCTGGGATGCTGACTTTTCCTTAAACCGGGTCTTTTGATCCCTTGAGTGCTTGATTTCCTCACCGAGGTTTTTTTTTGGTTTTGACTGAAATTTTTGGGCGCTCTGAGCTCCCTTACCAGATTTCTTCGACTGGGATCTCTTGGGTGCTGAGTTCCCCTTCCGCGATCGCTGAGATGCCCACTTGCCTTCAAACGCGATCTTGATATGCACAGTGTCAAAAACAGCCAGTCCGTTAATAAGTGCGTCACGAGCCAGATGCAAAAAACGTTTTGGGGCCGTGAGTCCAATGGGTGACTAAAACCAACGGCTCTTTGGCTCCTTTACCTAGCTCTGCTGTAAGGACACCTGGTCTCTTTTATGGATTTCAGAGCTGCCTGTCATACGAGCGATCTTGGCAGATATGACATGTCAATCCCATAACGTTACCACACCGACGACAACGTGCAAAAGCTCCCAAAAGAAAGAAAGCAAGGTTTTTTTGCTGGCGACACTTTAGTAGGCAAGGCTGACACAACCTGACCAGCGATAGCATGCCGCGATTTTGAGTTTTACGGATGTCAAGAACTGCAGCTCTCAGAGCTGCTATAACGCCAGTCCGCGTCACGGCATTTAGTGAGGTCTGAATCATGTTGAATAATGATGCGCGCTATGCACGCCGCTATGGTGTGTTACGCCCTCCGACTGGAAAGCTGGCGGGCGGTACGACATTGTGCTAAGAGTAGTGGTAGCCGCTTTTCTGTTGTGTTTGCTATAACGAACTCACAGACGGGTGTTGGAATATTGGGTGGTCACCTCAGACGAACGATAAATCCGCGGTTGATGTAATTGATCGCTAACTATTACGCTGATTTGAGGCATCACGGTTGGAATCAAGAATGCAGGATGACTTTGACGCAATTGGAAGTCTTGCAAACAGCAAACGTGTGAGTTTGCCTTGGCTGGGCTAAGCTGATGGCCCGCAACAATATGTGATAGTTTAAACGCAAAAAACGACACGTCCGTAGAAAATGACAATACTGTGTAACTCTACCAGGCGGTGAGCGGTCAAAATTGTTGGGATGGAGGAACCGCTTGAGATGACACAGTTGGGTCAAGATATTACAGCAAGAGACTCGCTGATGATAGACTAAAGAAGGCAAGGTATGTGGCCAGTTTAAGGCAGGTAAGAAGTTGGTGGCCAATGTAGGGACATGCCGAAAGGCAAGTTAGCGGTTTGTAGCAAATGTATAAGCATACTGGTAGGCAAGTCTGAATAAGCATGCGCTTGTCTTCAGAATGTTGAAAATTTTCGGCTTTACGATACCACGTTAGTACAATGGGACAAGCCCTACTATCGACGCCTCGAGCATCGGGAAAGGTAAGTTGTGCAGCTGTGGTTCTTTTACTTGTGACCGAGACAGCTGAAAGAATATGTTGCCTGGAGCATTTCAAAAGTTTGCTATATGGTGACTCAGAGAGCTTGCTCTATCGCGTGGTGAGCCGGGCATTAGAGGGCTTGCTCTATCGCGTGGTGAGCCGGGCATTAGCGGGCTTTCCGCGACTATTCCATGAGCCCGCCCAGCTTTCCGCTGTCTTTCAAGAGCTATGACAGAATAGTACAAAGTGATATTAGCAAAACATAGTCGATCGGTGGAAATGTCGAAGTGAAGGTAGACGATACCAATTGCTAATTGGACACTGCACGGTGTGCCCTACGACCATCCAAGACGCTGTAAGAACTCTTGCGCTAAGTAGTGTAAATGTTGATAAGTAGCTACACCATTTTCTACAGCCCTTGGGCTAGGATCTAGAACTCCCGAATCTCATTAACGCTCTTGTGAGTAGTGAGTAGTAAGTAGCAAGTGGCTCTCCCCCACTGTCTCCCCACTCTCCCTCCACTGTCCCTCCACTGTCCCCCCACTCTCCCTCCACTCCCCCCACTGTCCCCCACTTCCAACGGTTCTCGAAAATAGGCACTCCGCGCCTGGAAGCTACGAGAACGGCTCCAGACATTTGCTTAGCTACCTACTGTCAACATTGACAGAGAAATCCACTGATGGGGCCCCCCGGGCATCCCCTAGCGTCCCCTCCACTTCCGCCGTTCGTCATGACACGGCCTCCCAGCAATTCCACTAAAATCCTCTCCCCCCGTCCAAATGATTTTTATTTCTTCCCCTCGTGTGTGTGTGTCTCTCTCTCTCTCCCTCACTCTCTCCTTTTTTTTTTCTCTCACCCACCAACCCACCCACATGAGCGAGGATTTGCCCAGCAGCTGGGTCACCCCACACGTAGCATCGGCTTTCCCGCTGCGTCACGAGATACGTACGTCACGCGGAGAACACGTGACCCTAGAACGCATCGTGTACGAAACCGAAGGCGCGTCACGTGATGCGGTCCCGCTGTCGTCGCGCGCGCTCTCACAGCTGCTGGCCCTGATCGACGCCAACTTGGGCCCCATGTACCGACAACACGGCCGCGCCATATACCCGGCAATCCCGAAACCCAAGCCGCCGCACCACACGCTTGCGCCTACCAGCTGGCACCCGCACAAGACTCGCGAAATGCAGACCCCGGGACTGGTGTACGTGACGTACCATGACACACGCGATCCAGACCGCACTCCGCTGGCGTTTGTCTCGCTGCTGCTCACGCACGAGCCCGAGCTGGCGCGCCGTGCCAAAGTACTCTACCTCTACGAGATCCACGTCGCCCACGTGATGCAGGGCCTCGGGCTCGGCACGTGGCTGCTGTGTGGCGGCGTGGACGCCACGCTGCGCGCGCTGCGCCGTGCGATGCGACCTGGCGATTTCCACGGTCTAGAACTTACGGTGTTCAGTGGTAACGAGCGTGCGCTCAAGCTGTACCGCGAGCGACTGCAGATGTCCTTGGCGCCTTGGTCGCCGCAAGATTGCAACGAGGCGAAGCACCCGCGCCCAAAAATCACCGCAAGTCAGCATCTCACCCGCCGCCGTACTCGAGCGCGTACTTACACCTTCATCACTGAGGACGAAACAGAGGCGATCGACGGAACGGCGGCCGCACCTCGCATCCGTCCCGTATACTATGTTTTGACGTGGCCCGGTTGCCCCTAGCAGCGACGCAAAGCCATGCATGGTCAAAGCCCGGATTTTCCATATTGGCTGTAGCGCAGTCGCTGAAAAAGCGCACCCGGCTTTGCCCGGGTGGCTCGGCATTTGACCGTGCATGAGGCTACCGGATGCGTTCTTTCCTGCTATGTGGTTCTGAGCCTTCTCAATAAGAGCACCACCAGCTTAGTAAACATGCTACTTTTCTTGGCCGTGTAACAAACGGTTAACCAGCAGTGGGTGAAGGTGCGCTGGGGCTATATATGAAGACCAAGAGAGACGGATGTTTATGTGGCTAGCAGGAGATGCGGTTCCTTTCGGCTTTTGACAGTGTGACTGGGACGGGATTGTTGGGATTGAAGTTTGCGCATAGTTGAACAGATCAAAGGGGAAAGAGACAGAGAGAGCGAGAGCGAGAGCGAGAGAAAGCGAAAGAGAACCGGAACTGGAACTGGGAAAAAAAAAAAAAACCGAAATAACAACCAAACTCGAGATTTCGGGCCTGGAAAACACCCGTGACCTGGACACAACAACGAGCGGACACGTGCTCAAACACAGACTAGGAAGATCATTCTGCACGCGCGTTTCCCCCCCCCTCACGTATAGAACTACATTTGGGTTTCTTCGGCAACCCGACTCACAACATGAACCAACAACAGCCCTACTCGGTCGCGCCGATGCGCACGCACGGCCAGGCCGAGACAGACGCCAAGACGCAAGTCACCGAGTACGAACAGCTCCAGCATTCGCAGAACCAGAACCAGAGCCAGAACCCGAGGCTATTGGCGCCACTAGCAGTCTCCGCTGGCTCCCAGTACTTCCACGCCACGCCAGGAATCCCCATGCTTGCGCCTGGAGGGGCTTTCGCACCATCAACGGCGCCGGCGCCGTTGCCTCAGCCGCACACGTACAACGCGATGTGGAATGGCTGGGCCCCACATCATCACGTGTCGTTCCCGGCAACGCCGACGGTTTTGCCGCCCATGCCGCAACAGCCGCAGCAACCGCCGCAGCCGCAGGACTCCCCCGTCTGGCCGTCGGAACTGCCACTCGCCGCGTTCGGACCCGACAGCGCCGCCGCCGCCACCAGCTCCGCTGGCAACAATCCCGGCGCGAGACAGTACATGGTCGCGCAGCCGTTCACCGCGACCGCAGGGAATCACGTGCCCTTGGCGAACAATAGTATATGGCCTTCCAGCACGAGTATGGGCATGCCACCTCCACCGCTGCAAATCACGCCGCGAACGTCGGTGTCGGGGCTGCCGCTGCCCCTGCCGTCTCTACAGCAGCAGCAGCAGCAGCAACAGCAACAGGAGCAACAGCAGCAGCAGCAGCAGTTTCAGAATCATTACCATTATCAGCATCAGCATCAGCATCAACAACAACATCAACATCAACATCAACAACAACAACAACAACAACCACTGCTGCAGCAGCCGCAGCAGCAGCATTTCCACCTTAATCCACCGCATATTCAGCGTTCGCTGTCTTCCAACAGCGGCACCGTCAAAAGTGAGGTCCCTCTTCCGGTGCATTCTGCTGGTTCGTGGGAATCCAAGTCCACCTTCACCGTCTTCCGCTGCAACATGTGCGAAAAGTCGTTCCGCCGTCGTTCGTGGCTCAAGCGACACTTACTTTCGCACTCGAGCTTCAAACCGTACAGTTGTCCGTGGTGTCAGAGCCGTCACAAGCGACGCGACAATCTGTTCCAGCACATGAAGACCAAGCACGTACGTCAGGTGCTGAACGAAGTTTACCGTGCCAACGGCCAACAAGAAATCGTGGATGATACTGACGCAACGCTGCCGGCGGCTACAGCTTGTGATGACATCTCGGAGGAGCCCAGCCCTAGCATTGGAACGCTGATCGAGGAAGGTCGCGTCCGCAAAGATCGTGTGAAAACAGTACTGAACGAAATCATCCTGCGATCTCACAGTGAAGTGGTAGAAACGTAGTAACCATAAACTGAAAAGCAGGAATTCCAGAAACTTGGAAACGTAGTAACCAGAAACCGCAAACTAGAAAAGTTGAGTCTCAGATACTAGAAAGCAAGAAACTCAGATACTAGAAAGCAAGAAACTCAGATACTTAGAAACGTATAATCTTTAATTGACTACATTACAATACCAAACCATCCCGCGATGCCATGTGGAAGTGGTGGTGGGAACGTAGAAACTTGAAGATGGAAACACAACAACCCAGAAACTGGAAACTAGATGGTGGAAACCCAACAACCCAACAACCTGGAAAATAGAGACCAGAAGGTGGAAACCAATAACCCAACAACCCAGAAATTAGAAATCAGAAGGAGGAAATCAAAAACCCAACAAACCAGAAACTAGGAAGTCAGAAACTCAGAATTCCGATAACCTAGACTCCTAGAATAATGTGAGTGCATTGCAACAACGTACTCATAAGATATGCCTTTAACCTCGAATGTGGATAGTGATGAAATGCTTTATATTAGCTAGCTCCCGTACGGTATCCCCAAGAAGCGTGTATATACTACTGTAGCCAAAGCGTGTGGGCAACGCGCACTGGTGGGCCGTTTGAGTACAAAAATAAACTCAGTCTTATTCTTACTCACAACATCTCGCGCACAACCGCCTCATGTGGGAAGTCGTCGTCGGCAGGGTTTTTGATGATGTTGGTGTTTTGAAACTGCTGGTGTTTGAAATACGCAACTGCGTAACTCATCGAGGAGATTGTTAGTCCCACTGCCACAACGCACAAGCTCGTGACCATCACTGCCAGGGAACAGAATTGTACAGTGGCCATTGATAGGTAGAATAGCGACCTCTTGCCATTAGTAGCAAAACGCTTGATAAACTCAATGAAGTTGTCACTGAGTGGACAGATACGCAGCAAGAAAGGTACTTCGATGAACAATATCACCAGCCCCTGCACGATGCCAATGATACCAAAGATGATAACCGCGCTAACATGAAACAGGTTGGCAATCCCCAAGGCCACGCACAGTATTATGTTGATATATCCAAACCACTGTCCATATACGCTGTGAAGGTACCATAGTTGTTAGTGACTTGTCAAATTAGGGTGCTTTTTCTATTCAAAAAAAACAGTTGCGCCGTTCCTCCTATTACATACCTGAAGTTGAAACTTTTGAGATCTTGTACAATGCCAGGAAAGTTAATGAATTGTTTGATGTTGAGCGCCATAGTGGAAACACTCTCTGTGTATAGTTGTTACGGTTCTTTGCTAGTATTGAAGCTCATCATGTAATTTTCGTAAATTCATTCAACGTTCGTGAAATTTAAACATTATCTACGTTACCCTCGGCGCATCCATTGAAGATAAACGATTGAAACAGATTAAACTGCTGCTTCTTGGAGGTTTGAAAGACTTGCAATTCTTGATTTAGTTCCCGCATGGCCATGGCAGACCAAGGTTCAGTATCTGGATCGTCTTTCAACGATGATGAAAGCGAAGATGAGTTGATTATGAGTGATTTTGATGCCAGCCTTGAGAAGATAGGACGCGGGTTTCCAAAGATCAACTTTGGTTCTATATGGAGTGGCAAGACCACCGAATCTGATACTAGCTCTGTCACAGAAGGTGACTATGGTCACTGGAGCCGAAACTTTCAGATGAACACTTTTTTAAACGATTTGCATAAGGGACTCAGTTTCCCCAACGCTCTGACTAGGCTTCAAACTGTCAAAGCGATCACAGAACAGGCTATTAGCAATGCCATGAAAAGCAGGGATCAAAGTGGCAATAACGGAGCGTCGGAAGAAGCTGAGACTCGTGTGGGGGCGAAAGAAGAACCAGCGGGATTGATACCCGCTGTGAAGCCCAAGAACGCACCCGCTTACAACGACATGGTCATTCCGCAGGATAAAGATCCCCAGCTACTAGAGGAAGAACTTCTTCTGCTCACAGAACTTCCAAAGGATCAAAACAACGATAAAGATGCACTGCGGCAACGGATACAGCATATCCAAAGCCTTGAAATCGAGCCAACAAAAAAAGCCATGATGATGCAACGCCTCATGATGGGTAAATACATGGAAGAGCCGAAGCGACAGCCTACTCCTCAGCAAAATGTTTTGTGTACTCACAGGGTACCCACTAATACTGAGAAAGAACCAACTTACCACCAGTCCGGAGTCTTTGGGTGCCAACATTACGAGAGAAACTGCAAGCTGCAATGCCATCGGTGTCTGTGTTGGTACACCTGTCGATTTTGTCACGATGAGTCACCCGAAATCAAAAACTCACACAACCCACATTTATTTCAGCGGTCAAAGACTGAACAAATCCTGTGCATGCGATGTCAGCACGTTCAGAAGCCGCAAAAATACTGTGAAAACTGTGATGAAGAAATGGCTATGTACTTTTGCAGCGAATGCAAATTGTTCGATAACGATGAAACTAAAGATATTTACCATTGTGACAAGTGTGGAATTTGCAGATTGGGACTGGGTCTCGGAATAGATTTTTTCCACTGCGATGGGTGCCAGGCGTGCTTATCTATTGAGCTACAAGGAAACCACAAGTGTATCGAAAGGGCTACCATGTCAAGCTGTCCCATTTGCGGCGACTTTATGTTTACGTCTGTCAAGCCTGTGGTTTACATGTCTCCCTGCGGCCACGCAATTCACCAGCATTGCTTCGACGAATACACCAAGCATTCCTACAAATGTCCTTCTTGTCAAGTTTCTATCTTGAATATGGAGGCACAGTTCCGAGTCTTGGATAAAGAGATTGAGGAACAGCCCCTTCCCGTTCCTTACTGCGACTGGATTTGTTACGTGTCTTGCAACGATTGCAAAGCCAAGAGCACTTGTAGATATCACATATTGGGGCTAAGATGTGGAAATTGCATGAGTTACAACACGACCCAAATCAAGCTGGTAAAGCCAGAGGAAGAGGTCGCGGAAAGCCACGACCATGACACTTCTGTGGAAGATTTTGCAAACGACAAAGCGCTAGGGCACCTAAACTCTATGCGCCATGAGCTACTCAGTGGCCACTTTCAGCGCGAGGATGTGTCTCCTCTGATCACAATGGAGAATGATGGCAAGCTCTCAAATTTCGAACAATACATGAGCGAGTATTTCCATGACGTACCCGAGGACTCGAGGAAGACCAAGAGACAGGAGTTCCTGGAGTACAGCTCCCAACACCTATTCAATGCGGCAGGCCTTTTCAAGTCGAACAGCCCCCGAGAAGGAAGGAGTTCTAACAGCGACGCAGCAGCTGAGGCTGGTCCTACAAACACCATAAACAGCACCGGCATGGTCCGGGCTCCCTCGCTAACCGACAGACTGCGACAATTCATCAACGACGCACCGCCGCAACTATCAATCTCGGACGCTTTCCAGAGATTCATCCAGGGAAGCCACCAGGGCCTCTCTTCCGGAGATGAGGATGACGATTTTTCTGCGCGGTCTGAATCCGAACGCTCACGGAGCTCTACTACAGATTTATGAGAAAAACCACAATGTGCTAGAATATAGGCTCGTTATGTAGAACAATGATTTACGTTTACTGACATAGATGGTTTCGGCTCGTGGCCGCAGACAGCCCTTCACTCCTGCTTGGTCAATAGTTCAAGTGGCACCCTGAACAACCACACACTCGTCTTCCAAAGACTTGGAAAGGGCGGCTATAATTCTCCGCATTCAATTTTCCTGTTTTTGAATTTTAAACTCTCCCTTGAACAAACCACATTTCAAAACAGATTCGAGTGAAAAGAACAAGCTTTTAACACCAAAAGAGAGCTTGCTAAGATCAAGTATGTACTAACCGATGTTTAGCTCGAGAATTGCCAAGATGCTACGTTTTGGGTGGCGGCGCGAACCGATATCCATTTCGATTTACGCGTCTACCGAGAAAGCATTTGCCACAACAATAAGCGCTTAAGGGATGTTGGAAATGGTAAACAAGGGTTACCCGCCCACGAATAGGGATCACCACATACGTCGACCTTGGCGAAGAGCTCCAGGATCTGGCTCGATGACCTACCGCGCGCTGGCGCTACGAGCCTAACGGCACGCAACAGTGCCATGCTTTCGCCTCGTTAATATTGCCCACGAACAATTAGTTCATCGTTACCGCACTCCTGATGCAGTGTTTCGAGGCGGTTGCAACTAGCTACTGACTGGTTGCCCGTCTTTCCTTGAGAACTGCCAGTACCACTACTACGACAATTGCCAACCTAGTAGTGATCCTTCTCAGGGCGACCGTATGTTGCGGTGAAACACCGCAGAATCACTCGCGTGCCCGAGCTGAGTGGAGCCTTGAAAAAAAAAGCCTACCAAAACAGAGGCCGGTGAGAGCAGAAGGAGAAGGGGGAAAAAAATTTTCCTCAGCACATTCACAACTGAGCTTCACAGGATACGTCCATTTCTGGTGGCTTCTCCAGCGTAAATCAAGCTTCAATAGCATCTGGCTACTACTACGATTCAGAAAAGTGTGCAGCATACTTCCCTCACCGCTTCCTGGTACACTAAAACGCTCTTTTGTTGCTTCTTCGCTTCCTTTCAGACAAACTCCCGGAACTCCGTGAACTAATCGCACCTCTCGGTAAACAAAGTAGTGCTAAGCAGGTCAAACAGCCCCTTCCTGTCCCCTACTCACAGACGAGCACCCGCAGAAGTCCATACCCGTGTGCCTTTCATTCCGGCCCGCCTCGAATCACTTAGGTGTCTGACACTGCCTCAGTAACTGACGGACGTTACCATTTATCTGCTCATCACCGCCCTCCGCCCTCCGGAATGAACATCCCCAATATCAACACAGGCATAGCGCCTCCGCCATCTAAAGGCCTCTCAAGCCCCCCTGGCTCTTTGTCCAATACTAACAGTCTACAGGATCAACTGTTGCCATACCCTGAATTAGATTCTACTGGCCACCAGCATCATTTGCAACCGCACCTGTCTCCACAACCAGAAGACAGAACCAAGATTCATAACTTAGGGCCGCAGCTATCACAGTTGCCGTTACAACAGTCGTCAAATTCGTTGATATCTTCGCATCAACATCAAGACGTACCAATACCATCTGAGTTATACGCACAGGTACTGCAACCACAGATACAGAGCGCACAACAATATCAACAACCACATCTGCAGCAGCATCACCACTACCAGCAGCAGCAGCATCAGCAGCTTCAGCAACATCCACAACACCAGCAGCATCAGCAACATCAGCAACATCAGCAACAGCAGCAGCAGCAGCAGCAGCAGCAGCAACAACAACAACAACAACAATTGCAACATCAACTGCTCCAACAGCAGCAAGACGTTCAACTCCACCACCAACAGCAACACCAGCAGCAACATTCACAACACAAACAACATCAGGCTCAACCACAGCAGCATCAGCAGCACCAACAGCAGCAACAACAACAACAACAATATTCGGACGCCATGTTTAACTCATTCTTGACTCAGATTGGTCAAAGACAAATGAGCAACGTATTGAACACATTCAACCCCGCTGCTCACGGTATGGGCGCCGCCATTGGTTCAGCAATCAATCAACCTGCTCAAAGGTTCTTTCATGCGGCGATGAATACCCCCTCAATGCTGGAGATGACACATCCTACCACGATGCAAGCCACTCCACAGTTTCAAGTGCAGGTACCTCCACCAGTAGTCAAGAAGATGTCAGCAAGTCAGAGCAGAATTGAAAAGAGAAAGCTTTTGAAGAAGCAAGGTCCTAAGAGACCTTCGTCAGCTTACTTTCTATTTTCCATGGCTGCAAGAGAAGATTTGGTGAGGCAGTACCCAGATGCCAAAGTTCCAGAGCTATCAAAGTTAGCCTCTGCTAAGTGGAAAGAAATGACTGACGAAGACAAGAAACCATTTCATGAAAAGTTCAAGGTAAACTGGGAAAAGTATAGAATTGCTAGAAAGGAATATGAATCTCATTTGCCGCCCAAAAGACCATCGGGACCTTTTATTCAATTTACACAGGAGGTTCGTCCTAAGATTATCAGTGAAAACCCCGAAAAAGATCTAATCGAGATAACCAAACTGATCGGTGAAAAATGGCGTTCTTTGTCTCAACCTGACAAGCAATCCTATACGGATACGTACAAAAGGAAGCTCAAAGAATGGGAAGAACAATACCCGGAGGAGACTAATCCAATTGATGCCCCAAAGATCGAATCATTGACCTAATCTAATGACTCAAAGCTAAAGCCACGCCGAATAAAAGAACTGCACATTCGTGTTCATATTTTCGTAATTCGCCAATGTATTAATCAAATCTCGTTTATAAATAAGTCAGCGTAGGCTCGCGATGCATGCGCATACCATATCTTTCTCAAATCTCCATGCTGAGATGGCTTCAGGAAATATATTCTCCTATATAACAAGTTTCAAGTAGCCTTTCGTAATTCACCCATCTATGATACTTGTCGAATAGAGCTGTTGCATCTTTGCCTCCCGCAGTCTTGATAAGTATATCTGGTCCACCCGGATGGAAGTCCAAGTACGATGAAATGCAGTAGACTCTCTTTTTCAAAACGCACCAACAATCGTCCCTTGTCGTGTGTTTCTCTAGTTGGGCTCTATTCACCTTAAGAGGTGGGAAGATTTTGAACGGAGGTAGGCCGTGTTGAAGTCCCATCAATGCCTGTGGGTTATTGAATCTTTGAATCTCGGGATCATTAATCAATTTCTCGATACCCGCTATTAACATACCTCTTTTCCCTTTAGTATTAGATAGCTCGGACCAGTCCATGGCGCTGTACCCTGGCTTCAAGCTGACTTTGTTCCTGTATCCACCACCTCGCAGCGTACTGCATCCGGCCTGTGCCGACATACTGGACGGGTTGGCCATCTCAGGTTTCATCAATCTTGATACCCCGCTTCGGCCTGGCAGCTCTAATCGAGCTTTAAGTGCATCAGGTTTTTGAAATCTATCTGGTAAGCTAGAAGTAAGTCGATTTGAGTTGGCATCCATTGCTGCAACAGGCTTCTTTGGCTCGGCGTCTGTTTTCATCTCAAGACACTTATAATTTATAAAAGAAAACAAGAATTTTGAAAGAAGGTGAAGAAGTGCAATATAGGCTTGATGGATAGGATAATGACTAAAAGTGAGCTTTGCGCTACTGGGCATAATTAGATAATACACCAGTGAGATTGGAAACTGCAAGGATAACGAAATGATGGTTGACTATTTGGAAGTGTACGTTCAGTCGTAACTTGCAAACTCAATGAAATATCAGGGAAGAACACCTTAGTTGACGTATAATAGAGATACGTCGATGCCTCGCAAGGAAATCAACACCAACTGTAGTGGTTGCGGCGCTTGATTGTGTGTGGAATGAAATCCACACGAACTCTCATTTGTTTACGAAAAGGAAGGCCACGATAGAAAGGAGCTAGTAGAAAGAGGATTGTACACTGCTTCAGAAATTTCGGAATTCTGTGTTTATGAAAAAAATGTAGCGATGCGCACCGAGAAAGTGGGGTCAACAACGGATTCTGAGTTTGTCCACGGACTCTCCAGCGTGCCGGCAAAAAAGTTTCCGTAAACTAAACCCCTTTTGATCTGATCAAGACCAGCACTTGTCATCGAAAGCTGCAAACTTATGGTGAGCTGGTTTTCGGAACCTATTTCAGTAGGTTTTGAAATTGGAGCCCGTCACGAATACAGGATTACATATAATATCTGAAGCCCTCCAGAAAGAAAGGGCATGTCCCTAATTCTCGAATTAGAATTTTTTGATCCCTTTGAAGAAACGCAGCCTTAAACTTCACGCACCATGAAGGCCTACCGGAAGTCTACCTTAGAAGGCCATCGCGGCAATAAATGGAGACCCGTATGTTTTGTTCTCTGCACAGAATGAATTTTAAGCATCAAATTCACACTTTAATGCATTATACTGCACCTAGCTGTTCATAAACTACGATTAGAATGCTTTCGCTGCCATCAAAAAGATGGTTCCTTGGCATTTCATAGCCGGCAGTAAATTACAGTGTGTCATATCCAAGGTGGAGGAAAAGCGGAACTGGCAAACAGTAAATAAACCATGCTAAGATTCCATTAGCCTAACTAAACAGCTGTGCTAATAACCCCAAAAATTGCAGAGATTGCAGAGATCTCTCAGAATAACAATGACCCAGGGCCACGACACCCCTCCCATCTGTTGAATCAACCTCACATGAGCAAGTTGAGGCTGTCGAAAGTCCATTTTTCTGATAGATGATGAGGCCGATGACCAAAATGTCCGTGCCACCAAATTCCTATTTCTCGTGAGGGTTGCTGATATATAGGCTTGAGTAGACCCCGTCAGAGCCAAGACCCGTTTGCAACAAACTTCATTGATTAGTGGAAGCTCTGTTCAGTAAGGACGACAGTGACTGTAATGGCTACCAGCATTTTGACTGGGTGGTTGCACTTGACGCTATGAAGTAACTAGCTTCATTATGGGAAACAAAACTACAGACGAAGTGTAGCGTTCGGTGTTCTCAATCAGTGAGACAGGGAAGTCGAATGGCTCGAGCACAATGTGGAAAGGTAAATTTAAACTTCACCTTTCGAGTAGAAGGCAACGCTGTCTGAACTGAGCCAAGCGCTCTTCGAGCGTGGTCCTACCATTGCTAGTTTCCTTTAAGAATGTAGTTTAAAGTAATCTAACTTCTATATAGCCATATAATGAATTGCCCGTGTGCTCAGATGTTGCTTTTGCAGCAAGAAGCGGTGGATGAAGAATCTTTAGAAGCCAAACCTGCAGATTTCTGAGCGTCTTCGTAGTAGACCGACTTATTGAAGTTGTTGTTGGCTAAAGGAACATCCAAAGCAGGATTCTTTGTAAAGAAAGAAACTGGGGTAACCAAAAATTGCAGGAAGTCCGAGGTCATGACCGGAAATTGTTCTGTGGCTGGTGGATGTGTCAATGCTAACGTAGCCCACACAACGGTGTCGGTGTTTCTGACGCTCTCACTACCATCTGCCCATTTGCAGAGCCCCGTGTCTACCTGAGATTGATTCGTGAACTCGCCGGCCGCGTAAAGCTGATCATCATGGTATTTGCTAACCCAGAATTGTTGAGTAGCATAATGAGCTCTTTTAGCATTATACGAATTCTTGGAAGCAATAATCATCTGCTTCGCGGGCATTTCGAACTTGTATCCCACAGGCTTCAAAGTGACAGGGTTGATAGATTTCTCGTTGATTACCTTGTAGGTGCGGTTAGTGAACGGCGATTGCTCCACGTATCCAGATTTCTCCATAAAAGTTCTTTCTTGACGGAACCCGACGTTATAAGGGTTCATAGCAGTATTTTCTTCCATTGGGACGTAGTCGTCGTAGACAACTGTGTTGTCATCTCCGTCAATTCTCGTGTCGAATCTGAAGGACAGTAAATGCTGATGGAATGGCGCAGTGACGCCGGGGCCAACAATAGTCGCAAAATCGGTTACCATATTCTCATCATTAGGCATCGTCGACAGAATACCGGTGGCCCTGACTTGCACAGTAATGGCACCGGCTTGGTCGAAGATGAGATTGACAACATACTCGTAGTTAGCTACTGTTGCAATAGTTTGGATAACAAATTCTCTTCTTCTCGTTGCAACGGTATTGTCATTTCTGTAGTTCTTGTGCAAATACAACAGACCGTAATCTTGCTCGTGCATACATATTGTCGATGGAATCAGCACTGGGTTACCTTCTTGATCCGCTCTTCTGGTGTCCAAGTATTTGATAACCCCGAGACAATGACAACCCAAAGCTAAGGAATTAGCAGTGTTACCAAACCCACAGTCACCCAAATCAAACGCTTGCTTTCTGTGGAAGGGAGCTCTTGGGTCAGCATAAGGCACGGTCATTTCGTTCAAGGCCACTCTGTAAAAGAGGGACCTACCTTTGAAGAAGACATCATAGAGAGCAAAACCCTCTCTAACGTTTGTAGAAATGCGGAATTCCCAATCTTGCCATTTGACTTTAGAACCCTCGATTTCAAAAGAAGCACCTTCCGGTTGCGAGACGATGAGAGGTTTCAGGTTTTTCCTGGTTGGAGTATTTTCGATAAGTTCGGGATGGTATTCAACAGTTTCGAATTGTCTGTAAGGTAAAGTTTCTTTAACATACTTTTCATCGGCACCGGCGGGCAAAAAATCAATTCTGACAAGCTTATGGGTGAGATACTCGAAGACGGGAGAGAAACGTAGTGGGATAGAATAGTGATTGGCTTCCGGGTGATCGAGTTTCATGTACATGTAAGCTTGGATGAGAGGGATTTTTTCATTTGGAGAGTCGGTTCCGTACATCCAAGGTTCACAAACAACGGAGTAACCGAGCTTGCCCAGACGCGAATGGTCGTAGTATAGGTTGTCGATTTTTAGTTTGGAAATTTCGGCAAGGACTTTGGGGTGCTTCATGATGGCCTCTTCGACAGCGGTGATGTCTTCGGGAAGCAAAGGACCCACGGTGCCCTCCGGCGTGGCTTGGTTGGCGATGACTCGCTTGTCTGAAACGTTGCACAGAGCTTTGTAGAGAGGCATGCGATCGTTTAGGTAGTAGTACGCATAGGTTCTTCTGGGGATGTAAGGGAGCTTGCCGCCACCGTGGCGTTCGATGTTGAGGTATTTGATGGCTTGTTTCTTTGGAGGATCTAGACGGTCGATCTGGATGAAGTGAACTTTGGCATCACCGTTGAAATCCTTTAGGAGTTTAGCGGTGGTTCTGATTTCGCAGTCCTGAAGCGGATCAAAGATATGGAGAGTCATGGGAGCTGGGTGTTGTACAGCGACAAAGGGAAGAGTGGAAGAGATCTGAATGGCAAAATAAGGCATTATTTGTATATATATATATATATATATTCAGGGCGCTCGAGCTTGTTATCTTACAAGCGAGCGGGATCTCTTATCTGTGAGGCCGCGCAGGAGATAAGCCCAAATAGGCAGTGCGTAACGGGATACCGTATCGGGAAATCAATGCGATTGCTGCGTACAGAATGATTAGAACGGCGATATAAGATCACTTATAACGGACAATTCTATGTTAATATATGTGTCTTTTATTACCTAATCAAAAAAGTCGTCGTCATCGTCGTCGTCGTCCGTGACGGATTTGGCGGCATTGGCACCATCCACTGGAAATTGATCCCTACGATCAAAGATGATCTTGGTATTGTTCTTCCGGTTTTCATCGCGGGCTACACCGTTGAGGATTTCCACAATCTCTTCTTCGGTCACTTTGCGGGAAATCTGGCCTCTGGCGGCAAGCTGCTGGAGATATGCCTCAACGGCGCGCACGCGATCCGGGCGGACCAGTGACACTCGAGATAGGCGCTCGAGAGCTTGTGGTTGAAGCAGCGCGGCTACCGATTCACCAGCGGGCCTGTTTTTTGGGTTAGTGGGAAACGAACAAATTGGTCATCTCGTACAAAGGAAGATACTCAGAACATACTTTTGGTCCGCAGGTGCATTGCTGGAAGAACCGGAGTGCTGTTTGAGTTCTTGCAGTCTTGCCTCGCGAATGGCTTGTAGTTCAGGGTCCATCGAGCGTAGGGCGAGAAGTTGATTTTTAGAGGATGTAGCAGCAGAGATGGCCCTTGCAAATACTGCTGAAATCTAATTTCAATATTTACTATGCGAATTTTACGAAAATTTATAGCGACACGACGAGGTTTCGAGGAAAGCAAGAGACAGAGAGAGAGAGATAGAGAGAGAGAATCAAAGGATAAAGTCGGTTGCGAAAGTTGGTAGACAGCGTAGCCTCAAAGGAGCGTAGGATGCCACACGAGATCTCAACCTCTTAGACAGAAAATTTTGAGAAAATTAAGTCACGTGAACATTCGAGAATGATGAATTGTGACTAGTATTGAAATTGACTAGCATTAAAATTGACTAAATCCAAGGCTGTATATACTAACCAAAAAGACTCAACTTTCGGCTCTCCTTTCCCCTGTCGAGCTCAAGTTTATTAGATAATATTTCTCATCACATGACGTAGCCTATTATTACAACAGGGTAGCTAGCTACAAGCAAGAAGCAAATGGGCTAGTGACCCAATGGTACCCTCTCAAGGCCTACAGCTCTCTTTCTACCAACTTGAAATCGTCTCAGGTATTTTCATCCCAATAGCAACTGAAAATCAACCCTTCAGAGGCCAAGAGAACTTGAAAAGAGAACTTTTTTCCTTACAAGTCTGCAGAAGGGAGCCTAGTCATACATGGGCAATGGTCTGCGGTAGTTTACAGCTCTTCTCTCACAACTTTCCCAAGGACGAAGTGGTAAACCACATAATCACTAGAAACGAAATGGTTAGCCGTTCCTAGCATTTTAGGAATTCTCTTCAACCTACTTTCAACGCCAAATTATTGACTGTCAAAATCTCGTCGCACTTAAGGCCCAGTACCCGGTATATTTGCTACATCGATACCTCAATTTAACACAAGTCTCATCAAAACCGATTTACTTCCCCATAACTTATTACTTTACACATTTTTTTTGGAACAGGTACGGTACCACACAGGCTTCATATTAAATAAAGACATCGAATTATTCCTCTTGGCTTGAACCTGAAAACTAAATTCCCATTTGTTGACTAAGGACTGAACTCGCTCACATTATATTTCATTTAAACTCCACGGATTTCGATTTTCATTTGCATGAACAATTCTACGGATAAATCACCTTCGCCTTCTCCTACGTCAAGAGCTAGCAAATCGTCCTCTCCCAATGCGAATTCATCCGGCGATGGTAGCGTAAAGCGGGCAAAAAGAACCATATCCCAAAACGTGGATTATAACCTAAAAAAGAGACGAATAATTCCAGCTGAAGACATCACGTCTAAAAGGGGCCGCAAGAGCAGCGCTAGCACTACACTGAATCACGATGTACCAGAGGACGCTTTGGAAGAAAAACCTTCTAGCAAACACGTAATAGAATATGAGCCAGATGGTCGTATTATATTCAATGAACCAGAATTTGTCGATCCCATCAATGGAATGACTGGCTTACCTTTAGGTATGGGGCCTCCTGAAAAAGTGAAAAAGGAGTCGTATTGGTCATACAAAAAGAATAATGGACAGAGCACAAATGGGACCCCCAGTTCCGCTAGTAGTGCAGCAACTTATGAATCACAAATACCGGAAGACAATGCATTCGAAGAACAGCTAGAGACTAAGAAATCTGAGCAACTTACCAAACAGAGCTCTTTACGTTCCAACACTAAGCCCAAAGACATCTACCGAACTAAGAGACAATACCGCAAGAAAAATGATCAGCTTCTTCATAGAAATAAGCACTTCCCTATACACACCAAGATAAAAGCTTCAACCACTAAAGAGAACAAACTTTTCGGTCAAAACTCCATAACAAACCAAAAGACTATAGCACCTGCAGTAGTGTCATCGGCTAATTCCGCGGTAGAAAATGATGATTTTTGTTCAAGTTGTCGTCAACCAGGCATTTTCCTTTGCTGTGATACCTGTCCTAAATCTTTTCATTTTGCCTGCTGCAACCCCCCATTAGACCCTGATAATCTGCCAGAAGGTGACTGGTCCTGCGCTGAGTGTCAATTTAAGATCAGATGTCCCAACAAGTCTGTGGCTCATAAATTAGAGAAAGAGTACACATCTACTTTAGACAATTCTCAGGGGAAATCAATCTTTGGGAAATTACTCTTCAAATTAGAGTTTACAAATCCAAGGCAATTCATACCCCCTGTTCTCATCAGAGACGCCTTTGTGGACGTCAAAATGGGGTTACATGGCGAATATACCGATGGTTCGATGCGCGGCCCACTCAATGAAAAGCAAGCGTTAAACACCGGTTATGGACAAAGCTTGACGAAAATGGACCAGTACAATCCTGACCAGCATATTGACCAGGAGTCTGGCGAGCTTTTGATATGCTTCAAGTGTCGGGAATCAAAGATGGGGAGCATTGATCATCCAGAAAAGGAAAGATTGATCACAAAATGTGACTATTGTAAGACTCCGTGGCATTTAGACTGTCTTCCTGAAGTACCGCGAGCGTCTTTCAAAAACTTGGGTAGTAAATGGATGTGCCCTTTGCATGCTGATAGCCTAATTCCGAATAAAAAAAGAAGGCTCGTGCGTCATCAAAGACATTTCACCCCCGACTCGACGCACAACTTTTCAAATAACGGCGACGTAGACATTGTCTTGGACGAAATATCTGCTCCAATCTCCAAAGAAGTCATTCATGATAGTAAAATAAACAAAGAACTGGCCATCATGAGACTTCCGGAAAATTCTATCCAATTGGATTTTGTTGATAAAGTTTACCGAGCAAAGGGCGCGTTATTAGATAAACAGTTTCGTCAGCAAGAAACGCTCATCACTAAAACCTTGGGGTCTTTATCAAAACAGTGTCCAGACTCAAAAGTTAGCTCCTTCCTATATTTCACATTGCAGAATAATGGCTACCTTCAGAAAATGTGGGATTTCAAGGAGCTCTGTCACGTCGCTGATAAAGAACTTCAAACATCTTGTCAGCTACGAAGTGAAGAGATTTCCGAGCTCCTGGCACTGCGAAGAATTTTAGAATCCAAGTCGAAAGAAGAGGTCATGGATTTTTTGGTATGAACAAGTAATATTGCGTTTGTTCCAAGCACTACAGAATTTCAAAAGCATGTGGAAGATTTAAAACTCAATGATTATATAATGCGTTACGTATCGAACTTGACACTATTCTTCATCACTTTCACTGTCAACATAATCGACAGTTTTCCTTTGTCTTGAGCTTCTCCTCGTCTCTTTCAAAGATTGTCTCGAAGATGTTGATGCAATATAAGTATGATCGTGATATTCATCCCCATCACCGCCCCGGTCATTAGTCGAAGAAACTTGCGATCTTTTTTTCAGTTGAGGACTATCCACCGTCAAGGATCTTTTATGAGTTGGTAGCTTATGCGTCGAGACGCGCTTATAGATGCGAGCTATCTTTATTCCAGTTATTCTCTTGAGGTTATCGATGTCTTCAGTTTTCACAAAAGATTCAAAAGTATTCTTTCGAGCATCTTCAATTGTTTCAAATGGCTCAAACAAATCTGACGGCAGGTTTAGTTTTCCTGGATATGATGATAGAGCCCATTCGTTGTGATCTTTAAACTGGCCGAGAACAAGCTGTGCCAACTCGGATATAATGTAAATCCCGGAGTTTTTTATATTAGTGCCTTCCGCTTGTCTTTCTTCTTCTTCATGGACTCTTTCGTCATCTTCCTCCTGAGCTATAGTATCTCTGTACTGCCTGACCCTGCCCGCCAGATAGTACAATAAAGCCAAGTTATGCGCATTTGCTACCGAATGAAAGTAGAAGACTAAGTAGCCAATTGCAGTAGTCAAACTACTCAAGAATGTCTCTCCATCGGTCTGTATTCCTTCTGCTACATCTGGATGGTGAGCAATTGAGTGAATCAATCTTGGCAACGCCCTTTCGAAAAAAGTACCTTTCTTAAAGTTTTCCTTTTTTAAGGTTAGACTTATCCACATCTTAGTACTTGTCTTTAGAGCTGGATCAGGCTCGTAAGCTGTGAAAAAAATCAATGGAAGATATCTTATAGATATCGTCTCGTTGCCCACATTGTCCTTGAGGTTCGCAATGAATAACGTCCTCACCTCTATAGACTCGTCCTCCACTAAGTTTATCAATCTCCCAATGTCAGCTGGCTTGACAAAGCTACTCAAGTTGGCGACCTTTGCTAGTTTCAAAATTTGCAACCCTGCGTAACACCTGAGTTTGTTTTGATAATTGCTCGGAGTTGGGTAGCTTTCTTTGTTATGTTCTGAAATGAGTTCTCCTCCACTGGCAATGAGGTAAAAAAACAACTTCAAAATTCTCTCCGTAAAAGCGCGTGCCATTTCGTCATGTTGAACATCATCCACCATTGATTTAAGCTTGTTTGTGAACAATTTTAGTGAGAACAGTTTTGACGCCAGAGGACTTCGCTCTTCGTTCATGCAAATTTCATTCTCTGATATCCATAGAGGATCCCCGTCCTTGTCACCCACCACCTCATTTGCTAAAAGTACGTCTTTAATGAGTAAGCTGACAATCTCTGTGGAGTCATCATCAAGCAAATGCGGTTGTAATTTGAAGATTTGAGAGACTACTGAAACGTTTGCCGCAAAGTATTTGGAATGAGTATTGAGTGGCAGAACAGAATTTTTTATCTTTAACAAGTGATCTGAAGCGTCTGCCAGTAGACCTAAAAGCTTGATTGCATATTTAGCAGCCAAGATGCTACCATCTCTCGCGTAATCATCCAACTTATCTAAGAAAAAAGGTTCGGAAGTTGTCAGATGATGGATGTTTGACTTTGAAATTTTGTAAAGCGTTCTCATAGCTTCGGTCAGCGTCAATGTTCCCGTTGCGTTCGTTGTGCTCTCATCCAATCTCATGATGATCTCTATTAAGCTTTTTGCTTGATGCTTGAAGATTCCAGGCTTAATAACACATAAATTATCGATCAATTGACGCTTCAAGGAGGTTTCATGGGTACTGAGTGAATTCGTATTGCTTAGTAGAACAGACACATTGGAGACGTTAAAAACTATTGGGGCAGCTCTGTAAATTAGTACCTTAATGACCATCATGAAATTGTCTCTCGTGAAGCGAGAATCAATTTTGACGTTTTTCTTGCGGAAAAGCTCAGGATCGTCCAGTCTTTTGAAAAGTTCAGTAATGGCATTCCTTACAGTGCTATGGTCCGATGTGTCAGTAACAGCAGTTTTTATGAGATGGTATAATCTTCGGTCATTGAGTTCTCTGAATGCTGCCAATACTTCTCTGGCGTTGCTTTGTGGCGGATATCCCAGATTAAGCCATTCCACAGTCTTCTCGAGTTTCAAATTCGAAGATTCAGCAAGAGAAATATCAGAAGAGTAAGTGCCCTCGCAAAATGAGATTAATTTCGAGACTACTACCGACATTTGCTCTTGTCGTTTGTTGAAAGCATAAAACGAAGAAAACGCTTTCTCGTCAAAGTTATTCATCATGTTTAAGAGCCTTGAAATCAGAGCTTCTGGCCCTAAGATTAGCGGTAAGAGATTGTCGAAGAGAAGAACGTCTACCTTCATATTGATATCCGGCTCATTGATGTAATAGAGGTTAAAGAAGACAGATGGAATTGTGTCTACTACCTTCCAAGCTTCCCTGTTTTCATTAGTTTTTGGTATTTGCTCAACAGACTCGACGTAAATCTTTGCCACTGCTTCAATGCACTCATCTCTAATATCTGACCTGGTTTCCCTGGTAAGATGCAAAAGTCCAGAAAATACTGCAGAGTTAGATATGCATTCCCAGAGTTTTTTAACTGGAACTTCTTGAAAAACTTGAACCGCGCACAGACGTACCGCATGGTCTGAGTCTATAAGTGCTTTTGCCAAACCCTTTGAAATGTCACCTGCAAGATCGCTGTGATCACCTAGAATTTGGGGTACAGTTCTGACCCACGTAATTCTTACTTGTGAACTGATGTCCGCCATTTTGCTCAACCAAATTTTGTAGGTATCAGAGTGTGCAACAGCAAAGTTAATAAGCGAAGATGTTTCAAGCATTGCACTGACACATTTCGTAGCAGCTTCACGAAAAAACTCATTTTCCGAGCACAGTAATTGATAAATGAATCCAGTGACAGAGCCTACTAGATCGGGTGCGTATTTCCAAAGCTCGGACGTGAGATTACCGAGTTTGACGAGAGTTTTGTATCCGGGAGAAAGCTTCCCTTTGTTCTGATCGTCATTATCTTCTAAGGCCTCATACATAATTTCGGAGTAAAATTTGATGAAATGTCGTCCCAGTCTGTTTGAATATGTTTGACAAATAGCCAAACTAAACTCAAACCCGGGATCTTTTTTGTAACTGAGGCCATTCAAGCTTTTTTCGCGCTTGTGAGACAAAAACTTGTTGAAGACCAGCTTTAATGCTGACATGGGCATTGAGTCGCATTCAGAAATAACTTCTCCCAAGAGGCCGCCTATGATCGTGAAAAGTTTTTCCTGTATGACATTGCTTTGAGGAGAGTAGAAGATTTCAAACAGTTCGGAGACGAGCTGAGTAGAGCTTGGCAAATCAGTCAAAAGGACAATCGAGCGGTATTCAAGCAAGTTCGTGGCCAGATATGTTTGTTGAATAATGTAACCATTCTCAGGCTCTTGAAAGAGTTTGAACTGTTCCAGAAAGAGCTGAAAAATGTCAGTGAGCTCCTTGTCTGTGTAAGGTGCGTCTGGTGCATATAATCGTAAAATATCGCTAAGACAGCACGCAGTGAAAGCTCTCACACCATGGTCCTTATTTTTCAGTATCTTTTTATGGATGAGATCCGACTTATATTTATGTACTGTTCCGAGTTCCACTGTTTCTTGTTTCAAGCTCGATAGTTCCTCCTGTAATTGCGCTAGCCTCTCCAGTAATTGTTGTGTTGATATATTATCTTTTATCGTAGAAACGATAGAGAGGTTAAACTCTAACCTTGATCTGATCGTCACCATCGAGCTAAATCCCTGCCTCTGAGCTCTCGTTTCCGTCAGTCTTAGATATTGTGAGTCTCGTTTCACTTTTTAGTTCAGAATATTGTGATTGACGCGTTTCTCAGATCTATCGTTTTCGCGTTCTTTTGTATTTGCACGTGATGAGGATGTCTTTGAGCGAGCTATAGATATACGCAGAGCATGTTAGTCTCATAAGAGGCCTTCCTCCGATCAGGGAGTGTGGAACAATTTGTGAGTCCGTATGGGATAGGTCTTGTATACTTAAATATAAACCGTCCGATAACATTAAGAACGCTTTCTAACTGAAAGATTTCGTGTCCCTTCTTTGGATTAATTGTTCTTTTCACTTGAATATTGTCTCTTAAGTAGCTTCTTAGTATAACCACAGTTGCTGATTGCTTGGTGAAAGTTCTAAATCAAAAAAAAACAATCATGGGGTACACTTTGTAGTAGATGGGCGTCCATTGAAGGAGAGTTGTTAAAATTAATCATTATGAGTCTTTGATGCTCTGTTCTTCATCGTAGTCGTTGTCAAAATTTGCCATGAAACGCGGTATGCTGTTGCGGGGCCCTATGGGATGCAGTGGTCTTCGAAACTCGGGGACTTCAGTGGGGCGCGCAGCGGACGGTCGGCTCAGAATAGAAATGCTACGAGTGCTTGAGTTACTGTTGGAAGACGGCCTACCATTACTAAAGGTCATTGTATGGCCAGCGTCTTTTGAAGAATCAGTAACGGCGGGAACTGTGGAGAACTTGTGAAGTCTGACCATGTCATCGTCGAAATTCGAGGAACCTTGAAATTTTGTTCCGAAATTTGATCGTTGATCAGATAAATTAGGAACATTGGCGAAATTAGTTTGTGACATGTTGTTGTTCTCAATGGAAGGGAAAACCTCCTGAGTTGTAGTGGGCAGCTTGCAATCGTTTCTGTCGTCGCGAGATAAGCGCGAAGAGATCCTTGTTAATGCTCTTTCGAGTTTTGCGCCCATTTTGTTTTCCAAAATTCTACGATGATCAACTGAGCTTTCTGGATGTAAGATAAAACCGAGAGACTTTGCTCTGGTGGATTCCTGTAATTGGGGTCTCGACATATTTATATTACCGGTTTGCTCTGATTTTGTAGTCTTCACTCGTCTCAAGGTATCGATACTCTGAACTGAAGGGTGTAATCGATGAGTTGATACCGAACTAGGTTCGAAACCATATAGGCCAATCCGACTAGACTCTTTTGTCAACGGAGTGGCCATACCTTTGATTGGAAACACTCCAGCTGGTGTTCTATGTGGTAAAGATCTGTTCGAGCGTACGCTGATGCCTGACTTATTAGTAACTATTCTTCTCAAGCTTGATCCAGTTCTCGAGAAGCTGGGAGTTCTTAATACAGGTCTGTATGCAACCGGTACCGTGTCTCTCTTCTCATCCACGGAAGAACCACTACTGATGGGGTCCAAACCACTCCTTTCTTCGGGGGCATATTGTTCATCGCCTTCGCTCGCCTCTTCATCCAGGTCTTCTGCTTCTCCAGTTGGAACTCTGACCACTCTGGAATCCATATTGAGCTCAGGCTGCTCGTCCCTTGCCTCAAGTTTAGGCAAAGAAAGCTGTTTCCTATCATATTCTACAACAACTAGGTGCAAATAAAATGGAATTACAAGCCCAAAGACGCTTCCTCCGACGACATTGCCAAGAGTTGACGCAACCATGTGTTTCCATATAAATCTCGCGATGGACAGATCTGCGCCATTCAACATCCCAACTGTCAAAAGAAACATATCAGCAACAACATGCGTGAATCCAATAGCGACAAAGGTGAAAATAGGTAATGTCAACATTAAAAATTTGACATGCAAAGGTTTAGCCATCATTTGGAGGTAAATGGCCAGACAGACGAAGAAGTTTCCAGCTATGGCTTTTATGAAAATTTGAATGAAAGTAGCTGAGTCCTTCTCTTGAACAGCAATATGTGTCCACGCCACGAACTTGGACGACCTGGTGACCCCCGATAAGTAACACATAACGTACACTACGAACAGAGTGCCAGCAAAATTGCCGAACCAGCTGACAAACCAGCTTATCAATAGATCGTAGGCGGACACAACATTGCGTAATAGACCTACAGAGAAAAAGAGGATGTTGGAATTGAATAGATCTGCACCATTTATGACAACATAAAATAGACCTATCGAAAACATCAGAGCTCCCATAAAATCCAGCATGCCTGGGTTCTGATTAAAAATTTCTGGGCTCATCGAATGACAAGCGGTAAAAAGCATGCCTCCTGCGCTGAATAAGACACCACCAACGATTGAATTACAGACCAAAGTCTCTGGTCTTAATCTAGCTTTCTTCATTGACGTAGCTACCACGGCCAAAGCTGCTTCATTAGGCGTAATGTAGTATGCATCTTGGGCCATCTCACAGTTTGCTATTTCGTATCGACTCGCTGCCCAATATGCGGCTGGTAAATACCAGAATTGTCCCCACTTCAGTAAAGTGTTGAGGACCGACTAACTTAGCAAACTTAGACGATATTCTTCAATCAGAGGCCTTCGTCGCTACCGTGATAACCGAGAACGATTTAATTCGTCGCTTTGTTTTTCAAAAAAATATTGGTGTCGGCGCTTGGCCAGTCCGCAGCTCGTAGGTATTGATGAAAAAGAGAACAATAGTTTCAAAATTACAGCATTGATGAGCACAATGGCTTTCCCTCAAATTGTTTGATCCGTCGATAATTGTTATTAGTCAAAACTATCCTGATTTGATAAAAGTGACACTATATCACCAAGGATCAAGGAACGGGAACTGATGTTTTCCATCGGCGAAGAAAGAATGCAGCAATAGACCATTTCCTGTAGTTGAACCTCTGGAATGAAAAGTTCTGTTTTAGAGATTCCTTCTAGTACCATTTCAGATAGAGAGCTTAGCGCTTCGCGTGTAATTGAAGGGAAATGTTTTGCTGTGGAGAGCCATCTACGAGAGTCTGGCGTTGTACCCATTCCTATAGGAGCAACGCTTCGCAACACAGCGGACTCGGTTTTGTAAGTGTCCCATAAGTCGATGAATCGCTTTGTAATAAAATCACCCGACCACTTGATCATTTCTCGCAAGCACTCGAATGCCGGTTTAGCAACAGCAAAATCGGCATCCAACGAAATTTGAACCACTAGATCCCACGACTTTGCTACTTGTGGAAGAAGCATATCGTATTCGGTCGCAAGCATCGGATATATTTTGCACATCAGGCGCAAGATTTGGACTTTGAGCGGACGTGAAGGATGAGTTAAAAGGCGATCGCCATATCCCACAATCTGCAGAAGTAAACGGTAAGAATCGCGAGGAATTGGCGAACCCCACTTTTCCTTAGCATCCGAAGACTTGTCCTCTTTGTTATCTTTTTTCTCTTGTCTTTCGGGGTCGCATTCTTCGTCCTCGTCGTCGCTATCCACTTCTTCTAGCTTCCGATTCAAAAATTCTTCGAAATTACCAGGCTCCAGTTCATCAACACTCACATCGCTAACGTCCTCTGTTGTGTTAACTTCTTTCGTCTTATCGAGTGCCTGCACAACTTGAAGCATGTTTTGCATGCCCCACGGCCTGAAGCTGCCGGAAACCGTAAATTCGTTTCCTAGCATGGGCACTTCACATGTGCCATGTAAAAACTCCTTGTTCATCTCTGTAACCACAATATCAAACAGTTGAAAAAAATCAGCGCAAAGATCGTCATAACCGTGATAATAGTCCAAAATCCTAAAGATCATTTCTAGGACATCTTTAAAACTTCTAATGATTTCGTAACCGCCAATGCGGCAAATTACTGTAAGCAACGTAGCGATCCTTTCCGTCATGCAATTTTTCAATCTGATGGAAATAGAATCTACTAAGTAGTCCATATTGTCGGATATCAAATCATGCACAGAACCTGCATAGTGATTTCGAGCAATTGCTAAAGTCGTGGCTTGCGCAAAGTTTCGTATCGCGGGAGAAGAAGAAGCTAAACAGTCCATTACAGGAAATATGACATCAATCAATTCTCCTTGAAATGCTTCGCCCATGGAGTCGCTCATTAATTTTATAGAGTGAAGTCCAACGATCACATGAAATTCGGAGCTATGACTGAGGGTTTTACCGTTCTGGACCGAATTGTTCAAGGTTTCTAAGCAGCTTTCCAATACCATATAGTAAGCTTCAGAAGGCTCCCCTGCCACCATGTAAGGATCTTCTAAAACTAGAAACCTATCCGCTAGATCATTTTCTTCATCTGTATGCTCTATTGATCCCTTTATCAGCACACTGGACACCCAAGCTGCTATGGACTTACCGTAAAGGCTCTCTGAATAATTCTCAGATAGTAGCGTCACTACAATTTGATCGGTATATGATTTTCCGCCATAAAACCCAATAGTAAGCAGCAAATTTGAGAGCGCCTTTTCGAAGGAAATTGACAGTTTTGGTAACAGTGGGAGCGCAGAATCAGCACGCGCAAAAAAATCTTCGCCGATTATGACTAAATTGCTTTGTTCCACAATTTTAGCTTTATTGAAACGTACATTCTTTTGTTCCAAAAATTCACTGAGAGATCTCAACAGCACGGTCACTGCTCGACTCATCATTTCAAAATTGATTTCTCCATGGAGTTTCAGCGATCGCAAAGCATAACCAAACGTTTCTAAGTCTTTACTGTTTTCAAATTGAATAGTTTTTGAAAAGTTCAAAATCTGGTTATCCAGCAAATGTTTCAATACCCTTGAGTTATCAGGCGACTCAAAGAACTTTGGCCCAGCCGAACGAATGTTTAACGTTGTCGATACAAACAGCTCGACACAGTTGATCAAAGATAAATTAGATGTGGTCATGACTGTTTCTAAAAACGATCCTATTGCCGAATTTATATTAGCATTGTCCCTCTTTATGAGTTTTGGCAAAATGGATTCTAGTGCAATCTTGACCTGGCTTGTAGTGGCTTTTAGCCACTTGTTGTCCCTATGTATTTTTTTGTTCTGAGATGCCGTCTCGTCGATGTAGGCCTTTGTCGTTGTAGAGCCACAGCTTTCTAGCACTTGATGAAGATCTGTGAGAAGACGTCTAGTGATCCGCAGATCAGAATCACGATATACAAGACTGAGTATTGATCCAAATAATTGTATTACAGAGCAAACAACATCTGATTTAACACTCAATCCAGGCTTCATAAGTAGTTTTGAAAACGCAGAAACGTTACCAGGGAGTATATAGGAGATGATCTCTCCATCGCCCAGCAGATCTAGGTATAAGGCTCTCAGAGCATCGATGGCGGCTAGTTGTAACTCAACCTCATTTTCATTTCCTTGTAGAATGTCTAACAGTATTGTCACTGAGTGTCCCAAGCTTGGCAAAGTTTTACCATCAAAGAAATAGTCATATACTTTGTGAGTTTTCTGAGCCGCCAATGCGTCAAAGAGTGCTTTCAGCACAAGGCACCCTGCCAGCTGAAAATGTGCAGGCTTTTTTAAGAGGTTGGCATTATCTTTATCATTGCTTATTAAATATGTTAGAAGTGGGAACAGCTGTTGGGCCAAGGCTTGTGGAAACGAGCCGACGGGCGACCAACATGATGACAATAAGTGACTGATGATAAGAAGAATTGATTCCGTCTGGCTGGTCCCTAAAGAGTCTTGTTGCAGCAAGCTGGCTATTGGAACAAATACGTAGTCCGCGAACTTGGGCGAGAATTTCTGGTCTTCCCTATCTAAGCAACACAGCTCCTGCTCGAGTGATCTCAAAGCATGCAACAGTTGATCTGAATTTGGATTGAAAGTTGCCTTGGGTAAAAAGGCTTGTCTCGATAAGTCAACACACAGCGGCTTGATTCTCTGAAATGCAATCGACTGGTGAGCAGTCATTTCTTCCCTAGTCCTATAGCTTAGTAGGGACTCTTTCATGGATTTGAGAAACATGAAATTGTGAGTAAGTATTACATGTGATACCGCTGCTTGCATCAAAATTCAAAATGAGTATATTCGAGGACCAAATCAAAAAATGCCAAACTCGTCAGCACCCCCCTAATACTTGATAGCTGGTCTTTGACTTCATGAAAACTGCGGTTGAATTGTTGCCCAAATGATCCATCTGAGCTACTAGCCTCGAACCACTCCTGATATTATTTACGTAAAGTTATTATTACATAACATATTCGCTCATTATGAGCCGCACTTTTTTCCAGCCTCTCAAACTGTCTAGATGCTCATTAAGTAGCACCTCTTCCTCAGGTTGGATGTACTTGTCCGTAACGAAATCCATATCCTGACTTCTGACAAAAGAATCGCGCTTGTAGAGCCACCAAGCGGCCCAGAGAAATAAGAACACGATAAGTTCGATGTAGTAAGAAAAAAAGTCTGCCACGTTCCAAGGTGCGAATGAGGACCAGCCCTGCACTAGAATAATGAAACTTATGAAAACAACCAAAAAATATGGACCATAAGGGTAAGTCCAATTTGAGAATTGCAATTCATGAGTCTTTCCTTGCTTTGCTAACCCGCGCCTGAATCTGATGGATATTACGCTGATGGATAGCCATGCAATCTGATTAGAGACACCCACAATGTTTTGAAGCCAAGTCCAGAGTGTGCCCGCTCCAATAAAACTAGACCCAAAGCATAAACCTCCGACAGCCCAAGTGATGAGGACAGCCACGTAAGGTACCTGGTATCGATTGGTTTTTGTAATAAATTTTGGAAAGAAATATCCTTCGAGGCCCAGATTAAACAAAACTCTCGATCCGGCGAATAATGCGTGGTTTCCGGCACTTATAACGCTAGTTAATATCACAGCGTTCATGAAGGAGCCAGCAGCGCGGCTCCCTACCATTTGGAAAACGATCGTAAATGGCGAAGTCATTATGGATTTACTGCTCAGTCCGGTGTAGTTGTAAGGCACATTCATGCCTATGAAAAAGGCAGTAAACACGTAGAAGATCAAAATTCGCCAAAACACCGTCTTGATAATCTTTGGTGTGTTTCTAATTGGATTTTTGGCTTCCCCCGCGGTAAGTGTGATTGATTCGGTACCGCCATACGCAAAACTTGATGAAACAAACAATGCAGCAAACCCCTTAAAACCGTTGACAAATGGAGCGTCGCCAACAGTCCAATTTTTGAATCCAATGTATTCGTGTTGCTGATTGTGGCCTGCATTGACGATAATAGAGATGATGAAGAATATGATGATGGCGATGACCTTAAGCATTGCAAGCCAGTACTCGGCCTCGCCATAAACACGAACATGAACAACGTTGAGCAGAAGCAACAAGCCCCAGAACAGGAGCGATGCTACCCAATATGGAAAGTGTGAATCTGGTCCCTTCCAGTAGTCCAGAATCAATTGCAGCGCTGTGAGGTCACTGGCCACTGATACTGCATCGTTGAACCAATAGTTGCACATAAGAGAAAATCCCAGCGAGTCCGAGCCAAATTTTTTGGCAAACGAGCAGAACGATCCGGAAATGGGCATAAAAGTCGACATCTCCCCCAAGCACAGCATCGTGAGATACACAACTATACCTATGATCCCATAATTTAACAACAGCGACGCTGGTCCACCGTTTGACAAAGACTTGCCTGTTCCCAGGTACAGACCGGTGCCGATGACGCCTGCTATGGCAATCATATTGATATGGCGAGGAGTCAACGACCGGTTGAGCTTCTCTCGTACATTGTTTGGCCCGAGAAGTTCTAGGTCCTCGTTGGTTTTGGATAGCTCGCTTGACGTTGCTCGCAACGTTTCCACTATCGGTTCATCTTTCTTAGACGACATTGTTACTCGCCAGCCTTCTTTTGGATTGTTGCACACAGCTACAAGTGCTAGAGACCAAAATGCGCACCGTGCTCCATTTTATAGCTCCCTCTACCTGTCATTACTAACTCTGACTAGAGCTAAGTTCACGGCTTCTTTTTCGCTTTTTCACCATTTTTGCTAACAAGATGCCCATTGTTGACTAAAGTTCAACGCCTAGGTACTAACGTCAAAGTCATCTTCTCCAGATGTGGCTTTCCACAATACTTTCTGCATAGCTGTAAATCAGATGACGGAAACTTTTCGTTGGCACATGACTTTCGCGTGATACTTCGGCGGTTAATCATTGGTTTCATGAAGCACTTTGACTATTGAAGCTTGTGGATGTAGTCTAGAGTTGACTGATGTATCAATACACTAGATCGAAGGCTCTATTGAAAGCTGGGATACTGATTATTTCGATTGCTGTTATTGCCCCTTTTGACAGCAATACGTTGACGGTTAGTTTAGCATCGTAGCGTATTTATATCGGCTCAAGATTGTCATAGTTAAACCTTAAAAATCCATTCATGATCCATGGGGGCTCAATACCCTTTCCCGTCTAACTTACTTGAACATGCGTGGAAGTATAGTTCGTGGAGGCACTTCTGAAAGTCTGGACTAGTTCTTGTCCTCCATTAGTTTAGCCCGACCCATCTATGCTTGCAGTTTTCAAATAGTGTTTGTGGCTGAGAAAGGCGAGCAATGTTTGTTTCGTAGCTACTTTTTTTTGTTCCAAGATATACTAATTTCATTAAGCGTCCAAATACGGTGAATTTCACTTTATTATACTTGCAGAGATAGTGTTGGCTCTTTCTTTGAAGGTTCTCTACCTGGTTTAAATTATCGCTAATACTATCAAGCTCTCCTAGCATAGACTTGTCTGCACAATGCCGCATGGCATCCTAAATACAAATGTTCAAGGATTTGAGGATACGTGCATCTTCCAATTTAGTGCGATGATTATGATTAACATTATTGTAAGGGCAAATCCTATCCAACCGTTTCAAGAATGACGTTTAATGCAATTCTGAGTTCCTGTGAAACATGTCTAACTATATGAACGCAACAGTATGGGGCTTCACTTAATTTCATTCCACGCTAGAAGCGAAGACTGTTTTCCCACTATTTTCCTAGCGCACATTGTCATGAGGCTATGTCACGTCAACTACTAATAGTCGCACTGCTGCCTTTCGCGACGAAGGGTCGTGCTTGGGATGGTGTCGGGTTTAAAAGAAACCGCTTTTGATCAAACGAGGCAAAAAACATGCGACAAAAAAGGGTAGCACTGTCTTGGAGAAGAACGTGGAAGAGAATTTGAGAGATCTTCAGCCACAATGCTATACTGGGATTGCACTTAGCCACTGCAAGTTCTTTCTGAGAGGCAGTTTCACTTATACACATTTTCGAAGTCTGTGAAACACTTCCCCCATGTTACACAATGATCGGTAAAGAAGAGTGTGGAGCTTTCACGCAATGGTCAAGCCTGAAGTGGCACTTTACGTAGAATCATTGTAAATTTATTTTGTCACTTTCATTTGATCATAGTAGTAGCTCTTTAAAAAAAGGCTGTATTAATATTTAAGGTGTGAAGTTACACACAGCCACAAGAGGCTTTTTGATGAACTTCTGGTACCGTCTAGTCGTTGAGCTTGGGACGAAGAGTGAAGCTACGGAAGCTCGCGAATTTTGGAACGGTGGGAAAGATATTCTTCCAGAGTCAGGAAAGCGTGAAACAGGACGTAATCAAGTGACAAGTCAGGACTGGAGGACCGGTGAAATAGAGTTGGTCAATATACATATGACTGCTATCGATGGCGGTCTAATAGAGGCTGGATTTGTGGGGTCGGGGATTGTACATCTTTTCAGATCAGGTCAAGGCAGGAATTTACCCGAAAGCCAAGAAGGACTTTTCCGAGTACCCGGCGACAATACAACAATTGGAGTCTTATTTGTTCCGAGCTACCTCACTGCACGCGACATGTTGTTTTCATTTCTCGGCGAAACTGTCATAAATCAAGCCTCGCATTTTCGGATCATACGCAGCAGTGATGATTTCATACTACTGATTAAGTTTCGTACCCCAGAGTTTGCAAAACGCTTTAAGGAACAATTTGACGGTCACACTTTTAATAAAATGGACCCAGGGACTTGTCATGTTCTCCAAATTCAAGAGATTGTTTTCCAAGATCACCTTTTCCCTACTTCTCAATCGAAAGGATCCGTTTTCCCCATGAGGGATCCTTTCACTTCGCATGACAAACAAGAGGTAGAACTTCCAACATGTCCGGTATGTTTGGAGAGACTCGACTCCGAAGTTACAGGGCTCGCTACCATTCCCTGTCAGCATACGTTCCATTGCAAGTGTTTAAACAAATGGAAGGACAGCAGATGTCCTGTGTGTCGGTACTCAGAGCTGAAGGTTACTAAAAGCTCTCTGATGCGTCAAGCTGCCCGGTGTAGCTCGTGTGGCTCGAACGAGAATTTATGGATCTGTCTGATATGTGGCAATATCGGGTGCGGGCGCTACAATTTTAAACACGGTGTTCAGCACTTCACCGATACGGGACATTTCTTTGCAATGGAAGTGGCAACGCAGCGTGTATGGGATTACGCTGGTGACAATTATGTGCATAGGCTTGTTCAAAATGAAGTCGATGGAAAGCTTGTCGAAGTGGGCTCTTCGACATCTCAAGATCCATATGTTAAGCGCAACAAGGAGTATCATTTGGAATATGTACAAGTATTATTGTCGCAGCTGGAATCACAGCGCGAATTTTACGAGATCAAGCTGCGACAAGTCTCCGAGGAACCACAATTGGAGCGTACCTCAGAAAGCTTAACTTCTTTGCGCAATTTGCAACAACAGGTACAAGACTTAAAGTTGAGCGCTGGACAATCGCGGATAAAGGCTGAACAAAAGATGGCGAAAATGCAAAAGCAGCTAGAAGAAGAGAAACTACTTTCAGAAGCACTAGAGGAAAATTTGGTTCAACTGAAAAAGGCTAAAGAGGACTTACAGAGCCATTTGCAACAGAATGATGCCGAGAAGGAAGATTTGCAGGAACAAGTCAAAGACTTAATGTTCTTCTTAGACTCACAAGAGAAGTTGAAAGATGCAGATGAGAACGTTAAACAAGGAACTCTGGTGATGAAAGCTAAAAAGAATTCCAAAAAGCGGAAATAATTGGTGAACAGGGAGTAGATGGGGGCCACGTTAAGTGAGCATCGATGCGCATGAGGTTACATCAGCTTAGCGGGGTTTGTTGTTGCCCATGCCTAGAGCTTTTTTCGACATGAGACACCGAGAAGATTGACCTGCTATCTAGTGCTCAATACCAGCGCTCGTATTTGATCGTTGAGCACCGAAGCGTTGTCGCCGTTAGCTTATCAGAGGCCTTTTCGGTGTAATCACTTTTTTCCAAACTGACACTTTTACTTGAAAATTTTCCAGCTCCCGTATTTCAACCTGAAAAGTTTTATCAGAGCGTTAATCTCTTTATCTTCAAATATGAGTGACCTTCTCATTGTTTGAATTTTAGGTTTAGACTATTTTAATGGACTAAAAGACCAGGTTTTGGACCTTGGAACATTGTTGAATCTCTCGCAGCCGGCCTTCACTATAGTGCTATTTGGTAAAATCAGATATTTGGTGACGTTACACAGAAAGCCTTAGGATTAATAATAATGGCAACTAATTCCATCAAACTATTGGCACCTGAGGCACACCGCGGTCTTGCGGAACTCGTAGCGAAAAGACTGGGACTCAAACTGACCGATACCAAGCTGAAAAGAGACCCAACGGGCGAAGTTTCCTTTTCTATTCAAGAATCTGTGAGGGATCAGGATATCTTCATCATCACACAAATTGGGTCTGGTGTTGTAAATGACAGAGTTTTAGAGCTGCTGGTTATGATCAATGCCTGTAAGACAGCTTCGGCCAGAAGAATCACCTCCGTGCTTCCAAACTTTCCCTACGCTAGACAGGACAGAAAAGACAAGAGTCGTGCGCCTATTACGGCCAAACTCATGGCAGATATGTTGACCACAGCTGGCTGCGATCATGTAGTGACCATGGATCTACACGCCTCTCAAATTCAAGGTTTCTTCGACGTCCCAGTAGATAATCTTTATGCCGAACCCAGTGTCGTCCGGTATATTCGGGAGCACATCAAATACAACGAAGCTATCATTATTTCGCCAGATGCTGGTGGTGCTAAAAGAGCTGCCGCTTTAGCTGATCGGTTGGACTTGAATTTTGCTTTGATTCACAAGGAAAGAGCCAGAGCTAACGAAGTTTCTAAGATGGTGCTGGTAGGTGACGTTACCGACAAAATTTGCATCATTGTGGATGACATGGCAGATACTTGCGGAACTCTTGCTAAAGCTGCAGAAATTTTACTGGAAAATCGCGCGCAATCCGTCATTGCCATTGTCACTCACGGTGTTTTGTCGGGTAAAGCAATTCAAAACATTAATGATTCGAAACTTGATGGAGTCGTTTGCACAAATACGGTTCCTTTCGAGGAAAAGATGAAGTCGTGTCCTAAACTGGCGGTTATCGACATCAGCGCTGTTTTGGCAGAAAGCATCCGTCGTTTGCATAACGGTGAAAGTATTTCATATCTTTTCAAACACTCTCCGCTGTAGGTACAAATAGGAGAGTTTATACGGCTCAATATGTATATTTTGCAACATTCTGTTCAATTATCAAAGTAAGCAAAAAGGGAACATATATTCTGCTTCTATTTACTATAGCCCGAACTTGGCTTTATCCAAATGTGTTAGGGAACTCAACACCTCGCCGTTCCCGTCCAACACAGCTTTTGTGTCCCCTAGTACCTCGTACGCATCTGGATGAGGAACCCACACCACATATGCACCTGCAGATTTGGCGGCAGCTACCCCTGGCAACCCATCTTCAAAAATGAGACATTCCTCAGGTTGAATGTTTGTGCTGAACTTTGAGTTCAGCTCCTTGAGGCCCAACTGCCAAATGTCCGGAAACGGTTTTCCCCTGCCATGAGGGATTCGAGAGTCATCACCAGTAATAATAATATCGAAAAGGTTGAAGCCCTTCTTTAAATGACCAGTTTTGCCCTCGAACTTAAATTTTGTGGAAGATGTACACAAGGCAATGGGCACATTTTTTGAGTGCAAGTACCTAATCAAATCTAGAGCTCCAGGCAAGAACGAACATGTAGGCCATTTAATGTTTTGCAGTGCCAGAACCTTTTCATCAAATTCCTCCAGTGTTAGAGGCAATTGAAAGTGATCTAAGATCTTTTGGGCTGCTTGATGACCCGGCAAACCTTGCAGTTGAATTTTAACGTCCCACAATAATGGGCCTTTCCCGTATTCAGCCAAAACTTCATTTGTTACCAAGGTGTATAAGTCTTCAGTGTTGATCAACAACCCGTCCATGTCGAAAAGACATGCTTTGATGCTATATCGAAAACAAGTTAAAAGTCAGTCTCACACAGTTCATTTTCAAAAAACAAGGATCTAATTCATTACTCATGCAACGTACCTCGAGCTATGCTTCATTGTGCAATACTTTAGGTAACGTTAAAAAGAATTCACTTCAAAACTAAGATCCTTACATTGCTCGGAAGTCTTTTTTTTGAAATATCGACATAGTATCAAGCCCTACCGTGAAAAGCATAAGCCCTAATTATTCGGTGAGAACGATGCGTGGTAAAACTACAGAGGTGGCAAAGGCGCTCTGCAGACTGGACACTGTAGTTTGTAACTCATCCAGTTTTCAAGACATTGTGTGTGAAAAATATGTCCACAAGGAGTCACCATGTAGCTATCTTTGTCAACCTTGTGAGTTTCATCAATATCATCGACGTAGACAGCAACATCAGTCATGCAGATAGCGCAGTCTATCGTGTAATTAGCAGAGCTTCCATGTTCGAGTAACTCGCCAGAAGAGATACCCTTGTGATATGAGTAGCCCTCGGGAATCGAATAGTTCGGCAAAAACCAGCGTGCTCCAATAATTTCCTGCGAATATAGAACGCCCATTTGCAAAACAAGCCATAGGGCTACCACGGCCACAAAGAGCCTATCTTGGTGATGATAGAAAACATTTGATGGCACAGTGTACACGTAGGCTACAGGAACGAACCGTATAACCGAGGTGCCTATGGTAAAGCTCCAAAGCAGGGGCATTTTGTTCTGGCGTTGATGTTGTGGCCCATCATTTGCAAATATTTGGCGTCTTCTAGGCTCATTACCTTTGATAGCATTCCGTGCTATTTGGGGAACCCAGTAGGAATTGAGCAAAAAAATTATTATACACTCAATTGGCATTCGCACGCTTTGGGGCCATGTCGTCATGCTGAGAATAACAATCATTGAGAAAAACATCTTCACGATGTATGTTCGGTAAAGAGAGGTACTGATTGAAGCCTCGTCTGGCATCACAGTCGGTGTTCTCCTTTCTTCGCCTTCAGTGCTGCGCCGAAGCAAAGTCATAATCCCAACGCTTTGTTCATTGGCTTGAGAAGCGTAAACTGATATCAGATACCGAATCTCAAATACTGAGGCTAAAATCAAGCACGCAAATGAACACATTATGAGCGGCAAGTACAGAACAGGAATAGAGCTGGTCAAGACAAAAAATATGATGGCCAGCGAGCCATCAACTAGATTCATCAGTGAAAAGCACCAATAAGAAATCTTGTTGACCATTGAGGGAGTGTTGGTGTGTTGCATTTGGCTTAACAGCAAGTAAATTTGCGATGCCAGCAAGAGCGCTCCACATAGTAAAAGTTTTCTCATTTTTCTAACTTGAAGCTCATAACGTAGTCCATGCGCGTTGCTAACTTGTAGTTTAATTCCACAATCGGGAGAGTAAATTATACCAGACGATATATTTACCGGCGGCAAACTAGACAAATTAGCACGTCTCCCGAGTGGCCACATCAACTCTTCGTCGACAATTTTCAGTTGTTCCTGGGAATAGCCCCACCATGGCTCCAATTGTAGAAAAGCCAAAAATTCACACTTAAAATTTGCCGTCGCGTAAGAGTCTTGAAGATACGCCATCGAACGAGTATTGACAAAATCTGTCGCATTCCAATACTCCTCTACTAGAGTTTTCACTGCATTGAAGAAAGCCTCGTCTTCGCTTTTAAGATTAATGTAGTGAGGTAGAGCAAACAAGGAGTGAAACTTGGCACTCTCTGAAATGGCCATGATCCGGCCATTTTTGATGTCGTAAATGGCCTTGGTATTGATGACATGTTTCTCATTGTACGCAGGATCTGAGAAATGGAGATTCATATGCAAGAACCGCAGTTTGTCGCTTTGGCTATTGTGAAAATGGTGTTCGTCTTCAAAAAAGGAACTTGTTGTATCCGCTGAGCTTATCTCTATCACGATTTCCCCTTCATCAAATGTGATGTTACGAGCAGCTTCACGACCTGCAGGATCCGTAAAATACGGTTCATTAAAAGCTGGCTGGTTCTGAGAAAGATCTTGTGCTGGCTCATAGTATTCAGGTATCGGCATTGGTACCTTAAGATAATTGCCGTGAGAATTTACTACGCGCCCGTGTAAAGTACTTGTCAAGTTCGCAGGGTATACATTTTTTCCATGTTGCCATACGCTGTTGTTTACTTCATGCAAAACGTCCTCCGGAAGTAAGGTGTACTTTTCGTCGCTATACCAGTGATCATAGTCTTTCCCCTCAATTGGGTACGTAGCATTAATGTCTGGATTTCGCAGCACGTCGCCATAGCTCAGCCTGAGCCCTGTTATGTTGCGAAAGTTGTTGTCCGAAGTTAGGTTTTGGAATTGTGAATACTCATCTTGGTATTGCGCCTTCAACGTTTGTAGCTGATTGTACTCGTATTGGGACGTAACTCCATCGCCTGACGGGTTCGAATATAAAATGAACAGAAACACAAACACCAACACTAGCGTGTTGCCATCAATCTCCATGCTTTGCGATAAAGTTGAGCAGCTAGGCAGTACAGACTTGTCAACTCTGATGAATAACTGATAAATGTATTTAGGGTTCAGCTCATAGAAGACGAACTTTAGAAATTATAACATCAAAAAAGAAGGTGGTCAGTCAGGTAATAGCATAACTGGTATCTCAAAGTGCTTTTAAAAATCCTGGCTTTTGTAATGCCAAATAACGCTATACATTTAATTATTTTGGTCTGATTGAGACTTGTCCGATCAATTAGATAGATAGTATATTTGAATTTTGCAAAAATCCTTCACCGAGCAGAGTTTTAGGTACACGCCTTCCTTGCTTAAAAGTTCAAAGCTGATTGCTGCCGGTATAAAATTGGCACGTTTTTACATTAATGTTCCAGAATTTGCAAGTTACCAGTAATCACAGCATTTTCCAGAATAGAACCATTTGGAATGTCGATTTTTTGGCCTTCAGAGCAAACGATAATAACCGTGCCCTTCAAAGTAACACCTTTACCCAAGAAGACATTGCCGGTAATTGTTAAGTGATCCAACTCAACAATCTTTGGGATATGAGGAATTCTAGAGTGGAAACCAGAAACTTTTTTGAAATGAGATCCCAATTTGATCAAAGGGTTGGGACCAAATCTTGAAGGATCTAGTTTCAAGGCACCATGCTCTAAAAAGAACAAGTCAGATTTTACCAGTAGTAAATCAGAGCAAGTCTTGACAGGCAAGAATCGAGATCTGGGGACTACCACACCGTGAGCACCTTCGAAATGTCTAATAGCGGCACCGCAAGCGGTTTCTAATTGTAAAACATTTATGTCATGACCGCCTCTCGTAACCGTCTTTTGGTTTGGAATAATTTCCATTTGCAAACCGCTGGATTCTATCAACTTCTTGACTGCTTTCAAATTGATCCACAAATTGTTGGTATTGAAGTTCTTGAACTTGCGAATGTTTTTGAATTCGTCAACGTGTTCTTTTGGCACTTGAGCAACCTCCAGTAAGCGAACTTGACCATCGTACGAGATAAGAGTACCACCTTTGACATCTGCTCTAGTCTTGTCGGTCAACTCCATAATATATTCAGCACCAGTCTCGATCATGTGGCTGAGGATCTTGAGGTCTACAGTGGCTCCCAAATTGTCACCATTAGACACAAACAAGACCTCGCGCCCTTGGGCGATCAAAGCATCTAGTTCGCCAGAGGCGTGGAGGGACTCAAATAAGTCACCATGGCCAGGCGGGTACCAGGCATCGACGTCGTCATCATATGACGATGGAACAGGCAACAGCGAATCCTTGAATACACGTGGGAAACGAGACTGGTTGAAGGCCCGGATCCGGATTCGGTTCGCAGAGTACTTCTTAATAAGATGCGCGGTATCTGTGTCAGTATTGAACGAGTTCATCAACAGCAACGGCACATCGCTGTCGTACTGTCTGTTAAGGTACTCGATCTGGCGTACAGAAAGGTCTAAAAACGTGTTTCCATCACGGACTTCAATCACGGATTTAGGACCCACACATCCCATAGACGTTCCAAGACCACCATTCAACTTCAGGACCGCGAGTTTGCTGAGATTGGCAACATTTTCTGGCTGCTGCTCGATGACGGAGTAGTCTACCACCTCTTCCGGGTTGGGCGATTTGATCTTGTCCCAGTCCAACGTGTTACCGGACGCCTTTTCCACAAGGTAACGTCTAAACAACGTGAAAAAGAGATCAAGTTCCGCCTCAAACTTGCTGCGTACTTCTTCGTCCTTAATAGAGTCTGCCAATTTGTTCAGAGCATTTCTCATCTGCGAAGCCGCCACGCTATTAGTGTTGCTGTCAAAAGCATACGTCGAGTGCGTCTTGGTGTGTTTCTTGGTTGACATCATTTTTGGAGGCTATAATTATCAGTCTAGATCTCAGCTTAATATCCCAACAGCGCTCAATTGAATATAGTTACGTCTGACAAAACCCTTGGAAAACCTGAAGATAAACCCTTACTGTTTAATAGCGAACCGTCCAGAATTAAATTTATATAAGTTTCAAACACAAAGGGAGAGAGAGGAACATACTAGCAAGAAACAGTGCAAGATCCAACTTTCAACAAAAAAAATTGGATTCTCGATCACACGTGAATCACATGTGATGAAATTAAGGTGAGCATCCGGCACCGCCGTTGTTTAATTAGTAAAGACGACGGTGCGGCCTCTGTTGTGACTCTCTTTCTCGTTTTCCTTCTATTCACATCCAATTCGATAGTTTTATTGCCAAATTCGTGTTTGTCTTTATTCTATAGCCACCCAAATTCTTGAATGCTCAAAAGTCCCCACATCGCGTCAGAGAGCGGGGCGAACGAGTCTTTGGCTAATGGTCCGTCAACCTGCTGCCGCACAGATGCATATTTATGACGTAGTCGGGTAGAGAGAGTTTTCGAAGTAGCTCGCTGCGCTCGCGGTGTGTGTTCAAACATTTTGTAGGGTTTTAGCAGGGCCAGCAAACTCGTTATCTGCACCAACTCACCCATGGCGTTTGATAGCGCTAAAACTAAATGCTGGGAATCCGAGTGTCCTTCGGAAGTCCGTGTGTTTGACTCTTTGGATGATTCTTCTCGTGGCGTTTGGGGAAGTCGATGTACCACTAGCCCAATAAGCACTGTCGGAACGTTTTTCACTAACTCTAATGTGTTTGACACATCAGCAACCATCGACACGATAAAGGGGGATACTGTTCCTTGAGCTAGCTCAATCTCTGCACCGCCGTTGAGTCCTAGGAGCTTTTTGTACATGTCAGAATCTGTAGTGGTTGCGTCGGTTTCGGCGGTTGCGGTTGTGGTAGCAGATGCAGTTGGTGCTGAGGGTTTTCGTTCTGTCATGTAATCTGTAGCAAGTAATGGTGGCCTATTCTTCGGATCAATACTGTTGGTTGGGTTTGTCCTCATAATGGCGGTCAGTAGACGTTGCATCGACGTGACAAGCTTACATATCCCGTAGCACAGCTGCGAAATACGCTCCACCTTCAATTCTTGCAGTGTTATATGACTTTCCGTAAGTTCATGCTTTTCAAGCAGTAGCTGTGCGAAAAGCGACGCCGCACCGTGTTCAGGCTGATCTTCTACTTTTATCTTGAGCCCTGGTTTCGATATCTTGGCGCTCATACTCTTGCGGCCCATTGACAAACGGGATAAAATGTCGCCTAACATAAGGCTCTGTCGTATGCTCTCGAATTTGGACTTGTCCAACTCTACGCTCCATTTGTCTACACTGTAGGAGAACGTCTCTGGAAGTATATCTGCCAAAGGCACGCTCATCAATTTAGGAACCCCAAACGCACAACTTTGCAGAGAATCAAAAATCGCGAGTATCATATATAATCGTTTGAACAACAGGTGAAAGCCCTCGTCATTTGAGAGTGTTGCTTCATTTTCCTTCTCGTCTTCCATCAAATATCGATACATTTTTAGTTCATTGTAAATGGTAACAGACATCCCTAAGACAAATGAATTGTCATATCCAACAAACGCCAAGACATAATTCAATATAGTAAAAGTGGACAGGTAAATGAATTTAATCTTCAATGATAAGATTTCCTCATTTTCTCGAAGCCTTGGGTGTATGTCAACCACTCTCTGAAAGCTCTCATTTAATGCGGCGATGAAAGTTGTTTGTGAATCAAAAACATCAACGACACCATCACTATAGTCGTAAGCAGAACCGGATGGCTTTTTCAATGCCACGCGGACGAGTAATTCTAGTGAATTTCTGAACCAATGTAAAATATAGCAATTCAGCTCGTGAATATGACTTACTGGCTGGGTGTTAATCATCAAAAGTTCATCAGTTAGCGTTTGTTTGTTGATGGGAATTACTGGGAAAGAGGGATGAATGAACTCGAAATATATGTCTATCAGTTGATTATCAGGAATCTTTCCGTAAGTGACAATCGGATGACAAGAAGAGATTTGGGACTCTCCGGAACTGTGTGATGCGCTTCTTTTGGTAGTTGAGTTTGATCTCTTAGTGCTTTTCTTGTGCCCACTGACGGATGATCCATGAGGTCTTGTCGAAGGTTCCTGATTCTTTGTAGTGTCCTCAACTCGTGCATCGATTTGAAACGAATTGGTTTGAGGCGGTAGCTCCCGCTCAATGGAGTGTATTGTGGCAGCCTGTGGAGGTGGTATCTGTATGGATGAACTGGGAGACAGCGCCACACTGACGTCACTATTCTTCCGCGAGTGAAACCCTCGATCGAATTCCTTGAAATGCTGTCCATTAGAAAGTGGCTGCTGTTGCAAGTGATGCTGTACTGTGAAGTAAGACTGTTGAGAAGGCTGCTGTGTTGATATGCTAAACTGGGAATATGGATACTGTGACGGATTTCCAGAGTTTGAGGGAGCTCTCTGCAAAGTCGGAAGGTTGGGCGAAACTCGAGGATCGTGAGGCGACTCAGACTCAAACATTGGTGTATGTTGCATTTGCGAATTGAAAGGCGGTTGTGTAAGTGGGTAGAATGGTGACGCAGAAGAAGCATTCGAAGCAGCATATGTGAATTGATCTGAGCCACGCCGGTGGGAGCTATTACTCGTGAGCGAATTCACGGAGTCTCGTCTTTGGTATTGATATTCATGATATGGCACTTTCCAAAACTGCTGCTGGGGTTGAGATCCGGGGGCAACTAGCGGGTGAACTCTCGCCTGTGTTCCAGAGGAAGGTAAATACTGATTGAGTGGCGGCAGAGATACTAAGTCATTCTTGTTTTTATTGCTGTCATCCTGAAAAGATTCGGAGGAGCTTCTTTTTCGGGATCCCCTGCGACCAGATTCGTAGGGCTCGGGTCCTTCATTCTGACGCGTGTAGCCTTTTATGGGTCCCCTTTTCATCGGTACGCGTGCAAAAGTACACGATTTGCCCAGCTTTTGGCATGTAGAGCAGGACTGGTTGTTGTTATCCTCGCCAAAATCGCATTTGGTCTTTTTCTCACGGCATTGATCGCAGGCTCGAGAAGTCTTACTTCTTCTGCGTTCTTGGCCTAGATTCGGTGCTTCTTGAGACGTATCCTTATCGTTAACAGCTTTGTCAAACTCTGGATGTGGAGGTTTGTCTCCTCCAATTTGTGACTGCTCATCGACAGCTTGCGTGCCCTCTATTTCACCTGGAAGAGGTTGGTCTGTTACCGTCGTTTCTGGCATAACAATGGATGATATTTATCTTTGAGCTCTCGATGCGCATGCAACGCTGGTTATTCGACCAAACGCCCTTAAAATGAAAATTAAATATTCTTGAATTGAAATTTCTCAACTCGAACTGCAATCGATTGGCATCAAAATCCCTAAATAAACCAGCTGGGACAACCTTTCAACGGAAACAATCTTTATTGGCTTTCTTGATTGGCACTTTCTCAAATACGCTTTGTGGTTAACCCCAGACTTTTTATTGGTTCCGTGACCCACAACATTACATTGAAATTGGATATTTACGTACGAAAATTTGAAGTTCCGACGGAACACAATCTGTACCTGAGTGTGAAAGTTCGGCAGAAGGTAAGAAATCTACTTGAACATTCTAGTTGTAACTTTCAAGGCTTATTTTAGAAATTCCCATACCCTTTATAGCGCAATCTAATACAAAAGTACCACAAAAGTGGTTCTTGTACGAATGGAGTAGATCCAAGATTTTTTATGAGTGACTGAACGATGGGGGGTTGTCTTCGGAGATATTGTAGTAATTTGAGTTTAAACAAAGTCGTCACTGCGTGAGAAGTGGAAAGTCAATGTAGGCCACAATTTCATTAAAAAAAGTGTATTATCTTTCGGTTCAAGTCAGTGTCGAAATGAAAGTTCGATAATGTACACATAGTACATAGTCATGGTTATCATCGACTCCCTTGAGAAGGGCTGAGGGTCTCTTTGAGAGTATTAACAATACTAATGACACCTTCTTGCGGGTATAAAAGATATAGCTTTCAACTTCTTCAACGGTAAGCGCCGTGGCGCAGTGGAAGCGCGCAGGGCTCATAACCCTGATGTCCTCGGATCGAAACCGAGCGGCGCTACATTTTTGTATTTTTTGATGAACGTAATATGGATTAAGCTAGCAACGGCAATGGTATAGATCATCTGCATGCAACTGATGAATCTTTCCCACCTTTGACAATAAGCCGAAAAGTTGCATCTTGCTTTTAAGAAGTACACGAACGCTTTGCTCGAATAAGGCTTCTCAGTTGTATTGCTTGCTACATCATTGAACAAACGAAGACCATGAATACAGCAGAGAGCGATGACGCTGTTTTAAGCAGACACCGTGCTGAAAAGAAAGACCTACAGAACAAAATAACAGGGATGAAGAAGCAAGCTACTAAATCGAAACGGAAACAAGTCAATGCGCGCTGCGAAGAGCTCGAGTATGAGCTTCTTCAAAAACACGAGCTCGAGCTGCAGAGTCTCAGAGGAGCCGAGAATGGATCACCAGAGCTCCTCGAGGATAATGCCACCCCAGAAGAGTTACTTGAGCAATTAAGCTTAAAGACTGCTACCGAAGTTCCTTCAAACACGCCAAAGCGTGATTCTACAAACCTTGTAACGCAACCCAAAAAGCATCGCAACCGCCAGAAGGAAAGGATAGCAAAGCGCGAGGCTGAGATTGACCGTATCAGGGAAGCCGCGGCACTTGAAGCTGCTGAGCAGCCTGACTACAAGAAAATGGAACAGGATGCGTTGGACGACTTGTGCCGCATCAATAACCTCAAACAGCTGGATATCCAGCCAAACGGCCACTGTCTGTTTGCATCAATTTTGGATCAAATGCAATCCCGCCATCCGGAGGATGCTATCTATGATATACCATCTGCATACTCCCAAACTAAGAATCCTCAAGATTTCGACGTTTACGTGCTGCGATCTTTGTCGTCATCCTTTATCCGAGCGAATCGAGACGATTTTATACCGTACCTTTTCGACGAAGCGACCCTAACGATGAAGGAAGTTGACGAATACACCAAGACAATGGAAGAGTCTGCGCAATGGGGCGGTGAAGTCGAGATTCTGGCCCTTGCCAAAGTTCTTAAATGTTGTATAAGTGTGATGATGAGTGGGAGAGCTACGCACAAAGTTAATGAGGACGATCACACCAACCCTGAGCTAAAACTTGTGTATTACAAACACAGCTATGCACTGGGAGAGCATTATAATTCTCTTCGTGATTTATAAATAGTGTATCTAAATCGCACGCGATATTAAAACGTACACTTTTTGATACAACCGGAATAAGGAGATATCGCTGCAGGTACTCCACCACCTTACTGTTTAAGCTAAGCTCTATAATACCTATTTACTTCGTGCTTTGGTCGCGATGCCATACTTGAAGCAGGAGCTTTTGTGGTGAACACTTTTAAGGTCTCGAGATCGGATGCTGGATCTCTTGAGTGGTAGCCTTTTGGTAGATTAACCTTTTGAAAGCAAGGGGTAGGGTATGTCAAGCGAAGTACACTAAGCCAGTTCGAGACCTCACATGGATTTGCTGCGAACATTCGAGGGTTTTGAAGGATAGCCGCTGTTCCTAAAAAATACATTGAAATAAAAAGTATGCCTATGCACAGATACACACAAAACTAACGCTACTCGTAGATAACATAATAATGCTACACACGTTGCTAGGTGCTCTAGGAACTTATTTATATAGCAACATTAGGACTTGACACTGACCCGCCTTCACTTACGTCCACAGCTGACCAACTGGTGGGCTACGTGACCGCTTTTGCATAACAACTTGGGATCAAGACGCTCGTCTTTGAAGAGTGTTGTTTCTACGTGAAGTGACGTTTCTGATCTTATTTAAAATTGAAGGACTGAAGAAACAGTGGACCGATGCTAACTTTAGTATTGATGAAAAATTGGCACAGTATGCTTATTTGGCACATCTTCGAAAAGGATGAACATTTTGATACTCAAGAGATCATACGCTGTCTCGAAATGTTTAACAAGGCTCGGGAGACCTAGCAACAATCTGTCCAGTGGGATAGTAGGCCTCGCAAATGTTGGCAAGTCGACCTTTTTCCAAGCTATCACGGATTCTAAGCTGGGAAATCCCGCCAATTACCCTTTTGCCACAATTGAACCAGAGGAGGCTAAAGTGATAGTACCATCTAAACGTTTAGACCATCTACAAAAGCTTTATCTAAGTTCTAAAAAGATACCTGCTGTTTTAACCATTTACGATATTGCAGGCTTGACAAGAGGTGCGTCGAAAGGTGAAGGTCTGGGAAACAAGTTTTTGAATGACATTAGGCACGTTGACGGGATCTTTCAGGTCGTACGAGGATTCAGCAAGGTCGAAGTAACTCACATTGAAGGCTATGTGGATCCCACAAGAGATTTGAGTATTGTACAGGATGAATTAGTATTGAAAGACTTGGAGTTCTTGGAGGGCATACGTGAGAAACTAGAGCGGAAAATGTCAAAAACAGCTAAAAGCTCAAGTGAATACAAGGCCATGAGCACCGAAATCGAGCTACTGAACTCGTTAGAAGAGCACATGTATGAGGGAAAGAAAATCGCACATTTCAAGTCAGATTGGACTAAAGACGAAGTGGGCATTCTAAATAAACACAACTTTCTCACAGCAAAGCCCACTATGATTCTGTTGAATGTTAGCCCGAAAGATTATTTGCTCCAAGCTAATGATTACGTGAAAGATGTCAGCGGCTGGATCAATGAAAATTCGCCTGGCGACAAACTGATACTTTTCAGTGCCGAGTTTGAGACAATATATAACCAGTTTGCGGCCGTTAATGACTTTGTTGGGCTCGATAAGTACTGTCGAAGCTTGGTAGAGGGTGCAGGCTCTAAATTCTCTGTTCGCTCTTGCCTTCCTGAACTTATTGTAGAGATGCGCAAGAGCTTAGGGTTGATAAGTTTCTTTACTTGTGGTCCTTTAGAAGCAAGGCAGTGGACCCTACGCGAGGGCAGCTTGGCTCCACAAGCTGCGGGTGTCATTCACACAGATTTAGAAAAGACTTTTATCAGTGCGAATATACTCAAGTTTGCTGACCTGAAAGACATGGCTCCACCACTAAAGGAGTCTCAGTTGAAAGCTCAAGCGTTGGTGAAGAGAGGTGGTAAACTCTATGCAATGGAAGATGGAGATGTGGTTTTGTTCAAGGCCGCTAAGGGCAATTCGAGGTAATGTTTGTAAATAAGAAGTATCATATTCTCGAGAACACTCGGTGAGATTACGATTTGTGTACTAAGACAAACGTTTTTAGGAAATGTTTCGTATCAGAGCGTTTGACAAATTCTCTTCTCACGTAATTAAATCGAAGAGCTGGGTTTATAGCATTGTCTCTAAGGACTTGTTCTCATCATAAACAGAAACGTTGAGGGTGCGACAAGGAAAACTTATCGCCTTTTTAGCAAGACTGTCAAAAAGTAACGTTTTGAGCGTTGATTTCAACCGAAATCGGCGTAGTGTATAGTTTTAGATTTGTTTGGTAATAAGATTGAGGAGTGCTGAATCGAAACCTCAAATCTTTGATCTTTCAATTTTTATAGCTTGAAAAAGTGCATTTGATACGAGTGACTAATCTATGAGTTAGGGCTTACGGAGGGCTGGAGCCAAGGGCGTACACCTTGCCATGGCAAGAGGAATTCAAAGTGCAATACCTTTAGTGTCACAGCGGCTTTGGTTGCTAGCTTGTCAACGTCCGTTAATTAACTATACACATTTAATATACTGAATACCAGCTCGGTAACACATCCATAATCGTTTCGAGACAACAGAGAACACTGCTTGTTCAAACAGTTAATAGCACGGCAAAAAATGCGCACCGCATATTTTTTTACCACTGATAGTAAAGCAGAGGTATATCAGAAACTGCGATACCTAGAGTGGGTCGCTCGACGACAAGGAACAGTGTGCGAGGGTAAAGAAAGTAATCATCACCTATAATAACATGTAGAGCTATTCTGATCGGTGCGACAAAGCTTGGAAGAAGAACTAGAGACGGCAAACAGGGAAATAAAAATTAAAGGGCCGCTCACAACGATGCTTAAGCAGCAACGGTGACTTCGACATCCACACCAGGTTCGATGGTGATTTGAGTGATTCTCTTGACAATCTGGGCTGGAGCTTGTAGGTCGATGTATCTCTTGTGGATTCTCATCTCGTACGAGTCCCAGGTCTTGGAACCTTCACCGTTAGGAGCCTTTCTGGTGGTGATCTTCAACACCTTAGTTGGGATTCTGACAGGGCCCTTCTTGACCAACTTGTAGTTCTCAGCGTTCTTGATGATGTTGGCAGAGACATTTTCCAACTGCTTGACCTTGGTAGAGGTCAAGGTGATTCTGATCTTGTGGATCTGAGGTTGGTCTTGTTGGTCAGCTTTTTCCTTCTGGAAGTCAGACATGTTTGATATATACCTTTTGAGTTCTTGGGGTGCGAAATTCAATATCTATCTACAAGCAAGCAGATGCAAGAGTTTGTTTTAAAGAAAGATTCGACACCAGAGAGAATGGCATTAGAGATGGCCCGTTGGAAGCGACGAAGACGCCCAAAATTCTTCACGGTTTCTAAAAGTTGCGTGGGTATCGATCAATATGTTTTTTAGTAGAGCTTGAAAAATTTGAAAATATTTATGAGAAAAAGCAGTCAAATGTTAAGTCAAGAATAAGCTCGAGCTGTGAAACGAGTAGGATACTGGGGGAAGGAATAGCCAAATGGACTGTGTAGTTTGAGAAATAAGATTACAAGTTTTATCAAGGATTACGACGCAAATAATAAGCCTTTCCAACAATTAGGCTTTTCATTTAGTTTTTAAGATATGTAGTACCAGTTATCATCCTTATACGATCAATTCTACCTTTTGGAAACTGGAAGTAAGCTCATGAGTTTAACGTAGGTTATAAGCCAAAAGTGAGGAAAGGTATTACAAAATGCATATCTATATTTGCGAAGTTTCCATGATTGCAATCTCAAAACTCTAAACGATTATGGAATGCTGACGAGTTCTCATACCCAATATACCGCGTGGATAGTCCCGAATTGGAAATGGTACTCAATGCTGTTTGGGAAACATGGAGAATCACTTCAAAAGTTAGGCGCTCAAGCCTTTATATTGAAGCTATTTTTAACTCTCCATCTGATGCCAGCAAGCAGCGGTCCGGCGCGTGCGCCTGTAGCGGTCTGGCGCGCGCGCCTGCAGCAGAGCTACAAAGTTAGAACGACACGCGAAATACAAGATTTACATTGGATTGGAATCTCAATACGATTTGCTGTTATGTGGGTGGTGATAGTGAAAGTCGTATATTGACAGAATTGTACAAAGTGATATAAATATGATAGGAGCGATAAATGTTATCTGGTAGTTCCAGATCGAGGGGGGGCGGGAGCAGCAAGTGGTTTAGGCTTATTGATCAATTACCATACCAAAAAATGAACGGGTGATACACTGCTTTTCAATTGTATTGAGGCATATCCGCGTCAGTAAATGTTTGCTAGCTAAATTGAACTTGTTCGCTGTGTGTTCAATAGTGCTGCTGGCTGTTCACAAAACTCGCTAAAACTGCACTGTTCATTATTGATTTACTCTATCACTATCTGAACCAGGATCTGGTACTCTACTTATCTCTGTGGTCTTTCTAGATGCAATGCTTTAGTCTCGACATAGAGAATCAACTATCAGTATTTGCATTTTGGATGGCGAGTTCTGAGCGTGAGAATTGTTTTAGACTTGCTCCACACTCCATTATTCGGACACAGTGGTACTGAAACATTGCGAATACGTAAATTACTCAATATCGCTGTCTAGACATCAGCATTCCTATTCACTATCTGAATAAATATGCTGAATCCATCATTGTCACTTTGTACTATTATGTCACACTTCGGGGTTTCCGTTAAATCCTACTCTGATCTCCTTAGTTGACGCTATCTAGCAGTAGCAAAGTAATCCTGACAGCAGCAAAACTAAATTTTAACCAAATCCTGTTACAAGACCACATCACTGGCCACTGCTCTTAGTGTCTGGCTCGGTGGAGCACTTTTGTCACCTTGCAACGTAGTGTCGCTGCCTATATCCGAAATCTTGACCAATGTTTTTGCGAATAAGCGCTGCATACAATCAGCGCGCCGAGCTCACATCGACCGGCACCCAAGACTGCCATCGTCGTAGGTTCTACCTTTTCATTCGTCTAGATAGCTGAGCAGCCGCACAATATTCACACAGGCAACGCAAATGATCGGCTCGCAATTCTTCCTCGTCTATAATCGCTTGCAGCATGCCAAACGTACATGCCGGTCCAACATTGCGCATCATCGATCAAATATTTTACGAGATATTGCGGAATTTTCAATCTGGGTCACTCGTATGATGACTAGCGGTGTCCGTCGTTGCAACAACCTGAAAATTCGATTAACGTAATCGGAGGTCCAGACGTTATGTTATTTTTCAACTCGCGCGCTCCGCAAAATGCGCAGCACAAAGTCACATGAGAGATCGCGTCGCCATATACGGATTTTTATAGGTCACGAGACATACACGTGCTTCGGATCTCGAGAGTTTTTCGTGTTTCTCCAACGGAGTTCGGATTATATCACCGCTGGAGATATTCCCAGGCTGGCTTTCATAGTTATTGTTACTATCAATTGCCAAGTTTCCAAAGCTCACTATAATAAATTAATAACTCGAGGGAAATCGTCGAGATAGGGAGCTACGAAAAGCTACTTAAGCAGGACACTTGGGGCTCCTTGTCGTTCTCCCCAATATTCTGGATATTTAATACAGCACGCTGTAGCGACCAACTGTGCTTTTATTGTACATACGTACCTTTATAGTGTTAGACTCCTAATGACGATCGACCCTGTGAAGTATCTGAAATCGATCTGTTCGGTCCGTGAGACCACGTCACAAGTGTTCCAGTACGCATGCAAGAATCATGGTGGTAACCACTTCGACTTGGAGCTGTCGCAGATGGCGCCAGTGGCAGATTTCCTGTGTTCCATTATCGAGCGCGACTATGGCACCAATTACGTGCAGATTCCATCTCACGGTCGCTGGCAACACCTGAACTACGGGTCGCAGCCTCGTGTGGAGAGTTTGATCCAACAATGGACCGAAGCAGGCGTCGACAAGATCGAAATCGCCCGGAAACTGATTGATCTGTTTGTCCTGAGCGTCCTGGTGGACGCTGGCGCCGGAAACGTGTGGAAATATACCATTCCAGGGTCCGCAAATGACACCCAACAGCAAGTTGGTCGTTCGGAAGGGTTGGCCGTTGCTTCGTACTACATGTTTGCGGAAGGCCAGTTTTCCAGCGATCCCCAGGACTCTTTCAAGGTATGCGGGTCTGCGCTGGAAGGTTTCTCGCTGCAAGATTTTGCCAAGGGTTTCCAAATCTCGAATGCGAACCCCATGGACGGCTTCGAGGGCAGGCTACAACTGATTCAGAGGCTTGGCCGAGCGTTGAACTCCAACGCCGACATTTTTGGACCAGAAGGCCGTCCGGGTGGGATTGTCGACTACCTATATGGCCTAGCGAAGAAGACCAGTGGTGGCGAGTGCGTCATTGACTTAGAGGACGTTTGGGATGCGTTGATGGCTGGCTTGACAAGCATCTGGCCTGCTGGCCGGACCGTGGTCAACGGCGAGCCCCTGGGCGACGTTTGGAGCCTCGACACCAAAGCAGACGCAGTCTCGAGTGGTGTGGCGACTGCACCGGAAAACGTCCCTACCGATCTTGTGACTTTCCACAAGCTCACCCAATGGCTGTGCTACTCGCTATTGGTGCCTTTGGAACAGTACGGGCACCAATTCACCATCACCAACAAGCAATTGCAAACGGGTCTCCCCGAGTACCGGAACGGCGGTCTTTTCTACGATTTCGGAGTTCTGAAGCTCAAACCAGAGGCGCTGGAAAGAGGACTCAAATTGTCCGTAAAACTCCAAAAACCCAACACTACGCTCCCAACGTTCGAGCCCCAGGACGGCGCAATTGTCGAGTGGAGATGTCTGACTATAGGTCTGCTGGACTACTTACTGCCTATTGTGAACGAAAAACTGGGCTACCAATTGTCACTACCACAACTTATCGAGGCTGGTTCTTGGAAGGCCGGTCGTGAAATTGCCGCCAAATTGAGGCCCGAAACCAATGGTCCTCCGATAGATTTACACAGCGACGGAACCGTCTTCTAAATACCAAGGCAACGCAGGGATTCTCAAGTATACGGAATTACAAAATTACCACTGCGATCAAGCACCATCGATCACGCCTGTGACTCTTTCCCACTCCTTCTTACATCTATTACAATTAGCACCAATAAACAGACCGCATTTAACACTCACCCTCCGTAATCTCTACCAGCCGTGCTGATCTGTCAAAAGTTATGTTTTTTCGATCGAGATTCGAACTACAAATTCTTTTTAGAGCTTATCAGGAATTGGTTACTACATTTAGTAACGCCAAATCGTCTGATAGATAAAGATATCACAAATTTTGAATGCTCGATGACAAGTAAGAAATTGCGTCTACGAGAGGAGGGGCCATTTATTGATGTGAAGCTGTGCATTGAAGATTAGAGCTTTTGCGTAGGGACTCCGAAAGGTGCGGCAAGTCATCGAGCATGGAACATTCTTAGCGTGGCCTGTAGATAAGGCCGCAATCCTGAGGTGGATTTACATGCCTAAAGAAATGTCAAGATTGCGCGATAACAATCGTCGATGTGTGACGATGGACAGCGGCAAAAACCTGGTGGTAATGGGCATCGCATCGTATAAGTAGGGGGCATGTTTCTGGAGTTAGAGGTTTGATCCAGAGGTTTTTTTGATAATCTCATCTCATACATCATCAACTCACATCAACACACATCATCTCAACAACAGGTACCAAAAGATGGGTGACATTACTAGCCCACTTCCCCAAAGCGCAGGCTACGCGGTTGTCGTAGGCCTGGGCTTTGTCTTTGCCTTTGGTATGATTTTGACCACGTACATGTTGAAACGGTACCAGAAAGAAATAGTTACGGCAGAAGAGTTTGCCACAGCCGGTAGAACCGTGAAGACCGGTCTTATCGCAGCTGCAGTCGTGTCCAGTTGGACCTGGGCCGCCACGCTGTTGCAATCCACGTCCATGGTCTACAGGGTCGGTATTTCTGGTGGCTACTATTACGGCGCAGGCGCTTGTTTCCAGGTCATCGCGTTCGCTACTTTGGCCATCAAAGCCAAACAGCGGGCGCCCAATGCCCACACCTTTTTGGAAATCATCAACGCGCGCTACGGCAAGATTGCTCACATCACTTTTTTGTTCTTCGCCCTGGCCACTAACATCCTGGTCACGGCCATGCTTCTCACTGGTGGCTCCGCCGTTGTATCCGACCTCACAGGCATGGACACCATTGCTGCATGTTTCCTGCTGCCCGTAGGTGTTATCATCTACACCTTGTTCGGTGGTATCAAGGCAACATTCTTGACCGATTATGTTCACACCATCGTTATCATTGTCATTATCTTGACATTTGCATTCACCGTCTATGCAACTGATGAATCACTCGGCTCACCCTCCAAAGTCTACGATTTGGTTCGCGCCGCTGCTGCAGCTCATCCAATCGAGGGTAATGCCGGCGGCGAATATCTAACCATGAGATCCAAGTCCGGTGGTATTTTCTTTGTTATCAACCTCGTTGGTAACTTCGGAACAGTTTTCCTCGACAATGGGTACTGGAACAAAGCCATTTCCGCTTCGCCAGCCGCCAGTTTGCCCGGCTACGTTCTCGGTGGTGTCTCTTGGTTTGCCATTCCAACTTTAATCTCGACCGCTATGGGCTTGGCTTGCGTCGCGCTCGAAAGCAACCCCAAGTTTCCAACTTACCCAAATAGATTGACTGCCGATCAAGTCTCCGCGGGACTTGTTCTACCCTCTGCAGCTGTCACCATCTTAGGTAAAGGTGGTGCAGTTGCTGCCCTCATAATGGTTTTCATGGCCGTCACTTCTGCCATGTCCGCCGAACTTATTTCCGTCTCCTCTATTTTCACCTATGACATCTACCGCCAATACATCGATCCAAAGGCCTCAGGTAAGAAACTTATCCTGTCTTCGCATGCTACTTGCATTATCTTTGGTTTCACCATGGCTGGCTTCTCCGTGGGCCTCGTCAAGAGTAATTGCGGCATGGGATATTTATATGAGCTGATGGGAATTATTATTAGTGCTGCGGTGCTTCCAGCAGCACTGACGTTGTTCTGGAGCAAGCAGAACTTGGTCGCCGTTGTCGTGTCTCCGATCTTAGGTACGGGACTTGCAATTATGTCTTGGTTGATTTGTACCAAGAAGCAGTTTAACACAATCAACATGACCACAACGTTTGAAGATGACCCAATGTTGACTGGAAATGTCGTGGCATTGCTTTCTCCAGCCATTTTTATTCCAATTTTAACGTACGCTTTCAAGCCTCAGAATTTCGATTGGGAACTCATGAAGACTATCACGAGAGCTGAGGAGACAGAGGAAATCGAAGCTGCTGAGGGTATCAGTGAGGACAACAATGTCCAAAGAGAATCAGATTCGGCAAACTCGATCGACAAGGAAAAGCTACAAGCTGTCAAATCGGTTGTGTCAGTGGCTCAAGACATACCAAGTGAGAAAATAGATGCAATGGAAGAAGAAGAGGCGCGTCAATTGGCAAAAGCTGGGAAACTAGGGACCTACTTGACATGTTTTTTCGCCGTGGCTTTGCTGGTCGTTTGGCCAATGCCAATGTATGGTTCGAACTACATTTTCAGCAAACGATTTTTCACAGGTTGGGTTGTGGTTTTGATTATCTGGATGTTTTTCACTGGGTTCGCAGTTTGCATCTATCCACTCTGGGAGGGTAGAGAGGGCCTCTTCACGACATTCCGCGGTGTATACTGGGATTTGACTGGTCAAACTTATAAGCTACGGGAATGGCAAAATGATCACCCTGAAAAAATGCACGTTGTGCAGTCTCAAATTAGTGCCAGGTTGCACTCTCCCAGGGAACTAGCTGAAGGTCACATCGACGACATTGTAGAGTAATTACTTAATATGATAATATGAATTGTTTTCAGTGTGGATAGCTCAGGAAATGAACTAGAGAATGAAGTCACATTTTTTAAGAGAATGTGTGACAAAGTGATAGCCAAAGATCTCTGTGCATGCACCTCATGCATGTACCGAAATACATGTTGATATTCTCGGTATCTTCTAGTTTCAATTTTCTTATTCCTCATTAATATCATCTTGTGACTTTTCTGCTTGTCATTTTTGGCTTGAAATCGAATGTTCCTCAACACCACCCTGTATGCCTCTCGGAAGTAAATGATCCTCTTCCGCAGTCACTGCATGTAGCATGTTATGTCAAATTTCACGCTGATCTATTCACCAAATACTTTGAGTAATGAGTCCCAGAATTGATTATTTTGTTGGAAAGTTTGCGAAGGGAGTCCATCTACTGATTTGTGACTGTGGACATGTTCAACTTGAAGAACTCAAAATAAGCCGTCATTCACTTACTCCATCTGGCAATAATCGAAAGTTGGAATAAGTTTCCAAAGGTTTTGAAAAGCCTGTAAAAGTTAAACAAATCGTCTTACACCACATAAATTTTTACGACACGGAAAGATGTCCCCTTCGGAGACTATTTGGAACAAAGTTGAAGACAAGATCACTGAGAAACTTGGGCGTTTAACGGTGTCCTACCATGATAAAGAGAAGAGTTCGAAGATTGTATAGATCCTAAGCTTTTTCAATCATTTGATTTAAGATGGTAGAGTCATTGAAGTTGTGAAAACAATAGCTATTTATCCTTTCAATATTTCATACGACGTTAATGACGGGTTATCACCAAGACCAAAGGATTTCTCAAAACATGTTCGTCAACCGAAAGTCTGAAACGGGGAACTTGCGACACTTGAAAATCACAATAACCCAACCGATTCTCTGATTACTTTGTTCTGTCTTAAAAAGTCTTACGACCGGTTGAGTTTTGACTGCATCATCGATCAATTCAGATGGATGTATAAATGATATGTATGGTCTATTTGAAGGAACCTTCATAACTACTTCTAATTAGAGACGGAACCAGATTTATAGAATAATCACATGAGTGCATTAGGAATAGCCGAACAATTGACTCGCAACATTATATACCAAAGCTACTCTGTATAATAATACTGATGGCTTTTAAAAGTCAACAATTTAAACTGTGAAAGAGTGACAAGCTTGCAGACTCTAAAGTCCGGTACACGAAATTGCACATAGCTTGTAGCGCATTGCGGTAATTGTATTGGTGCCATGACGTTGCGTCTCAAGCTCTTCTCATAGCCTACAAATTGTTTCTGTAAAGTCAATATAGCTCTATGTACAATATGATTGCGATTTTGCTCTAAATGAGATTTCTTACTTTGGTGAATTTGTTCATTGAGCCATGAAAATAATTAACCTCTTCCAATTAGACATCTTTTCGATGTTTCAAACTGTTACTGTATGTGGTTGCTCTTTCATGGCCTTTTAAGGTTTCTTATCCGGCCTTTGCGAACTTGAATTTCTACGCGGGGGTTCTTCATCATCAGAGAAATTCAAGTCATCGTCAATATGGGCTGATGGGCCCTCCAGAGATTGTAAGTCGTCCAGGTCAAAGTCAGCGACATTTTCTGGATCCGTTGGTAATTGTTGAGAACATGCTAACATGTAGGAAGTGTCAGTAGGCCTCCAAATGAAAGCAACGATAACAAAGACAAAATAGTAAACCAAAGAAGGCCAAAAATCAACGAAGAAAAACCTTGTCCTCCAGTGTTGTTCAACCATTTCGATAGAGTTCATTCCGATGAAAACAATCGATGACAACACAATACCTGCGAACAACACAAACAAAGAGAAGTAAATTGTGGATAATAGCCTCTTGTACATTTTTAATTTCACAACTTGCCTTTGCTCCTGCAAATACCGCAATGTTTGTGACATAGACCTCAAAATCCAGAAGTAGAAGCCCAACATTGTGAGAGCCAGTGGCACTAGAGTAGCGAGCGGCCAAAGAGTAACCGTCTCAGGATTGGTCAAATAGTTTTGAATTAGATAGGCCACGCTGATGACAAAATTTACGATGGCAAATAGCTGGCACCGCCTCATCAACTTTTTGTTTAGTTTTGGGTATACCACACCGTAACCTAGTGCGATGACTAAGAGTAAAAAGAAGCTGAATGATGTTTTGACAGAAGTTAAAATGGACACGAAAACCATGTAGACCTTAGTCCCCGCTGTGTTGCCCTTTTCGTTTTTAATATCATAGTAGGCCCAAATAAAGATTTGTTCAACGGTCAAGAACGCAAAGAATGCCAGTAGATATTTTTGAAGCGGCAAAAGCTCATTCTTATGTTTCCAGAATGCGAAACTATACAGAGCCATGGCCACAACGTAAAAAATAGCCATGAGGCCATATAGGGGTAAGTTATTGATCTCTGCTGCTGGCAGTTGTCCAAAAGCATTTCTGAAATTAACGACTGCAGAGAATTTGGCATTACTATCACTCTGAGAGGTAGTTGCCACAACACAGTAGTAGCCGGTATTTTTGACTGGATATTTCGCATCATGGAGGCCAGTTTCGGTTTGGTAGAAAGTCATCACCGAGGCCGATAGCGTCTCGTTTTCGTTCGTGATGGGATCAATAATGACGTTCTGCACTATGTATTCGTTTTTGTTCGTCTCGTTACATGCACCACTTACTATGGCATAGTCATCACATATGTAGATTTTGGTAGAGTCAACATCAACTCCAAGATGTTCGTAATCCTTGAACTCGAAGATGACAACTGAAAGCCCATCTGTATCACTGATGTCCTTTAAGTTGAACGAGATGTAGGGGTCGATCTTTCCACTCCAATCATCGCGCGAATACATGCCGCTGCAAACTTGGTAATCTTCATCCGAAATTGCCACTTTGTTAGCCCAAGCTACTGTTCCCCAGAGCCACAAACTTAAGAACGGTACGTGAAACTGCATAGTAAGCAGGGGTATGAGTTTTCAATTAGTGAAAAAATGTCTAAGTTGTGTCCGGAAGCAGTTTTCGAGCTATCCGAAATATGTTTATCATGGCTTTGATTTAAAAATATCTTGAAAATGACAAGATAATCAATTCCCCTGGACTAGATATCTGAGTAGAGGTCGCGCAGATATTTGAAGATCTGCACTTTGGATGAAAGAGATAATTCTTGTCAGTAAAAGAGCTGTCTCATAACACAAAGCGCCATAGAAACATATTAACAAGGTGTTCATGTATTGAAAAAGAATACTACTTTTGCTAATTTATATATGTTCGGTCCTTTATATGTGACTCTTAATGTAGTAATCATGTTTCAGTTGTGTCTCGATGAAATTACCTCATGTCCGGCAAGGTTTGTGTAAGGAATAAATTATCTATCAGTGCCTTATGATTAATTTCTGTTGTCGGCCTTCAATAATGCAAGTTAGATGTAGAGTTGAAAGAAAAAAGCTTTAGTGGTGGCTGGTCGTACCAAGAGGGACAAGGTTTCGAGATCCTCATCAAAATGCCTAATTAGAGTCTAATCCGGCGATTCAAATCTAATTCTACGATTGAAATCTTGCTCATATTTTTGTTTAGCTCTCCGATATTTCATGGAATGAATTACTTCGCGAATGAAAGCTATAAATTTCTCTGGGGCGATTTCAGTATAAGATGGTTGTCTTGTTATCGTAACAAATTGGTGGTAGCTATACAATCTCAAGTGTTAAATAAGACATGAAAATGAGAAAATATTGAAACGCGATGTAAATTAGACATCTCATTCATGTTGAGGTGAAGTTTAGACTATCTGTTAAGCTTCTTTAGTCACTGGCTCTGGGTCTCGAGCTTTCAGATATCATTTAGCGCTCTAGCTCTGCTGAAATCACAGTGCACTACTCTCACCATGCAACCTGGTACTATCCTCGCTCACATCTCAACAAAATATATATGGGTATAAAGAAGTGATCCAACAGCAATTCGTGGCGTAATCTCATCAATCAAACAGGCCATTTTGTTCGTGCGTGCCTTGAAATACAGCTTTCTTAAAGTAACCTCTCCAATATTGTTGAGTATGAACATCGAAGTAAGGGGTACGTTTATGTCACAGATCAACCATCTTTTCGAAGTTCGGACTTCAGAAAAAACAGACAGTACTACAAAAGTAGTAGCATATCCACCTCAAGTGTTTCATAAATATAAAACATCTTCTATGAGGCTATTTCTTCAGCCATTCTTCTTGTTATTTATTTACTCGCAATTAATTACTAAGAAAAAAGTGTAATTGAACTCTATCTCTGATCCATCCGTAGTTAATTTTGGGGACCTGAAGCCAATCTAACATAAAAATCAACTGCTTCATGCTATCACACCGCACTATTTGGACTGCAACTCGTCGAGGGTTGTCTTTAGCACGGTTTCTACACATTAAAACGGCGTCAACACCCAATGATAATGCTCTGAAGTTCATTTCAACGGATGGTGAGCTTTTACAGGACCGTGGGAAGCCGAGCGTGGAGATCAAAAATACAGATTCGGCCCTCATCGAACATTCCCCACTGGCACAACGGATTTTTACGCAATGCTCAGGGGTAGAATCGATGATGATTGGCGATGATTTCGTCACGATCAATAAGGACGAAATGGTGCATTGGAGCCAGATTACAGGCGATATGATCGATCTTCTGACGCAATATTTGGCGTCCGGTAAAGATGCGGTGTCATCCCAGTTCTTCAGTGTACAGGAACAAAGCGTTGGATACGATGTCAACTTACCAAAGTTCAAGTACGACGAGGACCAACAGGAAATAAGCGATATGATCGACGAGCTAATCCAGACACGCATCCGGCCTGCAATTATGGACGACGGTGGAGATATTCAATATCGTGGGTACGACCCTGAGTCAGGCACCGTATATTTGAAGTTGCAAGGAGCGTGCAAGTCGTGTTCATCCAGCGAAGTGACACTGAAGCACGGTATTGAGTCGATGCTCAAGCACTACATAGATGAAGTCGAGAATGTTGTGCAGATACTGGACCCTGAGGAACAAATCGCACTCAAAGAGTTCGAAAAGCTTGAGCAGAAACTTGATCAGAAATGAAAGCGTTGCGTAGAAATATTCCATCTTTTTGTGCATCGTAGCCAATTGCTCAAAACACCTCTACTGTACATAAACCATATATTTATTCCACCAACCAGGCATTACTCCGGCACACGATTGAGATTATTTATCCTGCTCCCGCCCCTCAGCGTAGCCCTCAATTCGACGCATCAGCTTCAAATCTATGTCGCTGACTCCTCCCACATCATGCGTTGATAGCTGCAAGTTGACTTTGTTATAGCAGGTAGTTATAGTAGGGTGGTGCCCCCACAGGTGGCTTCTCATCGCTATTTGATTCAAAAAAGACCAGGTAGTCTCGTAATCTCGTAAGGTAAAGTCTCGTGTAAGTTTTGAACCATCATATTTCCAACGCGGGTACTTAAGCAGTAGCTGGGAGATTTCCCCAGAGCTGAGCGGCACTGCTACCACTCGTTGGACCTTGTTGTACATCTTTCGCGATTACCATTAATTAGAAAATTAGCTCTGATACTTAGAACAATTAAAACACACAAATTCCAACTTACATGAAAAAAAATTGAGCCGCCGGCAGCTATTGAATGTCCTCGTGTGTGTTCATACTAGATGAACAACTCAATCTACTCATACTTAAGAACTTCAAGTCAATACCAAATCCTGAGGCTTTCGCCCTGTATTTCAAAAAAGTTTACGACCCGAACAACGGTCCAATAGTTTCACACAGGGGAATTGTGTATGTACAGGTGTGTCGAGATGGGCTATTTTACGTTTCAGTGGTCTTGGGAGGGTTTTCATTCAATGTTATGACCATTTTAGTGTACCTGAGTGACTTCCATACGCTTCTAAGGAAATACCTTCAAGTCGAGCAAGTTGACCGCACAAGCATCGTGGACAACTTCAATCTGATATATGAGCTACTAGATGAGAGCCATGATTTTGGAATTCCTCAATTGACCGATTACAATATCATACGCGACTTCATCAAGATCAAACCCAATATTCCTCTCAAAGACCCAGACGCTCAGTCTACTAAAAGTGACGACAGCGATGATGAAAGTGAGCGAACTTCTTCCAAAGTAAAGCTCAATAAAGACAAATCTAATAAACATGGGCTGCAAGACGATGAACAATATATCAATAGTTTTATCCTTCGTGCTACAACTCAAGCCATTTCCTGGAGGCCTAAAGGCATCTACTATGCCAAAAATGAGCTATTTGTGGATATAATGGAATACCAAACGTATTTAATGGACTTCAAACGCTCTCAAGTCCGCAAAAGCTTTGTACAAGGCAAAATCAATTGTCGGTCGTACCTTTCTGGAATGCCGAAGGTAAAGATATGTGTTAACAAAATGCTAAAAAATAAAGATGTATTCCTCGGCTCTGCAAAATTCCACCAATGCGTTTCTTTGGAATCTCTCAATAACCAAGACTACATTGAATTCACTCCACCAGACGGAGAGTTCCAATTATGCGAGTACAAATTGAAACGGCACATTAATGATTCTCCCGTAATCAAAGTGATAGATTATAAAATTTCGAAACGCGATAAGAAACAAAAGGTCAAGTTACATTTAGTTGTCGAGCCTCATTTTAAGACTCAAAATTCCGCCACCTATTTGAACATTCACATCCCAGTTCAAAGTATATTTCGGGATTACAACATCGACCTTAAAAAGCCTCCAAGATTCAAGTGCGACTTTGGGTCTGTCGAGTTCAGCCTTACAGAGCAGAGCTTAATATGGAAAGCACCAGGTATGAAAGGTGGCCATGGTGAGGTTCATCATTCCATGCATGTTGAGTTCTTCTTGTTTGATGAGGTCGAAGATAATAAAACGCGCCAAATGCTTCAAGATTCTATGGATCCCCCACCTTTACGAGAAGGTCTTCACTTAGATGAGCTATATGCTCAAATAAACGATACTGAAAAAGACGCGGCTCGTGATTTAATAACTGTTGAGTACGAAGTTCCTTACTATGCTTGCAGTGGTTTAAAAGTTGAGTACCTCAAGATAGAAGAAGAGCAACTGCAATATCAGTCATTCCCGTGGGTAAGATACAAAACAATCAATGACACAGAATACGCTTATCAGATCTGATCAGATACGTATATTACGAATATTAGCTGTATGCTCTTGATATGTAACATTAAAAAAAAACTCTAAACTGAATGAAATCATGCAATGCAAGTTGTTTTACTGTTTCTCTAAACTCTCCAAAAGTTTAATTTTATCTCGAAGAAGCGATTCACGTTCTGCGGTTTCCGTAAGCCATTCTCTCTTGATAGATATTTTTCCATTTTCAATTTCAAGTCTCTTTTCCTCCAAAATTTCATCTTCAAAGCGACGTAGCATTGATGACCATCTGTTCATAATTCTACTAGTACCCAAGACAATACCCAACATGGCAAGTGACCCCATAGAGTAATTGGATAGTTGTCCTGACAGCGATCCACAAATGGCGCATGTAGTTAGCGGTAATTGGAGCATGAAAAATTGCCTGTAAATTAAATCGTTGATATTTCTATGCAAAATGGGAACTCTATTATAAAGCGAGTCTGAATTCGCCCTCGGGAAAGACACAAGCAATGGCAGGTTGAGTTTGCCCCGCAAATGATTAATTCTCTCCATGACTCCCGCAGTGTCACTCAAGTCACACAATTCTCGAAGCTTCAACTCAATCTTGCTTTCGGAGTAGGTGTAAACTCTAAATACTGAAAGTTGATCATGAACAAATTTGTCGAGACGCGGTTTGAAATGTGAAAGCAAATCTGCGTGTGCCTGCGTAAACCAATCGTCAATCACGCAGTCAAAGCTGGCCCGTTGAGACTCAAATTCCTGCAAGTCGGCTGTAATTTTGTCAGTTTTGTATATGTTTTCAACAATAACCTGGCCCAAAGTATGAAGTATGCGGGACTTATCGTCTAGTTGTTCTTCAAATTTTCGAGTGACGTTCAGAAAATTGGAGGACTCGAGAGATTCTAGATACTCATTCACATTCTGCTTGTTTTCAACAAATTTGTTAATACCAGTGAGAGCTTTAAAGCTATTCAGCTCGCGTGACCCGAGGGGCGTATCTAGGTTTGAGTCTGTTATTTGCAAAGAAGGCCAGGGCCGCGTCAAGTGCGTCAGTTCGGGACTTGTGCTAAGATATAAATGGCAATCATCAGTCGCGGTCGCCGGCACGTCCGATTCGCTTAACTCAACTGCATGTTTCTGGAGCCACGGTGAGGGCAGACTGTAAACGGTTGTGAGGCCCTCTTTTTGCACATCTAATGATGGTGCATACTTAATTAGTCTCGGGCCAGCCGAGTTCTTATACCTGCTGCAAAACTCGCGGTACCAGTACTGATCCGTGGCGTAAACATCAGCCAACAGAGCGCTGAGGAAAGCCGCGTCTCGTTCGGAACTCAGTGACTTCAAAACCACACCGCATCGTATTTTCTGAGCTTTTTGAGCCTGCTCCATCAACGGAAGTTTAGCAGGCACAATTCGTGGAGCTGAAGCTCTATACGACTGGGCCAATTGCGACCAATTGCCCATAAGCCGCCGCCCGATTCCATTGCTCAACTTCAGATGCAAACCCATCTACAGCAGCTAAAGTTAGTAGCAATTGAGTGGCTCACTACACAAACAAAGGATAGCCGCTTGATAGTTCTAATGACGAAGCAATTGAAGCGAGTTGGCCTTGCTCACGAGCGTTTTTTTGCCTAAAATCACCCAAATTACTTTTATTTACACTTGTGATTATATGAAAATTTTAGGACAAAATTCTGTATAGTTCATCTCATCTTAATGAGTTACATTACTCAAAAGTACATAAGACAATTTCAGGCTGTTGCAATTCTACTAAGGTCTTATAGGTTCTGATAGAATGCAAAATGGGAATCTACACGAGGATCCAAGTTTTGACATGCCACAGGACATTGCGTTGGCAGTTGAAGCTTTGACTGAGCTAAAGAATTCACATGGACAGGAGACGCAACAGCAGCAACAGGATACGCTCTTGGATAAAGTGAAATCCAATTCGTTGATCTACAATGCTGTGAGAGTTTATGAACAGAGTAAAAACCAGTATCCGAGCTTCAAAAAGGGTGCCGAGATGGTGGAACGTAAAGCGCTGATTCCTATGGTCAAACGACTCGAGGAGAGACGTAGCCATAAACGCCGCCTTGAGAATCAGAGAACAGCAGAGGAGAGTAGTGAAAATACCGAAATGCAAGATTCAGAGCCTGAAAACGAGGTCGACTCCGAATACGAAGCGATTTGCCAGAGGGCCAGCAACAACAATGAAACTCGAAGAAGAACGTCCAAGAAACAAAAGATTTCCAACGCTATAGCTAAGTCCAAAAAAAATCTTAAAGGCTACCAGCTCAATATGTCAATTGAGTCCAAAAAGCGGCTAGTGACGTGCCTGCACCTGTTGAAGCTTGCCAATTATCAGCTTTCCAACCGGGTCAGCTTTTTGCAAGATCTGGTACAAAAGGAACAACAAATCAGGCGTGGGAGAATACGCGAAAATCTTAATAGAACGCAGAGCCGCGGTAAAAAGAACAGCAGATCTAGGCGTCGTCCCGACTCCAGCAGATCTGCCAGCGGGGAAGGAGGTATTACTGAAGGTGAGAAGCATAAAAAGATTGACGAAGAGCAGGGCGAGAAGTCCCAAAAAGAAGGGGACGAGAACGAGGACGAGGACGAGGACGAGGACGAAGAAGATGGCGAGGACGAAGGAGATGACGAAGAAGATGACGATGACGATCGCTTCTATGACGCCTCTGATAATATCGACGAACAATCCAATGTGGTGAAGATGGAGATTGTTGGAACCGTCAAGAAAGTTTATTCTCTGGTTTCTAAGTTTACGGGCAACTCATTGCCGGAGCCAGCTCGTACTCAAGTCCGAGAGTCTTTACTGAAGCTGCCCTCAGATTGGACATCATCCATGAATTCAGAAAACTTGGCCACATATACACATTCTAAAGGCCTAAGTCCCAACGGAAAGGTTCTTATCTTGGCGAAAGAAAGTTTAGGTATGGTCCACAGCGTAATGGATGTGGTAGATAATACGTTGGGGAAGGCCGAAGAGTGGGTCAAGCAGAAGCAAGAGATCAAGGAATTGCTCAAAGAGCAGTATCTCAAAGGGAAATTACGCGACAAGGTGAAAAACCAAATGTTCAAGGAAAGGGAAATAAAGTAGTATAGTACACATTAGTTGACGAAAGAACAAGCATTATAAAATCAGCACTAAAACGAGAGCCACAATCGACTCAGTTTTGTAAGGCTTTAAGCCTCTCTCGCATCTCATTTAGCATAACATCTGCTTCATCATCAATCTTATCCTCAGGCACGATTTGTTCAGCTTCCTGTTTCGATGGCAATTCTGCGGTAGGTATATCATTGACTTTATCCAGTCTATTCGAGGTGTATTGCTCGACGATCTTGCTGACTTCTTCCTCTATTTCATCTTCCATTTCTTCATCCTCTGTCATCTCCATAGTGTCGTCAATCATTTCACTAATTAAACCGCTTTTCACCAACTCTTTCTCCAATTCCATCATGGTGTGTTGCAAGTAAGGAAGTCTTACCAAGCTGTTGACTTCGCGCATCAGTATCGCAGACGAGGCCATATTTTCTTGAAGGCTTTGCATTCTGAAAGCTTCCTCTATTTTCATTCCAACAGATTGCAACTGTGCTTTAGATATATACATCCTTTGATATTGTTTATTGATCTGATATAGCTCTTTGGCATATATTCGTACAGATCTAGTGTCGTTTTGTTTGGCAGAGCGTTTGATGAGCCCTTGAGTTTTGTTTTGTAGCGCACTGAGCTCTCTCAGAGATTTATCCAAAGATCTGCCATTTCTCCTAACCATTTGACGAATTTTGCGCTGTTGTTCTTTGGGATCGGGACCCCATATTGCCTTTTTGAAGTAGTCCATATTAGTACCACTTAGTTAAGTATCGCAACTAGGTGTTAACGAACTGTGTTTCCGGGGTCAGGAACATGGAGCATGGTTGATGTAGAAAGGGACCAATAGTTAACGTCGACGTATACAATGATATTAGCAGTGTCACTAAATAGCGATCCACCACAATAGCGCCTTGCGACACAGCGCTCAAAACCGTCTCCAGTAAAGACTGCGACTTTTGATGAAAGCTGCTGTCTGTAGTTCAAATTTCTCGTGGGTACGGGTATTTTAAGTTCTCAATGAAAGGAAACAAAAAGTTGGTTTTCCGGCAACTCACGACGACAACGAGCTTGTGTATAACTTGTCATTATAGTCAATTGAATTGAAGGCTTGAAAGTAGAAGATCAAAGGAAAAACGGTGATTTATTTCAAGGCCCGCAAAAGCTACGATAGCTGAATATAATAACTACATTCCGTGATATTCACGTGGCAACGCTGCACGTTAAAATTTCCTAGAAATATTCATCATGGGTTCAAGAGATGCTAGGCGATAGACATTTGAATAATAACCACAGGCTGGAGTCATCATTGAGAACTCTCACTCTACTTAATTCGATTCCCGTGAAATAATACTAAAGTCCAGAGTTAAAAGGCTTCTAGTCCTTCATCAATAATCCGATATGGTGTAACGGCTATCACACTCCGCTTTCACCGGGGAGACCGGGGTTCGACTCCCCGTATCGGAGATTTATTTTTTGCTTAGTTGTAGGCATGATTCCAACCCTCCTAATTGTAGGCCTTACAGCGAGGAGTTTCATTGTGTAGGTTCTCAATTGAATTTTTTTTTTCAGTTGGGTATACCTCATCTTCCAAAATCACACAATCTCTCATCATGACGTAGCGGTATTGTACTGGCTCAAAAACCTTAAAAATATCAAGACTTTTACAAAGCAGGTTGAACATATGAATCACTATTGTCGTAAACTGTCAAGAAAATAATTTGAATTATGGCAGTAACTTGTTCATTCTCAAAGACATGAACTTCAATGAAAAGTAATGTAATATGAAAAAGTCTTTCGTACACGTCTTCAGGCATTATCACATTGGTAAGTTTGACACCATTGACTATTGTGATGCTGCTGCGTATTTAAAACACCCAAACGTTACATCTACAATATTTAGGGATATTTCTTGATACATCTAATTGTGTTCAGCCCGACCTCGGAAAGTCATTATTAATATCGTGGCCTTGTGGCTATACGAAAAAATTAATAGCTGTCTATCTCTGTAGTTCAACTGACTTTGCTCGATATATAATTCGATTACTGAAAAGCTCGTATTTAAGGAAGAGAACAGCCAAATCTTGTATAAGGTCATATAATGCTACACTCAGAGATACACCGAGCTTCGGATTGTTGGAAAATACAGATGATCACCGAAAACCTTACCTGTGATTAGTGATAATTTTGGCTTTTCAGCTTTTCAATAGTGTAAGAGCTATATCACTTTACACTATAATGTCGAAAGCTCTTTCGTAGACGCCCAGTAAAAAATGTCTTAAAATTTTTGAATCTTCAGTCAGTTTCTGGATCTTACTGCAGGAATTGTATTGAAAAATAGAACTCTTTAGCATCTTTACCCCGCTGTGCATCAATCTGACGTCATGGAGAATCAGCATTCTAATGCTATTTCAGTTTCAATGAAACTTCCGAACCAAAAAGAGGATGTTACTTTGAACTTAGTACAATCTTCAAGTGCCCAGATTTTGAGCGATGTGCTACAGTTTTCGTCACCAGCCAGGTGTTTGACAAATTTAGATTTATACTTCAAGGGAACGAAATTGACCGGAGAGGAAGCCCTCAAAGACCTAGCTACCGGAGACACTTTGAAGTTAGACGTCAAGTATAGACCATATACGACTAGAGACGCTCTCAGACACATCACTGTCGTTCGTGATACCATTGGTTTTGCATCTGAGGCTCAAGATGGTGTTTCTGACTTTGCTGTGTCTACTGGTATTAAGTTCGCCGATTTGCCATTGCATTCGGTGAAATCTGCCGAGCTTAAGAAATCGACTTCTGGTGACGAAAAAAATCCCGAAACCGAGAAAACCGAATCAGCGGCCTTCAATCTTTCTGAACAGGAAGCTAGCGAGTTCCAGCAAACAGTCAAAGATATTTTGACTGAGAACAAACCTGTTGCTGATATTCTCAAGACTAGGTCTCCAATCGTGACACCTTGCGTTCGCTCGTTGAATCTCTCAGCTTACAATCCAGCCCCGGCATTTTACAGAAGCAAAGGACACCTACTATACTTACAAGTGGTCACTCTCGAGGGGGAGAGTTTTCACATAACTGCTTCAACTGCAGGGTTCTACGTCAACAGGTCCAATTCCAACAAATTCGATCCAAACCGTAGGGAAGATGCGTCGAAAACGTTTGTTTCTTTGCTTGATCTTCTTTCTTTCCAATCGAAGAAATTCAACGAACACGTAAAAAAACTAGAGCAAAAGATCAGTGCCTTAGATAATGTTTGCATTGCTAGACCATCTACTACATTCCTATGCAAACCTTGGTTAGTCTCCACTTCTCCCAGTGCGTCGGGCAGTTACTCTCGCTTCCAATTGAGCGAAAGCGATTTTAATACGGAGCGTAACTTCAATGACGAATTTCAGGCCATAAAGGATATGACTACGGGTGATTTTCAATCAATAGTGGACACTGAAAAGCTAACCGCCAAAGTCTATCATGAATTTACTGAAGCAGCTGTCAGAGATTCTATGTCTATTTTCTATGACGATCTTGTACCCATGAACCCCGAGGCTGACACCCAGGAACAAATTTTCTTGAAAAACAACATTTTCTATTCATTTGTTGGTGACGTAAATGGTAACTATACTTCCATCGGTGGAGATGCTGCTGCTTTTGCTGCTTCCAACCAAGACCTTCAAACTGTTAAGCTTCTGCACCGCGTCACCCTCTCAGAAATTCATTACTTGTTGTGTGCAGTCATTGACTTTGCAGGCCGTAGGGTACTAGCTCAAACACCAGTCCCTGGCTTATTAAGTGCGATGGGTACTGTTACCAAGCAAGATCCAAAATCTGGCGAGACCGTGACTGAAGACCTAAACTCCGACGTTAACGTTGTCTACGGATTGGATGAGTCTACGGGCGAAATCCTCTATAACGAAGAGTTTGACGATGCCCTAGAATCTTTTTCTAGGCTGCTTCATTTGGAGAAACATCAAGTTGGGTCTTCTCAGATTAAAATCTCTTCCCATTCGAAAGGTATTGTAGGATCTGACAAACGGAAATATGTCCTAGACCTTGCAAATTCTCATCCACTTGACGTTAAGTTCGCAAGACAATTCTATGACAACGCCGATGAGTCTAATCGCTACCCACACAGACAGACCTTGATTCGAAATGAACTTGTTGATAAATGGTGGGCCACCAAGATAGAAAACGTGGACACGTCATTTGAAAAAGCTTTTGAGGAGAAATTATTTGCGTTTAATCCAGATGCTTACGTGGTAAGTGGTGTTGAAGATCCATTAGTCGATGAGATCTCAGACTACTTAGCGAATGAAGTTGTTCCAGGCGTTGTTGAGGATTATGCTGCCGGTAATTCAACTGCACCTTATGACGGAGATCACCTTTCCGATTCACTACATAAAAATGGTATCAACATGAGGTACCTAGGGCAGGTGATTAAATTAGCCGAGGCTGAATTAAAGAAGCAAGAGAGCAAACATGAGGAAAAGCTGGCTGAAGTTAAACTTGGTAATGAAGACCATGAAAATTGGGAAAAAGAATATTTAGTTAAAGTTGAACAGCTCATAAAGGAAAGGCAAGCAAAGATTAATGCATTGATACAGGAAGGAAAAGATATTCCTGAAGATCTGAAGGGTAATCTAAAGCTCGATGAAAACGACATTAGAAAACCTACCAAAGGCGAAGCAGTTGCGGTAAACCGTGACCAACTTCTATGTTTGGTCAAGATTTCTCAGCTTGAAGTTGCAGCTCGTTCTATGAAGCATGTTTTGAGGAAATATGCCAAAAGCCTGCCAGTGCCAGTCGTATCAAGTCTTGTCACCTACTTCTTTAACCTGTTATTCGGCCACAACTATAACCCGCAACCAAAGGCTGAGATTATTGACGAATTTTACTCTCAGTCAGCGTTTCCTTATATGCAGGTATCGCGTGCTGACTTATTGAAAGAAATACGCGAACAAGCACGTCTCAGATTCATTTACGATATCTCCGATGAAGTTTTGGAAAGTTTGTGCGAGCAGCGTTTTGCATTGATAAGAGCTGTCTCCAAAAAGTTTGGTATCCAAGTATTAAACAAAGAATACTACTTTACGCAAGATTCGTTTGAAAACTTCAAGCAATCTCAAGATAAGAAAGTAAGAAGTAAGTTGAACGCGCCAAGTCATACTTTCTCCGCAGGCGACTTAGCGATTATTCCAGTTATCAAGGATGGTGAGTACAAGTCTTTATCTGGCGACAATTTCTGGACTCAAGGTGCTTCCATCCTGAGTGAGAAAGAGGAAGAAGGGCTGGTACTGTTGAGACAGGCATTAACTATCAAGGAAGAGGTCAATGGTATAGTCCACCCGTCGGTTGCCGAGTCGTACATGGCATTGTCAACTATCTACCACACCTTGAACAGAGTGCCCGAAGCGGTCACCTTTTGCCGCAAAGCTTGTGCTATTTATGAACGGGTTTGTGGAGTTGATTCCTTCGAAGTCATAAGATGCTTGATGAATTTGGCCATTCTGGAAATTAGCAACAAGTGCCCATTTAATGGTGCTCACATTTTGCAGCGTATCTTGGATACTCTAAATGCTTTATGTGTTGCAGTTCACCCTGCGACCATCAATGCTTACACCATGTTACAGCAGGCGTCATTGGCGTCTAAAAATGCTAAACTAGCAATTGAAATTATGAAGAAGCTATCAGAAACCATTCTTGTGATCGAAGGCGGGGAGCATACTCTTGCGTTTGGTTATAACCAATCTCGTATTGGTGACCTCTATGTGACAATGAACGATTACACCAATTCTTTGAAAGCAATTTCTGATGCCAAGGAAGTTTTCACTAAGGAGCTTGGTCTGAACGATGAGACCACGGCTCAATGTAAGCAATGGGTCACGGGCCTTCAAAACTTACTTCAACGTCAAGTGCAGCAACGCAGCTTAAGTCAGACTCAGAATGCTGTTAATACAGGTGTGGCTGCCACATCTAAAAAACCAAAGGCAGCGAAGAAGGCTGAAAAAGTAGATCCAGAATTGGCCAATAAGTCCGTCGATGAACTCATGAGTTATATCGAGGGTGGATCTAAAACCAAATCTAAGGGAGGAAAAAAGACGAATAAAAAGAACTGAGGGTTTGGTTCATTGCCTTGATGATAAATTACTCAGCATCAACGATCTTGTAATTATGCTTTACTAGGCCTCTTTTCAACCTGTCGTAACCTGAACAGCAATGACACTAAATAAAAATTTATGAGATCTATAGAAAATGTGTTTCTTTTTCACTCTCATTTGAAGACTTCGCGTATTATCAGCATGAATGAAGGGACTAGAATGTTATCATTAAGCACACTGTTCCCCTCCAGTAAACCAGAAAAGATGCATATCAATACGAGCTTCATAGAAGTGATGTCCTGGAATTCCCCTAAAAAGCGCTGGAAAAGCAAGCTGCATACTGAGGTGGCTGTGATGAAAGCTACCGTGCCCTCGAAGGTTTTATTCGTGCCTGGCCATCTATGGCGACCCCACCTGTAGCCCACGATCGATGCTAAAGAATCTCCAACACCCAAACTAACGACGCCAACCAATGAATCGTTTATTAGTATAGGAGAAGCCACGCCGATAACCAAATAAATGTAAGAGATGATAATTGGACCTCGTTCGTCGCGAAAATCGGCAAACGATCTCAGCTTGGCATCAAGAACGTCACCAAAAGGGGCCAATTTCAAATATCTAAGGTACTCTACAGCCAAAAATGTGACCGCGGTTCCCGCTAGAGCAATTTTCACAAATTCAGGGTCTTGCTTGAATGGTGGGACTACCAATGCTAATATAATAAAATGCCAAATTTTCCGCGAAGAATCGAGCGAGAAGTTAGATTTGAAGACCAAAATATTTGGAATCAAAAGTACCAATCCTGCTAACCAGCATGATAATATTTTAACTCTTGTAGAATCGGAAGTGATGTAATTGTAAAGCCAATACGCAGGATTCTGACCTTCTACTTTGAAAATATGCAGCACCGTGAGCGGAAATACACAGATGAAGGATGAGAAGAGAATTGCGGACCTGACATAAGGCTTCGTATTAGATGTAATCTTGATAAGAGGATAGTTGATAGCAATTGCGGTTAAAAAACCTTTCAGCACATTTTGGAGAACCTGGAAATGCAGCGTGGGAGATTCAATCAAAAACAAAACATTGGTTAAGCATATACTGAACAAATTGCATTCGACGCGGTCAAAGCTTTTCAACTTACCTATCTTCTCCATGAGGAACGCTAAGACGCAATTGAGGACAATAGCCTTCAAAAATGTAAACCTGTCATCATATGATTGTTCACTCAATAACACAAAAATGGCTTGGGCTGGAAGACGCATGTATACGGCTAAGTCAGTGCAATTAAAGGCCATGGCCAGATTCACGATTGTGACCTGCCGCGCAAATAGCAAAGACAAAAAAGTGGGTATATAGAGCAAGTAGAGTACGTTGAAGTCTGGCACGAACTCCGCTGTCCGCACAAGCTTTGATCCGTAAAAACCGTTGTTGGCCACGCGAGTACGGTATGAAATCCCGAATCCCACCAAAATAGCAACAGCGGTGGTCAGTATACTCTGAAACAGCTCATAATCGCTTTCGTCTTGCATATACTTTATAACAGCCAAATGCACAGTACTACCCACAATAAGCAACTGCGCTATTCTTTCGGGGCCTAACAACGCGTCGATCACCGAAAAGTTCTCATTTTCGCGCTCGATGATGGCCCGTTCACTACCATCTTCCTTCGCGTTTGTCGACATGTTTCAATCGATATCTGGCGAAGAGATGCTGGGGAGATCAATACTTCGGGAGATCTTACTACTTGTTCTCTCGTGTTGTTACGATCTACTGAAAAAATGCCCTATAAAATTACTTAGAGAAAATAATGTTACCCGCACCCCAGTTTCAGAAACATATAAAAAGACCGAATATGCTAATTGTCTGTAAAACTTTTTGCAATATGGAGAAGAACAAAAGCGAAAACAACAAGAGGGGAAGTTTAATCTCGACTGAGTCGAAATGAGACAATGTATCAACGGGAAAGCTAATAGGAAGCGAAGCTGTGCCTTTACAAGAGCATTTCACTGATGACCAAGATTAAAAAATACAAACTAGAGTTTCTGAATTTATTTTCGTGATTAGAAACTAATCGCATTATCTGAGATTATGTTCTGGGACCAGTACAGCTGTACTGGCGCGAACTATTTACTTTGCTCGTTCTGCTACATTTTACTCGGCCGTACAACATCGCATTCCCTATTTTGAGTGTTTTCTGGATGGAGTGATCAAGCGTTTCTTAATGATGACTAAACAAAAACAAAGCTGGAATTACTGGCTGAACGATTACATGTTGATACGTTTTTTAACTACTTCTGAATTGAAACTTGACCATCTACAAAAGAATACACTCGGGATCCATCTTTTTGCGAAGCTTCTTTAAAAGAAGTAACAGAAGTTCCTTCGGAGCTACGCGAAATTGGTGGGATAAGTCGCAAACTTTTCTTTTTTTTGCATAAGGATTTTCAAATGACGAAGCATAGCACTGGGCACTGATTCGTTAACGATCATGAGTGATAATGCTTTAAGTGGGCTTAGAAACCCCACGCTACTGATTTTTATCCTTTTTGAGGAAGAGAAATGGCAAGTGGCCATTCCATTACTAAAGACCTATCTACAAGTGTTTCCGGATGATATTACAGAACATTATGACCCGCTCAACAAACTAGAAATCTAAGTTTACTTTGCACTCTTCTCAAAGTGATGATTACCTTAGATGACGAGTCTGATCGAGGTTTTTCTCGCTGAAGACACAACTTTTTAATAACCATTCATGCCTTTCTGACATTGAGACTAAAACGTTGGGGTTTATTTTGCAAAGTGGCGAGGCCTGATTATTAGAAGATAATCCTGTAGTATTTTCCGGAAATACTTTTTGAAAGGGTCTTGGTTAGAGACGTCCTAGACTTTATTATATTTGCAGAAGATGATACTAACGAAACTTAAGACAAGCATATGTCTGATTTTTATTGATGATAGGTTTCCTACGTCTGATGCAAGAATTTTGTAAAGTTGCGTTTTATTTTTTGTTTGACATATGGATTGATAGCTGGTGAAGAACCGTCCCGTCTTTAAGACACTGCCTCTTTCTTGTTTATGATGACTTTTCCACTTTTCACGACGGTCAACTGTTTCTCCCTTTACTTGTTTGGTTTAGGGATGTTGATGATAATATGCCTGTGACAGGGCGTGGTACTGATTAAGATAAAGATATTAAAGAGGTGGTTTTTCTTAAAGAACGGCTTTTGGTGCTTGAGGACAAGCACCGCACACAGCTCAAAAATCTGCATGCCCTTTTCAATGATGACAAGTTAGCTACTTTTGAAATTTTTAATGAAGAAACTCTTAAAAAATTCGATTTGCATGTCAGTCTGATCGTATATTATGGGAATATCGCCGAGTTTCCTTTACACTGTAGCCATTCTGTTAGTAATTCTTGTATTCGTAGTAATGTATTATTATAGATGAACAAATATTTCGTTATTTTATAGAGATTAAAGGTCAATGATTCTCTGATAGCCTGTCCTGTACAAGGAATATTGTAAGTTTGCGCCATTCACAAAAGGCTCCTTCGCTGTTCCTACGACTAAGGTTAACTAGTTAAAATTGTGTTGTTTGTTCAATATTAAATTCTTTCAAACAGTTTTCGATGAGGAAAATTTTACGAATTATAATGATTTGGAGGGCATCGCTCCTCATCTTTAAGTAAAAACCATTGATTGAACACTAAATAAATTCCTAAGATGCCGAAAGAAAACCTAATCTTTAAGTTGGATAACCTAGAATACCAGTATCATCATTTGAATAACTCCCTGGATGGGTTTCAGCCTCGATTAAAGAATACCTCGAAAACTTTTAATGCTAAAGGTAAGAAGACATCTAAAAAGATAAACAAATTGCTTAATGATGCTAATCTCGGGGAAGTCAATAGAGAACTAGATTCTTTGCGCACTGAGATTGTGGAGAAGAAGACTTTTCACTTGGAAAGCAAGCTAACTGCTTCTTTGGAAAAGGCCCTGCAACAGCAGTATTCGTCACTTCTTAAAAAACATACCGACAAAAATGAGGATAAGCTCCAGGCCCTAGCTGAGCTGGACCGAAAGCATACGATTTCGGTTTTCGCTAAAATTTTTGCAAAGTCAAGAGCCTGCAAACTACTAGTGAGCAAAATTACACCATCAAAAGCATTGAAAGAGAACCCTCCAAAATGGTTCGAAGAAAATGAGTACTTTCAAATCTTTCAAGACAAGACCAACAAATATAATCCCAGCAGGGTTTGGAATGAGGTCGTCGTAGCGACTACTGGATGTGAAAAAGTTTTGAGCCAAGCTATGGCTGGGCAGAAAGTGAAAGAGTTGCTGAAGGCGTTTGATAGCGGCATGGATCTGTTCCTGAACATCAAAAGAGAAAAAGATGCTGTGCCTTTAAAGGTATCTCAAAAAACCTCCGCGGCTGCGGGTTCTTCGTCGGGTTCCGAATTCGAAGACGAGACCGATAACGAAGGGGCAGCAGATGAAAGAAAAGATTTGACAGGTCAGAATCTTGATTCCATAGTACCTGAAGATATGAACGAAGAAGAAATTTTGAAACAATATGAGGGTATGCTTGTTGCGTCGGACGAGGAAGAAGATGAAAATGCCATGACTTCATTGGACCCAAGTATCAACTACAATGAGATTACTGATGAAGAGCCAAGTGATTCAGAAAGTGAGTTTAATATTGCTCTAAGCGAAGATGACATAGAAAGTGAACCAGCTCTCAAGAGACAGAAAAAAGAAGACATTAAAAAGAAGGGCAAATCCGAAAACAATGTTGGTGCTCTTCCAGAGCTGATGGCAGGGTATTACAGCGGTGACTCAGATGACGATATTTCCGAAGATGAAGTGGCCGCAAAACAAATATCTAATGAGCCCAAGCGTAAAAATAGAAGAGGGCAGCGTGCCAGACAGAAAATTTGGGAGAAAAAGTACGGTAAGAGTGCCATGCATGTCCAAAAACGAATTGAGGAAGAACGCAGCGAAAGAGAACAAAAGCAGCTTGAGTATGAGCAGAGGGTTGCGAAGCGTGCTGCTAAAGTTCAGGAAAGAGAGGCTACTCAGGCTCAAGAGCACTTCACTAGGAAGCCTCGCGAGGAGAAACCCCAGCATGTTTTAATGCATCCTTCTTGGGAAGCAAAGAAGCAAGCCGAAGAAAAACAAAAGGCAGCTAAATTCCAAGGTAAAAAGATTGTTTTCTAAGTTTTTCAATATTTGTTGAACTTGTTTAGTCATTTCAGGACTTTGACATTAATTAAATATAGTATCGTAGTTCCTTACCTTATAGTCGATCAATCATAAATTGTGAAAGATTAAAAAATACAATGTTGGCCTATTTCTGTGTGTATCATAAATATATAGATAAAAAGGCTGGAAGTCAAAGTTGCGCGCGAGACTAATTAGGCTCATGATTTTATTTCTCCTGTTAAAGGATTCCTTCTCTTGAAACTCAAGAGAAGGTCGTCTTTAGGGAAAATTGTAGCAAATACTTTGATCTTTTCACTCAACGGTGTTACCTCGTGTTCCCAGTTTGTGTGCATAGCAAATTTGCCGATTAATGCTGTGAAAGTCATCATGACATAGGTTTGACCTAAACATACATGACCACCCGAGCCAAAAACCAGCCAATTCTTTTTAGCTGCATTTGCTGGAGATCCTTCCACCCATCTTTCAGGAATGAATTCTTCAGGGTCCTCATAAACCTCAGGATCGTGCAGAGCTGGGTACAGAGTTGGGATTAGCATTGCACCCTTTGGAGCTGTGTAATTAGGAGCAATTGGAAACTTCTGTTTGACGTAGTAAGGGACCATTATCACCGGAGGTCTGTAACGCAGTGTTTCTTTCACAACCATGTAGGTGTATTTCATGCTATCAATTAAATCCAAAGATAGTGGTTTAGAAAGATCACTATCACGAACCTTCAATTGTTCGGCCCTGATGTTTTGCATAACGTCAGGTCTATCAGCCACGATTTGGAACAGCCAGCAAGCTAAGGAAGAAGATGCATCTTGGGAAGCAAATAAAAAGGTGAAAATGGCTTCCGAAATTTCTCTGTTGGAAAACTCTCTGTGTAATAGTCTGGAATTTTCATCGTCTTTGTTCTTTGCATCGTGCATTAATTGACACCACGCATCCATGACACATGTAGGTTTGCCACCTTCCGCAATGTGATCTTTGGCCATTTGGGCGCATTTTTCAAAGATTTTCATAGTCATGTCAGCAGTCCTTTGGCCGTACCAAGTTTTGGTGAAAGGTAGAATGATTGGAAAATTGACTAATTCCAAAGCGGCAGTAACCAAATAGTAATCATCAGCTACTTTTCTGATTTGGTTTTCCGTAATGTAATCGCCACAGAAGGCTTTTAAGGATAAGGCACACATTATTTCCCTCATTTCATGGAAAAAGACCTGGGGTTTAAAGTCTTTCTCTTCAGAAAAGCTAATGAATTTCTCAATGTACTTGTCCATTACTTTCTCTTGAGATTCCAAGTATTGGGCCAAAGCGTTCCTCGTGAATAGACCATTCAAAGATTTACGGTAGTCAACGTGAGCTTTGCCGTCCAAGAATACCCAATTCGAAGGTCTGAGAATTTTGACGGCAACGTCAACGACACAAGGTTTGACGTATTTGGAACTCTGTAAGATTTTCCGCGCCAGATCCCTTGTAGACGCAATTACTACAAACTTGTGGAAAATAGAGACGCAGGATAAAGGACCCGAATCCCATTTAGCCATGTATTCCTCGAACTTTGGGTCTAACGACTCCAAAAAGGGCCCAATGACAGGCCACATTTTCCACTTGGGACCGGCGATTTTCCCCTTCTTTATTTGGTAGGATACTTGGTCCCAGACCAGCCCCACGCAAATAACAGTGAAAAAAAGCTTCCAATACGACATGGTTTGTATAGCTTCCACCACTCCCTGTATGCCGGTAGCAGATGTGGCATTGTGCGTGGGGGTCAGCATCGCATTACTGGTGAAGTTTTGAACAACGGAATCCATTTAATCTTGGACTTATGTTCCCCCCTAGCTTTGTGGGTTTCAATTACGTCTTATATTGGCCAATGCTGCTCTACTCCAGTTGTGGGCTCTCCCCAGTTCACTTATATATAAAATACAATAAAGCGCGGAATCTGTAGCATAAGATGAACTTAACGGAGATAAACAGCATCGCATTACTCAGGATTTATGCGAAAAATTTTCTGTCGCAGAGTTAAACGAGAGAGGAACGATGGAAATCCTCGAAAACCGCGGATCCGTCTATGGTGATCCTATCGGCTTCTCGATAATGTACAATGTACATGAACGACAACAGAAACCCGATAAAGTTAAATTACAACAATACCAGAGCTGGTGATATTTGGTAAGAGTCCGGGACATAGATGTAGAACGAGGTATGGTCGTTAAGAACATCAGCGGAAAAAATGTTTAGATCATCCGAAGAAAAATTGACCGATTGCCTCATTAGTAGAGACCTAATGTGCTCCGAAAAAACTGCGGCTGCTAAAACTTTAAGGCATATTTTGAGATCACCAGAGTGTGTCGCTGTTCTTGTGCATGTTTCGTTGAGCTGGGGTGGGGGTTTCTAGAGCTTGAGCCATTGACATATACGGTGGATTAGAGCTGTGCGTAGCCTTCGTTCCCGTTTGTTGTTTGCCGCTCGCAGTCGTTTGAGTGGCAGATTTATGGCATTGGTCGCAATGCGGAGAGATGTTGGTGATATTCTCCAACGGGGGCGAGCTTTGCATTCCTAAGGCGGGCTTCGACATATCCAATTTATCCATGAGATCCAGGAGCTCCTTGTTGAGAGATAGCTTGCGCAGCTCGTTTTCGCGTTTGATCAAAAGTTTCCGCTTCAACAGGTCAATCTGATTTTCAAGAGATTTGAGCTCCGCACTTTCCTGGGTCAAAATCTCGTCTTCCGATGCCGCGTGCAGCGACCGATGTATCACGGAATCGGCAGTTGCTGATGATGAACTGGGTCGCGTCTGTCGAGATGTCACATGCGAGTCACGTGGCGCACTGTTATCGTTGCCGCCGATCGTGCTGGTCATTAAACTAGTCAGAGCATCAAGCTTCGAGTATATATCGCCAATACGTGTCTCTAACTTCGAGTCGCTGGTGGAGGATTCTTTAGCACGGGCCTTGTTTACCTGCAAAACGTCATCGGGCGAAAAATACGGCGATTGGTTGCTGGAAACCGGTGGCTGTGACGCGTTATTCTGGCTCAATTTCTTGTTTAGTTCCGTGTATTTGATGAGCTTTCCTCTCAAGGATCCTACCAAGACGTTAAGACGGTCAATCTCGTCTTGCTTGCGTTCCAGCTGCAGTGTCAGGTCTTTGTTTTGTTTGATAAGCTTGTTGATCATCTGTGAGTTTACACGATACTCCTCTGGTATTATTCGGTCTGACGGAATCATTGGTATATCTCTGTTGAACGGATGGAAATGCTCGTCAGTAGCTCTTGGGATATCACTACCCTTGGAATTGTAGCGTCTTGGCGTAGGTGAAATGTTCATTAGTGCGTCAATCGTTGCGACGCATCAGGAGTTTGTGGAATCTACAATGCAACGAAAATGATGAAATTGGCCCTGGAGCACTGAATACGACCTCGTACATGAAGCTTCGATCCTTGAGAAAAGAGTTTTGAAACTTCTTGGTCTTATACTCTGTAAGCCTTGTCCTTCTGTAGAATATGGCGCTGTGCCACTTTGTCTACTTAAATCGCCGCAATCGGCTTAAGCAAGAGATCTTTTAGTAGCATCAAATTCTATATCATACACGCCTCCATATTTCTTACTTTTCTGAATTTACTCTGTGCCGCGGTCGTACAAATAGAACATGTAGATGGAGTTTATGCCAAAGAGCCATAGCGGCTCAGCGCAACGTCGTGGCTGCGGCTTCTATGTTTGTAAACTTTGGTGATCAGGTTATCGTCAAATTCGTGTGTTTCAATCGAGGCACAATCGACAAATCCTGAACAATGCAGTCACTTGACGGCAGTATTCGCCACGTAGGCCGTCATAGAAAAAGTCATTTAGCCTGAAGAATTTGATCGTATGCTAATTTATGGCTGAACTTCACAATTTGCTTATTCACTTGTCTATGGCTTTGCCTGCATTCTTGATGTTGACTTTTGGAATCTGAATGAAATCTGAGCTCTACCACAATAACATGGTTTGTCATAGCAGGTACACTGAAGTACTTTCGCCGCTTCTCAACGTTTTGGGTTTTGGTAAGATATGTAACTGCTTTGCTCCCAATTACTAGTAGATTGCTGTTGGAGTCGTAGTCATTGAGGGAAATACAACATCCTTGATATTAAAAAATAGCAATCTTTTTACATTGTTCATTTTTCAAGGCTTGGTTCCTTACCTTGCAAGAGACACAAATTTAGTACTTTCTAGGTTTTGCAAAAAGGCAATACTAAGTATAGACGGATAGCAGCTGGAAGACCCATACTCGCCAGTATAATTACTCCATCAATTACTGTGAAGCCTTTGGATTTAATTTTTGACCTCATATGTACGTTTTCGAGCCGAAGCGGCTTTGTTCTATAAAATAGCCGCCGAGCTAAGAATGTAAACAAGTGGAGAATGGCATAATTTCCTCAGATTAAAAATCAAGGCCGACAGTTAAAAACTTTTTAGAAAATGAATGCACTTCTTGAGCAGTAACAATTGACAAACAAACTTTTGAGATGTACTCAGTGGTCGTTAGTAGTTGTGTTCCCTCAATTAGCGTTTATTCGTTTTTCTTCTAAGGCCTTCTCAATTGGGACTTCGCACTCCTCGACTTGAGCTCTTAATAGAAATAGTAATTAATACTAAGACTGATACAATATTTAGTAGTTTAACTAAGCTCCGTAACTGGGTTTTGAGCAGAACATGAAGAAGAAAAATCTAAATTACATGACGAGCGCCGCAGTAGCTGATATGTCGAAACCCTTCAAACTATCTCCTGAATTAAGCTCACGTTGCATTCAAGGTTCGCGCTTACGATTTTTCATTTTGATATAGCGCTAGAAGTAGTGTAATTCACGCAGTCCTCAGGCTCTCGGCTATAAAGCTTTAACACCTTGCACCTTTGCAAATGTGATTGAAACCGATAGATCCAGCAAATTCGGCAATGAGTTATAATCAAAAACCTTGGATGAATCGACGTAAGTTAAAAGTTAAAGTAACTAGTGCTTAATTTCGCTAAAAGTCATTAATATAAATGCCGTGAGTTGGACCAAAGTTGAGTAACACATCTGTAGAGATGAGTCCCTAAATAAGCACTCGATAAGTTAGTCTGATTACGCTAGGTTATATTCATTTCAGATCCCATAAAAGTCATAATTTCTTGCTGCCCCCAACTTGCAGCACAGTTGAAACAATCAATCAGTGGATCCATTCTCATCTTCATCCTTCACTTGCTCGTGTCTACCGGATTGTACCCCATCAGTCGTATCAGCACCATGAGAATCCATTGGCTTCGACAGTTGATCCAATGAACCGCTTACCGTTTGTTCATTGACAGACCCGGAGGTGGACATTGCGGAAGTCTGACCTGGCACTTGAGTCGATCCAGATGACGTTCCTGGTCCTGAGCCAGGGACAGCCAAAGAATTGGTGATGCCATTGGAGTTTTGGGCAGCGAGTTCAGGACCCGGTCCATGACTAGATGCAGGTGTTTGACCTTGGCTCTGGCTATGAATTTGCCCCTGAATTGAGCCGTGACTTGGACCAGGACCCATAAGTGTGGGCATTGGAGCTGCCCGCGATGAAGGATCGGCGTTTAATCCCGGCATTCCTGAATGCATCACGGCTCTGTTGTTGTATCCATACTCTAAAGGTTGATAGTGTGCATAGCCCGCAAGCGGCTGATGATACGAGGTTGGTGCAGTTGCAGCTGCAGCTGCGGCCGCCATCGCTGGGTTGTGAGGTTCCGGATAGTAAGCGTTTCTGGATGGTGCGACTGATGCTGGGTTCCCGCTGAGTATAGAGGAAGCACCTTGCTGAATCACACTTTGTATGTCTCGTACAAATAATGGAAATAAAAGATCCACAATTTTTTCTCGTTGAGCCATGGCCAATGCGCGATCAAATGGAATCCATACACCTTTCAAGTGCATGGATCCTATTTTCACAACGTGTCGAATTTTCTCGGCTTTCAGAATACCATCACGACGTCCACGGGTCATTTTGGCCACATTCAAAAGCTTGGTACCGTTGATCATATCGTTATCCGCACGACGTACTACAGAGACGCCATTGGCTTCGACTTGGTAGCATAGCGTGTTCTCGTCCTCCCACATAGTTGTTGTGACACGGGGTCTGGAACTCACGACCGAACCAGAATTTGATGCGGCAGTAGGCCCAGGACCCGGCATTGCTGGTTGAAGATGGTGTGCCGGGTGTTGAGAATGAACGTGCATTCCCGAAGATGCTGGGTCCATGGCGCCAGCCGCGGCCAAGCCAAGCAGTGCGGTGCCATCTAGAGAAGATCCGCTGGGAGGTTTGGTGGAAGAGCCCATGATGGAGTCCATACGGCGACGTTTTCCCGGGATGAGCTCTTCTGGAGCTGCTGGATTGTAGTACACGCCTACCGGCGAGTTGCCTAGATCCCCCTCGTGAGCTGCAGACGAACGGAATCCTGGGTATTGGTACGACTGTGCTTGGGCCTGTGCTTGAGCTTGGGCTTGTGCTTGAGCTTGAGCCTGTGCTTGAGCCTGTGCTTGCGCCTGCGCCAGCTGGGCCTGATTGTAGTGACGGTAATACGAAGCATATGCCTGTTGTTGTTGTTGTTGTTGTTGTTGTTGTTGTTGTTGTTGTTGTTGTTGTTGTTGCTGCTGTTGTTGCTGTTGTTGTTGCTGCTGCTGTTGTTGTTGCTGTTGTTGCTGATGCTGCTGTTGTTGTTGCTGCTGTTGCTGTTGTTGCTGTTGCTGTTGCTGCTGCTGCTGCTGCTGCTGTAGTTGGTCTTCGGTGGTTACGTTGCCGTATGGATAATATCCATAGGCGGCTGTAGACCCGTACGATGCGTATCCCTGGGAACCATCTGCATGCTGCTGCGGCTGTGCAGCAGCCGCAGCCGCGGCCGCAGCGGTAGGGTAATACGAATACGCGTACTGGGGCACGTGAGCGGCGCCCGCGGTGGGTGGAGCACTAGGCACGTCGGAGATGGATCCCGCGGAGCCCAGGCCCGAGGCCGGCCCCGTTCCGTTGCCGGAGCCCGGCCCGCCAGGCGCCGTATAGTAGCCGCCATGCATCTGTGGGTTATACTGGAAATGCCAGTGGTCCTGCAGCTGCTGGCTCGCCATGTACGGGTAGTTGTTGTTGTGGCCGCCGCCGGCGTTGGCTCCGGCGCGTCCCGAAGACGGACCCGGTTGCGCGGACGCGGCCGTAAGCGCGCCGCCGCCGTTGGACGCGTTGCCGTTGCCATTGCCGTTACCGGTGCCGCTGCCACTGCCGCCACCGTTACCGGCGTTGCTGCCGCCGTTGTGGTTGCTGCCAACGCTGCCGCTGCTGCCATCGCTGCCGGGGCCGGGGCCGGCGCCGGCGCCGGGAATGTCGCCGGGACCGGCGCTCCGCGGGGTGGCGTGACCGTGGTCTCCGCCGTCGCTGGTGATGTGTCCCCCGCCGCCCGAGACGGGGTTACCCTGCACGCCGGCGCCGGACACGGACTGCGACGTTCCGGGCGTTCCTCCGCCCGTCTGGTGAGGCGAATGTTGCTGGACCATGTGTGGATGACTTTGCAGCGACGATTGGCCCTGGTAAGAAGCGTGTGAGTTGTGCTCGCTCATGGGTGTTTTTGTCTGTGGGTCTATCAACAAAACACTGTACTCGTTTGCTGTCTCCTGCAGTACTGTTTGTTAGGTGCTTGCTGCCTATGCCTGCTGCAAAGAGCACGACTGAACTCCATCCTCGCTGTTGTCGCTGCATTGCTGCTTTATATGCAATGGCTTGAAATTTTTTTCGCATGGCGTTGCAGTTTGCATGCGTGGATGGGGTAATAAGCAAGAGCGCGTTTTGGGCATGCGTGGTTGCCGTATGAAGTTACCTTTGCTGGGTTGCGCCTCACGGGCCACGCGGCCACTCGCGAGTACTTGTGGGAGCCGCCACTCTCGCGAGTACTTGTGGGAAATGTCTAATAATAATATAGATTCACAACATAGAACATTTCAGTCTTTGCTAGCGCGCTTGCAAATGACGTAATGTGTTTTGGAAATGTCTCTGTCTACGGCGATTGATTTCCCTGTCGGATGTCGGATGGCTTCTATCAGCTGTGGGTGGTTGTTGATCACCGTTGTTTCTGTGCACTAGCCGATGGAGAACTCACAAACGGTCTTGTCTCGGCTCCGAAGGCGTATGCAGACGGATGATGTTGGGAAGTATCGTAGAAGCGGTTACTATTGGCACAAGTCAAAAGACTCCAGCGCGTTTGTTGTTGCCATAGCATACGATGGCAGCGATCTGCGGTTGGAGTGTTTCTTGTGTAAAGCTATCAAGACTTGGGGTTCGAAGAAGTGGTCCACAAGACATGCGGGCCACGGGGCTACCAAGGCGTGGGGCTATTCGGGCGGTGAATCATTCACAAAGCTCTAAGGAACACTTCGTGAAGCTATCACGACTTGAACTCCGAAACTTGTTTACACACATCAAGACTTGTAAGTCGAGAAACTCCTTCACAACGCTATAAGGAACACACATCAAGACTTGTAAGTCGAGAAATTCCTTCACAACGCTATAAGGAACACTTCGTGAAGCTGCCACGACTTGAACTCGGAAACTTGATATGCGTCAAGACTGATACTCCCTCACAAAGGTATAAGGAACACTTCGTGAAGCTATCACGACTTGAACTCCGAAACTTGTTTACACACATCAAGACTTGTAAGTCGAGAAACTCCTTCACAACGCTATAAGGAACACACATCAAGACTTGTAAGTCGAGAAACTCCTTCACAACGCTATAAGGAACACACATCAAGACTTGTAAGTCGACAAATTCCTTCACAACGCTATAAGGAACACTCCGTGAAGCTACCACGACTTGAACTCCGAAACTTGTTTACACACATCAAGACTTGTAAGTCGACAAATTCCTTCACAACGCTATAAGGAACACTTCGTGAAGCTACCACGACTTGAACTCCGAAACTTGATTACATATGCATCAAGACTTGTACTCCCTCACAAAGCTTTAAGGAATACTCCCTAAAGCTGCCACGACTTGTATTCCTCCACATGGCTATAAAAAATACTCAGCAAAGCTACCACGACCTGAAACTCGAAAAACTTATTCTCAACACTATCGAGACTTTTTTTGATCCATATAGCTCTGCCAAGACTTTAAAGTCGATCCACCAAGCTCCCCAAACCACTTCCAATAATTTTTTCTACACATACACATCTTCGTAGTCACGATATTTTTTCATTTCGAACTATGCTTAAAACCTAAGCATGTCTGCTCGCTAAACTTACAAGTGCACTGAATTGATCCACTATGCTACCGATCAATCGTCTCCGGGTACGCAAAGCTTGCATCACTTGCAAGAGACGTAAAATAAAATGCGATGGTCAAAATCCTTGTCAAAATTGCATCAAACACAACATTCACTGTTCATATCAGCTAGATACACCCAAACTGGTGGCGAGGAATGACTCAATATCAGATGCAAGTTACCAATCCGTTCCCTCACTATCCTCGCCTTGGCAGTGCTTCTCGCCTCACAAGTATCGTTTCCATCGTCGACATCAAAACCTCCTGCCGTTCTACTTGGGTAACGTATTGATGCGCTCATTGCCACAATCCGTGATCGATGAGCATTCCTTGAGGCCGCCCCGCTTACAGTTTTACGGCTGGAACATGTCTGGAGGTCATTATTTGAAGCAACGTCAAACAACAACTTCCAAGGGTACCATCTGTTGGCAATGGGACTTTAGCGATCCCATTCAGCAGAATTTGGTCGAAAAACTTGTTCAATTTTATTTCAAAAACGTCAATCGTTTCTTGTCCATCGTTCACGAGCAAGCGTTTTGGCAGCAGTTTAAAGCTGGGTTTGTAAATCGAGATCCACAAGGCTCTAGCGATTTATTTGAGGCTATCCTGAATCTGATTGTTGCTATCGCTTTGCGATTTAGTTACAGCAAGGTCACCGACCCACTTAACAGCACACCAGAGTCTCCCGCAACATTTTCTACTAATGAATGCTTATCCAAGGATGAAGCCAATTGGATTGAAGCGCACTCAAATCTGGAAGAAACTCTTTTCGATTACGCTTATACGGTTACAACACAGATGTCTTTCGAATGGGAATCCTTCGAATTAATTCAATCCTGGCTCTTGATGGCATTTTACTTGCGGACCTGCCATCGTCAAGTTTCATGTTGGCAGGCTCTTAGCCGGGCAGTTCAGATGTGTAACGGGATGTCTTTATTTTTGAATAAATTTCCCGAAAATCACAATGCTTACGATGAATGTAGAGCTAGAAATTGTTACTGGGCTTGCTTCACGTTAGATAGGTTAATCGGGTTTCAAATGGGCCGCATTCCAGAGCTCGCACCACCAGGCCCTCAAATGCTGCCTCCGGATGTGGCCACTGATAGTTGGCTAAGTTCGGAAACTATTGTCTTGTACAAGCTCGCACTCATCATCACCGATTGTCAAAAGCGTTATGGTGAAGAGCTCTCTATACAGGAGTATCAAGCCGTTAAAAGTCGTCTTATTGAATGGTACAATGAAGTTGGCCCTACTTTGATTGATGTGGACTTATGCACAAGGCAAGTCATATTAACTTATTTGGACGTTAGGATAGCTTTGGAAATCCGGAGTCTATTTCCGTTTCTAGATGCAAACGAGAATTATTCTCAAATTCATAGAGTAGATCTGGGTGCGCTACCAATTGACGCCCCCACGCTTTTAGACCTTGTTGAACAAATATTGAATACTTTTCGTGGAATCGTGGAATCCGGCTTATTCTTTCGGCCTTGGTGGTTAAATTTGTCACTCTTATTCATATCTAGCATTATTTGTTTGATACTAATTCAGAGTGGTATTCAGGTGTTAAGGGCACAATCTTTGCTCAAAAAAAGCTTCGATATTTGGCAATACATTGAGAATTCTACGGCACCGAATCCACCAGGAATGGTAACAGAATGTTTGTGGTGCTTGAAAATGTTGAACCATATGTTCTGTCAGCGACTAAAACAATCTGCGAAAGAATTAGAGAACACTGTAGGCCTTGATCATGCGAATGACTCCGTGAACAACAACAAATTTCGCCAATTTGGTAAAGTGGAGAAAGTGGAGAAAGTGGATAAAGTGGATAAAGAGACTATCAGAGAAGAGACATTTAATTTTGGCATAGGTGATGCAAGCAGCCCTTCGGTCGACAGCAACAGCGAAGATCTGTTTGCGCATCTTCAGTGGTTTGATCAATGGCTGGATGTGAATAATCTAGATACCATGTTGTAACAATGTAATTAAAACTTCTACCCTAATAAAAAATGAAATGCCTTTAATCTTTCTACTTGACCGGTGCTTCGGTCTTTTTCTGAAGTTGTCTTGACCTTTCGTAATACAAATTTGGATGTGAAATATGGGTCTGATCATTTACTTCTACAGCTGTGGACCCACAATGGGTCATCTCGAAAACCTTTGTGCAAGCTACCGTGTATTCTGTTCGTTGAACACTGTCCAAAATGCTGGTAACTTGCGTTGAGCTTAAATTCATTCCTTGAGACAGCTCTAATGTTAATTTGTCTACGTTCCAATCCCTATACGGACAGCCGTGATACTCGCCCCTTGAAGGTCTAGGTTTTGAGAGGATAGTTCGACAATCCCAAGGTTTGTAGTTAATTCTGTTACCTTCCAGACCATAGTTGTGTCTAAAGTTGTATCGATACTCCTTGTTGAACTTCTCCGACGTAAGATTGCCACCGCTGGTAAATGCGTCAGACCAAAACTGTAAGGCGTCGTCTACGTTCATACCAATACCTTTCAAGAAAAAGGACAACTGTTGGCGGCCTTGATAGCGTAAGTGGTGATTCTCTTTCAGACCGTTCATTAAGTTTTTAGCGCATAGGGGGAAGTTCTCTCTAATTTTTTCCGAGTAAACAGTTGTCGCGTTGACTTCACCTTGCGAAGCCTGTCCAAACTGCTCTTGCTGTAAAAAGTTCGATACGTCATATCCTGATGATAAGTGGTGCAAAATCGGTAGTAAGCGGTCATCTTCGTTCAATCGAGGAATACATTGAAATGTTTTGATCAGCGCGCTAGACAGCATACTGGAGAATTCGTTCGCGATATGATTTAATTGTTGAAATTGAGGAAGGTAGGCAAATCCTTTCTTGATAAAAACCTGCCTGCTACCAACCAGATCAACTACAGATTCAAACGGTAGTTTGATAAATCTCTCTTGATTGAAGTAATGTCTGCGTTGAACTTCGTCGGTCAGATTAAGCTGAAATTGTAGAGCGCTTGACACCGTTTGATAAAGCTGAGTGGACAGTTCTTCCTTCTCCGCATCAGAAATGAATTGTAGAAGAGGCAAATCCAGGGTTTTCACAAATTTCGCCTGGTCTTGTGAGGTCATCATGTTAAAACGAAGTTTCAGTAACGTAGTTTCGGATCTGATAAACTTATCGCGTAACTCTTTCGATCGACAGAAACAGAGTCTCAAGATGAAGTGCGAGTAATAGTCCTTTTTGCGTTCTAGCAGGTTATCGGTCGTGAAAGGAAGGAGCTTTTGCAGCAGTGGCTTAACGATTACTTCCATTTCTTTGGCAGATTTATTTCTTTGAATGCATGATTCGATCTCTAGCAAGACCTTTAGTCTATCAATGGCCCATAGTTCGAATTGCTCCAATGTTATCTCACCCTTTGGTGGAATGGTATAGAAGGACAGTTTCGAGTCATACAAAGTTTCATAGAGCTGCTTCTCCTCCTCTGATGTTGTGGCATTCAGGATGAATTTGCCTGAGGAGAGACCCGACTGATCCTCAAAGTTCTTTCGACTAGTAACTCTTCTTTTAGATTGCCTAAACATCTTTGTTGGCTAAGTAGTGGCTGGTCTGCTAGCTGTCGAGAAAGTGGTCTTGGAGTCAAGGTAATTTGACGACGCGTAACATTAATTTGATTACGCGTTGTCTTGAAAAAAATAGACAACAATTCAAATTCGATGAATTTTATGGATTCACTCATTGATAAACATGAGTACCTGAAACCCAATATTAGGACACTATGACAGATCAGAGAAAAAGTCATATCATATTTCTTTCTGGTCAAGCTTCATTGCAATAAATTGAAGAGAGACAATAGCTTGGTGGCTAACCGCGTCACCTTGCAGGCTCGTTTGGTCTTGCGATAGTAAAGCGCGAAGAGCTCAAGCTTGACTGTAGGCTTTTCTAAATTATCTAGCAGTAAATTGTATGAAATGGGCCGTCGGGAAGACGGCAGCAGTTTATAGGGAACATCGTATTTTAGCTAGCTATGAAGTCTTGATGAGTTTAAGGGTCTGAAAGAGTGGCAGGAGCTATAATTGGTCTACGACTGATCCACAAATTGACATGTAGAGTCGAATAGCTTTTGTTCACAATTTTGCGAGAAACGACTGTAGTTTTTTATCCTTCTTTACCGCCCCTTAATTTTTCAAGCTATTACCAAACTCTGGGAGCGTGAAGGCTAGCCTTATGAGAAGAAATAACTTGTAATCTCGTTCAAAAGCCAATATGCTTTTGGAAAGTACAAGAGTTGATGCCTTCCATCTATCGAACGAGTCGCATATGGCATATACTCGAGTTTCAAGGGTGGCATGAAACGCCGCTGAACTGTGTCAAACTCGGACAGTATTTAGAGAATACATATCTTGCCACCCAAGGCCTATTGAAGGACTTTCGGTAAAATGATCTTTTTTCTACGAGTACGCAACATAAGTTTCTAAATCGTGTGAAACAACGGTTCAACTCTGACTTTTGCATCGTAAAAATTGTGTACTTCGAAAGCTCCACTTGCGCTACGAAAGTCGTCAGTTAGCAAAATTCTGATTAACAAGACTGAATGATAAGGTGTATGAAACAAACTCAAATAGATCTCGCTAAACGACATTATGGGTCTTTTTCACATTTGCTAGATACAGATGATACTTGTTGCGTTGGCAGAAGCGCCGAAAGGGACTTCTCCATTGCGACGTCAATACAACAGATCCATAAAAAGTTCTGTTTGCAGATGGTAAACTAGTGCAGAGGCCTAATTCTCGTCATTATCATCAAAATGGAAGTGGACAGTTTCGAAATTAAACGTAATCTTTCCTCATTTGGCGATCTTCCGTATCAATCACATATCGGCCCATTTCGAATCAGTTCAAATAACTAATTGGCACCGCGAACTAGCAAAATTGTTCCGACAATTATCGGGCCCTTTTTGTTGCAAGCGCTATCGTTCCTTTAGTTGATCAGCTCTAACAGTTCCGCGTCAGGCGCTTAGATTTGTAACCACGTGATTTGCAATTCTTACATTTAATGAGCCAAGAGAAACTCTCTGTCATCATTTTCCATGGTGGCTCACTATATTAACTCTTCAATTCCATTTCATAGCTTTGGCAACGGTACTCTAACAACTTTGCGTGTCCATTCATTATTATGATTGAAAAACAAGTGGTTGTAATCGGTGCCGGAATCTCAGGCTTGAAAACGGCGTCTGAACTCTACGCTAAAGGATGCAAATCTTGCGTGGTTCTGGAAGCTAGAGATAGAATTGGTGGCAGACTATACACTGCACCAGGTTATAACAATAACAAGTATGACTTGGGTGCTAGTTGGCATCATGATACATTGGTCAATGGTCTATTTTTGGAAGAGGTCGGCCTCCCCAAAGAAGAGCGAGCTGCCTTTGTTTTTGATGACGATGCCATGATTGTCTTCGATAAAGAGAGAGGAAGAGTTGACCAGGATCCAGAAATGGCATTGGAAGTACTCATGGAAGAACTCCTTAAGTTCAATCAACTCCAGTATTTCGAAGATTTGGACGTCAAAGATGTGAACTATTTCGAAACAATCGTCAAGTACTTGTACGAAAGGAGGGACTTGCTTACAGATGAACAGATTCAGTATCTACCTCAGGTGGCACGCTTCATGGAGTCCTGGCACGGAATCGATTGGAAAACCCAAAGCTCTAAATGTCTGGAGATCGCACATCAAGGACGGAATGCATTTGTTCTCAACTACGATACCATTGTTAAACGTGTAGGCTCTGCCATCCCTCAAGAATGGATTAAGATGGAAACTGAGGTCAGTGAGATTGATAGTGAGGGCAAGAAGGTAGTTGTCACTACCAAGACTGGCGAGAAGTACGCATGTGACTACGTTGTGGTTACCATTCCTCAGAGCATCTTAGCTCACTCGTTGAAACCGGAACCTCGTAAAGGTAGAATTGAATTCAACCCACCTTTGGCTAGTGGTATTCAAGATGCCTTCAAAAAAACTCACTATGGTAGTCTCGGTAAAGTCGTCTTTGAGTTCAAAGATTGCTGTTGGTCGAGAAAGCGGTCTCGGGTGCTTTCTTTGGGCAGTAGTACCCCTGATATTACTGCAAAAGTGAGAGATGCTGATGACTTGGCGTCACTCGTCGAAAAGCTCAACCTGGACACTCAATATAACTTCAAAAATGGAGAGTCCTGGGATTTCCCACTCTTCTTTGTTAATTTGGCCAAACACACGGACATCCCGTCTCTGATCTTGTTAATGGCGGACCCGCTCACTGCATATATCGAATCTTTGCCGGATAAAGAAAAGCTTTATGAATATTTCGAGCCCATTTTGACAAAAGTCCTACAAGCCTTAGATTGTACTGAGCCTATTGTGAAAGACTTTGACGACAAATCGACTTCTGACGGCATAAGCAGCCCTGTGTTGAAAAACATTATGACAACCAAATGGACGCTTGACGAATATGCGCTCGGTGCCTATTCTGCTTGTGAGCCCGGCGATGATCCAATGGACCTAATTCTTTCTTTAACGAACAATCAAACTTCCAAGATTCGCTTCGCCGGTGAGCATACCATCATGGATGGCGCTGGGTGTGTGTACGGTGCCTGGGGGAGCGGCAAGCGCGAGGCTGCATTTATTGCTGATAAATTAGGCAACTTCGGAAGCCACTCAAAAACTTTGTAAGTGAATTGATTTTATAGATTTTCCTTCCTTTAATTAACCCAACATTAACTTGATTTATTATTATTTACACGATCTTCCTTGATTCTTGATCAAGAAGTTGTCATCAATCCAATGCCATGCAAACTCGAACTCCCTCCATCATATTCGTTAGGAATCTCCATATCAAAGGAATGGATGGTATTTTCGAACCATTGCATAAGATCAAAATTTCCACATTCTTCTTGCGACATTACGGGAAGCTCCTCTTTCAGCAAGTTCCACCAAAACCGAGATGGGATTAGCTTGTGCTTGTATTTGATTACACTTTTTGGTTTCAAGGAAATGTTTACCAGTCCATACATGAAAATGTTATTGAATGGGACTATTTCTGCTGGGTGCAGCAAACAATCTTGAGTTTCGCAATGATGTGCAGGCGATTTGCAAATGAGCGCATCCGAAGATGGTTGTTGATCCGGAAAACTTATGCGGCCATTACCTACGTTTGACAATGGCACACCACTCTGTTTGACATAACTCTCCAGCTCTTCCTCTTTCCTGTGTATTAAGCAATTAACACATTGGCAGTTATCATCTTCACAATTACATTGAGTACTCAAATAAACTCCTTTGTGGGTGAAAAGCTCCACAAAAGAATTGTTATGAATCTCTGCACTGGTATAATCTGCTTCTACAGATGGACCCAAGTATGGTTCTTGTGAATTTTTGTAAGTTGGGGGAGCCACGCATCGGTCAATCTGATGTTGAAAGTCAAGTTCGGCAAATTCTTGTTTGACAGGCTGTGTATTAATTAAAGGACCCTGGTGATGTAGTGGCTCCATAAACGAAGACAAATTTCCATCACTTTGAACTCCGTAATGGGAATGAAGCTCTTTTGGTAGGTTAGGGGTAGGAATTTTAAGATGGTTTAGCAAATAATCTCTCTCAGAAACGAGTTTCATCTCGCCTTGAGAAGTTGTATCTTTATCTTCTATCACAATTTTTAAAGCCCCATCTACTAAGAATGCCTTTTGTGTACTCATAGCGCGTAGAAATAGAATTGGCTGCTTGTTCATTTTTGTGCAAGAGCGCGGTGATCGAGATCGAGACGACGAGCAACAAGATGTAGATGACTGTTCTTCTAGGATTGGACTATTATTGACTTGGGAACTGGCATCAACCAGAATGACTTTGCGTATGGTTTTTGCTGAAGGCCGCCCTTTTGTTCGCACTTTGACAAGCATCCGATTGCTGTGTTTGCAAGTAGTGGATCTGTGTCCCCGAATGCAAGAGACACAGGAATACTTCTCCCCATCAAATATAATCATAATATCAACAGGTACTTGAAGAAGAACTTGTGAAACTCTGAAAGTACTGAATATGTGGAAATAATAAGCCGTAGAATAACCCGATTAGCGGAGGCTCTCCGTAAACACCAATTAGCAATGAAAAGTCGCCCAAATTCCAGGGAGAAAAATCCATATAGGGAGGTATCACGACTGGTTAGCGGGCAGATTAATGCAGAAGCTCTCTAGGATCTCTTTTCCGGTACAGGGGACAAATTTGTACTGAAATTCTTGACTAACGAATTTTCAACATTTCTGATAATACAAAATCGATTCAATAATTATAAATATTCATATATGACAAACTTGAGGTTAGCCCGAACCTAGACACCCAGCGCATTTAAGATGTCTAAGACGGCGCAGAAACGTTTATTCAAGGAGATGCAACAGCTGATCAAAGACAGCCCAGCTGGCATTGTAGCAGGACCGGTTTCAGAAGATAATCTATTTGTGTGGGATTGTTTGATCAGTGGGCCCCCAGATTCTCCCTACGAAGGCGGTATTTTCAGCGCCCGACTTGATTTTCCTAGAGACTACCCGTTATCGCCACCAAAGCTCCTCTTGACGCCAAGCATTTTGCACCCAAATATCTATCCCAATGGGGAGGTGTGTATCTCTATTTTGCACTCACCTGGGGACGATCCAAACATGTACGAGCTTGCCGAAGAACGGTGGTCACCTGTGCAGAGCGTCGAAAAGATTCTGCTCAGTGTTATGAGCATGCTAAGTGAACCCAATGTGGAGTCCGGTGCTAACATCGATGCGTGCATTCTTTGGCGAGACAACCGTGCAGAATTTGATAGACTGGTAAAACGCTCAATTCTGAAGTCTCTAGGCTTTTGATGGCTGTCAAATAGTGAACTGGCTTCCAGCAGGTTGGGGCTACAAGTGTATAAAAAGACCAAAAAAAAAAAGGTACAATAACTAACAAATAGACACTTGCTTGTGTTGATCTCTTTTTTATTTAAGGGGCAATTGAGAATTGTCTCCGATTTCAATGTTGGTTTTCTCTGCTCGCATTCTCGGTTTTTGATGCTGTTCCATTTGAGCTTGGTTTAAGAAGGCGATGTCGACGTGCTCTTTAGCAGTACGAAAAAGCGTTGAGACCTGGCAAACGCTTCGTGACATCTTGGACAAAACACGTTGCTACGTAATTGAGATGTTGCAGGTACGAGAACGAGATACTGGAACCATGCATGAACCAGATGAGTATTGCCTGTGAGGGGTTCCTCAAAATATCTGATTTTTCGATTTAGAAGAAGCCGGGGAAACCGGCTTGTCCTGTCAGCTGGAGCGGATTAAGCAAAGTTCATTTTTACACAATGACACGCATATTTAGCTAGGCTTTTTGGCGAACCAAACAAACCACCAGAAGCTGAGAGAAGCCGGCTTTTGCACTTCCGCTTTTTTAAATATTTGTCGCCTCTTGTGTTTCTAGCAGACACTCGGCAACTCTTCTTTTGGGCAATGGTGATATATTCTAGACCGAAGTTCAACAACTGCAATCCAGTAGCGGATTTCAAATTGACGAACGCACGCGCAGCTGTTCTACCACGTTGAACTTATTTGGTCGTAATCGAGTTCTTTGGCACAGCCAGGCATGAAATTCGCGCATTATAAGCCATGGAAGACGCGCACCTGCATCTTCTTGTAATATTTCAAGCTCGCTCTTTCCCCCGACTTCCTGGAACATACCAGCAACCGCTTGTATACCGACCTGATCGTGATATCTCCATTTAATACCTAATTTCATTGAGCTAGAAGTTTAAACATTGGCTTAAACGTGTAAAGAAGAAGTGTTCGGAACTGATTACAGGCGTCTAATTATCGAAAATACCAACCGCTTTCGATCACCGGTGTGACCCTGATCTAATTTTCTGCTCATATACTCAGCCGATAATTGGACTAGCCAAGCCCACTGGGAAGCGATAGCCTATTCAGCCTATATTAAGCGTTTACACGCTGTGTCGCGGAAGCTCAACTACTGCCATGGTCAAGTTAAGCAAGTAGCATTCTATACGTGCTTTATATGTATATACAGGATGCCTGCCTTATATATATTATAAAAACCTCGACCTGAAAATCAAGTTAAGATGTTTTGAGTTAACGACAAGAAAGACTGAAAACCACAGCAATGAGGCTTTCCTTGGCGTGGCTTTTAGCCTTTCTGGCGTCTCTCCATGGCTCACTTGGTGTGACTCTCAATGTGAACGATACAACGTCAGTGCATAATGCAACAGCATTGATTGCGGAAGGTTTGCTAGATTACTACACAGGATTGCAGCCCGGAAATGCTATCGGTATGTTTTCTAATCCATACTACTGGTGGGAAGCTGGTGGTGCATGGGGGTCTATTTTAGACTACTGGTGGTACACCGGGAATGACACGTTCAATGGAATTCTTAAACAAGCGCTGCTGGCGCAGACTGGAGACAATAACGATTACGTGCCTTTAAATCAATCCGTGACAGAAGGTAACGATGATCAAGCCTTTTGGGGTCTTGCTGTGATGGCTGCTGCAGAAAGGAATTTCGAAAATCCGGCTGACGACGAACCACAATGGTTGTATCTGGCCCAGGCTGTCTTCAATACCATGGCTTTGCGTTGGGATGACGATACCTGCGGTGGTGGTCTTAGGTGGCAGATTTTCACTTGGAATTCAGGCTATGATTACAAAAACACTGTGTCGAATGGCGCGCTTTTCCATATTGCCGCCAGACTCGCTCGTTATACTGGTAACCAGTCCTACGCGGATTGGGCCGAAAAAGTATTTGACTGGATGAAGGGTATCAACCTTCTGGAAGAAGGCGGGAACAATTTTGTGTTTGATGGTGCTAATGTTGAGAACAATTGCAGTAATGTCACGAAATTGATTTGGACTTATAATCAAGGGCTACTGATGTCAGGTTCTGCGTATTTGTACAATTTTACGGAAGATGAGGTATGGCATACGAGAACCTGGGAATTCTTGAACTCATCGAGCATTTTTTTCAACAATAGTGTTTTGTATGAGGTTACTTGCCAAGGTGGTAATACATGTAATACCGACCAGCGGTCCTTCAAAGCCTACTATTCCAGGTTTCTGGGATTGACGGCCCAATTAGTGCCCGGGGCAAGGGACAAAATTATGGATTGGATTCGCACTTCTGCGCAGGGCGCTGCTCAATCTTGTTCCGGTGGTACGGACGGTCACACTTGTGGTCTAAACTGGTTCTACGAAGGTTGGGACGGAAAGTGGGGATTAGGTGAACAGATGGCAGCACTGGAAATTATGCAAAATGTGCTTTGTCTTGACAGACCCGCGCCCTACACCCACGACACAGGTGGTACCTCTCTTGGTAACGGTGCTGCAGGGACCGAGACCCAACCGACGAACTTGGCACCATTGAACATAACGACTGGATCTAGAGCCGGAGGTGGCATTATCACGGCAGTCATTGGTCTTTCCATTGTGGCTTGCACAGTATGGTTAGTCTTGTAAGGTATTTCCCTTATATGGCATGTTCAAACTAAATTTCTGTATATCATTTATCAACATATAATTCTACAATCCACACTTTTGACCTGTAAAGGTTTATTGAACCATTTTCGGCAAATACAATCAAGAAAATCGTAATCTCGTGCACTAAAACAGTCAAATGAGATTGCGGAGAGAAACACTGGGGAAACAGTCACGATTTCCTCATCACACGTCTCCACGACCTCCTTGAGTGATTCGTATAGCAGCGATATTCTGCCGTGAAAATAACCAACTAAAGACAAGACGATTTCGAGGTTGTCACGATCTAACTCTGTCTCTAACTCTTCCTCTGGTTCATGATATGATGGCTTCATGTACCCTGCCGTAGCCCACCAGTAAAATCCATCGATAAAATACTGCGACCAAGTTGTTGGTTCAATTAGTCTGCTTAGTTTTTCTTTTTCCTCGTGCGACAACTGGTAACCCAGATGACTGTTTACTAGCTTTTCGTATAATTCCAGCTCATGAGGAGTTGCTTTGATTGTGGCTTCATCACTCATTCTTATTTCGGGGAGGGATTCACTGCCATTAATTTTCAAACAAACATCATAAAGCTCTGTACGATACTCCAAAATTTCATCGGCTGTACACGCAACAAATCCAGGGATTTTATAATCATCTCTGTTTTCTGCCATTGCTTTGGATACGTGTTGAGCCAATGCATCCATGTCGGTGATTCCGATGGTGTATAGTGGCTGCAATGGTTCTTGCTTGAAGTGATCTGATAAACTATGAGGAGTTAAAGCTAGTATTGACAAGCAGTATACTAGCGAATTGCACTTTTCAAACGAGACGCCGTTTCCAACAATAATTAATATTCGTTCTTGAAGCAACGAAGCCTTCCACAGCGGAAATATAAGAGGGCCTAAGTAGTTGAACCACTGCGTAAGCGACTCTAGCATATGCGGACTTTTTTCTCGCAATGAATTTGAAGTACCAGTAAAGTTGCTTGAGTTTTGCCAACTACGACGTAAAACGGGCGACGACAAAGATGGCGTATCGGATTTCACACAATTAGATTCAAAATACGTTTCAAAGAGATCGTAATCTGCGTAAATAGAATCTGAGCCCGTCTGTGATGAAAAAGAGGAAAATCTTCGAAGCCAGTGAGAGAGAAGGTCTTGAATGTCATCAATGTATTCAGTAGCACTAATGAATTGATTAGGCTTCCAGTCATAAAACTTCGATTTGGAGACACCCCTATATCTAAAATTTGCATCAACCACGACCCCAAGTGAAAACATTTGCACTTCGCTACGGTCAACATGATCGGTATCACCACTTAAGGACAGCCCATTTTGTTCAAAGCATGATAACCCGTAGTAAACCTCATCGAAATTATTGTGCTTCGGAATGATAAAACTCACTACATCTTTCTGAACCTGGTGAATTCCAGATGGTATGCTTTTGAATTCAATGTTTTTCAGCGAAACGTTGGGGACGGAGGATGAATTTTTTGACCACATTAGTACATTTCCCCTCTTTACATCAAATTGACATAAAAACATGCAGGTTATGGGGACTTTATGGGAGGGCTCCGAGATCTTGAAGCTCTGCTGCTTGACATCATACCTCATATCTAGAGGTCTAGTGAACTGATGCATTAAAGGTATAATTGGCGTTGCAACGTGAAATCTTAGTCAGTGACTTATGAAATGACTTTTTTAGTGAATTCAAGACGTGCTGTGGAATCTTCAAACTATATATTAAAATTATTTAACCGGCAATGAAGGAAAGAATCCTAAGGCAGCACGTTGAGAGCTGTACTGATCAACTACAAGGCATTGTCGACTTCCAGTCAGCACAAGCGATTTCAGCTTTTCAGACTAAGACAGAGGACAACTTTAGGTGTCTTGATGAACTGAAAGACAAATACAGAACGAATGACGAGACCATCAATGAGTTTAGAGATCTTAAAGCTGACTTTAATGATCAAATTAGCAAACTAGAGGAGTCGATAGATTACTATGAAAACCTGGCAGAGGAAATTCTTGAGTTTCTGGCGGAGAATGATGTTAAAAAGAAGCTGGCTCTCAAAAGACAAACACATAATATGAGATGAAAAAGTGACGAGTCCATGAGAATCTTTGAGGAGTAAACAGCACACCTTGATATGAAGACAGCTGATGAAATACATATATTCTTATGTTCTACTTACCAACACAGAATCGGGAAAAAACGACGCCAAGAACTTCTTCTATTCCAACAGACTGCCCCGTTATTTTACCTATGCCATCGGCGGCATAGTTAAGATTCTCCGAAGCCATAACGATGTCTTCTGAACTAGCTAAAAATTCGTCAACACCGAACAAAACGTCTTTGACCATGATTTCTTGAACTCGCCTTGATACCGCAATAGGATCTGAGTCTTGTGTCGTCGTTCCTGTGAACTCTTCGAAAAATGCTGATAAATGGTTTACAAGCTCCTCAATGCCTCGCAAGTCACGGCATGAAACCGAAGTAATGGCGAATTGTTTTTCAAAGGAAGTTTGTAAGTCCAGCACGACCTCTTTTATGGTCTGCGGATCCACCAAATCCATCTTATTGATAGCAATGATTGTATTTTTATGCGGTATTCCGGTATTGACCAGTTCGCGTAAGCCGGGACCTATGTAGGGCTTCTTTGTGGGGTCCACAACGAGCACTGCCAAGTCACACTGAAAAGCTTTTGCTTTCGCTCTTTTAATACCCTCTAACTCTATTCGATCCTCGCTTTCGTGCCTTATACCCGCAGTATCGCAAAGTACAACTTTATAGCCCTTAACGTCGATAGGAACATCGATAGCGTCTCTCGTTGTTCCTGGGATATTGCTAACGTTGGAAGTGTCCTCGTTTGTTATGCAGTTCAACAATGACGACTTGCCAGCATTTGGTGAGCCTAAAAGCGCAACTTTTATACCGTTCTGTAAAATGCTAGATCTATCAACTTTGCGGACAAATCGGTGCATTTCCTCTCTCAGGCCATGCATTTCCTGTCTGGCAGCTTCTACTATATGGTCGATGTCTTCAATTTCTGCATCATCCCCAAAATCTATGAGCGCAGTTAATTGGGCAATGTTGGATACGATAGTGGATCGCCAGCGGTCAAAGACCTGCTTATTTTGACCTGTTAGACCGGAAGTCGCAGACCGGCGCTGTGTCTCTGTTTCTGCATCTATCAATTCCCCAACCCCTTCAATCTGAGTCAAATCCATGCGTCCATTCTGGAAGGCTCGCTGCGAAAACTCGCCAGGCTGAGCGTACCGTATGTCGAGGCCATTTTTCCTATCGCCAAGTTCTTCTATGGCTTTTAAAACGCTTTTTACCACCGCTCTGCCACCGTGCAAGTGCAGCTCCAGCATATCTTCCCCTGTAAAGGACCTCGGATTGGCAAAATAGAGGGTTAACGAAGAGTCTAATAAGATTTTCTTTTCGCGTACCGCGCTGTATAGGTTTCGCAGTGAAGCTCTTCGAGCGACTGGTTCATTCTGTGATCCAGTCAGTTGTTGCAATATGTATTTAGAGTGAGTTCCAGTAACCCTTACCACCGCGATTGCCGATTTTTGACCTGGTGAAGTCGACAATGCATATATAGTAGGGTGGAAATATGTGACAGGGACACTTGAATAAGCTCTCTTGGACCAGGAGGCTGTCTTGAGCATTAAGAAAAGTAAAGGAACAAAATTAAGTCATACCAAGTGGGATCGAGACTTAATTCAATGTGAACAACTAAAAGTATTTCGCTAAATGAGACGAATTTGATGAGATTTAAACATTTTGTTTAGACAAATTCGTAAAAAATTGGACGAGACCGGAGTCGAACCGATGACCTCTCCCATGCTAAGGGAGCGCGCTACCAACTACGCCACACGCCCGAATTGATGAATAACAGTGTCAATAGGGGATATATGTGAGAGAGTAATTGTCATACGAAACAACGACAGGAAAACATGTCGGTGACGTAGATTATTATGACTATGACAGCGACAATGACAGCGACAATGACAGCGACAATGCAATGACAATGACGCCGTCGCGATGCTGAAGTCTCAAATTTACGGGTATATAAATCGAGTGATTGTTCTTGTACCAGTCTCAGTTACTTCCTCTTCTCAAACCACTGTGCAACTAGTTCGAAACTGGAACAAATAGCACATTTTACAATTTACCGTTAAACCACCGTTAATATTCGATCAAATGAAATTCACTAAAGTGCTTGGGCTTAGCTTGGCAAGTATTGCAATAAATACAGACTTTGCACTAGCTAAATGGCCTGACCAATCTTTGTACCGAGTCCAAGAGTTTGTGGTGGTGGACCAAACCGTGACAACTTTTAATGCCACTCCTGAGTGCCAAGACCAGACGATGTCAATGATTAACTCCGCGATGTCCTACAAGATCAACGTCGATGTAATGGAGCACTGCGTCTTAGAAGCGGTTTCTGTGTTACGGACTTTGCTCAAGGAAAAGAACGAATTCTGTGCTCTTGACTTGATGAACATTGCCACTGAACAATTACATTGGTTCCCCCCTGCTGGTATTGATCTATCACACATCTCAATGGCGAAACAATTTGAGCATTTAAAAACCATCTACTACAGCGCACCAATACTGCGTCGCGGGCGCGATTGGATTGCATACATAGTGCGCGTGTCGGCCCAGAGCTCACAGTGGCATGCTCTTTCGACAACGGCAACTCAAGTTTGGAGCCATGCGGAGTCATCAACACCAGCAATCCATGGCTTGTGCCAAGAAATCGGAAGGGTTTTGAAGACACCTGAGACCATTAAACTCTTGGCTAAGCTCAAAAATGAATGGACTAAATCTACTCCCACCTGCAAAAAGCCTCAAGAGGCTCGTACTGGGGGCAAAAGAGCTGCTGCACATGCTGCTGTTGATGCTGCTGCGAATGCTGCAGCCAAAGCACCTTCTCGTGTCATTGAGTTTGTCGCGCCCAAGCCTGGAAATGTTCCTAAACATAATAAACAGCAGGTTCTTGCGTTTGAACAAGAGTACAGCAATAGCACAAACCAAACAGTCCAAGTAGTGATCAAGGAAGACGAATCATCTGGCGTGGCTTCTCGTCGTATTTCTTCGTGGTCGATAATGGGTGCCGTGATAGTTGTTCTAAGTGGCGTCACACTCTTTTGAGAGTTCTGAATACTATCTTCAGAGACTACTTTAAACGACTTTAATTAATTCTATTACTTCATGTAGCTGTCGGGGGGGACGATGCAAGAGACACAGACTAGTGACTGAATATTGGGAATTCAAGAATGTAGTCTGGTTTTTTAAATATTTCGTGACGATTTCCCGACTTTTGAAATGAGAACGCTAAATACATTTTTTTGAATATATATACATAACGGCTTAATGAGCATGAAATATAGAAACAGCATTGCATCTAAACCGAAAAGAACCTGCTATGGGATGAAACCAGCAAACTTAGTTACTCGTAGCCTCCTTAGACCGAATAGCGTATTTAAGGACGTCGCGAGATCAATAATGAATAGCTTTCACGTCGAGCAAAGAGTGACCAGACATGTGATTTTTCATAGTAGTCTCACATGGCGAGAGTGTTTATTACCTCGATAGCCTTAGTGCTGATTCTAGAGCTAGATCATAGAACTCATGCACACACGGATACATTGGTCGCTATGTAACAAAAATAAACCATTGCTAATTGATCATTTTTTTTGAGAATTATTCAATTGATCGCACTGTTACACAATATTCAGAGACGTCTTTATCTCGCTGATACTCATTTATGCTATAAATGTAATATATCGCGCAAAGTCAATGTCCAAGGTTTTCTTTACAGAACTTCACCTATGTCTAGAATCGTGGAGTCATCTACGCGTGCGATTTCAAAGCAGTTGAGAATATCTTGTTTTAGCTCACAATTGAGGAATTACTGACCACCTTATGCGCACACGGGAACCAATCCCAAGTCCCAGTAAATGAAAAAACTGTTGGTTGTAGAAGCCAAAAAAAGCGAAAGGAAACAGCGTACCACTGCGATACGCCGCTGAAATGCTCATTCGTATTTAGATTCTCCTTATCACTTTTTACTACCTTGACAAGGCAGACATGTCATTCGAGTGTTGACCAAACGGTAAAGAAAATAATAGAGGAGTGAGAGAATCACCTTCCAGAGACATTCAGGTACTAGCAACCGGTTAACATAAATTTTCTTTCAATTCCAACGCGCGATGGTTGTGTTTTCAAATGCATAGTATAATTATGAAGATATCAGAGCGCTGCTTTCTACCCCCAGCCTTTCAAATCCGCAGTTCAAAACGGTGTGCACCTCGAAGTATTTGGTGGTACCTGCTTGAGTGAGCTGGGGTTATCAGAGTAAGTGGTCCTCTCACAAGTCTAAATTTTTGTGATCTTTATTATGGAATTGATGCAGGGAAGGAATCTGAATAATTGCGAAACAAACATATGAACTTGCACGATACGCACGGGGCGGTGTGTTACGTTAGGTCGGTGGTCGTACTGGAAGATTGGGCCAAGTCGCACTTTCACTAAATCACGGTGTAAGCCAACTAGTCATGGTACACGTAAAATTAAAAATTTTTCAGAAATTGAAGGTTTAACTCAATAGCTGCGAGAAGATCAAAGTTGAATTGAGTTGGAGAGCCGAGTTCACGCGGTTATTCTGGGTCTTATAGATTTGTTTATTATCAAATGTCCCAACAACTTCGTGTATCGGCGCGACTGCTTCGGACTTCGCAAGTCGGAGCACGCGCTAGACGGACATCATTGGTCAGATTTCCAACTTCCCATAGATCGCTTCATGTTGGCTACACATTATGGCAGAAACAGCCGCAGTTAGCAACTCCGGAACTCAACAAATACAAGGAATATTACAACCAGCTGCAAAAAGCTATCAATGAGGTTCCCGAGGAGCTGGCGACTCAGTCAGCGTCTTTAAGCACGCTGCATAAAAGGCTAAGACTACCGGACATATTCCCTAAATCGACCCTGGCGAGATGCTTGACATGCCGCTCTTCCCAACTTTCTTCAGAACTCAATGCGCCATCGAATGGCGCTGCATTTCCTAATACCGTTCCTACAAATAATTTTTACGACAACCATGGACTAAACATATTCGGCAAGAACTTGCTAACTTACCATGTCACCCGGCAGATAATGGCGAAATATCCACGTCTACCCACCGTAGTCTTAAATGCTGCTGTTGACGCTTACATCTCACAGAACGTACTAGCCAGTGTAGGCAAGTCGTGGGGTATTGAACTGGAAAACACTTCCGTCCTAGACAGATATATCAAGGAAGAACCCATTCAGCTCTCATTGGGCAGGTTGCGATTTTTCAATAACACGCTAAAAAAAGAAGACGGCGTGGAATTAATAATGGGACAAAACTTCTCGGAGGAGGCTGCCTTTGCATTAGCCGTGAGAAGCGTTATTGGTGCCTTATGGGCATACACTCACGAAAAAAATCCTGCATTAGCGTTTAAATTTATCGACGACCATATTTTGTCTCGTAAATTGGACGTTTCCAAAATATTTCAATTCGAACAACCTACAAGAGAACTGGCAGTACTGTGCCGTCGTGAAAATCTAGAAGCACCAATCTCGAAACTGCTGGCCGAGTCCGGTAGAAATTCTAAAGCGCCGGTGTTTATCGTTGGTGTTTTTGCCGGATCTGAGAAACTAGGCGAAGGTTTCGGCTCGTCTTTAAAAGAAGCAAAAGCTAGAGCCGCCACCGATGCATTAACAAAATGGTACTGCTACGAACCTGTCAAGGGCCAAGCTTCTGTTATTGATCATGGTGCCATTATTGTCTAATGTCCCACCGATGGGCTTACACCATGGCTCTGATTTGAATTACCCTATCATCCTGTAAATACTATATAGCACTCACACGGACAACCGAGATAATGCATTTTGATTCATTTGGACTCAGGTAATTCTCTTGCACACTTCCTCTAGTGCTCTGAAATAGTCATTTTATTGAAATGGAGAAAAGTTTGTGAATTAGGTGACTTAAACTTGATTTTCAGGGGCCGCACTTTTCTATTTTGGATATGCCCTTGAATTCTGTCTTCCCGTTGTTATTCAATGTGAAACGTATTGTAATTCTTGACTTTCAAGTTATTTCCATAATTATTAATGTGGGATCAGACAAAGAGATCTGGACTTTACAACTCAATAGCGCTGAAGTGTTTTACTTCACGTCCTCTACCACTTAATGATCAAATGCTGGAGTTTAACAGCTAATTTTATTGCTAAGATTCGCATGAAGAAGCTGAATTGTGAGCTACTGCTTGTTGTATAATTCGAAAGATAGAAGCTCTTGAATTGTTGGGGATCATCAGGTTGTCGTCGCTTAGCCATGGGGTATTTACTTTCAGGCATTTTTGATTACTCGAAGAGAGATGTAAAGATATGAAGATACACCTTGGCAAAAACTACTTCATTGCCAAAGCATAGAAACGGCCTCCATTTCGCTATCTGGCTCTTCCGCCGTAGTTACTCTGCGGCCTCATGTTCTTCTTTAAAAACGTTTTTATAACCTAAATTCACCTAAATTACATCTTTGGATTAACTAGCATCCACGATTAAAAATGGAACTCGTCGTTCGTTCAGGAATACTAATAGAGGCTAATCACACGCTTGAGAGTCAGATTGAGTTACAAGGCCTGTCGAAAGCTCCGCAATGTTTGCTAATGTTTGGTGACAAGTCCAGCTTCAGAATTGAGTTTCAACACAGCCTAGAACTACCGCTTATAGAGAAGAGTGGGGTGACTTCGTATCGAAAGGATACGTTACAAAAACGAATAAGCCTCATCAATTCAATTGCTCCGGACTGTGGGCTACTTGGCGTTATGTTTCTAGTCCAACAGAATTATGACTTGAAACGTCTTGTAGCCGAGTTATTACAAAATTTACCACACCTTTACTGTTTCTTCACATACGCTGTATCCGTCGAAGACCTTGATCTCAAGTGCTATCAAATCGAAGAGCCCGGAGCTCAAATACCTTACATCCTTTCAAACAGTGATACTTTTCTATCGGCAATCGATAACGCTCGCCCTAAATCTACAGCACAGAATACCGAGGAGTTTGAAGAACAAGAAGATTTTAAGAAAAAGCTCATTCAAAGAGTGGACATAATGATACGATACTTGGAGAACGGACAGATTACAGATGAGATATTGAGAAGAATAAACCTGTTGGTTTTGCAGCTGAAGAAAACGCCAACTGAAGACATCGACCAACAAGTGATGGAAAAGGAAATTGAATTACAGACGTTGAATATCATATGTGACCAATGGGAGAGTGCTCAAACGCTAAAAAAAATCCCGAACTAGCTTTCTATACTAGAAGCTTTCTCACGCCCTTAACTGACCAATTGCCCGATTCTTTGTCGTAGTCGCACCCCAACAGTTTGCTGCCAGTTACGGGACATTTGCCCTCGTGTTGTGGTAAGTAAGCCATTATGCATGGGTAGCAAAAGACGTAACCCGTTCCAATTGCTGCAGGGTTTTGAATGGGATTATCACAGATCCTGCATTTACCGCTTATATTTCTTTCGAATGGGAAAGGAGGCGGCGGGATATCTCCATCGATAGCGTCTACTTTTCTCAGTAATTCAGCTGATAAATCCTGCGACGTCCACCACTGGAAGACGCGCAACGTAAATATGAATGCAGGGAAGAACTGCGATGCAGAGGTTTTTATCGTTGACCCGAATTTAGAACTCCAGACCTTTAAGAGAAAGAGGAGTGCAGACTTGTTCAGCTTACTGGGCCTAGAAAGCCCGTGCCCTTTCAGCACATCGAGCTTCTTGTCTTCGTTCCGTTCATAGTCGAATCTGGACAGACGAGTATACTGTATGTTTAAAATGAAATCAATCAATGATGTAGCGCCTGTTCTGCCCGATAGGAAGTAAAGCTTGACAGCAAGGTTCAACAGAAAAACGAGCTTCTTCAATAGCGGGTAATACTTGACAAATATTCCTCGCAGTGCTTTACGGATTCTGAAAGAAGTGCCTTCGTCTTGAAGACGATCACGTACCAAGGCACCTGCCAGCAGCTTTGAATGCGTTAAATCGAGTTTGGTCGCAAGGTATGGTACAAGTACCTTTTCAAAAAGCACTGCGCATCTTTGGTTTGTATTTAATCTTAGTGGAATATCTAGATTCGAACCTCGTTGTAGAGTTTTTAAGAGAACGCTGTTTGACGAATTTATTCGCTTCAAACCGTAGAAGTTCTCTATGAACGTGCCATCCCAATTAATCACATAGTGAGATTCTATAGCAAGCTTTGTCGCCAACAGAAACCATTCATCAAACCAGTTATTTATCCACAATGTATACTTGTTGGGCTTTCGAGCCACTAAGTTGGCTGTTATATATCTGACGGAAGGTGTAAGGAGCGCATCAATCTCATCGGATGACAAAATCTCAAAAATGGTGGGGTATATCGACGATGCTAGTGGCGATGATGTTGAGGATAGGTTGGAGTAGAAATCCATTGTAATAGGCTGTATATAGTGCGACTCTCTAGCAACTTTTGTAGAAATCAAATTTCAAGGTCGTCAAAACGAGCATATTAATTTAGATCACTACAAAGGAAATGTTAGAATAGCTAGATAATGTTTATATGCTAGCTATTCTTGTAAGCTACCAGCGCCTTCCAGGTGAGTCGAGCGCGTTGGAGTAGTGATGACTGCCGCAAACTCTGCGATTACTTTGAGCATGAAACTTGTGCAAGTTCTCTCGTTTGTTTTTAAATTGAGATGCCACGGCGCTACATTTTATCCTAGACTAGCCTACTACACGCGACATAGAAGATTAGAAATTGTAGCTTCCGAATCGAAAGATTACTGGATTAACCTTGTTTAGTGCATTCCATTGCTTGCCATTGTGTGCCTACGGAAAACGGTAGCTTATCAGTTTGGACTGATTCAGTGATTGATGAGTGCTATCTAAGTAACTTGGGGATGGGTCTCTTAATTAGCGGCTCTCTACTTTCTCCTAGAATAGATTTGTCGAAGAATTTGAAGCTACGACTTCAATGACAAACTGCCTAGCTTCTACAATTGATGAAGATCTTGACGTGATTCCTGAAGATCTCAAATCCATGAAGACTTCAAGATATTGAAGTGCTTATCTAAAGGCTTTCCGTAAGCTTAAACTATGTAACCACAGCGCGCCAAAGCTGTTTTCTCAAAGGCACATGAAAGTAGCTCACTGCGGCCAATTAGCCGGAAACTTCATCGAGCAAATGGCATGCACAAACATAAACAATAGTTTTTTTGAATGTCAAGCTGTGAACTTACCGAAAAATCATTCTCATGAAGCAGCTTTAAAAATTTACTTAGCGCGTCAAAGATGCTTATTTCACAGTTGGTCAAAACTAGAAGTAAATCACGCACAGGCTTTATTCTTCAGTCGACAGTTATCAGCGGTGTTGATACATGTATCAAGGGTTATTGATGAGAATCTTTCTTCAACCCAATGTGTAATAGGCCAGTTTCTGTAGATCATATACCAAACGGTCTACTAACGCAAGGTCAAGACAAAAACAAGGCTAGTCTAGCCAAACAGATGAGAGATCGGCAAATAGATGAGCTCTTTATTCAATAAGTAAAAATATTCAAATGCTGACGCTCACAATTATTATACGCTTATCATGTGATGAAATATTAATATGTCGTATTTCAGTCCATTGAAGGTTCGACATAAATCGCGTGTGCTTAGCTTAAACTGGTTGGCCTCGAAAAGCGATACCTTTTCGAGGTTGGAAACTTAAACGAAAAAGCTTAACGTCGAAACAGCGAGCCATTAAACTCTACTCGAAGTTTGAGTCCACTTTTACATTAGACTCAAATGGACAGAGCCGTACAGCAGACTGACTACGATGCATTTTCCTGCAAAATTAGCGCCATTGCCAAAAAATATTTACCATGCCAGAAACAGGTAGAGTATTGCGGTATGGAAGATTACGCTGCACTGCACATGGCATATGGTCAAGGACTGAAAGCCCTCAGCCGAAGAGCTTACGGAAAAATCCAAAAGGCTGTGAATTCCGGGCTTCCGCTGATGAACTATGGTACCTACCTAAGAACGTTAGCAGTAGACGTCGAGATTATGTCTTTTTTGAAACAGGTGCCGAAGAATTCCAAAGTACAAATCGTCAATCTGGGTTGCGGTTCAGATCTTAGAATGATACATTTCATGTCACAATACCCGCAACTGACGTGGGTTGATTTGGACTACTCAGAGTCTGTATCTGTGAAGGCCAAGATTTTGAAAAGCAATGATTGTTTTTTAAAAACATTAGGCCCTCCTCAAAACACGGATGATGCAGAGTATGTTTCTGATCGATATCTTTTGCGAAGCTGCAACCTCAACATTGTCGAAAATCTTCTTGATATTCTCAAAGAATTCACTTATCCGGACGTACAAACTCTAGTTTTGACAGAATGTGTACTATGCTATGTGAAGCTACCACAATCTCAACGTTTGATACATGAAATGATGTCTTTTTATCAAACTGGCACCTGGGTATCATACGACCCCATTGGTGGAGAAAAGAAGGCCGATAAATTTGGGTCTATCATGCAGGCCAATCTACGAGAAGCACGACAGCTGGAACTTCCTACCTTGATGGTTTTTAATTCCCCAGCAAAGTACTCTCAAAGGTTCGAGGACAACTCAAAAAGTACGGAGATTCGAACAATGTGGCAGTATTATGTCCAGGAGATAACAGATGTGGAGAAAAATCGACTCAAATCACTTCAATTTCTAGATGAAATCGAGGAAGTAGAAATTGTTCTTTCTCATTACGTTTTGTTGAAAGCTATATGGTAATATATCTTTACATATTGAACATCAAGTTCTTATCTGAACATCCATCCATTTCCTTCACCTTGTGTTCTCCATGTGGCTTGGGGAACTGTATCATTCTCAATCCGATAGAGTCTCCATGCCTCTCGAATGTGCTCAGGTAAGAGTGGCCCATTGGCGTACTTTTCGACGCTCACATCTAGAGCATTAAAAGATTTTACCAATTTATTATAATGTTTGATAATACCAATTCGATTCTCCTCCGAGTTAAGTCGAGACCGTATTATATTGTTGAAGTTGTCAGTCTGTCGTACGAGTTTTTCGTCATCTTCATCTTCACAAACATCGCTCTCATTCTCATCTACACTGTCTTCCACCGTTTCGTCCGAGCTCTCGACCATCAATGTGAGCTTTTTGAGACTTTTTTTTAGCCGATAGGCTGCTAACTTTTTCTCCCGAAATTTGGATGCCATGAAAGACGCCAGCTTCCGCTTCTTGATATCTTGAGCTTTCTCCACGATTTCACCCACAAAGATCTTACCAACACCAGCCAATAACAGATTGATGTTAGCGGCAACAGTCTGGTTGGTAACCAGACCAGAGATCTTTTTGATATTGTTTTTCGCTAGTGAGGTTCTGCGGAAAACCTCGAATCTGTTCATTTGTTCTTCATCCAAGTTGGTCAAGAGAAGGTTTAATTGCTCCGACTGATCCAGTATTCTCGGTTGAGGTAATTTAGCAACCTGTTCATTGTGAATATCCCTGGGAAAACGGAGGTTCTTCGGCACAGAATTGATATGAGTTGTCTTCTTTATTTTACCGTCAACGCCGTTGTTTCGCCCTAAGGTATTGTGCGACTCATCTCTATTGATCTTCCCACTATTGCTCGAATGAGGATTATCAAAAAAATCGTTCAAGTATGAATTCATGGTCCCACCTGTTCGTACATCCTTGAGCTTCCAAGTTACATACTCTTGGTCCTCGCTCACTACTTGATTGATTAATTCCTTGACCGCCCAGTAATTGTTTTGAGTGATCGATGGCGGGTAGTTATGCTCAGGTACGGTGTCCAAAGGTCCTTGGGTCTCGGTCATTCTGTCGCTTTCAAAGTATAGCAATGCCAATTGTTTCTGGACATCATGATTTCAGTATTTCGAGAACAATAATTTCAAGATTTGCAATATAAAAAATATCTATTGGATTTTACGGAAATCAAAAAAAATTGAGGAGGCCATTTAGACTTCGGTGCCATTAGATCAGTAGACCCATGATAATGCTGATTTGTATAATAATGCGAGAAATATTCTGAAGACCTGCGCTTTTGTTTGAATAATACCAAAAAGAAAGTAAAATAAAATTGAAGGGGACGAGACAAAGGAAGAAAGCTGATTTTAGATGCTGAAGCCTTGCTTCAGTACTTCATTCATGTAACCTTACTTTCAGCAGCCTCCTTTTCACGTTTTTCCTCGCTTTCCTGTCCCTTGTCCGGATCCGTAGATTCTTTCTTCTCCCTTAGGGCGTTGATGAGACCTGTGAAGGTAATGACAGATAGTGGACCTAAAAGTGGCAGGTAAACTGCAACTTTATGCTCTTGAGGGAAAAAATTTTGTTGTACCATTTCCTTGTGAAAAAAGGCTTTTTCGCATACCTCTACGAAAGCATTGCTTAACCACAGAGCTTTGTTCCAGGTAACATCACCACCTTGATTTGGGTCATTTAAGAGCTCTATGATTTGTAATCGAAGGTCTAAAGCTCGCACCACGTCGTCCAGAACTTGCTTGGGTACTGACATTTGTGGGAACTGCTCCGTAAGTTTAACCAGCGACCAGAGCGTCTCTACACCTTGCTCCAGGCTTTTTAAAGTAGTCAATCTTTTGAACGAGTCAATCGTTGTGTATGGAGTTGTGAGATCCGCAGTTTCAGATGTCAGGCCAAGAAACTGGAACAATTCGCGAGCAAAACTGTATATTACAGGCGCAAGGTAGTCCTTCGTTAAGCGCGAATTGTCTGGCAATGCCTCCTTGTTGACGACCAAAGCGCCCCACTGAGGTACCATAAAACTTTGCCAGGGTCTTTCTTTTGTAGCGTTAATAAAAGCTAATTGACCAACCTCCGGACTAGGAAACACGATGGCCAGATTCAAAGCGTTTTTTTCAAGGTAGTAATTCATGGATGAAAGTTCGGAAAGATCAATAGTGTGAGCCAAATCTTGCCATGATGGATTTTGTGATTGGTGTAAAGACTCCAAATTTAAGTCATTAAATTGAACGATGCTGGTATCAACGGTGAAGTTCACTAGAGGCGACAAGAATCGGCGTAGCGGAGTAAAGTACTGCTCTAATGTCGAGTCGATGTCCCAGGCTACAGGTCTACCGTCCCCAGTTAAAAGTGAGATGGAGAGATGCACGGCTGGAGCGTAGGAAATGGCCATTTCCGAGTTTGGTTCCCGAAGCCCATCATTTTCGTCTTCACCTCGGCTGATATGGTTCCACTCGGTGGCAAAAGTGTGTTCTACCAACGTTTGAGCTGCAAAAAACGGTACGTCATTGGACACCACTGCTTCGTTATCAAAAAAGACAAACGTTTCTTTGGAATCGTACGCTACAGAATAGCCCGTAAAATCATCCAGAACCAAAGTCAGCACATGGTCTGACTCCGGGTCTAAAACCTGGCCCTGTTCGGGCTGAAGCACCTGCAAGGACCAGTTGACAGCGGTGGCTTTGGACAGAATCAGAGCGTTAACCTGCGCCTGAATCGCGTCGTGAATGTCGGGAAATTTGTATGTCTCTGATCGCACGTACACGGGTACCACGACATGAACGTCCGAATGCATGTTTTCTTGAATCGAGCGGATGTATGTGCTGGGCAAAGGTGCCCTATATATCGTCGTCAGTTTGTACCATAACGGAATACCAACTAGAATGTAAACCGCCACAAACCACAGGGCTACCACCCGGCGCAATCCCAACTGCGACATCAATTAAATGGGGCAGAATCCAAGCGTCTCCAGTGTGTGTTAAAGGTTTTTTGGTTTTAAAGTTCAATAAATATTCGAAAACGGTCTAATTTAAGTCGATACGTTCGTCGAATGTGACACACAACTGTTTGGCAGTGCAAGACGGCGAACTGACACTTGAGACTCATTGCCGAATGTGTAATACAAGTCCGGGAATACCACGGTCGTCTCAAACATCAAATGGTCTTCATTCACAGCTGATTTTATCGTTATAATTAATAAATATTGATTCTATTTTTTACGGTTGAAAATTTAACCGATGACGAAGTTAAGCGCTCAACAGAGTTCAAGCTAAAATTGAACAACTGGTTAACTGCAACAAGTAAGTGCATCTTTTAGGTAGCTATATACTCTTTACAATGGCCGAGGCGAAGGAGCTGGAATATGTGCACGAAGTATACAATGAAATTGCCCCGCATTTTTCACAGACTCGTTACAAGCCCTGGCCCATAGTGACGCAGTTTCTACAAAACCAGGAAACGGGCAATATTGGCATCGACGTTGGCTGTGGGAATGGTAAGTATTTAGATGTGAACCCCAACGTTTTTCTGATTGGGTCAGATCGCTCGTGGCGGCTGGTTGAACACGCACACGAGCGGCTTCCACAATGCAACGTCTTGGTGGCAGACGGCATGCGCTTGCCTCACCGGGACGCCAGCTTCGACTTCGCAATCTCCATAGCTGTAGTTCATCATTGGTCGACGCGTGAACGGCGTGTGGAGGCAATTTCTCACATTATCAGCAAAGTTAGGCCCCAGGGAACTGCACTGATATACTGTTGGGCGCTGGAACAAGCTGGATCCCGCAGAGGCTATCACGATGGCATGGAGCAAGACGTGTTGGTACCGTGGGTACTACAAGGAAAATACGCGCAGAATCAGACCGCTTTAGATAAAGGTAAGAAGAGCAAGCTGAAAGGCCCCGACTTGACACACGTTCCGCCACAGGAACGTGCTGCAGTTGTTGCCCAATGGAAGCTCGATCAAGAGGCCCAGAGGGCTGAACAAGAAGCATTGGAAGCACAGCAGAAGCAAGAAGCCCTTCAAGAGAAGGCGCAAAGTACAAAGTATCGCTACTACCATCTTTATCGGGAAGGTGAGCTCGAACAAGACTGTGTAAGCGCAGGAGGCAAAATCCTAGGAACCGGTTACGAAAAAGACAATTGGTATGTCATCGTACAGCGGCAGTAACCCTGATATATATTGTAAAATTCGTACATTTTAACTCTTTGTAGTTTCCATGAGTAGAGAGTGCTTATGATTATTTCATATATATAATGATTCCAGCTTGATATATTCAAACGACCTTAAAATTCAAAGCCTCACAACGGACCAATTGAAGACATTAAACAATGCCTGTGATTATTAGTGACGAGCAGGAGATTGTTTTGTCGCATGAGCAGGAGGATAAACTAAACGAGTTTCAAGTTATCACTAATTTTCCCGACCAAGAATTGTCTTTGGTGGTCAAATTATTGCAAAACCATGGATGGCAGTTGGAGCCAGCATTGTGCCGGTATTTTGACGGCAATTGGCAGGATAACATTGAACCACCGGAAGTGCCACAAAGGTCTTCTACACCGCTAAATCATGAGCTTATCTCCCATTCGCCTAGCCCATTTATCATGAGTAGTAGTGCGCTAGTGCCAAAATTGCCACTAGTTAAGCGACTCCCACTAGATTTCAAGGAAAAGTTCCAATTTGCAGGTCTAGATAAACGGCCTCATGAACTTGACATGAACCCAGGGCTGCTGGTCCTACTTTTGCTGCCAAAATTACTTCTCAAGTTAGGCACTGGAATTCTAACAATCATTTGGTCGATAATATCATTTGGACTCAAAAACAACCAAGCGCCAGAGGCGAACGTTTGCAGATTACCGCAGAGCCCCAGCAAAAATGCGAAACCTGTTAACGAAATTGTGGACTCATTGCTCGGAGAAAAGTCCGAGCTGGCATCGCTACTAGATCTACGCCCGTTCAATGAGTTATACGACGAGTGCGAACGTCAATTCAAGTTTATGTTGGTCATATGTTTGGGTGATCTCGAATCAGAGGAATCTGGTACATGGGACCAAAATTCTAGCAAGTTTGTGAGTTCCATTTTTAATGACCCTTCCACTTTGCAACTTTTGCGTGAGCGTTCCAAAGACTTAACCATCTTCATGCATTCTGCTCAGTCCCCCGAGATGTGGGCATTGGCTAATCAACTGAAACTAAAATATACACCAGAGTGTTTACTTATTGCGAACGTACTAAACTCCAAGGACTCTGCGAGTGCCACAACACGAATGTCAGTTGTTGGTAGGATGAAGATTAGTTCGTTGAGAAAATTTAAGAACTCTCTTAAAATGGCTCTCGATAGACATAGCGCAGAGCTTTTAGTGAGCAGAACAGATCAAGAAGAATTAAGAATTGCCAGAGAGATAAAAGAACTACAAGACCAGGCATACCTAGAATCCTTGAAGCAAGATCAAGTCAAAGAGCAGAAGCGCCAAGAAGATGAAAAGCAAACGAAATTGCTGCTTGAAGCAGAATTGTCAAGGAGTCGCGAAGTAGCACTTAACCGAACAATACAGAAGTTACGAGTCTTGGAATGTTCCCTGTCACTGCTAAATTCTCAGCAGCTGGTTGATTCCAACGCAAAAAATGCGACACTACAAATAAGGACCTCTGATGGCAGAAGATTCATTAAGAAATTTCAAGGTGACGAATCTCTGATGGACATATATCGAGCGGTGAAGTGTTTTTTATTTTTAGAGTTGAAAACGTTTGAAGAGAACGCGATTATGACTGGTATCAAGGCCAAGCTAATCGAGCTTGCTGAAAACAGTGACGAACTATGTTTTAAGGATAGACAATGGCCTGAAGGGTCGCTCGCTGGCGAAACTTCAAGCTCATTACATGATATAGTTCGAAAAGAACTAAGAAACTGGTGCAATTCAAGCGAGGAAATTGAGCTGGATATCGATTTTGAATTAGTATCCCCATATCCAAGATTTTTATTGCCGTACGACAAAGCAGTTCATATTAAGGATACGCCACAAATTTGGCCCAATGGTAGTCTTCTCGTGGAGGCGCTACAGGAGGAGGAAGGCGAGGACGAGGCAGACGAGAAAGAGGATTAAGTTGGTAAATAAAGACAAAACTATGCATTTCTTTTCTGTTGCTATTTAAATGAGGTCAATGCCTTGCCCCCTGTGGAGGCGAGCATTGAATTATATGGACTTGCCACGAAATGATATCTGTAAATTAGGTTAGTAGAAGTGGAAGACGAGATGGACAAAGTTAATAGTTCAGCAAGTGCGTTGGTCGGAAATCATTGGCAAGATAAAGAGAAAATGCTTTATTTAGCGTGTACCTGCGCTTCCTTCTCAAGTACGGAGTAGGTGCAAAATTCATAGAAAGTCCAAGCGCTTGAGCACGTCCCGAAAATGCCTTCATATGGCTTCATCAACACAACTCGGATCCCACAAGATAAAAATTTATATTCATTCAAACAAAAGTAAAATACAGGTTTCCCGCTGGGGTTAGATTCAGATCTGGATTCAGTTTTAGGAACAAAGGATACATTGAGACCATTCTCTAGGAAATTCATTTTAGGTTCACTAAATTCGGAAGCCCTCGGCATCAAAGAACCACTACAAACAAAACGGGACATATTCCGGGGTAATACAAACGAGACACAGGTGAGAGGAACATAAATTCGAGGACAGAATCACTTTATTAGGTCGTCCTCAACTTATTTACCCTGATATATTCCTCCCAGGTTAGTATCATGGGTTAAGCTTTTTAATTAAGACTGCTTATTGTCTAGTTGGGGATCTTTCGCGAGCGGAGCCGTAGAAGTCACCACCGTCTCTACCTCTGTACTCATCTCTTGGAGCACCGTAAGAGCCTCTGGAAGAACCGAAAGAGTCACCACGGCCACGGCCGCGGAAACCACCACGGTCACCAAAGCCGCCACGACCGCCACGGAAACCACCACGGTCACCAAAGCCGCCACGACCGCCACGGAAACCACCGCCACGACCACCACGGAAGCCACCGCGGTCACCGAAACCACCACGGCCACCACGGAAACCACCACGGTCACCGAAACCACCACGGCCACCACGGAAACCACCACGGTCACCGAAACCGCCACGGCCACGACCACCGAAACCACCACGGTCACCGCCTCTGAATCTTCTGATTGGAGGTGGGTTGTCATCCTTCTCGGCAGAGATCACGGAACCTCTGAATTCGATGTTGTTCAATTTTTGCAAAGCCTCTTCCAAGATTTCTTCCGATGGAAATTCTAGAGCACCCGTGCCATCGAATTCTCTTGTGTTGACACTAGAAAACGTGGTCTCCAAGTTGTTTTCACGGGCCAAGTCTTTAAGTTCTTGCCAAGCGACACCTTCGGGCAAATTTTTTAGAATCATGCGATAACGGGGAGGTTGGATCTTAGAGTAAACGACTTCCAAAGGCTGGTTGGCAAAAGTCTTACCGTTAACTTCTTCGATGGCTCTGGCAGCAGAGTCAGATTCTTCGAACTCCACGAAGGCAAAGCCATTCAAGATTTTGACCTCTTTCATTGGTCCAAATGGAGTGAAAATCTCGTTAAGTTCAGAGTCTTGGACATCGAAAGGGAAAGGTCTAACGAACAATCTGGTTGTGGAAAGTTCGCCATCCATAGCCATACGGTGCGAAGGCTGTTGTGGGGCAGCATCGTGGTAAGAGCGTCTGTTCTCGTTTTGATAGTCGCTGACTGGAGCAGCTGGTGCTTCAGCTTCCTGCGATTGAGGAGCTTCAGTGGCTTCAGAGGACTCAACTGGTACGCCGGAAGGTTCCGACGCAGCAAAAGTTTCTTGTTGTTCGTGGGTTTCCACGGGAGATTGTAGCTGTTCTTCAGACATGGGAAATTAGAGCTTTGAACAAGTTATTTTACTGAACAGTAAGAAGAAGAACTTGTTAAGAGGTTGATGAAGAATTTTAATGAGCCATAAATTTTGCCATCAGAAGATATATTATCATCGCTGAATACGAATACGTACAATTGAGTGACGATCAAATCAAAGCTGAAGGCATTGACTGACCTATACTTTCTGAGCGGAATCCTAGCCATTATTAAGACTGTTACAATGCTTTCGCATCGCTTTCTGAGATAGTTGACTGAAATTGAAAGCTTGCTTATAAGAATTATACTCTAATTAGGGCTTGGTCGTCATTGATGACAAATGTATGGTGAGCTCGTCATAGCTTCAGGTGAAAGCAAATTCACTTTTACTGTGGAGCCTAGTGTATTGTGCTCCTCTGATTTTTATGCTATTAGTGCAACTCGTTGAATAGTGATGATCATTATTGTTTAGAAAGTAAAAAAATAGCAAAGCCTTAATGATAGTGCATTTAAACATTGAATGAGGCAGAGCAGCAATTCGACTACACCGATCCGGTTCTTTATACGTACATTAGCCTTGCGTTAGACTAAGATCGGAAAAGCGTCAAGGAGATGACAGCGTAGTACAAAGTGATTCACATAATCACTGGGCAACCCGATGTTGCCATGATTTCGTATCTGCGGCCATGTCATTGAATGAGTAGCCTCTCATAGTTGTTGTCCGAATAGTCTTAGTCTCAGTATCGTAATCAATCGGTATCGACTGATATCCATGGTAGTCTACGAAGCAATACAAGTTTTCTGCATTATTTTGAAGCTGTATCCAAAAAACAAGTAGGCATGAGTGTAAAGGACTCGCGCATCGTAGTGCATATGGAGAGGGATAAAGTCCTGCACTTGAACTGGGTCCCTCTGCAATTAGACATCTGGAGCTCGAAAGAGTCCAGGAATGATCACACTCATGGGTTTAGAGTCCTGAGTCAAAAGTTGATTAAGAAGCTTTCTGTAATTGAAACAGTTAAAATAGTCAGAAGAAAGTAGGAGAGTGACGTATTTCAATTAAGAGTGAGCCTCCGGAATTTATATTTATATCGTGCAAACGTGGTACATCTTCAAACATCTGGTTCCTTCGAAGAACTTCTCAACTTATCGAAGCTATCACTTCGTTCCTTCCTCAGTTTGCCGAATCTTGAATTTAATTACAATCACCAGACTTTGATCTTACTAAAACGGCAGCAAAATCAATAATATGGTAGGTTACTCCCTAGCAGTCATAATTCCGTATCCAGATTCCGATTTTTTTTTATCAATAGTGGATATTTGATTGATTTCAATAAATTACTAAACTCTTGATATATGTATAACACTAAAAATCGATACAATGCTACGATTCAAAAGATTCGCATCCCAATATAACCAAGCGAAACTTCTCCGCAAGTACCCTGTTGGTGGAGTTTTCCATGGATACGAAATCAATAGGGTTCTCCCCGTTCCAGAGATGAAATTTGTCGCTGTAGACTTGAAGCATTTACAAACCGGATCTCAGCACTTGCACATTGATAGAGATGATAAGAACAATGTATTCAGCATAGCTTTTAAGACAAACCCTCCAGATTCCACTGGAGTGGCGCATATTTTGGAGCATACCACACTGTGCGGCTCTCAAAAATATCCAGTCAGAGATCCTTTTTTTAAGATGCTCAACAGATCGCTGGCTAATTTCATGAATGCTATGACTGGCCATGATTATACTTTCTACCCATTTGCAACCGCCAACAAGGTAGATTTCAGCAATTTGAGAGACGTTTATCTCGACGCCACTCTCAACCCATTGTTAAATCATCAAGATTTTCTACAGGAGGGCTGGAGACTGGAACAATCCAATTTGGACGACGCAAATAGTGATGTTATATTCAAAGGTGTTGTCTATAACGAAATGAAAGGCCAAGTATCTAGTTCCAATTATCAATTCTGGACTAAATTCCAAGAGAGCATCTATCCGTCATTGAATAATTCCGGTGGTGATCCTCAAAAAATCACAGATCTACAATACTCCGACCTGTTGTCTTTTCACAGCAAAAATTACCACCCTTCAAATTCTAAGACTTTTACTTATGGGAATTTTCCTCTCGAAGATACACTGCATCGGCTGAATGAAGAATTTAAGCTACATGGCAAGCGGACAATTAGTAAACAGGTGCTAAACCCTTTGAGTTTTGACTCTGATGTACGAGTAGTGCAAAAAGGCCAGGTTGATCCTATGCTACCAACGGAAAAACAAATGAAAACTTCCATGACCTGGCTTTGCGGCGATCCATCTAATGTGTATGATACATTTGTGTTAAGAGTTTTGGGAAACTTGCTTATGGAAGGGCATTCGTCTCCATTTTACCAGGAGCTTATTGAATCTGGTATTGGCTATGAGTTTGCCGTTAATTCTGGGGTCGACTCAACGACTGCCGCTAATTTTTTTACCGTTGGTGTTCAAGGTTGCGATGATTCTTCTAAGTTTGAGCATGTTGTTAAGTCTGTTCTAGAGGATACGCTTACAAAGCCATTTGAGGGAAACAAAATCGAGGCAATCATCCAACAATTAGAGCTCTCAAAGAAAAATCAGAAAGCGGACTTTGGGTTGCAGTTGCTATATTCTTTAGTTCCGGGATGGACTAATACGACAGATCCCTTTGATAATTTGGTGTTCGACGATATTTTGGCACAGTTCAGATCTGATTGGAACGAGAAAGGCGACGATATCTTCCGCGATGTCATAAGAAAATACATTCTAGAAAAGCCCTGCTTCTATTTTTCAATGGAAGCAGACCCCAACTTTTCTAAAGCACTAGAAGTTGAAGAGGCAAAACGTCTGAGTCAAAAAATAAGCCAACTAGATGAGTCAGATAAAACCACATTGCGCAATCGTGGTTTGCAGTTGCAAGAGAAACAAAACGCTACCGAGGATTTGTCATGTCTGCCTAGCTTAATGATTGATGACATACCTCGTAAAGGAGACTTTTACAGGACTGTCTTGAAAGCCAATGTGTCACACCGGATTACTGACACTAACGGCATTACTTACCTAAGAGCTAAGAGATCTCTCAATAATGCCATACCCCGCGATTTATATCCGTATCTGCCAATTTTTGCCGATTGTTTAACCAGTCTTGGGACTTCAAAAGAGAATTTCAGTCAAATTGAGGATGAGATGAAATTGCACACTGGAGGTGTTACAACGAATGTATCGGTGTGCTCTGATGCTATTACATCTGAACCTCGCTTGTTTTTCTCCTTCGAAGGATATGCTCTTAATCACAAAACAGAGCATGTTTTTGACATTTGGCGGAAGTTGTTAGTGGAAACTGACATTTCAAAGCACAGCGAAAAGATCAAGATTCTCATTCGTTCCTTGGCGTCTTCCAACACCGCCTCTGTGGCTGAAAGTGGGCATTCCTTCGCCAGAAACTATGCGGGCGCTCATCTAACTGCATCGCGCGCTATAAACGAGAGTTTGAATGGTATTGAGCAACTGCAGCTGATTACGCATCTCTCTAGTATACTAGATAACCCAACCTTATTCCAATCTGAGGTGGTCGATAAGTTGAACGAGCTGAAAAATTATGTCATCGCCCAGGATAAGTTGGAGTTTTTCATCACCACCGACACTGATAAACAAGTAACTAAGGTCGAATCTCAAGTACGAAACTTCACTCAAAACCTACCCGAAGGTTCCAAGGCATGTTCTTTTTCAGCTGAGCACTATCCAACTATAATCTCGGAAGACAAGCCTACGCTGATTGAATTTCCATTTCAAGTACATTACACAGCCCAATCGAGCATGGGCGTTCCTTACAGCCATGTGGATGGTGCTTCCTTACAAGTATTGTCAAATATGCTAACATTCAAGTATTTACACCGCGAAGTGAGGGAAAAGGGGGGTGCTTATGGAGGTGGAGCTACGTATAGCGCTCTTGATGGTTTGTTGTCCTTTTATTCATACCGCGATCCACATCCACTTAACTCCTTAGACGTGTTCTCAGGTAGCGGGAAATATGTGATGGACAAGGCCGAATGGAGTACGAGCGACCTAGATGAGGCGAAACTGACAATATTTCAGCAAGTCGATGCTCCTATCAGCCCAAGCAGTGAAGGTACCTCACAGTTCCATTTCGGAATTAGTGATGAAATGAGGCAAAAGAGAAGAGAGCAATTATTGGACGTTAGATTGAAGGACGTTCGGAGCGCAGCTGAAAAGTACATTATAGGTAGAAAGTCAGTTTCTGCCGTGGTCGGACCACGTCTTGACAGCATGAGCGACTCGAGTTGGAAATTCAGAGAATTGCAGTAATTTATTTATTTTGTACCTTGTAAAAACAGAGCCACTAGAAGGTGCCTAGAGCTTTTGAAAAGATATCACGAATGATTTGATATTCATAGAAATCTATCACCGTTATACTGCACCGCATTCAAATGTCGTATTCGAGAGTCTCTTATGGGCGTTATACGCCTAGATCGTGGGCTTTTTTTAACACACGTCTGTCAAAAAAATTTGACCTTCATCAAAACCTTTGAAACAAAAACAAATCAAGAGACTCCGAATAACGCGTTTGAAGCATGCAGTTCCTCAATTTGGCATTCCTATGTGCGTTATTTAGCATTTGTCTGGCAGTGCGTTTCGAAATCCCCGCGTTTCCAAAGCCAGAGCCAATATGTGTTCGTGATTTTGTGAGCGAAGGACAATTGGTTGTGGTCAATATTGAAAGTGACGGTTCTGTCGGAGACGGCCAGGTTCTAAACCTAGTAATCAGAGACAGTGTGGGGAATGAATACCGTAGAAAGAAGGATTTTGCGGGTCCTATCAAAGTTGCATTCACAGCTCCTTCATCGGCAGCATTTGACGTGTGTTTGGAAAATCAATTGCAAACTCGTGGGCGTTCATTGAGTAGATCCGTTGAGCTAGATATAGAATCTGGCTCCCAAGCTCGTGACTGGAACAAGATCCAATCAACAGAGAAGTTAAAGCCTATCGAAGTTGAATTGCGCAAGGTTGAAGAACTGACGGACGAAATTCTTGATGAACTTGCATATTTGAAGACCAGAGAAGAGAGACTGAGAGACACTAACGAGTCGACCAACAGAAGAGCAAGAAACTTCTCGATTCTTGTAATCTGCGTCCTGATCAGCTTAGGCGCCTGGCAAATGAACTATCTGCGCAACTACTTCAAAGCTAAGCACATTATCTAGATACGTACATAAAATGAAATGAAAGCGGAGCTCTTTCAAGAAAGCATCTAAAAAACCAAATGGCCAAGTTTGCCTAACAAAAATGCAAAATCCAGCCATGTTACATAAACCCTGGTCCCATTGGTGGCACAGCTCATCATTTCAATCAGGCGTCCATTATCCATACTGATGCTATTGGCGACTTTCTGAAGGTCTTTAATGCTCAGGACGTGACTGCGTAGTGCCACATGTGGAAACTGTGCGTCTCGGCCACAAGCTTGTACCAGCATTGACCATTGAGTATCCACAATTTCTGCGTTGTTCATAAAGACCAGCAAATGGAAAGTGGTTTTTAGCAGCTTCTCAAAGCTCACTATGTTAGTCCCTTCAATGCACAAGTCTCTGTCATTGACCATCTTCGTCAGCTCGCGAGGCATTTGCAGATCTTCGAAATAGGAACGCAGATCTGCCGATGTCATATCGGACTCAATACTGTACGTAGCAAACGCTCCCAGGATGTCATCTTCGATTTCCGATGGGATCTTTGGGTTAAGAAACTCCAAAACATCTGTATATGCCTTTTGTCCTCGTTTCCTGCTCATAATTGATACCTATTCACACCATGTGGAATATGAAGAAGCATATAATAAAACTACGAAGAACAAAGCAAATTCAACAGCTAAATGCTTAATTAAGTAATGATTAGACTCCTCTTGGTAAACAGGAACTATTGTCTTACTGTTGATGGATTCAAATCCTGGCAACTTTTAAATGTCATTTGGCACTAAAGGGTTTGGTCAAAATTTTTCAAAATAGCACTCGTGGATACTTAGTTGATGGGATTATCTTAGTGATCAACAAGTCTACCAAGTCTCACATCTCACTTGAATCGCTCTGCAGAAGTCTAATATGGCTGAAACTAGCGGCTTGAAAACAGATCTTTCTGTGGCGGATCGTCAAGATCCGGAATCAGGATCAAAAGACGAGCATACGGCAACAGCTGCAGAAGAAGTTCAAAGCGGTGACAATAAGGGCAGTGAAGCTGAACTCGCCTCAATTGATAACCAAGATGTTAATGAAAGTGTAGAGAATGGAGATGAAAGTGCAAATGAAGCCAAAAGAGCCCGTGAAAATGAGGGAAATGGCGACTCAAATTTGAAAGAAACTGAAGCACAAAACAGGAACGAAAACGCAGTCGACGACAATGAAGAAGGCGAAGACGATGAAGAAGATGAAGACGAAGACGATGACGACGAGGCGGGTCCTAGAAAGAAACAGCGCCAGGAACGTAATCGATTTTTGGATATCGAAGCCGAAGTAAGTGACGACGACGAGGATGAGGAAGATGAGGAAGAATCCGAGCTGGTACGCGAGGGTTTTATCACGCGTGGCGATGAGGAAGAAGAAGAAGACACCACCGGACCAGAACGTGGCGATCGGCTCCATCGCCAACTTGACCAGAACCTGAGCAAAAACTCGGAAGAAGATGCGCAAAAACTGGCCAAAGAATTGAGAGAACGATACGGTAGAAGTAGTTCCAAACAATACAGGGCGGCTGCTCAAGATGGCTACGTTCCTCAAAGATTTCTCCTTCCTAGTGTAGACACTGCCACCATTTGGGGTGTCAGATGTAGACCAGGCAGAGAAAAGGATATTGTAAGAAAGCTGCTTAAAAAGAAGTTCAATCTGGACAAGTCTATGGGCAACAAAAAGCTGAAGATCATGTCCATTTTCCAAAGAGATAATTATTCGGGAAGAATCTACATTGAAGCTCCTAAGCAATCTGTCATTGAGAAATTTACCACTGGTGTATCAGACATTTACCCAACGCAGAAGCTACTTATTCCCGTGCAGGAACTACCTTTGCTGTTAAAGCCAGATAAGTCTGATGACGTTAGGCTTGAAGAAGGTAGCTATGTGAGAATAAAGCGGGGTATTTACAAAGGCGACCTGGCAGTTGTTGATCAAATAAGTGAAAACAATTTGGAAGTTCTCTTAAAAATCGTTCCACGCCTGGATTACGGTAAAAATGATGAAATCGATGCAGACTCAAATACTAAAAAACAAAAGAGACCCACTTTTGCTCAAAGATCCCCCCCACAACTATTTAATCCAACAATGGCCTTAAGAATGGACCAAGCCAATTTGTACAAAAGAGATGACAGACATTTCACGTACAGGAATGACGATTATGTGGACGGTTATCTTTTCAAATCTTTCAGAATCCAATATCTCGAAACTAAGAATATACAGCCCTCAGTTGAAGAGCTGGCCAGGTTTGGTAGCAAAGAAGGTAATCTCGATCTAACGACCATTTCTCAAACAATCAGGAAAGCTCAAGCTGCGAGGGTTACTTTCCAGATCGGCGACAGGGTCGAAATTTTAAGTGGTGAACAAAAAGGATCTAAAGGGTTCGTGACTAGAACTTCGACAGACATTATTGCAGTTAATCTTCCACAACTAGGAATGAAGGCTCTAGAATTCCCAATTTCTTCTTTAAGAAAGATTTTCGAAGCTGGTGACCATGTTACCGTAGTTGGCGGTGACCACCAAGGCGATGCAGGTCTAGTTTTGGCTGTCAAGAACGGACAAATTACATTTGTTTCGGATCAAACTAGAGCAAACCTAACAATATCCGCTAATAATTTGAGTAAATCTATGGATTCCACTCCGACCTCTAGCGAATATGCACTTCACGACATTGTTGAACTAAGTGCTAAGAATGTCGCATGTGTTATCCAAGCGGGACACGATATTTTCAAGATTTTGGATGACACAGGAAAAGTCTCCACAATCACAAAAGGTTCAATTTTGAAAAAAATCATAACTCAGCGTTCTAGACTTACAACCGTTGACAATAAGGGCAATGAAATCAAAATAGGTGACACTGTTGTCGAAAAGGTTGGTGCACGTAGAGAGGGTCAAGTGCTTTATATCCAAACACAACAAATTTTCATTGTTTCCAAGAAGATTACAGAAAATGCCGGTGTATTCGTTGTAAATCCAATGAATGTCGAAGCCGTGGCCTCTAAAGATAACTTTATAGCTGGGGTGGGTTCCATCGATTTCAGCAAGATGAACCCAGATGTTGTTTCCAAAATGCGCCCACCTCAACAAGCCAATCAACAAACAGGCGTTGGACGTGATGTGGCTATGGGAAAAACCGTTCGAATTCGTTCAGCTGGCTACAAGGGACAGTTGGGTATTGTTAAGGACGTCAATGGCGAAAAGGCCACTATTGAGTTACACTCTAAAAATAAGCATATCACGGTGGATAAGAGAAAGCTGATGTATTACAATAAAGAAGGTGGTGAAGGTATCACTTACGATGATCTCGTGAACAGACGCGGCAGAACACCAAACGCTAGAATCGGGCCAAGCTACGTTAGCGCACCAAGAAATATGGCAACAGGCGGTATGCCTATCGGAGCCGGAGGACCCGGGTCATCTGCTTTATCGGGAGGAATGACACCAGGCTGGAATTCGTTGGAAGGTGGTAAAACGCCTGCTGTAAACTCTGGAGGTGCTGGTGGTACTTCTGCGTGGGGTGGAGCCTCAACATGGGGTGGACAAGGTGGGTCTTCGACGTGGGGAGGCCAAGGAGGGCAAGGTGGTCAAGGTGGTCAAGGCGGTGGCGCGTCTGCTTGGGGCGGTAATGGCGCCACCTCTACATGGGGAGGAGCATCTGCCTGGGGTAACAAGTCCAGTTGGGGAGGAGCTTCTAGTTGGGCTTCAGGAGGAGAAAACGGAGCCCAATCCACTTGGGGAGGAGACAAATCCAGCTATGGTGGCGGATCCGTGTGGGGTAATCGCGACGGTGGTACCTCTACCTGGGGTGGTGGTACAAATCGAGAAGCTAACCGAGAAGGCGGCAATTCCACTTGGGGTAATGAAGGCACGGGCAATAAATCTGCCTGGGGCGAGCAAGGCAACAAATCGTCTCACGGCGGCGGTAGCACATGGGGAAGTCGCTAGTATCGATGCCGTTTCTAAGTTTCTCACTCCCGCTCTTTCACACCTTGGGTAATCCTGCCCTGACTAATGGTTAACTGTTTTTGAGTTTAAATCCAATGTGTATGTAAATATAGTTTAATGTTCAGATCAAATGAAACAGATCGAAGTAGGGTCAATGTCTCACGCTGATTGAAGTCGTGGGCTGTTGAATGTTCGTTTAAAGCAAAGCTCAGCTTTGGTAGTTTATTATGATTAAAATTGTATGTACATGTTATGCTATAATCATTAGTCAAATGAGTGTTTTATGGTTTATCTGCTTGTCCTGAGAAAATCCAAAGGTTTTCTCTCGGCCGTTTTTCTCTTCTTAGCTTCTTTGAAGAGAACATGACGTTTGGCTACGGGATCGTACCGTACCTGTGTTACCAACGGAGCACCTCTAGAGACCGTGATTTGGCGCGCAAAACCAGTTGCGGCAGTTGATATAAGTTTTATCACAGAGTTTTTGGACTTTTGCTTGGCCATGACAGAAGTGGAAGTGTGCAAATTGAACCTTTATTGGCTTTAGTACCGATCTGATCAACCAACGCTGATGAAGACGAGTAATGCCAGATAGAATTTTATTTGATATGATTATCACTATATACGCTGACGAAATAACCAAAGTTTCCATGATTAGTCTACTCATGGAAGTCCTTGCTTCGGCCGATTTAGCAATGAAAGTGATGACATTATCGACAGGATCTTGGAGGCATTGCTCGAGTGAGGCCTTTCTTTTTTCTGTTCAACTTGTTTACTACAGAATTGAGAATATATCCAATAATTATATTCATTAAACCGACTAACCTCCACGAGAGGGTCTGTCGTTCTCTTCTTTCACCCTAATTAGCTCCGGTAATCTTCTTATGAAACGAACATGTTACTGTCCCATCACTTTACTAGCCGAAATAGAAACGGATTAAAATATTTGAGAGTTTATGGAACAGGAAGTGATATTTCATATTCAAAACGAACTATCTGTAAGATCCTCATCGAGCCGTTATATTTTTGTTAAACGGTACAATTCTTTATCTGATGTCTCAACCACAAGGCATATTTATTAGAACGCAGCGAATATCCTTGGCACCAAACAGGATATCCACCTGGTAATAATTTCCGGCTTGAGTTGCTGTAAAATGGAGAGGCTATATTTCTAGCAAAATGCATTTCAGCACAGTATATCAACTGCTGAGTTGACCAAAGCAACGCGAATGGCCGGATTTTGAGGAAAAAGTTGATCGGCCTTGTGGGGAGAGCCTGCTAGATAGACTATAGAGCAGTGAGATTTTCAATGCAGGTGCAAACGGTCTGAAACTGGGGCTAATTTTTCCGGTATGGCACATTGCTATTCCCGCACTTAGTAATCTTGCGCAACGGGTGACAGATGGGAATAGAAATTATATCAAAAGGACGAATCACAAGAATTACAGACATTTGAAAATGAGAATTGACACCTAGGATAGCTCCCCCCAATTTTTATTGTCCAACCAAGTGTTATCGCGCAAATCCTCAGCAATAGCGAAATAGATTTGTTTCTGTTTTGCCATTCGCATGCTATTGTAGAGCTTACATTGCGGTTCAACGAAGTAGGTTGGAAGCATTGACCACTAAGTAAGACCTCATTTTCAGACGTTAGAACTTTTGGTTTTCTTCATTGCACAACTCTGCGATGGCCGCAAAATACCAGCCAGGGTAGTTCATTGATCAATTCCTTGAAATTGGTTTCTTCTGCTTAACACAGTTTGGTCATTTCAATCAAAACCTCTGGAAGAATCAAACTTCACGACATTATTTATCGATTGCCCTCGAATTCTCTACTTTACTGATATCTTTCTTCCGCCAATATCGCATTTGTTTGCTTATTAACCATCGAATTCTTTTGATGATGCTCAATAGCCGATGCTGATTGTGTTTCAACGCAGTTGTCGTCCGAATGAATAGAGAAGTACATTGAGGAACCTTATCGGGTCTGCAATTTGTCCCAGCGTAGGTTTGGCTTGGCCGAATAGAAACATTAATGAATTCTACCAGGTATGTATTTCGTCACGACAGCACTGGGATTAGGTCCATTGTGGAAAGTTGTCAATCTTGGGAGTGTTGAAATATCAGAAGCGCGAACAATTCAACCTTGTCTCTTTTAATATCTGTCCTCCACTGCTCAGCGCCATCTTTCAAGGTCTCTTGAAAAACCCTGTCCTCTTTTTCACCACCTTGGGGCGAGCCGCTCCTATCATGTCCGATTGTTGAACCTAGTCACTATCCAACGGCTGTCAACCGTACGAGCCGATAGAAGACGACCTTTCCAGAGCCATTTCCAAGAGTGAGCTATTTCAGATGCAATATTTTAGGAGGCAGAATACATCCTCAAACTATCTCATAGAAGGACAAAGAAACACAAGATTGAGGTCTCTGGAGATTTGTAGCATTCCATAGGATTCATCTTCTTACCAACGCTTAGTGCGCATCGAATACCGGGCCGGTACTCCAGTTCGTATATAGATACATACAGGCACTCTTGACGACTTTCCTCTACTCCATATATCGTACAAGATGCCTAGATGTTTCCATTTTCTCGGAGTGAATATCTACTCATTCCTCCACCCCGCTCGAGCCTTGCCGTCTATAGTGTTCATCCCGCTTTTGTGTCATCGGCCCTTTTTCGTGCCCAGCGACTTGTAAGATCATTTCCGACGCCATCACGATATATTCACGTGCCATCCTTTTGGATCATCTCCGACGAAAACACGTGCTGGCGACTAAAATTTTTTTTCAAGCACCTTTTCACTTGCTCCACTGTTTGAATCTGTTTACTATGACGAGAAAACGTATAATGGGCCAAGTTGAAAGATATTGAAAAAAAATCTTGACAAAATTTGAAATCTCTGCTGTAAGAATACTCAGACATTTTAGCAAGTGGTGAGCGCAGATCAGACATCTAATCGGCATTACAAAGCAGGGAACTAGACCAAAACAGAGCCCCATATCACGCGTGTAACTAATTTGCATATCATCCATATTACCACACTTTGTCTCTAATTCAAGGTCGCGCAGTACCAACGTTCACACATCGCATATTTTCACATTAACCCAGGTTCCATGTCGGAAGTATCAGTACCAGCACCCGTAGTGGTGGAGAACCCAGACGGCACTAAGACCATCGTGTCGTTCCGGATGGACAACGGCAAGAAGTACAGAGTCACGCAGAAAGTGCGCGAGATCAAGGTCACCGAGAAAGTCAACCGCTCGGTCGCTGCCCGCAAGCACTGGCGCAAATTCGGCGCCGAACAAGATTCGGCTCCAGGTCCAGATTACTCGACCACGCAGCTGGGCGAGGAGATCGTCCTGAGACTCGGGACGCAGTGGCGTAAGATCGAAGAGGAAGAAGAGCTAAAGGCCAAGGAATCCAAGGGCGGCGAAAAGCTCATTACGTGTCGTATCTGTGGAGGTAACCATTACACCATGCACTGTCCTTTCAAGGACACCATGGGCGATGCTTCTGCCGCCAATGGCGGTGGTGCTGGCGCCGGCAGCGACCCCGCGATTTCAGGAGAATCTAACGCTGATATTGTATCTGGCGGTGTCGACGATATTGCCGGCAAGTACGTGCCACCATCGCGCAGAATCGGTGCCCGTGATCCATCTTCCAACAATAATTTCGATGCTTACCGCGACCAAAGAGAACGCGACGACGCCAAGACTTTGAAAATCATGCAATTGAACGAAAACGCCGACGAGAATACTTTGAGATACGAACTATTGTTTCCATTTGGCAGAATACCAAAAGTTGTGGTGGTCAGAAATAGAGAAACTGGTAGGTCTAGAGGTATTGCGTACGTGACGTTCGAGACTGAAGAGATCGCCGAGAGCGCTATGAACTTTTTGAACGGCAGAGGTTTCATGAACTTGATCTTAAACGCCGACTGGTCGAAGCCTAAGGTGCCAGAGTAGATAGTTTTGAGGGAACGGAACGAATTTAGAATAAATATTTTGTACCATAAGAACCAGCTGAGCAAATGGACAAAGGAAGTGTGAAACCATTTGCCGGTGGCATCAAGATTGAAAGAGTAAGCGGCAGCTTCTAATTAGACATTCAAGTTTGTTCGCATGCGGCCTTCCGTTCAAGACCTGCTGGTTTTAAATAATTGAGGTAGTTGATGTCAGAGAAATTGATTGCCATGTACTCATTTTCTTTAACGCATTCAACTCTAGAATAAGCGTTCATGTTTATATGTGAAATATTTCCCGTAATCGTGGAAGACAAGATTTACCATTATCTGCATCAGTGTGTGGTTATAAAGCACGCTTTTAGCAGTGCTAAGCTTTTACCAATTAACTGACTCAAACACATCCATCATGGCTAAGTTTGATCAGACAGTCACATTTCGTAAAGCTGAAGTGCCAGGACCCCATCGGGCAATTGTCTTCATCCATGGCGGAGCTTGGATTGACCCGTCTAATACGCCTCATGATTTCGACCAATTAAGCAAACATCTTCTCGATATATCCAATTCGCAACTCCCCTTCTCACTCTATGCGGTTGAATATCGACTCTCTCCAGAATACCAGCATCCAATTCACATACAAGATGTTATAGATAACCTGGCTCAACTTATTCAGCAGGAACAAATCGACGAGCTGAATTTACTAGGTCATTCTGTTGGTGCTACTCTCTGCTGGCAGATACTAAGTCTTGACTCAAGCATCGACTTCGTCGAGCCCAGTCAATTACAGCTAGTTCGTTCAAAACTAAAACGTTGCTACTTAACAGACGGCATATATTCACTGAAGGAGCTACTAAAAGAGTATCCGAGCTATGATTATTTTGTTTCCAAAGCCTTTTCTAAAGTCGACGACTATGACGATCCACGAGGTTCCGAAATAGATTCTTCCCTAAGCCCAGTAATCTACGTCATACATTCGTACCAAGATGAACTTCTTTCCTTACGACAAAGCAATTACTTCTGTGCTGTTCTGCAAGAACTTCAACAGCCTTACCAAGTCTATTTGGACGATTTGGGAAAACATAATGATGTCTATGAGAATTTGAAATTGGCCCAATATGTTCTATACACTATGATGCGCTAAGTAACTATCATCAAACCCAAATAGATTTCCCGCGGGCTTCGATCTTTTCACCGAGCTTAGAGACCTCTTGGTTCCATTCCACCAATCTCTGTTTCATTTTGTTGATTTGGTCCGCATTAATAATACGCGGCTGTACCCATGTTACGGTGACCAATTCGGTTACTTGGTCAATAGAGCCTTTCAACAAACCTAGACTAATACTTCTCATAACCAGATGTTCAACATTGTCTTTGGGCAGATGCGTAGCCGTTGCAATGTCCTCAAATGACAAAGTTCTAATGTTTTTGACAAAGACACTTTCGACTAAGGTCATCAAACAGATCTTCTGTCTCAAAAATGATTCATGCGTAGATAAGACGGGAACTTGAGGTACTCTGTCTTTCGAGATTTTGTCAAATTTGTCAAAGTCTCCGTTTGACAAAGTGTTCAGGAACTGAAAGAGCCAATTAAATTGTGGATCCGTAGAGATGCTTTCCATGATAGGATGGTGCAGCAGCTCACCAAAGTTGTAAATTTTGTCACCCAGTAAGGCGGCAATGCATAGATTGTATGCCAGTTCTTGGCGTCTGACGTTCGAAAAATCCTGTGTGGCCTGCATAGTCTCCGCAGTTGACAGATATAGCAGACTAGTGTAGTAAAAGGAGTTGAAGTCTTTTTTAGCCTGAAAGTATTCTGCACTTGCAGAGTAAAAAGCGCTGGTCACTTGCAAAGGTAAAGAGTCTTGTACTTCCAGCGTGGTTTCGATGTCGTCTAACGAGTCTCTCGCTTTGACCAAATCGCCTTGTACCAAGTATAATCTTGCAATTTCAGTATCTATAAGCAAAATTCCGTTGTAGTGTGATTTCAATCCGTCATTTCTCTGCTTCCTCTCATCCATTTCTTTGAAGCTCTTGCGCAGATCTGTGAGATACTCTAAAGCTGCTTGCGAATCGTTGCTGGCCTTAAGGGAAAGTAGTAAGAAGCTCACCAATTTCAATTGATTGACCTTGTCTTGAAACTTAGAAACAAAGGTATCATAGACTCTGAGTCTTAGAGGACCAGATCTTTCGTCTTGAAAGAAAACCTCAAGTCTTTCTGTTAGCTGATGCCATAACTTTTGTTCATAAAAGCTTTCAAACTCGTAAAACAAGCCTGCAAGCTCTGGAGCAGCCTCTAGCCTTAAAGTTCCTAGAATAGTGGAAATATCGTTGGACATAAGATGACTAACGTGGGCTTAAGTAGTAGAGTTCGAAGTATATTATGTCAAGCGCCCTTTATAATGTCAAATTCTATATTATTTTTCGAAGGTGGCAAAACACTACTGAGCTTTGTTTCTTGATCAAGTGTACGTATCAAACTACAAAAGTGATCAAGCTGGTACGAGGCAACCACGGCCTGGACTTGAAGCCCCATTCCATTATAATGGTATCTAATGTACACTAGCTGGTCAATTAAATTGCAAGACTTTGGACAACGCCATCTTAAACTGAACATAAATTATGTATGTAATCATAATTTAAGATGACACCTTGATACCTTCAATTAACGCTCTAGCATTTTGCCATGCTACCAGTGAGTCTTTGAGCCAAACTAAGAGCACATGAGCAAACGATTTGAGAATCATAGCACATCTCTCTTTTAAGTAGTGAATAAGGTGACTTAGGCTGTCATTGACCGACTCATTCACCTGAGTTACATCTTTGGCGATAAGTTTGAAACAATCATTCAGTTTTTGTAGCTCTTGTGAGATCTTAGTCACTTCTTCTTTTCGCTCTTCGTCAGTTAGCAAATGCGGTTCAAGCTCGTGGGCATTCGACGAGGAACGAGGTCTTCGGGAACTTATACTCCGAGATTTTCTTGACTTGAACAGTCCCGTCCAACCAGCTCCATTTCCACTTCTCGCGTTTCTAGTGCTTGCTTGCAAGTTGGAGTTTGCTGGAGTTAACGCGCCGGGTGTAGTGACTTGACCATCCATATTTTTGACCGCTTGTGCTACGGTGGGTGATTCTTCGGCATTTTTTCGCAGAGCTTCCTCCAGTCTCAGCATCTGCTCTTGAGCGGCTTCAAGATTCTTTATTCGCAATTTGCGTCTCTTGATAGTGGAGTCAACTACCCGATACTGACCCATTTTTTGCTCCCTAAAATGCAAGACGTGTCGCGCCTCGACAATTGATTGTATCATCTCGGCTACAGGTTCTTCTATAAGTATTGTGATCTGTTCTGAAACAATTTCTGAGCTCACGTACGTAACATCAATGGCCTGTCCAACCTTTTCAATTCCTTTAGATAGCTCATCAATTTGCTGCAAATTTTCTTGAATCGTAAGGATATTCCCCTCCAAGCTGAAAGCATTATAATAAGCGCCAAGTTCGGCCAGCGATGACGCAAGTGCTTGAAAGTGGATCCTATTTTGCTTGGAATTTTTCTCCAAGGGATTTAATACTTTCTCAAAATTCCTGAGCATCAACTCGTATTCTTTGAATCTTTCCTCTTGGTCCCATACATTATCATCTTTGTCTATTGGTTCCAAGGCATTGTTGTTTGGAGCGGTACTTGGAAGTAGCAAATGCAGAGGACTTGGCTTCGTTGGTTGCAAGGGTGGGGCCAAGAGATTGTTAGCAGGAATAATCGAAATTGGCGGAGAATTTATAACGTTTCTCCAAGTCTGCTCAGGGTCCAAAAATTTCAAAAATACTATGTGTTCTCGAACCTCGCGTACTGAGTAGCAATTGTTGAGAAATAGCGATAACAACCTTTTTCTTCGGTCGATTATCCGAATATCTTTTTCGGCGCTTAAAGGATTCAAAAAGTACCTTATTAGTGGATGTTTCGAAGGAATGGGAGGAACAATAACAGTGGGCAAAAGCCGGTGCAAAGCATGTCTCAATGTGTCGAATTCAGAATAGCGCCGTACGACCTGCTTCCCCTCAAATTCAATCGTGTATCCGATAGCATATTTGCCGTAAGCATCCCGAAAATGGCCTGCATCTACAATATTGACCTTTTGACCTTCTACCGGCAAGTAGAAGGACGGAATACGGCCTGAATCCGGAGATCTATTTTTGTTCAAAAACGGCGGATCCACTTCATGCGGTTCAGATTGCCAAGTTTCACCAGCAGCCTCTGAATCGTCTAAATCAATGTGCTTACTTTTGTCTATTACATCGCCAAACAATTGGCTCATTAATTCATCCCTTGTCTCCTCTTTCTCTTGTACGTCTGCTAGTATTGTGGGAGGAACAAAATCGTCTTGGCCCTCAGGAACAGCCGCTATCCCTGATGCATATAGATGATTGGTTCCGGCGAATGGGTTGTTATCCTCCTCGTCGCTCTCACTGTAGCCATTCATAATCTCCGAGATCCTTTTAGCTTTGTCCCGTGAATGTAGACACTGTTGTGAAATGAATTCAAAATCAAGAATATACCTAATCTAAATAAAATTGAAAGAAAATCGAAAGAAGACTAGCCCGAAAATGTCACCTCAACGTATGCTTTGGTCGATTAGAGTCCACACAGTCTGTGGATTGAGTTGCACCTATACTAATTTATAAATATACAGCGGTTTTAAAGGCTTCAGATATCGTAAGTGAGTGAGATATGGAAGGGGACCATTGTTCTATTGATTGACTAGTACTAACGTTTCTTGTTATTTTACAGTCGCCGGAGTTGAAGGATGCGATTTTGAATATCACTTCAAAAGCTACTGAGGACTTCTCGCTGGAGAGAGAGATTGCCGGGGTGATAAAGAAGGAACTGGATATCAAGCATGGCAATACCTGGCACGTTATTGTGGGAAGGAGTTTCGGGAGCTATGTAACGCACGAAAAAGGCCATTTCATGTATTTTTATATCGGCCCCTTGGCATTTCTTGTTTTCAAGACCGCATAACATTTACATATATAAGCACAATATATTAATTACGACGTCTACCAAATCTGAGACTTACTTTGTTTGACGTACATTCCATCCATACATTCACATCGGGGCTGCTGCGCACTTGCTGACCTCTTTAGCTTTCAAATGTATACGATGCTTGTTCAAGCGTACTACTCACCGGAATCATATTTTAGCTCATTACATTCTAAATCAAGCCTTTGTCCAAATTTTTCGGATCTGAACTTCAAACTTGAAAGTTGCCCGCGTAGCGCATTAACCTGAGTTTCTTGAACGCTACCCAAAATTCCCCCTACCAATAGCATTAAGCTATCTCGCTCAGAGGTTGCCTGAGCCCATTTTTTATAGTAGCTGGCCGTTAAGTCTCGTTCTTGCTCAATACGCGACTCAAGAAATTGATTCGTGAGTTTGATTTTCTCCATTCGCTCGCCAATTGCACGCTGGTTGTCAACTTGCGAGAGTGCCTTTTGCAACTCCTCAAGCTGCGCCTTCATGGCCAGTATCTGTTCTCTCCCATCTGGCAATTCATGGGCATTGACTTGAGCTGACGTTTTTACATTTCGCGCAAGCGTAGCATATCGTAGCGTTGACATAGTTTCTTCGTAGTCGCATGGCGAGACGCATGCGATCATACAGGTCTTACTATTACCTCCTAAACTTTCCTTTAGAACCCAAGTCAAAGCAGCATCTCGGTATGGTATCAAAATTGGTTTCTTCGTTTTGGCGAGTGTTGAAATCACTCTCCCTAATGTGCTCAGTGACCTGTTGATATTGGCACCTTCTTTCAAGTGTTCACCCGTGGTTTTGGATGCACTAGCCCTTTCGCTACCTGCTAAATCAATAAGCTTGATGCTTGACTTCCGCTCTAAAGTGTGGCCGAGAGGGGTTATCTCTTGCTGCTCTATGTCGATAGTGAATATTGCATGACTTCTACTGGACAGTTCGTTCACTTGTGTTGCTCCGACAACTCTCCTTTCATTTCCCTGACTAAGATATTCTAGGATATCGCTGACACAGAACACCTCGAACTCTTTCAGCCCTTCCACGTAAGTCGTCTTGTCAGGTCTTTCCCTTATTCTGCACTTTTCCCTACCCAGCAGATCTCGAACGGTTTCGTTATAGATTTCAAAGTAGGAGCACCGAATCTTGAATTGAGTATTTAACTGATCATCTGAAGACTCATAAAGGTCACGAACTTCGAATAGCTCTTGACAGATTCTCGGTACTATTCCTGGACACTGTGTGGAACCTGTCATTGTATGTGACTTGCCTGATCCGGTCTGGCCATATGCAAAAATGCATGTATTATAGCCGTCAAGTGCATGCAAGAGATAATCTCTGGCAAGTAATTCATATAATTGTTCTTGATCTTCTAAAGCATTGTCTGAATATGTTGAGCAGTGATCAAACTGAAAGGTCTTGCATTCGTCCTTTTCATTACGCCCAATAGATATTGTGTTCTCTGACTTGACCTTAGCTATAAGAATACTATCAGATTCACGGAGTAAGGGCCTTCTTAACCGTGCGGCTACCTTTATGTTATCACACATTGGTTTTGAGGGCCGTGTGTTTGTTTTCGATCAAAATTGTCTCAGCGCTTAATTATTTTCTTAACGGCGATAATGTTGAATCGATTTGAACACTATCGAAAGTAATAATCTAAGAACACTTGAAATCACCGGCTTTTTGAGGTTCATGGTTGCGAAGCGACGCTGTGAATCGCCAGTGTTGCAATGTGCTGTGAGCAGCCGCTCCACGTGGAAACAGCAACAGTTATTTTTTGATTGCAAAGAGGAACGTTTTTCAACAGTTATCTCGAATCTTGCTGGATAGTAATCTGCTACATTCAATTGTGAACAGGTCCTTCCGCGCTTTGACAACTTCAACTTGTCGCAATCGAAACCGCAAATGACAAACCGAATTTTAAGTTTAAATAAAAATGCTGTGCCACAGGCCCTTCTGGCATCACTCATCAGTGAATATGTATGAAAGCCTTACTCGACGTCAATTATCATCAAAAATGAGCTGTACTAATTACTATTATATAATTCATTAAAATTGTCGAATGATGACTTATGAGTGAGCTTGTTCAAGTCATTTCTGGGTCCTTGGCAAGCTCTGTTATAGAAACCTTTTCGTAGTCGGTTTCGTTCACTTCAGAACCCAAACGAGCGACGTTATAGCCCGTGCTCTCAAGATACTCGATAAACATCTCATCTTCTAGGAGATTGGCTTCTTGGTCAACTGCTGGTAGGAAAAATAGAGCAATGAATCCACTATTGAGGCAGATGGCCCCAGAAACCCAAAAAGGCACTCTCAAGTCGCTGTAGCCACCATATTTCTTAATAATGGCAGGGAAAACGTAAGAACCTACGAAGGCGCCGATTTTACCAATAGCAGCGGCAATTCCATAATATTGGCCTCTTAAAGGGGTGGCGCTAGTCTTGGACGCCAAGCAACCAATATTATCCCCAACGCTAAATTCTCCCAGAGTACTAAAGATACCAAATACAACAGTGAAAGCAGCAATGTGGGCCTTTAGACGATCGAAACATCCAGCAATGATAAATGCAATAGCAGCTTGCAATAACACCCCTACCACAAGTGTTACACGGGAGCCCCAATAATCCGCAAAAATAGCACCCAAAAATGCACCTGGGATATAAAACAAGTTGAATACGATGTTCCAACCAAAAGTTTTTGTCAAAGTGGCATCGTCACCCAAAATGCCGTCAAGAATAAGACTGGAAAGACTCGAGAAGGAGTAAGTGATGAAATCGTATTGAAACCAAATTACGGAAACGACCAGGAGTCTAAACCAATAGAACTTGAAGACTTTCCAGTAAGGCATTGATCTTTCAAATCTAGTGTTTTGGTACTGTTTTCCTTCTTTGTAACGAAAACGTAATGCGAACAAGGACAAGGGAGGAATTGCGCCGAGTCCGAGGGTGATTCTCCAAACGGGAGTCAAGTGTTTTTCGCCGCAAATCTTGAGTAAAATTAGAGGAACCACGGAGCTGACCACGAAACCTGCATCGATCATGAAATTGGTGAACCAGCAAAACCATCTGTTTCTTTTACCAGCTGGTAAAGAATTTGAAGCCTCTGCGGCAGCCGTAGAGCCCGCTGGATATTCCGAGCCAATACCAATACCCAGGAAAAACCGGTAGGCAGTTAGGGCAGCGAAAAGACCACCGGCATTTGTGCCGGTGGTGCCAACGCCCCAGGCGCCGGCCCCAAGAATGGAGAAAACGATCAGGATCGCGGTTCCGACCAACATGGCCATTTTACGCGAATGGAAATCCGAAACATAGCCGAATACCAATTGGCCAACGACGGTGCCGACAAATGCGATGGACGACACATTCTGCAAAGCGTGGGAGTTCTTGTACTGGTCCTTGTAAATCATGGACAGACACACATTGACGGTACTGATGGAGTTGTTGACGTAGCCGTCGGAGAAGAGACCCGCGCCCGTGGTCACGATGGCCCAGTAGTTGTTGCGTTTGTCGTCCTTCTGATACTTGCGTTTGCGGGCCACATGCTGGTCCTCTCGAGAAGCCAATTTGCCCTTGCGAAAGCCGTTGGAGTCGTCGTCAATGCCGTCGCCGTTGTGGAGCTCCAGCGACGCGCTCGACGTGCTGTGAGCTGTTTCCACGCTCGACTCTTCTTGCAGCTGGCGACCCCACGTGACCTCTTTTTTCGACCGGACGAGCCAGTTGGTGGCCAGTTCTTTGAACGAATGTGGCAGATCTCTGGTGGCCGGCGATTGCGTGTGTCTTTGATCCATCTTGCGTAACGGGAGAGAACTGGAAAGGGACAGAAAATTCGTCAAAATTAAAACTCCGAAAAGTGTCTGTGTGCGTGACCTCGAGGCTAGTTACAACGCGCGATGCTGCGTTTGACCGATAATCTAGCTTAGGTCTGCTGATAAGCTCTTGTGCTTTTGTTCTTGCGTGCTTGACCGGAGTTTTTCCTTCGAATGCTTATACAGCCCTTGGCATGAACGTCCTATCCATATATACACTTTGACTGTGAATTAAATTGAATTCACATGGGGGAGTAGATACCCCGGCTTAGCTAAGCATGCTCGAGGCCTAATTGTCAAAAAAAGACGATGGAAAAAAGTTTGTAGCGAAAGAGGTGAAATGAACAACGTGAATGAAGTGATTAGGGCTGGATCTATTTCCCACGAGGCCTTTTACCGTACAGTGCGTGTTTCGGTAGTACTTTTTACCCAATGATCCTTTGTTGGTCATCTGTGTGCGTGGACCAGACTGTATTTTTGCTACGCAACAAAGAATGTCCGTACGTGCCTGCGACGCTCCAATACAGAGTGATCTGCCAATCGATATATATATATATCTGCCAATTCTTATCAGGAACGTGCAAGGGATTGTGAGGATTCAAGGGCCGAGAAACCTGCGAGCGGCTTGCGCAAAAACTAAAGTCTTGGCAGCCAAAAAATTGATACCATTAGTGATCAAACGTGTGCAGCCGTTGCGAGTGGTTTGTCAATTCACAGACGCTAGAAGAAAACAATGAGCATCTACGTATTATTGAGAAGGGTGGCGGGAAATTAATGAGGGCGTGCGCTACGAGGAAGAGCCGCAGTATTTTCGATTGTTGTGTAGCAGTAAATTTCTTGGCAGTAGACGGCAGGAGCCTTGAACGGGGGGGTGGGAGTAGCACTACTGGAACGGAAGGGAAGGTAGCACTACTGGAACGGAAGGGAAAGTAGCACTACTGAAACGTGGAGTCATTTCGCAAAGGCTTCTACGAAAGAGCAAGTTACGAGCCGAATTGTCCGCTGTTGCTTCAACAGTCGGAAGAGTGCAAATCATTTCATGACGTTCCTACAAGAAAGCGAGTTTCGTACAGAGATCGTATGCAGAGGGCTCTGGCAATACGCCACGAGTCTGGATAGTGGGGGCATTAAACAGGAACGTAGGCCAAGTCGTTGACGCTTTCTAAGCGTACAGCCGTTCCAGCGTGCGCGATTTCGTAAAGCAGGCTTGACGATGAGCATGCATCCTGTACGAATACCTAGATTTTACGGTATCATCAACGAGGCGGAACCCATTGCTCAGCTTTTGTGACAAAACGAATGCCTATAGGTATCTGTAGCATACTTCTGGAAATGCCTGCGTCAGGGATATTCGTTATTTAGCATTTGAATCCGCTTGTCAGATGAAGGCAGCGAGATTAATCACTTATAGTCGGATTGCAATGACCAGGAGTTCGCTGGTGATGAGGACACATGAACAAACAAAGAGAACATACTCCATTACCTTACAAGCCGTAATTTGTGCTTAGTGAAAGGGCCAAGCCTACCTAAATAGTGCGAAAAATAGCAGTGTATCAATTTAATTTAACACTGACACCGGATAGAGTATTAGTCGCGCAATCAGGTTCCCAGTCATACGAACCTATTGATACCCTACCAAGTTTTTACAAATTCAAGTATTTACTCATGTTACTGATCTCTACCGAAGCCGCCCGTTTGTCAATTCCAGATTAGCTACATCCACGAGACCAAACCTGGCTTTACTCTCAACCATGATGCGGTGTTCATCACTCTATACTAGTGTGTCATTTCCCATCTCACAGCAACAGCAAGCTAGCGGTTTCGCCAAAAGTTTCACCATTCTTGTAAACTTATAAGTATTGGCGACGAGTTCAAGAACCGCAAAGGTCCCGAGGAACAGCGAAAGCCACCCAAAATGACTCTTTCATCATTAGAATTACGTTCCCTTTTGACGTCAATTTTGTTTTGTTTCCCCTCCATATTTATACCTGCCTCGTTTCATCAGGATGTTGTGAGGCTTAACCTACACTCCCATAATGGTATCTCATGCTACAGTAGCGAGAAGGTTTGTCGAAAAAAGTTGAAAGGTATTGTAATAAGCTATCGAGTTATCTGTGGCATTTTGTGGGTAACTTGCTACTATATGCACTGGGAGTACTCATATCTTGATAAGAATGTGCTTCAAAATAAAATTTGCAAGATCATAACAGTTATGGACTACTATCAATTCCTCGTCCTCGGTGCTTTTTACTTTTGGCGGTGTGGAAGCTGGGCGACGAATTATACTACTGCATTAAATCCCGAGGAGAAGATCGAGTCAGCTTAGAATGAAAGTGTCCTAATCAGGTACGATTCGGGTATTATATTGATTTTCTGGACTACTACTGCTTAGCAATTCCGTAATACCTCAATCAGTATATTTGGTGAGTTTGGCCATACTTTCGTAAATGCGTCGTATACCTCAAGACTAGCAATGCAACCCTTACATGGAAAGTAAACCATGAGGGATAGTGTCAAACTGCATAGTAAAAACATGGTGTAACGACATAATAGTACAAAGCGATATTAATAAAGTTAGGGCGCTAAATCATAACTCGTAGTTTAGACCTGAAGTTAGTGACCAGAGGTTTTACAAGTGGTCACTACTTTACTGATTACTTACCAATGCAGAAAAAAAACAAAATGGCCGATATCATAGCGCCCCATGTACGTCTTTTTCACATATAAGAATTGTGTTCAAGTACCGTCGGCACTTAATGGCGTCGCGTCACGACGCAACGCCAGCATAGTTAAATCCACAACCACTCGCAGAAGCTCGGTTTTGCGACAATCATCAAGAGAACAAACGCACGTACGCACAATTGTCTCATCTCCTAGGCACTTGATTAGTCTATAGAATATATACAGTATTTTAGTTTTCAGGCTTCTTAGCAACGAACAACATCATGGGGGTAAACAGCTTGGCTTTACCACCAGCAACAAGACCAACCGCTGCTTCCTCTAGTGCCAACGTCACGTCACGAGAACCCTTAGGAGCAATTCCCACTTTTTCCATTATTGTCACCATAGTAGTGGTAAATTTACGACCCACATACGAAGTTCTGAAGAAAGTAGCCAAATCCGATATCGTCTGTACATATCTCCATTCACCGGTTAATGGGTAATACCATGGGACAGCATCTTCGTTGTCAGCCAAATCTTGGTCGTGTAGGATCTCAAACCCAACAGTAGACAATGCCTCACGTGCCACCTGGGCGGGGAACATCTTTGGAATACCGTCACCAAGCTCAATCTCGTATGCGATCTTGCGGTGTTCAGGGTTTTTTTCGTCGTATTTGTCGGTCATGACCCACTCGTAGACGGCGAAAACACCACCAGGCTTCAAGACTTTGTAAATCTCGCCGTACACGCCCTCAAGCTTGGGTGCGTGGCATGTGGCTTCAATAGCGTATACTTTGTCGAACGTTTCAGGTTCAAAGTGCATGTTCATGAAGTCACCCTTGACAAAATCCAGCTGGTCGGCCAAACCTGCCTTTTTCGCGTAATATTTGGCTTTAGCAATTTGGTAATCGTTATTATTCAAACCGATGATGTTAGCACCAGTGAAACGGGCAATCTCGCGAGCTGGGCCACCAACACCGCAGCCAACATCTAGAACAAGATCGCCTGCTTTGATATCGGCCTTGTAAGCCAAATAATGTTCATGACGCGCAACACTAGCAGTGAAACTCTCACCGGGGTAAAATCTACTGAAGTGGAACGACGATCCCCAACCATACTCGTAGAAGTCGGTCACCACATTATAGTACGAATGCGTGGCTTCGTTGTAGTCTTCCAAACGACGATTCTCGGCCTCTTCGTCGGTTTTACCATCCCAATGGCGCAAATATTTGGTAACGGCTTCACTTTGGGCATTTTTGTTTTTTGACAGAAACGCCTTTAGCCCAGTCTTGGACCCAATATCGTCACCATGCAATTCGGCCGTGAATTTTGCCTGTCTATTTCTCAATTCTTGAGGAGAGTCTGCGGTCATCTTGTAGTGTAATGCTGCTGGAAAAGTTAAATCGGGTATGTTCTTTTCAGTCTTTCAAAGTGATTGTGACTAGCCGATATATTGAAACTTGTGACAAAAAGTGGCTCTTGCAGTGATCTCGAACAAATACAGGATACTAGTTTTCTACTTTTGTCTACACCCGCAATTTGATTGTTATCCTTTTATAGCGTGGGCCCCACTCTCGTTTACGCGATGAAAAAAAATATCAATCTCGACAAAATCATTTAAACGAACATGAACGGCAGACGTGATGAAACGAAAAGAAGATAATGAAACCAGGCGTAGCAGGCAGGGAAGAATGGCTGCGGAAAGCCGCTTGCAGCGATGATTGTTGCAGAACCTGCTTCAGAACTTGCTTCAGAACTTGCTTCAACGAATCAATGCTGTGTTTCCTTGACAGATCTTGTTGGGGGATATCACTCGCTCAGCAGGTATGCCGCGCAATATGATTTCTAGTGAACCGTCAAATCGCTAATTTCGCGCATTTACATGAACTTATTAATAGGAGACACGAAGCCCTGACTACGAGCATGAATACGTCAGTTTTCGGCCCCAAATCTTTTTTCAGATGTAATTTGCTGATAGTTTGTCGTAAATGTGCCATAGTGACACACACTATGTAGTGATGCGCATGCGTCGGGCGCTAACTACCAATTATACCTGGCAAAGTCATAAACCCGGGTGGTGCGAGTCGCGTTCAAAAGGAGTTCGTAAGTCTCACTGAATGAGAAACACATACGTTAAAAGAGGCAGAGGATATACAAATTAAAAAATACATATCGCCACAGACGATATATAGCCGCCGAGCTTTATAAAACATATCTTGCTTGTCTTCGATTCGAGAGTAGCTTTGAACAGAACTTTGGATCCATCAGAGACAGAAGCCACGCACTCGTGCTGCTGCCAAAAAAAACAAATATTTCGTTTTACTTCAAAACATTGATGAATATCGAACTACGTATCAAACCATATTAACCCAAAACCTATCTGTCGTCCACAAGGTATCACCACGGAACTTCGGAACCATCGTAACTCAAAAACTTGCCAGAGTGCTTGGTTTTCAAATCTTGCAAAATGTTCTTATTAATACCAGAGGCAGACTCATCCGGGGTGACGATGGTCACTTTCATCGTTTCCAGCATCTGCTTCAAATACTCCGGATCCAATTTCTCCAAAGCCTTATCTCCCATGTCGCTGCTTACTATGCCAGGATGAATTGAGACAATACTGTAGCCATCTGGTGACATTTCGCGGTCTAGTTGTCTGATCAGATAATTTATTGCAGCCTTGGATACACCATACGAGCTGAGGGGAAAGGGAAAAACATGGGTTATTGAACCAGCAAGCGCAGACACCACAGCAATTTCTTTTGAGCTCTTCTTGTCCAGCAAGGGTTTTAGAGCTCTAATTAGCCGGATCGGGCCCAGAGTATTCACGTTGAAATGCTCGATAAACGATTCGTCCGGAGATTCCAAGGTACTGTTGTAAGGGTTAGCAATGCCGGCATTCGAAATCAAAACGTCAAGACCGTCTGGAAGAATACGCGCGGCTTCTGCAGCAGCTCTTTTCACGCTTTCGGCAGACGAAACGTCCAATTGCACAATCTTGACATTAGAGTGTGCCTCAGACCACTTCTTGAGCTCTGTTGCCTTGTTGATGTCTCTGGCGGTAGCAACCACGGTGTTCGACGAGTGGCCGCTCATTTCTTTCACGAGCGAGAAGCCAATGCCTCTGTTTCCCCCTGAAATAAAATAAGTCTTGGACATTGTTAGCTAATATGTTGATGTTGGGGCTAAACTGAAGTCTTTCAATATCAGTTCATTACTAAAGTGTCAAAATGGTTCTGTTAATTCTATTGATAACAGGTTTATATATGCAATTGGAGTTTTGCTATTTTCCATGAAACCAGTGGTACGTAAAAGCCGTGGAATATTAACATCAGTTCCGTGGAAGTGCAATGGCTAAAAGTACTATATTACTGTAACCTCTAAAGGCATATATATGTCAGCAATTGAATAAATTGATATCACTTGGGAGAAAAAGTGACACATGCGGAAAACTAAGAGAGCGAAACTGAAATACCAGTTGTTGAGGTTGGTGTAGAGTGAGCGGGAAATAAACGAGCTGATATGAAGTGGACAAGTCAAATTCAATTCGATATGTACTTATTGCATAAAGATTAATATATGAAGCACCAAACGCTTGGCATTTGCAATCACCAGGGAGCTTCGGAACCATCGTAACTCAAAAACTTGCCAGAGTGTTTAGTTTTCAAATCATGCAAAATGTTCTTGTTAATACCAGAGGCAGACTCATCCGGCGTGATGACCGTGATGTTCATCGTTTCCAGCACCTGCTTCAAAAATTCTGCATCCATTTTCTCTAAAGCTTTATTTCCCATGTCGCTGCTAACCATACCAGGATGAATCAAGACGACGCTGTAGCCTTCTGGAGACATTTCGCGGTCCAGTTGTCTGATCAGATAATTGATTGCAGCCTTAGACACACCGTAGGCAGAGACGGAAAGGGGCATAGTTATAGTCACGGAACCAGCAATAGAAGACACCACAGCAATTTCCTTGGAGCTCTTCTTGTCCAGCAAGGGTTTTAGAGCTCTAATTAGCCGGATTGGACCCAGAGTATTCACGTTGAAATGCTCGAGGAACAACTCGTCTGAAGATTCCAAGGTACTGTTGTTAGGGTTAGCAATGCCGGCGTTCGAAATCAAAACGTCAAGTCCTTCTGGAAGAATACGCTCGGTTTCGGCCGCAGCTTTTTTCACGCTTTCGGCAGACGAAACGTCCAATTGTACAATCTTGACATTGGAGTGAGCCTCAGACCACTTCTTGAGCTCTGTTGCCGTGTTGATGTCTCGGGCGGTAGCAACCACGGTGTTCGACGAGTGGCCACTAATCTCTCTCACAAGCGAGAAGCCAATGCCTCTGTTACCACCTGAAATAAAATAAGTCTTGGACATTTTTAGTTAATATGTTGTTGTTTGGGTTGGATTGAAGTCTTTCAATTCCAGTACAAGACTACAGTGGTGAAGTTGGGCATTGTAATAACTACTGGTTATATACGCAATTCGAGTTTTGATTTTTCGCATGGCACCAGTGGTACGATGGCACTAGTGGTACGTAATAGCCGTGGAAAAGTTACATTATTTCCGTGGAAGTGCTACGGTCGATCACTAAAATTACTAAAGTTACGGAAACTTACCAAAGCCTATATGAGTCAGCAACACATTGACATCACTTGGCAGAGAAACTGACACATGCTGAACAGTGTGGTAGCGAAATTGGGATGGCAGTGGTCTAGGTAGCTAGTGGTGTTGAATGCCGGAAAAGAAATGAGCTATCGCACTAGGCGTAGCGTCAGGGCGATATGATGTCGGATTCAGTGAAATACGAACCAAGGCCATAGAGATTAATCTTAAGGCATCAATCGAGATGGCCAAGTATATATATACAGCTATCGATCCGTGGATGAAGCATCAAACACCTGGCATCTGCAATTCCCAGGGAGCTTCGAAACCATCGGCTGAGTGTTTGGTTTTCAAATCTTGCAGATTGTTTTTTGTCAAAACCAGAGACAGACTCATACGGGGTGACGATGGGCACGGCACATTCAGCGTTTTTGACTAGTAGCAGCAACAATATTCATCGATTGGCCGCTGATCTCTTTCCTGAGCGAGAAGCCAATGCCTCTGTTTCCCTCTGAAATAAAACAAGTCTTGGACATTTGTTTGTATGTTTGTTTTTTTACGAGCCGATGCGACGTTGTGCGAACTGGAGCGAAGCTCTGGGGTTACAGATTAGGCCGAAGGGCCTCCATGTGGATTTCCCGATCCAAGTGACCACAGCTCTCATACATGCGATTCAAGCTGAGAGTGGTGAGTGCAATCATATCTTTAAATCGTAAGAGAGCACTACATGTTAGTACAAATCTGAGTGCTGAGTGCTGAGTGCTGAGTCGATTCTCGATCTCTTCCATGGATCAGTGTTCTTCTGCGCGCTCCGCGGAAGCTGCCCGTACACAATTACTACAGCCACGTGATTGTTGATCGCGGACGTGTATTATTGGCATCGCCAGTGCGACGCTCCCGCCAATACACGAAAAACAGGCAATCTGCCAAACGAGCATACTTTTGGCTCACGTTCCGCCCAGATTCCGCGGATATGCGTGCCGCGGGGAGAAAGAGAGCTCCCTTCCGCTTGCTCCGCTTGCTCCGCTCTTCTCCGCGGCTGTAAAACGGCCTTCAAATCCTGATCGTTTGTCACGGCTGTGTCGTGCACAGCGACCACCCTGAATTTTTGTTCCTGCGCATTCTGGAACAAAAGGGTTGCCATGGCATCGCAGCCATAATTTCTTTAAAGGATTGTCGTCCGCCGTGATACCCGCCAAGATTGGCCTCAACCTTACTCATCTAGAAAATATTGGTCTCCCATCACTCTTACTAACCACACTCGGGAGGAAACGACACGCCAACCAAACCCAGTTGACAATTCGCCACCGGGAAGAAAGCTAGCCAGGAAAAGGCCAGTTTCAGGATCCAGCAGTGTCGTGGAACAGCGCATCGCAGGCGTCGTAACTACAACTCTCGCGTATCAGCAGTGCCCACAGCCAAAGTAGCGCGGACCGCAGCTTCAACTTGAACTCCAACTCCAGTCCCAGCTTCAGCAGCTTCACGCATCCAGCGCGTCGCCCACACACACACTTACACACACACTTACACACACACTTACACCAGAAACAGCCCGGTTTCTGAAAACATATTTCTCGCGCCACCCTCCACTCGCCAGCAATGACAACTGTCAAACGAGAACTGGACTCGCCCGTGACGTCGGACGAGGCCGCCAAACGCAGAGGTTCCAAGCCTGGACGCAAGCCTCTCGACACAGAGGCCAAAAACAAGCGCACTGCCCAGAATCGCGCCGCGCAGCGCGCGTTTCGCGAACGTAAGGAGCAGAAGATGAAAGAACTCGAGGACAAGGTTTTGCAGCTTGAGAAAGTACGAGACGAGAGCGAGATGGAGTCTGTTTTTCTCCGGACCCAGCTCCAGCAGCTCGTTGCCGAGATCCAGAAATACCGGCCGCAGCAGGCCTCCGACTCTCAGGTCCTCACATATCTTGCCAAGTCCGAGCGAGAACAGCAGCACAACCGACAGCAACGTAGCCATCGTCGTGGGCGCTCCATTAGTGACAGCACCAGTCGCAGCAGGAGCAGAAGTAGGTCTATCAGCATGAACGCTTCCATCACTCCCTCCGACCCTAGCGAAAATTCTACACCCACCGACCAAGACGAGGCCTCTAAGATCCGCGAAAATATGCAGCGCAAAATGAACTTCACGTTTGAATACCCGAAAAACACTCCACCAAACATTCAATCCCATAGTTCCAATCAGTCTCCTTCCGGAAGCGTTTCCACAGCTGCCTCTAGTAACTCGTTTTCTCACAAAGCTTCTTTCCCCTTATTAAACAACACCCCAAGCACCTCTTCTGGTTCGCTGGACTTGTTCGGATACAATAATGTTGATAATCAGAGTTTGCCCAAGTTTACTCCCTCTACCTACTCAAGCTCTCTGAACAACGATTTCGATTTTAACTCGCACTTCGATGAGCAGGTCTCTGAGTTTTGTACGCACATGAACGAAGTGTGTGGTACCCGCGAATGTCCAATTCCTAAGAAATCGCCTCCACTATCTTCTTCTTCTTCTCAATCGTCGCCTGTGGTGCAGCGATTACAACAATCTCAGACTGGGACGATTCCTTCGCCTTCTTCAAATTCTAGCTCCATCAAAGCAAGCCGGCAGAACCAGTCGTCACTACCTTCGCCGCAGCAGCAACAACAACCACAACAACAACAACAACAACAATCACAGCAATCACAACAACCACAACAACAACAGCCGCAACAGCCGCAACAAGAACAGCAGTTGCAGCAAAAACAGCAGCAAACTCTGTCTAATTCCTGGGATTCCCCTCAGTTCGGTCATTCCGGTTTTGGTTTGGAGCTAGAGGATCCTACAAGCAAATGGATGTTCCCGGACCTTCACACACCAGGCGCCTCTGGTGTTGTACGAGCTCCATCCGCCATGGCGGATTCTTTGCCGTTTATCGATGCGTCTCTAGCTTTCCCCACGGATCAACCTAATGAAGCATTTGCCAACAATTCTGACGATGTTTTGAAACAGTTTTTCGAGGAAGACCCTGCTGTTTCGCAGTTGACCACTGAGGAAAGTAATTACGACTTGTTCAGGCCGGGCGCATTGCCACTGTCAGGTGGTGGCACATTTGAATCCACAAGTTCCGCAACCTCGGGTACCTCTGTGACTGACACCAGTGTTTCCACAGCAATAACGGAACCTCACCAAATCATTGACGAAACTTTCAAAGCTCCCTCAATGACCGAAGATATACGATTTTCGAATGTGTTGCCCGATGATATTGTGCCTTCCCGTGATGGCTCTTTACTCAAGTGTTCTGAAATCTGGGACCGAATAACAGCGCATCCCAAATATTCCGATATTGACATAGATGGGTTATGCGTGGAATTGCGCACAAAGGCTAAATGCTCTGAGAAGGGCGTAGTTGTTAATTCAGATGATGTTCAAAAGGCATTGAGCAAACACATGTCGTGAAATAGATACACTAGCAACAGCATTTTGGCTTGAGTGTTGATTAATGAATAATGGCAAAAGGATTACAGTTATTTTTTTTTTTTTTGTGGAATAAAGCCCTCTCTCCGATGTCCTTGGGAAGTTAAATGTAGTATGAGAGCTATAATCCCTGCAATGTTGCTCGCGATGCTTTTTGTTTGTCCGATTAGGACTAAATTGTAAACTTGGGCCTCACGGCTTTAAAGGACTTACTCTTTATGATACTTTAATAAACATCTACTAATAATCTATGCGATAGTGCTCGCGAAATGATACCAGGCGTATCGTCACTACAGTGATTGCTTGGCAATTGGCATTCTATTTCCAACCATCAAGCGAAGGGCGTGACGACACCTGCTGTTAATCTAAGGTACCGGCATATATAAATCGAGACCAAAGGAAGTACCACATTCTTGAAGACGCATAATGGAGCTAGAGCAAATTACTTGAGATTTCGACGTAGTTAAACTTCTTTCAGGGGCACTTCGCTCTCAGCGATCTAAAAGCTGGCTCCCCTGTGACTTGGGGAAGGATACTCGGCCCGGGTTACGGAAAATGCAGGACGACCGATGAGCAAACTCAAATGCTATCAAGACTAGACATGGCAGACTGTGATGAATGCTCATCAATGGAATAGGAGAGTGTAGGGTCTGCTTGATTCTGAATTCTCTGAAGTCGCTTTGTACTACATTGACATTGTACGGGGGCCTCGAGAAGCATTCAATCACTTTTGACAGAAGCGACACTATGAACTTCAAAACAATCTATTAGAGAGGGTTGGAAGGAAGGCATGGTGACGAGCAAATACCCGTAAGATTCTGGCTCACCTTTCCTGCAGACAGGAGCTCTAGCACAGCTTTCACAAACCTCAATTTGCACGCGTTGATAAATATTTAGTATTAGCTATGGGCTTTCGAAAGGGTCTAAATCATCTAGGCATTACTTCAAGAACCTTTCCACCACATCGTAGCCACAAAGTACGGAACTATCACTCTTGGAGCCTGTCAGTTATTTGAAAAGTGAGGCGGTCGATAAATCTCCATTCTTGGCTCTCGCAATTTGTAACATCTGTTTGCGAACCAAGAGTCAAATCATAATACCATGAACAATAGCCTGTTAACTACATTTGTTCATTCCTGTTGTCTTTCACTCTCATGCTTGAACGTACGCGGCGATCTGTCCTTGTTCCCCGCATTTTTTTTCAACTCTAATTCTCAATATTCATTCAACCAAAATGCAACACTCATACAAAGTAGAGACATCCTTGGAGTACACTAAGTTCTTGCCTATTTGTGGGAATATAAAGAACTTTTCACTTGAAGAGCTATTAGAGTTAGCTGATATCAGGAATTGAGTGCCATAGCTTTTTGCGGTGGAAGCTGGATAGCACTGAAAAAAACAAGGGTAAATTTTGATTATTGCCCAAAAAAAGGTCAAGTCGAAGTGCAAGTTGGGCTACTGGTCGTTTTTTAACTGAGTATTGGGATCGCGCACTCGAATAGCCATGGGAAACAATTCCTCAACGGCTAACTTGCCGCAAAATAAAAAAATAAGCCAGCTGACGCAGGAATCTCGGGGACGTCAAGATTCGATCACATCACAACTGTTTCCTAGTAGAAGCGCTGGAAGACATCCCGAGTCGAAGAAAATCTCCGGATGGAAAGGCCGCGTTCTCCCAGGCTCTAGCAAATTGACGAATACAATGTCCACTCCATCAGCTCAGTCGCCTTTCAGGAACAACTACTCCCTCGACGCGAAGTCTGAATCTCCTGCACCCTTCGCACTCAAAAAAAGCGCATTGGGTAATCCAGCACCTCCCATGTGTATAGCGGCACATGCTAGTGCTGAAGAGTCTTCGTCTTCATCTCTCAGGGACCACCTAGCAGAGCTTTCGTTGCAAAACTCAGAAGGGCAACCCACAACTGTCACAGCTATCTCAAGCGCTTCTGGCACGGCACCTGTCCTAAGAAGTCCTGGGCCTTCTACCCCAGTCGTCAAATCCACCAAAGAAGACGCCCTTTCCGATCATCTTTCAAGCATCCTATCTCTCAAGAAATTACTGGTAGAAGGAAGAATCGGCGACCAAATTAATCCCCCTTCATCGTCTATCAATATACCAAGAAGATCAAGCACAGCCTTATCTGATTCTTACTTATCTGACGATGAAGATGACGAAGAAGCCTTGTTGCAAGGAACGAGCGATGTAGTTATCAACAATTCCTTGCTAGAAAATGCAATGAAACGGAAAAGAGATACTAAAAAGGCCAATGTCATAGGAACATCTTGGAGCTCTCATGAAACTTTGCAGCATCCGGGACTTAAGAAACTGAAACCTTTAAGTTCGGATTCAGAAAGAGTAAAACTCCCTGATTTCAAGGTTATGCACGCAAGACGCCCAGAAGAAGAAGAGGATTCTACAGCCATACCAAGACTAGTACAAGATAATTTCGATCGAATCGATTCTTTCGAGAAGGGTACAGTTGAGCACTATGAAGGCACTAATGAAAGCGGTAACAGCTCCCAAAACTTGACGTCATCAAGCCATCAGGTCACAAGCTCACAGAGCGAAGCCATTGAAACACATGTCATAGTGAAATGGAAAGACAATATTGTGGATCCCAAGACTTGTAAAATGTCTATCGTTAGTAAGGACATTTCATCTGTCTTGGGGCTCCAACATAGATCCAAGAAAATACCAATGGAATATGACACACAGTCTAAATGCTGGACAGCTGCAAATCTTTTTTTACCACCCGGAGTGTATAAGTTTCAGTTTTTGATTAACGGCGAACTGCGGCATTCTGAATTTCTACCAACAGCGACTGACTCGTTTGGAAACTGTGTGAATTGGTTTGAAGTTGTTTCCGGGCATGACATCATTGAGCCCTCAAGGGACTTGATATCAAAAGTTGATGCGCGCTATGACAATCATGATTTTACTATGCATGACTCAACGTCTCCCAGGCCTCCGATGAATTCCGATGGCTCCTCTTCGTCTAATTTTAAGGGTTCGGTAAAGAATGTGGAGCGAACAGGAACTCCCTACTCAGACTACACGGGTCTGTGTAGTAGGTCGGGATCCTTCAAGCCGTCCTTAAACCATAGGCACACGAGTAGTCTAGACCTTCTCGCACCTCTTAAACCTAAAAAGTATGAATACTCTAGTGAAATTCCAGAACTTTTCAAGGCGAATTTCGACGAGGATTTAGACTTGCCCGCTTACGAAGAAGATCTTCGCGATCCTGGCAGCGGCAAAATCCGTCCAAGCTTTTTGCACCGGGTTCAAGACTGTAATCAAGACATACTCTTCGCTGACCTTCAAGAAGATGGTAAGCTGGACTCACAAGCGGCAGAGAAAGCGTTCTTAGAACAATACCCAACTCCAGATCTGCCTGTTTATTTGGATTCCTCATTCCTCAATGCAGTTTTTAGCCGATTCCAAAAGAAAAACGAGTCTACCAGTAGAGTGAATCACATAGTACCTCATGTCAACCTCAATCACCTTTTGACGAGTAGCATTCGCGATGAAATCATAAGTGTTGGATGCACGACAAGGTATGAGGGTAAATTTCTGACGCAAATCATCTATACTCCGTGCTACTACGGCAACAAGGAATCTGCAGAATAGATGTATCCAACCAGTTCAATAAAAAATGCACTTTGACCGTTTATTTTGATGTTCTTACCATATTTACATAAGCACGCACTTTGGATCATTCTTCTTGCGCTTAGCAGAGCGTTTTCTCTTAAACTTTGCGACTTGACGCTTTAGATACAAAGCCTCTTCATCAAAGTTACTCAGCGTCTTTAATATGGATGGGAGAGGTACGCTCTTGGATCTTTCAACCGTGCTTAAAGATCCCAGAGTTAATGACTTAGTGAGCCCGCTTTTTACTGAGGATTTAGACTTCACTTTGATGAGTTTATTGTCAGAGAGCTGATGGTCTCTCTCTGCTGAGGAAGGCGACGTGAACTCGATCTGTTTAGGGGTGGAATCATGATGGAATGCCCAATCCCCTATGCTTTTTATAGTCCTGATTGACCGATGAGCAGTTGACTTATCTGAGTTCGTTCGCGTAGCGGCAAAAAGTTGAACCACTTCACCATCATAAAGCTTTCCACTTTTATCGATATCATTTCTGTCGTCTTCAGCATTATCGTCAACAAATTGAGCCGGGAGACCAAATGGAGAGACAGAGTTTTCAAAATCTGTGTCACTCTTGAAAGAGTTAGTATTTGTGTATGTGGATGCAAATGTGGACTCTAGTCTCAAGGTGTGCTCCGATAGTGTAGATACAGATATTGTTGCTTTGGGAGACAGATGTGAACCATTTGGTTGATAATCCTGTGTCTCTACAGCTACATCTTCCTGTATCATAACCAATGTGTAGAATAATACTTTAGGAAAGAATTTGTTCATCTCCAAAACATCATGTAGTGCAAGCATTTGCAGATTATTCATAGAAAACTTCTCGTCGTATAGAAGCCAATCGTCATTGACATGGGCCACTGTGGGATCGTTGTTGGACTGTCTGACGGCTGTTATTAGTTGTCGAGTGTCCGGTTGTTGTATTAAAATAGATTGCAGAACCAGCCTGAATCGACCAAATTTCTCAGATATCGACAAGGACGGGAAGATCGATGTCATTGAGCTTGAGCCTTGTGAATATTCGGAGTCATAACTCAGTGATCTTAACGAATGATCAACACTCGATAATTCGGATATGCTATCTTCACCAACGAAAGGAGATCCAGAGTCATCTTCTCGTGTAATAGTTTGTGTGAGGGCTTCGCCTTCGTAAGAGGAAACGTCCTCGCTCCGAAGAGATATTCCTGTGGATGAGGTATTTGAAGTCTGAATTCCGGCAGACAGTTTATTATGTACATCCGGATTATGCCAAGGTTTTCTTTGAATGCTATGATGTTTGAATTGAAGCACAAGCTCGCTGCCTCCATCGTCTTCGTCCTCGTAGTCATCAATGTTAATATCACCATCGTCGTCAGAGCTAACAGACTCGGATTTCTCGACTGTCAATGACCTTGTAGAGTTGCTGGGCATATTCACAGTAGATGGATCTTCCTGTATAACCTTTGAGGTGCGCGAATCCCGAGGGATAGTCCGCGGTTCCACAGACGATCTCACCGAATCAAATCCTGTTTCCCCACTTATGATACTGTATTGATTACCAGAGGATTGCAATTGAGATGTGGTCTCATTGCGCGGTGTTCGACTTTTAGCACCAAACTCCAAAAATGACTTGTCGTTGAAATTGCTGAGGTTGTCGCATATAAGATAGTGATTTTCGTGGTTGTAACATTGATCTTGCGTCAATTTTTGAATCTGAATGTATTGCAAATCGTCCAAATGGAAATAGTCTCGCAGAAAATTCTCCAGTAGGTTTGTGTTTTCGTGAATGGCGTCCGGGATAGATACAAGAAGTAGTTTCTTATTGAAGGGCACTGTCTCAGACATAAGTTGTTCGTTCAGAAATCTTCTCAAGAGGGCAACTTTGAGTTGGTTATTGTTCAGCTCTTCAAAGTTGCCGTGCCTTAAATTACACAGATACCACGCCCATAGTCCATTTTCATCGTTCCCGAAATAATCGTCGACTTTTACAGAGTTTCCGAGCATCGAGCACCACGACCTTTCAACTTATTGCCAACTGGAAAGAATTTTTGAAACCTGCCGTACTAACTTTTTCTTCTTCCTACTGCCCAGGTAAAAATCTCGGTTTTGGATATGCGCTCACTGGACCCTGACCAATTTTTAAAGACTCTCTTCGAGCTTAGGCTGCTTATCTATATATAATATTAGCCGCGGTGGCGAAACTAACGAAGGAACAATCTAATACAAGCGCTGGCCGAGTTTCGTTCTACCTCCGTGTATTTTTTAACGTCTTTATCGCCAAGTACAGATCCTGCTGTCTAATTTTTTCTTGGACAACTGCACGGTTCTGTGTATGCTGGATTCTAGCACTCTCGAACTTCTCCTAATACCCTCAATGCACCTCAATTAGCTCTGATTAACCATGAAGTGCAATTGAAAATCTACCACTTGTGGTAATGATGTCGATGGTGTTTACTGGTATTTATACCAAGCTCGGATATTGGGCTTTTCCAAACCGTTTTTCGAACAAGTATAGAACGGGATCACGAAAATGCCGCAGGGCTTGGGCCGGGTAGCAGGGCGAGCGTAATGCCATAATTGAGGAAATAAATCCTGGCGCGGATGTTCTCAAGACGTGCTAGTGGGATGTAAACCTCTTGTTGGTGCTCTCTAAGGGCAGAAGGCTTCAGCAAGAAATCTTCAAGAAACATTGTGGGCAACATGGACGTTATTTTGGCGGCCAGCGAGCTAGTGATTTAATAATATCGAAGCTGCACCCAATGTGGGTCCAAAAAGCTATCTTAGCGCACCAGTAGGAAGGTAGGCATGTAGGATTTTGATATTTACACAGAAAACCAAAGGTTTTTTCTGCCTACTCCGCTTGCAGTTGACGTAAATCAATCCCAAAACACATCCTGACGCCTAAAATATAAAAATAAAATTTGATGAGTCTTTCTCTTCGGAACCTGGTCTAGCACACCGAAGCTTGCTAAGCGCAACACCGAACACTTCAAACGCCAAACTTAAGCCTCTGAGCGATATTTGTCTCCTTTGATAATAAGGGACAACTATAGTCACTGTGCACGGCTGTGTCGCTTTCCTTACATACCTCTTACCTCCCGGCCTATCTTCCTGCTGCTTCGTTGTTACTAAAATTGTTTGTTTTGGGTACTACTATTAAATATTATGCTAAATTTGGGACCAACCCAGGGAATTCTCCGATGAGATCGGGCCCGAAATTCGGATTTTGTCCAGATCGTTTTTCGTATGGCCGTGGGGGCCAACATCATTTACAGTGGAAGATCTCTTGCGACCACCATGGTGGAAATTTTTGGCACTTTGAAGAGTTCCGACCACAGATAGACGGAAACTCGCTCTCTTGGATTTTTCTTTTCGAGACATAGACACGCTTTGAGATCGTTCCTGAGGCTCACTTTCTTCCGATTTCTCAAGACCCGGCTTGCCACTTACGCATGACGAAGAGGGGCCAGTATTTTGCCAAGAAACCTTTTCCTTAGAACGGCCTCTCAAATCTTTGCTTGCAATCGCAATTGCGGGGTTTTTCATAGAAGCATTTCCTTCGTCTATATTACTTTTTTCAAAGCTAATGATAGAATTAGGCCTTGGAGGCCTTCCCGGTGGAGCCTGATTACCACGAGCAGTCTCTTGTCCGCTGTGGCTAGCCGAGCCAGACGTCCGTCTAGTTTGTGGTTTGTTTGCGTTAGAGCTGCGAAATATTTCGTCAGACGCCGTAGAGGCAGACCTGCTGTTCCCATGCGAAGAAGGAATGGTACCTGAGTGTTGAACAAGGAGCCCACTTTTGAACGTGTTAGAACTCGACGATCCGCCAAGCAATCCTGCTAGCCCACTTACACTAGACAGGCGACGATACATCATTTCATCAAGCTCGTCAAATTCTCCTACATGAACGTCGTTAACCTCATCGTCATCATCTTCCTCTCCTAAAGAGTCAGAGTCTAACTCAAGATCTTCGACATCGTTTTCATCATCTTCGATATTCTCGTCGTTTTCTTCCGCCTCATCACTGCCATGATGTTGCTCAAGGTAAGGCTCAACAATAAGGTTTTCTCTCAATCCATCTTCACTGTAAAAATAGTCTTCAAGGTTGTCATCTTTAACCGAAAGCTGTCCTATTAAGTTGGAACTTTCGCTGGAGAGCGGCGTAGGCTCGATTTCACCCTCAGGCCCAATGTGTTGATCTTTGGTTTCAACATCTTTTAGATTCGAATCAGCCTCTTCAATAGCCGCGTCGGACATATTCAAGAATCGGTTTAACTTGTAGTATTGTTGATTATTATAGCTTTCAAAGGTATCGGTGTTATGCTCGTCGAGCGATAGGCATTCAAACTCGAGAACAGATAGCTCCACGTTTCCTTCTTCATCTACCAAAAGCTCGTCCAAGTCGGAGCCGCGTTGAGATTTCATGGTCCTGATGGACCCGGGTTGATCATTTGGAGGTTGAGATCTCGCTCGAGAGTTCCTTTCGCCATCGTAACTTTCGTGATTCAATGCCTCCCCGGCCGCTCCTTTGCTGTTTGTTGCGACCGAAGGCTCACTTTCCCCAGCTTTCCCAGCATAATAGAAGTTTCCTTCGTCATCAACCTGGTAATGTAATCCAGTACTTTTGCTGAACACAATATTGTCACCTACAAGTATCAAGTCGTCTTCATCAACAAGTCCTGAACTACTATCGCTGTTGATATCGTGGGTACCACCGATATACTTTTCGAGGTCTAAAGAACGCCGTAATCCACGAGCATGCGAAGACATGAAATATGCGGCCAATGCTTTATCATCGACGTTCCATTTTTTACCTAACCCATTTGCCTTTTCACGAAAAGGCTCAAGTTTCAGTAAACGACCAAATATGAATAAAGACAATAAAATCCACGAGACAACGAAGAAGAGAAATACCGGTAGGAATATGAGTAATCTTTTTGTACTACCAAACGTGCTTTTGAAAAGCCCATATCCATCCAAAACCCCTGAATTGCCGCCATCTTCGTTATCATCGCTATTAGAGTTAGGATTGGAGCTGCCAGAACCAGATCCGCTAGAACCTGAAGGCGACCCGGAATTGCCAGATTGACTGCCACTTCCAGAAGAACCATCGGAGCTTATCAATCCAGTGAGAGGAATGGTTGGGTCAATCAAGAGCGAGAGAGACCTCAAAGATTGATCAGGATTTGAGTATATCCTGGACTCATTGTTCAAGATCATTCTTTGCAAAATATCGACCGCAACCGTAGGAAAGTAAACCACCGCGATGGAGCTGAGATAAGTGTCATCAGGCATAATTAGCGGCACGATGGAGCTGACAGCAACATCCGAATAGTTTGCTCTGAATGCCTCGGAGTCATCTAGAGTCTTTAAGTTGTCTAATTGACGCTTATTCCGGTCAGTCGATTCCGAGCCTTCAAGATCAGGATTATTTACGCCTTCAAATACATTTTTCAAGCCACTGAGACCTCGTTTCGTATTCGTTTGTGCGGAACCATTTTTTTGATCTCGCAAGCGAACGAAAGGATACCGTAATATGTCGGGAAGAAAGCTAAAAATTTGAGCTGAAGCAAGCGGATTGTCGATCAAAAAAGGATAGTTAAGGGACCTCTTAAATCCCACGGTAATTTGTGAGTAATTTTCAGGCTTTGCAACAGCCGTTGGCGGTAGTATAACTTGGGGCAGAGTTGCGGTAGCCTTCATATCGAAGCTTGATTGAGAGTTTGCGCTACCTACGGCTGACGCTGTTACAAGATTTGAGGGGAGCCAGTTTTGTGTGCCCACAGTTTGGGATACTTCAGAGGGGCTTACTGTAATCTGCGCGGATGTAGTCTCGAACACGCCCGATGCCGACTGCTGTACGCTCCCTGTATTTGTCGGATCTACACTTTGTGTGGCGGTAGGTGATGAACGATCTGATACTTCGATTTGGGAGCTGGGATTAGAAGACGTTTCAGTAGCGAGCACTCCACTAGTCGGTGCTGCTGTGCTCCTTAGTCCACTGCTCCCAGACTGCCTTTCATTCAAAACCGAACTCATCAACGTACCCGTTGTAGGGCCTGGAGAGTAGCTGCTTGATTGTACAGATACTGAAAAGCCAGTAGTGCTCGGCTGTTCTATCCCACCCGAAATCGAATTCATGCTTGAAGTCCTTACGAGCGCGGAAAAGCTGTCAGTCGAAGAATGGATCTCTGTAGGGGAAGTTGACTGCACCCCAGTGCTACTTGTTTGCTCAGTACCAATGCTGGCAGTTTGCTGAGTAATAGCGCTTCTCGTCTGTTGATGATCGGTGCTAGCCGTTAGCTCAACACCAGTGTTACCTGATGATATAGTATTCGCAGAAGACAGTTCACTGTTGGTAACACTTTGCTGCACGTACCCACTGGACGTTTGCCTACCGCTATTAACGGCGGTCGTAGACGGTAAACCCACACTGATAGTCTGCTGGACACCAGCACTGGTAATCAGCTGAGTGATAGCGCTACTAGTTTGCTCGGCGCTCGCACTGGTAGTTTGCGGAGTGCCTGTACTAGCAGTTTGATCTGTGCTTGTGCCAGTGGTCTGCTCGTCTTGTACACTAGCAGTTGGCGAGGCACCGACACTGGTGGTTTGTAGAGAACTTGTACCCGTTAGCTCAGCGATTCCACTGGTTGTTTGTGCAGCGCCCGCGCTGGTAGTTTGCTGAGTGCCTGTACTAGCAGTCTGATCAGTGACTGTACCAGTGGTCTGCTCGTCTTGTGTACTAGCGGTTGGCGAGGCACCGACACTGGTAGTCTGTTGAGAATTTGTACCCGTAGTTTGTTCAGCGATTCCACTTTTTGTTTGTTCAGCGCCCGCGCTGGTAGTTTGCTGAGTGTACGTACTAGCAGTCTGATCAGTGACTGTACCAGTGGTCTGCTCGTCTTGTGTACTAGCAGTTGGCGAGGCACCGACACTGGCAGTCTGTTGAGAATTTGTACCCGTAGTTTGTTCAGCGATTCCACTGGTAGTTTGCGAAGTGCGTGTGCTAGCAGTTTGGTCGGTGCTCGTGCCAGTGGTCTGCTCGTCTTGTGTACTAGCAGTTGGCGAGGTACCGACACTAGTAGTTTGTCGAGCGCCTGTGGTACCCGTTAGCTCAGCGATACCACTATTACTGTGTTCAGCGCTCACACTGGTGGTCTGCTGAGCGCCTGTGCTAGCAATTACATCAGTGCTTGTACCAGTGGTTTGCTCGTCTTGTATGCTAGCCGTTGGTGAAGCACCAACTATGGTAGTCTGTTGAGAATTTGTACCCGTGGTTTGTTCAGCGATTCCACTGGTAGTTTGCGGAGTGCCTGTACCAGCACTTTGATCTGTGCTTGTGCCAGTGGTCTGCTCGTCTTGTACACTAGCAGTTGGCGAGGCACTAACACTGGCGGTTTGTAGAGAATTTGTACCCGTTGTTTGCTCATCTTTTGTGCTAGCAAAATGTAGGTCATCAAGACTCGCCGCCGGTTGAGTATCAGCACTGGTACTTTGCTGAGAATTGGCAGTAGTAGTCCGCTCAGCAGAAATTTGCTGAGAATATGTACCTGTAGTTTGTTCAGCGATTGAACGGGTTGTTTGTTCAGCGCTCGCGCTGGTAGTTTGCTGAGTGCCTGTGCTGGCAGTTTGGTCAGTGCCTGTACCAGTAGCCTGCTCGGCTTGTGTACTAGCGGTTGGCGAGGCACTGGCACTGGCAGTTTGTTGAGAATTTGTACCCGTGGTTTGTTCAGCGATTCCACTGATAGCTTGCGGAGTGCCTGTGCTAGCAGTTTGATCTGTGCTTGTGCCAGTGGTCTGCTCGTCTTGTGTACTAGCAGTTGGCGAGGCACCGGCACTGGTAGTCTGTTGAGAATTTGTACCCGTTGTTTGCTCAGCAATTCTACTGGTGATTTGTTCAGCGCTTGCACTGGTATTCTGCTCAGTACTAGTGCTGGTGATTTGTTCAGCGTTTGCACTGGTGGTTTGTTCACCACTGGTGTTGGTAGTTTGTTGAACGCTTGAACCGTTAGTTTGTTCAACGCCTGAACTGGTAGTTTGTTCAGCACTGGTGGTGGAAGTTTGTTGAACGCTTGAACCGGTAGTTTGCTCAACGCCTGAACTGGCAGTTTTTTCAGCACTGGTGGTGGAAGTATGTTGAACGCTTGAACCGGTAGTTTGCTCAACGCCTGAACTGGCAGTTTTTTCAACGCTTGAACTGGTAGTTTCTTCAGCGCTTGAACTGGTAGTTTGTTCAGCACTTGAACTGGTAGTTTGTTCAGCGCTTGAACTGGTGGTCTGTGCGTCTTGTATACTAGCAGTTGGCGAAGCGCCGACACTGATAGTTTGCTGAGAACTTATACCCGTAGTTTGCTCAGCAATTTCACTGGTAGTTTGTTCAGCGCTTGAACTGGTGGTCTGTTCAGCGCTTGAACTGGTAGTTTGTTCAGCACTTGAACTGGTAGTTTGTTCAGTACTAGTGCTGGTGATTTGTTCAGCGCTTGCACTGGTGGTTTGTTCAGCACTGGTGGTGGTAGTTTGTTGAACGCTTGAACCGGTAGTTTGTTCAGCACTGGTGCTGGTGATTTGTTCAGCGCTTGCACTGGTGGTTTGTTCAGCACTGGTGGTGGTAGTTTGTAAAACGCTTGAACCGGTAGTTTGCTCAGCACTGGTGCTGGTAGTTTGTTCAGCACTGGTACTGGTAGTTTGTTCAGCACTGGTACTGGTAGTTTGTTCAGCACTGGTACTGGTAGTTTGTTCAGCACTGGTGCTGGAGGATGGAGTAGGGATAGCAACAGAGGCAGCTTTTAATGCAAATTTGTGCGCAAGGTACTTTCCTCTGTTTTGATGAGACTTGGGGAAAGATAAGATTGCATGAGGCGTGGGAGCAAGCATGGTCTGTTGGCTGCTAAGAGTGTGTGCCGAGCTAAGAGAGCCAATTGTGGTTTTAGTATGTGTTTGAGCCATCATGGCAAACACAAGAGACGAAGGCATTGCCTCAGTCAATGCTGAATCGTCGGAGTGCGACTGACTTCTTGCGCTCAAAGCGGAGCCTAACGCAGTTGAGCCTGTGAACACCCCAAGGCTGGATGTTATAGACGGAGCTTGCGTTGGGTGGCCAGAGTTCGCTGTAGGTATTATTTGTTGATCAAGCGCCGGACTGGCAGTTGAAATGGAAATATGAAACGCTTTTGGTTTAGAAGTTGAGCTTGAGATATCATTGTCACGCTGAGATACAGTATTTCTCAATACAGAGCTTTCCTGGCTTGTTGTACTAACTGCTGAATGAAAGTCAGGACTGTCTGCTAAAGTATGAGAAGCTGTGATGGGTAATTCTGATCGTACGGATGACAGCAGGGTTGCGCTAGAGCGCTTGTAGGCTGAGTAGCCAGAACTATCAGCAATTAACGTATGAGTGTTGCTTGAGGAAGAACCCGAACCTTGAGAAATGCCATCTGAAGCTTTGGTTGGCCCCGTGAATCTATAAAACCCAAATTTGGAAGTTTCAGTCTCCACCTTGAATACGGAACTTCCAGCATAGCCCCGAATTTGACTGTTTGTGGCATGGATCAACAATCTATTCAAAGTAGTGCTTTGTATCAAGCTTATCGATTTAGACTTTGTTGGGGAAACAGAGGAGGTAATCAAAACGGAAGATGCCTTTACCCCTGAAATTCGCATATTCGCTCCAGAAGCAGACGCTGATGAATACGGATTTGATATCGAGGAGCTACTATCGAAAAATCTTGGAGTAGTATTTGATGCAGCAGGGATCGAAAGTGGTGAGGTAGAAGCACCTACAGTAGTTGAAAGGACGTTCAGCGGGGTTTGATGTGTCTTTTCTGAGTATTCCAAACTGGAAAAATGTTCTGAAGATGCATCGGATGAAATTACCTCGCTGGCAACCATTGATACAGAAGATTTGCCCAGTTGTTCGCTAGGAATTGGGAGAGAAACGGAGAGGCTCATAAATGCATCTCTCAGGCTGCTTTCGTTAACATGAAATTTGTTTGTGCTGACACGAATACCTGCGGTCCCCATGCCGCTCAGTGAAAAAGCATTCGTTTGTGAGGATCCTAATATTGTAGTAATACGGGTCAAGTCCGATGTAGTTTTAGTAGCACTCGAAGTCACAAGCGTTTCCATTGAGGAATCTGTTTCACAGAAAGAAAATGTGAATTCATGTGTGACGGGGGGGTTGTTAAGGTGGGTAGCGATTTCTGAGATCGTCGATTCAGAATGCAATGAAGCGAAGCCAGTGGACTCTGGTATAGTCAGGAAAGTACTTGTAGTAGAAGCCTGTGAGGTAGAATGCAGAACTTGAAGTGATGAAAGTATTTCAGATGTGGGAGATGTGGGAGATGTCGGTGACTCCGTAGATTCTGAGGATGCCAAAGCTGACGATGCCACAGAAGTGGTAATCGAAAGTTCATGCGAGCCTTGGGTATCCATGATACTTCTCGAATCTCTACTGTCACTCGAATTGAAATCGAGAGTCTGAGAGGATACATCTACTGGTATAGTGTTGTCAGTGAGCTGACTTCCAACATCCCGCCGAGAGAATTTTTCCGCGCTCGTTGCCTCAACAAGCACCAGAACCCACGCCCATAAACATACGATTCGCACTGTTTTCGTATTTATGGTCATGAATGAATAGCGAATACCCACGCCTTGATAGAACGTTAATCCAATGTGGTATCTTGCTCGCCAGTCACGCTAGCTAACAGCAGAAAAGGACTGGTTTCTATTACTGGGGTATCTAGATGGCAATATAGCCAAGCCGTTGTGTCCTGAAAGCGAATGCGTGTCTCTGTTCAGTAAGTTTTCTGCATCTAGTGCCTCTCGAGACCTCACATTCTTTCGCTTGACCATTGTACAATTTCATGTAGCACTATAGACGAACATACCAGTAGTAGCCATAGCCGCTGAGGTATGTGCTTTAAGACCCATTTGTCAGGATCTAAACAGCCTGTGTTAGATACTTTGAATACAAAAACATTTATGTTTATTGAAATATGTTCGTTGAGCTTATATCGTCTAGGTATTTCTTCTTACTTTTGAATTTCAAAAAACTCACCGCATCAATTACTTCTCAACCCAGTCCAAAGAGCTCATTTGGGTCAGTCTACTCAAAGCTCTGGCGAACGCAAAACGTTCTTCATCTAGAGTAAAAATATTCGAGTCCTTGGCCTGCTTCGTACAATCTTTTTCGCGTAACTGATAATCGTTAAGAATAGCTTCCGGTTCCACGAACAGGTCTTGATATGGTCCAGCCGCAGTGGTGGCCAGTTTACCACCGTTGTCATAGACAGCGTCCAAAAAAGTGATGAACCTTCGTACTTCGTCTCGTACGTGGATCGATAAGTACGGAATGTCGGTGATAATAAAGCTTTTGAATGCGGTCGAAAGTGCCAGGTAATCCCCGGCGGCCAATGGCCTGCCACAAAGCTCCTTAAATGTAAACTGTGCAACTCTCTGGGACGTGCACTTCGGTACATTCAACTCTCGACCCCACACCTTCAGCTTATAGTCTTTGTAGGTCTCGTGGTTTGTGGGGTTGGACGACCTGGGGTCTTGTTGGTGTTCCTTGTTGTCTGCCAATTGCGAGAAGAAATTGTACCACTGATCTACGTGTTGTTTCCTGGCAGCTTCGCACTCTTGTGACCAATACTTCAGACCATTCGAAGGGTAATAATAAACGGACGAAAGCGGCCTGCTTACTTTACGGTAATCGGTTTGTGAGTCCAAATTCACCACATGCGTTCTGTCCTTCAAAAGCTGAATACATGGTATGAAAGACTCACGCTGGATACCGTTGATGTAAAGGTCATCAGGCCGCCGGTTGCTCGTGGCAAACAAAACAACTCCGTATTTCGTTGAGAGTAAAGCAGTAATTAGTCGTCTGAGCATCATAGCGTCTGCGACGTCTGTGACTTGAAATTCGTCGAAACACAATACCCGGGACTGGCGCGCTATTTCCGTTGCCAAGAATGGGATGCTGTCGATATCCTTGTGTTTGGCTTCACCTAGGGCGTCCAAGTTGAGCTCTTCCACCAGATCATGGGACCGTTTATGAACGTACTGCATGAACTGATGAAAATGCATTCTGCGCTTAGTCAAATGCGGCGGAACCGTTGAATAAAACAGATCCATAAGCATCGTTTTGCCGCACCCCACGTCCCCGTACAGATAGATACCCTTGGGAATGCCTTCGGTGGAGTACTTTGGTCGGAAAAGCATTCTGCCAAGAAAAGTGGATTTCCATCCGAGCTGGCTCAAAGCACTTGGCTCTCGCACCACTGGCGGTTTGTAGTCAACCAGAGATTTGTGTAAGTCACTAAGTGAACCTATAACAGCTCTTTGAAGTGGGTCGTCGTTCAGTCTGCCTTTTTGCACGAGCTCTTCGTATGCATCCAACGGCTTGCGGTAATTCGACGAGTAGTGCGCTCTCGGACTCCAGCATTTTGCACCACGACTAAATAAAGGAAACCCCAATCGTATCCTTTCCATGGTATGTGATGCAAGCGTGCGCGCCCTCTACGTTTATACCTGCTTCACCTTCAGGTTCTTGCATTTTCAATCACAGCTCGAGAAACTATGACATTTTTCATTATGAGCGATAATGAAGTTGGGATAGCGGTAGAAAAACAAGAAATACAAGCAATGGCAACAAAATCATTCATCAATTGCTTTAAAAAGATCTTTTCAGCATTGCCACACAAGTCAGTTTAGCCTAAAGTTCGAAACAAGTACTGCCAAGTGAGCTACGAAGGTAATAACGGTTGAGACCCTTGAATAATGGTAAGTAGTTGTACTCGAGTCTCAAGTTTTTAAAGAAAATTGAACTGGAGCTAAGAATTAAGCGCTACGCTAAACAGTCTAAAATTTGAGCCTAATAAGCCAACAAAGACATACACGCATGGCGGGTTTGGACGCTCAATTGGCCAGGCTAAAGCTGGATCAGCGATTGGTTGACGTTACAGATGACTTTCGGAATCTCGCGCGCGGTATGGAGCCCGAGAGTATTATAAAAGCACCATCCTTTGATCTTTTTGAAGGGACGCACTCTTTGGAAATCGATAACATCAAATTAGACTCCAGCTTACTGATACTAAGCGAACAGGAGCTGAGTTTTGACTGTGGCAAAACTTATGGTGCAGCAGAGGAGGACAAACTGGAGTTTGTCACTGCAGTTGCAGATCGCCTTTGCAGATCCATCGTGCTGTGGCTCAATGAATTCCAAACTCTTCCTACAACTTTGCTCAGCTGTCGCTACATGGAGCATATCTTGAGTCAGTACACTGAAGATCCGGTCAGTGATCTAAGCACTTGTCATCTGGAAACTGGACATGAACTTTTTGATCAGGTCTTAACTAGCTGCGTGTTCGGAGCCTGTTACTTTGTGAAATTTGTGCAAACTTTATTCAAAGCAGGCGTTGTATTTGAAGAAGAGGACCTCAATTGCAATGCAATGGGCTTAAATATGCTCGCTATGGTAAAGCTTCAGACTGTAAAGTCTCATTTGCAAAATAGCAAGCACTTTTTGCAAGCTAAATACCCAGCAGCAAGCCAGCTATTACTGATCGTCGAGCTATTCACAAATTTAATTGAGTTGCACGAGTATTTACCCTCGAATCCGGAGCTTAATGCAGCACCTAACACGCAAGCGCTTATCGAGTTAGTAAACTGTGCTCAAAAACTAAAGCAGATCGAGATGCCACCTCGCAGCATCCTACAAGGAGCATTTTCACCTGGAATTCAGAAGAGACTCTCCAATCAATTCCCACCCCGAGAGATTGTAGAACCCTCGGGGAACGAATACGACGGATTCATTACAATCGCCAAGGATTTACAGCTGGTGCTTTCAGTGGACCAAGCTAAAACGGTCAGCGAAATAGCACAGCTATCTCGGTTTTTCAACAGAATCGAACAACGACACGTTGTGGCTCGTGCATTATATCTTTTGTATTTGATGAGAGATGATCAAACGGTTCTGGATCAATATACCTTCAACGACTTCTCCTTCCTCCACTTGCAAGAGTTCTCACTTTGCGATACAGCACTCTCAAACGAATTAGAATGCGAATCAGGAAACCCCACGGTGAGAGAGAAATTTGACGATTTTTTAGTGGAAATTTCAAGCGTTCTATTCGAATGGTACCAAACAACAGCTCAAAATCCATGCCGTTACAGACAAGGCTATAATCGCCAGCTTTTACTTTGGGATTCCTTACAGGCTCAAATCGAAACATATGAACTTGAACTTGAGGGTCAAGGTATCAGAGATGAGCTTGACGCAGATAATTCATTTATGCCGCTGACTACTTGGGTCTTCTATATGAAATTGCGTGCAATGTCAGATTTTGTGTTGAAGGGTTTCAAACTAGACGTTTACAAACCCTGGGAGTTTTTTTCGATGTTCTGGTATAGCTACTATCTGGCTCAGCACTTGGAGAATAATCTAGCAAGAGTCTCGAGATTCATCAGTGATAGAATCACAGCAATCACAAACTTGAATAAAAAGTTGAAAAAGCTGAAAGCAGGAGAGAAGAAGGATAAACTACGGGATTTATACCGTTCTCGCATGGCCACGCAAATGCCCCTTCTTGTAAGGAACAGGGACTTCATCTCTTACCTAACCCTGGACTGCACGGTTATCAAGACATTGTCACTCGCGCAAGTTTTCCAATTTGCTATGTTGAAATCCTTCGGTTTGATTGACAATAAGCACCCGGGAAGTGGGAAGTTCAGTTCACCAGAATTTACACATAAACTTCGATTCAAGACATTTGAGTCTATTGGCGTTCCCGAACTACCGTCATATGAGTTATTTCAACAATCATTAGAGGACTTTGTTATCACAGAGCCCATGTTTGGAAGTAAACTGATGCGGTCTTTCGATTTTACAGAAAACGAGCTTGAAAAGGTCAAAGAATCGTTGCAGTCGATATTTGAAACCCTTAAAGACAACGAGAGCCAAGCCAGGGCTACAGCCGGCACTCAGTTGGTCCAAGAAGAGTCATTAGCATATTATCAAGGTCTGTACAGATCTACTGAAGCGCTTATAAGTAACGGGCGGGAATTACGTGCCAAGCTAGGCAACAAAGCAAGCAGAACTTTGATCGAAAAATACAAAGTTAGTGTGTCTCGTCCGCAAGGTGGCTGTCCTTATTTCCCACTGCTGAGCTTGAGCGAGCAATGAGCCAAGTAATTTCTGTGGACAATTGATATAACGACCCGAGCTTCACTGCAGCAACTCTTAATATAACAACGATAGATTTAACAAACACTTGATGAGACAACGGTACAAATGAACCAGCAGCGCGTTCGCGCTGCGTGAGGTATATAGACGGAGGCAGATTTTTCTACAAATGTCTTGTTACATCCGAGACAGAATCGAAACGGACACTACGACTGGCGCTGCGGCACGTGCTTATAAGTCTCGATGATGTCGCTATCTCGTCAATTATCTACGGTAAAGGAGAGAGAACTCCAGCACAGCCCAGCCCATCCAAAAAGTACTCAACGTCACATTGATAAATTTCCAAATTATAGCCCGTTTTAGGCCTATGTCTCCCTGTAGAGACAGCGATGAATTGTCCCCGGCGCATCACGAATATGCGCTTGCTGATAAAATTGTGTCACTCTCACTTGTGACTGCTCTTCGAAAATATAAGCCCATACATTTGTTAAATTTTGGGCCACTATTAGTTTTAGTGGAATAATTCATGCATGAAGCAGTGCGAAAAATCAAAAAATGAGAACCGTAACAAGAACAAACTACAGTTGAGCTCCCCATTTGCCTTTAGTTTCGGCACAGGCTTTGGTGTGCGAAATGCCTGTTAGAGTCCCTGTATGCCCTTTCCAAGCCCTTCAATCGGCCGTTTTTCCAAGTCAGGTGGCCAATTTTACCGAATTTGTAGTGTTTTTCCAATTTTTTGCGTGGGTTGCAAGAAAATGAAGAAAAAACAAAAAATACAGGGAGAATAGTCTGAGCCTGGGAGCCCGCAGGCGGACGGCTGCCTAGCTCCAGGCTGAGACTCTCAGCCTAGGCCCACTAGCCTCTGTCTAGCTTCTCTGTCTAGCAGCTGAGACGCCCTGGCGTGCTCTCTGGCCGACTCTGCATGATTCTGCCTAGCTCTGTCTAGCCCTGTCTAGCTTCTCGCGGTATGGACAATTACCAAACCATTTCATCAATACTCTCATCTGTTACCAGTACACAAATCTTAGACTTCAGTTTGAGATTATCCACCGTACCCACAAGGAAAATCCCAATTATACAAGATGCCTCCAAAGTTTGACCCAACTGAAGTTAAGTACTTGTACTTGAGAGCCGTCGGTGGTGAAGTCGGTGCTTCCGCCGCTTTGGCTCCAAAGATCGGTCCTTTGGGTTTGTCGCCAAAGAAGGTCGGTGAAGACATCGCCAAGGCCACCAAAGAATTCAAGGGTATCAAGGTCACTGTGCAGTTGAAGATCCAAAACAGACAGGCTACCGCCTCTGTTGTGCCATCTGCCTCTTCTTTGGTCATCACTGCCTTGAAGGAGCCTCCTAGAGACAGAAAGAAGGACAAGAACGTCAAGCACAGCGGTAACTTGCAATTGGAAGACATCATCGAGGTCGCCAAGCAAATGAAGGACAAGTCTTTCGGTAAGAACTTGGCCTCCGTGACCAAGGAAATCTTGGGAACTGCCCAATCCGTTGGCTGCCGTGTCAACTACAAGAACCCACACGACATCATCGATGCCATCAATGCTGGTGAGATCGAGATCCCAGAAAACTAAACTACTTCTCTGCTACCATACGTGGGGAATCAAGAATAGTGGGCATAAAAGAAAAACCTGTTCCATCACATTTTTCTGTATTTTCTAGTCTAGGGTTTTTTTAACAAACAACGAAAGAAAACTTAATGTATTTTCCGTTCAACGGTTTTGTTCCCGGTTTCACTAATAAGATCTTATTATCCAGGCGGTTGTTTTAAAAAAAAATGCACTAGGCTTGAGTGCGTTTTTTATCGAAGCTTGGTCTTGCTACCTTACTAACTTTAACCTTGTCAATTCCGTTTGTCTACACTCTGGATCTCGGCTGGATTTCATGGTTGCTTGATGTGGAACGTTCAACTAGTACACGCCAAGCTATTCCCTGTTTTCTATTATACACCGTGTTGAGCTCCAATTTTAATAGCAAACAAGATTCATTCTGTCAATTACTCACCGAGATAAGCCCTGCAGAGTGCACTTCTTCTCGAAGTTGTTACTCGCCGTGGCTATATTGGTCCATTTCACTGACAAACATCTTCTCGTAAAACAATCGTAAGAATTACAATTTTCTTGAGAACTTCAAAAGTCGATTAAAACTCTTTGTAACTCTTGAAAACCCTAACGACATGAGTTTTGAAGTAATAAGATCAAGCTCATGATCCCTGCCTGATTACTATTCGGCGTGAACTTATAGTAGTAGGGTCACGTTCAACGTTTTGTCACTATAACAATCCGGGATCCCTTTTCCTTACGTTCAGTACGTTTCAACACTTTATAGGAAAGCAGGTTGTAATTGGAACTTGTCTCTTCAAACTTTCAATGTCTGCGGATTCCGTGGATCAAGTCTTTGAGAAAGCCATCTCTACTATACATACCCTATCTTCGCTAAAGGGATATAATTCCTTGCCCAGACCTCCAGCTAATATAAGAACAGAACTCTATGCATTATTCAAACAGTCAACAGAAGGGGACGTTGATGGCGTGCTTCCGAGGCCAACAAGTGATTTGAGCTCACCAGAGTATACAGTGGCCCTTAAAAAATGGGACGCTTGGAAAACCAAAGCAGGCATGAGTAAAACCGATGCAAAGAAACAATACATTCAAATGTTGATTTCGACCATGAAGTCCTACGCAATGGGCACCTTGGCGGCCCGGGAGCTGCTTGCAGATTTAGAGTTTCTCTGGTCTCAGTTAGCTTATCGTAGAGATTCCGACGCGGACGAAAACAGTGGTATGATCTTAGCTCTGCAGGACGAGCTACAGGATACTAAATCCCTACGTTTGCGGAGGGAGATTTACGAAACGTTATTTGCACTTAACGAAAACAAATCGGGCTTTTCTCTTTATCAGCAAGCAGGGCATAATAAAAAGCCCAAAGAAGCTCCAGAGCCGAGAATATCCCGACTACGAAAAATAGTGCGGTACCTTACATACTTTCTGGTTCGCCAAATTTGGAATTTGGCTAAAAAGCTTGTATATCACGGGGCGATTATAATTGCGATAGTGCTTACTGCGAAACGCCTTGGTTTTGCTTCGCCCTTAAAACTTGATTTTACTTCACCCGCAAAGAAACATAGCGAACCTAGCAAAAGTCTGTGTGCTAGATCAATGGCCCTTGTTTGCGATGGATTCAGCCTGATTTTCAAGTACATGAATCGTCATTTGAACATTGGTCTTAATCAAATTTACATAAGTGTAACATAATGTGCAGAGTGTGTATGATCTAATGATGTTCAGGATTAAAATGAGACTTTGAATGTCACTCTAAGTTCCAAAGATAATAATCCATCGCCATGGGAAAAAAAGAGGTTACCAATCAATCAAATAAGAATTGCAAGCGTTGTAAAGTAGTCCAACATGAAACAATTACATCTCAATGCTGCGTTAATATAACCGGTTGACGATTCGAGACCCTCAAGCATTTCAGTCACTTGATACTAATAAGTCATACTAAATAATTATGTCATTTTGAGCTCATCTCGAACTTTTCATCTGTTCTTTTAAGTGGAGAAGTAACAACGAGGGTTCCCCAAATTCGCATGTTTCGGTGGTTTATTAATGTCCGAGTACAGATGGAAGGACCTGCTTGATATCAACTCCAAGAGTAAAGCATATTTATCACCTTTGTCATGCATTGCACATATTGATGTGAATGCTTTTTTTGCTCAAGTTGAACAGATAAGGTGTCACTATAATGTCGAGGATCCCGTTGTATGTGTCCAATGGAATTCTATAATTGCTGTATCGTACGCTGCCAGGAAGTTTGGCATTACCCGAATGGACTCGGTGTTTGATGCGTTGAAAAAGTGTAGCAATCTAGTTCCCATACACACTGCTGTTTTCCGCAAAGGCGAAGACTTTTGGCAATACCATGACGATTGTGGATCATGGCACACTGAAGAGGAAAAGAGACTAACACCCGAAAAATTCAAAGTTTCGCTGGATCCCTATAGAAGAGAAAGCCGAAAAGTCATAAAGATCTTTCATGAGTGGTGTGATATGGTTGAAAAGGCAAGCGTTGATGAAGTTTTCTTAGATTTGGGGCGTAATGTATTTGCGACGTTACTTCTAGGCGACGAGGTCAAGGGATTCGAGTCGATACGCGATCAGTTCAAAAATGGGGAATACGAATTGGATGATTACCTACCAACGGTACCGAGAGACCTAGATATCCAATTTGATCCGGGAGACTACAATCCCGAGAATGAGTTCGTTTTCCAAGACTGGGACGACGTGCTGTTTTGTTTGGGGTCGAAAATCACAGATAAGATTCGTCAGCAAATAATCGATGTCCTGGGGTATACCACTTCTTGTGGTATCGCACGTACTAGGACCATGGCCAAATTGGGCTCCAACTTTAAAAAACCAAACGCGCAGACTGTCATAAGAAACAGGAACATTGGATACTTTTTGGATAACGGGAGCTTCGAACTAACATCTTTTTGGAGCATGGGGGGTATCATGGGTAAAGAGCTGTCAACATTGTTAGAGCTTCCAAAGGAAAAGCCGCTTCGGTACATTAGAGAGTCGTGGCCGATGGCGAGCTCTGATGTGAAAGCGTTTATGAAAGAAAAAATTGCAATGCTGGCTGATGACACCGAGAGATCTTTCAATCTCAGCGATGAGCAGTGCCAACAGTTGAGTGAGAAGATCTTCTTATTAGCTCGTGGCGACTTTAAAATGCCTATGAATCCTAGACCAATGATTCGTTCAATGATGTCAAATAAGAACTTGCGAGGCGAGTCTTGTCGCCATTACCAAGATTGCTTGGCCTGGCTTGAGGTTTTCAGCGGTGAGCTGATTGGGCGAATAAAAGAACTCGAACAGGAATACGAGAGGATATTTATACCGAAGACTATGACAATTTCCACTAGAACACCAGGCTTTCAAAGGCATAGCAGAAGCTCTGGCTTAGTTGTAGGCGGTCGTATTAAAGCCAAAGACCTAATGGAGCTAGGAACACGGCTTACTAAAGAGCTAGATACTAAGTTTGGAAATACCAAAGATTACTATCCATTAACCAATATTAACATGGTAATTTCTAACTTTGAGATTTTAGAAACAGGAAGAACAATCGTGGACATGTTTGGACGACAAACGCAAGTCATTCGTAAGAGTGGAGACGATTTTGTAAAGCCAAGCGACAATCATTCGAATTCTGACGACTGTGAGATAAAACGGACGCTGAGATGCGAGCCTTGCGACATGGATTTTGAAACTGAACTCAGTTTCAAAGAGCATACAGACTTTCACTACGCTATGAGATTATCAGAAAGTTTGAATGGGGCAACAGAAGACTCAAAAAATCTTTCATATGGCGAGAGGAGGCTACTGTTCTCAAGTGCTAAGAGGCCTGCTAAGACTTCTCAGCAAGGACCTAGCAAGAAGTCTCATTCGCAGAAGAAGTCCGATATTTATAAATACTTTAGCAAGTAATGTTAATCCTGTGAGAAGTTAAACTGTTAAAATATTTTATTTTGAGATGAGTTCGAAGGCCCTTTCAACTTTTTCTACCTTTATTCTTACGACTGAACTAAAATGCATCGCATCACTTTGGAAGCTGAATAATATTGTTTATAAGAGCAACGTTGGAAACCACATATATAATGATATAATAAATGAAGGCGCCTTCATAATGGGTTTAGATATTAATCTAATCATGTGGACTTGGTCCTTCAGTGCTCTCCTTTAAACGTCTCGAAATTAATCATGACTCAGACGTCGCATCGAACTAAGCAACGTAGCAGCATGCACAATAAAAAGGACACCCTTCAAGTTTCTTTCGGCTGCTCGAAATCTTCTCAGACCAGGCTCTTGATTTTTGATATTATTTTGTTTTTTTCATCTATTCCAATTAAGGCAACTTGGCCGAGTGGTTAAGGCGAAAGATTAGAAATCTTTTGGGCTCTGCCCGCGCAGGTTCAAATCCTGCAGTTGTCGTTTATTTTTTGCTCAAAAATTCAATATTTCATTTGCTTAAAGTGTCCATTCACTTTTGTTTCATGGCAATTCATTTGGGAAATGGTTGCTGCTACAAAATACCTTTCTAGATGTGAATGGGGAAAGTACAATTAAATGTCCAAAGAAATTTCCTCGGGGTTACTAGTATTTAGAAAATCTTTATCATGGCTAGAGTCGTTTTTGACACCAACCGTGGACGACACAAACTGGATATTTCCAGTCTGCTTAGAAACTTCTTCCGTAGATATCTTCATGGTATCGTTGAGTTCTCTCTTCATCCTCAACATTTCTTTGTAGCTTGTTTTGTCACCATGCCTGAGCTCGAAATCACTCCAAAAATCCCAAAGACTGACATTGGCAGCCGGGTGCAGCAAGTGGGCACCATAATTCATTACAGCCCGTGCTCTTTCGATGTTAGAAAGGGATTCTTCGATTTGAGCAAAGCCCAAGACGAATGCAATTACCTTTGAGTTGGGTAGTGTTTGAATGCATTTCTCATACAAAGACCTGGCACTCTCGAGGCCGAGATATTCTTTGCATCGGTCTAAACATAGTGCCCATAGTTTGACTTTCGATGCCTCATCTTTGATTTCCATACAACCACGAGTCAAGATACCTACGGACCGTTTGTCTAATCCTTGGCTGTGCTCAAAGTCACTGTATTGAATGAAAAAGGGTGCACAATCTATGCCATTTTGAGCGAGACTTAGCGCTTGCTCAAACAGCTCCCTTATTGTTTCCGTAGGTCTTGATTGTTCTAACGAATCTTTCAAATAAAAACTCCACAGCTCAAAACTAGTTTCCGCAGGAAAAATTGTGATTGCTCGCTCGTATATTTTGAAACTCCCATTCCAATTCTGTTGACCTTGCAAAAACTGAGCGTAGTTGAGGAAATGCAAAGGTGTAGCCAGCTTTAGGGCAATTAGTTTTTCATAGGCTTCTAAGGTTTTGGCAATGTCCGAAGAAGCTTCCAATAGATCAATGTAAAACGACCAAAGTTTGGTGGATGTGAAAGTTATTGCCTTAGCAGGAACGCTACCCTTTCCTGAGTTATATTTCTCCAACACCATCTCAGGAAATCTAGGAAGCGACAATGCGGCCTCTAAAAGTTTCACAGCATCTGGTACCCGACCACAGTTTACTTCCATTTCTGCCCATTTTTGCCAGATTATCTCTATATCCTGAAGAAATTTGTACGGTACTCGGAGCCCACGATCAAATGCTTCCCTCGCAGAGATTATCTGATTGGTGTCGTTATAAAGCTGAGCATAGCCACACCATAGCCTGCCCAATGCACCTGGTTGTGACACTTTCAAAGGGTCGATTTTAAGTATGGCGTCGGTGTATACCTCAAGCTTTTCCTCGGGTGAACTACACATCGAAATTCTTTCAGTCCATGTGCTGACGTCGTTTATATCTTGCCTCAGTTTTAGATCGTTAATTAACATTGAGTGGGTTTCCATCAAATGTTCTAGGAGGTCGATGTTATATGACAAATCCGCATCTAATCGTTTTTGTTTGTTCAAGTCCTCTGTTGCTTGAGCCTCATGAATACAAGCTGAGACGAAGGATTCCAAAAGTTTGATAAGGAAGTCGTATACCTCGGAAAAAGCCCTGGAAGTGGTCGTGGAGCTCAAGGCATCTTGCAAGACGGATCTCGCCATCGTGAAGTCTGCCCGCCTCAGATAGTATTTACTCAACTTAGTGACAAATTTAGAACTTTGATCTGGAAACATTTCCATACATTGTGCTATGGCTTGAAGGTACTGTTGATGCTCTCCAATATTTTCAATAGCCTCAAGATATAGATCGTAAAATTGAAAGAGTGGCTGGTCAACCGGCTTGAAAGACATTTTACCGATGATAAATTGGCAATAAAGATCAGCAATAATGTGGTAATCGCGAGTAAGTCCGACAAGATACAGCACATGTTCAAGCTCGTCTGTAATCTTGATGTAGCGCGAAAGCAAGTGAGATGACCAAATGTCTGGAGTAATACTATTAGAAGTTTGGGAAACACTGGAAAACGATTCTTCGATTATGGCGTCTAGCTCGGGCTCGGACTCACCGCTTTCCAAATCTTGCAGCGTGGTCTCAATAAATTCTATTACTGGAGACCACACGCGAATATGGGATTCAAGCGCGACACACCGCAGCGCTTGGTTCAAGACCCGTCTAATCAGACTCATATTGAGTTGTCTGATACAGTGTCGCAGATATAGTTCCCACAAATTGGGATCTGGATGACATAGATACATTGCTTTCTCAAAGAGCTTATTGCATTTCTCAAACTCTTCCAGATAGACGACCGCATTCGCTGTCGAGAGGAGAGCCGTACGCCACTGCATATACTCCATCCACATCTCACGCGAAGAAGGGAATTGATAGCAGCATCGTTCATAGACCCATGCCAAAGCCGTTTCGCTTCCGACGGATTTCCGATGGTCCAAGTATCGTTTCCATACCACCATATTCTCAATGTTGGACTGCAGTTCGTACTCGTACGCAAGATCTTCTGAAGTCGCTACATATTGCGTAATTGATGGGTCCATTGCGCGACGATCACCGATGAGTACTGCCCTAACTTGCAGAGCCGATGAGTATGTAAAGTAGTGTTTAAGAGCTGCAGAAGAAAGATTGAGTACTCACAAGTACTTGAGTACTCACGAGTTCAGAAAAAAAAAGATGACTCGAATACATGTGTACTCGGGATGCCTGACTTCCAAAACCAAGATCACCAATAACGATGAAAAATAGGGACCTCATACGCTGCTAAACGCTTTCTCTATTAACATAACTAAACGGACCACATTGATATCTTTTTTGAAACGAAAGAGTAAACTGTGATCAAAAGTTGTTTGCATAGGTCCTATACCGTTTAGCAAGTTTGTCTTTGATTGTGAATCTGTGTTATCATGTCTAGCAATAGAGAACAGGTTTTTCCCACGCGTATGACGCTGGGCTTAATGAAGTCCAAGCTCAAAGGTGCAACCCAAGGCCATTCGCTTTTGAAGAGGAAATCGGAGGCTTTGACCAAACGATTCCGTGATATCACGAAGCGGATCGATGATGCCAAGCAGAAAATGGGCCGTGTGATGCAAACCGCGGCTTTTTCGTTAGCTGAAGTGAGTTACGCTACGGGTGAAAACATCGGGTACCAAGTGCAAGAAAGCGTTTCTAACGCCAGATTCAAGGTCAGAGCACGCCAGGAAAATGTCAGTGGTGTTTACTTGCCCCAGTTCGAAAGCTTCATCGACTCCGAAATCAACGATTTCAAGCTTACTGGTCTTGGTCGTGGTGGACAGCAGGTGCAGAGAGCCAAAGAAATCTACTCCAAGGCTGTGGAGACATTGGTGGAGCTGGCCTCGCTGCAGACCGCGTTTGTGATCCTTGACGAAGTTATCAAAGTCACTAATAGAAGAGTCAATGCGATCGAGCACGTTATCATTCCACGTACCGAGAATACCATTGCGTACATCAACAGTGAGCTGGACGAATTGGACAGAGAGGAATTTTATAGATTGAAGAAGGTGCAGGAGAAAAAGCTGCAACAGACAGCGGAGGTGGACGCCCAACTCAAGCGGCAAAAGGAGAGCGCTGCCAAGGAACGTGAGCAGTCCTCGGATGCTTCAGATTCGAAAGCCTCTGCCAAGAAGAACGACGCTGCAAAAGAATCACAAGAAACCCCTGACATTCTTGTTGAGCAAGAAGAAGATGTGATCTTTTGAATGAGACGTTTTTTAAATCAAAGCTACTTAAGAGTATAACAGACATCTGATAATTTAAATAAAAAAACTCCGAGCTTCGAAAACCCAGATTTTTATGAAATCGCCATAAGAAATAACCTTCGCAAGCACTGTTGGCATTGCCAAAGCCCACGCTGAACCAAATGAGACTAGAAAGACTACTCTTGTTCATATTCTGGGCTCTCCCGCGGTTCGGAAAGAACCAGTATAGAACTTTGCAGATCTCTGAAACCCAAACATTGAACGTGAAAGAAGAGGAAAAGCTGTTACTTAAAAGACAAGGCGTGAGGTATTTCGATATCACAAACTTCCCTAGCCTCTTCAAAACAAATGAGGTGAAAACCGTGCCGGAATATGTATACCCTGTGGATCTGATCAACGGGGACAGAGTATCCCTAGCTCTAACAAATGTCAGTACAAAGTCAATGTACGATGACCTGGCTTTCTTCACTAGCTTCTACACCCGATACTACAAGTCTGAAACAGGTTACGACTCTGCCGTATGGCTGTCCAAGAAGTTGAAAAACGTTACTGAGACTTTGGGTGATAAAGTGTCCCAGCTTCACATCGATCACCGTGACTGGAAACAGTTCTCTATCATAGTACAAATAAGGGGTGTCAAAACTCCCGAGAAAATTGTCGTTTTCGGTTCACACCAGGACTCGATGAACCTGATATTACCTTCGGTTATGGCTGCGCCAGGCGCCGACGATAACGGTTCGGGGACTGTAACAAATATCGAAGCCCTCAGACTGTATGCGCAGTATCTCACTGAGACTCAAGATTGGCCTCAAAATACGGTAGAGTTCCACTTTTACTCTGCTGAAGAAGGCGGGCTGCTAGGATCGTTAGATGTGTTCACTAATTATGCCTCTGACAACAAAACTGTTGTTGCAATGTTACAGCAGGACATGACTGGGTACGTGCCAGATCCTAAGAATGAACATGTAGGTGTTATTACAGATTTCACCACTCCAGCTTATACTAAGTTTGTTGAACTTGTAATTGACAAGTACTTGAGCATACCCTTCATTGAAACTGAATGCGGCTATGCTTGCAGCGATCATAGTAGTGCTACAAAAAATGGGTTTCCTGCAGCATTTGTTATTGAGAGTGAGTTCTCTAAGACTAACAAGTACATTCATACCACAATGGATACTTTGGATAGGTTGAATTTTGGACATATGGCTGAGCACGTCAAGTTAATAATTGGTACGATCATTGAGTTAAGCAATTGGGAGTTCAAATTAAAGGTGGCGGAATAGAAGTTGCAAAGCTCGTGATTACGATACGATATTTATTTACAGGGTTAAATTTATACAGAATTGATAGTATTCCTTTTTCGGTTTTCTATTGTCTCATGGCCTTACCAGACTTGCCCCTAGGTCTGTCCTTAACCTTCATTCTGTTTTGATTCTTGCCTCGCCTGGTCTTGTATCCCTTGGCCAATTGACCCCATGGAGAGACCGATAGTTTCTTGGACTTAGATTTACCTCTACCACCACCGTGAGGATGATCGCATTTATTCATAGCGACACCTCTAACGGTTGGCCTGATACCTCTCCATCTGGATCTACCAGCCTTACCTAGTGAAAGATTTTGATGGTCAATGTTAGAGACCACACCAAGAGTAGCGCACGCCTCTAAAGAGACATAACGTTGTTCTCCACTTTGCAGACGGATAATGGCCTTCTTCTTCTCTGGCAGCTTAGCAATGACACGGGCGTAAGTACCGGCGGCACGGCAAAACTTACCAGGACCCACGGGTGTAATGCCAACGTTGTGGACTATAGCACCTACCGGGATCATGGATACCGGAAGACAGTTACCTCTTTGCGCCGTACGTACACTGAGAATAGCGGGATCAATTTTACCACCCATCTCTTGCAGTAGATTTTCTGGAACACCTCTTCTATAAGATTCGACCGTATCCCCTGCTCTGAGCCCGTCACAAGCCAAAACGTAACTGATTTCTCCAGATTCAGAGTGCTTGAGAAGGGCGATATGGGCCGATCTGCCCGGGTCGTACTCAATTCTTTGCACAGTTTGCTCACCGGGGGTGAAACGTGTGAAATCGACCAACCGAATTCTACGTTTATGTCCACCACCGCGATGGCGCACTGTAATCCTACCGGTATGATTTCTACCACCGTTTGCCCGCTTTGCCACTGTCAACGACCGCACTGGGCGTCCTTTATGCAGATAGGTGTAGATGGGAGCCCGGTACCATCTTAGACCTGGAGAAACCGGTTTCATCTTCTTCATTTTGGTGATTTCCTTGGAAAGTTTCCGCCTTCTCTTGATTAAGGCATCTTGTTTCTCGAGGGTCACTAGATCTGTGTCATTGGGTATAATTTTAAGCATTTGAGCTGTTACTGGCGTGACATGCGTTTTGGCCTCCATTTGCATCTTTGGAAAGTGTGAACTAAAATGACGAACATTGTGAAGTCCAGAGAAAACCGGGATTCGCCTTACTGACGATCCCAGACTCCTGAACAGGTTCATTGAGATGGATATATACGCCAATTTAATTGGGTATTTGGTATTATCGCGATGCTGGCCCGGGCTTTAAATTTGCGATTTTTCAAAGTTTTTTCCAATTCTGTATATGAAATTACCCGGGAGCAGACGTGAAGTGAATGAGCGACGAGTATTGGGATAAAGACGTAGAGGCAGAAGTGGAAGCACAATTGAGTGGTGAGTTGCACGCTCGCTTGAAGCAATGTGTTGAAAGGAGTCGAAATTGGCTTTTACTTTGGAACGATGTGGCATCGATGACATTTACGTATACAATGACATATCACGCGGATACAGATGGTTCAGGGAACACTGTATTCGAAATGGTAAGAGCTCGTCGCCAATTCGCCACTAGTCAATATGGCTAGGGCTCGTTTGGACTTCCATAATTGATTGGGTAAGTTAGTTCGTAGACGAGGACTAGAGATATTTCGGAACAAAGCAGCTGTTTTCTTTTATGCAATCACGGGAAGAGATGAGTGGGGTGCAAATGAGGTGAGGTGCGAATGCAGTAGTCTTGCCATATAACTTTGTAATTTTCTGGCACTATCGCCACTCACATCGCAACACATTTCGGTCTTCAAGAACACCGTTTCAATTTCAATGGGAGCACTTTTTGATGGTACCACAAACACTGACATAGGGTTTACCGTTGGCAGTTCCTTGCACGTTGTACACCACAAGACCGAAACATTGGCCAAACACGTCTGCCCCGCTGATGTGGATTCTTGGTGTCAGAAACGTAGCTTAAGGGCGTTCCTGCACGTGACTACATAGTGGTGGGCGACTCTATGACACGTTGGTAAAAAGTGACAAAGCTACCCATATACGCTACCCATTGTCAATTGCATCTTGAACATCTGCCGTCGTTCCAGCACTGGGCACAGATAGTCGGAACCCCTGTAAAACGATTGAACTTACGAGTAGCTCTGAAACACTGAGTCGTTTGCGGGTGCGCCCTAGAACGAAACGCCACATCGACTATCCACTGAAAGCTTTCCCGCACTACGCCAGCAAGGTGGGCAAAGACCACAGGGCAGAAAAGATCGCTAGACTCGAGTCCGGTCAAGCGGTCGAGATCCCTGCCTCCTGGTTAGCTACTAATTGAGGTCGAGGGAAGCTTTTCGGCCAGCGAGAAAGATTTTGGAAATCAAAAGCACAGCGCCAGCAGAAACACACCAGGTCCCAAGCTTGCCAACCACACCAGGACTGTTGGATGGCTAGCGTACCTGTACCATATCACTGCGCTGCGCTGCACCTCAGGCACGTGACCCAGATGCTCATGTAGCCCGGAGCCCACCGAAATAGTACCATACGAAAAGTCTTATCTCTGTGCCGTCTACACTCACACCAAGCACAGAACGCTTCATTTCGGCTGGTTCCATCTCTGCAAAGCGTACCGCGTGCTTTCAGCCCTGTTAACACACACACCTATCTCTCACTCTCTACTTTTCCACGCTCCCTTGGAAAACTTGGTAGCACGCTGCTACGATAAGCGTAGTAGCCTCACTCGCTTATCCCACTGCATTAATTAGTATATTCGGAGCTGGCCGAGAAATTGCAGTCAGTAGCGGAAAATGATGATGGTCAAGGCACTTGTTCTCAAAACTCGCGGGACCCATAGACTCTTAGCTTCGTAGAGTGTCTGGTCCAATTCTAAATGGGCTTCGAGCATTTGAGCAACGTCAGATGAGGTAAGCTCTCTAAAGCCAAGTCTATGCCACATCGGATTGTTTAATCAGACCAGTAGACCAGGCTGATAGCAAAGGATATGCGGACTACAATGATAGGAAAAGATAGGATAGGATAGGATGGATAGATAGCGCAGCGCAACGGAGTGTAGCGAGAGAAAAAAGAGACAAAGGTGTGAAGCTCATCGGCCCGGCCGGAGACTATTTATTGGCGTCGAGCGTGGCGGTTGTGGGGAGAGTAAGAGTGGAAGACTTGAATTATAGTGGATTCCAAGGCTCAAGAGTGACACATAGCTGCAAATACGGCACAGACGGACGTAATAATACAGCACATCATCATCGCCTCGTCTTTATTTTCAAGATGGGTAATAGCCAAGAAAAACATCTCGACAAAACCAATGTCACGGCGCGCGACTCGTCGGAGTCCAGCCAAGTGGGCCATGTCCAGGAAACCCCGGCCAAGTCGTCATATTCGTCGTCGCCGCTGTCAGAGTCGTCGACATGGTGGACACGCGTGGTCACGTGGCTCGAGGTGCACAAGTCCACCCACGACGAATCCATCAAGGAGACGTTCCTGTACAACCATGATCTGAAGCCCGTCGAGTCTGGGCGTCGGTTGTGGTCCTGGTTCAATTTCGTGTACTTCTGGATTGCGGACTGCTTCAACATCAACACGTGGCAGGTCGCTGCCACCGGGCTCCAGCTCGGGCTCAGCTGGTGGGAGACCTGGCTTACTGTCTGGATCGGGTACACCATCGTAGCTGTGTTTGTGGTCAGCGTGGCGCGCATCGGGTCGGTGTACCACATTTCCTTCCCCATCACCGCCAGAGCCTCCTTCGGTATCTTCTTCTCGCTGTGGCCTGTTTTGAACCGTGTTGTGATGGCCATTGTATGGTATTCGGTGCAGAGCTGGATCGCCATGTCCCCGGTGTCGCTGATGCTGAAGAGCATTTTTGGATACGATCTGCCCGACCGTATCCCAGACCACATCAATAGCCCCAACGCTACCACCTACCAATTCATGTGCTTCTTCATCTTCTGGGTGTGCCAATTGCCTTTTGTCTACGTACACCCTCATCAAATTCGTCACTTGTTCACAGTTAAGGCAGCTTTGGTCCCATTTGCAGCTTTTGGGTTTTTGATCTGGGCTTTAAAGAAATCACACGGCCACATCGCTCTGGAATCCCTTGTCGAAGGCCCCGCATTGACCTCTAGCGAACGTGGATGGGCTTGGATCCAAGCCATCCTGGCCTGCATCGGTAACTTTGCTACGTTGATTGTCAATGCTCCCGATTTCTCGCGTTTCTCCAAGACGAAGAACTCATCAACCTACTCTCAGGCATTCTCTATCCCATTCTTCTTCTCTATTACTTCCCTGATTGGTATTATCGTCACCTCGGCCGCATTCAAAATTTACCAGGTCAATTATTGGTCGCCCTTAGATGTATTAGACAGATTTTTGGGAGATGGATTTACCAAAGGGGAGCGCGCCGGTGTCTTTCTCATTTCCTTAATCTTTGCAATCGCGCAGTTGGGTACCAACATTAGTGCTAATTCTTTATCTGCTGGTACAGACATGACAGCACTTTTGCCCAAATACATCAACATTAGACGTGGTGGATTTATTTGTGCAGCGCTGGCGCTATGCATATGCCCATGGAACCTGATGTCTAGCTCCAGTAAGTTTACAATGGCTTTGAGTGCTTATGCTATCTTCTTAAGTTGTATCGCTGCAGTGATGGTCGCCGATTATTACGTGGTAAGAAGAGGAAAGCTTGACTTACAACACTTGTACAGCGCAGACAAATCTGTTTCAATCTACATGTATGGAAACAAATACGGTATTAACTGGAGAGCTTTGGTAGCCTATCTTGCTGGTATTGTCCCAAACATGCCAGGGTTTGTTGGTACCGTTGGTAACAACATTCACGTTCCCATGGGTGCCATTAAAGTGTACTACTTAAACTACTTGGTTGGGTTTTCCGTCTCTTTTACCATCTACGTCGCTCTATGCTACTTCTTCCCTGTTCCTGGCGCTCCTGTGAAAAACATTTTAGGAAAGAGTGAATGGCTCGAGTCCGAACAAGATGTGGAATTCTTCCGGGAGGACAGAGAAGCATTCTACTCCAGCTACGGTTTGGATGTCGTTTCCTCCCGGCTTGGTGAGGAAGATGAAGATCCTGCGGTCGCATTCACCGTGCGTAGCCGCGAATAAGTAAAATCTTATGAGTATGTCAATTTTTATAAGAAAGTAATGCCTTAATAGTGAAGGTAAAGTGCCAAGAGAGGTAGGTGCTTTAAGCAAGTGCCAGTTGAAAACTTGAAAATATCCAGCTTCTTGGTTTTAACATCCTAGAGCTAGGAATTCGGAATGTCCACCGTGCTCGTCATGCGCGAAATATCTTGACTAGTTTAAGCGACGCATTTTTGGCGATCAAAATAAATTGTAGCTGTAAAAAGTAGTCTTTATAGTACGAGTAAGGACAACGAAGCTAGGTCGCACATAATTAGCAGCCAGAACACGAGTGTCGAGATTGGCAGGCATTGAACAGTTTCACATTTTGATTTAATCAAGAAAAGACGATTTTGAGTCGTTTATAGTTCTTACTTATGACAAGTTCATGTAACCACTGTATATTTCGGAAAGGTCCAAGTTTCAGAATGGATCAAGCTGGTGAAGTAGCTGTTTCCGGTCGTAATGTCAGCTTACCGCGACAAAGCGGGGGCCTTTAACACTCAACGAAGGCGTCATTGACTCTCAATTTTTGCGGACCTAAGAAAGCATATTAAGTGGTACTGGTCAACTTATACTAGAGTAGTTCAACCAGATTAATGCCCCAGCTTTACATTCGCGTACGATGTGACCATCCTTAGAGAAGCCCTAATAGTCTAAAAGAAAATCTGACAACCATCAAAAATTTTCACATTTAAGTATATAAAGAGAAAGAATTCTATTACAGCTTTTCGTTGTAGATCGCACAAGTACGGTAGTAATTATCAACTAAACCGGGAAGCTCAAACCAATGCTTTGAAGCGCCAGAAGGCGCCCAAAGAACGGGAATTAGGAGGACAGGCGTCCTCTGTAGAAGAGATAAATTAATGAACCTCTAACAGAATTAGAAAATTCAGCCTTAAGATATGCTTGCGCTGCTATGTCTGCTGTTTTGTACACTCCAACAACTGTTTGAAAGTTGTTAGCCATTATGATGAGACGTTGTCGCCCCAAACGGATTTCGAAATTATGAACGATTCGACACATTAGCCAAACACAAATATTTCTGATCAATGGCATGTACAATTCAGTCAGCGTGTCTGCAGTGTATGCACAGTTCCTTAACTATTTTCTAATTCACGAGAACATTATGTTTCCATCTTCTATCATTTTTCCCAGGCACATCGAATGTTCTATTAGCTCGCACATTTACCTTTTCTCTTGCCATTTTCTTGGAGGCGTTCTACGGCTTACTTGCTGATGAGATTCCATGCTAATCATGATTTTCGCAGGATTCGTCCTGCGGTAGGATTAGAAATCGATATATTGCTGAAAGTTGGCACGTAGATAAAGCCTGTTACCGTCATCTGGACCCTGCGTAGAATGTTTTTAACCGGCGCGATAGCGTACTACAGATAACACTCGAACTACTCTTAAGAAACACCAAAGATTCCTCACAACAGCTCAGAAACTAACTTCTCTAGCGTCAACTTGATCACAGGAAATTCGAATAATGTCGATGGTCATCTGGCTGTAGTATTTTTTTCGTCGTGATTCTCAGACTTATAATTATTTGTTTTCATTTTTGCCAATGCTAGTGATGTCGGTATTTCAATTTTGAAAAATCTACAACTCAATGGATGCATCTACGCTATCTGAGTTTCAATTGCTATTCCCACTGGCACAACGATGCATTCTACTTATTTTTGTCGGGCTTTGGCTGTGGGTTTGGCAGTTAACGATCTTTTATAAAGGTTTCCATGTCGATATATCTCAACTTGTTCCTTCCAGCGATCCCTCGGAGTTCGTACCTAGGTCGTCCGCAAAAAAGCAGCTGGAAGCTACTCGCGCGACTGTAATTCAAATTACTAAAATAATTTTACCGTGGCACATCGCAACCTGCTTCTTACTGCAACAGTGCAACTCAGATCAAACTTACGCTCCAGACGCTTGGCTGGTATGCTTACTGAATGTCCAACCTGTGTGCCAGTTCATAACGATATTTGCCGTCATATTCACAAACTCGCCAATGGTGTCCCGCTGCTTCAGAAACATTCTTTGCTTTGGTAATATTGAGCCAAGACCTTTGAGAAACAACTATATTATAATTACTGACTCATTAACGTCCTATGCTAAGCCGCTTATTGATTTTGGACTCTACATGTGCCATCTTTTGCTCGATCCATTGAGTGAGAAATGCATTGCAAGCCGCAGTTCTCTTGGAATCGCCATCAATCTGGACCTTATGATAGGTATCTCTCCGGTGATGCTGCGATTACTGCAGTGTTTAAGAGAATGGAAAAGATCGAGATCTGCCGAAGAAGCAAAGTCTGCGCTTTTCAACGCCATCAAGTATTCACTAAATTTCCCTATCCTTATGTGTACCGTCTACTCAAGAACCTACCCAACAGAAAAACCGGCGAAGTATGTCTATTGGTTTATGCTAATGAACTCAACGTATGGATTTTGGTGGGATTTAACCATGGATTGGAACTTAGGAATGTTTAACTTTAGTTTCGCAGGCATGGATCGCAACGAGTCTTTGAGAAGTCGAAGAATTTTCCCAAAACCTGCATACTATCTGGCCATTTGCATTGATTTTGCACTGCGATTTGTATGGCTTTGGGAGGCCATGAGCGGCCGCAGTGTTTTTGAGGGCGAAATTAATATCTTCTTCCTACAAGCTCTCGAGCTTTTTAGAAGGTGGGTATGGCTTTTTATCAAATTGGAATCTGAGGCCGTCAATGCCGAAGTTCCTGATAAAGTACAGGATTGATGAAACTGGTAAGTTCGCAAACATCATTTATCTCATCTAATGTACATATTAAACTAAACTTGAGGCCCCCATAGATTTAAATACAAAATAAAATGCTGGTATTTTGTAATTAAATGAAGCCTACCTCCTGCGCTTATTGTTATCTGCCTTCTTTTGGTTGTGTTTTCTTTCCTGTTTAGTCAAATATCTGAACTTCTTCTTCTTCTTAGGCTTATCATCCATTCCTAAGAATTTAGCGTATTTGGCAGCCCGCTCAATGCTTTCGTCAAGCACTTTAACAGAGCGCTCTAATTTCACGTTATTTATATTTGCCAGATATTCGAAGTTTTCATTAGGCTCAAGAGGTTCGATATCAACTTCCGTGTCGTCCTCGTAAACCTGTTGGGATTTTTTTAGAATAGGTTTTACTCCATCATCCGAAAATCCATCCCACGAATTTTCGGCATCTGAATCTTCAATTAGTTCGGTCTGCTTATCATCTCCCTCGTCTTCGTCAATCCCTTGCTCTTCGTCTGATCCCAGATAATCACCTACTTCCTTCATGGACTCTTTGAATTTCTTAAGCTGTTCGTCAGCCTTTTTTTGACGTTGTTCCCGCATTTTTCTACGCTCCTCGATTTTGAATTGGCGATCCTGCTCTTTGTTAAAGTCTTGGGCTTTTTTCTGTCTTTCCACCTTACGTTTATGAAATCCAGTCAAATAGTCTAACCGAGAATCTTTATCGAAATTAACTTCATCAGCTCCATATTTCTTAGCCTGTTTAGCAACGTAGCCCTTACCTTGCGTAAGAATTTGCCGATTGGTACGAGCCCCCATCTTAATGATTCTAAAGTCTGTTTTCAGCGCTATACTCTCCGAGCTCTTAGCGATGAGATGAGCTTCAAAGAAAATTTTTTGATATTTTAAAGCTAGAAAATGAAAGTTAGCTGAAAGAAATTAGAAGAAATTAGGGAGTGAAGCCTACTTTGACTTCGTAGTCACTTTAATTCTATGTCTGCCCCTAAAAAATCATCACAACCCAATGAGTTGGTGCAACTAATCTCGCAAATACCACCTGTGACACGGTTTGCGTTACTGGCAACGTTTGTTATGTTCATACTAGCAAGATCGGAATTGGTGTCTTTTCACTGGTTTTTTTTTGAGCCTTACCATACGTTCATGAAACTACAATTATGGAGAGTATTCACTGGTTCTTTCTTTCTGATGAAGAAATCTAAACTGGGATTTGTGATGGCTTTATTTCAGTTTTACAAGGACTCTTCAAACTTGGAAACCTTCCATTTTTACGGTAAAAGCCACGCTGAATACGTTTATGTCTTGTCCTTTTTGATATTTGGTGTAGTAGCAACGGTTACTGCTTTTAGAATCGAGCCCTCCGAATTTGTGGCGGAAGGGTTTATGATGGCATTGGCGGGCCTATGGAGTCTCAAAAACTGGAACACCCCTTCAATGTTCTATGGTTTGTTCTCCATTAGAGGAAAATACATCCCTTTGGTAAACATGTTATTGTCATATCTTTTTGACGACCATTTCGCCACCTTCCCACTCATTGTTACGGGGCTTTTCGTCGCCTACGTTTACAATTGCCTCGATACCTGGTCACTGGGTCCGTTTTATGGATTTCTCCGCGGCAAGGCACACAGGGGTTACGGACTTGTGAATGACGGCCAATTTCGCGCTCCTTGGTGGTTTAAGGGCATTTGGAACTTTTTTGCCGATAAAAGAAAGCCCACGGCCACTGTGGTTCGCGACAAAACTCAAAAATACCAAGGAGAGGGTCGTAAACTGGGCAGCAAGAGCAGTTCAGACGATATCAGCTCAACTAACCTAGCTACGGAGAGCCTTTCCCGCCAAAATTCCGAAACTAAATCCACAGCGTTTTCGACAGGGGCATTCCCAGGAAAGGGTCAGCGAGTGGGTGCCTAATGATAAATCTGCGAACCAAAATGCGTGCTATTGAACTGTTGTTACGGAATACAAATTCAATTAAAGACATTGAACGTACTCCGCCTTTTTTGAAGAATATGGCTATGTTGGGCTTATAACAGGTACGGATGACAATTGTCAGCTGTTGGTGTACACACAAAAAAAGTAAGTGTGTTCCGCTCACGGATAAGTATGAACCGCTTCACAACTATTATGGCAGTCCAAGCTAGTATGGCAGGTCACAACCCAAAAAAAAAAGACTGTTGAATATAGAGTGTCATCGCTTTGTACATACACGTTTAGCTGCGTGATATTTATTTAATGTGTCTTTAGATCGTACTTACTCTTAGTCTTGATTTCCGATAAGCTTACTTTAGCGGTTTGATAACATGAGTATTGAGGTTGCATTAAAGTTCAAACCCGTAACGTGCCTAGAATTGTGGCCTCAAAGCCCCAGCAGTAGCGCGTGTTTGTGTAGAGGAAGGTTCATATTTAGTAGAATTCGAAAAAGCGTCACTACGACAAATCCTAAATATCCAGCTCCAGAAAGCTGACCAAAAGCAAGTAATAGCTGTTTAAGTAGCACATCTGCGCTCGATATAATAGTATTAACCTCATGAGGATCGCAGCGTAATTTAAACCTCGAGTACGTTTGTACGATTGCGTCGTCGTCGTTGGAGTACTAAGGGATCACTTAATGTCATGACGCTGATAATTGAGTGATCAGCTCGAAGAACCGCTTGAAAACATATAAAAAGGATATCCCTGGCTGTTGATGTACCCAGCTCCCATCGACACTAGTGACCCTTAAGTAGCCACAGAAAGTAGAGTAGCACAGCAATTTTCGCACTTGCTAAACGTGGACAAGGTGCCTTTGTTAATGCGAGAAGTCATCAGGATAGCAAGACGAATGGTATCAACATTACAAAAATTCCCGTTCGAGACTCGAAACGGCGAACACTATTTTGCACAGCATCCGAATGCATATTACCAGCGGAAAAGAAGCGGCTACCAGGGTGTGACATTCGAAAACCAGGCCAAATTGCCGTCTTTACCCGTTCCCGAGCTCGAAGAGACGTTGCGGAAGTATATCCAAACCATTAGACCTTTTTGCCAGACTCGAAATCAATTGGAAGAACAAAAGGCGCTATGCGCAAAATTTGCGCAAGACGAGGGCCCCGAGTTGCAGCAACGACTCACTAGGTTCGCGGCAGAGTCCAGAAACTGGCTTTCACGATTTTGGGATGACCAAGCGTACCTCGAGTATGACGACCCAGTAGTACCCTACGTGTCATATTTCTACGCTCACAAACCCTTGCCTAACTCCCACGCAAAGATTCAATCCGATCCCTTAATCAAAGCAACCGCGATTATAGTTTCGGTCTTACGGTTTCTTGAGGCTATCAAAGATGAGGCTTTGCCTGCGGAAATGATCAAAAACCATCCCTTTTGCATGAACAGTTTCCACTTGATGTTCAATAACGCCCGGATTCCTGGCAATGGGAAAGACTCAAACGTTTTTTATTCATTGCATGAACACAATTATATCACTGTCGCATTGAAGGGCAATTTTTATACTGTACGCACGCACAACGATGATGGGAAAGTGCTGGAGCCTGTCAACATTTGGTATCAGTTATACGAGATCACGACTCGGCTGAGTGGGCGTGTACAAGAGCTCACCAATGCTGGCATTGGGACGCTAACGTCGCAACCACGCAGTGAATGGTACCAGTCATACTCCGAATTAATGTCAAATCCCATGTCGAGGCGATCGCTTGACGCAATTCACCAGTCTTCCTTTATGGTATGCCTTGACTTGGACACTAGCCCTGTCTCTTGGGAAGAGAAGTCGCGGTTTGCCTGGCACGGGGATGGTATCAACAGATATTACGACAAGCCCCTGCAATTCTTTGTGGCCAAAAATGGTACTTCTGGATTTCTCGCCGAGCATTCCAAAATGGACGGAACCCCTACCTTACTACTTAACGACTATGTTTGCCGACAGCTCCGCAATTTGGACGTGAATACTTTTATGGATCAGTTGAAGCTCGAACCATTTGTTGAAGCTATTGGCGCTGAACATCTACCATTTTTAATGACGCCCGCAATTCGAGACCAAATCAAACTAGCACACTCCAGGTTTTTAAGGGAAACCGCCGAACATGATTTGAAAGTATGGCACTACAATAGGTTTGGTAAAAATGCTATAAAGGCGTTTGGATTCTCACCGGACTCTTTCATTCAACAAGTGATTCAACTTGCGGTTTACAAGTATTTGCAAAAACAAGTACCCACCTATGAAGCCGCATCTACCAGACGATTTTTTAAAGGCCGTACCGAAACGGGGCGGTCAGTTAGTGTGGAATCTGCCAAATTTGTGGCCGACTGGGAAGATCCAGACGTTACAGACCACGAGAAGATTACGAGCCTCCGAGCATCTGCCACAGCGCATACAGCGTATCTCAAGACTGCCTCTGCAGGCCATGGGGTTGACCGTCACTTATTCGGGCTGAAAAATATGTTGCGCACCGACGAGGCTGTGCCAGACCTGTTCAAGGACTCTTTGTTCAAGTATTCTTCCACATGGCTGGTTTCTACAAGTCAACTGTCATCTGAGTACTTCGAAGGCTATGGGTGGTCACAGGTTAATGATAATGGTTTCGGATTGGCCTACATGCTCAACAAAGAATGGCTGCACATCAACATTGTCAACAAGCCCGCAGCCAGCGGGCTTAGTGTATCAAAGCTACATTACTTCTTGACTCAGGCGGCTGATGAAATGTTCGAACTACTATCTAAGAGTGAACAACCGTCTTCTAAACTGTAAGTTTTTTCAGAAGCAGAAGCAAAATTGATTATTGTTTAGCTCTTGACGTAGCTAGTAACAACTTCAATTCAAATTGATGTGAACTGACGGGAACTGTTAAGGCGGTAGAGAGTATTATCTATAAATCTTAACTAATTTCAACAAAAAAATTGATTTCGCCCAGGATCGAACTGGGGACGTTCTGCGTGTTAAGCAGATGCCATAACCGACTAGACCACGGAACCAATTGTTGAAATTACATCAGAGCAATAAAGGTAGATAGCAAAAGATAAGTCATAAACCCGTAATAAATTTATGGATGTTTTTCAGTGTGAGAGAGACTTCCACCTTTGATAAGCAAGTCATCGTTGATCTTAAATAACGAAGTTTGAGGTCTTCTCCAGCCAGTAAAGCTTCATTGCCAATGCCTTTTGTTGAGGAAATCAACTCGAAGACGCACAGCTCAGATGTCTATTTTACAAGTGTGAATGCTGCTGGGCCCTCTGGTAGGAACAGAATAACAAAGACTACTACTGCATCTGGTGTGAGAAACAATAAGCGGGTCAACTACTCACTTTCAGATTTGGAAGCCAAGATTTACGCACAGAAGAACGGAAATGAGGGAGATTCACAAAATTCCAATTTCATCACCACAACTAATACAGCACTGGAACGGTATTCGCCGCAAGAGTTACTAAAATCGCGCCGCAGATTCATGGAACTTGATACGGAAAACGTACAGGATATCAAGGACGTCTCATATTTGATGAGCAGCGTCACCGGAATAAGTAAAGACCGCATCGACTCCAGTAGCGGATCAGGCTCCGGCGGCGGTTCCACACCGAACGTCAACAGGTCTAGCCGAAATAAATTCGAGCTTCCCAAGAACATGGAGCTCATGTACAGATCTACGAAGCCGCCCGTCGTTAAAAAGAAAAATACCAATCGTGTCGTGGCATTGAAAAAGACCTTGGCATCTAAAAGACCCCTCACAAGCTACCTCGATGCTCTGGACCAGGTTAACAGAAGTATCATCTATCACAATGTCTACAATAAGAAGTTTTTCAAGGTACTGCCCGTAATAACCATTTGCTCTATATGTGGCGGTTACAACAGTATTTCGGGGTGTGTCAACTGCGGGAATAAAATTTGTAGCCTTCGATGCTTCAACCTCCATAATGATACAAGATGCAATAGCTGAGATAACGAAGCTAACGAACTACAAACTAGGATGTCTATTGTCACCCAATTTCTACTGGTGTTTTCTCACTTTACACGTCCATGTTTTGCCTATTTTCAAAATTCGCGATGAGCTAGAGAAGAAGTAGATGAGGTTCAAGGTTTTAAGGTAAAATCAACATAAAGGCCACAGTCCCCCCATAGTCTAGGTTTTTTTGGCCTTGAAACCTTCAACGAAGGCCATGGGTGCAGCGAGCTTTGATGAAGAATATTCTTCTTTGGGAGAAACCGAAAAACATGCCGATGCTGACGTTGGTGTGATTATAAAGGATAAAGTGTATCCTTATGTCCAGAAAAACCCATTGGATGTCATCTCGCTTACCGGATTTTATTTGGGTGCCGTTGTGGGTTTATCCTTAGGTCTCTTGCCCTTTACTTTTTTCAAGAATTTCAACTTGTACCTGCTTGCAGTTGCAGTTTTCCATTTTCTAGAGTTCTACATCACAGCAAGATACAATCCCGGCAAAGTTACATCAGAATCGTATCTGTTCAACAATGGCAGAGCTTACGCTTATTCGCATATGTTTGCGATGACTGAAACTCTTATTGAATGCATACTATTCCCTAATTGGAAATCAAGCTTTTATTCAAAGACCCATTGTATTGTATCATTGACCGGCTTGGTGCTAATATTTTTTGGTCAGTATGTGAGGACTATGGCAATGGTTACAGCGGGAAAGTCATTTTCGCACCAGGTCAAAACATCTCAAAATTCTGATCATACTTTGGTGACAAACGGCATCTACGCGAAAATTCGCCATCCAAGCTATTTTGGCTATTTTTGGTGGGCCCTGGGCACTCAAATCTGGCTTCTCAACCCCGTATCTTTCATCATGTTCACTATTGTGTTATGGAAGTTCTTTAACGAACGAATAAGGTTTGAAGAAAAGTATCTAATTGATTTCTTTGGGAAGGAGTATATAGACTACTCCGATAAGGTTGGTGTTGGTATACCGTTTATTGGTATGAAGAACCGTTGATTACCACTTTTTAGGCATTTCGATAACTTTCGTTAGTATTACAACCCTATATGAACATATTTATTCATCTGAAGTCAAATCAATAAAATCCAATTCATTGGCTTCTGAGTTTGCCAGAGTAGGTGGCGGCGGTGAGACGGGAGTTAGTGATTCATCAGTATTTGATGTTTGACCAGACTGGGTATTGGGTCCTTTGCCATTGACCTTGTTTACCGAATCAGTTGAGACTTGACGCTTTTGAGGAAGCATATTGACGTAAGTCTTTTTTGGTATGAATGGGGAAACCATTGGCTTCCTGTAGCGGGTACTGGGAATCTCAGTTTCTTTTATGGCTGTAGTGACTCTGTTGAACGATTGAGGAATAGGCGGCAACGGAGGTGGTAATGGTAGTTGCGTTTCCGGGTTTCTTGCTCCCGTGCTATGGCCATTTACTGGTGCGGGCATTGGGACCTGATGTTGAGTTGAAATCGTATTGAGTATTGCGGGCGAGCTGACCTGCTTGGCGACGGCATTAAGTTCGTTATCATTTCCAGCACCTTGCCAAGCAGTGCTGTGGCGACGAAAGCCATTCACAGAGTTCTCATTGTCAACTGGTGGTAAATTCTGGGGAATCGTATAATGCTTTGTGGCGTCTTGCTGTAGCGCGATCTGATTTGAATCACCTCCCAAGCCCAATAGATTGTTGTCATCCCTTTGATTTCTACGATCTAACCTAATTGGCGGGAGAGTATTATTGACAGAGGTGGAGGGTCTATACGGAGCTAAAGAGATAGACTCGTGTGAATTTGAACCCCCGCTACGGTCACTGTCTGGCAATCGGCTAGTATCAATATTGGCATTGTGAGGAGGGCAATTAAGTAAAGGAAGATTCAAGTCACCCAATTCGCGTTGTGATCTCTGATGGCGCGATTGAGCGTTGCCAGCCGGACTAGGTGATCTACTATCATCACTTTGAGTATCATCGCCGTTACCGGTCTGAATCTCTTTTCTTGCCCCACTGTTGTTATTAAGAGGAGTCTTCCCCAAAATGTTTGGAACTGGGTGCTGTCGATTAATGAAACTAGAGCTGCTTGGGGTTCTATCGTGACCCGGTGAGTCAGCCGTATCGGTGTTGCGATCCGTTGAAGGTGTTGAGTTCACACGCCTGGGATCTAAACTCCTTTGTGGTTCTGCATGAGAATCCATGTAGGTACCATAAATATTACCCAAAGTATTATCTCGCTCAACAGAGATCTTTGACCTGTCTCCCGTCTTTTCTCGTTCACTAGGCACCTGAGGTGCATCCTTATTGGATGAGGAATGTGATACAGGAGCTGGGGCCCGCGGTACCGCAGGGTCGGGCGATCCCATGCTTTCATCGTCACTGTCCAATGATATGACCACAGGATCATTCTGTTGCGACTTGTCTCGCGAACCCGTATTTTGGCCGCCTTCACTTTCATCTGATGTTTGTTCTAGAGCAGAATTCAAACTTTGACCGTTTTCAGACTTTACTTGTATTTTGTTTTGCTCGCGCGGAGCTGGCGTTTCATCCTCAAATATCGGCTTCCAACTACCATCCCTCGAGATCTCGACCTGCTCAACGTCCTCGTCGCACTTTTTTATGATCTCCTCCACAAACTCACACACCGCCAGGTCCTCTACTTTTAGAGCCTTTTGGCACACAGGGCAATGCCACGTAGGAATTTGCTGCTGGGATTCGATGAACCAAAGAGCGTCGAAACATTGCAAATGTCTGCAATGCACCGATTTTGAAGGATATCGCATGCGGCAGTAGGATATAGGGCACTGAAGAGTCATGACAGTAGAAGTTGTGACTAAATCTTCATCTTCGTCTTCACTTAGTGATTCCTTTAAGTACTGTAATGTTGCTGGTTTTACAATCTTTGGATGGCGTAAAACCTCTTCCAAAATTTTGGGCGGCGGTATCACTTCGACGAGATAACAATACACCAGGTGGTCCTCTTTGGTGAATGCATATGTAAGTTGCAGATGATTTTCCGCAGACCCAGGCTTGAGGTATGGTGTCAAGTCTGCTGGTTTAGCAGTTCCCAGTCTATTCTTCAAACCACGTACGTTGTCCTTCACAGTTTCGTTGTTAAGTCGTATATCGTTAGGATGCGGAAATTGAATAGGTGCGTCACCTCGACGTTCCAGAGGATCGAGTACCCCACAAAACATATAGAGCTTAAATTGAGGGCCCTTTCGTAAAATGGCTAGTTCATCCAGAGTCATAGAAAACTTATAGGAGCAAACGCCCCTTCCTGTATTCTTTGACGCAAATTTTGGAGATCCATTAAGCAGTCTTTTCAGCTTGTAGAAGGGCGATTCACTGAATTGGAGTGCCAAACGAGTCTTAGGACTTTGCATTGTTAAAGCGCCTTGATGATCCTGCCCTGTTACTCCTAAAGAGCTCGGAGGCAAGTGTCCCGTTGCCACCGGATGATGTTGAGGGATGCCAGATCTGAGTTCCTCCCACACGGTCTCATACGTCGGAAGAGGGTCGTTTTGACGAGCTTTCTCGATGAGTAGTAAAATGGCTTTGGGACGCCAGGGATCGATTGCGCCAACTCGACACGAGTTTTTAAGATATGCTCGCAGTCGGTCCTGCAGATCTGCTTTTCTTCCGCTAAGAGATAATCCGATAGACCTGGAGACAGACTTTAGTTCTGTAACCTTCAAGCGTTCCATTTCTTGTATACAGAAATCTATTTCATGATGCAGTCCCGTAGACGAAACGACCATCTCTGAAAACGCCCCAACAAAGAGGATGCTATGGAATGTTAAATGGTGGTGAAAGATCCGGTAATGCAGAACTGGTGCTCAATTGTAAATTGTGCGAATTATGGATATCTATTCTGGATGGGACTACCTTTGGCTACTTGAAAAAGATGAAAATATCACGAACGACGGACAGTGTATTAGTTGCCCGAAGAACGTTGCTATAGCTCAAAATATACCTTACAATAACTTGAGATCTTTTAAATCCCATTCGTAACTCTTGATGACGATCTAAAGCTTGCTGCGGTCATCCAGCTGCTACCTCTTTAATAAATTGGTTGTATCAATTTATTTTAGATAAATGAGCCTAAACTTTTTGAAAAATTCGAACTTCAACGAAACGCAGCGTAGCTAACGAAGATCTATCAACACATCTTTGATTGGTCTTTGTATTTTTCAGCATGAGTCCTCGGATCGTGGTACTAATATCAGGATCAGGTTCGAATCTGCAGGCTTTGATCGATGCTAAATCTGAAAACAAGCTTCCGGGCGAAATCGTGAGAGTGGTGTCTTCGAGTAAAAATGCGTATGGTTTGGAAAGAGCTGCCAAGAATGGAATACCAACTAAAGTGCATTCTTTGTACTCATATACAAAAGGCTTAGCAAAAGACGACAAAACTGGCAGAGCTTCAGCAAGACAAAATTTCGAAATTGATTTAGCCTCAGTAGTTCGTCAAGACAAACCTGATCTTATAGTGTGCGCAGGTTGGCTACTGATTTTGGGGCCAAACTTTTTAAAAGAAATTGGACAGGTTCCTATTATCAATTTACATCCAGCACTACCAGGCGCATTTGACGGTACAACGCATGCTATAGAAATGGCCTGGCAAAAATGCCAAGATGACCAGAAGGCAATAATAGCTGGCTGCATGGTCCATTATGTTATTCAAGAGGTCGACCGTGGCGAGCCGGTAATTATCAAACAGTTAGAAATTGTGCCAGGTAAAGAATCCTTGGAACAATACGAACAAAGAGTTCATGCCCAGGAACATATAGCTATTGTAGAAGCAGTTCAGAAAATTTTGGGGAATAAAAGCTGAGGAAATCACAGGGGTCTCCAGCTGTGCTCCCAAAATGTGTGTAAGGACCCGTTTCAAATGCACGAAGTGTAAAATATGATATATTATATAGTTCAAGCCTCTAGCTCGATATCCACGGATTCTTCTTCGACTTGACAAATATCGAGTACCCGCTGGCTTAAGACTGCAGTAGTTCCCCTGGCGAACTTGTAACTTCTTTGCTTGGCTTCTCTGTTGTTTGGAGTCCTGTAATTTCTCAAATATTCCGCGTCCTTGCCCACTTCCATAACACACAGATCCACATTGGAACCAGATCCTAAGTCATTCCATATACCCGCTTCAATAGCATCGGACGCTAAAACAATGGCTTCTTCTCGCGTTAAGTCTTGTTTCCAATTAGACTCCAATACGGCCATTGCAGCCAAAGACCCGGACCCTAAACTCTGGTAAAATCCCACGTCTGTGGAGCCATGTGCGTGTATAGAAAATAAATGCGCTCCCGTAGGATCCACACCAGCGACAATTAAGTAGGCACCGACATGGCCCTGGTACTTGAACAAATGTTGCTTGAGCATTTGCAGAGCAGAAACTACCCGTGGTTCTCGCGAAGCGTAAAGTGAGTGCAGTTCTAGATTTGACCCAATTAGCCTCGTAACTTCTTCTGTATCTGCCGCAGTACCAGCACCGGCACACCAAATCTTAGGCGACATTCTATGAAGCTTCGCACAGTTTTTGTTGGCTACGATTGGGCCTTGTGTCGATCTGGTATCAGCCGCAATCAATACACCCCCGTTGTATTTCACTCCCACGATTGTGGTACCCGTAGAGGTTGCCTGGGGCACCGTCTTCGAGCGCTCTGCTAGCAATTGGTTTCTTTGGTAGTTATCAAATGACAGACCGGCCATTGTCGTGAACTATTTTGATGTTTATGCACAGGTTTGAGTTGAATTTGAAGTTAAAGGTGGCAAATGAAGCCCGTATAATATTTAATCTTAATATACGTACATAGTGAGTGATACAGGTTTAAGACCTCAAAAGGAGCTATCAAGTGCTGAACCAGCGGGTTGGCATGCCTCCAGAGACTATCTCAAATCTCAGCGTTTTCGCCAGGTACTTCGTGTTCTTTTTTTTGTGACCCTTGGGACACAAATATTAAGCTTTTATACCAACCATCTACAATTGCAACTTTGATCTTCGCTGTAAGTGACCAATAATTTCGAGTACACAAGAATTGAATGCAATTTTGATGTTTTTATGATGTTACGGCTGTTGAACAGTTAAAAAGTGCTTCATCGCTCTCGCACGTAGAATTTCAAGACGCTGTTGACATTTTTTTAGTTTTTAAAATGGTCAATTGCACAGCAACTTCACGACTGGAAACTGACTGCAGTACTTTAAATCTTGGCAAGGTTTATGTACTTCTGTAAACGTTTCTCTTGGGCCCTTATGCTAGCATTCTCAAATTAAACTTGTTTTTCAAATTAAAAATATACTTTTCAACCCAAAATTAAGATCAGTTCCAGAGACGGACCGATTAGCGCCTCTAGGAAATGCCCCAGGACGTTTCACTAGTCGAGCCAGCCAAGGTCCGAACTTTATTGGTTCCAATTGGCAAATGGACTCGTTCTGACTTCACAGACAAGGTTACCGCGTTACAAGAACGATCCGAAGCCAGATTGGTAGATATAACACCTCTGAACGACACTAATTTCAATCCTCAGGGGTTTCCTCAGGGAAGAATATTGTTTGAATTCCATACTCGACAGTTCAATGAAGAACAAACCCTTTTTCTGCACGATTTTGAGCTCTATAGAAAAACCTTTGTGGTGATAGGACTCGTTAAGAAAGAAGATCAAAAACCCCAGAGCGTGCTAGAGTTGTTGCAAAAAAAATACCCCGATTCAATTTCTCATAATCTAGTGTACTTCAACACTGAAATTTCACAGCTTAAAAACGTTTACTGTGCTTCATCATCTAATTTGGAGACTATCGTTTGTGATATCGGGAGAAACTTTTTGGAGGCATTGGGGCTCTATTACGCTTCATATAAACATGTCACGCTGCGCTCGCCGGGCGCTATCGGTGGCACAGCTATTTCCAAAACTTCTTTGATGCGCCAGCCTCAGGTGGCATCTACATCCTCGGTGTCTACAAGGGTCATATCGAATCCTCTTGATACAACTGCAAACTCTACGGTCAAAAGGAGTGCCTCTTTGAAGTCTCTAGGTCTCAATTCAGTATCCTCGGATCAGCATAGAGCTAAAGCTCGTCAATGCAAAATTTTAGGAAACTTCAAACTGTTGGCAGGTAGATATGTGGATGCGCTGAACAGTTTTGCAGAGGCTGCGACAACTTTACACAAGTATCATGATAATATTTGGCTCGGAAGCGCACTAGAAGGCCTTGTGATCTCGATGCTACTACTAAGCTACCTACGAGTACCATTCCAAGTCCCAGTAATAATATCAATTATCTGTCCTGTGAAAGATTTCGAGCAGTCCTCTAATATGTCAAATGTTCAAAGAAATAGCACATCATCTGGCTCTTTTCAATCTCCCAGAAACTCATTGAGCTCAGTTTCCTCTAGGATTAACATTATAGAGTCCCAAAATGTGGCAATGCCGCTGTTAATAAAATCCGTTAGTGAGAGAGTTTTGCATTATTACGAATTAAGTTTGTCTCACAATACCGAATACGCACCCCAAATTGTTTACTGCGAGCATATATTACGCGTAGCCAGGTTTATGTCATACTGTCATTCACATTCCCAATTGGACAAAGATTTGCTGAAGAGCGTTTATACAGATGAAAACCCAACTTCGCTAGAGGCACCTCCATCTTCAACTTCTCTCAGCCAGTACTTCAGCAAGTGTGAAATATGTCAATTTGTTAATAAATTGTTTGAACTGCAACTGAAAGAAATGGACGTAATCTCTCAAATAAGAGTCTACATCTCACTAGGGCTAATTTACCGAGACTTGGGCTTCCAACGAAAACAAGCCTTTGTTTCGCGAATTCTTCTCGTGAGCTTGCTGCCACGGCACATTTCGGATAACATTTTTGATATGCTCGATGATAGTCACCATGATACGCTTAACTCTTTACTCGAGGCATACGGGATATACAAACAGCCAGAAATTTTGATAGAACATGCAGCCAACTGTACTTGGGTTACGCTTCAGAAAAACATTTTGATGCTCGCGATTAATATGGCATCCAAAAATGGTAATAAGCAAAAAGTTTGCGAATACTCATTGACACTGTTGCAAAAGTATTCTCATGTTCTTACACAGAACGAACAAAAAATTCTATTAGAAAACAATATCCTAAGTTTCACTCAAGGCATTCCTGACCTTGTCTACTGGGATCCGTTCCTTTTGAGAAAGCTTCGAATCACCCAGCTGGAAAACCACAAAAGTATACCACAAGAAAAGCTCCTTGAAACTGATGAAGTCGAAGAACATGCACAGCGCCATTTAGAAGTCTTCAATCCTTTTAAAGAAAACGGCGTTCATGGTGTCACCGAAAAGATGAAAACCTGCAAAATTGTCCCAAGCTTCTTGCTTGGAGAAACTGCAGAATTAGTTTTGACATTTCAAAACCCTTTCAAGTTTGACCTAAACGTCACACACCTGTCTTTCGAAGCTGCAGATGATATGATTGTTAACTTTTTGAGCAACAGTGCAAAGCGAGAGCTCCCGTTCAAAGTAAGTGCAAATTCGTTAGCCTCAATTCATGTCCCAGTTACCTTTACCAAGGAAACTCATGGAAAACAAACAATAAAAAGCCTTGTTGTGGGGGTTTTTGGTTTAAAACCCACCTCATTCGACATAGTTATGAGCGAAAAAACTAAAGGTGAGAATGAGTCTGATACGCAACGAGCAAAACTCGAAAGTTTCGAGTTCCGGGTGATCAATGAGCAACCTCATATGGAGTTTGTTTCAAGCTCTTTCAATGACAACTCTTGTATGATGCTTGAAGGTACGAAGGAGACATTCCAAATCGTTTTACGGAATCAATCTTTGAGTCAACCAGCTAACTATTTGCAGTTCACCCACAAAACCAACGTAGAGTCTAACCTGAATCCAGACTACTGGAAAAAACTGGGACCCGATGACCTGTACGATATCGAGACGCAGCTGAAGTGGATGCAACGTAAATGTATTGTAATTCGCGATAAACCACAAGAAATCCCCGCAAATAGTAGTGTGGAATTAACAGTTGAAATTGATGTCACACAGGCGTCGTTCGATTTTAAGAGCTTCGAGATATCACTTGAGTATGGTCACAAAATGGAAAAAAACAGCACATCTGTCTATACAAAAACACTGGTCATGCCATTCAACGTAACTTTGAAAAGGAGTTTAGAGGCGCCTAACTTAGAGGTGGTACCGCTGACGGAAGAACTAAAAGAGTGTGAAAATTCTGTCATAAGAGGTGTGGATAAGGTAGCAGTATTAGATCCAAATGATCTGGCGCTCCTTTTGCTCGACATTCGCAACTCGTGGGATGCAAATGCCACCCTTCGTGTTCATTTCAACGAATTTTCTATTGAGCCTGAAACGCTAAATTCACACAGCACCAAGAGATTTGTTATACCAATAAAAAAAAATTTACAATCCTCCGATTGGGGTTCTAAGGAAATTCCCAAACTAGTGAGTGGGCGCCAATTTGTGAGCAGTGGAATGACACGGGATGAGATCACTACAATGCGTCACAAATTTTGGTGCCGCGAGATGCTTCTGGAGTCTCTAAAGTGTGAGTGGAGATTTCAAGACTCCCGTGCTGTCCGTGGATCTATTAATTTTCGACAATACCTGGATATGATTGATACAAGAACGGTTGATATATTGTGTCAAAGGCGTGAAGCGCCCTATCATGTTAACGTGTTTGCCTCGAAACCCACATTGCCTCTCGGGGATACCCTTCGGTTAAGCGCTCAGCTATTAGCCAATAAACAACATCCGGCATACACTGAAGATCTGGTCCAAATAGAATTTCTTCTCTACAATCGCCGAACGGGTTTGGCTCTGGCGAAGTCAAACACTAGGCTGCTTTACAACGGACAGCTTACCTTCCTAGTAAATCCCAAGAACAGCTCGCCGGTGGAGCTTGAAATCACAGCGATTGATGCAGGCGAATATGAGGTCGGCTGCTGTATTAATTCGTCATATTTCAGCGATACGCCAGTCTACTTCCGTGTTCTACGACCTGTAGTTTAATTGGCGACAAGCGTGAAGCAGGGAACAGGAACCCGCACTACAAAGCTACTCGGATTTCAGGGAACTAACCAAGGATAGTAAGGGGATTCAAAGCTACCAGCCAACGTCTCAATAGACTCAAGTGCGATACGCATTTCGTTCGTGTGTAGTGCTTTTGGTTTTTGACTGAGATTAATATCAAAAATTTTACGAACAGGCGTCAAACTATATGGAAAGATGTTAAGAGTATTCAGGGCTCAATCTCAATCCTCAAATAAGTTTCTAGACAATGGGAAAAGGTGTGGCAAAGTATGGGTTCCAAAGTGGTATTTTGCCCACGGCCCGTTCGATCCTGAAAAATCCTACTGTTAAGCAAACCGACGTATTGGAAAAGCTAAAAGCTCCAAAGCCAAAGGGCGCAGAAGGTGTTGGTTATGCCGGAAACATTGCACATCCAAGGGGTTCGCATCGGTTGCCTCCTAAAGTAGAATTTGTCGATGTGGAAGAACTAGTCACGAATACGGTTCCGGAGCCCCAACATACCAGAGCTCCAAAAACTACGCAGCAAGCGATCAAACTGCATAAGGCGCAAGTACGTAGGTCTTACTTATCTGAGTCCTTCAGAAAAGAAGAAGAGCGCGTGCTAAGACAAGCCCAATTACTGAAAGAAAAAGAAGCTCAGCTTCATCAAGAAAGACAACAAGAACTAGCTGCATTGAACGAAACTCGTTCTAGTGATCTCACAATTCCAACAATGGAAAATCTACTGAGGGGACCCCTTATGCGACAAAGAACTCCCGAAGAGAAGGAGATTCTACAAATGAAACGAAAACAAAATCGGGACATCATACAGCTAAAGTCAAAGGAGCGTAAGCTTGAAAATCTTCTCAAACTTCATCACGTTACAGATGAGTTCATTGTTTCAGAAAGCCAGCTTACAAAAAAGATAGACGAAGTTTTTGCCAACGAGTCGTCGGAGGCATTGAGAACCAAGCTCAGCGTTGGAACTGCTAGACCTAGGTCTAGAAATGAAAAAGAGATTGGTGACGCGCTGTTTGGATCTCTCGGTGGTGGAAGCTTTGTGGGCCTTCCTACTATCAAAGAATATGTTTCTGGAGAGATGAGCTCTTTTGCTAAGGAGGTGGAAGCAAAAAGCGAAGCTCTCAAGGACCAAAAAAGTCAGGACATGGAAACCATTCTGTGATTTGTGCTACTTTGTATAATCCTGCTAAGTTGTATCTGTATATAGTAAGTTGACGAGACTCTGAAGCATTTAAAAGACACCAAGTTATCTCATGTCTGGAACAGTGGCCTTAACATCAATGCCTATTTGAACATTCCTTGTGATGGTAGGCTCGATGGAGCTCCTATCTCTGCGGCTCTATTTGAGAGCAAGCCCAAGTCCTAGAATTGTCCAACCGTCTGCAAGAAAAACCTGCAAACCTAATTACGGGCAAACCTCTGCTCACCGCCGTTATGCTGTTTACAGTTGTATTACTCTAGTACAGGTGTGATCAGGGTGATGTTGTCGCCTTTGAGTAAAATTCTACCCAATTTGACAGCTTTATCGGATACTTCTGACCCTGTGTCGGCGTCAATAGGGATTTCTAGCGCATCGTCAATAACAACGTTCATGAACTCGTCAAAGCCACTGATTGTGCCTCGTATTCTTATTTGTACTTGCTCATAGAGCCAAAAGTTCACTAGTGTTTGCTGCTGCAAGAAGTTGAATATGCAATTAATAGGCGGTACAGTAACTTTTGAAGGGTTCGAAGACATAAGAGGCAACTATTAAATATTTGATAGTAGCGTCTTCAGTCTAATAATATCGTTTTGGACTCAAAATAACGATTTCTCACGGTTCCGAACAAATGTGGAGTACTTTTGTGAAGGTAATTAAACAAACAAGAGAGTTTGCTTGTTGAACAGCTCGTACTATTATGCAGTCTAAATACCTGGAAACTGATTGAATAACAGTTGAGAGTAACAACGTACTTTTGTATCTGTTTAGTTCTCTGCTGCTTTTTTCATGGAGTTTTTGTTTTAATAAATCGAAAAAAATCATTACAATGATGTCTTGCGCATCAAATCAGACCAAGCAGCTGAAAGTCTAATCGAGAGTGCATATATGGAAACCAAATAAGCCTTCATGTCAGATAGTTTTGACAGCCTGAATTCAGCCCTGCAGTGTATAACCTCACAATCTAACCATGAAACCAAAAGGCAAGCTTTACAATTTCTCGAAGAGTTTCAAAAGTCGTCGGAAGCTTGGAGTGTCTGTCACAATATCTTAGCGGCAGGCAGTGACCAATGCGGTGCAGAACTGCAAGTATTTGCAGCCCAGACGCTGAGAAATAAGGTTACGTACGACTTGGCGCAAGTGAAGAATCAGATGGTCGACTTCAAGACTACTCTAATGGAGCTCATTGTTAAACACTCACAAAAAGTGATTGTCACGCAATTGTGTGTTGCGCTAACCAGGCTTGCAATTCAATTTCTGGAATGGCGCAACCCCATTGCAGAAATCATCCACTACTTGAACCAATTCCCTGATAAATTGCTCGAATTCTTGAAGATTCTGCCTGAAGAAACTTTGGACATCAAATCTACTCCTCTCAGCGAAGACGAATTTCAATCTAGAACTCATGAGCTCATTGATCAGATTGCGGAAGATGTCATGAAATATTTGGTCAGTATCATTGACTCGTTAGGATCACCGTCATCTGTCATTACGGTTTCTCAACTATTAAATTGCGTCAATTCATGGGCCTACGAAGTTCCTATAGATCAATTGCTTTCAATCAATAACCTCATGTCGTTAATATTCCATGTTTTGAACCAAGCTAAAGACGACGATACCGAAGCGTTTGACGTGGCAGTAGAATGTCTGTGTACGATTTTGAAAGAGACCAGGGATGTGGCGAATGAGACAGTCATAACGGCTATTTATGAGCAGCTGATGTCACTACAAGCAAGTATTTTACCAGTTGACCGTATTACAGACTTCGAGGACTACACAGAAATAATGGATGGACTCACCAGGCTATTTGTAGAGGCTGGCGAGGCTTGGTGCGTGTTCATCGCGAAAAATCCGCAGATTTTCAAACCTCTGGTTTCTGTACTTCTGTTGCTTACTTGCAAAAACACAGACTTGGACGTGGCTAAATACACTTTTCCCTTTTGGTTCAACTTAAAGCAAATGTTGGTGTTGCCAAGATTTAAGGCTCAGCGAGCAGCATACCAAGATACATTTACAGAATTGATTGATGGCATGATAGCTCACTTACATTATCCTGAAGAGTCGTTCTCTAACAAGGAAGAACAAGACAAGTTCAAAGAATTCCGCTATGATATGGGTGGAGTTTTAAAAGACTGCACAGCTGTAATTGGGTCAGAAAAGGCTTTGCGCCGTCCTTATGAAAAGATTGTAAATGCATTGAACAACCCAAATCCGTTGGCGCAGTGGCAACAATTAGAGGCTCCTCTCTTTTCACTGAGAACGATGGCACAAGAAATTTCTAAGAACGAAAATACAATACTTCCGCAACTTTTTCAGATTCTCTGCAATTTACCTGAGCATCCAAAAGTAAGGTATGCTACAACTTTGGTATTAGGAAGATACACTGAGTGGACTTCCAAACATCCTGACTTTCTTGAGCTAGAACTAAATTATATCTTCAACGGTTTTCAGCATGCCAATGGTGACGTCGATATTTTAACAGCGTCTTCGCATGCCCTGATGTACTTTTGCCAAGACTGCAGCACTTTGTTAAGTACATTTGTGGAACAGCTAATTGATTTTTACTGGAAGATCGAGCCAATGGTTGAAACGGAATCTTTATTTGAAGTCTGTCAAGGTTTAAGCTGCGTGATAGACCGTCAATCTGATGACCGAGTTGGACCTTCTTTAGAGCTTTTTTTGAAGCCTCATCTAGACAAGTTGGCCTTAGCAGTCATTACTTGGAAACAAAACTCTACAAACAACTCGGCGGCGGTAGCAGTTTGCGACAAAATTGACTTAATTTTTGCTGTTTTCGAAGAATTGAAACCCCGTCATGAAAATCCATCCTTAGGGCAGGAACCACTAGTACCTTATATCAGCACAATATGGGAAACATTACAAACGCTTTTGGTAAATGAGGAAGCTATGTTTAACCCTGAAATTGCAGAAATCACGATGAAATGGGTTCGTAAGGTCTTTTTGAACTTCCATATTTTTATCGCATCAGTTTTGCCTTCCGTGGCCAACTTTCTTGCTGAGGCGTACGGCACTACTGGACTTGGGATATATCTATGGTGCTCGGGTTCCATTATTGCTGTCTTTGGTGATGACGAGTCATTTCCTATAGATTCACAAACTAAAGAAGCCGTTTGGCAGTTCACCTGTACCCAATGTGTCACGTTCATGAATACGTTCAATGCGTCAAATGGCGAAGATATCGGCCAGCATCAAGACTCCGTTCAAGACTTTTTTATGATGATGACTGATGTTGTCATGTTCTTCCCAGATAGGCTTCTTGTTTCCAGTGCTTTATTAGGTCCAGTATTCGCAGTGGGATTGAGCTGTATTACAAAGGTATCCAACTATGACGCATACATCACAATCATTCGCTTTCTCGATGACGTTTTGTCTTGGGGATTCGACACCCCCCCAATCTCCACGGCCACCTTAGATGTCGTTCCAGAAGCTTGGAGACAGATGGTACTGAGTGACATAGTTCAATCGCAAGGATCGCAGCTCGTATGTTCAATTCTTGTAGGACTGGTCACGAATTTTAGCAGCGATGCCCGTCCGGATGCAATAGGGTGCCTAGTAAAATGTTTGAAATTATGTGTGCAGTGTTCCGGTGGTGATCCAGCCGTAACAGTGGAGTGGTTAAGCAGCGCGATGGACGCGATGGGAAAGGTAACTGACCAAGAAAGGTCTATGCTCCTGACAACTGTGGGAAACGCTTTGCCCCAAAAGGATATACGGCGAGTGAGATCAGGATTGAAAGATTTTGTGACCTGGTACGTGAGGAAAAACGTATCTCCCAGAATGTACAAATGAAACTTTGCTGTGTGTGATGGTTACCAAATAATGTGGCCAACTCATATTCTTACATACGTTAAAATTCATCAAGGCGGATTGGGTCAACAGACGCCTATTGGCGTACTAGCATCTTCAATAGACTCAATCGAAACTTAAGAGTGTCATCAATATTAAAATGATTGAAAAGCGCAATTATAAAACGAAGCTAGCAGCATCACTCCTTTCAATTCGCTTTCAAGCTTATTAGAGGTACATAGCAATTATTAACATAGTGTTTGTATCGCCAAGCGTTCTGCCGATTATTATCGATATTGATTAAACGTTTTGATGGCTCAATTTTTTCAAAACGTCTGGGTACGCTCTGAATATCTCGTCGAATCTTTGCGGGTACGATACGCGGAATACTTCTGGATCGTTACCTAAGGCAACAAAAAATGTAGCAGTACCGGACCTTATCGTCTCAGAGGTGATACTGCAGATCTGTAAAGCAATGACAAACGAAAAAGCCATCATTGGTACGTTGAACCCATGCCCTGAATTGTAACTAGGATCGGTAAATCTCAAGTATAAGTACGCGAACAAAGCAGCCATGTAACTTGCGAAAAGAGAGAAAAACCCTAGGGCAATGTTAATCAGGTTGTCGTTGATGAGTGCGTCCAGACCCTTCTCTCTGAGCATATACCATGTTTCCTTTGCAGCTCTCAGGTAAGGTTTACCATAGAGGGCGATGAAACAGTAGGCATAATGATTGAAGTAACGAGCCAACCATTCCAAAAAGCCGATGATCCAATCGATGATGAAGAAGATACATTGAGCCCATTGACTGTCTGCGATATTAGTGATTTGGCCGTTTCTTATCATAGTAAAAACCTGTTTCAGAGTCTCAATTAAAGATACAATCAAGGAACCGAAGCAGATAGACCCAAATGAAACAGTTAGGGCTCTCTTCAAAGATCCTAGAGCTGGCCAACGAGGCATACCTTGGTCAGATTTAGACATGTAATACCAGCATCCGTAGACACCGGAAACAGTACAGTGAATGACATTTCTGATAACCTCCGTGATGTAAAACCCACAGAAAAACACAAACACTAGAATACCAATGAGTTTAGCCTTTGAACAAGAGCCGCCACCAGTTGAACATCCAGCATTGTTGCTTGAGGGGTCATATTTGATATACGTGGCGACAATGACAGCAGAAAACAGCATTGCAAAGGCACTAGCAGCGAGTGAACCTATGAAAGAGATAAGGAAAGTTTGTGGGTGTTGCTTCATCACGTCGACGACGGTTTTGAGAATCGCAACACTCAAGGGGATTCTGGACCGCATCCCCCAGTAACACCAGGCGGTGATCAAAGTAAAAACTAGAAAGACAATCCCAGCGGACCAATATTTCATAGCCAAGTAAGCGATGGCTGTGCCCAGTCCTGAGACAATGTTGAAGATCATACCGCAGTAGATGAACCATTTGGGCGACGCACGCATCAAAACGAGACCTAGCATCGAAATTACGAGGGCAATGATGCACGAGAAGATCAGCAAAATGGCAGAATTGGTGTTCAGCGTACCGGTATTCTGGCCGTCGTAGATGCTGGATCCGGTAGAAGAGTAGGTCTTGGCCCACGCCCGCAAGGTAATGCCTGCGATGGCCACAAACCCGCACACGGTAGCTAGGAAAAAGATGGTGAAAGGCCAGTCGTTGAGCCGAAATTTGTTGTTGTTCTCGGTGGGGAAACTTTGCTCAAAGGACCCGATGGGCGCACCCTCGGTTTTGGCATTCAGGTCGTAGTATTGGTCCTGTCTGAACTGGTAGTCCTGTTGCTGCTCCTGTTGGTGTGGCTCCTGTTGCTGCTGCTGCTGCTCCTGCTGCTGCTGCTGTTCAGCGCCCTGTCCTTGCGAGTTATTGGGCGCATACGATGGAGGTGGTTGCGCAGGTCTTCCGTACTTTTCGGACATCTTTTCACGTCACAATAATGTAGACGAGCGACACCTAGCGGTTTATGAGCACTAACAGAGATGAAGTACTAGCTGAAGGATACTTGAAGACCAATCGAATATGGTTTTTGTACAAACCCCTTCAAAATTTTACAACGATGCCGTGTCAATAAATACTTAATTGCTACCCTGCAACTCTGCGATGTTGAAAAAGCTTCGATGCAGTGTGTTTTGCTTTCCCAATACGAATTTTTACGTTACCCGGAAACTGGGGGAATGTGACACATGAGGCCAGCGATGAGCATTAGAGTATGTGAAGCTGGAATGGAGTGGTTAAGAGAGCATTTGGGCTTCGTATTTGCCAGGATCCCTGTGCTGCTGCCGGGTTTTTTTTGTTGCAATTGAATTGGGTCAGAATAGGATCATGATGGGAATCAAGAAAAATGACAGAATAGTAAAAAGTGACAGGGCTCGATATTCGATTATTGCGGAGGGCTGGACGATGATCCTGAGTTGTGCGTATAGCCAGACAGTCTTGGTTTTATTGCGCTTGAGAAGAGGAGGTTGAGACGTTGGTTGGGAGCACTTTTTGTATAGAAACCGGTGTGTTTTATTCGCTGTGTGCGAGATCCCATGGAACAACCAGTCCGTATTTGTATACTGGCTGAGCGTGAAATTTGTTACACGGTCAATATTCGTACGGTACATCGTATGATAAATCAAGTGGTGCTCCAGGGGTCATCGGCCAGTCACCAAATCACTCCGGGGTACCGTCTGGTACTGTTTTTCAGTTCAAGGAGATGCGTCGAATGGCCAATCGACCGATCATGTTTGGCGATATCACTTTGTACTATTCTGTCACAGCTCCATGTTCCAGTTATGACCTTATCCTGGTCTATCTCATTCTGCAAACGACGCTATCTAGCAAGAGCACAGGAATCCTGCCAAAATTGTTCGCTCTAGAACACGTCTATTATATATAATGGTCCTTTATTCTCTGTTTTGAGAACCCGCTCAGCACATCTGGAGAAACCATGGGGCGAAAAGCAAGATTCCATGACCTACCAGCAAATACCTAGGCACGCCATGAGCGACCAGTTCAGCAAGTTAAATCTACTGGCGTTGATGTGCCTCGATATGCATACCGGTCTGTAACTGTTGGAAGCCATGCCACGTCAGGATGGTACGAAGTGACATGGAATAATCAATGAGATAGCTCATACAGCAATCATTCTACTCACAATGCACTGTTGTGGCTCTCTCCTCCCGAAATAACCTCAATTAGTTTTCGCAGTTGGATAATGCGGAAGTCTCTGGCCGTTCAAGAAACTCTTAAAATGCCACTGCGAGATCATGTTCTCAGACAAACTACGGAGAGTGTCAGAATCTGCGCCACGTCATAATAGTACAGAGTGATATTAAAGGTAACGTAAATATCTTATACCGCATTCATTCCACTCGCAACGGCAATAAGCCGGCTATATCTTTCCAAAATAGCCGCAATTAATTTGATAAGACGGGCCCGTCCGGTAGACCAAGAATTGTTTAAAAACTGATGATTTTTTCAACGTATCGACATTACATACTCATACAGAAATCTCTCCGTGATTTAACCAGCTAGCGCTTATTTATCAGCGTAGACTGCTTTACCATAACCATTGAAAACATTGCAAGCAGTCTTAAAAACTTGAACCTGGTCGACACAGACTTATTCTTACATGGCGCGAAGTTATTTACGGTGGCGAACTCAGAGTGGATTTATCACTCTTAACGTGACCGATAAAACATGCGTCTCTATTAAACTTCCAAAAATGATTAAACTGACCCTTCCTGTCGAAGAGAATAGTAGACACGAGTATAATGTCATTTAATGTTCTGATTCTTGGTGCCACTGGTTTCTGTGGCTCTACCTTTTTGAAATTTGCTGCTAGAGAACCATCTTTTGCAAATGTTTTTACGATAACTAGGAGAGAATTGAAGGGTTCATACGACACAGGTAAAGTCAAAAGCGTTATCGCAAAGGACTCCGATACGTGGGCTGATTTAATTCCAAAAGATGTCGACATCATGATTTCAGGGCTCGCCACCACGAGGGAAGCGCGCGACTACAAAATAGACCATGATTTAAACGTCGAGCTTGCCAAGCGTGCCAAGAGTCAAGGTTGTAGCACCTATGTGCTAGTCAGTTCCGCAGGGGCCAACGAAAAATCCAATTTTTACTACATGAAGACCAAGGGTGAAGTTGAGAGAGATATCTTGGCTCTGAACTTCGACAAGACTATCATTCTACGTCCCGGACCGCTCATCGGTCAGAGAGACGATAAAAATATGTTGAACGAGCTATCTTCCAAACTTGGAGGACTTTTGTACAAGACCAGATTCCAGATGCTTTACGGATATCCAGCTTACGGCGAAGACGTGGCAAAAGCGGGAGTAAAGCTAGCGTTGGACCACTCGCGCACTTCGAAGATTCAAATTATTGAGAGCAGCGAAATTCTTGAATTGGCATCCGACGCCGCCTAATGGGATCTATTCAAGCTTTATTCTGGTATCGCTGGCGAGCTAACATTCTTTCGTCAAGCTTGGTCTTGTAAACTTTTAGTTCGTGACATTTACAGCTGATTCAGCAAAGGAATCAAGAGATTGGAGCACTTTCGAGGTCTCGATTTGTATGCAGGAAGATAAGGGTATGGCGGCCTCGACGTATATTTTGTGGGCCAGACAAATGCATACCCATATCGTATCATATACACTTTAAACGTTAGCCAATGAACCACAGGTTAGTTACAGCTGAAAAGAACGCATGTGACGATTACTTCGTGTTATTTAGTCACTCACAAGTCATCTCGATAATTTATTTGAGGGTGAGAAATGCAAGTATCATATTATGTTTGACAAACCTGCTCAGAGTGGTGACTAGGATAGCATTTATATTGGCAGTGGGGTACTCCGATATAAGCATCATATACTCAGCATTCATTTCGCAAAGAGTGATTAAATTAGGGTGTTACGATATTCAAGGCCGAAAAATGGTACGGAACTAGTATCTTGTCGTGATGGAGTGCCCCATATACATTCTCATACAGTGTCAGTGTAGTACGAAGTGACATCTGGCAAAATTTAAAATTACAGTCAGTTTCGAAACTGACACGTTGGCATAGAATGACAGAAATTGTATTGCTGGCTCAACATGCCAAAAATAGCAAACGGACTGGAACATCAATTGACTGGAACGAAGGCATATACAGGTGACACAGCTACTGTTAATATCCATCCTCAACGCTGCGCTCAGAAATTAAGGCGGTGCAGTATACCAACCAGTCTAGAACATTTCGTGTTACAACGTCTTTCGACTGAAATCTTGCATGAATATCAATGTTTATTCTCTGTGCCGAGCTTATACTCTCCTCACCCAGAGAAGAAAACGAAAGAAGCATAATCTGTAATAATTATTTAACATGCTTTAACCAACAACCTCACCGTACTTGCTCAAAACAACAGCACAAGAACAGCAAAATCTCAAACATTACTGATTGATTACCATTTTTATTGTTAGGGCATAACTTCAAAGACTTGACTTTATTCGATGGAGACTTATCTCAGTAAAATTCGGTTTTCATTTTTACATTTGGAGCTACTTTTAGCGCAATACTAAATCAGCACACTTCAAGATCCAAAACTCATTATTGTGAAAGGATTCTTCCAAAACTTTAAGCTCTTACTCTTGCTGTTGAGAACAGAATTCTAGAGGTTTCGTTTTTTTTTTAGGCCAACTTCGGCCGCATCTCAAAGCCAATATAGTCCCTCTCAACAAATTTTATAGTTTGATACAGTCATATTCGTAGATCAATGCTTTCATCTAATCTTGGAAAAATTTCCACTTATTATGTGGCAGTCGATATCACATAAATTATTGTCTAAAGACTGTCTTTCCTATACCAGAATAAAAATCTGATCGTTTGACATGAATCTTGGGGCTTTTTCATGCACTTAGAGCTAATGACGCATGTCGCTTTTTGCTCAGGTCTATTCATCGTTGCTCATATTTGCTTGACTTTGTTAAGTTACTCAGGCTTGCTAACATGTCCGCCAATTGGTCTAGTGCTTGCTAACACCCCAGATTTTACTATAGCGGCACCAAACTTCGCATCCAAAAACAACTTGTTTGTAAATATACTTTAATGATAAAATTCACTTATTTCCGTTCAAAAGTGTGCCCTTGTCAAGCACTTTCCCTTGGTATAACCGAAAAGCTGGAAAATATATGTGCTACTTGGCAGCTTTTTATCCAATATGTATAACTCTCAGAACAGTCAACATTCATGCTATTCAGCTTTGTCAATTCGCAGGCTCCCAAGTAAAACTATTTCAATGATATCGTGTCGCAATAATTTTCCACGTGTGTTAGAGGCATATCTTAACTTCTCTTATCAACAAATAGAAGAAGATTTGATTGAGTGGACAACGCTTGTTAGGACCTTTACCAGGCTCTATCCATCGTTTTGGCATGCCCTCAAGATACAGAGTTGAATATCAACTAAAGTCTCATCGCAAAGATGAACTAATAGAGTGGATAAAGGGTCTCTTGGCAGTACCCTTTGTTTTACACTCATCATCGGACAGCGACGACGCCCGGCAATTAATACGCCAACGGTACGCTGAAATATTCACAGCTGTAGAATCACTAGTCGATGAGCAGTTTGAGATCGGCCAACAAATGCATTTGCCAGACCAGGATTTTCATCGCGAAAGAACAAGGCTAACGCAACTAGTACCTTCTGTTGGGCCCTTTTTCACTAGGCTTCCGTTGGAAAAGTCATTTTATCTGGAGGATCGCAAAAGGGCCATCTCCTCGAGAACCATGGTGGCACCTAGTTTTAACGATATCCGCCATATCTTAAACTCAGCCCAAATCTTGCAAATGCGTCAGTTCAACGACGTGAAGCTCGTCACCTTCGATGGGGACGTCACTCTTTATGAAGATGGAGGATCGCTTACAGAATCTAGCAAAGTAGTGCCATTTTTGCTAGATCTTCTGAGAAATGGGATCTGCGTCGGGATCGTCACCGCCGCGGGTTATGACGAAGCTCAAAAGTACATGGAACGCCTCTTCGGCTTTATAGTAGCCCTGGAAGAAGATTCCACCATAAGTCCAGAGCTTAAAGAAAACCTAGCCGTGCTGGGTGGGGAGTCCAACTATCTTTTCAGATACAACGCCAAATTGGGCGAACTGGTTTCGATTCCACTCGAAAGCTGGATTCGGTCGCCCATGCGCGAGTGGAGCGAGTCCGATATGACTGAAACGCTTGACTTAGCGGAGTCGCTGCTCCGAGGCTTCAGAACTGCGCTGAACTTGCCGGAGGAATCGACGATTATTCGCAAGCCCAGAGCCGTGGGAATTGTTCCCGGAAATCGCTGGAACCCAGAAACGAAACGTACAAACCGCATCAAGATGGAGCGCGAGCAACTCGAGGAAATGGTGCTTACCCTCCAACACCGCATCGAGAATTTCGCCCCGGCACGTCGAATCCAATTCAGTTGTTTCGACGGTGGCAGCGACGTGTGGTGCGATATTGGAGGCAAAGACCTCGGTGTCGCTGCTCTTCAAAACTACTTCTGCCCCGAAAACCCAATCAAGCCTCATCAAACCTTGCACATTGGTGACCAGTTTGCACCAATGGGTTCGGCAAACGACTTTAAAGCCCGACTCTCTGGCTGTACCGTGTGGATTTCCTCGCCCCAGGAAACAGTAGAAGTTCTTCGTTGTTTGACCACAGGTTTCGACCACTACACACGATCCTCGTCGGTCATCCCAATTGCTGTAGCTACTACAGACAGCTGCTACCAATAGCGGCTAACCCACTATATCACTTTGTACTAAATAGACATTAGACTTATCTAATCCGTAATTTTCGATTTCAGCTCATCTCATCTTCTTTAAAATATCCACCCCTCGCACAAAGACTACAAAGCTCAAAACATAAAGAGCTACTTACATATACTTGTGTGTACCAAAATGATTCAGCTAATTACGACGCCTGCTATGTATGTTTCTTCACAGATCTGCGAAATTTTGCTGCGGTTTTTCGTGTCGTTAATGTACTAACAAATTACTCCCATGCTTATTTACACAGACTTTTAGTTTCGACAGTTATCCCACTTCAGTTCACCATAGAGTACTTAAATCTGAGCGGGAGTGGTCCCGAGCCCAATTTCCTGGGCCTGTTGCTCCTGAAATTCTGGTGCCTGCACGCGATGACGCGGGCCATTCCCAACCCCTTAGTGTATATATTTCAGTCGCTGCCACTGTCAAACATCGTGGAGCTGGGCGCATGGCTGGTTGTGACCAGGGAGTTGGTGAGCCAGTTCAGCAAGCTCGAGGCCAGCAGGGGCCACAGGATCGGCGGCAACGCATCTCCTGCAAGCGGGGAAAAACCTGGGTGGATTACTTATTTCCAATCGATATCGAACCCGCCCCCGACAGATCGGTACGTATTCGGGCAGTTCACGTTTCTGAGTATTCGCACTATGGAAAAATGGCCTTTGGACTTGCAGATATTGGATAGCAGCTTCCATACCGTGATGGCGTGGATCGCGCAAATTCGGTCTAAGAACCCAGCTAAAGCCCCGGAATCAAGAGGCTGGAATTGGAGCTACCAGTGGTTTGCTGGACAAACCACGCAAAGAGTAACGGCCGATGAGGATTACGATCTTATGGAGGATGTAATTGAGGACATTAAGAAATCGTAGGTGCGACATCAAAACAACAATCAACAAGCAGTTTTTCCATCAAGGTATTTATGATCGTAGCAGCTCAGCAGCCCACTGACCTCTAGAGACTCTTTTCAATTCATCGATCTGTTTTAGGTTTATTTTATAGTATATACAGGTGTAACCGGTTCGTTATGGAAGCAGGATGCGAATGTGCTCGTGGGTGAGATAGGGAAGCGAACTGTAGCGGCCATTTATTGTCTACCTGCGCTCATCGTCTGCACGAGTGCGTCTACTTTCAGTCTTTTCTGCAATTGAGATTCTCTTAGCTTAGTTTTATTCTTTTGGTTCAGTAGTCTTCTCTTCAAAAATTTGGGTACAAAAGGCTGAGCTCCTGGCTGGTATGGACCCAAGGCACCGTCAAACGCAGTACCTGGCTTATATTTGTCGGAACCAATTCTAGTTTGTTCTTCACGGTATTTGCTCAAATCCTCGACCAGCGTAGCGCCCCATGGATCTTTGTCTTTGGGTTCTGCGGGCCAGATGAATGGCTCGGCCATGTCGATAGTCATTTTTTTGATCTGGGGTGCTCTGTAACGAGGCATAACCTGATTGACACGGGTGTACTTACCATGCAAAAGCTGTGTGGTAACGTTCATTGCTCTAAGGCCATAGACGTGAAACAAGTAGTCTCGAAGATCAAGCTTATTGAATGATTTAGGAACAATGAACTTCGCCTGGTATGGAGTATGTTTCGCATTCGGCCTGAGCAAAACCAATCTAGCCTTAGGGAAGTAATGTTGTGTGCCACCGACTCTGAAATGCGGTTTTCCTTGAGCTATGGCTTCTCTGGACCAATTTAAAATCTTGTCGCTAACTCTGACTGTAGAACGATTTTCTTCCACTTTTGAGACTTCTGTAGCGACAGTAGCCAGACTTCTCGATGTCAAATCATTCCGAAAGAGCCCTGGAATTCCACCAAGCCATTTGCTTACCAATCTTGGCATTTCTGGACCAGCACTGTATCACCTCAAAGTTGATTCTTAATCCTCTTTTAAGTAGAAAAGTTTTCAAAATACAAATTAAAGCGCTTATTCGATTATCCACGTGATATGGAAGATGGTTGATATTGAGTTAGAGGATCAAATGGACATCCACAGCAGTGCTGCCGGACACCTGTGCACACGCTTAAATCCAACAAATGCACGCCGCCGTGAAAAACTGAATGCGAAGTTTTAGGGAGATAATCAGTTTCAAACTTCTTTCCAATGACAAACATACGCTGAGCAATTAAATAAGATAATCTCCAATTCAATTGACTTGCAGATATCCTACTATAGACTGTAATTATTTTCTGAGTTTATAGTTAGATGTGTGAGAGAGACATCTTTTTTAGTGCTAATACTATGCGGCCTCAAAATAAAAATACTGGCACTGTCGCAGGTTTTCTAGTATCATCGCTCTTCCAGGCTCCTTTATTAGTTATTATTACTTCCTGTGGCGATCAAACATTATTTTAGTGGCTTAGGTAAAGAAATGACAATAGTTGGCGATAGTTATCAACAGCCCACGAAGGAAACTGCCTGAAAGGAAAGCTCCAGTACCAGTTTATGAAAAACATGGCAAAACCTGATTGTTCAAGAAGCTTTTGATTTCAGAATTAAGTTTTATTCAAGTTGTATCATCTAACGGTGAAGCGGCTTCTACGTATTCGGCTTTGGTTTATGCATATGAATCTGGACATGTTATGTGGCTTTCAAAACAATTTCGAAATTTTCATGTTCTCGATGGGTAGTTTTTCTGTGAGATGCCTTCTCGTGTTGTGCAACAGTGAATAACGCGTATTATTCGGACTAGCCTTTCCTACCCTGCATAGAAAGAGATGTTTTAATGTAAGCTAGACCTTATAAGGTGGCAGATCTGTTTGGAGCACTCATGGGGTAATACTAAATATTCTGCGACCTGATGCACGGGACCTCGCCTATTTCTCCGCTTTATAAGATCGTGTCGATTTCATACTTGGACAAGCCTGTCTGATCTATACAAGCTTTTCAAAAGGGAACGGATAAAATCACAAATCTCATACTAAGATTTGCGTCGCAGAACACACTGTCACTGGATATTTATCTTGATGAAAAAGGTTGGCGCGCCATACATTTGGGGTCAGAGCTCAGAGGCTCAAATGCCCAGAGCTGGATGAAATTAACAAACCGCAGCTTATCTGCATCCTTGTCGCGTAGCTCCTAATATTCTATTCCTAGTTATATCTAATTATCTTCGCAACAAATCTCTACCAAAAAACTCGCTATTTTCAAGCACCCATTTACTACACTCAAGTTAAACCTATTTAAAACGCTCTCGAAGTTAATCGAAGCCTGTCCTGTAGGCGCTTGAAGGGTTCGATTATTTGGTGGTTGTGCGCTTATGGCTTGAGGGTTACCCGTCTATTTATCCAGTTCTAAATCTTAAAAAATTTTACAAGTGGCAAAGTTAGCATTTACAGCGTTTATGCTAAATAATAACAAAGCTGGTGATAAAATCGGTGGAAGTCGGTGGTTGTCCAGTTCTTTGCTAGCTCATAGACTGTCTATCCAATTCGTTGGAACCACGTACACGGAAATCGTAGTATAATAGAATGTCAGAAGAGTTTTACGACGAGGACCCTTACGCTTACGAAGATGACGAGACTTCGATCACGGCGGAAGACTCATGGACCGTGATATCGGCGTTTTTCCGGGAAAAGGGTCTAGTGTCGCAGCAGCTGGACTCGTTTAACCAGTTCATCAACTACACGATCCAGGATTCGATCATGGAGGACTCGACGCTGATTTTGGAGCAGTTAGCCCAGCACACAACGGAGACTGACAACATCAGCAGGAAGTACGAGATCAGTTTCGGAAAAATCTATTTGGCCAAGCCCTCAATGACAGAGTCGGACGGTGTCTCGCATGCCATGTACCCGCAGGAAGCCCGGCTGCGGAATCTAACGTACGCGTCTGGTCTTTTTGTCGAGATTCGCAAACGTACTTATGAAGCAGTCGATATTCCAGGCAGAGACCTGAAATACGAGGTGATTGACGAGGAGAGCGAGATGTCTGATGACAGCAAGATTTTTATCGGGCGTGTGCCAATCATGCTTCGGTCCAAGTACTGTCTTCTAGACGAGCTTACAGAGAGCGACCTTTACAAACTTAAGGAATGTCCCTTTGATATGGGTGGGTATTTCATCATCAACGGTTCTGAAAAAGTGCTTATTGCGCAAGAACGGTCAGCGGGGAACATTGTACAGGTCTTCAAGAAATCTGCGCCTTCTCCAATTTCACACATCGCGGAAATTAGATCGGCGTTGGAGAAAGGCTCTCGTTTCATCAGTACTCTACAGGTCAAATTGTATGGTCGCGAGGGTAATACTAATCGTACGATTAAGGCCACGCTTCCGTACATCAAGCAAGATATTCCAATCGTTATTATTTTCAGAGCCTTGGGTATTATTCCAGATGGTGAAATTCTGGAACATATCTGTTACGATGTTAATGACTGGCAAATGCTCGAGCTGTTGAAGCCTTGTGTTGAAGAAGGTTTTGTAATTCAAGATCGAGAAACCGCCTTGGATTTTATTGGCCGTCGTGGTACTGCTTTGGGTATCAAGAAGGAAAAAAGAATTCAGTACGCAAAGGACATTCTTCAAAAGGAGTTTTTACCTCATATTACTCAGTTGGAAGGTTTTGAAAGCAGAAAAGCATTTTTCTTAGGTTATATGATTAACAGGTTACTGCTATGTGCTCTTGACCGTAAAGATCAAGATGATCGTGACCACTTTGGTAAGAAGAGATTAGATTTGGCCGGACCATTACTAGCACAGCTTTTCAAGACCTTATTCAGAAAATTGACGAGAGATATTTTGAGGTTTATGCAAAGATCCGTTGAAGAAGCAAAGGATTTCAATCTAAAGTTGGCAGTAAAGGCCACCACCATCACGGCAGGTCTCAAATATGCTTTAGCTACTGGTAATTGGGGTGAGCAGAAGAAGGCAATGACTTCCAGAGCTGGTGTTTCACAAGTATTGAATAGATATACCTATTCTTCTACGTTGTCACATCTAAGAAGAACGAATACACCTATAGGGCGTGACGGTAAGTTAGCCAAACCTCGTCAACTGCATAATACGCATTGGGGGCTGGTGTGTCCAGCAGAAACCCCAGAAGGTCAAGCTTGTGGTTTGGTAAAAAATTTATCGTTAATGTCATGCATTTCCGTTGGTACGGACCCTGTGCCAATTATCACATTTTTGAATGAATGGGGTTTGGAGCCATTAGAAGACTATGTTCCGCATCAGTCCCCAGATGCTACAAGAGTCTTTGTAAACGGTGTATGGCTCGGTATTCACAGAAACCCTGCTAAGCTTGTGGACACTATCAAAAAGTTGAGAAGGAAAGGTGACGTTACTCCAGAGGTTTCGATCGTCAGAGATATTCGTGAGAAGGAGTTGAAGATTTCCACAGATGCAGGTAGAGTCTACAGACCCCTGTTCATTGTGGATGAAAATGAGGATACAGGCATCAAAGAACTGAAACTGAGAAAAGGACACATCAGAAAATTGATGATGACTGAGTACCAGGATATTGAAGGTGGATTTGAAGAGGAGGATATTAATTACACATGGACTTCCTTGCTTAATGAGGGTTTGGTGGAATATATTGATGCTGAAGAAGAAGAGACCATTCTGATTGCCATGCAGCATGAGGATCTTGATCCAACTATTCCAGCGGCTGATCCAGAAGAAGAACTTGATCCTGCCAAACGTATCAAAGCCATCCATCACTCCAATACTTTCACTCACTGTGAGATCCATCCCTCGATGATTCTGGGTGTTGCTGCATCTATTATCCCATTTCCAGATCATAATCAATCGCCTCGTAACACATATCAGTCGGCTATGGGTAAACAGGCTATGGGTGTGTTCCTAACAAATTACAGCGTTCGTATGGATACCATGGCCAACATCTTATACTATCCTCAAAAGCCATTAGGTACTACTCGCTCCATGGAGTATCTCAAATTTAGAGAGCTCCCAGCTGGTCAGAATGCTATCGTCGCTATTGCATGTTATTCTGGTTACAACCAAGAAGATTCGATGATCATGAACCAGTCATCAATTGACTCTGGATTGTTCAGATCTCTGTTTTTCAGATCTTATATGGACCAAGAAAAGCGTATCGGTATGTCCATCACTGAGTCTTTTGAAAAACCTCAACGGACCAATACTTTAAGGATGAAACATGGTACTTATGATAAACTAGATGACGATGGGTTAATTGCTCCTGGTGTTAGGGTGTCTGGTGATGACATGATTATAGGTAAGACGACTCCTATTCCTCCAGATGCCGAAGAGTTAGGGCAAAGAACCGCATTCCACTCCAAGCGTGATGCTTCCACACCTTTAAGAAGTACTGAAAATGGTATTGTCGATCAAGTCTTGATCACTACGAACCAAGAGGGTTTAAAATTTGTTAAAGTAAGAGTAAGAACCACTAAAGTACCCCAAATTGGTGACAAATTTGCATCTCGTCACGGTCAAAAAGGTACAATCGGTATCACATATCGGAGAGAAGACATGCCGTTTACTGCAGAGGGTGTTGTACCTGATTTGATTATTAACCCGCACGCCATTCCTTCACGTATGACAGTCGCACATTTGATCGAATGTTTACTGAGTAAAGTAGCGGCACTGTCCGGTAATGAGGGTGATGCTTCTCCATTTACAGACATCACTGTCGATGGTATTTCGAGGCTTCTTCGCGAACACGGCTATCAGTCTCGTGGTTTTGAGGTTATGTACAATGGGCACACGGGTAAAAAACTGATGGCTCAAATTTTCTTCGGTCCAACATACTATCAACGTTTGAGACACATGGTGGATGATAAGATTCACGCCAGAGCCCGTGGTCCAGTTCAAGTGTTAACTAGACAGCCGGTCGAAGGTAGATCGAGAGATGGTGGTTTAAGATTCGGAGAAATGGAACGTGACTGTATGATTGCACACGGTGCTGCAGCCTTTTTGAAGGAAAGACTGATGGAAGCATCTGATGCTTTCAGAGTTCACATTTGTGGTATTTGTGGGTTAATGACGGTGATTGCCAAACTAAAGCATAATCAATTCGAGTGCAGAGGTTGTAAGAACAAGATTGACATCTATCAAATTCACATTCCCTACGCAGCTAAATTGCTTTTCCAGGAACTGATGGCTATGAACATAGCACCACGTCTATATACCGACAGATCTAGAGACTTTTAAGGCAGTCGAGCGTGACTCGAACAATAAAAGCAGCAACGATCGAACATAAAAAGACAATCTTGTAATATAATTATTTGTTTTTTCCAGACTTCAGAGGGTGTGAAGTGCAGTAGAAGGAGTGATGAGATGTAGAACTCAATGTAACCGGCAAACGAATATAACGATTTTGAATTACAGCTGTAGTATCATGACTTTCGTCTTGTCTTCTTTACTTATGCATGCTATATACAAGGCGTCTATGTGACTTTCTCCTCTAAATGGATTCCGATTCCTTCAATTTCTTCATGACTTTGGGCTGTTGATCGACAAAAGCAGTTATGTTTGATGTATACGGATGTTGACTGCCGTCAAAGACCTTGAGCCGCTCGAGCCTAGGTTTCCGCAGCTTGTTCTTGGGTAGCATACCACTGACGGCCTTCTTAAGTATTTCGCCGTGGCCTTTGTTTTCGACCATCTTACGCATCGTAACCTGCTTCAAATGGCCCGGTTTCTGCGAGTGAGACCAGTAGGTTTTCTGGTCGAATTTATGACCTGTGACTCGCAACTGCTGGCAATTTGTGGCTACCACGTAGTCCCCACAGTCCTGGCTCGGATGATAGACCGGCTTGTGCTTCCCGATCAGCGTCAATGCAATAGAGCTCGCCAACCTACCGAGAGTTCTCTTGTCCTGAGCCACGTCAACGTGGTGCCAAAGCCTGGCAAAGGCTAATCCCGTGTGACCTATCTTTTGTGACATGTTGGATATGAGCAGGATATTATGGGCAGTTAGCTGGTGTTGCTCAGTCACTATTACTTTCTGCTCAGATAGCTAGCTTGCGTGTCTAAAATTTTTCGATATATTCAATTACGAAAAAACTAAATGAGAACTTAACTTTGACGAAATCAAACTATCTACAGCGATTCTAGTCCTTATCTGTACACATTGTACTTGCTTTTTGGGTCTGGAGGAACCATATATTGAACTCAATTCGGTGATATGTTTTTCTTCAAGGACCTTTCACTGAACATTACGCTTCATCCGTCTTTTTTCGGGCCTCAAATGAAGCAGTACCTGCGTACCAAACTTCTGCAAGAAGTAGAGGGGACGTGCACAGGTAAATTCGGATATATTTTGTGTGTTTTGGACTGTGAGAACGTAGAGATTGAGCGTGGAAGGATCCTTCCTGGCGACGGCTCCGCGGAGTTCACGGTCAAGTACCGAGCTGTGGTGTGGAAGCCGTTCAAGGGCGAAGTCGTTGACGGTGTCGTTTCAAGCTGCACAAATCTGGGGTTTGAAGTGGACGTGGGTCCACTGTCGGTTTTTGTGTCACCGTTCCTTATGCCTGAAGATCTCTCATACAACAGCGGTTCGAATCCTCCGTCTTATCAGAGTTCGGAGCAAATTATTACAAAGGGCTCTCGAGTGAGATTAAAAGTCGTGGGTGCCAGAAGTGAAGTGAACTCAATATACGCCATCGGTAGTATCAAGGAAGATTACTTGGGTGTCATATGAAAGGGGACGTTGGCAAAAACCGAGAAAACAAAAGCCATCCCAGCAGTTACGTTCTTGAAGTGCAGCTCAAGCTATAACATGATTGAAATAAATGTGGAGGAAAAGCTAGCTGACGCTACAAGTGGCCATCAAAACAATTTGCCTAAACCAGTTTGCATCTGCGTCTCATACTGCTTGGCAACCTCAGCCCCAGCACCAGCGCTAACAAGGTTTCCATTACCAAAATCTACGTGTATATTAACCTTATATTAAAAAAGGACGTGGAAGCCATCCTCAAGAGCCAAGCTATCGATTTTTTGAAGATATAGACCTTGTCTTGTCAATCATTTGATGAAAAACCATAAAGAAAGTCTCGAAACAAGGAAGAAATTCGAGAAAGCACTGTTCAAAATTGCTTTTGGATGCGCGTGCTTCTTCTCATCACATAATGGCCGCCCAAGTCATCCTCGTCGCAACCTTCACTCCATTGACCCTCATACAACCCGCTTGTGATGGCATCAACAACCATTTTTGATTTGGCGAGGAAATAATCATCATCCAACTTGAGCACACAGTTGTGCCATGGTGTGGGTATATGCAACAGATCTTCGAAAGAAGGTTCATCTTGAGCATCTAAAGACTTTACAGTTTTGCATTGTTTACTGGAAATGATCTTTACACCAAATTTGGGACCAGCGTTAGTATGCGCATGAATTGAAAACCGCATGTGGCGTGGGAAAATCAGCTCCACCAAATTCGAGTAGGAATCGTTACGTTTTATCATCTCAAAGGCCACCTTGGACACGACTTTCTTGAAGCATTTTTTTGAGGAAGTTTTGAAGTGTGTCAATTGAGAAAGGTCGTCCATCATGAATTTCGAAAAACCTCTGAACAAGTGTAATCGCGGGTGGCCTGGCATCAATATCTGCTGTCTCAATCTTCCATCGTCAGTGTCAAACCCCTTCATCAAAATTTTTCTCGATAGTTCAGAATTTTCAGAGATTTTTGACCCAGTATAGTGAGGCAAATCAACATCGCAGACCATATCTTCGTCAAAGTCTAGCATAGTCTCACCAGTGAAAAATAACTCCGTCAAGCCAACAAATCCAATAGCATCAGTCGCGGGGCTCGCTATTGTCCGATACAGGTCGTGAAGTTTTGCTGTGTACGCGTCGACAACGTCATCATCTACACCAATACAGTCGCTGAAAACATGGCCGTCGCTTACAATCCACACTTTCATGCCTGGGGGATAGAAACCTTGAACTTCTTGAGTTGCCATAATCAATCTTCTCAAAGCCAGTTCTTCACCTTTATCCGGAACAGCACCGTGCACTTTGTCAACATTCGAGGATTTGCAAGGAAATGCTGGCAAAATACATTCAATGGTCAAATATCTATCGGTGAAGTATTTGACCCTTTCTTGAAAGTGTTCACGACCACCCTTTTCCCATTCATCATTCGGAGTCGTGTTTTTCAAGTTATCAGCAAAATAATTGGTAAATAACTCCGCGAACGGCACAGTACTTTCAATCGATGGACTTTGATCCAATTCCATCCGAGTTTGTTCTAGAATATGAGCTATTAACCAATCATTAAACTCATTTTCATCTTCAATGGTGGTAATGATGCCACGTATTTGTTTCTCCGCCCTGCGATGAAGTTCAGACACCTTGATTGCAACCCCAGCAATGCTAGTGAATTTTTCAGCGACCTGTGCTTCGATGATGCGCTCTGTCACGCCAACTTCGCCTACTTCACGGCATTTCGCTTGATTTAACTGAGAAACGAAGTCACTCCATCTTTGTGAGAACTGAGCTTGTTGCTTATCTTGTATGGCGTAAAGATTGTTTGAGACTGGGTCTCTTGTATACATGCACAAGACTTTGCTATACGTGGACATGTCTTCGGTGCCGTGAGGAATTTTGACATCCTCGCACAAGGTCTCTTCGTTCGACTTTGTCATCGCGAAATGGGTCAGGGGTGCAATTCTAACTACGCTGGGCCGATATGCTTTGTCGAGAAGGATGGAACAAATGCGGTCCTCTTTAAATATGTTTAACGCAAAACGCCTTGGGTTTCACTCTGGTATGAGACTATAATATCGTGATTTGCGCATTCTCATTCTCTATTACTGTTTTTGAAGTCCAGAACGAGTAAATTGTGACCGCTTTGACCGTAGTCGGTCATGGCGTAGCTGCGCTACTTCTTGGCTTGGTGTCAAAATTTCAAACACTTGGGAAGCCGTGGTAAAACAGCCGCTGAGCAACGCCTGATTATTAGTTTCGACTTAATTTCCTAAACGAATCAAGGAAAGCGTTGCAAGACTAGTGCTATTTGCAATAGTTGTGAGATGTAAGGGCTATCGAGGAAGTATTCGAAGCGTAGTGGCTATTTTTGACCGTTCAGTGGACGAGTCTTTACGTAATAGATGTCTGTCGTCAACGCCCGAAGAGCCTCGGTCTTGCAAAAATAGAAGTGGTGTGTAGACTGTTCGAAGCACTCCTGCAACTGGCATTCCTCGGTCTCGGTGTACTGCTCTGAACATCCTGAACTTCAAGCTGGCGAAACTTTCTTTAGTGCAGAAACCCAAAAAAAAAGGTACTTTCCGAATTCAAATGAAAGCATTCCATACCAAGTACATGGCCAGAACTAACGACTTTGACTGGATGGTAGCATTTCACTAATACTTTGGGTAATTTTTTTGAAGCACTTAATTGCAGCTAGTTTCTAGCCTTCAAAACTATTATTGTCATAGGGTGTGACAGTACGTTAACGAGGGTGTAGAATCAAGCAGTTTCGCTTAAAAGTTACCTTTGATTATAAATATGGAGAGATGTCATGTTGCGCATCCCTCGTTGTTCGTCAAACAGAGGGCGGCACAGCAGTTTCAAAGCGATGAGCATGGGTCTTTATGTTTTCTGCTTTATCGCAGGAGTAATTATCTTTGGTCTGGTAAAAATGATTTTGCCGCCATGGAACTTTCCCCGAAATATTCCAACGATTCCATTCTATGTCACTTTTCTGGCTACCGTATGGGACGTTGATCAAGAAGACATCTTCAACATGTACCTTCGCGGACCCCTAGAGAAACATGGGGCAGTGAAACTTTATTTTGGTTCGCGCTGGAATATTGTTGTATCGCGACCTGAACTGCTAGCTCAGGTGTTCAAGGACGAGGACACGTTTGCTAAAAGCGGTAACCATATAAAAATTCCTTACGGTGTGATTGCTGCTTATACAGGCGAAAATGTTATCTCCGCCCACGGTTCTATTTGGAGATCTTTCCGCAAGGCAATGACACCTGGACTTCAGTTTTTTGACCACAGTCCGATGATAAAGAATGCAAACATATTCTGCTCATTAATTTTCAAGCAGTTAACTACGTTTGAAATGTCAAGTATCGATAGCTCAAATTCACCTCTAAATGAGAAAGAGAATCTCGATCCGGCTTTTCCCCCAACCGGCATCGTTACTATGCCAGAACTTATCCAAAGATTGAGTCTTGCAAATATTTCTGAAGTAGCATTAGGATTCGATGTTGGCACCTTAACAAAAGATAATTCTGAGATTCATCTCAAATTAAAAATTGTCAAAAGTAATATTTTTAAGTCCTTGTACTTGAATTTTCCGATGTTAGACCTTCTGCCTATTCCTTCGCGGCAGCGTGCACGAAGATATGTTGAGGAATTCAGAAGATGTCTGATGGACGCTGTTAGATCTAATTTGGTCGACAATTACAATTTTGAACAGACGTCGTTTGCTTCTTCTGATTTAATTAGAAGCTTTCATCGCGAAGAAATATCAGAGAAGCAGCTCATCGATAACATCGTAATCGTTATGGTTGCGGGCCACGAAAATCCGCAGCTCCTGTTGACAACTTGTTTCTACTTGTTTGCTAAGCACAAAAAGTGGCAGGAACTGGTTCGAGCAGAGGTACTTGATCATGATGTGGAAAAACTTGGTGAGCTCCCTCTATTAAACAGCTTTATTTTTGAATGTGTTCGGCTGTATCCCCCTCTATCACAAATAATCAACCGTTGCACCACTAAGAAATGCGTCCTTGGAACTGATGTGATATTGCCCAAAAATGTTTACGTTGGGTATAATGTTATTTCCACTGGGAGGTATAGAGCTGCTTGGGGTGATACCGCCGAAAAGTTCAGGCCAGAGCGATGGGGCGCTAGCATTGACGATATTATGAACGAATGGAGACATAGAAAGAACACTTGTGCTATGAGTGCATTTCACGGGGGGCGTCGGGCATGTCTAGGAGAAAAGCTTGCCTTGATGGAGGTACGCATTGCTATGGCAGCCGTTCTCAAACGATTTGAATGGACTCTAGCTCCAGATTGGGTTGATAAAGTTACTCCTGCCGGGCCATTGTGTCCAGCTGGTTTGAAGCTGAGCTTCACGGAGTTGATTTCGAGAGACTAAAAGACACCTATGCAAGCCTTGTATTAATTTTTTAAGTAGGTTGTTATTGTGAATTAGATGGTAGACTCTTGAGACGCTAGATTTAATGCCAGGTACACCTGGTCCCAGAAGTACTGGATATTGAGGTCAAATCCCACTATTGTGCCCTTGTTGCTGTTTTTGGAATGCTCTTTAAAAACTTTTGTTTGACCTAGGTCAGGGCTGTTCTCGGATTCTACGGCATTTAATTCAAGACGCTTGTATTCAAATTTAATTGCTTCCGAACTCTGTAATTTGTAAAGCTCCAAGAGAGGCATTAGAGTTAAAGGGTCATGCACAGGAGCTCCTGATTCAAAACCTTGAGCATTCTCATAGCTGTGGCCAAAAAATACGAAAAGATCATAAAAGAGCCTTCTAAAATTTGTGCTTCCATCCGATAAAACTCTTGATTCTACGTCTTTGGTAGCGATCGCCTTGTGTGTAAGATCTAGCGGTATCAGGATACATTTATTGTTAACCTCTGGGTCCTGTAAAATCGAATTGGCAGCCTGAGGATCTATCCATATGTTAAATTCAGCACTTTCGTTTTCGTTGCGGTTTCCGACATGAATACCACCGCCCATTATGCTGATATATCTAATCTTAGATTTGAGATGTGGTTTTTCTCGAAGCAAAGTAGCCACCGATGTCAAGGAGCCGGTAGATATGAGTGAAATGTCTCCAGAGTGTGTCTCTATAGCTTCAGTCATAGCTTCCAAATAGCTCTTATCAGATCTCAGTTGTGCCCGTGGAACAGGTAGTAGATTGGTGCCGTCGAGACCAGATTGGCCATGAATATCTGGAGCATAGATAGCTTTGCGCACCCAAGGTCTTTGGGCTCCAGCGTAAACTGGTATTTGGTTACATTTGCCCATTGCGGTGAGAAGCGACAGTGCATTGTACGCAGTCTTTTCGGGCGAAGCATTCCCATAAGATGCACTTATCCCAAGAAGTTCAAACTGAGGAAGAAAGCATGAGAGTAGGATGGCCACAGCATCGTCGTGACCAGGGTCGCAATCAAGCCAGATGGGAATACGAGAGCCTAAAGATTTGATGGAGTCTGCAGTCATGGAATAAAAGTAACAGATTCTATCAAGTTGATGGTGCGTTCCTTTAATGGACGTGAATGTTGGAAGTTGCACCAATGAGAGACTAATTTTGAAATTAGATGCACTCAAGTTCTGCCTTAAAGCTTCAACGTAACGGTTTTTTAATGCTTTTTTAACGATTGGTCATTTTGAAAACGATTCTCGAAAAAAGTGTCGGTTTCTTATCTGAATAGGATTGATGCAAAAGCTTGGTGATAAGAAATTTTTGTAAGAGGACGATAGTTGATTAGCGCACATTTATTTAATAGACAGTGCGAAACATGTATGCGAATCTAAGTATGCTGAGTTTCTATGGTTTAATAATTTTACTGCTGCAGTTTTCGTTCTTGATTGAAAAAGTGGAGGGTTAGGGTTACTCTATTAATTACACTTACACATGTTATTATCGTCTCGTTGCTATTAATATATACGGTGGGAAAAGAATGGCAATGGGGCTCTGAAAAGGTAATAATATAGCTGAAAGCAGCTTACCATTAAAAATAAGTCAGCAAATTAAAACGGATCCATGTAGTATGCAAAAGACTTGGTGAAGCTGGTTGCTTTGATCTGTGGCCCAACGGCATGTATGAACCAGTACGTATGTGCTTTCACTTTGTATAAGATCGAGGAATATAGAAGGCGCTCTATTATCTACCAAGTTAAGCGATATAATAGTTAACGTCTCATCTCGTGGAGGAAGCAACTGACTAAAAATACGATTACTTGCTAAACGGTGAAGCTGTGGGGCGTTTTGAAAAGGTCTGTATTGAGTGTCTGGAAATGGGTGCTCGCAACGATAACTCCATTGATACTCACAATTGCTTGTGAATGCTTACTGTTCACATTTGCTGGCAATTTCATGAGATGCGCGATCAAGACATCAAAAGTATCTTATGGAGAGCCATAGTGATCAGGAAAATGGTTACTAGTACGCGTTTCGCCACTTCAATACTGTGTAACTGATCGTTATCGCGCATCAGTCCCACCTCCAGTGCCAGAAGAGTACAAAGTGATAACAGAGGGATAATGCGCTCGCAGTCCCTACTGACCCCCTCTGCACTTGCCACCAGCTGGATTAATTAAGCTGCACCGCCTTTTAAAACCAAATACGCTATTACAAACCTGATGGGAAGTGAATGATAATAGTGCCAAGTTCCATAATAAGTCATTAGCACATAATGATATGAACAAAACTGAAACGTTGAGATGTCGGGTAGTTGTATACTCCGACCAAAAAGGTTTCGCAAGCGGTCTAACCAGTGGTCCACACCTTAGTTTATCAAAGGATAAGGTGACTGATACAAGTGCACCTCAGTCCATCAAGGCCTTTTATTTGCGTCAGTAGTAGTTAGCTTACTAAATTGGTCGTTTTAAGTGGTTCATGGCCTGTCTCATTAGTTCGTTGGGGTCTACTTATCTCTTCATGAGTTTTTTCAGAAGTGAAGATTTAAAGTCTCGACGTAGATAGTAAATTTCCGGTATTCGTACAACTATTTGCATGTCGGGTGATGGCAACGAGTAGTGTTAAAAACCAGATTATTCATTGTATCAGCCCCCACTCCTCGAACGCAAGATACAGAAACAGCCGAATATTGGCACTGCTCGAAATCAACTTTTAGATTTCAGCATCCTCATTCACTATCTAAACGGACATACTGGATTGAATTTCTAATTTTATCACTCTATACTATTCTGTCATAGCTCTTAGTCCACGCTATGATCCTATTCTGATCTACTTCATTATGCAATTGACGCTATATAGCAATAGCACCCGGACCTTGAGAAACCTAGTCCTCATCAATTATGGACTACTTAAACAAGAATACTAACAGATTTTCTATTGCTGAACCAGACTCGCCTCATTAATTGTGGATGGGCTGAACAAGAGTATTAGCATGGTTTCTATTGCTGAATCAGACTCCTCAATACAACCGTGCTCTGTAGCTCTCTTACGCTGGGGTAGACTCGAGCAATCGGAAACTCACCACGTACGCCAATCTTCTTTTTTTCTAAGCGGAATTTACGATTGCATGTCCTCGTCTCTGCCAAGCGTTATCTCGAATTTTCAGTATAGGTCAAATCCCTACGGAAAGTGTGTCAACTAATGACGTTTAAACTTGGTATTATATTATGACTTGTTTTCGAGAAACTCTTCAATAAACTTTTTCAGAGAAACTCTACGAGAAACGCTTTTCGAGAATTAACATTCAGGCATTATTCAGCAGAAGTTTGCATAAGAATACCAGCAGTGCGCCTGTTAGTGTGTGCGCGCTTATTAGATTAATGAGCTATAAGAAGTGTCATAAACTTCAGCAGCCTATTAATAATCGGAAGGTAGCGGTCTACTCGCAGGATAGCACTGAAAGGGCATAAAAGAAAGCTAAATCTTGGCACACAAGTAAATAGCTAGAGGAAGACCAGCTTTAGCATCGAGGTTCAGTCAAAAGAAGATACATAATAAAGCTGGTGCTGGTGCCTTAATAGAAAGTAAGATAGTGGTCGGAAAACCTTTTCCAAAAGAAGCCAGAGTAATAATGTCGACTAGTTCGGATTTGGAAGCTAAACAAGGGAGCACTGATTTGCCAGTAAAAGCGGTAAGCCCACCACCTCAAGATGACTCCAACAACCGAATCACTGTCCCAGACGGTGGATATGGGTGGTTTGTAGTGGTAGCATACTTCTGCTATAATTTCTCACAATGGGGCGCCAACGCTGGTTACGCGGTCTATCTGGCACGCTATCTCGATACCAATCAGTTCGTCGGCGCTGGCAAGCTCGATTACGCCGCCATAGGTGGTCTGGCATTCGGCTCCGGGCTCTTTTTCGGGCCGGGCATCGCATGGCTTGTCCATGTCACCAGCGCTCAAATAGTTATAGCCATTGGGCTCGTTCTGCAATGTGCGTCGCTACTTTTGGCAGCGTTTTCTGTCAAACTGTGGCAGTTATATCTCACTCAAGGTCTTATGATCTCTTTTGGCCTGGCCTCAATTTGCATTCCTAGTATGACGCTTCTTCCCCAATGGTTCCGCAAGAAGCGCAATATCGCTATGGGAATTGGTTCCGGTGGATCTGGACTTGGTGGTATCATCTTCAATCTTGGCATGGAAAAGATCATGGATGAAAAATCCGTCAAATGGGCTCTTATCACTCAGTGTATCATTTGTACGGTACTCAACTGTTTTGCACTATCCCTCACCAGAACGCGTGTTCGTGAAATTCGCGCCAGTAGCACCAAAGAACCTAAGTATCGTGTCTTTGATCAACAAGTTGTTTCTAGTTTGGGTTACTGGCTCATTGTGGCCTACGTCTCCTTCACCATGATGGGTTATGTTGTTCTGCTCTACTCAATGTCGGCTTTTACTGTTTCTCTCGGCTACTCTCAATCTCAAGGTTCCATCGTATCCTGCATGATCAGCGTAGGAGCATTTTTCGGCAGACCAACGATGGGGTTTATTGCAGACATCTATGGGCCTGTAACCATTAGCATCGCGGCGCATTTGATGGTTGCCATTTTTAGCTTAGCTATGTGGATACCATGCCGAAACTTCGCTACTGCCTTAATCTTCTCATTAATTGTGGGACTTTTTATGGGGACTATCTGGTCAGTACTAGCACCGATCGCAACGCGAGTCGTTGGGTTACACAAGATGAGTGTTTGTCTCGGCATGATTTGGATCTTTCTCAGTGCCTGTGGTATTACTGCCCCCATCATTGGTCTTGAACTACGTGATACTAATGCTACGTCGGGAAACGACTACATCAAGACAGCTATATTCACAGGCATGATGTATTTTGGATCGGCTCTTGCGCTGTGGTTTCTCAGGGGCTTACTGGTAGCCAGAGACGAATTGGCCATAGAAGCCCAAACTGGGTTCGATGACGGAGAACTTCATCTAAGAATATCTCCCAAACAATGGGCCGCCGGCTTGTTCAAATTTCGTCAACTACCGAGACTTGTGTAACAATTCATAATTAATGTCATATCTGTTCGGCGGACGCCAGAATATAGTCTATTTAACAGAAATTACACGCCTATTCAGTCGATGGTAAAAAAACATCGTTGCCTTGCTCCATCGCCATCTTGGTGTGGAACACTATGTCCGTGGACTCCCAAGGATAAGCATACCAGGTGTCGGGCACTTGTCTGGCGGCGATGTAACGATGAGGATCGTTAATCATTTCTGCGGGTAGGTCAGCCTTCTTAGGTTTCAATTTGTCATGCAGGACAAAGATACCGAACTTGGTCTTTGACTCCGGGTTCTTGTCTAAATCGATTCCTTTAGCCTTAGCCTGCTCGGCCGCATCTTTCTCCAATTCGCTTAGCGCATAGTGCAGCGTCGTACGCGTGTCGTCCACTTCATCCACGATCAGCACGTTCTTGCCCACAAGATCGAGTTTACATTGCTCGTAATCAATCCACTGGGTTCTGGAAACGCTGACACCTGGCTTCTCTTCTGCAGAGCTAACCGATTTCAAATCTTCGTAAAGCGACAGAATAATGGCGAAGATTCTCACAGTGGGCACGCCAGGTTCTTTCAGAAACGTACGCAAGATTCTAGCAGGAATAAAACCACCGCCACCAATGGCAATGATCAAATCTGGCTGAAACTTTTTGATCTTTTCAGCTGTTTCTTGGCAGAGCTGGTGAACATTGTTGTAACTGATATATTGCTTGTCAGAACTCATTATGAAAGTGCAAGAACTAAACGTGCTATGCTGAGGATTCTGGTGTGCTACGAACCCGGTGATCGACTACTTCCAGATGCCAGCTAGTGCTGTCTTTTTATGTTATCAGATTTTATGTTGTCCTATCTTTTTTATCCATATCTTCAATTTAATTTTTGGATTATATAAAAAATGTTCCGCCCGGTTTTACCGACAAACAATCTCGATACAATGAGCCAGCTTTACCATTTATCAATATTTAATTAATTTACACACTTTTATAAAGTCTCTCTGTAATATGCTAATATGCGGTGGTGATAACCAAATATAAGGATCACTCGACTTCGACATCACTGTACCCTTCCTCGACGTCTGGGTTCATTTCTGTGTCGTCATGGAAATCGTGCTCTTCCGAGTCAAGCTTAGATTTAACTTTTGACCCATGGCCGTTCTGATATTCGTTGTTATCGTCGTCGCTGTCGTCTGAATTTTCATCGCTATCGTCGTAATCAAGTTCTCCATCTTCGATAAGTCCCGCGTCGTCTAGTTCTTCGTTGTATTCTACCTCTTCTTCATCGTCCTCGTCCCCAAAATTCCTGGGTCCATCCCTCAGATATGTTTCTTCACTGGAAATGGCATTTGCGGCGCGATACGCGTCGAGTTGGTTCAAGGAAAATTCAAGACGAGTCTCTAGAGCTTGTAGACGAGGTAGAATCTCGGCCCGCTTGCGGAGAGTCGAGTGTAACGACGCCAAACTTGACATCAAGTTTGGCATGCGAGCTAAATATCCACCGTGAATGATCAAACACCATTTTACCCACACATTCAATGGTCCTTGTCTGTTGGTTTGTCTGGCAATGCGTTCTGCAAGTCTCTCCAGTAGAAGTACGGCGAGCGGAGGTTGCAAACGTCCTATAGTGCCTTTGATAACTTTCTCATCACGGTTATTCAGCACTGTCTCTAGCAAAGAATGATCGTGGGATTGCAAAGCTTGAGATAGTACCACCGTAAGCGTACCAGTTGTGGCACGTTTTTTGGATCTTTTCGACTCCGAATGGTCTCCTCCAATCGACGATGACGCCAACCTGTCAGCAAGTGAAACATTTAAGTCCGCGCCGCTTCTCTCCAATTCTGCAATCGCTTCTTCCACATGCTTGAAATTGTCACCAGATGTTACAGTAGCATTGCCTTCAACATAAGATCTGGCAGCCGCTACATCTTCTCCGTGGAGGGAGCGGTGTGCATGTTTTGAAGTTGCAGCTGGACGAGCTTTTTGTATCGTTTGACTGGCGGATAATTGAGACCATTGGAGTTGATCGAAATATGGAATTGTAGCATTTTCCAACCACGCGTAATTGAGAGTATCGGCCTTCACGAAAACATTGATCGCTGCGACGCGCTTTTCATTTTCTGGTCTTACAATTTTTAAGTGGTGTGCCGATTGCTTGGAGACCACTTTCCGTCTCTTGTTGCTGGTATTTACCAGTGGATCAGGGAAAATCTCGATGCTACCGTCCTCCGTAACGACAGCCACGACCGAGTCCTCGTTATGTGAGACTTGTAAAACGTCGGCTTGTGATACTAGCACCGACTTGGTGCCTCCAGTAGTCAAATCGTAAATATTCAAAAATCTGTCGCTAGTTGCACTGGTCAGAAAACTGGCAGCGTTTAGCATGACTAAATTAGTCACAGCAGAAATGTGGCCAGGGAAGGTCTTCACTACTTCACGAGTCTTTATGCTTATCAATGAAACAGAATGAGACGCTAACAAAATGTGATTCGCATCAACTACACATAGTTTCTGTAAGTTCTCGCAGCCTTCGATCTTGAACTTACTGTGAAGAGTAAAATCGGCCATGTTGAAGCGGTATACAGTGTCACTCTGATCACAGCACCACGCTACTTCGCCTTGGCATTTGAAATCGCGAACGGCATGAACGCCGCCTGTAGAAAGTTTATAAACGATCTGGTTAGCCGCAGGTGCATACAGCCAAATCTCACCGGAACTCAGCCCCAAGGCGACAATTTGGGAGTCATTAGACGAAATGTTGATCCATTCCAGACATGTCACACGCAGTTTGGAGTCCTCCAGGTACAAAAAATTCTCATTCATTAACCCACTGGACTTTGTAGCATTTGTGGGCTCTACAGATACCCGATGTTTGTCCAAAGCAACAGTTACACAAGCCAAGAATTGACCATTCGCATCATAGCGAGATAGAACCACTGGAGACTCTGCCATTGTCTCTTTTGCCGTTTCAACTATTGTACTTGATAGCTCATCGCTTACTTTTCAGAGACGTCTAGAAAATTTTCTACATTGAATTTTAAGACATGAGCGTCAGGAAAACTGTACAGTGATGCGAAATAAAGCGTGCAAGCAGGGAGCGTATGCGTGTGTTATGTAGAAGCCTGAAAGAGCGCAGAATTTCAGACTAATTTAGGAGAGGATTACTGGAGCACAGCAGCGCAGGAAATGTATTTTTGCTGCTGACCCTATTTTTGCTGCTGCGGCTGGGCCGTGATGGAACCGTGGTCTACTTGAAGTTGCAGCGAGCCCGACTGTGTTTTCTCGCGAACAATACTAACCAGACACGTTTTCCACGGCTCATTGAAAGATCGTCTTGTGCATATCATGGCAAGTTTTTACTAAGCAGCTCGATGGACTACACCGCCGCTTTCCACTACCCAGATCCTGAAAATCTACCCAAACACAGGTGGAACAAGAAGGGCACCTAGAGTAAGAGGGCGCATTCATTTTAGGTTAGAACCGTTGTCAACCTCACAAGCTGTGAAACAAACCACATTCGTGACATATGATCTCACTCGGTCGTGGTACAGTGGAAGCCGCAACTTCTGGAAACGCTTACATATATCACAGTTCGCACACAAGCTCCCTCTCTCCTTCTCTCTCTTACTTACACGCTCTCTCTTGAGTATCTAAGGCAATCCACGCGACATCGCTAAAAATATATGATCTACTCTTCATCACCCTGATGGGAGAAATCGTCAAATTATTTTAATTTTTTCTCAACAGCTTGCAGACGAAAAAACATATAAAGGCATCGCCAGGAACCCGCAAGACGCGCTACGTGTGGTAATGCCCTTCGATTGTTATATGGTAATGGAGCTTTTGAAAAGCCTCCAATGAACTGGAAGAGCAGCATTAAGACCTCATTGAAAGTTTAGGGCGCCAAGACCGGCACAGAAAAGATTTACTTCGTGAACGCTCCCCGTAAGCATTATTCGTAATATTAAGTCATAATAACAACAACAAAACAACATGGGCGAACAGGAAGATATATCGCTGCCCAAGGCCACGGTGCAAAAAATCATCTCTGAAGTACTGGAAAGCGACCTTACGTTTAGCAAGGAGGCTAGAGAGATTATAATAGAGTCCGGGATCGAGTTCATCATGATCCTGTCGTCAATGGCTTCGGAAATGGCTGATAAAGAGGCGAAAAAGACCATAGCACCAGACCACGTGATCAAGGCCTTGGAAGAGCTGGAATACCACGAGTTCATTCCGTACCTGGAGCAGATCCTAGTGGAGCACAAGGAGACGCAGCGTATCAAGGAGCGCCGCGACGCCAAATTCAAGAAATCTGGGCTCTCCGAGGAAGAGTTGCTTCGACAGCAAGAAGAGCTGTTCCGCCAGTCGCGGTCACGTTTCCAACAGACGTCGACTAGCGCTGCGGATGGCGAACTAGGGATTTCGGAGGACGCAGCTGGTGAGTCTTCTCCCTCAGAATCCGTTAAGGCTGAGGAGTAATAGGGCCGGAAAAGAGCAAGCAGCAAAAAAAATAATAATAACAAATTAGTAGCCGAAACATAGCTTTATCGGATGTATCATTCAATGTTTTTCTGATATCGGGTGGATATAAAAATATAATGCCTAGATAGCTTGACGAGTTTAATGACATAATGTGCGCATAGTTCGTCTCTTCGTCTCTTCGTCACTTCATCTTCGCCTGGATTGGCGAGTTTGAGAATGCATTTGACATGGTCTCAATTCTGTCCTACAAATTCCAATATCGTTTGCAAAGTGTCCACTTTGTCCTCCGATAGAGATCCCATAATCTGTTGGTACAGTCCTGGATTTGTGCTCTGCAGTTGAGCGAAAAGCGCATGCACCTGTTGAAAGCAGTTGACCTCATCTAAACAAGACTCTTTGAAGTCGTCTTCCACTTCGTCGAAAAATTCGGTTCCATCGTCATGGTACGCGCTTTCGCCAAGTTCACCTCTGGACAAGGCATCTCTTTTCCTTATGGCCTCCGGCAGTGAAGCTGTCAATGTTATTAATTTGTCTGATAGCTGTGGTACGAACCCGTTGATGCAGCTTGGCAATTCCGGTAGCCCTAGCAGTGAAATGATTGCTACCAACTGAAGCTTGATGGTGAGGACACTACTGAATTTGCACGAGAACCATTTGCGTAGCATTTCCAGGGTCGCTCCTTTCTGTTCGCAGATTTGTAAAGTCTCTACAGGCCTAGTGAAGAGACCCGCCAAGAAAATCTTCACGTATGAAGATTCATCCACGTCCAAGTCTGCGTCATCATCACCTGCGAGTTTCAAAACTTTTTCAAATAAAGGATTCTCTTTCATTGACAACACGTAAAACAGCAAAATGTCTAATGCGCTCTCAACATCGAAATCAACACCACTCTCCATGGCATGGGAAAGAACCTCAAGAAATGGCGGAGCAAACGTCTGATCAGCTGGGAAACCATACGTTACTATTGTCTCAAAGAAAACCTGGAAACTTTCAAAGTACTCCAGAGCATAAGTTTGGCAGGAATCGAGTACATCGTGAAGCATTTCCCAAATTTCTGGGGTGAATTTATCATACATTGCCTTGGAGGATAACGCAAGCGAGTCCATCAAATCGACAGCTTCACTCAGAAACGTTATTTGAGCGTTCACTATGATAAATTTGACCACTGGCATGAATTTGTCAATTAGCGAAACTTTGTTCATGGACATCACCATGGTAGTCATGGTTTGTAGCAATGCACTTGCTTGAATTTCCTGGTCTTGGTCTGCGGTGGAATAGTTGCCACTGGAACTTTCCACAATTGACTGTCCTAGAACGACAAATTGCTCAGCCAAGTTGGCAGCAAGATCTTGAGCAAAAGGAGTCAGTTCATCGGCGAACCTCTCAACAAAAGATTCCATGACCTCTGACAAAATGTCAATTTCAAATTCTTTAGACAATTTCAAAAGCTTTTCCATGATACCTGGTACTTGCGCAGAAATGTGAGGATGAATAGCGGGATTAGAAACAATCAAAGTCTTAAGCGCATCTGCAGCCTCAACTTGTATAGGGAGATGTTCGGAGTTTAGAAAATTCATGTAAACTGCCTCATATATCTGAGACAGCACGCTCATGTTCGAGAATGCCTGCTGATGGATTGAAATCGTTTCCAAAGCTCTTGCTATCAGGAAGGGGTACTTGCTTTGCTTTAATAAGGGCGTGACAAAATGTTCAAAAATGATTTCCAGCTCATTTTTAACTGGGGAATCTTTCTCGGCCAAGAAACTGCACAACGAGCTTAGAAGTCTTAATGCCCCTTCTTCTTGGTAGGCACTGGCTAGGTCGCCTCTGGAGGCAAAATCATTAAACACTTTGTTAATGAGAGGAAGAATCTTGCTTACTTCCTCAAACCGTCTGTGACCTACCACGAATATAAAGTCTGTAGAAGCCACGTCCGCGGTTGTTCCTTCTTTATTAACATCAAAATAACGTCTTGTGTATTCTTCTGGATCGTCTTCAAAAAGGCTAACACTTTCCTCGCTGGCTGACAGACATGGGAAAACCACATATGTGATGATTGATTCCAAGTTCGGTTGGATTAGTGACCAAAGGGAGTCAGTTGTCATACACTTCTCTAAAAATTCAATCATGTAGTATAGCGAGGCATCGCTTAGCCACAGCGACCCCGAGCCCCAGGATTCAATAGTTTTGAAGTACTCGTTCAGAATCAAGGGAACTACTTGATCAAAAACGTAGTTAACATAATCCTGAGTGATGCTTTTAGTCGATCTGCTGTACTTGATCAAAAACCTGGAAAGATTGCCAAACGCCCACTTGTTACACTTAACTCTCTTATCAAGAGATCTGTCGGCTGGCTCGAGATTCAATACCTCCTGTGGCAAAGACTTGGAACACAAGAAAAGATGTAGCTGGATCCACGACTGCAATTTTTCAACATTATTGAAGTAACGCGGGAAGTTGTTAAGACAAGAGTACTTGAAACATTTAAGAATCAAATACAAAAGCTCGTTGGATCTATAGTCGTTTTCGTTAACGAGTTGCGCTGCAATAGTCTCGACGCAGGGAAAAACTGTTTCCACTAGACTATCGATGTACTGTCTATTCTCAGGCATGTCCCAGCGATGCTTGATGCAAACTTCAAAGAGCAGGAGAAGCCCCGGATATACATATTCTGGTTTGTTGCTCGACAGCAGTTCATGGATGATCCCGCTAAGGTCCCACGTATCGTTGTTATCGAGAATCCCGCGAACAGACTCTGTCAGATAGGGTTTGATCTGCATGTTCTCCGCGTTTGCAATCAAGCTTTGGATCAATGTCTCTCTAATAGCGCTTTGTTCCTGAGGCACGATTGCATCGTCCCTTTTGCTCACCCAGCATCGCTGGATCTTGTTCTTCATGTATATGGCACAAGAGGTGCGCACATTTAGTGGAATTGCCGTGTCTGTAGCGGCATTCAACAGAAACGAAGTGAAACCTGGTTCTTTCTGCATGTGGTATAACTCCTGTTCTGCGTTTTTGATAACGACAGCGTCCGCTGCCATTGTGCGGCTGAAAGCCTCTAATATAGCGTTTTGATCTAGCATTATATCACGCTTCACTAATATGAGCTATCAAGAAGATCTTAGAAGATATCAATGCTGACCTTCAGCTAAGACTCGTTGAATACCTGTTTTTAATTTCCAATATCTTTGCAAGGGCGGTTCAAAAATTTTTCTCTAATGTAAAAACTTGGTAATGAGCGCTTAAAGGGCATATTCACGTACACGTGATGAATAATTGGTCTCTTTAAGATATTATCTGGAGAAGACGTTAAAACACTACAGGCGCAACGTTGGGTGGAAAGGCAATTAATCGTGCACTCTGTCTCCGCACCCCATCTGCGATGAATTTGAAAGCAGTGCATATTCTGGGCTATCTTGCGGGTCTCTTTTTTGCGCTGGAACCTTCCTATATTCATCCAGACGAGCATTTTCAAAGTCTCGAGATTTTGGCGCAGCACTTTTTTGGCACAGGTCGAACAATTCCTTGGGAGTTTCTGCCTGAAAATGCTGCTAGAAGTTTCGGACCCTTGTACCTGACTTACGGGCCGCTTTTCTACCTGTACAGGGAATTTGGCGGTAAACAATCTGGTCTTACTCTGCTATACCTTGTGCGCTTGCAAAACTACCTGATGTTCACATGCATTTATAAGCTAGCACTACAGTTCCTGCTGCGATCCAAACTAGATCGGGCCAAGGCTAGTTTTTACATCTCCACATCGTACATCGGCTGGACTTACCAAACACATTCGTTTTCAAATTCGCTTGAAACCTGCGCTTTACTTGTAGTCCTGTCTCTGTTTCAAGCTTTAATTCAAGATTCTAGAGAGCAGAAATATACCCACTACAGGACGTGCGCGATCCTGGGCTTTGCCATTGCCTTTGGTGTATTCAACAGAGTAACTTTCCTTGGGTTCATCGCACTACCATGCATTCCTACATTCACCAATTTTTATGCAAAGCATGTGAAGTCATTTGTCGTCTTGATTATTGCATTCGCATTGTCCTGTACTGCTTTTATCTACCTCGATACCCAGCTATACAAGACTTCGCACTGGTGCATCGCACCCCTCAATAATCTGAGGTACAATTTAAAGACCTCGAATTTAGTTGTCCACGGGCTCCATCCTCGTTATACTCATCTTCTGATAAATTTGCCACAAATTTTAGGTCCACTTCTCGTGTATTTCACATCCCGCCGGCAGAGAATTAACCTAACATCTCTGTCATGCATCTCTGGTCTCCTGTTTCTTTCAGCCTTTCAGCATCAAGAACTAAGATTTTTGATTCCTCTTATGCCATTACTATGTGCCTCCATCGAACTTTCAAATTTAGACACAGTTATTCCTACCAGATATGTCACCGGTGCTTGGATTATCTTTAACATAATATTTGCCACTATTATGGGATCTCTCCATCAAAGGGGTGTCTTGACTGCTATCCAAGAGATGACTAAAAACGATACACAAATTGGTGTGCACTTCTGGTGGAGATCCTACTCTCCTCCAACGTGGCTTTACTTCAACAAGGATCTGGTCGTTTCAACTACAAATATAGTCAATCAGGAGGAAAGGGTAGACAATATAGACTTTGACATAACCAAGGATCATGTCATTGATCTCAAGGGTTGTGATTACAAACTTTTCGAAACTACAGCGCAGAAGTTTTTGAATCAAGGCAGTGGCATCCGTGTAATCATCCCGAAGTCTTCGGGTAAACTTGTAAACAGATTCAAAGAATCTCACTCAAATTTGCGGGTTCAAAACATTTGGGAAACTTACTTTAGTCTGGATTTGGACCACATTGATTTTGCGGACATATCGACGTTGACACCCGGGATAACAATTTATGAAATAAATGTTTTGTAAGGCAGAAAATTCGCTATATTCGTAATGCTTAGGATGATATATTGTACAAAATATGAGCAAGCCTCTGCTTTTTCTCGTTTTGCCCGTTTATTTATAAAACTCAAATTTGTCGACATCGCTGCTAGACTTTACTTGGGCAGCATAAGCTTCCTCTAAATCGCTCTGCAGGATGACGTATCTGTTTTTTCTGACGGCACGTAAGCCTGCTTCTTGCATAATGGCTGCAATGAGAGCACCTGAGAGCGGGTCATTCCTTATAATCAGAGAGTCCAAATCGACTTCTGGTGCCAGCGCCATTTTGGCCGCAACGGTACCAAAAATTAAACGACGTTCACGTCTATCTCTTAGCGATGGGAATTCTATTTTTCTGTCCAGTCTACCAGGTCTCAAAAGAGCTGGGTCTAAAGTGTCTGCTCTATTAGTTGCCATGATTACTTTGACATTCACACTTTGGTCAAACCCGTCCATTTGTGTTAGTAATTCAATTAGAATACGCTGCACCTCACGGTCCGATCCAGTTTGTGCATCAAAACGTTTGGTGGCAATGGAGTCTACTTCGTCGATGAAAATAATCGATGGAGCATTTTCTCTTGCCAGTCTAAAAACGTCCCTCACCATTCTTGGACCTTCACCAAGATATTTGTGAACAAACTCGGACCCATTTACTCTAATGAAAGCGGCATTCGTGCTGTTAGCCACAGCCTTGACCAACATAGTTTTACCGGTACCAGGTGGTCCATAGAGAAGTACACCTCTGGGTGGATCGATACCAATCTGTCGATAGAGGTCTGCTTGGACCAGAGGTAGCTCGACCGCCTCTCTAATTTCTTGCTTTTGCATATCTAGACCACCAACATCTGCATATGTAACGTCAGGCTTTTCATTAGCGCTCATGATAGATATGCTAGAGTCCGAGTCTGGTGGCAAAATGTCAACCAGAGCATTAGAATGACGATGCAAAGCAACCGATGTGGATGGTTTTAGCAATTCACGATCTAGTGTGGATAATATCTTCACGACGTAACTCATGCCCGTCGTACTCGATACAATACCAGTGTTTTCGTCAATTGGTTCCAAGAACTGCCCAATCACCAAAGGCACAGACTGGATACGTTTAACTTCTTCCTGAGCTCTTAAAAGTTCACGCTTCAAATGGCGCTGTTCGTCCTTGATATAGTCCTCTTGCAAATTCAAGAGCTCCAGCTCCTTTTCCAGCTTCTTGAGTCTTAAATAGTGGTCGGAGTTCCCGTTGATTGTGGTGTTATTGTTACTGTTCAATTGTGCCATTAATGAGCCGTAAGATCCAATCGCTACACTTTCGTTGTGGCCCACAACGGGCGTGCTCAGAATGCCCACCTCTTCCATTTGTAAACTGGTGATTTTCGACTCTAAGACCCTGCAAATATACAGTGAATACCGATTTTGATATTTGAAGGGCTTACCTTATTGGATTGATTAAGGACTTCTTTGATTTTGCCACCGAACCTACAAATAGCATTATTTACGAGTATATTCAATATGTCGTCAATTAATCAATATGTTCAGAAATCGAGCATAAAGCTCGATTAGTAGCTGAGTTTCCAGACGAGCTGAAACGCTACAAGCCGTTTCTCCAGGCTCATTAATTTCAAATATTAAAATTCCAATTGTTTTTTTCGAAGTGTAATATTTCGGTGATTTTGTCAACGTACATTGGCGCGCTTTTTAAATATATATGATTAACCTGGGGAGTCCATGAAAAGGTTTGGACGATGTCTTTGAGCAGCTCAATACATCGTGTCAAGCTTGTAAATACTTATGTGCTGCGAGTAACAATCTTGCTGTCGTTGTCTGCTTATCGCTCTCCTAATTCTGTGGCAAACAACTTACGGCTAGATGATTTAACGAAAGGCCACAGGCTTAAACCCTACCATATGCTCATTTTGATTCCAATATCGAACTTCATTATTTAGAGGAGCTTGACTGTGACTGCGAGCAAAAAGAACGTTTTCCATTAACGACAGTATATTACAACATGATTTTTCGAAGCCTGTATGGGACTTCTCACAATAATCATGAACTTCTTCCTCTTCGCGGTCATTCTAATAAATAAACATTATGATTTTTCGAGCTGAGCTCTCAATCTAATGTTCGGAAAACGCAATATTGATCGTCATTGTTTTCGATGTTCAATACTTAAAATTATTATACTGGAGACATGTAACAGAGCGGCTATCAATATAGCTCCCATTGCTCCCTATTGCGTCTGTATTAACTAAGGATAGAATTAAATGTTAAATCACTTTTAATGCGTACGTAGAAGTGGTCCGATACGCAGTTCTCCGTTCCCAAGAGAGCTTTAGACGGTATCGGACAGATTACTGAGCTTCTAAGTACGTTCCTCTTCTGCACAAGATGTAGAAATGTATAGTTGGCGATTTTTCACAAGAAACACTCTGTTACATCTTCAAATTGCTGCAAATTAAAGCGATATATCTCAATAATAACGTAAGTGTAACATGTTACATAATTGCTTCATTCAACAGGACTATTTGCACTCGACTATCGACTGAAGTCCTCCGTACATGCCAGTCGCAAATTTACGTACATTAGTGTTGCTCCGCTTTGTTTGTTTTTATTAATATCAGCACTGGGATAAATAGTCTTTTCACCGATATTCATAATGGATACAGTATACAATACAAGTTGAGAGGAGGAAACAGCTTTCTATGCCTGCCAGTACCTACAATCGACAAAGAAGTTTTGATCGTGAGTACTGGATATAGTACTATTTCTTTGTGTGCCACCGATCATTGAATCTAAAGAGACGCATCACAGTAATGCAGAAGTGGCGTAGCCTATTGATGCGAACAACATGCCGTACACATAGAGTTCGACAGTCGTAAATGCAGATGTAGCATCAAGCTGCTTTTTTGGAATTTGATAAAGTTTTTTCACGAAATTTTGAGTCCAGATTGACAGATTTGCCAATTGACGAGCAATTATATGCGGCAGATAGGGCCAGTATTTTTCGAGTGACCTTAAGTCTGATTGCCCTTGAAAAATGGTTTCATTTTGCTGTGGTGACTTATCTGGAGTAATAGTTTCAGTCATTGCAAATTGTTTGCCTTGATACGCGTTCTTATCGAGGCTAGTAGAAATGTAGTCAGACATTTCGGTCAAGCGTGTGCTTTGCAAAGTTGCTTGCTCATCAAGTGCTAGTTTAACTTTGTCTTCAAAACTTCCAACAAGCCTACGCCGCTTCCAAGGCTCTAACAGTAATTGAAACACCAAAAAGAGTAAAATATTCATACCCATAAGTATGAAGGTTCCCCAGGTTGAGGTTCTCCGAATCTTGTCGGACCATATCTGCTCTTCGTGATAACGTGTTAATATTGCTCGATACAAGCTGTCAGAGAGTTCCTCTTCTCGAGCTTCGACTTCTTGTAAACGATTCTTAGCCTCTTCTTCGCGCTTTGAATTGAGGCTGTCGTCTTTATACAAAAGTGTAAACCGCTCAAGATCTTGTGGAGACCAAGAGTTCTTTCGTTGCAGTAATTCGCTAACTTCGCTCTGAGATTTGGCGCGAACTTCGATTGCCGCATTGTACAGCAATTTGGAGTTTCTCACATCCAGTTTAGTAGTTTCTAATTGTCTTTCCATAAGCTCGATACTTTTCCGTAATTTCTGGATACTAGAATAACCAGTAACGTCATTTAAGGCCCTAGTGGCCGTAAATATTGTCTCTTGCAAAGAGTCGAAATAAAACTCCAGTTTCTTGGCCCATCTGGTTCTTGATCGTTCTCTTTCAGACGGAAGGCCCTCGATTCTTCCCTTAGTCTCCACATCTGTATCGAAGCCCAGTCTATTATCCTTTTCCTTTTGCTCGGCTGCCAGAAGTTTTTGATTAGCTTCCTGAATGGCTAGCTTGGCTTTATCTGCATGCTTCTTGACTTGGGATGAGAAATGTTTGAGTTGTTTAGTAGAAATGGCCCACTTTTGGCGTATTGTGGATAAGTACGGATTTAGCGATTCTGCTTTCGTGTTGTCCATGATAGGGTTAGGTCGCGGTTTATCATTGTCTTTCAAGTTACTATACAAACGGATTCCTAGTGCTTTAGGAGCTTTTACTCGACACCGGACCAGCAAACATGGGCGAAGGAACATCTACCCGAGCGTTGTCTTTATACTTTTTATCTCGATAATCTGGATTCAATAAGGTCATCGCACTTCTGAAAAACTCACAACTTAAACTTCCAACGCTGGCGGAACAACGCTATGGCAGGGTTCTCGGTGAGTTTGAAGGGCCAAAAAGTTGGGAAAAAGGGCATTACAGGAGAGAAGAAGAGGAAAAGGGCTAATGTTTTCAATGAATCTGATTTGAACGATCCCAAGAAGTCGAAGATACGATTAACCCATGTTGATGAATATAAGAAAGCTGAGGAACAAGAGCTTGTTATAAAGCCTGTGGCCGATTTGACAGCTGTTCAAAGGCCTGATAATACTGGGATGGGCCCCAAAAGTGATTTAAAGTTTGGCTTCAATGCCGGAAAGGAAAGCAACCCGACCGAAGGATCTCGAATTTCAAATTCAATAAATGGCCCACAGAATAGCTCAAACTTGCTCGAAGACACACAACAAGAGGATTACGATAACGTCCCTATTGAAAAGTTTGGAGACGCATTGCTTAGAGGTATGGGATGGGACGGAAAAGCCGAACATGATAAAATCTCGAAGTCGAGCTCTGCTAAAGCGCATAACAAATTACGTCCGTCACTCTTAGGTTTGGGTGCTAAGGCTGTCAGGAGCACTCAAGCAGAAGAGAAAGTGAAGCCTGCTCTTTTTTTACCCGTAATAAAAGTACCGAAAAAAGGTAGTGACCTATAAAGACAACCTTCTGTTTTCCAAACCAACATCTAATTAGCATTAAAAATCATTCATTAATTTCATTACATCTTAAGTTACGCGATTCACAAAAACCTTAAACCATCGCTCCCAGTCCCAAGATCATCAGCTGCGAAGCAACCGTGGTGCCCCATACTTTGATCCAATCACTTTTTTTTTTGTGCTCCCACTCTTCAACCATTCTCATTAGATCCACATATATCTCCATGCTCAGAGTATCATAAATTCCTGTTTCTCTAAAAAGTGCCAATCCTTTTAAGTCTTCAACGTTTTTTACAATCCTTGATCTCAGCACTATTTCATTATTATTGTGCTTAGGTTGATCGTGGTATTTTATAATTTCTTGGCCTGAGCGATCGGAATCTTCAAATTCCGGCCACTTCACGTTAGATGGAATGACTGTAGTATCGGGGTAGGATCTGTTTTTCTTAATGGCAACGTTGGAAATATTATTCCACGTTGCGTTCGAATTTTGTATATTCATAAAAGAATGAAATAGCCCTCTTTGAGTGTTAACAAAAGCTATCAAGGGTCTCAATTCCTCTAATGTGGCGATTGCATCACCATTGGCCAATTTGGGCTCTTCTAATGGATATCGTGCCATTAGATCTTTGAATTTGAACTTGAGGTCTAGGACAATATATTTGTTTTCGTCTTCCGCGTTCGAATCCTCATTTTCAGGAATTTCGGGCAACATCAAATCTGCGATTATTTCAACTTGGCCATCTTCCACCCAGCTGAAAGCGTTGCTCTTGTCAAGACCTAAATCTTTAATACATATCTCATCCAACCTCAATCGTGTGATTCGTTTCCAAGGAGATAAGTCATGTTCGAAATCTTGCAAGTATGCTAGTTTGTGCTGCCTTTTGTGTATGCTGAATAGCGAATGATTGAGAGCGCCGGTCACGACGTTAGCATTGAAAAAATCTATCAACATCCACTTGAATCTAAGCTGAGGCAAGTCCATGTTGTATAGTGAAATTCGGTATTGTTGATTCAGGCTCTGGTCCTGAACGTTGATGCATGAATCTCGAATTTTGACACGGCTCAAATGGTAGCGTTGATTTGAGAACCAAGCAACTAGTTTTTTGTGATTTTGGTCTCTAGCTAGTGTGACATCTCCCTTCATCCCATAAACAGCTAGATCGTTTATGAGTCCGTGGCCGCGAAACCACTTGGTGAAGGACAGCGTTATATCTATCTGATTGAATTTTAGGGTAAAATCAATATCAGGAGGAGATTGAATCTCCGTGTCGCTGGTTACCTTACTTTCGGTGCTTCTCAACTCGACTTGCTTGAAGCTAATGCAACCACGCTTCCACTCCGGTACTAAGGCGTCTTGAAAACGAACATCAACTCCGTCAATATAGCCATTGAGTAGACGCCCAACTACTTGTCCGACCATTTCCTTAGCGAAAACAGTATTGAAAGTAAACAGAACCAAAGACACAAAGGTAGTTGTGCCCAGGACAATCCACAAGATCTGTGAAATTACTAACCATGAGAACAACGTGCTGAGTTCGTCTGTACTAAATGGACGATTGCCGCGAATCAACACCCATTTGGTTTTGATCTTGAATCGCTCGTAGAAATTTGTAGCTTCCGAGAGCAGTTTTTGTTTGCTTAGCCGTTGTTGGTTCTTCTGCAAAAGAATATTTTGCGTATGTAGAAAGTCTGTGTTCTTGGATAGCTCTTCCAACTGTTGTTTGGGTTTCCACAGTACACGGCAGTAGCTCAAATGAGCTTGTGTGGATCCCACAGTTCTCTGCGAGATGCTGTTAAATTTATATGCACTATAGGGCGGCCGGTTGCGAACTACAAAGGATGGCTTCGACCAAAGGCGCAGGCCACCTTTAAACATGGATAGGCGAGAGGACTGCTTTACAGATCAATCAAGCAAGTTGTTACTCAGTTTTCCTGATTTTTCCTGTTCTTTGCGAGAAGAGTTTGTTCTGCTCTCGTTCTTTATGTAGTACAATTTTTAAATTTTGACATTGAGCAAAAGCGACTCTCTCTCTGGTCGACTACAGTTTAGGCTGAAGGAATGAGTAGAGGGCGTGAGTTTGGCGGGTGACTATTAGAATTATTCTCTTTGGGACCCACCTATGAACAGGAAACCTTTCAAGACACTCGGAAAAAGGGTTGAACCAACGGCCAGTGATTCATCTATCGGATAAAGTAATCATTGTCTTTAGGGTTCGATGATTTTCAGATACTCACATCAATCCTTTCACTTATAGAAACACTAGCAGGCTAAATTAAGAAATTCCTTATTTGAATCTTCATTGGATAAGTGCTCAATTTGTGTTTGCTGAACTTTATTCTTGAGCTAAAACTTTGCTCTTTTGAAAAACACCTAAACAATGTAATTTTGTCGAAATCCATGCCGCATTAGGATAGCACGAAGTGATATATATTTAGTAACTTTTGAAGCATTTGCTCCACTTGTAACGAGGTGATACCGTGCGCTATTGGCTCTTATATCAAAACAGCCACAATCACTTCGTTTGCATTGTTAGATCACACGGGCGCTTTCGGCTGTCCGAGAAATACATATACCGGTGATGCTTACATATAGTAAGATCGTATTCTATTTCAGATAAATCAGAGAGAAATGTAACCCGCCAACACTCACTTATTACTAAGAACTATTTGATGTGTTCATTGAAAACATTACTGGCGACCTCAAAGACTTGAACCTGGTCGATAGGGACCAATTTTGATATATTTACAGTTTATTGTCGCTGATAATATACCGCTGGCAAACCTGCAATGTATTCATACTCGCAACAATCTGTATTCACCACTGGTAATCTTGTATATTGCTGATATGATAAGTTTATGCAAAGGAACAAAAGCTATATTCAAGAGGCAATACGCTAGAATACTAAAGTCTTTTCTTTGCGCTAGAAATAAAATAAGGCAAATCTAAATGTAGACTATTCACACTGTTACCGACAACAACAAGATGTCTTCAAACGACGTCTTCTACTCGGATATCTGCCGTCTTTTGATTTCCGTCATAAATGACTAGCTGTCCTTCAATTTGGTTTTTGGAAAAATTTTAGCAGTGCGATGAGCTGCAACACAAGCGATGAGCTTGAGAATAAAGCACAATACATTTTGATAAACTACTGTATCAATTGAAAATGGTAGCACCTACCGCTCTCAAACAAGCTGCAGATGGCCTTGTTGGATCTGGGGACCAATCCGCCGGAGTTTCGCGTGTTTTTGGGGGAGATGCGACGCACAAAAGTAGAACTGAAGACGATGACGATGACGACGTGTTGGTAGAGGATGTGAAGATGGATGTGTCAGAAGTTCCGGAAGAGCAAAAAGACGGAGATGTTGTGAAAAAACCAAGAGGAGTAGTGCTGGACGAACAAGGTAAGCCAAGATTTGCGGCTGCCGCCCAGGCTGGCGAAACTAAAGTGAAGCTTGAGTCGCGAAAGGTACCAGTGCCTCCTCACCGGATGACACCATTGAGAAACAACTGGACCAAAATATACCCACCATTGGTCGATCATCTAAAGCTTCAAGTCCGTATGAACCTCAAAACCAAAACAGTGGAACTCAGAACACACCCTAAACACACCACCGACCCTGGTGCCCTGCAGAAAGGTGCAGACTTTATCAAAGCATTCACAATGGGCTTTGATCTTGATGATGCCATTGCCCTGCTGAGACTCGACGATTTGTACATTGAGACTTTCGAGGTCAAGGATGTCAAAACTCTTAACGGCGATCATTTGTCCCGTGCTATTGGTAGAATTGCTGGTAAAGACGGTAAAACAAAATTTGCCATTGAAAATGCCACGCGTACGCGAATTGTGCTCGCTGACTCGAAAATCCACATTTTGGGAGGTTTTACACACATCCGCATGGCGCGTGAATCGGTAGTCAGTTTGATCCTAGGTTCTCCTCCCGGAAAAGTCTACGGAAATCTACGTACCGTTGCATCGAGATTAAAGGAACGTTACTAGAAATACACACTCGTACAGTTACAATATGTATATTAGCTATTGAAGTATCATCAACTTGGGAGAGAAACCATAAGATCGTCACGTGAACCTCGCGGTATTGAAAGCTGTTAATGTCAAGCCCAATTATTTCTACAAATTTATGAATAAGTCGCGTTTGACAATAAAGAGGAGCCAATCGTCGAGGTTCTGAATAATATTTTTGAGTCTAGCTCCTTCTTCAAGATAATGACATCTCCTACTTCCAAGAAGACTGTACGATTGGCCTCATTGCTCAATGGTTCACAATCACGAAAGGAGGAAAACGCTCAGAAGATTCAGCCGGACGTTTCTGCGGACGATTTTTTAGACAGTATAGAAGAGACCACCATTATAGACTCTGATCACCATTGGATCACGAGCGGTTCGTCACCTTTGAAAATGGTTTCAGAGGACAATTCAGTCAACTATCAAAATACGAAGAGCAGTGATTGTGAAATTGTGCAAGAAGTACAAGTTCCCAAAGTGTCACTAAAGCAGCTTTTGACAGGCAACGTCAACTCCAGCAAAGCCAAAAAGTCTGCTAGTGATGTGGCCTCTGAAGAAATAGAGGTTGTACACGCCAACGACCCTGAGAAGAATCGGGAAACACACGATCGAATCATGTCAGCGTTAGGCAGTGCCAAGAAAACCTCGGTCAAGGACCTATTTAACAATTTTCAGAAGCGACCACGATATGTAGAAGAGCGCGGGCCGGGCTCGGATAACGAGGTGGGTGAACTTGTGAAGCGAATGCATGAAGTCTCCACGCTTGAGGTACTAGAAACCCCTTTGCCGCACATCCAGAGCATCACAGATTCAGAGGATAAGGTGCTGCATCGACACTTGGGCCTAAAAAGAAAAACAACACGTTCAACTCCAAGACTGAACTTTCCTCCAGATCAATATCGTTCCCTTACCCAATTGACGCAAGAACCACAAAGCAAAACAGTGATATTACAACAAAATAACAAGACAGTAAATGACACAATTTGGACCAATGAATTCGAACCGGAGAAGCCTGAAAACGTCATTTTGGAGGATGGCCTTAAACGCCAGGTAGAATCGTGGTTCGCAAAAGCTTTTGAAAAACTGCGAAGAAGGACCACCAGGGAAAAGCTACTCAAAAAAAAGGTAGATTCTGGAGAAATGGATTGGTTTGTTGTCGATGACGAGATTGACGACACAAAGGATCAATTGGAAGAATTTGTTCCTCTGATGATTTTGTTTGGCGAAGCAGTGGGGAAAAATACACTCGTGAAGACCATAATGAATGGCTTGTGTGGTCAAATTTTCGAGATCAATAGTTCGGGAAACAGAAGTAAGAAAGATTTCATAGACAGCGTTTTGGATTTTTCCACAACACACTACGTCAAGGACAAGGGATCTAAAGGTATAATTTTGTTTGATGATGCAGATGTATTATTTCGAGAGCGTGATAAGTTGTTTTGGATCACCGTAGAGAGGCTTTTAGTGACATCACGAAGGCCAGTGGTTTTGATATGCCGAGATATTAACTTTATTCCTTTCAACATCATCCAAGTGGCGGAGGAGGAAAATTCGCTTTTTCATGCCCAATGTATCGATATACCCAAGGCGGTGTCGCAATTAGAAAACTTCCTTGAGTCTAAAAAAGTAAACTTTGTTCCTGGGATGGTTAGTAAATTGTTAAAAGATAATGATAACGACGTAAGAAAGTGCCTACTAGCATTACAGTGGAGATCAGTCAATAACAACGAGCCATCGGGAAATCGACCAACAGTTTCACGTAAATTTCAGACTGAAGCAAACTTACAGACAATGGCGTTCGGTACAGGACTCTTATCCGCGGCAGACATAGTCCACAATAGCATCAGATGGAAATCAAGTATCCGGCAGGACAAAGACCACACCTTCAATTACGTGTTTCACTCGAAGGAGTTCACGGCACTTTCTGATGAACAAAGACTTGCATTCGACTATATGGTCGACTATAAACAACATTTGCATGACTGCCTAAAAACCCCACGGTTGCAATTTGAAACGAGTGTAGCTCATTATCTGATGAGCACAATATGTGACGCACACTCCCAAGTGGACAATGATGTGAAGCCATATGTTGAGAAGGCTACTCAAGAAACAGCAAATTATCTAAGCAGCCGCGTGCCAGATAAAATCTCTCTTAACAGCGACCAATATGCATCAGCCCGCATGACTAGAAACTCTCGTAAGGTGAAAGAAATCTTGGATCGATTTTCGAAAAACAACGTCGAAGATTTGTCACCCTTTGACGAAGTTTTCATGTGTCTAACCTCGGTCATGACAAGGCACCAAATAACCCAAGAAGTTATTCCTTTCGTTTGTGAGGTGGCCAAGCATGATAGACTGCTGAAAAAGAGAAACAAACAAATTTTTGAAAATGCAATGAATGACGCTGATCCAGGGAGTGGCAGTGATGTAGTAAAAACACTACTACAAAATCATGCTTTTCACCCAATATGGTTTAATGGCGAACCTGATTTTCTACTAAACGCGTGGGGGTGCCATATGGACATTAGTCAAAGTAATGAATGATGAGATTTTTCTATTAGTACACCCGCTTTTTATAATTTTACATAATTGCAGGCCGTGAACTTAGCCGCCCGCCCTTGAAGTTTGTGAGGGCGCGGTGCCTCATATCGATTGCTTGCAGTGCTCGCCACGCTTCTTCGACATGCTTTGGTTTTAAAGGGTTTACTACATTATCGGGACCATCGAATAACCTCTTTTTGCGTTCTCGCGTGGTATCAATTACGAAGTCGGGCTGTGATTTTTGGGACTTGTCTTTCTTTGTTTGCAAGAGTTCTTCTCGTTTCTTAAATTTCAACGCTTTCTCGGTTAAGGCACATACAATCTCGAACGTAAGAAACCCCAGAATGTCGATGACATCGTCGTGGGGTTTACCCTCGGTAAGCTGTGTGATCCCCGACCAATCTTTGAATCGCTTTCCCTTCCTGAAGGTGAAACTGGCTTGACGGCAATCTGACCAATGCACGTATTCTTCTTTGGTCATATCTCTAGTCCTATCGTCGGCCATTTTAAGTCTTTTAAGCGTAGCAACGTTAGCTTCCCGTTCGTCTTCGTCCAAATCGTCAGCATCTTCATTTGTCTCCAAAGGCTGCTCATTAAACATGAACTGCAGCTCCCAGGGCAGCTTTATTTGAGATTTCTTGACCCTCATCATATTGCCGCCGTCTTTATCGCCCTTCTTTTCCTCTTCTTCAAGTGCAGCATCTGCGCCGTCTCCACCGCCGCCAGCATTGCCTGCTGCTGCCGCATTTGCATCTTGATCCTTCGCGTTTTTGCGGAGGTCTTTCCAAGACAAATAGGTTCGAAGCCTATTTACTTTGGCTCTGTCATGGCGGATCAAAAAGATCACGTCCTCGGGGAGGATACTTTTGCTTCCCCTGATGTATGCTGTCTTATTTGATTGCAACAATATTTCAGAAACTTGGCCACGAACTATGTCTTCTATGAGACATGTGGTCTCTACAGGTGGATCGTTGTTCTCCCCTGAGACAAACATCATTTGCTGAATTTCTACGCGGTACTTGTATTTATCCATTTTCCGTCGAGATGTAGTTGTAAAAGAACCCTATAATGCTTGACTAGAGACGAAATCCAATCGTTGCTGATGTTGGGCTCTATCCTGTCCAATCCCACCACAGAATCCGCTTTGTTCCTTAAACCCTCCTCAAATTGTCTTCAATTCAGGCTTCCCAACTATTCAGACTTTTCATTTTCAAGGTAAGTATGCCGCGACAAATGTAGAAAGTAAAAATGATAAGACTCATTGCCAGGCATGTGGCGTAAGGGAATTTGTACTACTAGAAAGTTCGAACTGCGCGTGCAATTCTATCGCTTCAGATTAAACAATATGACCATGCTTGCAACTCTCACACAAGCTGTAAAATACAAATAATTAAGAAACAGGTTATGAAGTTCGACGTTCCATTTGAGGTGTGATACCGGCCGATGATACTGACGGTCTTTGTTAAGAGCAGAATTCAATAACTGAGGATATCTTGTATTAGAATTATCGACTAGAAGGGTAACTCTACTGATTCCCAGAAATCTCTTGCAGTGCTTATTTAATATCTCACCGATATATGGAGCCACTTCAGCAATGGTGTAAAACGGACTGTTAGCAGTATTAAAAAAGGATAACTTTCCGAGAGTGCAATTATATGATACAGATCCGAGATGCGCTCCTAGCAACCACTAGAAAGATGTCTCTAGGTGGCTAAGCCACCAGAAGTACAAACAGATTGCAATTATCAAATTTGTTGCTTCATAATCCCACAGAGCTGCTCCATGGGTATATTATTACCGTCCACAAATTTGGTGAAAACTCATCTCTTCAAGTGAAACCGGTTTGACATCATTTCGTACCTTTTTGTCGAAAGCACTTTTCAATCAAAGAGTGCTTCACTTACAACGTGAACCTTGTCGTATTCAAAACTTTGATTCTAATAAGGCAAGAACACCATACGAAAGTTTGTAATCATTATCGTATTTACTAAGAAGGCCTTTATAGGATTGTCTCATCTTCTAAAAATTCATAATATAATTAGTGGTTCGGTCTTGGAAAAGTTAAATCTTCGTGGGCAGCTCCTGAACTGTCATATCATCGAACTCCTGCTCGCTTCTTTCGTTTGGTTGCAGAATTTTTTAGGCGGTTGCCTGATTTCGAAACGGAATACAATCACATAGAATCACAATTTTGATGCTACTAAGAGCATCGTCACTTATCATGGATTGACTTCTGAACTATACCAGCTGGCTATCGGCTTATTCGCACATCTGAGAAATGCATCAAAATTGTTCGTACGTAGTGTATTTAATGGTAAGATTGTCAAGCTGTGATAATCTGTCGTACATCTCGAAATTTGAATAAAGAAGTGCGGCCTCTTTTGTTCTGGTAACACGATTGAGGATGGAGCAGGTTATTGAGAACCCAGAGTCGCTCAAATTTGAACCTCCAGTTTGTTCACACGTCTTGAACTTAAACAAATTTCTATCACCAGATCATAAAGACTCAGCACTGCTCATATTGAACCAAAAAATTACAGTTGAATGCGTCTTTGAGAAACTGTGGGCTAATTACAATTTGCACGTTTGTGCAGATGGAGGTGCCAACCAGCTATATGAACATTTCCATGAGGAGGAACTGCGCTCCAAATATGTGCCGGACTATATTATTGGAGACCTGGACTCAATCCGAGATGAGGTGCTGAACTTTTACTTAAGCCATGGGGTTATAGTAATAAGCCAGTCGTGGCAGTACTCGACAGATTTTACGAAAAGTCTACAACTGATATCGCTTCATTTCTTCAAACCAGAGTTTCGAGAACTGCTGTCGTCCGAGCGATTTGAACAAAACTATGGCATTGATGATTGCCATGGTATTGAAACTCTGTACACGGCTGAGCGTCCAAATTGGTCTACGCGGGATATTGACATGCTTGTCTTGAATGCGATCGATGGCAGGTTCGATCAAACGGTGCACTCGATTACTCAGCTATACATGACATCAAGAACTGATGCCTACTACAAGCTATGTTATCTTACTTCTACAGATATCATCATGCTCATACCATCAGGTGGCACTTTAATCAAGTATAGTAAAGACTTCAAGCAGCACTGCGTTAAGAATTGCGGTCTGCTGCCCTTGGGAGGTCCCACCGTCATCAAGTCCACCAAAGGCCTTAAATGGGATGTTTGTAATTGGCATACAAGTATTATGGGAGGCAAAGTCAGCAGTAGTAATCGTTTTGTTGGAGAATCTTATTGCTACTTTGATGTTGAAGATCCCTTGGTATTAAGCATTGAACTGACGCTAAGTAGATTAGTTGAATTCATATGAATGGCGCAGGCTGTCAATGATTTATAGAGTACTTAAATTCCATGAAATATGAACTTTGAAATGAATACTGTTCGCGAGCAATTTAGATCAAAAGGGTAAAGGCAATGGGTAGGAAGTAGACTACCTTGATTTTTTTATTGTTCATGACATAGCAGGTTTGGTGCCACAACCGTTTGTAAAATCTCGTGCAATTTCTAAGTATCTAAACCTTAATTATGATTTGAATTATATCCGGAATGTTGTACAGTTTAATGGACATGAATAGCAGTTGCCCAATTGTCCGACCTCAATTTTGATTATTAAATTCAGTTCGACCTATTGAAGCTTCGCCGACATTTCAACTTTAAATATTATAGGGTCATTTGATAAGCTCGAACAACTTTATCTACCATTGAGGTCCAATAAAGCTAATATTGCAACCTCATGTTGCTAATTTGTGACTGTTGATGATCTATTGTGATTGATCCTACTGCATGCTTTGTCCATCCCGGTCGATTCATATTGCTCGTTTGATATATGTACTGATGAAACTGGGATATGTTTAAACTAAGGCGCGAGTGGTTTAGTGGTAAAATCCAAGTTTCCCATACTTGGGCCCCGGGTTCGATTCCCGGCTCGCGCACTTTTTGAAATTCCTTACGTCACTCAATGTGACGAAGATCTTTAAGTTTCACTTAATATGTTACTTGACCATATAGCTAGTGAACGCACTTATTTTTGATTACTTATACGAATATGAAATGATTAGACATTAGCAGATTGAGAATTTTACCCTGACTACTTCCAGTTTACAATTGAGCGAATTGTTTTACCAAAGCTTCACCCAAACGACCTGGAGACTCCACCACGGCAACACCGGCTTGTCTCAAGGCAGCCTTCTTGGATTCAGCATCGGTACCGGAGCCTTCAACGATAGCACCGGAGTGACCCATTCTAACACCCTTCATTTGACCAGCAACAGTTCCGGCGATGAAAGAGGCAACTGGCATAGGGGTAGAACGTTTCAAGTTGTATTCCTTTAGGAATTCAGCAGCTTCGATTTCTGCTTTACCACCAATCTCACCCAGCATAACGATACCTTCGGTAGAAGGATCGTTCATGAAAAATTTCAAAGCATCGATGAAATCAGTACCTGGGAAAGCATCACCACCGATACCAATGACTAATGATTGACCCAAACCGGTGATAGTGGTTTGTTGAACGGCCTCGTAAGTCAACGTACCAGATTTGGAGACAATACCGATTTTACCGGGGGAGAAAATCTTGGAAGGTTGAATACCGATACGAACACGGCTCTCTGGGGACATGATACCAGGACAATTTGGACCGACGAGACGTGTCTTTTGTTGTGATTTCAGCATCTCAGCAACGTACAGCATATCGTGTTGTGGTATACCCTCAGTAATACACACAGCTAGTGGAATCTCAGCTTCGATTGCCTCTTGGATAGCCTTGGCGGCGATTGGGGGAGGAACAAAGATACCCGAAGCTGTGGCACCAGTTTGCTTGACAGCTTCTGCGACGGAGGCAAAAACTGGTTGGCCAAGATGCGTCTGACCGGCCTTCTTTGGGTTGGTACCTCCCACGATATTAGTACCGTACTCCTGTGACAATTTGGCGTGGAACGTGGCCTGTCTACCAGTAAACCCTTGGATGATGACCTTGGTATCCTTGGATAGACGTAAGTTTCCGATCGTTTCGTCGTAAGGCACAGACTCTCTCGAGAAGAATCTGTTCCCCAGCTTGCTTCCTACCTTTTTGTTGATTACAGATCTTAGCATTTTGTATAGTAGTATTTCAGTTAAAGTAATGACTTTGTCTCAAAAGATTTGATTTTCAAATATGCTGATTCCCTAGAAGGTTTCAAGAGAGCAATCCAATAAGTTACAGCCTTCGAAGAAACTCAATTTGATTTGTACAAACTTTCGCTAACACTTTCTCTGTGGTTTGGTTTCAATCAAACATTTGTTGAGACGAACTTTTCTGATAGGTTGGTTTTTTTAATGGAAAAATGTTTAATTTGAGTACGCATGTACGAGTGAGACGTTCAGGAATAGAAAAGATGCGAATAAACGGAGACTAGGGTCTCTTGTCCGATTTTGCAGATCTCATTTGGCTAAACCAAAGATTGAAGCGTTTCTTTGAATCTTTATTTACAGCTAGTGCGTAGTTGTTGCTCTCGCTATATCATAGCGGAGAGAACTGATCTGAAAATATTATCAGTGGCTGGTGGTGGTCGAGACCTTAGTAAATGAGATATAGCTGACAGCCTTTTGCATTGATTGCTTTGAAAAAAACGGATGATGTATCCTGTTGGCACTTAGGTGGAGGATCGATGTTCCTAAAACGTTATTATTTCCCAAATTTGAAATCTTCACTTGTTCTCGCATAGAAAGAATGCGGTAGTAGGACACGGAGGCTTTTTGATCCCTTAGAAACTAGTATAGGCAGTTTGCCAAGCTCATGCACTAGTCTTCAGCCAAAATTTAGGCGCTAAACGTTTTGTCTTGAGCAAAAGCTGTGTAAGGAACGTCAACACCGTTTGTTGAAACTCATCGGCCTGTGAACTAATATGCCCAAAGGAAGGGCTTATAAGATTGCTTGCAATACGAATACATCATTGACGAAAAGATCAGAGGCCCTTTAAAACTCCATCATGAGACGTGTACGCTTGTTACGTGGTCCCAAATTGTATCTTGACATTGATATGTACCTAGTGTTGAAACCTCCAATCTCAAAAAATTGGCCATACTTGGACAGAGATTAGATACGGCTACAAAAGGCTCAGTGACAATGAAGATAGCACCGTATGTTCGATTAGTGAGTCTTACATGTGTGTCAAAATATTAAGAAACGATTTCTTGAAATGCACCTATTAACCATAAATTTCATGCTCTTTTACTTTACGCGAAAGGCATAGAGGTCTACCAAGACCGTTGAGGCTTCGAGGCTCTTGTACGTATTGACCATTTTCTAGATTTTGTTACTTTCGCAATATCCAATCAGAACAATATGAAACAGAACAATTTATTGCATCTTTCCCTCGACACAATTCAACATCGGAACTCTTAAGAGCCTCCAATCATTCATATTATTCTTGATCGTTCTTTGTATTTCTCTGGAAGCGCTCTTCAATATTGTTTACATTGTCGTCTTGAGTGATGCTGCTCTGCTACTCAAAAAGTGGCAAAGATGGAACCGCCCGCCAAATACGCACAACTCGCAAGCCTGGTCCGAACCGCTGATGGTAAAAAAAAGAAGAGCAGCACGCTCAATGAGCTCCCTAATAGGTCTCCTGTTAGAAATGAATTTGCAAGTCTCAAAACCGATGCACACATATTGGTTGATGCGGAAGATCCATTGAGTATACAGGAAAAACTAGCATTGGCCCTTTTCACTACAAGGCCAGGTCTTTGCATTCTTAAGCTATATTATGGGCTTTCATGTGGCCATATCAATCTTAATCGTTACAAGAAGTGGCAAAATGCAAAAAATCGTCCTGAAGTGGATGGCTGTTACAAGAACTTGGTTAAAAAATGGATCGAGTCTACTACTTATCTGTCCTTACTTATGGACAACCTGCTCCAAAACGATCAGCATCCTTTGGATTATACTCAGTTTTCAACGGCACCTCACAAAATGTCGTTAGGTTTTCTGTTGGATAGAGAAACGGAACTCTTAATCATCGACGATGATTACAATCTGCTTTTGGATTTCCTTTTACATTGTCGACTCAAAATTGAAAAACTGCTCAACGAAGCAGATTTGCCATCACTTTTGGCTAAAGTATCGCATAAAAATAACCGCCTGTTCCAACTGAGTGGTAGATTTATTTGGTATACCTTCACCCCCCAGGAATTTGAGGAATCCCAAGATATCGTTTACAAATACTTGACTGTTTTGACAGACAAGTTGACCGCCCAGCAGGATTTGATACCGCAGCTGCGGCCCTTATTTGGTGCTATGAATTCAAGCAAAGTTACTCACTTGGCGAAAAAGGATTCTTCTCAGGGAGATTATTTGGATAGTGATTCGAACAGTGATTCTGAACAATGGCCTTCAAAAAAATCAAATTCTCAAGATCGCGTTTATTCGTTTGACTTGAACGATGATGGGTCATTCGAAGCACCTAATGTTTTCAGCAAGACTCGCAAGAGACATCACACTCTCTATCATGTCTTGAAGCTTCAACAACAAAATTCATCACCACTTTTAAAGTCGCAATTTTTCACGCTTTGTGCTCTAGTCGACCCTGTTACCCAACCGATACCCAATGATTCGCATATTGTTTCTATTGACTTGCTGTCGGATATGTTTCTAGGTCTTTTAAGCGCCGAGATCAAGGAGTTATCCATCAACTGGCGGTTCCATGTTTGCTTCAATCTACAGAAGATAATTCATGCTTCTTTGCCACGCCTTAACTGTCACGATTTTCAGAAGCTCAATTCGGTCAATAATAGCGACGAATCTGTTGACTGGAGACGAAATTTACACAAATGGCTGCCGCAGGGTCTCAATACGCAAGATCTTGAACTTATCTATATGGTCGACATTTTGGCAATATATCTTCAGTACAAGTTGTACGAAGACTTGCCGGTGCAGATGAACCCATTTTTGGCACCAATGATCTCTTTGTGGAAAAATCTTACTTTCGTTGTTTTACTAGGCTTAGAGATTGATCGGTTTGAAGAAGAACATGAAACGTTCGATACTCCTGTCATAGTTCGTGCAACTATCCGCGGAGCATCGGCTTTACGGAGCGTTGTTGCAACGGTTCTGAACGGTCATGTTGACTATAAACGACATGACTTCAAACACGAGCCAATTAATATATTCATGTCACCTCACGGCCGGAAGCTCTGCCACGGCGCACTTTACACAGATGTACGATCACATGCTGCGGCAATGTTAGCCTTGGGAGTAGATTTAGAGGATGTCACAAATCTTTTGAGCGACCTGCAACCAGGAGACAGATTCGATGAAGATGTCAAATATATGTTTGACTATGAGTACGACAATTACAATGAAGTTGACACTGAGGAAATGGATGAGGAGGAGCTTGAAGACATTGAGTCTCGCGAACGTATAAAGGAGATGCGCGCTTATTACAAAAGATGCCACTGTCAATTTGACGACGACGAGCTTTTGCCAGATGATGAAGATGAAACTGAAGCTAGCGTGCCTAGGACCAGAAGTTTCAAAGAAGCACCCCCGGATAGTAATGTAAAGATATCTGCAAATGTTAAACCCATGGCTCAAAGGTCTAAGAGAGAAGGCATAGATTTTGATTTCAATGGACGCGACTGGCGAGACATTCCTCGTGGACTGAACTTCTATTTCAATGAACATTACACTTTCGAAAAGCGTATAGCCATCGACACAGCAAACTCTCTAATGGTAAGTGCTGCCGATAGGAAGCTCTCCCTAGAGGAAGGTACTAAGCTTTTAAGAATAGTAGCAACTTGCGTTGCGCGAGAGCAAGAACAAACTGTCTTCCAATCTGTGTTTGCAGGCGAGCAAGATCAAAAGCCAAGCAACCATTACACGCCGGTCGCGGATGGTGACTTGACAACAGATTATATCTATGAGCGATGGTGCGAGGATGCGCTGTTTGAGCGAATATTATTGCACAACGAAACACTGATATGGCGATTCATGGACGAAATGCTGATGTGCAGCGGATACCGTCGAGTACTGATCTGGTTTATCACTCATCTTGAATTGAGCAGCTCAATGATTGAATATATATACATTCTTGTATTGGGTGGGCGTGGAGAGAAAGTCCTCGAAGGCAACGACGCTAACCCCTCAGAAGAATCCCAATACGACCAAGTGCTTTTTTCTAGGCAAGGTTCGTTACAGCTGTCGGAAATCGAGGTCAAAATGTTACTTCAAGAGTTTTTCACCAATGCTGCCATCTTCTTCTCGAGACAAGCTCGTGAACATGAGCACTCTGGTGACGAAGAAAGTGAAGAAGAACATGCGGGGAATCGTGGGATATCTACAAGAGTGGTAGGGCTCATGAAATTGGTTTGTCTAATGGTGAAAAGGCTGATGATCGAAAACAAGTTCGATTTCAAAGATCCTGACTACATTTTCGAACTGCAAACACTATTGATGAGCTGGATCTGCATTCTGCCAGAAGCGCGGGACTTGTTTTTCGAGCTCAGGTCACGAGTAGATGAGGAGTCCGTGGATGGAAAGCCGATATCACTAGGAGACACTGCTGGCTCGGGTCTCGACGCACAACAGTATCCCTCTGGTGTCGCTGAAAAGATTAATCAAGATCCGACCAGTTTGCCAGACAAGAACTCGGACACTTCCATATCCGTGTACAACAAGAGGCTAATATCGCTGCTTCCGCCTATTGCTGGTAGTGAAAACAGTGCGGTCACCGCCCTTCGGAGCTTCATCAGCAAACATTCACTTACCATGAAGACTGCTGTATTTGGCCGCCGTGTGATCTCCCAAGATGACGACATCATGGGTATGTACATGTCTGACAGGGAAATGGACAATCGTCACTTCTTGGCAGAATTCGGCATTGATTATAACGATCTCGTAGACGGAGTTTACGGAGCGGATTTCGTTTATGATTGAACTGTTTCCCTTCGTTCATTTCTCAGGGGAGGCCCCAACAACAAACGCGGTTATTACTAATCAGGGAATCGCGTGGTGAGTACTGTAAGTAGATTGCTGTAACGTAATTATGTTGCGGAATGGTATATAAACATTATTGATACTCTTTACAAAAAAATCCCACAACTCCGAAATGTCAATTATAATTACTGAATAGTCAGAGACGTCCTAATACAACGTAATTGTAGATACACAAGATGAAGCTTACTGCCTCAACTACCAAAACTTTAAAGAATGGCGTCAAGATCCCCATTTTGGGGCTTGGTGTATACAAAGCCCCTAAAGAGGAAACTGAACATATTGTTTACACCGCATTGAAACAAGGCTACAGACATGTTGACACTGCACAGTTCTACGGAAATGAAAGGGAAGTTGGTTTGGCAATTGCCAGATTTCTAAAAGACACACCCGAATTTACCAGAAGCGACGTCTTCTATACAACTAAAGTTTCGCCCACAAACCATGGCTACGAGCAAGCCAAAAAGTCAATTCTCGAGTCTCTGGAGAAGGTCAAAGAAATTGGATATGTCGATTTGTTTCTAATTCATAATCCTATGGCAGAACCAGAGCAGCGGTTGGGAACTTGGCGCGCGTTGCAAGAGTTCTATGAAGAGGGCAAGATAAAAGCCATTGGGGTGTCAAACTACAGCATCAAACATCTGGAAGAACTATTGAACTGGAAGGAGCTCAAAGTGGAGCCTATGGTCAATCAATATGAACTGAATCCATGGCTTCTACGAGAAGATTTGTGCGCTTTCTGCGAGAGTAAGGGAATCATTATTGAAGCCTTCTCGCCTCTCACACGGGGATTCCGTATGAAAGATCCGCTACTGCAAAAAGTCATCGAAAAATCATACCCTGGCAAATCTCCAGCCCAAATCTTGATTAGATGGTCTTTGCAAAAAGGTTTCATCCCACTTCCAAAATCCAGCAACGAGCAAAGACTGCGTGCAAACTTAGAGTCTTTGGATTTTGAGATCAGTGATGAAGATATGAAGACTTTAACTCACGAGAATGACTACTTCGTCTCTAATCCTAATTTCGACCCGATCAAAAACTGTCCTTAGCCTGTTTGGTGTATAAAGTTCATTATAAATGCTAATTTGATGGCCATGAATACTTATGCTAAATTCCTATGGAGAAACTGTTTCAATGCAATGGTCTTAGGTTTGATGCCTAAAACGTAATACTGAATATCTTCCTGCAGAAACTTGTTCGAACCATGAAAGTCCATGCAATCCTCAAGCTCGAGTAATTGACTCTCAATGGCATATGATTCTTTCGGCAAATCTGGCTGTGAGGCCAATTCTTTTAGCTTTCCAGTGTTTCGAAGCCCGTTTTTTATCACTTTTAGTTTACTGTTGAGTAGCTTATCAAAGACGTTCGATCTTTCTTCAGGTGTCAGCTTTTTGTAGTAGAATAAGAGTTTTGATATGAATTCTTCCTGAGTTTTCTTGTCAAGAGTGTCTTTAATCTTGAATTGCCTAAAAAGCGCTTTCTGCTCTACTCTTACGTCCTTGGCTAACGTGGTTGGTAAAATATTGGCCTTCGAAACTATGTGTGACAGGTAATGATATTTTGTGGGCTCCAGGTCGTCAGAGCCTTGCTCGGATTCTGTCTCAACTGATTCAACATCACTTTCATTCAGATCCTTTTCAATATCATTGTTGTCATGAAATTGTTGCGTGCACCATTTATCGAAAAGACCCTGTCTGGTGGCATCGCTGCTAATTTTGTAGAAGAGTGCGTCATCTTGGATCTTCTTGGATTGCATGTTCCAGGTGGAATATGGATCCAGTGAGTATTGCTCGAATAGCGAAATGAAGGCTTGCTGGTTTTGAGAGTTAGCTTCGTCAGGGGGCGCTAAGATGACATCAGGCTCATGTTCCTCGCTTTCTTCGTCCTCGGAACTGGCGTAGCCTGATACCAAGTTGTCCTCTTCACTGACTCTGCTGACTTCACTGTCTGAACCAGATTCCTCTCCACTGACTTTACTGACGTCACTGTCTGAACCAGACTCCTCAGCGTCAGTTTCTTCGTTCTCGTTTTCCGCCGCAACGTCGATTTCTTTGGCAGTCGACTGAGCGTTGATTCTATCTACAGCCTTTAGAATTTCCTTATAAATTTCGCTGTCCTTTCCACCACCATTTTGAGCTGTCTCCGCGAGTAAAGCTAATTTTTCCTTTCCAATCTGCGACAAGATCTCGGCACTCTCGTCGTCATCCAGTTCCTGTTGGGGACCGAGAGTCCCTTTACAATCGAAAAACCTCGAACCGTTTTCACATACCACCATGCTCCAGTTGTTCGCCAAAGTTACGTGGTATATCGCTTGGGGCTCCGTCTTCCGTGATTTTCTTGCTCCCGTCGCATGATCTTCGAAATCGGCTGGTTTCTCTCTTGTAGACTGTTGTGACTTAACATTGTAATAATATTTTGACCCGTCTGGGGCCTTATATTCCCTCCAAATCCTTGCCATAGCGTTTTAACCTGCCGATGCTTTCCAATCACGTTAAACTACCAAGGTTTGTTTCTAATGTTGACAATTCGCTCTTAGTCAAAGTTCCCGAAAGTAACCTTTATTTTGACGCACTCTTTGCAGAAAATATTATCACCAGATTCGGGTAACGCTTGTGGGTGGCGAAAAGGTATATTGATTGATTTTAAGAAGTAAGGAACTCGAACATTTGAGGAAGCGAGAAAGCTATAGATTCAGGTTTAGGAGAATTTAAGAACTCAATTGTTCGCATTATAAGCTGTCTTTGCAGTTGCAATTCATAAGAGTGGAACTTTGAGCTTTAACTGATAGTTCAGCAAGCAGTTTATTAATTAAGTCAAGGATCATCAGAACACTGTGTAATAGCAGCTCGTTACCGAATTTTGAGCATCAACTGAATAAGTTTCCTGAAACACACTGATAATTTAGCCTGGGCACTATCACAACATGGGTTCCAGAAGATACGACTCCAGAACAACGATCTTCTCGCCAGAAGGAAGACTATACCAAGTCGAATATGCACTAGAATCGATATCGCACGCTGGTACTGCAATCGGCGTCATGGCCAAAGACGGTATTGTGCTGGCGGCAGAGCGGAAAGTCACTAGCAAACTGCTAGAACAAGGCAGCTCAAGTGAGAAACTGTACAAACTAAACGACAACATCACGGTGGCAGTGGCTGGTCTGACCGCCGATGCCGAAATCCTGATAAATACCGCTAGAGTCCACGCGCAAAACTATTTGAAAACTTACAACGAGGAAATTCCCGTTGAGATTTTGGTGAGGCGGTTGAGCGACGTCAAGCAAGGCTACACGCAGCACGGTGGGTTGAGACCCTTTGGTGCCTCCTTCATTTACGCAGGTTATGACAACAGATACGGCTATCAGCTTTACACCTCTAATCCATCCGGCAACTACTCTGGCTGGAAGGCCATCAGCGTTGGTGCCAACACTTCTGCGGCCCAAACCCTATTGCAGATGGACTACAAAGACGACATTACTTTGGAGGAAGGCATGGAACTAGCGCTCAAGACCCTATCTAAAACTACGGATTCTAACACTCTAACCTCCGAGAGAGTAGAGTTCGCCACGATAACCAAGCTGGATTCTGGCAAAATCGTGCAAAAGATTTACAAACCTCAGGAAATTGAAACACTCCTAAACAAGACCGGAGTTACCAAGAAAGACAACGAAGACGAATGAAGTAGAAATGTGAATTCCATGAGCGTTTCAGTAGTTTTCAGCTGATTACTATGGGAATGCCAATGGAAAGAACACCTTTCTCATTCGTGTTTAGTGATACTTCGATTTAACTATGTAAACTAAAAATCCACATACTACGCTGAAGAGTTCCCATCACGACGCAATTTTCCATAGCCGCCAAAGAGCTGGTCGCTGATTTGCGGTCCATGAAGCAAGTAATATCTGGGTCTTTCAAAACCTCAAAAATCTCATCCTAACATCACGCTCAGGTCTTTTGTCACCTCCGGTGATATACCCATCGGGTACACCACCCCCAAGTTTCCATCTTTGTATTGGCCCCTGAACAACGAAAAATACACACTATCCTACTTGTACTATACCAATGATATATGGAAATACACGGTGTTCTGGACTCTGATACTGTTCATGGCATTCTACTTTTCCGCCGGGCTATGGGCCAGTTTTTCACACCGCAGAACCGCCGGTGGCCTTTGGATCATGGCTTTCTACATATTAGTTGGTGGATTTCAAGCTTTGGCCACGGGTACCGTCTCGGGACTAATGTATGTCAGAACAAATATAGCCACAACGTTCATACCCTTCGATGTCGCTCGGTTTTTACTAACTTTTCTCTCCAGCCTCGCAGTAACCTACAAAGCAGGACTCTTTGCTATGTCAACATGGATCCCACTATGCTGTGCTATCGTAATGATCTTGTTCCATGTCAGCACAACGTATTCAATGGCTGGAATTATCATCTAGTCGTAGCTCGCTGGGATACCCTATCACATGATCAGTCCGGGGCTTAAATTAAACGAAATGATTTCCAAAGGTCAGTATTTCCAATGTACCGAAACCAAATACGGACATTGTGAAAGGTGCCTTTTCTTCAAGTGTTCTAAATATTGGCGACTTGTTACCTGGGCTCTTCTTATAAGCCATATTGCATATCTTCACTTAGGCGAAGTCTCTCGATCAAAATCTCATTAAGCTTAATTTCTCCTAAGGTCAGTTACTGAGCTCCACATGTCTGCTTCGTCGATTAACCGGTCCTTGGCCACTATAAGGACTGAGCTGGACTTTCTGCAAGATTCTGAGGTGATTACTCAAGATGTGTACCGTAATATTTTAAGCTCGTTGCCCGAGCGTTACGACCCCAGTGCCAACAAAGGAAGCGCACCAGAGCCTCAAAATGAGTTTGTGGAGGCTATCTATGCCTTCCAGGCTCAACAAGATGGCGACTTAAACCTGCAGGTTGGTGACAAAATTGAAGTGCTTGAAAAGCCATCGCCAGAATGGTATAAGGGCAAATGCAATGGTCGTGTCGGTATGTTTCCATCTAATTACGTGAAACCTGCATTTTCCGGGACAAACGCGGTCGAGACTGGCCGCAGTAACCTGGCTGCTCCTCCCCCCCAGTATCAATCGCAGCAGTTTCTCCAGTCGCAGCAGACAAACACGAGCGCTCAGTCCAATTACTCGCAGCCCCCATTCCCTCCGCAATCCACAAGTTATTATCAGGCACCTCCACCTCAACAGTACCAATCTCCTCAAGCGTACTATCAAGCACCTCCTCAGCAACAACCCGAACAACAGCAGCAGCAGCAACAACAAGCACAGCCACAACAAGGTCACCACGCTAATGCTGCATTCAAAAAATTTGGGGGCAAGCTTGGTAATGCTGCCATTTTTGGTGCTGGTGCCACCATTGGGTCGGATCTTGTTAATAGTATATTTTAAAGACTTAATGCATCTGGTTTTGACCGTTCTTGAATGTTCTTTGAAAATTTATACATACAGAGTTACTATATACCAATACATGATCGAAAAGGTATTTTCGAGAGTACCCATTTATAGGTATCTCCCGTAGACGTGGTAGATCCTGTTCACCACATTTAGCCTAGCAGTACTGCTTAAATTTGTGTCCACTAATTCGCCGATGTCCCTGATCCATTCTGGTTTGCGATTCTTTGGAACTAACTTGTCACCATATCGACGTGCTGAAACAACCTCTAGTGCTAGTAAACCCGTGTTTAGATCCTTGTCCGTGGAATTGACGTCATTTTGATTGTAATTTAAAAGTCTTTCAACATTGTTCAAACTAGATGACAGTTTGAACCTGAACTGAGTCGTGTTCGACCAAATTCGTCCCAGCTTTGTTAACCGATACGCGCAAGTCCAGATACAATAAATAATCAGCAATGCAGGCGACATAGCCACAACCCCAAAAACGAGCTGTTGCGATTGCAATAGTTGGTCGATGCCGCTGAGAGCTAATGAACCATCAACTTTGGTCTTTTGCAGTTGGATCAGTAGAGAGCGGACCAACTTTCCGCTCACGATGTTCGTGATAGGGTTGTGTAACTGATGTTCATATATTTGCATGAACTCAGTCAGGTTGCCGGCTTCAACTTGAGCAGCCAGTGCCGTTGTATCAACGGGCTTGTCAGAATACTCTGCTACTAGTTGAACCACCATCCGAGTTAAAGAGCTAAATTCGGAATCCAAAGAGCCCTTAGATGCGACTGCGATAGTGGAATTAGTTTCATCATGGCGGACTGTACTCCATACTTGTTGCAAAGGAACCCATATCCAATTCTGTACCAATCCGGCACAGAAATCCACGATATTCTCCCGGCAGAACTGTAGAATCTTGAAGCGAGATTGCCATATGGCAATAGCGGAGGAAGGCCCATAAGCCAAGATGCAGAATATAGATGGCCAATATCGTGTCCAAACCCCGGGCTTGTCGATGCGCTGCGCACGCTTCAAATTGATAATGCTGGGGAGAATCTCCAACAATGTCCTTTCGGACCCACTCGGCGACTTTTCACGACTTTTACCGCAAAAGGTGGCAAGAAGACTACTGCGGGCATCTAAGTCGTGAACGTTGGGAAAGTGTGTCATCAAGGCGCCTAACTTCCGAGCTGTGTCGTTGAAGAGCTTTTCCGCGGTGTCACGCTTGGTCTCCACTTCATCGCGAACTGCGACCAGTGGGAGAGCGACAACCGAAGCAGCGACTTTTTTAGCATCACGAGGAAGACCCACAAGCTGGAAATTATGAATCATTACCATCTTCTCGGCCTGTCCCAGAAGCTTCTGGTACCAGCTCATTCCTATGGCCCGTATGTCACGTGATCTCAACATGGATGTGTAGGACATGTCGTCTCTCACGTCGAGGGCCATGTTAAGTAGTCTCTTGGGCAAAATCTGTAAGGCATACAACAGAGACCAGCGGGTCGAATCATGAACTTCTGTGAAGTATTGGGCACTGTCCAAGGTAGACGGAAGTTGATCCAGACAGGTCTGCACTATGGAGTGGTACAGGCATATCGACACGTACTGCGAGATTGCCATGCGAACTGAAACCTCGATATCATCTGAAATCGAAACAAAGTCTGGCGATGCATCGTCGGTAAGCTGGAGAAGTACTTTCTGGAGAACGTTGAGGTTTGCGCCGCGATGCGGTTTCCCCTGGCGTAGATTTGAACTTATGGAAGAAACCTCATTTTTCACGAGCCATAGTTGATCCTGAAGTTCCTTTAATTGGGTATTAGAGGACTGAGTGTAATTTTGGTGGCCTAAGGACAACTGTTGAAGACCTAGTTCAAGCTTCTTGTCAATTTCGTCGAAGGCCTGTAGCACATACTGGTCGGTAATCATATCTACGAGGGCTCGGCTTAAGTTTAGGAAGGGAGTGTATTTGAAAGAGCAAGACTTTTGAAAATATAAGTGTATTGTCACATGAAGCGATGAGATGACAGCTAATAAAATAAATGTTGAGTCTTCGATGGCTCTAAGGTGATATTCTTCAGGTAAATTCATGTATTATAGCCTTCACAATGGCTTTAGTTTTCTTGGTTATTATAAATAGATCGGCGATCTGATTTCATGCTTTCAAGGTATTAAGTAAAGCCTCTCGGCAATGCATTTGAATTCACAAGCAGGATGGCACAAACGCACTCAATAGAAGCAGTGCAATTACAGTGTGAGACCAGCTTGGTTTCAGGTGGAGGGCGCTATTTTGGCTAGCAGAAGGAGAAGAAGTGGTGCCGTTTCGGTATCCATGATATCCATAGCCATAATAGCCTGGATAACCGCCATAACCAGCGTAACCACCGTAGCCACCATTAGCAGAGGTGGACCCAGAACCAGTTCCACCAGCGTTTCCATTTGAGGCTCCGTTGGTACCACTATTTCCTTTGCCATTGCTGCTATCGCTGCTGCTACCAGTATTACTTTTCCCATCACTGCTGCTACCACTGCTACCACTGCTACCACTGCTGCCACTGCTGCCACTGCTGCCACTGCTGCCACTGCTACCACTGCTACCACTGCTACCACTGCTACCACTGCTTCCACTGCTACCACTGCTACCACTGCTACCACTGCTAGCATGGCCTCCTCCGCTGCTGGCATGGCCTCCTCCTCCGCTGCTGCCTTTTCTCGACGTCAAGCCATGGAAACTACACTCTGGAGACAAGATAGGAATAACAATGCCGTCTGAAAGAGTAGTGTTGCACTGAATACTGAAATTGTAAGACGTTTTTATTGATTCTTTTATTTCCATACCATTCGGAAGCGCGACAGTATCTGGTAAAACTGTGCTACTCGGAAGCGCGTTACTCGAGATTGAAAGCGACATTATGGATTGTATTTTCTATTAAAACTTGGGCTGAATTGGTTTCTTGATTGCTTTCTAGGTAAACCAAAACGAGTCTTCAAACTGATTACTACTGGATCCTTCTTATATACAATGAGCGTCAAGTTCAAGTTCCTGCTAAGAGTGTGCCTAAACGCTTACTTGCCTGTGACAATAGGCTTTTTTCACAAGCACATGAGCCTACAGAGGCTTGAAAAATCTATCAATTATGCAGAGACCTCGCCAAGGAACGTACAAAACTCATAGCTTGGTCAATGTGAAGGAGGCGTAGTGTAACTTCGGCTCCTAATGGTAAATGCCGAATGACACAGCCAAAAACCCTTGACAAGAACGAAAGATAGCAAATGAGCCTACATGACTATGACGTTGTATGCAAGATAGACTGGCGTACTGATCAAGAAAGGGTACTTGTCGGAGTTTATCAGGTGATTTTCGAACTAAGATGAATTCGGAATTGCGAACCAGAGCTCAGAGCTTGCCACTTTGATTCAGCCTGCTTAGGAGGCTTGGATAAATTGGATGAATTCTCAATTCGCACTGCTGGTGTTAAAAAAACAAACGCAAGACGGATGCAGTTTGCCATGGCGCGCTCAATTTATAAAGTTTTGAAATTAATGTTATTGGTGTTTACGTATTTATTCATTTATTGATTTATTTCGATTAGAGTTGCATGCGATATATCGTCGAAGGACACACTTCATTCCATGCCGCTGAAAGCATAGTTCTTCTTGGACAATTTCGCACGCAAAGTTTTACCGTAGTAGTAAAATGCAAAGGGAATTAAAACCATGGCGGTAGAAATGAAGGCCAAGAGCCAACTGGCCCATTGTAGACCTAACTTATGGTACATCTGTTCGGTGAAAAGTGGGAACGCAGCACCACCGGCGGAACGTAAAAACACTTTAGTGGCAAGCGCACTCGAGGCGTATATGGCGTAACAGTCGATGATGTAGTTGTTCAGGGAATAGTAAATTAGAACCATACCATAGCCGAAGACCAGCCCAGAGGAAGCGGGACCAACCCAGATGATGTGTTTGTAAGCGGTGGCTCCGAGAATCCACAATGCAATAGCAGCAAATGGAGCGCCAATCATGGCTCCGAGCAAACGGTCCTCGGGTGTTGGATTTCTGCGCTTGGTAATCTTGATGTACTGGTTCTCACAGAAGGTTGTGGTCGCCAAGGCCACAGAGGCTCCGATTAAAATGGGGATAAACATGAGCCCAATGATGTTGTCCTTGTAGCCGTACAACTCACCAAAAATGACTGGGTAGGCAAAGAAAAACGCATACAGTAGGGAGTAGATGAGGCAAACGTAGAAACACATGAGATCGAGCACGGGCTCGGTGACGGCGAGATATAGGGGTCTGAGCAGGCAGGCGCGGACCATTTCGCGAACGCTGAGGCCCTGTGCCTCCTGCTCGGTCATGATCTTGGGGTTGCCGGTTTCACGACGGAGTTTCGCGGCGCGGCTCTTAAGAATTACGGGTGCGAAGGTCTCAGGGATAAAGGCAACGATGATCCACATGACACCGGCAAAAGCCATGTTGACCCAGAAGATGAGGTCCATGCGCTTAGTGGAGACGGAGATGAACCCGTTCACGAGCGGGCCAAAAACAGGCCCACAGTAAGGTGCGTAGGCGAAGAAGGCAATGGCACGGCCACGCGTCTCTGGTGGGAACATGTCTGCGATGGACCCTCCCACGAGACACAGCCCGGACGAGGCCCACACGCCGCACAAAAACCGGCACGCCAGCAAACACCCGATGTTGGGCGCCAACGCACAAGGGATGTTGAAGATGACATACAAACCTAGTGATGCAAAATACGCGATACGACGCCCGTACAGATCCGACACGGGAGACCAGATCAACGGACCCAGCGAGAACCCGATCACCATCAGCGAACACGTGAGGATCGACACTTCGTTCGACACGTGATACTTCGCGCTGACCGTGCCCAAACCACCGGTGATGCAGGCAGAGCCGTACGCGACCGAGATGACCAGCACCGAAAGCAGAATGGTGTAGAGCCAGCGGGTGAACAGGGACCAGTTGTGCGGGTTCTGCGGGTCGTTCGTGACGAACGTCACAAACTCAATTTCCGGGTCGTACTCGGGGACCGCCTCTGCGTCGTCATCGACGAGGCCGGTACCGGCCGTCCCGGGCCGGCCGGTGCCGGCCACGTCGTCGGACCCGTGCGAGATTTTCTTTTCGTCGGAGCCGGAGTCGGCGTCGTCGGTGGGCACCACCTGTCGTCTGGTACGAGTCCGGGTGGCAGCCAGGGTCCCGGACTGGGTTCTTCCGAGCGACTGCAGCGTTGCCACGGGCACCAGCCCGGTGGGCGTTTCCATGGTGTACTCCTCGGGGAAAATCGCGGTTCCCGTGCCAACGGTTGTGGGGGCGTTCACGTCGGGGATGGGAACCACGGGCGACACGCCCAGTTCCTGTAGCGACCGCACGGTTTCCGTGGGAACCAGACGCAGGCGGTCCGAGCGGCCCGTGGTGGACGACAGGTCGGAGCCGGCCCGGCTTCCACTGCGGACACGTGGTCCCGCCGTAGTTGCAGACGGCACATATGTGTGGGGCACCTGTCCCAGCGAATCTCGCGAGTTGTACGAGTTGATGGATTCTTGTTCGGAGTCCATGTTTGTGTGAGTGAGTGAGTGAGTGTGTGTGTGTGTGTGTGTATCTGTTTGCTCCTACCGGATCACCAATGCCCGCTGTGTTTAGCCTCTACAGCCGCCCTGTTGTATTTATACGTGTGAGAAAGAAAAAAGCCGCAATTTTGGGAGGGTAAGGGAAACCGCGCGGAAGAGAAGCAGAAGAGCCAGGAGCAAGCCAGAAACGAGAAGGCAAACGGGAGAGACGCGTAGTGAGACATTAGTGAGCGTTTAACTGAGATGCGCAGAGACAGGGTAGGAGGCACCCTCACATCTGATCACTGAGCAGATCCAAGTCCGAGTGTTTATTTATGTTAACCGTCTAATGAGCCGGAAACTACTGGAGAGTAACTGTGAACGAGGTGGGAAAGACCCAAATAAAGAAGAAAAAAACAATAAAAAAACCCAGTGTGAGTGAAAAATTTCAGGGTTGAGAAAAGGGAACCCTGGGAGGCACGACAACGAAAGATGGGATAGCAAGGAGAAGAGAAGTCGCCAGCCGCATTGCAAAAACACGAGGCTCAGCGTAAGAGTTGGGCGAGAGTAGTGGGTCCGTTGCAGTCTTACCTAAGACGAGGGTAGCAGGAGTGGTGGTGGTAACAGTGGTGGTAGTAGTAGTAGTAGTAGTAGTGGTAGTAAGAATAGCGGTGGTTCAATTGTAGTCTTGGGCAACCGACGTGGGGGTGCAACAAGTGAAGAGCAAGAGATGTGTGAAGTGAGAGCATGTTTGGGAATGTGCGATGGTGGCAGGAGTCTCGGACCGTTTTTGTTGGGGACGTTTCTTGTTACGGGCTTGTCACACGCTTGTCACACGCTTGTCACACGGCGCTCGAGTCTGGAGCTTCGTTAGGGTTTCGTAGCGCGAACACGAGGGCATAACCAGCCTGTGTCTGAGAGATGCGTCCCGACTCGAGCGATCACTGTATTCTGTGCCACTCGCTGAGCGACGCTTTTCGGTTCCCTACAGTCTTCGTGAGCCCGTCGCATCGCCTAACTTTGCGCTACAAACTGAGACTCTTTTCCCGTAAATATCGCACATTTCAAGGTGTTAGCCGCCCAACTGTTTAGCCGACATATTTCCACATATTGTCAACTACGCTTTTGGTCTCGTACCCGATTTGAACTATTTCTGTTCTTGCACCGTCGATTGCTTGCTCTTGCCTATCTCGGCTAATGTGAACGGAACAAAATAGGCATACAATAAATAACTCGGATTTTCGAAAAACCGGCAGGGAAAAATATTGTTGAATACACGCTGGTCGTGAAGTGTCACTATTGAATACACGCTGGTCACAAAGTGTCATATCCAAGAACAAGCCAGTGTACCCTGTTTTCTTGCAACACCTGTAGATGATACCTCTGTTCACCTTGTAGCTGTCCAGTGCGACGGCAGGGTACAAAGTGACATGCGCAGTGATCAGCGTGTGTGGAGGCAGCATGTGCACTCCTATTGTTCGACTCAACTTTGAACAGAGATTTCTCCGCCTGCTGTCGCTTTTGCACATGGGTTTATATCCAAATCTCCGTAGCTCAAGCGATTCGGTAGGGCACAACGTAGCTCATCCATGATTGTCACAACCCAACTTTCAAAATTCATTCTTTGTCCTAAATCGGTGTCGCAGAGCATCGCCGTGGCTCAGTAACTTGTCATTGGGCTCTGCGCTCTTCTTTCGAACGAGGTCGTCTCGAATTCGATTGGTATCGCAAAGTCCAGCCGTGGCTCTGCGCTCTTCTTTCAATCAAGATCGTCTCGAATTCGATTGGTATCGCAAAGTCCAGCCGTGGCTCTGCGCTCTTCTTTCAATCAAGATCGTCTCGAATTCGATTGGTATCGCAAAGTCCAGCCGTGGCTCTGCGCTCTTCTTTCAATCAAGATCGTCTCGAATTCGATTGGTATCGCAAAGTCCAGCCGTGGCTCAGAAACTCGTCCTTTGGCTCTGCGACGTTCTTTTTCAAGTTCTTGAAATTCGAAAAGTAGTTTACCTATCTTACAGCGCCCAGTTGGCGATCAGTTTTTGAATATCATAGCAACACTACGGAAGCTAGCAAGCAGGTAACTTCTACTGATATCTTCGTTGTTCAACTTCGAAAGGTCGCTATTCTCCTCAAATTCGCCCTCAACACGCCATGTGTGCCCGAGACACACACAGCACACAAACCTAGCTACCATCCTCACAACGAGTATATTCATCTCCTTACAGTCGTCGAAGCTCATCGCATCATATGTTACGTAATTATGTCTTGAATCTATTTACGCGAATAATTTCGTGTTTCTTCTCAGAGCATCTAAACATTGTTTGACATTTTCTATCCGCCCACACCGTTTCATGGATCCAGAACTACAGATCAAGGCCCTGGTAGATACTTTGGCACCCAGAACCGCCCACCAGTACAAGCTCTATCACACCAAGTATCTACAATGGTGTCGAGACATGAAACTAGTGCGTTCTGGCGTCGCAGATCACCCATATAAAGATGTGATAGTGACTAGTACTCTAGTCCACTGGTTCATTCTCTCAAATTTCGTATGCGTCGACGATTCGCAATTCAGTGTTTCAGTACTGCGGAAAATGATCAGCGCTTTCAAGTTTCTTCACCGTATTTGTAAAGCGTATGAGCCAGATTATCCATATGAGCTGGACTATGATTACTTGGAATCAGTCGCACGGTTGCACGTTAGTGCTTCTGCCGAGGTAGCACCCATTTCACCACTGAATATGATCTCGGTACACATGTGGAGCCCACACGGAAAGCAGTTTTCAGAAAAGTACTTCAAGGGCGGCATTGAGAAATTGCGCTTTCTCGTCGACTTCCATGTTCAGCAATACTGGCACTTGGCGTTCGCCGACAGATCTCAAATCAAACTTGGAGACTTGCGTCTCTCAGAAGATCACAATATGCTCTTGGTTGACAGAAGCTCAAAGGATCGCCCATCCATGGTGCAAAAGTCGGCTCTCCTCAGACAAACGATTCCTTGGAATTGCCCACTTGTTACGTTGGCAGCTTATCTCCATCTTCGATTTTATGGGACTGCCAAGTTATATAAGGGCGACGGTTTTCCTAATTTGCTTGAATCTGATGAATGGTGTTTCCTCCCGTTAGTACGGGGAAAGTCGCTAGACAAGTATCCACGCGAAGAAACAATGACAAATTATTATGCTGACGTCTTCCGACATTGTCACCTTCCTTATAAAAGGAGAGAGTATTTCTACAATAAGAGCGTCGAATATTGTCAGTACCCGACGGTACGACGTGTCGAGCTAGAAGAACTGCAGGACTTGGGAAAGGGTGAAGACTTGTTTTTTCCTCAAAGCATACCAGTCGATTTCCTGAGGCATATGAACAAACAGCCGGTTTATGAACCTGTTAGGGCCCCGGACATGCAGGACTTCTCGGACATTCCAGAATCTCTTTTAGTTCAGATATTCCCAGAAGTTGAAGAGTATAAGCGAAATGCCAGTAACTTAAACAACGAAAGTCGGCACTTCTTAGCAGTTATGGAGCTGCTGCGATATTCTCTAGTAGCAGCTTTACCCCTCATTAAGCATTTTTTCCCAGAGCACGACCTCTTTAGAGACTCCATGTTTCAAAGTGCTGAATTCCAAGGTTTCTGTCAACAAAAGATAGAAGAACTGCGCGCCAAAGATCAGCTAGAAATTTACCAACCGGAATCACTGGGGTTCAACAACAATGAGTTCGAACCATTTTCTCAGTCTCAGCCTGCAACAGTCAATTCTCAAAAGTCTCATATTGAACTTCCACCTGCTAATACTGATACAGAGAGTTTACACACGTATCTCCGCGATCAAACATTCCGCATGGTCCAGTACCAAACCGCTACAAATTTTCATCTGCTACTTCAGTCTTTGAGTCGAGTTTTCGAGAAATTGGAGACTAAAAAGAGTAATCGAGAGTTTATTCTTCACCAGCTTGGGTCCTTAGAGCAAACTTTGCAAGACCGTATTTCTAAAACTTCGCCTGATGACATAAAGAAGGAAGATGATTCAAAAGGTTTATCAAGCTCCGACACGATGGACCCGACGAAACCAGAAACTGTTCCAAAAAACGCCTCTAGAAACCCCGCAGCACTTGATAGTGATGCCGAAGATGATGACGATTATAAAGAGGACGATGAACAAGACGAGGACGCAGACGATGTTGATCCTAATTTGCAAAACGAACTTCAAACACTTGTCTCCCAAGTCATGGACGTAAAATTTCAAAATGCTCTTGAAAGCCACACGAAGCAACTCGAAACCCATGTTCATGGGCTCATTGCTGCTCAGGTTAAAGAAGAAGTTCGCAAACAACTGACGCATTTAATAAAGCAAGACTCGCAATCGCCAACGCCTCAGCCGCTAGAACAGTTAGCGCCACCGAAGCGACTAAGGGAAGACTCGGAGCCGCCCTTACAGTCTTCTGAGATGCAATTCGGCATGACTCCACAGCTTGAAAGCATAGAAGATGTTGTTCTGGAATGGTTCACCCCCAATCCCGACCAGGGCAACGAATGTGTTCATACTATGAATCGTAAATACGGCAAAGGCTGGAGAACTGAATCAAGTGATACGATGTCGCTATACAAACAACGTAAAGTGATCGTTGAGTTCTATATATGTTTGGTCAATCAGCGCAGAATGGACAGATACAAAGCTGTTGCCGTCTGTGAAAATTTGAGAGGCAGCGAGCCGCTGGCACTTTTCAGTGAGAAACTCAAGGAATGGAAAAGGGATCACAACAATACCTTTGATGGCCTGGGCTAGCTCAATGGCTGAAATTCGGCATTTAAACGATTTCCACGTGATTGTCGTTGCACATGCCTTAATAATGAAAGTCGCTCTAAATCTTGATATTAAGAGCCCGCGTTTCTGTATCGTAACTGCACAATGTACTGCTAACTTGTAAACAGCAACACAGAATGGTACTGAGTATTCTTCTTCTGTGCTTACTGCAACAGACATTAGCTGTGCTGGTTCCATGGCTAGATGACGATCCTTTTGTCGAAAGTAGAATACAAGCAAATAAATTAGGGTTTGGACTTCCGCCGGTAGTGCCTCCAAATGAAATTACAGACGAGACTCGCAGCTTACCATATGAAGGCTTTGTGCCGGACTACGTGATAGAGAATTGTCCTCTGGTTCATCTTTACAGTGAGGAGGTATATTGGCCCGCAGATGTTTCTGACTTCATTCAGCATTTCAGAGTTCAGACCGAAAATGGCTCAATAGTCAAAGACGCACCTTTGAAACTTAAAGACCTGAAGGCCGGTTTCCGGGTTTCTGAAAAATCGAAAACCCTCTTACCCAGTGAAGATACATTTTTAACCGCACTTGACGATTTTAACAAAGACCCTCGCTGGCTGCTAGGCCATAAGCCAGATTACAGTAGCGGTCATATCAAAGATGCGCCTGCAATACTGATAGTGGTAGATAAGGGAAACGGGTGGGTTGACGCTTACTGGTTTTATTTTTACTCTTTCAATTTAGGAGCCTTTATTATGGGGTATGGGCCATGGGGTAACCATGTCGGGGATTGGGAGCACTCATTAGTGCGTTTTTATGAGGGCAAGCCGCAGTATCTATGGATGAGTGCACATGGTGGTGGCGGGTGTTACAAATTCGATGCGGTGGAGAAAAAAGCCCGCGTGCAATACAAAGGCACCGAGCCTACCTCTAAAATTTTGGAGAGGCCGTTGATTTTCAGTGCAAGAGGTACTCATGCTAATTATGCATCTGTGGGCCAGCACGCCCATGACGTCCCGTTTTTCTTTAGTGCACTAAGCGATTTTACTGATCGCGGTCCGCTCTGGGATCCTTCTCTGAACTACCTTGGTTACACTTTCAATGGTACTGCTGTCACGCCCGTATCAGAACGTGAGGAAGAACTGGGCACCGAGTGGCTAGATTATCTCGGTCGCTGGGGCGACAAACAGCTGAAGTGGAACGATCCACGGCAGAAATGGTGTCCTGTGCAATGGCGTTTCATCGATGGACCAAGAGGACCCTTGGCTAAAAACCTTGACCGTACTGGACTTTGTCAGCGTAGCAAGTGGTGGAATTTTTGGGACGGATGTCCTGCCAGAAGAAGCATCAAGCGTGGACAGGGCCTGGATGCCGAGCACAACGACTTGGTTGGTGACAACTGTGGGATCCTGCTATACAGGATTCGTCCAAGATTTCTGCGCTCTCTCGCTAGACTAGTTATGTGGCGTGGTGTGGCATGCTTTACGATGGATTATTTTACAGGGTAAGAATTCAAGTAGGTTTAAAGATAACTAATTTTAATGAGGATTGGCATCGACAAATTCGGCATAGTTTATTTTGAGAGTGCGCTGCAAGTACTGGTGTGCCTTTCCAGACATGCGGCCAGAATCTGCCTACTAGAAATCCCGATGACCGAAAGCCACAACCTCTCTCTGCTCTAAACTTCACGTATCCAGATGTCTTTTCACTAAGGCTTGTGAGTATCAAAAGGCTTTTCTTCAGCCAAGTTTGTAGAGTATACACTCTTCGATCTCATATTCGTCCCACAAACGCTCCGCATTTGCCGCCGAAGGCACTTGCTTCTGCATGATTCTGGAACGTTCTGGAAGAATCTCCGAAAATCTTGGAAAAGAACTGACGTAATCAATGACAGAATATTCGAGAGACAGGTAGACCACCCGAGAACACTGACAAATGACAAATGGATGACAATAGAAAGGATAGGCCCGGAGGCGTTTGAGTGTATTTAATGGACTGCCGCTTCTGTTTTATTATAGTATTGTTTGGTTCAAAATTAATTCTCAACTCAGGAATAACTAATCCAATCATCAACTAACCAACATTGGTACTCAAACAAAGTAATAAAATCAGCATGTTTCCATTCGGTCAATCCCCCTGTGTTTACGAACGCCAACCTGCTTACGAGACATTTGCCCCATTTGCAATTGTCCCTGGAAACAAAAAAAGAAGAGTGTGTCAACAGTCGCCCCACCGCGCCAGTCTTCCCAGAGGCCGGGATTCGGTGAACTTTGACATCACTGAAGAAAACGACCAGTATGTGGTCTCGATTTACAAGCAGGTCAGTGAAAACTTGCTGTCCGATGCTGTTTGTCGTTATTTGCAAAAATTGAAAGAGACCCGCGCTCCAACCTACCATGTTGTCAGAGACTTTTTTGGCAACGAATACTATGTGGAAGACGAACAAGACGAAGCTGCATTTGTAAGAGAGGCGATGGCCAATCTAGACATGGCTTCGATCCAACGTCAAGCCGCGAAGAACAGTTTCAAAGACTATGAAATAATTTTGAACCATAGAGGTGACGAGCTTGTATTGTCAAGCCGTAGGGACAATATATACAAAGAATTTGCACTAGGCGTGGAATTTGAGGATATATGTGTCAATGGCTTTGAGATGGTGAGCGAGAATGTAGCGGCATTGAGAATCGGAATCAAAAAGCCCATTCAAAAGGCAGCTATTCTTCCACTTGAGTCAAGAATGATCGGTTGTGACAATGCCACAAGAAAGGCAGTAGTCCTAAGGGATGAGTCTGCTCAAAGAGAAGCTGCTGAAAGAAAAGCTGCTGAAAGAAAAGCTGCTGAAAGAGAAGTCGCTCAAAGAGAAGCGGCTCAAAGAAAAGTTGCTGAGGAAGAAGCTGCTCACAGAATGCTCGTATTACAACAAGAAGTTGCACATCGCGAAGCCGTAATGAGAGAAGCGAAAAGATTACAAGAAGAAGCTTTGAAAGCTGCCGAAGAGACGCGTGCTAGAGAATTACACATGCAGAAGAAAGCTGAAAAAGCTGCCAAGAAGGCCGCTGACCACGCTGCTAAGAATAAGAGGAAACACGCAATCGCCGAGAAAAAAGCGTTCCTGATCGAGGAAAAGAAAAAGCGCCGTGACGAAGAGGCGCGCGAAATGAGCGCTTCGTCGAACACCCATACGCCTTCACGTTCCAGCAGTGCTTCTCCAGTGGTCATCAACATAAACTTCGCTGCACCAACAGGGTCCGAACCGCAGGTTCCTCAAAAACAAGTTTCTCAGCAACTACAAAAAACACGCGGCCGCTCTCACTCGCCAGTACTTGAAGACGTTGACGACGAAGAAGTTGATCGTTACCGCAAATCATTTGAGCGGTCTCCAAGAGGATCTTCGATCATCGATAATCCATAAATAAGGTCTAACAACTGTATAACTAATGATAAATGAAATATAAAAACGAAAAACGAAATGCCTGTTCTTGAAGTGCACTACAGCACGATATATTGTTATAAAAAGTGGCGCGGAGCTCGTCATAAAGTAATCGTTTGGGATGCGTTTGAGTGAGCCTACCTGCATTGTGAACCCTTGTAGAGACGTCTCAATTCTTGACTCAAGGGCATGTTAGGATGATATACATTTGGGTTGAAGGAGCTTGAGCAAGAAAGTTATGAGTGGAGAGGAAAATTCACCTGGACTCGCTGAGCCCTTGAAACGAATATAGAATGAGCAGTCACCAGTCAGGTTTATCGACTTTGATCAAGCTGTCGCACCATATCTACGATAGCGCTGTATAAATATTGACTGGTGGCATAGTGACCACGACGCGATGGTATGAAGTGACAAGAGTCAACTCTGGCTCAACCTGGTAAAATATACCAAATAGCCTGCAGACGGCACTTACATACTAATTTTACATTCAAAATTGCTGGCTATACGACGGAGTTGCCTGAACTGAGTGCTTTATCCAATTTGCAGCTACTGCAATTCCAAGTGCTTTAATTTAGAACAAGAGAGAAGGCTGCTCTTAAACGAATGAGTCTTGGAGAACAAGTAAGATGTTGGGATACCAGAAGCGGGTCGCAAGGTCTACAACTCTCAGTAGAGGTTTGCTTGAAAATGGGCCGGTCAAACGGCGTGTTTGGAAAGAGTTGGTCAAGAGACGTATTTTGAATGAATCTGACGTCGAGCAGAAATAAAGTGGTCGGGCGGTGTCTTAGGGATGGCATAGTCGTACAACGTGTGGTGGTATACTCAAGCAATGTATTTTGGAGGTGACAAGTTAAACGATGCAGTTGGGGTTCGGCTGTCCACCAACGTATTTTGGAGGTAACAAGTCAAACGACGCATCTAGAATTCAGCTGTCCATCAACGCATTTCAATGGTAGTCTCATAACGCTTTCAAATTCAGTAGTCAAGCAACGCCTTCGACTTAAACAGTCAACGTATTTGGGAAGTGACGTGCTCAAAGAACGCTTTCGAACTCAATAGCCCACGTATTTCGGAAATAGAATGCTCTAGCAGCACTGTCAAGCCAATTTTCGCAACGCGGTTCAACTTCGGCCTGTAATGCGATCTTGCTCTACGGTAGTACTTTTATTCATGATAACACAACCACTGTTAAAAAATGATGCTAGCTTCCTCTCTCACTGTTCACAATACCGCTGAGGCTCGCATTATTCAAAAGTGCTACTTACGTGGATGATATGAGAAGAGCAGACATAAAAATAAGTGCGTTTGACCTAAGTATCAGCTGTTTAAGCGTTCCAATTCTGCCACTTCTGCTCTCTTATGCTTGATCTGGCCGTTTTTATTGAGGCACATCTGCGGTAGTAGTGGTTAACTTGCTGAACTGGTCTTTTAAGTATTTCATGATGTATTAGAACAGTATTTATTGGAGTCTGGGATTTTACTTATCTCTCCGTGATTCTCTCGGATCTGAGTCGAGTGGAGTAACTGGTCGGTATTTATATAAAAGTCGTTTGGGCATAGAAGCTATTACTCAGCTTATAATCGTATGGTACATTAGTAAAATCCAATGAGTCATTAATCAACTATCAGACCATCATAGGGTACCGTCTGGTGTTGTCTTCAGTTTAAGAAGATGTATCGCATAAGTCAGCAACTGATCAATGTTTGATGATATCACTTTGTACTATTATGTCATGGCTCTTCGCCATGCAATTGACGCTATCTTGGTAGTAGCACATAGATCCTGACAGTTTTGCGAATTATGTTCTTATGTGAAAGGGTTTTAGGTGGCCGACCATGTTTTCGCATGAAATTAGTCAAGCAAGGCCAAGCGGTACGCAGCCTTCTCTTGAGACGTTCGATGGCTTTCAAGTAAGGTCAAGCGGTATGCAGCGTTCTCTTGGGACGTTTGGTAGCTTTACAGATAGTGCCGGAAGTGCTACAAAGGGCTGAATCGAAGAAGCAAGCACCTACTCGAGCAATTACTAAATAGTGATATTTTATATTTACCCCCATCCTAGATCTTGGAGTGCCAACGACAAAGTATTCGGCTGGCTTTACCTTCTGAAGATAGAGTGGAAACCACCGCAAAGTGGTAAGCGTGTTGAATATGCCCGCGAGCTCTTCAAAGCTGACAGCTTTACGTGGATCACTTTATACTGTTAAGACGCGCGGTTAATCGAATGAACGTATGTATACGCGCAAGAGGACAGAAACACAACCTGCATGCCTCGAGCGGCTTCTTTCATAGATGTTGTAAGTAGTGCGCGCGTACTAGTACGTAGTGTATTCCGTTACAATAGTTCTACTTTGCTCTTTCACTGTTCATAATACTTGCTGAGGGTCGAATTGTTCACTATTATTACTCTCTTCGCATTGTTTGAGATAATACTCTCCTCGCACTGTTACTACTCTCCTCGCACTGTTAAACATTACTACTCTCCTCGCATTGTTAAACATTACTACTCTCCTTGCACTGTTACTACTCTCTCTCACGATACTCCCTGACGCTCATACTGCTCAATAGTACTACTCCTCTCTCTCAACTCTCCATCAATTCGGGCGTGTGGCGTAGTTGGTAGCGCGCTCCCTTAGCATGGGAGAGGTCATCGGTTCGACTCCGGTCTCGTCCAAATTTTATTTTTTTCTTCCCACCACCATTATTTTTATTTTCATTGAATCTCGGCTTTGCGTTCCCGGGTTCCGAATCGCAACGGACTCACGCTCGCTCCCTCCGTTGACGTTTAGTAATCCTCTAATCCTCTTCACCCATGGAACCCACCTGCAAGGCTAAGCCCTGGCGGAGTAACGAAAAATGACAGCATCGCTATGCTACGTACGTTCCCGGGTCACACAACTATTCCGCATGGCCACATGCGAACAGTGCAGCTGAGAAGTGGTATATATGACTGAGGAAAAGTTGTGGGAAACATATATAAGTGGGTACATACGGCATAGGAATTAGGAACACTGCAGGGTGTAATTAGTGCATCTGGTTGAAAACGTCTTCGGAGGATTTCCCGGATTATCTGACGTGCGATAGTACTGTAATCTACTGTTATTTCGGTAGCACACGACGACAACATCAAGATCAACAAGCCTGGAATTCAGTGTTCTGGTAAATTGAACAGTACTCTTATTATTAATATTATTCTGTCGCTCGGTCTCTCTCTCTCTCTCTCTGTCTGGAAAGAAAAAATAGAGATAAAAGAGATTGAAAAGATTGAACAGAAAGGAAAAAGAGAGAAGCAAGAGAGAGGTGAAAGCTAGCGCAGCTTGCGTGTGTGGTTTTTAGTCAGTCCCGTTAGTCCCAGAGGTGCTAGTTGTAGCTCACGTCTGGTGCGCTTCCGTTTAGTGAGAATCCGCAGTTCTCACGTTCGCATCTTTCTCGCATTCGTATAGCGAGAGTGGCAGGCAAATAATTCCCCGAGAGACCCTGGGAAAATCACTGAAAAATTGGGATTTGAGCAAATATCCCGTGGATAGTCTGTGGCTCGTATTTAACAGCACTGGTTAGTATTCGGCCCCCCCTTCTGACTTGCATATGCCCTCCTCAAAATTTAGTCCAATGGACCACGATGCCGCTCACACATTCCAAGACATGCTCTACCACCACGCCCGGGCCATGAGCTATGTGTCGGTGTATTACGGCGTGGAAAACCGCGAAATCAAGCAGCTGTTGACGCAGCTGCTGCATGTGGCACGCGCGGGCCGCAAACTGGTGTTTTTGGGCACCGGAAAGTCCTTCAAAATCGTTCACAAGACTGTGGCCATGCTCACGTCGCTGGGCATCGACGCCCGTGCTTTGCACCCGAGCGAGGCGCTCCACGGCGACATGGGCACCGTACGGCCCGGCGATGCCCTGCTCGTATGTTCCAGTAGCGGCGAAACCCAAGAACTCGCGCTCTTCTTGAAACACGCTCAGGTTGTGCTCCAGCCCGCCGTGAAAGTGCTCGTTACTTCCAGCACCCAATCCGCGCTTCATGCATTGGTGGATTGTGTTTTGTACGTTCCACAACCCGCAGAGTTCAAAGAAAAAACCATCCAACACGGTCTGCCCTCGCCCACCATTTCCACAACTTTGATGCTATCTGTGCTGGACTGTTTCTGTCTCGCGCTCACCGAATTGTATTTCGACGGCAACAGCGACAAACGTCTGGCCTTTTTCAAAGCCATGCACCCAGGCGGCGGAATTGGCAAACAACTGGCCGTGAAACCGGTTTCATCTGATGTTCCGGTTCCCGTTCCTGTCCCTGATCCCGTGGCCACCACGTCCATGGACGATGCGGGGCACATTTCGCTAGACGTTACGGAGGTCGAGTTTCTGCAGTTCATTGTGGAATTCGACTATTGTGTGGTGGACGGTATTCGGTATAGCTCGCATTTATTGCAACATCAGTACCGAGAGTGGAAACGTCACACACGAACGTTCAAACCCAAAACCTTGATGAACGGAGAGTCCTGGAACTTGGCAGCGGTGCTGGCACCACAGGCCACGGTTCATGCTTGAAGTTTGGTGCTCCGGGTGAGAGCTCGAGCCTGACAACGCGAGTCTGAGGATGCGAGTTCAAGGAAAGTTATTCATTTTATAAACCAATCTTGTAAATAATAATGTTTATAAATGACATTTGAGGCATTTGAAGATGTGTATCAAAGAAACCTGCTTTGAGTGACACTTGAGATGTGTGTAACATACATCTCTGTTAACCAAATGATAAGTTTATCATCGGCTTTTGTTTTAGATTTCTGAGGCATTTGACCACTAAATATAGAAGGAATACATACTGAATGTTAATTAGCGCAACTAATATAATAATATGAATTTGAATAAAGCAGAACAATACGAAAGAGCTTTAATATAAAAGATGCAAGTAAAATTACCTATGAAAGAGAGGCTCCAAAGTATGCAAATGTTGACCATAAAGTGTTAATTAATGTGCATGGAATATTATCACTTTGTACCGATGTGTCGGTGCTGTAATGTGCTGAACAATAAGACATGGAGGGATCCGCTTAACACATTGTAGGAAGCGCGGAGCGTTCACGGCCCGGGACATGTAGCATTCTATCGTAGCAAATAGAGTATTGGTGGGAATTTAATTGCACTTGGAGTGTTAAACAATCCGAATGACATCTGGATTTTCTTAAGGCTTAAACGATAGCATCGCTGTACTGGAGTGACTACTCCAGAGTGCGCCTTTGGTCGAGACTTGTATTAAGATGTCCATCGAGGGTGCTAGAAAATTGGGAAGACAAATCGTTTGTGGCTTTTAGTCGTGCTGAAAATATTGAACTTAGCTGCTCTACATACTGGTCTTGGGCTGAGAAACGGTTATCTTAATTTTGGCCGCCATTCTGGGCACTGTTTTGAGGGGGCAGAAAGGGTGGATTGGCTGTAGTGAGAATTGGCTGTAGCGAGAGATGAGTGGATTGGCTGTAGTGAGAAATTGGCTCGAGTGAGAAATGGGCGGATTGGCTGTAGTGAAAAGACACAAATGAAATTGACTGTAGCTCATGTTGGATATGAGTGGATCGTAGTTCCAGTAGTATGGATGGCAGCTCAATTGAAAGAGCATAAAAAGCGGATCGCAGTTCCTCAGTAGGACCGTTGTTCTGTGGTAGTGCCGGTTGTATTTGATGACTTACGTGAGAGACTACAAACTTGTTGTTCATGATACTAATATTTATCAATAGATTACTCCCACTCGCAATACCCGCTAAGGCTCGCACTGTAGTCATTTTACCTGGGAGCTAAAATGACTAGTCTACAACCTTATCTTCGTGACACCACTATTCCACTCGCATCGTTCAGTAGTCTTCCATCCCACCCTACCCCAAGTAGCTCCCGTTTCCCATAGTATTTCAACGAATAGGTACTCTGGCCGAGTGGTTAAGGCGCCAGGTCGAGGTCCTGGTCTCTCCGGAGGCGCGAGTTCGAACCTCGCGGGTATCATTATTTTTTTACTTTCCAGCTTGAAACTTTTTATTTCGTTTTTTTCTCGCTCTCTCGCTTTTTTTTCCGCATTTGGTGCTAAAGCCCAACTAATAATAGCGTTGATGAGCTCTGTAGTATGTAGAAACGAAACCACGAACGCGACGCAAATAGCTATTTTTCCATATCGATGCTCTGCACCTTGCCGTAGTAGTGGCCACCCACTTACGCGCTTCGCGCGCTCTTACTGCGTCTTGTGTTTGCTTCTTGCACCATGGGGTCTGTCGCTAGCTTTTCCCGTCACTACGGCCAACCTGACATTCCCAAGTACCAAACCGGGAAATTTCGTCAGAGTGCCCAAAGTAGAGACGCCCTCGATAGCTGGCTAGCTGAAGATCGAGCAAGAGGGCTTCGATTTTCGATTGTGCGTGCAAACGGCTCTAGTGAGCGCCTCTTTTTTTTCTATAGGGCTCGCCCTCTCTCTGTGTCTGAGTCTGTCTCCGTCTCTCACCAGTACGGCGAAACTTTACTGGCGAAACTGTCGCGGTCTCTGTCCCAGCTTTCGTTTTTCAAATTTAAGCCACCGCAGATAGTTTTACACTGGACGACTGACAAGGGACAAGACAAATACACTATAAGCCAAAACAACGCCGCTCGCTCGCCCACTCGCTCGCTCAGCTTCCCGCAACAGTTCCCCAGGCTCTACTCATCTTCTGCCGCGTTCCAGCCGCTTTTCTCCAGCTTTCTCCAGCTCTTTGTCAAGAAACTCGCTCCCCTGGCACCCACAGCAAGACCGTGTCGTTCGGAACCCAAAACTCAAGCTTTTTGGACCGTCCCGCCCCACTCGCTAATCCCGGCTACACACTACACAACACACAGCACACAGCCCGATAATACATTCGTGGTGTGTTTCGCTCGTGCTCATTGATTTTTACATTCGCTCTAGCTCTGCTTTCATTGCATTACCTCATTTTTTTCTAATTTTTCTCAGTTCCGGTTTACTGAATCAAGAATTTCAAGAATTTCAAGAATTTCATTAATTTCCCATCTTCATTCCAGAGGCTTGTACGCAACCGGAACTTTTCAACACAGGCAACTAGTCAACAGCAGCGAAGAAAAACAGTGCTTCAGTCTTCAGAAACAGTGACCCTAGTTTCTACCACATCTCAGTTTTCTCGCCATGTCGGTGCGGAACCTCACGGATAAACACTCGGGAGACAGCTCGAACTCGTATTCGAGCGAAAACCTCCCACGCTCGCAGCCGGCGTCTGCGCCCCGCAACCCGTTTTCAGACGACGCTGAGGACGACACGTATGGCTCCTACAGCGCCAGCGACACCTCGCTGATCCACCACGACGACCCAGCGAATGAGTCCCGCGACGTGTCTGATTACAAGGGCTACTATTCTAAAGGACCGGCCAGCGCGCGCCAGGGTCCCAGAACTGGCAACAGCAGGTCCCAGGGCCAAGCCCAGGCGGCGCCAGCGGCGCTGCCTTCCAGCACAAGCCTCAGCTCCCACATGGGCATCTCCAACAACGATATCACCGCTCCGCCCGGTTTCGATCGATACCCAGTCGTGGGCTCCAGAGTCGCCTCCATGACTCCCGCAGCAGGCGGCGTCGGGATCGCTGGGGCCGCTGGAGCCTCAGCTGCCAATCACCACGGTCACAGCAGCAACAACAACTCCTCCACATCCATTACATCCTCGGACCCTTTCATTAGCGACCAGGACTTCTCGCCCTTTGGCGGCTACCCAACGTCCTCATTTCCACTCCATCTCGACGAGAAAGAAGATGACGACTATTTACACAACCCGGACCCAGAAGAAGAGGCTCGGCTCGATAAGCACCGGTTTGTGCTCGATTTCAAGAATATGGACAAAAAATCTGCAGGTGGATACATAAGTTTCCTGCTACTATTCCTTGGAGCCATCGCCGTTTTCGTGATCCTGCCGGTCCTTACTTTCACTGGTGCTACCGATCATACCGCTCCAGAGACCATAACTTATCTATCATTGTACGAGTATCCCCAATTATCAGCCATCCGTAAAAACTTGGTGGATGATGATACTCCGGATTCAGTCAAAAGCTTCAAAGCTAAAGATGGTTCTACTTGGCCTCTAGTATTTTCAGATGAATTTAACGCCGAAGGTAGAAGTTTCTACGACGGAGACGATCAATTCTGGACTGCTGTGGACATTCATTACGATGCTACCCATGATTTGGAATGGTATTCTCCCGACGCTGTGACTACCGCAAATGGTACTTTGAAGCTAAGGTTGGACGCGTACAAGAACCACGGCCTATACTACAGATCTGGTATGGTACAAAGTTGGAACAAGATGTGTTTCACGCAAGGGTATATCGAGGCTTCGGCAAATTTGCCCAATTACGGGCGTGTAATGGGTTTATGGCCCGGTATGTGGACTATGGGTAACTTGGCTAGACCTGGTTATCTAGCATCCACCGAAGGTTTGTGGCCTTATTCTTATTCTTCCTGTGATGCTGGTATCACTCCAAATCAAAGTTCGCCAGATGGTATTTCCATGTTACCTGGTCAGCGATTGGCTGCGTGCACATGCGACGGCGAAGACCATCCAAATCAAGGTGTTGGTAGAGGTGCCCCCGAAATCGATATCATCGAAGCCGAAACAGATACAACAATCGGTGTTGGTTTGGCCTCTCAGTCGCTGCAAATCGCCCCATTCGATATCTGGTACATCCCGGATTATGACTTTGTGGAAATTTACAATTCCTCAGTTACAGTAATGAACACTTACTGCGGTGGTCCTTTCCAACAAGCCGTTTCCGCGGTCTCGACTTTAAATACTACTTGGTACGAGTTCGGTCCCGATGCAGGTTACTTCCAATCTTACGGTTTCGAATACATGAATGACGAGGAAAATGGTTACTTGAGATGGTTTGTTGGGAATAACCCAACGTACACAATTTATTCCAAAGCCTTACACCCTAACGGTAATATTGACTGGAGATTGCTCAGTAAAGAGCCCATGTCTGTTATCATGAATTTGGGTCTGTCCACCAATTGGGCTTACATTGATTTCAACTCCATCTTCTTTCCAGTTACGATGAGTATCGATTATGTGAGAATATATCAGCCTTCGAACGCTACTAGTATCAATTGTGACCCCGATGATTATCCAACTTATGATTACATTCAAGATCATTTGAACGCTTACAGTAACCCTAATCTAACATCTTGGGAGGCCGCCGGCTATACTTTCCCCAAAAACACTCTGACAGGGCAATGTTCGAGCTCAAAGTTCAAAAGCAGTAACTCCTAATAAGAGTACTGGCATCTGCATAAAATCATAAATCGGGAAGGAAAACATAACTTAAATGAAACAAAAAATACAAGTCAAACATCATTGACCTGGGGAAGAATAACTTTAGTACGTCAACACAAGGAGCTTTCGCTACTTTGTTGTGGAACGGGGCATACCTGAGCTGAGCCATTCCTATTTTAACATCCATACATCGATAGGAACAGCATTTAACGCTTTGTCGTGGCAAGATATGTTCAGTTGTGAAGTGTATAGAAAATGACGTCTGTACTAGTAAATAGGCCATATAAATTGAGGTAAATTGGTCTGGATATCTCTTGACTAGTACTATTCATATCTATAATAACTACGTCTTATTTAATGCATAAATCATGTGGCTAAGTATCCACTATATATTGTTTTTCTTGGCCAACTCCTTCAACGAAAAGCGCAAGTGGTTTAGTGGTAAAATCCAACGTTGCCATCGTTGGGCCCCCGGTTCGATTCCGGGCTTGCGCATTTATTTTTGCCAGTTTGACTCTCTCAATTCAAGAAACAACCACGTATCTGGGATCGGTTTCAAGTACACAATGCTAAGGTGCGCCTAAGACTCCTGTCAAATGTTTGCGGTGTATAGCTTTCTCTCAACGGTGGTTTTATTATCTTTTCAATTGTATGTAACAACAGCGAAAAAAATAAACCACATCGCCAACCTCTCGAAACTGAAAACCTGCACGCGCCATACTCATACAACGTAACCTAGTGTGTTCGGTTGGTAGATAGCGCTAAAGATGTCTTCGCCGCCACAAAATACAGATACACTGCCAAGTTCAGCTTTTGACGATGGATTACATGATTCGCTTGGGAATAGAATGAACATCCCATCGTCAGTACCGCCTGCACACCACTCTTCACCTCCTTTTTCGTCAATGAGTGAGAATTACGCCGGAGAACCAGGCTCAGGCCCTGCTGGAGCAACACCAGTGTTTCCTAGCTCATCGAGGTCCATGGGGGCTCCAAATAGATCATCACAAATGCAAATGGATAGTAGTGAGCATTTCGAAAGGGAAAGAGGCGACGAAGCAGAGTTCGAAGAGAACAATTTGCCTCTAGACGGTGTTAGAACACGAAATCTGAATACTATCAAAAAGGTTGATGACGTTACGGGTGAGAAAGTGCGCGAAGCGTTCGAGTTTTTCCTCGAAGATTTCACGGTCGAGTCCGATGATGATACGCAAGAACCACATACAGTGAAAGCTTACCGCTCACAGATACAATTCATGAAAATCTATGATCTCAACACTATTTACATTGACTACCAGCACTTATCTACACGGGAGAACGGGGCGTTGGCAATGGCCATTGCTGAGCAATATTACCGGTTTTTGCCCTTCTTGCAGAAAGGCTTGAAGAGAGTCATTCGCAAGTACGCTCCTCAGTTACTGCTGACGTCGGATTCGGTTAACTCTCAAACTACGGAAAATCTCGATACTCAAACCAACGTGGATCCTGATTCTTTAGCTCAGGATAGCCAGAGTACTGGCGTAACAGGTGGGAGGGTTGGGAACTCAAGCTCTGGATTTGCCACCGGCGCTTCGACAGTGCGGTCGCCTGAACAAACTGAGAGAGTATTTCAGATAAGTTTTTTCAATATGCCAACGGTACAGCGCATTCGTGACGTAAGGGCAGAAAAGATCGGCTCTTTAATGACGATATCTGGAACTGTAACAAGAACCTCAGAAGTTCGTCCTGAACTTTACAAGGCAAGTTTTACCTGTGAGATGTGCCGCGCTATTGTTGACAACGTTGAACAAGTCTTTAAATACACAGAACCAACTTTCTGTCCCAATCCGTCTTGCGAAAATCAAGCTTTCTGGACATTGAGTGTTGGCAGATCAAAATTCTTGGATTGGCAAAAAGCAAGGATTCAAGAGAATGCGAATGAGATTCCAACGGGATCTATGCCTAGAACCATTGACGTGGTACTGAGAGGCGATTGTGTTGAGAGAGCCAAACCTGGTGACAGATGCAAGTTTACAGGAACAGAAATAGTCGTGCCTGATATTACTCAACTGGGCTTACCTGGCGTAAAACCAAGTGGTTCAACGGATAATCGAGGAATGGCTAGAAGTTCAGATGGTTTGAATAATGGCATAAGTGGTTTGAAATCTCTAGGTGTAAGGGACCTCACATACAAGATTAGTTTCTTAGCATGTCACGTCATTCCCACTGGAAAGGACAACACTGACGTATCAAACCCAGAAAATGCCGATTTGCTCAGCATGCAAGTCAACAATGCAAGCAACGACGGTGAGAGAGATCAAGAAATCTTTTTAAACAGTCTTAACTCTCAAGAGATCAATGAATTAAAAGAAATGGTAAAAGATGAGCAAATATACGACAAGCTGGTAAGATCCATCGCGCCCGCAGTTTTTGGACACATTACCGTTAAAAAAGGTGTTCTTTTACAGATGCTCGGTGGTGTACATAAGACAACTGTGGAGGGTATTAATTTGAGAGGTGACATCAATATTTGTATTGTTGGTGATCCATCGACTTCAAAATCTCAATTTCTCAAGTATGTCTGTAGCTTTGCCCCTAGAGCTGTTTACACATCTGGTAAAGCTTCCACTGCTGCCGGTTTGACGGCAGCAGTGGTCAAAGATGAAGAAGCGGGTGATTTCACCATTGAAGCAGGTGCCCTTATGTTGGCTGATAACGGTATCTGTTGTATTGACGAATTCGACAAAATGGACATTTCCGATCAAGTGGCCATTCATGAGGCAATGGAACAGCAGACTATATCCATTGCTAAAGCCGGTATCCATGCTACTTTAAATGCCAGAACTTCGATTCTCGCTGCTGCAAACCCCGTGAGTGGTAGATACAACAGGAAACTCACACTACGAGGTAACTTGAATATGACGGCACCTATCATGTCGAGGTTTGATCTCTTCTTCGTGGTGTTGGACGATTGTAATGAGAAAATTGACACCGAACTCGCCGCGCATATTGTTGACTTGCACATGAAGAGAGACGAAGCGATAGACCCACCATTCAGTGCGGAGCAATTGCGTCGTTACATCAAGTATGCTAGAACTTTTAAGCCAGTGCTGAACGAAGAAGCCAGAAACTACCTGGTGGACAGATACAAAGAGTTGCGGAAAGATGACGCCCAGGGCTTCAGTAAGTCGAGTTACAGAATCACTGTGAGACAGTTGGAGAGTATGATTCGGCTGTCAGAGGCTATTGCGAGGGCTAACTGCGTGGACGAGATCACGCCGAATTTCGTTGCCGAAGCTTACGAATTGTTGCGGCAGAGCATTATTCGCGTCGACGTTGAGGACGTGGACGTGACTGCGGAATCTGACGATGATGAAGGCGACGACAACGAACATGCTACAGGTTCGCGCGGCGGTCGCGGTGGAGATGGTGGAGATGGCGGTAGCAACAACGAGGGTCCTGACAGAGGTACCGATGGCCGTCACAGCGACGACGATACCCGCAACACGCTCCCTGCTGCAGCGGCAGCACAGGATGCTGCGCAGCAAGGGCCCAAACCCAAAGTGACCATCTCCTACGACAAATACGCTGCAATGATCAACCTGATCGTGCAAAAAGTGGCCCAGGAAGACCGCGACGGTGGTGCCGAGCTTACTGCTGCCGACATCGCCGACTGGTATCTGTTACAGAAGGAAAGCGAACTGAACAGTGAGGCTGAGTACTGGCAGGAGCGCAAGCTAGCGTTCAAGGTCGTCAAGAGGCTCGTCAAGGACAAGATTTTGATGCAAGTGCACGGAAACATGCAGGCTCTGGCAGAGCACGAGTCTGCCCACCCGACCTCTGAGAGAATCGTCTACGTGATCCACCCCAACTGTGCGGTGCTGGACAACATCGTGGGTTCCTCCAGACAGGAGTAGACCTGGAGAACTCAAGGTTTGCATTAGGCCCTGTTCCAGGAAGTACTCGTACCCGTACCCGTACTCGTACTCACCATCAACCACGAGTACTCGTATAGAATATCCGCTCATTCGTTTTGAACTTCAACTATCTTAACAAGGGACAACTTTACAACAGGGGGTAAATGCTTACCAACGTGCCCCGGGACCGGAAAGCCGGCAATCGGAAAGGGTTTTAGTTCAGAATGCTTGTAATATGAGTATAAAAAGGACAGACCGACGACAATTGAGTATTCGCTGGTCAATTTAGCTCGAGACCACTAACGCGAAAATAGGTGATTGCGTCTTGTCAACTCAGGGTATCTCAGTCTTTTCTTAACGCGTAGTGTACACAATGCTCAGTGGAAGAAGACCTAGTGTGAACAAAAGTCTGTCTAGCGAACTGATTTCCGAAGATCCCAATGCTCCACATGTTCCTCGTCTCACCAGGAGACTGACGGGGTTTTTACCACAGGAAATCAAGGCGATCGAAACAAATATTCCGGTTCAATCGCGAGAGCTGTGGAACAAACACAAGGTCAAGAAGTTTAGCACGGGCGAAGAGTTCGAGGAAAAGTTTATCTCGCACGTGGAATGGACGCTGGCACGCTCGCTGTACAACTGCGATGATTTGGCGGCGTACCAGGCTACCTCGCAATCGGTGCGCGACAATCTGGTCATTGACTGGAACAAGACGCAGCAGAGACAAACTGCTCGCGGCGGGAAACGAGTTTATTACCTGTCGCTCGAGTTTTTGATGGGCAGAGCGTTGGACAACGCGCTGATCAACATGCGCACTGACACCTCTACCGAGGATGTGGGTGAGACTGACGAGACTTTGACCAAAGGCAACACCTCGCGGGAAATGATCAAAAACGCTATGAAGGAATTGGGCTTCAAGCTTGAAGACATCCTGGAGCAAGAACCGGATGCTGCGCTCGGTAATGGAGGACTGGGCCGGTTGGCCGCTTGTTTTGTGGACTCCTTGGCCACCGGAAACTACCCCGCATGGGGATACGGATTGCGCTACCAATACGGTATTTTCGCGCAAAAAATTATCAATGGCTACCAGGTTGAGACCCCGGACTACTGGCTCAATTTCAGTAACCCCTGGGAGATCGAGCGTGCGGAGATTCAGGTTCCTATCAACTTTTACGGGTACGTTGATCGTCCTCAAGGCGAGCAATCGACACTCGCGCCCTCCGACTGGATTGGCGGGGAAAGAGTCCTTGCAATGGCCCACGATATGCCCATCCCCGGGTTCAAAACCTCGACAGTCAATAACTTGAGATTGTGGAACGCGAAGCCAACCACTGAATTCGATTTTTCCAAGTTCAACAACGGTGACTATAAGAATTCGGTTGAGCAACAACAGCGTGCTGAGTCAATCACCGCTGTTCTTTACCCTAATGACAACTTTGAACAGGGTAAAGAATTGCGTTTGAAACAGCAGTACTTTTGGTGTGCGGCTTCGTTGCATGACATTGTGAGAAGATTCAAGAAAAACAAAAGGCCGTGGTCTGAATTCCCAGATGCCATTGCGATTCAATTGAATGACACTCACCCAACAATGGCCATTGTCGAGTTACAGAGAATCTTGGTGGATTTAGAAAAGCTCGACTGGCACAAGGCTTGGGATATTGTGACCAAAACTTTTGCCTACACCAATCACACGGTTATGCAAGAAGCATTGGAAAAATGGCCAGTCCAACTACTGGGCCGCTTGTTGCCAAGACACATGGAAATCATTTACGATATCAATTGGTTCTTTTTGCAGTCTGTTGAGAAGAGATTTCCGCATGACATGGACTTGTTGTCCCGTGTATCTATTATCGAGGAAGCAGCAGGTGACAGACAGGTTCGCATGGCCTTCTTGGCGATCATTGGATCCCACAAAGTCAACGGTGTTGCAGAACTACACTCTGACTTAATCAAATCGACTATTTTTCAGGACTTTGTCAAAATCTATGGCGCTAACAAGTTCACAAACGTGACGAACGGTATTACTCCTAGAAGATGGTTGAAGCAAGCTAACCCTAAGTTGGCGCAGCTAATAAGCGAAACAATCAATGACCCTAATGACGACTACTTGCTTGATATGTCAAAGCTGACGGAACTATCCAAACACGCGGAGGACGAATCATTCCAAAAGAAATGGAATGACGTTAAGCAATTCAACAAATTGAGACTTGCGGATTTGATCAAACGTTTGAATGGTGGTGTCGATATCATTGATAGAGAGCACATTAGAAACACTCTCTTTGACATTCAAGTGAAACGTATTCACGAATATAAACGTCAACAAATGAACATTTTTGGTGTGATTCATCGGTATTTGGAAATGAAAGAGCTGTTGGAGGCAGGATCTTCAATTGAAGATGTCGCTGAAAAGTATCCTCGTAAAGTATCAATATTCGGGGGTAAAAGTGCACCTGGATACTATATGGCCAAATTAATCATTAAACTGGTCAACTCTGTTGCCGAGGTAGTGAATGGTGACACTGAGATTCAGGACTTGCTCAAAGTGTTTTTCATTCCTGACTACAATGTATCAAAGGCAGAGATTATCACCCCTGCCAGCGACTTGAGCGAGCACATCTCAACAGCGGGCACTGAGGCCTCTGGTACCTCGAACATGAAATTTGTAATGAACGGAGGTCTAATCATAGGTACCGTGGATGGCGCCAACGTTGAAATCACCCGTGAAATTGGAGAAGACAATATTTTTTTGTTCGGGAACTTGAGCGAAAACGTGGACGAACTTCGCTACAATCACCAATTCCACAGCTCAGCACTTCCAGAGTCGCTCCTTAAGGTTATGGATGCAGTCGAAAACGGCGCGTTCTCGACCGAGAATATCTCGGAATTTAAGCCCCTGATCGACAGCATCAAGCACCAAGGCGACTACTACCTAGTAAGCGATGATTTCGAATCTTACATTGCAACACAACATCTTGTGGATCAAGTATATCACAAAGAGAAAAAGGAGTGGCTGAAGAAGAGTGTATTGAGTGTTGCAAATGTTGGGTTTTTTAGCAGCGACAGATGCATTGAGGAATACGCCGAAACTATATGGAATGCCGAACCCGTGAAACCAGAGTAAGAAGAATTATTGATATACAACTTTAACAATGCCATAAATGCCATATTTTGGCTTTGTGAACAAGTAACTAAGTAAATTTGTCATTACTGTATAGCCGAATTGACAGTCATGTTACCCTTCAGGAAACTCCAGTTTTTGCTCGAGTCACCGCTCCGTGGTAATTTCCTTTTAAGTCTAGTGCGGGGTCGAGGTCCTTAATTTCACTTTCCATGCCTCGGTGCCGTAAAACCGGCTTGGCGAAGCAGCTACCTTTTGCCGAGAAAGCGAACAATTCTTAATGACGGCAAATATAATACTCTTGTTCTTGGCGGAGTTGTTTCTTTGAGTCACAAAGCGGTTGATAGATGACAATGAGACAAGCTTGGAAGTCCGGACGAAAACCAGTTTGTAAAGAAAACGGCCACACGGTTCCAGAATTACAGCTATGACAGACCGCTTGGTTTAGAGGTTTGGGAATCAATCCGCATATAGATGAATGTATATATAGAGGAAATGCCGGGAAGAAAGGACGCAATGTCGAATTAAGGCCCTTGAGCTCAAATCTTCAGTAGCATGCTGACTACCAACGCAGTTTCGACGTCCGACTCGTTTATAGAAAGAGAGATCAATCAAAGCTATAATAAAGAGAGACCTCGGCCGCAGCATGAGTTGTCGCTCGATGAGGTGCGGGAATACTTCAAATCGCGTTTCACTACGCTTTTCCCCACGAAACGAATCCTCAAGGAAAATTGGGCCAAGTATCCGTGGAATCCGTTTCCGGCTTTGGGGCATATGAATGCTAGGCAAGTACAGTTCTTCCTGGTAGGATTTTTGGCGTGGACCTGGGATGCCCTTGACTTTTTCGCGGTGTCCCTCAACATACCAGAGATCGCTGAAGACCTCGGCAAACCCATCAAAGACGTTACTCACGCCATTACGTTGGTACTACTGCTACGCGTGGTGGGCGCAGTTATATTTGGCTACCTGGGTGACCGCTTCGGAAGAAAAATGCCATATTGTCTTTCCATGTTTCTCATTATAGTGGTACAGATAGGAACTGGGTTTGTAAAAAGTTTTCCCGCCTTTCTAGGTTGTAGAGCACTCTTCGGGGTCATAATGGGGTCTATCTTTGGCGTTGCCAGCGCCACCGCTCTAGAAAATGCGCCAGAAGAGTCCAAATCTATTTTGTCCGGTATATTCCAAGAAGGATACGCCCTTGGCTACCTTTTGGGTGTAATATTCAAGCGAGCAATCGTTGATAATTCTCCATATGGCTGGAGGTCTTTTTTCTGGTTCAGCGCCGGACCTCCAGCTCTTTTCATCGTTTGGAGGCTGCTTCTTCCCGAATCTGATGCCTATGTCAGAAGAAAGTTAGACGCTTCAGAAAAGAACACACAAATTACACGTAAATCTGAATCGTCTCGCTTTTGGAAAAACGTCAAGCTAGCTCTCATTCAGCACTGGATAACGTTGATTTATCTGGTAATTTTGATGGCTATGTTCAATTTCTCTTCGCATGGTTCCCAAGACCTGTTCCCAACAATGCTAACGCAACAGTACAGCTATTCGGAAGATGCTTCGACTGTCACAAATGCAGTAGCAAATATTGGAGCTTTAGTCGGCGGTATCATTGTAGCCCATATCTCGTCTTTCATAGGACGCCGATGTGCCATTGTATTGTGCTGTTTAGGAGGTGGAGCCTTACTATACCCTTGGGGGTTTACGGCTAGCCCCCAAGGACTCAATCCAGCAGTCTTTTTCCTACAATTCTTTGTGCAAGGTGCTTGGGGTGTCGTACCAATTCATTTAACAGAGCTTTCGCCGGTCGAGTTTCGCGCTTTCGTCACTGGAGTTGCTTATCAGATGGGTAATATGATCAGTAGTGCTTCTTCAACAATCGAGGCTAGCATAGGCGAAAGATTCCCAATCGAGGGTAAGGAGGGAGCGTACGACTATGGGAAGGTGATGTGCATTTTCATGGGATGTGTTTTTGCTGGTCTGCTAATCACAACAGTGCTGGGTCCAGAGAACAAAGGTGGAGAAGTGGTGGTTGATGAACATGTTCTCGGTGCCCGGGGTTCAATGGAGAATAATGACGGTTACGACTTGGAGCGCCGTGGATCCATAGAAACTTGCAGATCGGAGTATAAACCAGTTTTTGAATATGTCGCAGACGTCGACGCTGAAAATATTTCTAATGACCGGTCTCCTTACTCCAGTCGCTAATTCAACTTATCGTTCGTTTATTTTTCGAGCTTAGATTTAGTACAAAGCACACTAGATACTCCTTGTCTCGCTACCTACTAAATGCCATTTTTGATGATAATTGTATCAACCACTCTCTGTTTAACTGATTGAATAATTAACTTCACCTCCAAAAAATTCCGTATATATACCAAGATGTTAATTCATCCTCTTTTTCTTTCAATGGAAACTAGAATTGAAACTCCTCCTTTAGAGCAATACCAAACCTTTGAATGCCCTCCTTGAGTTTGTCCAGAGGAACAGCTGCGTAAGTACCTCTGAAGAAAATACCGTTTGGATCCAATTCTTTCTTACTTTCTGCAGGTTGGGGTGGTTGAGTATCACCGGAAGCTTTGAACCAAATACCTGGAACCACTAAAACACCACTCTTGATTACCTTGTCGTAAATTGCTTGCTCCACAAGCTCAGGCTTAGATTGATATTTGGTGGCGAACTCGGGGTGCGCAGATGCATCAATATTGACAGTGAAGAACATACCTGCAGTTGGTGGATTAACGCGCAAGGCAGGAGTTTCTGGCAGGTACTCGTACAAGGCATCGATGGCGACATCGCGCTTCTCATTGTATTCACGACGTAGGCCAATCAACCAATCCAAGAACCCACCTTGTCCCCAACGATTCAACGTACCGGCCACAATAGCTTGACTGAATCCGGAGGGATTTTGTATAGTCATTTCGTGCAGTTTAATGTAAGCCTGCAAGATTTTCTTGGATGCGACAATCCAACCCAATCTGGTACCTGGTCCTAAGACCTTGGAGAAAGAGTCCATCCTTATGACACGGCCTTCAGTGTCCATAGAGATGAAGGATTTAGCTAGAGAACTGATGAAATCTGAGTGAGAGGCGAATTCAGTCTCCTTTCTTTGTGAGACGTCTTTTTGGTACGCATCCATTTGCAAAAAGTAGTATGGTTCATCTTCTAGGATGAGCAAGTCGTGCTTTTGGGCAATGCGGTAGATTGCGACCTTACGTTCATCGCTCATCGAAGAACCAGTTGGGTTTTGACCCGTAGGAATGGTGTACAATATTTTAGGTTTTTTGGTTTCTGGATTCCAGTTGTCCAAAATAGTCTCTAGTCTTTCTGGAATCAACCCATGCTCGTCTAGAGGCACTGGGAACACGTTAATGCCCTGTGCTTCAGCCGCGTAGATAGATGAGGAGAAAGTGTATTGTTCGGCCAAGATGGTGTCTCCTCTGTTGCAGAAGATTCTGAGGGTGGACTCCCATGAACAGGTGTTACCGGTGGTGGCCAAAACATCCCAGTCGGAGTATTTCATGTTGTGAATGAGCTGGGTGTGGTCTCTTACAAAAGACAAGAGTTCGGGCTGGCCCATGCTGAAGCCGTATTGCAGCGCACGCGAAAGTTGGATATCGTTAGTGTCGCCAGCCTTCGTGATTTCATTTTTCTTGACTTCGACGTGGCACGTATCCTTGTCGTCGCCGGAAGGAGACTCACCAATCCCGTTCACGAATGGAGGCAGTGGCGACTCAATCTGTAGGTTGTCCCAAGGAAAGTACTTGCTCAAGGGCAGACCACCTCCTAAAAAGACGATGTTAGGGTCCTGGAACAGGTGGATACAGGTTTTTAGCGGCGACGACTTGCGAGCCTTGGTCTCCTCCGAGAAATGATGCGAAAAGTCTAGAGATTCACCAACAGTCATTTTCGAAACGTGAAATGTTGATTGATATGATACAGCAGCAGTTAGGTTTCCACGGCAGATATGCGATTAGCAGGGTAGCTTTAAGGACGTATTGGTCGAAATTGACAGAGTGCTCTTAAATAAGAGTTTCCTAACTTTTCCCACGTTTGATGTATTACTCAAGTGCTAGCTTGAACAACTGAACCGATTTGAAGTTTCCGCCCCAAAAGTATGAGCTTTGCGGAAAAAGACGACAACACCTTTTATAAAATAAGGCCCGAGGAGTCACACTGCGATATACAGTAACCCAAGTGAAATTTTTCTGATTACTCACACTATCTGCCTGCTGACAAGCGAGACAATTCGATTCTTTTGCCAGGCCTCGAAAAGAGCCTCACATTTAAAGCACTATGCACGGGAGATAGCGCAGATAAGCGACAAAGGAAAAAATCGCCGACGCCCCAAAACGGCAATACCTGATCTTATGGGAGTCACGCACAAAGCACGCGATTATCACGTGTGTTGGGTTTCACGCCAAGCACAACGACGGGAGACGATGGGAGACGATGGGAATGTTGAGCAAGTGCTGTAAATGCTCCGAGTCAAGCGAGCAGTGTCTGCAGAGTTCTCCTGGCTCGAAACTCATTTTGGCGCTTATCAACGGCAAAAGCGACACGCTGTTGCTTTCTCGCTTAAACATGTGGGTAGTTGTGACGCGCCAAGCCTCATGGATAGTCTTTGGCTCTTCGTTGAGGAATTGGCCGTCGAGTTCTTTTTCAGTTTCGCGTTCCATCAGCCCCTGGCGTTCGTGTGACTCAATTACGATGCTTGACTTTTTCTTCACAGCAACGTGCTATTGCCGTCATCCAGCCTCGAGAGTTCTGCTTTGAATGAGTACCTCAATGATGGGAGCATTCTTTCAGTTAATGTTGTGTAGCCGCCAGCAGACAATAAGACGTATACAATTCGTCGTTGAACATATATATATATATATATATATATGTCAGTTTAGTACACAATGATATATAACTACGCGCGTTTCTGCTGTTTAGAATATCGTACTGTGTGGCCATGCCATCGTTGTTAGGCAATCCACTTTATAGCTGGCGCGCTCTGGTAGAGAAAGCCGACAAGCCAGGGCGGTCCTTCAATGCTCTGGTTTGAGCAAAAAGGAACGCTAATATGAAAGAGAAGCTTGTAAAATCACGGAGCTATCAGTATTAGTCGTGCTTGATACACAGTGTGTTTCCTGCTTGATTGTAGTTTATTCAGGTTCGAACGCTCAGATTGCACGAGGAAATATTGCTCAGTCAGAAAAGAAGCGTCAGCTTGGAATCGGGAATCAATAATATATGGACAGAATCTCCTCTGTGGGAGACCTGCTAACTGACGGAGCATATTCATTGACAGAGCATACTAATCGACACAGCCTATATGGCATAAAGAAGCCTCCTGAAGTTGGCCAAATCTTAGACTTAACCTATTTTTAACAAATTTACTTACTCGCTAGGATTGTGACTTCCAAGCGCCCAAGAAGTATTGAAGAAAGAGCCTCAAAAACTGACATGCTTATAACAGAAAGCAAACTATTACAAACTCAAAAAGTGGAGGGGCAGCTTGTAATGTTGAACTTTTGATAATTTATACCATTCGCTTCAATGTAGCATACTCTCTCTCTCTCTCTCTATACACACTTGGCCCAAAGCAACGCTGATAGTCAAGTATCCCAGGTACTGATATTAAAACTTCGAACACTTCTGGCCAAATATTTCGCTTAAGAAGACGGACACCAAAAGTCACTACATACGAAAGGTTTATAAATATAACGACAGGTACTTCAATTTCCATCTCTACCAACAATCTTTACAACAAACTCATCAGGACTAGCACTTTTCGGCCGCTATGCTATTTAAAAGGCACACAGGGTTCGCCTCACTCGCTTTAATCCTTGTACTTAAATTTTCTCAAGCGCTATACTCAGCTAAGGACTATGCGGTATCTCCAGACCTTCTGCCGGGGCTTTCCTCTGTCCAGGATCAAGGTCTAATACCAGAAATGTTTGCAGGCCACATACCACTAGACTCCAACGACGATCTCGACACGAAAAACTACTTTTTTTGGAAGTTCCACGATATGTCGGGACGTACTAGTGACAGTGCCAAAAACACCTTAATCTTTTGGTTGAATGGGGGTCCAGGCTGTTCTTCAATGGACGGTGCTCTGATGGAAAGTGGTGCTCTGAGGATTGACTCTTCTGGCAAAGCATATTTAAACGAGGGTAGCTGGCACACGAGGGGTGACATTGTTTTTGTTGATCAGCCAGCTGGTACTGGGTTTTCAACTGTAGGATCCGATAAAGGTTATGATACTGATTTGGAAGTTGTGTCGCAACATTTCTTGGCATTTTTAAAGAACTACTTTGAGATTTTCCCCGAAGATTTGAACAAAAAAGTCCTTCTCGCCGGTGAAAGTTACGCCGGTCAATACATTCCATTCTTCGCACAAGCCATTTTGGATGAAAATGCAGGAAAAGAAGTACAAGAACAGATCAAATTGAATGCTCTTCTTATTGGCAACGGGTGGATAGATGCAAACCAGCAATCGTTGTCTTACATCCCATTTGCTCTAGAGAAGGGCCTCATCAAAAAAGGTGACCCCAAGCTCACCGAACTTTTGAAAAAGCAAGAGAGCTGTCAAAATAGGTTGAATTCAGCCTCAAATGAGCAGTTTTCATTTCCAGAATGTGAGGATATTTTGTCGGTTTTGTTGGACATTACTAGAGTTACTCACGATCCTGAAGGGAACAAAGTTAACGCGAACCAGCAATGCATTAACATGTATGACTTGCGATTGAAGGATTCTTACCCTTCATGTGGCATGAATTGGCCTGATGACCTGCCTAACGTATCTAAATTTTTTGGAACACCGGGCGTTATGGAAGCACTCCATCTAGATTCAGAGAGAGTCCCAAGCTGGCACGAATGCGATGATAAAGTATCAGGTCACTTAACCAATCCAAAATCGAAACCGTCGGTGCATTTACTTCCTAAGATTTTGGAGTCTGGACTTGACATCATTTTGTTCAACGGCGACCAGGATATAATTTGCAATAACATGGGTGTAGAAAGTTTAATCAGCGGTTTGTCTTGGGGTGGCGAAAAAGGGTTCACCGAGAATACGCAATATTATGATTGGGTTTACAAAAGTGGCGAAGAAGATGAAGTCATACCAGCTGGGTATGTCAAGTACGATAGGAACCTGACGTTCATCAGCGTCTACAATGCATCTCATATGGTACCTTTCGATAATGGGCTCATCAGCAGAGGAATCATGGATATATACCTGAACGATGTCGAACTTGTCGAAGATGAAAGCGGGGACACTTTGGTAAGCGAGAACTTAAGTGAAGTAAATACTGATTCTGGATTAGATTGTGAGGGTAAAGATAAGGACTCGGATGAGTGTAAAGCTTTGAAAGCTTCACAGGGTGAGGATGAAGATGAAGATGAGGATGAAGATGAAGATGAGGATGAAGATGAAGATGAGGATGAGGATGAGGATGAGGATGAGGATGAGGATGAGGATGAGGATGAGGATGAGGATGAGGATGAGGATGATGATGAAGATGAGGATGACAATGGAATTGAAATTGAGCACTCAGATGATTCTCACAAATTCAAAGTGACTGTCGCTTCGACCTTAATCTCAGTAGTCATCATAGTCGGCCTCTACTTCACATTCCGGGAACATTTCCGTCCCAAACTTCGTGCCATATTGGTGGATCCTAACTCTAGACCAGAGCAAGGTAAGAAGACAGTTTCTTGGGCTTCTGATTTGGAGCAAGATGCTCCTAACCTTGGGGAGGCTCCTATGGGCTCCAAGCATAAAAATGGATATTCTCAAGTGCCAACGCAAGATTCTAGAGGCTCGTTCGAGTTGGATGATTTATAAAATTGAATCTAACATTATACATAAATCGCGGTATATAATCGATGTGATATTACGAGGTTTACCGAGTAGTGCAACTGCACTAGTGATGAAAACTAAGGTCAGTATATATAAAGATTGTTGTCATATACATTTAATGAAATGATATGTTACATACAATCCGTCGGCCTTCTAACAATAAGCCATTTTAGTATAGTGGTTAGTACACATCTTTGTGGCAGATGAAACCCTGGTTCGATTCTAGGAAGTGGCATTTATTTTTGCCAACATATTTGTTGGCAAAATATCTGGGGAAGGTACGACCCATATAAGACTCGCCCATAGAAAGGGCTGGCAATTCGTAATGTAAAGACTACTTAGCGAAGTGTACCCATAATTTTAGCTGCTGATGTTGTTTCGTGCATGGTTCTTATAAAGAGCCTCATAAAAACTTGGATACGTATGTACATTAAAACAGAATTCTGTGTTCCACAGTATTCTGGCGGCTGAATCTCCAAGACTCATTCATGATAGCAGAACTCATCGGAACATATTTTTAAGCCGATCTATAGCTTTGGAATTTTCAAGCTTTTAGAAATCATTCCACAGCCTTGAATACCGAAAGCAAGAACTGCGGGGTGGAATTCATACCATTCACCAGAAGCGAAGATACCAAAAGGTAAGTTATCGAGGATCATCCCTCTGTTAACAAGGTAAGCCATTACCCCCACCAGGGCCAATGATGTTGGAATGGGTAATCCTTCAAAGAACTTCGATTTCCCCGTCACGTCCTTGGGCAATTGGGCAACAGTGACATTAAATCTAGCGAGTCTGGTGAGACCACAAAGTACGAAGAATGAAAGGATCAAAACGTCGAAAGTCGATTGGAATCCAATTGCGAATGCAATGGAGGCGGGCGCCACTCCAAAGGAAACAAGATCAGCAAGAGAGTCCAATTCCTGACCCATCAGCGACGACCGGTTTCTCAAACGTGCCACTTTACCGTCAAAAAAATCGAAGAACATACCCAACAGAATGAAGAAATGTGCTCTTTGCACGTAGTGCGGTTTTTTGGTGAGCGTGAACCGCAGACAACTTACGATCGAGTAAAACCCACTAAACCCGTTCATCATAGTGATCAGGTCTGCTAAATGCAGATTGCGGATCATGTTGAAATGATACTCGTCGCTGGTAAACTTCTTGATGTCGCTCTCGTTAGGAGGCTCCAATGGCGGATTGTCCAGCGAGAAAATGCTGCTTGCTCTTCTGCTGGGCGTTCTGCTGCTGACCATGAACGAATCATCTTCCGCATCTGAGCCTACTGTGCTGCCAATATCCTGTATTTTACCCGAGTCCTTCACCTGGTTTGCCATAGATACGGTATTTGTATTGTTTCGAAACCTTTTCGTTATTTTCGTGCTAATTATATCCTGGCTTAGGTTGACCACTCTGATGTTTCCAAAGCTGGTATGCGATCTTTGATGAAGTAGATAGCCTTTTGATTAGTTACAGAATTCAATGAACTAACTTTCGAGAACTTTTATATGCTGACGAAGTGCAAAGCTCAATATGTGAATCAATTTCGATTTCGATATCCCTGTGCCTGGCTTCTCCCTTTTGCTTCCAACTTTTTTTCACAAGGTAATCAAGGTTTTCTCTCACCTTAGTCACACACGTGAAATTTAGAAAGAACAAGATCCTGACGACAGTGTGTGAAGCAAGGAGCACTTCTAATTTCTGGGAGCCAACTAGAGATGTACGCAACTGTCTACTAAAGCTACGTTGTATTTTTTCTCAAGCCTCAAGAGTTTCGCAATTTAAACATTGCAATGCGTTTGCGGTTGTTTGGATATTATGATCGTGGCTCTAGAAGCAAGCTTCGTGCTGATTCTACAACCCACATATTTGGGAATCTCATACCATATCACCTTCCATTAAAGTCGTTAAATAGCCGGATTGAAACATAAAACCTAATACTTAAGCGAAAATGCTTTGCTCAATAATCTCACGTTCCTAATTTACCCAAGTCCTCCGATTCCTGGAACCCACGTCTAAGCATTGTTGTGAGATGGGCGTGGTACTCAGGTTTGCCAGGTCCGTCAGCCTCCGGCGGATTGTTTTTGATAACTTCGTTGTAGTAGTTGTTGTAGATGTCGCCATCGTAATACCCGATGGGGGCGTTCAACATGGCATCTGGTAGTTTGAACGCGTCCGTTAGAGCAATGCACTCGTTACGAACTTCAGGTAGCAATGCCATTAGTTTTGGCTGGACCAGGGTCGAGATTTGGTCTGGAGTAAACACCTTGAACTGCTGGAACTCTCCCGAGTGCTTGTCGATAAAATATAGCGAGAACAGGCGATACAAGTTCCACAGCATTTTCTTCGAGTTTTCGTCAGTGACATGCGAGTCTGAGGGACTTTGTAGCTTCAAGAAGTAAGCCCGAAGCATGGAGTGGAAAGCATGGAATCTCGAAACCATCACCAGATGTTTGGAAATGGAATCAGTGCTTTTGGTCTGCTTGACTATGTTCGCACAGTAGTGCAGCATTTTCACTAGCATGATACCCCACACCTCTGTGTAGTCTTCTAGCGTTTCTAATTTAGCGGACTTGGTGCCCTTCAAAACGTCCATGACCAGCTGGGGCGACAAATATCTAAAAGATTCAGATTCTTGTACATTCCCCTTGGCCAAGTCTGCGTACTTTTTTAGTATACTTCTCGCCGAGGTCAGTGATAAAATGTTGTTGTCACCTTCCCATGTACACTGCACCACCCAATCGTTATAACCCTTTCCGAAACCATTGTATGCAGAATATCCGTGACCACCGCACGCTTGCCGAAGTTCGTCAATAAGACTTGCGACTAGCCATGTATTAGTAGCTTTTAAACTTGCACTGTCGATGAAAAGGTCTTTCAATTTAATACTCACAGGTTTTAGCTGGTGCTTATTGCCAGCTGAAGAAACCTTGTAAAGCTGATCTAAAGTTGTATGATAAGTGTCCATGAGTTTGAAGGCTACCGGTGATATCAAATAGACAACCGCCAAATGTGGCAACACCCGGTATTGATGCAAGGGATAATTAATGAGTTGAGTCTCGGGTGCTTTCCCGGTTTTGTCATTGTCTGGCGCAAACTGCTGTCTACCAACGGCGTAGCGAGTAGCGATCGTGGCGAACTTAGACCCGAATCTAAAAGAATCCATTACCATATTAACTCTTCCGTTTAGCAAAGCACTGTAGCCGGATATTTGATCCAGAGTGGGTTCCGTGACCACGCGTGGGTTACCACCATCGCCATCGTTAATCACTTTGGTAAATCGGCTGAGCATATATTCACGAGGAATCACGACGCTTTGGAATTGAATCCACCCATTATCAATTCCGTCACGTCCCATCTTAGCGCCTATGTCGCCGATAAAAACTCCAGGTAAGAGTTGAAAAGTGTCAGGATCCCGTAAGGGGACCACAAAAGTCTTGACTCCGTAATCTTTACTGTTCACAATGAGCCTTGCGTAGACAGTTGCATGCGTGGCCGAGTGAGCCGCACCTCCAATCCACCATTTGGTAGCGGGCAGATCAGGTGTGTTAATGACAAAGGAATCAGTTTTGGAATTGTATTCGGCACGCGTTTGTAGTTGCGCGACGTTTGAACCGTGCCCTAACTCAGTCATGGCAAAACATCCGTAAATGCCTTTCATAAATAGAGCACCTTTCTCCTGCAGCCAGTATCTTATTTGCTTATCAGTACCGTTACCACGAATGCAGTTACCAAAAAGACCCAAATGAACACCTATGCGTGTTCCTAATTGAGGGTCCTGGTTGGAAATAATAGACAGCCTTTTGTCAAAAACAGCTAAGTCTTTAGCAGTTAAAATAGGGAAATCATCCTTCGTTTGCAAACTCTTCACCACATCATGGTTGCGGTACCTTTTGAACGCCATTTGGATGTCTTGCTCCATGTAGAGGGCCATTTTGGCGATCTTCAAGGCCGTGGCTTTACGGTGTTGATCTTTGTCCAGTTCGTAATAGTCGGATCCGGTTTTGAGAACTGGATCCATGGTCACTTGGGTGATCAAGTCGTGGGTCAATTGTGCATTTTCTGGACTCGATTCCACAAAAAGATTCAGTTGCTCGATGTTCAGTTTGGAATTGCGCCTCTCCGTCTGGATAAACTGCTGCGGTCTGAACGTGGCGCCCGAAAACTCGTTAGCCGTAATCCTTGTCATTTCGAATCAGATCAAAAAACTTGGGGTCTTACAATATTTCTGACAGAATATGAAACTTTGCTAACTGGAAACGCGGGGTTTATACCAATATTAAGAAACAGGTAGTTCGAGTACTTTAATCGCTGAATGTCGTGATTAGCGTATGTTCAAACTACTTTTACCTCTGACTAATCAAAACATGTGTCGAAGAATGATAAAAAATCTGCCAGTGTTACCATTTATATAGGTTTCGTCCCCTTCCCCAACTTTTTTTTTACTGTCATTCTGAGCTTGTGACAGTTTCTTGTCTTACGACAAAGTGACACTTGAGAAAATGAATAAATAATGATCACCGTCTTATCACAATCAGAAGTTTCGAGCTAAAACGGAAACAACAGCATCCCTTTGAACATCAATGTTGTGAAACTTGAATAGGAGCGTCGATCAAAGTTTCAGATTTGCCGATACAAATGGACTAGTCATGTGGGATATAGCGTGCATGAGGCCTACATGGTCCAAACATGTGGGCTTAGAACAAAGCAAGTGAGGTTGAAAACTTAGTATGGATACGTGGAGTGTAATGGACATCGATGAGCTTCATAACTGTGTGCTGGCGGCAATAACTGTCATTCGGGAAGGTATTATAGCGTTTTAAGTAGTGCAAAGTGGCATGAAGATCGCGAACTATATATATTAGCAAGGTATTATTGAAGAACTAGACTGGGTATATTTTGTTACAGAAGCCATGCTTGTCCTGCTTGAACTGTGGAGCATTGTGAAATTTTCAGAAGTCCAGGGCCTGTACAGATAAATTCTTGTGATTAAAGCAGATCTAGATACTATTCTCGTCAAGCGAAATCACGGAGAGACCCATCTAGCCAGGACTTGTCTAGTATATAAAACGGTTTAATTATTCGATCGAAAATGTCGCGAACAGCTGTTAAAAGACTAGAACCGAGTCAACAAGTACCGATCTCCCCAGATTTGTGTTATTGGCTATCTGGTTCTTGATCACCTAATTCGAGTTCGGCGGGGCCGTTGATGAAAGTTTATCACTCAATTGATGACAACCATGAACTCGGCTTTGTAAGTATTTCTACTGTCCCTATCTGAGAAAGGTTTTGGCAAAGGAAACAAAAACCAACGGTGTATATTAAGGCCAGTCTGAACCAGTAGTAGAATGCTTGCGAATATCTTTATTCAAATCTTCCGTAATTGATTGAGCAAGTCATATATACCTTGAAACAGACCAGTGGTATTTATTGAGGTAAAGAGGGTAAGGAACGCCAGGATGCCTATGCTATTGCAAGATAGCTCCAATTGCGTAATGAATTAGATCAGAGTAGCACAAAGTAATTTCAGGAAAGCATGGTCGTCGATGGATTATTCGATGCATCATCTCGAACTGACGAAAAACTATCAGACAAAACTTCCAAGTAGTCGGATGGTCGAGCAACGACTCCTTGGGAATTACTCGATGTATCATACGTGTACCGTACGATTATCCTAGACTGAGAAATATTTCACTCGCTTATTCACTTTTCATATAAATACCGACTAGTTGTGCCACCAGATGAATCAGCCTTATAGCTGAAAGAACCGCAGATATATCAATCGGGCCGCACATCGTAATGCGTAACAATCAGACACATCATGAACGACTTAAATGACCAGTTTAGCAAGCTAAGTACTGCTGACGCAGATATGCCTCAATAGAAAGAATGATGCATAGTCGAATCTCGCGCCTACCTAGCCATCCAATAAGAGCGAAGAGAATATCACTTCATACTCCACTGTCGTTTCTTCCCTTCTCAGCGTTTACAATATTTAGATTTGCTCGTAGAGTACCAAGAGAAGCATTAACGGATAAGCGGTACTTAGCAAAATATACACAGTGGGACACAACGTACAGAAAAACGTGTCACCATGGGCATTCACACAGGTAGAGAATTGAATAAACACCAAGGGCCTATAAAGCGACTTAGGGCATAGAAACCCTGCAATAATACTTAGCTCAACACTTGGCAGTTGACCAAATAACCAGTTTTTCTATACTGAAGGTGATTGTGGGAGATATACAGCTCCGGTCGGCTTCGACAGCCCATTTCTCACGAATATTTATTCATAGAGTCTCCGGGTAACAAATTTACTTCCCCTATTCCAAACTTCAGAAAATTAGAAACCAACTTAATCCGCCTTCCTGTCGAACGTTCTAGTGGCAACTTCATTTTTTGAACTAAGAAGATTAGAGATCCAACGACTCTTTTTACGTCTTTGAATCACGCCATTGACACACGTCTTTGCTCAACAATATGAGTGATTTACCAATTGACTTCACGGAGTTGGTAGATTTGACGTCGATCGGGATTTCCCCTCAGTCCCTCGATTTCAGATCGACAACTTTCGAGAGCGACAGGTTTGTCACAGTAAGGGAAACTAACAATGGCTCGAATTCGGTGGCTATCGTCGATTTGCAAAATGGAAACCAAGTAACTCGCAAAAACATGGGTGGTGACTCGGCCATTATGCATCCGTCGCAAAACGTCATCTCTGTAAGAGCCCAAGGCACGGTTGTGCAGATCTTCAACCTCGACACCAAATCCAAACTCAAGTCGTTTACACTGGAAGAGCCCGTGCTCTTCTGGAAATGGCTAAGCGATGAATTGTTGGGGTTTGTTACTGCTAACTCGTTGTACGTTTCCAATGTCTTCGACGGAGAAACCTCTAAACAGCCAACAAGATTGACGCAAAGACATGCCAATTTAAATAATGCGCAGATCATCAATTTTGTCGCAAATGCCCAACTTGACTGGTTTGCAGTCGTCGGTATCATACAGGAGAATGGCCGCATTGCAGGTAAAATTCAACTATTTTCCAAGGCTCGTGGGATTTCTCAGGCCATAGAAGGCCATGTCGCAACATTCTCCACAATTTTGCTAGAGGGCAATTCCACACCAGTGCAGGTCTTTGTTACTGGTAACAAGAATGCTTCCGGCACCGGCGAGCTACGGATTATTGAGATCGATCACAATAGCTCTAACCCAGTGTCTTACCAGAAGAAAAATGTCGATATCTTTTTTCCTCCAGATGCGGTCAATGATTTTCCAATTTCAGTTCAAGTCTCAGAGAAATACGGTGTGATTTACGTTTTAACAAAACACGGTTTCATCCACCTGTATGAACTTGAAACCGGGGCCAACTTGTTTGTTAACCGTATCACAGTAGAACCCGTTTTCACTGCTACAACCTACAACCAGAAAAATGGTATCGCGTGCATTAACCGTAAGGGCCAGATCTTGGCAGTCGAAATTTCAAAAGACCAGATTGTTCCTTACGTACTCAACAAGCTCTCCAATGTCTCGCTGGCACTTACGATGGCTTCCAGAGGTGGACTTCCAGGTGCCGACGACCTCTTTAATAAACAGTTCGACACTTTGCTAGCCTCGGGTGATTATCAGAATGCCGCCAAAGTAGCAGCTTCTTCGCAGCAATTGCGTACTCAAACGACCATCAATAGATTGAAAAATATCCAGGCTCCTCCAGGTGCCATTTCTCCTATCTTGTTGTACTTTTCGACTTTATTGGACAAGGGAAAACTGAATAAGTACGAGACCATAGAGTTGGCTAAACCAGTTTTGCAGCAAGACCGCAAACAATTATTTGAGAAATGGTTGAAAGAAGACAAGCTAGAATGCTCCGAAGAACTTGGTGATGTGGTGAAGCCTTTTGATACGACGTTGGCCCTGGCATGCTACCTGAGGTGCGAGGCACACTCGAAAGTTGTTACATGTTTGGCCGAGTTGCAACAATTTGATAAGATTTTGCCTTATGCTCAAAAGGTTGGTTACCAACCCAACTATGTCGTTTTGATTTCCAACTTGTTAAGGACGTCGCCGGACAAAGCCTCTGAGTTTGCGGTAAGTCTATTACAGTCCCCCGAAACGTCTTCCCAGCTAGATATTGAGAAGATTGCAGATATTTTCTTCACTCAAAACTTAGTTCAACAAGGTACTTCTTTCTTGTTGGACGCTTTGAAGGGCGACACTCCTGATCAGGGCCATCTACAAACCCGCGTATTGGAGGTTAATTTGCTGCATGCTCCTCAAGTGGCAGATGCCATACTGGGAAATAACATATTTAGTCACTTTGACAAGCCAACGATTGCTTCTCTGGCGGAAAAAGCAGGACTCTATCAAAGAGCGCTTGAAAATTATACCGATATTAAGGACATCAAGCGCAGCATCGTCCATTCTAGCTCCATCCCTACTGATTGGTTGGTTAACTATTTCGGAAAGCTCAATGTGGAACAAAGCATTGCTTGCCTCAGGGCTCTTCTCGATGATAATCAACAACAGAATGTTCCTATTGTCATTCAAGTGGCAACCAAGTTTTCCGATTTGATTGGCTCCCAAGTACTGATTAAGTTGTTCGAGGAATACAGATCGTCAGAAGGTTTATATTACTACCTGGCTTCCCTAGTAAACCTCACCGAGGACAAAGATGTCGTGTTTAAATTTATCCAGGCAGCTGCTAAGGCGGGTCAATACAAGGAAGTTGAAAGAGTGGTCAGAGACAACAACGTCTACGATCCAGAAAGGGTAAAAAATTTACTGAAAGATTTAAAGCTACCGGACCAAATGCCACTAGTAATTGTTGCCGACCGTTTCGGCTATATTCATGATTTAATCTTGTACCTGTACAAGGCTCAAGATTTCAAGTTTATCGAGGTTTATGTCCAACAAGTAAACCCTTCGAAAACTCCACAAGTTATTGCTGCTTTACTGGATGTGGACTGCGACGAAAGGGTGATCAAAAATCTTTTGATAACAGCTCTAGGTCAAGTTCCAATTGGGGAGCTTACCGCAGAAGTTGAGAAGAGAAACAGACTTAAAATATTGCTCCCTTTCTTAGAAGCTACTCTGCAGCAAGGAAGTCAAGACCAAGCCGTTTTCAATACCTTGGCCAAAATTTACATCGACTCGAATAACTCTCCCGAGACCTTTTTGAAAGACAACAACCAATACGACACACTTGACGTCGGTCGTTATTGTGAGAAAAGAGATCCTTACCTTGCATATATCGCTTATGAAAAAGGTTCTAATGATGAAGACCTTATCAGAATTACAAATGAGAATAGCATGTACAAATACCAAGCTAGGTATTTGTTGAAACGCTCAGATCTCAACTTGTGGAACACTGTCTTAAGTGACGAAAATATGCATAGACATCAATTAATAGATGCCGTGGTGGGTACGGGAATCGGCGAACTGACAGACCCCGAGCCAGTTTCCTTGACCGTGCAAGCTTTCATGAGCAATGACTTGAAAGGTGAGCTCATCAAGCTCTTGGAAAAAATCATCTTAGAGCCTTCTCCTTTCAATGACAATCCGGCCCTTCAAGGTCTATTGATGCTATCTGCAATTAGATACGAACCTTCTAAAGTTAGTGGTTACATTGAAAAGCTCGATAAGTTTGACTTGAATGAAATTGCTCCTATGTGTGTCGAGAACGGCTTGAACGAGGAGGCCTTTGAAATGTACAATAAAAATGAGAAATTTGACAAGGCCCTTCAAGTTTTGGTTGAGGACATCATGTCCTTGGACCGTGCCGAAAGCTACGTCGACAAGATCAACAAATCTGAACTGTGGTCCCAACTTGGTGCCGCACAATTAGTCGGGTTGAGACTTCCCGAGGCCATTGATTCTTACATTAAAGCTAACGATCCATCGAACTATGAAAGTGTTATCGAGGTTGCTGAACAAGCTAAAAAGTACAAAGAGTTGGTACCATACCTCTTAATGGCTCGTAACACCTTGAAAGAGACAAAAATCGACAATGCCCTCATTTTAGCTTACGCGGAATTGGACAAATTGCACGAGATTGAGAATCTATTGAATACCTCTACAGTGGCTGATTTAGACTCAGTCGGCGGATTACTTTTTGAAAACAAAGATTTTAAGGCTGCCAAGCTTTGCTTTTCTGCCGTTTCCAATTACTCTAAGCTAGCGACGACGCTTGTTTATTTGAACGATTATCAGGCCGCAGTTGACACCGCCAGAAAGGCCTCTAATGTTAGAGTCTGGAGAGAGGTCAGCGACGCCTGTGTTGACAATAAAGAGTTCAGACTCGCTCAAATCTGTGGGTTGAATTTGATTGTCCATGCAGAGGAGCTTGAAGAGCTGGTACAAAAATATGAATCTCATGGATATTTCGAGGAGCTCATTTCCCTTTTTGAGGCTGGTCTTGGCCTAGAAAGAGCTCACATGGGCATGTTCACTGAGCTCGCCATTTTGTATACCAAGTACGATTCGAGCAAAACTTATGAACACTTGAAATTGTTCTGGTCGAGGATAAACATTCCAAAAGTAATCAGAGCCGTTGAAAGCGCTCACTTGTGGAAAGAATTGATCTTCCTCTACGCGCACTACGATGAATGGGACAACGCAGCTTTGACGATGATTGAAAAGACTGCTGCTGACTTCGATCACTCGTACTTCAAGGAGATTGTTGTCAAAGTGTCCAATCTGGAAATCTATTACAAAGCTATTAATTTCTATGTCAAAGAACATCCTTCTTTACTCATTGACCTGATGACTGTATTGACATCAAGACTGGACATCCCAAGAACCATTCGTATTTTTACCAAATCAGACAACCTTCCGCTTATCAAGCCGTTCTTGGTAAATGTTTTGCCAACTAATAACTCTGTTGTTAACCAAGCCTATCATGACCTAATGATTGAGGAAGAAGATTACAAGGCGCTACAAGACGCAGTTGACTCATACGATAAATTTGATCAGCTAGAACTTGCTTCACGTCTAGAGAAGCATGATCTGATATTTTTCAAGAAGATAGCCGCACAGCTATACCGCAGGAACAAGAAATGGGGAAAGAGCTTGGCAATTTTCAAAGACGAGAAGTTGTGGGCTGAAGCGATTCAAACCACAGCCATCTCACAGAGTACCGAGGTTGCTGAGGAGCTTTTAGAATACTTTGTTGAGACTGAAAACAAAGAAGCTCTCGTTGCTCTGCTGTACACTGCATACCACCTCATCAGATATGACGTTGTATTGGAATTGGCTTGGTTAAATTCATTGGAGAACTTAATCAAACCCTATGAAATCTCAGTTAAAAAGGAACAACATACCAGCATCAAAAAGTTGATAGAAGAATCCGAAAAGGGCAGCAAAAAAGAGTCTTCGGATTCTAACGGCGAGTCACTCCTGTTGACTAATGGATCGATGAACTACCAAGCGACTGGGCAAGCTTTTGGAAACTTTATGTAATTTGAGGGAATTATTTAGAGTTCACATCGAAGAAATAGCATCTTTTGATATTGTATCTTAGACTTTAATGAATATAAAGTGATTAGTATGATCTACCGATAACCAAGAACTTTTTTAAACGTACAACAGTGCTCAGCTTGAAAACCTACTTATATTTACTCATTTTGTCTGCTTTCACGATCTGCTCTCGCGGCTTTTTTCTCGAGCTCGTCCCAATCTTCTCCTTCTTCCTCGCTTTCATCGCCACTTCCATCTTCGCTTCCCCCAACGCTAACGTCCTCAGAATCATTACCTTCTTCGGAATACGCGCTCTCGTCAGAAAGATCGTCATCAGAAGCTTCGTACTCACTTATTTCTTCCTCACTTTCATCTGACGCTTCATCGTCAGAACCGGCCACCAAGAAAGACCAACCACCTTCCAGGAAAAATTGATGTGGATCTTCTTGCATGGATCTCATAATAGTCGACCATTTTAGGTTGATCGTCGAGACCGCATATGGAATATCAACATCTGTCAACCATGACTTCAGAAGCTCGATTTCCTCTATGGCCACAGTATTAATGTGTGTGACCGGTTTGCTAAAGTCCTTGTACACAAAGACCATATCAATGTTCTTGAGACCAAATTGTACTCTTTCGAAAACGCAAATTTCAACCTCACTTAAATTGATGACCAAGAATGGGGGTTCGACCAATTGCACGAGACAGTCTCTAGTTGGCATACAGAAAACGGCTGATCTGCTTGGCACACCTTGGAAGCCCAACTCTCTAAAGGTTGTGTCAAGGTCTACTAAGCCATCAGAGGCTTCTGCAATGGCTTCGGCAAAATACCTGAATTCTTTATCCAATGCAGCTCTCTTTCTTCTTTCTTCCTGCTCTTGCTCTAACTCATCCTCGTCACCGTACCTTCTGAATTTCATGTTCGCACGTCTGCCATTACCAGTCTCATCGACTGCCATATCAGAAGCCTCACGGTAAAATTGGACATCTTGCATTTTCTTCTTACCCATCAGAATAGGATTTTTAAGATGAACATGAATGATAACGATTAATTCACCCTTGCATGGTTGGAAAATTAAATTCTTTATGTTAGAGAATAAAATATCGATTCGGCTGTCGGTGCGCAAGGGCGACTGGTACCTAATACCATTTTCATGAATAAAAACAGTACCAGGCACCCTCCTGGCATCAGGGCTTGGTCTGACAAATATTTGGTCAAGTCTTTTCGTTCTACCAGATTTGTTTTCGAGGAGTCTGGCCTGCTCGACTACATCTGCTAAAAGCTTCCGTTCTTGATCTCTTTTGGTTGCTTCTTTTTTCAAATCAGCAATCTGTTTGAAAACCTCACTCATGCGATCACCATCTTTGGATCTCAAACTTATGGTGCGAACAAATTGGTTGTCTGGCGAATCCTCATAAGGCAGTTCTTCTGTTTTCTTGGAAACACCGCCAATGCCGGGGGAGTGAAAGTTGAGTCTCAAGTACGTATATTCACCTTCTTCATTTTTGGAACCATTTTTGTAGCAGTTAATATGGAATGGGACTGGCCGACCATAGATCGGTATAATAATGGTCTGATTTTTCCAGTCAACATGAATCCTCAAATCACGGACATTGTTTGGAATTTGGGATTCCCTGATGTATGATTCGTACTTCTTAAATTGAAGCTGAGGTTGGTCGTCTGAACCGTTTGCATCCGCAGCGCTATATCTCAAGAGACCATTCTTTTGCAATTTTTCATGTAGTTTTTTCTGATTCTCTTTACGAATTTGTTCCTTTTGACTATCCTCTTGAACCCGAGATTCTCCGCGCAACTTCGATCTCAAAATTTTTGAACTTCCATCAGCATTCATCGGAGCTGTTGCAGATGCTGAGTTTTTCTCCTTCTTGACTTTAGAAGAACTCTCCTCTTCCGCATTGTTAAAGTAGAACGAAACTTGAGATTTGAGCTTAGTGTACTCAGTCAATACAACAGGTTTGCCGTCATTTTCGTTCAGCAAAATGGTGTCGGCGATTTGAACAGCGTAACTGTTGCCAGTCTTTGAATCTTTCAAGTTATTGAAGCCTAACGAAATGTTAAAACATTCGCCTTCGGCAACTTTTCTTTGATCGTTTTTTGCATTCAAAACGAATTGTGAATCTCTGAACTCTAATCCTATCAAGGAGCCGACATTTTTAGTCAAACATGAGGTCAAATGGGGCTTTTGGGATTTTACGTATTCAACGGTCGCCTGATAGATTTGCTGAGGGGTTTGGCCTACCTTCAAAAAGTTATTAATTACTTCGTCTTGGACAGTCAAGAGGAATTCATAGTTGGAAACCATTTCCTCGGTAGGATCAATCAAAAATGTTCTGGTCACATTAGAGCAGTAACTTTTGTAGCGAATACCACACGATGCAAGGATACATCCATTGCCGTGCAATTGGTCATTATTAGAACGAGCAGAGACTTTCAAGTCAAACTTGTTTCCTGATTGAATGATTGGAGAATACGCCCAGTCCAGTAAATTGACGTCAAATTTTTCGTCTTGAGGGCACAAAGGTGCCAGCTCACTTGATAATTTTTTCAAGAACTTAGAATCGTCAATTTTATTCTCAATTTTGTCCGATAATTTGGCGTTAGTAATTTTAAGTTCTTCGTCAACAGCCGTGACCATCTCATCAGAGAGAAGGTTCATGAATTGATCTGTACCCTTGCTTGATACCTTGAGAAATCCTATTTCTTGCTCATCTTTCTTTTCCCATACATGTGAGAGCCCTGCAGCAATCTCCACGGTTTCAAGTTCACTCTTTTTGAGGGCATCGTCCCAATGTGGCGTCCACTGCGCGATAAACTTGCCCTGATACTTGTCGTTGACCGGGGTACCCACAGTTTTTCCAGCTTTTTTAAGTAGTTCAACAACGTCCGCGAACAACTTATCGTTATGAACATCGTCCTTGGCCTTCCTTTGCCACAATTCTAGCTTGAAGTCAGAGGAATCCTTAAAAAGATCTACCGCCGCTGTTAAATGCTTGGCTTTTCCGGCACCAGTCACCACTACAACTTTTTCTGGAAGTACAGCTATCAATGTTGCTGGAAATTCATAGCCTAGAAGCCAGTTGTGCAAAATTGTGCTTTTCTTGTAAGGATCTTCCTCATCACTAGATCCCACGACGAAAAGCAGCGACGATGGAGATCCTTCAAATTTCGGAAACTCCGCGTGTAGTTTTGTTAGCCTCTTTTGCAGAACCTTGAAGTTGATTTCAATGTCTGACATTTGAGGTCTTTCAGTCTTCAACAGCTTTCTGGCAGTGAGCTTTTAACTGTAAATACTGATATTCAAATTGTTTGTCGCTGCATTTCAAGAATTGCCCTACCCAATTTTAATTTTCCAAAATCTCAGGATACGAAAATGTAAAGTCAAAGTCTATTAGTACTAACTACACCGGCAATTCTAGTAGATCGAGCAAGGTTCATGGGGATTGAATTATGAAAATAACGGTACTTGTGGACTGAAATTTCGAAAGTCCGTAGTTTATCATTATCGTTTTCAGTTATATAATATATCTTGAGATTGGCGCTCGAACCACTTTGGGCCAGATGAGATAACGTGTACTGTGTTGTTCTATCTTACTTCAAACTCACTGCACCTATTGTAGTGGAGAGTATAGCATTTGAGTAGCGTACTTGCGTTTGTATCGGACGATGCTGGCAACACATAGAGTGTTGTGCTTGATACTACTAGTGGCGAGATGATTCAGCACGACGTGGTTTGGGATTGGCAACGCGCCAGAGTTGTTTTCGCTACCAGAATCTCCCTGTTCTGAGCTGTTTGAGTAGCTGTTCAATATGACGTTCTCGAGATGTGGAGGAAGTTGTGGTGGAGTCAACCACGCCATGTTCTGTTGATTTCCTTGCTGTTGGTCTAAAGTGAGATAGTACTGTTCCATCACTGAGGGATCGGTAAACACGGCAGGAATATCTGTAGTGAAGCTGTAGTCAGGTGAGGCTTCCTGACCACCATGGAACCTACTGTATCCATCACCCATATCATCCGGTTCTTCTTCGATTTGCAAAGCTAATTTTGAGCGCGCGCTCAGAGGCTCAGATTTTGCTTGCTTCCGATCCTGTTTCTTGTCAAGTTGTTCAATTGGTTGTGGTTTCTGATGCCGTGGTTGCTGTATTTGATGCAATTGTTGTTGTTGCTGTTGTTGCTGTTGCTGCTGGGCCAGTTGATGTTGTTGCAATTGCAGCTGCAATTGTTGTTGTTCTTGTTGCTGCTGTAGCGCTGCATTTTGCTGTTGATCCTGCAGCTGGTTGTCTTGTTGCGATTCACGCATCTCTGGTACTTGATCCTGCGACTCATGTGGCGACGCGATTTCCAGATAGTTCACGAAGTTTCCCATTTGGTCAGTAGCCGTTGGCATATAATCACTGAATCGCAGCTCATTATCGACAATAAACCGAAAACGATGCGTTCCTGGAGGTAACTGTAGCTTGATGTGGAAAACTCCCGCTTGGTCTGGTACCGGCACCAGCCCTATCATTTTCCGCCAGCCCGTGAAAGAACCAGTAACGTAAACCTTGGATCCACCCTGTTGCCACGTTATTTCTACGGGTACCACACTTTTGGGCGTTTGGCCAGCTGGTGTCTCTCCAGTTGGTGTTTCGCTCCCACTTTTTGACCCAACTTGTTGCTGTTGTTGCTGTTGTTGCTGCTGCTGCTGCTGCTGCTGCTGCTGGTGGTGGTCCGAAAGCATCAGCTTTTCCTGGTCTTGTTGCAGTTGCAGTTGTTGTTGTTGGTTGAAAACAGACGCTGAAGAGGAAGACTCCGAGGAAGGGCCTCCAAAATCGTTCAGTTCCGACGAGTCGCCTACGTTTTCCTCGTGTCTAGGGGCATCGTCGTCGTCGTCAAAAATCAAAGTTGATCTTCTGCGCAGCAAGGGCGCTCCAGTACTTGCATGGTCGCCGATATCCAATTTGGAAAAGCTCTGCACTATGGCCCTTTGAGAACCTCTTCTGTCGGCCTCCTCGGCACTGCTAACGTCTACCATCGAAACATCCTTGATATTTTCCGACATAGTTCCTCGACTGTGCGTATTTCCCATACGTTGAGTAGGTGGTGGATGAAGACGCTCAATGGCCAGGTGTTACAATTCTTCTTTACGAGGCTGGAACTTAGTTGTGGCTACGACGGGGGAACTTCATCTTTGAAATGTTAAGGACCGTATCATTTAGCACGCTGGCGTCACCAAAAGCTTTCTTAGGAGGCTGGAAAGAGTTGAGACTGCTGTCTGGAAGTGCAACGACACCTTGTTTGGAGATTGCTTGGATTTGATACTGTGAAGCTTGACTGGAAATGATTGGAATAATTATTTGAAGTAAGTTACGGTTCTTTATGCTTAGATATCATATTTAGTTTCAAATAACATACGTACGACTTCGCTGGCGGTAGTTTGCCCGTATTATAAGTAGCCAACGTGGATTTATCAATTTATAAGGTGCCCTGTAAATGTTCTTGCCACCGATCGTGAATGTTCAAAGACTCTTTGCTACTTTCTAAGTTCGGAAAATGACAACTAGCGCCAACTTTTCCTTTATTATTTATCGCAGCCAGTCGAAACGAGAGCCCGTTAAAGCTCTTGACCGAATTATCTACAGATCGCAAACTTCGTTGGTGCTAAAACCTTTAAGTGTCACGTATAACAAACTTCTCGCTGACGCTTGTGAATTCTTAACCTTTTAAGCTTGATTCGTTGTAGTACGTATTATTTCACCCTTACTTATAAGGTCAATTTCTATATCCTATTCACCCTTTTATAAGCATCTATAAAACCCTAACCCTCCTGTTGATATTCATAACTTCATTAAGCGTAGTCGTGGCGATTAGCGCTCTTGGAACGACTGTATATTGTCTAGCATGCAGCGTAGTGGCGGCAAGCGAACTTCATTCTGTTGGCTGGTATCACTGTCATCGTCATCCGTCAACTGGAACTTGGCACGCTGAGAATTGCGTCCTTTAATATGGGGCCGTGCCGTGGGTAGATTGAGAGATCCCTCAAGCACGGCAGAATCCAACGAGATGCCGCTCGCCATAGAGCCCGAATTGGCGGCGGTTGGCAACGATGGCAGGATAAGTGTGCTGGGCTTTTGAGACCTAATATCTGGGGACGAAGCTAGAGGGGTCCCCATGCCAGAGCCAGAGTTGGAAAAAACGGAGCTTGTCAACGACGCCTTGGAGGACAGAAACGAGTGACTTCCAGGTTGTAGCATATGCGAGGACGAGGACGATGAGGTAGCAAAGCTCGGGGACGTGACTGGCGACACCATCGGAGACATAGCAGGCGAAATGGCGGGGGATCCCGCAGGCGATATGGACATCGGATTGGTGGCATTAGGAACTGCGAGCGCTGGCGAAGGATATGCAAAGGTTGTTGCCAGGGAAGCTGCAGAGCTGAGAGAAGCCATGGGCGTCATGGGGCCGACACAGAGCGGATGCAAACGTGGCAGCGAGGCCGTGGGGGCCTGGATGAGTGGCAGCTGGTGGACCACGACCGGGTGGTCAGACGCACAGCTGGAGCCCGAACGGTTTCTGCTCTTGCGCCGCGAGGTGCTCACGTGAGTGCGAAGATGTCTTTTGAGTTCGTCGCTTCTGCTGAAGCGCTTGACGCAGCCGGGGAAATTGCAGCGGTGGGGTTTCTCGCCGGTGTGCGTGCGAATGTGGCGCCGCTTGTGCTCGAGCCGGTGGAAGCCCTTGCCGCAGGTCTCGCACTTGAACGGTCTGGGGTCGGGATCATGTGATGCCATGGTACTGCGCGAGTACTTTTTTTATTTTTTGGGTTTCTTTCTTCTCGAGTCCTTTCTCGAGTCCTTTACCGAGTCCTTTCTGCACTCGTCTTCCGCAAGCTGAAAGAGAGTCGTGATAGGCCTGCTGATGGGCGTTCTGGTGAACCTGCTGGTGAACCTGCTGGGAAACCTTCTGGTGGACCTTCTGGAGTCCAAATGAACTGTATCTAGTGTCTGCTTGTGGCTGCCGCTTGTGCTGCCACTTGGTACTTTCGAGTCTTTCCCTTCTCCTATTTTCGAGCTCTACACCACCTCTACTTTTTATACTCCCGCGTCCTTTTTCTTGCTAATCTTCGCAGTATCTCTAAAACACAACAACAACCGCTTGGGACTAACACTTGTTATGAGCCGTCCGCACTCCACTTGTTATTCTTGCCCCACTGGAATCGTCTCCGTAAGCACAACTGTCCGTATAATGGTGGGTTGCGGGTAGCGCAACTTGTTTCCCTGAAGCTGTGCTGTGTTTCTGCTACTGCTACTACTGCTACTAGCTCGAAGGCTTCGGTGCCAGATCCAAGACACGCAGCTGCAGCTCGGAAAAACTTTTATGGTGGAAAAATAGGCCTTCGTCCGGCGTTGTCTGGCGGTTTCCGTTTCCCCGGGTAAAGAGGTGTCCGGGACCGGAAAAACCTCGACGGCCGAAGCGGAACCGGACGTTCCTATTGGGCGTGGGGCAAGAAAGAAGCGCGAGTTTATCCGAGAACTTGCATGAGCCCGGAAAAACGTTTTTCCGGGCCACGGCGGGAGGGAGAGGAGGCGGAAGTCGTGGTGTGATCGGGGGGAGACGTGTACACGTAGTCGAGATTTTGTAATTGGCAGGGGCCAAAACCAAGCCTGCGTGTGGGTGAAAAGAAGGAGCACGAGGATTGACAGAGGAGCGCGATACGGTGGGACACTTCGAGAGAGAAAGCAGCATTGTTGCGACACACAAGGTAGCAGAGTTGCACGATTCGAGAGAGAATTAAACTGAGCCATTGTGAGTGCCAGCGAGTGTAGATTAACAACCATGTGCCCGTGATTGTGGACCAACAAGACTGATAGCGTCCGACGACGACTCAGTAGTACAAAGTGACAACACAGCGAAGCGCAGCGCTGACGGGGGATCGGCGAGGGTGCGTCGTCGTGTACGTTGAGCACGTGAGACTCGAAATGGGTGTCGATGGGGCAGATTGCCAGAGCTGCAACTCCTCGCTTGAGCGATTGACGGCCATCTCTCGATCTCTTGGGGCGTCTTCCTGGACTCTTCCTCTCGCGTCTAGTGTACAAGATTGTGGCAAGATCCAGTGCCGTGGCGACATGCTAGAAGCAGCTGCCACCCACGATCTGGATCTAGTTCTCGGAAGCCGCCAGCGTGTCTCCCATGAACTCTAGTAAATGACAGTTACTTTGCTTTTGGTAAGAATTTTGTCGCTGGTCTAACCATGGCTTGAGAGTCAAGAGAGGAAACAGACAATGCCAGACACGATCGAGGATTACGTCTATCGAGCTATGTTTTTGCAAAGCTGTGCTTGCTTGCTACTGCATTTTCACTATCGAGTTGTATGTCCACGAAGCTGTGTCCCCGTTCTCCTGAGTTTTAACTGTCGAGTTTTATGTTCACAAAGCTGTGTCCGCTTCCTACTGTAGTTCAACTCCATACGTTTGTAAAAGTATTATTAGTGATGTACTTGTAGAGTTTCGGTGAGCTCGCCTACCGGTCACACTAGGCATTTTGAATCCATTGCTCGTAACAACACTCAAGCTGAAGGGACATGGGATTGGCCTCATATGGAATGTCGATCGTCAAGAACGACACATAAGTAGATTTGTGGTGCGGGCGTGTTTTACTACAAACCTCTGGCTTTTGTGGTGTATTGAGTACCACAGCAAGCCTGAGTGGCTATGAAAATACAACGCGGCTCTTTTAACCAATGTTTGTATCGGCAGCAGGCGCGTCGGAAACATAAAACAATGCATTCCAGTGCCAGTTAGTGTTCGTATACTAGTATGTGTATTGGCCGCGTATAGCAGAAACCTCTACTACTGACACTCCACGTTTGTATTGGATTCGAAACATAGACTCGACAGAAACATCACTTCATACTATTATGTCATTTGCTCGGGTCACTGGCGCGCACCCCTGCCAATTTCTCATAGCGATATACCCTGCGGTCACCCCAACTGCAATTAACAGATCTCAAATCGTAATGTTTCAAGTGGGGCAGAAATTACGAGCTTTACTTATTCTGTTTGCCATCTATCTCGCCATAAATTCTGTTGGTTATGATTGAACACCTAATTGCTAAACTTCGATTACTTTGAAATTAAAGCTACTTTTTCTCTACACACCGTCACCCACGTTCTGTCGCGGGCCAAAAAGTCGCTTTACCACTACTATTTCAGCCATTATCGTAGCCGCCTACGTCACTCCATCAAAAATAAATGACGGTCTTAGCATTATGCCTTCCAGCGTCTTCTCATCTCTTTCAAGTTTCTCAGAATGTTCTGTTCGTCCAACAAACATACAAACAAAACTCACTCAACTTGTCGACATAAACCATCCAAAAGCGTTCAAATACCAAAAAAAAAAGTGCACTAAAATTACATTTCCAAGCAGATCTCGGTAAGTAGTCCTTACATATCTTTCAACGCAAGCCACACGCTTCCCTATGCTTTGCTAGTTTATCGTCTTTTGAACCCAGGGGGGGGTTGGAAAGGTCTCGGTTGTGGCTGAGAGCCTTTCTGAAACCCAACTACGGGTTTTGAACCCGCTCCCGGTTTGGACACACCTGCTGGTCCGTTATTCCCCGATACTGGTTTTATGATACCTTTGCCCTTGCGTTTCTGTTTGTTCAGTTGTGCGATTTTCTTCTCCTGGACCAACGCTCTTTCTTTCTTGGACATTGTAGGGCCACTTTCAACTACCGTGGTCAATACTTGATCACCTCTCAATACCACTAGCCCCAAAGTACGAGTCTCGATTTTCGGCTGTGCATTGAGGTCCTTATTTTTAGACTTGAGTTGAGACATTTGAGTGGCCGGGATTCTATGCTCTACACATTCGGCCAATACCAAGTTCATATGAGCGTCAAAAGCCATGAGTTCTCCAACAAAGGCTATTCCATCATTCGTCAAAACACGTATTCTATACCGTAAAAGATCTGATAGCTTACTCTTGTGGCTGACTTTTACACTCATTTCTTGAGCTTTGGCCTTGTTCTTTATGAAGTATTCGCTCGTTGACCATAATAACAAATTTGTTCATACTCAATTTAAGGTATTCAAAATTTATATAAAAAGTCTCACGACCAAACGAACAAGGTATTCCATCACTGTTATATTGAAGCTTTCTCAATGACAGATTCCAAGAAGCATGAATTGAAAGATCAGTCCGAAAAGAAGAGAGTCAAGAGACGGAGAAATTACGACGATTACGACAAAGAAGTTGCAGCTGAAGATTCCAAAGTCAAGACCAGCGGCAAGAAGGATGGTAAAAGCGAGGATGAAAGTGAGAGTGAAGACGACGAGAAACTAGACATGATGCTGAACAAGGAGGAAGAGGAGGACGATGATTTGGCCGAAATTGATAGCACCAATATTATCCAAGGTGGTCGTCGTACTAGAGGAAAAGTGATTGACTACAAGAAGACCGCAGAAGCTTTAGACAAAGAGGCGGGGAAAACAGAGTCCAGTGGTGAGGAAGCAAAGGAGGCGGAAAGCGCAGTTCAAGATCAAGAAGAGGATGCTGAAGATGCGGATTTCGGAGAACCTGAAAAGTAGGCAAAACCACATAGCAGCTACATACGCGTGAATGGGAGCCGCTTCGAAAATTTGGTAAAATAAGCACACTATACATATATTGAGAAAGGGATATTTGAGATTTGTAAGATTTTGTTTGAGGTCATCAACAGCAGTTGTTCGAACTCTTATTTTTCTTGGCGGGTGCTGGTGTTAGACTGATGGTAGGACCTTTGGGAGCCTGTCCCGCATTGTTGCCATACTCGTTCAAGTCGACTTGGTGCTTGCTGACCATTTGGTATATGGCGGTAATGAGCTCGCGGAACGCTTGGTCCACATTTTCGCTATTTAAAGCACTGGTTTCGGTGAAGAGCAGCTGGTTTTCCTGAGCAAAGTTTTTGGCTTCATCTGTTGGCACGGCACGTAGGTGTGCTAAATCCGATTTATTACCAATCAGCCCCACGGCCACGTTCTCATCTGCGTTTTCACGCAGCTCTGTTAGCCAATGGTTACAATTCTCGTAGCTGTTAGACTTGCTAATATCGTAGACGATTAACGCGCCGACAGCACCTCTGTAGTACGCCGAAGTGATGGCACGATATCTTTCCTGACCCGCGGTATCCCAGATCTGCGCTTTGATTTTCTTGCCCTCAACCTCTATGGTTCTCGTGGCGAATTCGACTCCTATGGTCGACTTTGACTCCATGTTGAATTCATTAGTGGTGAATCTCGACAACAGGTTAGATTTCCCTACACCGGAATCTCCGATCAGAACAACTAATTGAAAGTTAATATTAATCCATACCGAATTGAAAGAGGCATAGCTGCAGAAACTGTAGCCACGCGCTCAAAAAATGCTTTAATCTGAAGCTTGCCACATCTGGACAGTTTGTCCCTTTTCGATGAACAGCATCAAATAAGCGTTTCCGAAGAATCACATACTTTTGAAGAGATAGTCGTAATCATATCCATAGTCCTCGTTATTCATATTAGAAATGCGTGTAAGCCGGGGGTTCGGACGATGCTTCTCCTTTTATGTTTGTGTTTATTGGTGATTCAAATATCGTATATGGCAATGGTTGATATTGTATTGAATCGACTACACTGAAACTGTGCTTCATGATCACTATACACGACAGACCATGATAGCGAATGTTAGTTTCAAACAGATTTCAACTATGCCATCCTGCATCATCTAGATCTAGTTAATCTATGCTGGCAAAATATCTACGGTGTACAATTCTGCTTCTGATAAAATGAAAGCCGGTTTTCTTTTGGCGCAGATGAATTTTGTAACCGAAACCATAGTTAAAGTTCTGCTGGGTAATAATAAAAACAGTTTCAGGGCCGTATGTCATCTATCCACACAGCTCAAGTATTTTCAAGCATTGTGACGTTGATGCCTATCCCTACTTAGCGTCTCAAGAAAATTCTGTGACTGCACCAGTAAAGAAAGCCAAGTTTTTAGATGCTTAAAACGCCAGTGCTACAAAGAAAAAGATCATAGAGCTAGAGCTATAATTTGGATTTGCTGCTGGTTTAAAAACTCTGATCGACAAACCACTGTGCCCTGTGTTGTAAACAAAAGAACCCGTATAAAAGTACCATTTGCAATGAAGTAGACCCTAGTTCTGGATTACCACTGCAACGCTTTTGGTATCATTCGGAAGCATTAATCTTGCTCATAAATCAAGGAGGTTATACTGTCCCCGAATTGCTTTATTTCCACTCTTAGTTCAACCTGAGAAAACAATATTGTGAGTAAGAGTTATTGTTTCTTCCTCACGTGTGATAAGATTTTGACTGTTTGGGCAAAACGTAAACTTACATCTGTTTCATCAAAGGCACTTTTCGCATCTAATTGGATAAAGTAGAATGCTTGTGGATTCTAGTGATGAGATGTGGCACGAGATTCATTACGTCGTTCAATTGCTCATCGAAGAAGGCTACAGAAAATCCAATCTTGCAGGGTTTAGAGCGGTGATCTTAAACCTTTACAGAGCATTTCAGTCGCATGGCACAGGAGACTGTCATGTCCTACACATTCCCATCTACGCCTTCAAAACAAAAGGTGCAAGATTCTGAGAAACAAGAGCTCCCGTCTTGCCTAAAGAACAGCGGCAATGGAAAAACAGCTCCATACGGACACAAACACAGCACATCACAGGTACGGTTTTCATTACCGCTAGAGCCAGATTCAGATTACCACTCAGAGTCCAACTGCAATTCAGGGCTCGAAGAATTGCATCCTTTCAATGGCTCCACGTCTAGCTCGCCGAGCAAAGTTGTATTTCCGAAGAGTTCCGACGACAACTTGGCCACACACTTCGTGGACTTCCATAGCAAAGTTATGGTTGATGTCCCTGAGGATATTTGGCAGTTCCATAACGATCGTGACAGAAGCTGTAAAACTAGTTCGAGCCCGACCAAGGGGCATCAGCGAACGCAGTCTCTGCAATCCATGATCGCAGATACTATTCAAAGCTACCATCCGAAACCCAGTCAGAACATAGACACATCTGCATCGATTAGCACTCCGCCGCGTCTCAAGCCAACAAACCTTTACTTAAAATCAGACTCTTCTCTAAACAAATACCAAGTACCAGTGCCTTTGGAGGCATCACTGCCACCATACCTTTCACCAGAAAATAAATCGAAGCGCAGGAATAGTTTGATTTATGATGGTGAGGGATATAGTTTATTTTTGGGAGACGAAGAGGACAGCAGTTTCAATGAACAGGACGTATCGCGGCGAGAGTCGGAAGCAAATACCTCTATCAGTCACTGCAGTGATTTATCCATACCGTCTGCGACCCATGACTATTCCTTTGATGTTAATGAAGATATCGACAGACTTCTTGGAATAGACGAAGACGCAAACGTCAATTTGAAGAAACAAGCACGTAATCTTTTGAATAGAATGCCGAACCCAAATGAGCAACACCCTCCGCCTTTTCCGAAGCCTCCTACTTTTAAGGATAGTGCAAATATAACCAGAGTAAACGGCACTCAAGAAGTCCGAGAATCTCCAAATTGTGACTTTTCATCTCAAAGCGATGCGCTTAAAATTCTTACGAGTCCTTCCAAAACAATTACGATACCAAGTTTTGATCAAATTCCTGTACCTACCAAAAATTCAACGCTGTCTCACTTCTTGACCAAAATGGAAAACGAGGATAGAGATGACGATATTTCGCATAACCACCAACAATCAGATGAGATGAATCAAACTTTCCAATTTCCATCACCTCAGAAAGATCTCCCTGAAAACTCAGGATCCACGCCAAGCGATGATTTTCTGTCCTATGGAGCTGACTCGCCAGCTGACAATTCATTTGAGAGAAGAAGAAAGTTACTCATCAAAGAATCTTCCAATGGTAAGGGTCTGAGAAGCCATACCCACACCAGGACCCGAAGCATTCATAATTCACAAGATATATTTTCTGAGAAAAACTCTAACGAAAATACGATCAGCACTAATATGGATGTCATCGTGATACCCGAACGCTCTCCTAAACGATCACAGTCTAACAATTTACAGATGCGTGGAGAACCTGAAGCGGTTGTTTCGACTCCAACGAAGAGCACTGCTCATTATATTCCTAAAGCGAATTTATCAACAGTTGCGTTGTCTGGCGCTGGAAATATTGATGATTCATTCAGTTACACTTCAAGTACTGACTGCCAAAAGGGCTCCAAGGACCCTTCGCATACTCCTACTGAAGTACTGTTACCGCCTGAAAATCATTCGACTGTCAGCTTTTCATCATTGAACTCTCATCAAGAATCTCCCTTAAGTACAGCTTTGGGCGGTGCTGATTCGTCAACGTCTCTTGCAAGAGATTTTTTCTGCGACACAATGAAGGATCCTATATCTTCCGCATCTACCCATAATTCGTTCGATTCTGAAGATCAAAAGCCTAATGCTAATTCAAACGACAGCATTGAAGTGATTGGAGAGAACAAAGAAAGACCGACACCTTTATCGACGTATCATTCGTTCAAGGCTCCATTGAACTTACTTTCGGATCATAATCAAACAACTTTCACGGATATTAGAACCACGACAAAGGACAGACTCTCACCCACGAGACAGCTTTCGAATGTCATGAGTCATTCATCATGTGAATCGAAAGATAGCATTCCGTCACATCCGTCAAGCGCTACTGCATACTCACTAAACAGCTACGTGAATTCATCACTGTTTGATCAAGTAAGAAAAAAGAAAGCCACTTCATTTGCAACTGGAAGTAATGCGAACAAGTCCAATATTGATGACTCGAAACCAGGATATCTAGATACGTCTCAGCCACAAACACTCAAAGAGTGTATTGGTGGTGAAATGGTGGATGTGATTTTGTTAGACAGTTTTGATGACGATACGCCACCGCCATCAAGGAGGAGGCCAAAATCGCTACATGGTGATGCTTTAGAGCACCATGAAATTCTTGCCTTGTGCGATGAAACCGCAAACAAGGCAAAGACTGTAATATTAGACTTGGTTAATATTACTAAACAACCTCATTCTAAATTCAAATCTCTTCCTCGGCCACTTACAGAGATCTCATCATTACAAAGTAGGCAAAAGACCGCGGCTGAAGATATCGCAAGCTCTGCTCGCTTGGGTTATGATAAGTTCGGGCATGTCATGAACACAAGAATTGCCCCACCCAGATATGTCTCTAATCTTGAAAAGATTAGAATTGCTGAAAAAGATCGCTAGTCATCCAGCCTGAATTTATAGCTCGCAATTTTGCCTGAAATCACGAAACTTGCCCCAGATCTACTGTCCGGAACAGGAAGTCCTTAGTTGGGTTTACTTCAACGATCTGGTGGTGCACAATGTAGGAATGTGTGGAGATGGCAAGGTATTTAACTAAATTGCTGGAAAAAAGCCCAACTTGTAACATAACTTAAGGGTGGATTAATCATGAATATATTAATAATTCTGAGACATTAAATGTGCTTTATGAGCTTGTATTAAAGAAAGTCATTTGCATTCGGAGAACTGTCGACCGACAAATTAGTTTCCTGTATTGGACTCAACGAATTTCCTTGACTGAAATGCGGACTAGGTCTAGAAAGTGAGTTTGACGGCGTGACTGGTGTAGCGCCTGGGTCTGAAGGATTGCTTTTCTGCCAATCTTCTACTGGTGAATTTGCATTACTTTCACTAGATTCGTAGGCTGTGCTGTATATTAGAGGGTTCGCATCTAGCTCATTGACGGGACTATGAAAAAATGTCACCACTTTATCTTTGATCTCTAGCTTCAAGTTCAGTGGGGCATTCTCTCTTACTGCCCCATTGGGCTTCCGTGAGAAGCTATGAGTTTTTTTGAATGAGTTTGTTTTCTTATTTGAGTTTGGAGACTCCATCCCGTTCAAAAAGTAATCCTCGTCGTCAGAGAAGTTATAGTCTTCCGGTAAGTAGTTGATTTCGTCCAAGTAATGGTCATCAGATTGATTTTTTTTATTGTATTGATCTTCTTCTGATTCGTCAATAAAATACAGATTGCTGGTGGCGCCAGGTACTTCGTAGTCAAGATTTGAACTTAAATCATGAAACTTCAACACCTGAGATCTCGCAGGAGGGGGAAGTGATAGGTTCAGATTATCAGGCAATGCTACTTTGGTTTCGCATGAAAATGGTGACCGAAGCGAAGATACATGGGAGTTTGTGCTAGAATTCGATGCAGGCGACTTGAGTAGCGAGTTACCAAATGGTTTGGTTCGGTGTATCACTGATTGTTCCAATTCACGGAGCTGATGCTCGTTTTCGGTTTTTGATTGTACACTAGGGTCGTCTTTTTCGTATGAGCTTCGCGTAACGCTCTCGCCGGGTTTCTCACGTACATAAGCATAGCCGACTTTGTTTATGTCTGGTTGCTCCTCATCAGATTCACCGAGGTCAAATATATCACCATAGCTATTAAGATTGGTTTTCTTCATACTTTGAGAATCATCTGGGTCGTCAGTGTAGTTTTCCTCATCCTCCTGGTAATCGTAACCTTCGTCGTCTTCGTTATGATCGGATGATTGGGTTTTCTCATCAATATCGTTGATATCATCTGATATGTCAAATAGATCATTGTAACCATTTACCACACGGCCAGCCGTTATTTCATCCTCAGAGTCACTGATATTTGCAATGCTGTTGAACCCATTAATTGACATATCATTTTTACTTTGCTTTATCTTTGGATTCTCATGATTAAATTCTGTGTCATCCTCGTTGTCATCGTCAAAAAAATTCATGTCTTCATCAAAATCCTCTTCCCCGTAAAGATCGTCCACATAGACGTTTGCTTGGGGAATAGGTTTCGAGTAGTACTTCACCGAAGCGGTCCTGCCGTTGACACCAGCAGCCTCAAACGAAAATTTGGAAGATGCATCAGACGATTCGTCATCAGACAATTCGTTGCTGGAAGCGCTGAAGTCTCGCTTTTCGCTTTCTGGACTCTCTTTTTCAGAAGCAAAGTCTTTAGTCTCAGGTTTTTCGTGAATAGCTGAAACCTCGTCACCCTCCTCGAAAGATCTGTCATAAGTTACTATACTCTGCTCCCTCATTTCAGAGTTAATCGACAAGATGTCATCATTAGAAGCCTGTGAGCGATTTATTCCAAGCCCTAGAAACCTTTGCGATATTTCCACATCTTCGGGTTCACTTTCAGAATTGAAAAGAGAATGTTTCGTTGGTGTTGCATGCTCATCTCCTTGGCTGGTCAATTCGAAAGTATTAGTAAAAGAGCTCAAATCCAGGTTAGAATGTTTTCCCATGCTAAGGAAGTCTTCATGCGAATGGATTCGAGCTTGTCGATTTTTCGCCTTGTTTCCATTACCAGCCCGCAGGCTAAAATACGGGTGTTTCTCTTCACATTCATTAAGCTCGTCAAGCTTCTCCATTTGAATATCGAAGCTTCCACCTCCATTTTCCTCCACAATACTCGAAGTAGCAGAGCTAAAAGAACCTGTCTTGCGCTTGACTTGACCTCCGAAACCTGAATCGATCACGTCTGATGATGCTTCTGAAGAAGTTGAATTCCTATTAAGAACTATAACTGACTGTGATCGTTCCTTTGAGTTTGCACCCCAATCGTGCAATCTAGTTCCCTTTATAGTTGGTGTCATTTCGTAATCCGACTGTGATTGTGACACCGTAATCGTTTGTCGGGTAAATTGGGAGCTCTGTGGAGTTTCTGGCGAGGACAGGTTGCGGAACGATGACATAAAAGGCGACGTAGGTGCAGTAGTTGAATCTCCCATTCTAAAAGTATTGTTGCCCGGTTTCTTGAAGATTCGAGACGAGAATATTTTGTTTTTGTTTGTGAGTTTGTGGATAGAATCAAAGCTCATCGACTGTGACGGCTGCTTGTCTAGAACCGGTAATTGAGCTGGTGCAATTTGTGGTATATTATCGGTGTACTCATCACTCGATCTGGTAGAGTCCTTATCACAGTGTCTGGAAGGACTACTGTCCAGTGAGCTAGACTTCCGATGCGATTTAATGAAAGATCTCATCAAATTAGATTACAGTTCTCACTCTCCTGGTTATATTGTCCAAATATACAGTGAATCATCCAGGATCTATAAGCAGCCTCGTCCAACCGAAGTTGAGTAAGTATATCTCTAATTAGCTTGAAGTTTGTTGGACCAAATCTGCGTAAACTCTCTTCTCCTCTCGAAATTATGTATGCTTCCAAAATTAAATAGATAATCCATGGGGAGTACATTTGTACTTTCGGGGACTAAAAGCTTCGGCGGTTATTCTGTTTTTGTTCTTTGCAGTAGTCGCGAAAGTCAGAAAGTTAGGTTTTCCAAGGTTCTCGTGAGTTTGGCAGCTCCATGCGCCGAAACGTCTTTGTCTATTGAGAGTTTAGCCCTATTCTGTTGTAACCCTTCAAGAAGCATACATGCTTTGCAAATTTTGTTACTAGACAGGTAGCCACACCTATCACAACGGTTCCCATCTAAAAAGCCTTGTAGTGGCAGAGAAATAGAGCCGTCACTTCTGACTTCCATATGGCTTTTTGGTGGTGCTTTTTTAGTTTTCTTAGGCCGTAGTCGCAGATTCTCACCGCTGTAGATGATATCAATGATGCAACTGGGCCGTACGGCCTCCAAGTTTTTCATAAGCTCTCGAGCAGTTCCTCGAAATGCTTCGGGAGCATACGTACATTCAGTGGAGAAATAATCCAGCTTCTTGTAGTGGGCATAGAGCACAATCTCCTTCTGATATGCGTACTTGAAAGGTTTGGATCTCTTGATTGGTGAGCCACTACTCTGAGTCATGATCGAAGTAGATTTCTCTAGGCGAGCCACGTCTCCGCGTAGGATGTTCATAAGAACTGTCTCTGCCATATCGTCAGCATTGTGGCCCGTTACAACGTGCTTGATTCCTAATTTTGCAGCACCGCGATCCAAAGCTTGGCGGCGAAACACACCGCAGTACGTACAGCTATTGCGAACGCCTGCACAAGCTACTATCTCATCCATGGTCCAGTCATATAGCTCCCGATAGGACACAATTTCCAAAGGTAGGTCGTATTGTTCTTTGTTTCTTTTAACAGTGGCTAAGGAGTCATCGCGGTATCCTACAATACCTTCGTCAATGCTCAAAAGCACGATTTGGATCCCGTAGTTGTGTCTTTCATTGAGAAGTTTCAGAAGGTAAGCCAAGACTGTAGAGTCCTTCCCGCCGGAAGCGCCTACGGCAACCCTCTCGCCGAACTGGAACAATTTATTGGACAAAATAGTATTGTGAATCTCGGTTTCGAATACGTGGAAGAAACACAGTTTACATATTTTCTGAAGATTTTTGGGCCTTTTGATTAGCGCTTTTCGAGCGTGACACAGCTCACATAGTTGTGAGATCTTGACATTTTTGGGTTTCTTTGGATCCGAAGGGGGCGTAAAACTCATATCGGTAGAGTGTCGCAAGCTATAGAGTCTTTTCACTTTTTTGATTTATTTATTGAATTCTTAAGATAGGCGATGAGCTTTAAATTTTTCAATTTGTGGGGACATTGGTCAACTACTCAACGAGAAATAATCGTCGATACACATGCTGTTTTGATTACTTAGTGGGCGAAAAGCATTCAAGTACCACGCTACTATGTTTGTGATACTACAGAAATCAACAGTCCTTTCCCTCTACTTTGCACCTCATGGTTTTTTCGCCAGCGAATCCCACTAACCCTACCGTGCACCGTGCTCATTCTTTCTCCGCTACTCTCTCACCTAACCTTCATTGATTCTTTTGGCATTTCTATTTGCCATGCGTAGTTTATTAGCGGTTGAATCCACTTCTCCTGACATCAAGTCTAAGAGCTCGTTCTGCTGAGTTAGCTCTTGATTCATTGTCAAAGACAACTCTTTTTGGTTCAGTATTATCTTACGGAGCTGCTCTAGTTCTAGGTCCTGGCTTTGTGTGGTGTCCTTGTGAAGTTGAAGGAGCTCTTGGTTATTCAACTTTAAGGTTTGGTTTGTTTCTCCAATCTTTCTTCCGGCTAGGGGTTTCTGCTGTTCAGGTTCCGCACCTGAGAATAGCTCTTGATTATCTTGATCGACAACTTGAAATGCACCTGAGCGTGCTGCCATGACTCTCTCATTTAGCTCATTTTTTAGTCCGCCAAGGAGATTGCGACGCCTCTGAATCTCGGAGGCACCCACGAGCTGCTCGGCTTCAATAATTTTAAGAAATTTCTCTAAGTTTTGGGTGCGTAGCCGCAACTGAACGCTGACCTTATTCCAAGATGTCGGATCACGGGAAGCCTCCGCGAAAATAATCTTGCAGTTACGTAATTCTTCGAGCCACTTCTGTGCGTCCGCTAGACGTTCCAAACCCTCTTCACTGAAGTCTGCTAAAGGATCTCTAGATTGGGTTCGGGTTCGGAAATTCAGCTCTTCCCAGTTACTAGGTATCTGCAAGAAATGGCACACGTATGGTGATCTCTTCCATCGAGTATCAAAAGAGTCATTCAACAAATCATGCAGGAAGTTGCTCAGTTCTTTCTTTCGTTTTTCAATCACGTCTGGATCGCATGAACCAGATGGTTTCAGCCACCGGTTGAATTGTCTAGGCGGTAGTTCGTAGGGTAGTTCTGAGCCCATTTCCTGTTCCAAATTCTGTTTCAGTTTTACAAACTCTGAAAATCTTCGGAAGGCCTGGTATGTGCTGGTCTTACTGCCTTCTCTTGTCAGACTGAGGTCTATCCGATATAGCGCATAGCTCTGTTTGATGATCTGTACACTGTTAATCTCCACACTGATATGTAAGTCGGACATGCCGCTAAATAGCTTGATAGCTTTGGGCCTAAAGATCAGACAGTGATTGAAAGGATTTAGGCCAGTCTATCGTTTTTTACTGAATATGCTTTCTGTTCGGAACCCTTAGCAGATTATTGAAATAGCTTAATTAAAGAAAGATGACTTTAAACAAAATGGATTGTTGTTCTCTGAATTTCAAAAATTAAAGTTAACGGGCCAAATAAGAATAATGGTATGTTGCTAACTATTCCGTCTACTCCTGAAAGTACGCGATATGGCATGTCAATTGATGGCATCTCGTGCTGGACTTGGCACAATATACTAACTGTTTTGTTACTGCAGTCCAAACTTTATATATCAACCCAGAATTGTGGTAAAGCTCATGAGGCTGATATTTTTGGGCTTTGTATATCGAATCCATACACAGTGACAGTGTCTGGAGATGGAAGCTTGAAACTGTGGAAAAACAAGTTGATTGATGGTGAGCAACCAAAAGACCATGTCATATCTTGCTTTGTTCACAAAACAGGTCTACACCATGTAGATGCTTTCCACTCGGTCGAACAAGGTGGGCTCGAGTTGTTTTTAGTGGCGTGTGTATCCTTTTCGGGGCAAATTTTTATCTATGAGGTGGACATGGCCTCAGGTACCCTGAAGGAACTTGACTTACTGTCTCACGACGAAAAATTAAGATCATATTGGTGCATCAAGTTCTTAAAAAGCGATGATTTTTCCGTTGCCCATAAGATGGTCGCTACTGATGTGAAAGGCAGTACTGTGGTATGGGCTTTAGACATATTTAAACCAGAAGAACAGACGCAGGAGAGTGGCAATCTGGATTTGAAGAAGGAGAAGAACATACGTCTTTCTCAAATAGGGGAGATTCCAGCTACTGAACCGAAGTTTGCAACCAGTGTTGATGTCTCAGTGAAAGGAATAATTGCCACAGGGTTCCAAGACGGCAGTGTGGTGGTTTCACAATTAGAAACCTTGAGGCCCATTTACAATTTTGAAGGATTTGGAATTAAAGGTACTGAGGAAAGTAGTGGAACCGTTCGAGACGTCAAGTTTTCACCTCTGGGTGAACTTTTAGCAGTGGCAAATGATTCTGGCTCTTATGGCTGTGTAACATTATATGAAACCGAGTATGGTGAGCGGGTGGGTAACTTGACAGTTCCTACACACAGCAGTCAAACAAGCATCGCTAATTTCACGCATAATGGTTGGGTCTTCAACGCCAGTTTTAGCTCTACAGGTGAATTCTTGGCAACTTGCGGTTACGATGGGAAGATCCGCGTTTGGGACGTCAAGCGAAGGGAGCGTGTCAGCACTCTTAATATTAGTGCCGGTGATATTGAGATAGAAAGTGAGATTGTATCACAAGATGAGTTTGGTAACTCTCTGAAAACACCTCCCGTCATGGGCGTCACTTTTATCAATAAAGGTGTTCGTGGTGGCATCGGAGGGGATACTAATGAAGGGCTGGCATGTGTCTGTTTAGATAGAAGTGTGCGCTGGTTCAGAGAAGCTGGAGGCGTTTGATTTCAGTAATAGAAAATTATTATTGAAGTACATAAAAAGAAATAGTGAAAGAAGCATGAGAACGAACTCACTCAAGAGATCCCATACTCTAACAGTTGCAAAAGTTTTGACAAGCAACAACAATTGATCAACCATTATAAAAAATAGGAGAGCAATCGTTGAATAACTGTCATTGACGTCAAATCAGTTCTTAAAATTGTCGAGCTCTTAACACAAACAAACTCTAATGAAAAGCATAAGGTAAAATTTGTTTATCAAACCATGGGCTGTTTTTTTTTTTTAGAGATTTGAGGAATTTTGTATTTTTTTGGTTTTTTGTTTAATGATTTCGAGCAGATGGACTCGCTGCTACAGCGAGCTCACCATTTCAATCAATGAGAGTAGCAGTAGTAGGGTTTGTTTGAAGAAGCGTAATGAGATTGAGCAAAAAAGTCCTCGGGCTGACCACCCCAAACAGGAGCAAGAGCTGGTGCTTGCAATGGGGCGCTACAGTAATTGTAGCTGTTGTTGCAACTGAAGTTGCTCTTTGGTAGTGGGCTTTCATTTAAAGTTGGAGACGCATAAGAAGGCTGGTAAAATGAGTTGCTCGTGGCACTTCTCTCCTCAGTGTACGAAGGAGAGGAGTAGACCATAGAAGGTACCTGAACAGGGGTTTGAATTCCAGAAGACATTTGCTGGTTTGGAGACAGCCCTGAGCTGTAGTTTCCTGGCGTAGGTAAGGACGGTATGTCGTAATTGCTAACAGAAGCGGTTCTCTTCTCTTGACAGAAATGCTCGAAGGATTTTGTGTAATCATCGAACAAAATAAAATTGTCATCGAACAGTCTCCACTCAAATGTTGCAAGCCAGTCTCTTTCGAACTTGTTGATAACAGAGAGTTCCATGCCGGTTGCATGTGACCAGGACTTGTTGGTAAAGGTTTTGTCATCATTAAACTTATTGGCTAGCACAAGGGCCACCATCAAATTCTGGTAGATAACGTTCACGGAATCACCGCCAAGCGCATCGATACCGGCTGGAAGTTTGGAAACGTATTTGCAAAGGAAGTCCAAAGCCATGAAGACAGTCACGGATGGTAATCTTGTAGCATTCAAAACGGAGCTAACACCTTTCGTGAAAATGTCCAAAACACTGGTTGATTCAACGTTCAACGCCTCGTCATTGTCAAAAACCAAATAAGCATTCTTGACAACAAATTCAGACATCGAGTCTAGATCGTAATCTAAGAACTCGCGCACGCCGCCATTGACTTGGGATTCATCTTGACGAGTTTGAGATTGAGGTTGAAACTGCGGCATTTGAGGCTGATATTGTGTTTGTAGCTGTGGGAGCATGGCCGCTGCAGGAGCTGCAGCAGGGTGAGCCATATAACCCATACCTGGAGGAGGCATTACCATTTGGTAACTAGAGGAATGTTGGTGATGGTATGGGTGCTGGGGGGCCTGGTAGTAAGGTTGCAAAGGCTGTGGTGCCTGGTAGTACCCATAATTGGCGAGTGTGGGGGCCGCCATAGACTGCGAATGACCGTGGAACGGTTGACGCTGCTGGGAGGCTGGGACTGGGCCCGGTGCCGCGTAATTTGGATAATACATGTAGGAAGTCATCATCAAATGTGACAAGTGTTCCAACGGATAGAATCACCCAAATTAAAGAATAGTAATAAAAAAAAGGTTAAACCAGGGAAACCAAAAGTGGTTTCTAAAGTTTGATTGAAAAGTCCTTTCTCAGATTCGAAGCAAGCCAGAACCTATCAATGGGATTCGAGTAAGACAAATTAACTTAATAACTACCTTCACTCTATACTGTCTCTTGTAGAAAACAGTAGCCTTTTGACAGTTGTCGATGCTCTATGCTTGCAGTAAAAGTTTCCCTCGGGGAAGACAGACTCCAAGAGATTTGGAGTGACAAAGATCTTCCGAAAGAGATACTCTCGGTAAATGAGCAGGAAAATTCACAGAGAAAACTCTTGAATTAACAGTTCCAGATAGTTCTTGATCCTCAAAAACGACCTGTGTTAGCGGTGCGATTAGTCCTTTATAAGGGTGGGCTAGTCGCTGAAAATCACGATCCGTATTGCTATCTTCCTTGAAACAAAGAACACAGCAACCTTGTGGCAGCACTTAAGCAGACAGATGCGTGGTTTTAATCAGGTCTTCCTTTGTGGTCAAAGGAATTTCTCAGAGATAAAACTTCTGGAGAGAAACTGAAATAGAGAGATCCGAAAATTCGATATATTATAAAGATACCAGTACGTTTAATGAACTGATGATCCTCGTAATATATTCAAATTTGAAGTGCGTATAGATGAGCTCGACAGGAGGAGCAAGGTTTATATGACCAAATCAGATTTCTAATGAAAAAATTTCGCCAGCCATTTCTTTGAACACGACATCATCACATGATATTGAAGTTAACATTTATACGATATCAATTCTTTCGAACCCGCTTTACTTTCTTTTCTATTAGAACAGAAGAGTATGTATCTGTTTGCACTTGTCGTACCGCGGTTACTATTTAATCATGAGCAATGTGCTTAAGCAAAATGATCTTAGTGGCGACTGTTTGGTGCTTGACGTCGTGTTAAGAGCACTTCGGTATCACGACCGCTGGAAAAGTCCCATTCATTCGTGGGACCATATATAATAATGGCTAATACTGAGCGCGTAGAAGAGAACCAATTACGATATTATGTAGCTCGGCTGTTCATCAGTGGTATCATTTCCGCATCGAATCTTTAAATTTCAAACTTTAATGCTGCGTGAGGACGTGTAGCTTACAATCCACACTTGGCCACCGTTGTGCGGCGAATGTGTTGACCTTGTCCTCTGGAAACTAGGTTCAAGCCCTTGAGAATTGCTAGTACCCACTAAACATAGTATTACCCGTCTAATTCACTTACCTCTGACCAACGCAGTGGATGTCAAAGACATCTTGCGACCCGTTGAACTGTCCCTTACGTCTGGTCGAAAAACCTTTTCGTTGTGCTGTGATGGGTTTGGATCAGGAGCGTCCTGCATGCTAATGTCCTCTTCGTAGGAAGGCCAAATCATTGCGCTACGCGGGTTTTGATTGTCGTCGTCTAACATCATTGAAGTTGAATCGTTTCCCGGCACCAGCTCGGACCACCTCACTTTTTTGGCAGCCTTTGTATTGTTTAGTATGCGAGAACGTTGTATGGGAGACGGAGTGCCACTGTTGGATTTTACGATCTTAGCATTCGCGTGTCTCCTATACGGCAAAGTAGACGTAGCTCTTCGCAGATTCCAGTTTTGTGTCGAATCAGAGCCAGGAACAGATGTGTTAGCCGTTGAATTCAAATTGTTGTGTATGTTGGCGGCAAACGTATCGAACTCTTCGTCTATATGTACAAGACCCCGGATTTCTTGATGAAGTTGCTCCAGTACATTTATATCCTGGAGTTCGTCCCCGTTTTCTCTGTCTCTGGTGGCGCGCAGCAAAGTCTGCGATACAAATTTCAGCCTTTTCACCAAGGTCGCATCTTCCATCAGCTTCTCCATCATCACTGAAGAGTAAACAAGAACCTCGTTACGGACACTTTCCGATACCCAGCTCAGAAGGGACTCATACCAAACCAAATCGGTTTCTTCGCACCAATTTTCCATTTCTTGCAACTTGATCAAATCAATTTCTCGCGTATGCTCCAAAGATGAATCCAGCTCATCAGGCGTGTCAAAACTCTGCTCCAAATTCCTCACTTTTTCCACTAATTGCTCATGAATAGCCAAACAATCGCTATAGAGCTCCATGTTCGGAGCGATTAACTTCAACAAAACAGCAAGTTCAACAGCTACCATTTGCAAAAACCGCCTTTTACACAGGATTAATGACTTAATCATTTTGAGATGCTGAAATTTTTCGGAGTTCTTGTAATTGTGGCGTAGCGCTTGAACACTATCCCACGAAGCCATGTGTATTCTTTCACGCGTTATCTTGTACTTGCTGATTTCCAAGTCAATCATTTTACGTTCTCTGCTCCTCAGTTCTTCTATTTCTTGTTTTTGTTCAGTGATCATCTTGAGATATGATCCAACGTGACGGTCCAGGGAATGCTGATTTCTAATGACCTTAGTTTTGATTTCTTTCGCTCTTGAAGCGTACTTTAGGGTATTTAGTGTTTCGTCGTAATGATTGCTGCCTGGAGAGACGCAAACGATCATGACGGTCTTGCAGTTACCCCCAAGTGAGAATTTGAGCAGTCTGGTCAGTTTTGAGTCTCGGTATGGTACATGGCATGTCGCTCCCTTTTTCCCGTTCACGCACAAGGCGTTTATGCAATTTCCAAGAGCTAGTAGTGACCTATTAATATTAGCACCTTCGTGTAAACGTTCGCCTCTGTTTTTAGTAGCAGACGCCCTTTCACTACCAGCCAGATCTATTAACGACAGCGTCGCAAATTTTTGTTCTTCGGTGAGCTCAGCGGTTCTGTTCATTTGCTTTATGTGGACTTGAAGGACTGCATGGGACCTGGAAGAAGTTTCATTTGCGTCCGTCGCAGAAGTCGTCCTGTTGTTGTTCCCTCTAATAACTAGATCCATAACATCCTCAACAGTTTTCAATGAGTGGTGAGATAAATTAGCCACGGATATGTGCCGGAGTGCGTCTTCCCGCAACACGAGTTTCTTACTCGACGTTTCAGGCACCAGTAGATCTCTTATAGTCTCATTGTAAATTTCTAGGTATGAGGCTGTTAAATCAAACTTCTTTGTATCACGCATCTCATCCATCTTCGTAAACAGCTCTTGCATTGTGAGGAAAATGATACCTGGATTTTCAGGAGGCCCACTGACAGTATAGGTTTTCCCACAGCCAGTTGCTCCATATGCAAATACGGTACCATTGAACCCATCCAGGACAGAGTCTAATAAAGGGCGAGTGGTTGCCTCGTAAACTTCGAGTTGCGAGGACTCCATGTTGAAAACCCGGTCGAACACAAATTTTTGCTCTCCGCTGCGTCTCGAGGACCGAGAGCCATGACTTGATGAAGGTGTTGAAAGGGAATTCAGAACCGTTTCGCTGATTCGTCTTAAAGGGTTGTTTTCTGCCGGATCGAAAATCAGCATTTTGTCGTCAACACAGTCTACGGTTTGCCGCAGTCCCTGAGGCTTGAATCTGTGCGGAACTCCCTTCGTAGGCGTCGAACTTTCCATTCCAGGAAGCCGCAGGTTCGCATCTCCCAGATGTAAATTTCCGAATGCTGTGTGTTCATTAATCAAACGAGCTTGCTCGTGTTCCGTGAACGGCCTGACCCGTACTGCAACAACGATTGACGATTGTCTGCTCTGTGGAATCTTGGAATCCATCAACTACGCCGGTTGTAGTTGCGCTGAGCCAAGTCCCGTTGCTAGCATCACCGCTATGGCAAGTATAGAAGAGATGATTTGTTTTTTGTTTACGTTTTGTGTTTGCCGAGAACAAACAAATATTTCGTAGATTGCGATACACCTTTCGAAATAAGAAAACCTCATTAGCGCAATAGACTTTAGGAATTGCAAGCGAAGCTCGATCTAAACATTGTTGACCTTCAGGACCCTTGTTTGTGGTCCATACTCTACAACTTGTCGTGTCTACTGTTGCCGAACCTAGATTGGAAGCAGTGTTAATTTTCGCTCACTCATAGTTTTACCGAATATGTCCTTCCGATTTAATAAGGAGACCTTTGAGGACAACTCGTTCAACGAACAGATACGCGAGAAGCTCACGCATGCGCTTAATGCAGACACGGGCAGTACTTCGCAATCTAAGAGTGCTAACACAACAAACACTGCGGCCACCGACGAAGTCAAACAGGAGACGAAGGGCCCGAAAAAATTAGACATTTTGAAAAGCGGGATAACCGTGAGCAAAGTCAACTTTCCATCGATACCACAGTTAGAAATCCTCGATCTGGATGTGTCGGCCCAATCGAAGTCGCTGTTAAAGGGCATATGCAAGATCTCGTGCAAAAACGCCATGTTGGAGATCAATACTGAGATTGAGGCGAACTTGCTGCTCCTGTACACGAACAACGGACCTGCATTCACGACGCCGCGTCTCATTTCCAACAACTCTTTCTCTGTACCCATCACTATGACCTTTGATCAAATTGAGCTGGAGGCTATCACCAACATTTTTGTGAAAAATACTAGCGTCGGCATTTCCTTTAACGACGTCAATCTGGATTTCAACTTCGACTGTTCCATTAAACTGCTGCAGTCGAGCATCGAAAAAAGATTAAAGGGCTCGATGGAGACGGTTTTTAAGGACGTCCTCCCGAGCGTAATTTTTAGCATGAGTCAACGCTGGTTTACACACGGGGAGCCAAATTCATTTCCTTCTGATGATAAATTGTCTGACCAAGCCTCTAACCATTCGCATTTACCAAGAACCATACTCGAGGATTCCGATTTGGAAGATTTATCGCCAGCGAATATGCTACGGCTTTCCACACTGGTTTCTTCGCGTCAATCACTGTCATTAAATCCCACTGCTATGAACACTTTCAGTGCGATCCCGGGCTGTTTGGAGAGACAAAACTTGCATAGATTCAACTCAAGAGTGCCTGCGCTCAGTAACTTTTACCCAGACTATTACGAAAACGAAGCACCAGATCTGAAAAGCCTAGGTCGATCGACGAGCTCCAACGCTGTAGTTGGTGGCGGTGGGCATATTCAACAGCACAATACTTTGCCTCAAAGGATTCTAGAGGAAAGAAGCTACGACATCAAAACGATTGCGTCTGTCCAATCCCGGATATATGAAAGGAGCAGCGGCGATAGCACCCATGTAAGAAGACGCAAGATCAAGATGGGTGGCCGTGTTAAATCCAAGCCAAGGCCCCTGACACCGGTTGAAGACGGAGTAGAAGGTGCTACAGACGTCGAATCGCCCGCGCTTGTGGAACATAAAAGCGATTATCCAGAGTTAGTTTCAATTTCGACACCTGCTGCCCTACATTCTCCTCGACCTATCAGTGCTGCACAATCGCCCGAGCCACTTGTCGAAAACCCTGCGTTTACAAATATCCCCTCGTTGCAATTACCAGCTCAACTTGCCCCATCTCCGGATATCAAGCCTCTTACTTCAAAACTCAACTTGTTAGAAGAAGCTCATAATTTGAACCGCAGAAGGGAGTTCCAAAAACTAAGGTCCAGTTTGTATTCACCGATGAGAAACAAGAACTTTTATGCCAGTAAAGAAATGGAACGACCAATATTGGAACACAAGGGCTTGAGTTTTGTAGGACTTGCACAGGGACTCAAGTGGGGAAATGAGGATCTCCCTCCACCTTATGGATGCTGAAAGATCAGCAAACTGGTCTCTAATGAGCCGGGATATATACCTCGCACACACCTAGGAGTAACGATTTGTAATTAAAATTAATCACTATATCAAAAATAAAATGACATCGGCGCATAAGCTTTATTTGAACAAAAGCGCGCTGAAATGCACTATTGTGAATACGTAGAAAGAGGCCAAATAACTCTCAATACTCCTAAAAGTACAGTTCTTGGTGCTTCATCACGAGTCTTAAGCATGGGGAAATGGCGACACATTTGCGCTAGCTTCAAACTACTAGCTTTGACCACTCCTCTAGGGTAAAGCATTTGCATCCAAATGCATGAATTTGAGCTACCTCTTCCTTTAGGGCAGTGTTAACCAGTCGACATCTCTGAATCTTGTTTTTGCCTTGAAAAGTATCACTCACCACTATTACATCGAAAGACTGTCCGCACCCGTTGGATGTGTCAGTAATTATAACATTATGAACATTCGGAATAGCTACTGATAGCTTGTCCCGTATCTTCTGTTCGCTGAGCATGACAGGCAGATATTACTTATATGATCTTGAAGTGATCTTCTTTAAACTTTCGTCGCATGCCTTGAATCTACTTCAAAAACTTTTGAGAAACATTACAAGTGAAAAATACAGTGACTAGCTCAATTTGTGGACTAAGTACATCGAGTTGCCATGAGCAAAGCTTTATCGAGGTCTCAATTGAAAACGTTGATCGAAAGAATCACCAAGCTCTATCCGTCAAGTTATGCGGATAACAGTTGGGACAATACGGGCCTTTTAATTGATTGCTCAGCAACGCAAGAAAGTGTCAAAAATCCTAAGGTTTTGCTTACAATCGATTTGACAGCTGCTGTTGCGCAAGAAGCGTTGAAAAATGACTGTAGCTTAATACTGGCGTACCACCCGTTCGTATTTCCAAGCTGGAAGCGTTTGAGCCCTTGGACAAATTCTCAGCATCAATCAGCCATACAGCTGATACAAAATGGTGTTAGTGTCTACTGTCCTCATACGGCCGTGGATGCAGCAAAGAATGGCGTCAACGATTGGTTAGCAAGCGCCATGGTCGATGATCAATCGCTGATAAAATCAAGTGTTAGTATAGAGCAAGTTTTGCCAGTGCAAGGAGAACGCGCAACCGAGGTTGGTTACGGACGTGTCGTTGAGTTCACCAAGTCAGTCTCCATCAAGTCCATCATTGGGTCGCTGAAAACTACATTGGGAGTTCAAAACCTTCAACTTGCTTTAAAAGAAGCCTTGGATGACTTTAAAGTGCAAAAGGTCGCATTATGCGCCGGAAGCGGTTCGGGTGTGTTTAAGAATCTCAAGGAAGATGCTGACCTGTATCTCACAGGTGAAATGTCGCATCATGAGATTTTACGACTAAGGGAAATGGGCAAAGGTGTGATCGTATGCAATCATTCCAACACAGAGCGTGGGTTTTTGAGGCAAGTGATGTTGAAAGAACTATCCGACGCAGGCATTCAATGCATAGTTAGCTCAGAAGACTGCGATCCTCTAGTGTTTGTATAGTTGACAAATTGTATATGCGAGAAAAACTACAAGCTAAGGATTACAGCTGTAAAGTTCAATCGAGCTTCAAACCATTACAACGACTACGTGTGGGTCTCTAGATGCTCTGAAGGTGTGTGAGGTTCTTTTTTCTCTCAAGCGCTTGAGATTCTTTCGTCAAAGCGTACTCATACCAACTACTATTCGTGTGAACTTGACAAGGTACAACACCATCTTCAGTTGACTACAATCTAGCGATGGACGCTTACGCCTTGAAAAAAGACAATCGTAAGAAGTTCCAGGATAAGGAGAAGCTTAAACGGAAACATGCTACGCCGAGCGACAGAAAATATCGTTCTTTAAACAAGGCAGCAGAACCTGAGCCGGAAGTGCCTGAGTTGCAGGCTAATGACTACCGCTATCATGAAGATCTGACCATGACATACCAGCAGGACGATTTCAACGCGGAAAAGGCTAATCAGAAATTGAAACAGGTTCTGCAGAGCCGTGGGAAAGAGGAGACATCAGAAGCGAAAGGCCCTGTGACAAGAAAGCATTTGGATTCTATGACGGTAGCGGAACTGAATGGGCTCCTAGGGCGAAAGAACTCGAAAGCCACACAAATTGAGGAACCGGATCTTCATGAATCTCCCCCAAGCAGAGCTCCCATGAAAGAAAGTAGACAGAAGCCGGGGCAATCCAAGTCACGATCGACAGTTCCTCTCGAATTGGAATCGGAACAAGATTTATTGGACGAACTCATATAATAATTTGGAACCAGTTCAGGTACCTAGATAGGGTGAATCCGTTCCAAACACCGTATTCTCACCGGTGGACGCTTGTCATAGTTGAAGCTCTTAGCATTACGATAGCATCACGTGTACTATCTTTTACACTTATCATATATTATTTTTCTAAATATTAAATAAACTAATTAACATCCTGACTCTACTATCTCTCACCCACATAAATTACATACAAACCAACTTCAAAGCATAGTATTGGCCGCTATCAAGCCCAAAATTGCGTTTAAACATCACAACCTACACCACCAAACAAGTGCATCTAGATTTTTTGCTAAAATACCCCTAGTTTTTTGGTTTTAGACTTGTTATTTTTCGACACTCTTTAACGCTCACAGAAGTGCTCAAATTGATTGCTTTACAGTTTTTATCACGAAAATGTCCACGGATACGATGTATCTGAATAGTGCAAGGCGCCTGCCAGCTGCTGGAAAGAACAAGACCAGTCAGCTTCAGAAGCCCGAAAAGAAACCGGCCAAAAATCAACGCAAAAACCGGGCTCGCCAAGAGACTGGCGTCGCGGATGAATCTTTACCACAGCCTCAAACGCTTCCTAATGGTGAGAAACCTAATTTTGGAAACTCCAGTAAAAACGATCGGAAACAGGGCTCGAAACGATTGCCTGGCGCCAGTTCAAGTACTGCTCGAAACTCTACCGAACAGCTGGCCCAAAACATGAAAGACGTTTTGTTCGTGGGAAACGATATTGCGACTTCGAAGCCTGCAGTCAATGCTGACAGACCTATTCATCGCCAGATGACTCCACAGTCGTTGCCTAGCGCTTCTCCAGCCCAATCACCACTGCTTCTAACAGCAGAAAATGCGCCACTAACCACCTCACCTTTGCCTCATCAACCCGGACTTTACCAACAGCAACATCAGCACCAACAATTTCAGCAGATTCGCCAGCATCAGCAGTTTCAACAATACCAACACCAGCAATACCAGCAGCACATATTGAATCAGCAGCTACATCCCCAGCAAACCCGTTTCCCTTCGACGATTCCTCAAGGATTGCAACAATCGGGACAAAATTATGCGCTGTCCTCTCCTGCAGTACCCTACTATAACCCTTCGCAGTTTCCTTCCATGAATATGCCCTCTCAACAGAACCCAGCATTTTACGGGATTCCGCCTCCTGCACCTCCTCCCATGACTATTATGCCCGGACACTTCCCACATGCCCCAACAGTGTATAATCCTACTCTTCCACCTCAAATGTATGTCCCGACTTCCGCACCGAGCTCGTCGGGCAGCGGAATATCTGGCCCAGCAACTTTACACTCTGAGGAACCTAGAGTGTCTAGTTCAAGCCCCAACTCAAGTCCAAATTCTAGTCCAAACTCTAGCACAAATTTGAACACATCTAACAAGAAGCCGTCCAAAAAGTCACGGACCACCCCGAAGCTCTCTCGTGGTGGATACGCTGGTGCGTCTTTCGCCACTAGTGTACCTTCGGTTACAAATTTACCCAAGCCAAGTTTTACATGAGGATCTGGCATCTTCTAGTATAGGCTTTAATGTTGTCACATTTTATTTTTTATCAATCTTAGGTTGGAAGAAGGTCCTATTTGGCGCAATTTGATCCAAATGGTTTTTCCAGGGTTTTGGGGTGAAGGAGCTTTTTTTTTGGGTTATTGGGAAATGACTTTAGGTCTACTCAATCTCCAGGGTTTTTTTTTATTTTTGGGATTTCTCAGCTCTTGTTTTCCCTGGTTTTCCAAGCTTTTAGAAACATCCTTGTATTGAGTGTTGATGAAAACGTTTTAAGAACTTATCTAAAATATATATACATATTGTAACAAGGCTGTTATTTCTATTGGCATTCCTCGACCTCTGATGATTGACTTATTAAATACACAAAGAACTGTATAGGTGTTCTTTTTACATTTACAAAACAACGTTCTTGGCCAACTTGTTCTTGTAATCCAAAATATTACCATTCCATCTGGTGGCCGTCTTGTCTTCGACAACGAAAATGTCCTTGGCAATCTTGTCCAAAAGTCTGAAATCGTGTGAGACAACTACAACACCACCATTGAAATCGTTAATAGCATCGGCTAAAGAGTCGATTGTAGCAATGTCCAAACCGTTGGTAGGTTCATCAAGTAGCAAGACGTTAGGAGCTTGTAGTGCCAACAAAGCGAAAACGACACGAGAACGTTGGCCTTCTGACAGAGTACCCATTTGAGAGGTTTGTGCTTCACCACTCAAGCCGTAACGACCTAATTGGCCTCTCCAGTATTGGAAATCATGAGAAATATGAGAGTATTGGTCACGAACAAATTCTAGAGGAGATTTGCTCAAGTCCAATTGGTCTTGAGAATGTTGAGAGTAAACACCCAACTTGACGTGAGTGTGACGAGATACACGTCCGGACTGTGCAGACAAATCACCAGTCATAATTTTCAACAGGGTGGATTTACCCACACCGTTAGGTCCCACGAGGGCGACTCTAGAGTCCATGTCTACACCGAAGTTCAAATGCTCGTACAAATTGTTTTCAGCTTTGCCATCATAAGCGAAAGAGATATCGTCGAAAGCCAGCACTGGAGGTGGTAGTCTTTCCACTTCTGGGAAACGGAACGAAAATACCTTGTCAGAAGCAACGGGCTCAATAAGGCCATCGGCTTCCATCTTATCCAAGATCTTTTGTCTAGATTTGGCTTGTCTGACCAAGTTGGCATAAGTACCTGCAGAGGCAATAAATTTTTTGATATGGGCGATTTCTTCTTGTTGCTTAGCGTATTGTTTCATTTGGTTGGTTTCTTGTTCGGAACGGGTCTTGACGTAAGAGTCAAAGTTACCACCATAGGCTATCAATTTTTGCATACGCATATCAATCATGTTAGAACAGACACCATTTAGGAAATCCTGGGAATGTGAGACGAGAACCAAAGTTCTGTCGAATCTCTTTAAATATTCTTCCAACCAAACACAGGCTTCTAGATCCAAATGAGCAGTTGGGTCATCCAATAGTAGTAGTGTTGGCTTAACAAACAAAGCTTTGGCCAAAGCGACACGCATTTTCCACCCACCGGACATGTCTTTGGTCTTTTTGTTAATGGTTTTCGAGTTGAAACCGAGACCGATAAGAATGACGGCGGCTCTGCTTTCGAAAGTGGAAGGGTCGAGGGAGTCCATACGCTCGTAGATACCGTCTAGAACGTCGGACTCTGGACCCTCTTCAAGAATAGTCTTCTCGACGAGATCCTCGAGACGCTTGAGTTCGTTTTGGGCCTCGTTAACGACGTAATCTAGAGCCGAAAACTCGGAAGGCTCGGCGGGCTCGTCCAATAGGTAGACATCGATGTGCTCTGGAATTGGATATTCGCGGGTAGCGAGCGACTTGAGGAATGTGGACTTACCACACCCGTTCTCGCCCAGCAGACCGTAACGACGGCCGTAGTTGAGTTCGAGCTGCGAGTCCTGGATCAAAACTTTACCGTGGAACAGCAGCGACACGGACGAGAGCTTGACATCGCGCGATGTGGCTAGCGAGTCGAGCACACCGGTCACCACACGGTCCGAAATACCGTCCTTGTCGAGCTGCAGCTTCATTTGCGCAATCTCGCGGGCTGTGGCCTCTGTTTCGTCCTCGGCGCCCTCCTTCTTCTTGGACGCACGCACGGTCTTACCTTCGGAAGCTCTCTTGGCGTCTCTTTCGGCTTTCTTGGCCTCTCTCTTGGCTTTCGATGCGGAAGCTGGTGGCATATTAGAATGGTATTTTGTAGTGTAAAAGTTGAGAAATCTGAAAAGGAGATTTGCTAGGTCTGTTTGTTGCTTGTTTGTCTTGCTCTATCTCCAAGATCCTAGCGATACTGTGTTATCTGGCTAAAACGCTGTGTATGACTTCTGGATACACTAGTAGTTACTCAAACGTCAAATATTTAAATTCCAATCTTTTTTCACCAACTTGCTATAATACCACCTGCACTTTTTTTTTCCGACGAAGAAAAAATTGAACAAAAAAGAATTTTCGATGAGGTCCCGATTTTCGTGCTGAACGACGATATGACGTATTGTAGCGAGTTGGCATCCAAGCAGTGATGAGCAATTGTAGTTGGTATTCTAGCAGGTATGGTGGTTCTTGTAGCACTACTGAATAATTTTAGGTATACTGAGGTGGTTAGGAGATGAAAATTTGGTTTTGGTACACTTTTTACGGGCGCCTGCGAGGAAATGTGAAGGTTTGGGGATTCTAACACTCCTGGCGATCACAATGGCGCGGGCAAATGAGCGCTAATTATATCAGCACTTCTGCAAACGCCTGGTAGTTTTATGGCATTTTCCGGTTCTCGGAATTGGATTTACAGCACTGCAGAGTGCTTCAGCCGGTGAAAGCTAATTCATTGTACTCTTTCTCGTATCCAGACAGCTGCCAGCACTGCAGGATGCTTCAGTCGGTGAGAGGTAATCCATTGTACTCTTTCGTGCATCCAAGCAGCTGCCAGCACTGCATAGTGCTTCAGTCGGTGCGAGGTAATTCAATAATGTAAACGTAAAAAGACATCAAATATCACTGAAATAATCAGGATGTTTGAGAACCGCGTGTAAATCTTGACGTTCCAGTAAACTCCTTGAAGTTTGATAAGCGAATTGCCGTCAAATATGCGGCAGATTTTTGGTCGTGTTGGCCTCTCTCATCGACAGCTGCAGCACGATCAAGTTTTAGTAATTAGCTTTTGGCTGCAGCTGACTAGTTTTAGCGTACCTTGCTCATTCTTGACTACCCTCCACAAATCTTATTTTCTGCCGGAGCCGTTGAACAGAATGCTCACAGCACTCAAAACATGGCCTCGTACGTTGTCGGTGTCAGTATAGTATAACATGATGTCAAGGCATGTGCGTTACCTGTACAGAGAACGAAAACCGCGAATTCTGCAATTACCAAATTGCTTGGGTAGCGTCAAAGAACCCCATTTGCATCATACATTGGCAGACTTCGAACATGTTGTGGGTGTAATGACAAGACAATGCGATTTTCTGGAAAACCGTTTCTTTTTTTTTGGAAATGCTTCTAACGGCGCAAGCGCTGGACCCTGTTTGGTCCAGGGTGCTCCTTTAGTTATTGTTGCCATATTCAAAATGCTTGTTCATCGTAACGAAAGCCGCTGTTAATAGTCTTCAATTGCTTTGCAAGTGAGTTGCTTAAAATTTCACGGGGGATATTGATGAAGCCCGCCGAGAACCCTCTATTTGCTATGCGAGTAAGTAGCTGAGAACAAAGCCTATCCTCATTGAGGTTATCAGACCTCTAACAGCCTCGAGCAATTGTAGTCTTCTCCGACTAAATAGCATGCTCCGACACTCTCTCTTTTGACCTCTGATATTGAAGAGATTCAACAAGCCATGCGCAGCCCCTTTTTTGAGGAGAAACATGGTCTTCAATGTCTTTGGGATCCATTACGAATAGAAACTGCGCCGTATGTACATGCGTGGTGTTTTGTAGAATGTCATTTTGTACTACTTTGACACGGCCTTGTTATAACCTTCACCATTCGGTTTCTCGCTGTCAAACAAGTGTCAACACACTTGTTGACAGTACGGTGTCTGATAATAGCACAGATGCTTTTGCCAATTGATGGCTCTGAGGGCGAGCTACTCACAAGGTCATTTCTTTACATAAGCCAACAGATCTATGGTTCTCTGGGAACAGGTAATGGCAACACTTTGAAACCGCTGGCAAGGACTGAAAGATAAGTGTCACCAGTAACCCATGTGGGTTATTCTTCAAGCTCCATAGCCAACAGAATGGTAACCAGTCTCTTGATTAAGTTCTGAGCAGAGCGACAGGAGATTTTTTTGGCAGACGCGAAGCTCTATTCTGATATTTATTAGCTCGCGGGCGTGAAGTGAATACCGAAGTGTGATTATCACACACTGTGGGTTGAATTTCACACCCACCTGAAGCTCGTATTGTTTAAAAGTATTTTACTTTCACAGTCCACAATACTCGCCAAGGCTCACATTGTTCAAAACTTCTACTCCCACTCTTCACAGCACTCGCTGAAGCTCGTATTCTTACTGCATCTTTTCTTGTGACTCGTTGATTTCAAATTTGGGGACTTTGACGGGGGACTTTCTAGGATACTGCAAACACGGACACTTATATTGTCACTTCTCCTCCATTTTCCGTCCAGAACTGGGTTTCGATCGCGACTGCCAATAGCGTCCAGGGGCATGTATTTGCTGCATAATATCCGTGATGGAGAGGCTACTTGAATATCACGCGTGTACCTCTCATAAGGAGACCGTTATGACGATCAATGGGCTTCATAGAATAATTTTAATGGCATGCAAGAGCACGAATATAGTGAGCGCTAACTCGATACCATTTACCAGAAGCTCGTTTGTTCAATAGTACCACTGACACTGTTCAATAGTACCGCTGACACTGTTCAATAGGACCACTGACACTGTTCAAAAGTACCACTGACACTGTTCACCATTCTCGCGAGGCTCGCAAAGTTCAGTAGTATTTCTCTCACGGTTCAATTTTATGAAAACGACAAGCCAGACAAGCCGTTGGCACTTACTTTCAGATCAACCCCATTGGAAGGAGACAGCTGAATGTACGGAACTGTTGCGCGCCCCCGAGAATATGTACGGAAAACTTGCGAACCAGAATAATATCCACGGATACAGTGGTAGAGAGGCGACACATTCTCCCAAGATCAAGTTTGGCGGTCTTTAGAAAGTGTATATACAGAATGTCCATGCGAGAGCCGAACGGTCCGAGGAGGTTACAGCAATTTTTACAAAGAAATACAGCAAGGAAAGGCAGCTGGAACCATTGTTTGTCGTCGTCTCACAGTTTGTTCCATTATGTCACGAAGGAAGGCACTGCTCAAGAATTTGGCAGACAATGAGTACAGGAACGGCGCTTATGACAACCTGCAACAGTTTATTTGTCACATAGACTTTCGGCTGTCGGTTCTCGACACTACCATGCAGAGCATACTGCACGCATCTACGAACGGTACTTTGTTTGGTGACTGAACAGATATAGTTGAAATAACTTCGTTCACAGTTGAAAAAATTCTTGCTTGACGTCTGGCCAGATTCTCAAGAATTTTGAAATGTGAGTGACAGCCCAGAAGAATAGTGATAGTGATCTCAGATGTGCGCCAGGAGTGCACTCAGCAAGGCGTTAGTGTCTTCGGGCATACTTGTTCATTGTCAAACGGTCCACTTTGGAGATTGTCGCTTGGGCTGGGCGTGAAGTAGAATCTGGCCTGCCCTGACTTGCAACTTTTATTGTCAAGACTACGTAGAGCGTTGTGCAAATACAAACTTCCATTGAAAGCGGGCCATCTTCAGCGAAGCTCGAGAGGAAATTTTTTCGTGGCCTTCGCCAGTATGCTAGATGTAATCCAGAGAGTTGTGTTACTATGGCGCGATCAGTAATCGTGATGCTAACTAAGTTCATGTTTGCAAACCTTGGGCACAACGGAACTCTACAGTTCGACGCACTTGTAAACCAGCGAGCTCTTAAAGCCGCACACGGCTTTTTCACTCATTCTGGGTTGTTCGAGCTCACTCAACGTCCAAGTAACCGTTAAGTGGCATAGTAAGCCTCGACGATCATTCCCGATTGTTTTGGGTCATCCCGCGTTCCTGCGACCGTTGACTGGCTTGCTTAGTTGGCCAGCAGCAAAACGGGTGGAGCGTTGTACCATTATGTGATCTGCACCTTACAACTAACGAATGCTACGGGGCCTACGGCGCCCGAACTAAAAGCCGCGCCCGATGAAGTGCAGAATGTGACGTTAGTGAGATGTGTAACCTGGAGTGGCCGCTAGCGTCCGACATGTACCATCAGGACCCTAGAATGTAATATGTCTTGTGTAGTGCAGCGCGTTCTGCGCCCGAGGAGAATCGCTGGATGTGTCCTCGAATCTTTCGTCCCCACGAAAATCTTGACGGTACATATGCATTTGTTCGGGCACGCACGTTGCAGCTAGTCTTGCATCGGGATACATTCCTTCCGATCCATAGCTTGAAGAACGGCCTCGGCCAGCTCGAGATTCCTACCTAACTGCGGGGGGTGTGCTGGGGCTGGGGCTGGGGCTGGGGCAATACGATCTACACGTCGCGCCCGCAAATGTTCCGTCCAGCACCATTCAGACTTGCAAGCTGCATGGGATCGTTGGAACAAAAGAATTCCATGTGGACCGCATTGTTGCCGTGCCAAACGTGCTCGGGAGCCGTAGGGCCACAGCCGAGCGAGCCAGATCTTGCGCTTCTATTGTTTCCGCAAATGCAGATGCACAGTTGGCCCCATTGAGAATGCAGAGCTTCAGCAGCATCCACTGCACCGTTGCGATTGCGGAATTTGCTCTCCCACCACAAGATTCGTGCCAAGCCAAGAGGTGACGGTGCTGGCCTTTCCCGCACACCTACGATCCCACCTCTCGAGGCGCAGGCGGCTTTTTGCCCAACGGTCGCCCCACTGACCACGCCATGTTGCCAGCTCTAAGGCCGAATTACTCGGATTTTACTACGCTCGTTTGGACCTCAGCTAAATGCCAACCACACCATCGTTCCTCGCGCTTGGAATGCAAATGCACCTTTGTCGATGTGCAAGATCGCAATGTGCGGATCTACAAGCTACTTTTTACAGGGATCAAGAAGAATTCCCGTGTTACACATAGCTACTGAGCTCAATGATGCCATCGATGAGTTGAGATTTTCATACGTTCATGCAAATGCTAACGGTTCATTTATGATTTTGAAAAATAGTTTTCCAAGATTTGCAAGCACAGAGGGAAAGAAGAATGAACAGCGTGGCAGAAAATACGTTTGAGCGGTGGCGAGCCACGGGAGATGGACAGCGGGCGAGACTTTATCACCGTTCCGTTCAGTTTTGGCGGAAATGCGCCGTTGGGAACAGGCACCAGGTCTTTGTCGTTGGACTCGCGATGGATCGCAGGTTTTTGGTGCCTGGGGTCGCAGATCTTTAGTGTTCGACGTTGGGACGCACGGTAAGCAATTGCTCTTGGCGATTGGTGGCCTTGCTAGCCGCGGGAGCGGGGCCCGGACCGTTTTATCGTCGCGGGAATGACGACGTTATGCAAAAAAAAGTGAGTTCGCTGCCTCAGTCAGAGGTTTCGAGCCCGCGTTCTGGAACGCTGCCCGCGCAGCCCGTCGTAAAGTTGCATGCCTGCGGAGCGTGCTGGAATACGCAGACCCCGGCTTCAGCCGTGCGAGCAGTCTCACCTGGTTCCGCACGCGGCCGCCCGAACTAACACCGTGTAGCCCACTTTCTCTTGCAAATAGTCTTGCGGGTATGGCACCGAGGCCATGGACTCTGCGGGGCGCGGTGGATTCGTATAGATTTACGCAAAACGAAAGAAAAAGTACCGTAAAAACCGTGGCAAAGCTGTGTGCGTTAGCTCGCCTCTCTTGATGCTGCTCAGTGTCGAACCCAGCCACGTCGACGGGGCCTTTAAGGTTTGGTTTTCGAACGTTCCGTCCATTCAACGTATTCGTCACTGTGATTTGTCACCGTGTACGGCGTGATCTCGGTTTCTGGAAAACTAACATGTCCACATCTGGAATCCAGCGATGAGAATGGATAGAAAGGATACAGGCGGTACAATTCACGAGAATAGCCGCGTTGCAACTACCTCAAGATGGCCACAGCAGCTCAGGCTTTGTTCCGGGAGAAATGTGTCTCCGAAGTGCGCGACTACAACCTGCATCTTTCGCAAGACATTAGCCAAAGCCAAGGACGAATTCGATAAAGAACTAGGGAAGAGATTTGGCGATATTCTGGCCGTGACAGATGCCGTGGACGAATTGCTGGGGCAGGCGCGGGCGGTGGATGCGAGCTTGATGGATCTGTGCTTCAACGACTCCGTTTGCAAGCTGGAAGCAGTTCCGGAGCCTGGTGCGAGTTCAAGCTTGCAATCCACGTCGCGCGCGTCAAATGGCGGCCATTTGGACCCTGCGTTTGTGAGCAACGTTCACCGTACGCTGGCGGTCTCGGAGTGGGCTCTGGCGGTCAGAAGCTTCACCGAGGACCCCAGCGCCGCCAAAAACTTCGACGCTCTTCTCGCGAGTTTCGAATCCATACAGCAGATCAACGGCAAGGCAGACCAGTATCAATCCGTCGTCTCAGACAAGTGTCGCTTGGTGGAAGCAGCCGTGTTGGACGGCAGCGCTCCGTTTACAGCAGTGCAATGGGTTAAGCTCTACCATCTTTTCCACTCCGACACGGACGTTTTTGCATTTCAACAACTTGAGGCGCTAGACAAGCTGGCCTTTGACTTTTTACTCAGAAACGAAGACCTCTTGCAGTGTTCTCAAACGGAGCCCGAAGTACAGCGGTTCCTCAACAGTCCTGCCTTCAAAAACAAGTCTAACGAGCGGTTGCTGCAGGACGTGGAACTTCAATTCAGCAACTACCAGCGAAGCCACGAAACAGTTTCTAGACCGCCAATAAGCCTCTACGATCTCAACGTCGAGCAATCGCTGTCCACTTTTGTGCAAGACATAGATTTTTACTGCAATGGGATCATCGAAGACCAGGACCGAAAGCTGGATGTGCTTGTAGAAACCGTTGCGGCGCTCGTGCGGAAGCTGAAAAGCTGCGGTGCAGACCTAGAACGAATCCAAGATATCAAGAAGCGCTTGATTAATTGTCTCGAGGCGAGACGCGAGAGTCTGCTACGAGAATGCGAAGCGAAGGCACCTGAGCGAGACTTATCCAGGGCAGAAGGCAGAGAAGAGTTTGCGAAGAGTAGTTCAACCGCTGCTAGGATAAAAGATGTTGAACCAACAGAGATTGCTGCTGGACAGCCTCCAGAAGCCCAAGGAGAGCCGACAAAAGAAGTTTCAGAAGAAGACCAAGCTGAGGCCGAAGGCGCGGCTCCAGAAACTACACAAACCGCGGCTCCAGAAACCCAAGACGTGTCCGAAACCACACAAGCCGCGGCTCCAGAAACCCAAGACGTGGCCGAAACCCAAAGCTCATCTACTAAAGTTTCCGAAAGTGACCGTCAAGCCCACGCCAATGACTCTACAATCTCTCCGGTTGCTAACTGCGTCGGAGAAACACACTCCGCAAGCTCCAGAAGCATAGTAAGTGCCGCAATCAGCGCCATGAACTCCAAGAACCTCATGTGTCATCTTGAGGTCCACATGAAGCAAATACAAGTGCTCTAATCCGTCAGTACTCTCTTGTTACATGACTCATGGGCGGATCCTTCGATGAGATAGAGCTATCGCGCCCTACGGCGTCTCTTATTGAAACTTTTCGCTCTTCACCTGATCGATAGATAATTGATATGGCAATCAATATAAAGCACATTGGTTAGGTTGATTTATTAAGTTTTGGTATGCTCCATACATTGTTCCGAACTGGACTAGTATTGAAACAACGAACCGCACAAATGACAATCTCCACATCATCCAAAAGGCAGGATCGGTACAGGGAGCAAGTAGAGGCCCAATTGAGGGAAAACCAAGAAGGTTTGAATGCTTTGACACATACCGGGTCGCAGGTGACTTTCGAGGTGGACCCGAAAGAAACACCAAAGCCAGACCCTAACATGAAGGTCTTCTTCTTCGACATCGATAACTGTCTGTACAAGAGATCCACCCGGATCCACGACCAAATGCAAGTTTACATCCACGATTATTTCAAAAACGAGCTGGGTCTCGACGATGATACGGCCTGGAACTTGCACTACAACTACTACCGCGAGTACGGGCTTGCCATTCGCGGCTTGGTCAAGCACCACGACATCGAAGCCCTCGAGTACAACAAGATGGTCGACGACGCGCTGCCCCTGCACAACATCCTTAAACCCGATCTCGCGCTAAGGGCCACGCTCAAGCGCCTCAGAAGCTCCAATACCGTGGACAAAATGTGGCTGTTTACGAATGCCTACAAGAACCACGGGCTACGCTGTGTAAGGCTGCTGGGAATAGCGGATCTCTTCGACGGAATCACCTACTGCGATTACGCGCAAGAGGATAATTTGGTCTGCAAACCCGACCCGGCGGCGTTCGAGCGCGCAAAGGTTCAGAGTGGTTTGGGCGACTACGCGAATGCATGGTTCGTGGATGACAGTGGCAGCAACATCAAGACAGGCCTTTCGCTGGGAATTCGAAAGTGCATTCATTTGGTGGAGGAAGAAGTGGACGAGGATTTGGGAAAAAATCCGGAAGGCTCAATCATGATAAAGACCATTGAGGATTTACCGCAAGCTGCGCCCGAATTGTTTCAATGAAAAAGACATACCACACGCATAGAGATACTATTCACATTATACAATCTTCATGAAAAAGTTTATATAGCTTCTTACAATGATCAATTCTAACTGATTTCCATCCTCACACAAGTCGTGAATTTGATCTTTCAAGATAACGGATGCTTCGGTTATGCCAAATGGCATTTTTTTAGTCCCGTAGATGAAAAGAACGAAATATAGTAACTTTGAATAATCCTTCGATCTCAAAATCTTATCAAATGCGTGAATGAAAGTTTGCTGACTACTTCTAGGAAATAACCTTTCCAGCAGTACTTCATGAAATTCGGGAATTTGACGCGATACTCGTAGATGTAGTAAATACTCATCTTGAGCGACAAGTTGTAGGTAAATTCGGAGGAACCGGTCTTGACACAACTTGCCATAGATGTTGGAGCACCAGCTGGAGGTGCATTCAGCAGAGTTGAAAACGTTTCTATCCAGTATGAAGCGAAGGAAAGTTCCATCAAAGCCAATACTTTCAGTGTGATCCTCCAACTGCTGGCACATCCATTCAATTGATTCTAGGTAGTTCATGCCATCAAACATGGTAGTTATAATGGCTTCGGAACTTTCTGGCATATACTGAGAGGAAACACCGAAGGACCGAAGAAGACAGCGGAGATTCGTTTTTCGAGGTTTCTTTTGGTTCAGAAATAAATCCCATGGCTCTTGGTTCTCAGCTTGGCCATCTTCGGTTATGAAAAACCAATCTTGAAACTGCTGGCTATGATTCTCTCGGAACACCATCTCTAAGTAAGCATTCGGGACGCTGTGTTTGAGAGTCGATTTCAGTTTCTCAATAGTATCTGTATTAAATGCTTTGGAGCTGCTAGGCTTGGTAAGGGGTGTCTCTAAACCCTTTGAAAGATCCTCGAACTTATCCAATCTAGTCACCAATGCATCATCGAATGTGTGGTCCGTATCAAACTCTACAAAATGCAGCTTTTCGTGATCTTTGAAGTTTACTTCCGATGAACGACTACCAACTTCCAGCCCTAAGCTTTGCAAGGGATCGCTTCCATCAATTGAATTGCTAATTGATGAGTCACTTAGCTCACCTTTGTCACTGAGTAATTCATGTTTCTCGATCAACGATTGATTATCGGATTCTTGTGAATCACGAAAACAATCTGGCCCTTGGCTAACTTCAGCAAATTGGGAACCAGCATTAGACGCTGCCGAGACATATTCTGAAGTGTCTATGGGGCTATCACTTTCATCAAATTTAGGGTCAGTGGCCATACGTTGTGCAGCGAACAAAAGTTAAAGACAAATATGAAAAGTTGCATAATTAAGCAACAACTTAAAATTGACAGGCTAGTTCATAGATAAAAAAAACTATGATAACTATATTTCACAATAGCTACAAAAATTTATACAGTCGCGAGGAGTAATCAAATTATCGTTTGATTTCAGCATTTGGACAAGTAGGGGTAAGAAAACCGGTTTGAGAATTTTGCATCACAATCTATGAATTTCGACGAGCTTGCTTCGTATCGGTAGCCCAAGACATCAAAGGGACATTCAATCCCTTAAACCTTTGGTGGTTGAGGTTTCTGCTTCTGCTGCTTCTTCTGCTTAGCGACAACGTAGATTAAGCCAGCTAGGAAACCCAAGAAAATGGAGAAAATAGACAAAAAGTTCTTTGGGGCATCGAAGAAGATCAAACCAGACAAGGCGATAGGCAACTTGTTCAATGCACCAACCATAGAGTACGTAGTGGACGAAGTGACTCTGACACACCATCCGGAGCAGTATGAGATACCAACAGAGGCCAAGCCGGAGATAACCAAGGCGGTTAAGAATTCGTTGGTAAAAGTGGTAGTCAAGTTGGCGGGAGACCAGTCTTCCAAGGCAATGGATGAGATCAATAGAACGGGCAAAGCCAAAATGTTGTTGTAGAACATAGTGTCGTAGTCCTTGAAATTGGTCAACTTAATTCTCTTGCGCATAATCAACACAAATAGAGCGGAAGCAATGCAATTGGTGAACATCCAGACATAGCCTTCAGTGGCGCTCTGCGCTTGATTGGCAGTCTTGGCAGACAAGTCTTGTTGATCACCCATAGTAGCTACCACAGAAGACAAGACCATGACCACGAAAGCCGAGAGCTCCATAGCAGAGACTGAGCCTCCGAAAAACAAAACTTCGCCGTAGGCGATCAAAATGATGGTTAGATTCTTGAAAATGGTGTAAATTGGGACGGCGAGATGTTGCAAGGCTTTCGATGAGGTGTAGATCATGGCCACGAGCAAGAGCGAGATTGGAAACCAGTTCTTGACATCGGTCTTGTTGAGGGGACGGAACTTGGCGTAGCCTAACATTTTCAGAACCGCGAGACAGAGAGTGCATACCAAAGCCTGCACGAACAGCATAACAAAGTTCATGTTGAACTTGTCCCCGCTGACAACGAACTTGTTGGTAACGGTCATAAGAATGGACGAGAAACAGTAAGCTCCGATAGACACAGGGCCTGAGTTCACAATGTGCGACATTCCGCTGTTTTCGGTTCTCAATTCGGACATGATTATAGGTTCTTGAAAATACTTGAAGGAACTATAAACGCAGATTCAAAGACACCAGAGACTCGTGGAGAAATCAGAGTCCTTTGCTATTTTCAAAGGGTTATGGAAGCTATTTCACCTAGTAAAGAACCTTTGTAGCGATAGTTACTTGTGTTGATAACTGGTCGAATCGGTGAAGATCTTTTGGTGTTGGTGTTTGATAGCTTGAAAACTAAAAAAAACGCGAACATCATTTATGTAGGGTAACACGGGTCGTGTTGGATTAATAGATATTGCTCGATCTAACGTTGCCAACTCGTGTTAGGATGTATCTACGTTGGTCTAGTGCTTGCTGCTTTCTGGCGAGTAAGAGCCACTTTTTTTCTCATTATGTTAGAATTTTAGGTGTTCGGAGTGCAACGAGCATAAGTTATCGTGAGCATATATCAAGTCATTGGAGGCCGTCATTCTCGTTTGGAATAATCACGAGAATGCTCTATTTCAAAGAGTGGGTGCGGACAGTGTTCGGCCGTGGACGAAACGGGTATGTGTTTGAGCATTGCGGTACGTCCAGTGTCTGTTTTCAAACGTAGCATCTGCTAGTTTAAGGATGAAGAGCAGCCGTCTTTTCATTAGTGTCAGATATTTGGCACTGAATGAAATGCATTCTTGGAAGTCAAGTCATCTTGGAAAGTAATCAGGCCTGTATTTGTAGTTGTTTGGAAATGTTAACTTTCTCTACGTCACCAGTCGTCGTGGTGGTTCAAACGCGTTAGTCGTAAACCGCATGCCCAAATGACTACCGATTGTTGTTTCACATTTATGGAGCCATTGGCACCCTCGATCACCCACTGCTCTGGTGTTACGTTTCTCCATGGTAGTCGGCTGGTCATTAGAGTGGGTAATTTCACCCAGAGAGGACCTCATTTTAGCTGCTTCAAATGATATTCCGGTCTATCTGCGTTGAATACTCGCCATGAGTTACTTTGCAATCCCCTTTTTCGTGAATTTCCAACATTAATCGTCCTATACTTTAGCTTGGATCCTTCGAAATTCTCCATCAAACCCAAGGTTGTCTCTCAGTTTATTCTAGTATCCCTCTCAGCGCTACTTTCACTTGCCTTGATTACTCAGTTGCTTCCATGCGAGTGCTCACCTGGAGACAAGAATATCTGTATATCAGAAACCATTGTATGGAAAATCGTCCTCGGCGGCTATTATGGTGTTTTGGATAAACAAGAAAAACGAAAACTGAAAACTGAAAACTGAACACAGAACTCTTCCGTTGAGCAAAGCATTCAGATCGTAGTTTTTGAAGGCTACTGACAGTAATAATTATTCTGTACTGATATTCTGGTGCTAGCTAGGGTGTTCAAGAATAGCTTTGAGGCCACTCCTAGTAAACGGCGATACCTTCCAAAATAAACTTTCACGCAACATCGCGTGGTTTTCCAAGTTGCACTGGAACACACTCATAGAACAAAAAGAAGTCCATCATTCGTCCTTTGAGTTGCGCAACCGCAGTACTTCCAAAAGCTGTCTCTAGATCAGCTAATCGCAAATGTTGACCTTGACAGATATCTCCTCGGTGGAAAAAGCTTAAGCGTTCCTGTGCTACAGAAACCCTCTTCGACATCTCCTATCTAGGACTATCGCCACACATTTTGGAGGCCCCAAGGGCTGCACATGTACCATTTTGAGCCTAATTCCAGCTGCAAACAGACGTTTGAGACCTCTTCAAGTCTACCACCTACGATTGTACAAATTCCGACTGCAGTTCAAGTTTCTCGTGCAGTTCGAGTGCCGACTTTGCCCCGAGCGTTGCTAAACTCTCTTAAAACGTTCCAAATCACAATGTTCCCCACAGTGAACTAAAAACCAAGCAATTTTATTCCAACTACAGTCTATCTGTCTACTATCTGTCAGTCGTCGGCGTAGCGGGCGCTGTGATGAACCCATATAATGGATGGAGCCATTTTGAACCCTTATCAAGACTTTTGTCTATCTCGTTGGCGTTTCAAATGACATCAACACTTTTCCAATTTCATAGGATTATATGAACTAATACCGCTACAAGGAAAACTTTTCTAGCGATATAAGAAGTGGAATCCAAAATGGCAGATAGAGGCCCCAGTCTGTTCGACATGCTTGGTGAGAATGGGCCGAGCGGTGGGGGAGGATTCGACACAATGTTAGAAATTTTACCTGAAGAAATGGACGGGGGATTCGTGGATGAATTAACACATTCGACTAACAATTCTGATGGCTCGAACTTAGAGCGAAATTCAAAATTACGTACGGAAGAGCCGCTGGCGGCGCATACGGTAGGAGTGGAGCCCCTCTTTCCACCAAATTGCCCACTACCATCAATGGAAAATCACCAAAACGGTGAAATCGCGCAATTGTGGGACTTTAACGTTGACGAGTTCATAATGACACCCAGCCAAGCCAGCGATTCTGCGACTATCAGTGCCCCCAACAGTTTCAACTCAGATTTTCACCCGCAGATGGATGTGACTGGTCGCAAGACCAGCATCGACGCTACAGGATTTGGCGCTGCTTTTGATTCGCATATAGCCAGCCATAGTCAGGGCAATAATAATTGGAGCCATCTTCTGGGCAATTCCTTTCCCTCTGAAATTAACACACAACAACTTTTTACGTCGCCCGTAGGGTTGCGATCCGAAGATTCGCATGGTACTCCCCTTTTCCGGCCAACGCTGCCGACAAGGCGGTCGTCTTCACAGCTAACGAAGAACATGGGCGAGGATGGGAGTATCTCACTCACATCGCACAGTACCACGAACTCTATTCGCAAAAACTCCGTGACAAGGCCATTGTCATCTACTTCCTTATCATCCTATCGACAAAATTCCTCTTCAGAAGTACCGAGAAAGGCCCAAGTAGAATGCTTCAATTGTAAGACTACAAAGACGCCTCTTTGGAGACGAGACGGAGGTGGCAACACAATGTGTAATGCATGTGGTCTTTTTCAAAAATTGCATGGAACAATGCGTCCTCTGTCTTTAAAGAGCGATGTAATAAGGAAAAGAAATACAAAGAAAAGAGGTAAAAAGCCAGTCAGTCAAGACCTGAAAGAAAATACAAAGTCGGGCAAAAAAAATGATACAGATCAGCAAGATCTAGCACTGCCGTCTCTATCCCTAAATGCTCAGTCATCTACGGAAAGCTCTGCTAATTTATCTAACTTTTCTTCGTCAGAAACAAAGTCGCGCATCAGCTCATTTACGAATTTTAGCGTGAATGGGACTTTCAGCAACCCAAATGGTGAGCAACTGAGCTCCAAGACTTTGATGAGTCACGACACCCGATTGATGTCTTCAGCTAATGCGGGCATATCTAAGAAATCAAGTCGATCGAGCAGTTCCAGTTCTGCATCGAACTCCAGTAACCGTTCCTCGTCATCGAGAACCATGGTTCCCATTTTGCCAAAGCCATCGCCAGGAGCAACTCAACGAAGTCAATTTCAATTAATGAATAATTTTACTGGTAGCGCAGGTAATAGTGCAGCCTCGTCTCCAAGGATACCAAGCTCTCCACGCTTATCCTCTGCTCAAAGCCCACTGCCTAATTCAGGTGGCCAACTGTTGTCATCCTCGGGGGGTGGTCCTGGAATAGCGATAATGCGTAGAAAGCCCTCCCGCCCAGGCTCATCGTCATTTATGGCCACATCGTTGCAACAACATCAGCAACAACACCAACTTCAACTTCAACAGCATCAGCAACCATATCAAGCACAACAACAATCTCAACAATCTCAACAATCTCAATCAATAGCCTTCCCATCTACCACTGTTGGTAGCTCTTCGTCAACAATCTCTGCATCTTCCAACTCTTGGAATACTGCACCAAATGCTGTGGGTCCTCCAAAACCAATGAACTCGCCTCGCTCTCCATTCGATCTGTTTTCTTCCCAGGAACCTCAGTCAAGGTCGACTTCTCGAAAGTCCCACACATCTCTACTATCTCAGCAACTGCAGCAAGCTAGTATACCATCGCAGTATCCCCAATCCCCATCTCAGTTGCAGACACCTTCCAGCGTCCAAAGCAATGGTTTTTCTAGTTCTGCAACTCCGCAACCTACATCGGTTGAGCGTTCTCCAGTGACCGCTTCCCCAAGGAATAGCTATATGGACTCAATTCAGCAACAGCGCGGATTGCACCCCGACGCCAGTTTCCGCAGAACAACACCACTCAGATCCGAGTCTTACAATACACCTGTTATTAATCAAAACACGTATACGTCTAAACAGAAGGATGGTACTTTGGATGATCTTGAATGGTTAAAATTTGGACTATAAAATCAATCAACACTCGGCGCATTTTGAATAAAACTGGTTTAGTTTATTCACGTTTTTGAACTTACGCATTTACTTCACAACATTATGTAAATCATGTGGCACTGGTTGTGTCTGGTAGTATGCTAATAATACCAAGTGCAATTGGCGCCACGCATAATTTATAAATTTTTTGTTTTTAATGATGGTCAACTTTAACTAAACATTAAAGCTTCTGCCTCCCCCGGATATGTCAAGCATAGAAAATAAACATGAGAAATGGGAGTTCCTGCTTTCTGGGACATAATAAAGGGCCACAGTAGCATAAGAAGAATTCCGTTTAAGCAGTTCGTGATAGACCACAGAACTACACATGGGAAATCACCCAGGTTGGCCATCGATGCTTTTGCGTGGCTCTTCGAGTGTGGGTTTATTTTAGGAGAGAATGAGAATTTAAATGAGAAAGGATACAAAACTGATGCACTTGCTATTGTAACGCTACTGAAGCGAATAAACCTCCTGCTGTCTCTCGATGTGACTTTTATATTAGTATTTGATGGTCCCATGAAACCGGATTTTAAGAACAGATCAAAATTGAAAACTAGAATTGCCACTGAAGAGGAAGATGCACCTATCAAAGAAGGCTTCCTAACATCATGCAATCAGCATTTGAAGCAACACGAGTCAGGAGTCCCGTGCTCCTCTGCAACATATGAAGCTGAAGGACAGGACGGAGTAAGTGTCGCGAAAAGACTACTAAGTGCATTAAATATCTCTTGGATTGATGCTTGTGGTGAGGGCGAAGCGGAATGTGCAAGACTGCAAGTGCGCCATTTGGTGGACTACGTGGTTTCCAATGACTCAGACGCATTCGTTTTTGGAGCCAACAAAGTACTCAGAAATATGTCAAAGTTCTGGGAGGATTTACCAGCATCCTACGGAAGTCCAATGAAGAAGAAAGATCACAAAGAAATCTTTGTTACTGTGGTAGATATTGGCAAAATAACAGGCTGGAATCAAGATCAAATTGTGCTATACTATGTTCTTTTAGGAGCGGATTACAGCCAGGGCGTTCGGGGGCTAGGTTCTAAGAAATCGGCAATATTAGCACAGCTTAAAGAACCCGATTTAGCACTTCAACTCATGACTATTTTTTCAAAACAAACTTCATGTCCAGAAATTATACGGGAGCGTTATTTGAAATTCCAGCGACAGGTCTTTGAAATCTGTCAAAGCCAAAGTAAAGTGTTATTCGGAAGGCGTTACTTCTCATCTTCCGGGGTGGAAGCATTTCAAGGGTGGCCATCTGAACTGGCGATTATGCACTACCTTTACCCAGTACTATCACCTGAAGTTAATACGCAAAAACTTATAGGCAATTACGCGAATGTCAGTGGCAGCCTCAAGGTTGATGCGCATAATTTTCGAGACCTCTTCCAACTTTTACGTGATTTCGAACTAAAGCGTATAACGAATCTCAGAAGTTGGTTTCACGAAATGTCGCACACTACGTTCATGCTCAAAGAGCTTCTGTATAATGTTCGAACACATGAAGAGCAGACAAAGAGTATGAAAATCACTGATGAATGGAGCGCGAACGTTTGCCACGATAAATTTCGTATTGAATACTGGCGAGTTCGTTATAATAGTTTTTTGACTGGGGTAGAGGAGCCCAAAGCGGTTGAAGAAAGTGAATCAAGTGGAGACGGCATTGATGTGCTCATCAAAGGAGGTCATGACAAAGTCACCAGTCTCACGAGAAAGCAGCTAGAACGAACAGCACATAAGTACATGACTTCCATTCCCAAAGCATTGGTTCCAGACTCTCACATTTTAGTGATGAATTACCGCTTGGAAAAGCGTAAAGTGTGGGAAAGGAGCCCTTCTAAGAAGCAGAAATCATCTCGAAAATCTTCTCCGCAAAAGAATACTCTTGATGATTTTCTGAAGAGCCACGCTTCGCCTAAAAAGAATGAGGAAGCTGTGTCGATTAGTACCGATGTGCTGCCCACGAGACGCAAGCTTTTTGTAGACGACGTTTCTGATTGTGGCGAATCCACTTTTTCGCAATTAGCAGATTCCAGCTCTCTGATCCTTGTGTCAGAAAAAGATTGCGAAAGTAGTGGGTTGCATGCATCTCCGAAGAGAAATTTAGATGTACTTTTTGACCACCAAGATGTAGATTCAGATACAGAAGCCGCGAAATCACCAATGAAAAGACGTACCATCTCTGGTATTCACGAAACGACATCACTACGTGCCCCTCGACTGTTACCGGATAACTACGTCGATTTAACAATTGATAATGAGACATGAAGAAACCTTCTCAAGTGGCAGAAAACCAATAGACAGAGACCTCTACAGGGATAACTGCGAAAAGGAAGCAAGCACTCCCGCCGCATATTTACTGGCCACGAAGAATGTCATCTTCAAACCTATCAACGAAATAGGGACTATTGTTACGAGATACAAAAAAACACAGAAAGAAACTAGACCAAGAACTTTGAAATGAGCATAATGTTATAATCATTGTTGTACTTAAGTGAAAGCATACATCTATAGCGTTCGTGTTGGCGCACTTACATATCGTTCGTAACGAAACCGTTGTGATGAAAGACTATTGGTAATGTAATGCAATAAGTTACTATACACAACCGTCTACGTATTGCTTCTGCCAAGACTGCTCTCAATCCATCAAATATAATGGTTTCCGCAATTTCCAAAAGTATCAAGTTCAATCCTCAAAGCGAGAAGCTTTTGACGCTAGCCGCAGGGTGCTTCTGGGGTGTGGAACACATTTACAGAAAACAGTTTGGATCCAGGATTAAGGACTTTAGTGTTGGCTATGCCAATGGCGACGAGTCTCAAAAGGACGCATCTGACTCGATCTCTTACAAACGGGTATGCAGTGGAGAAACCAACTTTGCTGAAGTTTTACAAATTGCATTTGACCCAAAAACTGTCTCTCTAAAAGAATTGGTCGATTTCTTCTTCCGGATCCACGATCCTACAACTTTAAACTCACAGGGCCCTGATGTCGGCTCTCAGTACCGTAGTGCAATCCTTACCCATTCGCAAGAAGATTTGGCCGAGTGCCGTGCATTAAAGGAACAATGGCAACCCAAGTGGGGAAACAAGATCGCCACCGAGGTCTCTATGTGCACTAATTTCTACGATGCGGAAGAATATCACAAACTGTACCTCGAAAAAAATCCAATGGGCTACGCGTGTCCTACTCATTACGTGAGAAACTTGTAAAAACTGCTAACAATTGTTGCGATTTTGCATCAAATACCCTCTTCTAATTTGTTCAAGTTTTCTTTCATTTTGCGATCACTTTGGTAGTTCATTATGCTTACTGCCACTGCTGTAAAGAGCACCCCACTGAAGATCCCTCTGAGTATGATTTCAGCTCCAGACATCTGCATTTGAGCTTCTTTGGAACCAGACTTAGCTCTGGGTCCCCATTCACCATACGAAATGAAATATATGGCTCTTTGTTCACGCGGTGACATATTCGACCAGCGATCTTCCATTTTCCAATCCAAGTACTCTTGAATTTCTTCCTTGGTGTCCTTATTTAATTTAATCCATGTCTCAGAATTCAATTCGTCGAATTTGGGCGGCTCGTAAACCATGGCACTCGAATGCCTTGAAGCAGACTGTAACAGTCGCAAATTGGGTCGGAAATTCTTGACCGCAGTGGTTATGAACATATCACACTAAGTATTCTAGAGTATCCCGCTTAATTACTGTTAGATATTGTATTGTTTTATAACTGAAAACTTTAGGAACATATAAAAAAATCACTTTGAACAAAAACAACGATCTCTGACCAAAAGTACGAGAACAATGATGTCTTATGAAGAGGTCTACGTATGTGTGATTGGTAGGCTCCGCCGATGGTTGTTATACTAACAAAGTAAACCTAGAAATTGTACCATACATCCCCAGAGTTCCAAGGGTTCATAGCGCTGGAATCGCAACCCGTTTACGCCACGGTGACTTTGTTTGTTGCTTTGGCCTTCATGCTTTTGGCACTAATGTCGACCTCAAAAGTAAGGGGATCAGCCTTGGCTGTTCAATTTGTATCGTACACTGGATTAAGCTTTTTAGGAAGCATTTTCTTCGGGCTGGCCACGGTATTTTTAACCAATTCTTTCGGCGTCTACGCCTGAGAAGGCTGCGTATTCGATCCAGGCCTATTAATACTATATGTATTCCCTATAAAAACGATAAATGTGTCCATCCGCCTTACATTCCAACCGTCACTAGTTTAGAAGATCCTCATCGACGTTCACCAATTTGTGGACACGCAACTCGGAATCGTTGCGAACAAGTGAACTTCCCTCTCCATACTCCATCAAAGCATTGATCATTGCTCTTGTATAGCTTAACATGTTTTCTAGCGAGCTTTCGCTCTTCTTTTTGAGAAACATTAGAATTCGCGAATTGATGAGCTGAAACAGGCGATTTTGTAAATATGCAGGTGTCAAGAACACCGCCAAATCTTCGTTACACTCTTCAAGAGGGTTATCATATGCGAGCAATGAGGATATGTCATTCAAGTGATTCTGGAATCCCTCTTTGTACTCAACGGGGACATTAGAATTGTATACGAACTCCGCAGTGAGCTCTTGGCCTTTGTGAAGAATCTCGTCAATCGTATGCTTTTTGAAATTAACGAAAGTGAGTAAATAAGCTGCCACCTTTAACTCAAAGAGTACATCTATGTTGTCTTGGAGCAAACCTGGATAATTGGTTTGAATGAACGCGATGCTTTCTGTTATACTGCCTTCACTTATGAGCCTTCTGATATCTTGCCGTACCTTCAGATTCGTCTCCTCCTTTATAATTTGCCTCTCGTTATGCCGAATGACCATTTTCGCTCGCTCCTCGTCGTTGTCGGGGATGGAATCTTTGCGGAGGTCGACCAGAAATCCCTTGGCGACATCAATTAGACCTTCATGGATGAGAAAGTCATTTATCATTGCGTTCATGGTGCAAGGAATCGAATCGTCATCCGTATTCAAGTTGTTCAGCTTTTCCACCTCGGGCCGATACATTTGGTCACCACTGATTCTGTCATCGTTTTGAAGTAAGAATCCGTCCTTATGTTGTGGGACCTCATCATCCGCACCAGGCCGAAAATCTACTTCAATGTCAATGTCATCTTTTGCGTCTTCATAGAAATCGTTACCAAAGTCGTTGCGTCCATCGTGGCCGTCAATGCTCTTGTATATGTGCCGGTATGCTTTAGCTTTAAGCATACGTTGATATCCCAAGATATCATAGAGAAATTCTTCATGCAGACCAAAATTTGTTCTTATCACAGTTCCTGCAGTTAAGCTGATGTATGGAACTACATCAATATCATGGATATCTGTAAAAGCCACACCCAAATGAACACCATTTTTCGTGAAGAAAATCGTTCCATCGACATAATTTATCCCGCAGCCGATCACATCTTTTTGCCCAAAACTATTAGAGTAGGTCTTAGAGAGTACGCCGTCGGTTATATTTCCGTCTTGGCCCCCATAAACAAAGCAACCCTTACTAGAAGCATCTCCGCGAGCGCTAGAGCTCCCGGAGGATGTTGAGTCTAAAGTCGCTCTCATAATGCTGGCAGACTGCCGATTGATAGAATTTGCGTCGGTGCCTTGCAAATCTGTTCGAGAAGACGACGCTGAGCTTACCTGTAGCTTTGCGAGGTCTCTAAACCCGACTTTAATTCTCGACGACGGAGGCGCACTGAAAGAAAGTGTAGACAAAACTCTTATCTCGTAATAAAAAATGGCAAGGTTCTTAGAAAGAAGAGTATTGTTCGCTATTGTGGTAACATATTCCTGTCTTGTGTTGTAGTTGGAGAGGTTTTCAGAGAAGCCAGGTCTTACAACTGAACTAGATCTTCTGTCATGTGTAGATAGAGCTTGATATTCCGGATTCGGCTTTAATTGAGTGCATCCATCTGACGATAGAAGAATACTATTGTTTGACTGAGGTTCCCATGCGTGCGGCAAAGGGTAACCCAAATGCCTGTAAATATCTTGTGAAATCGTGTTCTTTTTGAAATTAACTTGATTTGAGGGTTCAGTAGGGAGCGACGTTGCCTTAGAATCAAGTGAATTGTATTCGGTGGGAGAAACCGCCGAAGTCACGGGGTCTGTAGGATCAGCAGCGTTGTTGCTTGGGACGTCGACCTGATTTTCAGGGTTGCCAGTATCCAAATTCTCACTAGGATCATCATCGAGAGCCCCAGCTTGGTGTTCTTCGCCAGCAGTGTCATCTGCGACGTCGTCCACATCTGCGTCGTCGTCATCGCGATTATCATCGTCATCAACATCATCATCATCATCATCATCTTCATCATCATCACGTTCCTCAGCACCTTCACCATCATCTTCATCTTCAATATTGTCGTCGTCGTCGTCGTCGTCGTCATCCTCATTATCGTTTCCTAGGCTTCTACTCTGTGGTGGAATAGGAACAACTGGCTTCGTAAGATCGTTGATATCGCTGTCAACTTGCATTTCATCTGTTCCGCTGGCATGTCTCGCACCAAACTGAGGATCTCCATCAACTTCTGGATAGAAGTACTGATATACTTGCACCAGGTATTCGTCGCTAACTGCATCGTAAGGAATGGTCCCTAAAACTCCAAGAGTCATCAACTTCTCCCATATTTCTTTCCTGGTCTCATAGCTGAGCTCCGACCTCAATGGTCGAAGCCGAGTTTCTTTCAAAGTCGGCAAAGCCTCGCCTTTACTTTTCAACTTGCGGAACAGCTTCCGATTCTTGTAGTATATCCTCCATAGTTCATTCCCAATGGGCTGTTCCAAGAGGTAGGTGGGAAAGAGAGCCCTCACGTACGCATTATCGACCTCATCCATGCAGTAGAACATAGTTTGCTAGAAATCGCAGGGCTATAATGGTATCGTAAACCCTTCTTTCAGCTTCCTTCTTAGTTGAAGATCAAGGGAGACTTCAGTAAATGTCAAAAATTCTAATTGTAAAAAAAATCATAGTTAAGAAAACAAATCACTGCCAAACTGCTAGCTCAGGAAATACAAGCTAAAGGGCCTTTTTTGATCGTTGAAGATTGTTTATTCATTTATATATCCGTGATTGTAATAATATTTACATACCCATACGAGAATTTGATTTTTGTGATTAATTTTGATCGATGCAAACAGTTGAGTGCTTGATGAGCAGACAAGTCAAAGCGCACGCGCTTAGTATCTGTAGTGATCAGCCTTGAATGGACCCTCTGGAGCAATACTCAAGTACTCCGATTGGGTTGGGGTTAGTTTAGTCAAACGGACACCCAATTTGTCCAAGTGGAATTTAGCGACAGCTTCGTCCAAGATCTTTGGCAAAACGTGAACACCGATTTCGAAAGGACCGGTCTTTTCGAACTCGACATATTTTTGTCTGAATTGTAGGTCGTGAGCCTTGAACAAAGCGATTTGAGCCAAGACTTGGTTAGAGAAGGAGCACGACATGACGAAAGAGGAGTGACCAGTGGCACAACCCAAGTTGACCAATCTGCCGTCAGCCAACAAAATGACGTGTTGACCAGTAGGCAACAAGTAACGGTCAACTTGAGGCTTAATGTTGATACATTCCTTGGCGTTGGCCTTCAACCAGGCAACATCGATTTCAATGTCGAAGTGACCAATGTTACATACAATGGCATCTTCTGGCATGGCCAAAAAGTGTTCGGAGGTGATAATGTCTCTGCAACCAGTGGTGGTGACGAAGACTTGACCTTGAGCGGCAGCTTCATCCATTGGCAAGACTTGGAAACCTTGCATAGCGGCTTGCAAAGCGTTGATAGGGTCAATTTCAGTGACAATGACACGTGCACCCATGCCTCTTAGGGCGTCGGCACAACCTTTACCAACATCACCGAAACCAGCAACGACGGCGACCTTACCAGCCAACATAACGTCAGTGGCTCTCTTGATACCATCAACCAAGGATTCTCTGCAACCGTACAAGTTGTCGAACTTGGACTTGGTGACGGAGTCGTTGACGTTGATGGCTGGGACCTTCAACTTGGCCTCCTTGACCATCTTGTACAAGTGGTGGACACCGGTGGTTGTTTCCTCGGACAAACCGAAGCAGTCTTTCAACATCTCTGGGTGCTTCTCGTGGACCAAAGAGGTCAAGTCACCACCGTCGTCCAAGATCAAGTTCAACTTCTTGTTATCCTTGAAAGCGAACAACTGTTGTTCGATACACCACAAGTACTCCTCCTCAGTCTCACCCTTCCAGGCAAACACTGGGACACCGGCAGCGGCGATAGCAGCAGCGGCGTGGTCCTGGGTCGAGTAGATGTTACACGACGACCAGGTGACCTCGGCACCCAAGGCAACCAAAGTCTCGATCAACACGGCGGTCTGGATGGTCATGTGCAAACAACCAGCGACACGAGCTCCCTGCAAAGGTTGAGCATCGCCGTAGGCGGCTCTAATGGCCATCAAACCTGGCATTTCATGTTCAGCCAATTCAATTTCCTTTCTACCAAAGGCAGCTAGGGAAATGTCAGCAACTTTACAATTTTGAGCTGGAGAAGACATGTTTACAGAATTCGATCTAGTAATTGAAAAGGGTCTCTAAAGGTTCTGAAAGACACAAATCAATGAGGTTATTGCTAAGATTAAGGAACATCTTCGTATCCTGGCTTACACGTATTTTCTTTTATAGTTTAAATTGAAAAATTTTCACCATGTGAAGAATTGAGTAAAAAGTGACGTTGAACGTTTAAGCGCCAACAAATAATAAATCACCCAGATCTAAATATTGGACAAACGGTAGTTAGCTCAATGGATGGTTGCGAACATTGAATCGACGGATGTCCAACAGCAGAATAATGTAAGAAAAGTAAATCTTTACTGGCAGAAAAATGGAATAATAGATGTTACTCTTTTCCTGCTGTCGTAGAGATCGAACACTTATACATTACTCAAGACGTGTTCGTTTCCTTAGACATAATTTTGTAGTGCCTTGAAAAGGTTGCATCGTTTGTTTAGCTGTGGTAAAAGAGAATGTTGTAGCGCTCGGGAACAATGTCTTGCACCTCTGCGATTGTATATTCTGCAATGGGCTAGGGATCCGCCCTGTTCTTACACTTGACTTTTTGATGGGAACTTTTACCTGCCGTGGTTGCTACGCATTGCAAACAATCACTCTTAGCTATTCGAATAGTTTTCTCTAGCTGCTTTAAGTGATTAAAAAAGGACTGAAGAACTTCAAAGCACATAATGCAGTCGTTTAGCTCAAAGAGGGGAAGTGAATCGTAGTGGTATAAAACGTGGGGAAGAGTAAGAACAATTAACGAGCGAAAAGAAAAGTCTTCCAATGCTCAGCCTCTTTAATACGAGCTCTCGGCTCGTCAATCGAGCTCTTCAACTCAAGTGCCGCAAGAAGTTGTCGTTGTTACCTTCAAATCGAACCCAGCTTAGACCCCGCGCCTCTAGCTATTGCATCGCTTATATCACTGATACGGCCAAATCCGTTATCTAAATCTTTATTATCAAATTACATCTTATTTACTTTGGGATGAATGATTGAGTTCATCTTCTCTTTGTTCATGGAGTAACTGCTGGCGCAGCTCATTCTCGCGCAGGTCGAGCATTTCCCGCTGTAATTGTTCTTGGTGCAGGAGTTTCGATTCAACATCAGGATTTATAGCATATTCGCTGTCATAAAACTCCTCAGCATCATCTTCCTCCTCGGAGTAAAGACTGTTCTCGAGTTCTTGCCTGGCAAGCTCCTCCTTCTCTAGATCTTCACGTTCCTGTCTTTCGCGTTCTTCCTGTTCTTTCTTCTCGCGCTCCATCTGCTCCTGGTGCTGTCTCCTCTCAAGCTCTTCTCGTCCTTGAAACGCCAAGTTAGCTTTTGATCTCAAAATGAACAGGTATTCGCCAGCCTCACGTTGTAAAGCCTTTGAAGTGAGTTGTATCTCTCTCAAAAACTTTTCGACGTCCTGTAGATTTGCCGCATGCTTCATTAGCATGTCTCTTGTTGCAACAACTTGTTTCTTTAATTTCAAAAACTGCTTCCAATTGTCATGTTGCGCTTGACTTAAATCGTCGGACTCCATAGCTGCCATTACATCCACGTAGGCCATGCGTTTCGACCACTCGCTGATCATGACGTCACCCCACTCTTCGTAAACTTCGAGATGTTCCTGTCTTACTTGATCCACTTCGGTATTAATCTCTGCGACGAAAGCCTCCAAAACTTCGTTTATCTGTTCCAAGGTCTCATCAACGTGTGTATGAGCTTGCGAAAAGTATTCACGCACAAGGGGGCGGGTTACGTACTTGCGCAATTGCGACCCTTCCTGGTTGAAGTATAACTGTTCTCCAGTTTCAGGATGTAACTCCATTGTGCAGTTAACGTCCAGAATGGCTCTGTTTATAGTCTTATAATGCTGCTGTGTGCTATTTGAGATATCTTGCAACATGACAGTGATGCGAGGACGGATCTCGTCCAACTTGCTTTGGACGAGGTTCTCGATTTCCAGATCAAATTGATGTTCTGTGTTCAAGGCCTTCTGCTCAACAGTATTTGACCAAGCCTGAAATTCGTCCTGAACAAGATCCCTGAGAGGAACCTCTAAATCCATGCTAGCCTCCTGGATCGAAGTAGGTGCAGCCAATTGATTATCCGATAGAGTGACAGTTTCAATGATCGTAGAAGTCAAATATATAGTTTCCTCTTCACTCTCGTCCTCAAAGTCGTCTTCAGCATCGTAATATTGCAATTCTTCTTCGACGTCCGTAACCGCGTCGGATTCTTGAATTTCAGTTTCAGTGTAGTTTTCAAAGGAGTGTCTAAACTCGACCGCCCTGTGTTTTAACTGAGCAAACAATGGCTTAATACATTGCGCAGATTCTACAAGCTTAGGTCTCGCCCAAATGTTCAGTTGACAAGTCCACGATTCTAAAATCTTTAGAAGCTTGAAATATTCATTTGACGCTCTTAAAGTGAGTTTGGCTGCTTGACTATCTGATTGCAACCAAAGCTGAACCTTGTAGGATGCATGTTTGATGTGTGGGACCACGTAGACATTGTGGTACATCTGTGTCTTGATGCGAACGATGTGGTACCATTTGCATGCACAGGGTAGAACCTGCTCTTTGGCAAACGCGGTAGCTTTGTGCGATGTACTTTCGACCTGGGATCTAGCAAGCTGTTCCTGCTTCTGCCACTGAAGAGCCAAGGGGCGTGCTAACTCTTTGCGATGTGGCTCAACGTGTGCATCCCACCAGGGACATGCTTTCTGCTTGAACCACGGCGTTTGTCCTAGAATTGGCGTCGAACACAAACTGGCATCATCAGCACTTAAATATAGGGCACTAAAGTGTAAACTTACCAGCAAGACGCTGAAAAGAGATAATACTCGCAAAAAACGTGAGAAGAGCATGGTTCGCTGCATGGTGCAATATTAAGTCCAGAACAAGCTGTAAAATAGCCTTCAAATGACGACTTCAGCGATGTATCACACAAAATTGTCCTAGCAAGTGCCACTGAGTGCTTTTGTAGTTGTTTTAGTGGCTGTCTATGCGGCTAATTTTTGTATATCAAGCTGAGATGTCCGCAGAGATGATGTTGTCCTTTTAAATTTTTAGGATTTGTAATAATCTTCATAAAGAACTAGAGGAACTGATAGATAACCGAGTGAATAAATGACTAGATGTCTGTTCAATGGAAGGTAGGCGAATAGTCACCGGCTCTGTGAATTCTGACTTTTTCTACTCAGTAATACTCCTAGTATTTAGACGTTACTGTGCTTGATAGGTGTTTCATGTGCTCGAAGCATACGTCCATCGGAGCCACTAGAAACGTTTTTGTATTGGATTATTTCTTTACTTATTTGCGCCAAGAGTTCCGCCGATCAGCCTACATCACAGGACTCATGTGTACCCTTCTTTGGAACAGTGACTTTTGAAGGACGGCTCCGGAAATTTTTTTGGGCTAGCCACAAACAGACCTCGGACCCTGTATTTCCTTTCTATAACAATAATTGGATTACGGTAAAGAAACCCAGCCACTCAGAAGACTGGCCTTTATTTCAAACTGATTTTACTTTGTACTTGTGAGTTGAGGTGCACTTTGACAGTAATCGTTGGTATCTAGTAAAAAAATGTAGTCGTCTCAAAACCTCGGCTTTAATTATTCAGTAATGCAATTGAGACATCATTACTAGCCGTTCATTGAAAAAGTACAGAGTAACAGCTCGGAGATACACAAACTAAAAAGAATCTGAACATGCCACATAACTCAAAGGAAACACAGAGCGCAAGTGGCTCAGAAGTTCATGCTTCAAGCAAAAATGCTGTGAAAAGTACACTACTATAAAGTAGTTCGTAACATGAGGTTTAAAGTGCTGCATATGCACAAAAGGTTTTTAAAGCCTACTTGACTGTGATCACATCGCAAAAGTAAACCTTAGATCAGGTATTCAAGTTGCCACGGTTTCTTAAACCCCACGCAGGCATCCCATTAAGAGCAGGTTGCCATGACACATTAGTACAAAGCGATTAACTTCTTCTTAGGTCGCGAAACTCAAGTGAGCGCTTTCCGGTTGGGCTTTCGCTTGCGATGAAACTCCATGTTTTAATTGTGAGTATCCGAATTACGATGTTAAACCTCATCTTTTGGCGCCTGCGGCTCCGGCAAATCCTGCAAAACTCTCAGTAAGTAATTTTGCATCAAGCCCAACTAATGAGAACAATAGATCAGTTGCCGTCTGTTCTTTCGTGACGTATCACAGTGGTACGGTGATTGCCGCTTAGTCTTGTGTCATCCTCAAACACGGGATACAAATCTGCTCAATCCACAGAAATGTATTCATATTTTGGGCAGACCGCATAACATGAAAGATGTTAGTACTAATGACTTCTGATTCGTTTTTACCACAACTAAGGCGGCATTATAGGTATCGTCGTCGATTCGACCATCTACACATATCTTACTTGAGAAACTACTCGCTTAATCACGTTCATGACGATCTCCTTTTTTTTTTTCACTCACCGAATTAAATTAAGTTAGAACATTGGATAAGTAAGAATTACAAACGCTCTGGTTGAAAGAAACGGGAACTTCAGGCGGTTAGAGAATCGCATTTATTTGATTGGGGCGATTTAGTACTGTTCGAAAGTCTCGAATCGCCCGGGTAGTGGCACATATACAATTAACGGTTTTTTTTAAGTAAAATCCAGCTTCCAAAACACACGCACACACGCACGCAATCAAAAGTTTTGCAGTCTAACGGCGATGTCTTTCTGGCCGTTTGGGCAGAACGAGAACTCTAATATCAACCGCTTTCTGGAGGAGTACTTCCAAGTTCTTCATGCGCTCGAAAAGCGTGATGAGATCCGAGCTGACTCGCGGCTAACAGGGGATGTGGCAGCTCAAGATGAAATAGCAGCAACAGATACAGATGACACCATTGGGAACCCACACCACTCAGAGGATGAAACCAGCATCGCCGGCTCATATGGTTCGGCAACGCATACCACGAGCCGTACCCTAAGTCTGACACAGCTGAGCAGCGCGTACATCGACAACATCCTCAGCGAATCAGAGCTCCTGAACGAACTTACGCGCCAGAACAACACGCTTTTGGACTTTTTATGTTTCGGCTACTTTTTCACGCCGGATCATGTCAAAGTTCAAAACATCGAGTATCTTATCGACCAGCTCATGGCTTGTGTCGAACACATCCAAGATGGTCGCGGCGGAAGTAGTAGGATGAGCAACTCCAGCAGTCGCGGTAATGACAGTGATAGTGATAGTGACGATGATGACGAAGATAACGAAGATAACGACGTAGATGACGAGGACACAATTTCTACTGTGAAACCGAGAGCATCGCCTCTCAATAAAGCTACCATTATCTCCGAGATCTTCGCGCTCGATATATGGCTCATCTCAGAGTCGCTGGTTAAAAACACTGGATACCTTAACAAAATTTGGTCCATAATGTACCGTCCAAACTTTGCATCCGAAAAATCCGCTTTGGTTCCCATTTTCCTCAAGATTAACCAGAACTTGCTCGCGACGCGTCAGGATCAGTACCTCAACTTCATTCGGACCAAAGCTACACTGGTAGACGACCTATTGCAGCACATCGAAATATCGGTGCTAATGGACTTTCTGCTCAAAATTATTTCAACTGACAAGCAGGAATCTCCTTCGGGGATCATAGAATTGGTTCGTGAACAGCAGCTATTAAACCGTTTGCTCAGTTATCTCGATAACGAAAAATATGAACCTGACATCCAGGCATGCGCAGGCGACCTTCTTAAAGCTATAATAACAATCTCAGCAAACGCGCCCTTAGATGACATGTCAATTGGGCCCAACTCTTTGACTCGTCAACTTGCTTCAGAAGAATGTATGTCATTTCTACTTGAGACCATCATCAATAAAAGAGGCAACGCTTTGATAAATGCCGTTTCTATCGTGATAGAGCTGATACGAAAGAACAACTCTGATTATGATCAGGTTAATCTACTATCTACGACTCTAGAGGCTAACCCGCCGTCCATGAGAGACCCTATCTATCTCGGGACCATGCTGAGGCTGTTCACGCAGAAGTTACCATCAATTTTTCAAATTCTCACTGACGTCGAGACCGATAGTACTATCAAATTACTTGAAAATCAAATGGGTGAAAAGTTTAAGCCTCTAGAATTTGAACGTTTCAAAGTCGTGGAGTTGATAGCAGAACTTCTCCATTGTTCGAATATGGGTCTTCTAAACTCGAAAAAAGCCGAGCGCATAGTGAATGACCGGAATAAAGCCAGAGGAACAATGACGATGCAGCTTCAGGACGCTTTAGTCGACCTCGAATTACATGACAACGTTACAAATACTGACCCTGTCATGGATAGCGACCCTGCTTACATCGAGGATGTTGACGAGTCCTTCGATATCCCTTATGTTAATTCAAAACAGAATACAAAGCTCAGAGATAACCCCACAGTGGGTGATTTGTTCAAGATAAAAGTATATGATCACCAAATTCTGCCAAAAATTGTTCATCTCTTCCTGCAATACCCTTGGAATAACTTTTGGCATAATGTGGTCTTCGACATTGTGCAACAGATTTTCAACGGAAGAATGGACTTTTCATACAATTCATTTTTGGTTTACTCTCTTTTCAACAATAAATCTGCTAGTGAATACATGGAAGATGCATCGAAGTCATTTGCACGCGACTTCCAGATCACTCGCGACCTTGTTTTAGAGGGCTACAGAAAATCATATGCTTTTTACGAGAAACACTATACAGCTCTCGGATTTATGGGGCACTTGGTGCTCATTGCAGAAGAGATTGTTAAGTTTTCAAAAGTTTACAAAGTTGAACTTATATCTCCTGACATACAAGCTGCACTTCAGGCTGAAGACTGGGTGTTTTATTCCGAAGATGTTTTGAACGACACAAGGATCATGTACTCGAAAATTCTTGGAGGCAATGATTATCTGGATGAAAATAACAATTATGATACTGATGGAACTAATGGTGACGATGACACGAATTCAGCGGCCGAATCTCAACTTGGTGGAAACTTAATAAACGTGACTGAGTTGAATCAGGGTCAAAATTCTACTCTTTCTAATTTTTCTACGCAAAGCGACTTGCATTTGAAGCTAAAGAAAAAGTTGATAGACCAAGCCCAGGGAGAAGTAGACCGCCAAAATGAAAAGAAGGGCGTAATCATATTAGGCATGGCACCTGAAGCTGAGTTTGACAAGGCTTCTGAAAAACAATGAACAGGGGGGCAAAAGAATGATGGCTAAGAGACAGTACTGTGAACGGTGCTGCCTCCACACGGCATTCTATTATGAATTAACGCAAGAAACTTAGATGTATTAGACGTGTAACGAGTATTATATTTTTTTTAACTTTAATGTTTGCATATTCCAGGCACGCCCTTATGAGAGGACCTACTGTTTTTTCTTCCTGGACTGCACAATTTTTCCATTAGGCAGTTCCATTTTATCGCTGCCTCTACTCGCTCGAGAAGACTTGTTCTTTTTGGTTTCGGAAGACGAATGCTTAGGCTCTTCACTAACCCCTTTATCTCCAGATGGCTTGGGTTTGCTGACCATGCGACCAATAGACTTATTCCAGACCCATAACGGCAAGGTCACGAGCAGACAATCAGCTATACCAGGATTTTTGATATCTTGTGTAGATATTAAGGCTTCAGAACCGTCGGGTTGAACTACGAAGACTTCTCCCAGTTTAACAACCAACTGTTTTCCCTCTTCCTTTGGATTTTGTTTCAATAGCAGTCGCTTTTCACCCAAACCATTGGTGTCGTCCTGCGTTTTTACTTCCCTCAAAAAGCGCTCAATCCGAGCTTTATTTCCATCGTTTTGAAGCCTTAAGATAATGAAATGAATGAACCCACAGGCCAAGTAGACAAGGGAGGATATCACCCATACCTTAGGTTGAACCCTGGTAAAATAAAACCCGCCTTTCTTAAAATCGTACTTTGGGAACCCGTTTTTCAAGTAGTAGTCGTATACTTTCCGTTGAGATTCATCAATTAAAATTTTGGTCGCCAAGTTCAACCTCTCATACAGCTTCTTGTACTTTTTATTTTTGTCTGGATGATAAGTTTTAGACAGCTTTCTAAAGTTCTTACGAATCTCCAGCGACGATGATTCTCTTAGTTTTGGAAGCTTCAGTAGCTGGTAGAGGTCTAAATCCGCGCCGTACGTTTTTTCGATTTCTTGTTGTAGTTGAAAGATCTGGACTTCATCTGGAGTAAAAGCAGCTATCAAGGGTATTAACCCCAGTAAACAACACAATAGCACATTCCACTGAAGTTTAAGCATAACAAAGTATAGTCAGGCGTAGCTCGAAATACTAGGAAAGTCTCAAAAGATGATTATTTTGTTTTCTGAAGCACCTTCAAAATCTTTTTGAATTTTATAAAGTCCACACATCAAAAAGTACTTCTGGCCATTTCGGATCCAACAAGCATAAACGTGTCGAATTTCCGTCTTCTTTAAATGAATAATCCAAACAGACAATCAGGTAAGTTGGAAGATAAGTCTAGTGCTCATAAGCGAACTGTTAAAGCCAGGCTTTACCAGTATTTCAGACTCTCCAGCTCGTTTCTGTTTGCTGCACTAGGTGCAAGATGGGCGATTCTTTTCCCATTAGTGGGACTGAAATTCACACCAGGAGGAATTCATGAATTCCTGTGCTACCTGATGGTATATGCTGGAGTCTCAGAGATTGTTTGGACTTTCGTCTTCCACGGGCTCAAAAGAACCATCTTCTCGAGAACTATGCTAAAAGATATCAATTTACTATATTTCGTAATTACCATGCATTTTCATGATGATTACGAGCACGCTCTGGTTTTGAAGAGTATCGCATATTCTACTTTCATTGCATCGCTAGCGCTTAGCCAGACCTATTGCCATTGGTGCAAATTGTTTCGGGCCCCATCGCGCAGTCGAAGAACAGTGCTGTGGAAGATAGACACATTCGCAACATTGCCCGTGCTGTATTTGAGCGAATTTTACTTGCTTCTGCTCAACTTACAAACACCCAGTTACCACACATACCCTTGGCTCCAAATCGTCAATAAGGCTGTATTAGTGGCCTTTATTCCTGTTTCATTGCATTCGTTCAGAAAACAAGTTGCAGCGTGGTAAAACCTTACGAAGTGATGCAGTTTATAAGTACTTACCCAGTTCTTCAGCAACATCTTTGGCAAATTTCTCTCCCTCTGCACTTGAATCCATACCCAAATATTTTGCTCTTGCCTCATGCAATTTGCTTAATACTTCCTCCAAAGGAATCTCTGGTACTGTAAGGGGTGGCTCTTTTGCGACAGTATTGTGGTTCAGCTGCACCATATCCACAGGCCACTCATAAGTGTCGATCATCTCTCTAATTCTTTCAACTCCGCAGAATTTTTCAAAACCACTTCCGGCAATCTCCTGGTCCACCGTCATTTCGATACCTTTAACAACCAACTCTTCTTCCAGAAGACACAGCATCTCATTGCTAAAGCTAACTTTCGTAGCCAAGATAGCGGCAAAACTGCCTTCAAAATCCTTGCATTGTTCTAGTTGCAAGATCTTACGTACATCATCCTTTTCCTTACATGGCATCACTACTATAAAACCAGCCAGTACTTGCTGAAGTTCGTGATAATCTGAACTACAAAATTCACTCAACCATTCACTCAAATCGTCGAAGATATCAATATAGACATCAAATAGCACCGAGTAGTATTTAGTTGACCATTTCACATCTCGATATATTTGACTGCCGGCACTGACATTAGAACTAAAGACTTTCGATAATATATCATCTTTGTTTGCTACCTCATGACTGAAGGCTACCAAAATTTTGTTCCTCAAAGGAAGTGATGCTCTTTGAACGGCCACATCATGCTGCATTGGGTTTCGAGTGGCCAGTTAAATGGTACTATTGATCTAAAAGTCAACTCAATTAGGTGTTGCGAAACTTTTCGTTGATGTCATTAAAGCTTGGGTAAAAAAAGACCTTAATCTTTCATCAATTGCAGTTCGTTAGGAAGGAAGCAAAAGTGAAACATGCCCGTATTCTCTGGTGATCCTAAGCTATAAAACGCCATGAAAAGCATTGTTGAAGCTGAAAGCTTTCGTCTCTTTCTGAGGCCTCAGTAGTTATTATGCGAGCCGAATTGGAGATAATGGAAAAAGCGGACGAGGCACTGGAACTAGAGAACCTCTGCTCGTTGTCGACTGGTCGAGATAATAATCTACCAGTCAGTCCGCTACAAAAGCCTACATCCTCGAAATCTACTAATAATGTCTTACAATGCTCTGCTCAAACTTCAAGGTGTGAGAAATTGCCAGAAACGAAATCTCCTGCATATGATGAACTACTATCGATTGGCGTTTCGGATACGACCAATAATTGTGGTTCGAGCATGAGCCCATTGTCTGGCAGAGCCGCTGGGTATAGGCCTGCAACCAGCGCGCCTAGCATACCGGCGAACAAGAAACAAGGTATTGACCCCATAATATTTAACTCCAGACGAGTGTTAAATCCAATTTCCGGCATGAATATACTTCCTGCGACCACGAATCAAAAAGAGTTGAGCACTCTCAAAAATTCTCTCTCAAAATCGAGAATGGTGCTACGGAAATACGGCACGGCCTTGAAGTCTAATTTTCCTGGCTTGATGGATCCGTTATGGGACAATTACGATATATGGTTTATGAGAGTTTATGTTCTTCAGATATACATTCTCATTATTTTTGGGTTTTTATATGCCCTTACAATTAGTAACAACATGAAAGGCAAGGGCGTCTTGTATGCTTTGGATAGAATACCTGATAACCTGGTTAACTATGCCTTTTTTAGCCAACAATTAAAAATAGAATGAAAGTGAAACAAGAGCACGAGCACACGGATTTAGGCCATAGGAAGATAACGTTTAGCCTCACATTATTTCATTGCGTTGTTCTGATGAATGGACGGTACGCAGCTCATAAGTTACACTCGTAATGGCTCATGTACTTTTCGTCTGACAAGCTGTAAAATCACGGGACCAGTAATTGCCAAGTTAGAATCAGGAAGCTCGTTTGTATGTTAGAACCACATAATCGCTAAAAGCAGATATTAGTTATCTCAATGGCAGAATCAATCCCTAGCTGGGCTAATAACCTTTGTGATCCCGACTATGCCAAGAAAATAAAAGTCATCTCTTCCAATTCCTTGCCACTTCCACCAGGATTTAAAAGAGCATCCATCACCAATGCAAAAGGTGTAAGTAAAGGGCCCCAGGCGGCTCAAAAGGAAGATCTCGTTAAACTAGTGGTTCAAAAAGCATGGCAAATCGCATTCCAACCTGCGAAGTCTATTCCAATGAATATGGTTGTCTCCTACATGTCCGGTTCGTCATTGCAAATAATATCCATAACGACTGCCGTTATGTTCGTTTCGAATCCTATCAAAAGTATTGCGAGCATAAGGCAAACTTTTAAGCCTGTTCAGGGAAATAAAGGAGCAGAATCACAAGTTATGCTCGCCATGGCCATATACATAGTATTTCAAATCATACTAATGGGCATCGGTATACATAAACTCAACTCCATGGGCTTAATTCCTAATACCAAGAGCGATTGGCTATTTCTAGAGAAACCTACTATGTACAAAGAAAAATCTTACGGATTTTGATAGTTTTAAAAGAGAAAAGCTCTTCATTTATTTGCTTCTAGACTCTGCTTGTCCAGGATCTCCTTCTTGAGCTTGGCTTCAAAAATTTGTTGAATGTTATATTTCTTGTACTGCTCGCGATAATCGCTGTCAACTACTGACATCCCGATATTATTCTTGAAACACTCTACTAAGACAAGCTTATCGTAATTTTTCAAATCAACCTTGTGTTCCAGTTGGCCATCTTTACCGACTTGTTTGGCAACTTCTTTTATAATATCAAGCTTCTCAATTGTGTTGAAGTTCCTGCGAGTTACTTCAACTGCGAACTTCAGCGGCGGAGTCCCCGCCTCGTGAAAATGATCTTTAAGAACTTGCTGCGAGAGCTTCGAGAGCTCCGCAATAGACGCGTTACGGGAGAAAGTAACAGGCGTTAGCTTTTGTACATACCTTGTCCTCTTGAAATTCACTTTGGGGTCAGCAAACTCCTGCATTATTCTGCGAACAAACGTCTCTGGCACGATAGGCTTGCGAGTCTTGCAAAATATTACGCATTCACAATTGAGATCCATGAACTTTAAGATCTCTTTGTTCTTAGGCCCAGTCTTTTTGGCTTTGAGTACATCCAGTTCTTTCTTGATCTTGTCCTCAACGGAGATATCATCGTCGTCTCCACTGGTATTGTTGTCTTCATTCAGTTCGTCGCCGTAATACTCTTCAAGCTTTTCTTGGAAAAAGCTTTCAAGCTCTTGAGCCGCTTGCTTCTCATGTTTCCGGGCGCATGTTGCATAAATACCAGATACGCAAGGTTCCACTATTCCTGTAGAAAATTTGTACTGCTCGTTAGCTTGTTAATATTGAATATGTTATAGCAAGGCACTTTAAGGTCCGTTGTTCATACCTTCTTTCGAGAGTCACGGTTAGTGTCTTCTCTAGCTCTCTTACTCATCGGTTAGATTTTGGTTGATTACTTGATGTCGTTGACTACTAACAAATATTAACTTCATTTTTTGTCTTTCGTAGCCGCCGCAACTAAGAAAATCTAGCAAACTATAAAAGGTGATTTAAAGGACCCTGAGAGCTAACGATTGTCAACAAAACTCTCGAGGTGATTTGAATGGTAGAGTTTGAGGCTTTGCGCTAATTATTCTCCTAAGGTCAGAACTATTGAAAAGCTTGGCTAAAAATGTATGAATCTTTCACAATAGAGGGAAAGAACGATAAATCAGCCTAGGTTGAAACAGCGATCTACGAGCGAAAAACTCAGATTTGCTCATAAACCCAATAAGATAATTTATGCTCGATTGAAAAACTTGGCTATTCGCTTATGGGAGCTGATGGAGTCCGCGAAACTCTGATCCACAGACGACGAATTGGGACTATCGGTACCTGCAGACGTAGGAGGCACCATCTTGTTATGAAGCATTTGAGCAACCTCGGGCTTAATGCGAGGGTATTTCCTCATTCGTATACTTGGATCTTTGTATTCGTTAATGTCTGGGGACTTTAAAAATTGGATATGCTGCTTAAGGTCTGTGAAAGTGGAATGCAGAGATCTAATAGTATTGTCTATCAAATTTGAGGACCTGGGGTTTTCTGGAAAGTGTATAGCACCTAAATCCGGGCTTGTCGGCGTTGGTGGAAGATTCTCATCGTCAGGAAACAGTTTCGAAATAATACCTTCCAGAAAATTCATATTAAGCTCAAAACTCAACACGCTTTGGGGGGTTATTGCTGAAGGGCTATAGTGCAGAAGAACATCCAAAAACCGCCTCGTGAGAGCATCGAATTCACGGAAAACCAAAAGCGTCTTGACGCTGTCCGGGAGATTGACTAATGTTGATGTGAACATCATTTCCAAGAACTGAGCGATATCCTTAATTGAAAAACTTGGCTCACTATCAACTCTGGCTGAAGTCCATTCAAACTCGACAAACTCCATGAGGTCGGAGATTTTAGAGTCTATCAGCTCAATCAATTTTGTTTCTGAGTTGCTCCGGGAGTCGCTCAGCAGCTTTACAGACCTTAGTGCCAACTCAACATCTGGGTTGTGAGTTATATTCTCCCTGCTCAAGATCTTACTAAACTCTTTCACCGCAACGATAAAATAATCCAAGTTGATAAGGATTTGTGCAATCTCCTCCCTCGACGTTGTATCAAGCTTGGAACCAATTTTATCATTGACAACTTTCCCAAAAATGTCATCGATAGTGTGTACGATGACATTACTGAGCTCGCCCAAGTCATATCTGTAAAATTCGCTGAGAAACACAATTAGCTTATTGTAGGTTTTTTTCGCCAATGTACAAGACATCGGGTATAGAGGTGAAAAAGGTAACGTTGCAAAGAAGGGCTCGCCAGTATTGCCTTCAGACGTCCGTGGCCTTTCAAGTTCGTCATCTTTCAGCCAGCAAATTTTGAGCACCTTGTCATATAGGCCTTCGTCGTTGATCGTCAAGGGCATGAAATCATCGTCCGCGAGAAGAGTTGAGAACTCAGTCTTGAATACTTGGAAAAGAAGTGCGGCATATTTCTTGAATAGTAGAACTTGAACTTTGTAGATCTGGTCTACATTTACATTCAAGTTTTCCAAAATTGCGATGTAAATGCCCAAAAAGTCTTTCAGTTCGATCAAACAATCTTCAGAATCCCCTTTCATTGCGACGAAGTGCTCCAGAAATGGTGAAAATCTTGTAATAAATGTGTCCCAAAAATCCTCACTTGTACTCATGGAGTTGTAAGAAAGGATATATTCCGTTGATTTGTTTAAGTGCTTGTCGTAAATGACAAAGCCTAAAATTCTCAACAGATACTCTTTCAACTGATCTATCGAGAATTTGTCACCAAAAGATGCTGCCACTTTCGTCCTCTGGTCGACGGTATTGGACGAGCTGCTAGCTTTTAGGTCCAGCGGATATACAACTTTCGAGATTCTGAAATTATACTCTTTTCTAAACTCGTTGCATAAGTAATCAACTTCCTTTAGATTCTGAAATATCAAAATGCTGTCATAAAATTCGTCCAGCGGAAAAATGGTTGCAGCATTCATACTCCCCATTTTTTCGGAATGCCTCAATGAAATCTCCACAGGAGAGTTGAATTTGTAAGATCCTAGCTTCATGTCGTTTTTAGAGTTTATCCAATCGGAAAGCAGTGTACCCTTGTAAAAGTCGAAGTATTTGTGGCCCACAGTCACCAATTTCTTCTCTAGGTTAGAATTGAAGGAGCTCTTTACCATATTAATACTCTCATCTTTGATCTTTGATTTAAGAACCGGAATAGATGCGTATATCGTCTTCAAGAAATCAAAGTTATAGTTCTTGAAGTCTTGGACGTATATTTTTTCCAGTCCCCCAAGACTTTGCAGTGCTTTGAAGTAACTCCCATCTTTTATGAGGTCTTGACACTTATTAGATAGCTCTAATATTTGAAGAATCTTCCTGATTAATATAATAGACTCTGAAATCTTAGTGGACGTTTTCTTGTTATTAATGTAGTTTTGTTTTCTTGTTATCACATCGTTGGTGGTCTGCGCCAGCTGGACACGTAAATCCTCAGTCTCCCGCAAGAGAGATTGCTCGATGATTTCTTTTATTGAAGAAATCTGGTTCACCGACACTGTCAGGTTGTCAGTCAATTGCGAATCTTGAAGTATTTGGTTCTCTAAATTTTCGAAATTCCCCTCGATTGAATTGTACAGCTCATCAACAACCACCGGAAGAGCTTCATTTTCAATAGCCGTTCGAAGCAAGGGCGTCCATTTATTGAAAGTATGCTCGTCTAAATCGAGTTCCTCTTCATATTTTTGTTCAGCAGTAGATCCATCGTGTCTATCTCTATCATCAAATGAACATTTTAATAACGATAGGTCAGTTGAGAGCAGAACTTTTTGAAGCTCCTCTGATACTTGATTTTGAGCATCAGCTTCCATCGGGAGGCTTAAGGGCACTTGAGTCTTGATGTTTTCGCTAGAACCTTGAACAGTTTAAATTAGAATGAACCTCGTAACTAAAGCATTTAGCATTACGCACGGAAACAAAAGGTAGATTATTAGTGCCAAGAGTGGCAACTAGATTCGCTAGCCAACAGATTCAGGTAGGACCAAATTAGATGGGTCAGCAAACTTTCAATTGAAATAAGCCTAGTTCATTTGAGCGATCCGTTTCCCATTGACTATGTACTGAACGGCGAGATAAGAGTAGCTACATAAGGTAAAAAAAAAGTGTTAATAGGTGCAAGCGATTGACCATTTCTCTACTCTGTGCTAGAGCGGTAGCGACTTACAGCCAAATTTAAAAACCCTATTTTTCGTCTGAAGCGGCGTAATAATGCAAATAAGCTGCCATCGTCTTCATTCCTTGGAAGAAGTTACTCAAATCTAGCTTCTCATTAATTGAGTGAGCACCGTCATCACCTCTTCCCATTGGGAGAAGCATGACGTTGGTCTTAAGCTGGGTCTCAAAAGTGAGGGTGATAGGAATTGAACCACCCTCTCTGGTGAAATCAGGATCAACACCGTAAACAGCTTTCGTAGCTTTTGCAGCAGCTGTGAAAGAAGCGTTGAACGGATCGGAGATCCAATAACTACCATCATGAATCAATTCGGTCTTACACTTGTTTGGAGATCCCAAAGACTTGAAGACTTTGTTGCAATGATCAATTACAAGTTTGTCAAGCTTAGCGGACTCCATGTCTGGAACAGTTCTGATAGAGAACTTCCCAACAACTTTCGATGGGATGACGGTCTTGGCTCCTTGGGTGGAAAAGGCACCTTCTAAACCATGGATGGAAAGCGAAGGGTATCTCCACCTGTGCATAAGAATATCGGGCTTGCTATCGTAAATGCACGTTTCGGAACCTGATGCAGCGTTCATCTCCTCCAAAGTGAAGTCAATCTTGTCATATAACGCCATTTCCTTTTCAGTGACTGGTGCAACCATCTCGTCAATTCCATCGATCAAAATACGACCTTGAGAGTCTACTAGTGAGCTGAAAACTTTAACTAGGTCAATCATAGGCTCGGCAATGACTCCGCCAAAAATACCAGAGTGTAAGTCAGCTCCAGGGCCTTCGACAGTGATCTGGTAATAGTTGCAGCCTCTAAGGCCATATGTCAAAACGGGCTTCTTGGTTCCTAGCCAGTAATTGTCAGAAATGCATACCGCATCAACGCCCTTGAAGTAGTTAGCGGCTTCATCTGCGATCAGCTTATCTAACCCTATAGAACCGGACTCTTCCATGCCCTCAAAGCACATGACAAGATTAACGGGTACATCCATACCAAGCTCGCGATGCGCCTCCAGGACGTTGAGCCAGCCGTTCAGGGGACCTGTATCGTCTGTGACACCCCTGGCACGCATGAGTTGTTTGTCTTCGTCGATCACAAGTTTAAAAGGCTCCGACTCCCAACCGTCTTCGATTGCGGCTGGCTGCACATCGTAATGGGCATACAAAAGCACGGTCTTCTTTGATGGGTCGCTTCCATAACGAGCTAAGACGACGGGTGGAAGCTGCAAATTGGGGTCTTCGACAGGACCAGGTTGAACACCTAGATCCTTCATCTGGATATCCTGGAACCCTAGCTTTTCCAATTCACCTTTGATGAAATGAGCCTTCTTGACAACCATAGGCCTGAGGCTTTCGTCCGCGGAAACCGCTGGAATGGCCACCGCTTTCGACAAGCGCTCAATGAATTGTGGTCTCAATTCGTCGATCTTCTCGAACAATTTTCCGAAGTTTAGTTCTGGCATGGCTTTGGTTTGTTTTGGTTGCTTTACTGTAGCTGTGTAAGCTGCTCTGGTTTCGTTGAAGCCGCGAGTTGTGATCCTTATTAATGATATTCCCTTAAGTATCGGAACCGCTCTTCTGAACATGCACAAGAAGTGACTTGTAATGTGTGCGGAGTTAACTCAATGAATTCTGCACCTCAGGTTAGGTTGATTTAGGACTTGGCAAGTTCCAATCAATGATACTTTATGTCAAACACTGTTCAAACGTCTGCTGAGGATGTTGAAGCACTGGAGCGCCGTGAAATCCTAATAACGCCGGTCCGCTGATAAGATTGGCCCAAAAGGTCTTTTTGGAAAACAGAAAATGAAGCGGGAAACGACGCGCGTTGGAAACAAACCGGAAACAAATAGGAAATAGACGAGGTGGCTATCGCTCTTAACGGAAACAGGTTCATATCCTTCATTGAATGCCAGTCGACTTTGATGAACGTTTTTAGAGTGCATAGTTCTGTTTGCGAAAGACTCGCTTCGTCTATCGTTCCGGAGGAGTTGTTTCGGATGTAGTACTTGGGTAGCCCGTGTCTCCGAAGTTAAACAAAATTGACAGTATACAGTTTTTGGCGACATAGCGGCGTGGCGTGGCGCGAAATATCATTCGCATAGAAGATTTAGAACGGCAGGACGTCAAGTAAACTTTGAAGGAAGTCGCCGAATTCCTTTTATTTAGGTTGTTTAACGACAAACGTTCAAATATCGAGGGCTGTTTTTGTAGCCTAACCGCCTACATATTATCCCACATATGTGGAAAATCCTAAAATGCAGCAAGATAAGCAGCATTTTCGGACTTCCAACATGGAAATTGTCACACTTGAAAAACTTACAAGTGATTATGGCTGTAAACTTGCGTGTCTCTATATGTACTAATATCGCTTATTCTCTGCCGCCCGAAGCAGGCGTCAGGTTCTCTGCCTCCCTACCGTTGCAAACACCGAATATATGACAAAAACTTCTTTTTACAATAACTCGAATTGATTATATATCACAAGCGTCCAGCTGTTCCCCCACTGTTCACACTGTTTCTAAATTTCATCTTCTCTACCGACAGAAACAAACCTGGTCACTGTCACCTACCAACCAATTAACCAATCAATCAATCAATCAATCAATAAATAATGCCGGGCACAAATACACCACCAATTTTCACAGTCTTGAAACAATACGTATTGGAAACGTATGGGAAACAGCTCGGAAGCATGTCGTGAAATCAAATTAAACGATTCGATCTTCTGGAAACAACATTCATGAGAAACATACTGGAAGCAATCGGAAACATATCGCTCTACACGCATGCATCAGTTGCGATTTCTTGAAAAAGTGAATTGGAACACATGGGAGGATGGAAGCATATGGGAAGCGTTCTGGAAACACAACGCCAAATTCGGTTTAGCAATAGAAGCAAGCTCTCATCAACCTGTCCTCATCTCAGAAAGAAGTGCTACCTGACTTGCCTCTAGCGATATGTCAGAAGTATGTACGCCTGCATAGGCGCGTTGTGTGTTGGACTGCAATAGATGTGTGTAAACCTCGAGAGTGGTGTTACTAACAAGAATCCGCTAGCCTCTGTTGACGTCCATTGTGGCAGGGAGCACCGCAGCGGTGTTCCAAACAACAGTGTCGTACCCATTCGAGATGTTGAAGACCGGACTGCAGCTCCATCGCTCGCTACCGGGCGTTCCGCCCTTTGAGATGATGCACCAGCTAAAAACGTACTTTGCTGGGTGCGCTGCCCTCAACGTCGGAACACTGCTGAAGACGGCCACGCGATTCACAACCTTCGACAGCGCCTGTCAGCTTCTACGGGACCCCGAAAGCGGATCCAAGGCAATCAGTGGACCGCGCTTGCTAGCAGCAGGTGTCATCACTGGTTTCATGGAGTCGCTGCTAGTGATCCCGTTCGAGAATATCAAAACTACGATGATCGAAAATGCACTGGCTCCGAAGCCAGAAAAGGCTGCTCAGGATATAAGACCCAAGTTCCATGCACAGAAGAACTCCTCAATGAATCCTCGTCAAAAGTGGTTCGTGCACTATGAAGCACTCCCTTCCACAAATTTCTTGTCTACAATACAAGAAATATATCGAACTCGGGGCTTTCGAGGCTTTGCCCAAGGCTCTGTGTGTACCATTATTCGACAGACCTCCAACTCTGCGGTTCGCTTCACTACGTATACCACCCTTAAGCAATTTGTGTCCCCAAACAAGCCGCTTAACGAGTACTACGCTTTTGCCCTAGGGCTTGTTTCATCGTGCGCTGTTGTGGCAGTGACCCAACCAATCGATGTTGTTAAAACGAGAATGCAGTCAAAATACTCTTGGATGAACTATAAAAACTCGTTGAATTGTGCTTATAGAATATTTGTGGAAGAGGGTTTCCCCAAATTCTGGAAGGGCTGGGCACCACGGTTAATGAAGGTGGGGTTATCTGGCGGTGTCTCATTCGGAGTGTTCCAATATACGGAGAATTTGATGAACTCAATGACGAAGCCGAAGAATATGGGTCATGACTAGAATAAAGCTATCGTAACACTAATGTAAATATATTCTGGCGTGACGTAAAATCCTCATGAACTAAGTTCAAAACTATTGTACAACTATGATGTCCTGTTTATTTAACAATTATTCAATACAGGTTGGTAGCATTGTCAACAACACACCCTGGCGCATTGACAGGCTTCTCAACCAGAGTACCAATCTCGTAAACTCTTTCGTTCGCTTCTGCCAACAACTCTTTGACTCTAGCAACGTTTTGCTTCTCCACAATCAAAACCATACCAATCCCCATGTTCAAGGTTTTCAAGATGTCATCAACAGGGACGTTACCAGCTTTACCGAACCACTTGAAAACCTCGGGTACTTCCCAGGTATTCATATCAACCTTGGCCTGCAAGTTGTTTGGCAATGCACGGGGAATGTTTTCGACTAAACCACCACCAGTGATGTGGGCTAGGCCTAACAATAGATTTTCTCTGATAGATGGCAGAAGCTGTTTGACATAAATTCTGGTAGGAACAAGCGTAGCCTCTCCCACTGTCTTTGAAGCATCCCATGGACATTGGTCATTCCACTGCAACTCAACTGTTTCGATAATTTTTCTCACCAAGGAGAAACCGTTCGAGTGCAGACCGTCAGATCCTAAACCTAGCAAGACATTGCCAGCAGCCATGTTCTCGATTTTGGGCAAGATGGCATTTCTGTTGACAGCACCGACAGCGGTACCATTGGTATCGTAGTGGCCGGCAGGGTACATGCCAGGCATTTCAGAGGTCTCACCACCGACTAAAGCACATCCGGCAGCAATACAACCATCTGCAACACCAGAGACAAAGTCAGAAGCGACTTTGATGTCCAAGGCGCCAGTAGCAAAGTAATCTAGGAAAATCAATGGCTCTGCACCTTGTACAACCAGGTCGTTGACATTCATTGCAACTAGATCAATACCGACAGAGTCATGTATCTCAGTTTCTTGAGCAACCATTAGTTTAGTACCGACACCGTCAGTAGCAGCCACTAACAGAGTTTCATCCGTATTGTAGCCGGCGGCTTTCAAATCAAATAGACCACCAAAGCCACCAATGTCGGAATCAGCGCCCGATCTCCTCGTCGATTTGACTTTCTCTTTGATTTTTTGAACAAGTAGATTACCGTTGTCGACTGATACACCAGCTTCGGCATAGGTTATAGACTTAGCAGCTATCTCAGATTTTTCAGCAGCCTTGAAGGCGCGATGTCCAATATCTTTTCTGAAATATCTGTTGTTGAATTTGATGCATTCGACACCTTGGTAGGCTTTATCAACGGCTTCTCTTAAAGTAGGTGCAACAGCAGAAGCTGCAATGACTCTGCCACCGGCAGTAAGGATTTTTCCATTGTCTTCTTTGGTACCTGCATGAAAAATGTAAGCGTCCTTTGGAAGAGTAGTGGTATCGATAGTCATAACTTCACCTTTGGAGTAAGATTCAGGGTATCCGCCAGCTGCAAGAACAACAGTGGTAGCAAAACAATTTTCTTTCAGCGTTATTTCCACAGAATCGAGTCTGTGCTCAGCAGCGGCTAAGAAAACTTGGGCCAAATCGGTGTCATCTGACAAGAGAGGCAAAACAGTCTGGGTTTCAGGATCTCCGAACCTAACATTGTATTCTAATACCTTTGGACCGTCTTTCGTCAAGATAAAGCCAGTGAATAAGACACCGACAAAGGGTAGACCGTCTTTTCTCATACCATCAATGGTAGGTTTAATAGCCTCTTCTTCCATTTTTTTCAAAAGAGCTGGAGTAGCAGCTGGAGCTGGTGCGTAGGCACCCATGCCGCCTGTGTTCAGGCCTGTATCATTTTCACCGACCCTCTTGTGATCCTGGGCTGGTGGAAGGTTGAAATATGAGTAACCATCAGAAATTGTCAGGATGGAAATTTCGTCACCCTCCAAAAATTCTTCAATTACGATGGAGTCGCCGGCAGCGCCAAACTGTCTTTCGACCATCAAAGCCTTCAAAGCGTCTTGCGCTTCTTGCGATGAGGTTGGAATTAACACACCTTTGCCTCCAGCAATACCATCCGCTTTAAGAACCACTTGATAGTCAACTTTCTCCAAATAAGCCTTAGCTTTTTCGTAGTCGTCGAAATTGGCGTAGCGAGCGGTAGGAATGTTGTGCTTAGCCATGAAATCTTTGGAAAAAGTCTTAGAGCCTTCGAAGATGGCGGCCTTGGCGGATGGGCCAAAAACTGGGATGCCAACTTTTGCAAAGACGTCAGAAATACCGTCGACAAGTGGTTGTTCAGGCCCAGGGACCACCAAGCCAACGTTATGTTCTACTGCAAATTTCTGCAAAGATCCGAATTGAGCTGGGATCGGACTCAAGTCGCTTACGTTAACGACTTTCGAGCCCATCTTCGCAGTTCCTCCGTTACCAGGAGCCACATATACTTTTTCCACCGAGGGCGATGCAGCGAGCTTCCATACCAAAGCGTGTTCTCTACCACCGTTTCCCAATACCAGAACGTTCAAAGTCATAATATATAACGTCAATATTCAAAACCAAAAGGTTGGTCGGTTGATAAGAATTAAGAAACTTTAACGCCAATTTGTCGCTAAATCGTCTCCAAATAAAAATCAATTTTAGTTCTCGATTTAAATACTGGAAATGTTCAATGCTCACGTTAACAATTGATTAACTCAATATTCTAACTTTCGAATAATTAACGAGAAAATTATTCCAACTGTGATTTGATTTTCTCAGCAGGATCGTGATTACCTTCACGAGTCAAATTCAAACAAAATTTTTTTCAGGATGTTTGATAAAGATGTGGCCAGCGAGGTTCGAATCGGATCTGTTACGGTCCACAAACAGTGTATACGTATTCAGATGGAAGGGTGATACGAGTGGAGCTAGTCATACTTTAGGATTGGAATACTTGATTTCAATAATGTTCGTCGCCACGCGTCTCCGAGGAACAAAATGGAAAACTTCATTTTATGTTGCGGAGTCTTGTAAAATTGCATGTGTGCGTTCCGCATGCCTTTGAAGCTCAGGACACGATGTATATAGAACTTGTTTACCAGTGACCGGATGGATTTTCATATTGCCAGCTTGAGACTCGAATTATCGCTATATCCTAGGCAGAAGTCTTCTAGTAGTGTCCTTCTGGTATGTGATACCAAATTCATACACCAACTTCTCAAAACACTCAGCGTCTTTGCAAACACCATTTGCTGCTATCCTAAGTTTCAAGAGAGAGGCCCAGAGTGCCTTAACTGTTTCTCATCTCGTAAAAGTAACCGCTGTTGGTGCTACATGACACGATGGGCTGTAATAGTTGTATACTGGCCTTGCAACTCACAATGGGCTAGTTGTCGTCTTGTAGAAATTGCCTTATACATTTCATTAACCGAATCCACGACTTCAGCGGCTAATTGAAACGTGTAAATCCTCGTTTGCATTCCAAATCCGTGTCTTGGAGCTTGACACACTGGGTTCATAGATATTTAGTGCTAAGGGGATTTGCACCGGCTTGGAAGCGGTTAAAAGTGGCCACACTTACTCTTCGACATGAAATTCCTCTGTATATTGTTTTTAGATGTAATTACATCTTGAAATTTTTAGATCAGTAAAGCTCATCGCTTCCAAACTTGAAAAACGACCAGCAAAGGTTTAATTCCACACACAGCTAGCTCGTGCTTTCATTTAGATTACGACAAGTCTCGTAAGATGCTTTCGAACAAGTTAGCTTGGTGTCTGCGATCGTCTGGTGTCGTTCGTAAAATCCTGAAAAGAGACATCAATTTAAACGCAGAACTACACACCGTTCTGACGAAATTGCCTGATTCAGGTGTGGTGGTTGTCGGTGGTGGCCATGCTGGCTGTGAAGCAGCTACTGGATCAGCACGGTCAGGAGCACCAACTGTACTAGTAACACCGCACTTAGATAAAATAGGAACATGCTCCTGTAATCCGTCGATGGGTGGTGTCGGAAAAGGCACATTGCTGAGAGAAGTCGATGCCCTGGACGGCGTGGCGCCAAGGATTACAGATAAGGCAGGTATACAGTTCAAAATGCTAAACAGAAGCAGGGGAGCTGCAGTTTGGGGACCCCGAGCCCAAATTGATAGAGACATTTATCTTACAAAAATGCAAGAAGAGTTATCAAACTATCCCAATTTAGCTCTTTGTGAAGGAAAAGTTAAGGACTTGATCATCGATACGCAAAAGAGTATCACAGACAAAGCTAAATTTGGGTCTATAGTAGGTGTAATCCTTGAATCCGGTCTCATTCTAAGATCTTCAAATGTTGTCATTACTACAGGCACGTTCCTAAGTGCCGAAATTCACATAGGAATGAAGACTTTTCCTGCTGGGAGAATAGGAGAAGATCCAACATATGGAATTAGTGGTTCCTTGCGGGAAGCGGGCTTCATTTTAGGGAGATTGAAAACTGGGACGCCTGCTAGATTGGATGGTAGAACTATTGATTTTACGAAATTAGAAAAGCAGTACGGTGATAGTCCACCTCACCCAATGAGTTTTATGAACGAAAAAGTTTCCATAAGGGACCAGGTTTTATGTTATGGAACTTACACTAATCCAGAGGTTCATGAATATTTGAGATCAAATTTACACCGGGCGTTACACATTCGTGAGACCATCAAAGGACCACGTTACTGTCCGTCGCTCGAAGCCAAGATTACAAGGTTCAGTGATAAGGACTCGCATAAAATATGGCTGGAACCAGAGGGTTTGACGTCTCACATAGTTTACCCCAACGGTATCTCAAACTCGATGCCAGAAGACGTTCAGATCAATTTCATGCGGATGATAACAGGTTTGGAAAATGTAGATATGCTACAGCCAGCTTATGGCGTTGAGTACGATTATATTGATCCTAGATCTCTGAATTCTACGCTAGAGACCAAGCTAGTGGGAGGGCTTTTCCTCGCAGGTCAAATTAACGGCACAACAGGTTATGAGGAGGCTTGTGCTCAAGGCATTATTGCAGGTGTTAACGCGGGCTTAGCAAATCAAGGCTATGCACCCTTTATATTGTCTAGATCGGACGCGTACATCGGGGTTTTGATTGACGACTTAATCACTAAAGGTGTAGAAGAGCCATATAGAATGTTCACTTCCCGCTCAGAATTCCGAGTGAGCGTGAGAGCGGATAACGCGGACTTCCGATTGACCGCGCTTGGACGCATGGCTGGTGTGGTCGGTGACGATCGGTGGAACGTTTTTCAAGCTCATAAGCAGACGTTTACGGACATTGTTGATAAACTGTCCAATTTTGAACTTAGCGCAAAGAAATGGGACAGTGCTTTGGGAATTCGGGTTGCAGACGGAGCAAAAAAGAGAAGCGCATGGGAAATGTTCAGATTTAATAACATTGACTATCAAACATTAAGTGAACGTATACCGGATCTCAGAGCGAATTTAGAGCAAGTTCCAAAGCATGTTATTCTTAAGGTTGACGTTAAGGGAAAATACGATCCTTACATCAAAAAGCAAGATCAGTATATCAAGGCATTCCAAGCAGACGAAGGAATACGACTACCACAAGGATTTGACTATTCAAAGTTGCCGTCATTAAGCTCCGAGTGCAAGAACATTTTAAATCTCGTTCAACCGTCGACGATTGGACAAGCCAGGAGGATTCAGGGCATCACACCAGCTTCCCTCTTCGAGATCTACAAGCTTGCGAGGTTTAAGCAGCATGACTTGCAGAGCCTTGTAACCCAAAACCAGCTAATTAAGTGACTGATCATTAGATATTATTCAACTTGTAAATACCATAACAAATCAATCGAAAAGGATCATCTCAACAGCAATAAGGTCTTCTATACATAAGTGCTCACGGCAAAATTCATAAAGTTCCATATCATTACTGTTTTCTGATATTAGGTAATGACCTCGAAGAATGGATAACAGGGTACTGCTACCTAACTTTACATTTTTTTCTAGTACTACTTGGTGTACTAAAGCGCTTGTATGTTGCGACAAGAATGCTGATATTTTATTGATCGCTTCGTGGGTGTTTGTGAAGGTCTTGGGAAGAAGACACAACTTTATAACCTTTGTAATATCCTTTGAATTGAGTGAGAGTCCTTCAGTTACTAAATTGGCTGAATCGCTCCGACGTCGGTTTGATGTATGGCTCTCAAGTACTACGTGATCAGCACGCTCTTCATTACCAAATGAAAAATCCTCAAAGGACTGGCTGATAATTGGGAGCTCTTCTGCTGCATCGTTCGCACCATCGACTGGTGTGAAGGTTCTGGGCTCAGAATCTGGGGTATCTTGTAAGCCATTCTGGAATTGGTCAGAATTACTCGCAACGGAAACCATAACTGGATTTGAATCCTGTTCTTCATGAATCTCGATATCTAGCTCGCCAAACACGGTTTTGTGTCTTTTGAAGCTTGGAGAAAGATTGAAGGCCTGGGACAACGAACGCTTTCCCGGCGTGCTTTGGAGGCTGCCAATCATTGCTTGATCAGTAGCATGGGAAGGTTGCTCAATAACATCAGACTCGCCAACGCTGCGTCTGGAAGCCCTAGAGTCTGAGATAGGGTCCTGCAAGCGGTCCATGAACAATAGCTCGCTCAGCTCCCGTAGCTGGCTCTTCATTGGAAATTCCGTAGAATCCCGAAGGTACATCTTATAGTGTCCAAAACAACAAAGAAGGATTAACTGAAGAAATAAGCGGCAGTTCACATGGAATACATCTTTATACACTACAAGATCTTACTCAAACAGCATAAGTAAGATTTGAAGCCATGTAGATAATTTAAATGTTAAGTTCAAACTAGGAGTAAACATCAAAAAATTCGAAAATTTTCCCATTGTCCAATGAGAGAAGAGAACGACTTGAGCTCAGCGAAGTGATAAGTAATAACGGTCCAATCTCCACCAAACATTCATTTAACACTAGATTGGCTTGTCGAAAGAGGTTGCTATCAGCTGAAATGAACTCGGCGAGAGAATTTAGTCATTTGGGGTCTACTTTAGCGGAATATGCTGACGCTGATGACATTCACAAGAATGGACTTAGCAACGTACATCACGGGCCAACAGAAACAAAAAAAACAGCAGAACCACGCCTCGCAGATGAGCAAGACCCTTCAAACATTTACCTATATGATAAACCCCAGATTCGCTCGGAGGGTCAAGACACAGCCGAGGAAAGCACGGCCAATTCCAAACTCATAGGACAAGAAATAAATGCTCATAAGGCTGCACACAATAATCTTGAAACTCAACTACACGAAGCCGAGATTTCAGGAGTCTCCATTAAACCAGTTGAGAATCAGCGTCTCTCTTCAGAAGCAAGACCCGAAATTACCGAAGATTCACGCCTAACAACGGCAGAACATGCGCTGGCCAGCCACCCGATATCAGAGATCGATCAAGTCGCGGGAACGACAATTGGTCCACTCAACTCAAAATCCGTGGAGCCTTTTTACGTTAATGCCAAACAATACTATCGAATACTGAAAAGAAGGTACGCCAGAGCCAAATTAGAAGAAAACTTAAAAATCTCACGAGAGCGTAGACCATACTTACACGAGTCTCGTCATAAGCATGCTATGCGCCGACCTAGGGGACAAGGCGGGAGATTCTTGACGGCAGCGGAGATAGCAGAACTTAAGCAAAGTGAAGAACCTCCGCCCGGTTTACATATCCAACAACAAGATCCTGCTGCCAGCGACAATAGGCAAGAACGCAAGAGAGGTGCAGCAATGGCAGAGTTGGACTCCCCAGACCATCTGCCGGCTGAATACAATGTGGGCGCAGAAAATGCACAAAATAGATCTGTACGACATCCATGAAGAAGCTAGTTTTAGGGACTAGAAAATGCATGATTTAAATTATATTCTTACTCAGTTAAAGCCCAAAGTATGCAATGCGTTTTTAGCATTTTCCGGGAGCTGTGGTGTAAGGCTCAATAGGCCATTCCCTGTCTTCTCGTTAAATGCTATCAGTGCTTCTCTCACGTATGTTCTCACTCCCGTGGTTAGATCCACTTCGGGCAAAGGATCGAAACTCTTTTCACTTACCGAACCTAGTTTACTAAAACTCGATCCAAATGTGGTGATTTCCTCCAGGTTTTCAACGTCCACAAAGTCGTTATTCATGTTAACAATACTCTCCGAGACGGCTGTTTCTACCACCACTTCCAGAGACGGGGCAAAGAGATGCGGATATTTGGAAGAAAACAGAGTGCCATTTGTAATGACACTAAGAATACCAATAATGGCGACCTTTCGATCCAACAAATTCCCCATTGCGGGGAGCGCGGTAATTACAAAACTACTCCAAATTTGTTGGAAAAGACCTGATTGAACTTCATCAATGAAATTAACAACAAAATCAGACCCACGCTTGTGGGCCACAACACTCAAAAACACCACAAATTTCTTGACATATTTCTCAGTTCTGGAGTTCTGTAACCGTTGAAGAAGCAAAACAGCTATTTGTTTCATGTAAGTTTGAATGCTTTCTAGAGGCATGTATGTTATGATGTATTCTAACAGTTCAAGTCCATTAGCGTCGTATGTTTTCGAGGCGATGAGTCTTTGAAAAACTCCCAATACAGGTACCAAGTCTGGATAGGCATTGGGATTTACTCGAATAATATCCTTAAGGAGCCTCGTAACAGCAGGAATATTCCCTTTTAATTCCCAAACAGATGGCGACAGAATTGGCTGTGACAACTGTGCCACTGAGTCTGGTAGTGAACTTCCTGGCGGTAGCTGTTCAAGACAATATGCAATGAGCTGAATAGTGTAAGGTATAAATTCCTGAACGTCTTCCGACAAGATTTCCATGAATTTGGGCATCATAAGACTCAAAAATTCTTGCAAAGACTGACCGTTGAACTTCAGTACTACCCCAATAGCTTCAAAACAATAGTGTGAAAATCTTGGATTCGAAGGATTTTTCGAAATTACCGAAACTATGTCCAACAGCTGATGAATTGTCTCATGCGCGAAAGGCGCAGAAAGATCTTCAGCAGTTAAAAGAACTCGGTAGATACTTTTCATCAAAAACTCGTTCTCAGCAAGTTTTTCTGGAGAATGACCTTGTCCCAAAATTAGGCGAAATAAGCTTGACAGAAGAACCTTCGAGCTCCCAGCAAGGTCCGATTTCTTGAAAACAAGGCTAGAGGACGTGTTAGATTCTCTAATTGAAAGAATGCGCTCGATTGTGATAGCGGCGTAGGTGTAGATAACAAATCCATCTGATTGTAACTGATCTGCTAAAATTGGCAAAATTTGAATCAATTGACTTTTATTCAGCTGATTGCGAAACGTGTAGATGTACTTGATAGCGTCCACTCTCAATATTGGGTGTGGGACAGATCCGATCAAGTCTGGTGATATTTCCTTGGTGAAAAAATCTACAACGTCTAGCAGAATGCTGGTGGATGAGACACCAGGATTGCTGACGGCCCCATTTATGGCCAATGTGGAAAAAAGGTAAATGCAGAGATCTTTGTATTTCCAATTGCTCATAGGATCTGCTTGATACTTCGCGAAAAAAGTTTTGATATGCTCTAAAACGATTGAAACCACCAAATGCTCGTTTTTCTCCTTCAACTCTTTCAAAAAATCAGTGCAACCCCTTCTCCGAGTGTCAGAATCTGAGCCTTCAAGATCTCTTCTAATATACTCTATAGGGTCATCTTCGAAAAGCTCTTCGTCTGTCTCGCGTAAAGTAACATTTGGCAGAATTATTTGCTGCGTAATGCTGCTCAAAGCAGACTCATTATTGAAAACCTCAAAGTACTTGGGAATTTTAGTGACGGCAGTCATGAAGTGTAAGGACTTGGAAATGAGAACATCATTTTTTGGCTGTAAAGACAGACTTGTGAGTAAGTTCCAGGTGGTCTGTATAAATTCGGTGACCATTGGTCCGAAGACATCTTCGTATCTTGTGGTGTACAATTGAACTAGCTCCTCAATGCTCGATTTGGTTCGAGTTACCAAACTGGGCTGATCGTCTTCGTCAGTGTCCTCGAGTGCTGGGTTTTCATAGGCCAGATACTTATGCATTATGCCCATGCCGAGGTGGACGTTGTCTTCGAAAAATTCAGGGATGTCTTGACAGTTTAAATCGTAATATAGTTTTACCAAAACGAGAAGAACTTCGAACAAAAGTGTGAGTTTTGCCTCGTTTGTACTATTAGCTGTAATTTGCTCATCGACAGACTGTAGCAAGCCCAAAAATGGAGTGGCAAACTTGTCTAGTGCGAACTTGATCTCCAAGAAAAGCTCATCGGACCTGAAAAGTGGCCGCCATCTTTTGAATATCGAGTGCGCAACAGCTAAAACGCCGCGATTCGTAACCATATCATCTGTGGAAAGCTTGGTGATGAGATCATCAAGCAAATTGGGCCACCGCTGCGGGAAGTCTGAGTCTGCAATTACTGAGATTGCCTCACCGATCTGAACCTGCAAATTGCCAGGTAGAACAATCATTAATGGCACGATCTCCCGCTTAACGGCTTCTACGTCGTTATCTGCTATCTGATATGCACCATTCTCATCTATCCACTTGCGCTTGATTAAATTCTTAAAAAAAAGGGCACCTGCAAGTCTCGTAGCTACAGGAAGATTCCCAGAGGCAATTACGTGCATCAGCGTCAAAGCAAATCCGTTCTGAGACTCTAACGCTTTGAGATTGACCTCTGCCATTTTGGCAGTTGAGGCATCGACCGATTGCGCAAGAAGTTGAGCAATTGATTCTAGGTCCGCCATTTAAATTGAGTTTTTGACGATATTTGATTCGACTTAAAGGTTTAATTAGTTCAGATTTTGAATTGAAGTTCAGCTTAAGATGAAGCCTTCAAAATTTTAAAATAATTGCACTATGTACGAATATTGTAGCCTTCTCTTAAACCACGATATTGAAATCTTCTCAAGCTCATGCGACCCTTATAGTCATTCTACCTTGCGTGAGCAGCTCACCTATCTGTCGCATCTCATAGCAGAGCCGTATTGTTGGGATGAAGATGACAGTGGCGTGACAGACGTCCGATATGTAATTTTCCCCTAATCAAAGGGAGACAGAGAGTGGACAGATGAGCAGTTGGTGGACTTCATTAACAGATGGTTGGTCATCGTATAGTGCCTTCTGAAAGGACGTGGCCCAGTGAAAAAGTCTCCAGGAGTCGAGATCCGTCGATTGGTGTGCGAAGATAGGGAGTATAAACTCTGATACCACGCAAATGGGTGTCTTTCCCGTTTTCATGATTCACGGGAATATCTATGCGCAGATACTGACACTTTAAAAGCTTGTCTTGTGGTCTGTTGTCTGCAAAAGTAAGCACAACCCATCCGTTAACATTGCGAACATCCAACGTTTTGTAAAGGGTAGAGTCCGAGGAGCTGTGACCAGCGTACACCTTCAAGATCTGAGGGGTGTATGATTCGTCTATGGCTAGTGACAGAAAAAACGCAAGCTGAACAATTTCCACGCGCTTGCTGAAACTGGCCTCGATGGAATGCGGCTGCGCTCCGTCACTTTGCCAAAAATTTTGTGCATTATCGTCGAGCGCATGCGATATTGGATTTCCGTCCTTCTGCGAAGATGCTTTCCAGAATGCTAGATTTGTGATGTTTATCAAGTTTCGCAAGTCTAGCTGCTGCAGTCCTTGGCCAAACCTGGCTAAGTAAGCTTCTGCTGTATATTCCTCATCGTAGTCGTCGGATTCATCACTGCCACATAAGTACTCTACACCAAGATTCTCGTTACTCGCGTTGGATTCGTCTAACACTAAATGACGAGATAGTTTTGAGAACTGAGATGCCTTTCTAAGGTCCAACGATGGTAAAAAAGTATCAATCTGCTGCTCTAGAGCTGTCATATCATTCTTATGAACCATTCGTTCTTTATACATCCTACAATAGCCATGAAGACATAAAGTTAGAGGATAGCCTGTATGTGTTTGGCTCTTCTCAAGTCGCTGATTTAATGATAGCCCATTCCAAGTACTTGTGTTGCACACTAGACACGAAAAACAACAGGAAGTCCTTGATCACATGTAGCATTGTTTTGGTTTCTGACAATTAATAAGTAGCGTCTGAAAGAAAGACGTATTCATGCTCTTCAGCTGCCACTCAACTAGTCCTCACAGTCTGCTTCAGATTGCCTGATACTATTTTTGTGCTGGAAGGGCTGTCACGGATGTTTGATATTCGCACATATGTTAAGTCAAAACTCTTGACATGAAAGCCGGCTTCTACGATATGCTCGAGTGCGGTATGGTAAGGCTTTACTTAAACGCCAGACAACAGTATCCGATTGAGAAAGAGTAGAAGTTTAGCTATGAATACTAGAAGTACTGATTTATCTCAAAGATATTCTTATGACACATTACTAGAAAGTGACAAGTTTCCAAGTAACTCTAAAATACAAGGGAAGCAGTCGACCTCACTTAAGAGCAAGCCAACATCTCACGATTGGAAACAATCTTGCCTCTCAAAACATATCGCGATCAATAACTAAATTCTCTTACTTAGAGAGCGTAGTCCGCATCGTTAACCTCAATGAGAAAATGCTCAACTTACTATTACTTATTTTATATCAGTAATATTCACGATCGCGCAATACAGGCGTTGATTAAGCTCCAAGTAGTGGTCGTGATTTTTTTCAATGATCAACGTCTATTTTCAAAGAAAAATCAATCACATCAGTACCTTGATGGATGCTGCTGGTGCTGTAGATGTCTATATCATGACACAGGTACTCACGGATATTGCTGAGCTTTAGTCCTCCGCTGCATTCCAACAAAAACTGTTTTTCTCCCTTCCACTTTTGTTTGAGGCTCTGAGCAGCTGTTTGCAAAGATTCTCCAGAGAAGTTGTCCAGCATAATCACGTCTGCTCCAGCCATAATTGCTTCGTCGGCTTCTTCTTCTGACTGGCACTCGACTTCGATTTTAATTGCGAAGCCACACACCGAGCGAGCATCTTTAACCGCCCGCGTTATGGATCCAGTAGACCAAATGTGATTATCTTTGAGCATTACCATCGACGATAGGTCGTATCTGTGAGTGTCGCAACCTCCGACAAGCATGGAATATTTCTCCAGCCTGCGAAGCCCGGGTGTTGTTTTGCGAGTGCCAGCAATAATTCCTTTGTAGCCTACTTCGCGGGCAACTTTAATCAAATTTCGCGATGCTGTAGCAATCCCTGAACACCTGCTGAGCAAATTCAATGCAGTCCTTTCTGCCAACAAAATGTTTCGCGCCTCGCCACGAACTTTGGCGATACTGATTTTCTCACCATTCTGAAGGTTCACCTCAGAGCCTTCTGTGTAGTTCCATTTTACTTCTAATTTGCATTGATCGAAAACCTCTTGAGCAAAAGGAACACCGCTGAGTACACCTACTTCTTTCATCCACAAGGTCGCACTCTTTGCATCTGATCCCACGACAAACCCACCGAAATCGAAACTTGGAACATCTTCTTGTAGCCAACTAGTAACATCTTGCTTCCACGCTCCATTAGCTGGTAGCAAGTTTTGAAAGCTGGCCATTTTTTGTTTTACTGTGGTCCCTCAGATGCGATTATAACTATAACATACGCGACATATTAAATAGTAGAGAAAATTTCGACGTATTCAAGTTTTGTGATAATCGTATCGTTAAGATGAAAGACACGAGCTATATACGAACAGGACCGCTATCACTATTTTATAAATGACCGGCGTAACATGTATAATTTCTATAAAGTCGCTAAAAATACTAGACGCAAGCTTAGCGTTTCTATACAAGACGTGAAAATGACTGAAATATCATTAAGTTTTATTAGATGCGTAAAAAGGGATTAATAGCTTCGCGTCCATTATTGTAACAAATTACAACAGATTTTCTGACAACACCTCTTTTTCGTGATCTGAAAGTCTCCCATAAATCTCTTGGAAGTTGTTGATATTCTTAGCAGCGGCCTCTCGAAAGAAACTTGTCAGCAAGTCTCGCACAGATGGTTCGCGTACTTGTGACTTTCTATGTGACTTACCCTCAGAGTCATAGACTTCCTCATCCTCGTCACCACTTTCGTCAGTAGGATTTCCATCCTCTTCTTCGTACTCGTCGGATGCAATTCCACTATCATCATCTAGATGTCTTTGCAGTCTCTCAAACTCTAGAGCACCATCTACGTCTTCCCAGTCACCATCATCTTCACCATCCTGGTCACCACCTTCTCTACCTGACATCTCCCCATAATTTTCGACGCCTGTCGGAATGTATTTTTCTAGGTTTCGTTCTTTTGATTGAAATTCGAGCTCTGCGACAAATACTTTCACCAGCTTCTCATAGGCCGTGACTTTGGTGTATTCCTGAGGCATAGATTTGGCCATTGATCTTGTCACAATGAGATCACCAGCATAGGGAATGAGGTCGCCATTGACCATTAAGCTGGCAATTCTCTCATCGCTCTGAAAAAAAAGTATAGAGAGCGCTTTGATATTTTCCTTGATTCTTTTATCGCCACGTACAACCTCAAACGCCTCCAGCCACTTAGGTAAAACTGCACTTAATGCATTGCTTCCTGTTCCACCTATGTTGAAGGATGACAGAAAATTAATAGCTTCCCGAGGATTAATTGATATTAAATAACAAAACAAAAACACCAAGTTTTCTGCAGTCGAAATGTTTTGAGCTTCGATGAATTTTCTCGTGGCTGCTTCTAAAATTTTTGGATATAGGTCTTGCAACTCCAGAGAAAATTTCTCCAGGACAACAACGACAAGCGAGCCTACGTTCATTGCGCCAGAATCCGAAGTTTCGAGTGATAGTAGCTTTTCAAGTGTAGAAATTATCATTGGCAAATGTGGGCTAATTTCTTGGGATGGTGAATTTTGAATCAAGTAGACTAAACAATCTGAAGATAGTTGTGTAACTGCATCGTCACTGGAGCTTAACAAAATTTCTGTCAAAGGCTTCAAAACATATGCACTTATGGTAGCGGGGACAAAGCCGTCTGAGGGCTTTTTCCTCATGAAAACTTTCAAAAGCTCCAAAGACAAGCAAACAATCGGTGAGTAAGTGATTTTATCTTCAATCATACGGGTCAGAGTGTTAACAAATAGAGGAATACATGTTTTTGAGTACTCAACGTAAACTTCAGTACTGACATGCGTCAGAAGCTTAGACAAGCAGTCTTGGGCCTCTAAAACAACTTGAACATCTGATGGATTCTTTACAGAAATTTTCAGCAATAACTGGAGCGCCTCATGATAAAATGGACTGCTTTTGTCATCGTTAGCTTTTGTGGATACTACTGATGTAAGTGCTTCCAATATAACACTGACTGTGTCCTCTTCACTATCAGGGCTTACCTCTTCGATGAGTTGACATACTGCACATCTTATCTCGTCTAAGTCACTACCCGTAATTGGCTCTAGTAGGCAAAATCGGTAATAATCAGTGAAGCTCATCAAAAAGGCGAGTTTTGTAACGGTGGTACTTGTTGTTAATGCCAAAGGTAGGGTGGCTTTTAAAAATGACTTGACAACGTTCTCAAAGTCGTCTATTTGACTCCTAAAGCCGTCCAAAATTCTTGGTACAACAATCAAGATCCTGCACAGCAAAAGCGGGTGTAAATTACTACCCGGCGCCAACATGCGTTGACTAACAAACATCAAAAGATCTAAGAGTTGAATTCCTTCATTGATTTCATGGTTTTCTTCATTCTCACAGATAGGACGGATTAAAAAAAGAATGGACTCCTGAAATCTCCAGTCATCAGCCTTTAGTTCAGAGAAATGTGAGAGCAAGCGTGTTGTAACTGCCCTTTGTGTAGAATTGATAGCATCAGTCAAATATTCCTCACATGCATCTCTCATTGTAAACAAACCAGAGAGTCCTTCTTCTCTACTAGCAAATGTATTGAAGTCGGATTGCCAGTCCTCAATTTCTTCCTTCCGCAAACCACTACAAGCAATTGAACTCTTAACAATAATGTCTAGTTCCGGTTCTTCCAAAGGAGTATCGTGAAGATTTCCCAGCATTTGCATGACCTCGCAACCTAAATCGTCAAAAGCAGTAAATTCGTCGGAATCAGCCGAAACCTCATTATACTCCATAATATGGGCTACCGAAACCAGAATATCGATAACAAGAGACTTGATTTCTTGGTCAATATTTTCAGTTACAATCTTGTGAGTGAAAGACGTTTTGATTGTATTTAGGCATTGAAACGCGATCTGAAGCATTCTAGGAACGTCAACATCTGATGGATCAAGAGAGGAGTGAGAGCGCGCAATGAGAAGGAAGATACTTATAGCATTGCGTAAATGTAATTTCAAGGAGTCTCTGAGCTCCTTCGTCGCTGTTGCTGCGCGCGATTGTAGTTGTCCCAAACATGTTTTATATAACTTACCCGCCGAGATCTTCGCCTGAAGTGAAAAGTTAGGACTTTTAAGGATCTCTGTGACAAGCTGCAAGGTCTTCCATCCCACACCCCCTTGAAAAAACATCTCTTCTGAAACGACGTCGTCAAAAACTTCGTTAAGGACGCGGAGCGCGCTCAGTGACTGTCTATTGATGATGGCGCCAAACACGGTTTCTAGGAGCTGTGGCCAGTCATCCGGAAAATCCACAGCCGCTATTTGTACAATGCAATAAGAACTGCTGGCAACAACCCTCGAGTCCTGTGCGTCATCCAGTCCGAGCTTTAGGAGGGCGTCACGTATTATAACTTTGCCCTCCTCTCCTACGCCTGGCGGACCACGATACGATTCGAATCCCGCACTCCAATACATTGTGATAAGCTTTCGCAGGGCCAAAAGTGCGTATAGACGATTCTCAAGCTTGCTTTCACTGCGACAGGCGAGCTCCATCAACATAGTACATCCTGACCCCGGGCTTTCCGCCATTTTCTGCCATATAAATGCCTCGCAATGCTCTCTAACCGTGTTGTCAGATGATTGCCCGCCAACAATGGCATTCACCAGCTCAGTGCTATCCAATTCAGCCATTTTTGCTTGGTTCTGTATAAACACTGGAGACATTGTTAAGTCGATCAAAAAATCTAAATTCGAACATTGGTGATAACTACTGACACGCATTCCGTGTCATCTGAAAGCAGCTGTTCAATAAGAGTTACTTACGCTTAAATGCTAGCACGTCTGGCGGCTTATAATTAGTCTTTCAGGTTCCCGGTATATAGCATTTGATCGTTATGTCACTTGAACTTCGTTTACTTCAGTTTGCGCGATAAAAACGTGTACATGATCTTGTACATCTCGTGTAGTCTGGCCCGCTATTCTTCCCACATCGTTCCATCGTCCTGATTTAGTATCTCTCCGAGGTTCACTACTTCAGAGTTTTCATTACCGTGCATGCTATTGTTTGTTTTACTAAATTTGTTATACCCAAGCGTGTTCAATGTTTTGGTGCTGTGCTTGATAAGATGGCGGTAAGATATTGGGCTATTATTTAGCACAAACTAATGTTTCGTAGCCTTTTATTCATGCTTTGACGTGTAGACGGTTTCTCATTCGTTGTGGAGATTTCTCGGGTGGCCATTCCGTCAACACATAATTATCTGTCGTGGTTCGCCCTATTATAATATTTAAAATAACAAACTGTACGTATCTTGAAAAGTAGTGTCGCAACGTATAACAAGGTAAGAGACCATATTTACAACATAAACGAGGTTTCTCAGTAATGACAGAGGGTGCTTCTTTGCAGGAACAGCTGTTGGACGCTGCAAGACGCAACAACATAGACCTTTTGGAGACTATTTTTGAAGAGCTGGGCTCTGACGAAACCAAGATCGCAGAACTGATTAACTCGTCGTGTGACCCAATGGGCAATTCAAGCATTCACCTGTGTTGCCAGTACGGATCCTGGGAAGTCCTGGATAGGATTCTGGACCAGGAAGGCGGTATCGAGATTGATTCCCGGAACAAGATTGACGGAGACACCCCACTCCATGCAGCAGTCCGGTACGCCTTGACAGAGCCCGAACACGGCATTTTCATTGCACAAAACCTTGTGGAGGTCGGTGCTGACCCTAGGCTTCTAAACAAGGCAGGCCAGAAACCACTAGATCTCGTGCACGGTCCAGAGCTTGATTCACTCATCGATTTGCTCCAAGGCGCCGAGCTTGCAGCCGAGAATCAAGGCGTAGTCAATGAGGAGGACGCAGAACTGATAGACGATGGGCCTGAAGATTAGGAACAGACTTAGCAGGTAACAATATTTAGGAGCTTCCCCGCGCCAGGTCGCCATAAAATACAAAAAATACAAGGACTTCTTTATCATTATCTTACTTCAAGTACAGTCGTCGAGCTTCGTAGCTACCCAGCCATCTCGAGAAAGTGCAAGTCTCACTTTTAATTTTAGAGCATTCCGACCGATTTGTTTGTTTTTAAAACTACAGTAAGTGATATTGTGTTCTTGCGGTCTTAGTCTTTTAAACAAGCTCCATTGAGCTGCGCGGCTTACCAGCGATTCGCAGTTTTTCCTCAAGGGTTTTGGACTCTTGACATAAGAGCCATTTTTGACACCATTAATAATACACTGTTGTTCGGGAACGTTCTGCGGGATAACGTTGAGCAAAATGCCTCCCAAAAGTGCTGGCGACTCTGTTGCCTCTCGTTTATCGCCAGTAAACATCTTTGAGCATGATATAAGTTCCATTACTTGCAAACCAGGCACGTCTCGCACCCTTGTCTTGAACGCGCGATCGAACGCATTTCTAAGCGTGTCCGAAACTTGTGGAGTTACAAGGTATTTCAAAAATACAGGCTCAACGAAGAGTTCCCAATTCATTGCATTGAGCAAAGATACACTTTGGCGGCAGCAAAGCTTATCTGTACAGGACTTCGAAAGCGTCACATTCGAGTCCTTCCGCCCAGGCTTTGTGCGTACATAGCCTTTTTTCTTGTAATTGAAACGACCCCTCAAAATAGTCCTTACGCTGGGATCTACGTATTGACACAAGTTTTCGGCAGTAAAGTAGGCAGAATCGTTATCCTCTAGTAGATCCATACTAGCGTCACCGCAGGGAGCTCGTGACACATAGAGAGCAAAAGCCCATGAATCCTTAACCTTATAGCCATCGGAACAAGCATTTATCAAATCAACATCTCTTGGAGAATTGCAACTATTCAGTAACATTGCTTGTTTCATTAATACAGTGTTGAATCCGCGAATTGCCAAAATCTCGGCGTGGCAATCGTGCAAAATCTTTCCGTGACTTCGGCGCAGTTCTACATCAGGAGTGGCTTTAACTCCTGTAGCCAATGAAACCAATCTCAATACGTCCTCTTTCTCATCAATGGCTACAACGCAAGCTAAAACAGTCCATTCTTGTATACCATTGGAGCGTGTGATAGGTTTACTTGTAGACAGAAGCTTTGTATAGTAGTCCTGCGCTAAATCAGATATTCTATCACCTAATTTGCTTTGGCTTCTCATCAGAACTGTTTTACCAAAATTATATTCTCAAGTTTTTATTCTGCATTGACAGTTCTTGACCATAAAACAGCTTTAACAAAAATTACAAACTCTAGTGTATTAAATATTGTCAAATGTGGTCGTACAGATGATACTAGTTCGGCGCCAGTATTATTTGTCTTAAGGACAAACCTCGCAGATCAACCTTACGCTAACAATTCTTTCCATCTAGTCCTTAGAGACCCAGATTTAATTGGAAATCCATCCCGCTGACAATTTCCTCGAGACCACCGAGATTTTTGAACTTGGCTAAAAGAAGTTTACGCTCCTTTTCGGCTGTATCAAAGGCCCCCTTCTTGAGTTGATCTTGACGAGCGATCTCCTTAGCCTTCTCGTTTTCCTCTCTCTGCAGCTCCTGGTAGTAAATTTTGGTCCTCGTCTTCAATCTGCTGAAGGGATCAGTTTTGGCATCAAATGGCGTATCTTCTTTCTTGACAGTATCGACATTCTTACCCTTATCCATATTAACTCTTCTGTTTTTAGAAGTAAGGGCGCCAAGTTTTTTCATGCCAGCCTGGTCGTTTTCGTGATGTTTTTCGTAAGATGATAAACGCTTTTCCAAGTTCCTCAGTTGTGACGAATACTTGGCGACGTCCCTTTCTACACCAGACTCTTTTGCGTGTTGTAGCTTGTCCCTCAGTATTGTTTTCTCCAACACAGCGTTAGTGCCTGATAACTTTTTGTTGAATACCATTCTATTACGGACCAGCTCGTCAGTTAACTTAGACGTTACCGGCTGTGAAACAAAGCTGCTGATTTCGTTCGATTTATTGTTCAAAATGTAAATGGATGGCTTGTTGATTTCTTGTTTCTCAAGAGATTTCAGATATCTTTCAAACTCTGGCCGAGTTATAGCGCCATCGCTAAAAAAGTTCATCTGGAAAACTTTACGATCTTTACCTTGGGTCACACCCATGTATTGATTTGTAAAGAACTTACCCATGTTGTAAGGTTTTTGCAAAAATATCCTTTCAATTTTGACCATGCGGTACATTGTCTGTCCACTACGCTTGTCAACACCAATATTGACTCTACCGTAACAACCCTTGACTATGTCATTGAAATCTGGGTAGAAACAAAACTTGCTAACAAAGGAACGCCCTATTTTTACCTTATTGAAGTCTTCCAAGTCTGGTTCACGGTCCAAATCCTCATCTTCAGCCCACTTGAGTTCTTCGTCCTCGCCAGAATCTTTACCACGCTTGTAAAGCGGTTCGTAGTCGTCTTCACTTTCTGCTTCCTCATCATCGCGGTAGCCATACTCATCCTCTCCCTCGTCTCCACCTTCTTCTTCACCCTCTTCCTCCTCATCACTGTAATCATAGGTTCCGCTTTTTTTAGCACGCTGCTTCTTGAGCTCTGAGAGACGCGATTCTTTAAGGTCACTATGGCCTGTTGTGCGGCTCGACCTGCCAGAAGAGCGTGTCTTGGACCCCTCCTTCTGTGATTGGCGCTTTTGCTGCTGCTCTCTTATACTTCTGGCACGTTCCTTCAATACACGGCGTTCCTGATATTTCTGCATTATTTGAGATCTTTCGAACAGCAGTGTTTCACGCTCCATTTCTGGTAGGGATTCGAGCTGTGTCCGGTCTTGTTCGTTTAGATATTTGCCCTCTAGGGGAAAAGGGTTAGACTCCTCCTCTCCATCGCCCTCTTCTTCAATTCCAGAATCAGCTCTTAAATCGTAACCAGTTCCTTGCGGATTATAATCATCCTGGTCTTCGTCATTGCTTTCTTGTTCTTCTTCGTCTTCATCCACAATACGTCTCTTATTAGCGGTATTGTTTTCGGATTTCGACCTCTTTTTGGCCGTTCCAATAGTGACTTCTTCTTCTTCTTCCCCACTACTCACACCGGCTAAGGCCAACAGATCTTCATCAATATCGGACATTTGAGAATAGTAACGTCAGGCAGTGTCTATGAACAGAAACCTGGTCTCACAATCGTTTCAGTCTTCAGATAACAATGAAATTGCACTTGTCAACTGAAGTAGAGATTGCAATACTTGTGACGACAGCGGGACAGCCTCTCTCGTTATTTGTGAATCGATAAAAACCAATTTGAAGTCAAGTTTATTATGAACATGATGTATCTAAAATTTGAAATTCATATTTTTGACACTCATTAAAGATCATTTAAGAGATTAAAGAAGTGCTCTGTTCACGCAGTACTGCGTTTCTAGTTTCAATACTGTCAATTGACAGCGTCCTTGAACGTTCCATACATTAACTATGAGTGATTTTCTACCGTCCTCGTCGGAAGGTCCTGGTAAAAGAACCTCCATGTCTAGACGATCGCCCTCGATTCTGGTCACAGATGCACGTTCTTCCCGCAAAAGGATCAGCGCACCATTTGCGGGTCACGCTGCGGGACTTCGCAGTGGAAAGCCAGCTAGAGGAGCTCGCAATGGCTTAGAAGCGCTTCCAAATGGATCATCTGGTCCAAGAACAACATCTGTGCGTCGCGGAAGTGCTAGCATGAGTTCTAGCGATTTACTACCGGTGCGTCGCTCCAAGAACAGCCAAACCAAGCTGCGACAGCAGGGAAAATTTAGTGATATCTCTATCGACAATATTTTGTCTGATGTCTCAGATGTACCCTCTGGCCGTCGAGAGGAACGCTTATCCTCGTCTTCGCATGACCTTGTAACTTCTTCTGCAAGCAGATTTTCTCGATCTGCTAACTACACTAAAATGATCAATCCACTTCCTCCCCGGACATCCAAAACCTCCAAAAAACTTGTTCTGATACCGGACGAATACGACCGAAAGAATGGCTCACAACATCTAGATCGACGCTGGCCCTCAAAGAAAACGAGAAACGATTCCGACGGCTCTGTAAATGCACGCGATGAGCTTTCCCGCATCACTGCGTATAACGTTGCCGAAGGGTTCAATCTCAAACTAGCTTCCAAATTTTTGAGGTCAACGCACGATGTCTCACCGAGACTTTATGATGAGTGTCTTTATGTTCCTTATTGCTTACCACTGCTACCAGGAAAAGACGGTTTCCGGCTGAAGTCGAACATCTCCAAGAAGACCGTCGGCGGTAAAACTCTGATAGACCGCCTAATAGATAAAAGTGAACAACGAGATCATCATTACGAGTATTATTCAGGCGTAGAAACGGTTGCCGACATGAACAACAATTTTGAGCTGAGCGAACCTGCGGGTGCGGAAAGTGATAGAAATGAAACTGTCCCCACGCCAGATCATTTGCCTAATCCTTCAAATAGCAGTACGGCACTTTTCAACCCATATGAACCTCAGTTTTTTGCCGAAGAGAATATGAATGAGGATACTACGAGTAAATCTAATGAACCTACGAGTTTACAACCTTCTGTCCAGGACATACGTTCATTAGATACTTACGATGCTAGTAAACAACAACATGCAGAGATATTTATATTCAGTTATGGTGTCGTTGTTTTCTGGAATTTTACAGAAATCCAGGAGAAGAACATATTGGGAGACATAGCATTTGCTGAGTACGATCATCTGGTTATTCGACCCTTAGATGAACAGGACATTGAAACTGAACAGTTTCACTTCGAGTATGACAAAGAAGTCGAAAGGCCACGTATTTTCAACGATATTATTACGCTTCGATCTGGTGATCATATCATAAAATTGACTCTTTCTCACTCAATTGCACAATCCACCAAGCTATCAAGGTTTGAATCAAGAATATCTCCGATTTTGGGTACGGTGTCGAAACTCCCTAAGAGGCTTGCGTTGTATGGCACTCTTGGCTTGAAACGAGAGCAGCTTTTGAAGAAATCGGGCAAACTTTTCAAGCTGCGAGTAGACGTGAATCTCTCTTCAAGCGTATTAGACACACCTGAATTCTTTTGGTCTTTTGAACCCAGTTTGCACCCACTGTATTTGGCAATGCGGGAGTACCTCGAAATTGATCAAAGAGCACAGGTGCTCAATGATCGCTGTAAGGTCTTTTTGGAGTTTTTTGATATATGCGTCGATTCTGTGGCTGAAAGAAATATGGCTCGAATTACTTGGTGGTTTATTGCGGTAATTTTTGTCAGCGTGCTAGTTTCCATCGGTGAAATTATTGTGAGGTCATTCATTGTTAGGCGTCTCAAACGCCACCGCTAAGTTTCGGCGTATCATTCAGTGAATAAATACCCTCTGATTATAACAAATAATTGTAAACTATAGCTGGCTATTTAACTAAATTATTTCTTAGCACCGTACTTGTTAACGGATTTGCCGTCTGGGATGGCAAAAAAGACATATGGTTGGTCTTCTGACGCCACCGAATCTAATCTGTAGTAACCCTTCCTTTCAAATTGAATAATGTCTCCTTTCTTCATGTCCTTTACATTAAGATCAGCAACAGCAGCGACGTGGAACTCAGTCTGTGGGGTCAAATAGTCTGCAAAATCCTCGCCCTCCTCTAATTTGTCTTTGGTGATCAAGTGGTCGAAGTCGACTAGATCAACATTAACCTTGTCCTTTGTGTCAGCCAACCAGGTTAATTTCAATTTCGTCTTCTTGAAGTCACCCTCGAGGTGCAGTTTACCACTCAAGGACCCGTCAGCATTCTTTTTAGTAATGATAACATTACCCCAGTCCATCAAGGTTACTTCCTCGCCCTCTTCGACCATGTCAGCGTCGTCTTGATCGAGCAAGACGTCCGAATAGTAAATGACCTTCTTCTCGCCTACAGCTGGATTCTTTTTATGTTTTGGCTTGACTTGAACATCTGGAGTTCCAGGAGCTCCTTCGATGTGCAGCTTCACAGGGTTCACAACCGCAGTATGTCTAGGGGCAACTGGGTCGATGATTTTCTTGTTAAAAGCCCAAATTAGGTTCCACTCTAAGTTGATCACATTTCTTGAGGGACCCTGTGATAGAACAAAGTTTCTCAAGCCCTCAACAGTCATACCTCTTCTTCTGACACCTCTTACCGTTGGGAATCTTGGATCATCCCAGTTGGAAACAAGATCCTTGTCAACCATCCATTGAAGTTTTCTCTTGGATAACAGTGTTCTCACAAAGTTAACACGAGCGAAATCCCATATATGGACTTTTCTCAGCTCAAGTGCGTTAAGCATCCAGTCGTATTGCGCATTTCTGTCTCTGTATTCAATGGTACGCAAGGCGTGAGTGACACCTTCCAAAGCGTCGACAATTGGAACACAGAAATCGTATGTTGGATAGATCTTCCATGCGGAACCGGTCCTATGATGTGGGGTCAGGTTACATCTGTAAATGACTGGATCTCTCAAGGTTTTGTTTGGAGCTTCATAGTCAATTTTAGCACGAACACAGTTCTTCAAGCCCTCTTCTGTGCCGTTCTTCATATCTTGAGTAAAGATCTTCAGATTCTCTTCAACAGAACGATCTCTTCTCGCAGAAGCAATACCATCCATACGCTCCTCTCTCATCCTCTCGGTTGGGGTGTCATCACAATAAGCCTTGCCTTCTTTGATCAATTTAACACATAAATCATACATTTCTTGGAAATAATCCGAAGAATAAGTGACTCTGTCACCTTTAATTCCTAAAAGCTCCAAATCTTCCAAAATAGAATCCTGGAATTCAGTTTTCTCCTTTGAAGGGTTGGTGTCATCGAATCTGATGATAAGCTTACCTTTATATTCCTGGGCAAAGTATTGATTCAAAATGGCAGCCTTGGCATGTCCGATGTGCAAGTATCCAGAGGGTTCGGGTGGGAAACGGGTTACGACCTCGCCAATCTTGGCTCCTGGTAGGCCGATTTCGAAATTAGCCTTGTGGGTCTCCTTCTTGTTACCGGTCGCAGATTTCTTAACTTCCTGAACCGACTTTGTCAAGAATTCGTGAGCACTGCCGAATGCAGGCATTTGCTCCAAAAGTGTATACCAACGGGAGACGTTGACGTATACTTTGTTCTTGATGATGGATCCAACCATACCATTGGATCTGAGTGACCCCCAGCAGATGACATCGGCGGCAGAGAACGATTGACCACCCAGAATGAATGTTCTGAGGTTTAAGTGGGCATCAAGCTTTTCTAATGATCCCGAAAGTTTGGCAAAGTTCTTCACGGTAAGTTCCCCAGTGGCGAATTTAGCCCATTCACTGGCTCCTTCGAAACCGTCGGCAAAAACTTGGGGAAATTGTTTCACAATGCGCTCCAAGACAGCCTCCGAGCTTCCTTCGAAAACTGCAGGGACGGCTTTTTTGTCCTCTACGAATTCGAATTCCACGCTAGAAGGTTTGGTGGCATTTACCAGACGAGCAGCAATTAGCTCAGAGTATGCAACAACTGGAGCCTTGCTTGCGATAGTAAGCTTGGTCATATTGGTCAATGGCTTTGATTTAAGCTAGAGAGCACTTCTCAAGATTACTTCATTTGAACAATATGAGAAACTTTATCGAAAATTTTCAAACGCTTTAAGCAGGGCCAGGGCCAACTCTTTTCATACGCCATGAAATTTAGGATAAACTTGAAATTTGGAAACTAAGAAGTATTGAAAATTAGTTTTGGACAACGGTCACTAAGAGCATTTGAGGTGCGGAAATTTGGTAGTTCGACATACAGACTTATTAATTGAAATTTTTGGCTGATAAACTTTTCTGACAACTCATATCATCTCAGTTAACCGTACGTTCAAACATGGGGCTTTCATCAAACTTATTTGTTCAAAAGCGAAGCTCAACTAATAGCTTGCGGCAGCCAAAGGAGCTCGGCCACTATTCAAAAACTCAGGATAATGAGTTTCTGATAAATGATAATGCTAAAATGAGCTACTACTACCTTCCTGACACTGAGCTTAACAAAAACCTAGATCTATGCGGGGGAATCAAAAAGTTTAAGGAGTGTTCTGCAAAGAGTGAGTTTGATGCATGTACACTGAGTGGTCTTTTGAAAACAGTTCAAGCCTACGAACAACGCAAAAACAAAAAAGTATCTGCCGACATTATTACATTCAGAGGTGTAATGCGAAAATTGATATCGAGCGCATTTGACAGCCCCAAGTTCAACCATGTTGAGCTTCGTGTCGTATCTTTTAATGGCCAACTATTTATAAAAGAAGTCAGTCAAGCGCATCCACCACCTTCCAATTCGGATTCCATGGAGTATAGATCATATTACAGCGGCTACAAGTTTGAAACCTTATCCACAATTTCTAAGCCGCTAGCACAGGTCTCGAGAAGCAGCCTCGAGAAAAGGCACAAGAAGATATGTAACAACGGTGACCAATATATCACTGTTGTCAGATCTGGGGTAGGAAGCTGTAAATTAGTGCTTGGTGCTGAAGTCGATTGTGTATTTGATTTCTGTGAAGATTCAACTGATAATCTCAAGCACTATGCAGAGTTGAAGTGCACAAAAGGGGTATCCACGATTGCTGACGCTCGTCGTTTTGAAAGAAAGGTTTTTAAAACGTGGTTGCAGTGTTTCTTGATTGGCATCAATCGCATAATATATGGCTTCAGAGACGACAATTTTCTACTAAAAAGTGTGGAAGAATACTCTACACAAGAAATTCCTCTTCTGCTGAAAAACAACAATCCTCAATTGACGAACGCGTGTATGGATGCAGTAAGGTGGTACGGAGCTTTGACGGAATGGCTTCTAGCCACAATTCCTCGTGAAGAGTCAACGGAATACCTGAAGGCGTACAGATTGTCTTTTGAGAATAATCATTTGAAGTTGTCCGAGATTGAGGAAGGCCATGAAGAATATCCCGAATTACTTGACGGCGAAAATGTGTTAAGTCATGAATTTCGAGCGTGGAGAAAAGAGCTAGCTACCATGGCAGCAAAAAAATAAACAGATAATATCAATAATTAGTGCAACAGGAACATATTATAGATCTTCATAGAGAACATCATTAAACTTATCGTATCTATCGCCAATAAATCCTCTGAACAATTTACCTTTACCCGTTTCAGTAATAAGTTTGAAGTCCTCATCAGATAATTGGAAGTCAAAGATGTCAAGAGATTCCATGAGCCGTTCTTGCTTCCCTGACGTAGTGACCGCCACAACTCCGTTTTGTATAACCCACCTGAGGAGGATCTGCAGTTCACTCTTTTTGTATTTGTTAACGATTCCCGGTAGAATATCATCCAATGGGCCCGGTCTTCCTTTCGTAAGAGGAGCTAGAGGCGAATAGCCTTCGATGACAATATCGTTTTCTCGGCAATATTTTAGGATCCCTGGGGATTGCTGCTGCATATAAGCGTTAAATTCGATCTGATTGACTACTGGCTGATATTTCCCAACCTTTTGGATGTACTCCAGACTCTCGACATCAAAGTTAGATACACCGATGTTCTTAGCCATCTTGCGATCCAGAATCTCCTCCATTTGACGCCATGCCTCTTTTAGATCGATGCCTGCGGATTCTGGAGTGATGTTTGGCACATGCAGTAGATAGAGATCGACATAACTCAGGTTCATTTTTTCCAGCGACAGAGTGAGCGATTCCAGAGGTCCAGTACCTTTTCTCCAGGCCCAGGACCACGGTGTGTATTTGTCCGTCAAAAATATTTTGTCTCTGGGGGTATCCGAGTTTTTTATTCCAGCACCAACTTCCTGATGGGTTTTGTAGGCCTCTGCAGCATCAATGTGATTAAAACCAGCGCTGATTGCATTAGCGACTTGCTGTGCTAGCTCTTCGATATACTGGTCCTTTGTCTCACCGCTGGCCTTTGCAATCCTCCATTTAGTCCCAGCACCGAATCCAATGACTGGCAATTCGTCTCCGGAACCCTTAAGCTTCACAGTTGGAATTTCTGATTGCATTGTTGTTGCTGTATGCTTTTGAAATTGTCGAAATTCAGCTTTGGTGTAGTCTGTGTCCAACTTTTGATTAGCGTTTAAGTTAATCCGTGGGTCCGTTATATGTGTTCATCCTAAAAATTATAGTACCGAACCTGCAATCTAGTTTCTGTTCTTCCTACGCTCTCAACCTTTCAAGTAAAACGGAGAAAATATTTCAGATAACAGATACAAGAAAGCCCTCCGATTTTGAGATAATGACATCGCGCTTAAACCTTACATGTAGAATATTACTTAATTCTGCCCGCGCATAACAGTTCCACTTGGAACCGCGTGGTAACTGACCCTGTAGGATTTGAACGCTACGTTTGACACAACAATAATCCCACAGGTGCCAACAAGTAAGATGCATAACGACTTGACACTTATAGGTTTGAGAAACCCATTTAAAATCTCGGCCAATGTTTCTGCCCAAACTACGGCGGAATGCTGAAAGTCTTGTGATTCTGGTAGTTCTCGATTCATGCACCTGAGCCAGTTTAAACACTGATCCTCGAGCCACGGAGCCCTGAAAGCCGGTTGGCATCTGTTTTTTTCATACTTGGCTTTACACTCGAGTACAGTTCTTGATGCGGCGACTGCCTGGGCCTGTAGTTTCCGATCCACATCGCGCTTTATGAGCTGTACAAACCTAACGCACAAATATACCAAGCCCGATACGATAGTTACATTGAAGATGAGCTGAAGGTACTCAGAGAGCAGTCTGGGATCAGACCAATGTGCGCGAGGCCGCGACTGCACTGAGGCTACTTCATTAAGTTGCTTATTGCTTGGCTTCTGTGTGCTAAGAACGGACATACAACTGACGATCCATAAGATTCATGGACAATTAACGTTGCAAAGTGCTGCTGGTTCATCCTTTTGAAAAGCTAGATATATGAGTTTAGTACAGAGTGAGATAAAAGATCATGGCAAGCAGCACTCGCGACGGTTATCCTAACCATCATTACGGATGAATGTGACCACATTGATCGATCATACGTTAAAGATGAATTGTTGTATATCTGGATTACCGGAAACTAAGCGAAAGCCTATACTTAGTCCTTTTCTGCGTCCAATCGTAAATGAGTAATCCGGAAACATACATTACTTGAAAGGTGGCTTACCTTCAAATGCCAACACTGACTCTGGCTAGCGTCCTTTCGAATTCGTGGTGGATCTCTCAAAAGCAGGTTTAATAGAAATAACGCATTCTGTATTCAGTGAGTGCACAATGCTGGTATCCCTTTCAACCCACGAGGAGCAATGTCACTTTGCGAAAGTTTGCCAGCATGAAACACTTTTTCCAGCAGGTCGAGTAGCCTGTCTGGAAGTATGTAATTACATTCAGCAAACTTGAGATACCTCGTAGTCAACGCATACCTCGACAAATAGTTCTCTCCGAATGCTTTTTTTCGGAGAGTCCTCGTTCGATTACCATTGACACTATTGCCTGCTTTTATCAACTATTTGTCAGTCGAGTATAGACGTGCTGAGGGTAGGCCATGATGGTTTTTCCTAGTCAGGACTTTCCCGTTAAAAAAGTCATGGAGATCTATGGACTTCAATCTTTAGGCGTATTTAGTAGTTTTCACGCCAATTAAACACATCGCTTACATAGCGGAAGGCCCCTACAGCTTTGCTGACACAAATGCATGCTCGCTTGTTCACTCTATAGGATTATCACTTTAACCCAACTTGTCATTATAGTTTTCGGGGCCGATGTGAAAAATATCAAATCGGAAACACAAGCTCAATATATATCACGGACCGAATTGAAATTTATTAGGTTGAGGTTTCTTCCAAAGTCGATTTGCTAATAGCAGAATCTGAATCACTCTCAAATCCGCCACACTGAATTATCTCAAAGCCTTTTCCAGATCGGTCGCTGAGTACCTAGTAAAACCTGCGTCCTCCTCTATCAAGAAAACCCTCAATTCATCCTCCACAACTATCCCATCTGCCAATCCACCAAATAAGACTGAAGCCATGCGTCAAACAGCGGTGAAACTCGCCAAGAGCTATACACCCTTGATCAAATTTGTGGGCACAAAACACCCAGTCTTGGAACACTCTGGATCGGTGCATCCTCACCCTTGTACTATTGATGGCATACTGCCTGGATCTGATTCATGTGTTTCGGCTAAGGACTTCCTGAGCAAATTGAAGCCATTCGAAGTCGTCCCTTACAAGACCAAGAAACCAAGTCAGAAGCCCGCTGGCGGCAATGTGGGTCGCGCATACGAGTTCGTTTCCAGACCCTTACATGAGAATGAACTTGCATCCATTTCAGAGCTACCCGTCAGATTCAAGCTGCGCCCATTTGAAGACGTAGAAATGGAGTCCATCAACGCTGGTGGAGCACTATGAGATACGAAACGTCTATATTCCTCAATCAACATCTTTACTAGAGTACAAACGTATATCCTTGCAACGCAATCGAGAAATTCACATTTCCCAGACCCTGCGCAGCTGCAAGCTGTCTAACTTCTTGTAGAATCACCAGACGCGGGTCCCTGCCGCCTGGTGACATCTTTACATGCAAAATTATAACCTGCAATCCGTCTAGCGGTCTGCCATAAGCTCTGCTCAGTTCTTTTAACTCGTGAACAAGATAATTGGGTGACATATGGCCGTAGAGATGCTCATCTTTTGTAGCATTTGAGCATGAGCATTCAATGGTTATTCCCATCAAGTTTTCCAGTGGCACGGTTTTGCGCAAGTGCTTCCACACATTTGCGAGATGCCTCTTCTTAGACATAACATCAGACTCTAAGTCGCCACAAATCACCACAGCTTTCTCTGTGGATGTGTTTTGTATCAGAAAAACTGTACTTGTGCATGGTAATCGGCTTTCTACAGTGAGGCCATGACTAACTCGCAGCGGCGTGACAAACCAATGAGGTAAACATTTCACGGGGCGCGATTGATATTCCTCGAGTGAATGCATTCGTAGTTTCATCTTTGTTTGGGCAAAGAGATTGGGCCAAACCACGTCGTTGAAAATATGTTTGTGTAACGCTTCTACTGTTGGTCGAAGTCCCCAGATCGTCTTTTCACTGTCACTGCATGCCGGCGAATTAATCGCTAGAGCAGCCACATGATCTAAGTGTGGATGTGTAATGTAGTACTCTTCAATATTGCTAAAGACTCTCAATGCACCGTTCATGATTGTTTCATCTGTAGCAAGCCCATTGCCACTTCCTAATCCACGAATAATAAGACATTTCTGGTCAACAAAACTGCGCAGAGGCTCTTCGTGATTCTCATACAAACTTTCAATCAGATCGTTCCAGCAATTTGACTTTACGCTGTCGGGATTCAGATGACACTGGGCCATCATACTTGCGATTTGTCGCAGCCCAGAACCTGCGTCAACACATATGTACTTCTTGTTCAGGTCACCAACTGGCTCTGACAGTAAAATTCCTTGATTACCTCCATCAAGAGGTCCACCAGAAGCACCTAAAATACTAATTTCGAAAGATGCCATGTTCTTTCGAAGTAAAGATGAATGGGGGTTTTTTAAAATTCATGCTATTAGCCTTCAGATCTCAATATAGGTGGTTTGTATCATTATGTACGCGCTGACGTGATGACGATGATTTAACCGCTAGTTATCGGTGACTACAAAATTTTACAGCTCATATATATGCTATGATGATTTCATTGACGTGAGTAGTTTGCTTAATTAACGAGCACCATGGACAGCGTTACTTCTATTTGTCACTACTCCTTCGAAACTACACCTTCTGCGTGCCATAGCCCTTAATATCCTTGGCAAAGCCCCAAACCATATCTTCGACTTTAGCGTCCTTGTCGAAAATAAGGCCTTTTTCTTTATCCACAATGGCAACTGAGTACTTTCTTGAAGAGCGCGCATCTCTGTAAAATAGAACTTTCATTGCTTCTGTAATGGATTTCTGTGCGGTTTCCAAGCTCGTATTTGCTACATCGTTTTCGGTATCTACAACCTTCCTCAGCAGCGGCAATGCTAGATGTGCCCCGAAGCCGGTGGCTAGCGAAGGCGCCGAATACGATACACCTAGTAAATTGACGTATTTCAAAAAGGGCTTGTCGTCTTCGACGCCAGCCACAATGAGTGCATTCCAAAGAGGGTTCATCTTAGATCTCCGGCTGTACATTACATTAGCCAAGTACTCAAAAACATAGCTAGGCTTCAACGCTTCTTCATCCTCCGCATATTGATTGTCGTAATTGTTTTCAGTCTGCATTTCTTCCAGCAAATACTCTAAGTGCTGCATGTCGGAGACGTCTCCAGAAATACCAACCACTGTATCTTTCCCTACTGGAATCAGTCTTTCAAGGTCGGTAAAGCGCAGGAGCGAGCCGTATGAGCCCAGGCTGTCGGCTGCTATGATGACACCACCATTGTATTTCATTGAGATTACCGAGGTACCCGTCACAATTGGCTGTTGTGTGTGCATACTTGGATATGGTGAAGCATTGGCAATCTTGGTGTTGTAGGCTCCGAAAACGGCGTCTGAGGGTCTTCCCCATTCGAATGGATCGTGGTTCATTTGGTATATGAGTTTTTGAGGCTAGCTTCTTCGTGTAAGCTTCAAGCGACAGCTACTATGGTACTTTGAGAAGAGTGTTTAGTTGAAGTTCTCAATATCAAACTTAAAGGGTGGCAAAACAATTTGAACTTTGAAAGAACAAGATCGCGAAAAACGAGCAGAGAGTTGACTGTCAAGTTTAGTCGGTAAGTATATTGGGCGTTTTATACAATTTTGAACAAGTCTAGGGTAATTTAGATCAGACTACAGTATATTCTTCAGTTCTGAGACTGGCAACAGCATCGAATGGAAGTTCCTCACTCTCTTCGTTAGAACTGACGACTTGGCTAACTTTGATGCCAGAGAAGGAATTGTGAGCAGCATGGTTGCTGAATAGCACTGAGACTGGGAATAGCGCGTCTTCGTATTCGGCTTCGACTGTCAGCGAGAAAGTAGCGGTGGCTTGGGGTTCAATCGTCTCGATCTTGACAACCACACCGTTTTCGTCGTCAATGCTTTCAATCGATGCTCCTAGATCATTGAACTCATCATTCACACGAACATTTTCAGTGAAGACAGGTAGCGCAAAGCGTAGATCGTTCAGACTCTCGTTGTAAGATTCGCGCATTTCAAGTTCGAAAGTCACGTCGAACATACCTTGGTCAGACTCAGAAGGAGAAACCCACGATGATATTTGCAATGGCACTAGTACAGAGTCATCCACAGCCCCAACTTTACGCCACCTCAGCACAGCCAAGCTCTGATCGTTGAAGGGAAATGCTTTTTTCTGATCCCGAAGTCCAACAATCGCGGACGTCAAAAATAAGTTTTTATCAATATTTGGATGGGTCTTAAATTGGAATGATTTGTCTTTTGCATCGATATTGGAATCTAACGCGAGTCTCGCGTGTGCCAATTGTTGATTGTTAACACGCAGTTCCAGACTACCCTTCAATTCGGAGCTTTCCACGTTACCCTCGCGTGAAATCTGTGCACTGACCACTTCCTTTACAGACACCAAAATACCATTATTCACAGTTTTTTCTGGTTCCTCAACCTGTAAAGAAGAGGTAACTGGAGCTACAGCTTGTCTGGCAGGTGTGTGCAACTGGGCGACATGCGCGCCAAGTCCACTCCTTCTGGCGCCGCCAAGTTTCATTCCTTTACCACCCAAGGAGCTTTCCATTGGAAGTGGGGCAGGACTTTCAGCCGCAGGAGCTTTTTGCTGCGTGTGATAATAAGACTGTTGGGCCGCTGGTGAGGCTTGGCTGTAGTAGCTGCTGTATGCATTTGATAAATTTGGATCATTAGAAGTCTGGAACCGCATGGCGTCCAATCCCATCGAGGGTATTCCCATCTTGCGTTCCTGCTCTTTTCTGGAAATCTCTTTAGCTCTCCGCTTTCTGTCCTCTGCGGCTTCGAATTCCTTGTTCCTTTCAATTATCTCTTGAATCTTCTCCTCATGCGATTCCATAGACAGATAAGTATTTATCTGGGCCATTGACAGGTTTTCTTTATAGCCCATGGTGATGACCTCGTCGAATGAGCTCAAAATTTCAAACGCATTCTCAAAGATTTCGTGTTCATCAAAGCTGCTCAAGTATGAGTTCATGATCTGGGCAAAAAGCTTCAAGGTATCCAAGTCCTGGATTATATTTGACTGTCGGTTGGTAATTAAGATAATGTAGTAATCATCGAAGGGCTTGTAGACATATCGAACGTGTTCGTCTTCAACAAACGTGTGCTGAGAAGATGAGTTAGCCACAAGCCCCTGAAAGTTCGATAGCAGCTCGGTAACCCGATCTTTGCTTATATCCCGGAATTGCCTCGAAAGCAATGGTTTGCCCTGGCGGGTAATGATCGAAACAGCTATCACGACCATGTTTTGTCACTTACTATCCGAATTCTGATCATTGATTAATCTCAGATTTCGAAGAAATATTCCCTTTTGTTTTTGACAACTGAACACATCAGTGTGCGTCTAAAGTGATATGAACGTATGATCGTGGCTTGATCCTAAAGTTCAAGGTTGAAGTGCCAAGACTTAGCCAGTTGGATGTCCCAATAATTTTAGTACTGAGGCGAGACATGGAGTTCTCGGACAGGAAGGTTTTTTCTTGGTTCTGCCGATCCTCACATCCTCACAGCTCTCTAGAGTCTTATAACTAAAATTTGGGATCATGATTAAGGGGATATTACCAAGTAGAAGCTATTAAAATTTCAAGCTTAGTTTCATCGTGTTATGTAGTATCAGAGTAGTCTCTCCCCTCAGGTGGAAGCATAATTGCCAAGTCGTAAGCTTCAATTTGAGATTCATTAATTCTTCATCTATTGTCCAATTTCGGGAGAAAAACATGAAGTTTAAATTAAACGGTCACGCAACTTAGGTTCACTTGAATGAAGACTCTTTACATCTTCGTTTCATAACCATGCGACTGTCAATCCTATGTCACACTTAATTACACTATCGCTAAAAAGACTCTAGCTTTATACTTCAAAGATGTACTATTTTAGGAGTCGCTGACCTCAGAGTTGGAATTCCTCTTTCGTTTAAGCGAATCTGACAGCTCTGGTACTGTAGCCGTCTCGAACTGCATTTCAGAATTTTCGACAGCCCTTGCTTCTGTGATCCCTGTTGGCACTGCTGGCACTGCTGGCTCTTCTGACTCTGCTGGCTCTACCGACCCTGCTGTCCCTGCTAGCCCTGTCGATCGCGCTGGCTCTCCAGTTCCAGAAGAATTATCATTCGATTCTTCAATTCCATCTTTTTCTTCATCGGAAGACATCACAATAACTTCTGTGCCTTTTAGTTCGGCTTGTTCGTTGTCATCAAGTACTACCGGATGGCTTTTATCATTGGTGAAAACTTGTATATTTGAGAAAGTTGCATCGCCGCTTAGCAACTCTACCAATGAGTTGTATCGAGAAACGAAACGGGGTCTAGTGTTTACATCGATAGTCAAAAAGGTAGGAACGTCAGGCACGCATTTCTTTATCGAGTTATCCTTTAAAATCTTAAAAATTGAGACCACATCGTTCATAGTAATGTCCTTGTTGTACATGTTGTCCTCTTCCATAACTAGATCAAGGTCTGGAAACTCCATCAGGAGTTCTCGCGAAAGGAGATCTAACCCGCCACGCAAATTTTCAAGAAATAGTCGTATCCGGCCAAAGACGACATTACAACCACGGTGTAAATCTGCCGAATCCTCACAGATAAGCCTACTTTTGTCCCAACCTTGTTGATTGTCTCCATCTTTTGCATTGTCTCCATCATACTCTCCAAGGAGTAAAAAGACCTCGTCCTTGTAGCAGACCTTTATTTGAGGCGCTTTCGTGTTTAACAGCTGTTTTGCAGCCTCGTAAACTTCGCTTTCAGAGATAATGTCGATAATAGAATCGTCATCTTCATCATTGTTTTGATTTTGGTCCTGCTCGGAGGGTTCTCTGGCGCTGCCGCGATTATCATCGTCATCAACCGTAACTCCAGCATCCACATTACGGCTGGGCTCAACTTCGGTAATCCTCGGTTCGCTTTTCTCTGCGCGAAACTCAGGGTCTTTCATCTGTTCGCCCTCGATGTTATTACTGTCGCCGGATGCTCGATCAGCATTTTCTTGCATATTAACGTTTATTGCGGTTGAAGGAAGGGTGGTTGAGTCGATTTCCTCCGTTACTGTAGCAGCAGAGTCATTTCTAAGTGGCAATTCAGGTGTCTCACCTTCCATTTCTTCCTGCTTCTCATTTACTTACCGTTTTCAAGTCAGTCAATTCTGCCGATAAGTTTGAAATTTCAGAGGCTTCCCTGATTCTGGATACTTCACGGAAAATATCAAAATATGAATGCAGCGAATAAAACACTTTACAAGCACTATAAAGCGTCTCTACCTATGAATTCGAAATGCGGTGAAGGTGAGACTCACAAAGACCAGGTTCTGGCTTTGAAGGAAATTAGTATATATGCCGTCGCCTCTTAAACTGGAACAGCTCTGCGTTTAAGTGACGATATCGAATACCTCTTCTGCTTTGTCCAAACACCTTATAGGTCTAACATGCAATGATTGCTAACTTCCTTAGAACACGACAGTGTAAGCTCCAACTTCGTTATGACAGCTACAACAAAAGCCCCACTTCAAAGTATTAACCGCCCAGGTGAGAAGGGCACCTGGGCCAATGTTGGACTTCGTTTCAATTCGTTGCTAGACGAAGAAAGAGATGAGGAAGAACTGTTCTCAATGCTTAACTACCAAGATTTCACCCAACAGAATACTAAATCCACATATTCCCCAAAGCGGCAGCAAGAAGTCGTTAGTGTTAAGAGAAGAAGGGTCGTGCAGCAAAAACCTCGTCCTAGACCCGAAGAACTCAGATGTGCAGACATTTTGCCGATAGAATATGCAAACATGTTCAGTTTTCCCATATTCAATAAGATGCAATCTGAAGCTTTTGCAGATTTGTATAATTCGAAGCAGAACCTTGTCATAAGCGCTCCTACAGGGTCTGGGAAAACAACCTTGTTTGAGTTGGCTATTATAGCCCTGTTGAGAGAAGTGACGTGCCCCAGTGCTTTGAGGGTTGTGTATACAGCGCCAACTAAGTCTTTGTGCTACGAAAAGTTCAACCAGTGGAACAAAATGTTCCAAAGTCTGAATGTAAAGCTTATTACTGGTGATACGGAAAACCCTGTTCAAGAGCTGAAATGTGCGCAAATTGGAATAACAACACCTGAGAAGTTTGATTCTATTAGTCGGAATCTAAAGGCGCAAAACGAATACCTCCATTCTGTTTCTCTTTTATTGGTAGATGAGGTGCATACAATCAAAGATAATCGTGGAGCGGCACTCGAGGTTGCAATCGTGAGACTAAACACTCTGTCTCCAAATTTGAGGATTATCGCGGTTAGTGGCACCATTCTTAACCCTGAAGACTTGGCTCTTTGGCTGAAAGCCAAACGTTTCGAAGGCCTGCCAGCAAAAGCATTGAAATTCAATGAAAGTCACAGGCCTATAAAGCTACAAACTTTTGTTCACGCGTATTCATGCAAGTCCAAAAACAGCTTTCAATTGGACAACTTATTGAATCAACGCCTCACTAACATTTTGAGCAGGTATAGCAAAAGCAAACCCACGTTGGTCTTTTGCTGCACTAGAAAATCTGTTGTAGCATGTGCCAAGCATTTGAGTAAGAGATGCCCTATTAAAAACAGTAATTTGCGTCGAGACTTCTGGTCAGATATTTCGGACAAAAGCTTACATGAAACTGCAAGAAACGGTGTAGGATTTCACCACGCGGGCCTTTCACCAAAAGATAGATTAACTGTCGAGCAAAACTTCCTTAATGGAAATCTTAACGTTTTGTGCTGCACTTCCACGCTCGCCGTTGGAATTAATTTACCCGCTTACTTGGTAGTTGTTAAGGGAACTTCGATAGGCGGTGATATGGAAGAGAGAGACTACTCAGTTATGGAAGTGTTGCAAATGATAGGAAGGGCAGGCCGCCCGCAATTTGAGAAAGAGGGTTGTGCGGTGATTATGACGCAAAGTGGGCTCAAAGAGAGATATTCTAATTTAGAGTATGGTCTTGAATGCGTAGAAAGTGTCCTACACATGAAACTTGCAGAGCTTTTATGCGCAGAAGTCAATTCAGGGATCGTATATTCAGCGGAGAGTGCCTTACTCTGGCTCAAGAATACGTTTTTCTATTCTCGCTTCCAGAAGAACACAGTTTACTACAAGAATCTTCAACTCGAAAGTCTTTTGACAAGTGATAACATAGATGGAAAGCTCTTTGAAATTTGCTCAGATATGCTGGCGAAATTATCATTGTCTGGCATTATAACAAAAGAAAATGATAAGTTTCACGGTACGCCATTCTCAGTTTCTATGTCTCAACTCTCGCTTTCCTTGAAGACCGTGGAAAGAATGATAAGTTTACCCCTAGGTTTGAGCTTGAGCGAGATCATTAGATTCCTACCACAATTGGATGAATTTTCCACAATCAAAATGAGGTTCAATGAAAGAAAGCTTTTCCAGGAAATCAACAACATGTCTTCCATTCGAATTCCGCTTTTCTTTGGTGAAGATTGTGGAGTCCATCTAACCGCGGAAAGCAAAGTTTTACTTTTACTTCAGTTTCGTCTGGGTGGTTCCAGTTTTCCTCAAACTATTCAAGCAGCTAGCTTGATACCTTCGTTTTATGCCGACGTGGCGCGAGTTTTCGATATTACAGGAAGAATTTTGAGAGGATTGAGACAGTGTTTTGTTGCTAAACGAGACTTAGTCTCTTTAAAGGAATTGTTGATCTTGATCACCTCGGTGACCTCTAGAGTTTGGGCTGATACCTCGGATAGCCTCACCTTCCTCAAAAATGTACACGCCGAGGAATCACAGAAGCTAGAACAAGCAGGAATACCATCGATAGTAGCTTTACAAAAGGCGGAGCCATTACGTATTCAAACAGCTCTAAAGCTTAGTGACTCCAGTTTTTGCGTGCTCATGTCACAAATCAAAAGCATACCTTGCATATCGATATGTTTATCATCCAAGCAAGTCTTGACGAGACAACATGGTACTGCTCTTGAGATAACGGTAGAAGTCAGGATAGGGTATAAGGGCCGCAGGAAAAAAGGCAGAGTTTCTTTCGATGTCGTTGCATTTCGAAGCTCTAATCAACTAGTCGATTACAGAAAAATACATCTTGGCGATCAAAGAAGCACAGAATCTTTCAAAATATTCACGGCTGTTGATGAAGGAAGAAGTCTCCAAGTTGAAATTTCCTGCGAAGACATTCCTGGTCTTAAGGAGACCACATCATGTCCTTTAAGGCTCTCAGGTGGAAACCCTGGCTTTCAGTCCACAAACAACACACAGGTAAAAGATTCCATTCTGCCTTTTGGCCTAGGTGGTTCAAATTGCTCAAAACTTAAAGTGAGATGTTACGATACAACCATAGGGACAGGCGACTCGTCAGAGGACGATGATATCTTGGAACTTTTTGCACGTCAAGCTCCCAAGGATACTGTAAAAGCTGTGCCGGAACGAAGTCTTCGTAGACTGAGTTCAACTTCTTCACCGACTCATGACAACGGTGTCAAAAAAAAGGTTGTCCTGACAATAAGAAAGAGCGACTCTCGCTATGGGGCCATGCTTGTTCCCCGGACAAATCATTCGTCTGAAAGACCGTGTAGCTCTATAGCGATGGCCAACACAGATTTGAACTTGGAGGAATTATTGTGTTCCTCTTCTGAAGACACACAAGGATCGCAAGAACACGAAGGAAATGATTCAACGGGCAATATGACGTCAGTTATCGAACAGATGCCTAAGGGAAATGAGAAATTGCCTTACGAAACATGAACCGCCAACATATCAGTCTCTGCTTCAAGCAGTAGCCCAACCAGATTCACAGAGTTCTCTTCATTGGACCGTTGCTTCTTTATATGTCTCTACCGATTGTTCACTGTCACTGATGATTGGCGATGTGCCCCACAACATCTGTGTTTCATGTATATCGTCAACATGTAGATGGAAACGTGATATCGGAATTTTTTGAAGACTCATGTCCCCCAAGATTCAAAATCAAATTTTAGAGCTGAGTTCAAGATAACGTAACATATTTAACTGCCGACCAAGATATCAACATGTCTGCGATCTCCGATAGTGATAACGAAGCAGAAGTTGTTTCACGGAACTTATGCGGTGTTGTCGATATTGGATCTAATGGTATTCGTTTTAGCATTTCGTCTAAGGCCTCGCATCATGCGAGAATTATGCCTTGCGTGTTTAAGGACCGCGTTGGCATTTCCTTATTTGAGGTTCAGTATGCTGCGAATTCGTTGGACAAAGCTCCAATCCCAGAAGATACTATCAAAGAGGTGAGCGCTGCTATGAAAAGGTTCAAACTCATATGTGACGATTTTGGCGTTCCCGAAACCGGTGTCCGTGTTGTAGCTACAGAAGCAACTCGTGAAGCCATCAACTCGGAAGAGTTCATCAACGCTGTATTTGAATCCACAGAGTGGCATGTAGAACTTCTGCCTAAAGAAGAAGAAGGGAAAATTGGCGCTTATGGGGTTATATCTTCCTTTAACTCAGTATCGGGACTTTACATGGATTTAGGAGGAGGAAGTACTCAAATTTCGTGGATAAGATGTGTCGATGGAGAAATCAAAATGTCTAGCAGCCCTATTTCGCTACCATATGGCGCTGGAGCTCTGTCAAGAAGGATGAAATTGGAAGATAAGCGCAAATTGTTCCTCGAAATAAAGGATGCCTACAAAGAGGCGGTTTCTAAGATAGGCATACCTCAGGAGATGGTCGATGAGGCTAAGGAGAAAGGCGGGTTTGACCTTTTTACCTGTGGGGGCGGTTTGAGGGGGATGGGCCATTTACTCTTGGCAAAGATCAAAGAGTATCCAATTCAAACTATTATAAACGGTTTCTCATGCTCTTTTGAAGAGTTTTCTAGCATGGCGGACTACTTATTTCTCAAAGGATGTGTTCCTAAGTCTAAAAAAATTTTTAAGGTTTCTGAAAGGAGAGCTTTGCAACTCCCTGCTGTTGGTTTGCTGATGAGTGCAGCATTTGAATCCTTACCTTCAGTTAAAACGGTTCATTTCAGTGAAGGTGGTGTGAGAGAAGGAACGCTGTACTCAATTTTACCAAGAGAGATAAGAGCTCAAGACCCTTTGCATGTTGCAACGAGGCCTTATGCGCCACTTCTAGCACCAAAATACTTGGAATTACTGAGGGCTGCCATACCAGAGAAGGACGTTCCCAAAATCATATACGCGAGGATCGCCCCAGCGTTGTGCAACCTAGCCTTTGTACACGCCTCGTATCCTAAAGAACTACAACCAACTGCTGCCTTACATGTCGCGACTACCGGAATTATTGCTGGCTGTCACGGACTTTCACATAGAGCAAGAGCCCTAATAGGGATAGCTTTGTGTAACCGGTGGGGGGGCGATATTCCTGAGCAAGAGATGGAGCATAAAAAGTTGCTGGAAGACGTAGTGCTTCGAGACGGTAACAAAGTGGAGCGCGAGCGAATTGTATGGTGGACCCAGTACATCGGTACTATCATGTATGTGATCTGTGGTGTTCATCCTGGTGGCAACATTAGGGATGGGCTGTTTAATTTCAATATTGAGCAGAGAGATAACACAGACAAGGAAGTACAAAGCTTAAGTCTCGATGAAAAGGTCAGCGCTAGCAATCCTAAACGCAGGGAGTTTGAGGTCATTGTCCGCATTAGCAAAGATGATCTAAAGACGAGTGCTTCCGTAAGAGCTAGAATTATTACTCTACAAAAGAAGATCCGCAAATTGTCGCGGGGCAGCTCCGAAAAGGTCAAAATTGGCGTACAGTTTTACGAAGACACATAAAAATCTGGTCGAATAGTGGTCTAGTAATAATGGGAACAACAGTGCTGTTATTGTTCCAAACGTTGTCACTTTATTTGAGAGTGAAAGCTATTTAGGCGGTATTTGCATTTGCAGCATCAAGTACGTACACTGTGATAGAGCTTGAGCATATTGTAAGTAATATTTGCCACTTAATCATTGATTTTATATCTAGTTGGGCAAGGTAACAAACAACACCTACTTAGAAAGCGCTATCACAATGGCATCGCTTGTTGATCTTGTAAGAAGCTTGAATGCTGCTTTCACTAGTGGGGATAATGACAGTTGTCAAAAACTCCTATCTCCCATCAAGATTGAATTGATCAAGAATAACCTACTGGTTCCAGATTTGGCAAGAGCTAAGAACAATGAAGGTTATTTGAATGATTTAGAGAGCTCACGAAAGATATTGGAGATTGGTGCGCTGTGCAGTGTGAGAAATCGGGATTTCGAGTCATTTCAAAGCTTTTTCTCACAGCTTAGGGTATTCTATTTCAGCAATGTGTCTAAATTGGAGGAGTCCGAAAATAGATCGGAATTGATCAGCCTTTACCTGCTTATTCTCCTATCGCAAGGCGATGTAACCAGATTCCACTCAGAATTGGAGTTTTTGGGCAAAAGATTGGGAAATTTGGAAGAAGATGCGTTTTTGTCATACCCTATAAAAGTGGAGAAATGGCTCATGGAAGGTTCATATCAAAGGGCTTGGGATTTACTGAAGAACGAATCCAAAGTGGAGGAGTTCAACATCTTCACTCAGACACTAATGGATGCTATTAGGGAAGAAATTGGTCGCAATACCGAACTTGCGTACCAGAGGTTGCCGCTATTCAATGTAAAGGCGCTCTTGTTTTTTACGAGTGAAAAGGATACAGAACAATTTGCATTAGCCAGGGGCTGGAAAGTGGTGTCCGGCAGCGTGGTGTTTGACGAAGAAGAGTCGTCAGAAGTTCAGCAGCCCACAAGTATTGTCGAAAAGACACTGGATTATGCTATTCACTTGGAAAGCATTGTGTAACGAAATGTAATAGCCGCACTTTTAAGAAGCATCAACTATACTAGGCATTTCGAAGAGACTTGGAGAGGTTTTCGCGCAAGGGTTACGCGGTCGTCGAGCAATAACGGCAATTACAGTAGGTGGTTGGTTTGCACAAGGATGCTAGAATAAAGTCATCAATCAATCTATCCGCTTGTATACTTTTAAGACTTACTCTGATACATAAAAAACAAATTTATATAATCAAAAGGCCAGGTGCGGATTTGGATATTGGTTAATGAGTAGAAGACGGAAAAGACATGGAAGTTCATTATTCGTTAGAAAAAGGGAAACCTAATTCAATAGAGCGTGGATATGTTTTTCAACAAAAAAAGAGGAGCCCACACGAGTCTAGTTAACAACACCGACAGACTTACCAGCAGCTAGTCTCTTTTGAGTCAAGGCAGCGATGATAGCGGCACCAGCACCGGAACCATCTTCGGCAGCGACAATGATGATTGGGTAATCTTCGATGTTCTTCTTTGCTTCCCAACCGAAGATATCTCTCAAACCACCAGCAGCTCTTTCTTTGAAACCTGGGTACTTGTTGAAGACGGAACCGTCGGCAGCAATGTGGGCAGTCTTGTAACCTCTCTTTTTGCACACGGCAGCGATACCGCAAACAGACATTCTGGAGGCTCTGATACCGATAAGTTCACACAGACGTCTGATCAACTTACGCTCGGAGCCGGTGGTTTCAACACCTAGCTCGTTCTTGAAAATGTCGTAGGTGTCTTCCAAGTTCTCGAAGGGGTCTTCCTCGATTCTGGCAGGGTAGGAAGTGTCCATGACGTAAGGCTTTTCGAGCTTGGTCATGTCTTGGTCCTTGAAGATGACGCCTTGTTGGCTCAAGTCAACTAGTGCCAAACGCAATAGTTCACCCAAGTAGTAACCAGAGGTCATTTTTTCAAAACTTTGTTGACCTGGTCTTGGGGACTGCTTGTCAACGAGAATGTCGTATTTGGTTCTTGGGAGAGTGATTAGCTCGTTGTCGAAAGAGCCGTATTCACAGTTAATGGCCATTGGGGTGTCTGGGGTGATGTCCGCAGGCAATCTACCTTGTAGCTTTTCAACACCGCTGCAAACGTCGTAGTAGGCACCGTTGACACCGGTACCGAAGATACAGCCCATTCTGGTTTCTGGATCGGTGTACATGGAGGCGACTAGAGTACCGGTGGTGTCGTTGATAAGCGCGACGACATCGATAGGGATGTTGCGCTTCTGAAGCTGGGCTTGCAACATGGGGACCACGTCCTTACCTTCGACACCGTCGATGTCGAAACCCTTGGTCCATCTCTGCAAGAAACCTTCGTTGATACGGTCCTGGGAGGCTGGGTACGAGAAGGTGAAGCCTAGAGGCAAGGCCTGGGTGACACCTTGAGGAAACTCCTCGTCGACAAAAGTCTTCAAGCTGTCGGCGATGAACGAGAACAGCGCATCGGCGGAGCCGGTGCGCATGTGGTCGGGCAGCTTGTACTTGGACTGGGTGGTGTCGAAGTCGCGGTTTCCGCCGAGCTTGACGAGCACGACACGCAGATTGGTTCCACCAAGGTCAATGGCGAGGTAGTCGCCCTTTTCGGAGCCCGTGGGGTACTCCAGGACCCAGCCGGGGATCATGGGAATGTTACCACCCTTCTTGGAGAGACCCTTGTTGAGCTCGCCCACAAAGTGCTCCGTGACCTCCTGAAGCTTGGAGGCGGGCACCGTGAACATCTCCTCGAACTTCTGGATCTGGTCGAGCACGGACGCGGGCACGTCGGCCATGGAGCCCTTTCTTAAAGGTGGTTTCTTAGGACCTAGATACACCATCGCTGCACGTGATGTGGATATGTGGGAGAGAAATGAGTTTTTGAAGATCTGTGCTAGTAGCGGTAAGATCTGCTGGAGCGAGAAGGAAGCTAGAATAAAACACACGTCAGAATAACACACACACACCAGAATTTCTCCCCTCGTAGAACCGCTTCCCCGCCCTTCCTTTTATAGGTCGTCTGTGCCCATACGCCGTTCCGTAAGTTTTCTGAATCGCTCCACTGTTGACGAAAAAAATTTCAGTAGCTGGCTTCCGGATTTTTTTGCGCGTTGTGTGAGGCGAGGGAGACGAAGAGAGAGACGGGGAGAGTGGAGTGAGAGATGGGAGAGAGATGGGAGAGAATGGGACTGAAGGTTGCGGTGCGGGAGGGGAGGCATGACGTACGAGGGAGGATAGGAGGAGAAGGGGTGAGAGGCGGAAGAGCATTGTGCACGAAGGGGGGGGGGGGAGGCAGATTACGTCATCCGCAGTGGGGTCGGTTGTGGACGAGGGGGAAGGCAAGAGAGAGAGAGAGAGAGAGACAGTAGTGCTATTGAACAACGCGAGCCTCAGCGAGCATTGTGATGGGTGATTGTAGTTCCATCGAACCAATCGGGCCTCAGCAGGTGCTGTGCACAGTGACAGAAGTTGTGCGAGCTTCAGCGAGTGTCGTGGGAAGTGAGTGTCGTGGGAAGTGAGCGTCGTGAGAAGTGAGGGTAGTCTTTACTATTCAAGTGTTATGTCAGGGCAGTACTGTATATGAGATGATACTGGATCCTGAAAGACAGGGTTTTAGAGCCATATTGTAGAGCGGCGTTGTAGAGGGGGGGAAGCTGAGTAGCACGATAGTCGGGGAGGCCCAAATGTGCACTCGGGCTGTATACTACACTGTGCTATTACACTTGCTATTGAACAGTTGCCATAAGAGAAGAGCTATACTACGGTCGTTTTACTAAAATTGTGAGCGTGACAACTGTTCAGCGGATCAGCTTTTCGCTCGCAGTAGCTTTTCGCTCGCAGTAGCTTTTCGTTCGCAGATCAACTTTCCGGTCTCACTCTCCGCAGAAGTGCGACTTTCCCTCATTGTGCTTTCCCTCAATATCAATCTCCTCTCTTACTGCACTTCCCCACTATCACTAGTATTATCCTACCGCTCTTCGCAAAAGTACTAGCATTCTCCCATCACTTCCCCACTATCACTAGTATTCTCCTATCACTCTTCCCACTATCACTAGTATTCCCCCATCACTCTTCCCTTTCGCATTGTGCTTCTTGCTCTCTCACACCACGGAACATCTTCCCTTGTTTCCGTCGTGTGATGCATCACTCCACACTGCCCCGGAAAAATAGCGCACCCCGGATGCGCGACTTGGAAAGTGGGGTTTTTCCGGGGTGCCGCGCATTGCGTACGAGTCGCATCTTGAAAGCCGCGCTCCGTCCTTTTGTGCCGTGGTCTTGTTCAGCATTGCTATAGTGTCACCAGAGGTGCTTCAACCGTACCACCTGTCACAGCTGTGCTTGTCACGGATGGGGATGCAAACAGTAGGGTCTCTTACCGTGAATGAACGTGAAGGCGCCCTGTAGAGGCGGCGGTTAGTATCAAATGTGCACTGCATACGAAGAAAGATCAGAAGGGGCCACCCATATTCGGCTGGGGCATCGATAAGAGAAGCATATCGAGAATTTGACGTGTGTCATGGCTCTTTTCCAACATTGTTAGGATAGATCGGGTATTGCGTACACAGTGCTCGATTGTGTATAGGTGCTACAAGCGTGCTACAAGCGTGCTAGACTGCAGCCGCAAATATCGTCCTTTGGTCCTACCATGTGCATTGCATCGATGCAGCATGCTTCACACTTGAGCCTTTTCTCAGTGCTCTCAGCTCTCTGTTCCGTGTGGTTTGCCACGCCTACTCACGTATCAAAGTTAGCTGGGACTTTCAATCCCCCCACAATCATGGATTTTCGATCTTCGTTGACTTCAAAAGACTTGCTTTTTCGGCCAGGAAAGCCCGCTGTTTGTTTTTTATGTTGGCTGTCGACCCCTGGTACGCGGCAGACTACTCGCCAGGGTCCTTTTTTCATCTCTATAGAGTGGTAGAACCAGACTTTTTGGGGAAGAAAACCAGTCACCTCCTCCAATCTGCCATTGGGACTCTCGTCAAACAAGAGCAGAGCGAAAGATGCGCTCGGCAAAAACGCCAAAGCCACCGCTCTCCAGATCACAATCTTCCGGCCACTCGGCTCGAGCTATCCTGCAACGCACCCAGCTATATCGATTTCTTGATTTAGACGCCGGAAAAAAGTGAAAGCGTTTTTATCAAAGTCCACGAAAAGACTGTCCAAGGTTCGACACACGTTCGACACACCAAGGTTCGACACACCAACGTACCAATCAAAGGCATGCAAGTCTATACTATGATTGTTCACTGCTTAATCAGCAGGACTCCCAACCTTTGAGAATCGAGATCTGTCCTCAATTTCAAGCTTATCGACTTTCTTCATTGAATACGACTATATTTACATCGAGCAGGGACTTTTGGACCTTTCAAAAATAACGGCGCTGCAGTAAATATCCATCCATTAAAGAAACAAATGCAACAAACAAAATGGAACTAAAAGGTGTAGAGGAGCATTTGATTGGTGAATCACACGCAAGTGATGAAGACTTGAGGCTCCCCTGCGATATGTTCCGCAGTAGGTTACAATACGAAATGGTCCGTCACAGGGTTGACCTCATTCCGCTAGGCTTAGAGTTAGCAGTGATTGCCTTTTTGATTTATATGGCATTTCAAGCTGATAATGAAGACGACAGGATTGTGATTCCAATTCTTGCCATACTTTTCGGATCGGCGGTTATGCTGTTAACAGGTGCGATCACATATCATGTCGTGCATGGGCGGGTGGCGACCTTGGCTAACAAATTGACGTTTATGAAGGAGATAGCCATGGTAAAACCAGGAATCGAAATGAGGGAATGGGATGTGATTGCAGCCAGAATGAACCGTGTTTTGTATAACAGCAGCCCGTTGGTAACACCTTATTTCTTTTACGATGGTGAGTCCTGCTATTCCTATTTTGCTAGTACCTATCTAAAGCCGTACTTGAAAAGAAAAGACAGCAATGACACCAACAACACCAGTCGAACCAATGGTACCAATGCCACAAATGGTACCAATGCCACAAATGACACAACTGACACAAATGGAACCAATGACGCAAATAGCACCAATGCTACATACAAACCCCCAATTGATGTCTTACAGCCTTTCATTGACCAAGCTATAGAGGCATACGAAGGAAGAGCGAACGAGGACTGGCAACGAGTAATGAATGGTAGCTCGTCTCTGGAAAACTAGACTACGTATAACATATATACACAGTATATGCTGGTCGGATCTTTCGAGAGCATTTAATACCCTGAAAACATAATGGGCGCTGCAAATCTACTGGATGCATCAATAGTAAAAAGTGCAACTTTCTGAGAATATTTGTCGGAGTTTAGGCGGAGCTGCTAAAACGTCCCGTAATGTCCAAATACCGACCTACCTTATCCCCTATGTTCCATATTAGTTGTTATCATAGCGCGGCCAACGCGTAAAGAAGATTTAAGCAAAACAAACTACCGGCTGGTATTCCACGAACAGGAGCACAAGAAGAGAACTTATGGAACGGAAATATAGTCATGATTGTTCGTCACTCAATTTCGCACTCATCGACATTCTTCATTGAGTACGACGTGATTTCTTTCGAGTCTAGTACTTTCGGACTCTGAAAAAAAAGCGAGCTACGGTACACATTTAAGTAACAAACGCAACCAACACAATGCAAGCAAAAGGTGTAGAGGAGCATTTGATCGGTGAATCGCACGCAAGTGATGAAGACTTGAGGCTTCCCCGCGATATATTTCGCAGTAGGTTACAATATGAAATGGTTCGGCACTGGGTTGTTCTCATTTCGCTAGGCTTAGAGTTAGCAGTCATTGTCTTTTTCATTCACTTGGGATTACAAGCTGATAGACGAGGTGACAAGATTGGATTGTCCTTTTTCGCTGTATTTCTCGGGTCGATAGTTATGGTGTCAACAGGTTTCATCACATATTATGTTGTGCGCGGGAAGGGTACGAGTTTGACCAACAAATTGGCGTTCATGAAAGAGATAGCGATGGTAAAACCAGGGACTGAAATGAGGGAGTGGGATATTATTGCAGCTAAAATGAACCCCGTCTTTTATTGTAGCAGCTCATTGGTGACACCTTATTTCTTTTACGATGGTGAGTCCTGCTATTCCTATTTTGCCAGCGACTATCTACAGCCATTCTTGGATAAAAAAAGCTTTCAAGGCACCAATAACACCGCCAATGACACCACCAATAACACCGCCAATCTGACACTTGTTCCCTCAGTTGATGTCACACAGCCTTTCATTGAACTTGCGGTAAAGGCATACGAGGAAAAAGCGAAGGAGGACTGGCAACGAATAGTTAACGGCTGTTCGTCTCTGGAAAACTAAATTAGGTATAAAAATACACATACACAGCATATGCTGGTATGATATTTGCCCAACTTGAACTGTTCACAGTGCCACACAACGTTTGGTCGGAATTCGAAATTTGACGGAAATTGCCCCGGTATGTACATAATGCGATATTGGCCAAGACGCAGGGCCCCGAGATGTGTTGCAAACTGTTGTGCTATACTTTTTTTACGGAAGGAATAACAGAGCGAGTTGGAAAAGATGGGAGTAAAGATAGCTGCACAAGCGCTTGAATAGCTGGGGAAACTCTATGGGCTCTGCAAATTATCATGTATCTCACCCAGCTGTCTGCTGGATTCATTCATAGCCCGAAGTGTAACGTCGTTTGAGCACTAGTCAAAGATCACACGAAGCTGTTATATTCTGACGTAATGTCCAAAATCTGACCTTCTACATACCTTACGGTCAGTGTGAATTGTTATCATATTGCGGCCATCGCGTAAAGAAAACTTCAACACAGCAAAGTAACGGCTGGTAATCGACGAAAATGAGCGGAAGAAGAAAAATCGAAGGAACTGAATGATGCAATGAAGTCTTTTCATTTGGTTAGTGACCTCAGACGTTAGTCCTTGAAAATTTCCAAGTGTTTCGATTAAAACTATAGCGAAATCAACCGATTTCCTTGACCTATCCTGCGACCAGTCAGCTGTGTTAATATTCTGATTTAGACACCGCAAGATAGAATTAGTCTTCATAATAGTTCGTAAGCTCTAATCGAAGCTCTGTAAATATTCGACACGCGCACGCCAAATCATACGTTGTTCCCTATTCATCCCAGCGCTTCAGCAAGCAAAAACTGATCTATGTATCATGACTGTTTATAAGGAGCATACGTCTAAAACCTAAATTAAGCCCTGTCTTCAATTTCACACTCACCGACACTCTTCATTGAATACGACGTAATTTCGTTCGAGTTTGATACTACCGGACTTTTCAAAAAATACTGACAGCTGCAGTAGATGTTTAAGTAACAAACGCAACAAACACAATGAAAGTAAAAGGTTTGATCGGGGAATCGCATGCTAACGATGAAGACTTGAGGCTTCCCCGCGATATGTTCCGCAGTAGGTTACAATACGAAATGGTCCGGCACAGGGTTGTTCTCATTTCGCTAGGCTTCGAGTTAGCAGTGTTTGCCTTTTTGTTCCATTTGGGATTACAAGCTGAAAACCTGGGTATCGAAATTGTTATCATTGTTCCGGTCTTGATGCTCGCACCACTGGTTGTGGCCGTCACAGGTGTTATGACATATCGAGTCGTGCGCAGGAAAGTTGCGGCCTTGGCTAACAAATTGAGGTTTATGAAAGAAATTATGACGGTAAAACCAGGAATCGAAATGAGGGAGTGGGATGTTATTGCAGCCAGAATGAACCCAGTTTTTTATCGTAGTAGCTCATTGGTGACACCTTATTTCTTTTACGATGGTGAGTCCTGCTATTCGTATTTCAGGAGTACTTACCTGCAGCCTTACTTGAACAGAAAAGATGAAAACTGTACAAATGTTGCTGTCGATGACTTCCAGCGTATACTTGACCAAGCTATAAAAACTTACGAAGAAAAAGCGGACGAGGACTGGCAACGAATAATGAACGGTACCTCGTCTTTGAGAAGCTAGTAGACGTGTGGTAACTGCAAACCTGTTTTGCAAGTGTTGAAGGGTAACTTGCCCCCAGTCGTTATTATCACACGACCATTCAACTTTTGGTGGGTAAAGCGGAACGGGAGTGTGCCCATTTATGTCTATCGTGGCAATATAGACCAGGGCCTCCAGATAGATATGGCTGAGGGCACTATATGGGTGCTGCAAATTTTCATCTATCTCACTAAGTTGTCTCCTGGATACATTTCCAAGTCCAAAGTGCAACATAGCTCGAGCAATTTCTAAGGGTTACGTGAAAATACCCTAAACCTCGCAAATGATCTAGTCCCTCTGCTGGATGCCTTTAGGTTTGTCCGAACTGTTATATATTGCAGCCTACGCGTGAATGATACTAGAACACATCAAACTACCGGCTGGTAATCCACGAACAGGAGCGAAGAAAGAGAATGGATGGAAATGAATAAGCAAGCAAATCTTTTCATTATAAAAAAATAGGTTTATGACGTCAGACCTAGTCCTTAATAGCTTTCACGAGCTCAGTTGGTCCTTAAAGACTACCCGAAAGTCAAGTTATTTTTTGGCTTATGCTTTTGTATACATTCAGGTGTTGATACCTGCCAGTCTTTGAAGGTTTTGTACTTACTGGACTCCGTCAGAATGACAAGGATTATTGTCCTTCTGAAACTACATTAGAGATGGAGTTTCAGTTGGGTGAGGCGGGTGTAGTAGCGTCGATGGATATTTTATACACCCAGTTTATTAAAATTATCGACTTCGTCTGTGAAGCGTTGATACAAGGTACCAAAGCTGTATTATAAATGCATACCGTCAAACTGACGCGGAAAGTTGATGGAGGTAACTTTTGTAGGTTCTCTCATTAGAGCAATTCCTACGTGAGAAGCTTGCGTTGTTTTTTCGAATAACTAACTCATTTCGCCTCCTCTCCCCGTTCGTCTCTCTGAAGTCTTTCCCTTCACTAAGCTGATTTGATTTGCTCTCTGGTTTCTACACGAACAGGCGAATAACATCCCCCTTAATATGAAGAGGATTGGATTGTCTGTGTAATATAAAAACATAGACTACCTTTACTAACTGAACTATTCAGCTTCAGGATAAGAGCATATCCTCTATCAGTCACATCTGATTCTTCGACTTTAGCTTACAGCGAACGTTTTGCTTCAAAGTCGAGCGATCCGACATGCAGCTTTCTCAGATTTTCATAACAAGCTTCCGGATCATGCACTTTGTAGCTCTGTTCAGCTTCATTTCTCAAAATCGAATGGATTTCTGACCTCTGGGCTAAAGAAAGCTCTCAAATGGCCTGCTAGCTTCAGAGGCTGCTCTTCTGGAATATAATGGCCGCACTCATTAATTGTAACACCTTCGACTTTTGGTGCAAACACCTCTAATGGCTTGGCCATGTTGGGAATCGATCCTTGATCTGCGGAAACCGCGAGTACGTCCATGTTGAGCGGGTCATTCTTGACTAGAGCTCTGTTTTGTTCGGCAGACTTGGCACAGGCGCGGTAGTAAGCTAGGCCAGCACGTAGAGACCCTGGCTGCGTAAATATACGCTCATACTCATCTAAATCTGCCTCGGTGAATATGGTTGGGTTAGCTGTCTTGCGGCGTAGAAACCACTCTAGATAAGTGCGCTCCTTGTCACGAATCAGTAATTCTGGCAGATCTGGCACCGCATGAAAAGGAAAATGCCATGTGCGCCATGCGCGGTCAGGGTCCGAGGGAAGCATGTCGGGTAGTGTCACACCTGGTATTCCAGCATCAAGCATTGCCAAGCGCTCAACTTCATTACCAAACATAGCCGCATATGGAAAAGCTACCCAAGCGCCAATGTCATGCGCCGCCAGGGAGTATCGCGATAATCCTAGGCCTTTGACCACGCCATGGACTCTGTTAGCAATAGTCTGGGTGTCGTAGCCATCGCCTGGTTTATCCGAATCACCCTGTCCAGGCAAATCAATTGCAAAGACCTGGTAAGACTGGCTAAGGTATGGAATAACTTTGCGCCATGCGTACCAACTCTGTGGGAAGCCAGCAAGTAATACGACTGCTGGCTTACCTTTCTGTCCAGCTGTAACGTAGTGCATACGGATGCCTTCGACAGCCTTGAACATATGACGTAGTTCACTTCCTACCATCTTCGTTTCTTTCCGTTTATCGTCTGTTGGTTCTCGAACAACAAGAATACAATATTGCTTGAAGAAGAGGTATTCATTGTTGATTGCTCACTCTCATCTTATTCTTATATACTGAAGTCGGAAATGCTCGGAGATGTGATTTGGGAAGCTAAATTACTAATTATTAAAAATCACGAAGTGTGAGTCAAGTAGAAAATATCTACGGCACAGTGCAGCAATAACTGAGGCCGTCTTTGATTGCATTCATGGATCGTCGCTACAGCTCATACTGGGCGCCATCTTGTTTGTATGACCACTACTCGTATCTTTTAATTTCGTAAGATTGGCGGTTTGTAAATGGCAGTGATTTCTTGGCATTTTAGAGTATCGTGCTCACTACATAAAAGATTACCCAGAGAAGATTATTCACCACCAAGGAACAGACCTGTTATGTGCATCGAAGGCAATGCTATCACCCTTGAGAGTGTGAACCAGCCAACAGAAAATAACGTCATAATTTAGGAGCAGGACAGGGTCATATTTGGAAAACATGGTGTTGTCCACACAAGCTTGACATATGAGTCGCAGTCTTGTAGTAACAAGTTTACGCAAATTGCTGTAATATATTTACTCGCTTGAACGAATGTTCGTGACTTAACTACTGAATGTCTAGTCGCTGCGTCTAAATTGTGTACAGCACTTATAATGTTCAAGAACATACTGAACGAGTGCATGACTTCATAATCTTGGATTCTTTCTTCAATACAAGGACTGGTGAAAGTTGCTAATAAATGTCAGTTCAGCGAGGTCAAAGGAGGCACCATGAACCTATTTTCTGTTATAGGGTATCAATTTATCAAAATTCTATATATTTTATTTTTGGAATTTTACATGATAGCCACACTTGGAGCATCACCAGTTGAGCAATAGTTCGACCAGTCTCTCACAAGTGCATCGACGATCATTTCATTAAACTTTTCAACATCGATCGAGGTGATCATGGTGGCTTTACTGGTTCTCACACCTTTCGAAGCGCGCAGATCTTTTGGGTACATTCTCAAGCTGCCATAGAAAGGAGAAGAGAATGAAGTGTCAACAGAAACGTAAGCCTCGTAGGACCCGGTGACAATTTCAGGGTCAGCAGCGATTGCAGAAGCAACTTCGTCCCAGAATGGAAGATTGAAAGAAGGCAAAGTACCGTTACCTACAGTCTCCTCAACGTAAGACAACGATGGTGTATTCTTGATTGCAGCCAAGCCACCAGATACCGCGATCAATTCGTTGTATAGGTTCTGAGTTGGGAAAACTTCGGAACTGATATTGCCAACAATAACCAGCTCTCTCCAAGGAGCAGACAATGCCGCTTGAGCTGCCTCAGGGTCGATCATCAAGTTAAAGTCGGAGTACAAGTCGTTGACAAAATCGCCGCCAGTAACCTGAGCTATCTGACCGTCGACGTAACCTCCCATGATAACCAGTTTGACCTTCTCAGCCATTGAGGGCCATTGTGCTAGGGCAAGTGCGAGGTTGGTCATGGTACCTGCTGCTACAATCGTTACGTTGTCATCAGAATTCTTGATGGTATCCATAATCCATTGTGGAGCACCTACAGTCTGGTTATATTCGTAAGTAGCATTGGCAGGAACAGGGCTTTCGTAGGTTTTGCCCCAAGCACCTTGCCAAACGATATCACCATAAAGGTCTTGCCATAGGTGATAGGTATTGTAATCCAATACCAAAGGCTGTTCAGCACCTTTGTATACAGGCACACAAGACGTCAAGTTGCCTGTTGCTAATGCCATAGCTGCTTCGTAAGTAGCTGCATCCGTATCGTAGTCACCCAAATTGGTAGTGATACCTAAAACCTGCTTTCCAGCTGCCAAAGGTAGCAAGACTTGCAACGCAGTAGGAGTGTCATTGTCGACAATAAAAACTTCAGCAGAAGCCTTGGCCGCTAAGCTTAAAGCAGCAGTAGCGAGAGACAAACTATACTTCATATTCCTACTTTGCAATATACTCCCAATTTGCCTCGACCGGTATGATACTCTACGAATCCTTGTTTAAATACCTTGCATCAATAAAAGTTATTGATAAGGTCAGGTAGTTTTTGAACCAAAGCTTCGGGCTCGGCAAGTTTCCACCCTATGACGACGCCATTTCGTTCTAGCTTGTTATCTTCGAGCTTCGAATATAATTCGACTCAATACTCCGTCTCGTCTAGGTAAAGAAAAAATAGCTCTAATTTCAAGTAAAGAATAACAGAATGATATACGAAGATAAGAAGCCGCATCCCAGCGCGAAGACCCTTGCAGCCAATGGCTACTCTCCAAACAAAAGACTTAGCTTCAAGGCGATGAGCACTGCATAGAACTGGATGCATGTTGGAACCGCTCGGGCCCCCCGGATAGAGATTGCATGCCAAAGCTTCTCCTTTAACAAAGCCTGCCACAGTGAAGAAGAGATAAGCTGGGTTGCCTGTGAAATGGAAGCACAGCAGGCTGGAGGATATGATGCACAAAAAATCTGGCTGCTCTACACTTGATTGATGTACAGTGTTTTATTCTAAACCCACTTTTACCACCATACCTTATATATTATAAAGGTTTCCATCCATTTTACGCTCTTAATTATGGGCTTTTTTGGTATGGGACTCCAATGCACTCTTCTACTAGATTGTTTTCCCAGTCATACAAGATTGAAATTGGCAGAGAATTATTACCACAGCATAATCAGCCGAATGGTTTCAGTCATTTTTGACACACTTCGAAACACTCCTGCCCTTTGAACTTAGCAAGCCACCTCAAAACATCATAAACTCACCATCAGACTGGTAAAAGAACTCTATCGTTCAATGGTTTGTGTATTACAAATGTCACAATATACCACATATACCATCTGCGTGTGTGATTCAAACTTACTTGGTAGATATTGGTAACGCAGATGTGACTGCGCTTACACATTATATTTTAGCCTTTGCGCCAATCAATCTTGTTCTAGAATTCATAGCGCCATGTTATTAAGCAAGCTAAACAAACAAGTTGCATGCTCTGTGATAGGAAGAGCGTTCATTCGGCAGGAAACTTATACCGCGAATTTTGGTTAGCACTTTGGCAAGTACTTACCAATCAGATTTAGTACCACTTTATGCAATATATTGAAAAGCATAAATTTCGATGTGGATTCTGAAAGTAATATTCTCATTTTGAATATAGCTTACAAGCCGGTATTTGGTCCGGCTGGTGCGGATGAGCTATTGTTGATAAAAGTGCCACATAATTTTCATCCATCTGCGAACTTTATTTGAGGATTCCAACCTGAGCGCCGTATTCTAATAATAAAGCTTTTGTCATTGTTAACCCAAGTGTGTAACTCAAACGCGACACGTTGACTAGCAGCGGGCTTTGGAACTTTTTTTCAGATCATGCACACACACTGTGAAGCACAGAGAAACCAATATTAGCGGCGCAAAAGATGCTTGTGCAGCCAACCAAGAAAATGGTAACCACAATGAAGAGCCAAAAATTGATTCAAAGTCGTGTCTGCAAAGACGTGGTTATGCCATTGAGAAATTAACAAGTGCCTATTAACAACACAGCCGGCATTAGTATAAACGCTCATTTCGTTTTATTTGTGAACTCGTAAGAAGACAGAGCTCCTATATTTAACAAAGACAGTCTTTAGTCGTAAGTTTTGAATAATAATCAGAATGTCAATAGCGACAGAAAATTTAAGTGCTTTTTAACATACCTGTACATTATCTAGAGTTGTCATGTACCACCGTGAGTATATATTAATTATAAACGGTGACTGCTGAACCAAAAATTTGCCAACGATTTCGAAGCATGAACAGGTAAGTATTGACGTCAAATTCTCGAGTTGGAAACATTAGCTAGTCATCTCTTAGTTTTCTTCTTCCTTGAAGTCCACTGGCGAACCTTCAGCATTTGAAGCGAGAGACTCTTCATCACTTTGGGTAGGATGTCTCTTAAGAAACAAGGTTGTTACTACCAAACCGAGGGCGGAAACAGCAATGCAAAAATATGTGCATTTTTGATAAGCGTCTCGGAACCTCTCATGAGAGTTCGAAGCACTTTGCACTTCTGTAATATCACCCAGAACAGAGATTATGATGGAAAACGCTAACTCAATTCCCAACTGTGCAAATGTTTGCGTGACACCGGAAGCAATACCTTTTGAATCCTTAGGTGCATTCCCTACTGCTAAGCTCAGTCCGTACGGGTAGAAGATTGAGGCACCACCTCCAATGAGAACCTGGCTGATAAAAATAATCTTCCAATAAACATCTTTTTCTATGCGATGTAATTGAGTCAAAATGATTGACCCAGACAGCATAAGCACAAATCCAAGTACAACACCAAATCTAGGCTGTAACCGGGAAGATTTGAGACTACAAATAAAATTGCCAATCGTCATTGTGATCATTAGAGGAACTAATCTGACTCCTGCTACTAGCGGACTGACTTTATCCACGTATTGTGAATATTGATCGATAATATAGACGGTAGCAAATAAACAGGCGTTGTTGCATGCAAACCCTATAATGAGAGGAATGAAATTTGTCATAAAAAGAACATTGGTGGGAACTAGGACATGCACTTTATAAAAATAGCTTGGGACATTGTAGCGAGACTTTGACAGGTATTTGGCTAGTTGTTGATAGGCACAATTCCAAACAAAGAAACCACAAAAGAGGATAATTCCAATCATAAACGGCACAAATGCCTTGGGTTTTTTCCAGGATTCACCGCCTTCCGTCAAACCCACAACTATCAGCACACTTCCAATGACAAATATTGATGACCCAATGAAATCAAGCGTTGCAATTCTGGAAGATATTGGAGGTCTTTCCTTCTCCTCAACTTCAGTATTCTTCTGTTCCTCAATTCGGTAGAGGAAGAAAAGTGAAAGAACTCCAACAACAAACATGGCTGCAAATGTCAGATAAAATATGCCGGCGTATCCAACTTTAGTAAGAACAAAGGCCCCGCCGATGATAAGCCCCAGCCCAATGGTTGAGCTGAACCCACAAGAAACAATGGAGAAAAATTTCTGAACTTCTTCCGGCTTCGCCAACACAGGTATGAGCGCGTAGCCACAAGGTACTATTCCAGCTGCTGATATACCCTGCAATGCTCGAAATACAGTAAAGGTCGGAAAATTGGGTACGACGGCACATAGAAGAGAAGTTATGGTGAAGGCAAAACAGCTTATTGTAAATAGAATGGAATTGCCCACTATATCGCCAAGACGTCCCATAAAAGCAATGAAGCCGGTAAAAGTGATAGCATAAGAGGTCAGAGCCCATGACGCCTCTGTATAACTGATATTATAAGTTGTATGGAGATCATTCATGGTGGAAATCACACCTGCGACGTTCATTAGATCAAAAGTGCATCCCAGAAATATTAATGTTGTTCCTATTGCGACGTGGTAGTTTGAACTCTGGCATTTGAGTCGCAAAGCATGAAAGCGTTTATTCGCTATTGTCGCAAAACCCATATTTTTGAATAGTCTTAAGGCGGCTTGGGGAGCAATCAGAGTGAAATACTTCAAGATCTCTGTAGCTCATGCCAGTCTTCTTTTATAGTAGTCGAATTGGATCCAAACCATTGTTCATTAGTAAACGTTTGCCTTTACTATTTGCATCGCGGAATCTTTGTTCTTCGGACATCACCATGCATGCTCGGGCTTCGTATTTTTCAGATTAAAATATAAGTGTTTTATCTCGGACTCCAGCTCAAACCGGGACGGACATCATCCTGAACTAAAAGAGCACAACAAAATTGTTACCGCAGTGGAAATTAAATCGAGCCTCTGCAAAAGTGCTCTGAGAAGGAGACTTGACATAGAAAGCCCGGGTTTCGTTGAGATTCAGGTGGAGAACAAAGTACCACAAATACAAACTCAACGTTTTGTGGATATAATTCTGAGAGTTTGATAACTAAATGTAATAGAACGCAACATGGAACTCTGTATTAAAGACTCTGAAGGGTTAGCAATCATTTCCTGTCACCAATGCCGAAAGCGAAAAGTGAAATGCAGTCGGGACTTCCCCGCGTGTGAGTATTGTGCAAAAAAGGAGTACAATTGTTCCTACCCACAAACAACCAGGAAGAAGAGCACCAAAATTGCTAAGAAACGCAAGCAAAAGAATATACGCTTTTATGGTCTCAGTTCCGTCAACCAATCCCTTTTCGAAAACGGAATGCCCTTCTGTAACCCAGATTGTGAGTTGATGAGTAAGAATTCGCCGGCTAATATGAAAAGCTTCAAAGCTTCTACAGTTTTCAAAAAATACATCAAAGATCCACAATATACGCTTGAAGCAATTAAGTGCACGAAGGAGAATCTGATATGTCCTCTATTTGTTGAGGCACTAGATTTAAACGACCTCCAGCAAATTCTCCTGTCTAAAAAAAGCTTTGACTACACCACCTTGCTACTCTTCTACTCGGTCATAATTGTTTCTGAGAGATTCATCACACCAACGCCTGACATTGAGAACCTCGTGGAAGAGCTAAACCTTGTTCTCAATGAATGTCCCGATTGCCCAGAGAAAGTGACAGCACTTGTCTTGCTAGCGGACTACTATCACCTCAACTCGAAAATTGAAACAGCGTGGAAGTCCAATTTTTTGGCAACATCTATAGCTTATGCATTGGGATTGCATCTGACTGTCTCGAAAGAGTGGGCGATGTTAGTTTTACATGACGCTCTCCTGTCTTTACTCTTGGGTCGGCCGTCTTCCATAACATATCACAACTTAAAATTGATTGGCCGCCCTTGTGATTGGAGAACAATCGCACTTCTTCTTAGGGATTCTAATGAAATGCTTCTAACGCCAACAAGTTTGACGATCGACAAAGTCGTTATATTAGATTTACAACATGCAGACCTAATAAAAAAGATAAAGCAAGAAGAGTGTATCCAGGACGAGGTAACAAATCCAAGAAAAGAGCTTTTAGTGCATATGAAGCTTTGCATTTTGATTTCAAACCGGGTTAAAGTGCTTCATCCGGTATATCCAAAGTATGGTTCATTAATGGTACAAATGGACAAAAACTGCAGTGAGTTAATAAACTGCGTCCGTAACGTACTTAAAATTGTGGCCTCTGCAAGCATAGGTGAGGGAAATAAGCCTTATTGTATGAGATCCCATTTTTTTTTGGCATATTGTAGCGTATTCCAAGCGCTTCTCTTGCACTTAATATTCTGTTCGACGCAAACGCGGGCGTCCTTTACGGAAAGTTCGAGCGAGAACGACTCGTTCACTCCTCCACCGACCACGGAAAGAACTACCATCTTTCCACCTTCCCTGCAGAGTATGTCGATGCTTCTGCAGGAGTACGACCAAGTTTCAGAGAAAATCGATCTGTGCCGTTATATGTTAGATGTCTTCGATTCTTTTCGAACATTGATAGCTAAGAGAAGCAAGGACAAAGGAGGCACTACAGATACGGTAAGTAATACCAGCTCACCATACCCTCTATGGGAAGATTCAAAATGTACAGATTCAAACCTTCTAGGCAATTTAGAGAACAGCAAAATAGGTGAAAATAATGAAGCTGGTTTTCCTAAAGATTTCGCTGATTGGATTTCGACCTTATTGTCAGGCACATCGCCATACGTATATCCGTCGGAGTAGCGCTATTAATAAAACATCACCCTCGCCCGAATAGTTTGTTTCACATCGGCAAAGTCTTCCTAACAAAAAATCCTTAAAATGTGAGAATGCTGCAATTGAACTTTAAAACTGAAAAAAACTCGATAAACAGCTTTACAGTACAGATTTTGGAACTGAAATAAGAGAGAAAGTTCCCAGAAAACCAAAAACTCTCGGACAATTTTTGAGTTTTGACTATGCACGCTGGTATAAATGGATACCAGCTAGATACCGGACACAGCCTATCTATTTACACAAGTAATAAGCCTACGGACTTCTAGGTCTGCTATAGTGCAGTGCCTATAGTAGTCACGCTGCTTCAGTATTACAGCCTCCAGCGTATCTCGTGTTGTCAGAACTCTCCAGGTCGCGACGAAGGGCTTGTCATCCGAATATCAAAGCTTGCGCGATGTCGTCTTCCGCCGGAATCTGTCCTACGGGCGTTGAGACGAGAACATTGGCACATAACCCTTAATTAAGACGAATATACATATCATTAAATAGACAGACTTTTGGTGAGTATATAGAATGCTCTCGTGATAACCAAAACCGAATCAAATTGAAAAAACGCACCTGTGGACTGCATGAAATCAATCATATCAAATAAGATGTAAACTCATTCATCGGTCTGGTGAAAAGTGTTCATGGTAGGTTGACAGCGCGATAATTTTTCTTATTGAGCTTAAGAAAGGTTCAGGAGCCGTTTGTTAGAAGCACTTCATAACTTTATCATTTGTGCAAATTCTCCAAAATATCTAGACAAGCTTGCAAACTCAAATTACACGTAAAGTGCGTAGAGCAAATCAAAAAGAGATGTTTGTATTGCCGCTGGATTCAATGGCCGTGAAAAAATTTGCCGCAAATTCGCGCCAGTGGCAGTAAGCTTGCCAAACTGTTTATTTTAGTCGTTCATAGTATGTCTAGGTAATTTAACTGAAACTTGAGACCCCAAGTTTATTCCCGTGGCTCTCTCAACTAGGAGTTTGATTCACCGAGCGAAACAACTAGTCGTGGTCTATCTAAAAATTGGCTTAGCGTAAACTTTCGTACTCAGTCCTAAATAATGATATGATACATCAGGCAATGTCTCAAAAGTTATCGGCAATTGCCAGTCCTTTACAGAGAATCTTCTGGTACTTCTTTACATCGGAATGATGCACCGATCGATCTTTTTAATGATATCACTTTGTACTATTGTGTCATTGTTCTTAGTTCCACTTACGATCCTATTTTGTTCTACCACAATTGACGCTATCTAGCAAAACAACAGGGACTCTATGAGATGATTCCGAGTTGAAGGAAAAGAGGATACGTTTCAAGAGCGTCTTCACCTCGAGTTTCCCGCTCTCCGCCTTCTGTACAAGATTATCAATTTTATATATTATTCAGACGAAGCGTGTAGTAGTATTATAGAATTTTCCCCTCATAATCTGCTTAATTATGAATCCTTTTATTGAGGCTTTTTTTAAATAGTTTTAATAGTATACTCGCCGGTTATTTTATCACTCTCCATAATATTGATAGGATACCAGAATTTTAGAATTACTAATTTTAGGAACTTCAGGTATAAATTATGGGATATGCTCTAGGTTCCATTGATTTAACATTATATAGCGACACAAAACACTGCAAGTTATAATGGAAGGTCTCATTTCTCCAGTATGCCAAAAAATTCAAGTGAAGGGAGGGGCGGGTGTATGGTACCGAGAAGCTGGGTCTCGAAACAAACCAACTATTCTATTGCTTCATGGCTATCCCACATCGTCTAATATGTTTCGAAATCTAATTCCTCTGATTGCTACGCACTTCCATGTAATCTCCCCCGACCTTCCAGGATTTGGATTCACGACCGTGAGCAAAGATTATATCTATACTTTCAATAACTTAACCACCACTATTTTCAATTTTGTCAAAGCCATCAGTTTGTCCAAATATATCCTGTATATATTTGATTATGGCTCTCCCGTGGGATTGAGGTTGGCTCTCAAGGATCCTTCATCAGTTTCTGGCTTGATTGTCCAAAATGGAAACGCGTATGAAGAAGGATTGGACGACAGATTCTGGGATCCCCTAAGAGAGTATTGGAGGTCGGATCAGAACAATCTGATGTTCTTAGAAAAATTGGAAGGCTTCGTTCAGGACCCGAAAAATGTAACCTGTCAATACTATGATGGTGTTCCTAATCCAGAGATTGTTGATCCATCTGGTTATACTTTGGACATCGCTTTGATAGAGCGGCCAAATCAACCTGATATTCAAGTCAAGCTTTTTTACGACTACAAAAATAATGTGGCGATGTACCCTAAATTTCAAGAATTCTTTAGGTCATGCGATTTCCCAGTGCTTGTCGCTTGGGGTAAAAACGACATCATTTTTACGGCTGCGGGCGCTGAGGCCTATAAGAAAGATTTAAAAAACGTGACCCTAAGGTTTTATGACACTGGCCATTTCGCTTTGGAAACGCATGCTTCCGAAATTGCTCATGACATTATTCAGTTGTTTGGGCCTTCCACCTTGCCACAAGGGGAGTAATAAACCTCGGTTTGGAGTGCTATACATACACTTCACGTGTATGTTTAGTTACACCAATTTTCCGTGGTAAATGAAACAAAACATTTGTTCCATAGTTCTTGTTGCTTTTATAGCTCTTAGTTTTAAAATGCGAAGAAATTTTGGCAATGGTCACTTACAAGATTAGCACTCTGGTATTGTTTTATTCAAAAAAGCCAAATATGCCTATGGATGCTGGGGCTTCATCTGAATTATTTGCATCCGTTATGATAAACGTTCAACTTGTGCACAGATCCCGCTCAAATATGCCATGTGCTAGCTGGATACTGCATTAACTTTGTGCCTCGTCTTCAAAGAGAATACTTTGATTTCCAAATAAGAATTGAGAAACTATTGAAAGTATTCATATTTCGACACAAAATGATGAAGAATGATTTTCAACTTTTTTGGGGTCTTTGATCCCATTTTCTCTTTCCAGAGGGATATTATAATAGTGCTAGGACATTCTGCCTGTATCAAACTTTCTGATATGGATTCCAGGGTTCCAATAATTACAATCTTAGTAAATGCTGTCAAATCCGTATTGTAGTAAAGATACCGGAACCGCCTTATGGAACTCTTCATAGTGTTCAATCAAAGTACAATAAGAAGATGCAACCCAAGAGAGACATTCTGGATGTTTACAACGCAGATCAACCCACAATTGAGCTTCTGAAACATAATCCTTGGTAAACAGGTCTTCACATTTTTCGAAGAATGCCTCAATTAACTTATTATCCTGCTCAACTTCTGAAACGTTCAAAGATGGTGGCATGCTCAGTTCGCAGTTTTCGGGTGCAATAACACTCAGAATATGCATGTCAAGCAAATGTTCTGTTAGTTCCCATTCCATTTCGAAACTTTCCCCACAGGCATCATAACTACAGTTGAAGACTTTTAGTGGTTCGTTATCGGATTTTGCTGGGCAAAAATTATCAGTCAGTTTGCTTGAACCCGCGCCGAGAGCAGTGACGTTTGTTGCCGCGCGGCGCTTTTTGTCATGGGTCGTTTTGTGTCTAGAGAGTTGTTGCTTGGTAGTAAACCTTTTTGAACAGTTATCACATTTGAGTGGTTTACTTTTTGTGTGTGACCACTTGTGAACATTCAAATGGCAGACTCTTAAAAATCGTTTTTCACAATGAGGTTCCGAACAGACAAACGGTCTTTCATTATTGTGAGAGCGAGTGTGCTCTCTTAGTAAACATGGTTTGCTATAAGCCTTTTGACAGCTGCTTAGAGGACATGTGTATTTTTTGTGAGAATTGCAAGTCATTTTAAATATTATCTTGATGTTATATATCAGCACATCCATTATTCGGCGCTAGCTTTTTCTTAATCTTGGAGATCGACCTTTCGTCGCAACTATCACATACAACGGTAAAATAAACTCTTCCAAACTGAGATACAAACGGCTTCTAGACATTCAGATTGAAGCTAAGGCAGTAGCTATCTATTTGAGTGGTTGGAAATCTAGCAAAGACACTTTCGTCGAACTAGAGTGAGCTGATCTTTATTAAGTGGCAATTCAAATTGTGAAAATAGTACAGCTCGTTATGTTAAAAGCTCTGACGTCGATCATGAACCCATTGACCATCTCTATCTGGAACCGATACATCAATTGCAAAATATTCAACAAATTGGGCGAGTTGTATATCGGATTGGATACATCATTGTAAAAAAAAAATCGTTTCGTATTTAGCAAAGCCAACGGGGGGATTTGAATCGGCAGCTGGGGAAACTGCTGAAATTTAGCACAAGAACGCGCCGAAGTCCAACTTTACAGCTTTTTCGGTGGATACTTCGGCTCTTAGGGGACAATATCAACCACCTCATGTGAATAGAGGGAAAAGCTTATATATATTTAGAGCCATCAATTCATGCGCGGGCGCTAGTACTGTCCAAGAGCGACTTTTTAGGTGGTAACTTATGTAGAAGGTTTTGACACTCTTTTGTTCGGAGCATCCATTAAGTAAGTACCTGAGCTGTTCAACTTAAAAATTACGAATCATTTGAACATGTTTATTGCCCAATGTTGTCAAAAAGAGCTCAAACCCAATTCATCGCTATGACCCATAATTTCTTTCACTATTCCCTACATAAATCTCATGATCTGCTTTTTCGGTAACATCAGCATCTTCAGTACAATGTCAACATCACAATAGCAAAAATTTGACGTTAGCAACAATACCATTTGGATTTTATCAGTCTTTTCATGAGCAATGGCCTCAGGCTTTGCCTAGTTTGAGGTTTAGAGTTTTATTTGCCATAAAATCTTAAGCCCAGAAACTGTTGCTGCTGCCAATATATCATTGTAGAAATTTATACCACGTCAAAATAGTACGAAGTGATGTTGAAAACATCGCAAATATTATATACTGTATTGATCCACTTGCAACGCGATCTAAAGGCAGTAAGCCAGTCATATTCTATGATGGTAGCCACAGCTGTTTTCTCTTGCAAGAATTGTGAAGAGGTGCGCATCCGGCCGACCAAGAGATGTATTAATACCGGTGGTTTTTCAGTGTATCGAGATGGTATTCTCATACAGAAAATAACATAGAGAATTACTCAGCTAATGATTTTTATAAGTAGCAACTACTTAACTATGTTCATTGACAACATCATAAGCAATATCAAAGACTTGAACCTGGTCAATATATATCAATCTCACTTTTTATAGAATTGAGAACTTTTTTAGTCTTGTAGGTCACTAACATTGAGTATAGAATCATCAAATATCAATTAGTTCTCTAATTTACTTATCTCGCTTCCCACTATCTTGTCATTACGCAAATTGTAATGATTATAATCCATTTTTCGACACAATCGTGTAACCAGACCAATTGTGGCTTTTAATATATTTGTTCAGACAGACATTTAACCAGTCTTTTTAAAGATTCGACCTTCCGTATCAATATACCTTTTAGAACCTCTCAAACCTTAAGATGACAGAAAGTACATATTAGAATATCTGAGTGAAAAAAACTTTGAACCTTTTACCATGAACTCAGCCAGAACGGCTGCGATTTTTTGGTGATTTGTAATTATACATTATCTCATGACACATATGGCTTGCATTTTAGCCGCTTCCAGCTGTTAGTTTACTCGAACTTGAAACGCTTTAAAATCAAATTGGGTTAGCATTACCATACTGGAAATCTGCCATGCTTTTCGCGGCATATGAAGTAAGTTCTGGGTAAGAGCTTCTTTTGTGTGGAGCCTGCTCACGAATGACTGCTGCCAGTAGGGACTCAAATTTTGCACGACAGTCTTTCCCATCGAAGAAAAACGCACGGTCTTGCCAGATACCCTCCTTTAACAAGTAAGTGTTCATAAATCTAGAAATGTAGTTCCACCTTTCAACGTCCTCTCCTGGTTCTTGAAGCGTTTTCACTTTAAAAAACGTCAAAATATGTAGCGGCGTGTTAAATAGATTTCTTTTTTCTATCCAAAGAGAACCATAGGAATAAGCCAACAATTGGCAAGATCCAAGAAGAAATCCAAGGATAAACCCTTTAAGACCATTTCCTCAACTTATTATGATAGCATAAAACGGACCAGCATCATCAATGCTGGTGCTTTCTTCATGATAGCTTTTGCGTTCCACGCGAGCCGAAAACGATATAGCTCCTTGGGCAGTTTATGTTTATCATTAATCATAATCGCAGAATTGTCCTTTGATTTCCAGTAATTTTCAAAGCTTTTCTCGTATATCTGAACCGCCAAATTTTCGTCTTCGTCATTATGATCTGCTTCAAGAGATGGACAGTAAACAAAGGACCTAAAAAGTTCACTACATTCCTTTCCATTGTAGATACAAAATTCCGTATGCCATAATTGTTCCCTATGCAGATAAACGTTCGCGTAAAAGGCAATTACGTCCCAGTCTTTTAAGTGAACCTCTAGTTTTTCTTGAATGATTTCTTGGACCAAGTATGATCGCAACTTAGGGAGACAACGATATCTCTTGAGCAAGTACATGAACGGCAGCAATCCTAGAACATACAAGGCTTAGAAAAACTAACATTCCGGACACATAAAAAGGCCACGATCTAAGGGTTCTTTTAATGGCAGAAAGTATTAATATTAGTACAGCAAGGGTTAAAAGCCATATGTAAACAAATGGCGCTTTAACAAACTCGTGAAGTCGCCATGAGAGCTTGCTTCTAAACAGATTATAGGGCAGCTGAGACGTTCGGCGTTCATTTAGAGAATGGTAGAGCTGGTCCATGAGTTGAGGTCAAACCGTTGGTGTAATTAAGGTATCTCAGACATAAAGTAGGTGCCAAGAAAAGTACTTAAAATAAGCTCATAAGAGACGAGCACGTGATTGCCAACTCGACCTTTTTTAGTTGGCCGTTGAAACTGCTATAGCAACGGCACAGGCCATACTGACAGGACTTTAAGTTCTTTAGCAGAGAGACATGAAGGGAGTTTGAGACGAATGAATGTCCAGAAATGAGACTTGTGAAGCCAAGTTGTCCATAGCTCAAAGAATAGGTTCTGCTTGGATATTGGCACGGTGATTTGCTCTCGTACAAGGATTCTCAAGTCTGATTTGGCTGATAGATTGACAGGTGACACCCAAATTGTGGACCTGATCGAAATTCACACGTTGTGACCCGAAGCCGTTCAGGAATATCATAAGCATAAGTGGCCTTCGAAGTAACCGTGACAATCACAATGGACGTAGCATTCCGGAATACTAAACAGGGCCACTATAGAAGTGCGATGGAAGCACATGTGACGTTCGGTTGTTTCTAATTGCTATAATGTTCAAGCCTTACGTCGCCATCGCAAGCTTGGTAGGCATCCGATTAAAGAAGCACATACCATTGTTCTGTTATGCACCTTTTCGAAATAAGTTTACGTGAGAGGTGTATTACTCTATACAAGGCGAGGCGGCGTAGAGCGCTCGCATGAAATAGGTGTTAGAGTTATGTTACGATGTGGTCTCGTCGAACTTGTTTTAGAGCCAATCGAAGATATTCAATGTATGTTTAGCTGTTTGTTCTTCATATCATCGATTGTTTCACCACTATCAATGATCTCTTACTTTGCACTGAAGACTCGAAGGTAATTGAAAAATCATTCCTACGAGCCGCAAGCCCTTTATCTACGACCATTTTCGCTGTTACGGTGAATACTTGAGAAAGCACGTTGTTCAATTGAAACCAGAATTGACTTCTATATGATCCCTCAGGAGATAATATATTTTTTATCAAGTTCAAGAGACATCAAAAGGTCAAATCAGACGCAGGTCCATTTTAGTGATATAAGACTATTCGTCCCTTGAGCTCTTAATTTGAGGGTTACTAACGTTACCAACGTTCTCAAAAGTACAAAGTGGAACGGCGACAAGATTAAGCTGTACAAATAAAAAGTTGAACCAGCTGTCATTTTTAACATAAAATCTCCACTATCATATGCCGCTCCGCTGTTCTTGTGTTTGATCACGTCTTGATGGCTTTTGTGCTCACATTTGTGGCTGCGAATTTTGACGAGGCCATCGGTTAGTGCTGCAGAGTGAGTTTTTCCGAAAACCTCGTCCTGTTCCGTCCCACTTCCATTTGGTGACTATGTGCCTTAGTACGAATAAAAATATAACTCGCAAGCACCCTGTGGCTCGAGCGATGCCTCACAACTGAGATCGTCAGACACAACTGCGCGGAACACGTCGAGAAAGAATTTCTTTCACTTCTGCTTACTTGACAAAGTATTGTTTGAGAAATTGACAATGCAGTTACCAGTGGTGATGACGGGGCTGAAAGCTTGGAGTTGTCGTCTCTAAGGCGTTCCGATAAAGTATCCACCGCCTCTTTAGATTGTTTTGGGCTAGAGGAGCAGGAAAGAGAGGAAGGTCAGGGTGCTTCACACGATCACCGTGCATGTCGAATCCCCTGGAACCCACAGTGCTCCAAGTGCCCTGAATACCGTCATAGTTTGAACAGCGAATATTCTCTAGGAGTGATCGAGGCAGTTTTGTTAAAAGAGCCGCACCGCTTTATCAACCGGTACATTGGGTGTCAAACACCTCGGTTTCCCACCTCAGTTTCCCTTTTGCACGCTGCAATGTTTTGACCTGCATGTATTATTAATGGCTGACGCAAATATGACGCCTTTCATAAGACAATGGTTTATCGAAAAGAGTAAATTCGTCCAAGCAAAACCGTACGGATCATCCCAATGCTTTATTTTGCATACAGATTGCCAGCTACACCTTTCTTCAGTCGAACGGCCTTTTTCACAAATTGCACCCAAAAAAACTTTACGTCGTAATTCGAAGACCTCACACATCGAATTGCACCCGCCGCATGTCGAAATAAGTTAGGTTATAAAGAAGCCTCCTTTGGCTGTCTATTTTACGGGAATGTTTACCTAGCAGAAGCTAGGGCTCTGTGAGACGGGATAAAAAAATGAGCAACGAAAAACACTCCGATTCGTTAGAGTTCTCGGTGCCGTTGAAAGATAATGAGGGCCAGGCTCCCCAGTGTTTGAACGAGTACGGTCTTCCCGATAACCTCAGATCTACGAGATCCCTAGCGATCCGCAAAACAGAAATTTTGTCATCACAGTACGACGCATGGTATTACCGTGTCTGTTTACTCATTTCGGCATTCATCTGCGGCTACGGCTACGGTTTAGATGGTAGCCTGCGCTATATTTACACCAGCTATGCCACCAGCTCTTTCGATGACCATTCGCTTCTGTCTACTGTCGGTGTCATTAACATTGTCATCGCGGCAGCCTCGCAGCTGATATATGCCAGACTTTCGGATACTTTTGGCCGTCTATCTTTGTTTGTGACGGCGGTGGTGTTTTACGTGGTGGGCACTATAATTCAGTCTCAAGCCTTTGATATTCAAAGATATTGCGCAGGTGCCGTCTTCTACAATCTCGGATATGCCGGTGTTATTTTGGTGCTTTTGCTGATTCTGTCCGACTTCTCGTCTCTGAAGTGGAGACTGCTTTATCAGTTTGTACCAACATGGCCTTTTATCATCAACACTTGGATCTCCGGTAATATTACAGAAGCGGCAAAACCGGAAACAAACTGGTCCTGGGACGTTGGTATGTGGGCGTTTATTTTCCCCCTCTCATGCATCCCTATCATCGGTTGCATGCTGCATATGAGGATAAAAGCTCGCAACACCCCAGAATGGGCTGCTTTAAAGGAGGAAAAGACTTATTACCAAAGACATGGCTTGGTTAGAACATTGGTAGAGATTTTCTGGAAAGTAGATCTTGTTGGTGTCTTTCTGATAACTGTTTCCTTGGGTTGTATCCTTGCACCTCTAACATTGGCCGGAGGCGTCAAAACACAATGGAACAACTCGCACATTATAGCACCCATTGTTTTAGGTGTTGTTTTGATGCCAGTTTTCCTATGTTGGGAGGGCAAATGGGCGAGAGACCCGCTAGTTCCCTATGGCCTGTTGAAGGATCGCGGAGTCTGGGCAGCTTTAGGCGCATCGTTCCTGATTTATTTCATCTACTCCCTGGCAGCTGGCTATTTGTACACACTCTTGATTATCGCGGTCGATGAGTCCGTAAAATCCGCTACGAGAATTAGTTCTTTAGCCACGTTCCTCTCAACCGCGATTTCTCCCATTTTCGCCCTTTTGATAACAAGGTGCACCAAGCTCAAGCCTTTTATTGTTGCAGGCTGCTCATTGTGGATTCTAGCAATGGGTTTACTGTACCATTACAGAGGTGGTGTCGAGTCTCATTCCGGTATAATTGCTGCGCTTTGCGTATGGGGCGTGGGGACTACGATGTTCACATACCCAGTGACCGTTTCTGTACAGTCAGCTACATCACATGAAAACATGGCCACTGTCACAGCTCTAAATTACACCTCGTATAGAATTGGGGGTGCAGTTGGCACAGCCGTTTCTGGTGCTATTTGGACGCAGACTCTCTATAAGGAGTTATTGAATCAGTTAAATGATGCAACGTTGGCCACGGCTGCGTACGCTTCTCCTTTTACTTTCATCTTGGAGTATACTTGGGGTACTCCTCAAAGAGAGGCGATGGTTAATTCATACCGTCATGTTCAGCGTTACGAAACAATTGTGGCTTTAGTCTTCACTGTTCCTCTGCTACTGTTTTCCTTGTGTCTCAGAGATCCTGACCTAACTGACAAAGTCGCGCACGAAGATATTAGCAGCGAAGAATATATCGTCACGAAAGCCTCTGATCCAATTGCTAATTGGTTTTCGTCGAAATGGGAGCGCTTGCGGAGAAGAAAAGAAGCGTAGCGCACTAGAAAAGAGCTCAGTGCAGTAAGCCGCTTTCTAAATGTTATATAAGCATACATCAAATAATTCTCAATGTCAACTATTTTGAAAGCAGTCATGAACGTCGATGAAAGGTGATTTTACATGATGACCAATTCAGGGGTGCCATATGAGTGGAACAACTAGTCGGTATTTATATAATAACTGATTGAGTGTAAAACACAGTACTTTTGTTCGCAAGTGTTTGTCTGTATGTTCTTTAAGCTGGTCTGCCAAGAGAACGCAATTGTCTTATTCATGGTGTTCATTGGATGCAAAATGAGTGCCATCGACTTATACCAGTTGTCGTTAATAATCCTCAAAAGACTGAACATATATATTTGTTTCCTTTCACCCAAGCTAATCAATAATGGACGAATCGCTGGCACTCGGTAATGTAAACTTACAACTGCAATCAGAGGGTGTTGTCCGAAATGATATCAACGTCATGACTGCCACCGTGCTTACAGTATTAAATCGACTGTTTGCATGCCAAAAATACTTAACTGCTCCTCGATGTGCAATGCCATACGTGCTTGTCCAACCAATAAAAATCCATCCCTCTCGATCGGCTAATTCCAGATAGGTCGGATACACTGAGGTTTGTGGCGATCTACGCTCTCCTTCGCATTTCGAAAAAGTCAACAATAGTGTTGTTTCCGAATGACATTAATAAAGAGAAACGTTGAAAGTCATTAAAAATTTGGTTGATAGTATTAAGCAGTGTGAACTTTTGCTGCTTGTTGCGTTGTCGAGAAATGTTCACCTAGCAGAAAAAGCAGAATCTGCTCAAAAAGCGCAAGGAATCAGTGCCCAAGTTTAACCATACATTACCGCTGTATTCAGAATACTTTGATTCCCAATATCGATCGCCAGCGCATGCGAGAAGGCGGATTTTTTGTTGCGATTCTTGGTGTGAACTTGAGTCTTTGAAGGTCACCTTGTTGTTGCACTTGTACAGGTGTTGTACAGTTTGCTGATATGATTGTTATTGCGATTGTTCTCTATCGACTAGATTCAAGCCTTCTAAAATACTAGTTATGTTGTCTTCCGCGCAGAAAAATATTTCTTGAGGGCGTTGGCCGTTTATATCTCCCAGTGATTTCATGGTCAACACAATTGCCATTCGATGTATGCATTTGTCACGCAGGCTGACAAAACTTACAGGCCACTTCCTTAGGTCAGCACTATGAGGTTTCCGCCAAGACTCTAGTTGACTTATAGCAAGGAGTGCAGTATGTAAGAACAGTACCTAGGGGTGATAAAATCTCGTCATGCTGGTGTGCATTTGAAGTTATCTATTCTTTGGTGAGATGATAATTGGATTGGACCCGTGTCATCGACCATTGAAATCCCAGAGAGAGGATCGCTGCTGGAGGCTGTGCATGAAATAAGCGATGGGAAGAGAGAGTCGCGTGCAGAAAAATACTGCCCCATTAGCTTTCTTTGTTCATTTCGCCGACAGATTTGTTGACAGATCATGTGAATTTGCTGTTGGCTGGACCTGTCTTGTTTGCCAGTGCTCCAATATTTGTTTGAGATTACCGCAGTCTGTTTGGTTGTTGAGTACTGGACAGACAAGATCCCCAAAGCTGCTTTGATATCGATCTTGATTATTCTCTGTGGCTTTTTGAATCTCTATTCTGTAATCTTTTTTGGGGAGGGCGAGTTTTACCTTTCGATTGGCAAAGTCGTTTTAGCCATTGATTTAATCATATTCACGATAGTGACAATGTCAGGCGGAAACCCTCAGCAAAAAGTTCTTAACTGGGACAATCCGGGTGCCTTCGCTGAATATCTTACGCCGGGTTCGTCTGGCAGATTTAATGGGTTCAGGGCAGGCATAATATTTGCTTTAAACGTATTCCGGGGTGTTAATTACTTGGGCAATGCTGCAAGCGAAGCTATGAACCCAAGAAAGTGATTCCGTCTGCATTCAAGAAGGCTTTTAGCAGACTGGTCATCTTTTACATCGGTGGTGCGATATGTGTGGGCATTTAATGATCCGAAAATGATCAAGGCCATCAGCGAGGGTGCAGCGGGTGCTGGAGCTTTGCCTTACGTCTCTGCAATGAATACAATGGGTATCAAATCACTACCCCATATTGTCGACGTCCTGTTGTTGTTTTCCATCATATCAGCTGGAAATTCTTCTTTGTACTCATCATCGAGAGTGTTGCAGCGCTTGGCACTAGAGAATCAAGCACCTGCCTTTTTGAAGAAGGTAACGAAGAGTAGAGTGCTACCTTTTTGCTGTATAATTATTTTTAGTTATCAGCGGGTTGTCACCTACTTTCTGTCTCCAACAGCACTAATAAGGGTCAAACCTGGTTTTTGAATATTCAAACTTCTGCCATGACGATTGTTTACATTTTTTATTTGCATTTCCTTCCTATAACTCTGTCGGGGATTTAAAGTACAAGGTCTAGATAGATATGGACACTTACCTTATTACGGCAGATTTCTACCATATTTGACATGGCATTCATTATTTTGGCTCACATTCATGCTCTTCGTCAGCGGATACTCGGTATTTTCGAAAGATAATTGGGATGTACAGAGCTTCGTCTATTCAATTTCATGATTCCCCTTTATCATAGTTTATTTGTGGGGCATAGGCTTTATCTGAAAGGCACTTTTTAGTGCGATAGATATGGACTGTTCATTGGCTTAGAAGATTTTGCCGAAGAAGATGAATACTGGAAGCGAAATCCTTCGCAACTGAACTGGTTGAATTAATTGCTCGGGTTTTTGCTGTGAAAAAGATGTCATCGTCAGCTTGCTACTATGTTCATATTCTTTTCAATAAATCTATCTTGATTTTTCTATAGTCTTTTTTTGAAAACATACTACAATAAAGGCACTGGGACCTCTTCGCCAAAAATAGACTTCTCGAATACCTCACGGAAGCCAGAGTTTATTGTTGAATTCATAAATTATAGAAAGGAGCGTTGAAGAGTTTGCCAGAGAACGGGGTAGTAGTTAGTACTTGACTCCAAAGGCATGAGGACATATGTACTAAGGTCTCAAAATTTCTTGCCTTGAGCATAAACTTGTACCAGACTAAACAACATGCGGAAAACATGACGACTGAAACACTCAGCAGTACCAAACTTGCCACTCATTACGCCGCCGTTGACTAGAGTATATTGTTAGCATTTGCCGCGCCTTTTTATGGACCTCTAAAATTAGCTACACCATGTGTTCTTCATTAGAATACTGGAAGTACTCGCATCATGGACTCAATTTATAATAAGTCTTCCAGACCGGTGATCAGTAATTATCTCCACTTTGCAATAAAGCCTCCTTACACAGAGAAGATTTTCGTTTTGACTACTTGCTAGCCTTGTGAAAGCAATACAAAGATCGCATTCCCATTGCCAGCCTCGGTTATAAGTAGACTTCTATTATCTGCTATTGAAAGCGAGGCGTTCACAAGGTCATAAGTAAAAATACCTACACATTTTGATTTATCTTCCCAACTAGATAGCTAGTTAGCAACTCGAACATCTTCGCAAATACCTTCGACCAGTTTCCTCCCTACAAATATGACATCTAGACTTGACAAATTTGACAAGGAAGTATGGTATCTCAATTTAAGAAGAAGATCGTTGGTATGCAAGTGATATAGTGCTCAGTTGCACAATGACTAAGTAGTACAAAGTGATGTCAGCAAAAATAGGCTGTCGATGGAATATTCGATACATCATCACCAAGTTAATGGCAATATCGGACGAGAGTCTAAAGTTCTAGTATCCGACTAGTAGCTCGTTGGCTATTGCATGATGTATCATGCGACATATTGCACGATTTTAGATTGTACTGAGTAGTAATAATCGCCAATTCTGTACATGCTAACAAAATAGCAAGCTCAAGGTTTTTTTCACTCGCAAATGAGATCATATAAGAAAATACTGTCAGGCTTTCTGTGATATTTGATAGCGTCAATGCCATAATGAAGAGCTATGACATAATAGTACAAAGCGATATCATCAAACATGAGTAGTCGTTAATTTTTCGATACATCATCTCAAGATCCAGACAAGTACTACACGATTATTTAAAGTGGTGTGATAATTGACTGCTGACTCATTGGGCACTACTCATGTATCATGCGATGATTCGCATACTTATGGTTGAATGAGTAATAGCTTTCACGCTCAGTTGGTTGTTATATTAATACCGACCAGCTGCTCCACTCAATGGATCACCGTCACAGTTGGTCGAATCACGAAAAGGTGAATAGAATTGCAGATCCTTATAAGAATTGATTAGACACATCATGAGCCGCTTTAATCACCAGCTTAGTATGCTCACCACTACGCAGCTATGCCTCAATAGTTATATCATCCGCTACAAATATATATACATATGTTTTATTCGCTGGAATAGGGTTTCATGTCTAATGTCTTAGAAAGCTATGGACAGATCTGCGATGAACTATGGAAGATCTAAAGAAAATACAAACAAGCCTTCTGTCGCTGAAGCAAATTTAACCACCTCAAAGAAAAGAATATTGCCAAAAGCGCCGAAGTTCATTTTTCCCTTTCTCGTCATCCAAAAAACCGGGAGGGCTCGAGACCAAAAAAACTGAATGGCAGGAAGACGAGATAAATCATGAAATCGAAATTAATTTAAAAGGAGCAAGGAAAAAATATAAGCTGCCTTTTAGCTTGCAATTGGAGCAGTGCTTCTGCATGAAGCCCAGGATATCTCTTTCCTAATCATGTGACCGATTATCGTACATATCAATGCATATTCGCGCATGTGCGTATATGTACGATAATGCATAAACATGCTTTGTGTCATATAGTCATGTGACAAGTTCTCATTTACCCATAAACTACAAACGGGTATCAAATGACTGGACGCTATTAAAAGTACTCGAGCTACGCCGTGATCAAGCCTGGACGCAGGAGAAACTAAATAAACCTGAAATGGACTAAGATTGCCTCTTACAGTACCAAATAATGAAGGTCTTGCGGGAGATCATGCTCTCTGATAAGTTCAATTAGAAAACATACACATCGATATTTGTTGGCAAACGATAAAGCCACTAGCCATCGATAAGCCATTCTTCAGGAATAAATGATTTACAGGGAAGAGCTTCTATGCCAATATCAAACTAGATAAGAAATGCGCTTGACCGCTAATTACACATGACAATTGTGAAAATAAGTACAAGTTTTGATACTCAATCCTCTGGTGCTGCTACTTGAATTGAAGCTACACACTCTTGCAACTAAAGCCCAGCGTCCGTACACAAATGTGGACCATACAGCCAGCGCTTTTTCTGCCACCGAAACGTTGGATGCTCTAGACAATTTGAAGCGTGTGCATTATCTGCGCCCGGTGGAATGGTCAAAAGTAGCTTGTCGATTCCCGTAAGGTGACTTTCTAAGATACGTAAGGTGACTTTCTAAGATACATCTCCAGGTGCTTTTTCTTGCATCTGAAATCTTTCTGTAAGTAGTACACGACTTGATTGGATGATTAATGCTTGGCTTATCTCAACTAGATCACTAGCAGGAAGCTGACCACAAAAATGCAACTTATGAAACATAAGAATGTAAATGTAACCTAAGCTTCTTGAGGAACTGCTCTCAAAATATTACGAATTTTCAAAGTATGGGGTCTATCTCGCTAGCATGTGCAATAAGCTCGTCAGTGTTGAAAGAAACAGTGGAAGCACTGAACTGAATACAATTGTTAACACTTTGAGTTGCAAGACTACTAGTAGAAGCGCTTGCACTTCGGGTCGCGGAACTTTGCGCCGAAATGGAAGAAGTTCATGTATGTGCAGAAGTTGTAGAAGTCAAGCTCATTGAGGCAGAGGTACAGCTAGAACCTGGTGTGGAGCTTGAAGCTGAGACAAACAGTCTGGAGCTGAGCTAGAAGATGGATTTGAGCTAGAAACCGGAGTTGAGCTAAAAATTGAAGAAGACGCCAATGCCTGGACGGAAGCTAACCCCGTGCTGGAACCAGAGCCGTCTTTTGAAGCATTGGGTCCGCAGTAATCTTGCAAAAGTTATGTTAGCGGGTCCTGTGGCTGCCCCTGAAAGGGTGCGGGGTGGCAATAAGAATGGATACTCTCATCAACTTCCCAGACAACCATCACAGATTACAGCACTATTGTAAGAATCGCCCGACTCTGTGTCTCCGGAAACTGTTGTAGTTGGAAAACCAGCTGTCAAAGCAAATTGTTGGAGACAGTCAACCAAGTAATTCAACTCATCGGGGTAGTATGTCAAAACCCATGCTGCATACGAGGTTTTATCATAGTAGGCGAGACCCTTTCCGTACTTGTTGTAGCACGTCTGGAGAGATCCAGTCCAAAATGGGTCGTTAACGGCGAGAGGCATAAATTGAACATCGAGTGCTTTCAAGGCAGGTAATTGCGACATGGTCTATGTGGAGCAGGGTTTAAAGGCAACCGCTTCTTCGACGGCAAGTTTATCGCATGTTTCCCCACCTCACACGAAATCGTGTCTTTTATATAGGAACATCGCGGTTCGTCTTCAACACTTGCGACAAGCGGAAAATTCGGCATTTTTATTAACCGCGGTCAATTTCCATGCATTGGTGTGGCAACGGTGCACTGAAACACGCTCTACTGTCACCAAACTGCAACGCCTGCAGCAAGTAATTGCGTTGCCGCTGTTGTGTCTAAATCGCCTCCAGAACCCAACGCAAACTTTCCCGAACATGTTTACGACGAGTATTCCAGTGTTTTCCTGTGAGCCCCATTCTTAGCCTTAGTTAGGTCACCATGCAGATTATGGTCTTATGAGTCTAACAGATTTTTCACAAATATACTATCTTATCTTCGGGACAGGTTTTTTGTTGCCTAAAATGCTCGAGAAAATCTTGGCGGCATAAAGTGGCATATCGGAGTTTTAATACAGGAGATGGGAGTAACAGCCGAGAGGGCGATATGTTATAAAGTGAGCGCGATTGACGGACTTTCGCGAGAGTCAGTGAAATGACACATCTTTTAACAGAAGAAAACCATGTGGGCGGTTTTCTAAAATGTGTGCTCATTTATATACTGCAGTATCTACGGTGGACGTTGGTCCTTTCTTCGAAAATTCAATGGTTTGTCTCATATTCAGCACCAGTGTATTGTTCAAATCCCCAGTTTTATGCTTTTTGAGTTTTTTTCGATCATTTGGTAGATAAGATTCCTGTGATAAGCTTACTTACATTCATTATTTTCTTTCGTACTTCAATTCTTTGCTATCGCATTCCAATCATGAATAAATTTTTATGTACTTTCTCGTACTGCTTGTTTGCGGGCTACGGCTCTAGCTGATTCTCTTACTTTTCTTATCTATTTCTTGAACAATAACACTAGATTGGCGACTGTCCACGTTTGAGATCGTTTCTTCTTTATGTTAAGCGTCGATGTTCTCGGGTTTTTGCTCAGTGTCAGAATCGTCGCTAAAAGAGCTGTCAGTTCTGCTGTCGCTCTGATCTCCCATTTCCGAATCAAAATCGGTAGAGATAGGTTTCAAATTTACATCATTATCAGGCAATTAATTTTCGTCGGGATAAACCAACAGTCGACTACGAAACCGACCCCAGCTCGAGTATGCGTTGAGTCCAAATATGACTGAGGGCATAGTTCTATGTATCTACCACCTTATGAGTGCAGGGCACGTATAACTAGAATCCAAATGATGTCTCGGATTGTCTAGGAAGATAACCGTGTACGCTGCGTACATTTCGTTTCTTCTTCATGGCGGAGGGATTATGAACCGTACAGGCTATCCAAATTTGGGTTACGTGTGCACCTTCAGTCCACTAAAATATTTGGCAACAAAAAAACAATAAACGATGCACCACTATACATTAAGAATAGTTTTTTAGTACTGTTACGCAAAGTTTTCTCAACACCTTCTAAGTGTCCGTTTGCCCGACATTTTTCCTAGGTTTGGGTTTGTCAGAGGACTGCTTCTGAGAGTATCTTCGATAGTTGAGCGTGTCACTTTTCTCATTTTGGTGAGCAGTTCTGCTACATTATTGGAGGTGTGCTCCTACTCTTTGCAAGTGTAGCTTCGTGACTGGTTCAACAACTTTGTTGGTCTGTCATTTTAACACAAAGAGCAGGGTCCAAGTTACCATATAGCTTTCAATAGTTTCTTATAGCTTCTAATGTTTCGCTCACTACGAACATTAAGAAAATCACGGGAGTCAGTGGAGTGTCTGGTCTGAAACTATTTATAATGTTGGCCTTAATTTCCTACCCATCTTCAAGAACTCAATACTTTTTCGACTCACGGATTAATAAGTTGAGATTTCTGAAAAAGGCGAAAGGCTTCGTGTACTTATCAAGTACTCTAAAAACTTATTTACGAACTAGCGACCCCATGTTGTAATCTGATTAAACTTTCATAGCTGCAGCCAAGAAAGTGTTCCAATTATGTCCTAGTTCGTTTTAGAATCTTGTCCCTTCAGAATAAGCCTCTCCCTCTAGAGTTCCTAACAAAATCATCAAAAGACTTTGTATCTGAAGGTTGGGTCTCTCGCGCTCCTCCCAGTCTTGTCGGGAACTAAGTCCTAAAGAATGACGAACTGACAAAACTTAGTTTCGAAAAAAATCGGATATAAGCCATCACTTTTGTCTCGCTTATTGCTTTCATAATTGTCAAGCCCTTTATCTGGTTCAATCTGCGTCATACTTGGGAGGTCATCAAATAGTTTACCTCCGGTCTTGTTTGCAGTTGACTTTGATAAACCATTACGGAGAGATGTCCCATCGTCAGCAAATTTGTTCTCAGCCACAACCTACTCTCGAGTTTCTTCTTTTAGAATCTTCTGATGCGTGCTGTCTCTGTAAACAGCATTGACATCCAACCGGGCGCTACCATATTGAAGCGAGTATGAACAGCAATAGTGAGCTTGCTTATTTAACTATTTTCCATAAAAGATAGAGTAAAATCTTTTAGAGTGAAAAACTGTAGACTTATCTTCGTGATTCTTCTAGTCTAAGAAAGATGTCTTGATCGTGAAATAAACCATCGGTATTTATATAGCTGTAAATTTGCGTTCTTAAAGGATTCATTAATCGTCACCCGAAGCGTCACAAAACTGACCGTACCACCGATTAAATTAATACCCAGAGCATGATTTGGCCACATGGATGTTGGCTTTCTGCCCAAAACATCTACAAGTTCTTGTTGTCCTCACAAACATATCACTTTGCAATATCGCGTCGTTAATGCAACTTGGCACTCAAAACGCTCATAACCCGATAGCAAGGACAAGGCTTAGGCCATCACCGGATAAAATACACTACTGATTGAATATGTGGCGAAATAATTATCTTTTCCTGCAAATTTGTTACCGTTTCTGATCAATGCGTATAGATTAGTAAACTAAACGGGGCTTCGAAACAATGCCAAACAGATTAGGAATTTTAAAAGTGACCAGTTTCACTTAACTCGGTGAACGGGGCTTTTTCAGGTACCAATTTATCGTTTAACCTTCAGCTTTGCTACTTTTTTGCAAGATATGGTAGGCCTATGGAACCATTTGTGATATGTTTGGTACACTTTATATAGTGGATGCAAAAACCTAATGTTGTCCAAGTATTCATATGACTTAGTCCTATGGTGACATTATACAGCTCTACATTTTCATAAATTGTATTTATACAAGGATACTGAGCAATCATTTGGAAACGGTCCAAAGGTTCACTGAATCAAATGCACAAGTAACTGATCAGCGCCCCTAGTGTGTCGAAACAGATATTTTTTTGGCGCTATATTGTAAAGATTATGTAGAAGGATGCCAATAACGTGCTGTAACCATTGATAGATAGAAGTAACACGCTGGCACAATAGTATAATAGAAGGATGCGTTACTCGTGCTATCAAATACAACTAGCAGATATCGTTTGAGCTTCAAAAAATTATTAGAAGGATGCTCAAACCGTGCTGCTAGGAACACTGGAAAATATGGTTTACTTGATTCTAGGTGTACTCAAAACCAATGTCATAGTGCTGTACTTCATACGAGGAACTTTCCCATTATCTCATCTACTTTGGATGCAAAATTGGTATCGAAAACCGTGTCGTAGCTCTTATGTGACTCAAGGCTATAGGACAAGCTAGTCGCACGGGCGTCAGCATGTAGCTTGAGAAGTTTTAGCAAGTTGCACTTTTCCCGATAGATGTGAACTGCATATTTCACAAGTGGTCCAACTTCTGAACTCTTTTCATTCAAGTTAACGGAATGACGTTGCTTATGATAAACGCCAACATCTAGCCAAATAATCGCATTTTGTTTAATATCTAAAACCATTGGGACATTGAATTTGGTAGCGGAAACTACGTCAAATTTTTGTTCGACTGTTTTAGGTTCGAAGAAATTGCCACTGTCACCATCTCTAAGCATGAAGCCAGCCTTTGCCACAAAGGTGTCAAAAGATTGACCACTGTAAGAGTTGACCGTCATACCCAGGTAACGGATATCGGGATGCTTAAGTCTTAAAACTTCTAAATCAATGTCAATGAACTCGGCTGCACCATTTGGTGCATCGGTTATATCACCCGAGTGGGTAATCCCAGCATTCTCCAAATTGTAGTATCCTATTTCGCCCCGGTTTTCGTAGTTTTCTCCAAGTTGTAGAGAGGACAAGTCAACATCTACCCTCGAGTTATACTGTCCTTTGCACTCTGGTATCTTCTCCCAGTATAGAAACAGTCTAATAACCTTAGCACATTTGTCAAACCTGATTTTTGATCCTCGAGCTAGCGTTTGTAGTGATTCGGATACGTTTCGCATACCGATGGGGACAATAAAATCCTCCAGTTTTGGATCAATGTACACGTTCCCCAAGGAATCTAAATTTTTGAATCTTTTGATGAGTGTAGCGTCTATGCCACTCTCTAGCTGGTAACATATTTCGTCTGAAAGAGCGAGTCTCTTATCTTCGTCCTCAATAATCACGTTGGTCGCAGAGCCCTTCGGCAGATAGACTCGAATGGGCGACTTGCTGCTCCTATAACGAAAATGCGTGGACAAGTTCAAAAGGAGTGGAGTTGCAATGCTGGGGGTAACTTTGAGAAATTCTTCAAGAAGTACATCTTGCTCTGGCGATGAGGAGATCCGCAATAGATGATCCAGTCTCCGCGCAAAGTCACCTGGTCTACTTTTTAATGAGTTCAATATCTTTTCCAATTTGGTTTTCATGTTTCCAGAGTCTCTTTCAATTCTTATTGCAGTTAATGACTTTTCAATTGTTCTGTTGAACGTCTCGATGGATTTTGGATCTGATCTTATAGTGTGAATGATCCTAGTGGCTTTAGGATATTGTTTGACATACGCGTTTACGTGTAGGTATTTGGCAAGGATAAGCCATAGCCCCCGAAACCTTAGTATGTCTTCCAGTGCTAAACTGCAGTCCAGCTTGTCTAACATAGACATCAAAAACTTGCGCTGTGAATTAGACAGCTTAAAGCGTGTGTGTTCCTCAAGAGATACATCTGAATCTGAAAATGCCGCAGCGAGACGCAATACATCTGTGGCTGTTTTCAAGAATTTAGTAAACAATTCTCGTAACTTGTCATTGAAAGAACCTGCTTTTTCAACAGCATATGCGATAACAACCATCAAGTTTTCTTTATTAGGAATGCTTTCCGGTAATGCAGAAGACCAAGAATCATTCCGCTTGATAACTTCTTTGATAAACTCTTTATCTGATACAGTTGTAGAAGTAGAGGTGCTAATCAAGTTTTGGAACAGCTCTAAAACGACTTTCTCGTCTACAATGTCTAATGCGACTAACTTCCTGTGGCTTATGAGCTCTGGGCGTTCGATGGGGTCCTGAAAGTCAACGTCTGAAGAACGTCTACCAAACCATGATCCGTTGTATTCATCCGAAGACCAACGTCCGTATACCACGTAATATAGCGAGTAGCTATACTTGTCTAACTTTTCATGTACAGCTTCAATCAATAAGTCTCTATCTGGAATGCTTTCTGGAAATTTCCGAAACAGAGGTACATATTTTTTTTCAGCGCCAAGTGCTTCCTCCACTACCTGTCTAGCAGTAGATCTGAATACCTGTAAGGAAGACACAGAAAGCGACTTCAGATACTTTAATGCGCTATCAGAGAAAGAATACCCCATATATGCCATTTCTGCAGCAAATGTGAAAACCATATCATAATTGCATTGCTGCGATGGGCTGTCATCTAACAGCTCATCAACTTTATACAATGCCTTTCGATAGGAGAGCAATTTCTTAGAAACTGCCACATTCATTGAAATCAAAAGCGAAGGACATAAACAGTATAGTGCTTATAGTGTCATTGAATAGCAAGTAGTGCTTGTGGTTATCAAGATTATAGAAGGATCAGTTTTTTCCTACAACAAACGCTTCTCTCTCTCTCTCTTTATATATAATTTTCGTATATGTTTGAACATGAAAAAAAAAGGCATGATGAATAGCAGAAAGACGAGATAAAAAAGCATGAGTCATGATACGTGGACTTCATCTACAGACGATACATTTCCTTCACATTCTCTCGGCAAGGAATTGCACGCTTAAGTGATTTTTGGGGGTGATTCACAAACCGTTCAATTGAGATTTTTTCGCCTGATCATTCGCTTTCTCTCGGGAATAAGCACGAGAATGCGAAGCCTGCATGCTCAACAATTGAAGACTGCACTTGATATCTGCAAGACGCAGGTTCTACTACAGATAACAGATCATCCGTTTTAATAAGAACTTGCTGTTTTTGGGTGACTTGAGGGGTAATTTTCCTAAAAACAACTCTGGGACCCTTTGCATTAACAGTGGCTAAATATTAGCAATTACTTCACATGCGAGTAGACATTTTTCTGATATGGCAGTGAGCGAGTATAATTGCGCAGAAGAACTGTGCGCTAGATGTTGGATATGCGTCTCGGTTGCAACAAAATTGGTGAAGACTGCGCCACGCGACTAGATATATGGATGTACAGAAACTATTGGGCTATGTAGAGCCCTTTTTTCTTACAAGTCTCATAGTATGGTCGCCACACCAAAACAAACGCATAAACATATGAGCTCAACCAAGAAATGTGAATCTTCTCTTATCATTCGAGGGCTGTTTCAATAAAATAGAATTTTTGTGTTGTTTTCAATCCTGGAACTCTACGATGGCACAAAGCAGGTTGTAAATCAAAACTTCGCAGCCTGCCGCCTAAAAGAGAGGTATTCTGTACGCGTTTTTTTCTTACTCGACTTGGCGTTCTTCCCAATTAGCACGGACGACGTATTTCCTACCGGAATACCGCACCGGCTGAGCTCAGAAAACTGTCTGGCTGGATGGCATCATAAGAGGCGCAAAAGCTGGGCGAACCAAAGGGGAAGTGAAGAACTTAAAGGAGTTTCAGGTGATCCCAAAAGCATTCCGACACAACGCCCGCAAGTACTATTATCTCAACGAGTGGGTCATCCCTGATCTCCCGGAGCCCCCGCGTCACACCGTCAATATCAAGTAGGACAATGCATGCGCATTTCAGGTGATGGGTGAGGACACGTTGCTCTCTCAGAATCCGGACTACGCCGTAGTAGCACTTTTTTGGGCAACAAGCGTACGTAGGTGGACGTCATCAAGTATCTACACTGCTGCCATAGTAAAGCGCTAATAAGCAACAAGTCAATTTTTGTTGAGCAAAACATTTCTGGATCCCGTACACGAGGCTCTTCCATTAGCGAGACTAAATTTGGATATAATTGGAAAGGGACGCCTCTTATCCTTTGAAATCGTTCTAAACAACTTTGAGCTGCGTGTAGCAAGGAACATTAGGCATGATTGGGGCCTGAGCTTTATTAATTTGCGACAGGAAACGAAGCACTTATAGAGGAGATAGTCCTGTGTCTGCGCAAGCTGTTTTTGGGCGTGCCTGGGGACCGGTCTCTCTCGGTTCTACTGAATTTCCTCGAACTCAGGATGCCTTCCATGAATGATAGCTGGCTAGAAAAATGACAAGGAGCACTTCAACCTCGAAGACTCTCGGCACAATCGTGAATAGCTGTCCACTATCAGGTCATGAGTGCAGTGCACAATATTTTTGGAAGCAAGTGATGAGGCTGATGATTTTTTTCAAACTAGATAGTGGTCGAGCACTGGGGGAAGTCTCAATGCTATCATGAACATGCGTATCATAGAGACAATTAAAAAAACAACGCGTGGAGTATATTCCCTTCCCGGAGGTACTCTCGTTCATGGAAAGCTGGTCAATTGCGCGTCCTGCATGTCCTGTAGCTTCTATCACTAGGTGAGGTGGAGATTTGATGTCCATCTAAGAGCACTAACAAAATATTCATAATGACCAGGGCGGATGTGTTGGGAAGGGGGCTTCTTGATGCTTCCAGAATGTCGCTCGGTGAAGGTAAATAGAGCCATTGCTTCTCTATTAAGAGGGTATATCCCCATGAACGATGTAGGAATGTGTTGTCCTTGACATTCTCTCCATTCTTGCCAAGGAATGACGTCCTGGTATTGAAAGCCATTGAAAATATGACCGTGCTACTCATTTAGTTTGTAGTGGGCATTACATATCAATTTTGCAAATCAAAAGTTCTTGCATATGCGGAGAATAAAATGCAACGTTTTCGTTGATGAAACAAAACGCATACTCCAGGTCGCAACCAGGTATTGCAAAAAGGGAACGTCTGTTTATATCTTGAGGTGCTTCAGGCTACCTTGAAGTTTTTCGTCCAATGGAGGTCATGTTGCTAGGAGGTGGTTGTGATGCTTTTACGCCGCCGTGGAGGAAAACTGAAATCTAGAATGCTGATGACGGTACATTGAGGCCAAGAAGAAAAAGAGAAGAGAGGAAATGTCGCAAATAATCATGTTTCAGCTCGTCTCGATGCTGTGCAGCTCAAGTCTGAGGTCACCCCTTCCCTAAAGTGTCATAATGTCACAAAAAAACTCAACCTGCTACTCGGGATCATGCGCAGGAGTGTCGATAACAAAAAGGGAAGCTGCGAAGCCTTTTGCATGGCCGCGTGCAAACTGCTTGTCGGTCGCTACGTACAAACAGGGCTGGAAGTGTATGGTGCGCATGGATTTCCCTTAAATGGAAACACTGCCACCACAAGCCATGCAGTTATGCAGACTATCGCCAACAGTATATTTGTTGGCCTTAGCTTTATAAACAGACGGCAGATCTAGTATCGTTGCCTACTAATGAGTAGGCCTCTGATCCCAAGGGCTTGCGACTTACTCATCTCAAGGTGGCGGGGAAATGGGTATGCGATGGGAAGTTTGATATTGGGGACATGAGTCATTATATTGCATGTCTCGGGATCAATAACACATACCAGGAGGTATTTGATTTCCAAGTGCGACTGAATTTGGCAAGTCGTTACTTTCGCTGTTGCTCTTGATGTGCTTTGCTAAGAGAAGAGAGCATGTGGTGTTGGTTGTGTTTTGTGCCATATGTTGTGATTCTAAAAAATGACACGAGGCGAATGGAAGAGGGCTTCCGGGTGGGACGATCCATCGAGTACCACGGGACCTCGAAGACAACTTGACGTGTATGTTGAAGTTTATGAGTAGATGGCCAACATCTTCTTCAGAGGTATGGTCAACTCTTCGGAGACGCGATTTCCACAAACGTATATCCGCGTGCTAATGATTGATGAGTTCCAATTATTTCTGACGAGAACACTTTTCGGGAGCACTAGCTGGCCACCATCAGAAGCGTTGATTAAGATCAGTTCTGGGGCACTACTCTGATAACCACCACCGGGTCGCAGGGCGCGATGGAGGGAGCTCTCCAGACCCTCGGCTTGAAGTGAAGCGGCAGAGTCCGTGTAATGTGGAGCGGGATGTAGACACCCAGTTTATAAACTTTGTGATAGAGCACTGTCTCAGCCAAATTCACAAATATCCCGATACGATTGAAGGTGATGACTTCAAACAAGCTTTGTAATATGTTCGACAGCTCTGCTAGGCAAAACCAAGAGGCAAGACCGCAATAATTCTGGAGAGCAGTAAATTGGGTTGAAACACTGTTCTTTGAAATGCAACAAGGGTCCCACACCACGTATGTGCACGGCGGATTTTGAGTGTGCTGGATAACATCGAGTGGGTGAGGGCATTCATCGATGACAACAAGGCGCAGGCACTGATCGGGACCAAACTACTGTCGCAGGACCTCGACATAGATATGCCCCGGCTGGTCATTTTCCCGGCTTACTTTGCAGAGATACCTGAATATATCCAGTGTGTTATAAAAATCAGAAGACACAGGGTGGTAATAGCACTGGACATGGGTAGGAGAGCAAAAGGTGTATTACAGAGCAGATATGCAACTACTATAGCATTACGTTCCAGGCCATAGCGGCTCTTGTGCGCGTTTTAAGAGCGTAACGGTAGATTCAAGGAGGATCTTCCAGCATCTCATGATAAAAACGTGCGGGAACAAAGCGCTGTCGAGCTGCATGACTCTGAGAACCTAACGATGATCTACTTGTCCTACTCCAGCCCCAAGTACCACACGATAGCCAATCAGACACGGCAAGGATGTTGAATTCTCACTATGGAGGGAAAAAGAATATCTTCGACTTTCTTGGCGGTTCTTTGACAACTTAAATTTCATCCGGAAGAGAGTCGAGCTGCAGTATCAGAAATGCTTTGGTCAAAAGGAAATATGCTGATGCGTGGCCAGGAGGGTTCGAGCCATGGGAAAAGAATTTTCGTAACCTCGCGAAAGGGGGGCTTGTTCTTATCCAGATTGTCTCTCATATTGAAGATTACAGAAAGGCGGCTGCTATTTGTCGAGAAGAGGGTATCCTAAGTTGGCCGACGCACTTTCATGAGATGGTGCCTAGCGTAGTCCAAAGACACAACAGCATTTACATTGGCTATCATGACTTTGTGAGGGACATCGGGTGATGTTTAAGAGAGGCTTCAAAGCTCGAATGGTGATTGAAAAGTACAACAAAACGCTCAAGTTTCTTTGGCACAAGGAGATCCTGTCATATTTTAGCGTAAGAGAGGTGTTGAATTGTTCAGAGAGGGGCTACAATATGCCATGTGTAAAGAGAGCGACGGAAAAAGCGGCACGCTGGAGCACAGACTCTCCGGATACCACAGGTTGTCTTATGACGCAGCTTGAGAGCATAAAGGAGAACACGTACATCAACAATCTACTTGACGATCAGGGAGTAAGAGGAAGATCCTAATTTTCCTGTCAGCAACAAAATATGATGCAGTTTCGGATATTATTTGACATGTGCTCCAGAGAGGACGTAAGGCATGCATTTACGGAGCTTCCAAGGGTGGGCATCTTCACTCACTGATTGAGGCTCAGGGCGCATAAGTTGCGTATTGGGAACGCCGTGATGTCACTGTACATACCCGTGTCAGCAATGTAATCTGAAATTAGGAACTCTTAACCAGGTAATAGTTTGACAGAGTTACCTCTTTCGAGATCACATCACTATTTAACGGTATGACATGGTCACGTTATGAGGAATACATCACTATCTCTCAGTGTGACGCGACAAGACAAATGCATCATCAATGTAGGAGTATGCGATTTGTGCATGCTCATGCATGGGAAGTGCGTGGTGCTGCAGGTTTATGTATTGCTATGAAGGGTGATTACAATTAGTCTAACCAGTTTTGACAAAAAAACCTACCATCATGTGGATGGGGGAGTGGGGGGTTGGTGGTTGACGGACGTGGTCAGGTGACGGTATTGACCAAAGAAATACCGCTAGAGTGCGTTCAGCAAACGGTGACAAATCGAATATGCAGGAGGAAGAAAAAAATCTGTGGTGTCGAAATTGGAGCCATAATTCTCAATGATGTTGATCTACGGCAGTTGATTTATGGCTTGTCGTACCCTGGTAGCAGCTAGATTGTTTATGGCTTTGTATCACGTGCTATTCAAGAGAGGCTATTGCCAAATAGGGCGAACAGCGTCCGTAATGATCTAAGCAAGGTAGCCTTGTAGTTACACATGGGAAATTACCTGAGCAAGCTGGGTAAAGCTAAGAAGTCGCTCTAAGCAGAGAAAAAAAAGCAGCGACACCTAACGGAAGAGCAAAAGACAAGAATCAGTGGTAAGATTAGTTTAATGAAAGTCTTGAACCGTATTAGGTTTCGTAATTGGAGAAGACATAGGTCAGGGTATTATCCATGTGCAAAGCACGTGAACTATAAGCAAACTAGAATAAAGCGTCGATATCGACCAGAAGCTCTCGGATACGCTGCGTAGTGGTGGTCCTCTCGCTAGTTAGACGTTTAAATTCTTTGAGTAATACTTACCAGATGCTCTCGACGGTTCAAAAGGAATGGTGTTTCAACGGTTCAAAAATAGGGGGTTCAAAGGCTAGGAGCTCTACATTATCGGTATATAAGCGGGGTACCATGCAATAGAAAAGGTCCAAGCTCGAGATTAATTAATATCATGACATGGATTAGGATATCAGCCAAGTACTTCATTATCAACGGTTACCTAGTTCATGTTGAAGACAGCGGTAAGCGCCGAGCTGTGGTACCTGGACGCAACGTCGAAAGACAGAGGAGCTAAAAGCCTTTAAGAAGCATGAATGCTCTTTGGTGAATGTGTCGGACTATCTCAGGAACGAGGAATGCGATCTGTTTCCCACCTCTTCGAAGAAGTTCTTCCAGGCCGTGGAGAAAGTAAAAAAGAAGTTTTTCCCTACTTCCAATGGACACAAGCTGCTTCAACCGACAAGAGCACGAACCGCGGACAAGATACAAGCCCGGGAACTCGAGGTTGTGCAGCTGACATATGCCAAGAACAAAAAAAATATCTCTTTCTAAATGACACGCCGCTGGTGGTCACATCTGGTCCTGAAGATGAAGGGCGCGTTCTCAAAATACACCATCAGCGTGCACGCTCCGTTCGGTACACACTACTGTGTCTACACGAGCTCGAGTTCACAGACCAAGATCGAGACCTCTTCCGAAACTATCTCGCAGACAAACCCCTGATCGATGAGGAATGTATAAAGCTGT